TGGTACGATATGGCCGACCGCTACCTTAAGGTCAACCCTATCTGCGCCGTCATGCAAGCCAATCTCGTCATGTTCCACCTTATCAGCCTCAACGCTGTGACTAACTTCACCGAGATTGAGCTTCTGGCTCGTCGTGAAGGTTTCGACGGCACCTACCAGCAGCTGGTCTGGACCCACAAGCGATGTATCGCCGATGTGGAGGAGGCTGTCTTCCATTGTGGTCAAGTCTTGCGTATTATCCGCTCTATGCCCCGCGGAGTGCGTCCCCCATGGTGGGCTGGCGCAGTTTACCGCGCTGCTCTTGTGCTGTGGACTGACAGCCTCATCAACAAGGAGACCCCAGCAGCAAATGCTACTGGAGGCTTCCCCTCGCCGGGACCTACCTTTGCAGTTGATGCCTTGCCGGTTGACCACCCCATGATCGTTCGCTTCTTGAGCAAGCGTGTAGGCCAACCCGCGCTCAGCAANAGGGATGGTACTCACATCCCAATGGACCATGGTGTCACCGTCCTTGCTCATTGTATTGAGATCATGGACGAAGGCACCTCTAACAGGTTTGTTGATGGTGTCCGCAACAAGCTTGAGCGCTTGATGAGAAGCTAAATGCTCTCATCTCATGTTTTACGACCTTTTCCTTATTGTTTCTGTCCACAATAGATGGGCTTGGTGTCAATGGCGTTTTTGGTTGACATGGTGTTGGCTTGTTCTGTTTTGAGTTGTTTTGACGATAATGTCTTCGATACCACAGGGGTGGAAATCCCTCAGACCGCAAGGAGGCGGTCAATGGCGTTTGTTGTCGTTGATTGTTCTGTTTCTTTCTTCCAGGTAGACCTTGATGCAATATATCCAAGCTGATCTTCCTTGAATTCTTTCTCCCTCCTCTCCTTTAGTGCCATCATCTTGTCTCTTGTGTCCAACCATGCTCCATCTTCTTCACTCCTCCACATGTCGGCAGCCATTCTTTGTCTCTGATATCTTGTACCCACGTTCCTTATCGCAATGAATCCAGATCGGTGGTGTTGTTGATGTCTTCATTTGTTGGTCATATTACCATAGCAGGTGTCTGAGAAGAAAACAAGCAACACCAAGTCTCGAGAAAGGGCGACTTTATAACTACTTTTACGATCGGACAAACCAACATTGTCCGGTGCATGGATCATCAGATTTTTGTTATTTCACTCTGACACAAGGTGACGCGGAGGTTGAAAATAGCAGATCAAACCAACAAAGTCCGGAGGTGCACTTCGGAGGTGAGGAGGTCTCGTGTCTAGTATGGTGATCCGGAATCTGGAGTTGGAACAGACCACCTGATCTCAAACCACATCACTGACCGCGATTGCCATACTCTTCTCGATGCGCTCTAGACTACTGGTAACAGTGTCGAAGGCGATATTGCTATCTGTATTGCTGTGCTGCCTATGCTATCTGAGAGTGCCGTCGAGTAGTCCGGATATGCAACGGCCGTTCATGTTGCTATTCTGCTTTGCCGGACGGACAACATCCTTACCATGCTTTACCTCCTGCATCTCATGAAACAGCGTTTCTGATCTCCTAGCTCCTCGGCCGTATGGCAGCTGTTTGCCGCAGTTGAGCGAGCTCTCTCCCTACGTGCTTGAAAAGCATCAATGCTACCCCATGGAGTCCCGCACGAGGATCGCCAACATGGTGGCAATGACAGGTTCGAAGCAGGTTTTCCCACGCTCAGTCGCAATCATAACACTCTGGGCCTTGTCGAGAGCTCCATGATCCAGTGGTTATGCTGCTGGTGATGAAGGTTCCCGGAATAGCTGCTGCAGCGGACTGAGCGGGCAGCCGATATGTATCCGGAGCTATAGTCATGCTGCATGATGCATGGAGTGCACAACTTTATCCAGAGAGATGTGCAGCGAGCTCAAGACATTGTCAGATGCAAGTCAGAGTGAAGGAGTAGCAGAAGGCCGCGCAATTGTACGTCTGGACAAGGTCAGCATCCAAGACGGCTTCTAAGCCTACAAGAACACAGAAAGGGCTGTGACACCGAAGATGTCAGAAGACTCTGCCCTTGCCAAGCACAACTCGTTCTTGATTCTCATGGTTCCCAAGGCTCTGCAAAGCCACCACGAGCGTGGTATCACATTGGGCGAACACGTTCTCTCACATTACAGCTAGCCATGGGTGTTGGGTATTATTATTGCTTGGCTCATCCTCGCTACGCTGCTGACAAAACAGTACATGCTGTGTTCTCAGCGTTTCCAGTACCATCAAGGTGGAGAAACTCAACAATCTGCTGTAGCATTTCCCTTTTTCATGATGCTCTGGCGAGGCCTCTGCGACGGCAATGGTACCGGTGCTTCCACAACACGAGAAGGAAGCGGCTTTTTGAGCTTACGGCTCGTCTCGACAGAGCTGAAGCTCAGGAATGCATATACGAGCCCAAGGATCCTGAATACCGAGAAAATCGATAGTGCCTTGGAGGAATCCAGACAACGCAAAGAAGGGGCGTCAAACAGACAAGCCTTCAATAATTGATGCAAGCAACAATATGCCAGCGCCTATTCCAAAAGCCACCCTGCTCCTTCCTCCTCAACGTCCGAGCCGTGCGACGTGCAAACAAACTTCGGCCTTGGCGAAGTTTGTAGAAGGATCGGACTGGACCGGTTACCCCACAGATCACGAAACGGAGCCGCGAGCGGACCACGGTTCGTCACGTCTTTGAGCTTCAGACTTGTCCGTAGTTGGAAAACGACTCGGCCACTACTGCCGGTCCCAGTTTTGGAACCAATCTGATGCGCGAGAGCCTCGGTCGCACGATAATTCTCCGACAGACCGCGGCTAAACTTGGACATTCTGCAACAGACCTGATGCATCAAGTATTCCTGGAATGCTATGGACGACAAAGGGCACCAGACTTGGCTCGTGGACATGCCACTCAAAACAATTGTAGACAAGTATAGACGTCTCAACACAAGGTCACAAAATCATAGAGGTAGGTACACTTGAAGTTTCACGAGCTGTTGCAATGGTGAGGTAGACGACTATCTTCGGGAGCATGGATGTTCTTCAACATTTCGGCAATGATCGCCGCCATCCTGCACCCAAGACCAAAAGTCCGAAGACTGGCTGGCAAATGCGTCCGTGCTGAACATCGATTCTGCAGCTGCTCCAGCGCGAATTGCATGCCATGTCGCCTTCACGGTCGACTGATTGCACGTAGCCCTGCCGGCCATTGCTTGTCGATAATGCCTCTCCGAAACTCACACGGACGATTGAGAGCATGTTCGCCCTTCGCGCTTTCGGTGACTTGGTCCGGCGCGAAGATCCTCTTGCACGCTTTCGCCTTGTCGCCCATTGAAGCCTAGCTAGCTATCGATGAGGTTGGTACACTGCCATCTCCTACGCTCGCTGCCCAGTGCTTGTCTGAACCATTGCTTCTACCCACCCCGAGTGGAGCCGTCATGTTCTATCATTGGGATATTCTCCGAAGATAGTCTCAACACCTCGGGGCTTTCTTGAGAACGAAAGAGCGAGCATCAATGGTATATAGAGCTCTACAATCACCAGGCTAAGTCATTCTTTTCTCATCATCAACCAACTCCTCTACCAATCCACTACACAACAAAGCCACTCGCTTCCATCACCACTTTCCCACCTTCAACCAACCAACCAAATCACTACAATCACAATGTCTGCTGTTGAGACTTCTCGCTTGGACGGCAAGGTCGCCCTTGTCACTGGCTCTGGTAAGTCTTCTCACATCTCCAAATCATCATCTTCTCTAACACATATCAATNNAGGCCGTGGTATCGGCAAGGCTATGGCCATTGAGCTCGGCAAGCGTGGTGCCAAGGTCATCGTTAACTACGCCAACTCTGCCGAGGCTGCCAACCAGGTCGTCGAGGAGATCAAGAAGAACGGTTCCGACGCCATTGCCCTCAAGGCCAACGTTGGTGAGGTCTCCGAGACCATCAAGCTCTTCGACCAGGCCGTTGAGCACTTCGGTCAGCTCGACATTGTCTGCTCCAACTCTGGTGTCGTTTCCTTCGGTCACCTCAAGGATGTCACCGAGGAGGAGTTCGACCGCGTCTTCAAGATCAACACCCGTGGCCAGTTCTTCGTTGCCCGTGAGGCCTACAAGCACCTTTCCGTCGGTGGCCGCATCATCCTGATGGGCTCCATCACCGGTCAGGCCAAGGGTGTCCCCAAGCACACCGTCTACTCCGGCTCCAAGGGTGCCATCGAGACCTTCGTCCGCTGCATGGCCATCGACTGCGGTGACAAGCGCATCACCGTCAACGCCGTTGCCCCCGGTGGTATCAAGACCGACATGTACCACGCCGTCTGCCGCGAGTACATCCCCGGCGGTGAGAACCTCTCCGACGACCAGGTTGACGAGTACGCCAAGACCTGGTCTCCCATGCAGCGTGTCGGCCAGCCCGTCGACATTGCCCGCGTCGTCTGCTTCCTCGCCTCCCAGGACGGTGAGTGGGTCAACGGCAAGGTCATTGGCATTGACGGTGCCGCCTGCATGTAAAGGGTTTTCTCTCTCCCTTCATACACCCCCCCAAACGACAACTTTCATGAGCAACAGCATGTTAGTGCCAGGAGCACATGGATGATATAACCAGTTTTTCCTTTGTTTTCTCTGATCATGAGCGGAAGGCGTTATTACTATAATACGATGGAAAAAGGGTTCACAGGCTGAATCTCATAAGCTATTTTATACTTAGACAGCACAAAAAAATTGGAGTCTCAGCATTTGAAAATTATATCTAGTGCACCTTCCGTCACGGTTCGAAGTGACTGCTTCAGTTTTCTCGCATCTAAGCTCCAGTCGTTCCTGCCTCGATTACTGATTTCCACAGGCAAGATCAAAGAGGAAACCAAGAGAGAAGTGACAAAAGTCCAATCCTTTCTTGCCTTCCCTCTCCAGATCATGAATGATCACTATTATTATGTCTTCAACAAGGAAGTCACTAACAGCCGCTGGCTGTTGATTTTATCTCTTCGTACAGCTCAATGCTCTACATACCCTCCAAAAGTTGCAACAAGTCCCTCTGTTTGGCTTCCTTGATTTTTCGTCTCTTCTTGCCGTTTTCTTGTTTCGCTTCTTCTTTTTCTTGCACTCTTTTTCTTGTCTCTTCTTCAATGGCTTTGCTCTGTTCATCGTCTTTGACCCAACACTCTATTTCGTTTGTGGTGAAGAGGATATTCGTTGATGCTGTAGGTGGTTGGCGACCCAATTGAACAAGACACAGTGGTGTAGTTGGTGACGATGAAGAAGATGGTGAGGAAGTGAGTGATGGTGCCGTGAGACCAGATTTGACATACCCATCCACCAGATCCACAAAATCTCTGCCCGAGGGTTTGTCCTCGAGTGCTGTGTCTGCATGAGCGTAAAAAGCTCGACTATTCATTGTCTTTGGTCAGCATTTCTCCTTCTCAAAACGAGAAAAGTAGAATGATCAAAACTTACCTCGTCATCTTCCATCCCTTGTCTTTAACAATCTTCTTTCCTTGTTTGATACTAATTCCACACCGACTTGTAACCACCATTTCCAGCGCGCTAAACCCATCCAACTCTGCCAAACTGACCTCGGTAACACCCATCTGAAATCGCAAAACCAGCATGCGTAAACAGGGAAACGCGTTTGCGTATCGGGCTTTCTTATTCCAGAACCGCATTGTGTCGTCGGTGATCATGGAGGTTTCTTTGGTGGAGAGGGAAGAGCCGTTGATGTGTAGAGATACTAGGTTTGGGAGGGAGGGGATGAGGTGGATGGAGGTGTTATAGTCGGCGATGGTGGAGATGAGGGTAAGAGATGTGAGATAGGTTGAGGGAGAGACAGAGATGTAGCGGTTGAGGAGGGAGAGGGGTAGATGGTGGTGAGTGGTTGTTTTGTAGGTTGGCGTAGGAGGAGAGGATGGAGAGACTTTTGTGAAGATTTGCCAGAGATGTAGGGATTGGAGGTTACTATGAGAGACGGTATTAGTGTCCTGATTCTGTGTTGGATACTTTTGATTTTCGTCTGTGTGAATGATTGTGGTCTGAGTGGTATGCTGCTTGTTGTGACATTCTAGAGATGACACTATAGAATCAGATATCAGGTATTTTCTCCTTGACAACAAATCCTCGCAAGAATCAGACACGACCACAGTATCTCCAACCCTCTTAGAAGGCCCGAAGATATCCATCCCATCGATTCTGTTATCTGTGCCGCTCCAACACCGCCGTCAACTCAAAAATGCTTGTAATAAGGGCAACCCTGCCCATACCACTCTCCTTTACAAAATCACACACAAAAACACCAAACGAAACTCAAACAAAAATAGTACTCACTTCTTCTGTATCTCCCTCCAAAGCCTTTTCAGCACAATCTCCGGCACAGACTCCAGACTCTCCGCCTCAAGCATCGTCAAATTGTTCAAAAGACATCGCAGAGCCATCGTCTCCAAAGCATCAACGCCGAAACCATGTTCCTTGCTTGTATGCAGAGGAGGAGGTACACCAACAGCTCTGTGAAGAAAATCGTGGATCTGTGAGGAGATGGGTTTCGAGGGTGTTGAGATGATGGTCTCGTTCCAGGATAAGCCGGAGCTTGTGTCGTGGTACTGTATTGGTTTTGCCGCCATAGCAAAAGGTGTGTTGGTTGATTAGTCCGGACAAACGATTGTGCTTGATGCTGAGTCAGTCCGAGTGCTGTCGCGGGATTGCTTAAAAGTGCTCGTCAAGTCGAAGGTCAGGATACAAAAGCTCTACTTGTGAGAGTTTAGAAGCGAAGGTCGGATGACTGTGAGATGTGCAACAAATCAAGAGTAAAGTCTCGACAACATGCGCACATCAAGCGCGTATGCGTCTTCAGCGAATCTCTATCTAGATCACCATTATGCGCGACGACAACAGAGAGGTGGGTTGCATCAAAGTTCATACTACTTCTAGAGTACAGTATTCTGTAAAAAAGATTGGTCGTCGCAACAAAACCAACGACTAAAAGATACCCATAAAAATCCGTTATGCCAGAAGAACGCCAGGGTGCCTATCTATGCACCTCACAGCTTTTTTTTGACTTGCTATTCTCAAAGCGAATCACTTAAAGCTCATCGTGCTCAGCGAGGTCACCGTCGCTGTCGACGAGACCATCCTTGACAACGGCAGCAGCCTCACCAGCCTTCTCAACGACTGCGTCCTTAACGGCACCGGCGACCTTAGCGGCGACACCCTCGGTGGCAGCCTCAGCCTGCTTGGGCATACCCTCAGTCTCAACATCATCGCTCTTAGCGTCAGCATCAATCTTGTGGCTACCGTTCTCACGGATGAAAGTGGCAAGGTCCTCAACGGTACGGGCACCGCTGTACTCGATAGGCTCACCCTTACCGTGGGCGGGGAAGAGCTTGATGGTAGGGAAGCCCTGAATCTCATCGGGGACATCGTTGGCAGTGGCATCGACCTTGGCGATAGTGACCTTGTTGGAGTGGGACTTGAACATCTCACCGAGCTCCTCGTACTTGGGAGCGAGGGACTTGCAGTGACCGCACCAGGGAGCGTAGAACTCGACCAGAACATCCTTGTCGGCGTTCATGACGATCTCGTCGTAGTTCTTTGCAACAATAACAGTGACGGGGCCGTCGTTCTTCTTAGGAATGGGCTCGGACTTGATGCTGGGGTCGACCTTGCCGGCAACAAAGTCGTCAAGGAACTTGGTAATCTTCTTGGCGGAGAGGTCAGTGCCCTCGAAGGGGAACTTCTGGTTCTTCTGAGTGTCCTGGATAGCGAAGGCGGGCCACTTGCCAACCTCGAGGTTGAGGTTACCAGCGTGTTGACCGAAGGCCTTGGCGTCGATGGTAGCAAAGTTGACCTTGCCCTTGTGCTTCTCGGCGACCGACTTGAGGGAGGTGGCAAGAGTCTCGCGCTCCTCGGGAGTCTCAGCGAAGATGTAGGCGAGGGGGATACCGGCNNCTGTGGATGCAATGTCAGTCATGTGCTTGAGTCGAGTCTGTAGAGCAGAACTTACGGCCATGTAGCCAGAGTAGGTCTCGGGACCGACCTCACCGATGAGAGGAACGGAGGCGGTGTTGGCGAAGGTGGTGATAGATTCCTTGGTGAACTTCTCCTCGAAGGTGTTCTTACCCTCGTCGAAGCTCTTGTAAAGAACGATCGAGGGCTGCTTGACACCCTCAGCCTTGGCGAGAGCGGCATCACTGGTGGCACCGAAAAGGAAGTTGTCGCGGAGGCCGTTGGCGGCAGCGGTGAAAGTCTCGTTGGAAGCCTTGTCATCGGCGGCGAAGTAACCGACCAGGACGACCTTGTCGGCGGTCTTGAAGTCCTCAATGGTGGCCTTGTCGACGATGGAGACGGCGGGGAGGGACTGCTTGGTCATGTATGAGACGANTGCTGCAGAATTGTTAGCTAGGCTTTCAAGTGGTGCTGATGTTGTTATCACGTACGCAGGGGCCTTGCGCTGGCCGCTGTAGGGAGAGACATTGTCGAGTCCTCTGAAGACCTTGAGGGTAGGGTAGCCCTCGACACCGTGGTCACGGCAGAGGTCGGCCTCCTCGGTGCAGTCAATCTTGGCCAGGGCAATGTTCTTCTCCTTGAGGGTTGTAGCGGCCTCCTCGTACTCGGGTGCAAGTGCCTTGCAGTGTCCGCACCAGGGGGCGAAGACNNTGTGTGCTGTTGTCAGATGTGTACTGATGGTATAATGGGTGAAGAAGCAGTTCTTACACTCTGCGAGGACGAGGTCGTTCTCCTCGACGAAACCCTTGAAGGTGTCCTGCTTAAGGTCGACAACGTCGGAAGCGGCGGCCAGGGCGGCTGCGCCGAGCAGACNCAGAGCTGCGAAGTTGCGCATTGTGATGTGGTATGTGAAAACGTTAAAAGGAAAGGAGCAGATCAAGGACAAGCACAGTACGAAAAAGTGCAATGTCTGTTGGGTGCTTGAAGAAGATCGAGTTGTGCCAAAGGAGACAGATCACCTTGAATGCTTGCTAAGCCGCCGAAGGGACCAACTGGCCTCTGACAGTCGGAAGCTTCGTGAACCCCGCCTTCCTCCCAAATGTTGCCCCTGGTTTCCAGCTCTTTCTATTGTAAATTCTAATATTCAATCTATTTCGTGCTTGGCTAAGGTACAATCGCTATGTCTACGTGTCAATTACCAATAATAGCCTCTGACCATTATTGAAGGGCAACAACTTTGTCTCACGAGACCACCAGCATGTCGTCTTCTAAAGCATGTAACTTTTATTGTGCTCCGACTATAGCAGAGAGGAAAGTACACACTATAAAAATGCATAATCTATGTAGAGATAAAGATATGGCCAAAGAGAGCTGCTAAGAGATCGCTTTCTCAGTGGACACTATCCTATTGTCCGATACTATTGTGTGTTTCTATAGCCACACACGTTACGTACCTTTGCACACGGAGAGGACAGAGAACCCCATTGAAAGCCTATCTCCATGGTCAGAGACACATCTGGATTGTAACTGTGTATTTTGACAGTATACAATAACCCCATGTACTCGAGATGGAGAAGAGGACAACGGTACGGAAGTAAGATCGTGACTGATTTTCGCGCACATGGAGCATGGAAAGACATGGTCAAAGAAGAAAACCAATCGTCATCATCAATTCCCTCTTTTCCGAAGATCAAAAGAAAGGATAACAGAAAAACGAACGCCTATATCTTTTTCGACTGTGGCCCTCATTTCGAGTAAAACACCCCTTTGCCAAAACCGAAAAGATGCTCCTCAAAACTCCAGATCTTCATCACTCCTTTCCATGCATATCACTCAGACCCCACCCACACCACCTCCAAAAGCTCCCTCAAACCCATTCCCCTCATTCTCATCGGCGCTGTTCTGTCCATCCACTCCATCCCCATCTTCCTCATCCTCATCTTCCTCAAGAACAAGCCTCCTCAAAACACTCCTCTCAANAAGATCCAACACAAACCTACACGCCGGAAGTTTATACCGATGCGAGCTCAACACCTGCAGGACTCTAACAAACAGTTCTGGACTTTTGAGACCTGGTGCTTTTTTCTGTTTCAGAAGGTTGAGGTCGGCGGCTGCTTTGTTTGAGAGAACGGTGTTGCCGAGTTTGGTTACTGCTTTGAGGATNNTTCGGAGTTTTGGGGTGTGAGAGGCGAAGAAGAGGGTTTGGTGGCGGGAGAGGAGGTGTTGGGGAGGGGTGAGGAGAGGGTTGANGGGCAGCGGGCATGAGGGACCCCATTGGCGGACCTTGTATTCTCGTTAGCCAACGTGAAGGGAAGAAGAGAAGTAGAGATCAAAACTTACATTGAAGAGTTTGGTGAAATCGAGGGGTAAACAGTACCCCAAAGACTCTCCCAACATGTTCACCGTGCCATTCCAGTGATGACTCGCCAAAATCTCCTGACCATGCAGAGACCTAGAGATAAGTCCGAGGACAAAGAAAGCAGTCCCTCTCAACGTCAATACCTCAGACTTTTCCGCAATCTCAATGATGTGCTGTGTAACATCTGATTGCTCCAGGAAAGGCGCGCCCAGCTCCATGGATCCTACATTCCCTACTGCCCAGAGACATCCCTTGACTTTGATAATCGTCTCTGCGTCTTCTTCCTCCATGCCAAAATCTTGAATCGTGGTTACGAACTCTTCAAAGTGGCCTTTGTTTTTCAGTAACTCACAGCCCTCTGCGGTTCGTGTGAGTTCGCGATAGAAATGCGGAGGCACAAGGCCAAAGTCTTGGGGTTCGGGTGTTTCTTCAAACATCGAGACTGCTTTCTCGGGGATATCGGCCAGAGCGCGGGCGAGTGAGGCTTCGACTAGAGTCACATAAGTATCGTTGCGACCGAGGAACCAGTCGTCCATTTCTTTCGTGATGTAGTCGAGACCATCGAGGTAGTGATATCCGACTGAAGTTGACAGGAAGCGGAGCAGAAGAGGTGCACCAATCTCGCCGAGATGGTCTAGTGCTGGTCGGCACTTTACGACGTATTCAAGCGAGTTGTTGTCGTTACAAGCTTCTTCAAGGATCTTGATGGCGATTTCACAGACCTCAATCTCTGGATCGTAGAGTTGAGTGACCAACAAGCGAATTGCCCATGCAGCGCATTCGCCGTTACCACTTGACTTCGGACTAGTGTCCAATGGCCTTATGGCGTATTTTCGAAGTATTCGTGTAGCAGCTATGCGGACATCTCTGGAACCGGAGATCATGGCTTTCGATAGGATGATCCTGGGGTGACTGTCAAGCGTATAGTCAAGATTAGTGAGCAGTGCCATGATAAGGTCATCTCTTCCTTTGAGCTCAACAATGTGATAGAACATGTTGATGATTTTCCATCGTTCCATCATCTGTAGTCCCTTCTGGTCGCTGCAAAGGACACCTAGGATGGCAAAATACCCACCTACGAGTGTATCTGCTAATCTGTCTGGGGAGAACAGAGGGGTTGTCGATGTAATGCCACTCATGCGGTCAAACTGAGCCAAGCACTCTGCAATCTGCCGCAACATTTTGTTGTCGGCTAGATANNCTCTGGTACCCTCTGGAGTCAACAGCAATGTACGGACAAGCGCACAGCCAGCTCTGACATAGCGCTGATTTGGTTTTGTGTTTTTGGCGTCCGAAAACCTGTATTTGAATGGTCGTAGAAAGCCTAGCAAACGGTGGACGAATTTTGTCGCTTTCATCGCCTCGTCCAGCCTTCGCGAATTCGTCAGTGGTCCCTCGATCATGGGTTGGATCAGGTCCCATCTCCATTTGGTGTAGTTGACTGTGTTCAAGACTTGACACTCCATAAGCAGGCCTCTAAATTGCGCTTCATCCATATTTGCGCTCATCTGCACCTTCGGTTGCTCTGCGGACTTGATAGGCTCGAATTCGTCAGCCCGAGTCGACTTGACACCCGGTCCTCCACCTACAGACCGATACAAGGTGCGGTTCACACTGTCCACTTGATATACCGTAGCTACAGCCTGTGATCGTTCATCTTGACCAAAGGATGTGGCTTGGTGGAACAAATCAGGTAATACCTGAAGCTCAGCACTCCATTCACTAGGCAGTAACTGGTTGGCGAGTTTTAGTACTTCACCAATCAACAATGTGGTCTTTCGTTTGAGAGCAAGATTTGGTGCGTCACGTTCAGCGTGCATCAAAGCTGGTAGCAGTCCGACTCGCAAGAGGATGGTTAAGACGACTGCAGAAAAGTGTTCTATCAAACTCATTCTCTTCGAAGCTTCTTCTGGATCGTTGCTGGAAGGTTTGTGATGATCATTCGCTTTGAGATTGGTGACACGGCCATACGTGGTCAGGCGTCTTCCTGCTAGAAAGGAGGAAGACCAAGACGGCGGTTTAATGCGAAGAATGTCGAAGAGAAGTTCAAGTACGATCGTCCTTACCGCCACAGCATCAATCAACAAAGAGGAAACCACAGAACGAGCTGGTAAAAAGTCATGCAAGGAGATTGTCATGATGCCAGACCAGCTCTTGAAAAGCGCTGCTACCACTTTCGCACTTGATTTCATGCGGTCTTCGTGAGCGCTCGAGGTTGGAGGTTCGGTAAAAGCTGCGAATGGGAGACTAAGCTCGAAACCGGAACGCAAGAGACCCCTGCGCGCAGGCAAATCCAACAGATGTAGAAAAACGGCGGCCAGTGTTTCTGGAGCCTGGTAAGCACCGTTGCCCATAGCATCAGAAAGTGTGCCAATACCGCCAGCGGCGATAACGAGCTCAGGACTACGTATGAGCAATTCTGCGAGGGTCATGACGGATATAGCGCGAAGGCGATCCTCTGGATGTTCGGCAATAGCAACGATGATTCGGACGACCGACGGAGCAATCTCGTGAACACCATCTTTGACATCGAGGAAGGCGCGAACAAGCTTCAAGGCTTGTTCTCTCTCCACCATGGCCTTTGCTTCCTTGACCAACGATAAGATGACAAGAAAGTCTGTATGATGCGCCCGGATGGTCTGTAGTGATTTGCGATCGGTTATAGCATGCCGTAAGACGCGGTAGCCTGCAGCAATTACTTCACGACTGTCGCTGAGGAGCATCATCTGCATACGAAGGCCAAATATGGACCATGCCAGATCATATTTCAAAGCAGGATGACGCTTGAACAGGCCCACTAATTCGTTTGCATGGCTCACGTAGTAATCGGGCTTCATGTCCTCAGTCTCGAGGGCCTGTAGAATCTCTGCAAGAATGTATGTCGGCGACTCTGATTCCGGATCCAGATCATCAGGCTCGGCATTTTGGAGCAAAGTAAGGTTAGAAGGAGATCTCTGTGGTATCGTGAANNGGGAGAGACGATTGGCCGGGCTCACGGTGGATTCCTTTACACGCTGTAGTTCGGCCTCAAGACCAAGTTTCAGTTGAGCGATCTTGCGATTTGATGTGTTGAGCTCCGACTCGACCAGACGGCGCTGGTCACGACTTTGTTTCGCATTCTTTGCATTGAGAGCCTCAAGCAGGTTCTCGCTACCAATCTTTATCTTGGTCTCTTTCTCGATCTTGTCGCGGTAGTCTGCAAGACGTTGTTCGGTGGTCACGGTGGAAGCAGATTGATCGGTGTCAAAGGTAGAGAAGTCGATGCGGCCATTGTCAACACGAGAGACGGTTGGTCGGAGTTCGGTAGAGAAGCTGCCAGGTGGAAGGGTCTTGGACACCAGACTCGTAGCCGAATGCGAGCGATGGTCCTTGAACTGTGGCGGCAGGAGGGATTGGTCTTGGGTGTGGCCGGTCACAGAATGCGCCGTCGGCCTGGTCATGGGCGGCATCTATCACGACCACGTCTGTCTAGTCATGGATAAGTGTCGAGAGCCGGCAGCGGCAGCTACGAGGTCCAGAGAGCGCATCGGCTCCGTCCCGATAACCAGATTCCTGTATGCGACGACGGCGATGCTATACGTATTCTATGCGATAGAGTCGTCACAGCTGTTGATGCAATGATGCCAAGCCTGTTTCACCATGTCTGTGTTTCGAGCCAGCCAGCCAGCGCTCCTCCCACTCTCCGCCCTCGCTGCGACCCCCGCGACGCGACTTCCTGTCTTTCGTGTGCTAAAGCATTTAACGTGTGGCTATCAGAATGCACAATACTACTAGGAAATAGAATAGCTGCCATTGAGAAGCAATAAACTATCAGCTCTCTGTGGACACAACTCTGTTTTGTAGACAATTGTGCATTTCTATAGCTACACGCGTTACATGCTTCAGCACATGGGGAGGTCGTGAACCCCTTCTCCGCCGCCCTCTGCCACACCATGCTCCCTCAACCTTCGAACAAGCCCAATTTTGTGGACATGTGCATTCATTCAAGCTGAAGTTCACATCTCCTGACATTCTCCACCTCTCACGATTGCGCCGCCGCTGTCGGATATCGTCGACTGTAGCCCGGACACTCCCACCTGTTCACGTCGGGCTTCGCCGACGGACTGGTCCTGTCAGGTACATCAAATCCCGTTACTCTTCGCGGGCGCACCCGCCCAGAACAAGTGATAAGCTCTATCGCCCATGTTTATATCTACCTGAGTGTTCCCATGATCTTGTGCCTGTCTTGAATCGTAGTCAATTGTCTATACCTATCCTTGCATTCCTCTCAAACAACTGTCTCCTCTGCTTCCCCGCATACCTCTCAATCTTTCCAATACAACATATTTCCAGACATGTCTCAATCACAACTTAGCTATGCTCGCTACGGCAAGGACAATGTGCGCCTACTGAAGGTCAGACGTGAGGAGAATGGTGTCCAGCACGTCACTGAGATGACTGTCTGCACTCTCCTTGAGGGTGACATTGAGGAGTCGTAAGTCGCACCAAAACATCAAGGTGTTTCGTGAATTCGTCTGACAAGTTGCAGCTACACCAAGGCAGACAACTCGCCTGTCGTCGCAACCGATACCCAAAAGCAGACCGTCTACGTTCTCGCCAAACAGAACCCCGTCGACCCTCCCGAGCTCTTTGCTGCCATCCTTGGTCAGCACTTCATCGACCAATACAGCCACATCCATGTCGCACATGTCAAGATCGTTGTCCACCGCTGGAGTCGCATGACCGTCGACGGCAGCGCTCACCCTCACTCTTTCCTCCGCGACGGCACTGACAAGCGCACTATCGAACTCGTCGCAAGACGCGGCCAAGGCATCACAATCAAGTCGGGCATTGACGGCTTACTGGTTCTTAAGAGCACCGGATCCGCCTTCCACGGCTTCCACAGAGACGAATACACCAGACTCCCCGAGACCTGGGACCGCATTCTCAGCACCGAAGTCCAGAACTCATGGCAATGGAAGCAATTCAAGAACGTCGAGCAAGTCCGTAAGGAGCAGGACAAGTTCAACAAGTGTTACGAGGCTGCCAGAGAAATCACCATCGACACTTTTGCAAAGGAGAACAGCGCTAGTGTGCAAGCTACCATGTACAACATGTGCAACCAGATTCTTGCTGTTGCTCCTGACACAACGGACATCGAGTACACTCTGCCCAACAAGCACTACTTTGAGATTGACCTCAGCTGGTTCAAGGGCTTGAAGAACAATGGCAAGGATGCTGAAGTCTATGCCCCTCAAAGCGACCCTAACGGCTTGATTCACTGCCGCGTGTCGAGAAAGGATCCCAAGGCCAAGCTATAGATCTACCGTCAATAAAATCCGGGGACAGTAGAGGAAGGAGCATTCACGAATGAAGGATAATAGATATTTGTGTGTTGGGCGTTAAAAGTGGGCTGGGAATACAGCGCGGTTATATTTACATGAGTTCTGATACAAGAAAGAAAATTCGAACAACCCAATCGATACCCCAAGTGGAAGGTTTTGCCTTGAACGCCGTGATGAAGAATGGATGCTAAATGATACAAGGTCTGAGATACGATCATTGCTGCTTCTGCTGGGCAAAGGCAACCTTGACCTCGGGTTGTTGTGTTATTGAAGGACGGGTGTAGTCCTTGATGATGTTTTGCTTGTAGGGGTGAGCGGTGCCCTCGAACACTGCAGATTTGTTGGTTAGAAAGGGTCCGTAACTTGGGTGTTTTGCGAGACAAAACTCACTCTTCAGCCTAGCCATACGATCATCCCTCAATCTGTTCTTTGGCAGCATACCCCTAACAGCTCTTCTCAAAACCTCAGCACCACCCCACTTCTCCATCATGCGGTCCATGGTGATTTCCTTCAAGCTACCGGGACGAGTGGTGTGGCTGTAGTACTTCTTCTGGTAACGCTTCTTTCCGGTGGTGTGCAAGTCGTGCAGGCCAACAGCAACGACGTAGTCTCCGCAGTCGGTTGAGGGGTCCCAGATAGGCTTGTGTTTGCCCATGAGAGTAATGGCGATTTGCGAGGCGATGCGACCAAGGGGACGGGGATCAGCACCGACGTCAATGAGGTGCCATGCGCGCGAGTAGGCAAGGTTTGTCTAGAATTTTCTCAGCCCCTTGCTCTTTTGGTGTTTCGCTTCTTCATGGTTGCGATGTGTACCTTTCCGACGTATTGCGACATTGTGGATTGATGAAGGCTCAATGGCCTGTGTGGTGTTTCGAGGAGGGCTCAGGCGCGCGTTAGCGTATTGGCGATGGTCTACGGACGAGAAGTGGAGAAATCCGGGATAGCGTGCGCTCGGGGGCAGAGGGAATATGGCGTGGTATAGCGGTAACTTTTGGATGCGCTCCGGTCAAGATTGTTAGTTCTCGATGGAGCAAAGATTGCCAAGACCGCAGGCCGCCGCCGCTTTGAAATCGTGATTACGGAAGTCGCAACCGGCTCGCTCTCTCGCCATTGCAGCAACACCATCCACCATGTTGTCTCTCTGCCTTCTCATAGATTTGTTTGACTTAATACGTATACCACCATGATTCCTCCGTTCGAAACAACCTTCGCTGTTCCTCTCAGCTGTGAATCGTGCATCAAAGACGTGTCAACGTCCTTGTACAAGCTTNNCCCGGTACATGGTCCCACTACCCCTCCATCCATGACAACTCTCTCTAACACCTGACAAGGCATTCAGAATGTTTCCGCCGACCTCCCAAACCAGCTCATCTCGGTGAACGGTACAGCCGCCCCTTCAGCCATCGTCGCCGCTATCCAGGACACTGGTCGCGATGCCATCCTCCGAGGCTCGGGCAAGTCTGAAAGTGCCGCCGTCTGCATCCTCGAAACACACTCATCTTCCGTCCAGGATCAAGTGCGTGGCCTCATTCGCATGGTTCAGGTCGCTTCAAACATGACCATCATTGATCTCTCCATTCGTGGTCTCTCTCCTGGTACATATCACGCGACCGTCCGTGAAACTGGCGACATCTCGCGCGGCGCTGAAAACACTGGTGCTATCTGGGATATGCTACGTGCCAAAGAAGAGGGTAAGCCTCAATCTGCTAGAGGTCTCTTCGGTACTGTTGAGGTAAACAAGAGTGGCATTGCTTCCGTCTTCCTGGACAAGCCCATCCAGATCTGGGAGATGATTGGTCGCAGCATAGTCGTTTCCAAACGACAAGACAGCAAATTCGACAAAGAGGACCCTGACACTCTTGTCGGTGTCATTGCCAGAAGCGCCGGCGTCTGGGACAATGACAAGACTGTCTGCTCGTGCTCGGGCAAGACTGTCTGGGAAGAGAGGACGGAGCAAGTCGGAAAGGGCATGCTCTAAGTCGTCGCAAAGAGAGAGACATATCGCGTAATTACGCGCTTGCATTGAGCATCTGAAAGATACATGGTCTTGTTTGTCTTGGAGTCACGATTCATGATAATGCCAACACAGCGTTTGCCCAACACCGGCAGGACACCTTCATCTAGGAAACACACCGACCTCTTCCGTAAGATCGATTTTCTCAATTGAGACACCTGTATTATCGAATCACAATGAGCGACACAAAGGTCTGGCAGACAATTGGATGCTCGCTTTAATTCGAGAGCCAGCCAAGCGTCTTGAGTTGAATGCAGCATCCTCGACTGAACTTTTTCACACGCTCCAATGCACTGGAAATTCCGCTTTAAGCGCCGTCCACCAACCGAGTCCTCCTGCATGATATGCAACCTCGCCAAGCGTCATCTCTGTTTCCGTGATTGGTCCCTCGACGCAGTCCAGCCAATGCGATCGCCCGCTCAAGCGCCCAAGTACCCCACGCTTGCCGAAGTAGCACACTGTTCTTAGTCCGCTCAAAGCTGCATGTTATATCTCCTGATTGTCCATGTAGGTCTGTGTCTCTCTTCAGTCGTCTGTTAAAGCACTGTGTGCAGATCATTTCTCCAGTCCATGACCAAAACAGCCCTTAGATCTACCTCTCGTGTTCTCCATATCATCACAACCATTGAGTATCGTACAATCAGCCATATGCGTGGGTCCTAGTATTGTGTTCAGTAGGAATTATCCTTGTGTCTCTCTTCCTTGGTCATGTCACTCAAACAAGTAAGTCATGTTACTTTGCTCGAAGAAGCCCCCACTGATAACTTATTAAGGAGATTGAGACATGGGTTCGAGCATTGGAGCATTACGATTATAACGAATACGATGCTGCTCTCAGAGCTTTCATGACGGTGGCAGATACGTCAAAGATACTCTTCAACTGCGCCGTGATTCATGCAACATTAGGAGAGCATACTCAAGCTGTAAGCAGCAGTACCGTACTGGACCTTTCTGATTGGTGCTCACGTATACCATAGGTTCAATGCTATCAGAGAGCAATTCACTTTGATCAGTATATGGCGATAGCCTATTTTCAACAAGGTGTTTCGAATTTTCTTTTAGGCGATTTCGAAGAGGCTCTTGCCAATTTCAACGACACATTGCTCTATCTCCGTGGTAATCGGTGGATCGACTATGATCAATTGGGTCTCAAATTCAAGCTTCATTCTTGCGAAGCCCTCTTCAACCGTGGCCTTTGCTACATCTATCTTCAGCAACGAAGTGCTGGTCTGCAAGACCTGTTTTATGCATCCAAGGAGAAGGCTGTACCAGATCACGATGTCATTGATGAAGCAATACGTGAACAAGCTGAGGTAAGCCTTTGATCCTGAGAGTATCAAATTTTCAGTGTGTCTAATGAGCACAGNGGCTACACCGTCTTTTCGATTCCAGTGGGCATACTGTACAGACCAAATGAGGCAAAAGTCAAGAACATCAAGTCGAAGAATTATCTCGGGACATCGACGCTTGTCCGCGCTCAAGATCGTTCTAACCACGTCTACCTGGATCATCGCCGTAACTTGACTGCCTCTAGCTTTGCTGTCGATGATCGCCCCGAGGAGAAGCTCTCATACGCAGCTATCAATCTCGTAAGACCAGGACTGGCAAGTCGTTCACGCCAGCAGTCAGAGCCGCCCATCCACAGGAATATGTTTCCGCCAACACCACCACCGGAAGCTGATCGCACGACATCGACGACAACGACAAACCCCAAGCGTAAATCTTCCGAGAGCGCAGCAAGTGTACCAACAGGATTGCATCAGAGCCGTCCGTCAATACCAAAACCCGCCAAGTTGGACCTAGGGCTTGCTGCCTTTGAGCACGCGTCCTCATCAACGACGAGTCTTGTGGTAGAAAAGCGACGTCTAGGAACNAAAAGATCTGCGTCGGAAAGGCCTAGAGCACGAGACGTACAACCTTCACGCTCGAGTCCACCGAGAGTGCGGGAACGTGAAAGACGCTCTGATTCTCACCACGTCAATGATGACTCGCATGTCTTGCGACCAGACGTATATACGCCAGATACAGTAGCCTCCGCCGTACAACAAGCACTCTCCGAGCCCGAGAAACTGCAACCAGTGTCCTTCCACCACCAGCGAACCAGATCAGGAGGACAATCCTTGCGCGAATATCCTCGTTCCATCGCCGAAGAAGATGAAAGTCCTGAAGAATCAAAAGCACGNATACCCGTCAAAGAAGATATCTCTTTACAAGCCCTCCAATCCACAATCACAAACGCACTTCCCTACGAAATCACTGCTGTTTCACAACCACCAACAATTCTTCCTCCCACACTTCGCAAGATCCGCGTCAAGGTGTTTGCAAGCGACACACGCTACGTCATGATCCAGCCAGACGTCTCCTACGACACATTCACAGAACAAATACGCAAGAAATTCGGCTACGCAGCCAAAGAAAGCTTCAAATTGAAAATGAAGNNGGATGAAGAAGGGGATATGGTTACCATGGGAGATGAAGATGATTTGGAAATGTTGGTTGCGACGATAAAGGAACAGGCAGACAAGGAAGGAGCAGAGATGGGTAAGATGGAGGTTTGGGTGCAGGAGCTGTAATTTCTTTTGGAGGAGGTGGTGGTGCTGGTGATACGCACAGCTGATGCATGTTCTGGATCTTTTGCTTCGTTAATGCCATGGCATGCCTTTTGAACCGCTTATTGGATGTTCTTGTCCGACTACTAGTATGATGCTTTAAAGCCAGATACCCCCTTTCTTTAGCAGATGTTATGCTGCCTCCCCGTGTGCAAAAGTATGTGCGTGGCTATAAAAATGCACAATACTACTAGACAATAGGACAGTGTCCACTGAGAAGCAATCTCTTAGCAGCTCTCTTTGGCCATATCTTCGTTCCTGAATAGAACTGTGCATTTTCATAACGTGTACTTTACTCACTGCTATAGTCGGAGCATAGTGGAATGTGACAGTATGTGGCACATGTGGAGGATGTAATATTTGCAAATCCTCGTTTCTTGCCAATCTTTTCCATGCTTGACATGGCTTTCTTTCCCAATCATCCAATTCTTTACACTTCTTTCTGCCTCCACTTAACATGACCATGCCCTCTCTACAACGATGAAAAGAATTCCCGAGTCCTTGAAGCTTGCTCAGACGATCCGCAACAGCATCCACCAACGCCGTTTCCCGCTGCAACAATTGCATGACTTGTGCAATCTTCTGCTTTCTGAAGTCGGCAGGTATGCGACTCACACTCGCGCTCAAATCTTGAGATTCTGTGTTTTCGTCGTCTTGTGTCGGGGTTGTTGGTGCGAGTGCTTNTTGCTGTTCAGCTGCTTCCTTCGCGCGGGCTACGAGTGCTCTTTGAAGCTCGCCGACTGCTTCTAAGCGCGATGTCAAATCGTCTCCTGCTGGGGTAGGCTCTTCGATGGCAGGTGTCGAGGGTTCTGCTTCGCCGAGACTGGTGGAGAGGGCAGTGACTTCTGCTGCCCAAGCTTCTTCCTTTATGCTCAGCTCTTTGCCACCTAATTCCTTTGCCATGCGGCGACGCATGGCTTCAACACGCTGAGCGAGTTCCTTGGATCGCTTGCGTGCCTTCTCCATACGTTCGTCAATCTTGTCTTTGCCGACTAGGCGAGGCTGATCAGCATCTTGGCCGTCGTCGTCGTCTCCTGTGACGGCTTCTGCACGCTTTGAGATCTCATCCACTTGGCGGATCTGTTCTGACAGCTCGGCGCGCATTCTTTCACAGCGACGGAAGAGGTCGGCAGCTGCGGCACCCAGTCGGCTTGTTTCGGTGGATAGCAGGCGGTGTGCATCAGTAAGTAGTTCCAATGTGGCGGGAGAGAAGCGGACTTGTGTCTTCAGATCTGCCTTTCTTAATTGTGTGTTTCTTTGCACGGCGGTGTCCAGGAAGCCAGGAAGTGCAGAGCCAGCGAAGAAAGCCTCAGCGGGTTGATATGGTTGACGAACATCAGGTGCGGGAAGAGCTAATGGTGCCTCATCGGGAGCGAACGAAGCATAGAGGGAGCGGTCGACGGGGAGGTCGAGGATCACGGCTTGAGGCTGAGAAGAGGTTGCGGTCAGGACGAAATGGCCCAGGTCAGAATCGACTATCGAGACGCAAGCAGGAGCATCTCCAGCGTCAGCAGTACGTTTGAGAATATGGTCGACAGTGGATTTTTCGACATCAAACAAGACATCGAGACGGAATGCAGCGCCAGAGTCACTAGGACTGATCAATTCATCCTCCAGAGGAGCGATCCAAGATTCTAGAGAAATGTTGAAAATGCCCGCGTTGGAGCTCAGGAAGAAGCCATAGCGGCTGGTAGTTGAAGTGAAGATAGGCCATGAGTTTGTGGTTTCAGGGGTAGTCAATGTTTCGACAAGAAGCAGTTCAGAGACAGCCTCGTCTTCGTCAAAGCGACGACGGAAAGCAGCACGTCTTGAGGGGAGCCACTGAGCCTCCACACCATCAAGATCCAGACAGATGTGGACCTTTCCAGAAGCAGTAGCCAAGCACACTATGCCGACAGAAAGGCCGTCGTGACCGAGGAAGTCATCTTGGTCCTCTTCCTGCATCAGGGCGTCGTCATCGAGACGGGGAGCAATGACAAAGATATCGGTAATATTGTTGTAGTCAGGTTCGGGGTTAAGATAGAAAGGACCTTGCAGCTTCGGAATAGCAGGTGGATTAGTGGGGCGGCTGTAGACTTCGAATTCGGCCAGGGTGTCGACATGAGAAACGACCAGAGGCTCCTGGTTGTCAATATCAGCGAGCCATCGCTGTTGTTGGTCGACAATGCGGCGTTCCTCAGGAGTAGGATCTGACTGAGAGTTGACCTCGGCCTTGGCTACGACAGCAGTCGACAGGGAAGGAATAGTGGTTGGGGTAGGTTCCCACTTGGAAGGNNGAAGCAGAGGGCAAAGGGCATAGACGTCTCCTTCGGTCATGGCAATCCAGAGGGTCATGGGAGACCAGCCGTGCTCGTCCGAGGTGGCCCTAGCACCAAAGCAAGCAGCGGCGACTTCCATCTCGACCGAATCCGGAGAGAAACCCTTGCTGGTGCCGTACTTGGAAGCAGAGAAGTCCTGGTCGGCAGATGTGGCATTTGCAAGCTTCTTCAAGTCGAGGGCGAGCTCTGGCTCATCAAAGGAAGCGCGTGAATCACGGTTGAGGTCCCATAGACGCACGCAAGCATCTTTTGTGACAGTGACCAGGCAGCTACCCATATGGCCTAGAGGGTGCCATAGCGCAGAGACGACGGGGGCTTGTTCAAGCACATGTGCTGTGGGGCCCAGTTGGAAAGTCTTTATGCGCAGAGGAGAGGCATCTTGGACGGAGAGATGTGACGGATCGGGCAAGACGGCGATGTGTACAGTGTGGTCGGTGAGGATGGCTAGGTAGTCGCCTTGGGGAGAGACGACAAGCTGCTTGATCTGGGCTGCGACGGGCGTCTTGAGGACTCTGTAGGATTGACGGTCGTTGTTGTCTTGGTCTTGGTCCTTTAGTGAGACCAGGTCGGCCCAGCGAATCTCATTGCCAACCAGGACAAAGATCTCAGTACCGCGGTGGGCAATGGTTCGTGTAGGGCCGCGTGAGTCTGGCTTGTTGGAGGAATTGCGCAAGGCGGCAGGAGCTTTTGTGTCGGCATTGCGCTGGAATAGATTGAAGCCCGGCGATGGGGCAGAAAGCCACGACGGAGTATGGCCAATCACTCTGGCCATTGTCGAGGTATATGGATAGTTAACAACAATCAAGTGTGAGAAGGGAAAGTGCAGCTCGTCGCGAACAAACACTTACTGCAAACACGCGCATACCATTTGAAGCTTGGACCAACGTCACTTTGATCGAGCCTTTCGCTCGCTCTGTTTACTTTGGTTCACCACGACTTTGTCGCAACCGACATCTCTCTCTCAACATTCCATTGCAGCCTTGATCTTGCCAACCATGGCTGCCAATATCATGTTGCGCACCACGTGCGACCGTCTGGATCGCCCAAGTTCATACACTGTCGCCAAGGTACCTACATCTTCATCTACCCACCACTCTTGATCCTTGCTGACTGTGTCACAGAAGCGCCGTAGATACCAACGTGCTCCCGACGACGACACTCCCCAAGAGAAGACCCCCGAACCCGAAGACAAGCTCAAGGATGCAACCACCCTCTACGTCGGAAACCTCTCCTTCTACACCACTGAGGAGCAGATCCACGAACTCTTCTCAAAGTGCGGCGAGATCAAGCGCTTGATCATGGGCCTTGATCGTTTCCAAAAGACTCCCTGTGGCTTCTGCTTCGTCGAGTACTACACCCACCAGGACGCTCTCGACTGTCTCAAGTACATTGGCGGCACAAAACTCGACGAGCGCATCATCCGTACCGATCTGGACGAGGGCTTCNNCAACGAGGGCAGACAGTACGGTCGTGGAAAGAGCGGTGGTCAGGTCAGAGATGAGTACCGTGAAGAGTTTGATCCTGGAAGAGGAGGTTACGGCAGAGCCATCAAGGAAGACTACGACGTCTACAACGACAACTACCGATAAGCCATCTCTTCGTTTAAGGCATTTCACGGAGTCCTGGCGTTCTTCTTCTCTGTTCTTTACCACTTCCAAAAGGCGCTGCCATTACTCTCCGAGGATCGAGGACGAGCAGCATGCATTTTCGTATATCATCTAGTTGTCAATACCCATTTGCCCTCCATCTCTGCTTACTGCAAAGTCTGTAGCACTTGCTTGACCCACCACACGTGAATTCGACAATCTCCTGTCAACTCTGGGTGGAAGCTGGTACCAAAAACGTTGCCCTGTCTGACAGCCACAATGTCGCCTTCTTCTCCCACCTCTCTTGCTGTTGTCTTATTGTCATTCAACGCCTTTGCACGACCCGGCAAGCGCGACATGATCTCAACCTTGCCAATCGACCTTCCACTTGCTGCTGCCTTTGAAGGCGCGACCACTGTGTCATCCAACTTTGCTTCCTCTTCTTGCTCGCCCGCTTGCGGCGCCAGAATCTTCTCAACAACAGGGGCTCTGATGAAGACACTGCGGAATGGTTTGTTGCTGGTGGCAAAAGCCTCTCCACCCGCGTCGACCAAGAAGGGCAGATCCAATGCTGCCTCGAAGCTCTCGACCTGACGACCAAAGTGATTGCGGTTGACACGCACATCCAAGCCTCCAATCAACTCTTGTCCCGTCTGCTTTGTGCGATTGGCAGACTCGGCGAGCAGAATGAGACCTGCACACGTGCCCCAGGTAGGCTTTCTCGACACCTTGACAAAGTCGCGTAAAGGTTCCAGCAGACCAGATCGTGCGGCGACGAGTGAGATTGTGGTGCTTTCACCACCGGGGAGCACTAGAGCGGCGCATGATTGTAGTTGTTCGACGGTGCGGACTTCGATGATACGCCACTTTCGTGGTGTCGCGTTGTCTTCGGCGTCAATGTAGTCGGCTGCTTGTTGCAGAAGTTGGATGTGCTCGCTGAAAGCACCTTGCAGCGCCAAAACTCCGATAGTGATTTCGCTCATGATTGCTGTGGTTAATTGCTTGAGAGTGACACTTGTGAGAAAGTTGACGATGACACATTTCTTATCGATAAGGGGTCGCCTTCACCGCCTTCATCGGCCCCACCATACCATCAACCAAACACCTGGGGGTTGGTCTGACAGTGTCAGATTGTCATTTTCGGATATAAGACTGCAACCAGGTCTGCTTCACAGAGAGCTGTGGACGTCAACTCGAACATGGCCGACTCAAATCTGCTAGGATTGACGTGCTGGCTGATTGACACTCGAACCCTATGGCCTGGCCAACATATCAAGGACGCTGTTAGTGCTCACGCACTCTAACGACACCCAATTTGTTTCCCTCTGACCCAACCANNGGCTTCTGATATCTTGCGCCTTCTATCTAAAGATGAGAGAGATGTTGTTCTCAGGAAGATTTTCATCGCCGATGCTCGCATGTCTCTTGCCTCTGCCCTGCTAAAACGACTCTACATCTCGAGAGCCCTGAGCATACCCTGGCAAGATGTGAAAATAGCTCGTAAAGGAGATCCTACGCATGGCAAACCTTGCGCGGTATCGCCAGATGGTTCNTTTGCCCATATCGACTTCAACGTTTCTCATCAGGCTGGTTTGGTTACTCTTGTGGGCTGGAATCCACCACCGGGTCAATCACAATCTGCTCTTGTGGGAACGGATATCGTCTGTGTCAATGAACGCGATGACTATCGCACTATTGATCAAGAGGGCTTTGATGCATGGATAGACATCTACGAAGACGTCTTCTCAGAGGCAGAACGCTGGGACATGAAATATAATGTCGACTACATTACCCTGTTAGACGGCAGGCACATCCCAGGCGACGACCTCGGCCGAGCCGATCGCTGCGTACGACGAAACAAAGACCTCAGCATCACCCTACCAACCGGCGAAATCCACACCTTCAGCAGCGATCTCCTAATCGATGCCAAACTACGACGCTTCTACAGCTTCTTCTGCTACAAAGAAGCCTACATCAAGCTAGCCGGCGAAGCCCTCCTCGCCCCCTGGCTCAAAGAACTCGAATTCCAAAACCTCAAAAGTCCAAAGCCAGGAACGGTAGCACGGTGTTCCACGCACGGGACCTGGGGAGAAAAACTCAGCAATGTCGAGGTTGTGTTGCACGGCACCAAAGTCGACGATGTCAAGATGACTTTACAGGCTTTTGAGGAGAATTTTATGTTGGCTACTGCTGTGCAAGGACTGCAGCATTTGGAAGCACCGCCATTCACAAAGTTGGATTTGGAGAATGATGTTCTTGGGTTTGCGAGGTAGGGTGTACAGCTATATTTCTGGCAGCACGAATAACCACATCACCGTCTTCCTGTATGCTCAACTTCTGTACTCAAAGCAATTTCCATCGTACCCGATTACAGCAAAGAACAAAAGTGTACGCTATGAAAAGGCACAACTGTTTTGTCAAGTAGAGTTTTTGTCCACAGAGAACCCCAACAAGTTGTTGCTTCTCAATGGACACTGTCCTGTTTCGTGTATTATTATGCATTGTTGTAGCGTGCACGCATTACATACTTTAGCACATGGGGAGATGGCGAACCAAGCTCCCTGTACTTCACGCAGCCATCACATCTCCCATAATACAGTTCCACTCTGGATCAAAACAACATCCTATCGGAAGAATCGCGAGCAAGTGGATCCTCTCGTACCGTGTATACTCCCATGTTTCGAGACATGAGGATCTCAAGAACAGTTCGAGCGCTGTTACAGGCTGACCAGCAGCTTGACCGGTTCTTGGTTTCTTTGTATCGATTGTACGTTGTCCGTAGTTGGATACTCGAGGCTTTTGAAAATTCTGGCCGACCTGGAACATAGAGCTTCATTCAGACTCGATAGAGGCATTGGTCGATTTACTCCAGGACTCTGGTGAGACGCTTCAAAAACAGGTAGCTGCTGTGTAAGAAGGTATCGTTTTGAGATAAGACTCACTTGTCATGTATTCTATCAGAGCTGGATCGGTGTCAGCTCCCGCCATTTTCAGAAGTACCGAGAGCTCCAAGTGAGCTATTGTCACTGTCCGTAGGAGTGACCAAAGACCTGTTTCTCATCAGAAGGTCGCACAGGCGCAAGTCAAAATGCTTCGACGCCTCGACCCGACTGTCCATATCTCGGTTCAGACGGATGATTGCAGATGCTCTGTTGGTCTTTCCAGTCTAGAAAACTTAGCTATTTGTGTATCACTCGGCCTGGTGTGATAAGCAAATGGTCAAGCCTCTGTGTATAACACACTTCTCAAACCAAGCAAGGCTTAGCTTGGCTACTTGTCTACAGTCACCATTGCGATGATAAGCTGATGGAACGACAAACGACAAAGAATGTACCAATTGGCCATGCATGCATCAAAAAAGAATAGAAAAGCAACGAGTAATACGAAGTGATAAGCTGATTGCTTTGAAGCGTCACTGGCGGTGCTTTTTGGCCTTTCCACCGGACGAAAGGAAGCAATCAAACCAAGGAAGCATTCCAGAACCGAAGAAAAGAGTCACAGGGACAGGTTGCGATCGGCTGATGAGAGGACCCTGAAAAGCAAGCCTCGGCCGCGTGCAGCGCGCGTGTATGCCATGACGTGCGCCGCATCCTGTCGCTTGTGTTTGTTGGCGGTATCTTTTATTTTTTTGAGGCATTCAGGACTCAGGAGGTGCTTTAAGCTCCGAGAGGGCTGTCGTGATACTTTGCAACAACACAGTCATGTCGATGTCAGGGTAGCTTTATCGCGCAGCAAAACGAAAACAGGAAGGAGTTAAAGAGGAGGCATCGCGTGCCCTTGCTCGTTGGTCCAACTTGGCTATCATCTTCCCTGACTCTCTTTGCATTCTTTCTCCTCAAAGGGCAATAAACCCGTTTTCAAACGAGTGACTGTGATTCATCTTCACATGCTCATTGCTCAACTCTAGATCTTAAACCTCTCCTCGACCCTCCTCTCCACAATCTGCCTCCTCATCTTTTGTCTCCCCACAACCGTGCTCGTACTCGCAAGCACCGTATTATCCGAGTCTGCCGTATACCTCGCTATCTTGATATTGCCGCGGATATATCACCTGTGTCTAATCTTCCTACGAACAATAATCACTGTTCTCCTTACCTAGTACCTACTCAACCATGGATGCACTCACCGCTGCCCAGCGCGTGCTCGAGACGCCAGAACTGCTCGAGATGATACTAGCCGAACTGCCTCCATGCCAATTGCTCGTCTCGCAGCGCGTCAACACCCTCTGGCACGATTTGATCACCAACTCACCCCAACTGCAACAACTGCTGTTCATGAGACCTTCTTGGCCTAAAGCCAAACCCTTTGACTCACATCAACCCTGCGAAGTCAATCGACCTAGCCCACGTCCTAGAAACAACATGATGCTTAGACGAGTGCTGGGTGGAAGATANCCAACCTTCACACCCAGAGTGACCAGCCAGAAAGATGAGGAAGAGTATGCGGATAGTGGTGTCGAGACTCCAGTCGCCAATGCAGATGATATCAGTAGCATTCCGCGATCTGTGAAGAGCCCATCGAGCTACTGGACATGGTAAGAACTGCCTATTCCTCTTGACGCCACTGGTAAAGTCCTCGATCTAACCAGAGAGCAGNNGGACGTCAACGTCATGTACCCCAGCGACAAGTTACCCTCAGACGACGCAGCCGTGCTATACGAGAAAGCAAGCTGGCGCCGCATGTACCTATGCCAACCGCCCTGTACGGAACTGTACCTTGCCCGTCGCTGGTGCCGAGCAGCTCGACCAGCAATCGCCTGTGAGAACGGCATTACCATGGAGACTTTTATCGAAAATGCCAACAAGGCCCGCGAGCTCTGGAACCAGCTTTTCATCTCCAGTGATGGTGACTGGCACTTTGAGGGCCCAATGCGGAGCAAGTGATCTGGCTGATTGTTGTTTTTGACGTGTTTGATGACTGTAAGATTATACCCGGGATGCTGGCGTTATGGTTTAGTTCATGGGTGGGTGTATGTATGATTGATAACCTGTTTCAATGGCACAGCATTGCCGTTTCCGTCCTCTATGATCTAAGACGGTAACAAAATGGGAAATGTCGTACCTGGGACCAGCAGCAATCCGCATATGGTTATCGGTGTCTTGCAGATGATGGTGATACAGTTGCTGCTGTGTGCCGCTTGTTGCAACAGATCATTGCACGAATCGGTAAGAGCCGTCTTGTAGATGGTGGAGCCGTGGACTGGCCCTAAATTCATAGCATACCGTACTTCCAAAACAGGTGGTATCATATGTAAGCTGAGTGGAGTGCCGTGAACAGGCAACAAAAACGCCGTATATCTTCAATCAAACCCATGTGCGCCTTTTATATGCAAATGCAAAATTTTGCCCCGACTCGTCTTTTGACTTGTCTGACCTCATGCTGACTTTCCTAGCCCTTTAGTTCGGTCATGATTCTTCCTCAGGGGCATCCTTGCCATCGGTCGTCTTGATATCGCCGAAAGCGCTCTTTCCAGCATAAAGCTGTCTGCTCGGGTTGTCTGCGCCAGCCTCAATCTCGACACTGGACGCAACTGGTTTGTTGCCACGGAATCTCTTGCGCATGTCGATCAAGCCACGCTTGCATTCTCCATATCCTTTCTTCAATTGCTGGCATCGTGTGGGCAGGGTATCGACGAGCGGTGGACGAAGGCAATCGGCGGCGCTGTGGCGTTGGACCATGATACAATCACTCTGTTGCAGGCATTCGGCGAGTGCCGCNNACCTAGACTGAATCAGCCTCTAGAACATAGCGAGATTGGTGGACCATGAAGGATGCATACGGATGTCTTTGCATGATGAGGGCATGTTTGCAGTGGTTGGAGTTGTTTGCGCCGGGACAGAAAGCGACAAGGAGGATCAAGATCTTAGCCTGAGAGTGATTGAAACGATTCGGATCGCGCTACTTCAGTTGTTTCTATGCGACTCGGAAAGGCTAGTCTGTTTTCCAGAGATACAAGAGAAGTTGTTGATTGATGGACAATATTTGGTTGACCAACTAGAGATCGGCTAATTATTCCTTGCTCACGTGTCTGTCGAGAAAGAAACCCCAGACTGCTGCAAACGCACAGACTGTCCCTTTCACATGCATCGTCCAATGACGTTGATGAAACGACGAGTTTCGTGCTGTCTCGAATCGGCTCTGTACCACAACCCACGACCCAACAGCTTTCTGCAGCCTGCTTCCTCTATTCCACACTAGACGCCAGCTCTCCCGTTTGACTTCCATCTCGCAAGTATCGTCTGGCACACTCCAACATGCCTAGCATTCCGTTCATCGGGAGGCTGCATCTTCAGGAGTACCTGGCCCTGCTTGGTTCTTTTATTTTGATTGGTCTGGAGATCATCATCAGAGGCATAACTCTAGCCCTGCCAGGCCCTATCATTCGTTTCTTCTACAACTGCTCGCGTAAAATATTCAACCAGCTATCAGGTGCTCAGGGCCGGAGGTCACGCAACCGAAAGAAGGCCATCTCATCTCCAATTGCTCAAGCTTCAGATTTTGTCGAGCTCTGTGAGCTTTTTGGTTACTATGCCGAAGAACATATCGTTCAAACCAAGGACGGCTATCTATTAGGACTTCACCGTCTTGGTTGGAAGCGTGGCGAAGAAGACCAGAGGGTCAACAGTGGAGAGGGCAGCATCCAGAAGAAGGTCGTCTATCTTCATCATGGCCTCATGATGAACAGCGAGGTTTGGGTTTGCTTGACTGAGAAGGAGCGCTGCCTACCCTTCGTTCTCGTCGACCAAGGATACGATGTCTGGCTAGGCAACAACCGTGGCAACAAGTACTCNAAAAAGAATGTTCACCACTCTCCTACGAGTGCCGCCTTCTGGAACTACTCCATCGATCAATTCGCCTTCCACGATATTCCAGACACTATCGACTACATACTCGCCACAACGAGTCAAAAATCGCTGTCCTATGTTGGCTTCTCCCAAGGAACTGCTCAGGCCTTTGCGACTCTTTCTATCCACCCTAACCTCAACGAGAAGGTCAACGTCTTCGTTGCACTTGCACCCGCAATGGCTCCTCCGGGCTTGGCTATGGGCATCGTTAGCAGCTTCATCAAGGCATCACCAGAGGTCTTGTTCCTGCTTTTCGGTCGCAAGGCTATCCTCAGTAGTACCACCATGTGGCAAGCATTGCTCTATCCTGGTATCTTCTCATGGGTCATTGACAAGTCTTTGCTGTACCTGTTCGGTTGGCACGCAAAGAACATCACCACATACCAGAAGCTGGCAGCTTATCCGCACTTGTTCTCCTTTAGTAGCACCAAGTCGGTCGTCCATTGGCTCCAGATCATTAGAAACGAGACTTTCCAAATGTTTGACGATGAGGTACAGGCTCCTCTTTCCATCGCATCTGGCGCAAAATACTACAAGGTTGCCAAGTATCCTACCCGCAACATCAAGACACCCATCGTCCTTGTCTATGGTGGAAGTGATAGCTTGGTGGATATCAAGATCATGCTCAAGGAACTACCTAGACACACCGTGGCCAAGGAGATTCCTCATTACGAGCATCTCGACTTCTTGTGGGCTGAAGACGTACACAAATTGGTAATCCCGCATGTGATCGACGCTCTGGAGTCCTATTCTACCGATGCAGGCCGCAGAAGCTTGATCTCACCATTCAGACCTGCTAGACCGCAGAGTCTATTGCCTGCATCGCTTCCCAGCTACTCCGAGGGAGAAAGCACATCTCTGGACTTTGCAGATACGGATGGCACAAGGGAAGCGAAGAAGAGATTGCGAGCCTTCCGAGTGAGCTCGCCACGTCGCTCATCGATCAAATCCAGGAGCCTTAGTGGCAAGGCTTCTCCAGAATCGGGTAATCCTATCTCTCCCGATGCGTCCGCCATCACTGAACGATCAACAAATTCACGTCCTGAAGGTTGGTGGAGCAGCGACGAAGTTGCAGGTACTACATCCGATCCAGCCACACCTGACACACATAACCAACTCGAAAACCAGCATCCTGAAACACAAGATGTGAGCACGCAACTCGAGAAGCAATCTACCCCAAGACGCATGAGTCGGCTTCCTATCGTCCAAAACACTGGTCTAGGTATATCCTCTCCCCACCAGCCGCACCTTCCGCTGTCACTGCTGTCNAAATCTACCACTGCCTCTCCATCGTCATCACACAAGTCGAAGCGCAGTGTAGATAGCTTGCGATCCTCGACTGGTGAAGCGAGTTTTGGTGAGCATGGCATCATGTTTGGTGCAGGGGGCAAAGGCCTTGTGGCGGAGGGAGTCGTGAGTAAAGAGCTTGGGGCTGCACAGACATTGAGAGCTTTGGATGCTGATGGAAGTGCTTCGGATTCAAGCAAGAAGCGAAAGGCCAAACAGCAGACCTCGCGTCGATATTAGGTATCTCGATGGGAATAAAAATCTGTTTTGAGTCTTCCAGCTGCAAAATTACCTTCTGAAGATGACCCTTGTGCTTCACGACGGATGGATTATTACCGTTCTTCCAAAGGCAGAGACACTCAATTTGTTCAACCTGGCTCACTTCCTTCACTTTGTCTTATGCCTGCTTCATATACTAGTCAAGTTGCCATGGTTTTCATCAAACCACTTTGGTCTGACGGTTATCACTGCCATCAATTTACTTACGCAGCTAACTCAATTAGGCAATCACTACATTCGAACTCACCAAATTCTCTACCACAACAACAACAACATCTTGAGTTCGAATCTGCTAACCAGCATCTTGTTTCGCAGTAAAATCATTGACCTCTTGGTATAGCGCCCCTGTGGGAAGGGGGTCTGGTCACTACCAAGAGGCTGGAGGAGAAGAGTGAGGCTGGAGAGGAGGATGAGGAGGATGGAACAGAACGTGAAAGTAAGTCAAACACCAATACCGTCAGACCTGTGGTTTCTTTATTGCTTGTGTGTTACAGTGTATCCTCAAAAGCTCAAACCCCAAGCGTCATCTAAGCGCTCGTTGTCTTCTGCCAGACCTCCTTGCACGATGATGCCCTCCTTGCCCTCGAGCATTACAACATCAGCAGCGAACCATCCTCTTGGTTGCGGCACCTTTGCGCCCTCGTCGGCGACAATCTTGCTCCACTTCTCGGTCTCAATGTCCCAGAGCCAAGCATCAGGTAACATGTTTCCAGCCCCAGCATGGCCCAAAGCACTTGGGTCACTCTCTCCGAATGCTATAATCAGGCATGGTCTTCCTCGAACGTTGATGGCCAGAAGAGTGCCTACGCTTCTGCAACCAGGACCTTCGTTGCCATCGGCCGAGAAGGTATGAGTGCTCCATTGGTCAGATGCAACATCGTAGATATCAATCTCACCGCCCAATTCATGTTTACCATCGAAACCGCCCATGCGATATAGTTTCCCATCTGAGAATGTGATCGAGGTGCCTCCTCTGGGGGCACCTGGTGCAGAGGCCAATTGCCTCCATTTCCTTTCTTCAACATTTAAAGCCCAGAGATCAGATAGGCGACCGGAAGCCGGACATCCTGCGTGTACATAGAGAGTTGTTTTGCCATCAGAGGTCATGCAATGGTAACTTCTAGGCTCTGGCACTGACTGCGAGTTGTCGGCAGGCGAGATCTCACTCCAACCAACACCATGAGCATCAGAGAAGCAGAATTGCCAGAGCTTGCCTTGCTCATCAATCGGTGCCATGTCTACACCACCGCGACCGGAGAAGTAGTAGATTTTGCCATCGACAACGGTGCTAGCCGTGCCCACACGTGCTATCGGCCAGCTAGCTACGTCCTCAGGTGAAGGATTGGGGCTGTTTTCGTATGCCTGTAGAGAGGTTTTNNTCGTCCGCTGGAGGCACTGGAAACCAGGCGCGAGATTGAGAATGTGCACATTGTTGTCGCGAGGTTGGCGGGGATGAAGCTCGCCGCCGAAGATCAGNNAGGCGCGGCTGCCGAGCGTGGAAAGCGTTTGAGAGGAGCGTTGAAGTGAGTCAGCTTGTCGGTATAGAGTCCAGGTGCCTTGAATAGTCGCCATGATTGTAACTCGTGCGATAGTATTTTCTGGGAAGCTGAGAAGAGGGGATTGAGCTCAAGTCTAACGGAAACTCATGCGGTCTCCGTCGAGGATGTCACTGCCTTCTCGTTATTGGCCCCGACGTTGGGGCTTGCCTCGAAGCACCTTGATGGCCAAGGCGGCTTGCTCGAGGAAAGAGCTCTAACCTCTTTGACCTTGACAAGAAAACGCGAGCTTCAACACAAATTGAAGTCAGTGATTGTGTTTTCCAAGGAGACATTAGCTTCTATACGTTGGACTTCATATTGGAAGCTAAGACTAATGCATGTGTTGTGACAGGGTGGTAGTGTTAGCAAGCTCTTCCCCTCATGTCGTCATCACCATCCTCCTCCAGACCACTCAAACAACCAGGCCACATTAATGTCTTTGTTACATTACCATCACCAAAGCTATCATGACATCTGCACCCACCTCACCCACAATTATCTGGCCAGAGAAGTTCCTTCCTGGCACGACAGACAATTTTGTCAGCAATGAGTCAATCGTGAAAGGACTCTCCGCAGCAGACATCTGGAAGTACCTCGCCGACATCACCAAATGGGAGTCATACTATTGGAACTGCTCAAAAATCACACCTCCAGAATCCGGACCATTCTTGGAGAAAGGCGACAAATTCAGCTTCTCGACCTTTGGATTTCCGCCTTTGCCTTCCGAGGTCTACGAATCAGTCAAGCCTTCGAAGACAGAGGTCGGTCGTCTTGCTTGGAGAGCTATCTCTGATGGAGACGGCGATGAGGACAAGGCTGTGGATGTTTACCACGCTTGGGTCATCGAGGACCTTGATCACGGTCGTGTCAGGATATTCACGCAGGAGTCGCAGATTGGCAAGCCGGCTGCAGAGTTGTCAACCAAGAAGCCCAATCCTATGCTGAATGGGCATCAGGACTGGCTAGATGGCCTCGTCAAGGCTGCAAGAGAAGGGAAGTAAGACTGAAGACGTGTTTACCATTGTGGTGCAGGCAGCGTTGGGCAGCACTTTTGGCTTTGCGGCTCTTGTGTGCGGCTCTTACAAGTATTGTATATGCGGCTGTTTTATCCTTTTCGCGTGCCGAACATTGTAACACTATAATCTTTGAAATACGCAGTGTTTTGCAGTATAGAGTATAATCCACAGATATTCTTGCATTCCGGTCGTAAGGTTATGACAGTCTCTGGCATAGGTATTGGATATCGGAAAACGTAAAGTTGATCAACAGAGGCGATAATCACCAAGTCCCGTTTTTCCGACCAAATTGACCAGCGTCATTCGTCTCGTGATGCTTGCTTGTTTTGCTCTTGACAGCATTTTGCTAAGCAGCGATGATCTCAAGCTGTGCTTGAAAAACAATGACCGAGGACTTTCGGCAACTCAAGACAGCGATTTTCTGGCAGAGATGTTGTTCGGTAACATCGTGGAAAGTGCAAGGAATGCCGCCAACACACCAATGTTCCTCTTTGCTTACGATGATCGGTCGTGCTTTGAGCGACAATTTACCAGCTCGATGCATGTCGACCAGGTGTTAATAGGCTGAATGTCATGTTAGGATAATGTCTCCGACTTGCCCCATATCTTCTCGTCCTTTGCATGGTGTGATATCTCGAGACCCATCTATAATTCTGGGGTTCTTGTAGCTGCGACTGGAGTTCTCTCTGGAGCTCCGCACAAGAGAACACCTTGTTGTCACCTTGTTCGAGCAGAAGATCACATGGCTCCGCGGGTTTCTGGAGACCCAGGGTCGGGGTTCGATGAAGAAGTGCAGAGGGAGAATCCCCGTATCAGGGCCCATAATTCTCTTCAAAGGATGTGAGTGGGCCTGTAGTCGGCATCAGCTCGGTGAAAAGACGTCAGTGGTTTTGGAATTTGGAGCGACATCCGGGGTGTTGAGACCAACGTCGATTCTCATAAGCGCAAGTCGCAAAGGCAATACGCGTCGCAAATTCCTGTTGGTGGGCTCTGAAAACACTGCAAAGAATCTTTTGCTTACCATGTAGGTGAGGCTCAGGGATTGAGGTCTCCGGATGTCTGCTCCGAGTCCAATCTTCCTTCCGATCTCAGAGTCGATGCCTCGATCGTTGCACCCGAAATCCTTCCCTCGAAGCGACGGTTGACCATTTTTAACCTATCGATTCAGGGCACTATCCGGAAGGGTGATCTTCGCGGCTCTATTGCTTGCTACCTTACTGAACACAGTAGAAACTAAGCCCATTAGAACAACATTTCACAGAGTTTGATATCATTGCCCAGACCTGTCCCCGAAGGCCCTGTAGAAAGTGACATCACTTCCATCTGCCAGAGGGCGCAAACCACGAACACCCACCGCATAGACCCTTCGGAGCGGTCTTCTCCTCATCGTTGACATCCCAACCTACAGAGTGGATCTTTTCTCCAACAATTTTTTTCGCCGCACGTCATGGCTGTGGAACCCGGGGCTTGTTTGTCCAATGTTGAGGACCCGTACATAAACATAGCAACTAGCCATGTATCCTATTCTTTTGTAGTATTCGCGCCATCTGGCAAGCTTTAATCATGACGGACGTACGGCCAGAGCAAAAGCACAACCCGAGTCACGACCTTAGTGGAAACAATTCAGAAAAGGACGATGAAACAACACGCAGCCCCAGCCCCGTTGGCGAACAGAACGAGAAGGCTCCTGTCGATGCTCAAGGAAGAAGAGAACTGAGAGAGACCGATTGCCCCGAGATTTTGGCATACGCCTGGCCAACATGGAAGAAGTGGATGTACCTGGCTGGTGTCGCAGGAATCCAGATCTCCATGAACTACAACACTTCGGTCTTCCCTAGTGCCATCACACCTTTGTCAGAGGCTTTCCACATTGGTTCGCAAGAAGCAAGAACTGGTCAGATGATCTACCTGGTCTTGTACTCCTTTGGATGCGAGCTGTGGGCGCCCTGGTCTGAGGAGTTCGGTCGTTGGCCTATCCTCCAGCTTTCCATGTTCCTCATCAACATCTGGCAGATACCTTGCGCTTTAGCCCCTAACTGGGGTACAATTCTCGTTTGCCGTGCTTTGGTAAGTGTACTCCTCCTTCCCATGTGCTGAAGCATATACCCAAGTGGCTGTAGAAAGGCACAGAAGTTTGCAGAAGTAGGTTATTGTCCATGGAGATATGACATCCAATCGCCTCCCCTTGGGTACATCTCTGATCTGAGACCAACTGTGCCTTTCTATAGTTGGAATGTTGCCCTTTACCATCGCAGGAGAAGGGCATACTATGGACTTCAGCACATGAGCAAGGTCACAGCCTTTACCGGTGCATACGCTAACTTAGATGCAGGGTGGTCTCTCTACTGCTGGCGGTAGTGTCACTCTTGGTCTCATTGCCGACTTGTATCAGCCCGAGGAGCAACAGTACCCTCTGGCCTTCATCGTTTTGTCTTCTTGTATCGGCACCAGTATCGGAGGAGTTATTGGCGGGCCCATTCAGCGCTTCCTTGCATGGCAATGGTTCTTCTGGATTATGCTCATCTTTGGTGGCGTTGTCCAAGCCATCCACTTCTTCATGCCCGAGAGTCGTTCAACTATCCTCCTCGACAGAGAAGCTAAACGCCGTCGTAAGACTGGCGAGGATCCCAATATCTATGGACCTAATGAGCTCAAGAAACCGCGTATCTCGCTTAAGGAAGCTGGCAAGGTCTGGATTCGTCCCTTCGAGATGTTCATCCGCGAACCCATCGTACTTTGCTTGTCTCTTCTTTCTGGTTTCTCTGACGCTCTTATCTTTACGTTCCTGGAGTCGTTCCCTGTACGATAAGCCATTGTTGTTCTACATCTAACTCCTGAAATCATGCTAACAAAACTTTAGGAGGTATACACCAAGTGGGGCTTCGGTATTCTCGCCCAAGCTTGGGCTTTCATCCCCATCAATCTCGCATATTTCCTTGCCTATATTATGTACCTTCCATGCTTCATGCGCGACAACCAGATCCGTAGAAGAAAGGGAGACGACTGCTTCATGCCGGAACGCCGTCTCAAGGTGCTGCTTTGGCTTGCTCCTCTGGAACCCATTGGTCTGATCGGTTTCGCCTGGTGTTCGCTGGGCCCTGCCTACAATGTTCACTGGATCGCACCTATGATCTTCTCCACTCTGGTTGGTATCGCCAACTACGCCATCTACTTCTCCTCGGTCGACTACATGATTGCCGCATACGGTGTTTACTCTGCCTCAGCGTGTGGTGGTAACGCCTTTGCTCGCGACTTCCTTGCTGGAATCTCGGCTATGTACGCCACTCCTCTCTACAAGAATATTGGAGGACACCCTCAAGCCTACGCTAGCACGATCCTTGCTGGTGCATCCGTCCTTGTAGTCATCCCTATCTACATCTTCTACTGGAAAGGACCTGTCATCCGCGACAGATCTAAGTTCGCAAAGACCCTGGCAGAGGACCGCAAGAAGGAGGGAGTCAGACGTCTCAGTTACGCCGACAACCTGCCTGCTTAAAGCAATATAGACAGTTTGTCTCAGTTGGATGTTTTTTTTTACATTAGAATAGATACCCTGTGGAATGTAGTTAACGATGAATGTAATATTATAGTCAATCCCCGATCCTCCTAATGTGCTAGAGACCTATCATATGGTAGCTAGATAATACATGATAGTTTTGACAAACAAAGTAGTATCTGCTGAGAGCCGTGGTTTTGCTCGGCTTTCTTGGGACCCGTTTCGATTTCTTATATTGTTGTGTATTTCCTCAGCTCTCAAGATTGGTGCAATTTGCAGAATGTCCTGTGTGACATTGTGAGCAACCTCGTTACGGACAAGCGGTTTGAAGCAATTTGTGGTCGTCTATCCTGTCATCAGGTGAAGCACCTCTTCTGATCTGTCAATATCAGATGTCTGAGATGTGTTTCTCATGATGTTCGTCATATTCAAACATGTCTCGGTAGCTATCGTTGCGTACTGCTACCAGAACAATGGAGATTCGTCTCGCGGCTCCATCCGGTTTTTGACCGAAGCCCTTGTACTACAGTAACATGCGCTGGCCGGCGACTTCCCACGGGGCCGGTGTGACCATGCACGTGGACTATCCGACGGCCTACCAGGTGAATCAAATATACTGAATATCATAAGATTTGTTTGGTGGGACGACATAAACCCAACTTGCAGTAAGGATTGCCTTTGGGCGCACAGTCTGGTGATGCTTTCTGACCGATATTATATATGCATATAACCATCATCTGCTCAGAGCAGGATGACCATACCACGGCATATGCGCGGGGTATTGATCGTCTTTGCATGGCCCTGCTGCAAATTTCTGCGCCATAACAAGCAATTATGATGAGCAGATGCAACAGTGTCATCCATAAAGGCGTGGCTTGCAGATTTGTTGCTGTGTTCAGCTGTGTTGACCTTGTTGCAAAGCGCCACTGCACGTCTGGTCGAAGGCCAAGATAGATGCCGTGCCATCAAAGGCGCATGACCCTTTTCTGCTTCCCTTCTACGGAAGACGAAGGAACGGGTTAGAGGAAGAGGGGCAAAGTTCATCCAATACGAGCAATCACCGGCTTCCACCCAACGAAGAACGAGTAAAAGGTTATGGAGCGTGGCTTGAACATTGATCCCACCTCGGTTGTCTAACGCTGCCATATCATCAGCTAGTAGAACACGTGCTGAGGGTTCGCAGTTGCGCGATTGCGCTACCACTCAGCAGATTTTGGAATCTTTGAAACATAAAATCCACGTGTTTGTTCTAGAGGTTGGAGATGTCTCGCGCAATGGTTGGAGCCGTTCTAGAGCAGGCTTTAACAGCCCCAAGCACGGATTAAGCATAACTCTACAGCCAAAAATAGGAGCTGATCCGCGGATCATTAGCTAGAAACGGGCAATCACGATCAAGACCCCGCAGGCACGCGATTCCTTTTTTTGGTGAATACGGGATGGTACCCCCCTTTGTACATGCTGCATATCCATTCTCTTTACACCACAGATGTCATGCTGCTGAAAGATCCTCTCTGCCACACCTTCTAGCCTTAGCATTTCATTTGGCGCAACGCGGAAAGTCAAGTGCTAGAGGCTCATATACTTTTCGCCTATGGCTGAAGGCACGAGGAATGCGGAGCTTAGCGATGGTGACGAAGCGAAGAAGATGACCTCGGTGGTGGTAGAGGAAATTCAAAAAGTCGACGAGTCCGCAACGCTGCAACCGCCCGTATCACCAGGTCTTTTGCAACGTTTGTGTTTTCCGAAGGGACGTCGTGGAAAAATTATCTTTTGGTTATACGCTGCTGCATTCGCTATCATGTTGTTGATACTTATTCTTTTGGCGACCATCCTGGGGCTGAGGGCTCATGCGAAGCCGACATCTCATGCATCATCAACACATACACATGCACCAACAACGTCGGCTTATGCATCACCTACTTCTTCTCAGACAGGGGTGACCTGCACGATTAAGCCAGCAGCCCATGGCAAGGATTCTGCAGCAAATATTCAAGAAGCCTTCAAGAGTTGTGGACAGGCCAAAGACGGACTTCGCAACCGCATCGTGTTTCAGAACACCACTTACACCATTGCAAGCGTATTGGAAACCACCGGCTTGAAGAATGTCGACATCGAGTTGCATGGCACACTCTCTTGGGACAACTCGAACATCAGTTATTGGCTGAACAACTCGTTACCCGTTGGATATCAGAACCAAAGCACTGCTTGGAGACTCGGCGGAGACAGTATCACATTTCAAGGATATAGCTCTGGTACCTTTAATGGTAATGGAGATGTCTGGTATCGATTCATCAACGGAAGGTCAAATTACCCTAGACGGCCGCACCAATTGACCATCACCGAGACCACAAACTCGACCTTTGAAGGGTTGATCTTCCTTCAGAGCCAGATGTGGACGATGACAGTGATCCACTCAGCGGATGTTCTCTTGCAGGACATATATGTCAATAACACTTCGAAGACTGGCGTGAGTTGTACAACTTCGACATGCAGTNNAACGTGAAGCTGACATAGTGATTAGGCACCAACTGTCAACACTGATGGATGCGACACTATTTACGCCAACAACATCACCTTCCGCAGGTGGATTATAGACAATGGCGACGACGCAATCTCGCCAAAAGCAAACTCGACCAACATCCTAATTGAAGACAGCGAGTTTTACAGAGGATCTGGCGTCGCCCTTGGAAGCATCGGTCAGATGAATGGTCAATTCGAAACGATTGAAAACGTGACTTGTCGCAATATCACATCTCATAACACCAAGAATGGTGCCTACATCAAGACGTCAGTAGCTTGTGCTCATCTCGCTCAACATCTGCTAACAACACCACAGNNATGGACTGGAGTGAACAAGGGTCTCCCACCAAATGGAGGAGGTGGTGGCATAGGCTATGCGCAGAATCTCACCTTCGAGAATTTCAAGCTGATCAATGTCCAAAAGGCATTTACGAGTGAGTACCTGTTTGCGATTTCAATGATATGACTAAGACTGAACCCTTCCAAAGTCACCCAGTGTACCAACTTCGAAGGCAATCAGGGCGATTGTGATACATCAAAGTTCAACATTCGCGATGTGTTCTTGAAAGACTTCTCGGGCACAGTCCGTGGAGACGTTGTGTCGACGATGCAGTGCAGTGCAGCAGCACCTTGCCGCAACATCCAGCTGTCCAGTGTAGTCCTGGAGAACAGCTCGAACAACACAACGCCGAGACAGTATCAATGCGATAGTGTCAAGCAGACAGTAGGGTTCAATTGCACAGGCGCCCCGGACGGCGAAGATAATGCATTCAAGAGGTGAAGTCGCTTGNNATATTGGACAGTGCTTTGGAAAGATGGAGTACGGAAATCTCTGCAGATCGCGCAAGGGAAACCATTCTTCTAGAAGGATGAAAAGTTGGACGAAGAGATACGAATTTGGATGGAATGAGCGAAGACATGACTCGGAAAACGGTACGAGCCCTGAACGACAGTCGGCGATTCTTGTTACAATACCTTGATGCAAAGCTGGGCAGAGCCAAGAAAGATTTTCTATGGTATGGGCGCGGAAGATTCGGAATCGGAAGTAAGGCATGCAAAACGATCATGTGAGCGAGCGACAGGCAACAGCAATGCATAAACCTTTCAGGATACGAATGGTGCTTTATAATCGATTCGCAAGTGGACAAATCATTCTACAGCACGAAAGAAAGTGCTTATACATATGCAGGGTTTGGATGGTGGAACCTGTCAGTCGCCGTGTGAGGAATGCTTTCCCCACCAGTCAAGAATAGCCAGCGCCAGTCAGGCCAGCACATGAAAAGAAGCCTGAATGCGATATGTCAGCAGCCGCAGCCAGGACCATCGGGCATGAAGAAAAATTCTTCAACACTATCGCCGAGATGCACGTCTGACTGGTATGGTAGACGCATGTTTGCGCGAAGGAAGACCGAATTGTCACAACGTTGAAAACGCCGATTGGCAAGAACATATGTTGCGCGTGAACATCTCGCCAAGGCGCCATGTGGTTCACTCAAGCTCTAGTCGCTGTATATGGATGGCTCGGAATCGGAATGCTGACTCACCGATTGATGGAAAACATGGAAGCATTGCAAAGAAGTCGCAAGGATGGTTGATGATAGAATCTTGGGATCACATGGATGGTGAGATTCTCTTCTTTGGACTGGATGTTCAAGATCTGAGCGAATATTTGGAGCTGGGATACAGACGCGACATCCTCGCATCATCATCCATTTAACACTGAAGTTACTGTTAGGAAGACGCGGTTTCTGTAGAAGCTGGGTAGGTGAAAGTCTTAACGCCGGAAGGCAGCGGAACTAAGGGATCGACCGGCAAGGGTACCGTTTGTTTAGGTAGCGTCATACCGAACAAAAGTCATATACAGATTTCCGTCATGGCATACACACCACCACGATTACAGAGCCATGACCCATCCGTCGGTATGGCTCGGAATCGGCAGCAAGGAAGACCCTTTGCACTCGCTCAAAGACATCTCATGATTCGGCGTTTTCGGTGCTTGCGGTGTCGGTGCTATAAAGCAAATGGGGCTCACCGCGCCGTCATAAACTCGATCTTTCCTTCCTGATCTTTCTAATCGCAAACCTCTCACCGGTCCCGTATAAGTACTCTTGCATCGCTTCGCCTTATCTTCCGGCCGTCTCATCATCTGGATACTGTGTCTCAGTTTTGTGCAACTACCCGCGCAGCATCTTCTAACCAGCCTCCTAAATTTATCTTGCTTCTCACATTTCTTGGTGTGCGCGCCCAACTCATTCCTCAGCAACACACTTACACATCGACTTTTGCCACAACTGGCCCACTTCATGCCGCTTGATCGCACATCTTCAGTCAGCTCGGCGCTGCTTCTGCTCGCTGCACTCCCTTCGGTTCTGGCTCACGGTGATGAGCATGAGCATTCCGGATTGGTGATGAATATGGGGAGTACACATGTCAACATGACAGCTGCCGCGACAGTTGCAGCAACTTCGGCCGCTCCGAACAACTACTTCCGCTATTCCGCATTCGCGGCGTGGATGTATGCGCATATTGCTCTGATGACAATCGCTTGGGCAATCGTTCTTCCTATCGGTAAGCATCTGATCCTTTCTTGAATGCTCAAGTTTATCGTAATGCGCATGTGACTATACGCAACACTTCTGAACAATGAGAGATGTCCCTGAAGAAGTTGCAAGGAGATCGCTTTTTCAGGAGACTTGGGACTGACCGGAACACANGCTGTCGTATTTAGCGTAGCTCGCTCACGCTTCACGATCCCGGTGCAAGTCGCATTCTTAGCAGTCAACGGACTCGGCCTTTTCACCAGCATCATTTACGATGCAAAGACACCAGACCTCTACCCAAACAATGCACACCACAAGATGGGATGGGCTGTGACTTGGATCGCGGTAGTGTGGTTCACTATGACCTTTGTGAACATCTATATGGCCAGAAGGGAGAAGGCCAAGGAGAGACATGCAATGACGGCTGACAATATCGCACAATACGATCGCCTTCAGGACCATAGGTGGTCAAGAGATTCCGGTCACGACTCAGCGACGCTCTGCTCTGGTTCTCGTTCACCTAGCTCAGACTCTGTACCGACGCATAAGCTAGCAAGTCCAGAAGATTTTGATGAAGAGGAGGGATCCGAAGAGCAAGGATTCATCCAGAACAACGCGGTTGATCGCTTCCTCTCACGCAAGGTTCCTCGCATTTCGACTGGTGGAGCACTCATGGCCTTCAAGGTTGTCTTCACTTTGATCGAACGCTGCATGCCAATCCTTGCGTTTGTGAGTTTGTTGAGCGGTTGTGTCGTATTCGGTGGACTCTACGTAAGTAGTGATGATGATGAACATGTAAGACCATACTAATACGAAGGACAGCGTCAACGTCTCATCTTCTCTGGAATGGCGCATGCAGTCAAGGGCGGCATCTTCTTCTGGTACGGCATCCTGACTCTTGGAAGATGGATGGGTGCATTCTCGGACTTTGGTTGGGCGTGGAACGTCAAGCCTGAGTACCCCATGGTATCTCGCTTCGCGGCCGGACTTCCCTCAGCCGAGTTTGTCGAATCCTTTGTCATCTTCTTGTACGGCGCAAGCAATGTCTTCCTCGAGCATCTCAATGCTTGGGGCAAGGCATGGAGCGCCCAGGATCTTGAACACATCAGTATCACCATCATGTTCTTTGGTGGCGGTTTGATGGGTATGCTGATCGAGAGCAATAAGGTTAGGAACCTCTTCAACACCTCAGTCTCGACCTGGCAGGAAGAGGCTACACTCTTTGGTGATGCTGTCGAGAAACAACGTCAAGAGTGGGAAGTACCAAAGACATACAAGACGAGTCTCAACCCAATGCCCGGCCTTGTCATCATGCTTTTGGGACTGTCAATGTCAGGACATCACCAACACAGCATGGTATCGACAATGCTGCATCAACAATGGGGCACTCTATTCATGGGCTTTGCAATGGCTAGAGCAGCGACCTATGTTTTGCTTTACCTAGCACCACCGAAGTCATTCTTCCCTAGCCGCCCTCCGACCGAGCTAGTGGCCAGCTTCTGCCTGATCAGTGGTGGCATGATTTTTATGGGCAGCTCAACAGATGCCGTGAGCACGATTGAGGGCAACGGCCTGGATGCCATGTTCCTCTTCACCGTTGCTTTGGGTCTGACCGCTCTAGTGATGTCCTGGACCTCTGTTTGCTTCGCTCTCAAAGGATGGGCTGTGAGAAAAGAAAAGACTGTGTAAAGACGCAGGAACTTATACTTATCTGGACTGGACCCATGACCTCGTTCTGTCTAAGCCAGACAACACCTCAACTCACTACACGACGGCTCTGCTCCGAGCCCGAACGACAACATGACATGCGGGTGTGTGGCGCCGGCTAGATGTCGACACTATCTTTGGTCGCAGCGCGATCGACATGCGAATTGATTTTTTCTGCTCGTTATACCCCTCTGGATTCTCAAGCGGCATTATAGGCGAAGGCCGTTGATTATGCCGTCCAGGAGATAGACTTTTGGCGCAGCTTCTGTCGTTTATAGCAAACTTAATGTCTACTATTACCTTCTGATCCTTTTCTCCACTGATTGTGTAATGTGAAGCTGAATGGGGCTGAGTCGATAATCTCATACTTGGCCAGGTCAAATGTAGCATGGGTTGAGGTTGTAGCAGATTACGATCATCTGATGATGCCTCTACCTCTTCCCCTTCCAATGGCTGAGCCCCTGGTGGAAGCTGCTGCGCCACCAGCTCTTGTGCCACGAGCAGCTGGTATACCCCTTCCTCTAGATATGGAGCTGGCGCCGCGAGTGGTTCTAGACGAGGTAGTAGAGGGAGGAGCCATGGTGGATCTGTTCGTACGGGTTGTCCTGGGAGTAGGAGGGTTCTCAACGAAGCTGGTATCGGTGGTACTGCAAAGTGNNTCTGATCAGCAACACGACTACAAGGCGACAGTGCCAAGGGCCAAGGCAACTCNNACAGGAAAGTAGCGTCTACATCCCTCTCACGATGGTGGACCTCAGCAGACATGGCACTGTCCTGTTGGGCCTGGTTCTTCGCTGCCTCAGCAGCACGCTTGAAACTTTCAATTCCAGGGGCTTCGGNGAAGTCGACGCAGAAAGCACTCATGTTCATGCCGTAGAGGAAAGCGCCGAAGCATTCGTTGAAGCGGTTCAGACTCTCGTGCAGCAGTTGCAGGTGCATCATGTTGGCTTCCAGATCGGCCATGCCGTCTGCGAGTTCACCGAATGCGGGTTCCAGGGCTTCAAGAGGAACGGCTTGGTCGGAGAATTGGGTTGCGCTTGTGGGAGTGGTGATTGAGGCTCGGAGACTGGTACGGGAGTGTGGTCGCAGAGGAGTAGTTGGTCGTGAGGGGAGGTTGTTACGGGTGCGTGAGGCGGAACGAGCGCGCGATGGCGGTGCTGAGGTGGGCGTTGTCGAGGCCATTATGGTGGATTGTGCCTAAGGTGTGAGTTGAGTGTTTGTCTGTCGAGAGATGAATTGTTTTGATTGCAGCATGATGCCAAGAGAGCGGAAGCGTGCCCCGCCGTCAAGCACGAGGCAGATGCTGGAGCTAAGTTATTATTATCTTGATGAAAATTGATCGCGTGTTGTACTATCTTGTCGCATACACTGTTCTGTATACATGATGCATGCTTGAATTCAGATTAGGCTCGGATGATGAAGCATGACAACAGATAGTGCTTGAAATCGAAGAAAGTCAAAAGACAGAACATGACATATGCGACGTCATGCAGCATTCGACGCGGAGCATCTTGAGCGCCCGGGGCCTAGGGAGTTTCAATCTCGGCATGTCTGCTGAGCCTCTCTGGTCCTAATTCCACCTCCAACAGATGCGTCCCTTTCGCATCCTCAATCTCATCCGCCCCTCGTCTGCTCCCTTCTCACCTTCGTGTCGCCTGTCACGTCAAGCCACCTGTGCTTACCGCTCCTCACCCTCCCGCCGCAACTACTTCCCCAAGCGCCCGGCTTTCCACAAGAAGGAAAGTGTCTTGGATCCTGTCACGCTTCTGCTTGCCATCTCTACAGGCTTCGCGACCGCCTATATCGTAGATACATATCATCAATCGTCAAAGCCTGACAAGCCTTCGCTCCCCGACACATCCGTCCCTTCTATCCCTTTGGAAACAGAATCGGAAGCAGACATGGCGCCTACCACTCTACCGGGACGCCCGGGTAACCTCACTCCGGATCAAGAGGAAAAGCTGCGCGAGCTTTGGATGCAGACTCTTGATGTCTTTGGCGTTGTGAGCGGTGCTCGTCCGAGTGTCGATGCTGGTTCCGCCGCTTCCACCCCTGCTCCTGCCGACCAGAAGAAGAAGTCAAAGCTGTCCATGTTCTCTCGCAAGAACAAGGACGCCGACCACTCTGCAGAGAACACCGACGATGAGAACGATAAGCACGGTCAGGCCAAGGAGTTCCGTCAAGCCCTCCAGAACCAGAGTCCCGAGTCGCTGCGCACTGCCTTCTGGGGTATGGTCAAGCACGACGACCCCGATGCTTTGCTTTTGAGATTCTTGCGTGCTCGCAAGTGGGATGTCCAGGCTGCCCTCGTCATGATGATCTCGACTCTTCATTGGCGCTCGCAGGAGATGCACGTCGACGACGACATTGTCTACAAGGGCGAAGGAGGCGCTTTGATCGACGCCAAATCCGCTTCAGATGCGACCACAAAGAAGGATGCTGAGGACTTCCTAACTCAATTGCGCATGGGCAAGAGTTTCTTGCACGGTGTTGATGCCGAGGGAAGACCGGTTTGCGTTGTCAGAGCTAGACTGCACCGCGCTGGCGAGCAAACGGAGAAGAGTCTTGAGAGATTTACCGTCTATACTATCGACACTGCTCGCATGATGCTCAGACCTCCAATTGATACTGCCGTAAGTTTACTTTTATACTAACAAAATTTCGACCGCTGACCCTAGCTCCAANNGACCATTGTTTTCGACATGACGGGTTTCTCAATGTCAAACATGGATTACACTCCTGTCAAATTCATGATCAAGTGTTTCGAAGCCAATTACCCTGAATCGCTTGGTAGTGTCCTCGTGTATAAGGCTCCTTGGGTCTTCCAAGGCATTTGGAAGATCATTCGTGGTTGGCTCGATCCCGTTGTTGCTTCCAAGATCAACTTCTGTTCGAACGTCGAAGAGCTCTCCGCTTTCATTCCTAAGAGTCAAATCTCGAAAGAGCTTGGTGGCGACGAGGACTGGGAGTATCATTACGTCGAGCCCAGGGAGGGTGAAAACGACAAGATGAAGGACACAGCATCAAGAGACAGAATTGAAGCCGAACGCAAGGAGCTGGTACAAAAATACCAGACCGAGACCGTGAACTGGGCTAAGGGTGAGAACAAGGGAGAGCAAAGGTCGGCGCTGAGGCAGGAGCTGTTGCAAAACTACTGGCAACTCGATCCTTATGTCCGTGCAAGGACATTGTATGACCGCATCGGTGTCATCGGTCATGGCGGCAAGATGGATTTCTATCCAACTGCTGTCTCGACTAGCAGTGCCGACCTTGACTAGATTTATTTCGTCCTGAAGCCAATGACAGGATGACTCTCTGCCTTCTTCAGCATATTCACATTTGAAGCTTGTCATAAGATAATTGTATTAGTACGCGGTCCACCAAGGACCGCAATATTCAATGAGGTTTCCAGCATTACTACCGGCACGGGTCTCCGAAGTTCGCAATCTCCCAGCCGTTCACTTGGCCATTCTAAGGTCTTATGGTATGCACAGTTGTGTTCTGAGCATGAGTCTGGCCACAGAAATGACGTTCGAAAGAGATCTCTTTTGACAAGACATCCCTTGTAAAGTATTGTGTATTTCTTCGGCTACACTATGACAGTCTTTGGCACACGGGGAGGTTGACCGGCTCAAATGTCGAAGCCCCAAGTCGTCTTACAGAAAAGGAAGTCGGAAAGAGCGATCTTGTGAAAACTGCCAGGCTGATGTTGCATCGGAGCAAGCTTGACCGAGAAAGCGAGTGGCAGTCACTGAAGACGACCCCACTTTCTCTCCACTGCCTCCGTCCTAGATCCTCACATCGTCATCATATGATGCTTGAATCACTCTCCATCCATGCCAATCTCTACCAAACTAACTTTCTTGGATATGCAATGGAGTCAAGGGTCGCTTTCTCGGCATACAGATACAGCATGATGGGGACATATAAGTATTGCATGGCCTTTCACGCCAATCGTTCCTTCATTATCAAGGATCCGACTTCATCATGAAATTTACATGTACGGCGTTGCTTACCTTTGCCGGGCTGGCATCAGCAGTGTCCAAGTACGACGAGTATATCCTGGCTCCTAAATCTCGAACCCTTCACCCCGTTGCAGTCTACCAGGACAAGGTCAATGGAACAGTCATTGGAGCTTCTAGTCTTGCAAGCGACTCAACAGGCTCAGCCATTTTCAAAGGCATCTCAGCTGTCACATACGATTTTGGCGTCAATATTGGTGGTCTTGTCAGCTTGACCATCGGTAACAAGACAGACACGAACCAGTCTATCGCCATTACCTACTCCGAAAGCTCCCAATGGATCTCTGGCATTGCTTGTGATGCTACTCAAGACTCGGGCATGGATGAAGCATTGTGGTTCTATCCTTCGGGTCCTGGTGTCGTGTCCGTGGATCGACAGCATGAAAGAGGTGGCTTCAGATATCTGAGTCTGATCCATAACACTACAGGTGACATAGAGATCACGCAGGTGACGGTCGAATTTACGCCTTCACCGACTACCGAAGACTTGAGGAATTACACTGGTTTCTTCCACTCTGATGGTAAGACATAACAGTATTGTGATTGTGTTCAGGAACAATTCACTGACTGTGCTTCANNAGATGAGTTATTGAACCGCATTTGGTATGCAGGGGCGTATACCATTCAGGTACGTATCGCAACTCGATGGTATAGAACACCTCGCTGACAAGAANNACAGATGGTCGCGATCGATCCAGCATACGGGGACGCGCTTATCCACTCGGATCAGATCAACTCTAGTGTGCCTGGTGATACAGTGGCGCCCTGGTCATGGTATGCCAATACCACTATAGCCAACTCGAGTGTTGTTCTTGTTGATGGCGCAAAACGTGATCGTCTGATTTGGCCTGGAGATATGCATGTTATCACCCCATCTCTCTTCGTCTCGACCAGCGAGGATGCAGCCATCACGAACTCCATCGACAACTTGTTCTCTCTACAGAATGCGTCTGGCAAACTTCCTTATGCTGGATACCCATTCAAGCAAGACACATATTCCGCAACCTATCACCTGTACAACCTCATTGGCGTTTCTGACTACTACAAGTTCACAGACGACCTCGAGTACGTCCAAAACAAGTGGAATGCCTGGAAACTTGGGCTCAACTTCTCGCTCGGCTTTATCGACGAAACTGGTCTGATGAATGTCACAAGTCCTGATGACTGGCTTCGCTTCGGACAGGGAGGTCACAATATTGAGGCAAACGCAATTCTATACTTCACCATCAATGAGGGTCTAACCTTGGCTGCCGCCCTCAACGACAGCAGCGTGAAGTCGTCCTGGGAAGCTTATGCATCCGGTATCAAAGAAGCAGCAAACAATCTGCTCTGGAACGCAACAGCAGGCCTCTACCACGACAACGAAACAACCACACTTATGCCACAGGATGGAAACAGCTTTGCAGTGCTTGCCAACCTCACCAACAATGCCACCCAAGCCTCCGCCATCAGCAATGCTCTGCGCGCACGCTGGGGCCCTTATGGTGCACCTGCTGTGGAGGCAGACTTTGCAGTATCTCCTTTCATAGGGGCATTCGAGCTCGAGGCCCATTTTCGCGCCAACAATGTCACTGCTGCTCTTGAACTCATGCGTTTGAGGTGGGGTTTCATGCTCGACGACCCGCGCATGACCAACAGCACATTCATTGAGGGTTATGCCTTTGATGGAGCGACTAAATACGCGCCATACACCAACGATCCTCGTATCTCACATGCACACGGCTGGTCCACAGGCCCCACAGCGTTCCTGTCCCAATACATCGCTGGCATCCAACTTGTCACCGCCGGCGGAAGAACCTGGAAGATGACACCCAGACTGGGCGATCTGAGTACTGCTCACGCAGGCTTCTCAACTTCAGTAGGCACATTTGAGGTGTACACCAACGTCACTTCCAGCGGCAGCATATCTATGGACTTTTCAGCTCCAGTGGGCACTAGAGGTGGTGTGGCCGTGCCTTATCCCTCGTGCGCTGGAATCATGAGATTGCACGAGGTGCAAGGCAGATGCAANGATGTGGTTTTCGACATCCAAGCTGCGGCGAACCAGACTGGAGATATCGAGGTCGAAGGATTGGTGGGAGGTGATTGGCAACTTAGATTCAACTGCGGTGCCGACTCTTTGAGCCAAGCTTAAACTGATAGAACTTTGATATACAAGCCGTACATTTGTCCGTGACCACTACATACTGTACATTCCTTCTTGACGCTATCACGATAGCTGATCTGTGTACACATGGCAAAAACACATTGTCGCTTCACGTGTGCTAAAGACTCTGTTAAAATGCACAATACCATCCGAATCTAGATCTACGACCACGGAAACACCTTGAAGAACGGTCCCCCAGTGGGTTAGCTATCCACTTGTAGAAGAGTATTGTGCAGTCGTCACAGCTTGAAGTATCACCATGCCTCATCCCGAGAAGGGCAGTCCGAAACAACGTGAAACGGTCTTTTGTACACCGTGAGACTATGTAGCTGAGCATGATTCAAGAGACCCTTTCTTTCTGTCTCTTTTACATATTGAGCAAACTTGCAAAACGGGAATATTGAAATATGGAATCGAAAAGAGAAAATGACTTTTCCGCATAGAGACAGAAGTATGTACTCGAAAAATAGTGAAGAAACAAACAAAGAGACGCAGAGGTCAAAAAAAAAAAAGCAAGACACAAATGCCGCCGCTTTTTGGGCAGCAAACAGATGCGAAGTCAAGCAGAGAACCAACAAAGACATTAGCCGCCGCTGGAGAAGAACAAGATTCGAAGATTTGATGTTTTGCGCCGTGTAGAATTTAAAACCCAACATCCGAAAAGAGCCTGGAAGACAACAGGTCTCGCCTCATACGCCTTGCCCCTGATAAAACGTGAAGAAAGTAGAAACCAAGAAAGGAGGCGTATACATGCCCAACGCCGGGCTAGAAGAATAAACAACATCATGGTTCGCATAGCAAACAAAGATTGTAGATGTGTACAAAAGAAGAGTTTCCTCTTAGCGGTTCATGTCCCAGGCAGGCTTGAGTGCTGCGTTAAGATCGCTTGGCGTGCCAACCATGTCGCCGGGCAGACGGCTGACGCGGTAAGCACCGGCACGAATGGCATTCTGCTGAACATTGGAAATGCCACTGCGATTGCTGCGGATACTTCCAGCGTCACTTGCGGTACCTTCGTTGCGGAAACGAGGTGNGGGTGCGAAATCCAGACCAGTGAAAGTTGCAGACTTGCGGAGAGCGTGTCTGGAACAAGACTGGTTAGCAAGAGAAGAAACGTGTAAATGATCAGGATGGACTTACGCGCTGGGGATTACTGCAAGATCATCGAAGCTCGTTGCAAGGGGCGTGAAGGCACGGACTGAAGGACTGTAAGGTCTCGATGGGCTGTCTGGTCTGCGGCCGGCTTGACGATCGCGGTATGAGACAGGAGGAGCAAAGAGCGTGGGCGTGAAAGTCATGTCGTCAGTCAGGGCAGAAGGAGTGGGCAGGTTTTGCAGAGCGATAGGTGGTGGCAGCTGCTTCTTCGGTTGTTGAGGAGGTCGGCGGAAAGCAGGGTTGGCGATATGACCAGTTGAACCGAAAGACGTATTGCTGCGGACACGGCCACCACCCACGCNGGGAGGAGGAGTCATAGCACGGCGACCAATAGGCTGGGCGAATGGAGCCTGAGGAGCCTCATGCATGTAGGCAGAGTAATCGGCATATATGTCGGCTTCGTACTCGTTCTGGTACTGTCCTTGGGGATTGGGCTTGCTTTCGTCAAAGTATTCCTTGTAGAAAGAACGGATACGGTTGGCGCGCTGTTCAGGGTTGTCATCAGGATGGTCCGGAGGAAGAGGACGAAGACCCATGACTGATACACGGCGTGCATCAGGAGCGCCAGCGTGCAGAACGTCTTGAGCATGGTTATCTCCAGGATAACGAGCAGCAGCAGCATCCTGTTGGTGAGCCGGGGGAGCAGGAGGGGTGACATGAGCAGGCGGTGCGGGAGCGCGTGTGTGTTCTGGCGGTGAAGGCGGAGTGACGTGGAAAACGTCGGGGTCGGGCATGGTGAGCTTTGGTGGAGCAGGCTTGCTACGAGGAGCAGCAGATGCAGCAAAAGAACTGTTCACATGGGCGGGCGGCGGAGGAGCAGGGGCAGCAGCCGGATATCCTGGCGAGTGGATGCTTTCAGGAGACTGATCCATGAAGGGGTCAGAGCGGGACATGCGTTGGGCGTTGGACAGAAGTCCGGCAGAAAGGTTCTCAGAGCGTTCACTGTAGTCAGTGTAGACGGAAGCATTGCCAGGCTTGGGGCGCGAAGAGGTGCGGTCGGGGATTGAGTTGGAGTGGGTGCTAGCCATGGTCACAGGACGGTACGGGTCTTCGCCGTCGGTGAGGGAGCGAGACATTGAGCGGAGCGATGAGGATGAGCTGTTGACAGCAGCAGGCAGTAGGTAGGGCGTGTTCATGTCAAGCGAGAGTCCCTTGTTGTGCATGATGTTCTTGGTCGACGCCTCCATGTCGGTGATGGTCATCTCGGGCACCTTGTGGCCTCTGCCCGGAGCCGAGACATTGTCCAAACCGAAGTCGAGCGACTTGTACTTGTCATCGCGGTCTTCTTGAGCGTGCTTTCGCTTGACACGTCTGTGTAGGAGGAAAAGAACGAGAGCGGCAATAACCACGGGCACGCTGTNAGTGGACCGGTCAGAAAGGCACACGAACAGCACCGAGAATGCTTGGACTTACGCTACGGCGACACCAATGATGATACTGGTTGTGTTGCCAGCAGTTGTGGGCTTCTGACATGTTCCTGTGTTGTCTCCAGGCTTGCAGGTCGATGTCGCTGAGGACTCGGCTGAGCGCTGCACCAGCGTTGGTCCATGGTTCACTGTGGCATCTGCGAAAGACAGGATGTTTGGCGTGTGCTGATGAGGCACGTGCCATCTGTGGTGCGAATTGAGAGTGACTGGCATAGTGCTATTGTTGTTGTTTGCCGGCGTGTGTCGGCGATTGTGTATCCAGGGAGTTCGGGCGGTTATTGGCAGTAGTACATCCAGACGATATTATGGGTGATTAAAGATAGACGGGAATTATAGATCGGGCGCGGCAATGAATGACTTGGCGAGTGTATTTACAAAGAGTGACTGGGGTGAATGGTATGGTATGCGGATCAAAAGAGCGTCAGAGGATGGAAGCACAGCAGAGAAGCAAGAGCGAACAAACACAGGAACATCAAAGAGTCGAGTGGAGTCGAGAAACGACGAAGGAATGGAGGCAGCTTGGCGAGACCACAACCGTCTCCTCGATCCGCCCTGCCACTAAGGGGTCACGGCCGTCAGCAATCTTACCCGACCCACACTCTCAACTGTCTCCCTTCTAATGATCTTCCACGCGCTGTCTCATATTGGTGACCTCGCAAATCAAGCTCTCTGCTCTATCGTTCTTGCATGGTCTGGCTGAAGAGCCATAACAACCGACGTCTCTCGTGCAGTACCGCTATCTCGTCCTGATTGCGACTTTTCACCCCCTCAGGAGCAACCTTCAAAAACTCTACAACCCCTTCTGTCGTCTCACGACGAAACTCTAACCCATGTCGCAGATGCAGGTACGCGCATCTGTACTCCCAATCCGGGAAGGTGAATTGCCTGTTCCTGAGGAACTAGTCAGTGCTTCCGCTTCCAAGCTTTCGCTTATCCACAACTCACCCACTCGCCGTGTTGTTTTGTTGTTACTCAAGAAGACGGTTTGATGTCACTCCGCTGCCGAACGCCGGTTCCACACTCTTTCTACCTATCTCATTACCAAGGAGATTGAGGCCTTAACGAGACTGGCCAGTGGAACGTGCCGCCTGTCTTCTCACACTCTGTATATGTGACTGTTGTGTGCGTGCCACATTGCGCACGGCAGGCCATCATTTGGAAACAGAGCCGAGCTTCCTTCCGCCTGTGTGTCTCCATATGCGGCCAAGGCATTGATCCTAATCTCACTACTCGCTCACCCGCTTTCACTGCCCTATGTATCTGACGCTTGTGAAAATATGATGAAACACCCGGCTCTGTTCTGTTCACCTTGAAGTCACCCGTCTGTTGGGGCTTTGAAGTGGTCGAGTCGCTTCCTTTCTCATCACGACGTGGTGTGTGCAGAGTCTAGAGAAATCAATCGTCGACACAGCCACCTCGTTGTAATCTCAACTCTCTTCCGAGCAAGGTGCAAAGGTTTGTCCACCAGTCAGGGAAAACGGTGTCGCTCAGAAGTCGGAGATCTTCTTTGGAGCGGTGTATTGTGATACAGGATTTGCTGCTTCTAGAGACGATCAAGAATAACTCTAACATCGTTCTGACTGCATCAGGAACGATACCTCGGGCCTGAGGTTTCGGTTTTTGTAACTACGTCAACGAGAAGATATTATCCATGTCCATGACGCTAGCCAGCAGCCTCTTGTTTGTTGTTAGAATAGGACGCCCAACAACAAGCGAGTCATTCTTGTGTGGACTCTTGCTGTACAAAGTCTAAAGATGCCGGTAGCCCCGGAACTCATTTGAATCAAGCAACTTTCACACCCGCGGCTGACAGATGGTTGGAGTGGATCTATCACGGCTAGTTGCTGCTTGATGGTACACAACCGTTAAATTGATGCTTGTGTTCGTGCTCATACAAGGTAAACACCACTGCAGCCTTATCTCTACAACTTCAACCGCAACCAAATCTGGGAGCGACCCTGACCTGGCTCAAAGATAGCCATGCCACTGTATTTCCGAAGCTCCGGACATCAGATTGAATTGTCAATCACCTTGGTAGACAGCTTGTCTGGTGTTGTCATCGTCTCAAAACAGCCGAATTCTCCTTATAGTCATAAAATCGTATATTACACGTTAACTCGATATCGTTATTATAGGTACATTGTTTATTCCAATCCGAACGCTTTGCCTTATGCACATCCATAACGCCGTGGCCATGTTCGAGATTCCCGTATTGACAGACCCTTCCACCATTCTATGTCAAATTTTCGAACTTTTGGTGCCTTCAAGCACTACTTGCGGCCAAAGACTCCGCGCTTTGATCCCTTCTCGGAAATCCCAGGTGTCTCTGTGTTCCATGCCTTCTTGCTTCCAGTCTTCTTTCCCTTCTTGACGTCTCTTCTGCTGGCACAGCAGCAGCAAAGACTGGTCTGGATCAACCAGGCAAGGATCGAAGTGCCTGCTGCAATCCACATGAAGACAAACATCTTGATACCAAGGCTTGCACCAATATTAAGCTCCCCGACCGACGTGAATGCGTTCTGCATGATGATGAACATCACAGTTGCGATGACGGTGGCAACGGTGATGAATAGGGCGGCCAAGAAGGTGAAGATGCCGGTAAACAGGGTGAGCCAGCGAGAGAAGACGGCAAGAGGGTTCAAAAGCATCATGACGAAGGACAAGCAGGCGCCTGTAAGGAAGAGGCCAAACATCCAGTGTGAAACAGTTTCAATCAGGCCGAGGATATCGGTAAGATCGGTAGGTAGTGCAANCTAGAGAATGTGTTAGCCCTTCCTGAACAGCAATTGTATATCAAGTGTAGACCTACTGGTTGCACCAGCGAGCAGCTGGTTGAGGATGATTTGCACAGGGTTGAACCAATATAGAGTCTCAGGTTTGGAACAGTCGGTAATGCCTTGGCCATTGTAACCTTCGCAAAAGCCCCACAGGCCAACGCGGTAGAAATCGTGCAGACCGATAGTCTGGGCAATAGAGTTGATGATAGCAGCGTCAGGAACAGACTCCGGGAAGATGTTGGTTAGGTTGATGCTGATAAAGTAAATACTGCTTTTGATGCTTCCAGTGCCAGTGCATCCGACCTCGACGAGGATCATGAAGATGACAGTCAGNNGGAGGAGAAGGAAGGACGAGATCAAAGCCCAGATCATACGAGTACGTGTTGCTCTCTTGATCTGGGCTTTGGTAGGGCCATCGATACCAGGAGTCAAAGTACGATCCGTCTCCTCCGATGGAACCCTGTCCTCAGGAGAAACGTCACGCTTCTTGCGGCCAAACATGGTGGAGAGCGACGTGTGGGGAGGCGAGAAGTGTTTGAGCGAACGGAAATCGACAGCGGCCTAATATGAATACAAAGAATGGGAAATTTCTGGACGATGGAATAGAAAGACCGAGAGGAAAACAACGTCTCAAAGCACAGCAGCAGGCGTACGATGACGAAAGGGCTCAAAAACGGCCCAGGTTTCGTCGGTGTGCTTGGGGAGAGATGTCCGCGTCGTCTTTCTTGGATCTGGGCTAACAAGAAGATGTTAGCGCGAGTCCAAGCTTACGACATTTGCGATGGCTGCATCAGCTTCTCTGCTCTGCCTGTTTCCACGCGTGTTCATACGCTTGTCTTTGCGTAAGGTTAGGTGAAAATGCACGGGCAAACCCTGGAAATTACATCATGTTTAGAGCTCGGAACCTTGCGGGAATCTTCTAACGAGGACCGCGGACAGCCACATGTGGTCCTCAGTCATGCCAAACCTAACGTCGGTTTGGTTGAGCAGCGAGAATGTGCTGCCCAAGTTGGTCGTAAGCTGGGAGAATGATGATGCAAGCCTTTGAATTAATTGTGAAGATCGCTTGATATGTACATGGTTTGCACGGAGCAGCTTTACAGATCTCCAGGGTGATCTGTTGATATTTTTCTCCTTTTCTTCTTCGCACGGGCTGGCGTCTGTTTATCGCGGATCAAACTGCGGCCCCAACAGCCAGTAAACTTACGCGGCACTCCCGGATAGCCTCATTACCATATTGTACCAGGTACACAGCCCATTTTTTCTCCAGCTCTCCGAGTTTCCAACCACTGCTCTCCACAGACGTCACTCACCTATTCGAGCACACGCCATCATCAACGGTCATCTTTCTCCCTGCAGGAGCTAGTCGGAGTTGATCTGTTGAGCTTCATCTTCTCCGTCTTCGCCCTTGACATTCGCTGTCGCCTGGCAGCATTTTACTCTATCCTTATCGACTCCTCGACGCCAACATGTTGCCTCGCAGTCTCTGGCTCGCCGCCTTATTGGCCTTGGGCACCAACGCACAATCTTCTGAAACTTCTGCTGCAACCTCGGACGCATCTTCAGCCTCGAGATCTGGCACTCAGACCGGCAGTGGCTCCAGCAGCCCTTCTGTAGTCACTTTGACTGGCAGCGAGACTTCGTCGGCAGTCTTCACTGGAGGTAAATTCTCGTACGCGTCCATTGGCTCTCAGCAGATTACCGCATCGACACTGTACGCCGACAAGACCTCGACGTCCTCTACATCTCGAACTGGATCGTCGACCGGCACCGAGACCGCCACAACCCCTTCAGCTTCCAAGGGCTCGACAAGTATTGCAACTCTGCTGGTTGGTGGAGGAGGCATCGTGACTCAAAGCATCATCAACGGAACCGTCACTTTGAGCTCGCACCTGAACTCGACCCGCACTTCATCTGCCGCCGGTACTGGTACCAGCAGCAGTGCCAAACCTACGAACACCACTCCCTGCAACAACTACCCCGAGTTCTGCGACCGCCAGTATGGAAACATCACTGAGGTTTGCGCCCACAACTCCGCTTTCGACAAGCCGGGTAATCTCGCCTCCAACCAAGACCGCACCATCACCGTCCAGCTCAACGATGGTATCCGCATGATCCAAGGCGAAACACACTATGTGAATGGCTCCATNCTGAGTTGTCACACGTCTTGCGACTTGCTCAACGCTGGACCTTACCTCGACGAACTCAATACAGTTGGCGACTGGGTTCGTGATCACCCATATGATGTCGTGACCATCCTCATTGTCAACAGCGATTTCATCGAGCCTGGAAACTACAGTGAGGTTCTCCAGCAGTCCAACCTTAAGGACTACCTTTACGAGCCACCATACATTCCCATGCGTCTCGACCAGTGGCCTACTCTGTCCGAGTTGATTCTGTCTCAGAAGCGCGTCATCGTCTTCATGGACTACAACGCAGACCAGGTCAAATATCCCTACATTCTTGACGAGTTCACTCACATGTGGGAAACTCCTTTCTCTCCTACTGATCGTGCCTTCCCTTGCGATACTCAACGCCCTCCCAACCTTGACCAAAACGTTGCCAGAACTCAATTGATGTACCTTGCCAACCACAACCTCAACACTGATGTTTCACTCTTCGGCCAAAACATTTTGATCCCGAACTCGGCTGAATTGAACGTCACTAACGCAGCTACCATCGAATATGGTTCTCTTGGACTCGCCAACCAAAACTGTACTGGTAAGTGTTGTCAAATCATGGGTTTTGTGTCTTGCATTTGCTAACATGATTGCNNAGCTATGTGGAACCGTCCTCCTACTTGGTTGCTGGTCGACTATTACGATGTCGGAAAAGGCTCTGTTTTCGAGGTCGCTGCAAAGGCCAATGGTGTCACCTACGACAGACCCTGCTGTGGTGCTACTTCCACCTCGGCGGCTGCCAACGTCAAGGGATCTGCTGTGGCATTGCTTGTCGCTCTTGTTGCAGCCATTGCCATTAGCATGTAAAGTTACCAGTCCATATTCTTTGTTTTGTGCATAGTAGACGGTGTTGTGAGGGATCAAAAGGGCGTTTGGCATTGTCGGCGATACAGGACTAGACATGAGCGATGAGTATTAATGAAACTCCAATATCAACATATCATAAACACGACCGTTACGAACTGCTCTGCATGCGTCTGCACTGCATGAGGCGCTCCAGGCGTCTGCAGGGACACACGGCATTCGTATGCAGTCATATTAATAGGATGTATCCATTGCCTGGGAGATGATACTCATTTCGGCCACATATTAGCATATAGTCAACAGGAGCTCGCAAGAACGAAGTTGATATAAGAGTAGGATAGGGAGTCGAAGGTCGAACACGGTAACGGGCAGAGTATAATTGAGCCTCGAAAAGTGAACAATCAGGTAGATTCAAGCCCTCGCTATGTGTTGCAGTCTATGCCTCTGACATCATTGCCGTCTCGGCTAAAGTTACGCATTGTATCTACTCGTGAGTCACGTGAGTACATAGTCAGTCACGATGCTGAGCTCGCCACCCTGTTCACCACAACTACCTTCAATCAAATTTGTTCAGATTGCCACATCTTTATAACATCAGCATGAACGGATTCACGATGTCTGCTCCTACTATCTCAGCGTCTTCTACAGGTGAAAATGTTGCTGCTGAACCAAGACGGAGTGGCCGCGAGAGAACTTCAACACAGCGCTACGAGACCACAGTCGCCAGCAGCTCATTGAAGAGNAAAAGAGCGAGTGTTGTCGACAACTCCAATAACGAAAAACCACAGTATGCACCGAAGACACATGCGCAAGCTACAGCTACGAAAAACAATTCCAGAGCATCAAGCAAGCGGGTGACAACCAAGAAAACCACTCAGTCTACTGGTGATAGCGCCAAGCCAACTATTCAATCACGTCTCAACTCATCTAAACACTCAGGAGATGTTGTTGACCCTACTGGAGATGATGATGCTGCTGCGACATCGTCAAAGAAGCACAAGAAGCTCACATCAGGCAAGGATAAGGAAAAACGCCTCAAAAGGTAAGTGCGTCTCACACACACAGGGTCCAGATGGCAGACAGCTCATGCTCGGGTNAGAGAGCGCACGCACGCGCCACAGAAGTACACGACTGTCGCGTATCGCGCTACAACTCAACGTATGGTAGTGATTGATAGACGTCGCACAGACAACGATGACTGCCCACACCAAACTCCACATTGTCCTATGGAAGAGGTCGACCTTGCCGGCAGCACAGGCAACATCTACACAGTCAAGATAACACATGTGCCCGAGTGCACCTGTCCAGACTTCCGTGTCAATAACAACCCGCAGTGCAAACATATCCTATATGTTCTGCTAAAGGTTCTCAAAGTTTCAGAGCCATTGAACTATCAAGCAGCATTCTTGACTTCGGAGCTGGAAGAAATCTTTGAACACGCTGGACCTCTGCCTGCGGAGACAGTCCACACAGAAGATAAAGACGGAAAGCGCAAGCCGATTGAAGGAGACTGTCCAATTTGTTGCGAGGAGCTCTCTCAAGAGAACGAGACCATCGTATGGTGCCAGGCTGCATGCGGCAACAACCTTCACAAAACTTGCTTCGATCAATGGGCTGCGACAAAAGGTCACGGCCAAGTGACTTGTCCTTACTGCCGAACCCAGTGGCAAAGCGTAGTTGACGGCGGCGCTCTGAAGGGTTTGGCCAAGACTGGACCCAAGAATCGGGACGGATATGTCAACGTGGCAGACCAAGTTGGCATGTCTACCAGAAGAGACTATTCCACCTATCATGTGAGTAAGATTAATATGAACCTGTGTGCCAAAGGTTGTCACAATCTTACAGGTGACCATGTATGGCCACAAAAATACTCTAGCACATGAGAAGGATAGCTGAAGATTTCAGTGCTAATTGGCATGTCTAGNGACTATTGGGTTCGTGCGCAGCGACGAAACGGACTGCTCGATGATGACGATTACGATTACGATTATGAAGATGAATATTGATGTTAAGGAGAGAGATTCACCAATCCTCGACTGTTCCAGCGGTAAGGCGTAAGCGGACGCTACAAGCGTTCGTTGTGAGGGTTGTGCTCTCCCATTGCTAGCCACAAATTTGCAGTCACGCGTTGCTCAATGCTATGGAGTAATGACTACTGTTGACAGCTTTCTCACTCGCTGGTATGTAGCTCTGAACTCTCATTAATCAAATTGTCCTCCCATTACATTTGAGGAGCCAAAAACCTCGATAGTTCATCCAAGCGCACCCGCCCACATAGGTAGTCATATACGGCTTAACTCACAAGGATGTGTTGTTGATGTCCCTACAGAATCACAGCACGTGCATGGCCGACCAACGATTTTTTATCTCAACACATCCACGACACTTCACGTTGCCCCTAGACCAGTCTGATACAGTCCTCGTGGTCGCCTAACGCCTAGCTTTAAGACCCCACTTCTCTGTGACACCAAAATCCTCTTTACATACTCAGACTCTCGAAACGATCTTCGCCTCGGATATTCACACACGATCAGAGGACTGCTGTAATCAATGTTTCCTAGTAGAGAGAAACAGAAGAAGACAAGGAACGCGAACGCGAACCCGAAATCCCGTACCGAGGCTCGCTTGAACACCCCTTGCAGCGGGATTGCGGGGTTGGTATACCTTCCTGTCAGTCTCCTGTGGAGAGATCTACGGGGTTTGACTTTGGTGTCCCCGCCTTGAGAACCGTTCGTCATGGGTGGCTTGGCACAAGATGATGCCTCGATCATTGGTCTCACACGGCGACATCTCGAAACGAAAGCTGACCTGTTGCAGAATTGAGTCTTGACTAGCACTGTGTTCAGAGAGAGCCGATGGAATATCTTACAATAAGAGCTGCTCTGTTACTCAATTCCGCATGGTCATCCATCCTTCACAAACACGCGTCGCGAACGTTTACTTCCGGAGGCCAGACACCCATGATCATCCAGCTTCGGCCTAGGGCACTGAATAAGGTTAATCACAGTTCATCACGACTTTGACAGAACGAACCGCGGCCTGTCGTTTGTCTGTGGACCTTTGACGTTGGCCTCTCGTGTCCACTCTCATATGAGCTTGTCCGCATGATGTCTTCTACCATTTCCACCTCGGCATGGGGTTGGACATCGTGGAGGATATACCGTTCTTACGGCCGTTCAAGTGTTTAAGATTCGCTGGAGTGATTTGAGATGTGATGGTAGGTCGACGACTGAAAATCACGAAACGAGTATAAGTAAGTCTCGAGTTGCAGTCTTTTATTTCCAACGTCCCTTCTCAAACCGCACTTTCGTTGCCCCTTACCATAAATCCTCATGCGATCCCTTCTTGTTGCCGTTGCGGCACTCACCACTGCCCTGGCGGCTCCCTTGGAGGAGAAGCGTGCGATCGTTCCCTCTGCGGTTGTCAAGAACGGAACCATCATCGGAAGTTCTACTGGCAATGTGGAGTCTTTCAAGGGCATCCCATTCGCTCTGCCTCCTACTGGTAGTCTTCGACTGAAGCCTCCACAATCAATCACAGCATCGTACCCATCGGGAACATTTGCAGCTACCGGCATACCCAAAGCATGCCCCCAGTTCTTTAGCCAAGTGAACACCACCAACATACCCACCGATGTCCTCGGAGAACTCCTTATTTCACCTTTCGTACAGGACGTCACGGATACTGGTGAGGACTGTTTGACTCTCAATGTCCAACGCCCAGCTGGCACAACCTCCTCTTCGAAACTGCCCGTTGTGTTCTGGATTTATGGAGGCGGTCAGTACTACAATTGAACGTGAATGCACGCGGGAGCTGATGAGATTCANGGCTTTGAGTTTGGGTCCACCCAACAGTATGACGGTACCCCTCTGATTTCAGAGTCTGTTGCTCTTGGACACGGTGTTATATTCGTTGCAGTCAACTACCGTCTTAGCGGGTTCGGCTTCCTGGCTGGAAAAGAGCTGCAAGCTGACGGTTCCACCAACCTTGGACTCAAAGATCAACGAAAGGGCCTCGAGTGGATTGCTGAGAACATCGCAGCCTTTGGCGGTGACCCTGAGAAGGTCACCGTGTGGGGAGAGTCGGCGCAAGTGCATCTTCCTGATTGATAATTGATACTCGCTAACAATAGACAGNNAGGTGCAATTTCGGTCTTTGACCATATGATCATAAACAGCGGCGACAACACCTACAACGGAAAGCCGCTGTTCAGAGGCGCAATCAGCGACTCTGGCTCAATTGTACCTGCTTTGGACGTCGCTCAGCCTAAACCACAGGCTATCTACGATGCTATAGTCAGTGCTGCTGGTTGTTCTGGCAGCAGTGATACGCTCGCGTGCTTGAGGAGCGTGGACTACGAAACTTTCGAGGCGGCCGTCAACGTGAGTAAAACGTCCCTTCCGTTCTGAAACGAGCTGACATGTTCCAAGTCTGTACCCGGAATTTTCAGCTACGAATCTGTCAATTTGGCATATCTGCCTCGCCCTGATCCATCAGATGCTTTCTTCCCTGTGAGCCCCGATGTTGCAGTTGCGAACGGCAACTACGCAAAGGTGCCGTTGATCTCTGGAGATCAAGAAGATGAAGGCACACTGTTCAGTTTGTCGCAGTCCAACATCACGACTGCTGCGGAGACCCTTGCCTACGTTGGCAGCGCTTACCCCGATACCCCTGAGTCTGTCATGGCTGCCCTGCTTGCGACATATCCTGACGACATTTCCGCTGGATCGCCGTACAATACTGGCCTGTTCAACAACATCTATCCACAATACAAGCGTCTGGCCGCCATCCTCGGCGATCTCGTATTCAACCTCCGTCGTCGACAAACTTTGTACATCGTCTCCTCCACAATCCCTTCGTGGAGCTACCTTGACAGCCATCTCTACGGCACAGCAGTACTAGGAACCTTCCACGCTAGCGACGTACTGGCCAGCTTCGACGGCGTCGGAGGCATCACTACTCAAAAGACATACCTCGACTACTACACCTCATTCATCAACTTCCTCGATCCCAACGCCCTGGGCTCTGCAACTTCTCTCATCGATTGGCCTCAGTACAACAGTACCATGCCTGTGTTGCTGAACCTCCATGCCGTGGGCAACACTCTGCTTTCTGATACATACCGCAGTGCGAGTTTTGACGTTCTGCAAGCGAACTACGGGGTCTTCCGTACTTAAAGTGGTGTCTCAATGTACATAGTTTAAGCTCACTATATGTCAAGATGTATAAACACGATCTCATGATGAAGCCTAATCTGACACCCTCCTCTCTGCGTGATAAATTATGTGATTCATGTAGCTGTAGGAATGCACGATATTACGAGGAGATAGGACATCGGCCACTGAGAAACGACAAACATTCAGCTCTCTATGGACGTGACTCTGCTTCCAAAAACATTGTGCCTTTTTATGGTGGGTAAGGTAGTCGTTGCTAGAGTCGAAGAACTGTGGAAGTTACAGATATCAGCACATACGAGGTGCATAGAAAGACCACTCTGGCTACCTCCATTTGCACAGGCATTCATACCTCCGCCATTGACATGCACCACGAGAGCAAAAGGACAGGCAACAAAACGAATGTCGCAGCCGTGAATCGAACACGGGGCTCGTGCATGGCAAGCACGAATTTTACCACTAAACCACTGCGACCTATGATGAAGCAAATCTCTACAAGATATTATATATTCGTCAATACACATGAGACGATCACTCGGAAGGCTCCTGCTTGCTCATGCTTCCTGGGACATATTCCCCTCTTTGACTTACGTTTTCTTTTCGGTTTCTGTGTAACAGTCTGTTTGCCATAGCTTCGTATGAGAGTGGCAAGCGCCCGTTGTGTTGCCGTTTATAGAATGGCTAAACTTTTGATAGATGTGTGCACGGACTGCGGGCAGCACGCTGCTTAGGCCATGGGGCCGGCCAGGTGATTACGAATATGAAGGTACTAGTAGGAAAGATAGAGGGTCGACCACAACCGCCAAACCCTCAGGTTTGCGGCAAGAGGCATGCTGTTAGTTTACAAACCGGAGTCGTAGATCTAGGATGGTTGGAGGTTTCGGCGTCGTTTGTAAAAGGATCTCTTCTTAGAGTGGGGTCGAGACACCATTCCTAAATGCAATCTCATAGATACGGCGAGAAAGCACAGTAGGGAAAATGCCGCTACCCAAAGCGGTCGCCCGAAGACGTGCTCTAGCCTCTTGAAGTCTCTAGCTGCTGTGTTTCGTCGCAACAAGAGGGGTCATGCCACCCCGTGCTTTCGAGAATAGGATGGTATGGCCTCAGAGCCGCAAGCCAAGCTCGGTCTCTGGGCAACGGTATCTGGAAGAGATGCCGGCGCGTCCAATCAGAGGCCGTGAGATGGCAGATGGCGTAGATCTGGATACCATACCGGCCCCCCAAATTCAGGATAGCTTCAAGTTACACGCACCTCCCCGCCGCCAGTGGCCACGAGTTAGTAGAGATGGCCGGGGGTTCAAGCAGGTTTGCGCGCGGAGTGAGCATGATTGCGGCACCAGAGGTAGGTCGTGTTTGTATATGAAGGACCCCGCCGTCCATAAGGTCTTTGTTGTCTTCTTGATCCCTATCTGAACTTCTCTCGTTCACTTGCTCAATTGCGTTCGTCCTCTTCACTTGCTTCATCAAGACATTTGTCCTTTCAGCAATACACCAGAAACACCAGACACCCAATCACAAACCACAACATCAACCATGCAGCTCACTTCTCTTGCCATTCTGGCCGCCGCCTTCGGCATCGCTGCTGCTCAGAGCAGCACTACTTCTGCTGCAGCCACCACCTCTTCGTGCGCTGCTCAAACGTAAGACTTAGCCCTGCCAAAAGGCCCTCCTCTAAGGATAGACACTGAGACTTTACAATCTATAGCGTCCTCGACCTCTGCGTCTCGCAACAGTCGGCACGCAACTCCCAGTGCGCTGCCAATGACTACGACTGTCTCTGCACTGGTTACTCGAACCTCGTTGTGTGCTACAACCAGTGTCCTAACGACCCTAACGCCTTCTCTGCTTCTCAGTACAAGACTCAATACTGCCAGGCTGCTGCCCAGTAAGCCAGATCCGCTGGCCCTCGAGCCATGGATGAATGAATTGTTTTACTGACCACCATCATAGGTACGGATCTTCTGCCATGTCCAAGAAGACTCAGTCGGCCACTGCTTCGGTCTCGGGCTCGCTCTCATCCGCCCTCTCGAGCGCATCCTCATCTGCTTCTGTTGCTTCCTCGTCAGCCGCATCCGTCGCTTCGTCGGCCTCTCGCAGCGCATCTTCGGCTGCTTCTTCCGCTTCCTCTGCTGCCTCTGCCGCAGCCACTCACACTGGCGCCGCTGCCAACATGGGCGTTCCTGCTGCCGGTGTCTTCGGCATGGTTCTTGGAGCTGCTGCTCTTCTGTAAGAGCTGGGGAAAGACGACTCTGATTTTAGATGCTTCTGGTTGATGGTTCCTGGGCTTAATACTTCTGACCTTTTCTTACTCTGCTTTTGCCAGATGGCAATGTTTCCTTGCAGTTCCGTAGCGTGGAGTAATGCGTTCGGCTTCTTTTCTCTCTACTTTGCTTACATCTTCTTACGCGATGAGACCCATGAGAACGATGAACAAGACTCATCAAGACCAGTTTGCTACCGAATCGAAACAGTCCAGACAGTTTGCACAATCTGAAGGAGACATGAGTGTCATGAATGTTCTCTCGAACATGATCGTGCAAGAAAGCAGTGACGTTGAGTCTTGAAGGTTTGTCAGTGTTGTTCTCGTACAACTTTCGTAATTGGTCACATGCTCTTGGCCGCCTGGCGATGAAAATCAGGAGCGTAGCTTTCTGAAACGCCTCTTTCGTCCATTTGAGTTTTTGCCAGGCCGATCGGCTCCTTTGGCTTTGCCCCAACCTGTTGCCAAATCCCACGTGTACCGGCAAGTAGGGGCAAGTGAAGGAGTGCATAACACAGATACCTTTCGCGAAAAAAAAGGAAGGGCAAAGGGGGTTGAAAGCAAGCATTAGACTCTGTTGGTTGTACCGCGTACGTCAATGCACGTTTCTGACAATGCATCACAGCACGCACGAGTGGAAGAGGACAACACAATCGTCTGGAGAATGGCCTCTGGGCTAAAGGATCTCCTGTCACCTTAGCAAAACACCTGTCCGACCAAGAGATTCAGGATAATATGCGCCGTGTTGCCGGTGCTTCGCAAAATCCTTCATTCTGATCAGCCTTAACTCGCGTTCAGCCCGGAGCTGAAAAACTCAATCAAGTCATATCGATACCGAAAATGTCAAAGGTAGGCGAGGCTGCCAGAATTAGAGCCGCACTCGCAGTACGATACGGACAACATCTGCCACATGTCTGGTTGAGTGATTGAAAGGCACAGCGAGCAACCGCATTACCGTATTATCACAACATCGTTGTCTTTGACTGGTCACCGAACAGGCAAACGCGTGATCAACCGCTCTTACAGGCAGATTTCAAATGGCCAGGGACACGAGAGTTGACGGCCGTTATTGTCCCAGGGCGGACACAGCCGCGCCTTTGTCTTGAATCCCACGTTGTGCCGTTGCAGCCATGAAGCGGCGGGCATAACGCGTCTATCAAGCAGTATAAGTGAGCAGATCACTGCTGCAAAGAGGTGTTTTCTCGACAGAAAATTGCAGGGTGTTGCTGTCAGTCGGAAATAGTCCGAGTAGAAGTCGCCTGAAGTAAGCAGACTCAGGCGCGCGGGGCTGGGTCAAAGCTCGCTTAGGGCACCGTGTAATTGGGTGAAGATCATCACAAAAGAGCGATCAAGACGTCAACGGCGGATGCGGACTTGACCAGCCTCGCGAGAACGCGATGCGGTCAAGACTCGGAAGGAGCTTTCCAAGGACAATATTAGGCATGTCAGCAGTGTGGTTTGTCCAGAGCCAGCGTCTGATGCTGAGGAATCATCGGCGCGTATTAGACATGATGATAGACGCGATGTTCACCGCAAATTTATATGGGAAGCGGCAATAGAGTACTTGTACGTGTTGCAGTGTGGCTGCGGTCATGCACGTCAAAAGTCTCGCAAGTGAGCTAACAAGCCGGTGGGCGCTCGCCGGCCCAAGTCTCCACATCTCAAAATCTAATCATCTGGGGAAAAGTGGCAGCGCTCAGTCGGAAAGGGCGGGTGACGAGGAGAAGGAGAGTCAGAGGCCTCGATCCTGTTCCCTTTGCCTTTTCCCTAAACCCTTCGACCTCGATCAAATACACGTGTCGCCCCGCTCTTGCGCCTACACTCGAGCCCTCCCAATCTCAAGATCCATCCGGAGTACTGGACTCGACTGCACCGACGACTCGCGGGGAAGGAAAGGGTCGCCGCAAGAGAAGGCTTTGTCGTAGACACATACATACCCGCACCACTCCGGTATCACGGACTCGACAGTCATCGCAAACGCATTTGGCCGCTCTGGAGAATGGGTTGATCTATCACTCCACCGCTCGCTTCACGCAGACTCGTCTTTCAACATGTCGAATCAAACCCAAGACCAGGCCATGAAGTTAGGTGGTGGCGGCCATGATTCGCGCAGCAGTACTGTCTTCGCCGTCACGGTCGCCATGATCACCTGCTCGACCGTTTTTGTTTCTGCTCGCATGGCTTCTCGTGCCGGAGTCCTTAAGAAGGTCCTCCTAGATGACTATTTCATCCTTGTGGCTTGGGTACGTTGGAAATTACACTTTGGCTTGCTGTGTCTTGCTTGCTAACCAAGGCGCTCAAAGCTACTCGCCTTTGGCTTGTCTTTCTCGATATGTTACGGCACCTTCGTCGGCCTCGGCCGCCACGAAGACGACGTGCCAGATTCATGGCAGGGCTCATTACGGCGATCGCAGTACGCCTTCTCTGTTCTGTACAATCCCGCATTGATGGCCGAGAAGACATCCATCCTTGTCTTTTATCTCACTCTATCCAAGACTAACAGGACCTTCCGCTGGGCTACCATAGCAACTCTGTTTGTCGTCAACGCCGCTGGAATTGCTCTAACCCTTGTTACCCTGTTCCAATGCAACCCTGTCGGCGCTGCCTTCAGGTATCCGGTCCCAGCCATTCATCATTGCACTGACATTATCACCATATATCTCTCTTCGGCGCCTGTCAACATCATCACCGACCTCGCCATCCTGTTCTTGCCTATGCCCATTCTAACCTCGATGCGACTGCCCCGCAAACAGAAGACCATCCTTGTTATCACTTTCGGCTTTGGTCTCTTCGTGGCCATTGTCGATATTGTCCGCATTGCATATTTGCAGTCCGCCTCGACATATCGTCTCAACCAGATTCTCAACTACCAGAAGGACAAGAGCTCAGGACGTGATGCCGACGTGACTGATTTCTCATGGTACGCCTCATACTCCTTCATGTGGTCTGCCATCGAGGTCAATGTTGGCATCATGTGTGCTTGCGTTCCAGCTCTGAAGCCTCTCGTCTCACGTTTCATGCCACACCTTCTTCGTGATGAAGGGGACGTTACCGAAAAGCATTCTTCGGTTGATCGCCAGCCTACCTTCGAGATGGCCATGGCTCAACGAATTCCATCAATGCCGGACCCGGCCTACCTCACTACACAGCCATCTCACGAGCCTGTTGAAGACTCCAATATGGACATGCTGGACTTCCTCACCACTCCCGATATGCAGAACAATACACTCGAGCGCTCGCAAACCATGTTAACCAATTCCACACGAAACACCCGCGCAGACACACCAACCTTCTTTGATTTTGTCAACATTAAGAATCGCAANAGTTTCGTTCAAATGACCGCAAGAGAGTCTTTGTTTCCGGTCATTATGGTCACTGTGCTCTTCTTCATCTGGGGTTTCGAATACGGCCTTCTCGATGTTCTCAACAGACAGTTCCAGGAAGTTTCTCACATGTCTTCGGCACAGTCCGTGGGCATTCACAGTGCTTACTTCGCTGGTTACTTCTTCGGGCCGCTGACTTTTGGTCGCCTGGCCCTGAAACACTACGGGTTCAAAGCATGCTATATTATCGGTCTCAGCATATATGCGTGCGGAATCTTGATCTTCTGGCCCGCTGCTGTTCTGACCTCTTTCCCGGCTTTTGTCATCGTCAACTTTATCGTTGGTCTTGGACTGTCAACACTCGAAATATCGGCAAACCCTTTTATCGCACTTTGCGGTCCCATGGAGTATGTGGAAGTTCGTCTCAATCTTAGTCAAGGATTCCAGGCCATTGGAACTGTCGTCGCTCCTCTCATCGCCCAGAAAGCCCTCTTTGGACAGTCTCATGATGCCCCTTCTTTGATCAACACACAATGGGCCTATCTAGGAATCGCACTGTTCACAGTTGCATTAGCGGTCGCATTCTTCTACGTCCCATTGCCAGAGGCTACCGACCAAGAGCTCGAGGATGCGTGCGAGCGTATGGACAACGCTAATTATGCCACTATTGGCAAAGTCAGGGTCATCTGGTACACACTTGCAGCCGGCACTTTTGCGATGTTCTGTTACGTCGGTGCTCAGGAAGTTCTCGCTACTACCTTCGACAACTATCTTGCACTTGTGGCTCCGTCCTTCAACGAGACCAACTACATGGCTATTGGGCATGCCTTGTTTGCTGCATCTCGATTTGTGGCAGCAGGGGCAGGCTTCATCATCAAGCCGCGACTTCTGCTTGTTTTCTTCCTCACAGGCACCATCGTCTTCTCAGCTCTTGCGATGAACTTCACAGGCTCAACTGCCACAGCCATGATGCTTATGGTGTTCTTCTTCGAAGGTCCACTCTTCAGTCTCATCTTCGCCCAAAGCATTCGCGGCATGGGCAAGTTCACGAAAGATGGCAGTGTCATTTTGATCGCTGCAGTCTCTGGTGGTGGTGTCTTCCCTGGCTTGTCCTACGTGGCCAAAGAAGCACAAAATTCACAGTACGCGATGTGCGTTGCTGTTGCAGGCTTCGCAGGTGCCACCTTACTACCTTTCTTCCTCAACTATAGTCCGCTTGCTCGTACTCTTTGCGATCCTCTGAAGGACCCCAGCGAGATCAGTGATGACTCTCTGCCTGGAAGTTCAAACAGCAGTGTAGCTAGTCGAGCGCTTAGCTTCTTCAGCATCCGCAGAAAGAGCGCAGGCGAGATGAAGACCGAATGGCGTGAACGTCAAGCATCTGCTGACAGCTCTGCTTCTCCTGGTGCATACCCATCAGCATAACATGTGCATCATCATGACGAATGTTTTACGACCATCTCACTTTTTGTTCTACTATTTCCTTTCAGGTTTACGATTGAGATACCCACAGTGGAGCGACGGGCTGGACCTCTGTTATTTGTTGTTTTTCTAGCATCGGCGTTCACTGGTGTGGCGACTAGATGCAATTGTTCTCACTGCTCGTTGATTCAGGGGTTCTGGGTCGTCAAAGATGACATTGTATATAGCTTGTGTAGATATGTAAATATACCACGATTGCTGATCTGAACGACGTCTGTCCCAGCACTGGACATGAGATATAGCCAGATCTTAACTCCAACAGCATAAACACAGCATGAATACGTACTCATCGAATCAACTATTCAGCGGATGACAAATGCCATGTGGAGCAATCAACGTCCACGGTCATAAAGGAGTAAACGGAGAAGCACCTTCCTTATCTCCGTCTTTGTACGTCATTAAAAGGTAGCTCTCTGAGGGGTCAAACATATAAATATACAATCAACGACATTTACCAGACCATCACCTAAAACAAAACGCAGCTATCGAAAAACAACAAAATCAAAGATGCAGCAAGTGATTGATTCTGTCAAATCGGCCATTGGTGCCACCAAACTGCCAACAGGCCAGTTGGGCAAGAATGGACCTTATGTCACTAGAATGGGTTACGGAGCCATGGGCTTGTCGGCCTTCTATGGCAAGCCCAAGCCTGATGAGGAGCGTTTTGCCGTGCTAGACAAGCTGTACGAGGAGGGAGAGCTCTTCTGGGACACAGCAGGTGAGTCTGCTCGAGCTTGTTGATGAGACTATCAGCTAACAATGAAANNAGACATGTACATGGACAATGAAGACCTCATTGGAAACTGGTTCAAGGCCAACCCTGGCAAGCGCGAGCAGATCTTCCTTGCAACCAAGTTTGCCAACCTGCGTGATGAGCAAGGCAACCCTATCGTCGATTCATCGCCCGAGTATTGCAAGAAGGCATGCGATAAGTCCCTTTCGCGCCTGGGAGTCAAGAACATCGATCTCTACTACGCACATCGCCTGGACGGCAAGACTCCAGTGGAGAAGACTGTTCAAGCCATGAAGGAACTCAAGGAGGCTGGCAAGATCAAATACCTTGGTCTCTCGGAGGTCAGCAGCGAAAGCTTGCGCCGTGCCTACGCCGTGCACCCCATCACAGCAGTTCAGATCGAGTACTCGCCCTTCTCTCTCGACATTGAGAGCGAGCAGATCGGCCTTCTCAAGACATGCCGCGAGTTAGGCGTCGCCGTTGTTGCATACTCTCCCATCGGACGTGGAATGCTCGGTGGCTCCATCAGATCTCCCGATGACTTCGAAGAGGGCGACTTCCGTAAATTCGCCCCTCGTTTCAGTGCCGAGAACTTCCCCAAGAACCTCAAGCTCGTGGACCAGATCACCGAGATTGCAAAGAAGAAGGGTCTCACTGCTTCCCAGATTACCTTGGCTTGGGAGATGGCTCAGGGCGACGATATCTTCCCCATCCCCGGAACCACCAATCTGAGCCGTGTCGACGAGAATCTCGGAGCTTTGAAGGTCAAGCTTACTGCTGAAGAGGAAAAGGAGATTCGCCAGGCTTGCGAAGCTGCGGAGGTTGCTGGTACAAGATATCCGGAGGCTTTCTCCAAGGCCTTGTTTGCAGACACCCCTGCTCTTTAAGGCTTGACGCCGACCCGAGATACAGCTGTCGCTGAACGCCATTACGTAGCAGACGTTCAACGAGTATCCTAATGACATGAACCCTCAACTTGACTTACGTTGATCCACAGCGTGCACCAGATCTCTCACGTAAGGCCGGAGTTCATGGAACATATGTAGCGAGGATCTTGTGCAACTAGAAGCAACTAGAAGAAGATTTTCTATATGTTGACATTGGAGTTCGGATGTTTGCAGAACTATGAAGATGTCGTATGTACTTCGAGCACAGCCCCAAGATTCCGTGTCTACAACATGCTGCCATATCGACATGTGGACAGCGCTATCTGATCGAAGCACGCTGCAGGTGAAGAATGAGGTGAGAAAGTAAGGATGACGACCAAATGCAACTGCAATGTCCACGTTCGTATGCATGGGCTTGTCAAAGGCATGTGTGTAGGACAGATGGCTTGGTGGCTAGAAGGCAGAGACGGATCCAGGGTTGCACGCTTCGAAGCGAGATAGAATGCCCAGATGCTGAGAACAAGAACTGTGATACACAAACGGCCATGGCATGCCGAGCGTACCGGCTGGGCCTTGAATCGTGGCCCTGGATACGAATGCAGATGTTGAAGTCGTCAAGCCTCCTCTATACGCCTTATAGCTCAGAACAGTCCGATGCATCTAGTGGCTTTGTCGATGTATGTAGAAGCACACATATCTGACTCCCTTCGACTGCAGCATGGAAGGAGTGGGTGGCAAGTCAGCACCGCGTACCCGGGTCCCCCTGCGAACACTGCAGAGCTACGAAGCAAGGGTTTTCGAGGGGGCGGGAAGGAGTCACTTGAGATATGGCGATGTTTCCGCAGTCAGGGCGGGTTCGATGCACTATTCGCACGTGGCAATGCAAGCCGCCTTCATGCAGGGTGCTCCTTTCGGATCGCCTACCGGGTTTTATAACTTGCATGGATAGAGCCCTTGCCTTGCGTCGTTTAGACTGTTCTACGCGGAGGCATGGAATCTTCGGCTATGTTACTGACATGAAGTCGGATGGTTGTACCAGACAGGTAAACCGTCTTTCGCTTTGCACGAACGATGAATCTTCGAGAATGCTCATGGATTGCGGTTTCCGTCGTGTAGTGACACCTGCAAAGAATGGGTCCGTTTCCATACAGTGCATGCCGTTCTGCTACCAGAAAATTGAGTAAGAACATTCAACATCTCATTATGTAGGCGTAAATACATTGTCCCAAATATGTCAAAATAAAGCTGCGTAAGAGTGATTGACGCAGATGGATAGGCTCAACCCTGGGTGACTGCCACTGTAACCTCTCGTCGGACTATCAGTTCCTGCAACCCGCCAGATGCACGATGGACTTCATTGTTGACCTGCTTGCCTGCCCCACGACATACCGTCTTCGTTCGACCCAAGAACTGCGGTGTGAAAGATTCGTTCCTTGACCTGCTCCTCGGTGTGTCGCCAGAGCTATTGGAACGGCTGTTACGTGAACCGTATATGATACTGCCGAAGGCTGTACCACCTGTCGTGAAGCTACGCATGAAGGCTTGGACGAAAGGCAGAGTTGCTGATAAGAGGCTGTAGCAGATCAACACTTGCTGCCAGATAATGACTTTCGTGAGATGGTGTAATCTTCCTTCGGAGCGTGCTGCCTCGCTGTAAACCTTCAAGTAGAGTAGAGAAAAGGCGATCATNNGCTTTTAACTCATGTCAGCAATCGAAATAGATCGAAGGTAATTGATTCCGTACGGTAATCGATATGCAAAGGCAGACACAACGAGCATCTTCTTGCTCACTTTGATCCGAAGATGGCTGACAAGATAGATCGGCAAGCCCGTTACGGCAGCTTCGATGCAAATAGTAATTGCAAGGATGGCTCTCCATCGAGATATNNCTGCGCTGATTAGCAGGAATGACTCTATGCTGTTGAACAAGCTTACATCGTTTGGACATGTGTGTTCCTGCCCTTCGAGTATGTGTGTTGACGGACAATTTGATTTGACAGCAGCAACTGCCAGGACAAGCCATGCTGATATGACGCCTAGCAGGATATAAGATCCAACTTTGTGTTTTGTGTTTGTGGAAAATATCCTCCTCATGAGCAGAGTTAGGGAAAGGCTCGTCAGTCCCATTGTGAGAAGGAAGAATATTTGGCTGGCAACGACTGNCCTATACTCGTGTGAGAGGAGCTTCTGTTTGGCAAGATGGGTTCGGGGACTCACTCGTGACATACTTGTCAGGTGCTCGGGACCGATCACGTCCTCTGACATCCCTAAAGCATCGTTGAGTCCTACAATCAAGCAGGCCCACTGTGCGAGCGCTGTGACCTATAATAGTGTCAATAGACACATATCGTTGTGTTCTCCCAGATTCAGACGTAGATGTTCGTCTTGGAAGATAGTTCATGCCAGAAGAGGACGGCAGGTTGGGGTTGCTGAGTTTGCAGAAAATACCAATCGAAGCCAGTGAACACTTACATGCGCAATGGTGATAGCAACATCATCTATTCCATAATAGCCAACTCTCGCATAGATTCGAAGGAACCAGGTGAAGCATGAATAAGTCAATGATAGCAAGACTGCGATCCAAAGATGTGCGGGCGGCCCTTGAGCAAACCGCGCCATAGTTGAAAGACGTATGTGGTGGAGGTGCGCCCAATCGAGTTACTGGCAACCAGAGGCAAGCCTTCCAACCACTCTTAGCAAATTCAAAAAGCAAAGTCCAAGAAAGGGGCACGCCCTAAGCTACGACAATGCCTAGACCATATATCACACGGCGGCCCTTCGAGGGTGTCAGGCGAGGGCTGAGTATGAATGAACAAGCGACTTTTTGTGCAACTCAGGATTATGCGCTTGCCCTGCAAGGCGAGAAACGAAGAGCCGGGTCTCACGGGCGTTTACTCAAGGGAAAAGAATAGCCAATGACATAGTGCTGGAACCGGTCATCTCGTCATGTGAGATTGCGTAGAAGAATCCACAACACCTTCTCAGCAGAACTGAGGGTTGGACAGACAGTCAGCAAGAACCTGAGATGCTGCATATTATGCTCCAGGACGAAGACGCAGTGCTTCATTGCTAGATCAGTCAGATATGCTGATAGTCTTTGGATGGAGCCCGATTCGTTGCATCATCGCGGGGGCATTGTAATGTATAGGCGCATCGATGAGATCTCGAAAGACTGATCGCAAAACGACATCCCGGTTNGTGTGCTGCAGGAAGGCAAGTAGGAGCTGTTGTGCGCCCTCGGAAAGACGTCGCCCACAGCTTGGCGTTGTCAAATCTGCAACCTTTGCAAGCGAAACGGTTCGCTGAAGCAGCATCATCTGCAAGGTGTTTACATGACCATCGACACAAACTGCTGAAGTGTCGCAGTTGACGATTGGTCTTTCCCGGGCAAACGGATGCCATGGACCGGCTNNGCTTCAGATGCAAACCCTTGCATCTACTCTGAGCGCAAGAGAACAATATGCAGAAAGATAGATCTCGCAAAGCAATTGCCCGCTCGCAGGCTGGTCTGCAGATTCAAGGCGATACTGCGGTGTACGAGGAGTCAATTGACACTGCCCATCGATGTGCAACATCCGTTTCCGCTGGGGACGGTGCGAGGTGACTTGTAGTTTGCGTCCTTGGTAACACCACGACTGGATGGTTTGGTGGGATGCAAGGTGGGCAGTTGCAGCAACCCTTGCGCCTTCCATCAAGAAGCCATTCTCCTAGACTCACTCGGCGCAGGTTTGCCGTCCGTTAGCTCCTTCCCTCTAGAGTTGTTGCCGAAACACAATCCACTGAAGAAGTGTCGCTCCGAGTGAGTTGACTTATTTATCCTTGCATGCGTCCTGTCTTCTTCCGAGTACAAACTTGGTGTGTAACTCCAACCAGACCTTTGTTCAATACTGCGTTTTCTTTGGGCGACTGCTCGCGCGAACATCTCCTTTCTACCGACATGTCCTCCACCGCCATTGAGATGGATAGCATCAAGAACTCTTCGTCAGTCCAGACCGCCAGTTCGTTCGAGCAACAGATCGAGGAAGTCGAAGATGCAGCTACCGAAGCAACAAAGGGCGGCACCAAGGATGATGATTACGACATGCGTCGTATGGGAAAGCTCCAGGAGCTGAGAGTCAGTGTTGAACATCCTCAATAGCGGCTGGCATACTTACGAACCATANNGCGCAACTTCCGTTTCGTATCCATTTGGGGTTTCAGTCTTCTGTTGGGCAATGCTTGGGTGGTCGCTCTGATGTTTGTCACTTTGTGTCCACGAATGCATTGCAGACACTGACCATATCACCAGNNTTCCAGCAACGTCACTCTTGCCAACGGCGGTATGGCCGGCGGAGTGTGGATGTTTCTCATCGTGGCTGTGGGAATGTTCTTCTGCATGCTCTCAATGGCCGAAATGGCATCGATGTGGGTCCTACGTAACCTCCAAATATCATGCATGGATCTTTGATCGGCTAACGATTGAGAAGGNGCACCTACAGCGGGTGGTCAATACCATTGTAAGGACATTTTCATTCGCCTTCGATCCACAGATGGAACTCAAAGACTGATGCAATGAACAGGGGTCAGTGAGTTCGCTCCGCCTAAGTACCAGAAGTTTCTCTCATACATGGTTGGTAAGTAGAATCTCATGCTAAAGATCTGGTATTGTCACTGACACGTCATCNNCGTAGGATGGATGTGTGTCCTGGGATGGCAGGCGGCTATGTGCGCCAGTGCCTACACTCCAGCACTCAACATCCAAGGTCTTATTGCACTCAACGTCGAAGGCTACACGCTCCCTGGTTGGCATGCTGCCCTTATGACCATTGGCATCGTCATCGTCTGCATTCTCATCAACACTGTCGCAATCAAGAAACTACCTCTACTTGAAGGCTTCATNGTTGCTATTCTTCTTTTCAGTTTCTTCACTATCATCGTCGTTCTCTGGGTCATGGCTGAGAGAACTCCTGCAAAGAAAGTGTTTACTGAGTTCAGCGACAACATGGGCTGGGGAAACGTAGGACTGTCTACTCTCATCGGCATCTTGTCTCCGTTAACCACTCTGCTTGGATCCGACTCGGCTTGCCATCTGTCTGAGGAACTAAAAGACGCATCATGGGTCCTTCCGAGATCCATGGCTGCTACAGCGATCGTCAACTACGCTCTGGGCTTTGTTACCGTCATCACCCTCATGTTCACTCTGGGTGGTTCGGTGCAGTCTGTTCTTGATACTAAGTTCGGTCAGGGGTACATCCAGGTAAGTGTAGCACACAGATTCAACCCTTGCTTTCCCAAGCAGCGACTGATCAAACCTNNGCAGGTCTTCTACAACGCTGTCCAGTCGAAAGCTGGTGCATCGGGTCTCACAGCAATTGTTTGTGTTCTACTATTCTTCACTGCCATTAATCAAGTCACAACGACTTCAAGACAACTCTTTGCCTTCGCTAGAGATGGTGGTCTGCCGTTCTCTGCATTCCTCGGTAGAGTGAGTCACATGGCCAGATACCTATTTTCAACCTCCAGACTGACTCTCATANNGGTTCGACCTGGCATGGACATCCCATTCAACGCATGCACTGTGACCGTGGTCCTTACTGTTCTCATCTCACTTATCGTTATTGGCTCGAACACAGCTTTCAACGTTATCACAAGTCTGTCTAGCGTTGGCCTCCTTACCTCGTACATCATCTGCATCGGATGCATGGCTAGAAAGCGAATCATGAAGGAGGTTCTTCTGCCTAGCCGCTTCAACTTGGGTCGCTGGGGTCTTGCTGTCAATCTGACAGCCATCATCTTCTTGTCTTTCTGTTGGGTCTTGCTCTTCTTCCCTTCCAGACCTCATCCCAGTGCAGAGAACATGAACTGGACTATTCTGATTTACGGCGTTACCTGGATTGCCGCCGTCGTCTACTACCAGTTCAAGGGCAAATACGACTATGCCGGTCCTGTCGAGGGTATCAACAAGGACTATTGAAGTTGATCGTCCAGATTCCGATGCACACCGGGTAGACAAAGATCGAACGGAGGCGATGTTTGCTGTACGGCGAGGACAGCGATGGATGACGGCAGGCAGAATCAAAAGACTTCTATGAGATATATGATGGATGGCTTGATGGACTCTGCTGTAATTAGGGGCGGACAATTGCTTCAATCATGTGTTATTGTCCTATGTTAGCAATAGTTAGGATGTTTTTGCGCAAGGAAAGTCATCTAAGGGAAAAAAAAAAAGTCGCCTTATTTCCAAGTATAATCATGCTCTCTTCAAGCGCTTTTGTTCATAAATATGTACGTGAAAATAGTAAAGTGGATTGCTCACTGGTCCCTCAATGCAGAGACTATACATCGCCATACCCAATTAGATCCCCAAGAAGAAACAAGATGAGGGCCAGCCCATATACACAAACGAATAATCAACAGAGAATGAAAACGTTACAAGGCTTGACCAGGCGGTGAGTATGGCCTTCCCTCAAACTCAGTCGGTGGTGGTAGAGATGGCGTAACCTTGTGTCTAGCCCCACTACTCGCAAATGCAATCCCAGGATCACTGCTCGCAAACGAGGTGGCAGGGTCCCAAGCCATCGTCTTCTCTCCCTGCGCATTGCGTATCCTCGGGCTCGAGAAATTTCTCACAGGCGTGGGAGAGGTGCATCTTCTTGTTTGCATTTCTAGCGGTGTGATAGGCGACACATCATCTTCTTCTTGCTGTTCCCTCCTCTGCGGAGGCGAGTATATCGGAGCAGGACTATTTGGCGTCGTGGCGTTATGATCGTCTAGCAGATTGTTAGGAGAAGTCGGACGCATGGTATGCGGATCCCAGCTCTTACGGTCCGAGTAATCGATCTGCAGACGACCTCCCAACTTTCTTAACTCGTAGGTCGGTGGATTGGGATCGAATGGAGGTTTCCTTGCATCCAAAGAGATGAATTCTTGGGGTTTGCCTTTTGTTAGTGCTGTCCAGCGCTCTTTCCAGCCGGTGATTAGCGACCAGCGGAAGAGGAGGACGAAGAGTTCGATTCCTAGGAGTGAGATCATGATCAACATGGCGCCGATGGTGGGTTCGCTGATTAGCCACTTGTGGCTGTATTTGAAGCATTGGTCTCGGTTGCCGCCGTTTTCGATCAGACAGACAACCCAGGGCAGCACTCGTGTGTAGTCGTGCAGCATGGACACTTCGATCTTGTCGAGATAGACGAATACGACGGCGAAGAAGATGACGTCTACCAGGACGATGGTGACGATTAGCATGCCGCGCCATTGCAGGTACAGCACGCTCTTGAGTCGACGGTAGATGACCCGCGCTCGCTGTGATTTGGCACTCATCACAGACATTGGCAAACTCTTCGCCGATCCATGAGATACCGGTCTTGCGCTGTCTTCCCAAAGACTGTTGAAGAAGACACGGAGGCAGTATGCAANAACTAAAAATTTGTTTATCAGAACTGTGCATTTTGTGCTTTCTCCACGATGGACAACTTACGTTGTGATTTGGACAATCACAGCCGCTCCTGCGACAGCAAGAAGCCACCNCCAGAATGTTGCCATCGAGTCGTCATGGTTGATGTGGCAGGTACCACCGAATCGAAACGAGACTCCTGATATACTGATTGCAGATGTGAATAGTGCAGCTGGGACTCCCCAACCCACAGCTTGCGAGATGTAGAAGAACCGCGTGCCAGGGACAATGTCCCAGACAACAGTGAGGTGCATGGATAACGATCGGATGAAGACNNTTTTGATTAGTCAGTATGTGATGCGATGCATATGGCAGACACACTTACTCCACATGGATCCTGCGAGCGCTCCAGCCAGCAAAAATGCTCCAGACCATGCACATGTCATGGAAGTGTACATGTCGTTTGGCGTGATACCATCATAGCACTGTTCAGGCTCCGCTCCTAACGGTATCACGAAGGCGAGNNCTGTCTGGCATCAGCAAGTTGTTTTGGATATTCTCGGTTCACTAACATTGATCCATATCACAGCGACGATTAGACACTGCGTGAGGTAGTGACTCCGTGTTCTTGCCGCCGGAAGAAAGGCATTCGAGATGAGCATGAAGCATTGTAGCAATAGCCCGACGACATTAAGCCAACCCGACACAGTGCTCAAAGTNNTATAAAATCTGGAGTCGTGAGTTAGCAAGTCACGCGATGCCACTTGTTCTTGTCAAGATCACTGACTGTCCGAATAAGCCCAGTATGATGCTGGACAAGGCAGACAACATAACGGGGAAGTTGGATCTTGACTCTGCTGTGAACAAAGACGGCCGCCGATATCTGACGCTGGTCAGTACTTCTGCAACGGCAGTAGACCATCCACAAGACATACNNAACCGCCCCCGGAAGGAAATAGAGAAGCATCATAGAATGGAGCTATGCAAGCTCCGTGCAGCGAGGAGTTGAGAAACATTGTAGCGGTGTAATACTGGCACGAGGGCCACACGTCAAGAAGGGACCCAATATGGGAGAAATGATCAAGTCGATTTCGATGCGATCCGTGTTGCGGCAAGCGTAAGCATATATAGAGATGGAAAAGTCCAAGACAATCGGTCAAGAATCGCGGGGGATTCCAAAGATGTTGGGGGCGTCCAATATAAGCGGGTTCAAAGTGTATGAGCCCGGTCACGGTTGATGTCAGCCAATCTTGATGGTGATGTTAAGACCAGGTCGGCAGGCCAAAAAGACGGGAAGTGGCAGAAACAGACAGAACAAGTCTTGTTAAGCTAGATTTCGCCGAGAGTATGACACTTTGGAGGAAGAGGATTGAAGAGGATTGATGAAGAAAGATCTGTGGAGATGCTTGTGGGCATCCGTTGTGGCGGTACCAAGTGGGTGGTCGCCTTGTCAAGTGGCAGATCCATTNGGGACCCTTCANAAAGGCCGCCCAATACCTACCACGGACATGGCCTCTTCGTGAACACGGTGCTCGCCTTAGCCAACTGAATTGGCNTTGTTCTTCTCCCGAAGCCTTGTGCATAGGCTGGAAGAGGCACAACGATCATCGTTGCGCGACAGGAAGCTTCTGGTTAGGACAGTGTACAACATGGTCAATTCCCTCCCTTTCGTCCTCTCAGCGTTCAAGATGTACGTTATANNGTCCAGGATCGCACGGCCTGCCGCGCTAGTGGCCGAGTTTGAAGGCGGCCACTCGGACGCGTCAAAGCACATTTTGTGCGTCAATCTCCCTCCTAGGGCGCTCGTCTGTGCTGCCCAGTGGTCCTGGTACATTGGCGCGGCTGGAACAGGCGAAGGCCAACTCTGTCTAGCCGCCCCACCNAAGAGAACGAGAAAGAGTGATGGGGGATGTTCGAAATTAAAAATTTACTTGGAGGATCCGCAGGCTCGGCAAAGAAGCGACGAACGGGTTCGCTTCATGACCCAAGAATAACTTCCCGACACAAAGGGAATACGCAAACCCAGTGTTGTCTCTGTGGAATAGAGCAAAACTCCTACGTGAGGTCTCCAGGCAAAATTTAGAAGAAAAATCGCTGACTGCATGCATGAGCTTTTGCTCTTTGCATTCGCTCGAGCATGCACCCGAAACACCCGACGTGGGCCATGCATGACTGCATGGCTCTGCCAATATATGTGCGTGCCTCAACTGACTTTGCACACGCCCGCAGGATTATACGAATGGCGAGATCGTAAGCACGAGTGCTCCCGCCAAAATTGGTGTCTTGGTTGTTGAGAGATCGAGAACATCAGAACGGCTCCTTCGGTGTGTGCCGCGAGATAGGACACGCGACCAATTGCATCTGTTCATTCGAGGCTGCTCGTGTCATTGGGTAGTTGTATATAAGCGCGGGTCCGCAATCACGGCCACCAACATTGGCACCGTAATGAACCAAATCCTTCAGCCCACGTGTCTAAACGACCATGACACCTCCTAGTGCCTGTCAGTCTCGACATAAGCATTGCGGAGCTGACACCATCGTCCTTGTAATTGCTGCCCTAGTCACGATCGGACAATCTTTGCCGCATATTCATGAATCGTTGGTCTCAGCAGGGAAGGTGCCAGTGGAGAAATGTGGACAAATACGATTGCGAATACAGCTATCAATATGGAGGTAAAGTGGAAGATGCCAACTCAAGATCCTTTAGTCATCCGACATCTATCGAAAACGGGTGTTCGCCCTTCCACCGTCGCGTGATATAGGCATCGGGAATCTGCTACATAAGACACGAATGTAGAAATAGATCCATCGATGATTCGAGAATGTGTTACGCTGTTACATCGCAGGCGATCAACAGACCAAACACAAACAGGAGAAGCTGCAGACAAGAAACTGATGTCAGTTTGGCAAAACCAGAAAAACTTGAGAGAACAACCTCAACAAAGACGAAGGGAAGGGAGCAACTGACAAGCAACATGAACCCCATGATAGTCCATATCTCCCAACCACCAGCCCAGACTCTACCTCTGGCCATGTTCATCTGTTGACGCCAGAAGCGATGGGCGCCAATAATGATCACGACAATGGCAGCGCTTTGAAAGAGGCCCGCTAGAGGCTTTCCAAGAGTGTGATAGCCAAACACAGGATCATTCTCAGGATCTGGCGAGCGCTGCAGACTGAAGAGCTGAGCGGTGACAATACCCAGCATCGAGAGCGCGAGCGAGGTGCGTTGGTAGGCAAGAAACGTTCGTTCATTGGCNNTGTGACGGTCAAAAAGTCAATTGTCATTTTCAGCTTCCAGGCGGTCTGTAGTTGCGTGCAAGTGTGATTGACACAAAAATGATGGGGCTAAAAAGTACATACCGAGGTGATCTCTACAATCTGCGTGAGGTACGTGTAATTGGATATAATGCTTCCACCATCTCCTCAAGCCACTGAGAATTGGAGCTTCTCTACCGGTGCCAGGATTGTTCGACGCATTGGTCGAGGACGACCTTCCAGCTATATTTTGGTGTACATGTTGCACGGGTTCGAGTTCTGTTGCTTCCCGCTCGTCGACATCTTTATCGAATGGGTGCTCAACGTTCTGCAAGATTTCGTCTCCGTGTCGAACAGATCCCGACATTTTACTTTGTCACAAGAACCATCTCGACACAAGCGTGGGCGTGGAAATGAGACTGAAATACAAAAGTGCAAGTAGTAGTGGAAGGGACGACTGGCTACCTTCTGCTGAACGATACGAGACGGAATTGAAGATAGGGCGATGAAGAATGCTTGGCAGGGTCTCTACACCAAAACGAGTAATTTTATTCTTAGAGGATCATAACCAGAAAACATGATGGTAAGACAACCGATCCTCTATGCACAGTAAACGAGGGTGCGACCAACACCCAATAAAGACATCCAGGTTTCATTAAAGAAGCAATATATCATATTTTACATGACATAAAGAAGGTTTGTATCTGCACAGCGAGATTAGTATGTTAGACAGGTCTCAGAACGTAGAAGGGAGAACTTACCAATAGGATGACTGGCACTCAATTGAGGTTTCTGAGAGTATTGTCCTTGAAGTTCGTCACGAATGCTGTTCAACAGTTGAACGTAACTTTGCTGAGGGTTCTTTCTGAGAGCACCGATGAATGCCCAGGACATGGCACCAGTCGCTTGACCAGCAATGGAGGCATCAGCTGAGGTCTGATCGTCTTTGCTGCCACTCCACATGATGACATCTCCAGGCGAAGTCTTTGTGCGCTTGTTCGCTTCATAGCTGTCATTGCCCTTGGTGACCTTCTTAAACAAGCCCATGGCAGTACTCGCCATACCGCCAATGTCGCCACGGGCATAGCTGCTGACAATACCTAGCAGACCTTGGCCAGCTTCTTTGGCAAGGTTGGGCTCCTTGAGTACACCTTGGGTGGAATAGATGTATGGCAGATCCAAAGCGGAGCCTGAGTGGCACGAATCGAAGATAGCGGTTAGTCGTACACCGGGGGCAAGATTCTTGACCATGATTAAATGCATCTCATCGTCAACAATGTGGCCGGTTTGGCGGAAATCAACAGGGTAGATGACTTCGTCATAGCCGTCTTCCTCGTCACCATCGAGATCTTCAGTCTGACCACCGTGACCTAACAAGCATTAGCAAAAGGGAATGAGGAGATGGTCAGAGTGGTGNNGGCATACCAGAGTAGTGAAAAAGAGCGAGTCGTTGGGCTGGGCGTCCTTAACGAGCCAGTGCATTGCGCGCAGGATGTTTTGCTTTGTAGGCTGGCTCATTGGGTTCTGCTGGTCATCGGTCAAGGTGACCATATCTTCGCGCTTGTAGCCAAAGGCCTCCATGAGGTAGTTGGACATGTTCTTAACATCGTTGATGCAACCTCGGAGCTGCCCCTTCTGGCCAAAGTAGTTGATACCGATCAAGAGAGCCTTTCGCTTGCCGGTACAGTTGGAGTATTGGAACGAGTAGCCATTGGGGGCGCCACTGCCAAAGTTTTGCATGCCGGTGGGCGGAGGTGGAGGGGCACCTTGACGAATGTTGTGCTGTTGGTAGACATTTTGGCCGCTGGGCAGATCTAAGAGATGCGGTCAGTCGCTGATATCACACGATTGTCTTGGGGCACAGTACGTGATTGAGGGCCATAGTGCTGAGGAGGCGGTTGCGAATAACCGCCATATTGTGGCTGTTGTGGAGGAGGTTGCTGGTATTGACCGCCGTACTGTGGTTGCTGAGGAGGACCGCCGTAGTTTCCGTACTGAGGCTGAGGTGAGTTGGAGTAACCGCCGTATCCTTGCTGAGGTGGGCTGTTGCGCGTCAGTCATTCTGTGCGGCTATGGTAATGGGCGCAAGCTAGCTACTGACGGATATTGCTGAGGAGGATAGCCTCCGTACTGCTGTGGGGAGGAGGCCCTTGATTGTAGCCTCCCTGGTTATGATAGCCTTGGCCGGGATAGTACGACATGTTCGCAGGACGATATTGGTTTTTAGGATGCGATGTAGAGTTCAAATGTCGAAAAGAGAGGCAGCCGTGCAACCACGCGGGGTTCCTGAATCCTGTCCTGAGGCCGCTGACGCGTTTGACTTCACTGTTGCAATCTAGAACTTGGCACTTCCGTCACTTGCCCAAGTATAAAATACCAAATGTCGACGGTTCAAGACGCGCGAACAGGCCGTCTTATTATCTTTCGGCACCTCGCTCGAACAGTCCGCTTCTAGAAAAAGCTGTCCGACTGGGCAGGAGATGATGTGGCGCTTTGCTGAACAAGAAGCCGCCAACGGTCTTGTGCGAGCGTCGAGGAAGCCGTCTTCTCTGACAGAGATTCATCGTGTTTCCCCACAGCCGTCCGCGCCTTTTGCTCTGCAGCGATCTGCTGTTCCCCTTGTCGATCCAGCCTTATCAAGACCGCTCTCCAGAAAGAGCTTCTCAATTCAGCCAGAACCCCTCCTCTACCAACCTCTTGCTGCAAGCCACACATCATCTTTCAACCCTGTTTCGAACCTTGACGTCTGTTCGCTTTGCTCGAACTTGTCTGTTGGCCCGTTCCGCTGTCTTTCGGCCGCCCCGACACCGGGCCACATGGTCGGCCAACAGCCCTAAAGAACGCCTCCATCGTCCAGTTCCCTCGAAATATACAAGAGCCTAACCTCACTTAGGACAATGATCTTGGTGGCGCATCGCTGCACAGCCTATAGAATTCCATCGTCTATCGTATAGATCTAACTTTCAACTTCTGATACCTCTTTTTGGCTTTCAGGGCTTGGATGTTCCCCAACATCTTGTCCGGTCCTTCGCTAAGACATGCTTCTTGTTGGGCTTTTGTGACTTGGAGTCCGAAATTCACAGCACCTTCATCATGTTTCTGTCGAGTCTTCGTCACTCGTGACTCCCACTGCGAACACCCGCTCGCACCACTCGGCAAATACCTCGCTGGACCAGACCTCGTCTTCTCGACCCTTTCCTTTCTTGCTGACCTTGCCGATTTTGGATGCGCCTTTGCCTTCACTCAGCTTGTCCATCCAATCCTCGTAGGCTAGGATGACTTGATCCCGCACTGCGGCCACAAGTGTTTCTCTCGTCCTTACATCCTGGATATACTCGTCCAGTTTCTGTCGCAGAGATACCACTTCCTTTTGCGTGATAGTACGAACTTCAGCCGTGATCCGACTGGCCTCTGACCCTGAATCTTTCTTTGGCGATGTGAGTAATGTTGTGACCGGGCTCACGAAGCTGTTGACAAAATCATTGATCACTGCTCGTAGCCGTCCGTCAAGTTCTGCTTTGGCGTCGAGCATGTTTTCCACTACTCGTGGCATTAACCCTCCAGCAGCGAGCTTTACCCAACTGGCCGGATTCCACAATCCTCCGCGCTCGCGAAGCTCATAGAATGTGTTGGTGACGGATGAGAAGTCAAATGTTACTTCAGGCGTGATGAACTCGATATCAAATGCTACGATCTGTTGCTTAAGTCGCAACAAATGAGCGATCAGGAACAGGTTGGCGTCGGCAGGCGATGACTTTGTTGCTATCTGAGATGCCGCCCATGCTAGGGAAACAGTAGTGCTGTGAACGATGTTGTGCGCCAAGTCGTCAAAGACGGTGGANNCTGTGGCCCCGGTTAGTAATTGATATCGGCTTGATCATCGAATTCAACTTACATTGACCAAACGGTAGATACGGCTCAGAAGCCAGATTGCTTTACGCAGCGTTGGATACCAGACCATGGCCTGTTTCTCGTTGTTGGACCAAGATGATTCGAACATATCGATGCCATCGTCTTCTTCGCCAGGCGATTTGACCTGAACAGTATTGGATGAGTTTTTGCGGCCAGAAAGAGCCACTCGTTTCCCGTCAGCGGTTGTTGTTGATGGACCACGAGCTTGTGATGGGTAGTCGAGATCTTCAGGCTTTGGTCGGTAGTTCTCAATATCGTCCCTAAGAACAGCCAACGCAAGGAAGACGAGTCGACTTTGGGCATCTTCTAATGCAGGTTTGACTAGAGCAGCAAAATCCAGGCTTCTCTTTGTGTTACCGACGTCTGGATACTCCATGTCATCGTCTTCTTCGTCAACCATGAATCGAGTTTGGATGAAGGTACAAAGCTCGCATAGCTTGGGAATGCGAGTTTCGCGAATGATTCTAGGGCGGAGATGGTCGTATAAAGGCTCACACATGGCCTCGAGGAACTCGTATACACCTCCATCTCCAGAAAACCAGTCACCCCAGAGATCGTACTCATCAAGACATATACCTCTCACAAAGCCGATGGCAGTTTTCGCAAAGGTGACCGAATCACCGACTGCGTTATCAACCGTAGCCATCTCAGTGAGCTTACGAGATATGATGGGGAACATTAGGCGGCCTCGGGTGGCTGAGTAACTCTGATACAGCTCATTCATGAGACTTTGATACTCGGCCTCGCCTCCTTGGTCGGCACCTGAAGGCAGAACAGCACGCTTTTGTATTTCTAGACCGAGTTGTTTCAGTTCAGGAGCGTCGACACGGAATTTTGCATAGAGCAGAGCGGTTTGGGTGGTGTCGTTGAGCTGGCGATCGGCGATTCGTTGTGAGGCATCTGCGGCCAGTGCTCGTAGAGAGTTTGTGAAATGTACTCGGATGAGAGTCAGGGCGCGAGTAAGCAGGAGACGGTAGCGCGAACGATAAGTAGGAGCTTCACGGTGGGTAGNGCTTGGAACGTTAGTAACGGTCTGACAGCGTAGAACAACGGGACATACATGGGCTTGCATATAGTCGAGGCATTGGTCAAGGTTCTTGAGCATGTCGGGGAATTCTTNTGCGCGGACGAGGTTGGCAGCACCAGGAGCATTCAGCCTACGGGTCATAGGCTCGAGATAGGCGTAGTATTGGAGGTTATGGTTCATGTCCTCGGCCAGGCTGGTGATGCGACGTTGCTCGGTTATGAGTGACTCGCATTGAGCGTGGAAGGCAGTCGTCTGGTCGTCCACAGCCTTGAATGAGTCGGACAGGGAGGACAGGACAGTCAGGGCGTCATTGGTACTCTGAGCTAGCGAGTCGAGGTGATGTTGCGACAGGTTCAGCTGATCGTAGTATAGGTCGTAGTCATGGTGGCTGGCATCCAGGAGGTCGTCCTCCAGAGCATCGTACCAAGTTGCGAAGTCAAGGTTCGATCGCAGGACATCTTTGGGCTTAGGGGCCGAAGACAGGCTGTTCTTGCGCAATAGAGTAGAGGGACGGGTGGTATGCGAAAGTTGATGGGCAGGACGGAGGTGGGTATATGAGAGAGCTCTTTTGACAAGTGTCGCTTTCGGAGGACCCTTGATCAATGAATTGTCGTCTTCTTCGTCCAGAGAGGGCAATTGGTCTGAAGGGTCATCAGCCTGTGTCGCTTCCTGTGCAGCATCAGACAAGGGCTCGACTCGGCCAACATACCATGGCACAGTCGAAGAGCAGCTTACATGTGGCTGTTGCAAGAGGGAAGCTCGCCGCCGATGGCCCGGAGTCTTTTCAGACGAGGCCGAGGCGCTGGGCACAAACGACGAGTACCAGTCGCTGTCCATCATGGTGGGCGGGAGGGAGTGTTGACAATTGACAACATTCAAAGTCACAGGCTGTCATGGCGCGTCTGGAGTCGACGGGCTTGGCTGGTCGACCGTCCCATAGCGGCGCATATCAGATGGCTCGGCCCGATCAGCCCGGAGGTCCGCAAGATCTGGCCGAAGGTCTGATGTCTGGCCGAAGGGTCTCGTGAGTTTGCCCGCAATCGCGTGGCTCGTGCCTAGAAAATGATGACGGTAGAGACTCGGCTGGCCAATCGCCGTCAAGTAGCTGACAGGTACTGGTTACTGAGAATATCTTCCAACCTGCAATGACCTGAGTCTTGTCAATTCTGTCGTCAATTGTTCAATTGCCTCTCCAACATGCTACCCAAGACCAGTGTACCCAAGCTGGGTGCTCTCCCAACAGCACGAGCAGCTTCGACTCGAGCTTCGATGCAAGCCAGAAGTCATGCAAGAGTCGCTTCCGCCCCCGCCTACGCTGCAAGACGACAGCAACATTTCCTGAGATCCCTGGCTGTCATTACTGCAGCTGCCGGTATTGCCACCGTCTCACAATACTACCTCCACGACGGTCGCTTCCTCAGCACAGCACACGCCGAAGCCCCACCTGCCGCCGAGCAACCAGACATCCAATTCGAGAAGACTCGCAGACGTGGTGCCAACAAAGAGGAGGACAGAGATCTCGCAAGCTCCCAACATCTCCAGGTCAGAAAGTCATGGGAGAATCCTGGCGTCTACGCGTGCGGCTCCAATGCTGGCAAGGTTGTTGCCCCCGATTCAGATGCCGCCTACATCAAGACGCCTCGTCGCATCAAGTTCTTTGACGGAAAGTTGCTTCGCGACATTAAGCTGGACAAGAACTTTGGTGTTGCCATAGACGAGCAGGGCAATTTGTTACAGTGGGGCGTTGACTACTCCAAGGACACTACTCAGCCTACTGTAACCCTCAAGGGTAAGGATCTGGTCTCATTGGCAATCTCCAAGGACCGTATTCTTGGCCTATCGTCTTCTGGAAGCGTCTACTCTCTGCCCGTCTCTGCTGCCGACCAGGCCTCAGGCACCAAGCCTAGCGAGAGCTCTTGGATTCCTTTCTGGTCCTCGACTTCTCCCATCAGCTACCGCACCATTGTCCCTTCAGACATGAGCTACAGTGAGAGGGTTTCGACCATTGACAGTGGCCTGGAACACGCCTTGCTGCTCACCTCCAAGGGACGTCTTTTCTCCATGGCATCCGCAACCGACGCTTACCCTACTAGAGGTCAGCTCGGCGTTCCAGGCTTGTCTTGGGATAACAAGCCCACTGGCCCTTACTACCAGCCTCACGAGTTGACCACTCTCAGAGGTTTCAACATCTCGAAAATTGCATGCGGTGATTATCATAGTATTGTCGCTGACACCGATGGTCGTGTCTTCGCATTTGGCAACAACACTTCCGGACAGTTGGGCTTCGACTATAACGTCGAGTCTGCTGTTGTTGACACGCCGTCGTTGTTGCCCCTTCAGAAGCTGTATGCTGGATCATCGCAGACTCCTGTAGTAACATCCGTGGCCGCTGGCGGTGCAAACTCTTTCTTGACCGTGGATGCTACCAAAGTGGCATCACGCAACTCCGACGGCAGAGGTGTTGGCAGAGTCACTGCTGACACTTTCGCATGCGGTGCTGGTATTTACGGTACGCTCGGAAACAACCGCTGGACTCACGTTCAAGGAACTCCTACCAAGATTCCTTCGTTATCGTCGCTCTTCGAGTACGACGAGAAAAACAACATGGTTGTCCCCATCAGATTGGCTAGCATGAGCGTTGGCAACAAGCACGTTGCAGCTGTCATGGACAATGTCGCACACACTGGAGCTCTGAACACAGATGGTGAAACATGGTGGGGAAGAGACATCGTCTTCTGGGGCGGCAACGAGCATTACCAGCTGGGAACTGGTAAGAGAAACAACGTTCCTACTCCTACATACATTCAACCTCTCGACCAGGCTGCAGAGCGTAAGGTCAGAGGCAAAGANGAGCACAGATTCCAGATAACACCTAGAAGTACTGTTCGCCTCCCCAACGGTAGGAAGGTCAGCATCGAACAGCGCGTAGAATGTGGTAGGGATTGTACTGCTATCTATTCGGGTGTGTAAGATGGACGGTGATCTTCTTTGTTGCTTACATGCATTCCTTGCATTTGTTGTTTCTGTAGATATCCTTGAGGGCGTTTTCTAGGCATGGAGTTGGTGGCAACAGGTTGTCTGTGATGTTAGTTCAGATGTATATAACCCTACTCTCAGCCTTTTGTTGTGCGAGATATTACGAAAATCGATTTACTCCACAGCAAGAACAGCGACCTCACAGAATTCTTCAAATCTTCAGCTTCATCTACTCTACCATTCCTCGAAGTATATCTTTTCAAACATACGATCCCGACGGTGCTGATGGCTTGTTTTCAATGTGCCGATACGAGTAGTGTGACTGATTGATTGGGCACTTCCGTCGCTGGTTTGTGTCATCTGATCGCACGTCCGTGGCGACCGCAAGAGCGCTCACAATTTTGCGCATCTTTGTCCTCATCAGCCTTGCAGAATACAAGACTCGTAGTGGCATTGCTTGGTCGAACTTGGCTTCTGCGAAGCCTCAGGCTGGTATTAATGTTTTGTCCTCTTCATGTTGTCTCAAACTTCGCTTAATGCAGCGAAGGACGGCAGCGCTTCATGCAGCAACGATAGAATGAAGGCTTCGTGCAGAACTCAAGAAAACTGGCTGCTGACCTCGCCTGATCGCAATTCACGCAGACGAAGGAAGCTGCCTAGGATCTCTCCGAGTCTTGATTTTCGATCGAAGGGTACGGGCTGTAGAGACTCCTTCGAAAGCACTTTAGCACCTTCCTCAATGAGCTAAGTCGTTACCCCTCCACGAACTTGGATGCAGCGAACATCATGCGCTGCTGCCACCGGATCATCAACTGCCTCGCATGAATCGCATTCCAACTGCCCGCTTATCGTTGCATCGAGTGTGGTCAAATTGACGTTTTCTAATCGGCAGCCTTCATTCGCTTGGGTCAATTTCTTGTATTGTATCCGGACTGCCGCTATCTCATCACCCGCCTTATCCAATCAAGACACGGGTCGATCTACGTTACATCCTACACCCATGTGAGCCTGGTGTGCACATCCTGGTGCATTCTATAAAACGATCGCAGCGCCCACCTGCATCTCGCACCACATCCGCTTGAATCATCTTGTCGTTTGTCAGCAAATATGGCACAACCTGCAGCTCTGAGTCTAGAAGGCGACCCTCGAATGAGTGCCTCTGGCCCTGGCATAGCACAGCTTTCTACACCAGCACTTAGAAATCTACATGACCCTTCAGTGACAATCGAAGAATACTTTTACTGGGCAAAGATTACTCGTGAAGAGCAGAGAAACATTCCCACGGTCAAAACACCGGCTAGGAAGCTTTTGAGCTTTGGTAAACACGATGCAGCCTCCACCACCATCACTGGAAGCGATCCCACCAAGTCTGAAACTTCCCAAAAGGTACTGGGTACAGCGACAGACGAAAAGACTGGCGAACCTGAAGCTCCTGCAGATGTCGGACGAGCTGCTGTGACAGAGGACGAGTGGTTACAAGCCTCCAGAGCTGCAAGGACAGCGACTTGGGGATCTGTCTTCTATCTTATCACCACAGACATTCTCGGTCCTTACTCTGTGCCGTACGCCAAACCTTCAAATTTGACTATCGAGCTCCTTCAGCTAACAATGCGGTAGNNATGGGCTTTGGCGCAGATGGGATATGGCCCAGGTATTGTTCTGTACACCATTTTTGGAGCTCTGGCGGGCTACACAGGTTGGCAGATCTGGCAAATGTTCCTCAAACTCGATTCCGACCATTATCCTATGAAAACTTTTGGCGACATTGCGTTCAGAGCCTACGGACGGGTCGTACGCCACCTGGTGAACATCTTGCAAGCAATTCAACTCATCTTCAATGTGGGAGTCATCATCATCCAAAATGGACAAGGTCTTTACCAGATCAACTCGAATATCTGTTATATTGTGGTGAGTAGAATCTATGTTCCAATTCACTATGACCAACAAATGTCTTCCCATGAAAACGAGCTAACGATACTTCTTCAANNGTGTTGCGTCATCTGGACAGGTGAGTCTGATTGCTCTACAACACTCGATACGCGTGCTCATGTTCTTNNAGTGTGTGGTTTCGTACTTGGTCAAGTACGTACACTGCAGAAATACGGCTGGATCGCCAATTGCGCCGTTTGGCTCAATGTTACTGTCATGATTCTTACAATGGCGGTCGTAAGTTTTCTCGCCAGGTTTTTCCAGTCGAGCTCGTCCAACTGACGATATTCCAGNGTGACCCACAGCCATCCCAACTATGAGGCTGCTGCTAAATCTAACGGTGTCGATGTTGGTCCTCCTGCGCCTCCAGTCATGACCACTGCTGGTCCTCCAGCTACCGTCGAGTTTAGTGGACAAATTGTGGGGTTGATGCAAGCTGTTTACTCCTATGGCGGTGCCATGCTCTACTGCGAGTTCATGAGCGAGATGCGCAAGCCTTTTGACTTCTGGAAGGCACTGATCGTTGCAGAGACCTTCATTTATGTTGTCTATCTGTTCTTTGGCATCTACGTATACTCATTCCAGGGCCAATACACCATCAATCCAGCCCAGCAGGTACGTTGTGTTCACCTAGCAGACAACAGCGGTGTTGCTAACTCTCTGAACCAGGGCATGTTTCCTCATGCGGCCTTGACCGCGGGCAACATCATCGCTTTTGTGACGGCCCTTATAGCTGCCGGCTTGTATGGAAATATTGGAATCAAGGTCATGTATCAGAACATTTTCCAAGAATTGTTGGGTCTGCCAGAGCTTACCACAAGAGCGGGAAAGCTCCTGTGGACAGGCATCGTGCCGATTTACTGGGGAGTAGCCTTCATTCTTGCTGCCGCAATTCCACAATTCAGGTGAGTCTTCTTACTATCATGTCTCATGCCTCTATCTAATATAGTATCNAGCGCACTTTCTGGTCTCGTGGCAGCTCTTTGTATCCTCCAATTCACGTACACCTTCCCACCTCTGCTCATGGTAGGAGTGCAAGTCCAGTACGACGCGATCCGCCCTGATCAAGGCGAAGGTTTCAACCCAGCTACTGGTGAGACGGTACGACATGACCACGGCATGAAGAGATGGATCCGTGGCTTCTTTGCTCGCAGATGGTACATCAAGCTTTGGAATGTCATCTTCTTCCTTGGGGCTCTAGTGACTTGCGTTTTGGGAACATATTCTTCGATCAAGTCGATGATTGAAGCCTATGCTTCGGGCTCGTCGACGGCTTTCAGTTGTGTCGGACCGGTTTGAAGGGTTGATACTGGTGTTTGTGATTCGACTCAACGTGTGGTGCGTCCTAAGATGGTATTTATCTGTATCAATAATTACCTAGTGGAATATCCTCCCCTCTTCACCATCAAGCTGTATACTAATGGTGCAAGGGTCATGTTGGCCACGTCGTTGTTCTTTTCTCTGATCTTCGATTAGCGTAGCCTTGGTTGTCGTCGTCGGATGTGGGTAACATTGTAACTAGAAACACCGTAGCCAGGGTGCTGAGACCAACAACCATCATGGCCGGAGATAAACGGCGTTATACAACCCATGTTGATCTGCACCACCGACGTCACCAAACCTGCCACGCGTAGCTCCCTTTTTCGTGCTATTTACCACTCACAAGGTATCTTTGCGAAAAGGTAGGTGTGTGAGATTGTGTAGAGGTAGGTTTATCACTGGACACACATCTCAGCGATGAGGACTGCAAGAGCGAGCTTGAGATACAGCCCTCGCATCGGAGGTCATCTCCACGGACTTCAAAAAAAACAAGGCAGGGCTCAAGGAAGTCGCGTGAAGTCAACTTACGTGAACCCTTGTCTCCTTCGTTCATCGCTTCCCAAATCGACTCTGCTCATCCTCGGACACATCCAGCGACAATGACGGCGAGAATAGATGGCGGCGAACCTTTCCTCAAACATTTGAATATTAGCAAGACACCGTACATCTTCATTACAGCCGAGACGGACGACTTTGACGAGGAGATTATTGCTGCATGGCAANNGGGGGAAGGCTTTGTTACGACATATGTACCTTATGGCGATGGAGGGAGAGACTATATCAACAGGATGCATGCGGCTCCTGACCAGGCGCTGGGGTTGAACGATCAGTATGCTGTAGTAGGTTCGTTCTTTCCTCCCTCATCCACATTTGGAAACGAGCAGCGGAATCAAACTAATGTATCGCANGCATTTGGTGATGCAGCGAGTGCATGCCTCGAAGCCTACGTCAAGTCCACACCCCGTCTAGCCGCCCTGATCGCATACTACCCTGACAAAATCCCTGATCCGCAACAAACACGATATCCCATGCACACGACTGTGCTAGTTCACCTCGTAGGGAGTGGGATCAAGGTGATCCGTACACCAGAAGTACTCGGCATACAAGGCAAGAANAAGATTATTGANAAAAGAATAGGAGACGGAGCTGGCCTGGGTGGAGAGCTCAAATTAAGCTTTCAGGCATACAAGTATCCTGGCGTCGATTCTGGGTTTGCAGAGAGCGACTTGGATGAATACGATGCTGCTGCCGCTGGCCTGGCATGGAGCAGGACCTTGGGTGTCGTAAAGAAAGCTTTACGAATAGCTTCTGATATTGAGAGGATACGAGACAATCATTTGGANCTGTATGTTGGTTGCAACTACACACGATCGGCTATGGAACATATCATGGCTGACACAACTGCTCCACACACAGATGCGCGCAAAGGCAATGCCCAGAAAGCCCTTTCCATGACGGCTTCAAACCCGGCAGTTCTCCATGTACCAACGCTGACTGGTGCCTTCCACGAAGAAGATCTAGCAGACTTTTACACCGAGTTCTTCCAACCATCACCTACATCTCTCAACTGCAGACTCCTCTCGCGCACCGTAGGCACCGACCGTGTAGTCGACGAACTCTCCCTCTCTTTCAACCACAACAAAGTAATACCATGGCTGCTTCCTGACATTCCCGCCACAAATCGCAGGATCGAGATTGTGATCGTGAGCATCGTATGCATCAAAGCGGGAAAGCTGGCTAGTGAGAAGGTGTACTGGGACCAGGCTAGCGTATTGATGCAAGTGGGATTGCTTGATCCGAAAATGGTGCCGGATAAGTTCAAAGAAAAAGGAGTTGAGAAGTTGCCGGTCATTGGTGCTGAGAGTGCGAGAGCAGCGGTAAGAGGAGGTAGTCGGAGGATCAATGAGTTGATCGATGAGTGGTAGAGCTGAGTGATGAAGTATTCCTAATGCAATATGATACAAGCGTGCCCTCATCCTGTTGATACTGCATAAACTTGCCCATCCTGAATTGTTATACTTCGCATCACCTTCTGTCAAGTCTTCAGCTTTTCTTCACAAAAGAGCGCATATAATAGCTGATACCTCGCTCTGCTTCTCTCAAAAGCTGCAGACAAGAGTTTTCAAGCCGTGCTCTGGCCCACCAGAACCCTAAGACTTCGTCCATTTCCACCTCGTCAGGACACCACACAACCAAAAGATGAAACCTCTACATCCAGAACACAGTGATATAGATGCATGATGCAAAAGGATACTGATCAGAGTGGGATTCGAACCCACGCGATTTCTCACTAGTAAACTCATTTCAGGTGAGCCTGAAACTAGCGCCATAACCACTCGGCCATCTGACCAATCGATGTAGTGCTCGTAGGCGGTGCAATACTCGTACTGCGCAACGAAGATCGTAGCCACGAGAGCAACCAGAATTCAACGTGGATCTGTCAGAAGTGAGCATGATACCCCAGTCTGCCTCTGCTAGGACCTGCCAACTTGATGAAGCTCATGTCACGACTTTGAGCCCTCCTCGCGTACCGAAAGCTGTAGCTTTGTAAGTATAGAGAAGGTACAATTGATGACAATTCAGAAAAGGACTTTTTTCTTCCGTGGGACTGTATTCCCTGACGAGATCTGATGAACCAAGAAATGAGAAAAGAAAACACATGTAGAAAGCACATGTACTGTGCAAACAGAAAAAGGACAAAGGGCAGGCCTCACAATATAATACACTTATTACGCCTGCGGCCCTTCTTCCTATCCCCCTCCCCACCATCCTCCTCCCTCCTCCGCCTACTCCTCTCCTCACCTCCATGACTGGTCCCAACCCTTCCGTTCTGCAGATCCTTGTGCATAATCTGCCTGCACACATCCACAAACACTTCTGTGACGTTCTGCCGTGTCCTCGCTGAAGCCTCGTAGTAAGGCACGTTTCCCCAACCAGATGACACGGCAAAGGCAGCTGCTCGAGACACTGCGCGGTCCTCTTCCAAGTCGGACTTGTTGCCGACGAGTACGATCGGGACGTGTGGATCGTCTTTGAGGTTTACGAGTTGGTCGCGGAGTTCGGAGAGTTCTTTTAGAGAGGAGGATGAGGTTATGCTGAAGACGAGGAGGAAGCCTTGGCCGGATTTCATGTAGAGTTCCCTAGAAGANNTGGATTAGCTCCTACGATTCTTTGAACGCCAGTATTAGTTTAGATATGTACCGCATAGCAGCTGGAATATGTGTTAGCAGGTGGGTTTATGAGCTTTGAGTGTTGAGATGATTTTGGACTTACTGAATTGTTCCGTTCCAGCCGTGTCCAGGATCTCGAGAATTACTTGTCGACCCTAGCATTTGCGATTAGAAAGGTGAATATAAAACGAAGTTTCGATGGCTATGCATACATCGACATCGCATTGCTTGCGGTAGGAATCTTCGATAGTCGGATCATATCGTTCGATCCAGATACCTTGTACGAATTGTGCNNTTTTCAGGATGTCAGTCATATTCAATGATGGACTGCTTGATCGCAAGATACCTGTCAAGCAACTTTTTCCGACACCACCTGCAAAGGTGTCAGCACACGATTCTGTAGGATGTTTGTAAAGTATACAGACCTGAGCCAAGAACGACAATGTGGTATTCCCTAGCGATTCACGTTCAGTCTTGACAATGATCGACATGGAAAGGCACGGTATTACCTATGGTTCACCGACCGCGACATCTTGTCTGAGAGCCCTGAGGATTACCAAATATAAGAAGCGATGCTGCGCCCAGACAAGAATATAGGAGAGCTTGAGTTCGCAACCCAGGACCGAGTGAATGGGAAACCACGGGTTGAAGGAGGATATCGGCGAGGCGGACCCGCTCTCCGCTACTGCAGAGCTCCTGACCAGCAAGAGAGGTGCAGATCGGTCGTTAGATCGTAACGTACTAGCTTAGGTCATGTCAATTAGGACAAGTTCTACAAAGCATACAACAGCGAAGAGGACAATTCAAAGGACGGTATATGGTGTAAACTCACAGCTTGGCGTTTGTTGATCGAAGGGTTCGTTTGAAATGCGGTCAAGGAATCGCCCGGCTACTCAGGAGCACAGTACGTACAAACGGGCAGATCGGCGGTCAGAGAGATTGCAGAATATTGACATGCATATACACACAGTAGAAGGGGAAAAATGGGCACGAAGAACTGTCGGATATAGATAAGATTAGGGGAGACGAGGAGACGCGTTGAGAGCGTAATGACATGCAGCGCGTGCGAGAGCTGCCTCTGAGTGATATCAGAAGTGTGCAGCTTTCTGGGATGATAATTTCGGCACATCCGAGTCATGGATCGTGCCGCCGCGCCTCGGCTTCAAAGCACTCTGAGACGACCTTTAACACGATATGTCTCAACTTGGCCGGCTTTTTCATGTATTCAGCCATTCTTGAAAGACGCCATCTCTATATGCAACGGAAGATCCGGTACTTGCTTCTGCTTCGTTGACGCATAGCAAATTTCTAGACGTGATGATATTTTTCGTACTGAGCACACGAGTATTGCAAGTATGAATTGACGCAAGCTGTACAAGTGTATAGCATGCGATCTGTGTGTGATCGGGTACAGACGAGCAAGCGGACGGACAGAAAATTATAGATTTGCTGCAAGCCACAAGGAGCTTCAGCTCGCCAGGTTCACACGGCAAGATGTAGCCGGCAGCAACGTCACCAACGTCACCAGGACTAGAAAATGCAGTGGGGTTGCAGACGAGCTTGCAAGCGAAACGTCAGCAGCTCGCTTGTTATGGAAACTGGATAAAGGTCAAGAAGCGAACGCGAACGCGAATGTTCAGTAAACAGTCGATTGATTTGAATGAATTGAGATGTCAGATTAGGGCAGCTCTTGCTGATCATGGACCCTCCCCATGTGAAAAAGTATGTAACGCGCGTAGCTGTAAAAATGCATGATACTACCAGGAAACTAGGCAATTCCCACTGAGAAGCAACAAGATATGGACTCTTTATGGACAGCATCTATCTTCGAATGAAATTGTGCCTTTCATCGCGTGTCCCTTACTCTGTGTTGTGCTTGGAGTATGATGGAAGTTACATACTTTGAGGGAGCTGCTTGGTTGCGTGGGAGATCTTCGGAGGGCAGGCGCAAGCTCTGGGGAAGGAGCTCTGGAGTTGTTGGATGCTGTCTGTCCATAGCGAGTCGAGCCCAATCGACTTTTCAGGATCCGTGAAATGCGAATCCCATCTGTGCTTGTCGCCGCAGTGAGCTTGGTCTTACCAGCATGTCAGGCTGTCTTCGTCGATGATGCATGGAAGGTAGACTGGCACCTTGCCCTCGTCGGCGCACCCCACGAACACACGACCTTCTTCCACCAGCCCGTTGCCGCATCCAAAGCATCTTTGCTCTACACTCTCTCGGACAAGACAATTCTTGGAGCCATTAATCCCAAGGATGGCTCACTCAGATGGCGCCAGCAACTATCCCCCGTTAGCAGTTCGACGTCAGCCTTCCTCCGACCCGCCCAGGACCACCACCTCGTAATCAGCGCCGTTGACGGTCAGGTCGCTGCATGGAATGCTGCTGATGGTCGTCAAGCATGGTCTGTTGATCTGCAAGATGCCACGGTGAAAGACTTGGAAATTGTCGAGATACCCGAGGCCAACGAGCAGGGAGGAAGCAAGGATGCCATCGTTTTGACTGGAGGTCCTCTGCCTACCGTCCAGAGACTTGCCCGCCAGGACGGTGCCCGAAAGTGGCTCTACAAAGATGAGAGCGGAGATGTCCCTTTCCAGCTCTCCGTCTCGTCCACGCACATCTTCTACATCTCTCTGCACACCTCGATGCTGGGAGGCCTTAAGATCAAGGTTACTTCCTTGGATCCTGTTACTGGACATAAGATTGACCAGTACACATTGGCCACTGAGAGTGATCTTGCTTCGACTGCAGATATTCTGTCCGTTGGCGCCAACTCGGCCTCGCCCATCATTGCATGGACCGACAAGGCTCGTTCTACTTTCAAGGTCAACGTCATCGGTTCTAAGACCGTTTCTACCTTCGATGTCGAAGCTGGCCAAGACGTGCTGAATCTCTCTTTGCATGCTCCCTACCACGTCAATGCGCGCCCCCACTTCCTCGTTCATTACCAAGCGCGCTCGCAGAACTGGGCCGAAGTCTATCATGTCGATCTCGTCAAGTCTACCGTGTCTAAAGCATATTCACTTCCTAAGTTGACAGGCAGCGCCGCTTTCTCTGTCAGTACCTCTGAAGCCAACGTCTACTTTACTCGCATCTCCGAAGCCGAAGTGACAATTGTCTCGTCCGCTTCGCACGGTATTCTTGCCAGATGGCCTTTGAAGGGTGCTGCAGGTATCACCTTGCAGGGCGACCATGCACCTATTCATGCCGTGTCTGAAGTGTCTGTTAAGGCTGACACCGTTTCTGCTGCACGCTCCGCAGTCTATCTGGCGTCTGGCGAATGGGTTATGATTCGTGACGGAACACCTGTTTGGGAAAGACCAGAAGCCCTGAGCGGTATCAACTCTGCTGTCTGGGCATACCTTCCTGCTCCTGAAGGTCTTGTGCACGAACTCGAGATCGAAGGCCACTCCAATCCTGTTCAGGCTTATATTCACAGAGTCAAGAGACACATTACAGCCTTGGAGACTCTCCCAGCATATCTGACAGCTTTACCCGGTCGCATCGCCGCCAGCGTAGGCTTCGGAGCATCTGATACCGATCTAGATTCGACAAACATATTTGGCTTCCACAAGAGGATTGTCTGTGCTACCGAGAGCGGTCGCTTGATTGCACTGGACGCAGGCGGCAAGGGCAACACGGTCTGGAACGTCAAAATCGACAACAATGCAGCTCCTTCTCCTTGGCAATCGCCCAAGCTTGTTGCACGCCCAGATGGTACAATTGTCGCAAGCAGCTTTGATGGTAGCCAGCACAGACTTTTCAACGCATCTACCGGCGCTGAGATGCCCTACACCGAACTTGCACTCTCTTCAGGCCTGGACCTTGATGCCAAGTTTGCTTACGGTTTAGAGGATGGTAAGGTTGTAGGTGGTCCCATTGCTGAGGCTGCAACATGGAAATTCTCACCTGGTAATGGTGAGACGGTTTACAGCCTGACCCCTCGTCCACTTGATGATCCTGTTGCTTCCATCGGAAAAGTTCTTGGAGACCGTAAGGTTTTGTACAAATACCTTAACCCCAACACTCTGCTTGTCATCACTTCCTCTGAAGCTACGTTGTCGGCCACTGTCAGTGTGCTTGATGCGTTATCGGGATCTGTGCTTTACGTTGCTTCGCACCAAGGCGTGGACGCAACTATACCCATCGCCTCGACCATGTCTGAAAACTGGTTCGCTTACTCTTTTGCTTCGCAACCAACAGCAGACGGCGTCAAGGGCTATCAATTGATCATCGGCGAGATGTTCGAATCACCATTCTCGAACGACAGAGGCCCCCAAACCGCCACCAAGAACTCATCAGAGGTGGACTATAGTTACCAGCCTCATGTAGTCTCACAGTCGTACCGCATTCGCGAGCCGATCTCGAAGTTGGCAGTCACACAGACCAGACAAGGAATCACATCGAGAGCCCTGTTGGCTGTGCTGCCTGAATCCAATGCGATAGTTGGCATCCCCCGCCAGGTCATTGACCCGCGCAGACCTGTTGGCAGGGATGCAACCAAGGACGAGATGATGGAGGGTTTGATGAAGTACACCCCAGTCCTTGAGTTCGACCCCAAATGGTATCTCAACCACCAACGTGAGGTCTACGGTGTTGAGACCATTACGACCAGCCCGGCTGTACTTGAAAGTACCAGTCTGGTCTTTGCTTACGGCCTGGATGTGTTCAGCACTAGAATTAGCCCGAGTTTCTCATTCGACATTCTCGGCAAAGATTTCAACAAGCTCCAAATGCTGGCAACAGTAGCGGCACTTGCAGTGGCTACTGTAGCTGTTGCACCTTTAGTAAGTTACTCATTGACAACTGTAATACCGTCATGCTAACCTAGTGCTCAGGTGAAACGTAAGCAAATCAACACAAGATGGCAGTTCCTGTAGAACTGGGTACTAGAACACATAGATGACTCTTTTCAATGTACATTATGTTCCCCAAATATTGCTTCGTTTCATGCTTGGTAAGGAATGCCTTGCAACCGTTCCACCGCATAATTGGATTATCGTAAAGCTGTCGATGATGAATTCAACGATGACAATTGTGATTCGGTGCGGCCTTTAATAACTCGCGAGGTAGAGCAAGAGTTTACAAGTACTCATCTCGCCTTCAAACAGTTCCGAGAGAAGAATGTCGGCGTTGTGCAAACCGAGCAACCGAAACGGATGACGCTTCAGTTACGGCTGATGAATTCATAAATCCGTTAACTCCATTATATTTATCTAGTCCTCGTCATCATCATTGTTATTGAAGAGAATCACACTGAACCACATACAAGCAACAATGACTGATCAGAACAAGTATAACAGCAAGCTGCAGGGCCAGCGTGTGCTCATCATTGGAGGTAGCGCAGGTGGGTGCCTTGATCAGACGGATAAAGTGTTGCTGGTCTAACGAATTTCAGGTATTGGCTATGGAGTTGCCGAAGCATCATTGGAGAACGGAGCTCATGTCATCATCTCTTCTTCAAACGAATCCAGAGTTCAGGAAGCCATCTCAAAGCTGCANAAGGCATACCCATCAGCCGCTAAACGCGTCGAGGGCTACGCAGCCAACATGGGCGATCAAGCGAGCCTTGAGTCCAATGTCGAGCAGCTCTTCAAGAAGGCTGGCTCGCTCAACCATGTCATCTTCACAGCTGGAGACTCTTTGGCAATGATGCCGCTTGAGGAAGCTACCGTGGACAAGACTATCCAGGCAGGTATGGTCAGATACTTCGCCCCTCTGATGGTCGCCAAGCATGCTGCAAAGGTGCTTGACAAGAGCACAACCTCGTCCATTACCTTTACCACTGGCAGTGTCAGCGAGAAGCCAATCCCCAACTGGAGCGTCATCAATGGTTTCGCCACTGCCCTTCAAGGCACTACAAGAGGTCTAGCATTGGATCTCAAGCCCATCCGTGTCAACTTGGTCTCCNNCCCCGGAGGCGTGGAAACTCCATTGTGGGACAACATCCCTGAGGAACACAGAAAGCAGATGTTCCAAGAGTTTGCGAACAAGATGGCAACAGGCACGATTGGTCAAGTCGAGGACGTGGCCGAGGCATTCCTGTACGCAATGAAAGACAAGAACTTGACAGGAAGTATGATCAGTACAAACGGAGGCGCCCTGATTATGTAAAGATTGAGGGATATAATTCTGAGAAGGAAGGAAAAGGAGATAGTGGGGCAGCAGTAGTGGGGAATGCAAATTTCTGTTGTATTCGTGGCAGCCCAAGCCTTTGACACTAAATGTTTGCCTATGATTTGTTGAAGAGGATGGGCTAGAAAATGATACAGCGACGTTTCCGGCAAGTACCCCTCTTGGTATGCTGTTGGGACTGCGGGCAAATCTAGTGTGTGTAGAAGACAAAGAAATGTCGGAGGTGTTTGCGGAGACTGCGATGCAGCAAGCCAGGAGACGGGAAGACGGTAGAGTTTCTGTCAGTCGAGTAGGCGTTTCAGGAGTCTGGTCAAACCTGGTCCGTGGGACGAGCGTTTCGAGAACAAAAAGCCCCGCCTGGTGGTCCTTCTGCTGCCCAACTTGTTGGAGATGATGGTTCTGGCGAGGACATAAACTCGCAGTGCTCCCTGAAGACGTTGATCTCCAAACATATAGCCGCGGGCAGAGACAATCAAGTCGTGACAGAGTTTGGCATTCTGGACCAGCGATTCAGGACAGTTCATTCAGGGAACGGGCCGGTGGAGTTTGTACTGGTACCGAACAAGCAAGTTACGCCATCGTGCTTTCCGTGGTGTGCGTGACGCCAAATGTCAGCAGCCAACAATTGACAGACCGCACCGGCAGCTTGGAACTGGTCGCATACACACATATCACAGACCCACCAGGACTCGACTTTTGCTTCTTCCATAGCATTCCGCGACGCATCGTATCGGCAGCTTGAGATCATTCACTTGGCTATACTACACTCTCGCTTGCTGTAACGGCGTCGGCGTCAGTTTAGACGGCCATGTCTTACCATCGAGCATCGTCACCTGGGAGCCGCCGTCTGGCTCATCCAGCACGCCTGTCCGACGGCTACTATCCTCCNCCCACCTCTGCCGCCTATGCTTCACCCAGGTCTAGTGGTGAGCGTGTTGTGCCCATCTCGACAACCACTTTCGTCACACGAGACGCCTACTCGGGCAGACCCCGTCGCTCCACCCTGACCGACCCCTCACGCCCGATTACCACTCCCTCAACTTCCAACACCGTCCTGCCCGTTCACCCACGCGTCCGCCCTGCCGTCATTCAATCCTCGCACGATCGTCCACACAGTCCCTCGAACGGAGTTGGCTATTCCACTTCCACTCGCACTCCCGACTACTATGCCGTCCCTGCCACCTCGCACAAAGACCACTCGCACAAGAAGGTCTACAGCATCGATGGCGGCGGCAAGTCTCGTCTGGTTGCCGACATAGACATCAATACGAGCCATGGCAGCTCTCACAGACGCCAAAGCCTCGATCGCTCCACCGATCGTCATTCTTCGTCCCATCACCGACACAAGGGCTATCATCTCAGCGGCTCCTCGACTAGAAGAACAGAGAATGATCAAGGCTTCTCATACACCGATCCCGCCGCCATGTATAGAGAGACAGAGCCCCGTTGGCGACACCGTGCTGGTAGTGTCGAAGCAACTCGACCTAGACCCACCAGTGCACTAGTCGAACAATATGGTCCTCGCTCCTCGGCAAGAGAACTTGGTCCGCCTACATCGCGAGCCCTTGACAAGTTCAACGACGGTGCTGCTCGCATTCACAGCACACGAGAACCTCCACGATCCTCAAATAGGCTGTCTTACCAGGAACCACAATACAACGACGGTTATACTTCGTCCTCTGGTCGTCACACCACTGCTGTTCATCAAGATCGTACACGCGATGCCTATCCAAGAGAAGCTGAGCGCGCTCGCCCCATGCATCGTTACGAGGATCGCAGTGTTGAGCGCCGAGGCTTCGGCATTCGCAGTGGCAGTCAGGATAGATATAACCACAACATGAACAGAGGCAGCAGCGAAAGCTTTGACGCCTACTATTCGGATCGCGACCGTGACTACGCCCCTCCTCGCAGCGAGCCTCGTGCCTACGATTACGCACACGAATCTGATCGAGACCGAGAGTACCGTCACAGAGACAAAGATCGATTGCGAGATGATGGCTATGCTTCAGAGAGAGATCGACACCACGAACGAGAACGAAGAGATCACAACCGCAGAGACCGTGATAGGGACGTCACTCCGAGAGGTAGCGGCGATAGTCTTACAAACACTATCTTGCCCGCTGCCGCTACTGCTGCTATCGGTAGCCTTGGTGCTATGGCTGCCGCTGCTTACGGATCGGATAGCAATGCCAAAGGCCGAGACCGTGAGTACGAAGAACGAGACCGAGAAAGAGACAGGGAACGGGACAGAGAACGCGAACAGCGTGAACGTGATCAACAGTACGAACGAAAGCAGCGTGAGCGCGAAAGGGACTTCCGAGACCGAGAGCGCGACAAGCGTGAGTACGAGAAAGAACGCGACCGAGATGTCGAAAGAGACAGCGAAAGAGAACGAGAGAGGACTCACGATCGCGAGACACGCACTCGTGAAAGACCCCGGGACAGGGATCGGGACAGGCCCAGGCATTCTTCGTCATCTGAAAGCGGTCAGGACAGGCCCCGAAGCTCGAGACGACACCGTACGCTCGGGGCTGATGGATCNCCTCCGCAAGAGAAAGATTCTAGACGTGGGGCTGATGAACGACAACGCGCTCCCGAATCTGATCACATGCACCCGCCCGATAACCTTCAGCGGGGCCCTGAAAGCGAACGCTCTGCTCCTGCCGATCCAGCAAATATTGACCCCGACGAAGATTACCGTCGCCGTATTGAGCAAGCACAAAGAGACTTGCAGGGTTCGCATGACCACGTAGACTCTGACAGAGAAAGACGCACCAACGAAACGGAGGCTGTTGTCAATAGAACCGCTCCTCCTGCTGTAGCGACCACCATTGACTATCACGAGAACACAACTAGAGAAAATCGGGTACGCATCGTTGAGCCTCCATCTGATAGGGAAGACTCTCAGCCGATCAGGGGTATCCTCAAGAGACCCACACAAAAATTCCCTGAGGATCCAAACCCGATGCGTGAAGGTGTTAAACCACTGAAAGAGGTACGTTAGTTCAACAAGGCAACAAACACATCCTTCTTACGATCTTTCGTCTACAGACCNACCAAAGAAGGAATCCCAGCAGGCGCCCGTTGGACAAAAATCGACCGCCGACTTGTCAACCCACAAGCTCTTGAAGAAGCGCAGGAACGTTTCGAAGAGCGTTTGGATTGTGTGATTGTACTTCGCGTCCTGACTAAAGACGAGATACAAAAGCTGGCTGATAGAACATTGGAGATCAGAGGTATGATCACATCACTGGAGTAATACATGAATTGATCCAGCTGACATGTCTAAGAAGCCCGCCCATATGACGATGAAGATCGTCAACGCCGCGAACGGCGTGAGCACCGCCGTCGTGAACGTGAACGCGAGCGACATGAACGAGACGAATACGAAGATGATGATAGCGAAGACGAATACGCTCCCAGAGCACCTCGCATGCTTGAAGCTCCAGCCGATGGGCAGGAACCTACGGCAGACTTCTCACGCGACCGAGAACGACGTAGAGAGCGTGAGCAGGAACCTGCTTATGCTTCTCGTGCGATCTAAACTTTTTTCTGATGACCATTTGACAAAATGTATCCTTGGCTTTTTGAGAAACAGGTTATTTCTTGTGGTGGAAGCGTTAGGGTGTGTGCTTTTTAGAGCATAGCATCCTGCATACTTTCTGGGTTATGAGCACTTTGGCTTAAAGCTGTAGCGACGCCTTCTGGAATTAGAAGGAGAAGAAAGAAAACAAACTCTGGCATCAATTTTCGCTCTGTCTTTGTTCCTTCCGAGAAAAGCTGTACTAGATGCTGAGTTCATGCCATATTTCTTTGTGCTTTGACTAACCGCAACCGGACATCGCACACAGGTGAATGGCAATTTATCCTCGAGACTCTTACAACACAAATATATCGTCAAACAGCCTATCAGACGAGCAGACGACAAGATGAGCGACTCGGAAGATACCAGCATGTGTGATTCAGAGTCGGATGTCAGTATGAGTGACGCCGAATCCGAAGCTACCGGACCTCCAACCATTTTCATACCCGATCCCCCAACACTGCCTGCACTTTACAAAGACGATCAAGGTGTTGTTCATACGACCGACTGGTTAAGCCATGTGCATCATTTCGTGGCAAAATTCAACAAGGATGGTACTGGCTTTGACGTTCGTCAAGAAAATGGCGCAAACCCGTTCGAAATTCAAGACGATGGCGGAGACGATGACTCAGACGAGGAGTCAGACGAGGAGTCAGACGATGACGATGAAGGTATCGCTGCTGATTGGCCCTACCATCTAGGGCCACCAGTTAGAAGACCAGGGGCGAACCGAGTGATTGTCACTTGGGGTTTGCAGCTCTTGGAGGCAGCTGGCTTCATCAACTACGAACAAGACGATGCCAATGCGTATATGGATCCTGAGGGCCGATTCGCCAAAACCAGAAACCCACTCAACTTGGACGCCGAGAGTATTCATCCGATCTTTAGAAAAGACATGTTTCGATATCTGAGTGACTATGGATACGAACTCATCCTTCCGGCTATACTTCTTGCGAGCGCCTGGCTCGATGATCCCACCACTTTGAACTTTTTCTATGGTGTTTGGGCTAAGGAGCAGCATACGTCGTTCTGGGATGTTGATCTCGGGCATTGCACAATGGTACACGTCCCTGAGAGTCTTTCAGAAGAGAACCAACGTGAGACTCACGAGAGAATTGTGGCCATGCGCAACTGGACAAGCTGGAACTTTCTAGATTCTGCTCGTTGCACTTATTTTGAAAAGGCACTTGCGTTTACGGCAGCAAAGGGGGATGCCAACAAAAGCTTATCCCTGCCTCGGGACCGTAANGTGATTACAGAGCAAGGTTTCAGAAGGAAACTAACACATGACAGAGATACTCATCAGTCGCAAATCTTTCTTAATATGCTAACTGTTCGCCTCTTGGGTCTTTTCGACGACCACCTTTCCACTGGTAGTCAAGAATATGAGAAGATGCTTGAGGATACTTTAGACCTCGCTGAAATCCTCGAAAGCCACAAGCTCGTCGAATTTGACCTGAATTCAGCCGTCAAACGTACGTATTTCATGCTGGCCGTGATGATGATTCATGAGTTTGCACATGCTTTTAACCGTGCCTACTATAACGCGCCATACTTCCTGTTTGCAAGCCCCGAAGAGCGCAAAGAGCCTTGGGTGGCTGGCAACGTGAACAACGAAATGGGATACTCGCTAGTCAAACACATTCTTGGTGAAAAGCCTTGGGCCATGACCATCTGGAGTATCCCTATGAGTCAACAGGAGGTGAACCTGCAGAACACGTTATGTCCTTTCGGACTGTTTACCTTGAGGAGATGGGATGCGGGCCGTGGCAAGAAACCAGACGTCAGGGAATATGTTTTGCCAGACTTGCCGGCAGAGGCACTGGAACCTCGGGTTACGTATCCTCTGCCGCAGAAACATATTCACAATCTGTACACGAAGGAAATGTGGACGCAGCATGTACCTCGATACGGTCTGGCAGCACTCAAATTGCCACAACCAGCCGCATGGAGCGTGACGAACGCTCCAAGATAGTCGCCGAGTGTAGACCAACTGTGACAGTACGATTTCGGCAATATGCCCGAGGATGAACAGAACTTGCAAACTGTGATTAGCATATGTAGTGTTCAAGTATCAGGTAGTCGATGATGTTCAATCAGAAAGTCGCTTCCAGGGAGGAAAGAACTGACATGAGATCTCGATGCTCACGCTTCAAATTTTGATACGAATTCTGGTCACATATGTATTAAATGAAGGTCTGTTGCAAAAAATTCTGTACTCTCTTGTGAGATTGATGGAAGCCGTTGTAACCACTATAAACAATCAGGATAATTTTCAAAATTGAAGCAATACCATTGGAAGCCATCATTTATGTGAGCACCGATTCAGTATGGAGATGGCATACAGAGACACGGGACTCCTCCACACGTGATAGTGTCCAATACCAGTCGCAGTTCAGGCAACTATGGTCTGGTAGACGTAGTCATAAATCAGGAAACCGACCCTGCGTCGAGTTGACAGTGATGAGTTTCGAATGGCGGGTGTGATGAAGGGCTTCAATCAGTCCCAACGTCGCAACCATCACGACTGCTGCGATCACGTTCCCCGCCTTGAGACCCACCTGCTGAGCTCGTTCAACAACGAGACTCGTTGGTGGCAGGAGTCCCCGAGAACGCGATATCCACTGGCGGACTCAGCTCCGGGGATTCAACATCGGTAACGGCCTTACATATGCTCGTTGATATGGTCGACAGAGGGAGCTGAAAACCTAGGCTGAATCGCTACTGCTGCAGGGAAATCCTTCAGTTGGATAACGAGGCTTGATCGATGTTGTTCCTTCGGCATCGCCGCAAAGATACTAACAATGCATTGCCCGTATTGGCTACTGTGCTGCGGGTCAAGTGAATCACGTTGTGCCCTGCGCATCTGACAGTGGGGATCTTTTCAGCTCGTACCGGTTTCATGGCATCTCTTATCCTTGTGACGACACGAGACGCTGGACTCGAGTCCATCTGGGCTACGCCGAGCTGTAAACTCAGATCGTGGCCAAGGCATCTCAAATCTCAGTACACACAAGCGAGTCTGTACTTAGCCCTATGTTGATAGCGTCGATGGAAAACCTTGTCTACCGGATCGTTTGGTGAAGCTCCGTATGGGGTCGTTTACTTTAGGTTGCGTTCCTACGCGTCTGGACGTCTGATCATGTCAATTGTGTTTCTGCTTCGCTTTGAATGCCCAGAGGTGTGTGAGAGCTTAATAATTGATAAAGACGGGCGAGTTGCAGGAGCTTGGCTGCAATCGTCCGATGCTCCATCGCACAAAGAGGAGCCAGAAGGCGTGATCATCTCAACATAATGACGGTGTCACGCTCGGGACCACCAGCCCTGAACAGCTGTCGTCCGACAGTCAAGGAGATCTGTGTTTCACGGGTTCCTGCGTGAGACGACGTGATGCGACAACCCAAACGACACGGGGTTTGGTCTAGAAGTCCTCGAACAAGACGAACCGTGTTGCACAGCAGCGCGGCTCACGGGTTTGTGCATGGCAGATGATGGAAGGGACGTTGGGAAGAGACGAATGTTATTGCCGAAGCCGCCCGAAGATGTGGATCGAAGGGGCTCTTGGTGGGGGTCGCACCTGCCAGAGCAGAGTTTCTCTCCACGATGCGAGCTCTCACAAGCCACGCAGTTGCTCGATGAACAATGCGACGAGTCTCGATAGCCGCCTGGCGTCAGGACAATGAGGGTAAGTTTCGTCCGAGGTCGTCCGCGGAACTCTCCAAGCAGCATCCGGAGGGGGAAGGCGCACTCCGAGCATCATCAAAGTGTGTCACTTTTACTGCGTCCAAGGCTAATAATAAAATGCCTTGACAACATGATCAGATCGTAGGATTCGCTGCTTCATCCACTTTTGAAGGCCCATGCTTCCTTGCGTGCATTGGAACAATCTAAAAGTTGATGAACCCAGACAGATCATCCGTACTACCTACAGAGTAGCGAACAACCAGCCGCAGCTCCGTCTGATACTACCATTGCGTGGAGTCATGATCTTAAGCCAAAAAGAACTTGCCGTCGATGTCCAAGAACCATTGTTGTCTGCCGAACTTACGCACAGTGCCTAATTCAAAGCCGTAAACTCCTGATACATGCATGCCAGTATCCATCACGGAAGTACGTATGGTTTCCGCTGAAGCCAGTATCCCAACAAGCCCATATCTCAGAAAAACTCCTCTCCCCTCAGTAGGTCGAGTGTCTGTTCGAGGTCACATAGCTTCAGTGATGGTAGGTATCGTGCTCACCCTGTTCATCGTCTCTTGTTCATTCTCTTGCCCTTGTTCGTAATCTAATCTCTCACCGCTTCTCGCATTCAGTATATTGCACATACTGTGATATCGAGACTAGCAATACTTCTGTTGACATTATGCCACCAAGAATGTGTTCAGAGCTGTGACTGATTAAGACACCAAGCGTCAAGACACTCTTCGAGACCAACTACAATTCGCTTACTATCACCAAAACAATACTGATCATCAACCACAACACCGCCTGTCCGAGTGACTCGTCACTAACGTTAATCCTAAACATCATCCTCACAAGATCGATCATGTTCGGCAAAGTTGTCAAGGCTATAGGTATCGTGCTTTCCCAGCAATTCCTGGTATCTGAGTTCTCTACTGAGTCTAGGATCCTCTCCTGTTACTTCTTCAATCAAGTGTCTCAAATGCCCTAGACCCTTCTGGGTGCGTGTCTGGCAATATGTTATCATTTACCGCACTCGCAACTTCTATCACCTACTCCGACAAATCATACGCCGACTCGCTTCTCATTGCGGCAGGAACGCGCTAGGGCAAGCTGCATTCGTGGCCTGAAATCATAGCGGCTTGTGCGGTGGCATGGCAGCAGACATCTTTCTCGCGCCTCTTCCACAGAACAGCGACTATGTGGTTCCGAAGTTCGGAGTTTCCCAGAGTGTGGTAGATCAGTTACACGCAAAACAATCTATATCAACTATTCGACATGTGCAACGAAGAACGATTGGACAGAAAAATTAGTGGTGCCACGTCGAGCAGAGATCATCTCGGCTTTCTCCCCTCCAATCGTTGGCAGCAGGTGCTCATGATTGTCCACGCTGAATCGATTGTTGAATCACCAAGCTCATGAAAGCCTTTCTACAACCTCATCAAAGCCGATGTACATGTTGGCCAGGCATACTTTGTGGTGTGAGACCAGTAAGCAAGTGAGAGAGGGTTGTTTCGGACAAGGATGTGAACGGTCCAAAGTCCGAGAGGTATCTGGAGTATCTAATTCCGTTCACGACGACAGGGTGAAGTTCCGCGACAATGGTACTGTTCTTATATGGCCTTGACAAGGATGATGTTGTCGAAGAGAGCGTTAGTTGTCATATATTAGGAGTTTTTCCCTCCTGCATTGCCATGCGGCGTCTACACTTATTGTTATGAAATGCAAAGGTCATGTCAGGTTCGGCCTCTCATGGGTCGTGGCACACATTCCTGCAAGCCATATAGGACTCTCGATCGCGTGATCATGGAAATAGAGACCTCACCTCTTGGTCTGGAGTTACTGCTCTCTGCAGAATCAACTTGATACGGCGCTGACTTCTCGTGACGAAAAGATCTTTGATCTACTAATCATATCGGGCCTCTTCGCGGCAGTAATCATTATATCTTCGGCGAACACCGAGCGTTGATCGCGGGATGCAAGTGCCGACGCGCACAACCCTTTCAACCACGTGCGTTTAATAGGACCCCGAGATTCTCTTGCGAAACAGGACAAGGATGTGAAGTGCGATAACAAATCAAGAAGCATGGTGTTGATGTACAGAGGATAAGAGATCTATGCTCGACTGACCGTGAAGAGACATGCTGTCTAAGCACGACAAATGCACGACAGTTCTTTTCACTGGCTTCGAGCATTGGCCTGCCAGTATGTCCGTGACTATCCGATGACAACTCCGCTGCCTCATGCACGAACAAAACGACGCCGGTTAATCTGGCGAATGGATCTCCAGCTGCAGCATCGTGCAGCATCGGACTCCACTATCGTCGTTATCGTACCCACGATTCATGATCAGTACTATCATGTCAACGAACGCGCAATGCTTCTCTTTCCGTGTTTTTGCAGACCATAGAATCGCTGGGAGCAGCATGCTCGACGTCTCGCCTTCTGAACAGATTTCGAGCAACTCGAACATCGATCGTGACTGGTGGAAAGACTCATACGGTAGTGTTGACTCGCATGAACGTTACAAAACCACCCGGAAGCTAGTTTAGCAGGTTGGACTGCGAGCCGTGAGCTGATGACGCTAGAAAGTATAGCCGAAAGAACGCCTAAGTCAGCCACCCCATATCTCGACCAAGCTGAGCCGATGTCTCTGACACATTGAAGTAATTCTTTGAGGAGGGATGATGAAGGAGGCCGAAGCTTTACATACAGAGTGCTGGGTGTTTCAGGTTGACAGGTGTGGTACTAAGGTTCAAGACCTGGTCTGAGGGACGATTGAGAAAAGCATGGAGATTTGGGATTTCGACCTGCAGAGCGACGGGATCGGAAAACAGAGACGAACGAACAATCCTCTGCTCCCGGAGTCGGCAGCGGTTGCCAACAAGCGACAACAAGAATCGAGCATAGCCTCGTCTAGTGTTTGCGTCAAGTAACAGGCTGTGTGCAATGTTCAGCGAGTGTGCTCGATATGTGTGCGATACTTGAACTTGTGTCCCTGGGCGAAAGGTCAAAAAGTTCGTGCCGTTCATCGCATGTTTCCATGATTTTGGTTCTCAAGATTCCGATCTCATCGAGTTGGGCGGATGTCAATCGCGAAGCCCCCAGACATCTTGACATGTCAGCTGGAGACTTGGCAACCACTAATGTAGTGGCTTGGAAGCCTAGTGTTGGCGTGCACTCCCAAGAGCCGGGAGAGGTCAACAGAGAGGCTCGGTGGGCTGACAGGCAGCCAAACCCGGTGCACAACTCCGATCCTGGGACACAGCTCGAGCTAGCGATCAGATCAACAAGCGAAGACGAATCGCTAGAGCTGCGACGTCCCTATCTCGGTAGTATGTTGCACAAGTGCCGATAATCAAGAGTGTGGTGTCTTGACTCTTGAGACTGATGAGAGGGAAAAGTCTGGGTGCCACTGGATTTCGTTCCTCCTTGATCGGCCGAAAGTACCGATCAAATTGCAATCCTCCCACAGCCTGTGACGAAGAGACTTACTTGCCCTGTCACAATTTGCACACGGCCTGATCAGCCCTCGTGAGAAGATGAGTTGAGGTCCGAACGCGTGGGAGCCGGACGTTGGAAGCCAGGACCAAAGCCGTTAGTCAGTCAAAGTGAAACGTTGAGACTAGCAGGTGGTTTGAAAAGAAGGTTGGCGGTTGACGCGCTCCGCTGGCGCAATTGGCAGGCGTTTGGTGGTGGGATGGATTGGACGTCAGCCTCTAGGAGACAGCCGTACACGCGTCCCTCGACTCCTCGAGCGAAGCAAGAGCGATGGGACACAAAGATTATTCGTGCAACATCACTTATCTATAAGAGGAAACACTGTCCTATTCTTGGCCTATGGAGCCAGCCTCTGGGCCATCGCTACTCTCGTGAACACGAATTCGACAGCCAGAGAACGAGTCAGAGGCTTTTGATGGCTGCAGAGGGAGCCAACCTTAACACCAAGCGGTTGAACAATTCGGAGCAAGAGCCGCATAGGCCACCGGTCAGAACGGGTGTTGTTGTTGACGATGATGATAGACTCCAGAAATCGGAGGGTCACTGCGGCCGTTCATCAAGCTTGCAATATCGCTTGCGTTTAGTGGCGCGTTTCATCCTCTCGTGTGCCTTGCCATGCCTTGCCTTAGCCAGTTTGCACGTGGGGTTGCCGAAGAAAAAGCTTCCACTGTTTTTCTCGCAGACGACCTCGCTTGTTGATTCGTCGACTCGTTGTCCTTTGGACCCGCCTGATTGTGGGAGACAGCATCGCATCATTATATCAAGATGGCACTTGGTTCGGGTATCATTACGAACCACTCTGCATTGATTACAACGTGCATTGCAGTTCGCACGGACTTTGCCATGTCTCTTCCTTATGATGCTTCCTCATATGTACAATTCTGATCCTCGGCGGGGAGGCGTATAAGGTCGAGCCGGCTCCTGTCGTGGCGGGCGATCGTGTGAGTAGTGCCCGTTTCATTCTTCTCTTGTTGCTGCTGCTTTCAACCCTTGTCAATTCAATAACCAACACCTTCGCTCGCTCCAATTTTGTCTCGACTATCACTTTGCTGTTACTGTCGCTGGTCGTCTTGATAGCTCTCATCCTAGCTGCACAACGACTGTCCTCTTGTATCTCCTGCTGCACGCCCGTTGAGGTCCGGATCTCCTGCAGGTGTCAGGTCAGGATCGAACAAGCTGTCTGTCCCCGGCAATCCCAAGCACCTTTGCACGCTACATGGTGAGGCCCCAGCCTTTTGTTACCCCTCCACATCATCTCCATATCACTTCATCCTTGTACCTGTTCTTGTCACTCTGGCCATCAAAAGGTCTCGGCTATACTTCCATTCACATCCTCTGCACTCCTCTCGTTTTGTCAGCCACCTACACAGAAGCTCTTCGGCTTGGCTTGGCCGCCCGCTCCCCGCCCTCCTAGCTCTGGCTGGAACCCACATCTGCTTGAGATCATGCCTTCTCAACATAATCTTGTACTTGTACTCCATCTCAACACCAATCCACTTCCAACATCCACTCGGACTTCAAGTACCATTAGCGGCCCTCGTCCACATTCAGTGCTCTTCTACCGAAAGAGCCTCTGATACACTTCTTCGTTTCCACGATTCACCTTCTTCTATGTGCATATCGCAACTCTCTGCTCAGCCGATTCTAACACAATCAACTACAGCCTTACACACAACATAATCCGTCAGGCATACTGCACACGGCAGCGTCGTATGATTATAGAGGAACACCTCAACACAGCCGGATAGATTCTCCAAGACAGCCAACATCATCATTGCCTCCGTCGCTCTACCTTTCATCATCATCGGGAACCCCCATTCTCCCCTAACCANNATCTGTTGAAGCTGCTGTACATCCTGAACACACGCCTTCTGCTCCTCAAGTTTACGCGAATCAACAACCCTACTATCCTGTTGCTTACAATCACAGAAATCAAAGTTTCAACGGTGAGTGTCAATGACACACCAGTGAATAGTTTGCGATGCTGATTCAGATGATAGATTCGGAGACAATGGCAGTCCATCCGGTAGTGACACGACAGATGTATCCCTCCATTGGGGCTTACCATCCGTCGCAGACAACACCATCAGCGTCCATGCATCCGTCACATCAAGATTTACAGGCTCGTGGCATGTACGGCCAAGGCTTTGGATTTCCTCAACAGATGTTCGCCTACCCTCAATATGCTCTACACGCCCACCCAGCATACGCCTCACAACCTCCACCACAATCTTACCCGCCTCTATCGCCTCCAGGCTCGGCGATTCTGATGTCCCAACCAACGACTTCGGCTGTACATTCGTCGCCCTCCCAGGCCATCACCGCCAGCCCTCGAATGAAGACCGAGCCATCACACCTGNNAAACTTGAATATCCGCTCATGAAGACCGAACCAAGTTACATGCAAAGGCCCATGTCAAGCATTGGAACAGNNCGCCTGGAGCGGCTGCGACTTCGTCACCTCCATCTGGCACCGGGACAAATACAGCAGCCCCAGGTCCAATCCCNNCGCCACAACACCTCTGGTCGTGCGCCAAGATCAGAACGGTGTGCAATGGATCGCATTCGAGTACTCGCGCGATAGAGTGAAGATGGAGTACCAGATCCGTTGCGATGTCGAGTCTGTGGTGATTGACGATTTAACTCCCGAGTTTAAAACAGCAAACTGTGTGTACCCAGGTGCATACAGCGGCAAAGAAGGCTACAAAGGCAACAGACTTCACTATGAGNNAAGTGAATGTAATGCTGTTGGTTGGGCGTTGGCACATCTCAACCCAGCATTAAGAGAGAAGCGAGGCCTTATACAACGCGCTGTAGACAGCTGGCGTAACAGCAATCAGGACCCTCGTTTGCGAAGCCGACGAGTACGAAGACAAGCTAAGATCAACAATCGAAAGGCACAACTACGCCAACCCGATGGTGCGGTCCCAATGTCTCCCACCGATGTTCTTGCGTCGCGAGTACCACCAGCTATGTCCATGGACTCAGCAAGACCGACAACGTCACTCAGCCTAAATGGTGGTCAGCTACATCATCACCACTCGACATCAGATGCTAGTGGAGGCGAGAGCGGTATGTTCCACCTGTGATTGATATGCGCTGTAGTGTCTTCACGATGGTGACTTAAATGTGGATTCGAATGTATTATGCTATGGATGGTCTATAGGCGCCGGGGTCTCTTGCTTTGATTTCTTGTTTATACAAATACCCACTTCTTTACGATTGTCTCTAGGCTAATTGGCTTTCTTCTATANGTAAGCAATGAAGTACATCCGTTCTTGAACCATCAAAGCCCTTCCACCAGCCTCGCTCTTGATTCTCCTCTCGAATCTCGTCGTCGAGACAGTCATTGTCCTACATTGTCAACGTCCTATTCTACCGGATCTGAATCATCAACCACAAACAGTAAAAACTACATCAAAGCAGAGGAAGAAAAGAATCAGTCACTTTCCGCTCTCGTACCCGAAGGAAAGAAACGCAAGTTCATCCTTGTCGACGATCTTGCACGCGGAACTCGGGTGCGAGTCCATGTGGAACTTGATAACATCAAATTGGAAGAGATGCCCGATTTTCATCTGCAGAAGAACAGCGTATATCCACGCCAATTTTACCCTCGCCAAATGCACGCACCGTCGCCTGGCCAAAAGCACCTGGAGATATATGGCCTCAAAAGCAAAAGTGAAAATGCAAGCATGATCTCGGAGGGCGAAAGCTTTGTCGATGTGCCTTTGACCGATGGTTCACAGGCACAACTATATGTTCCTGAAACCTCAAAGGATCTTCAAGCAAAAGAATGTGCGCTGAATGAATTGGGCTATCGGATGAGTTGGAGACAAGCAAAGACATTTAACGAAAGAACAATTTTCATGCAGAAGTCGCGTAAGTTAAACAGAAAAACTCAGCAAGGTTCATAACTGATCGTGATTTAGTTGATGCTTATCGAGACAAGACATGGAGTGCAATAGTAGCCTCTGGTCAGAGCGACCCGTGTATTGCCTCGGATTTTGAGGTTCGAACAGGGAAACGCAGATGGTCAGAGCGTAATGCAGCTGGTATGGTGTCACCTTGAGCGACCTGTTAGCGTATATTTGATATTCTGGATGGTCGTTCTAGGACATATATGACAGGCATGGTCGATGTGTTCATGGTAGACTACGTTGGTCATCTATCTTCTGTTACTTGTTCTCTTGTTATTCAACGTGCCGTGTGGTCTGGTGTCTGGGCTACAACGGACTTGAGCGCTAGGAGTACAGAAAATTTGTTGATCATCTTCGACTAGGTACTTTACATCTTCTCCACTTGCTGGAAATCCAACACTCCGACCCTTATTATGACGGCAAGGACTGACTCGTGACTTTCGTGTGTTAAATTGTGTAGTTCCCTTCGTATCTCAGTTATAACAAAGAGCAAAGTGCACACAGAAGTCACAAACGTTTTGGAGGCATGGGTGTGTCCACAGAGGGCCGATGGGTTATCGGATTTCAGTGGGCACTATCCAGTTACTTGAAAGTGTTGTTCATCTTTATAGCCACATGCGTTGCATACTTTGACACACGTGGACGAAGCGGTACGAGTATGACCCGGACGTTGATAGAGCTGTTGCAAGGTGCGAAGATCTCCACAACTCCACAATTCGATCAGTTTTGTTGACAACGGTCACCTTCCTTTTCCTTCCCCCGCTACAGCCATGAATAGGCGCTTCCCCTCTCCATTTTCATCGGCTCGGCGTCTGCCTTTTTCTAAGTCGTTCTTCAAAGATACACAAGATATCAACTTTGAAAACTCATTGCAAAACTAAATATGTCCGACTTGAACGCAGATACTCAATCGCAAGGATCACCTGAGCCAGGCAAGCATGCGAAGAGAACGAGCAAGGCTTGTGAGTGGAAACCCGTCCATGAAAACGAAGGCGTCATAATTCGATCCATCTTGAATTGCTATTGCCGATGAGCGATGTATCACCGACGTACGAACATCCTAGCAATATGAAGCTGGCCCAGATAAAGCATCATTTTTCGCATAACTACTTATTCATCGGAAGTCTGACTGACCATCTCCAGGCTTGGTGTGTCGTGCAAGAAAGAGCAAATGCACACTGTCAGTCATCTACTCTCGTAGCTAACCCCGATTCTCTACCGACACTGCCCAAAGAATCCACATATACCGACATAAGCAGGTGACTGACTGTCTTCAACAGGGACACAACAGACGGAGAACCTCAGCCTCCATGCTTGCGGTGCCGTAAAGAGAACAAGCAATGTGTTATCGGCAGCAGCAATCGTGGAGGCAGAAGGGTCAGAAGGTCCACGATAGCCTCACAACAAGCACAAGGTCAACCTCAAGCCCAGACCCGAGCGAGCAATCAACCCCAATCCCGACCCGACCAGCAGACTCAGAAGACGCCTTCGAACGATGAACCCGTACAAGCGACGTCCTGGTAAGTCTTACAGCCTCGCTGTATGTCCAAGTGGCTTGTCCTCATGCAGCATTGCAAGTGCACTCTTCTCTACTGCATGTCTCTGATCTTGACATACGATGGGAATGTATCTTCTCAGAAGCCAGACTGATTGTGCTCGTTATCTAGGAACTCGAGTGCGATACCCAGTAATCCCTACTCTGCCTCTTCACAACACAACATCACTGGCGCGACTCCTTTGTCTACGAACACAGGCGTCAGCAATCTAGATTTTGCGACCCAGCGTCAGCTTTTCGACTCGCAGAGTCTGGCAATGGATATCGATTCTACTGTTGGTGCAGCAACAGCGAATGATATGATACCACACGAGCAAAACAATGAGGATTCCGGTCGTTCATCAAGCTCTGAAAATATACCTTTCAACGACCTGCAGAACCCATCTGACGCTCTGGACATCCTGGCCCAAATTGCAAGCAATGACAACAACAACTCGGCTCGGCAGCCCGCTTGGCAAGAGAGGCAACAAAATCAAGGCCTTCGTACAAGTTCTCTATATCCGAACTCATGGAACAACAATGGCCTGGATTATCATCTGGTGCGGTCGGGCGCCCTTTCTTCAGCCAAGATCTCACAATTAGTCGAACGCTATCGTCAACATTACCATCCTTACTTTTCAATTGCTCCCCCAAGTACTCTGGATACCAACAATCTAGTAAATACAGCCAAGGACGAACCTCATCTGTTGACAGCCATGCTAGTCATTGCTTCGAAAGACTTGATGGAGGAACCGCAAATCTTTACAGCGTGCTCAGCATATATGCAATCTTTGGTGTCTACGTTGGTCGCTGGTGGGCCTGGAGGGGTTGAAGCAGTCGAGAGTCTGCTAGTTCTCGCTGAGTGGACACCGTATACATCAAGAAGCCGAGCAGGAAACGTCGGACGTGGAGAAGAAGATCGTGAAGCCTGGATGCATGTTGGTACTGCTTTACGCATTGGCTATTATCTCGGCCTGGACAAGTATTCGTTTCCTGTGGCCGGAGACATTAAAGACCCTCAGTGGAAGCGCAAGCGTCTAGTTTGGACCTGCTGCTACATATCGGATAGACAGATCTCTATCCGTATTGGTCGTGCTTTCTGGAGTCGAGGGCCTGGTCCAGGACTTGCTATTCGGAAAGAGGACTATCCTTATCAGCCCCAGAATCCTGGAGACGAAGACTTCCCAAGGCTGTTCCAGGCTACTCTGGAATTGACGTTACTGTTCAGTAATGTGCACGATGTGCTTTATAGTAGCCCTGGAAACAGCCTGAGAAATCATTTGACCGGCGGCTACTATATCAAAATCGTTGATGTAAGTATACCAGGATCCTTCAGGAAACTTCTGTGCTGATTACAGTTCAGNGATTTCCGCAGCGCTTACTACGGATGGAATGCTGTGTACGGCACGATGACATGTACGTTGGGACTCCCCCGGTTGTGCTAGCTTAATTTTGACCCATTTCTAGGTTCACCAAATTTGAAAGCGATGCTACTGATGTCCTATGATTACTTACGCTTATATACTAACGCTTTTGCATTCCATGCTACAATTCGTCGCGCATTACCCGAAGGAGAGAACGGGAAGCCTTCCTTCAGTCGAGTGTTCTACAACAACGTTGGAGCTGTTGGAGATGCACGATTCATCTATGAAGGTCTCGATGCTGCAAAAAGTCTTCTGACGACGATGAACAATTTTGTCGATGCGGAAAGGTAATTGAGACCCACCTTCCACTGCTTGGCTACCTTTTACTGACTCTGGCTCCTCNNTAGAATGTTACGATATATGCCTCTGAGATTCTATCTCTTCACAGTGTATGCCGGTGTATTCCTGTATCATGCCCGCACTGTGGGCGTCATGGCACCCGAAGAAGAGTCTTCAGTCAGAAGGATGATTCAGCAGACAGTGACTGTGCTTCAAAGGTCTGGTGTCGGAGAGAGTCACCCTGGAAGTCGGTATTCGCAGCTGCTGAAATTGCTTTGGGACAAAGTGGACCGAAAGTCACACAAAGAATCTCGGTCTGCGCGGTCGCTTGCAACGCTCGAAAATCCATACAGACCTGTCAGCACAAGCGCCGCCACGCCAGCGTCAAACTCTGCCGCCTCGGCTTCGTTAGAGTCGCCGGCGGTCGCAGATCAAATGGGCGACTTTAGCTGGACGGACTTGGATGCTATAGGAAACTTTGCTGTGAACGGAAATGAAGGCATGTCCACAGACGCTGAATGGTGGACCGGGTTTCTTCCAACAGACAGCGGTCCCCTGGGTCCAATGAGTGGGTTGGGCTCGATGGACAATTGGAGCTTCATGCTGTAACTCTTTTGAAGTCGAGATAGACTTTGTGGGCAAGTGATAAAATCAACGTACACATTGATGTCCCAGCTTCTCTCTTGTGACGACGCAGATCAATGACGGGCTATATAAATGCATGGTACTTTCATAAATCAGAACATTCTCCATTGAAGAACAGTGTGTTCAGAATTGATTGGGTTTGTGAGTTTGAATGTCTGCAACGTGTTTGAGACATGAGCGTAGAAACATGATGCCTTCTGTCCCCTTCGTACCCGGTCGGGAAATGAGGTCAGTTGCCGACAAGAGGGGGAGAGGGGAAAGTTACGGGGGTTTGTCGGCGATACAAGACGGTCATTCATCCGTCATTTACCTTTCTCTCTTCTATCTTTTTGGTACTCTTCTCTTTGCTTCTTCTATCTGCTTCTTACATACGCTCAAGATGGGTCGTTCAGCTCTTCTCATAGGAAACATCACACACGCTCGCAAGGAGTGGGAGGAACTTGGTTCTTTGATTGAATTGAAGGTTGGTGGACATAGCGCTATCAGCTGCATGGCAACCGCTGACTAGCAAGTTACANNGGAGTACAAAACCGGCTCAAGAGATGACTTCCTCTCCAAGCTGAAGTCTGGAGATTTCGCCGACACTTTCGTCGTATACCGCAGCAACGAATCAACAGGCGTAACAGGACCTTTTGACAAAGAGTTGGTCGACTTGCTCCCCGAGAGCGTCAAATACATTACACACAACGGTGCTGGCTATGACAACATTGATGTCAAGGCCTGTACTGCACGTGGCATTCAAATCTCGAGCACTCCCATTGCTGTCAACGATGCTACTGCCGACATTGCCATTTTCCTCATGTTGGGGGCCTTGAGACGCATCACTGTTCCCTTCAACGCCGTGCGCAAAGGCGAATGGCGTGGCAAGGCATTCGGCCTGGGTCACGACCCTAAAAACAAGGTCCTGGGTATCCTCGGCATGGGAGGCATTGGACGAGCCGTGGCCGAGAGGGCTGCAGCCTTCGGCATGAAGATTCAATACCACAACCGCAATTCACTTCCCGCCGACAAGGCAGGAAACGCCAAATATGTTTCATTTGATGACTTGATGAAGACTTCGGATGTTCTGAGTCTCAACCTCGCTCTCAATCCTTCGACGAAACACATCATCTCTACTGCACAGTTCGACATGATGAAGGACGGTGTCATTATTGTCAACACAGCCAGAGGACCAATCATTGACGAAGCCGCGCTCGTCAAGGCCATTCAGAGCGGAAAGGTCTTCTCTGCGGGCCTTGATGTCTTTGAGGAGGAACCAAAGATCCACCCCGAGCTTGTCAGCGACGATCGTGTCGTTTTGCTGCCTCACATCGGTACCGCGACTTGGGAGACGCAGAAGGACATGGAGTTGTTAGTACTGGAAAACTTGAGATCGGCTGTCGAGAAGGGCGAGCTGGTGACTTTGATACCCGAGCAGTCCAAGCAAGGAGATGCTCAATCAAAGATCTAGATCTTCAGCCGTACATAGCGTCAATGAATAGAATGATCGTTTATGACCTCCATCTATGCTCTCAAATGTTAAGTGTACCAGATGTGACCTGTCGGTAAACAATACCTTTGACAATATACACAACATCCTTCAGAATCGGGCTCTGCTTGATCCTTAAAGTAGCCGATGGCTGAGGGTCACCCCACGGGGTTGGCGATCATACGCCCGTACTTGACGATCCTTCGCGGCTACGGTAGGAAAGTGGCTGAAGTCCTACTATATCAACTTGATGCTCCCCACTATCTGATCAGAGTTCTCTTCAAACACTTTCTTCTCCTTTGATTGTATACCATGAGCAACACCCAGTCCGATCAATCCATGATGGCGTCAGATACCAAGTCAATGGGTGTTTGGGCCGATATCAAACAATATCGAAAAGCATATCTCCTCACTGCTGTTGCTAGTTTTGGAGGTATGCTCTTCGGTTGGGATACGGTATGCGATTCTCAATTCCTCCTTGTGTGCTCGAAGCTGTCACAACCTTGTGATTGCCACCTTCCCCATCACGACTTGCAACCAACCCATCCCCCTTCCTCTTCTCCTTCCCTATCCTCATCTCTATCTCCATTCTGAGGTATAAGGACTGTCATGCTATAGGAATGCACAGTTGCAATTCAATTGTGAGTCTGTCCATGGAGATAGCCTTTCATGGGGTTTCTCTGTGGACGGTACATTCTCTGAGAAAGTACTGTGCATTTCTACAGCTACGCAGCAACAGTCTTTAGCACTTGGACGAGGCTGTCAAACAATATTGCAAGGCTGACATTCTCACAGGGTCTCATTGGCGGTGTCTTGACCATGCACTCGTTCAAGAACTCGTTCGCTCTTAACGGCGACCCTGCTGCGTATGCCAACTTGTCCGGAAACATTGTATCCGTCCTCCAGGCTGGATGCTTTGTTGGAGCTGCTGCTAGCTTTTGGGTCTCTGACACTTTTGGTCGAAAGTCTGCCCTGCTCTACGCCGATATCATCTTTATCATTGGCAGCTTGCTTCAGACTTGCAGCGCTATTGGCAATCGCTCGCTTGCCATATTATATGTGGGCAGAGTCATTGGTGGCATTGGTGTAGGCCTCATCAGTGCTGTGGTACCCACCTACATTGGTAAGTCAAAAGTTTGACCTTGTCCTTGATGTGACTCTTTCTAATCCAGTTATTCAGGAGAGAATGTGAACAAGGAAATCAGAGGTCGCTGCATAGGAACAATGCAGCTCTTCAAGTGAGTACAATCTTCTATGACCATTTGTATCATCGCTGACCACGGANNCAGTGTGACGGGTATCATGCTCTCGTACTTCGTCAACTACGGCGTGACTCGATCCATCTCAAACGATAACGATGCTCAATGGCGAGTACCCTTTGCTCTCCAGATGCTGCCCGGTGTGCTTCTCCTCATCGGCATCGTCTTCCAGAACGAAAGTCCAAGATGGCTAGTAGAGAAAGACCGCCACGAGGATGCCGCTCGAGCACTCGCCCATGTACGCGGTCGCTCACAAGACGATCCCATCGTAACCAAAGAGCTGGACGAGATCATAGCCGATTTCCAAAGCCACGAGAGAATTTCGTGGTTGGGACAATTCAGAACAGTTTGCTCTGACCGAAAGTACTTTTACAGGTACTCGATGGCTATCATTCTTATGATGTTCCAGCAATGGACAGGGACGAACTCGATCAATTACTATAGCCCTTTGATCTTCAAGTCTATTGGATTGGGCTCGTCTGCTGGCCTCTTTGCTACGGGAATCTATGGTGTGGTCAAGGTTGTTGTTACCGCTTTGGCTTTGGCACTTATGACAGAACAGTAAGTCAACCAGAGTTGCACGTGCCATATTCAGTTATTCTAACCCACTATTCATTACAGACTCGGCAGGAAATGGAGCTTGATCATCGGTGCTCTCGGACAGGCCTTTGCCATGTTCTATATCGGCATCAACCAAGCCGTCAACCCAGTAGTCGAAGGCGCACCTCTGAATGGCAACAGCATCTTCGCCATCATATCGGTGTACCTGTTTGTCGTCTTCTACAGCGTAGGATGGGGTCCAATCCCATTCATCCTTGCTTCCGAGACAAGTGTACGTATAGCTACAACAATGTCTTTTTGAAGCCTGCTGCTAATACAGGGGTTTAAANNGCCTAACCACGTTCGCTCCTTGGTCATGGCATCAGCATTGATGTGCCAATGGGCCTTCAACTGCGTAATCGCCAGAATAACCCCCGTCATGCTCAACAGCATCACCTACGGCACATTCCTAATCTTCGGTATTTGTTGCATCTTGATGGCCATCTATACAGTATTCTGGTAGACTCCAAACCCCCTCTGCAGCACACACACAAAGACAAACACTGACATGTAAACNAGTATCCCAGAAACCAAAGGCGTGCCTCTCGAGTCAATGTCCCTGCTCTTCGAAGGCAACATCATCAAAGGAGCAACTTACGACATAATCCCAGCCTACTCTCGCGCAAAGTCATTGCAAAACGCCACAAATGTGTCAGAAGGAGATGAAGAAGAGGGTAACAAACTAGATTTCTCTGCCATCCATGTTGAGAGAACGAAAGGTGTTTAAAGAACTTTGGACTGATTGCTTCTTGTTCGGAAAAGCAGAACACGAACCTTTGCTGCGTTGAATAGACTTCGACGCCTGGAAAGTCTTGCAAGAAGAACCCAAGACACATTTTGATAGAAACTAGAGTAGCATCTACATATATCGCTCTATACGACAGTCAATTGCTGGAAACAATGGACCCATCAGAGGTCAAAAGACACGACAGGAAGGAACGAACGAAGTGACTCAGTAAGGAAAAAACTATTCAACAGTAATGCACATTTCGCAGTCTTCTTCTTTGGACAAATATCGTGAATAAAAACAAGAAAGGACAACACAACACACACCAATAAAAGATTCAAAACACAAATGACAGCATATAGAAAGAAACTTCGCCCTATTTCTTTCTCGCTGCTCTGATCTACCCGTATTCCCCCCAAAGTAACCACACTGATACCCCCCTCTGATGATTCGAAAATGATAAAGTAAAAAATTCCCCTTCTTCAAAACAACAACATGTTTTCCTTCTACTCCTGTCCGAAGCCGACCGTCTCCTCGACGGCCCATAGCAACTTGGCGTTGAGTGCTTCGTATGTCTTGTATGGCGGCAAGTCGAGACGGTTGAAACAAGTATGCGACTTGGGCAATTGACCCTCCTCGCCTGATTTNNTTTCAATCGTGAAGCGACGAGGTCCGTCACTTCCTTGCAGATCCTTGAAACCGTTGACAGGAATACGGGAGGTACCAGTTGCGAACTGCAGTAGACGAGATTTTTGCTCAGAGTCCCATGTGCGGATACNACTACAATATGATATTAGCATGTGTGAAACAATTGACGAAAGGAGTATGATATGCCTTACCTTCCAGAAGTTTTGAATGACGGGATCCTTCTCATCATAGCCACGGTAGTCGGTGTTCTTGGCCCAGTCATCGACATCGATTTCAGAGATACCACCGATTAAGAGCTCCAGCTCGCGCTCGTCAAAGACGTTGACGAGGTCTGATGGAATGAGCTCGTGGAATCCTTGAATGAAGGCGTTGAACTGCTCCTCGACACGTTTCTGAATTCTCCATTCTGTAACAANGTCTGTGATTTATGTTAGATATAAAAAATCCCAGGGTAGTACAATATCAACGATAACTTACTCGACATATTCTCTCTTGTTGTCGTCGGTGACTTCGATATCTCTACCGCCAGGCTTGAGGTCAATAGTCACCTTCTCGCCGAAGACTTCATCCTCGACACAGAAGTGCTCGAAAATGACGTTCTCAACAGAGTTGTCAAGTGTCCAGCTCAAGGTGCGGTAGAAGTCTGCATCGACACCCTCCATATCTGCAAGACTGACCTTCTTGCGAAGAATCATCTTGTAGAAAGCCCCAATGAAGAAGGCATCCAAGAAGCGTCTGTGGAAGATGGCCAGACCGACAACACGTCCAATGAACTTGAAGTAACCAAGATGCTCTGGGTTGATACCGGAGTGAGGGTTGATCTGTAGCGTGTAGTTGTCGATGGCTGAGTACTCGAACAAACAGTAGAAGGGGTTGAACATCTCGTGAGACAGAAGGAAGAAGAACTCTCTGGACAGACCACCGTAATCGAGACCATCCTCACCGTCGAACTTGATCATTAGTCGTTTCTTCAAATCACTAGGACTTTGACGCATAATCTCGGCATATGAGTCTTCAAAGATATGAGAACGTCGGACCTTAACATGACATTGTCCTGACAAGATGCGGAGTGCTGGTTGAGAGCGGAAGTAGATAAGCTTCCTTCTGAAGTCACGCTTGTACTGCGGTACGTTCTGGTCAAGCGAAGAAGGCAAGCGAGGATCGTCCCAGGTGGTGGTTTTGGTGTTGTGGTCGACAAAGTAGACGCGAGCGGTGTTGGTGAGGCGCATTTCCCATCCACTGGGAAGAGGACCAAGCTGTGAAACCGGCTGCTGCTGAATGGTTCCTTGAGCAGCGTTCTGGCCGTACATGCGAATGTACTGTTGCCTCCTGGGGTCGACCCATGTAGTAGTGCGTGTGTTGTGGTCGACAAAGTAGGCGCGACCTTCCGGCGTATGACGTTGTTCCCATCCAGCAGGCAACTCGCCAGTACCAGCAGTGGTAGTGCCAGTAGCCATCATTGACATTGCCTGTGGGTTAGAAGTTGCGGCAGGACCATTGGGAGGCGAGTTCTGACCACCCGATAGGGTTGGTGAGCTGGCACCTGTGCGATCGTCAGGCAACATGCGATTCTGGTGTCGCGCACGCTGGGCCTGCGTCTCTGCCTCGTTGGCCTGGCGCTGTTCGCCAGCATTGAAATTGGCCGTCGGGCGGACCCACGTGGTTTGCCTGGAATTGTGGTCGACGTAGTATGTACGTCCGAGGTTGTCTTCTCTTCGCTCCCACCCTGGAGGTAAACGGCCTTGAGAATCTTCGAAGGCACTGAAGCCGGCAGTACGTGGAGCCGATGCGTCCGAAGTGCTGGCCTGGCGCGAGGCGCTGGCCGGAGGAGGGTTGTCCAGAGTGGTTGATGAGGCGGCACCGTTAGGTCTAGCGGGAGTTGCGGCGGCGGCAGGAGTTGCGGCTGGACGCATGTTGGTCGATAGGTTGAGGATCAGCTTGCCGTTAACGACGAGATTGTCGTTGCTCTTGCGAAGGTCGCGTGTAAGCATTTCTACAATAGCATCTTGTCAGCACGAGAGTCTAGTGGAAGCACATGTCGACGTACCATCACCACCAGCGTCCAGGTCGATGACACTGCCAACACGGACATTGACAACACCAAGGAAGCCCTGGTCCTTCTTCTTGAACTTCTTCTGGTCGAATATTTGAACGGCGAGAATGCTCTCCTCGTTCGCTCTNNCCTGTAGGGTTCGGTCAGTTCGAATTGGGAGGGCATGGTCGAGGTCGGAGTCGGGATCGTACATGTCAAAGCTCTCATTCCAGTATGGATTGAGCGTCTTCTTGATGACGCCGGTCGTCTTTGTTTGTTCGCCATTGATAGTGGCTACGGCAAAGGGATCGGGGAAACCTGCATGGCGGCGTCAGTCGACGCTTCGCGGCACGAGCGGGCAGCAGGAGGGGAACTCACGGAAGACGTCTCGCTTGTAGAGGCCGTCGGCAGCGATGACNNTGCGAGCAGACAGTCAGTATTGCAAGACAGGAAGAATAGGTCTGGGGCACGCACTGGTAACGCGCAGGTTGGGCTGCGCCGGAAGGTCGGCCATGGTGTTTCGTGCGGTTCAGTCGCTGCTGGGGATGTTGGTCGTGGGGTTGCTTCTCTTGTCGACGAGACGTCAAAGCCCATGCACCAGCTGATGGGGAACGACACACAACTGAGCACCGTCTGCCTGTCTGGCTGTTCTTACACGTGCGTCGACCGAGAGGAAATGGCTATTATGGGCGATGATGGATCAGGATCAGGATCAGGATGAGGCTACCACCAAGTGGCTGTGCTCCACCTCGAGTACTGGACCGTGGACGTCTGGGTAGGAAGCTGGTCCGGTTGTCGCAGGCCTCTTAATTCCTCGAGAGCGCGTCGAGTCTGGATGCTGTCGTAAAAGATATATGCAGACGCCGCGTATGCGAAAGGATGGCGCCGGAATGCCTCGTTCCTGACGTTGTTGGTTGGGAAATGCTGACGGACGCAGACGGACCCTCGACGCTCTCCAAACTTCGACTTCGTCATGGTCGCCTGCTCAAGCCGCGCCCCCGACCACTTTTTTTCTTCCTTTTCGCTTTTTTTTTCCTTTCTCGCCGAGCTACTTTTTTGCACCCATGTCTTGTCACGTCCATAATTAGTTGGGATATTGGTTGCAAAATTCAAATTATCATCACAGAGGTCTATTTTTGATCCGTTTTTACCTATATCTATGATTAATCACCTAACCTCATTCCCGTCTTGTTTCCATCTGATCCAATTCGATGCTGCTCTGCTGAGCTTGGTCAAAGATTTCCTCATCTCCTTCTTCTACTCCTCTCATCAAACCCTCCTCTTCATCTCTGTTTTGCGCTAGCTCTCCTGTAGTCTCATTTTTCCGACTGTCGCCTTTGTCTTTCTGCATGGCCATATATATTGCTGACCCAAGAATCAATGTCGACCCAATTATTGACGTGATACCTGGTGTCTGTCCGAAGATGAATCTATCAAATCCCAATGCAAAGAGCATTGAAGTGTATGCCATATTGGTTGCTCGCGACGATTTCTCATAACTCAGTCCCGCTGCTAGAAGGAATTGCTGCATCAAAATCAGTCTTTGCGAACAAGTCATCATCTTTCATTCATACCATAATAAATCCACATGTACTGTTTAGAGTTAGCCACAGACTTTCATGTATGAGATGCATAACATTACTCACCCAAGGAAAATCAGATATCCCCACTCCTTTGCGTCGGCAGGAAGCAGGAAACCGATACCAGGAAGCGTCAGTTGGGCTACAATGCTGACAATTGTGCACCATGTAGCAAAGTAGTTGACACTGATCAACGGATGTGCTCTCTTTCCGATCCAGCGGATCGTCGTATATGCAATCACTGAACCGCCGACACCCACGAGTGCGATACCAACTGCCGCCAATCGCTCAGCTGGTGTGACGTTATCATAATTGGATGCATCTGGTGTGGTTACTGTGCTATTAGATCCAACCACCTCAGTGCCTCCATTGGCTGGAGGCGCTTCCGCAGAAGAGAAAAAGAGTGATGTCGGTCTGGCGATGAAGACCACGCCCACCAAAGACACAAGACTTCCTATCTTGTCAATCTTAGTGAAAGGTTCTTTGAGCAACAATGAGCAAACCCAGCAGGTGAGACTGGGTGCCAGAAAAGTAATGACTGTGGCATCGGCCAGCGGCAGATATATGAGCGAGTAGTACATTCCGAACACTCCCCAAAAGCCACCCAGCCCTCTTGCTACCAAGAGCCACCTGACCTCTCGATGCCCCAATGGAAAGTGTGGAGTCCTGGAATACCACATGTAGAGAGACGAGAGTACCACTGTAATAGACATGCGAGCGAACAGAATCTTTGGCTGGTCAGAACATCATGTATTGCAGAGATCAATTTCCATGATACGCACTTGGAATGGATGCAGTCCTTTGCCCTTGTTACCTTCTATCTCCAGTAAACGGGTGGTGACATTCATCATCACGCCAAATACCTGAGCAAGCAACATATAGAAGAGTCCAGCATTGCGTATCCAACTAGCATGGAGCTTAGCTTGCCATTTGGCGGTCCAAGTTGGTTTGAGTGTCAGTGCTTGGTGTCCTCCATCTTGCCAAACAAACGGCTCATCGTTTCGTGGACCGAGCTGGTCGAATTCTTCTGCAGAAAGATTGGACAAGGTGTCTGGAGATAATGGTCTATGAGGTACTCTGTACTGTGGAGGCTCGAGAAATCGGGACTCGTTCTGCTTGCTTCCATCATAAGTCTGTTCTGGGAAGGCTTTGTCGACAACGACCTGGATGCCTTCATTGGCTTTCTCCGTTTCCGCTACTGATCCGTGGACCGGCGAGACAGGTCTACTCATGCTGTCTGGAGGAATCAAAGTTTCTAGAGGAACAGACAGCCAAACGATACTCGGCAACGAACATGTATCGTAAGTCCACGACCAAAAGCGAGTGAATGAACTGGAAATGATAGGGAGTAGAAGTTCACTCCCTCAAAGACAACTTATTAGACAAAGTCTGCCTAGCAGACTCCCACCGCAGCACATGTCTGTCTCTGTACCGGCTAAGGTAGGCACACGACCGCGGAACAAACTCTGGCCAATCGTTGACTTTTGCTTTTCTCGTCTTTCGTCATTACCGCGATACCGATTGCCAAAAACGGGCATGCTTGGCTTGATACTTCTGCTCCGCCTATCTTTCTCTGTCTTCTCACCAAGCATGACTTTCTACTGGGCGTAGTTGAATCCTTCGTCCCGCATGTGTGAATCTGGGTCGCAATATCTCGGTTTTGAGAACGACATACCTCATTGAAAAGTCGAGTGTTCTCCCGATGCCAAAGAGATCGTACTCGAGTAGAGAGTTGGAGACAAGACTATCGAGGTTCGGCTTGGGCGTTCCTGCTTCCCCTCATTCGCTACCCGAGCCGGATTGATCGTGCAAGCTTGTGGCACGTCACATACATGCAACAGTCGTCGTGAGCTTGTATGAGTACCTGCTTGCAACCCGACATCGGCAGGCTATCTAGTGATTAAATGAGTTGCAGTCATGTAGACTCACGGATTTACGATAGATAGACTTCTTTGCGAATTATATGGCGACACTGCAATACTCATATTGACAACTACAGTGAGAAACTGTACAAACAGACATGAAGACGAACCGACTCGATCATTCAACAGCCGATGTTTTCTCGCCGTACATGTGGAATTGCATGAAGATGACGGCATCTTCGAAAATGGTTCCGAGAGATCCAATGAGCCAAGGCAAGTTCTTGAGGAAGTACTGTTTCTCAACAGAATGCAGCAGAANTCTGAAAGTGTCAGTAATGGTGAAGCAGAAGAGAATTGTCTGAGTACTAACCCCTGCGCCGTAAGTAAGGTTTCCCATAAGCGAGAGCANAAAGAACAGCAATGACAGGCCTTCACAAGATTTCTCGCGATGGTTCTTGATAATTTGAGGAATGCGAGCACTTGAACCATGTCAGCACAAAAGTATGGTGCATGATGAGAAAAACATACCNNCCAAGTAGAAGATGGCACTCGCATAGCCAAGTACCTCAGCACCGACGGGCATGTGTCTGGCGCCATCAGAAACATTCTCAGGAGTTGGCTTCCAAGCACCAGCTCTCCAAGCAATGGCCCAACCTGCGGCTCCAGCAATGAGAATTATTGCGACACTAAGAGTGTTCTTCAGCCAGGCAGTGGATCCTTGTCCCTCCTCGAGAATGTTGGCAAGGCTATTGCTTCGCTCTGCACTGCTTCTAGTACGTCTGCGACTGGCAGCACTGCTGCGTCTTCTACTACCGGGCAGGCCCAGGTTGTCTTGTTGCTCGGCGAGCAGAGGGGCATTCTCGTCAATGGCATCATTCTCGGCGGTGACAATAGAGCGTTTGCGTTCGCGACGGGCGTTCAGAGTGTTGTAGTAGAAGCATTGCGACAGCAGGACGGCGTCTGCGAAACAGAAATAGATGGCGAGAGCGATGACGGTGGGCACGAGATCAGCCCAAAGAGCGCCGGCAAGGTTGGTGATGTCGCCGGCCATCCATACCAGCAGGAAGATGACCGAGATGCCGTCTGCAGAGGATTGACGATAGTTCTCGATCAATTGAGGCANCCTGACAAGAATGAGTCAGTCACTTGTGTATGCGACAGCAGCAGCGTAGGGATTTTTTACCAGCAGGAAGATCCAGCAAGCCAGCGAAATGCTCCCGGCGATGCCAGAGAAGGCCTCGTGCACCGTCAAAGATACATGTTCCAACATTGTCCCGTCGTAGTCAATTGGCCGAGCAGAAATGGTGGTCGTCAGTGTCGCGGTCGAATTTCAGCAGCCATTGGGTTTGCGGGATGGACGCTGACCTTTGCGTAAAAAAGGCCCGTGTCCGAGTCTTATCTCTTATCGCCATCCACCTCAACAGGTTGAGCCACTCCAAGGCTGTGTCAATTATGTAGCACATATCCTGTCAATTCACTGACACCTAGGGCATGCTGGAGCTTTGACTGTTTCTCTTCTCTCGACACTTGAAGTATCTCATTGCTTGGTAGATGTGATGAGAGAACCATGAGATGTATTGCCTCCATGCAGAACTGACTGTGGTTGACAACCATCATCATCCTTGGCATCAATCCCCCAATCAACCATATGCTCCACTTTGTCATGTGAGTCGACATGGCGAGTCAAGCATGGCGGTGCTATTGTTGTTCGTAGTTCGTAACTTATCTCGCGGATGCACAAGCTGTTCTCTCTGACTCTTGTGCAATGTGCTGGCTCTCCTGATGAAACAAACTTGACGTTGTCCTTGCTATATTATACTTGGTAAGCACAGATGTCTGATCAGCATCGAGACAGGCAGCATCGCCATCTGTCATGACCATTTCAGACTACTATCGGAGTACTCTCGCAAGCAAAGCGAGTGAGGTCGGCAGTCCATGTTAAGCGAAAAAGGATTGCTCTGTGTCGATCTTAATAGATACTGCTGTCAACCAACCGCTGCCGCGCGATGGCACCACCGAGTGACCCATTACTCGGATTACGCGACTCTCAACCAAGATTCCAAAACCAGAAACCAGTCTATCTCATAGGCAAGATCACATTTGGGTCCAGTCGTGCCCCGAGGCGGTGGCAGTAGGCGTGCGCAGGGTCCATTGATTAGAGTTTGGCGCCGATCGGCTTTACATCCATAGTCGATTGGTCTCGCTGTTCGGGCGAGATCGTCTCAGCTGGGCGTGTTCGACTCTGTATATGGCGAGTGTCTGCCCAAGGCGGTTTCGAGTCGTCGCAGACAGAGTACATTTCTGTCAAGTTTTGCGGACAGCTCAAAATCTAAATTGTTAGGATCACGGGCCGCCGTTGGCTTTAGGATTTAGGTTACCGAGGAGAATGAACTACTCGCGCATGATTGACCATGTGTGTTGCATACCCAGGCAATGATGGGCAGTAATGCCGGATGCTACCAAAGACAAAAGCTTTTCGAGTCCCTGTCAGAAGAATCGCTTGCCTTGCACCTTGTCGACAGTCAGCACGGAATCTACGGGGACATTGCTGTCTCCTTGCGTCCGCCCTGCCCCTCTCTCACTTGAAGACAGTCGTCATTCGTTGTTGCACTTTGGCAACGACCTCGATCTCGACATTGCCCAACGCCATTTCCCTGGCTCGCATTCCACGACTCTGGCTGCAACAAACATATTCAAGTCTTGCTTACCCCAATTGCATCGACATCTGCCTAGAACACTTACAGTGATGGCTGTGCATCAACGCCAGACTTAACATCACTCGACACACGCCATCTACTTGTGCACATCCAGGCAGCATGCCTTTAAGTCTCTCCTGTGTCCACACAACCACGAAACAACAGAGGCAGTACAAATCCTATCAACCCTTTGACCATCCACACCCTAAACATAAGCGCGACCGGATGCTTCTCTAGATATGGCCGGCCTCAAGGATATCACTTACTCGTCCGAGGAGATAGATCTTGCATTAGAGCGGCAACCCGAAGCGCCTCCATTCGACCGCAGATACCTCCGCGCTAGCCACGATTACCAGCCCGAACAAACCACCATCTCCGGCTCTTCTGGTGGCATCTCTATCACCGCACCTCTACGAGAGGGCGATCTCGTCCTCATACATCTTGCTCACCCGAACGGCTGGGCCGATGGTACCATACTCTCAACCAATACCCGAGGCTGGATCCCTACCAACTACTGTCAAATTTATGACCCCCAACCTATGCGATCTCTCCTTCATGCGTTATACCGATTGTGGGATTACTTGAGCATAGGCGCAAACGATGAGGCCTTATCTGAGGACAGGCAGGATTATGTTCAAGGTCTCGTAGCTGGTGTTCGCCGCTTGCTCGAACATTGTGACTGTATGCACAGAAACGACCAGTTGATCAAGAGGCATGTTGCCTTGAGGCGAACTCGAAAAGGTCTCTTGGCAGACCTGTCTAGTCTCTTAGAAGACCGTGACAAGATACAAAACATTTCTGACTGTTCAGATGCCGTCGCGTGTTCCGAAATTGACGAGTACTTGACCAATGCTTTCAGAATAGCACGCAGAGGTGCTCGCTTCCTCGATCTCTGGACTCAGAGCACTTCTCCAAAGCAGAGACAATCAAGCACGCATTACAATGAGGCCTTCCAAAGCCCTCGAACCGCCAGAGCCTCAATGCATGCAGGACTCTCGTCTTCTCCGTTATCGAACGTCGATGAACACTCGGTCCGATCATCGTCTCCTGAATACTTCAAGAAAACTCCAAGGTTCCATTTCAGAGTTCTTGAGTATGACGAGGCCTCCCAGGACACGAGGGTCGTTGACGAGCAATTTGGCCCAGAGATTACCTCGGAGGAACTTCGTCAGATGTTCTCAAGTAACACATCGCCCCCGGCACGGCCGTCGTCTGTCACTTTGGATTCAGAGCCGGTCGTGAACACACTCGCTTTGACCGAAGATGTGTCTGATGTGGCATCCGAACGTCTCACGGCCGCGCATGAACAGTTTTTGGGCGATATCGGTGCCTTCATTGGCTTTCACCTGCAGTCCAGAACGTCTCTAGATTTGGCAAGGACAACGACACTTTCCATAAAAGCAGCCGAGGATTTACTGGTAATTGTCGGAGAAATCTCAGAGCGAGATCTCAGTCGGTGCCAAGGCATTTCGGTAGCGTCAGAAAATATGAGAGCGAAAATCAAGGCGCTTGCAGAGACCGCAAGTCGCTTGTGTAAGGTTCCTGCAGACTCGAATGATCCAGAGGTAGTAGAAGTTGTGGGCCCAGAAGATGGTCAAGGACTTGTGGCTGCAGCAACCGCCTGTGTCCGCGCGGCAGGTGATTGCACTGCAAGAACACGAAAATTTCTCGATTCTACAAGTGGTGGCTTTTACCTTTCGAGGCTTTCGTCTACCATTCAAGACCAACACGAAAGATCTGGCACAATTCAATTAATCAAAGCACCTGGGGTGATTACCACTGGTAATTGGTCGGAAGCCGCTGCCGGTGCCGCTAACCCACAGAACCACAAATCAGCCGAGACCAACCTTCCTATACGAGAGCCACGACCGAGACCCTCATATCTATCGCGCTCAACCACCGATGATACCAACAATTTCACTCTCTCGACGGTCCTCCCTGATGGAAACATGAGAAGACCAGAGTCTTCTCCCCANCTAGTAACATGTGAATCGCCTATCTCACCAACATCACCCGTAACATCCGAACCACCATTACAGTTACCACCATCACCTGCAGATGAGTCATTGGAGCAATATCAGCAGGATCACAAGGAGCATTGGACCCCACCAGACAGAAAGNNGGGGAGTCTAGGAATGTCGACGACGACGAGCTCGAGTGCCTATCAAGACAGCTTGAGGAACTCACTTGGCAGTGTAACATCGCCAACATCGACTAGGGCCACGACACCTGATCGATACCAGCGGCATGTCCGGGCCAATCCAAGTCTTTGCACCCATGGCAGTGTATTGAGTGTTGCGACCACTGCTAATGGCAGTGACCACGATGCCGAAGTCCTAATGAGGTCGTATGCGCATGAGTTGCTGTACAACAAGGACGGACAGGTTGTCGGTGGAACACTAGCAGCTCTTGTCGAGAAGCTTACAAGTCAGTATGGTCCGCCAGATCCCGAGTACAACGCGGCTTTCCTTCTCACGTTCCGTCTCTTCACGAATGCTGTGGAGTTGACGCAGGCACTGATTACTCGATTCCAATACGCTGGAGACTGCAATACGGACAGCTCTCCTGCACGTCTTAGGGTGTACAACTTCTTTAAGACCTGGCTCGAGTCTCATTACCAAGTTGAGAGCGACGCACCCGCTCTAGAGATCATACATGGATTTGCGGTCCAACAACTGAGCCTCCAATTCGCCGGCCCAGGCCAACGTCTGGCTGATTTGACCAAGATCACATCCCAAATTCAGACGACCAGCGTGGCAAGTCAGTTGGTCTCTGCTATCGGCAAAACTTGTGTTTCATTGGGCAGTGACTACGANAAAACCATCATACCTCATGCCAACATCAACAAGGAGCAGTTGTATCTTCTGGCGGGCGCATTTCCAACCAANAAACTCACTCTATTGGACCTGGATGCTGTCGAAGTCGCTAGACAACTCACCATCATAGAGTCNAAAAGATTCTGCGCTATACAGCCTCATGAACTACTCGGTCTCGAGTGGACGAAGAAGAACGGGCGCGCCGAAAACGTTCGAGCTATGTCAAAGTTTTCGACAAATCTCACAAACCTCGTTGCCGACACTATACTTGAAGCTGAACAAACCAAGAGACGTGTTGCTGTTCTGAAGCATTGGATCAAGATTGCAAAGCTGTGTCTGGATATCGATAACTACTCGGCTCTCATGGCGATATCCTGTTCTCTCACTAGCTCAGCAATCGCAAGACTGCGCCTTACCTGGGGTCAGCTGTCGCCCAAGACGAATGCCATCTTCGAGGAAATCAAGGAGATAACCGACATATCACGTAACTACGCCACCCTCCGACAGCGTTTGCAAACACCCAAGGCACCATGTCTACCATTTGTGGGCATGTATCTTACTGATCTTACCTTCGTGGATGCTGGTAACTCGAACACCAGACCTCTGCCCAGTGACGATGGAGACGGCAATGAAACCAAGCTGGTGATTAACTTCGACAAACACATGCGTTCGGCACGAGTCGTGAGTCATCTACAGCGCTATCAAGTGTCCTACCGCCTTCAACACGTACTCGAGATACAGGAATATTTGGAAGGTCAGCTTGACCGTGTAGAGACGAGCGATCGATGCACTGTGATGAGCTTCTGGCGCCGCAGTCAGGCACTGGAAGCACGCAGTAAAGGAGAAGAGCGCCCTGAGTCAAGAGAGGAGAGGGAAAAACCAAGCAGCTTCATGAGCAGCATGCTTCGACCAAAGAAGAAGGCGAGTTCAGCCGGACTCAATGCACTTTTGCACAGAGTCAGATCGGCCGGATCGGGTCACACCAACGAGTGAGCATACTGATGAGCATTTTACATTTTCAATACTGGCGTTATGGGAAGCTATCGAGACACTAAAAAAGCGATATGGCTGGACTACGGACATGGGATTATGGGAGATACCACTTTGTTTTTGGATTGGCTGGGTGTGGCTTTTCAGCAAGAGAAGGAAAGCGATATGGGTTTTCTTATTTTCTTTGCTTGGAGTATCGGTCACTAGCAAGAGGAAACAGAGTTACGCGAAAACATGTTGTACATAGTAACTTAGAGGTAGCATCTTGCTAGTATGATGGAACGACTCTCGTATGTTTTTTTTTTTCAACATGAGCTTGCCTCTCTCAAACTCGTCTTGATGGGTCTTGTCTGTCAACATGAGTGTGCAAGCAGCATAGGACAGTACCCACCGAGAAGCGACGATTTCCCAGCTCTTTGTGGACACGCCCCTGCTTCTGAAAACAACCATGTCTTTTTGACATTGTGAAACTCGCTCTTTCCTACAGTCAGAGCATCATGAGAGTTACAGACCTGCGCACACGGGGGAGGGTCAAGAGTGGTAAATGGTTTAGTATTCATAGCACATTACCGACATGAGCATTGAAATCAGACAGATCTAGCAGCCAGGCTTACTCGACCTTGCGACCATGTCTTCCATCATCACCGTTCTCATAAGGACCACCCTCCTCCTTGACGAGACCCTTCTTCTCATTGGTGTCCTTGCTCTGTCTACTCCACTCTGGAGCTTCGTCTCTGCCGGCATCCTCCTCTTCGTCTCCTTCCTCCTTTGTCTTGTGTACTGTTCTGCTGTCGTGCTCGGCAGGGCTGTACACGGTGACCAATTCCAAGGGTTGGTCTTTGCTCGTGTTGTAGAATTGGTGTTCTGTTCCTGCTGGAACCACTACCACATCACTGGCTTTGATGTCCTGCGTAACTGTGTCAGTGTTCTGTCTTCATCCTCTCGAGATGCTAGGGGCATATCTTACCTGCTCCTTTCCAGCCACAACAGCCTTTCCAGTTCCGCTTGTGAAGATCAAGACTTGGTCTACCAGGTGTACTTCATTGCCAATGTCTCCTCCGACAGGAATCTCCATGGTCACGAGCTGCGAGTACAGTCCCGTGTGAATGACCTTTCTGAATTGACCAAAAGAGCGGACTTTGGAGGTCAGGCTGTCGAAGTAGACCATTTCGTGCTTGGGAGGTTGAGTAGACATCTTGTCGTCTTTGGCAAATAGAGGAGAAGTAGTAGTCAAGTTGCGTGTGGATAGAGAAAGCAAAGTTCTTGGCTTCGTGGAACGGAAAAGGGTTCTTGTTAGGAGGCGAGTGGGAAACATTTGAAGCTGAGGAGTTTATGGGAGTTCAAGGAAGAAGAGGAATGATGCTATTGTTGTGTGATTGGGTCAGATGTGGACTGATTCTCGATGTGGTCATCGTTTCTCGCAACTTCGTCGATGACGTTGACGCGCCATCAATGTGGGAAAGTCTCTCGAGGCAAGTTTCTGGTGGCCTCACCCTGTCCAAGATATTCAGAAACTCATGATCATCAAGTTTGTGATCAAGAAAGACGATCTTATGGGTTGTCGTGACCTGCAGACAGTACATACATATGAAGATAGTTCAGTTGCAAATTTCCATTGCAGATTTCCATTGCAGACATCAGCGCTAGTACAATCTCTATGCGCTTGAAGGATTTTCGTTACAAGTTCAATGTAAACATTAAGAAAAGGTTCATTACAGAATGCGTCGAAACACACTATCATCTATGAGTAAAGAGAGACCCCTCAACACTCCCGTATTCTCATCAACAACTCTGTTGATCGTAGATGGCTTTGCCATTACGGTCAATGACACCAAAACNTGGTGACGCTTGGTAGTCCTGGTGGACATACCAGAAGATATGCACTTGCTTGAAAGCAGCGCAAGCAACTTGCTTCCAGAAGGTTTGAGCGTTCTTAACGCTGGCAACTCCATTGCCGTAGTTGGGTCCACTGACAGGCCAACCGGTCTCAGTCACCCATACCCATTTGCCAGGAGAAACCTTGTCGACGACCCCACGGACTCTGTCGATGGCGCTCCAGAATGTGTTGCTCGCTTGGTCGATACTGCTGCCTTCNNGGAAGTAGGGGTACGCATCTAGAGGATATTAGTGCTCGTCCATCGACTGTATTTCATGCAAGTTTGACTCACCAAGACCGATGAAGTCAGATGCTTTGATCACTTCGGTGTTTGCACCATCTACCCATGCCGTCCNACCTATAGCCAAGGTACCATTAGCATAACATCACCAGGTCAGGTGAAGCTCAACATACGTATCCACATGTCCAACATCCTTCTTCACACCCATGGCGCGAACCATGCCGCGAACATCGTAAATCTTCGTTGCAAGAGATGATGCACTGATCTCTTTGCGGTACAGGTCTTCGCTTCCAACACTAATGGCGATGATCCAGTCCTGACCGTACTTCTTGATGGCACTCTCGAGAGCATCCTTCTCCCTCTTGAAATGGCCACCATCTTGAGTCCAGACACCAACGAGCAACTGAGTTCCTGTTGAGATGGCGGCAGGAACGGCAAGAGCCAGAGTCTGACAATCCGAAGAGGCATATAGACGGACAGAGGTGAAATGACCAGGAAGCGAGGACAAGCTCTTGAAAGCAGAGACCCATTGGGCTTGTGTTTTGCATGAGCCGTCTGGGTTCTCGGCGGCGACGTTAAAGCCCTTCCAGTATGCTTGTGTAAAAGGCACTGCGGCAAGCAAGGCAGTGGCCACGCTCAATAGCTTCATGATGTATGTGAATCGCTTCGCGGATTTCTTAAGATTTAGGCGAAAATGTATGCTACACGTAGCAATGGACGCGTTATATAAGCTCAGAAAATGCGGTAGTCGATGCAGGCGAGTAAGTGTAACTGATGGAAGAAGATACAAAGTAGAGGTTGTAACTGAATCAAGAAAACTTGCAGAGAAAAGAGGAGAGAAGCCATAGATACTAGCACCTGCCTTGTGTTTTGATATTGGTCCCAAGCCCCATCGCAAAGAAACTATTAAAGGGGGGAAGCGCGACTATGGCTGTAACGGCGGGAAAAGTCTTGTAGACTCAATCGCGCAAAAAGTGTGCCACTGGTTCCTTCCCATGAAGCAGCGAGGAAGGCGCTATCGGGTGTCACTCTGAGGATTCATACCATGCTAGGATGAAGGCTCAGTCCGTTAATATCAAGATGAAACTTGGGCACTTTCTTGTCGCCCTCCACACTGGATCAAGCCCAGACCGTTGTGGTGGTCAGTGGGCGAGCCTGTGCAGACCTGTATCCACAAGATTATTCTTTTCCTGGTGACATGACCAAAGACCTTGCAAAGTGGTCGAGGTGTTGAGCTCACCAAGTTGTGCTCGCGCGCGAGTGTCTGTAGCTCCCACATCTCAACATTGTGGAGCGACTCGGAATTTAGGTAGAAAAGACACAGTCCTTCTCAACTAGAGGTATATGACCCAGAAGGGTCAATTGGACGTTCCCTCTTTGAGTGATCCTGCCCAGCTTCTTTGGTCGTTGTGCGATTTGATAGCTGGTGTAAAGTGAGAGCGAGTGAGTTGAGATGAAAGGATGCCATCCAAGTCCATCTTTGGCTCAGACCCCACATGTCACCAGTGATGATGAAACGTCACTGCACGGTGCTATTCTCGTCCACTCGCATCGTTAGCCATGAATTGCCATCTTCGCCATGAGCACCAAGTCGCGCTCAGGTTACACTGCAGCCCAGATCCACCAATACTACGACCGCATCCGTCTTCCTGAAAAGTACCGCCATGAACCCGGCCATGCCAGCACAAAGATCGCCTCTCAAACTTCGACTGGCCTCGAGTTTCTGAGTGCCCTCCAACGCTACAATCTCGCCAGCATCCCGTTCGAGAATCTAGATCTACACTATAGCTCCCATCATAGTATAAGCATCGATGCTCAAGAAATATTCGACAAGATCGTTGGGGGAGGGATAAAGAAGGGACGAGGTGGATACTGCATGGTCAACAATGCTCTATTCGCCAATGTCCTCCGCGGTCTCGGGCTCCACGTTACCAGCCACGGTGCCCGTATTAGCAGCTCCGTGAGCGCAGCAAAGGGCATCCCTCTCGACCAAGTCAGCTTTTCAGGCTTCAGCCATATGATCAATCTCGTCTCTTTCCCCGACAATCCAGCCCTGAAATACCACGTCGATGTTGGGTTCGGCTCTGGAGGACCTACATTTCCTGTCCCTCTCCAACACGACGAAGAAGGAAAACTAAACATAGCACCAAACCAATGGACCAGACTGATCCACTCAGCCATCCCTGGCACAGCCTCTGATCAAAAATTCTGGATCTATGAAAAGCGCAATGGCGATCAGAATTGGTCTCCTTGCTATTGTTTCCCAGAGACCGAGTTTCTCGAGTCGGATTTCAAAGTCATGAATTACTGGACTAGCACTTGTAAGGATTCATGGTTTACTCAAATGCCTGTTTGTCTCAAGATGCTTTTGGATGAGAGTGGTGACAAGATTGTGGGCCATATGCATGTTCTCAAGACCGACTTCAAGAAACGTGTTGGTGAAGAGGCGTTGATCAGTAGAGAGTTGAAGTCGGAGGACGAGAGAATAAAAGTTATCGAAGAAGAGTTTGGCATCCCACTGGATGAAGAGGAGAGAAAGGGTATACACGGCATGGTCTCTGAAATAGCATAGAGATTAAGGCACAAAAATACATCCTTAGAACAGGTAGTGATGTATTCAGAATTCGAGAAGAGCAATGATTATGATATTGAAACCCCTATCAGCAAAGGACAATCTTCTTACTTCCTCTTTGCACTCAACGACTTGAGCGGGTCCGACTTTTTCCTTCCTTTGCCTTTGCCCTTCATTCTATTTTGCATTCTTGCCTTTCTGATTCTGTTTTCTCCACTCTTGCCAAAACCGACAAATCCTCCATCACCAGCACCTTGTGCCACTGCCGAGTTACCAGGCAACAGATACTCGGGCACATGTTTCAGATGCGGCTGCACGCGAACAGCATGACTCTCTTGATCGTGCCTCAAATGTTGCAAATCTGTAGGGTTCTCCTCGAAATGGCGTTTCAGCTTCTCCGACTTCAAGAGCTCGGAGCGAATCTCGCGGATACGTGCTTCGCGGATGGCAATTCGGGTGACTGAGCGTAGGGCATCTGTCATACGGTATCTAAAGCCATCAAGGCGCTTCATGTCGAAGTGGTAAGGCAAAACTTGTTGGTTCTTCTTCTCTTGCTGGCGAGTGATCTTGGCGAGAACTTCTTCGTCGTGTTCGGCTGAGGGGATGGTGGTGGGTTTGTGCTTGCGGTAAAGGGTCTTGGGTACGACGAAGGAGAGAGCCATACCAGACTTGCCGGCACGAGCGGTACGGCCGATACGGTGAGTGTAACTGCGGGATGAGGTAGGCAGGTCGAAGTTGAGCACGCAGGCGACGTTCTTGAAGTCAATACCACGAGAGACACCAAACTCTTTGTCGAGCTTTGAGCGCTTTTGCTTCTTCTTGGGCTTTTCTTCTGATGTCTTCTCTTCCTTCTCTTCCTCATCATTCTCGGCAGCCGCCTCTTCGGTAGCTGCTTCACCATCCACAGCAGTAGCTTCGGCTTCGTCATCTGCAGACTCAATCTTCCTCCTCTTGCGGCTCGACTTCTCCTCGTTTCCGACGATCTCGCTGTCGTCGCTAGCAATGATAATGTCGTAGACACCACGGTTAAATTCGTCCACAACGTGCAATCTTGAGTTGACAGGCAGTTCTGAGTTCAGAATACAGCTCTTGATGCCGAACTGCTCGAGGAACAATTTGAGGCGGTAGCAACGGTCGATGTCGCTGACAAAGACAATGCACTTGCCCTTGATGAGTTTGAGCATGAAGATGGCGTAGATAAGCAAGAACTTTTCGTCTTCCCCACACTGAACGACGTATTGTGTGAGAGCTGATGTTTCCTTCTCTTCCTGATCGAGTTCGAGCAAAACAGGGTCTTTGCAGAACATGCCCTTGAGTGTGTCGACTTCTGTTCGTAGCGTGGCGCTCATCAGGACGGTTTGCACGGCTTGAGGAATGACCTTTGACAGGTTTTGCAGATCTTCATCGTGGCCGTATGAAAGGACAAGGTCGGCTTCGTCAATGACGAGATGTGTGAGGTTTTGTAGTTGCAGAAGAGAGGCGTTGACAAGGCTGGTCGCTCTTGAAGGTGTAGCGATAACGACATCGGGGGCTTCGATCAGGCGGGCGTGGGCGACCTTGTCGTCTTCCTTGCGAGTCAAGTTCTCGATGCGCACCTCTTGGCCGCAGAAGGCAGCGAACGATAAGGCGACCTTTGCGACCTGGCCAGCAAGTTCGCGGGTAGGGACCAAGACGAGGGCCGAGGTTGATTTCGTTGACGAGGGCTGTGCGGATTTGCGGTGTAGGATAGACTGGAGGATGGGTAGGAGGTATGCTGCTGTCTTGCCGGAACCGGTTCGTGCTCGCGCTGTTTCCTGTTAGTCGTGCGACTTGACAGCAACAGACTCAATAGACTAACCAAGGATATCCTTGCCCGAGAGAGCCAGAGGAATGGCACGGGCTTGTACAGGAGTCGGGGCGGCAAACTTCTCCTTGTTGATGGCCTGCAAAAGACGTGCATCCAGTCCCAGTTCGGCGAATGTCTTTGCTGTCGGCGTCGTCTTTTCCACCTTTTCCTCAATTTCTGTGATGGCCTCTGCCACCTCGGGCACATCCTGTTCGTTCAACTTGCGCTTCATTGTGAATGTGATTGTGATTGTGATATGCGTGTTTGCTAGTCTTGTAAAAGAAATAATTCGAGGACTTTTGTCTATCCGCTCGGACTTTCGCCCCGCACTTTTGCGACGCCGACTTCACCGCCTTTGACACAAGAGGGAATGATACAAGTCAAGACTACCAGCTGAATCAACCTGAGTGCATATATATGTGCTGTTGTCCATTACTACTAGAACATGCTCTAAGTACAATGTAATCTAGTTCTGAGTCTTCGACTTCTTTCCTTTGGGGCCAGCCTCGCCCTTGGCTTCACGCGTCGCCTGGTGGTGCTCGACCTTCTTCAAAGTTCTGTACTCGGCATCCCACATTTGAGCTCTGATCCACTTCTCCAACTCTTCATCCTTGTCTGGAATGCCTTCTTGTTGCGTCAACTTCTCCTCCTTTGCCTTCTTGATCACTGCTGCCGCAATCTTGACGCTGATATCGCGGACGTTGATCACGTCAGGCAACAGTCCATCGTTGGGGTCCTTGAGCGCAGGTGCTTGAGCTGCAAGCGCTTTGGTTGCTGCAACCAACAGGGGTGGCGACATGAGCTTTGCACGAGACAAAACTGCTCCCAGCCCAATACCAGGGAATGTCGTGCTGTTGTTGCACTCTGCAACCACGTACTTGGTACCCTTGTACTCGACAGGATCGAAAGGTGATCCAGTGGCCATTAGACACTTGCCCTCGGTCCACTTGAACAGGTCTGCCGGATCTGCTTCGTGCAGCTTGGTAGGGTTTGACAGAGGGAAAATGATAGGGCGGTCAGTGTTCTTGGCCATCTCCTTGACAATGTCCTCAGTGAACGACTTGGGCTTGGTAGAGGTACCAATCAGAATGTGAGGCTTGACCTCCTTTACGATCTCAAGCAAGCTGTCGGTCTTCTTGCCCTTCCATTCTTCGTCCTTGCGAGCGTAGGGGTGCTGGGCTGGTGTAAGATCGTCCTTCATTGATTGCAGGAGCAGACCAGGCTTGTCAACACACCTGGATAAAATCGTTAACGTTGGATCAAGAAAAGTAGTCTTGCCAACTTACCAAATCTGCTTCAAGGCGTCCTCTCTGGACTTGTCGGACTCGACAGCAATGGCATCCGCAATCTGGTCTGCGATACCAGTGCCAGCGGTTCCTGCACCATACATCAAGACACGGATGTCCTTCATCTCAAGCTTTGCAACCTTGAGAGCAGCGTAAATTGCAGCCAGGGTGACGCATCCGGTGCCTTGAACGTCGTCGTTGAAGCAAGCAATCTTGGGAGTGTACTCGTCCAGAATGCGACGAGCGTTGGGCAGACCGAAGTCCTCGAAGTGAATGTATGCGTTGGGGTACTTCTCCTTTGCCGTCTTGATGAAGGTGTCAACGAGCTTGTCATACTTTTCTCCTCTGACTCTCTTCTGCTTGAGGCCGAGATACAGGTCGTCCTTGAGGAAGTCCTCGTTGTTAGTACCAGTGTCAAGAACGACGGGGATTGTGCGGTGAGGGTGGATACCAGCACAGAGTGTGTAGATAGCCAGTTTTGCAATGGAGATCAGAATACCTCCAACACCCTGGTCACCAATGCCGAGAATTTGCTCACCGTCACTGACAACGATGAGATCGATGTCCTCAGGCCCACCCCATCCCGACAAGCTTTGCTCAACCTTTTGGGGTTCGTTGACATTGAGGAAGACACCCTCAGGACGGCGGAAGAGAGACGAGTAGTTGCTGATGGCCTCGCCCTCAGTAGGGGTGTAGATAATGGGGAACATCTCCTTCAGGTGATCTTGGAGCAGTTTGTAGTAAAGGACTTCGTTCTGCTCCTTCAGACTAGTCATGAAGGTGTTCTTTGCGAGGTTGTCTGATCTAGACTGGAATTGGGAATATGCTCTCTTGGACTGCTCCTCGAGGCTCTGAACATTGGACGGGAGCAGACCAGTCAGTCCGAATTCATCACGCTCCTTTTCGGTAAAGGCACTGCCTTTGTTCAAGTAGGCGCATGACAACAGCTCTGAGCCCTGCACGATGTTCAGTTAGTACGATTATCAAGAAGCTTCAACGAGATGGCTACTCACTGTCAACGCACACTCCATAGGTCTGTTGGTCGCCAGAGGAAGATGGCTAAACTCGGTCGTCTTGTTACCGCCCATTGTTGCTGTTCGGCTTAATGCTCGTCTGAATGTAAGTTGTTTGATAGCTTTGTAGTGGATTGAAGGACAAGGTTTCAACAATCTGAAGGACATTGGGTCAGTACTTCAATGCTTCTGGAGTCATCGAGAACATTTCCACTTGTAATGTTTTCTATAGCTTGCTGCTGGGAGCTTGTGTAAATGACGTGGACTTGGGTTAGGTAGGACCGAGTCGGAGATCGGGCAGGCCGCGGGATCGGGGTAAACGATGTTGAATGAATGGATTTTTGAACAATTCGATTCGTTCATGCTTGTTACTGAGTCCTGACCATTATCGTCCATGGTGATGCGAAGCTACGAGCAAACTAGATGATGCACGATTGTTATCTCAAATCATACGCGCGTCCGACAGATAGGCAATGTCTCAGTGAGCGTTTGCGCTGTCTATACAGTTGATGCGCAAATATACAGCTCATAGTAAAACAGAATCCAGCAACAGAGATGACGCCACTTAGTGGGTTTTCAGAAGTAACTATATATCTAAGTTGGTTCGTTACTGATATTATCTACCAAAACTTGGGTATCGTGGAAGTCGTAAGAGTGCTGAAGGCAAGGTGAGAACAGAACATGCCCTCTAAAGGGCCTTGTCGGTGGTTCCTCTCTTAGCAAATTGCCCAGATTGGAACTCCTGCTCGCCACCACGAGCAACCTGCTCGTTCTTTGCCATGGAAGCTGAGTCGCCAGTGAAGCCGTCGATGGCCGAATTGATGTTGCCACGGATGGACTCGCCAATACCCTGTATGCGCTGTCAGAGAAGAACATAACACCGAGAAGGCAGAGAACTTACGTGACCCTTGGCGAACATGCCCTTCAAGCCTTCTCCAGCCTCGGCGCCCTTGGTGCCGCTAGTGGAAGTAGCAGTGGATTGTGTAGTGGGGTTGGTGCCGGTGAAGTTGTTTGCAGACATGATGATGGTGATGTGGTGACGAAAGGCAGTTCGTGGATATGTAATGGAGTGATGTGAGGCGGTCCGACTGATTCAAAATTGGTCTCTCTTTATATCTTCGCAAGTTCTTGGAACAATGGAAGGTATGAGATCAATGAATCTTGAGCTACGTTTTGCGCTACGTCATAGGCATCATCACACGACTATGTGACAACACAATTCATCTCTCCAAGTCGATCATTATTGCAAGCCATGACAGACTATGAGACGCGTCGATTGGAGAATATCAAGCGTAACCAGGCCTTGATCAGCGAACTTGGAATCGAGAAGGTCAAGCAAGAAACCTCGACAAGCAAAAGACCACCACCAAAGAAGCGCAAGCTCTCACCTTCAGCCGCACGACCAACACGCGTCTCTGCGCGTATCGCTTCGACAGACCGCCCAATCTACAATGATGAGCCTTCGATCATCAACGACTCAATCAAGTCGGCGCGAAGAGGTGGAGCGAAGGAAGGACAGAACGTGACAGCAGATCCTGTCGAGGTCAAAGCCCAATCGCCTCCACCAGATCTCGAAGATATACGAAAAGGATGGACATCCTGGGAGTCGGTTGCGCCNCCACCAACGCGAGATGAGGATGGCACATTCCACTTCGAGGGACACCCGACCTTTCTGCCCAACAAGTCACCGGCCGAGATGCTCGCCGAAGGTGCCTTTGGCGGCTCTTACTATCGGCCGCTGTATTCTAAGAGCCTACGCACAACGATAGAAGACGATTGGAAAGAACTTCCTGCTGAATGGCTTCAAAATTTGAGCGTGGACAAACATCTTATCAGCCCAGACTACGACCCTGAGATCAACAAGTTCAGGGTCAAGTGTGGGCAGAGTATAGAAGAGTGGGAAGCAGCTGGTTGGATAAGTCATGCCCACGATGTACGGGGTTGGTTTCAGTGGTACACACGATTTTGGCTGGGCCGTCGGTGCGACGACGATGACAGGCAAATTGGTAGATGGGAGCGCTGTGTTGGCGAGAGAGGGCGCTGGCGTCGAATGCTCCTGAAGAAATACTTGCAAGCTGGAGTTAAGACAGTCGCAGATGAAGGAGTCGACGAAGAGGAGGTTTCGCCTGTCATGCATCAAACCTGTCACCAGTGGGCATGGGAGGTTCGACAAACATCACTGGATGAAGCATGGGCTGGCCACCTGTGAATTAGGTTGCTCTTGAGAGGATGGAAGCAGGGATGGTTCTCGTACATAATTACCCCGAGGACTCTCGGGCCGTACTCTGCCCCTGTACAGAGATCATACCTGTGGGAAGGGCTTTGAGCTGTATACACCAACAAATTTTTGTTTAATCCCCGTCCCTCAGAATGACTATTCTTGGTGCTTAGAACAAAATCAGAAATGCGTTCATCTGTTTTGATGGGAAGTTGAGTCACGTGGACCTGGCAGCTGGTGAAGCGAAGCCATTCACGCACCTTGAACCTCCGATGCACCCTCGCACGTCTGCAACCCGAGCATCACATCTCCTCGCACCATATCTCAAGGCCATCGGTATCCATACGAATGTTCTATATCGTCTGCCTGTCGAGTGCTACACCTGGTCCTGGGGACAGCTTCATGCTGGCTGGCTGTCTGTGCCGACCAGCCTAAGCAGCGGAGCATGATGCAAGTTGTTTGTCGGACTTTCCACCCCTGATTGCTACCATGATATGGCCCTGCCGACGATACCGGGTCGAGTATAGAAAGCTGACAGAGTTATGTTTATAATGCCGGTATATCACGAACGCCCATTCGCAGCCGCAAGTCCTCTCCTGGCCACCACCGTCGCAGTATCTGCGCCCAGCAACGGACTGTCCAGCATTTCGCTGCCCACGAAGACGTCCTGATCGACCAATAATAATCAAAGTACCGTTGTTACCGAAGCGACTTCTAGAGACGCAAAGACTCGACGAAAAACATACACCAGAATACCACAGGCTTCATGGACTGTATCAGCCTTGATCAGTATCTGGCTTGACACAACAAGAGTATGGCCGAGGATTGGAGCCTCTACAGAACACTGGACGTAAATGTATCTCTCTTCTGTAGGTGCTTGTACTGGAATTTCACCCTATCCACGAAAGAAGAACCCCTTGTTCAAAAACGTTATACACTTCACACTTGAATTCCTGCAACATGCCCATTTCTTGCATTTCTCTTCCTTGCCTTTTAGTTTGACACATACAATAATCCTTATCACCGCTTTATACTCTCACGATCATCTCAAAATGAGTTGCGACGATCCTTGAAGCGACTCGATCTGACCATGCAGCATGTTCACCAAGAATGCAAGCAAATTCCTGATCAGCTACTATCAACCTGCAGGGTCGCTGCTGTACTTCCTGGTCGATCGCATGACTGCACATGGTTAAACCAACATGAGTGGTGCTGTGGTTTGTATATGAATGCAATACGGCTATGCGAAACAAAAGTGCCAAAAACTTTGGAGTCGTCGACTAAAATCCTCGAAGCCTCGAGCTGGCTTCGAAGGTCAAATTCTCCTTTCAAACTTGGAAAGAAAGAAATCATGATGACTTTTCAACGTTGTCTGGCCAGCAAGGAGCACGGATCTTCGACATGTCGCGACTCGCGGCTTCCCAAGAATTGGCGTTGGCTTTGGCGTCGCGCTGAGAGAAGAACACTTTCCTGCCACGCCCATAGTATCACAACCGAGGCCTCGAATCACAAGAGAACTTCACGAGGAAGGTAAGAGAACTTCATTCACCTTCAACGTAGGTATCAGGAGATCACAAGTTGTTATTGCTGGTGTGGAAAGGATCGCTGCCAGGTCACGTGCTGAACTGAAGAGGTCCTTGACGAAGCCGAAGTTCAGAAAGCTCGAGCTTCGCGTCCTTCTTCTCCTCAACACAACTCTTGCACCACAACTATTCCATCAATCTCCGCGCACATCATCCACAGACACTTAGACGACATCCTCGTCCGTCCGATAGCCTTCTCCGCGTCCTTCAGCACCCTACAGCGCGTCTGTCGCGCCTCCAACGCGTCCATCTACTACGTCACTGCGCTCCGGTCGTACACCTTTGAACATCACAATGGCTGAGGAAGAACCTAAGACTGCACCTGTCGAGTCACAGGAGGCACAGAACGTATGACTACAACATTGAACGCGTCAGAGATCGTCGGTCACTGACCGCCTGTAGACTACCATGACCGAGGCTACAACTGAAGGCCCTTCAGCTACCGCTGAGAGCACTGAAGGTAAAGAGATCGTTTGCATATACCGCTTGCTTGAAAAGCTGACACGATCTCAGCACCTGCCACCACCGAGGCCATGGACACATCAGCCGACAACACCGAGGCCAAGGAGAATGATGCAGCACTTGCTGGCGCACAAGCAACCACTGAAGTCAACGCACCAGACGGCGAGGGAAAGACAGAAGCAGCAGTACTCCCTTCCGATGTCGCCGATGCCGCAACCCCCACAGGCAACAAGAACGGAAAGAGAAAGTCCACCTCGGGTGTTCCGGAGCACAAGAGCAAGAAGTTGAACAAGAAGAAGTCGGTAGCACAGCTGAACCTCAACATCAACCCGGGCGACTACTACTGGGCCAGACTCAAGGGTTATTCTCCATGGCCTTCGATCGTCTGCGACGAAGACATGCTTCCAGAGATTCTTCTGGGCAACAGACCTGTCAGTGCCAAACGTGCCGATGGATCCTACCGTGAGGATTACGAGGATGACGGCAAGAACGCCAAAGACAGAACCTATCCTGTCATGTTCTTGGGAACCAATGAGTTGTGAGTATCATATCAATTCTGTGTCGCGCGCATCCTGTTCTAATTCACCTCATAGNNCTCTTGGATGGTCAACACCTCTCTCACCAAGCTCGAGCCTGGTGACTGCACTCCTGACAAGCAGACCGGCAAGATGTCCAAGGCTCTGAAGGAGGCTTACGATATTGCCGAAGAACGCCATGACCTCGATTACTTCAAGAACATGCTTGATGATTTCATGCAGCAACAGAAGCAGGCTCAGGAAGAACAGGCTGCCAAACAAGCCGAGAAGGAGGCCAAGGCCGCTAAGAAGGCCGAGAAAGCTGCTGCAGACAAGACCAAGGAGAAGAAAGACCGCAGAAAGAGCAAGAGCAAGGAAACTGTTTCAGATGCGGACGACATGGACCTTGACGTCCCTGAGGATGCAGAGGCCAAGCCCACTAAAAAGAGAAAGAAGGATGCCGACAGCGAAGGCGAGGGTCCCAAGGCAAGATGATCTCGTCTCGTTTCTTTGCGCTCAAAGCTAACCAAAATGCAGCCCAAGAAGACACCTAAGGCCACAAAGGTCGCCGCCACCAAGACTAACGGTGAATCGGCTAAGAAGGCAGCCAAGCCTAGAAAGGTTGTGCAAAAGCCTGCTGATGAAGAACCTGCCACCGAGGCCGAGAAGCTGGAGCGCCGCGAGAAGGCCGTTCTCTACCTACGCCACAGATTGCAGAAGGGTTTCTTGATGCGTGATCAGACACCCAAGGAAGATGAGATGTCCACCATGAATGACTTCTTCACCCAACTTGAGGGTTACGAGAATCTCGAACCCGCCATCATCCGCGGCACAAAGATCTACAAGGTTCTCCGTGGTATCATCAAGCTTTCTTCAATTCCCAAGGAGGAGGAATTCCAGTTCAAGAAGAGATCAAATGATCTTCTTGCCTTGTGGCACGATGCACTCGGCTCCAAGGGAGATGAGAAGGAAGACGAAAAGGCCGAGGACAAGGACAATGGCGAGAAGACAGAGAAGCCCTCAGAGAAGCCCAAGAAGGTCGCTGAGAACACAGAGTCCAAGGAGCCCACCGAGGCTCCCAGCGACCCTGAAGCTGCCGAGGACAAGGATGTTGCCATGACTGATGTGAAGGAGGACAAGGCTGAGGTCGCAGCTGCACCTGCTGCACAGAGTGAGACCGCAGCTGCTGAGGTAGGCATCGACATCGAGTGATGTCAGTCCAGAAGATATGCTACTCAGAGGAAAGCAGGCTGTGGTTGGACAGCCGTAAAGGTCGGCTTGCGTTGCTTGCATGCATTTTGCTTTGATATGGAGGCTGTGTCGTACAAGCGATAGCTTCTATTGCTATGAAACACAAACAGCGATAAATTCACTCTACTAAGAACCCTTATTGAACATATCTCGTGGAACAACATATGTTGACTCGAAGTAGTCGTTGATTGCACCATGTTTGTGACGTTTCCGCACCCCGCGATCCCCGCAACTGTCAACNAAAAATGTTGGCGAGCGGCATCGTCGACAGCTCAAACAAGGACCAGACCCAAGCAGAATGGCGACCACACACGAGGCAGAGGCCTTGATCACCTCCCACGACCCCCACCACCCGGCGAACCTCATCTGCGAGCTCTGCAAGAAGTTCTACACTCTTGGATGGGTATGACGACCTAGCGACTAGCAGTGACTGTTCCCATTCGAACCGGCACTTACATCCTGTTCANNGGTCACTGGAACAGGCGGTGGCACCTCAATTCGTGATGGTGAACGTATCTATATCGCGCCCTCGGGCGTCCAGAAAGAGCTCATGAAGCCCCAAGACTTGTTCGTTATGGACTATGCGACCAGAGAATACTTGCGCAGACCACCGGTAGGCAACGATCAGACGTATGGAGGAGACACAAGGGCTAAGTAGGATGGGAAACATAGNGTGCTGAAGCCTTCGGCATGTACACCTCTCTTCATGGCCGCCTTCACACTGCGTGGTGCAGGCTGCTGCATCCACACGCACAGCAAGGATGCTGTGCTCGTCACACTGCTCTGCGAAGCTACCGGCACCGACGTCTTTGAGATCCAGAAACTCGAGCAGATCAAGGGTATCCCCAAAGGCTACGGCGAGGAAAAGAAGGGAAATCTTGGATACCACGACCGTCTTCGCATCCCTATCATTGACAACACTGCACACGAGNNGGAGGACTTGAAGGACACGCTTGAAGATGCCATCAAGCAGTGGCCTGATACCCATGCTGTTTTGGTCAAGAGACATGGAATGTATGTGCTTTACCAGAGTTCCGGACATTGCGACGAAGGGCGCTAATGGATTTCCAGCTACGTTTGGGGCAAGGATGTTGCTCAAGCAAAGACTCAGTGCGAGAGGTAAGCTGTCTCAAAGCTTGAATCTTTTCTTTGAAAGACACTAATACAACAANNCAGTCTCGACTACATCTTCCAGCTCGCAGTCGAGATGCATAAGCTGGGCTTGCCATGGATCCCGAAATAATCGCATCGAACGCTGCTTCACGTACATTATGAATAGAATTGATATTGGGAGCTGGAAACTCGAGAAGACGCCAGCTGAGCGAAGCACCATCCCTTGACCTTGATCTGCATTTGGCAAAAGGTTCGAGAATATCACTACAGGGTATACTTCGTATAGATATATTGCAGTAGTATATCTGCAGAATAGAGAATGTCACTATAGCGCATCTCTTAGTCAAATCTTGCAAGTAAGCCCAGAACTCGGGAATATGGCATGGGATATTGCGCTGACTCTCGAATCTGACATGAGACAATGTTATAGGAAAATGATGGGCATTCGAGTAATCTGAAGGCGAAACATTTCTGACCACATGAACAGGGGCCTTAAGATTACCAGATTTGGGTCATGGATTGGTCGGTCGCCTGAAGTCTGAATCGAAGAATGACGGTGACTGCATCTTTCACAGGCGGTGCATACGAAGAAAACCAATTCTCTGCATGAACTCCAGCATGGTGGATACAACATACTCGTAGCCAAGCGACAAGAGGCAAGCAGGAACGAAGAGTCGAGATCGGGTTTCCCTAATCCGGCCAAAGCTCTGGCACTCGTGCAAGCTTTTCTTTGCCATGCAGAGCAGATCTCACTGCATCTGTCCATCTATTTTTAACCAATTGCTACTCGTCCACCACACCTTTCCTCTTTCCTTCAAGGTTCGAGAAGACACACGGGGTCTTGGCCCTCTAAAAAGTCATGTGTGTTCAAATTAAGCAAATTTAGTCTTTGCGAACACGAAAGTGGACGGTCCGNNCCCAACGGGCCTTGACATCATANNTTCGGCGCCCCCGACGCACTCGCATAGCAGNCAATGGCAGCGTTACATGCGGTCAGATGGCATCCGAGCCAAGAACAGGCCCCGTAAGTACAGGAATAGCAGAGGCAGACTGAAAACTTTGCTGGAATGCCTGATGGTANNTAAGTATTCGAAGGACTGGTCTGCAATTGTCTCTGGTCACTCTTGTCTGTACCGAGAAAACACACTATATCCTGCCTCTCTTTGGTCTTCACATACAATCTTTACGAAGATGTTCAGACAACTAACGATAGCCGCTGTGGCACTGTCACTGGGTATGTTTTGCACCGCTACAACATCTATGCAAAAGCGTTCCTGCTAACATCTTCTCAGCNNATCTACTCAAGTATCGGCTAAGCCCATCCAACGTAGAGCAGCTGGCGATTCAGCATTCGACTATATTGTCGTTGGATCAGGTCCTGGAGGTGTCACAGTCGCCGACAAGCTTTCAGAAAGCGGTGCATCAGTATTGTTGATTGAGAAAGGTCAAGCGACGACAGGTCAATGGAACGGCAACAACAGACCTCAATGGTTGGACAACACAGGCTTGACCTTCTACGATGTTCCTGCCCTGGACAACATGATCTGGACGAAAGGAGGAGATTTTACTAACGACATCTTTTGTAACGACATCGTTGGTGGTATCTCGGGCTGTGTTCTCGGTGGCAGTGGTGCCATCAACGCTGGTCTCTGGTGGAAGCCTTCATCCTGGGATTGGGACACCTTGTTCCCTGAGAAGTGGAGCAGCGCCAACATGGCCAACGTTACTGATCGCGTCTTCTCGCGCCTGCCTGGCACTGAGGTTCCCTCCCAAGACGGAAAGCTCTACTACCAGCAGGGTGCTGATATCATCGAGGGTGCCTTGAGTGCCGCAAACTGGACCGAAGTCAGTGCCAACAGCGTTCCTGATGAGAAGAACAGAGTTTACTCCAACACTACCTTCATGTACCAGAATGGCGAACGCAGCGGACCCATGTCTGTATACCTTGGATCTGCCTACTCTCGCCCCAACTTCTCGCTCTACACCAACGCCATTGTCGACAGAGTCATTAGAGAAGGCTCTAAGATTACCGGAGTTGAAGTTTCGAACACATCCCCCGATGGCTTCAGAGGCACCGTCAAAGCAAACAAGGCCGTTGTCCTTGCTGGTGGCGCATTCGGTACTCCCAAGGTCTTGATGAGAAGTGGAATTGGCCCAAGAGATCAGCTCGAGACTGTCCGCAACGCCGAAGGCTCAAAGATGATCAATGAGGACCAGTGGATTGACTTGCCCGTCGGCTACAACCTGATGGACAACATCAACACCGATATTGTCGTTTCTCACCCTGACGTTGTCTACTACGATTTCCCTGGTCTTTGGAACAACCCTAACCAAGGAGATGTTGATGCTTACCTTAATGGTCGCACTGGAATGCTTACTCAGTCTTCGTCCAACTTGAACCCCATGATTTGGGAGATGCTGAACGGCACCAATGGCCTTCAGGGCTTGCAGTGGACTGCTCGTGTCGACACATCCCTTAATATCAACAATGACGCTAAGCACAACATGGTTCTTGCTCAGTACATTACCATTGGTCAAGCTGCCAGAGGTCGTACCACCATCACTTCCGACCTCAAGATGAATGTCTCGACCGGTGTATCCGTCATGGAACACGAGTCCGACCAGATCGCCATTGCTCAGGGTATCGAAGACATGGTGAATGTCCTCAAGAACGTGCCCGGTCTTGAGATCCTCTCGCCTCCTTCTGGCATGTCCGCTTTGGACTACGTCAAGTCGACTACTCACCTGTACGTCAACCACTGGTTGGGCAGCTGCAAGATGGGCAATGACGATGGCCGCAAAGAAAACGGCACTTCGGTCGTTGATGCAGACTCGAAGGTTTATGGTACTGACAACTTGTTCATCGCTGATGGCTCCATCTTCCCTGGCCAGACGACCTCGAACCCTCAGGCTGCCATTACCATTGTTGGTGAGCGTGTTGCAGAGCTCATCCTCGCACTCGACCGGTAGAGTTGGCGTTGGAGCGAAAGCACAACCATAGAATCTATGGCAATATACTAGCCATACTATAGTCTTTTGTACATAGACACGAATTGACGAAATCAGAACCAAAAGTCCCCTTCTGCATAATTTGGATGGATCATCAGTGGTATTGTTTTGTAATGTTGGTTGGGAGTTCGTGATATGATTGGAGTTTTAGTTTGTATAGAAAGTATTAGCTGTGTCTTGGGGACGAGTCTATCGGCCCATGCTGCTGATCATTTCACGTTGGGCTGCTCTGTCGCGGTTGGCCTCGGAGAGTGGCGGTATGCTTCTTAGGTCACCGACAACATCCTTTGCCTTGCCGAAGTAAACCTCCTCTGNTTGGGTGTCAGATGTCAGCATTACATGGTTTGAAGGGTACAAGGGTGCACGTAAGCACTTACGCAGCAAGTTACGCATCTTGAGCTCCATGTCTTCGACAAGCTTGCCAATGTTGGCGACATGGGTCTCGTCAGCATCAACGGGCATGTCTGCTTCCACTTGTCTGGTCATGTTGCCAGCGAGGTCAAGACTACCCAAAGCATCGCCCTTGGTGCCGAGGTTCAAGATGACGGTAGATGTGAGCTTGTACTTTGCTGTGCGGCCACGCTCGGCGACCTCGAGGACGTGAATGCTGTCCCAAGCGCCAGAAGCAGCAGTCTGAAGAGAGGATTTCTTGAGCAGCACAACACCTGCAAAGCCATCGTCTAGGTTCCAAAGGTAGACGGATGAAGTGCCTCCTTCGTAGTATCTGTGTTTCGTGTGCTCAGTAGATGTATCATTTGTGCTTCTCTTTCTGCTTCTCGACACTCACAGCTCGCGGTAGACGTCAAAGGCTTCGTTTGCGCGGATTTCGAGGCGGCGGACGCGCTCGGAGCTCATCTCAGCGTCGTCAACGGGAGGGTCGAACTCGTTGCTCCAGGGGCTGCGGTAGCTGTCGCCATCGCGGTTGTAGTCGCAGAGCAAATAGTCACGGCCGGTCTTTCTGCAACGACGGACTGCGAGGGGTTGATCTACGGAAGCGAGCAGTTCTTCNNCCTCATGTTCGGGGACCAGACTGCAAATGGCTGAGAGGTTGATGGCCGTGTTCTTGGGGTTTAGGCGTCGAAGAAGGTCGCTGGTGAGATTGAGAGGTTAGGGTTGTTTGGAGGTTTGATGGAGAGATGGGGGCTTACAGCGCACTATCGAATTGGTCTGCCATCTTCAGCTATGTGGAAATGTGTATAGCTACAGTCTTGTTTGGTTGTTGCTTGGGCGCGCATTGAAACGGGGTCCAAGCATCCCCCACGTCAGCGCGACTGCTGTTTCAAGAGCTTCGCCGCAACTCTCCTCCGAGCCTACAATATTCCAATCCATCATTGTTCTCCTGTCGTGCTTTCTATCAGAGCACAAGACCATTGCTCGAGTCTTCTTGTTGGAGTATGATAATTCGGGGCTTAGATTGATTCTATAAGACGTGGTTGTGTAGTGTCGAGGTCAACCCGACGAGCTGGCTCCTAATGGCTTGTCGTGGGGTTGTGATTAGGTACACATGCACACAGCATCGTGACCATATCAAGTGTCTCGGCACTTGATCCTCTTGTCGCTGAGCACCGTCTCTCTGTCTGTTCATAATGACAATTATATCTTCTCCAGGAAGTAGCAACAACTCCCCATATCGGAGCACGCCGCGAACCGCGGCTGAGCCAGACCAGCCCGCCAATCAGCAACTGCCATCTTCCACTCCACGCTCCGAACTCCTGGAGAGTTTGGAGATAAGTCGTTGGAATGCTCAACTTTACTTGTTGCTGTCAACTCTGCTAGATCAAGCCTCTGTCTTCTCCCTTTGTGGTATATATACCTTGCATCCTCGGCGAGTGACTGCGTCTTCTGTTTGATCTGATTTCGCTTCTGTTGTTGTTGTTCTTTCCATTCCCTTATCTTTGCGACATTCGATATAGAGCATCATGATCATGTCAACGACAAATGGCAGTGCTTCGGAGAGGACGATATACCTAGGTGCTTTTGCACACTGTACTTCTCAACAAGAAGTCGAGATTTGTGAGGCTGGAGCTATTGGCGTTGATTTAGACGGCAAGATTGCTTTCATCGAGAGAGACATCCGAGACATCCCATCATACCAACTCCGAGAGCGGAAAGATGGTTGGGAGAAGGCAAAGGTCGTACAAATACAAGACCAAGGATTCTTCTTTCCAGGTTTCATAGGTATGTGACAAGAAATGGAAAAGGAAGGTGTTCCCCTGACCAATGCTGCTTCCCANGACACACACATCCACGCCTCGCAATATCCAAACTCTGGCATTTTCGGCAAATCGACGTTACTGGATTGGCTCAACACTTATACTTTCCCTCTAGAGTCGTCCTTCACAGATCTGGAAAAGGCCCGTCGTATTTATGCTAGGGTCGTCAACCGCACTCTATCCCACGGCACAACAACAGCTTGCTACTATGCCACCGTTCATGTGGAGGCCACTAACCTGCTCTCCGACATCTGCTTGTCCAAGGGCCAACGTGCGTTTGTTGGCCGCGTCTGCATGGATCAATTAAGTCCAGACTACTACCGCGATGAGAGCGCCGAATCCGCCATCGAAGCCACAGAAGCTTGCATCGCACATGTGGCCAAAATCGATCCCAAACACCACTTCATCACTCCCATCATCACCCCTCGTTTTGCACCCAGCTGCAGCGAGGCATGTCTAAGTGCTCTAGGCAAGCTCGCTCACAAAACCGGTCTCCCCATTCAAACGCACATCTCAGAAAACAAGTCCGAGATCCAACTGGTTGCTGAAATGTTCCCCAACAACTCTTCTTACACCGATGTCTACGACAAAGCAGGATTACTCAATTCAAAAACCATTCTCGCACATGCAGTCCATCTGTCTCCAGAAGAGCGCGCTACCATCCGTTCTCGCGATGCAAAGATCAGTCACTGTCCAGCTTCCAACACGGCGTTGACCTCCGGCGCAGCGCCTGTAAGGACGTTACTAGACGAAGGCCTCACAGTCGGTCTAGGAACAGACGTCAGTGGAGGATACAGTCCCAGCATCTTAGAAGAGGCCCGTCAAGCCGTTCTGGTCAGCAGACATGTAGCCATGGCAGATGGTGACGCTGCAAAACTGAGCACAGAAGAAGCTTTGTGGCTAGCCACCCGTGGTGGCGCAAAGGTCGTTGGTCTTGAAAACCGTGTCGGTGGATTCGAAGTCGGCATGGATTGGGATGCCCAGATGATCAGCTTGGATGTTGTGAGCGAAGACGGTGAAATGGATGATGCTGACACAAAAGGTCCCGTGGATGTCTTCATGTGGGAGAGTTGGCCGGATAGACTCAACAAATGGTTCTATGGCGGCGACGACAGGAACACAGCTGCTGTATGGATCAAGGGCCGCCTGGTGCATACGACGCACAAGTACAAAGATTGAGTTTAGATCACAGCCACTCTTACTAGAAATTTAGAAGAACGTCTTTTGAAAAGGCTGAAATACAGCGATGAAATTTAGAACCACAATTACAGTATATACACCTCCCACTTAAAATTCAGTATGGGTTTTAAAAACAACAACCAAAACGTCCCAAGGGATATATCCTTCTTTAAGCGTAGTCCCCCGAATACACCAAAAGAAAAACAAAGCAACCCTTGATATGTCGTTCCTCTACAAGTTTACACAAACCCCTTCTTCAGTAGGTTCTCATCTATGCCGTGGGAGCGGGCTTGCTGCCATCATCGTTAACGTAACTCTCCCAGTTGGCCAGAATGTTGCCAATCTTTGGTGAGTTGGTCAGGCGGTACACATCCTCGAAGTACTCCTTGGTGAGCTCGAATGGCCTGGCAGTGACGTTGGGAATGTATTTGCCAACGAGCTTGCTGGGATCGATACTTGTCTTGTTGATCTTCTTGAGCAAGAAGGAGCGGAAGGGCTTGACACCCGAACGCAGGAAGGTACTGTGGAAAGGCACATCAATACCCTTGAGAGGAATTGTGGCGAAACCACGCTGGAGATCAAGAGGCTTAGGCTTGGCCTCGGTCTGCTCTGCGCATCCCTTGATGATCTCGACAAGGTGGCCCTTGACATCCTCCAGAGACATGGTCTGCATCAATGCTTGAATGTCAATCTTCTGCACCTTGAGGTAGTTGAGAACATTGGCAAGGCAGTCGAGCGCACGAAGGTCACCAGCAGCAACGTACTGCATGTTGGCGATGTTGTAGTTGACAATTTCCAGAAGCCATGTAGTGGTCTCTGCAATGTTCTCAACAACGTATTGCAGAGCTTGCTCAGTGAAAGTCTTGCCAATACGCGAAGGGTTGACAGCGCACATAGAGTAGTTGGAACGGCCAGCCTCGTCACGCTCTACAGCGACTTGCATGGTCAAACCACGGTAGAACACAACCGACACCAAACTCTCGATGGGCATGACCTCAGCCATGGCAGCAAGAGCAGAGTACTCTCCAAGAGAGTGACCAGCGAAACTGCTATCACGCTGCACAAGACCCTTGGAGCGCATGTCCTCGAAGGAGGCCTTCTCCATGAGTGTGAGTGCAGGCTGGGTGAATTGAGTAGCCGACAGCAGACCAGTTGGTGAACGGTAAGTGTATGATGTGGTTGTCTCGTCGATCTCCTTGAAGATCTTCTCTGACTTGATGCTTCCATCGGCGCTGACGGTCTCGAAAGTCATGGACATGTAGTTCTGGCGAATGGCCTTACCACGAGGTCCACCGAAGTGAACAGTCATCTCGTTGGGGTTGTTTTTGACAATGTTGGTGATGGCGAAACCATAGTTGTCAAGGAAGTGCTTGTCTGCTCTATCCCAGACTTCCTTGGCGACAGGGCTGCTTGCGTACAGCTCCATACCCATGCCCTGTTCCTGAGAGCCCTGACCAGTGAAGACGTATGCAGAGACAGGCTGTTCAACTTCTGCCTCACCAACGAGGACCTTGTCCTCGGTCTCCTTGTTGCGCGCCTCAACGGTAATGATCTTACGACCAGAGACCATACCGATGTGTTGCAAGCTGACCTGGATGGTGTCGTTGGGAAGGACCATGCCAACAAGGTTGACGTGGAAGCTGCGGACACGGCCAACGTTGTTCTCGGCAGCCCAAGTCTCGACCAAGCTTCTGACAGCAGCACTAGAGTACATGCCGTGAGTAATGGTGCCAGGAAGGTTAGCGTACTTAGAGAAGACACGAGAAACGTGAATGGGGTTGTAATCGCCGGAAACCTTGGCGTAGGTCTCGTTGGATGCAGGTGCCTTGAGCTCAAGAGGAGTCTTGCCGTTGAGAGGGATAGGGTTCTCGAAGTTGACAGGCTGGTCAATGGCAGAGCCGTTACGCTCAAGGTAGTCAATGACAGGGTTACCGTGAGAGACACCAGCCTCGTACTCGACCGAGGCGAGCTGGATGATCTCCTTGCTGGGCAGTTCGATCTCGACCTGACCGACTGTCTCGACAGTGCTGAAGACGCTCTCGTTCTTGTAACGAACCAGACTCTGCAGACGGAAGGTAAGGGTCTGACCAAGAAGATCGATTTCGGTGTCTTCAAGACGGAACCACTCCTTCGACTGGAGAACTGCAACATCCTTGCTTGTGGCAAGAGTGATCTGCATGGGCTTCTCAGTCTTTCTTTGGAAAGTGTTCTCGAAGTCGGTGTATGCGCCACGGTACAGGAATTGACTGGTGACTTCCATGACAGGCTTGCCATCACGGGTGATAGTACCGCAAACCTCAACCATCTTACCAGAGGCCTGGTTGATGACAGCGTTAACCTCAGCAGTGGTGTCGAGAACGTCGCCCTTCTTCAAGGGAGCAGCGCCAGGAATCATGCGGAAACCGTTGGAAAGGTGAACGAGCTTGAGAAGATCACCGTCGATCTTGCGAGGGAAGATGGGCTTGGTGATAGCCTTCCATCCAACAACGATGGCAAAGTCCATAGGAGCAAAGACCTCCTTGCCGGGACGGTCGACGAAAGCTTCGCCAGTGTTACCAACAGCGTGAACGAAGTCGTTGATGGCCTCGCTAGTGACAGTGGCTCTGCCACCATCGAAGCGGGAGGTGACAGGAGTGTCGAAGGGAACGTCGGCATCACCGAACCAGATCTTGTAGTAGAACTCCTTGATGCGGTCGTTGCGGGCGTCCATGACCTCTCTGATAGGAGCGTAACCAGTCTCAGGGTGGTATGTGAACTTCAGAGGCAGAGCAACAGCCGAGTTAGTGGCAGAGCGGTCCTCAATGAGCTGAACGGTGATTTCGTTGTTGACCATAGGTCCAACCTCAATGGTCTGTACGAACTTGCCACTTGAGGTGGGCTCCTTGACAGTGATGACGGTCTTGCTGGGATCGTTGGGGTAGTTGACCTCGACCATCATACCGGGAGCTGGTTCAAAGATACGGTGCATAGGGTTGGTGTAGAATCTCTGACCTTGGACGAACACGTCTGCAGTGAAGAAGGCGTGTCTCCAGGAGTAGCTCTTGCCGGCGAGCAGAGACATCCATGAGTCAGGCTTAGGAAGTGCTGCGCTGGGTGATGCAGAGAGACGGTAGATGATCTTGTTGTTGAGTTCCGAAACGGTCAAGCCCTCAACATCGATTTCATCGCTGGCCTCGAGAAGTTTGCCACCGAAGTACTCGACGACGGGGATCTTAGACTCGTCACCGCCGTAGATGTCTTGGAGCAGGTACTTGATGTGGCCCTCGTGCACACCATCGAGAATCTCCTTGATAGGCTCGTCAACCTTGGTAGAGTACTTGACGGCCATAGGACCCTGGAGGATACAGGTTCTGCCGACGTCCTCGCCGACAACGGCGGCAAGGTCCTCAGACTGCCAGAGCGAATCCTTCTTGANAAAGAACTCGAAGCTACCGTCAAGGGCAGGCACGAATGGCACGGGCTTTTGACCACGGCGCTGGCAGAGCTGAATGAAGTGCTGGACATCCTGAGCGTTGATGAGCTGCTTGTCGGCTTCAGGGTAAGCGGCAAGGAACTTCTCGACAACGGCGAAAGGCTCGTTCATCTCAGAGTAGTTTTGGACGAGCGAGCTCTTGTTGGAAGTGGTAGTGAAACGCTCCTCAACGCGACGGATAAAGTCGACAGTGAGTCTAGCAAGAGAGGGGTCAATCCAGCGCTTCTCCTTCTTAACGTACATCAACTCAACCATGCGGCGGACAACTTCACCGTAAGTCATATCTTCAAGATCGACAGAGACACCGGCAGAGTTGCGACCGAACCACACCTTCTGGAAGTCGTCGTTGAGCTTCTTGATGATGTGGTCACGGTTCTTCTTGAGCTCGGGAATACGCTTGGCCTTGTCAAGAGAGAAGATCTTCTGGTCCATCTCGGCCCAGAACAAGACACCACGAGTGGCAAGCTTGTGAATGGGCTCACCCATCTCGGAGCGGACAGTGATAACACCACCAGCAGGTCCCTTGTAGGTCTTCTCCCAGTCGGCGTCGTCGAGTCCAGGAGCATCAACGATAGCCTGCTTGGCGGCAGGAGCAGTCTTGGCCTCCTTAGCGACCATGACACGACTACCGAACAGAACACCATCAAAAGGCATAGGAGGGTAGCCGAACTTGCTTGCCCACTGACCAGTGAGGTAAGGGTAGGTGTCCTCAGCAGCACCGAAACCACTTCCAGCAATGAGGACAAGGTTGGGGCACTTGCGGATTCTGCCGTACATCTGGAACATAGGCTGGTGGAAGTCCTCGAAAGAGTGGTGACCACCACCACGACCACCGGTCCACTGCATGATGACAGGGAAACCAGGGTTGGCCTTGGCAATGTTGATACACGACTGGATGGCCTCAACTGAACCAGGCTTGAATGAGATACGCTTGATGCCCAAGGTTCTGATGTACTCGTTGGCAACCTCAACGGAGGGAACACCGGCACCGATAGTGAGAGCATCGATTGGGACACCGTCAGCGCGAAGTCTGGCGATCATGGGAATCTGCCATGCCATGGCATGAGGGGCGACGTAAATCAGGTTGATCGTGATACCACGGCCAGCTGGGATAGACTTCTCAATCTCGGCAATGGCTGCAGTCATCTTGGCGTCGGTGAAGTAACCACCACCAGCAAGTTCGATCTCGTAACCAGCGTTCATGGTGGCGGCGACGAACTCAGCAGGGACAGTGCAGGGAGTCATACCAGCAACCATGACCGGAGGGAGACCGAGCATGCGACTCATCTTAGTGTCAACAAAGGTCTTGCCAGCTGAAGTACGAGCAAGCTTGGGACCGTGTTCCTTGACCCAGTCAACAGCGTACTTGACGGCGTGCTCAGCATCGCGGTCGAAGATCTCGGGCTTGTAGCCAACTTCGGCGTTGGTGCCGTCCATAGTGCCAGCAAGAATCACGCGGACACCAGTACCATCCTTGTTGCGGTTGGTGAGAACACCAAGACCGGAAATACCACCAGGACCAAAGTCGAGGACGTGAGTGGCTCTGGGGAAAACGGTGGCTGTCTCCCAGTTGACTGAGTCCTGGGTGATCATGCGGACAAGCTGAGGAACAATGTTGTCAGTGCTCTCTTTGCTGATGTCCTTGCCAGTGTTGGTGTCGTAGAGAGGGATGCCCAAGTCAGAGCTGGGGATGACGATGTCCTTGAGGTCCTGTTGGAGGTGGGCGTCTGCCTCTGCGAGGTACTTGCTGTGGAAAGGAGCGGTGATGGGCAGGAAGCGGTTAACGAAGCGAACCTTGCGTTCGGTGAAGGGGATACGGGTCTGATCGAGACCAGTAGGAGCCTTGACCTTGCGGAGACGGAGGTTCAGACCGTACAGAGACATAGGGGGACCAGTAACAACGAAGTTGCGAGCGCTGTTAACCAAAGAGATGGCAATGTGACGGTCTTCGGGAAGATGTTGGTTGGTGGCATCGATGTGAGTCTGGACAGCCTCGCGGGTGAGATCGCGGATTGAGAGCATAGGGGTAGGGGTACCCTCGCCGCTGTCAATCGAGTCCTGGAGGGTCGAAGGAGCCAGCGAGGTACGGGNGTATGCCTGCTGACTGCGCGAACCGATCCAGAAAAGGATAGAGAGCGCGTCTCTTGAAGCCTTGTCGAAGGTTTCCCAACTCTTAGATGCTGCAATAGCTGCAGCAGTCACGACACCCTGTGAGTGACCGGTAGTACCACTCAGTCTGTCGCGCACATTTCCAGGGTGAGTGCCGAGGACTCTGCAGGTAACGACAAAGTGTGCGAGCTGTGTAAGACCGATCAGAGGCAAACTGACGGGTGCTGAAACAAGGTAGTCAACATCAGGCTGAGCATCCTTGTTGTGCAGCCAGCGCATGACATCCAAGCCCTTGGGGTAGAGCTTCTCGACCTGAGGCTCTCTGGACAGAGTCTGCAAGTGCGCGGCTGCTGCGGTGACAAAGTCCTCAACGAATGAGGGGTAGGTGGTGTAGATTTCCCTCAGTTCCTCAAAGTACTCCTCAATGTTGCCCTGGCCACCGAAAACAGCGTAGATGAAGGCGTTCTCGTCAGCGGCCTCGCGCAACAGAGCCGACTCGTGTGACTTGATCGGCCTGCTGACAGCAGCTCTGGCGGCGTAGTACGACGAAACAGTGGCAAGCTTCTTCTCGTAGATGCCGGGAAGAGAAGCAGCAATGGCGTGGACCTCGTTTCCGCGGAGGAATGCACGCTCGAACTCGTGGAGAACGAGCTTGAGGACCTCCTCGTAAGAACCCGGGTCATCACCCTCATCGCACTCGCGGGCAACGAAGCCAATGTAGCGAGCTACAAGCTCGGTGACGGATGAAGGCTCATCATCTTGAGCAAGCTCGTCTGTAGGTGTAGGGAGAGTGGCGATGAAGGCATCCTTGAGTTGCGAAGCGCTGAAGTGGAGAGCAGTGGGTATTAAAAACGAGTACTCGAGGGAGCCATGCGAAAGGATAAGAGGGCGAGAAACAGCTTGGGAACGAGGTGTAGAAACACCGGTCTGCGAGCCGGAGCCGTACATGATGAACAAAGCTGTGTACGTGACCGCTGGAGACAACAGCTGGTCAGCAAGAGGTTGAAAAAATGGTAGAGAAATTAATGCGGGGATGCCCGGGGGTTCAAGAGACAACCTCGACGGCGCATTGGATGCGAGTAGAAGGAACAATTCAGAAGGCAGCAGCGAGTGAGAAGATGGAGCTTACCTAGAAATCTCACAAAGCAACGATGCAGTGGGAAAAGAAGGACAATTGGCCTCGTGACAAATTCGAAGCTGCTAAAGTGCAGGCAACAGCTCCACGAACAGACTAGACTCCCTCGGGGGAAAGAGAGTAGAGCTGGAAGGGGAGGAAGAAAGGGCTGGTCTGAGAAGAATTGAAGTGCCAGACAGCAGAGGAGTGGTGAAAGGAGGGGGACTGGAGAGGAAGGCGGCGTTGATTCGGGTGGTGCAGGAAAGTGGCCTTTCTTTACGAGATAGCTTCGAGCCCTGGCGGAGGTGAAGTTTGAAGCGTGCGGCAAGTCGGACCAGGGTGACCATTGACCGGCTCTCTGCCGGTGGGTCTAGCGCCGAAGTAATAAGCACCTGGAACGCGTGCTTGAGATACTCCTCCCAACTGCCCAGACAAATTGTTGAGTTAACAGTTGAGTATGCAATGCAGCTGTGCCCCGGCTGTTCACAGGATGCAGTGTAAGACTCGGGCTATCTACCAGCCTGTTTCGCGCCCTCGTACGAGCTGTCGTCGGCCAAACGGACGTCGACGCAGGGAAAAGCAACAATTAGATGAAGCTCAAATTCCAATCTCTACCGCACTAGCTCCCGCGCTCTAAAGTTGTGGCTTGGCAGAATTGCTCACCGAAATCTCGAGAGGACAGCAGTCGCGACAAAAAATTGGAAGAGGCCAGTCAGCAATCGTGCCATATTTGTGCCTCATCTCAACCTCTGCACGTTGGTATCGAGAATCCCTCACCAACCTTTCCGTGCGTGGTACAGTCTCGCTCATCCCTTCTGCTCCTCGACACTTTCTCGGTCGATTGATCATCAGAAGGTGACCGAGCACTTCCAGGCAGCTCTTGAAGCTAGCTGACCCTTCTTTCTTCTCCACACTCCTCGAATCCGAGCATTTGTTCGTTTCCTCACTTTCCTCTCCTGTCTCGTCTCGTCTCGCTCCGACTCTCCGCGAGACCTCCCCTCACCTATCTTTTTCCCAATCGCTCGTCGATTGTACATTCTTGTAATTTGCTGTTTGCTGTTTTTCTTCCGCCAACATGCGTCCTGAGGTCGAGCAGGAGCTCGCCCACACGCTCCTTGTCGAGCTTCTCGCATATCAATTCGCCTCGCCTGTGAGATGGATTGAGACACAAGATGTTATCCTCGGCGAGAAGACCACCGAGCGCATTGTCGAAATCGGTCCCGCAGACACACTTGGTGTTATGGCCAAGCGCACACTCGCCTCAAAGTACGAAGCCTACGATGCTGCAAGATCGGTGCAAAGACAGATTCTCTGCTACAACAAGGACGCAAAGGACATCTACTACGATGTCGACCCCGTCGAAGAGGAGGAAGCCGCTCCGGCACCTGCTGCTGCAGCTCCTTCTGCTGGCTCTGCAGCACCCGCCGCTCCCGTCGCCGCAGCAGCTCCCCCACCACCAAGCGCTGGCCCGGCAGCAGCAGTTGCAGATGCACCCGTCGGTGCTGTGGACATTCTGAGAGCATTGGTTGCTCAGAAGCTGAAGAAGGGCCTGATGGATATTCCTCTTAGCAAAGCCATCAAAGATTTGGTTGGAGGTAAGTGCACTCGACTCTAATTTTGCTCCTTATCATAGTTGCTAATTCAATCCGCTTGCNNAGGTAAATCAACGCTTCAGAACGAAATTCTCGGAGACCTTGGNAAAGAGTTTGGCTCAACACCCGAGAAGCCAGAAGACACACCCCTTGACGAGCTGGGTGCCGCTATGCAGGCTACTTTCAATGGTCAGCTCGGCAAGCAGTCATCCTCGCTCATTGCCCGTCTCGTGTCCTCGAAGATGCCTGGTGGTTTCAACATTACTGCAGTCCGCAAGCACCTCGAAACCCGATGGGGCCTCGGAGCCGGTCGCCAGGATGGTGTTCTCTTGCTGGCACTGACTCAAGAACCTGCCGCCCGTCTGGGTTCTGAGAACGATGCTAAGGCATGGTTGGACACTGTCGCAAATGCCTACGCTGGTATTGCTGGAATCAGCCTTGCTGCACCCACTGCTGGTGGTGACGCCGGTGCTGGTGCAGGAGGTATGATGATGGACCCCGCCGCAATTGACGCCCTCACAAAGGACCAGAAGGCTCTGTTCAAGCAACAACTCGAGCTGTTTGCTCGCTACCTCAAGATGGACTTGCGCGCCGGCGACAAGGCCGCGGTCGCTGCTGCTTCAAACAACACCGCTCTCCAGGCTCAGCTCGACCTGTGGAATGCCGAGCACGGTGACTTCTACGCTGCTGGTATCGAGCCCTCATTCAGCCCTCTCAAGGCCCGTGTTTACGATTCGTCATGGAACTGGGCTCGCCAGGATGCTCTCAGCATGTACTACGACATCATTTTCGGTCGCTTGACCGCTGTCGATCGCGAGATCGTCAGCCGCTGCATTCAGATCATGAACCGCTCCAACCCCAAGCTTCTCGAATTCATGCAATACCACATCGACCACTGCCCTACTGAGCGCGGCGAGACCTACGAGCTTGCAAAGGCTCTGGGTCAGCAGCTTATTGACAACTGCAAGGATGTCCTCGACGTCGCCCCAGTCTACAAGGACGTTTCCGTTCCTACCGCTCCTAAGCTCACCATCGACGCCCGTGGAAACATGAACTACGAGGAAGCACCTAGACAAGCCGTTCGCAAGCTTGAACACTACGTTCGCGAGATGGCTGAGGGTGGCAAGATCTCCGAGTATGGAAACAGAACCAAGGTCCAGAACGACCTCCAGCGCGTCTACAAGCTCATTCGCCAGCAACACAAGCTCACCAAGTCATCGCAATTGCAAATCAAGCAACTTTACAGCAACATCATCCGTTCGCTGTCGATGAACGAGGGCCAAATCATGCCTACTGAGAGCGGCAAGAAGGGTCGTAAGGGTCGCACCAGCGGCCAGCTGAAGCCCGGCAGNGTTGAGACCATCCCCTTCTTGCACTTGAAGCGCAAGGAAGAGCACGGTTGGGAGTACAGCAAGAAGCTTACTGGTGTCTACCTCGAGGGCCTCGAGGAGGCCGCCAAGTCAGGCGTCACTTTCCAGGGCAAGCACGCCCTTATGACCGGTGCCGGCGCTGGTTCCATCGGTGCAGAGGTCCTTCAGGGCCTGATCAGCGGTGGTGCCAAGGTTGTCGTTACCACCAGCCGCTTCTCTCGCGAAGTCACCGAGTACTACCAATCAATGTACACTCGCTATGGTGCTAAGGGCTCTCAGCTCATTGTTGTACCTTTCAACCAAGGAAGTCAGCAAGATGTCAACGCACTCGTTGACTACATCTACGACGAGAAGAAGGGTCTCGGATGGGATCTCGACTACATTGTTCCTTTCGCTGCCATCCCCGAGAACGGTCGCGAAATTGACAACATTGACTCCAAGTCTGAGTTGGCTCACAGAATCATGTTGACCAACCTCCTCAGAATGCTTGGTGGTGTCAAGTCTCAGAAGGCCGCTCGTGGCTTCGAGACTCGCCCTGCCCAGGTCATCCTTCCTCTTTCCCCCAACCACGGTACTTTCGGTAACGATGGTCTCTACTCCGAGTCCAAGCTTGCCCTTGAGACTCTGTTCAACAGATGGCACTCTGAGAGCTGGGGTTCCTACCTCACCATCTGCGGTGCAGTCATCGGCTGGACCCGTGGTACTGGTCTTATGGGCGGTAACAACATTGTCGCTGAGGGTGTTGAGAAGACTGGCGCTCGTACCTTCTCTCAACAAGAGATGGCCTTCAACCTGTTGGGTCTCATGGGACCTGCTATTGTCAACCTTTGCCAGGAAGAGCCTGTCTTCGCTGATCTCAACGGTGGTCTGCAGTTCCTTCCCAACCTCAAGGACTTGATGACCAAGCTCCGCAAGGACGTCACTGAGACCAGTGAGATTCGCAAGGCTGTCACTCGTGAGACTTCAGTCGAGAACAAGATCGTCCACGGCGAGAGTCACGAAGCTCTCTACAAGAAGGTCACTGTCCAGCCTCGTGCCAACTTGAAGTTCGACTTCCCTAAGGTTCCTGACTGGGAATCTGAGGTCAAGCCACTCAACGAGAACTTGAAGGGCATGGTCGACCTCGAGAAGGTTGTCGTCGTTACCGGTTTCTCCGAGGTTGGTCCCTGGGGTAACTCAAGAACTCGTTGGGAGATGGAAGCCTATGGCGAATTCTCTCTCGAGGGTTGTGTTGAGATGGCCTGGATTATGGGTCTCATCAAGAACCACAACGGTCCTCTCAAGGGCAAGAGCTACGCTGGCTGGGTCGATGCCAAGACTGGTGAACCCATCGACGACAAGGATGTCAAGTCCAAGTTCGAGAAGCACATTCTTGACCACTCTGGTATCCGTCTCATCGAGCCCGAGCTCTTCAACGGCTACGATCCCAACAAGAAGCAGCTTCTGCAGGAGATTCAGATCCAGGAGGACCTTGATCCCTTCGAGACCTCCAAGGAGACTGCTGAGGAGTTCAGACGTCAACATGGCGAGAAGGTCGAAATCTTTGAGATCCCCGAGTCTGGTGAATACCAGGTCAGACTGAGAAAGGGCGCAACTCTTCTCATTCCCAAGGCTCTCAGATTCGATCGTCTTGTTGCTGGTCAGATCCCCACTGGTTGGGACGCCCGCAAGTACGGTGTTCCCGAGGACATCATCGGCCAGGTCGACCCCGTTACCCTCTACGTGCTTGTCTCTACTGCCGAGGCTCTCCTGTCCTCCGGTATCACTGACCCTTACGAGTTCTACAAGTACGTCCACATCTCGGAAGTCGGTAACTGTATCGGTTCCGGTATTGGTGGTACTACTGCCCTCCGTGGTATGTACAAGGACCGCTTCTTGGACAAGCCTCTTCAGAAGGATATTCTCCAGGAGTCATTCATTAACACCATGTCTGCCTGGGTCAATATGTTGTTGATGTCTTCTACTGGTCCTATCAAGACTCCTGTTGGTGCTTGTGCTACTGCTGTCGAGTCTATCGATATTGGTTACGACACCATTGTTGAGGGCAAGGCTAGAATGTGCTTCGTTGGTGGTTTCGATGACTTCCAGGAGGAGGGCTCTTACGAGTTCGCCAACATGAAGGCTACCAGCAACGCCGAGGACGAGTTCGCTCACGGCCGTACTCCCAAGGAGATGTCCAGACCTACTACCACCACCAGAAACGGCTTCATGGAGTCTCAAGGTTGTGGTATGCAAGTCATCATGGACGCCAGACTTGCCCTTGACATGGGTGTCCCAATCTACGGTGTTCTTGGTTTCACTGCTACTGCCACTGACAAGATTGGTCGCTCCGTTCCTGCTCCTGGAAAGGGTGTCTTGACCACCGCTCGTGAGGATACGCCCAAGTTTGCCTCGCCTCTGCTTGACATCAAGTACCGTAAGAGACAGATGGACGCCCGCAGAAGAAACATCAAGACATGGCAGGAGTCTGAGCTCATGTACTTGCAAGAGGAGGTTGCCGCCATGCAAGCCGAGAACTCTGAGTTCGACGCTGCTGAGTACATGGAGGACAGAGCCAAGTTCATTGAGCGTGAGGCCAAGCGTCAAGAGAAGGATGCCCTGTACAGCCTCGGCAACAACTTCTGGAAGCAAGACCCTCGCATTGCTCCTCTCCGTGGTGCACTCGCTACCTGGGGCCTGACCATTGACGACCTCGATGTCGCTTCGTTCCACGGTACCTCGACTGTGGCCAACGACAAGAACGAGTCCGATGTCATCTGCCAGCAGATGGAGCACCTTGGTCGCAAGAAGGGTAACGCTCTCCTTGGTATCTTCCAGAAGTACCTTACCGGTCACCCCAAGGGTGCCGCCGGTGCCTGGATGTTCAACGGCTGTCTGCAGGTTCTCAACTCTGGTATCGTCCCCGGTAACCGCAACGCCGACAACGTCGACAAGATCATGGAGAAGTTTGACTACATTGTCTACCCCAGCAGAACCATCCAGACCGATGGCATCAAGGCTTTCTCAGTCACCTCCTTCGGTTTCGGTCAGAAGGGAGCTCAGGCTATTGGTATCCACCCCAAGTACCTGTTCGCCACTCTCGACCAGGCTGAGTTCCAGTCTTACAAGACCAAGGTCGAGGCCAGACAAAAGAAGGCTTACCGCTACTTCCACGATGGTCTCATCAACAACACTATGTTCCGTGCTAAGGACAAGTCTCCTTACGAGGACGAGCAGATGAGCACCGTCTTCTTGAACCCCAGCGCTCGCGTTGCTCAGGACAAGAAGACTGCCCAGCTTACCTTCTCTGCCAAGCCCAGCAAGCCTGTTCGTGATGCCAACACCACTCAGATGGTCGAGTCATTGCTTAAGGTCAACGCCACTGGTAATAGCAGCCCCGGTGTGGACGTTGAGAGCGTTGATGCCGTCAACATTGAGAACGAGACCTTCCTCGAGCGCAACTTCACTCAGCAAGAGATCGACTACTGCCGCAAGGCACCTNNTAACNNCCCTCAGGCCAGCTTCACTGGCAAGTGGTCCGCCAAGGAGGCTGTCTTCAAGAGCTTCAAGGTCGCCTCGCGCGGCGCCGGAGCTTCTCTCAAGGATATTGAGATCGTGAACGACGAGAGCGGTGCTCCCACCGTTGTTGTAAGTTGAAACCATGCTTGTAGTCAAAGAATCACATCACTAACAATTCAATAGCTTCACGGAGATGCCAAGGCCGCTGCTGAGCAGAAGGGCATTAAGAGCACCACTGTCAGCATTAGCCACAGTGACGCTCAGGTCATTGCTGTTGCCATTTCTTCGCAATAGAGGAGGACCTCTCAGGAATAGAGTGTTGATGTTCGGATCATGACAAACAACACTTTAAAAAGTGTATGAAAGAGGAGACGCACGATACACACATCACGTCATTGTAATTAGGCATTCAGGAGTTTTTTTGCTTGGGTATCTCGAAGTAAAGCTCTCAGCTTGTTTTTCAAATCTATACTGTATTGTACATTGTAACAATAGCTACCATCACTTTTACTACACTTTTCGTGTTCTTCCTTATCTGTCCCCACTTGCTGCACATGAGAGATAAGGAAGAAGCTCAGCTGTCCCCAGGGAACATCAAGGTGTTTCGATCGCTCCTTCCTTCCCGCAACGTTCCGACTGAAAGGAAGCGATGGTGGCACAAACATGCATGCATGCATCAGCTTTTCAACGCATGCCATCCCCCGTTTTTTTTTTTGGTTCAACAAGCAATCCTTCCCCAACACAAAAGATGGACATTGTTGACGATGATGTTGAGGAGGGGTCCTGCGAGACCTGCATGCTGCAAAGAGCGCTGAGCTGTCGACTGTAGCTGTCATGCGACCTGCAGGTGTTTGACGCGGGTCTTTCAACGGTGATATAGAAGGATGATCATCCATGGTCTTGGTAGGGGGTTCAGTTGGCTGAGTTCAGAGGTTCTCTCAACCATCTTTTGCTGAGTGGGAACGTGTTCGAGCGGTTTGTCTGATCTTTGGTTATCATCGTCAGCAAGATAACGAACGAGTGTCTTTCAACAACACCTAGCAACGTGTATCGAGAATCGATTTATCATTCAACATTTCGCAAGCATGTCTTGGGTCGACTACACGCGCATCTAGCTCACCTGCCGCTCTATATTGTTGCGTGGGAGCGATACAAATAATATCACTTGACACAAGGGAAAAGACGTAAAGAGAACAATTCTTGGATTGATAATCCAGAACTACGACGAGTACACACATGCCTATGCTGCCTCTGTCTGAAACCCACAAAAACTCCTTCCTGCCCTTGGTTCATTTCTCCATCGTACAAGATTCATCAATACTCGAGGGTGACTTCCTGACCCTTTACTCGGCCAATCACGATGCCGGCAGCGTACTTGGGGATGACCTCGTCGTCGTGCAGCATCTCGAACTCTTCGCTGGCATCTCTGCCCATGTGACTGAAGAGAGCTTGAGGACCACCAGGGTGCTCCTCTACCCAGTCAGTCACGTTCATGACCACGCCCTTGACAGCGATCCAAAGGTCTTCCTTCTTGTTGTGCTTGGCAACCTCCTCGAGAGTGTACTCTGTTTCNNCAGGGACCTTNNGGAAGTCCTTGATGTCGTTGGGCTTTGACACCTTAGCAGGATCAGACGAGTCTGCAGTCTTGCCCTCTGGTGTCATGACTGGACCAGCAGATTGTTGTGACTGTCTCTTGATGGCCTCGCTAGCGCCTGAAGAAGCGCCCACGCCGTCTGCCCACTCGACAGAGATCTTTCCAGGCTGGTTAGGATCAATGTGAAGACTGATCTGACCTAGACGTTGGGCTGCTGAAGAGCCACCACCGTTCAACACCTGTTGGAACAGATACTTGCTTGCTGAGTCTCCAGCAACACGGCCGTAGACAACACAACCAAGCAAGGATGAGCCACCAAGACGGTTGGAGCCGTGAACACCACCAGCAAGCTCACCGCAGACGAAGAGACCATCGAATGGCTTTCCCTCAGAGTTCAGACATTGTGCCTGGTCGTTGATCTCGATACCACCCATGGTGAAGTGAAGAACGGGTTCCATGACAGCGACGTGGAAGGTGTCGTCTACCTTGAAAGGCATGTTGTGGAAGTACTTCTTGCCCCAAGGATCCTTCTGCTTGCCATCTGCAATCTCGTTGTATTCACCGAAGGTCTTCTCAAGGTCTTTTCTTGAGCAGCCGATCTCCTTGATCAGCTCCTCGCCGCTCATCTTCTTCATTAAACCACGACCAGAGTAGTGGCGAGTGTGGAAGTCAAGGACATTGGATGCCTTGGAGTTGAGAACAAGACGAATTGGCCATGTTCCCTTCTCCTTCTCCTCCCACATCTTGCCCGAGACATAGTCACGGTGTCCGAGCTCGTCTGAGAATCGCCGACCCTTGTTGTTGAGCAGAAGACCACCCTCACCACGAAGAGNCTATTATTTGTCAGTGATGTGTGTCAAATCAGGGTCTCGTATATACACACCTTCAGCAGCCAAGAACTTCCACTTGGAGCCAGGATCCTTGGGGTCGACCAAACCAGTAGGGTGAACCTGAACCTTGTCCATGTCGATGCCGTTGGCACCAATCTGCATGAGCATCTTGTGGCCATCACCAGTGGCGTGGGCACCGTTGGTGGTAGCCAGACCAAAGGTATCGGGTCTCCACTTCTTCAGAAGCGAGTCATTTGTGAAGTCGGCAGCGTAGCCTCCAGTTGCGAGNNGGATGACAGGGCCATCAACTGTGACTTCCTCGTTGTTGAAGGTATATGTGACACCTGTAACGTTGTTTCCTTCCTTGTTGATCTTGGTGACCTTGGCTTTCTTGATAAGCGATACACGTTCGGGTTCGGTCTCGGCGAGCTCCTCGAATCGTTGCATCAAAGCGTATGTAATGGCCATACCAGGGAACTTGGCGTCATGGCCACGGTGAGTACGGGGGAATGAATGACCTCTATGTTTGGATTAGTCTGTGATTTGGAACGAATGCTTCGGTGTAGACTCACCNNCGAGACGTGAAACAAGGGTCAGATCGAGGTTGAAGACATCTTGCAGCCATTCGACGGCACCAGCTGACTTGTAGGTCAAAACCTTGATGAGATCTGGTCGGGCCTTGTCCCTGGCCGACTTCAAGGTATCTTCGTAGAATTGCTTGACGCTGTCTTGAATACCGAGATCGGTCTGTGTACGGGTAAGAGCACCGTTGATTCCGGAGGTAGCTTTGGTCGAGTTTCCTCCCATGAAGTCNNTATAGATGACATGTCAGCAAGACGACGATTTCTAGTATGTGCGCAAGATCTTCTTACTGTTCTTGTCGAGCAAGACGACATTTCCGCCATTTAGGTAAATAGTGTGAGCGGCACTCAGGCCGGAGANCTACTTGCTGTTAGATATACAGTTGTAGAGGACAGCTGACGAGTCTCGAGACTTACGTCCAGCACCGACGACGATGACTCTTGCAGGCATGGTGGCAGAGATGGGGTATCACAAATAACAAAGAAATGAATAGGGCAATGGGGAAGAAGGGGGAATGGAAGCACGAGTAAAAGACGAGGGCAAAGGGTGTTTAATGGATGGACCGACCACATGCGCTAAATCGACATGTGGGGAAAAGGTATGGAGTTATGGACCGAGGCACCGTCGACGGTCGAGCCAAAGGTTTGTTTGCCTTCCTGGCCCCGTTGATCACAGGAACCTACTGAAGTAAACCACAGACAAGGTCACTTTGATTTCTTCAAGGCTCGGGGATCGATATCCACTCGCTCCAAATACCAGTCTCCTCGACAGAGGCAATTCAGGCACCTTCACATGTGGAGACAGTGTCGGCAACGGAAGTCCCTGAGTTCGCTCTTTGTTGTTTCCGTCGAATGCAGCAGGAAGGCGCGAAACCAAGTCCGGGGTAGAGGAGGGGTCGGGCAACCGTCGGCAACTGACATGTGATTTTCCATGCTCGGATGACCATTCCCATCCGCTCCTGGCGAATCAACGCTTGATGCTGACTGCACACACGTGATTGTGGTCTCATACCATCTTTCATGTGCTCGTGCTTCTGAAAATTGACCGAAGAACAAAAGGACATGTTGTAGCCATGTCTCTACAAAGTAAAACCTCGGACCAATCAGCAAGCAACGTACGACTTCGCTTCACGATAGCCCGAAAGACCGGAGACTGTTGCGCCGAAGACCTTCCAAGATCTGGAGAACAGACTTCGGCTCAATCACTCCATCTTTCATCCTCGCCATAATATCTGCCGGCATGCCGCTGCGGCTCCCCCGAACACCATGTGAAGTCTCCCGAGTATCCTCGAGATATTCGAACGTCTTTGTAGCTTCGCGATCGTTCTGGTCACGGACGACGCCTGCCGCTGCGCCTGTACCGACAGGGCCAGAAATCTATGATGTCGTGTGCGTTGGTGGCGGTCCAGCAGGACTGAGCTTGCTCAGCGCGCTTCGTAAGATCAGGCACAGCATGTCTAGTGTAGAATTGAAGTGCTGAGACGTGTAGGTNACTTCTCCCAAGACTGCGAACCTCAGAATTGCCCTTGTCGAAGGCCAAGATCTCAACAAGCCGCAGGTGCAAGCCGAGTCGACGACCTTCTCCAACAGATGCAGCTCTCTGACTCCTGGCTCTGTCAAATTCTTGAACGAGATTGGAGCATGGAAACATATCACTGCATCTCGCGTGCAGCCATACCAGGCCATGCAGGTGTGGGACGGCGTGTCTGGAAGCAGCATCAGTTTCGATCCCTCGTCGTCCTCAAGCGTCTCAGACACAGTGGCCACAATGACAGAGAACACGAATCTCACATCAGCCCTCCTGTCCCGTCTGAATTTACTGCCTTCGATCGACATCATGGATAAAACACGCGTCGAGGGAATTGAGCTTGGGAAAGAAGCAGAAGATATGGACTTGTCAAACTGGCCGGTCGTGTCACTGAACAATTCGCGTAAACTGGCAGCACGTCTTCTCATCGGTGCAGACGGAGCAAACAGCCCTGTACGCACATTTGCCGGCATCCCCTCGCGCGGCTGGGACTACAATCGGCATGGCGTGGTAGCCACTGTGCAAATTGAAGGAGCCAATTGGGGTCAGAATGACCACAGAACTGCATATCAGCGCTTCCTTCCTACTGGTCCTGTCGCTCTATTGCCTTTGCCTGGCAACGTAGCTACCCTGGTGTGGTCGACAACACCAGAGAAGGCTGCTCTCTTGAAGTCTCTCAGCAGCACTGACTTCACTGCAATGGTGAATGCTGCTTTCAGACTCTTGCCTGTAGACCTCGAATACATGCATACCATGGAGTCTGGCCAAGCTGACGAGTTCTCGTGGCGTGAAGCCAACACCGCTTTCAACTCTGAACGCATTCCACAAAAGATTTCAGCCGTCCAGGATGGCAGTGTCGCTTCCTTCCCTCTGCGCATGCGTCATGCAGACACTTACACCGGTCATCGCGTTGCTCTTCTCGGAGATGCCGCTCACACTATTCATCCTCTGGCTGGTCAAGGTCTAAACCAAGGGCTAGGTGATGCACAGTCACTTGCCAAGCACATCAATTTCTCGCTTTCTGTGGGCAAGGACATTGGCAGTAATTGGGCACTTGATGCATATAATGCCGAACAGTGGGCAAAGAACAACGCTATGCTGGGCGCTGTGGACAAGTTGCACAAGCTTTACAGCGCTGGCAGTGGTCCTGTCGTCTGGGCAAGAAGTCTTGGACTTGACGCTGTCGACAAGATGGGCTTCCTCAAGAAGTTTTTCATGCGCCAGGCAGCCGGAACGTAAACTTAGCAACTTGTACACTGTTGAATAGAGCTTCTCATGAATAAATGTGTAGTTTAGAATGTTTTGCTGTCCTGATGATGTAAGCACCGTTCCTCAGATTATAGTCTACGTCGACTCTTCACTTGAGCTTATAGGAGTACTAGCTACCATCACAATTGTGCTCTTGCCGGGTGCAACGACTTTCGTCTCGATGTCCGACAGCAAGAGAGCACACTCAATGCCTATTCCCATGCACTTGGCAGGAGGAGCGATCCTCGAACTGCCAGAGAAGCAATCTGTCTACCATCCACCAGTGGACCAGATCATGTCTCGGTGCTGTATACAGTTGCGTTGTTGATACTGCATACGGCACATAGAACTGCAATCATATGATTGAAGACACTTTGCACTTGGGTTTAGACCCATCATTCTTCCGACTTCTGAATATGTGCTATGTTCATTAGTTCATCGATACTGTCGTGGATTATCAGCTTTAACAGCTGAGTGATATTCTTGGGAAGGGCGAATATAGTCAAGAGGAGATCTGTCAGCTCGAGTCAAGGAACTAAGCACTTACAGGAATATCTTTGTGAGAAACCTATTTGTTTTTGGTGTCTTTCACNAGTCTGGCGACCATGGTTGACACCATCAAGCTCCTTCTTACGAGCGGCTAGCTCTTTGAGATACCTCACATCCTCGTAGCCTTTAGGTAGTGCGTGTTGCCAGGTGTCCTCTCTCACGTAACAGGCATTGCAAAGATACTGTTCCTGATCGGCTTGATTCTTGTCGCTGCGCAGTTTCCACCTGGGAACATGGTTAGTCTGCTCCGTTGATACGATGTAGCAAGGTCTCTCCCACCAGAGCCTCACGCCCCCTCCCTTTTTGAGACGGTCGCATCCAAAACATTGCTTGTGGACCTTTTCTGGATAGACAACAGGCACGTGAGTTTCCCAAGGCAGTTCATCCCGCACCCAACTGTAATGCAAACACCAGAAGTGCAATCTTTGGAGAAACTTCCATTTGGGATTGGTGGCCTGTGAACGGGCAGAAGCGACACTGTTCTTTTGACACCACACTTTGTACGCTGCAGGGTTGTTTACACGTTGACTCTGCCGCCACTCTCTTGCGGTCCTTCTCGCTTTTGCTACGTTTGCGTGATACCTGGCTCTTTGCAGTTCGTTTCGCTTGTCAAGCCATTCCCTTCGTGCTATGGGATCCTCGGGTCCTGCATACTGCGCACTCTGTGAGAAGAAGCGCCATGCTGGCCAGCTGAAGAGCGACAGTTTAGAGATGCCGACTCTGGACAAATCAACTGTGCTCGACAACAGCGAGAACATTGAGGAAGATGGGCAAGTCAAAAGAATGGGACGATGTGAGTTGATGACAAGAATAGGGAAGAAACAACGCGTGAAGATGAAGGACCGAATCACATCTGCCAATGGTCAGCAGGAAGGCGTTATAATTAAATCTCCAATATTCCTTCTTTTTTTCCTTATCTCTGCCCCGCCACAAAGTGTCCAACCCACTCTTCCACCCACAATCACGTCCTTGCCATCTCCAAAGTCACACCAAGAACCCAAATACACTACAAGACTTTGCAAACACAAAAATCCGCAACAATGGACAAAGACAACGCAAACCCCGCCATCCTCAACCCAAGCGACCTGCCCTCCCGCCGCATCGCCTCCGAAAACCAAACCGCTCGCGCCGGTCTCTTCGACGGCCTGATCCCCTCCTACCCACACTACGACAACCTAACTTCTGGCTCTGCCTTCCCTGCCCCCATCCCCTCAAACGCCTCCTCAGACGTTTCCGACGATGACGACGACATGCGCGAAGAAATCGACGAGCAGGAAATCTTCGACTTGATCAGCACAATCTCGGACCCAGAACATCCTCTGTCGTTGGGTTCGTTGGCTGTGGTTTCGTTGCCGGATATTGCTATTTTGCCGCCCTCGTCGCCGACGTCGAAGATTTCGACTGTGAGGGTTTTGGTCACGCCGACTATTACTCACTGCTCGTTGGCTACTGTGATCGGGCTGGGTGTGCGTGTGAGATTGGAGCAGTCACTGCCACCGAGATTCAGGATTGATGTGAGGATCAAGGAGGGTACACATGCCAGTGACGAGGCCACCAACAAGCAACTCGGCGACAAGGAGCGTGTTGCTGCTGCCATGGAGAACGGCACCCTGGTTGGCGTCATCAAGAAGATGTTGAGCACTTGCGAGTAGAGAAAGAGGGAGATTGTTATGATTATGACGAAACGCATCTTGATTTTCTTCATTGCGTATGCTCCTTGAATCGTGGATACATTATGCTTTCAATACGCAACCCTGGAACGAACCCATGCAACAAAAACGCCTCCGTCACCATGCTGAGGTAAAACGCCAAAAGCTCTATCAGAAAATCGCTGTTCGAAGGAGCAAAGGAAAAACAGGAGAAGGATGATCGAATGTGGAAAAAAAAAAGGAAACCGGGTATCTCTTTCGTGTAAAGTCGGAATCGAGCTAGCGTAGGCCGCCAGCTTCTTACTGGGTGTGATGATTGTTCTGAGTATTGTTGAGTGGCAAAGAAGCGCTGCTTCCCTCGCCAGCGACATCGTTTCGAGCGGGCTGGGTGTTCTGGTTGGCAGCAACCTTGCTCGCGCCTTCAGGAGGCTGGTAAACTGGCGGTGCCTCCCAGTTTCCGTATGCAGGTGGTGGCGGCTGGAACTCAGCAGGGCCGTGGTATGCACCGCCCATGTTCTGCATAGGATAACCTTGCTGCGGTGGGTAGGCAGGGTCTTGCTGGTAATAGGTGTAGTTGTTCTGGCGGAATGGTGTAGCTCTGTATTGACGACGAGTAACAAGCCAGCGGTGGTAGGCGAGAGGTTGCAGACCTTTGCGGATTCTGCGTTGGGCGTGGAAGTAGGCGCCAAAGAGGATCAGGGCAATGCCGATGAAGATTAGAGCGACGATTGCATAACGGACGCCATAGCCAGTCTGCGNAACAAACAATTAGTCCATCTTTGTTCTACCTCACAACATTTTGCGAAGACATACACCGCTCCACCACCAATCGTCATTACAGGTAGGATCGCTGGGGTAATCGCAGTCGCGTTTAGATAGCAAAAGTGAGGGCGCCATAGGAAACAGCGTGGGTCGAGCGGACGATGTCGAAGTGAGATCCAGGAATTCGTAAATAAAGCGAGTGTTGAGTTGAAGATGCTTGGGAATCAAATGCTCAGAGTGTTTTGCCTTCTCTTCGGTTGTTGCGTTGCCCCAGGAGTTTGGTTTGACAGCGAGGTTGACAGGTTCTCGATTTGTGGAGTTAAAAGCAGGAGGAGCCTGTGTTGCAAACGCAGGAGGGCAGTGTGGCGAGTCACCAACACGACGGCTTGTTGTTGCAAAAGGAAGGCACGAAAGATGTATGTGTGATACAGTGGTTCCCAGAAGGTCAGTATCAAAGATGCAAGAGCAAACAAGGAGTAGGCCGCGGCCTGCTTCGTCGGAGTGTCTTTTGGCTTCTGAAATCGACCACCGTTACGTAGGCTGCGGGAGGGCTGCGGCAGCCACGCGCTTTCCATTGCTTTCCCTCTTGCTGGGCCTAGGTGGCTGTGCTTGCGAGCGGCTGGCTTTGGTGGCTGGCTAGGTCGAGATGAATTTATATTGCTTCGCCAACCACACTCGTAAACATCAACGTACTTGCATCTCGAGTCAACGATATCATTGCTCTGTAAACACGCATTAAGCGCTCGTCTGTGAAAAACTTTTCATATGCAAAAGACAGTCGATGGTCAAGACAACCGACAGCTACCAATATAGCATTTATAGGCGCGCGCCTGACTTGAAAAGGGATTGCGCTGGAAATAGCACGGTTAGATGCAGGTTCCCTTTTGAAGGCTGCTTGCTTCTTGTTGACTATCTACAACTCTAGAACCCACGACGCTTAGGTACAATGGGCTTTCTGACCGCCCCAACAGCGCTGACCTTTTGACAGTAGGTTTGCGTACCTTCTTCTCTTCCTCTTCCTTGGCCCTGGCCGCTGCCTTCTGTCTGTCTATAGCCATCTGCTGCTCGATCTCAACCTTCTTGTTGAACTCTTGTTCGGTGGTACGCTTAAGCTTGGTGCTGTAGCCCTTCTGCTTGACCGAGTAGAAGACCGCTCCCAGGTCAGCTAACCAAGTGGCATCAACAGCAGTGACACACGACATGTACTCCTTGGAAGTCAGAATAAGCTCGTGGTAAACCACATAGTCTGGTGGGTCGCCAGAGTTGTATAGCGCAGATGTAGGATGTAGCTGCATCGACACAGAAGTGCGCAAGTTGAGGTACTCGCCCAAGCCCTTCCGCTTAGCGGCTTGATGGTAGTAGCCCGAGCAGATACAGAGACGAACAATCTCCATATCGTAGCCACAGCTTACTAGTTGCATCTTGTTACTGACCATGATATCGCGGATCTGGTTGCGAATCTCCTCGGCCCTGCGCAAGGCCTTGGGATGCAAGAAGTGTGTCACGCACCACCCATCGCGTCTCCCATTACCAGCCCACTGTTGATAGACATTCAGCAGCGTCAAGTGATCAGATGATGAATCGAAGAACTTTTCGCGAGCGGCATCGGCCTCTTCCATACGCTCCTTCGGTCGGTAGAAGACAGAGGGTACTGAGAGCATAGACACAATCGTCAAGATCTCTTCGCTACAGCCGTAGTCGCAAGATGTTATGACAAGCTTGGCCATTGAGGGGTCCATTGGGAAAGAAGTCATTTGACGGCCGAGCTCTGTAAGGTCACCCAAGTTGTCGAGAGCGCCTAGCGCCCAAAGGTCGAATAGGGAAGTCGAAATCGTTTCTTGCGGAGGAGGATCCATGAAGTCGAAATCTAATAGATCCTTCACCCCAAGTGATTTCAGAAGCAGAACAGTGTTCGCAAGATTGGTACGCTGAATCTCAGGAATGGTTTGGATATAGAACTCGTCACGGAATGCACGCTCGGTGTACAGATGGAAGGCTTTTCCTGGACCTGTTCTTCCGGCACGACCGGCTCTTTGAGATGCGTTTGCTTGTGAGATGGGAGTAATCTGTAGTGTGTCCATACCCATACGAGGGTTGTAAACCTTGAGCTTACTGAACCCAGAGTCAACGACATACATAATACCGTCAACGGTCAGAGACGTCTCGGCGATATTGGTGGCAACAATGACCTTGCGCACACCAGGAGCAGCGCGATCGAAAATTTTGGCTTGCAGATCAGCAGGCATTTGACTGTAAATCGGAAGGATAGATAGCTTTGGCGGATCGTTTAGCTGTTTTAGGCGTTCGTCGATGAGCTCGCAAGTGCATTCAATGTCCTCCTGACCAGTCATGAATACAAGAATATCTCCCGGACCTTGAGAAACGTGAATGGCGAGGACCTGCCTCACAGCGCTGTCCACGTAATCCTCACAAGGGCTTCGTGAGTATTGAATATCGACTGGGAATGTACGTCCGGGGATGAAAAACTCGGGGGCACCGCCATAGAAGCGCGAGAAGCGGTCAGCATTCATTGTGGCAGAGGTAACAATCAGCTTGAGATCTCGCCTGCGAGCAAGCACCTTCTTGATCAGGCCCATAAGAACATCGGTATTCAATGCTCTCTCGTGGGCTTCATCCATGATGATGCAGGAGTACTTGTCGAGGTCGGCTTCAACGAGAGACTCGCGCAACAACACACCATCCGTCATGTACTTGATGGATGTCTCCTTGCTCGTGCAGTCCTCGAATCGGATAGCATAACCGACAAGGCCGCCCAGCTTGACTTCCATCTCTTCGGCGACACGTTTAGCGACACTCATGGCGGCGACACGACGTGGCTGAGTGCAACCAATCAAGCCATGTTTCGCGTAGCCATCCTCATACAGGAACTGCGTCAATTGAGTTGTTTTTCCTGAGCCGGTCTGACCAACGACAATAATGACTTGGTTGTCACGAATGACACGGAGCAGCTCTTCTCGGACAGCAAACGCAGGTAGATATTCGCGCTGCTCCTTGAGTGTTTTACTCCGACTGAAGACACTCTGACCCTCGCTCTGTTTCTGCATGTGTTCGGCGAACTTGCTGCCTCCTTTCTCTTCCTGGCCAGCGGGCTCTGGAGCAGCACTGTCGGTATCCTCCTCTTTGACGCCCATGACGTTGCCCAAAGCTGTGCCAGCAACCTTTGTGGCCTCCTGGGCAGCCTTTGCTCGTTCTTTTGCTGACGTCGTTCGCTCACGACTTTACTGCCTTTGCGACTGAAGACGGCCATGTCGCTTTGGGGGTCTCTGACAGCCGATACTGGTTCTAATTGCTTGGTGAAGACAGTCTTGCCATCGAGAAATGGTGGTTTCAAGTCGTGCACCAGCAAGTGGACTCTGGTGCCGTCTTCATCGTCCTCGAAACCAGTGTCCAGCTCTCGTCTTTGAGCAACACCAGAGGTAAGCATGCGATTGGTTTCCCAGGCGTCATTTTCACGTTGCCTCTGCATAGCGCGAGGGTTTCCGCGAGCACGAACAGCCATCTTCTTCTCGAGTAGAGCAGCCTCACGCTGCTGGTCCTCCCAAGTGGCGTCATCTCCGAATGGGTTGTGTGAATCGTCGCCGAGGGTCGCGCCTCCTTCATCGCCCAGGTACCAGTCACGATCCAGAGCAGTTTGGTCTTGGGCGTCAACTCCAGGTTCGGGACCATCGAATTCCTGCTGGCGCGGCTTTGCGGCTTGCGACTGGGCATGGCGTGGGCCATCTCGGTGTGAAGAAATGTGTTTCGAAGGTCTTATAGCGAAGTGACCATCATCTTCGGCGTCTCCGTCATTGTCTAGCTTGCGTCTTTTGAACGAAGACATTTGTCGAGTGCGGGATATGCTTAGTCTTGTCTTCCAACATAAAAGGAACGAGATGCTGTGACGCGATGGCACGAATCACTACCGACCAGGCACGCTAATGAATAGAGAACGTTCTGCAGAGGGTCGCGCAATCGACTCGATCATGTATCTTTGGGAGATTGTACTTGTTCTCTCTCAGTATATCTATAGACATCAGTTACAGCGCGACATGCATACGATGAGTGCTTTTGATTATCTGGAAGAGTGGTGCGCTCTCGCAAACGCCTGGGAAGCATATACCTACCTAGCAACGTTCTGTATCATCTTGCGGCGATGGGCTTGGCACTTCCGGCGCCGTCTTCCCGCATTAATCGCGTCTCGAAATTTATCAAAGTTTCCTGAGCAGGGTGCATTTTTTCTTTGGCCATTCGGACATAACACACACAACATGTCTATGATCACTGCAACAACGTGGGTGCCGCGAGGCTATGCGGCTCCCTTCCCGACAAAGTACCAGTTCGACGATGACGAGTTTGAGCGCATCTCCAAGCTCGCTAAGCTGGAACTCGACGACGCAAAGGACGATCTCGCTGAGGCTCAAGCCGAGTTGACTGGAGAGAAGGTTTCTAAGAAGGACGAGAGCGACGACGATGATGACGACGAGACACACACGACCGGCGCCGCGACGCAAGATATCGATCTCCAGGACGACGACTTGAAGGAGTACGACCTTGAAAACTACGATAACGACGACGCCGTCGAGAACGAAGAGGGAGAAGGCGATGGCACCTTGAGCATGTTCGGAAACGTACGCAACCTGGCATACCACGGCTCCAACGCCGAAGATCCCTACATCACTCTCAAGGAGGGCGAGGAGTCAGACGACGACGAGCGCGAGGAGATGCAGATCTTGCCCACCGACAACATGCTGCTGGCCGCCCGCATTGAGNNGGACGAGGTCGCTCATCTCGAGTGCTACGTCTACGAGGATGATGCCGACAACCTGTATGTTCACCACGATATCATGCTGCCCGCCATTCCGCTGGCCGTCGAATGGCTCAACATGCCCATCTCCAAGCCTGGCGAGCCCGTGCCCGAGGGTCAAAAGGCAAACTACGTTGCCGTCGCTACTATGGACCCGGATATTGAGATCTGGGATCTGGACACTGTCGACTGCATGTACCCCAATGCCGTCCTTGGTCAAGGCACCGCAGAAATCACAGCAGGACCTACCATGCCCGGCCAAAAGAAGAAGAAGAAGAGAAAGAGCAAGCAGATCAACGACAAATACCACATCGACTCAGTCCTCGCCCTGTCAGCCAACCGCTTCCACCGCAACCTGCTGGCCTCAGCCTCGGCCGACACCACCGTCAAGCTCTGGGATCTCAGCACACAACAGTGCGCAAAGTCCTACAACGACTTCCACACCGACAAAGTCTGCGCCCTGCACTTCCACCCCTTCGAAGCCTACTCCACCATCCTCCTGACCGGTTCTTACGACCGCACCGTCTGCGTCGCCGACCTGCGCGCCGCAGAGGGCACCAAGCCTNNTAAGCGCTGGGGCGTCGACTCGGACGTCGAGCAAGTCCGCTGGGACCCTCACAACGAGCACGTCTTTTACGTGTCCACAGAAAGCGGTATCCTATACGCCTTTGACGCCCGTAACGCACCTTCATCCCCCGAGAAGACACAAGCCATCTGGCGCCTGCAAGCCCACGAAGCCTCCCTCTCATCCTTCTCCCTCAACCCCACTGTCCCCGGTTTCATCGCCACCGCCTCCACCGACCGCACAGTCAAGCTCTGGAACATTGATCAAATCACCAACCAGCCCTCCATGGTCGTCTCGCGCGACCTCGGCGTCGGCCGTGTCTTTTCTGCAAACTTTGCTCCTGACGAGGCAGTGGCTTTCCGTCTTTCCGTTGCGGGTTCAAAGGGTGCTGTTCAGGTCTGGGATACCAGCACCAACAGAGCCGTCCGTGAAGCCTTTGCTGGCCGTGTCAAGGGCATTGACGCCACAGAAGTCAAGGAGAGACTCGTCGCCGTTGCCAACGACGAAGAGGAGAGTGACAGCGACGAGGACGAGGAGAACGAGGACGAAGCCGGTGCTGACGAGCGCGGCTGGGAGAGCATGTCGGAGTAATGTGTGTTTTGCAAAAGCGTATCTTATTTTTCAATATCATGACCAGTTACTTCTGTGCATCTTTCCAAAGCTACCTCTATCTTCTTCAAAAGTACTAAATTCTGATATCGAACCACATTCAGATGTTCGGATTTACGATGCTCTGGAAGATTCGAGTCTGAGTATGACAGGGTCGTACTCTCAACTAGCTCTGGAACACCCTATCGGCGACATTGGTTCCTGTATCAACATTATAATCGCACTCAGAGTATCTTTATAGCCTCTCGGTACTAGTTAGTTCCTACGATATGTCTTTCTAGTCTCCGGCTGGTTGTTTGGAGCAACTGTGGTGTTTCTTGCAATTCGAATCGAATTGTCCTTGAAGACTGCACCCAACCACACCCCAACGCTTCGATCCATATGTCAAATTGGCGACTCACACAACCAGGCAAATAAACAATCCGACAGCACGCATGACAGCTAAAGGCAAGGATGAAATGCCAAAGAGGTCATAGGTACTCTCCCAGACGCACTTTTCAAGACTGGTACGCTAGACAACTCTCTGGATAATATCAAATGTTTTCATTGGAATAAGGAGTCATGATACTATCGTATTCATACAAGTCCTGACGTCCTATCGTCCTGTCGTATCGTACAATCTATTAAGGCCATCTAGGCCAGTCCCATGCCAATCATCCTTCATCATCCTGATGATGTACAGTCTATCGTTAGAAGAGAATATGTAAAGAAAGAAAAGAAAGTTTTGAGAGACTTCAAGGCTTAATCATCCTGGTGTCTCTTTCTCAAGCTCAGTCTCTTCTTGAGACCTTCGCCTGCCTTGCGCAAGCTGCTTGTTCGGTTCATGGTGTGAGCATCAGTGTCGGCTGCCATTGTAAGGTTTGCGTATCGAGATTCTCCACCAGCAATCTCGACGGGGTCACGGTCGTCAAGCTTCTTGCTGTCCTTGAGCTTGTCGTAGTCGCTCATGAGCGGACGGTCTGACATCTCAATGCCGCGCTCGCCATCAAAGTCACGCTCGTGAATGGTGTGAGCCTTGAGCGCACGATCGAGAGAGAATGCAGGTTCGCCCTTGCCCTTGAGATCGTCTTTGCTATATTNCCTGAGGAATGGTCAGTATATTGGTGGATATTCATTGGTGTGAAAAATACTCACTTCTCCAGGCCAACGCTTGTAAGCACCACCCTCAGGGTTGCCCTCACGCATCATATCAGTTCCCTCCTCGTAGTTGTAGACACGACCAAGCTGGTCACGTTGACTGGGGGGAACGACAGCAACGCCGTCAAGAGGCTTGTGCTTTTCGAGAGAATCCTTAATCTTCTCGGCGGNGGTGGCCTTCAGTGCTTCTCTGTTAGAGTCCTCCAAGGCGGCGATGGGGCTGCTGTTGAAGCTGGTGTTACGGGCTAGGAGAGCAGCATCATAAGGACCTTCGTGGTGGTAGGGAATCTTGCTGGGTGTTGGGTCAAGACGGTCGATGGTGTCAGCACCAGGGATGTGACGCTTGTTGAGGTGAGGAGCGCGGTAAGCCTTCTTGCTATCCTTTCTAAGCATATTCAGAGGCTGGTTAGATGTGTCGCCAGGGTAGCGTTGACTGAGCGAGCTGGTTCTACGTGGGCGGTTGCCCAAGGGCTCGTCGATAAAACGATGGTCACCACTGAAGTTGCGACGGTGGGGAGAAGAAGGGCCCTCGTGGTAATCCGGAAACTTGGAATTGCTGCCGGTCGAGCTTCTGCTGGAATGACGGACATGTGTCTGGGGACCCTTTCCACCCATCGAGTCGCGGAAAGGATTCTTGGATGATGAGGGAGAAGACATAGTAGGCGATGCTGCTGTAGGAGAGGCACTCATGGTGGCTCCGGGAGGATAGAAGTGCGTTCCCGGGCCAGTTTCCTGAGAAGGCTCCGGGGCATTGAGAGGGTCAATGAGGTAGGCCTGAGCCTGTACATGAATTGTGAGTGGGGTTCAGATTGATTGGATACGAAGAGAAAGCTCGGATCTCACCTCTTTGGCGCTGACACTTGACATGATTCAAGTTTGAGATTTGATGTCGGTCTGATCAACTGTCGCACAACAAGCAAGAAGCAAGATGGGAGGAAGGGAAGGTCGGCAGGATAGCGCAGGTACAGGCAGTTTTAAAAAATAAGCATGATCCTCCTTGGGCCGCACTTCCTTCGTCGGCTCTCGTTGTTCGCATCACTCACTTTTTGGGAAGGTACGTCATGCCGCGCACGCACAACATGTCATTCTTTCCCCGGACACTCGACATCCGCCCACTTCCACCTTCTCGGTCGACTATTGATCCGTCGATAGTGCTACTGTAGAAAATGACACTAGTCGCCTACTCGGATTCCGAAGAGGACGACGAGCCTGCAGCCAAGCGACCCAAGAAGGACAAGGACGCTGACCATAAAGACGACGACCTCCCACCACTGCCAGCCGAGTTTTTGAATTTATATTCGTCCAGCGTCCGCGTCAGCAACACCGACGATCCGTCTCTGCACCACGGCCGCAAACGCGTCGTCAAGCATGTCGAAGGGAATTGGCCCACCCATGTCTATCTTGAGTGTATGTTGAAGTTTTGCAAGGATTTGATACAACACAGCCGGACTTACACAGCCTCCGCAGGGCTGCCCTCACCTGCTGAACATGACACACTGAACAAATTGCTCAAGGCATTGCCAGAATCGTCAAATGTGCACTCTCTGCTGCAAACACCACTGCAGGTACCCTTACCTCTGCACATATCCCTAAGTGCACCGCTGGTATTGCGCACCGGGAATAAAGACGCTTTTCTGGATACCATCACAGAAGCCGTAACTCCGGTCGTTCGGTCACTGCGACATCCAATTGCAGTAAGACCTGCTTCACTCTCATGGCACGGTAATGATGATAGCAGTCGATACTTTCTGGTACTCCGCGTCCAAGACGCCGAGCAAACCCAAGAAACGAGTGCTCTGACCTTGCTAAACCAACTCCTTAAAGCCAGCAACAAGGTCGTCCAGGACTTTAACCAACCTCAACTCTACACCAAGCTCAAACGCCAAGCAGGAAGCAGCGACTTTTCGCCATACTTCCACATCAGCATTGGTTGGTCTTTGCCATCACCAGACCGAAACCTGGCAGATGATAACCTCAAATTGCAACCAGCTGTTGAGCCAATCCTTAAAGAGCTCTGCGAGAATATGGTTGTATCCTTTGACGCTGTCAAAATCCGCATAGGCCAAACAGTCACGGCCCTGCCAATCGGGGAGCAAGCATCCGCACTCTAGAACCAAGGGCGGCGTGTTTAGTTGAGTAGGTCATGGAAGTGCACAAACTCTTCTCGTGTGTATTTCTTCTACTCCATGGCGTGAGAAACTAGAATCAAATTGTAGAATCTTTATCCTTAGCCCCCACTGTTCGGTGGGTTTGTCCGCCGCGAGATGATACATGGTTTGATTTCGGCAGTAGAACCTTGAAGGAAAGTGCTTTTGACCAATGTCTATAGACGTCTTATCAACGGGTCTGTCACACTGGACAGCGTCTAGTGGGCTAGTTGTGCTCTCTAACGATCTCCCAATCCCGCTCTCTTGAATTATACATAGATGTGTGTGGATACTAAGGGATAAGTGATCTCCATCCAATATCACATGCTGCTAGGAACATCATAAATTGACATAATTTTCATGTTCATTTTCATTCCATCTTCCTCCTCAAGCTAAGTACAATACTCGGTTGAAAAGCCCCATTTGTACAAGGGAAAAGAAGAAGGGGAAAAAAAAGCAAAGCTAACCAGGCGCTGAAAACGACCTTTGCACCCTGCTCGCCGAGTATTCTTGCAAGGCCTGGCAACGGACTTGCAGAGAAACAAATCCCAAACAAATGCAACAGCCTGTACCAGAGCAAAAGAGAAAAAGTAGAGAACGCCTTTCAATGTGCAGATGGAAACAAAGCTTGGAAACAAGGAATACTCATGACCCGCCGTTTGGACCCCAGGTTGCGTGGTCATCTTCAGTCAAAGAAAAGTGAGACCAGATCTCGCAACTCAGGCTAGGCCATGAGAGAGCATGTGTTTGTTCGGTGACGAGTGATGTGTGGAACTGTGTTTTGTCTTCGCCCCAGTATCTGGCGCTCGAATCTGGAGGGTGGGTACAAGGAAAAGCTGTATTGATATTTTGGATTTGTGTTTCAAGCTCCAGGCGTGCTCTGTGCCTGTTTTGGGGGCTGAGTACGTGGATCGCTCCTGATAAAGTCGTGGCTTGAGTTGCGATTCGATCAGAAATTCGAAGGGGAACAGGTCTAATAGCAGTCGCGCATCATGGAGGTCATCACCGTCGTCTTCATCGTGGGCAGTGGCTCCTAGTGCACTGGGGGCTGGTAGTTGATAGGGCGCCTGAATGTCTGTCAGCTCATTGATTCTTCCTGAGTGCAAAAGGACAGTACTCACTTGAAGAGCAGAATGTGCGGCTCAGGCTCGTGGACCTCGTAGTGTTCCCATCCCAGACTCTGCGTNNTTCGGATCAGTGTCTTGATTCTTTGTTATGGTTAGACATAGCCACATACCTGGGTGATACCCAAAGCTCTCCACTCATCCTCCCACAGCAGCTTAAGAGTGCCTCGCGAACCGTCAAAGTATTCCTTTGGTATCGCCTTTAGCATCTGCTTAGGCAGCTGCACGTGTCTGTACTCGAAATGGTCGTCGGAGTATCNTGGGCGAATTAGTGTTGATGACAAAGTGGACGCAAGATCTTCTCACCTTGACGAGTAGTGGATGCTCTCGATGAACTCATCCAGGCGCTCGCGCTCGGAGTCGCTCAAAGGGCGCGGCTTCTTGTTGCGGCGCGTGGCATCGATGTCCATGTTGACCATTGTGAAGGTTTGGATTGGGTTGAAGCTGGAAGGTTGAGGGACGGGCTGATTAAGAGCTTTGGAGGGGTGCGGTTATGGATGTCGCGTGAGAGACAAGCGGTGACTGTGATGGAGCCCCTGATTCGCAATGTTTCTCGAGTAGGAGTGCGGAGTTGAAGTGTCGAGCAATGGTGAAAGTCGCAGTGAAAGAGATGCGCTATCGGTTGCGCCTGTGCTGGTATCAAAGCACGACGGTCGAGCGGGGCAAGGATATCTGGCGCAACAATGGCTTGGAGGGGGCGACAGGCAGCAACAAAAGCGATGCGATTGAGCCGAGTGCGACAGAACTTTTGGTGGATGGATGGATTGAGGGTCAATGACGAGATGCGACAGCACAATTGACGAAGATCTGGCAGGAGGGAAAGTGGTGGGAGAAAAAGTATTGTTGTTGTTGATTGTTGATGTCCACACTTCGCCTTTTGCGAGAAGGTCCCACTCTTGCTTGGTCTAATCAATCCGGCAAGCCCTTAGTCCCGCCTCGGCTCCTTCCGTCGGATCATCGCTCTTAAACCTTCCGCCTCCACGCACCAGCTCGATCTACCCACCTTCTGTTATCGTATACAAGTAATCGATATGTTCGCCTGCTATATCTGCCTTGGATCAGCTTCAGCCTATAGTCAATAGACAGATACAGTGCTATAACCTCCGCCGATCAGCCAACGTCGTCCACGGCACTATATGGCTCTTCATGCACTCCGACACATCTCTCTCGGCATCGCTGCAACCATGCTAGTTGCCTTGTTTTTGTGCCTGGGGTTTCAAACTAGTCTATACACTCCATCTCGATGACTTGTTGACTGCCACCTGGCATGTCCGGCTAAGCTTTCTCTGATGTATACCTAAATTCTTGACCGCCACGTTGCTCTTGACCGCCTAACCTCCTCCTTTGACTACACCTGACATCCTGTCAACTCTTGTCCTGTGCTGTTCAAAACGTGGCCGGATCATGGCTTGCTGAGAGCCTTGATGGCAATAGTGTCGGCTTGCACGGCATAATCTCCGTGCATGCTAATTACCGTAGGTCGATAACCTGGGGCAGAAACCGAGCTGCTCGTCCGGATCAGTCCACTGCAAGAGAACAGATGCCGAGATTGGCACTTTCTTTGATTGATCTGGTGACAGGCATTGAGATGAAAGTACCTCATTTGTATACCACCTTATTGAGCTTTGTAATGCGTGTCACAGATGATTCACGAAGAGAAAATTGAATGAGTGAACGAGCTTAGAAGTGCTTTTGCTACATCTAGCTATGTAAGACATTGCACCACCTTTCCCAGAGTGCTGTATGGCCTAAATTTTGGTCATAAAATAAAGAAGATAAAGAGTGAACGGGACAAAGGTATTGCCTTCTCCCAAGAAGACTGCCCGAGTATTTCGTGTCATCGTAGCCCTTTTGGGGAACATCCATATCCCAACGCCAGTAATACATCAGGGCCCCAGTCTTCCGTGATAACGTAAACAAAAGAGAGTAAGAAGTAAAGAAGAGTCAGACGTGAAATCGACAAGAAGTGAAGAGTCGTATCAGAGTTCCCTTAGCAAAGGGGATGATAGATTATGCCATGGTCCCGCAAGTTACCAGCCTTGCGACCGTTGCTTGACATTGTGGGCGGCAATCAGATCCATCCAGCCTCTTCGTACGGCGTCGGTTCTTCTTCGAAAATGACGTTGAGCATGTCTGCAATCTCCATCATGTAGTCGTCTGCAGTGAAGTGGTCCAGGCCATGGGCGTCCATGAAAACACGGTCTGCGTCTGCCTCGACATCACGAACTGTGGTGCCAAACTCCTCGGCGACCTCGCTGAGCTGCTCGAGCTCCTTGCCAAAGGGGTGAGGCGAAACAGGGCCAGAAGCGCGGAAGAAGTCGGTTGAGTCTCTGGTGGTAATAACGTCCTCAGGGAAAGAGGGAGCGTTGCGCGAAATCGAGCGCTTGTGGCTCAAATCACGAGAAACTGATCGNNCTTGTGGCTCAACTGGTGGGCGTGCTTGCTGTGCGAAGGGGCGCGTTGAGGGGAGGACAGGGGCGACTTCAGAGCGCTGGAAAGAGTTGACAGAGGTGTCACGGCTGTGCTGCGAAGGCTCGTCGTAGACGGAAGGCTTGAAATAGCAGCTAAGGTGGTTAGGCTCCGGGGACAAGGGTGACTCTTCGAAGGAAGAAGCGTCTGTGAATGTTCCGCCAGAACGATGACCAATACTGCTAGAGTCGCTATATTCGATCGAGCTCAGACTGTTGGAGCTGGACGAGGTTGTGAGGACTCCGGCCTTCTGGACGATGGGGTTGGTTCCGAAAATGTCAGGGGCCTCGTATGCCAGAGTGTTTGTCGTCGAGATCAACTCGATAGGGCCAGAAATTTTGGGACGCTGAATGCGCTGGCTGGCAGAACGATCCAGATCAGGGTTCTTGCGGGCAGCCCGTCTGGTGGTGAAAGCACGGACAAGCGACATGTTTGCGGATAGCAGTGGTGGTGGACTATCAAAGGACCAAAAAGACTTTTTGAAGAAGAGGAAAGCTCCGGGTGTGAGAGTGAAAGTGTCACTTGGTAGCAGGTCTCACACGTGTAACCGGGGTGATCACAAGATTTTGTCCACTTGGGTGGGTGCTGTAGAGCGTGTGATCAGAATGTCTTGTCAAGTTCCTGTCTTGCAGAAAACGTCACAGCTTGTTGGTGTCTCGAAAAGTAATCGAGGTTGCTTTTGTGAAAGAATGAAGGCTAACCGGGACACAGTCCTTGCGGTTACTTGGTAAGAGAATGAATGGTTCTGACGTTGTCGCCCAAAGGAGAGGAAGCGATAGCCAGATGGATCAAGCGCGACGTCCTGAGACGAGTTGGCGCTCGGGAAGGTGACAAGGAATGACTTGGAGAAACAGGTGGTGTCTGGGAAAGAGAGCAAGAGAAGTTCTCTTGGGGTGGCACCTCCTTCGTTTTGAATGCACCTACTGCACCTACTTTCTGGCGGGCGCCAACGAATCGGGAAGGCTGCAAGTGTGAAAATCGTGCAGGGCAGAGTTCCAGACACTGACAAAAGGTTCACCACGCACGCTACGAATCCCGCTTGTATCCAGGCACAGTTGCATGATTGGCTCAACTCTCCTATCTTCTCCGCTTCGACGTTCTTTAGCGCTCCACAGAGTTGTCTTTGACGGGACGCTTAGGCGAGGCCAACCCTAATCAAGCCATGGTTTCACTCGACTCGCAAAGGCATGGCTTTAGCGATCGTGCCATGAGTGGACCATGGTTGTTTAACCGTCACCGGCTGCTTGCCAAAACTCCACCACAACCGCCCAACTGTTAGGGAGGTGCACCGTTTACGACCTGGATGGCTTTGCTGAACTGTGAAAGTACCACTGGCGCTACTAAACACTCGTGCGAAAGACCACGCGGACGGCGCGTCTTCTGGCAGAAATCTGCCGTGCTACACAACATGTGTACAATTCACATCGATCACGCTACGTGACTCGCCCTGCTCATATTGGCTTGCTCAAAGATGAAACGCAACCATCCGGTTACACTCACGACCCCAAAACGGCGAGTCCAATCTATAGTTCCACGTGCCAGGGCATGAAACAAATACATGCCATGGTTGCTAAATCTATCTCTGGATGCAGAATTTGCGTCAACAACACCGAGCATCTGGCGTGATCGAGTCTGATGCGTAGCGCATCCAAATTCTCAGGAGCTCATAAAACTATATATACTGTAAGCGTCTGCATCGACGTTGCGAGTAGCTCTTGTCCTTGTTAAATGCTCGGCTACAGTGAGTGGATCGGTGCAAAGGACGTTGTCAGGGGCTGTCCACGCGCAACGAAGTGTTCAAATAGGAGGATAACAATATCGAGAAAGAGCCGAGCGAACCACAGACAGAGGCACTTTGCAAATCCCTCGAGTTCTTGGCCTCTCTCGAATTGTACCTTGCTGTATATTCGCTCAAGCAAATAAGGTAACGCACCGTTCGGCCGCATATTTGTATCGATAGGCGATCTCAAAACATTCTTCTATCTTGATAGTGATAACAACTGCTCGGCACATCTATGCATCCCGAACACTCCCAAGATCTTTGCAACATATTTTCCTAAACGCCAACGCTATGTTCTTAACCGACACGCATATGCTGGAAACACGAACGACGTAACCCTGTTTATATTGATGATGCTTTCTATAGCTCATCAAGTGTGGGCAAGCGAAACTCCCACCCACGTGGTGTGATTTCAAGACCCAACCAACGTTGCCATAATCTAGAGAGCTCCGTGATGAGGACAATGAAGCTGGCAAAGAGGTCAGCGACGCTTCCATTGCGAAGACAGAGCAAAACTTACATTGTTTGAGGAATCTCAATCCAGCTCTTGAGGACAAACTTGGTGACCGACCAGACCAGATAGATCTCTGCCTTGGCTTTCTGCCATTCAGTAAGTGGTGGTGGCTTTGGCTTCTCCCAAGCATCATCGTCGTCGAGCTCGTCTTCCTCAGCGACATCTTGCTGCTTCTTCTTCTCGACAACAGCTTCAGGAGCGGGAACGCCCTTCTCTTCTGCCAACATGCGTTGGAAGTTACCAAGGGCTTTGATGGCATTGCTGACCTTGTCCAGGGTGTTGAAGAAGGCGACAAGCTCGATTCTCTTGAGAGCTGGGGCAGGCTGGTCGTTGTTAAACTCGAACAAGATCTTCAGAGCTGTACCATAACCAGCAGTCTGAAGCTTGCCCCAAAGCCTGCATTTGTCGCAGCCAACACAATCCATGATGCGACTAACATTGCGGAAGCGGTTGCGGAAGTCTTCTTTAAGGCTAATGCCAGTGTCGCCGAGTGGGTTCTCACGGAACATGACACTCTCGTCGAAGATCTCAGGGCCAGCCGGGATAGTGTTGGCAACCTTTAGGGCCATGTCCTTCGTGCGCTTGTCCTGTTTCGGGTCACCAGTACAGAAGGTGTAGTCTTGAACATAATCCTTCAGCTTGCCAGCAGCTCTAGCCATGAGAGCGTAGTTGAAGTACAGGTTAGAAATGCGCTCTGGATGGTTGTGAAGGCGCTGCTTGTAGCACTGCAGATTGGGACCCCATTTGCCGGTAGACTGGTTGAGGTAGTCATGACACAAATGGGTCGAGATGGAGGCGTGCATTCCAGAAATGACTCTGTAGAAGACGCGCTTCTCAAGACACTCGTCATCGAACTCCATGTTGTCCTCAAACTTGCCTTCCTGCGAAGCTTGTTGGCGACCATGCTCTTTCATGACAGACTTGAGATCTTGCGCAGCTTGACCTTGCATTCCTGAGAAGCCAGCGAAAGGAGGAACCAAGCCACCAGCACCCAGGCTCTGTGCATTTGATCTCGGCTTGGAAAAACAGTTCTCGCGATAGATAGCCTCCCAGATTTGGTGGGCACCTTCGCCAGAGTATCCGGTGAAACGTTCGGGGTTGTCGAGCAAACTGACATAGTCGCCCTTAGCACTTGCGCTCTCATCTTCGGGCACGCAGTAGTCTCTTTCGTCGCATTCGTCGTCGTACTCGACAACACAGCTTTCGCCAACATCCTCGCCCAGCTCTCCCTGTAGAGGTCTCTCTAGTTCCCTTTGCTCTTTCTTGCCAGGGTGGTGTGCTTTGGGGCCCTCCAGTCTACTGAGCTCTTCGGCTCTCCAGATCTCCGGAATGTCCTCCTCATTATCGAGCGTCGTGACGGCGCAGGCAATGTTGCCGCAGAGACCTTCGTCGTCTGACCAGAAAGGACACTNTTTGTTGTACAAGTTCAGGCGGTAATAGGAGAAGAAATCGGTCTGAGACACGAGATCATGCAGGGCGGGGTTCAGGCGGGTGTTGAGGTTGTCGAGGTCGGCATATGACGCGCAAGCATCGGATACTGTGGCACCAGGCTCGACCTGTGTATTCGGGTNCAGGGCTGGTTCTCTTCGAGGGATAGGATATATAATGAAGTTGCTTACAGGACAGATTGCTGGATTTGAGGAGGCAGCGTGTGACGGGCCTAGCAGTGCAAAGACTGCTAGATAGAAGGAGCTCGTAATTGACGTTCGCATTGTGCTGTATTAGATGTTGTCTTGTTTACTTAGTAAAAGAGAGATGTTTACATTGTCTGGGATAGTTGCATACCAAAGTGGTCAAACGAAGGCGATCAGCGCATTCTTGGCCGTTGGCACTTTTAAGAATGACGGCTGCGGAAGGTGTGAACAAAGGAAGAAGCACGTCTAAGCAAAAGCAAAGCAGCAAGCTATATGAGTCAACAAGGCCAGAAAAGACACGATATCTCGAGCAATGCGGCGTTAATAAGAGAGGTGGCTTCTTCGAACTTTCTGCCTGGGTTGATAATCAGGAGCATCCGTGATCGTCACACCCGACCTCACCAGACAGCCGCTGCTCGGCACAAGCATTGACCGCCTTCAGCCCTACCACGTCTACGTCCCAAATTTTCTTCGGTCGCCTTTTTCTCCAACCTCTGCAACACGCGCGGTGATGCGCCAGATGGCCATGGTCACAGTTTGACATGGCCCTCTGGATTGTCTGTAATGTAAGTTTGCTAACCTTTTCTTGCTTCTTGCAATTCACATACACACCTCTACAATGATGAGTTATTCTTTACCCATACATCTTTAGGAAGAGCCGGAAAAGGTACGCTGGTATCGACATATACCTTCGTCGCTGCTTATAACTGGGAATCTGAAATTCACCTCAATATCTGCACTTTGTTCAAACCTCTAGTCGGACTAAAGACTAACAATGTTTGCTAGGTATCACAAGAACATCTTGCCTCGAGCGTTCAAATGTTTCGTCGGTCAAAATGATGGAGTTGTTCATATCATGTCATGTCATTATTTTCTAGGTACATATTCGGTCGTCTCGATTTAAACTACTACCTTTGCTAGGCTTCCTCAAGCTCTCTTCCATTCAAAGTGGTACTTTCCAGTGGTGGGAGCACCCTTGGGGTCTTCGCCCTTCTTGTCGTACATGTGCTTTCCGAAGTAATCAAGTTCGGCTTCATAGAACTGTGTTGGCAACTCCAAGCCAGTCTGGTACTTGATGTAGTCCAGCGAGGATGAGATGGCGGGTACCACATGGTCGCCAAGCACTGCCTGGACCACAACACGCTTGAGTGCCGGCTGACCCTTCTTGAGATCGTTGGCGACGGTCTTCTCGAACAACAAGTTCATGGTGTCCTTGTTGCGGAACTCAGCAAAAATGGGCTCGAGCACAGAAGCAATGTAATCGGCTTGAATGATGCAGCCAGCGCGCCAGATCTGCAGAACTTCTGAGAAGTTGATGTTCCAGTGGACCTCCCTGTTCTTGTGGTCGATGATGTTGATGCCTTGCACGTAGGCTGCCAGGCATGCTGTGTATGTGGCCCTGCGCAAGTCTTCTAGGAATTCGGCTTTGTCCTTGACATCCAGTTTCTGTGCCGGGAAGTCACCTCCAAATGCCTTCTGAGCGCGATCACGCTGGGCGCGGTCGGCTGAAGCCAAACGGAAGAAGTGAGCTGAGCTCAGCGTTGGTGCAGGAATGTGCTCTCCCACAGCCTCTTCATTAGACCAGATACCGGTACCCTCCTCTCCGGTAACGTCCTGCACGACCTTGTCTTCCACGGTTTCCAGGACACGTTCGCCGTTCTTTGGATCCTTGGTACGGCAGATGTCGGCACCAATCTTCACCAGGAAAGTACCTTGNNCTGGTGAAAGTCAGCACACAGCTTTTATATGAGGTGCATGCCATCTTACCAATTCTCCTTCATTGTTCCATTTTTCGAACACATCGCCAATCTCATCTTCCGACATACCAAGGCCAGTTCTCATCATGCCCCATGCTTCCGAGATGGCGCTCATCATGCCATGCTCGATGCCATTGTGGATCATCTTGACATAGTGACCCGCGCCTCCTGTACCGGCCTTTCCGACACATGGTCTTCCCTTGGGGTCCTTTGCTGCAACCTTACGCAGGAAGGGAAGGACGAGATCAAGAGACTGGTCATCGGCTCCTGGGCACATCGATGGGCCNNACTGCGAGCTATGTTAGACCAACTCTTGAATGTGGACAAGGGAAACATACCGACGGGCAGCCTGGTAGCCTCCAGAGACACCACAGCCAATGTATCTGATACCTCTGACAACACACTTGCCCTGTCTTCTCTCCGTGTTCTTCCAGTGCTCGTTACCGCAATCGATGATGATGTCTCCCTTCTCAAGGTAAGGCATGAGACCTCCGAGTACGCCATCTCCCACACTACCATGAGGCAAGCTGAAGACAAAGACCTTGGGTGAGTCAAGAGAATCGCACAAGGACTTGTAGTCGCTGTGTTTGCTGATACGATCTTCGAAGCCTTCTTCCTTGGCCTGTTTGATGATACCATCCATGGCCTCTTCCGAGGGATCTTCGAGCGATACATGGCAACCGTTCTCAGCGAACAGAAGGGCCATACCACCACCCATGCTGCCGCTGCCGATCACGGCGATCTATGTTAGAGTCAGCTCATAGCTCGTACGGGTAGTATCTAGGTTGCTGGTTGCTTGCATACCTTNTTTGATATCGAGTCCTTGCGAGGACGAGTCATTACTTGTGCTGGCCATGCTTAACAGTATGAAGGATCAATAATGATTTGAATTGGATGTAGAAAACCAGATGAGGGTCAGCGAGCTCGAGACCAAAATATATCGTTCGAGTGACGTATTGGTGTTTATGGTGGGGTAGTCGCGATTGACGTTTTCAACTGTCACTTCGGCCCGGTTTGCTTGTGAATGCTTGACGTGGATTCACGGGTTGCTCGGAAGCAGTGAGCGCCTGTAGTATGACCATGCTTGCATGATAGTTGTACATTATTGTAGTAAGATGGGTTCTACATCAATCATAATCCGCCTCGTCTTCAAAGTCCATCTCGGACTCGCCATCCACCCAAGAGACTGAATCTATCGTTCTCATATCCTCCGTCTCTTGACCTTGTTCCTCGCGATCATCCATAGGCATCGGGTCAATCTCTTCGATGGTGGCTTCATGATCCTGCTCCTGCTCCTTCTCATCATCGATGAACCCAACACTCTTCCTCCTTGGAGGCTTCGACTGACCAGCTGGTAATGTGTTGGTTGATTCCTCGGTGATGTCTTCCAGAACGTCTCCATTCCAAGGTTTACACTCCTTCACGACTTCTCCACAGCGCAGACATGTCCAACCCTCACCTTCTTCCGCCTCAATGCGTTGTGCCAGACAAACAAAACAGTATATGCATCCGCAAGGCATCGCCTCGTATGGATTAGTGACATCTGTTTGGGCGCTGCCAATGACGCCTCCACCTGTATTGCTTGACTGTGCGAGTACCTCGGCTTCCGACCCACCACCCACAGCATTTTGATCGCGATAGCATATCGCGCAGGTACGTTCCGGCAAGAAGCCAAGCTCGCCTCCTGTGTTAGCATCTTCCTCATCGACCTTATTGAACATGCTCTTGACCTTTCTCCATGCTCTTGAGAGTAGGCGTCTCCAGCGGCTGATGCCCACGAGAGGGAGCAAGAAGAGCAGAAACTCGGTAAAAGCGTGCCAGACTAGTTGTCGATTCAGATATTCGAAGCTGACTTCTCTGCTCGTTTGTGCAGATGCTGGAGAAAGTCTCAGCCGAAGCAGTCGATCTGCAAGTGTTCTGTATTTGCCATTGAACAAGAAGACCAAGAAAGATGCAAGAGCCGCCATTTCGTGCGTCATGCTGATCCATCCAGTAAGCTTGCTCAATCTCTTGACCAGCGGCGTGGGCTCCTCGTAGCCGCCTTCTTTCTCAAGGAGCCAATCTTCTAGCTTCTGCCACGAGTAGCGGCCTCCGACTGTAATGAGACCGTATGCGGCCTTCTGCCATGTTGTAGGATCCTGTCCGGAACCAGCGTGTATGCTTGAGGGTTGTGTTCTTGCGTCGACGTACTTCAAGCCTTGCAGACTGGCGCCGTAACTCGTGCCACGGTCCCAAATACTAAGCTTCCATAGTATGGCTCGAAGAATTGCACCAATCTCCGAAGACCATTCATCTGCAATGTGACCTCCGAAGTATTTCAAGGCATCGCCAACTTGGCCGCGCAAGAGTTGTAGAAGCTCCTCGTCAAGCAATTCTGCATCGACCTGGCCAACGCGAAAGTACGGAGTAGATGCTTGAGGAGGATTGTGTCTGAACGTGGTCCAAGTTGAGAAAGTGGAGGAAGCGATCGAGCGTAGACCAGGCGGTAGGTTCAGCAGCGCAGGTGGCAGGGTTGGTGGAGAGGGCGGTGGTGTTGGACGAGCTGCAGCTGCGCGCCGTGCGAGTACACGCGCCTGAGCGGCAGCAAAGTCTGGAGAGGTCATAGCGATTGGAGATTGAACATTGTTGGTGTCAAGGAGTATATACCAGAATAACTAGACGCGACACGGCGCCAACATGTGATGGAGCTCTATCTTACCGAGGCTCGCAGCTTTTTACCCGATGTCGACCGACAACTCACCTGTTCAGCTTCCTTCCTCCTAACGTTGCGATCAAGTCCAACACGAGACGTCGCAGACTAAATCCGTTCAGAAAGTCTTCTACCGGTTCGTATGGTGATCGAGCAGGTGTTCAAGAATTCGGTGCCTAAAGACGACTTCCGCTGGTCAATGTTATACATACCCACGCGTACCTGACCTTGCGAGCACCTGGCAGAAGCATGCGACCATGTTTTCTGAAGCAGCAGGAACGAATATATGGCACTGCCAATCTACACAATATTGAACCATGATCGCACGCTCGTCATGAAGCTTCTTCTCTGTTGTAATCCTTTGTCTCATCGTTGCACCAGCCTCAAACCTTCAGTCATGAGTAAAGAGCACGACGACGGCTAAGGTCGATCATGAGGCCAGGCCGCGCCTTGGCACACCCGTCGACTCCTTCCAAGCCACCTCGTTCGCTCGCGTCCTCTTCTCTTTATCTCGTTGCCCCTGCATATATCAATAGTCTGATCCTGCATGCACAATCCTATGAATCGTTACTGAAGATCCCCAGTCCCTTCTCCTTCCACGAAGCGAGCACGTGCCATGGTTCATAGACCGCTCCTGATAGCATGTCTCCTCGCATCTAGTGCTGGCAGCGTCTGGTCCCAGCCATGGACTATGCAACCAGATCTAGTTGATTCGAATCAGCAGTTAGCGATAAATGCCGAGTCCACGATATCTGGTGGGCTGGAAAGCTCACATGGAAAGAATATATTCCGGCATATGATAGAAGCCCTGGATGTTATACAATCACAATACTTTGAATTATGGATTGGAACGTGGCCTTCAGCTATTGACTGGACAGGGGCAGTGATAAACACTGCTCTTTCGTCTACACTCGGAACCATTGCTCGAGCAAGCAGTGAGACAGACGATGATGACTACTCGAAGATAATCAACAAGTACTTCTCCCACAACGCAGCTTACTACTTTGGAGAAGACGCCTTCAGTATTCGGAACGAAGCCTATGATGATATCTTGTGGACGGTTCTGGAGTGGCTCGAGAATATCAAAACCATCGAATACCGAAATAGTACAGAGCCCTCATGGCATGGCGTCCAATTCATCCCTGGCTTCNNCAGTCACCGAGCGCGACTGTTCTGGGATCTTGCTTCCAAAGGTTGGGATAACGACTTATGTGGAGGTGGGATGATCTGGAATCCAAGACTTCTGCCATACAAGAACACGATCACGAATCAGCTGTTCATTTCAGCTTCAGTCGCCATGTACCTCTCTTCTCCTGGAGACTCTATCGACTTTCCTTTCTTGACTTCTGATGAACAAGTTTTTGGCTCTATGCCAGGACGTCCGCATGATCCGAAGTATCTCAAAGCTGCAATTGAGGGCTACTCGTGGCTCAAGAAGAGCAACATGACCAACGAATTTGGCTTGTATGTTGACGGCTATCATATCAAAAGCTACAGCCAAAACGGAAGCATCGGCACAGGCAAATGTGACGACCGCAATGAGATGGTTTATACCTACAATCAAGGCGTCATTCTGTCCGGCCTACGAGGTCTATGGGAAGCAACTGGAAACACAAGCTACCTACACGATGGCTACAATCTCATCCGTAACGTCATGGCATCCACCGGCTGGTCCTGGTCCGGAGAGCCACACTCTCCAATCCACAAATCTTCCAGCTGGGCCGGACTAGGTCAATACGGAATCCTAGAGGAACTATGCGACCGAAGCGGCTCCTGCAGTCAAGACTCTCAAACCTTCAAGGGCATTTTCTTCCAGCACTTGACGCAATTTTGTGAGCCTTTGCCGTTGAAACCCAAGAATCCTGGTAAGACGCACGCAGCAAGTAAATTGCTTAGAGAAAAGCACAGTGACTTCTGCAGGACGGTGGGGCTTTGGGCTACACACAATGCAGAAGCGGCTTTAAGCACCAGAGACGGAACCGGCCTTTTCGGTACCTGGTGGGGATATAGATATGCGGCCAAAGACTACCCACAAAGCCTTCCTGCCCACGCAGTCGACTATCGCAACGATGCATCAGTCTTGACCACCACCAAATGGACGCAATCGGGAAATTTGCACTCAGCCGCTGGTTCTGGTAGCCAAGCAGCGAAAAGCAAAGAAGATGTTTCGACAGCAGATGTCAACGATCGTGGCAGAGGTCGGACGGTGGAAACGCAACAAGGAGGCCTTGCCGTCTTGAGGTCATCTTGGGAGTTACTCAACTCAGGCAGATTCTAGAAGGAACAGAACACATTTTGCAGAATTGCGCTGGTAGCATTTCTTAGGGCTTGTGTTGCGGTTACGATTTCTTTGGAGGTTTCACGTTCGTGTTTGGATATATGACGATTACAACGACTTTGTTTATCTGAATTGTTTCTGGTCTTTTCTTTCAGTTATCGAGTAGTTGTGCCAGATGGAAAGCCAGTGGAAGGCATGGTGCAACTGTCGACACGCAGTCACCTTGTCAATCGAAACAGGGAAAGCAACATATTGAAAGAGCTTTCCTTCTTGGATAGCAATGCTCATTCGTGCTTCTAAACCATGATTGTCTTTGCCCTTTGTTCTCTCTGCGTTCAAGTGAGATGCTTTCAACCTTCCTCTTTCTCCCAGATCGCTCACATGATGCCCAAAGCACCGAAAGCAGCAACAACATCCTTGTCAACGTTGACCAGCCACTCATTCTGGAAAGCCTCCTGTCCACCGGCAGCTTGGATAGCAAGTTGCAGATAATGCTTGATCCACTGCGTGGTCCTTACGTTATGCACTGGGTCCGCAAATGTCAATGCTCTTCTCCTTTCGTCTTCGGGTGCTTCGATGACACCGGCTTCGGTGTTTCTCAATTGATCGGGGTTATCGTAGACTAGAGTGTCTGAGTCGACTGCACCGCCTTCTTCGCGGATCTCGGTCACCATATCTGTCCAGAGGGTCATAAGAGATTGGAGAGAGCCGAGGATGAATGGCTGGGAGGTTGACAGCAGTTTTGTCAGAGCGAGACACATGAGTTTGCGGCGGGATGGGTCGCCAATGTTCTCAAAGTGACTGAACCATTCTTCGAGCAGCCACTTCATCGAGTCATGAAGAGAAGGCTGGTTGGTGGTGTCGCTGAGTGGGATGGGCGGTGCAGCGGCTTGCACTGCTTGCAAGAATGTATTCTCTGAGCCCATTGCGAGGCGCGCAAGTACGGAGAAGTAGTCTGTTTCAACTATGCCGTCGACCGGTGGCTCTTTTGCGAGCGGGCCGGTGGTGCAGTGTGCAATCCAGCTACCATGTAGACCTCTGAGTTGCTTGCGAAGGAAATCGGACTCGATGAGATCGGCAGCGATAGTGCTGATGGCAGATTCGCCACCAATGCGTTCAGCTGATCTAATGATCAGCTCGACGAGGTTGTTTACAGTCCCGCTAGCATCAGCTTTGACGTAGCCCACAAGGTTAGATAGAGATGCCATCAATGGCTTGCGCATCTCGTCGGAGAGCATCTCCGTAGGAGCGAGGAAGAGATATGATGAGGTGATATCGAGAGCTGTGCGCAGGTTTTCTGATCCAAGGTCAAAGATCGAAAAGAGATATGGTGCCAGCTGTAGTAGTTCTGGCGACGCTGGGGCTGGTGTCTGAATCAGTATGTTCGCCCATAGGTCCAAGGCATCGTCAAGCAGGTAGACTTGAGTGTCTGATCCAGGCTCCACAGCACCCTTGATGATGGGCAACACAAGATGATGGAAAGGCACCGAAGCGGCCTTCATAGAAGTAACAAGACGGGAGAGGATGGTCAAAATTGCCTGCTTCATAAGATGCACGTCGCCGGACTGTTCCCAGAGGTTGGGCAGAATGCTGATGATAGTCTCTGCGTATGGNNTGCAATCTACTGATTGTTAGTCCAAGATCATCTTTGGCTTGTACTTCACACTTACATGATGTTCCAATCGTTCAACCAGAATACTAATCGTGTTGAGCAACGCCATCTTCGTCTCCATATTGTCAACCTCTTCAATCAAACTCAGCAGCTGTGACATCGTGGTTTGAACATAAGGCAGGAACTGCTCTGGACTGAACTCCCAGTCATCTACTATATTCTTGAGTTGTCGTCCGGCAGTGATTCTGACAACCTGATCATTGCAGGAGTCACTTGAGTCGAGCAGGTGCTGGAAGATTTTGTAGACAAGGGGTCTGTTTTCTGCAGACACTTTGACGGTGATCCATTGGCCCAAGAGGATAGCAATACGACGGCGCAGAATGTTGAATCCAGGTTTCTGTTTCTGTACTTCGACCACAATTGTGTTAGACAGGAACGAGTCGAAGTCGAGATGCTGCTGCAGGACTGCGGCAGCCAACCCGATCGCTGTGTATACCGAGTCCTTGAACAGGACGTCCTCATTGTCTGGCGCNNTACGGTTCTGTCAGCAATTTGTTCCGAGGAAGGTCCAACATCGTATAGGTGATTTACCTGCAACCGTGTAGAAAACGTTAAGTAGCGGCTGAACCAACAGATCTCTGAAGTTGAGAGCGAGATCCAGGAACAACTTCTCAGCGCAGGCTCGAACGCTGTACTCCCATCCTTCGCTTTCGCCCTCCAAACTTTGCTCCCATTCTTCAGGGTCTTCCTCCCATTCTTGCAGTTCGCCTTGGCGGAAGACGAAGAACTTGGTCACAACAACTTCCATAACTTCGGTGACAAAGGCATTTGTCAGGAGTTGCTCCTTGACAGCCGCAATTGCCTCTGCCTTTTCAATCTTGTCTTGCGGATGCTTGTATTTGAATGATTGTACAGGGTTGAAGACCATCTTGATACAGGCACGAACAAGCTTGAGACTCGAAAGGGAGACTTTCTCCTGGTGCTCGCCATCAATTCCACCAGACGGATCAGAGGTCAAACTAGAACCGAAAGTTTCTCCAAACTGCTTGACGAGGGCCCAATATGAGCCGACAAGATCAGTAGAATTTGGTAAGAGCACAAAGGCTGCAGGATGGTTCTTGGCCATTTCCAGATGTAGTTTCGCTAGCTGAAGCAAATGCTTTTCGAGCGGCACCTTAAGCGCATCGGGAAGAGTGGCTCCTTGCGCAGATATGATGTTCATGAAAGTGCCGACTTGAGCGTAGGTAAGCTGCCAGAACTGATGCACATCTGACTCTCGGTTAGGAAATTCATAGCCAGCAACGAGCAACCTGCGCAGAGTTTTGATGGCCAACAAGCTAGAGTGCATTGTCTGTTGCAATGTCTCTTGATCACCGTTGCCGCTGCTCAAAGCCTCCTGCCAGGACTGTACTTNTTCGAGATAGATCTGTCCGAGCACTTGTACAATCTCAGGTGTAGCAGCTTGTAGAGCGACTCTCGATCTCTGAAGACGAGCAGCGGAGAGCTCCTTGACGATATAGAGAAGGATGAGCAATGTGTTGGGGAGGTAAATAGGATTAGCGGTCGGTTCTGCATATCGTAGTGTACCAATCAGTGTGCTGATCACATCTGGNNCCTTCGTATAATGAGTATCGAATAACAGCAAGCAGCAGGATGCTTCTTACCAATCGTGTGGGTATTCGAATCGAGCGACTTTAGCAACGACGAGGGCGTTTTGTAGCGCTAAGCGGTGGTCATGTTCTTCGATACCACTCTCGAGTAGGCGAGATCTAATCACCGCTCTATCTTCCGCTGAGACAGCACNTGGAGGAAAATCAGTATGTGTGAGAAGAGACTCATGTCCAGAACCATCTAAATTCTTGGCATGTAGAAGTAGAAAGAACCGGTCATGAGAAGGCACCACTCACTTTGCAGCGGTCTTGCGCCAGTACTTCTCGATACCGTTTTTGAGCTGGATGATGGCCAGATACCTGATCTCGAATGGTAATGAATAGTCGACGAATACACTCTGTAGGTGTTTATAGTAGCCGGAGGCTTTCTCCCATCGTTCAAGTTGTTTGGCGCCTGACTGAACTTGCTGAGGATCTGATGATGCTGCAGACCTTAGAACGTTGAGTAGAGTATGCTCGTTTAGAGGATTGGCTTCACCCGGCACCTCGATGGCAAACTTCTGCATCGTGGTGCTGTTGGTGGGTGAAGATGAGATGCTGTTGAAATCACTTCCAGTTGGAATCCTGCTTTCGGTGATTCGTCGAACACGCCAGGATAATATGTAAGTTGAAGATTGTCTGAGATGTGTTTTTGTCTTTGGATGGATGCTGAATGCTTTCGTTTGTTCACGGGTTGGCTGGTCGGATGTTTGCATGTGAGCCAAGACTTTTGGCAAGACTGTTTTATGTCAAGCTTTTGTCTATGCAAGGTCGCAGCATTATTCGAGACCAACAATATCGACATCAACTGAAGCGACTATAACATGTTCAATATGTCTTTTACAATTCAAGCATATTTCATTCATAGTGTGTGGGAGAATGGTGCTTCGAAGTTGGGTTGAGTCACTGTGATGTTTGTTTCTATGTAACACATCTCATGTCGGCATACAAAGAAGCATCTCACACTTCCAGAGTCTTCTCATGTTCCAAAACTTCTGGCATATCAATGCTTCCGGGAGAAATTTTGCTCCAATCCTCTTGATAACCCTTCTCGATGTGAGGCCAAGGGCCTAATGGTGTGATTGCCTTGGGATTGATGTCATAGTGGCTTTTGGTGTNACTGTGAATTTGTGAATCAGCATGTGTCTCGAGTCTACATGTCGGATGACCAACGTTCTCCTTGATGTGTTTGAAATCTGTAGTGTTTCTGAACTCCTCGTGATTCCAGTACATGCCCTTGAGCCAGTTGTTTAAGACTGGATAGTCATGGCGGATGGTACCAAGGTTGCATTTNNCTACCGTAAGTCAGCTCTGTCTGGACATGTTCAAGGATATACCACCCACGAAATGCTGTACATAGACAGTATCAAAGCGAATCAGAGTAGCGTATAGGCGAACATCCAGCTCGGTCATCTCTTTACCAAGAACGTAAGGACCCTTGCCATCATAAAGTAGTTTCTCGAGCTTGTTGAGAGCGCCAAACACTGGCGGGAGGTTCTTGTTGTAGGTTTCTTGGTCAGGCGCGAATCCAGCCTTGTAGACACCAGTATTCAGATCTGATTGCATCCACTCTGAGATCCTGTCGATTTTCTGGCGCAAGTGCTCCGGATACAGATTAAGCTTTGCCTTCTCAGGTGAGATCAGGTCATCAAATGCAGTCTGGAGCCAGCGTAGGAGTTCTGCTGATTNCCTGTTTTGATCGTCAGCACTTCAATTGAATGAATTCAACCAAGGTAGCGTCCTGAATCATACATTGTTAACCGCGGTATTTGTCTTCTTGTCCCATAGAAGAGGTACAGAGTAGCGACCCTTGTAGTCCTTGTCGGCCTTGAAATAGGCCTCGTGCAGGTATTTGGAGCCAAACAGCTTATCTATAGTAGCGTTTGGATACTCATCGTTCGATGCAGGAAACTGCCAGCCAGGCCAACCTTTTTCATCACCTTTGGGATAAGGCTTGACGATACTGACATCGATAATGTCTTGCAGACCCTTGAGATGACGCACCAGGTTTGCGCGATGAGCAAACGGGCAGAACAGGCCGACATACATGTGGTACCGCCCTGTCTCTGGCTGGAATGGGTTATTTGGCGATTTGTCAATCACGCCGTGCCAGCTGTCGTCTGGTCCGGCATGAACTGACTTGGGTATTTCTGTGGCCATAGTTAGAACACTGGATGGGGAAAAGATGTTTGAGATCGCCGTCAGTCGTCTTACAGGACTCAACATAGACTCGGGCAAGAAGTATATCAGGATGGAGATGGACGTGAACAAGAGAAGTGATCTGAGGTGGGTCAGCATGGCACACGGAGTAGCATAGATGTCAATTTGTGGAAACATACGATTCAGCTCTTCAAGTAATTACTGTTCTTCAAGTACGATTTGTAACAAGATTTTGCTGTTATCAGATTATCTGTAGGAAAATGTTGTTCTTTAAGGGCGATTTATAATGAAGCAGTTCGAATGGCTGGCGATTGGATGACGCAGGGCGGGATGATGCGGAAAGCTACCGCAGCCTATTGAGGCCATGAACACACGAGGACAGCACCTCAACTCAATAAGTCCTTGACATCAACGTGCTAGTACCTCTCGTGATAGAACGTTTTGAAATTAAAAGGAAACACTTTTCTCGTCTAGATAGGTATTCTATGCATACAGAGGAGCACGACTATTGCGTCTTCTTGGCCTTAGACTCATCAGGCTTGCTGTAGAGCCAGACAGCGACAAAGATCAGCCAGCCAGTGGCTGTGACGCCGATACCAGCGATCCAGGGGTAGGCACCGCTGATCACGAAACTGCGCGGCCACTCGTCGTGAGCAAAGTGGCGGACGGTGACGGTGCGCTTCTCGTAGACGTTGCTTAGGAAAGGACGCTTGTAGTTGACAATGAAGTTGAAGATACCATGCTGGTCGGGCACGGTGAAACTGGTGCTGAAGATGGTGCTGTTGGTAGTTGGGGAGACGGGCTCCAGGGTCAAACGGTGGAAGGGNNGAGACAGCATGCTGAATTCAAGCTGAAGAGAGTCTCCAGCAGCAGGAAGGAACGGAATCCAACGGTCGCCATTGTACTCCGACAGTTCAATCGAGAAGTGCTAGACGGATGTTAGCAAAAGACAGACGAAAGTCGAAGACATTACACTTACGACATCGTTCTTGATTCTGTACATGATAGGGTTGATCTCGGGGAACTCAGAGACAGTCAAGTTGGTAGACTCTGTGACTTTGCCCTCGTTGAGGTAGTGCTGGACCTTGCCAACCTTGAGCACACCGATCTCTTGGAAAGTCCAGGCAGACAAACGCTCAGCAAAGGCCTTGTTGGAGGTGCTAGTGGCCTCGGGAGCACGAGGAGCCTTGACCTGAGCATCGAACCAAGCATCTTGCAACATCTCGGCAGAGCCGAGAATAGTGAAGCGAGCCGAGTTTCTTGCCTGGAAAGTCGAGACAAGCGATAGCTGAGAACCAGAAGCAAAGACGTCCTCGAGAGCCTCCTCCTCCTTGGGGTTGTACGAGTATGCAGTCTCGGGAGCGCGCAGAACAGGAGCAAGCAGGGGGCTGGCGTTGCCCAGAAGCTGGCCGACGGCGCGAGGGACAGCAAGGGTTCCGTCAACATCAAAGTAGTTCTTGACGCCGGTCTTCAGGGTCTTGGGGGCAGGAATGAGGAGAACATCGTGGTTATCGGCGGCCGAGTTGGTGTCATAGTTGATGTGGTCGACGACAAGGGCGCTACGCTCTGGGGGAAGNNGGGTGACATCGAACTCGAGAAGGAGGGAAGCGACAGCAGCAGGAATGGGCTGATCGGCAGTGAGAGCGAGCAGAACGTTGCCGTTATTGTTAACGTAGTCGACCAGGATGTTGGGAGTCAATTGAGGACCGAAGCCCTTGGACTTGGGAGGCAGGAGGACAAGATGGTCGTATGCGAGGTTGCCATGCTTGAACAGCGAGAGGGTCTTGGACTTTGGTGATTCGTATGTGACGCTGTAACCGCGNNGGCTTGTTGCGACTCGGTCAGTCCAGGTCTTCACAGAAGATATAAGTAAAGACAACTCACATTCCAGATCGCCAAAGAAGGACGAATACTTGGACTTGTCAGCGGCTTCCTCGAGGACTACCAGCAGACGGTTGCCTGTAGAACTCAATGCCTGGACTAAGCTGACGAGGCCCAGCAGCAGCAAAGACAAGAAGGCCTTCATGTTTGCTATGTCTCAATTGAACAGAGAAAGAGCATACACGACGGATAACCACACACGAAGCTCCAGCTGTCCTCCGTCCTCATTACGCGCAATGCTCGGATGCGGAGAGCTGCCAGCGCCAAGCCTGCCGTCCGCTCAAGTCGCGCCATGACCACCTTCGCCGGCCGACCAGACCATGAGCGAAGCAAGCAATTGACGACGACCTGTATACCGTCAATCCCACACAACCCATACACACACAATGGCTCCCGTACAATTCTGGTCGACCCCTGGTCTCTACGTCAAGTGGGCTGCCCGCAACAAGCCCGCCATCTTCTGGTCCATTGTCGTCGGCAGCGTCGGTCCCGTCATGGCTCTCGTCGTCCCTCCCATGCGCGCTCGTTTCGGCGACGGTCCTCGTCCTCAGATCCCTCTGACCTANCCCGAGTAAGTCCCCCTGATCCTCTCGCTTCGAACAATCGCCTTTGAAGCTCTCAGCACATGGCTCGATTGCGCCTTAATCATCCCGACTAACACACCATTCACAGTACCCAAGGGCCCTCGCAACCCTCCTTCCGGCTACGAAGACTAAACTCATCGCAATCTCCTCATATATCCAATCTCCCAACAACCCGCCAACCCCACTCCGATACATGTACATATGCAGCGGCTATGAAATCATCCTCCGCCCTGTTTGTACACCATTTCCACTATCACGAGGCTCATCTAGACAAGCCCTTCAACCGGAGTCTCGGGAACAATCAGTTGGCCCTTTTCACTCTTCCAGCACTTTGTCGTTTTACGAATGCCAAAAATATACCAGCCAGAGGCTCTTTTTTTACTGTTATCTCGTGTGCCAGAGCCTTGTTCATGTGTCGGACTTGTCACTTTTGCACTTTTCGACGTTCTCATAACTTAGCACGGCAGCAGCAAATGCGTTTGGGGCTTATCTGGGAAGAAATGGTCTGGATAATGAAAGACTGGTTACTGTTAGTGCTGACTGTGGAGATGTACTGGGGTAATGTATGCAATTCCTGAGGCTGCAATCAGCCCTCCTGCAAAAGGTGTGTGTCTTTGCGTCGCCAGCATGTAAGTTTTTTCTGCATTCTGTTCCAAGTTCTCGGTTTCCATGATCCTTCTCCCAATTTACCAGTCTGTTGTTGTCTTGCTTTGAAATCGTCGATTTGGCATCTTCTTCAAACTTTTATTCTCTCTCCAGTCTTATCCACCCGCCGAAAATCATCGCGAGAAGCTCAAACCTCTTCGTCCTCGGCGTCTACGTCGTCATCGTAGTAGTAGTCGAGCTCTTCTTCTTCCTCTTCAAATGGCTCGATGGCACGTTCCTTTCCTTTAGCTCTGCGGACTGGTCCGTCCGAGGGTCCGGCTTCAGCGAAAGCTTCGTCAGCACGTCTCTTACCCTTGGCTTTTGCTGAGACTGGCTGAGCTTCGAACTCCTCTTCAGCACCCTGCTCAGTCTCCTGTTCAGGCTCCTCCTCAGGCTCGACTTCAGGATCCCAGAGGTAATCGGCACCGGTGACGATGGTGCAAGTCAGCCACTTGACCGGGAACCTAGTGATGTCGAGCTGACTCTCGTTCTTCATCAGAGGAGTCACGATCTGGGTGACACCAGCCTTGATGATGTCAATGTTGTTCTGCAGGACCTTCTGGCCCTTGGAGCTCATGGGAAAGTGCTGGTGGAAACCACTCTGGACCTCGCGGTTCAGGTAGCTCTGGCCACCGTCGAAGAGGCGGGTGTAAACATCATGGCCGCCAAACTTGTTGTTGTGCGTGGCATCCTATAAAGGAGTTAGCAGGGTGCCATCGTCAAAGTAAGGGTGGAAATTAACCCCGGCAATCATCTGACCCCACCAGTGACGGTAGAGAGCAACACCAACCCAAGTGAAAACGTCCTTGGCATAGTCGATTCTGCCAATAGGGTCGGTCTTGGCCTGACCAGTGACAGAAGACTTCTGGATGCCTGGAGGGTAGTGAGTGCTGACGCTTCTCTCGACAGTCTGGCAGATCTGCTTCAACGTGGTGTGCTTGCGCTCGAGGAGGTCGCGGAGTTTAGGGCTGAGTTGATCGAGGATGGAGCGTGCTCTAGGATATCTCTTAACGAATCCATCGTCAGGGGGTGTGGTGATCAAGGTATTGTACTTTCCAGTAAGGTGAATGAGCGCTTCCTTGAAGAGCACCTTGGACTGAATACGAAAGGCGACATCGATCCAGATCACAGGGCTGGCTGAGATGGCTTGGAAGATGTCCTGACCCTTGGCAAGTAAGTGGTTCTCGATGATCTTTGCGATCATGGACANCCTACAATCACGGTCAGCATGTTCTTATCATACCAGCAAGCAACCTACAGCGTCGAGCCTCTCGGCAACTTCGATCAGACCCATGGAGTCAGGCAGCAAGGTATCAATATTCTTGTCGTCCAGAGTAACAGGCTGGTTAGCAAACGTACGCAACAATCTGTCATAATCAGAGAACAAAGAAGTGCGGAAACGAGGGCTTCTATCGCTCTCATGCATCAAGCTGTACTTCTTCTGAGCACGGCCATTGTTGTCGATAGGAATGCGTCTGAAGACAGGGTGGATGGGTCTGTTGGTGGCTTCGTCGAAGTCTTGAAGGACCAGCAGGTAACGAAGGCCAGCACGAACACCCTCGCGGGACAAGGCAGGTCCGGCGATGCTGAGTAGGTCGGCGAAGCAGCCGCTGGCTTGGACAAGTTGGGTTGAGTGCATCTTGTATCTGCGTTCAGTGGACACCAAAATGATGGTGTCGCCCGAGGGGACTTCGATCTTGAAGGACATCTTGAGTAGTCGCGTAAGATCGCTAGGATGGTCGCGTAAGGTTGATGCGTAAGGTTGCGGATGTCTAGGTCTGAAGGTTGTAAGTCGCAACTCAAGGTCGTAAGTCGCCAACCGTAAGTCGCCAGTCGTAAGTCGCCAGTCGTAGGGCGAGAGTCGTAGATCGAAAATCGGGGACCGTAAGCACTGAAGCGGGACTTACGAGACGCGCAGTGAAACAGATTGACTTCTAGAGGTACGCGCGGTGGAGAGGTCCTACGGAGCGCGCGTAGTGAAAGTGTGAAAGGAGCGCGGTGAAGCACCTCGTAGGATTGTTTATATCAACAACAAAACACGCTGGGTACGCTTTCACTCACGCTAGTATGCCAAAGTCATGCGGATCTTCTCAAAGCACTTTACGGTCTTGTTATTTGTCTCGAAACCTACGTGTGAAAGAGCTTTGTCCGCCGTAACTTTTGCTTGTCAACCCGCAAGTCGTAGTTAGTTTATCTCACTCTACTCACATTCACAACTACGCTGCTACATGGCACCATAACTGCCTATACCTACATCTTTCTAGAGTATAAGCGGCTGAACTCTCTAAGGCATCTGGTCGGACCTACGATCAAACTAACGAATGGTCCTAGGCCTACAAGCAGCTCTACGGGCTCTACACCACCGATATTTCCCTAAATTTACAACTATCAATAAAGTCTTAGAGAATCTCCGTCCTCGAGAGTCGAACCCTTGACCTACCTCTCGTAAACAAAAATTTGGGGCATAGCCCCGCTACTCCCGACTTCGAAAAGCAGGCGGTCTCCCACTACGCCAAACTCACGTTTGTGTCTCTCAAGTGGGATGTGAGAAGGTCAACTTTCAGAGTATATAAGGGTAGGTGGATGAAGTGAGCTGTCTGCATGTGATCATCTTACCACTAAGGTTCTTAGGAGTGCCATACGAACAGGTCTACAGACACACCTAAGAACAGATTTACGAACGCCCACAGTTTGTAGACTTAGGGATAGCTTAGCTCTTTCTGTCCAGCTCGTGTGGAGCTGTATAAGTGCGCAGTACTCTCAGAAAACATGGCAGATCCACTAAGATTTTTTATCTCATCAACTCTCAATGGATACGTTCCTAACTCAGAAACATTTGTGTATTCTGAGGGGTGTTGTATTCCCCTGCGTTGAATTGGGGAGACGGAGCAAGGCTCGACGACAGCCGTCAACTTAGCTGGCTCTCCTTGGACAGCATCTCAGAATTGGGAATGTTCATGCATTGTCTTGAGGTTCGGAATTGGTGTGCTTCGCAGCGAGAAGTGGGTCATGGCCCCAGGACCTCGATATCTGGAAAGTGGCAGGTAGAGTCGGCGACTATACTTTGGAGTGATATAGTATAGGGTCCGGAACGAAAGGCGTCGTCAGAGCGCAAAATCATCAATCTCATTCTTCCAAAACAGTCTCTCTGAAAAGAATTCGTCCAGTCCAATCGATCGCACAACAAACCTTGACATGAAGAGAAGAGAGCCAAGAGCGCATGCGGTTGATGTTGACGCGAAAGAAAGGACGCGATGTCGGCTGCAGCACGACTAGTACCAAGAGGGCAGCTCGCCCTTGTTTGTGCCGGCCGCGAGTAGATACAGAACATTTTAAACTAAGTTCAAAACGCAACGAGCTGCTACAGTCGTGGCCACGAACCTCTTAAAGACAGATCTGCCTGGCTCTTGCTGGCCGTTAACAAAACTCAGATGCTTTTCTGGACTTCAGCCCTTCACTCTGCATGGCAAGCACGTGGGTTTATCTATGGCCAACGATAAGCAAAGAGGCGATCCCCGTCATACAACCACCGCCGCCTGCACGTCGAGAGTCTGTGCAAGAGGGCAAAGAACATGTTGAGAGGAAATCGTCGTGATAAGAAGGTGGATGGGAACCCTCCGTGCAGGTAGGTAGCATCAACCAGTCAGTTCCTTCTCTCCGGTGCTGGCTTGATAGGCCAAACACGCTTCCGTTCTGAGAAGCATCATTTCAATTGTTCCTTCCTCCGTTTCACAAATCCGTTCTTTCAAACTGCACCTTCTTTCATTGACCTTTCATCATGCGTGTCGGAAACAGTGTTTGGGCTTCAGCCCTCCTGGCTCTCAGCACTCCAATCCTGGCTTGTGAGAGCTGTGAGCACCCAGAGCGAGATGTGGTCATGACAAGAAACGTTCGGCGCATGCAACCAGATGCTCAGAACACTACTGTCGAACCTCGTGGCCCATTGGCATGGGGTCAGCTCAACGTACTGCACACTACCGATACCCACGGCTGGCTCGAGGGTCACATCAGAGAGCAAAACTACGGTGCAGACTGGGGTGACTATGTCTCTTTCGTCAAGCACATGAGACAGAAGGCAAGGGATCTGGACGTCGATCTTCTGGTGGTTGACACTGGCGTAAGTTCTGGCTCAGACGTGGCAATGAAGTGGACTCACCAGTTCTAGGATCTTCACGATGGTGCAGGTCTCAGTGATGCTACTGGAGTTGCCACCTACAGTGGTGTTAACGGGCAATTGTCAAACCCGATTTTCGAGCAGCTGGACTACGACCTGCTGACTATCGGAAACCACGAGCTCTATGTCTCTGCAATTGCCTATGAGACCTTCAATCAGTTTGCCAAAGCATATGGTGAAAGATACTTGACTAGCAACGTCCAAATCAGAAACCCAAGCACCGGCGAGCTCGAGTACGTTGGCAAGAAGTATAGATACTTCAGAACCCAGAAGGGCCTCAGGATCATGGCTTTTGGTGTCCTATTCGATTTCACTGGTAACTCCAATGCTTCGTTCGTCACCAAAGCCGCTGATATGGTCAAGGAGTCTTGGTTCGTTGATGCTGTCAACCACAAGAACGTGGATGCCTTTGTCTTGATTGGCCATAACCCTGTCGGTCTGAAGAGCAGCACTAACACTCTGCAAACCGTCTACAAGGCTATTCGTGCCATCAAGCCCGACACGCCTATTCAGATGTTCGGTGGCCACACTCACATCCGCGACTTTGCAGTTTACGATGACAAATCCGTCGGCTTGGAGAGTGGAAGATATTGCGAAACACTGGGCTGGCTGGCCGTGAGCGGCATCAACCCACACGGCAAGGCTAATCCTAAGGGAGTGCCTAACCCAACAATGAAGGCACAGAAGAATGGGACAACTCCGACTTCTTCTAGCCTTGCTTCTTCTACCAGTGCTTCGAGCATGAGATTCTTCCGACGCTATCTGGATTGGAACCGCATGACGTTCGAGTACCATGCTGAAGGTAGCCAGGCCAAAGCATTTGACACTACCAAGGGCCTCGCCGTAACCAAGAACATCACTGCCACTCGCAAGGAGTTGAACTTGACCAGCATTTACGGCTGCGCTCCCCAGACATGGTGTCTCTCTTGTGCACCATTCAAGTCAGAAGGCTCCATCTACTCTCTTCTCGATACCGCGCTTTCGGCTACCATTGTTACCAAGGAGCGTGCCGACAAGCCTCGTCTCATTGTTACCAACACTGGCCACATCAGGTTCGATCTAGCCGAGGGAACATTCGACTACGATTCGAGCTTCATCGTCTCACCCTTCACCGACGCTTTCCAGTACCTTCCTGATGTCCCCTACCACCTCGCCAGCCAAGTCCTCGAGGGTCTGGAGAGTGGCAACTACCCATCCAAGCGCGATCTGTCCTCTGCAGATTTCGGATTCACTCAAATGAACCCCTCGCTCGACAGCTGCATCGACCCTCCCGTGACTCACGACCACCTCGTTACCAAGCGCTCCTACCCAGGTGGCCGCATCATCAGACGCCAGACAACCACTACCCCTGGCTACACGACCACTGACGATTTTGGCACTGACGGAGACGACACCATCCACTCAAAGATCCCTTACTACTCATACCCCAACTTCTTCCAATCCAACGGCAGTCTTCCCGCTAACGGAACACTCACTGCTGACGCCCCTGTCGATCTGATCTTCTTGGACTACATTGCTGGCAGTGTTGTCAAGGTTCTGAATGGGCTCGGTGGAAACTACACTAATGACGAAGTCACTTACTACTCTGCCCAAGGTAGGACATTCCTGCTGTATCATTTAACGAAGAGATTAGAATGCTGACCAAGTGCAAAACAGAACTTCACAACCAACTCGTACTTGCCCAAGTACGCACAAATGTCTTCTGAATGGCAAGCTAATGTGCCCCACTGCCCTGTTGGTTTGGGAATCGGTTACAACATCACCTCATAAACCACGTAGAACATCCCGCGAAACATGCATGAGAGATAGATTCTTGGAAGAAACGATTTTTGGAAACTCTCAAGATAAAAAGTCACCTTGTAGTATAGAAAGAAGAATTGTACATATTTTGGACCAATAAGAACAACGGTTTGGTGAATATCAGGGATCGACATGTGCAACGAGATTTTTTATTCCTTCTTGTCATGCTGCTGAGGGTGCGACCCTGGCTGTATTTGTCTACTCATGACTACTCCACGACTAGGTAGGTTTCATCTTTATACCTCTGCAGGATTTTTACGTTTCTATAGCTGGATCAACAAGAAAACAAAAGCTCTATGGCTTGTACCGATGTGCGCGTCTCCAATGAGAAGATGGGAGCAACGGCATTACTTAGATTCGTCAAGACATACAGACACGCACGCAGTCACTCTTCAATGGCCCATTTCAATAGAAGGCAGATACAACAAGTATGAGAATGCAATAACCTGACTCGTTCCATGTTCATATTCTAAATCAACAAGAACGCTATACCTGCTTTTCCGTGTCCTTTTGTAATGTATGTCTCTCCTAACCAAAAAGCCTCAAAGAGAAAGAGAACCAGACATGAGATCCGTAAACCAATGGTATCAGAGGTACATTTAGTCCTCAGTCAAGTCACCATACTCCCACTGACCAAGTCTACGCTCCTTGGCTTCGGCCTCACGGGCCTGGAGATCGGCAAGCACGTCTCCGGCAGCTCTCTCCCAAGCCTTGAGCTTCTTGGGCACCATGGCGAAACCTTCGGAGATGATGTCGGCGTTGACGCTCTCGTTCAAGCTGTCGCTCTGCTTAGGATCGAACAGGGTGACGTAGAGTGTGTTCTCGCGAGAGTCAATGTAATCGACATTGGCGACCAATTGGCGGTCGGCGGTGCAATCGCTGATGATGTTGACGGCTTCGCGGAGGTATTCGGGGGCGGTGGGGAATTGGAGGAAGGAGAGGACGGCATCTTGGGCTTGAGCGCGCAGCTNTTGCACACCGAAGCGGGTGGGATCGAGGGCGCGAAGGCGCGACCAGGGGATTGTTTCGGAGTTACCGTAATCGATGTAGACGACCTCGGAGGTCTTGTTCTCGCGGTCGTTGCGGCGGATACGGGCGCGGTACCATTCGTTGTCTTCGCTAAACCTAGCAGACACGAAGTCGCCGGCCTTAGGTGCTTGCTCGAGGGGTTTGTTGGCTGAGGATGAAATGTGGAAGGAGCGGAAGGAGTTCATGAGGTCGGTCACTGGCCAAGAGTTAGTACATATGTCGTGGACAAAGGATGGTTCGACTTACANGGCTGCTGTGCCAGTTCCGATCTCTTGAATCTTGATGCGTGCGTTGGTAGAGTCAATGTTAGTCACGACAACGTCGCGGTAGTCCTTACGACGCTCGGCAGGAGCATCACCATTCAGACCAGCAGCACCAGCAGAAGCATCATACTCCTCGCCCTCCTCAGCAGCCTCCTTCGAAGGGTCCCAGTCGTGCCACATGCCACGTCTGGCCTCCTNTGCCCTTTGCTCGGCAGCGAAGAGCTCATTTGCGTTGCCAGACTTCTCTGCACTGTAGGCGTGAACCGAAGCAAGACCCTCCTCAACGAGCAGCTTAGCGAAGCTCTCACGATTGACGTATAGCTGACCGATGAAGCCTCCAACCTTGTCAGTGCCTTCAACGTCGATTTCGACATCGCGTTGCTGGCATCTGCGGTTTGCAAATTCGTGTGCCTCTTGACCGAAAGGCTCACCCTTCTCGTTGGGGTTGCGAGCTGAGCGAGGTGCACTGATACCGGACAGGACAAAAGTGAGCTTGGCATTCTCGCGAGGTACCAGGACGGTGAATCTGCTTCCACTCTTGACAAAGTCGACAACAGCAGGAACCTTTCTTTGGCGAGACAGAAGGGTGAGCTGACGCTTAGCCTGATCAACGGAAGCACTGTAGTCGACGTATTCGGTCTTCTTAGGGGGCTTAGGGTTCCACATGCCCTTTCCAGCGCTTTGTGCAGCCTCCTCGGCGGCAAGGAGGTCGTCGTAGATAGGCGAACGGTCGGTATCATCCATGCGGTGTCTGATGACTGAGGCGTATCCTTGCTCAACGAGCATAAGACTCACGTTCTCGTCGTTGAGAGTGACAGTGGCCATCTCACGCTCATCGAAGCCTTCAGTAGCCGGTCGCTTGCCGTCAATGGTGACCTTGACGTGCTTTCCGATCAAACGCTTACGCAGGAACTCCTTGGCCTCAGCACCAAATGGTGACTGCTTGGGGTCTGAAGGCTTGGGTTGACGAACACTGCTGAGGTTGACGCGCTTCTCAGCTCCAGCCTTGTTGCGCAGGTAAAGAGTATCGGCAGAGAAGACGCGGCTGACTGTGGCTTCAATTTGGCCTGTGCCGGCCGACCTTTGCGAGACGTGACCTTCGAAAAGACCCAGCTTGTTATCCCGGGCATAGCGTTCGGCCTGTCTGAGCTTGGCCATCTCAGGACCAAGCCATGTCGAGTGATGATCAGTGCAGCGAGCGAGACCGGCCTTCAGGAGGAATTCAGCAATGCTGCCCATGGGGTGTCTGACTTCTCCGACCAGAAGGTTGTTGGGCGAAACACCAAGGACGCGGATTTGGACACCACGCTGCAGCAGTCTCTCCTCGACGAAGCGGTGTGCTTCGGTACCGAAAGGCTCTGCGGGTTGCTCTGATTGATCTGAAGGGTTGATTCGCTTAGTAGCAGGGGCGCGGACACCAGCAAGCAAGACGATTGTTTGAGTGTGCTTTGTGGGCTGAACCAGCAGGCGACAGATGAGGCGGTCTGCACTCAGGACACGTTCGACAACAGCGTCAATGGGTTGACCCTTGTAAGCTTCGGAGAAGGCCTTTGGGTCTGACAGGTCGTGAACGTTGTCGATACGTTGTAGGTCGGGGTTCCAGAGGCCCTTCTCGTCGACCTTGGCGTGGCTCTCGAGAGCTTGCAACCTCTCGAGCAACTCGGTGCCTTGTGGTGTGTCCTCCTNTTTGCCAGCATCATCTCTCAACTTGACCAAGCCCTCACGTACGACGAGATCGAGCAGATGTTGGCCGCTTTGCAGGATGATAACACCGTAGTCGCGAGGTGAAGGCGTGGGAATGTTGTAGAGAACGCTGAATCGAACAACCTTGCCAACGCAAAGCTTGCGAACAAAGTCTCTGGACTCGAAAGCACCAGGCTCATCGCCCTCTCTGCGTATCCTAGGAGCGCTGACAAAGGCCAAGCTCAGGGTGCGTTCTTGAGAAGGGTTCTTGATGTTGTGTAGAACAAGCGTGTCGCCGGAGAGCACGCTCTTGACCTTAGCTTCCATAAGAGCCATGATGGAGTGGTGACGGTTGATAGCGAAGACGAAGAAAGTAGGACTGTCGATGAATTGAATCAGTTGATGTCTTGGAAAAGATAGAGTGGCAAGTCCAGAGGGGTGGTGTGGGCTGTGGCCAGGGCTTCGAGGGGTCTCGTGCTCACCAATGGATGGGGTGGGGTGATTGCAGCAGCAAAATGCAATCTAGAACAGGTCAATGCCGTTTCTCAAGGTCGAGTCTGGCAGAAGAGTAGTTTTACAGGACGAGGCAGTTGCTCTGAAAACAAAAAGCAGTGATATAGGACTGCAAGGGTTCAGGGAGGTCGAGAAACATAGAGACAGCTGGCGGATGTGGGGTGAGAGCTCCTCCGACAAAGTCAGTGCGCCGCCAAAGTCAGTGCCCCTTCATCTTTGCTGTTCGCTGCCCTTCGATTCATTCTGCTGTTGTAGGAAGAGCCCGCAATTTGAATTGACAGAATTGCTTCGAGCAAGATGATATATATGTTTGTGTGGTCGTCGCTAGTGGGAGACGTGTTACAGGATTTCATACAAACGTGTCAAACGCAACACCAAGTATGAAGTTGCATGGTCACCACAAGAAGTCCACGCTTTCGCCATGTTTGTCTAGGCACATATCACCATGAAAAGTATAGTAACATGTTCTATATTCATAGTTTCTTTGGCTTGATCGTCAACTGTACATTCCAAAGGCACATCTCGTCGATGGCCATTCCAATACTACTACTCATTCCTCATCTTCAAGACATTAAACGTGAATAGCTTACGAGGCGATACCAATGACACCTGTGCGCAAGATCAGTATCATGGCGATTCGTGGAGCATATTGAGTGTTAAAGAAGCTTACCGCAAGCAGGGCGAGGGCCGGCGTTACCAGTCTTCTTGCTCTCCTCGTGGCCACCCTTGCCAAGGTCGTCAGTGCCAGCGTGGACAACGATGGTGCGGCCGAGGACGCTCTCGGGGCCGATCAGCTTGATGAGCTTGTCGGTGACGGAACCCTTGGCGTTGCCCTGGCCATCGGTCTTGAAGTTGCCCAAGTCACCAACGTGGCGCTCATCGTCCTCGGGGGCACCGTGGGTCTTGCCGTGAGGGTTGACTGCCATTGTATGAGCGTTTGTTTCTTTTTAGTACTATGGCGATGAGTAAGGAACTCACANGTGAGGGCCGGCGGAAGTGCAGCCGTTGGTGTTGTCACCGAAGGCGTGGACGTGCATACCACGCTCAGCGTTGGCATCGTGGCCGGTGATGTCCCAGGAGATGGTGGTATCGGCACCCTCAGAGGCCTGCTCAAAGGTAACGGTACCGGAGACCTTAGAGTCTCCACGGAGGACGGCAACTGCAAGTCCTGCTGTTAGCTTCTACTGACGAACATCGTGCAGTACACAAGGAGTTCCATGTCCTGATCTGTCAAGTCCGTTGGCTACCAAGCTCGAGGGAGCAGAGGCACAGGTTCTATAGTAATGTCCTACAGCCTCCTTGAATACATTGGATAGCCGTTGGCTCTCAAGGCCACCTTGGTGGACAGGATGTGCGTGTAACCTGCTCTTCCTCTTTGCCCGACCCCACTTTTGCTTCCGGAAGCTTGAAACAGGTCTTTGATTGAATGGAACTCCTCTTTGTGTGGCTTAACGTACCTGCTTTGACCATTTTGATTGATTTAGACGTGTGTTTTGAGCTTTGTCTAAGAGTTGGGTTGATTCGAAGAGAGGCGGAGTTGGGAGTGAACGTCAAAGGTCCGGCGAAGGAAGAGCCCCGCTCTGCGGATCAGCGAGCTCTACGGACTTTACAGCGCCTAATCCCGTGATTCGTCAGGCTTCGTTCAACTTCTGCCTCTTGGTGCAAGTCTACGTCAGCCAAACAAAACAAATGACACGGAAATTTTGCGGCAGAGGCGCCATTATTGGTTGAGTGTAATAGGACAAGCCATAATTGCATGTCATATCACAGGGAAGGAAACATCAAAGTGATAAGAACGACAACAGGGGTATTTTATTTTTGTTGTACGTGAAAAGAAAAGTCATGTCGCGGCAGTCGTCATATGCACATCGCCCAAACCATCATCAAATTAAGTAATTTAAGCCTTCTGGAGCTTCTCCTTGAGGATGTCTTTGAGGGTGACAGCGTCAGCAGCGAACTTGCTGATACCCTCGCTGAGCTTGTGGACGGCCATGGGGTCCTCGTTGAAGTCGAAGCGGAAAGCGGGCTCGTCGTGGAGGTACGACTTCTTCTCGAGGTCGAGCTTGGAAGCTTCGGAAGCGATGAGCTTCTGGGGAACCTCGTCCTTGCTGTTGTAAAGCTCCTCGAGGAGGTTGGNGCTGCGGGCTTTGTTAGAATGTGAAGTCGTAACATTTTGACGATTCTGATAACTTACGGAGATAGTGAGGTAGTCGCAGCCAGCGAGCTCGGTGATCTCACCAATGTTTCTGAAGGAAGCACCCATGACGATGGTCTTGTAGCCGAACTTCTTGTAGTAGTTGTAGATCTCAACAACGGACTTGACACCAGGGTCCTCCTCCTTCTTGTACTCCTTCTTGTGGTTGGCCTTGTACCAGTCAAGGATACGGCCAACGAAGGGAGAGATGAGGAAAGCACCGGCCTCAGCGGCAGCGATGGCCTGGACAGGCGAGAACATAAGAGTCAAGTTGGTGTTGATGTCGTACTTGGACTGCAGGATGTGAGCAGCCTTGATACCCTCGTAGGTCGAGGCAATCTTGATGAGGATGCGGTCCTTGGAGATACCGGCCTCCTTGTAGAGCTGTTGCAAAGATTAGTTGTGCCCAAACGATGGAATCTACGCTGTGATGCAACGCACCTCGATGATACGGAGAGCCTTCTTGACACTGGCATCGGTGTCGAAGGAGAATCTAGCGTCAACCTCGGTGGAGACCTTGCCAGGAACGATCTGGAGGATCTCCTTGCCGAATTGGACAAGGAGAGCGTCAAGGACAGCATCAACCTGGTCGTCGATGCTCTTGCCATCGGCGTGCTCCTTTCCGTAGGCGACAGCGTTGTCAATAAGCTTGGCATATTCAGCCTTCTTAGAGGCTGCCAGGATCAGGGAAGGGTTGGTGGTAGCATCCTGAGGCTTGTACTTGTCAATGGTAGCAAAGTCACCAGAGTCGCAGACGACAACNNCTTGAAAAGGTGTTAGCAATACATCGGCATTTGACCCCTCCATAGGGGCATGGAATGAGATGTGAGAACGTACGGTGCCGGAGGCCTTGAGCTGGTCGAGAGAGCTGGACATGATGATTTGTGAGTGAGGAGAATTGGATGTGTAGAGAAAGTAGAGATGTGTGTAGGAAAGAGGTTCAGGTTTCAATTGTTGTTGGGAGAAATAAAAGCTCCCAGCGAGCCCCGCGCTTATGTCAATCGTAACCCGACTCTCACCAAAAGGCCAGCGAGCGCAAGGGTCCCTCCAAAGCACCCGCCACCGTAGTTCCGTCACTTTCTGCCAGCGTTCCAGTTCTTCCGAGCCCCTTCACTTCACGTGGGTAGAGGCTAAATACGCCGAGCGCTCCGACACTTGAGTTTCGCGTCTCGCATTTCCTTGAAGATCGCCCGCCGGAACCGCTTGCCTGACTCACAAAACCGTTGCTGTAGCACGTCTTTGCTCGAGCGTGTTCTTGGAGGCCACTGTAACGCCGAGCAGGGAGCGGTGACCGACATCATCGCACGATGACGAAAGGCCCTCATCAAGAAAATACGAGCACTTGCAAACAATTGGACGCTCTTCGCAGAGAATGCATTTTCAGAGGCAAGGACTTTTCTTTCTTCTATCTGAATATGGCTAGGCCCTGGCATCGGTGTTCAATCCTTATCGGACCACTTGCTCCCGATTAATCATTTCAGCCGGTACAGCGGGCTTTGGCAGAGAGGCTGCGAGGCACTCAGCTTAGCCGGCCGGTCGAGCGTCCATCTCCGCTCGGCTTCTGCAATCTGCAATTATGCTGCTTGCTTCTCCGCGCTCTTTCTTTCGGTCTTCCATCTGACAAACTTCTATGATTTTTCAGAGCCGCTGATTCCATGTCGTTGATGGGAAGCGCTCTTTACACGTATGAAATCTGACAAGCAGTCAGGCACCATCAAGTATTTCAGGACCGCTACACGCAGTCGTGATTGTGCTGTAAAGTATGTTGTTCGCCCCAGCGATCTCGCAAGCGGGCAACAGAAACATCAGGTCAGCAGCCTGTTGAGATCGAGGTCTCGATTGCTGGACCGTCTAATTCAAACCAAGTATGTTTGAGGGATCTCCAAGGAAATCTCTCCGATACTGGGCCACGCGTGTAGCAACAGCTTCGGTGGCCAAATTTCCGTCATCTCTCATCTGTTGTAGGATGTCTCTCAAGCCTCGTTTGTATTCGGCGTTCTTGCCAGGATTGCCATTCAGGCCCATCTGAAGGAGAAGAGTATCATCTGCAATGTCAGTGTCCTAAGTCAGCTACCGCACCACAGAATCAGAATGTGTCATAGAGATATCATGGACCATGCCGCACACAGTATGCGTGGTCGCCGATTGGAAACAGCTGGTCGGAAGAATGTAGGAATGAATGCATGAACAAAGGAAAATCAGAAGGTTCCGCCCTCAGACGCACCAGAAACGCCCATGTCGCGGAAATGTTGGTAGTCACACGAACTATCGTTGCAAACACCAGATGCAACTTCATAACGGCACAGTTCCTTGTTGGGATCGATTTGATGACTGTAAGTCAACGAACGATACCCACCCTCTANCTCATGAGGATAATCAGGATGGTAACGATATCCTTTGAAGTTCTTGAGTAGACTTTCGTATGGTTTGAAGTTCGTGCTGGCAGGTGAGGCAGTGTTGACCTGTACTGTTGTCAGCACACGCTGACTTCTGTTGGTAGAACTTACCGCTTCAGAAAGACTGGTTTGTTGCTCGGCAGTTGGCTGCAACTCAGGTGCTAGATCGTCAGCAAGATTTTGTGTGTTGGTATCGCTGGACCGAGATAGAGGAAGCGAAGAAACAGGCACAGCAGCAGGCTCTGGGGAATACTCTTCAGAAGATGCGTCCGAGGACTCGAGGTCCATTCGATCTCCATCCTCATCTTCATCAGCTGAGGCATCTGAAGCCGATGCCTCATCCACCGATGTACTAGCGAGGGCGTCCTCCTTCTGCTCGATAGAGGTAGCTGCGACGTTGTCTACGTCATCGTCACTCTCGTCATCGGAATCTGAAGAAATGTCCATCTCATCATCACTGCTACTGTCAGACGATTCCAAGCTTGGTACAGGCGAAGGTGAGGGCGATAGCTTGGGCTCGAATTTCGACATCTGGATAGAGACTTTGCGGTTCTGTAGCTGACGCCCACTCAGCTGATCAATCGCAGTAACAGCTTGTGAGANGGNGAGCTCAACAAAGCCGGAGCCTGTGCCTTGGTCGCGAGTAGGGTGTCGTGGAAGATGGGTGCGCTNTGCTGATATTTGTTTACGTCAGCTTGAATACACCAAAGTTGCTCCAGCTTGTTAGACTTACACATCGAAAGCATCAAAGAAAGAGCGCACAAGATCCTTAGTCGCTGTGAAGGGTATGTTCCTGATGAATAACCATACCAGTTTGTCCTGTGAATCAGCGACTTCAGGCTCAGCGCTTGCAGACTTGCTAACGCTTTTGATAACTTCAGAACCGGATTCAACACTAGCAGATGCATCTGTTACCACCTTGTTGGGTTGCAGGTGTTCGTCTTCGTCCTCGTCGTCCTCTGATTCCGAACTCTCAGACATGCTCGAGCCTGAATCGGAATCTGAGCTGTCCTCAGAAGTCTGAGTTTTCATCTGCTCTGCTTTGGCACGATCGGCACGAATGTCGTCAAGAACTCTTGCACGGCCAGGGCTTGAGGTTGTTGCATCTCTGTGTGTCCGAGGAGATTGAACAACAGCATCTGACTGATGCCTTGCAACTGGATTGTCTGACGAGCTGTCAGATTCGCTCTCACTCATGGAAACATCCGAGTCTTCGGTCTGCGTCGATCCCGTGGTCGGTAAGATATCGTCTCCTACACGGTCTGTGTCATGAAGATTCTCGATCTCCTGCTTCTTGGCCTTCATTTCAGCTTGTGTCATCCCTTCAGTATTGACGTCCAGACTCTCGAGTTCTTCACGAAGCTTCCGCTGGTTCTCCATATCTTGATCGTACTGCTTCTGCATATCGGCCATCTGTTTTTGCATCTCCAGGATTTTAGCCTTCTGATTGTCGATATCGGCGTTGCGGGCTGACAAAGCAGCCTTGAGTTCAGTGCGTCGATCGGCCGGTTCCTTGGATCGGCTTGTGGCTGGTGAAGGCGCATGTGATGTTGCAGCACCAGAAGCAGGAAGCGCAGGGGTTTCTCCAGAGGGTGTTACAATCTGAGAAGGAGTTTGAGGCTGGCTCTTGGTGAGACTGGCCTTCGCCTTGAGCGCAGCTTTGCGTTTCTCGTACTCTTGTATTCTCTGATTAAGAGATGTAATTTCCAATTCTTTTCTTCTGAGCTCTTCGGCATCACTCGATGCTCCGGGAGTACCGANGGGCGGTGTGAAGACACCCGACTGCTTGTGAAATGCTGCCGAGCGTTGAGGGAAGTCCCTGAGTGGAGGCAAATCACGAATGTTCTTGTCACGTTGGCCAACAGGAACCGCGCTGGTCTTGACGAAGGGCTTTGCACTGCTCAGCTCATCATGCTCATCATCAGACATGTCTTCATCATCGCTGACCTGAATGATCATTCCTGCATCGAAACTGTTCTTCCTGCTTTGTCCGAACGGCCTTTTAAAAGGATGATGATCAGCAACAACTTGGGCTTCGTTGAGATCCGATGCTACAGGGCGCTTTCTAGCCATAGAAACGGCCGACCTGACGGCAGGCTGGGGGTGGAATCTTTCGAAGAGCCTGCTGAGGCACTGGAATTTGATGGGCCAGTTTGAGATTGATGCTGCGGTTGTGGAGAATTTGCCATCGAGGTNCGACATGCGTAAACCAGGTATCATGCTTGCGGTCGCCAATTGAGAAGATGCTAGTGAATTTTTGTTTGCGGACAGACCCGGTGTAAAACCAGTTTGGGACTGCGCAGCGACATTTGTTTTGGACGATGAACCGGGCGGAGAGGCAGTGGAAGTATTCGTGTTGTTGGCCAAACGGCGTTGTGTGGCCTTCAGAGCCTCCATCTNTTTACGAATCAACTCAGTAGTTTGTGACTGTTTGTTGTTCGTTGCAGTCGGTTGAGCGGCGGGTTTCTGGGCCTCTTCAGGTTTAGGTTGCGATTGAACAGGAAGCACGACTGGTGGAGGTGCAACTTCATTTTCGACGACAGGAGGCGTTGCGGATTCTGCAGACACAGCGGGTTGCTTCGACTGGACAGCTTCGGCTTTCTTGTTCTTTGCAGCTTGTAAACGTGCCAGGTAGTCCTGACGGGTCATAGGCGGTGCTTGTTTAACAGGAACAATGGGCTTAGACTCCTTGACAGAAGGAACAACAGAAGACGGAGTGGGCGCAGCGCTTGTCACCTTCGCAGCTACGGTCTCTGTAACTGGTACCTGTGCACTAGACACTGGGGGCGAGACTATGGGGATTTGCAAGTCTTGATAGACCTGACGAAGTAGATTCTCCTCAAAACCTTCGCGGACAAATTCATCGAAGGTGAAACCTTCTTGGTGAAGTGCAGCGATGAAAGGCAAAGCGGCTTCCCTTTTCTGTTGGATTGAGCCGTGACTTACATCTGACTTGTTCTTTGTGGGACTTGACGATGGATTGGGCTGGATAGCTGTGCGGTGGGCCAACTGAGAAGTACGCGATTTGCGCTTCTTAGAGGACGGCGCAGACGGTGCATGATTGACGTGTTGTGAGGCATCGCTAACCTCACCCTCCTCGCGATCAACATCCATGTGTGAAGGCACAGCGGTTGGCGGCAAGACGCTTTGACCGACAGCAGTCTGTGGTGGCACGGGAGGTTGAAAAGGTACAGGTGCGAAAGGTGCAGCCGATTGGTGGTAAGCCTGCGGTAGTGGAGGCGGCGGCGGCGGCGGCGGAGGAGGAAAAGGAAAAGTGCCAGCTTGAAGGTGAGTCAAGAGCGCAGCCATCTGCTGAGGAGTGATATTCAAAGCCTGCAGCTCTGGCGGTAAAGCCATGGTCTGTCCTGCGGTCGATGGAGGAAGAGGGGTGGTGGTGGATAGCCTGGAGGNGTGCGCAGACGGCGACCCAGCAGCGGGAGGCCATGGAGGATAGTGCGCCATGTGGTGCGCGTTGCTGTGTCGCGAGCGAACCAAGTGCGAAGTCGTAAGTCTAGGAAAGCGCGATGATGCTCACACGGAAAGGCAGGGGGCACGAAATGTGCGCCTGACGCGACGACGGTCTCTTCTTATCCAAGCGCGCCTGAAGCAACGACTATACAATCGAGCGAGGCGAGTGTAGTGCCTGTCTGCGAAAGTGACGACGCTGCGACTTGTCAAACGACAATTTACTCGTAGCAAGAAAGTGTCGGAAGACCAGACTTGCAGTTCGACAGTGCCGGAGGACGGAGTTTGGCAAAACGGCCCGTCGAAAGCTGAAAGTGCAGGCTTTGGGCAGGCACGGCAGGGCAGCTGGTGGGTGAGCGGGTTGAAACAAGGCGGCCCGCGATTGACGCTAACGATAAACAGACCTTTGTTGATAAACACCTGCATGAGCTAAACGACAACAGCCCTTCGCATCGCGACCAACGCCTTGGGAATATCCTACTTGTTGCAGGCCGTCTCCTATACCGCCAGCAGCGCCCGTCTGTACATAATATCCTATCCCCTGGAAATGCCGCTCTAGAGCCTGTCACTGCTCAATACACACGCCCACACGCCCACACGCCCACACGCCCACATGCCATCCTAGAAACCACCCATACTTTCGCAACTACTAACCTAACAGTGAACATCCCACATGGCTATAGCCACTCCTACGGGGAGCCAACGCTGGCGTGATACCCCTCATACTGCTGCCAATGCCACACCTTCTCCCGGTCCGCCTCCTGGACATGCTCGAAGTCGCTCCTCCGTCTTACCGCCTCCCATGTCTCCGCCAACAACCAACGGACATGCACGTCACCAGTCTTTTGCAGAGCTCGGCTTTGGCTCTCTAGAACGTGGACTGTCACGGCGAGGTTCAATACGGCCACCACCGACAGGCACCTTTGCTCCGAAGTTCATCAAAGCCGAGGGTCTTGATGGCGCCCAAGAAAAAGTTGGAGGCATAGAGGGCGAGAACGACTTCTCGGGCAAACGCTATGTCTGGGTTAAGGATGCTGAACAAGCCTTTGTCCGGGGCTGGGTTATTGAGGACTTGGCCGATGGTCAACTACGAGTCCAATGTGACGATGGGAGCGTATGTCACACCTTTGCCGTCCTCAAGGGATCCCTGCTGACATTTTGAAGCAACGCGATGTAGACTCCGAGTCTGTCGACAAGGTCAATCCTGCCAAATTCGACAAGGCCGACGATATGGCCGAACTCACCCACTTGAACGAAGCCTCGGTCGTGCACAACCTGCACATGCGATACCAAGCCGATCTTATTTATACCTACTCTGGACTTTTCTTGGTCACAGTCAACCCATACTGTCCTCTCCCCATCTACGGCCGGGACTATGTCAACATGTACAAAGGCAGAAGTCGCGAAGACACAAAACCACATATCTTTGCTATGGCCGACGAAGCCTTCCGGAATCTCGTTGACGAGGGCACCAACCAGAGTATCCTTGTCACGGGTGAATCTGGTGCAGGAAAAACAGAAAACACAAAGAAAGTAATCCAATATCTCGCTGCGGTGGCTACATCAGACACTCCTCGCGCTAAGAACACCACGAGACAACCATCCAACTTGTCCGAGCAAATCCTGAGAGCCAATCCTATTCTCGAAGCCTTTGGTAACGCTCAGACTGTTCGAAACAACAACTCGTCACGTTTTGGCAAGTTTATTCGTATCGCCTTCACCCGAGCTGGCCAGATCGCGGGCGCATTCATCGACTGGTATCTGCTCGAGAAGAGTAGGGTAGTGCGTCTGAATTCTCAAGAACGCAGCTACCACATTTTCTACCAGCTCCTTGCTGGTGTTGATGACGCGGCTCGTGGTGAGTTTTTGCTAGAAGGCATGGAACTTGAAGACTTCGAGTACACCAGGCAAGGTAACGATGTCATCTCTGGTGTCTCAGATAAGGACGAATGGAATTATCTGTTGGAAGCCTTCCATATCATGGGTTTCGACGACAAAGATCAGAAGTCGATTCTGCAAACTGTGGCTGCCATTCTCCACCTTGGTAACATCACCGTTGCAAAGGAAAGCATGCGTGCAGACCAGGCGTCCTTAGCGGCCAATGCCATGGAGAGTGTCGAGAAGTTCTGCCGACTGGTCGGTATTCCTGTTGAACCCTTTGTCGAAGGTTTACTACATCCTCGTGTCAAGGCTGGCAGAGAATGGGTCAAGAAAGTCCAAACACCAGAACAGGTTCGCCTAGCGATCGATGCGCTGGCCAAGGGTATCTACGAACGTGGATTTGGCAACCTTGTAGACCGCATCAACAAACAACTGGACCGATCTGGATCTGGTATGGACGACACATACTTCATCGGTGTTTTGGATATCGCCGGTTTCGAAATCTTTGAAGAAAACAGCTTCGAGCAGTTGTGCATCAACTACACCAACGAAAAGTTGCAGCAGTTCTTCAACCACCACATGTTCGTCTTGGAACAGGAAGAGTACGCTCGAGAGCAGATCGAGTGGAAGTTCATCGATTTTGGCAAGGACTTGCAACCCACCATCGAGCTCATCGAAGTGACCAATCCTATTGGTATCTTCTCTTGCTTAGACGAAGACTCCGTTATGCCGAAGGCCACCGACAAGTCGTTTACCGAGAAGCTGAACTTTCTTTGGGATCGCAAATCGTCGAAGTATCGCAGATCGCTTCTCAAGCAGGGTTTCACGTTGACACATTACGCTGCTGATGTAGAGTATTCTACTGAAGGCTGGCTAGAGAAGAACAAAGATCCTATGAACGATAACGTGACTCGACTTCTCGCTGCCTCTACGAACAAGCATGTCTCTCATCTGTTCGCTGATTGTCAGGACAACGATGAGGACACAGGTGCAACCAGAAATCGAGTCAAAAGGGGCTCTTCAGAACAGTTGCGCAGAGGCACAAGGAGAACTTGTCAACGCTGATGAATCAACTTCACTCAACTCACCCCCACTTCGTCAGATGTATTCTTCCCAACCACAAAAAGCGCCCGAAACAATTCAGTGCCCCACTCGTTCTCGACCAACTCCGCTGCAATGGTGTGCTAGAAGGTATCCGTATTGCGAGAACCGGATTTCCCAACAGACTGCCCTTCGCCGAGTTCCGTTCACGTTATGAAGTCCTTTGCACAAAGATGCCTAAGGGCCCGCTCGAAGGTCAAGTTGCAGCCAAACTGATCCTCGAAAAGCTGAATCTGGACCCGTCCTGGTATCGCGTGGGTCTCACAAAGGTGTTCTTTAGAGCTGGGGTTCTTGCCGAGCTGGAGGAACAACGTGATGCGCTCATTCGCGAGATCATAGAACGATTCCAGTCCGTCGCGCGAGGTTATGTTCAGAGGCGTATTGCACACAAGAGACTATACCGCGCTGAGGCCACCCGTATCATCCAGAACAATTTCAAGGCATACCAGCAGATGCAGGCCAACCCATGGTGGAATCTTTTCGTGACCATGAGACCGCTCCTTGGAGCCACTCGCCAGTCAAATGAGGTCAAGAAGCGTGAGGAAGAAATTCTGAAGCTGCAGGAGAAGATGAGGCAAGAGGAAGAAGCAAGACTAAAGATCGAAGATGAACGCAGGCGCGCGGAATCCGAGATCCAAAAGATCCAGCAAACACTTGAGAGCGAGAGATCTCTTGCGCTCGACAAGGAAGACATCTTCCGAAGGTTGCAAGATAGAGAGTCTGAACTGAGCGAGAAACTTCACGGTGCTTTGGAAGATCAGGAAAGGCTAGAAGATCAACTAGAGGCACTCATTGAGGCCAAGAAGAGGGCAGAGGATCAAGCAGATGAGTGGCACCGACAAGTGGAGCAAGCGACCTTGATCATCACCAAACTGGAAGGCGAGAAGACCGAGCTGAACTCTCGAATCACTGCCCTGGATACTCAGCTTGTTGAAGTCGAACAGTCTCGCTCACAGACTACTGAACTGGAAGAGAAGCTTGGTCAAGAGATCAAGATGCTACAGAGCCACGTAAGTCTCAAGGACCGCAAGCTCCAGGATCTGGAGGCCAAAATGCTCGAGAACGACCATGAACTTGATCTCAAGCTTTCCAATGCCAACAAAGACGCCCAAGAATCGAAGAAGAAGATCAAAGATCTTGTGGATGAGAACCGCTCAATCCGCCAACAGATGTCTGAACTCGCCTCCACTTCGACCAGCTACGAGGATTTGATCCGCCGCAAAGATAGTGAACTAGCTATCCTGAAAACGGATCTCAAAAGGTTCCAAGACGATCGAAAGCGATTTGAGCAAGAAAAACAAATGCTGACAAGCCAACACAATGACATCCAGAGTCAGTTACGGGGTACTTTGGCTGAGATGGAGGCCATGACTTCACAAAAGGCCCAGCTTGAGCGCGAAGTCGCAGACGCTAAAAGAGCTTTGGAAGACAAGACATCAGCAGACACTCAAGCTGAGATGTTGGAGAAGCAAATCGAAGATCTCAAGAGCGAACTTTTCGAAGTGCAGACCGACTTGAGCCGCGAGCGTCAATCGCGTGACGATGTCAAGAAGATTGCTCAGAGTGAGTATGAGAGTCTCAGACGAGAGTTTGACGCCCTCAATGACTCCAAAGTTACGATTGAGAAGGAAATGTATGCTCAGTCAGACGTGACACGCAGAACAAATGAAGCTCGCGCCGCTGCAGAGAAGGAGCGTAAGGACTATCAGACTGAGCTCCAAACCCTGCGAAAGCAGTTCCTTGACCTTCAAGAATCCAAGATCGAAGCTGAAGCCGCAGTCGAGCGCAATGTGACACGTCAAGCCAACGAGCGACAGGCTTTGCTTCGACGCGACTTGCAAAACATGGAAAGAAAGGTCGAGGATCTTGAGGCAGATAAAAGCAAAATGGCGGTAGAAGTGCAAAGATTGAAGGACTTCATCTCCGGCAACGATTCGTTCCGTCTCCACCAAGATCAACACAAGGAACGTCTCGAACGTGAGTTGGTTACCATCAAGGGTCGTCTGACGGCATCTGAGAACGACAACCGTGTTCTACTCAACAAGGTCCAGCAAAGAACTTGGATATTGCCCGATCAAATTCTCGTGCTGTCGATACACAGCGTTCGAAGATCAATCAACTCACCGCCGAGAAGACGAGTGCTGAAGAGAACGCGAAGAAACTTATGCGTCAGCTTGAGGATGCACATCTAACAATCAACTCTTTGGAGAAGCAGAAGGAGAAACTTACCCTCAGTCTGGAGGATCTCAATCATGAAATCACTCGCGAGCACCGCACGACCAGGAACGCTGAGCAAGCCTCTTCAACAGTCAACCTTCAACTTGCCGAGGCGAATCGCAAACTCGAGACTGAACGACAGCTACGTACACAGGCTCAGACGAATACTCGTGCTGTACAATCCAGCCTCGACAGCGCCAACAACGAACTTTCTGAATGTCGTGAGCAACTTGCACTCCTCCAGAAGATCTTTGATCCGGATATGAAGGACCTGCCCTCCAATGTTGATGGTGTGAAACCTGATATGGCTCGCACTATCGATCTGGCAAGGAAACTGGAAGCATCTCAACAAGCTCTTCATATCGCGAACGAGAAACTCTCGCGTGCAGAAGTACAGCTGAACGATCTGCGTGCCCATCATCAGGACGAGATGCAAGAGAATGACTTCAAGCATGCCAACGCTAAGCGCGTTCTGCTAGAAGAGATGAACTCGAACCAAGTCAACGCTCGCGCCTCGCCCATCCCTATGCGTAGAGATTGGGAGTCTAGAAAGCCTTTCTCTCCCGTGCACACGCCATCTAACCAGCGCCATCTAAGCAACTACACCACAGACTCTGCACGTTCCGATCGTACCAACGACACTGCTGCCTTTAACAACCGCATGGATCTTGCAGCAGAGCTTGAGATGGTTCAGACTCAGCTACAGATGTCCGAGATGCATAACAGACATCTGGAAGCTCAAATCGGACGTAGCCCATCGAAGCAAAATTCGCAAGATGAAAGCCCCTCGCTTCGCAGAGTACAAAAGCTTTCTCTCGAGAACAGCAGATTGCATGACATGTTGGACGACTCTGCCAGAAAAGTCTCTGCTTTGGAAAGCAGCATTCGTCTTGGACAGCTCTCTCTCGGAGGTGCAAACCAAGTCCCACGAGGAGCTATTTGATCTCATCAACTCTCAAGAGCAATCACGTAAATCTCTACTTGCTTCGCACAACATAGCTATCTCCGAGCTTGCGGACGCGAAGACTGCATTTGACGAGATCAAACAGAGCAAGACTTCATCAGAGGTCGAGCTCCGTGATGTCAAATCTGAGCTTGCCGATTTGGCTTACGAGAGAGAACAAGAGGCTGCAAGCCACCAACAGCTGCTCGACGAGTTCTCTGATCTCCAAATCAGACTCGACGCAGAAACATCTAAGCTGCTTGACGTTACCTCCAGCCTTAATCTCTACCGTGCCCGAGCCGATGAGTACTTTGGTAAACTCGAGCAAGCAGAAATTGCTGTTCTAAAGGCAACCAGAGCAGAACAGTTTGCAAAGACGCAAGCTAGAGAGGTTGAAGATCAATGCGCCAACATCATGTCAGAGCGCAAGCACATGGACTCTTTGGTAGAAGACTTGCAGCGCCAGACACAGCAATATGAGGAAAGAATCGAAGACCTCTCTGCCGATCTAGACGGCGCGCTTCAAGCAAAGAAGCGTCTGCAGAACGAGCTCGAGGACTACAGATCCCAGCGCGCCATGGACATTGAAGACAAGGAGTCATCAATGGAGCAAACTCGCAAAAAGTATCAGTCAGAACTTGCCGCCGTTAGCAACGAGCTGGAGATTGAACGCGAGAATGTCATTCATGTTCGCGGAGAGAATGGCCGTCTTCGTGATGAGTTGGAGGAGTTGCGCAACAAGTGGGACGATGAAGTCTTGAACAGCTCCACCTGGGCCAAGGAAAAGTCGCGTCTTGATGTTGCTCTGCAGGACTTGTCAAACTCGCGCGATGAGGCCGTCAATGCCCACAACGAGGCTCAAAGCAAGATTGTCGATCTTCTCAGCCAAGTTCGCAGCCTTCGCACCAATGTCGACGATGTCGTTGCTGAGAGAGACATGCTCGTCAAGGAGAAAAAGGGGCTCGAGGCACGCCTTAGCGAGGCTGCCGACCGCCTCGAAGATCTCTCCCAGAACGGCTCGCCGTCTAAGCGCAATGCAGCATCTGCAGACCGCGAATTGCTTGAGCTCAAGTCGACCCTTGCTCACCAAGAAGACGTCGCCGCCGCTGCGGTCGGCAAGATGCGAAGAGCCGAAGCACTCGCCCAAGAGATCCAAAAGGACATCGTCACCGAACGCGAGAACAACGTAATCCTCCACAAAGAAAAGGCCGCACTGGAAAAGTCAATGAAAGATCTCCAGCTCAAGTGCATCGATCTAGAAACAAAGGGCTACTCGAGCGTCAGCCAGGACGTGCGTTTCCTCAACGGCCGCATCCACGAACTGGAAGCCCAACTCGAAGACCTCGAACACACACGCAACACCGAAGCCCGCAGCGTGCGCAACGTGGACCGCACAGTCCGCGACCTGCAATCCCAGATCGAGCGCAGAGACAAGAGTGTATCGCTTCTCACCGAAGACATCAACAAATCCCGCGACAAGATCTCCAACCTTCTGGCCACAATCGACGAATTGCAGGCTTCGGACTCGTCCAACCAACTCGCTGCCAAACGCGCAGAAAGAGAGTTGCGCGAGGAAAGAGAAACCAGATTGAGGCTGGAGAGGGAATTGGAAGGCATCAAAGGACTGCAGATTGAGAGAGGCAGTGTGAGGAGAAGTGTTCTTGGTAATGGTAATGGAAGCAGGAGAGGCAGTTCCATTGGGCCCTTGCCGCCTTCGCTTGAAGTGCCGCAGAGGATAAGCAGCGTTAGTAAAGGCTTCTTATAAACGGATGGGATGAGATGAGGAGCAAGGCATGAAGGGACGAAGATGGTGCAAAGACTGAGTTTCGTATTCTCTTTCTTGGGAGGCGTTTTTGATGAATCTTACGATCAAGGAAGGTGATTGGGTATTGTTCTTATCTTGTTAGTTCTGCTCACAAGAGCCTTTTTCAATGAAGTTTCATATTTCTTCAGATATGTACATGTGTCGACGTGATAGGAAGTGATGCCAGGCGATGATATTGGAAATAATTGCTACAGTAGAGGATAATGCATGCCTCAGCCCCTCCTCAACAACCACCAATAGAACAATAACGCAGGGCCACCAGCCAAACCGACTTCCCTGCCAAACCTGTCCACAAGCTTCCTCCTGAATGTCTTTGGCACCCTAGGCTTTGGTGGCTTCCTAAAGATAGGATTACCCCAATCATCACTCTCGTCATACACTTCCTCTCTGTTGTACATCTGATACTCAGGGTTATTACCATAGTATCCTGCTTTTTCTATCAGTGAGGTTCCGTTCGGTCGAGCGGTGGGAAGACCATAACCCACTGCGGGACTGACGCTGCGGGTTCTGGCATTCGTAGAGCGAGCTGAGAGTTTGCCATTCGAATGTTCGGAAGAAGACATTGAGTTTGTTGCGCCTGAGGGAGAGCGAGCGCGTGTTTTAGAGTATGAGTTTGGAGGGTTAGACGGCTCCGAGGTTGGAAGGATGTTGAAGTTCGGCTCTGAGGCTGCGGCTTCTTCGTTTCTGACCTGGACCAGGGTGTTGATGGCCAAGGCGATGAACGAGAAGGCCGCCAGGATGCCATACAGTATAAAAATGCTGAGCTGATCTGGCAAGAGACATAGGTGGGTTTGCAGTGTTGGTCCGTCGCGGAGAGATTCTCCCTTCTCATCGACTGGGTTCCAGAGACTGACTAGTTGGAAACCTGGTTTGCGAACGCCCATCGCCCAGCTTATGCTCTTGACCGTGATTTCGCGGATGCCTCTGTCGTGTCTCGAGGCATAATAAGGATGCACAACCTCACAGTAGTCGTGATCATCGCCCGAGAAGGCATGAGCAATATTGCCAATCTTCTCAGCAACTGTGGTCGAAATCTCCTGTGTCAAGACGTTCTGGTATTGATAGCCACCAGCAATACGGATGGCATTAGGCTTGTCGTGCTTAATATTCGGTGCTTTTGGTGGGTACTTTTCGCGAAGAGGACCACAAGGAGTGCCCTCTGGGCGGTACAGGGGTACATGACTAAGGAGAATAGTCGGAAACTCAGGCTTTGACTCCTTGGCTAGCTCTTCCTTGGTAGGCTGACGGCCTAGATCGCGAGGATGCGTGACTTCATGGGCCCATCTTCTGTGTGGTATCAAGCCTTGCTGCTCCTTGAGCTCTGCGCGCACAGCCTTGTATTTGAGGTGCTGGGCGTTGTCAAGAAAGTCCATGGTGGCGTTCCAAAGCTCTGGAGAGCTGTCTGGTTGACCCATGGCGCTCAAACTGACGGCGTCGATGCTGACAAAGGTGTGGTTTCCTACAACGTCTATCCTGTCACCTTCGCCAAAGTAGGCTTGGTAGCGGTTTCGAATTGGCACTTGAACACCGTTTCCGAAGCCCAAGTCGTGGTTGCCGGGTAGACTGGCGACAAACTTCTTGACCTTGTGTGCAGGTAGTCCTCCAGTAACCTGGTTTTGGGCAAAGAATATCTTGCCGAAACGGTCGTATTCGTTGAGCCAGTAGCTGTCACCATATTTCTTCCATTGCTGTTCCGAAGGGTGGAAGCCTTCGAAGTGTGTAGACCATTCTCTTCCTCCGTCAAACAAATCGCCCAAGAACAAGGTAGTGTCGGGATCGACATGGCGTTGTAGCAGATAGTAGGAACGTTTGATGTACTTGTCGGTCGCAGCGATAGTCAACGAGGAAAAGGGCCATGGTCGGCCAGGATATGTGTGTGGGTCAACGAGCTGAGGGTCGGCGATCAGTGCAATGCGGTGAGGTTGCGCATCTGAGGGCTGCATTGCCANGGATATATCAGTCTGTGGACTCGAAAGAGGACATGCGACATGGGCCAGACATACCCATTTCTCCCATGTATCCCACTTGCAGGCATCGATGCTGCTACTAAAGACACTGCGCTCGCCCCATAGCAGCACAAAGAACCACAGCAAGAAGATGGCGGTTGGTAGTCTTAGTAGACGTCGGCGGACGATGGCCAGCCTCGTCCTCGGTTTCCCTTTGGCGTCATACTGCGACTGTCGCACAAGGCGCTGCCACATGTTGGTCAAGCGGCTCTCATCTTTCGACGTCGAGTAGGACGTTGCATGTTGATAGCTCATGGTATCGGCAGGTTTGCACTCATTGTTGCGAAGCTCTTGCTGCTGCTAGAAACAGCTACTGAGACTGTTTAAACTGCCTGCCCCTTTTGACCCACGCCTGCTCCAGACACTCGTCGACCTCGGCGTCGTCAGCCCCACAAAATCTCCTCTACTATATATTTGATTGTTGCCAAATCTCTGTGGTTATTCTTTGTAATCGTTTTTGTATATTTTGATTTCGTGTGTCGAGCCGTCTACGCTAATTGCTGCGCTATACCTTTGAGCCATATTTTTCCCCAAAACGCCTTCGCTATGCTTCATCTCATCATCCGCAGAAACCATGAACCTCGCTCCCGTGCAGCTATGCGCGACGTGGCTAAGTGAAGCGGACCTTGAACTTGAAGTCGATGGTGAAAGCAGGGTCGCTAACCCCTACCTCCTGTCCATCAGACAAGAGTTCGTCCAGCTTGCGCTTCAAGTTGGGACGAGTCTGCTCCTCGAGACTGGGAGGTGCCGAGTAGTAGAGCGACTTCTCTTCAGTGCGAATCGACGGTTTCTTGAGCTGTGCCTCGGGTCTTTCGGCCAGGTGCTCAACGAAGTCCTGCAGGGTCCACTCCTTCTTAACAGGGATCTCCTTGGCCAGATTGCCGCACACTGGACAGTCGTCCTTCTTTTCGTGTTCGAATGTGTACGTGTAGATACTGTCGTCTCCACTGTACATCATGTAGTTGTTTGCGCCGGGGTTACCCAAGAATGGGTTGGTGCCAGTTGCAATTTTGAAGGCCTCGTTGCAGCATGAGGCGGCCACGATGGCATTGGTCGAGGCGATTGCAGGAATGATGTTCTTGACTACACCTTGAGTCATTGAATACGTGACACCGGGAATGTTGAACTCCTGCGCACGCTTCAGGGCCTTTGCAAACAGCCACGAGATGTGCTCTGTATCATCAGTGTCGAGAGTGATGTCNNTAACAAGGGTCAGCAATGGTACGTTGATTGCGTGCGTGTTGTTCTCAATCTTACCCTTGCGCTCTTCCTCCCAAGCAATAAGATGAGCCCACTCGATGCAGTGCTGAGGCTGACGAGGAATGGTAGCCAGAGTGCATAGTGGAACGGCAGCGCGAGGAGCGTGCATATCCAGCTGGCACTCGATACAGCTTGTGACAGTAGGAAGGATAACCCTGGACTGGCCTCTGAAACCTTCAGTACCACCGTCGATCAATGGCTTCAGGCTGTCGACATTTTCCTCGTCTACCATTCCGACCAGGGTAGCATTGATCCATCTTCTTGCTTCAATACTGTCCAGACCGCAGACAATAATGTTGAATTGGAGGTAGTAGTCCTCGTCCTTGTCCTGGATCTTGCCGCAGTAAGGGTTGATCTTGACCCCCTTGACGCGCTCTTCGACGAAGCGAGCAGCCACCTCGGCCTTGTATTTTCCAACGTCTGTCTCGCGGAAGAGGAATTGGCGGTTGAGATTGGATACGTCGATCGTGTNCTGTTTCGTCGTTCAGCACAAGGCGTAAGGAATCAAAGGGCTCGGCGTACCCATATCAATGACATCGATGTTCTTGAAACCAGAGAGGGCGAGGTTTTTGAGAATTTCGCATCCGAGGCCGCCAGCTCCNNGCTGTGAAAGGTCAGGTTGGGTATGCAAGATGAGGTTTGGACTGTACGAACATGACTCTGTCGCAAGTTAGCACTGAATGGTCCGTCAAGTGAAGCTGTTTGCGTACAAGATCTTTGCAGATTCAAGGCTCTGGATAACACGTTCGCCGGGCACAAAGTCATCGTCTGTGAAGGCTCCNNCCTTGCGAGAGAGGATTGTGTCTAGGTGCTTNNCCTGCTGCAGATTAGTCGTGAACGGATGTTGTAGACGGCATGTCTCGCACCATCTTGAGCGGTCTCCTGTCACGCCCAAAGCGATACCAGGCTGCGACGCAACTTCGGTGGCCATTTTCGAGCTGAGTAGGTTGGTTAAGGTGTTTGGATGCACGAGAGGCTGGAGACCTATGTCATTCGGCAATAGCGGCGTTAGTCAGTGCACGGCCCAAGTGCTCGCTTCGAGTTGACCCTCTTGAAGTGCTGTCTCGACCATTTACAACACCAAAGAAGTCGCAAACAAATTCGAGCCATGGGCGATTTTTTGACAGCTGTGTCAACCGTGTCACTCAGATCAAAGCCGAACGACAACAAGCTCATCATTGAAGAAGTCGTTCCAGAAAGACACAAACCTCGTGTTGCTCGAAAATCGCCTGCTTCGGCCGACGAGGCATTGCATATTCTACGTTCAAGCCCGGATGAGGATGCACTCCATGATCTTCTCTTGTTCTTGAAACAACCCTCTCAACAATCAGCTGGATTTGATATCAAAACTCCGACTCCTTCTTCAGCCAAAGTTGTAAATGAACTAATAAACACAACTTTGCCGGATTACTGGGGCAGCAATGACCAGATAAATGTCTTGATACTGCATTGTCTGCGAAGTGTAGCTGGTGTCGGTGCCATACTTGCAAAACTTCGTCTTTCAATATCGAAGCACCAATCGGCGAGCAGAGGTGTGCGAGGATTAGAATCGACACAGCCATTATCAGATCTCATATCAGTCTTGTCGCAACTACTGTGTTCAGACAATTTGGCTGAAAATGTGTATGATGATATCAACAGACTCGTTGAAAGTCAAGCGAAGCGGACACTTCTGTGGAAAGAATTTCTCACACTAGTCGGGACGGGCAAGATCATTGCATCTGCAGCAGAAGCCGAAGACACTGTGAAGTCCGCAGGAGGTCAACTCGAGCCCTCTTGGCTCTCAAATGGCTCGAAGTACTCTACATGGCTAGGAAAAAATGTCTGCACGATGTTGCAGAAACCAACAAAACACACAAGCACATACAAGGCTGCAGCTCAACTTTGTGGCAAGGCTCTCGGTATCGGTTATCCAGGTAGGAAGATATTGCCTCTCAAGGAGAATCAAGTACTAAGTATGCTTCANGTTCGAGTTGTCGAAGAAATCCATGCACATATCACATTCGTCTCGCCAAATGCAAACTCCAGGTTGCAACCAATGCTGCAAAGCTTACAAGTGCACGAGCAAAGGCAACTCCTAGACCAGACTTTCAAAGTCTTGTCAAAACAGTGCCTGCCTTTGGTGTCACCTCCAGAGTTTGACGACACTGTGACGAAGACGCCTTCTACGATCTCTGCGGCCTCAGCTGCAATTATGGAGCTGATAGGAGACAGCGAAGCCATGAGAGGCCATCTCGAGACGTGGCTGTCCGATTCAGTGCTTAATGCTTCGGAGTCGTTTGGTCTGCGTCGAGCAGCGGTCTCTGCATTTGCTCATGCAAGCAAAGGGACCACAAACATGCTTGAGGATCCTATTCAAGATCTCACGGAGAAGATTATGAAACGATTCGGTGACAACCTTTTCATCAAGCATTCGCCAATCTTACAGCAGGAGGCTTGCGCTCAAATTCTTCTCTTGCTGGCTGGTTATGCGCATCGAGCTCAGCCAATGTCTTTGTTCATCATGGCTCGCTCGAGCGCACATCTGAGCGGAATGTCAAACCGGCTGAACTCGTCTTCACCAAGGGCTCGGTTTCTTGGCATGATTGTTGGAATGGCCATATCAGATCTGGTGGACAAACCAGGATCTAAGATGAACTTCGACATCGATGACCTGAAAACAGCTGAAGGAAAGTGGTACCAACATCTCGTCAAGGTCGACGATAAGATTGGTGAGTACACAGATATCAAAGAAGTCTTCGGCGCCAACAAGGTCGCAGAAAGAGACTCTGCTACCACGTCAATGCCTCGGTCTGCGAACAAGCCGGTCCAAGCGAAGCCGAAGCCCAAACCTATCATTCAGNNGGAAGAGCCGCAGGGCCCCAGAATCATGGAAGTGCTGGACGACTCCGAGGACGATGACGATCTTGTGCCTTACGCCAAACCAGATTCTGACCCTGAAGATGAAGACGAGGATCCTACCATGATCAACCGCGACAAGCCCAAGGCTCCAGTGTACATACGCGATCTGATGGCTGGATTGAATGACTCGGAGAACTACGATCGACACAGTTTGGCCTTGAAAAATGCTGCTGCTCTGATCCGTCGCAAATCTTCGTTTGGCAAAGAAGTCAGTGATCATGCACTCGAGCTTGCATCGATTTTGGTAGGACTTGGCGACACATTCGACATGGAAGACTTCCTCGAGCTGCGTCTGCAAGCATTGATTGCGGTGCTTGTATCAAGCCCGGCACAAATGGCACCATGGTTTGCACGACAGGTCTTCGATGGAGACTACTCGCTGAGTCAGCGAACCACAGTCCTGAGCGTTCTCGGGTTGGGTGCACGAGAGCTGGCTGGCTACAAAGATGAGGACGAAGACCTAAACCCAAAGATCGCAGCAACATCATTCCCAAGCAAACAGCTTCCTGAGAGGTTGCACAAGATGTACACCGCTGAGCGCGAAGCACCAGTCGCTCGAATCGCTTTCAACCTCGAACGATCCATGATACAACCAATGGCTCTCGACGCAGCTGATAAGATGTCAGGACCCAACATCCTGAAAGTCAGAACATTCTCCTCCCGCATGGAAGTTGANAAGAAGAGGAAGAAGATTATTCCCAACGCATTAGCCAGAATTGTCGCAGAATGCTTCTTCTTCNNCCCCCTGACCGGGCGATGGTGGCAGAATCTACAGGCATATGGAGCGGAAAATGTGCATTTCCAGCCCTTCTTGCTGAGTACATATCTCAAGACTCTATCGCTGATTTTGCATGCGGCGGGATCAGGAACCATCAGTCTCCCTCAGATGACGGCAGAGTTTTGGGAGTTGATTTTGAGTGTTAGGACGAATGCGTTGGCGGATGTCAGTGTTTTGGAGGCTGTTCTCTTCGCTACTCTGACTCTTCTGGATATGAATGAGGATAAACGCAGACTGGCAGAAGAGCATTCGAAACAACTGATCGAGACTCAGGAGTGGGTTGAACTTGTGTTTGATAGAGTTGGTGGAGGTGACGAAGAGNNGGGAGAGAGGATACGCATGCTTGCTGCTAGCGTTCTGATGAAGACGAGAGAAGTGGTGGACAAGTACCAACGTTTACTCGTTGGCGACCTCGTAGACTATTGAGCAGATATGGTCTATACACTGGTAACTCAAATGTTTCAGATTTGTCCAACAACATCAATGTCGTAAGATATGCTGCCTTAAAAGGTTGAGCTAATGACTGGGCAGGGTGACACACCCGACTAGGACTTGTGTTTACGACATCATCACCTTCTAACTTCAACCACAATCACAAACCAACACACCAACATGCCTGATTCAGACGACGCTCTCCTAGCCAGACTAAACGCCCTGCGAAAGTCTCCAATCGCATTCTCCAAAACAACCTCCCTCGATCTGCCCTCAACACCACAACGAGCCACAGACTCTGACCTAACAGCGAGGTTCCGCAGCTTGACGCCCAACAGCGGTATCGCATCACCACTTCCAGACACAGGAGATACAGAACACAACGAGGAAGATGACAGAACGATTGAGGAATTGTTGCAAGATCTGGGTCCAGAGGAACAGTGGTCTGTTCAGCGTGATGAAGGCGAGAGGATTCGCGACTTGATGGCTGAAGCTAAGAGTGCTCTACCCACCGAGGATACCAAGGAAGAGGAGAACAAAGACGTGGATATTGAGGTCGGAGTTGCTGAGCCAGAGCATGTTGATGAAGATGAGGAAGAGAAGGAAACCAACCAGGACAAGAGGGATGACGAGGAAGCCGATGACTACGTGCAGCGTGTACTCGCCGAGCTCGCGTTGGAAAAGAAGTACGGCGGCTCTGAAGAAGAGGAAGAGCAAGATGAAGACAAGAAGGAAGATGATGATACTGGACTGTCTTTGCCCTCAGCGCCAACTGAGCTGCCATCGTCGCCTGCTCCCGATCAAGATGCCAATATCGATGATGCTCTCTCGGCACGTTTCGCTTCTCTGTCGCTCCCTGGAGTGCCTTCATTTAATCCGGCAAAGAAACCTGTCAACATTCAAAAGAGCGTCAAGTCAAACTTGCCCAAGTATACGGACGAAGACATGGAGAGCTGGTGCTGCATCTGCAATGAAGATGCCACTGTAAAGTGCATGGGTTGTGATGGTGATCTTTATTGCCAGGAATGCTGGAGAGAGGGTCATGGAAACGGACCTGGTCAAGAGAGGGGCCATAGAGCACTTGCTTATGCCAAAGACGCTTCTTGAAAGATTATTCTACATGGGCTACTCTGGTTCTTGGTCCTTGAACTTTTCCCTAACGGATGCGACATCAATCCCGCACACTTCTGCCTTCTTGACGACTGCCTTGGCTTTGCCTACCACTGGCACGTCAATCATCTTGCCATCCAACGTCCAGGCGCCTCGACCTTGAGTATCTGCCTTTTCATTTGCGATGACCACTCTTACGGCATAATCCACCTCTTCCTGGCTAGGGCTGAAGATGTTCTGTACCAGCTCGACTTGGCTGGGATGGATGCATTGCTTTCCGTTATAACCCATTCTCTTACCACTCTCGCTTTCTTCTTTGAGGACCTGTTGGCCCTGCTCACCACGGAATGCAGTCGTGACCAAATCAATGGTCGAAGGAAGGTTGAACGCTCTAGCTGCCGTCGCAATGGCCGACCGCGCATACAAGAACTCTTTGAGGTCTGGCGTACGCGTAATGCTAAGATCAAGGGCAAAGTCCTCGGCAGCAAAGATTAGGCCGCTCAAATACGGCGAGGCTTTGCAAATGGCAGACAGATCCATGACTGCTCGCGCCGACTCAATCAACGCTATCAATCTGAGTGGAGATTTGGCGTCCGGATCGTGTCGTTCGGGAAGAGCATGGCGAATGACATCGGTAACAAAATGTAGATCAGAAGCACTGTTGACTTTTGGAATGACGAGGGCGTCGAGATTGGGTGCTTTGAGGACTTGGGTCAAGTCGTCGAGGGCATAGCCGCTGTCGACCGAGTTTATGCGTACGGCTTGCTCTTTTATTCCCGATACTCGTTGGCGAGATAGAATGGATTGGAGATTTGAACGTGCTTCTGCTTTTTTGCCTGGCGTCACCGAGTCTTCTAGATCGTAGCAGATTGTGTCGACGGCCATGGCTCGTGACTTTTCGAGGAAGCGCATGGAGGAGCCGGGCANCTGCATTATGCCTCAGCTAGACTTCTTGGAATTGTACTTGGTATTGTTACCATAGAGAAGTGCCCGACGCACAATCGGTGAGGCCGCCATGTTGCTTGTATCCAATGTTTTGTGAAGATGTTCGAGAGGAAGTTGGACACTGATGCCATCATGGTGGGGGCTCGGGGTGGCCGAGGGACGGAATCGGCATGCCGGAGAAGCTTTCCCCAGATTTCCTCCGTCATGGGTAGTGATGAAGAGCCAATGGGACAACTTCAACCTCCTGAACACGAGTCAAAACCCTACGACGCGTCCCTAAGAGTAGAGCTGGCTCATAGCAGCTGCCTCTTGAACATCTCCGTGTCGCAAACCACCTCATCCACCCACCACAAGTCACATCGCCATGGACAACCCACAGCCAGGCTCGCTGAGTTGGCGACTAAGTTCGCATCCCATCACTCTGCTCTGCTTCCTCGGTTTCCGCCTGTGTAAGCTCCAACCTCCCTGTCCATAAATGTCACGAAGCCTAATACATCTTCCTTCCAACAGCNNAAGTCTCCTGACCTACCTCTTCGGCCTCTACTTCAGCCAAAACTACGTCCTGATCTTCATCATCACAATCATCCTGCTGGCCATGGATTTCTACTACCTCAAAAACATTGCTGGCAGAAGATTGGTTGGTCTGCGCTGGTGGAATGAAGTCAACGCCCAGTCCGGCGATGGCAACTGGGTCTTTGAGTCTGCGGATCCGGATACGAGACAGATCAATGCTACAGACAAGAGGTTCTTCTGGTTGGCGCTGTATTCGCAGCCTGTGAGCTGGGTAGCGTTGGGTATTGTTGCCATCTTCAGATTGCACTTTATTTGGCTTAGTTTGGTTGGTATGTTTTGATACGTCTTCTGTCTCACAGGTTGATGGTGTGTGTTTACTAATGCTGGATTTGCAGTCATTGCTATCGTCCTTGCCGTTACGAATACCCTTGCCTTCTCTCGCTGCGACAAGTTCAGCCAGGCTACGAATATCGCAACCGGCGCTTTCTCTGCTAGCGGTCTTGCGAGCAATCTCGGTGGTGCCATGATTGGCCGTTTCTTCCAGATAGACAAAGCTGGGTTCAAAATACATTTCCTTCTGGTTACCTTTGTTTGCATAGCTGCTGTTCTGCTTGTTATCTGCATACCCCTGACTTGTCCTTGCCTTTACGGAGTGCAGGAAAATGCAAAAACTTCTTTGTGTTCATTGCTTCATCTTCTCTCCTTGTGTATGCTTGTGCTGTAGCCCCCTTCTTGCTGTCGCCATGTTTTGTTCTTGTAGCCCTTGTGTTTCATCTGTGCTGGACTTCGCATCTTGCTATACATGTCGTTGACCCTTTCTCTCTCTTGCAGGTATATTCGTGCCGAAAGGAGTCATCGTGGGGTTAAGCAGACGCGTCTCATCGCTGTTGCCTCCTTTTGGAATCACGAAGATAGGATGCCGGCTATTAGACGCTCGACAGTCCATCGGGAGTCCCAGCGCGAGGTATCGACTCGACTAGGGCTATTTTGAATGACAAGAAGACGTACCGTCATGGCTGATGCAGGTTGGCGATGGTGGCGGCGGTCCTTCTCAGGTGTCTACAGAGCTAGTCGCCGTCCGATGCTACAAGGCACTGGACAGTGGTACATTGGAGAGGCAGTTGATGCCAGTCAGGGATAGTCGGTGTCGAGAACTGTTGACAGCGTGGAGGAGATCGCATACTGACAATACTTGCAGCGGAAGATGAAGGTCGAAACGATACAAAGCAGGTCGGCGACTGGAGACCAGACATGCTCTTGATTAAGCGGAAGAGACTCGACACGGCGGCGCCAGCGATGATGGAACAAACTCAGTAGTTGTGGCGGACCTTCGTGAGAGGCGCGATCACGAGGCAAGCACGACTGAGCACGACTCGGACGAGGACGACAGATTGAGTCGACGGGAGCTTCGATAACGGGCTCATTCTGAGACGACTGTGATGGGCCACGCAGCAACACGACACCGATGGACGACGATGATGAGTTGAGGATATTCATACACAAGACGATTCAGGGGCACAATGACACCGCAGCCGCGACAGCACCTAGGCACCAAGGGCAAATTGCCTATCCCACGAAACACGAAACAAGCAACTTTCTTCTACAAGTCCCAGCATCAAGGCCAGCAACACGTTGAAAAAAAAAGAGTGACACCCCAAGAGATGCCACGAGTGGTAGTCTTTCGACATACCATCAGCTTATGGAATCGAACCACAGCTCAAAAAGCCCCTATACCACTCGGACTCAAATCAGCGCAGACAATCATCAATAGAACCAAAGAGTGACATGAGGGCGTATAAAGGGGGGTTGCTCGACCGTTTCCCACTAAGCTCAGGACCAGATCAGATCCCGGGTCAGACACGTCCTTATGGCATTTCGCTCAGGACAGCCATACGTTATTAGGCCTGCCCTACGGGCACCTCTCTTAGCTCGTGAGAGCCTGCAAACAAGAGTGTGTATCTTCTTAGGCCCTTGAAAAGGAGTCCGCAAGTCCCTTTGCCGGAAGGGCCGAGGTGCAGTTGTCGGAGTGCAGTTGGGGGAAGGCGATACATACCATCTTCTGTGTGGAAACGCGCGGTGCGGTGCGTTGGTCGTGTGTGTTTGTCGATGAGAGAAAGAGAAGGATAGTTCGGAGGGTCAGGGGGAAATTTATAGTTGATGCCGCTTACTAACATGGTCGACGGGAGGATTACGGGATAGCGCAACAAACTCCCTCACACTGTGGCTCCAACACCAACGGGAGAACGAGAAACACCAGCTCTCCAGATGCGAAAGTCACAATGACCTCACGCGAAACACCGCCACAAGTCCTCGCCTATACTGCGAACGCGAACACCGACCAGAGTCTCTGATCAGATCCAATAGATAGCACCACGGAAATGGCATGCACATGGTCGTAGCACATCAAACCTCAAAGGGATGAACATCACTCAGATCACAGGCAATGGTGACAACAAACAACAAAACGGCCGGTTCGATATCCATCCAGCTCAATCTTCTAGCGTAGTAGACGTGCTGTACAATCCCTGGTTGGCGCGAAGCAGTCGAAAGCCATGGGAAGCACTCGGAGCTCAGCATCAATCGGCAATCGGGATTGGGTATCGTAGACACATAACGAGATAGCTTAGCAGTCATGGATATACCGAGCGATACTCGTCGAGAAACATCGTTTTGAAGTCATCAAGAAAGCGGGAATACAATGTTGTTTCCTGTTAGGCAATCGAAGCTTTGGCAGATTCAGGGGTAGCATGGTAGAGCAGTTAACGCGCCCGAGTATCATAGTCGCTCCGATGCCATCACAAACACACTCTGATCACACACCAACGGCAACAAATGGCATGCGAGAAAGTAGATGAACATTGCTTCGTTAATAAAAATAAACATTCTATAGATTGCTATACATTCGTGAAAGTCTTCTTGACCTCCGGTAACTCTTTGTTACCGTCTTCCTCATCATCACTAATATCGTCGATGATCAGTGTCAACCTAGCTGGTGCAGCCGATGCCGGTGATCCAAAAGCACGATCCCAAGAGTCGCGCTCAGTCTTGGGTGCAGGTGTCGACGGCACAAATGTCCCTTCTTCAAGAGCAGGAAATTCTTCCACAGTCTGTAATGGGCTCCTAGTGTTGTCCACAAGCTTCTGTGGTCCGATGATAGGGGAGAGTTTGACGAAGTCGATAGTACCTTCCTCAAGGTATGAACTACCGGCCACGACATTCGGTCTAGTATCGTAGCCCTTTGTTCGAGCCAACATGCTTGGTAATTTGGTAGAGTTCGTCATGGATGTTGCGATAATACCGAAAGCCATTTCGGCCACTATGCAGGCGATGATGTCGAAATTGGTTGGTGTGAGGTCCTTGAAAGCCTTGAAATTACCAGACCCCAAGATGCGAAAGGTGGCAGCTAAACCACTCAATATGCCGACGGCGGTGATTATCGAGACAGAACCCTTGACTTTGAGGCTTAGCCTGGATGTCCAGATGACGAAAGCCGGGAGCAGAACGTAGACCCAGGTCACAACGGCATTGAATATCGAACCGGCCAACCACCATTTTATCATTTCTGGGTAGTGCTTGCATTGCCGGATGCTGGCCATATGGGCCATGTCGCCAGGTGAACCACAGAAGAAGAAGAGATCGATGAAGATCCTGATGACCGCATATATGTAGAAGGAAAGCGTCATGTTGGTGACAAGCAGACGTTGCCATCTCACCGCGAAGCACCTGTTCAAGGAAAGGGCAAAGGACGTCTTGATGCAGACCGAGGTCAACAATCCGAGCTGATAGGAGGCGATGAACATGTAGGGAACGATATCCAGTGTGGTGGCCATGTTTTCACGCGGAGTGGCGTTGATCACGACCAGCACGCAACTACACTGGCCGCTGAACAAGATNNCTGTATGTATGGTGAGTTCAAGGCACTATCATACGAGCAGCGGACATACCACTGCCAGCAGCAAGATCCAATCGTCCCATCGGACACGACCGATCATAAATATTTTGACCCAGAAGCGGACAAGAACCGACACCCAAGAGAGCGAGAGACAAGAAATGACCACAGCAAGCAAGTGAACCATCTTTCAGGTCTCAGAGGCGTCGACGCCTATCGAATGTCAGGGATCAAGGCGTCGACGGGTCCCTTGAGGGATGATAGAGAGTCAATCGGAAAGAGTACAGTTCAAGATTGGAAGGGATGGGGTTATACCCTACTGTGGTTTTGACCAGCACGAACAAGCATCTGGCCCGAATCATATGGAACGTGTGCGGAAACGTTGTACAGTTGAACGTTAGTACCATACAAGATTCAACTGCCGCGCTGAAGAGTCTTGAGAATTGACAACGGCCGAGCCTCGTCGGAATTCACTCGAGGTCACATATCAGACAGACAGAACAGCAAAATGCTTTCATGTACAATTGCGCAAGGGCATCCAGTAATTGTTTGTTCTTCAGATCACGTTATCCTTGCGATTTAAGTGATGCGAGCTGGTGGAGATGGTCATGGAGGGAACGTCGCAGGTGGAACAAGGGTCGGCAACTTGAACCTCGCCATCGAGTCATCAAACGTTCAAGCTATTGGAATCGACCCCGGCGGCTCGGATGCAAACGTCTGATATGCCCATGATTTCCAGAAGGATATGAGGAAGGGACGTCAGAACAAGTTGCGGAGAGACGTCCTCTTGACTCGCACTTGCATGGCAAATGACGGTCCGAAGTGGGAAGCGCATGTCGCACGACGTTGAGAAGAGTCGTCCAGTATTTCTCCGATTAACCGAAAGGTGTCTCTCGCGTATATGGTTTAGGCCAACAATCAAATAACTCAACTATTTGGTACAGCCGTGTATCATTTGACTTCTAGCGGTCCTTGTAGGAGTAGTAGTCTATTGTTGTGCTTTCAATTTGCGCCGGTCTTGCGATGCAGAAAAGAGCCCCTCCTCCGCGTTGGCCGCTGCCTGTCTCGGAAGGTGCGATTGCACGTCATCGGCGTCCTTTATTATCAATCATCAACTGCACATCGCTGACTTGACTCAAACCATATTGACACAACATCGGGGTCTCATTCGAATACCTACAATTCGTTCGTCAACCGTCGCTATTGCAACCTCAAACGATACCATGGGTGGAGGCGAACACAAAGAGGCCGTCCTGGTCACACTACCCATGCCGAAGCCAGATGCCGCTATCGAGAAACTCCAGAACAAGTTTCCTCACCTCAAGATAACTTATCGCAGCGTAGCCTGGACAAAGGATCGCGCACAGTCGGAAGCAGAAATACCCAAGGAGCTTTGGAGAGAAGCAACTGTGCTGTTGACACTTTTCGCTCTACCGCCTAAACCAGAGGATGCTCCCTTGCTAGACTTTATCCAGCTCTTCTCTGCTGGGTCAAACCAGCTTGCCAGTCATCCCATCTATACAAACACTGATATTCCCATTGCGAGTGCGTCTGGTGTCCATGGACCACAGATCGCTGAGTGGGTTATCATGACCCATCTCATCCACACTCATAAGTACAACCAGCTCTACGAAGCGCAGAAGGACCACAAATGGGCCAAAGAGAACTACCGTGTCAAGGACTCTGTCGGCATGCGTGTCGGCGTGCTCGGTTACGGAAGCATTGGACGTCAGGTTGGCAGAGTCGCCAAAGCCATGGGTAAGTTGATTCTACATCCGCACTACTGCTGCAATGAAGCCAAAGAAATAGTACGAGAGCAGAGCTAACAGATCCGAAANGGTATGGATGTCATCGCATTCACAGCATCGCCAAAGGACACACCAGAGAAGAAGAAAGACGTCGGCTACATCGTCCCTGGAACCGGTGATCCGGACGGCGAGATTCCTTCAGCTTGGTACTCTGGATTGGACAAGGACTCTCTACACAACTTCCTCAAGCAAGACATTGATCTCTTGCTCGTCTCCGTACCACTCACCAAAGAGACGACCCATTTCTTGTCGACAGAGGAGTTCAAGATTCTCAGCCAGGATGGCAAGAAACCTGCCTTTATTGCCAATATCGCGAGAGGGCCTATCATTGACCAGTCTGCATTGATCAAAGCTTTGAAGGATGACACTTTGGCTGGAGCCTCTCTCGATGTCACAGATCCCGAACCTCTTCCCTCCGATAGCGAGCTGTGGGGCCTGGACAATGTGATTGTCACCCCTCACATCAGTGGTAATGGCGAGGCGTATGTCGACCGAGCATTCCAGATTCTAGAGCTGCAACTGGAGCACAAGCAGAAGGGTGAAGACTTCATCAATGTTGTGGACAGGAAGAGAGGATATTAGAAAGACCGTGCATAACGAACAATACGAAATCATGCTATCTAGAATATATCACAATGACTCATAACACTCCCACCTCATCTTTATTCCATCATTGCAACAAGAGTCTGTAGGTAGCCACCTCGAACGCCCTCAGCTCAATATCAAAGGCACCCTTGGCGAGATGTACTTCTTCAATGTCATCTTCCAGGACGTTGCACTTCCACACCTTGGCAATGGGTACCTGACCAACCTCAATTGAACCACGGCACTTTCCTCCCAAGCTGTCGTAAACACGAACAATGACGTTCATGCCCTTGCGCTTGGGNNGGAGATCACCACGGCTGACGTCCTCATCGTCCTCGCCACGCTTGATGGTATCAAGAACCAAGCCTTCATCACTATCCTTAGACAGTTTGAACGAACTCATCAAGCCCTTGACGTCCGACACGTTGGGATGCGAGTGCACTGCCATGGGGTTATTGAATTCGAATCCTGCACGGACAGTGCGGTGATCGAGAGGACCCTTGTGAGGAAGGATTGCCCAGCGGATCTTGTGCTTGCCCATATCGGCATGAGCATCGGGAGCCTTGGGTGCACGTAGCAGAGAAAGACGCATCAGGCTGCCGCAGGTTGCAAAGCCGTACTTCGAGTCGTTGAGAATGCTAACACCGTAACCATTCTCCGAGAGATCGGCCCACTTGTGGCAGCACACTTCGAACTTGGCCATGTCCCATGTGGTGTTGTAATGTGTCGGGCGTCGAACAATACCGTATTGGGTTTCGTAAGAAGCCTCCGTGTTAGTGATTGTGGTTGGGAATTCGACCTTCAAGAACTTCATGTCCTCATGCCAATCGACTTCTGCTTCCGTCTCGATGTACGAGTTGCCTCCTTCAGGTGCAGAAGAGAGCGAAATTGTCATCTTGATAGACGACTTTTCTGAGATCTTCGTCGTGGTTGTGATTGCGACACGATGAGGAGTATTCTCGCTGATGACTGATGAGCTTGTTGCGTGAAGTTCTTTTCTCGAGTTGAGATGGAAGACCTCAACGTCCCATGCTTGCCAATAGAGAGGCTTGTCATCGAAGATGACCAGCTGGTTAGCCTTCTGGCCCTTGGGAACTATCTCTCGGCGAGCTCGTTTATCATAAAGGCTGGTGATGACACCACCAGAGATTTCAACGAAGTATTGGCTGTTCGTCAGATGGAAGACATCGTCTCCCTTGTCTGTAACTTCGACAGAAGCAGACATTTGAGCCATGTCTGTTACAGAGTTGATGCCAGTCTCACCTTGAAGCAGACCATAACGGGTTGTCCGATCAGGGGACGGCAAAGAGCTCACTTCATTACGGTTCCAACCGAGAGTGTTTAGTGCGACAAGTTCGTTGTCGTGGCGCAGCTTGTCATCGAATCCGAGAGCATGAAGAGCTTCGGTCAAAAGCTTCTCGCCAGTCTTGAAAACCTTTGCATAGANGCTACAAGCTGTCAGTTGGGGAAGGTTCAAACTGCATGTGTAACTTACCTCATCAGAGTCATCATAACACATTTCAATACAACTTCCAGGCAAGCAGTCATGGAACTGACACAGCAGAACGTTCTCCCACATGTCGTCGATGTCCTNTTTGGGATACTTGTACTTCTTGCCATCTTTGGTGACGACATCCTGAATACTGGCCAATGTTGCAAGGTATTCGATGTCATGCAGCATGATCTCGGACTTGCGGTTGTTGCGCTTGTTATTGGCCTGGGTCGTGTACGTGCCTCTGTGGAGTTCGAAGTAGAGTTCACCATACCATGTCACAAGTTCAAGTCCTTCTTCGACCCTCTTCTCAAGACGAGCAAAGAAATCATCGACTGAATCACCCATCTTGACACGAGGCAAGAGACCGACCTTGTCGCTCATACCACGGCATCTTCGAAGCTTCTCAATATGCTGCCAGGTTGGACCACCACCACCGTCTCCNNCCTTTCCAAATGCAAGGAGCGAGGTTGAGTCTTGATCCATTGATTTGTGTTGAGTGATACTGCGTCTCACGTCACCGAAGTTGGCCTCGGCAGTGTACGTTTCGGCAGGTGTCATGTGGCAGACGACCTGACTACCATCGAGTGCAACCCAGTTGAAAGTAGTGTGCGGGAAGTTGTTGATGTTGTTCCAGCTGAGTTTCTGGGTGAAGAATCTCGTCATACCTGCAAGTCGGCAGATCTGAGGCAATTGGGTTGAGTAACCAAAAGTATCGGGTAGCCAGAATGTATTGCATCTTGACCCAAATCGGCTCTCGAAATAGCGTTGGCCATAGATAAACTGGCGGACTAATGACTCTCCACTAGGCATGTTTGTATCATGCTCAACCCAAGATCCACCGATTGGCTGGAAGGTGCCCTCTTTGACCTTGCTCTTGACGCGGTCGAAGACAGAGGGGTATAGCTGCTCTAACCATTTGAATTGCTGAGCTTGTGAAGCGACAAACCGGTGTTCTGGGTATCGTTCCAACAGATTACATTGGTTAGACCATGAGCGGGCGACCTTGCGCTTCGTCTCTGCCCAAGGCCAAAGCCAGCATGTATCGATGTGACAGTTGCCGATTGCAGTGATCAAAGCAGGCTCGTCTGAGTCGTAGACTTTGGAGGAGTCGACATCACCAATGTACTTCTTCGCGATCTTTCTGCACTCTAGGATTGAGTTGTTGCTTCCATTGCCAGCAATGAAGGTGTCCATGATAGAATTGCAGACTTGGAGAGCTTCATGTTCTTCCCAAGAATCTTGCGGGAACTCTCTGGCAGCATCACCAATGATCCAGAAGTCGATGAACAGAGCTCTTGCTTCCAGGTTGATAGCAACAATATCGGCTTTCTGCAACTGGAAGTACCTGTCTGGACGAGGTGGCTGGATACTGTCGCCCCCAGGGGCGTTTCCAAACATGCCGTTACAAGCCATTTCGATGTAGAAGACATGTTCCTTGCCATCACGGAACGACTTTGGGAGGATCCACTCGACACGCTCGCCTCCTCCAGTAAGACCTTGTAGTGGCTCGCCCTTCTCGTTCCAGATGAGACCCTCGTTGTTTGCATCCCAATGAAGTTCTAGGTGCTCCTCGTTGGCTAGAGAGGATGGAACGGTAAGATGGACGCGGAACCAATGTGTCGACCAACTTGGACCAAAGGACTCGCCAACATGAGCAGGACGGAAGTCATGCGAGGTTGCGTCTTTGAACGTGGGACGAGAAAGGTCCGGTGGAGAGTAGACCTCGAGCTTGATGTGAGGATGGCCCGAGGCACGTTTTGGCTCGATCTNTACTGGTCAGGTATCAGCATATGGGTATGGTGGATGGTCTGGAGAGGGATGATACGGTAGCAAGCCTTGGTTTCTGTACTGGCCGTTGTCTGTGAATTGCCTCAGTCTGTCGGTATAGAGGTTGTGGATCTGCTTGCCGACAGGCTTCGCAGCCATTCGTGGGTAGGTTGAGGCTGACGCCATTGTGGGATGAGAACCGCCGCCCATTGTGAGGTGAATGTTCGGGAGCTGGGTAGGTAGATGGATGATAAGACAGGCAAGAGCTCAAGGTGCTGGGATTCAGGTACGGCAGCTGCAACTGACCATGCACCCATGGGTACTACCATCGATCGTCGCTCAATGCGGGGATCTCCTGCGTCACGCGTACTCAAGCCGATATCCCCGATCTTGCCTTCTCCGCCGCGGAACACCTACCCGGATACAACAACATGTGTGAAGCACCATCAAGTCCACCAGACCCTCCAAGGTGCTCTCGTTTGACCTGCATCCCTGCACATGATGATAGAAAGAAGTCGTTCCTTGACCACGCCCACTTTGGTAGTTGCCTGATGGAGCACTAGCGCAAAGCTCGGATGCGAGCACGCCCTTCACATGCAAACTCCACAATTCAAGTCTCCAGAGCCTGTTGCTGTTTCCAAATCAAAACACAAAATAAAATCGCTCCGCCATGCAGTGGCCAGACTGGCTCAAGTGGAAAGAGTCTGACAAGGAAAAGAAGAAACCCATCACCTGGTCCGACTCGCTCAACGCTACAGACTGGTCACACTACTCCTCACCTCGCACCATCCTACCCACCGCAATCTTGACCTTCTCCACTCTCGCCTTGATCCGCATCTACCGCAGACACCTCCGCCGCGTTCCCGAAGCCCAATACATTACACCCTCGTACTTTCACAAACGTAGTCTCTACGGCTATGTCAGTCGTGTCGGCGATGGTGACAACTTCCGTTTGTTTCACACTCCAGGAGGCCGTCTCCTTGGATGGGGTTGGCTACCCTCGAGAAAGGTTCAAGATTGGACCCTCAAGGAATTCAAGGACAAGACCGTCCACGTTCGCATAGCAGGCGTTGATGCCCCTGAGACTGCCCATTTCGGTAACAAAGAACAACCTTATGGAAAAGAAGCCTTAGATTGGCTGAGGACTTTACTTCACAAGCGTTATGTTAGGGCATACATCTACAGACTCGATCAGTATCAAAGAGTCGTTGCAAGTGTGTCATACTGGAGATGGGGCTTCTGGAAAACAGACGTCGGTCTGGAAATGATCAAGAATGGCATGGCTACTGTCTACGAAGCAAAATTCGGCAGCGAGTTCGGCAACAAAGAAGCCAAATATCGCAGAGCCATGGAAAAGGCTCAGAAAAAACAGATCGGCATGTGGAAGAAGGCCAGCTTTATTGGCAAGATAATGGGTCAGAAAGATGAGAAGATCGAGTCCCCTCGTGAATACAAGACTCGCATAAGCCTTCTCGACAAGACAGGGACTGGCCAGAAGAAATGAACCAGGCATATTCGATCCGACTGTTACTTTTCCATATCAACTATCTGTGGGCTACTCGCGCCCTTGGGATCTGGTTCCTCCGGTCTTGGCTCAACAGTCATGCATTCATACAACAGTGGACGCANGTCTTTTGATGATACCCAGGGCTACGNATCAAAAATATCTGCCATTACCTCTGCAGTAATCTGAATGTTCACAGAATCTGTACCAAGCCGGCAACCAGCATGCACACCAGCAATGTACTTTAGGTGCGGCGTAGCCCTGCCGAAGCAGAAGTCTGCAATGTCCTCGTCAACGATCTGGGGATTCTCAACATTCACTTCTCCGGGTANTGATCGATNCGCAAAGTCATTTGGAAAGTCGAGATATCATCTTTGTCCGGCTTGCCCAGACCATATCTCGGGTCCATGTTCTTCTATCAACAACCATGCTGTGCATACAGGTCGGCGTCTCAGATGCAGCTTCGAGTGGCAGCTCCGCACGTACTGAACTTCTCATGACCATCGCATGATTTGCTGAGCCAACGAATGACTGAGCTTTGAGTGGTTTTGGGACTCAAGGCTGAGCCTTGGTTTCCCACTGCAGTGACACATTTCCATAAGGATACTTCTCAACAAGGATATGTCTCTTCACAGATAACTTTAAGTTCATATTGCTACCGTCGGGACCAGGGATGTTTTCTTGGTGTGCAAAACATAGCAGTGTACAAAGGTGTTGATGTACATAAACTTGTGTATATATACTTGCGTTTGACCCAGGAGTTGTGTCTCACTTGACATCTAGCGCGGACATGTTTGTCTCATGCCTCTTTGTTAATGTTCTATACTACATATTTGCCCACACCGTAGTATTAAGTCACATTTGATCCCGCATCAGGTAACATTGCCATCGAAAAAAGCATCGAGAAGTTACGGATCCTCATAAGTGCTAGGATCCTACAAAAAATCACATGGTCAGAACGACACAGTCAGAGGGAAAGATAAATGAGAGATAAAAAAAACAATATAATTCTTAAAATACTTGAATAAAGACAAATGTTCCAAAAACTCCAACGCAATGCTACTCAAGACAAGAAAGCACAAAGATGAACCAGCATCCATTGCAGAGACCAAAAACAGGACAAGTATTCTTAGTCATCCGTCACAGTCTCATTCGAAAAGATGGAAATGCTGTTGAAGAGCCAATAGCTAGTCTCAAAGGCCTTAGGGTTGTTTTGAACATATTCAGCGCAGGTAGCAACGCCTGTTTTAGCAGCACAGCCATCAGCCTCCCATGTATTGCCAGCCCAATCGCCACAGAAATCGGTGTTGATGACGAGTTGAAGGTCTTTAAGATGACTGTCAAAGTCACAGCCATTGCCAGAGAAGACGGCCTGAGGTTTGGAGGTCCAAGTCGAAGGGTCAGGGACGTTTGCTTTGATGTCGTTGGGGATGTAGTCGCGAGGGAAGAAGTAGATGCTAACACCAGCAGACGTCCAGAGCATAGCGTAAACACCACCCGATTGTGCGTTGAAGGCATCGCCTGCGGTGGAGTGAACACAGCTCTGATTTCCAACTGTGTAGGTTTCATTTGAGGGTGCACGAATGCCACACCCAGCGTTTTTGCTTTGAGCAGGAGAGTTGACGTCGCAGTCAGGTGTCATGAGAGTGCCAGAGAAGAAGTCAGAGTGGCCATTGCTAATGTTGCCGGTGATGGCGCAGTTTGCAGAGGTGTGGAGGGTTGCGGTGTTGTAATCGTTGCCATTGACCTGCTCCAAAATATCGATTTCTCCAGATTGCGGCCAATTCGGACCAGTAAACCATAGAGCGGGCCAGACGCCGCAACCACTCGGCATGTGTTTGATATCAGCGAGTACCAGAGCGTGGTTGTACGACTTTTTGCTTGTCAGACGAACAGACGGGCGATTAGCAGTGACTGTTGTAGAGTCAACGCCAATATAAGCAGCCATTGTTGGGGGAGCGGTGCTATTGTCGTTGACAAGACCGATGAGCTTAGCTGGCGCAGCAGTTAATCTTGAGACGTAGGAAACTGCCCCCTGCGTGGGATCAGAGTCTGTGAAGAAGTCAAAGCCGTCAAAGAAACTAGGGCCGCTGTGTTTCTCCACGAGTTGATATGCAGTCGCAGTTGTGGCTAGAGCCGCAATAGAGAGTTTGATGAAAGACATGATGGATAATCTTGCGTTGTTGATTCGTTAAAGTTGTTGGTGTTCTGAGAAAATCGTTGGTGACAGTGATTGCTTGGGATAAATAGAGAAAGGCAATTGTAAAGAAGGACAATGGCCAAAAGCCTGGAATAAAGAAGACACAGCTAGACTGCTCGAGTCAACAAAAGCAAGACACAATAACAACAACGGAATACTCGATCGGACAAAGCAGGTTCCATCACCTTCACCTTTCGTACAAAGGCAGAGAGTGGTTGGGTGGCAGGGTAGACAATGGACATCTTCTGAAACGTAATTCGTTTGATTTTTGCATTATTAGGCGCCTATTGAGATGGCGAGTATCTGGTACGCATTTTGAGTGTGAATTTGAAGAAACAAAGAACCTTCCTGAAAAGCGCCTCCAACAGAGGCTCTCACAGATATTTGATCTGGCGTAGCGCGCGAAAAGGCATGATGACAGCCGTGGTGATAGTTAGGAATCCAGTGAGCGCTAATTTTCAAAATGAATCGTCTACAGCTTGCCTTCAGCTTGGGCTTCTCTGACTGTCTCGAAAANCCTAAAGAAAAATCAGTCAATCTTACATGAACAATCAAGATTTCTCAAAATGTGTGTTCTTACCTTGAGGAGCTTTCGTCTAGCACCGAGAGCATTCACACCCTTCTTGTCGAGAGCATCGTCATCAAGCTGAACAAGATCTTGCCAGCGCATGTCCTTGAGTTGATCCGTGTACTTGTGCAGCCTCAAACTACGCAGCCAGCTAGGAATGTCACTCAAGAGCTGGAGATCGGTTGGGTCCTCTGGGGGCTTGGAGCTGCCGCGTCTACCACGAGGTGATCTGCCACGAGCTTCAGAGTGGTCGGAAAGATAACCTTCATGACCGCCCATGCCGAAGTTACCCATATTGAGAGCGCCCATGTTTGCATTCAGCATACCAGCATCATAAGTAGAAAGGAAACCGTTGTTTTGAGTCATGGGAAGATGGTTCATGTTAGAACCAGGAGGGCCGGAGATTGCAATGCCAGGAGAGCTTGGACGAGAGCGGCCACCCTGCTGCTGAAGGGCAGCGAGCTGCTGAGCTTGCAGAGCAGCAGCCTGTTGGGGAGTCAGGACCTGACCGAGTTCGTTGGTCATAAGGATGTTCATGTTCTGCTGTTGCTGTTGCTGGTACTGAGGTTGACCCTCGTTAGAGCGTGCGCGGCGGAACTTCTTGACATCGTCAAGCTGGATACGGTTGTTGACAGTAGAGAGGGCGGCCAGCTTCATGGCAGTGGCATTAGCAACCATGTCAGCGTGCGCGGCACTCTGCTGCTGAGTGTTGAAGTTAGGAATCATGGGGGTGTTGACCATTGAAGCCCAGCTGTTGTTGGGGTTGTAAGGCGAGAGAATGTTCATAGCAGGGTCCTGGTTGGGTGCAGAAACAGTAGTGTTTTGCAGGTTGGTGTCACCCGACAGTTGGAATGGGCGGGGCGAGCGGATAGGCTGGCTGAACTGGCCCATGGGTTGTTGGCCCTGCGATGAGCGGGGTCTGGTGATGGGAGGCTGGTTCTCATTGCGGCTGTTGTTCCAGGGTGACGGAGAGAGCGGCACAGGGGCATCTTTCTTGTCGTCGAAGAGGAGGGAGGAGCGGTCACCAACGCGGCTGGAGGTAGGGGTGTTGCCAGTGTGTTCCTTGAAATCGGCCTTTTGCTTTGCAATAGCGGCAGCGGCATCGGGGAAGAGGGAGTTGATGGTGCTTGGGTCGAGGCCAGAGTTGCGCTTAGCCCCTGGTGATGGTGGGGGCTTAGCACCAAAACCGAAAGATGATCTCGTGCCTTCCATGTTGAGTCTGCTCATGGCATCGTTCAGGCGGGTGGACATGGGGTCNNTGGTACAGCATCACAGGTTAGCCAGATTGATAGTCATATATGGCATTGCAAACATACCCTTCTCGCCGAAGTTGGCAGGAGACAAAACACCCGACATAGGGTGGCTCTTGGCCATCTGCTGCAGGACTTGAATGAAGAAACGAATCTGCACCTGGGTTGTCTGCTGCAGCAAGGCGTAGAGAGCAGCAGTGCGCTCGGGCTCGCTGAGCACGCGGAACCACTGCTCAATAGCACTGAGCTCATCCTTGAAATCTTGATCCAACGTAGCGGCAGCCATGTCCTCGAGGGTTGTCTCGTACTGGTCGATGTCGGCGATCCATTGCTGAGCAGCCTTGTCAGCAGCGTCGTCCTGGCTACCGAGACCAACACCGCTGAAGTAGACCTCGCTGGCGGGTCGGATGCCGCGTGATGCCAGGGGGGACGAGGTGGAGAAGGCGCCCATGTCGGCCGAGGCGCGCAGGTGGTGGCCGGGGTTCATGCCGCGAGAGGATGGCGGGCGCAGAGTGGAGCTCGAGGCATCGGGCGTGCTGTTGCGGTTGCCCATGCTGTGCGAGGACGACGACATGGTGTTTTTTGTGGAAAAGGAATGTGGTAGTGGCTAATAAGAAATATTAACTGACGGAGAACCTGCAGTTCCTGCTGTCCTCAAAGGCCTCCGGTCGTAGCTTTGTTCTGGACGCGGCTACCGTGCGCAGACAAGCCAAAAGAGAAGAAAAGGACAGAAGCGACGATGTGTTGGTTGTCGGGAAGAAAGAAGGTCGAACAAAGCAGCGCCCACTCAAAGTCCTCGACGTTGCTGCACCCACGCTCAGACTCCTGATTCCTGCTGCCACCAAAATGTCAAACTTCCGCCCTGGCGCTAAACTCGCCAATTGCTGCCATAATTCACTCTGACTACCATTTCACACTGCTTGTCACTTTTCTCTTGTTGAACTGAATAGTCTGCCTTTTGTCTACTGTATCTTACCATCCATCCATATATTCCCTTGCTGCGCCTTGATGTTTGTCCGCACGAGCTGCTGCTGCCTTCGAGTCGTGATCCAATATATCTGCAGCTGCTCAGCCACGGATGGACCTACGCCATCCAATATCGCTGTTACACCCGACGCTCTGCAAATCCACATCCTCGTATATCTGTTGATTGCTATATCGCTCTGTCGTGTTTCAACCTGACTCTCTCCGCCTGTTCTTCCCGGTCCTCTTCCCGAACGATCCTCCACGCCAAGCTGGCCGTTGATCAACCTTCATCGTCAGGTAAATTATTTGTTTACCATCACAATTCCACAAACATGGCTCGGATGGATGCAGCTATCCGTCGAGATTTTCTGACCTCGGGACAGCCCTTTGTGCCATTGTATGCCGACCGGGTCTTCGATGGGTCAGGCCCCTGGTCCCTTAACTGTCAAAGAGCACGTTGCATCTTGGCCAAACTCTTGTTTAATGTTTTTGGACCCTTGAAGGTTAATTTATTTACCCATCGAACATGAATTTCTACTCAGGGTCACACGAGACAGTAACGAGAAGAGAAGTGAAGTAGGAAATGTCAATGTGCATCTTGGTAATCAATCGCGAGAACCAACTCGATATCTGTATGGGCTTTACTGTCGCCGTTGTGCATCTCCTGATCATCATTTTCTTGAATCCTGATAGTATCCATGTCTCGAAGTCACAACAATTGTTTGCTTCCTCGGATTCCAAACTCAAAGCTGCAGCGTCAGATATTATCAAAAGTTGTCCTGGTGCCTGGGCTGTATGCTTGTGCATCCCAGGCACTCTCCACATCGAAAACAGAGTAAGATGATGCCGTAACTCAAATCCACTCCTGCCTGTGCTCACAAAGTGTTGTGTGCCTTTCTGGCGACGGAAGCGACAAACTCAAGTTCGAGGGCTTCGGCCTCAAGGCGCATGGCCTGGCTACGGAGGCGTGCGGCGCGGCCACGCATCTCCGTGACATCGATCTGCAGGCTCTCGTTGAGATGCTGGGTGCTCTTCATCACGTGTGCTCCGACAGGACGAGTAGGGGGTTCGGTAGAGCTGAGCAACTTCATGTTGCGAGTGCCGTTAGTCTGGTAAGTGCCCTGGTGGGTGCCTTTGATTTGGGGAGTGCCATCATGAACGTAGGCAGAGGCAGGGGTAGGCGAGGTCATGTTATCAGGGGAGAGACCATTCTCAGTGTACTCAGGGGACTGAGGCTGAGCCTGTCCCTCCTGTTCGTTGATGCTGGGACCGGGCTCATAATCTTCCCCNNCCTCGAGGGTCTTCATGTTGACGTCTTGCTGCTGGTTGCCCTTTGCAGCCTCATCGGCCTGGTGGCGCTTGACATTGTCGACAACACGCTGAATGTCGCCAAGCAGAAGTTCAGCAACCCTTCTCTGAGGGTTCTTGGGATCGACCTGACGCTTCTGGACCTCGTGAATCATCAGCTCCTGAGCAACTTCCAGCTTGCCAGCCATCATGGTCGACAGCTCTTCGAGACCACGTAAAAGCTCGACGCTCCAGTTCCACCATATCTCTTCAGCTCCGAGGAGATCTCCGACACGAATCTTGGCTCCCTTCTTGAGCTCGACACGAGGGCGGATCTTGGTTGGAATGCAGTCCTGAACGGCACAACCCCAGTTGGCTTCGATGCGGGTTCTGCGGTTGGTTTTGACATTTCTGTCTCTCGGGTGAAGCTCTTCGAACTTGCGACGGACAGGAGCGGGACGCGACATGGTCAGAGTTGAATCGAGGTTCGGTTATGAGAAGTGAATGCGTAGAGTTGACCTCAGACTATCACAACCACTATTAGTTTGAGCAAGTATTTGTGAATGCTCAATGCGAGCTACGGACCTGGCTTGTATAGCTTTGCCTCTTGGATATTTTATAACTAGCTTCGATTGCCTGTTGTTCGAACTGAACGGTGCTAGGTGAACTCAAGCGGGTGAGTGAACTATGCTGTAAAAAGGCGTAAGTGAGACGCTCTATGGAGAAGAGGTCGAGAACGAGGTAAGAGAAGATGCAGAAGAGAGGTTGTGAGGACAAACGAACAGGGTTGAGGAAGGTAGAAGGGAACGACCAGGGTTGAGGAGAGTGCAAGGGAACGAATAGGGTTGAGGGAGGTGGAAGGAGAGCAAGAGGTAGATTGTAGTGGTAGCTGTGCTGATCGCTAATCAACGCTGGCCAGTGAGGGTTGGAGGATGCTGAGATAGCAAAGTCCTAGTGGGAGGTGTGTGGTCTGAGGAACCTGTCAATCGAGGGGTGTAGGTGACGAGAAGCCAGCAAATGACTCCGAGTGTCGAGTTAGGTAGATAGGAGAGATGCTACAGAAACAGCAAGGTTGGGCAGTATTGCGAGAATGGATCAGGGAGAGAAAGGCACACTGGTAGTGGGGAGTACGCAAGTTGAATATCGCCTGTTCACAAAGCAGCCGACACCCAGGTTCAGGCCAACAGTCGAGGGCAAAGGTTAAACAATGCAAAGACAGCGATGCTGGGCCGGAACTGAGGGGGTGTCATTGTGGAGATGTAAATCTGCCAGTGTGAACGATTACGCGATCGTAGGGATGCCAGTACGTACGCTCGAGTGCAATCAGAGCGATGATTAGCGTGGATGGAAACAGGTTGTTGGAGCACAAGAATAATTTGTACCCTTGCAAAGGACCAAGTAGATGTCTGGCAAGGGGGCTGCGCCATCAGAAAGCAAGACGAAGAGGCTAAACCAACACGCAATACGCCTGTGGCTCTACTAACCAGCATCGCAAGCGATGCCGCCGTGCAACGACGAGATAATTGAGTGTAATGGGGAAATGGAAGAGGGGGGTATTCGAGTGTTGGGAATTGGTGCGCAGAGAACAAAGTAACAACTTACTTGAGTGTCTAAGCCGACAAAGAAAGACTGACGATGGTATCAAAGGGGAACGCGAGCACGCGTAGACACGGGCTGATTGACGACAAGAGCAAAGTCACAGGCAGAGAGTGATATAGGGGGTCCGCGAGTGTGCCGATGTTATCGTGACGAGCCAAGACCGATAAAAGATATCGGCACGTGGCGATATGAGAGTTGGAGGTGAGAACGGGAGTCGTTTGAGTGACATATTTGGGAATGGACCTGCCGATAAATATTGATGTTGGAAGGAGAGCAGAACTGCGGGCAAGAACAAGGAGCCCATTTACCATGTAGTATTGGAAGACAAAGCGACATACTCAACACGATGTGAACCATCCTCAAGTCATATCAGATATAATCATGTAGAGAGCGTTGCTGTGCTTTTTGGAGAATGTCCAGCCTACTTAGCTTCAAAACCAATCGATTCCACCAGAGCTAGATGTTGCAGCAACACAACAACTATGCAGAGATGATAATTCAAGCTGGAGAAATCCTTTTGTAGAACATGTTGAATAGCGTCAAGAGAGTGTGCTATGACCCATACTCCTTGTCTGGGTGTGTATCTGTCACATGCGTAACTGAAGAAATACACAACACTTCCGAGAAACAGGGTAAGCCGACCAAAAGTTGCCATCTCGTCGGCTTCTTCTGGACAAGGCTCCGTGCTCGGAATGTTTGTGTATGTCGATAGCTCGTAAATCGTTCGGCGTTGCCGCGAGATGTCGTAAAGACCAGAACGAGAACGAGCTTTGGCCCTAGGAGCGCGAACCAGGTCCATGGACGGACCTACTGAACAGCAGAGTTTTCCATGAAAGCGGTTAAAGCACATCGAGTCAACCCCCTTCGATGGGGGTGTGACATCGTGTCAAATTTCGGGAGCGGTAGACTGTGTGGTCGACTGTGTGGACTGGAGATGACCGCAAGCGTCGCTTACTTGCTCTGTGGAAGGTCATGCCGACTCTCCGAGACCGCTTGCACTCTTCCGCAGGACAGGATGGAGACCAAAATGGTGTCTGCCGGATTGAGAGCAAGCATGTCCCCAGCTCTTCCATATGCAGATGATTGCAGCATCTCACGATATAAATGAGACTGCGACATCCGATCGAGCTTCATGGTGTCTGAGATCCAGTAGCAGATTGCGAAAGACCGATTGCTGGATCCGCATGCTCCGTCGCGATGAGCGGTCAAGGAAAGTGATGGCGTCAAACAAGATAACTTCCTTGATTGTAGTGAGGGTAGAGCACGGGGTAAGGCTGAAGCCTGGCAGGAACCATCTCATTTCCCGCACAGCGACGCGAGGATCAACGAGCGTCCGTTTTAGCACGCCATCATGGAACAAATCGAAGGCTCATGGAAGCTTTTGCGCGTCATCATGCTGTCCTTAATGTCCTTGAGCGCGGATGACCAACCTCGGGGCGAAACCAGCACCAAACGTCCGGTACTCGAGAGTGTTCCATGCTTGCCAAAACTGACACCATGCACCGTCCTCCTTATCTCCTACCGGATGCAGCAAGAGGTGCACTGCTGACACAGCCTAGAAACCCGCAGCNTCTATGGACGAATCCTTCGATGTGTCTACCAATTTGTGGCGCCTGCANACAGCGCGTGAGCTCTGCATGCCAGCTTCCATATCTGATTAACCCCAAGCGACTGTGCCCCCACTGTGTGTTATTCTTAGACCGNNCCATTCTTGTTTACCTGCAAGATTACCAAGCTCACAATGACGCCCAACGAACTGGGTCCGATTCAGCACTGGCTCTCTTTTCCAGAAAATGNNCCCTGGCCGGAGACGACTTGTTCACAGACCGTAGTGGGGTTCANNTGAGCAGTCTGGGACGGCGTTGCGCGTCAAATGCGCCTTTGCTCTGTCATGCATGTGTCTGCGAACTCAAGAGTTTGGAACTAACCCATCCCCGAGTCATTTTCCTCAGACCCTGGTCAAGCGCTGGCTCGTGTTTGGGAACGCTATGCGATCCATCCGGTCAGTTTAATAACGGCCCGCGCATCATGTGTGTGTCCATCTAGCCAAGTCTCGTAGGGCTGTTGCGGCTTTGCTTGCTTACACCGGAGGTTATCCATCCTTCCATGCATTGCAGTACCATTGTGCGCGCGAATCAGCGTGTGTGGTGCGTGCTTGGCCATGTCATGGTAATGTTCCTTGCAGTTGAAACGCACCCTTCCACAGGTAGGTCGGTTCTTCGGGACAGCTCTCGCTCCCGGACATCCATATGAGCCATGCCAGTCCCCACTATGGTTTCCTTCACCGTAGCATCCTTTCCACCTCGTGTATATATACCCAGTCGATACCCTTGACTTGACGATCATCCATCGAACTTCACATCCAAGTCTCTTCCTACCTCAACCATGGACGCCTTCAACTATCCCAACCGCCTAGTACACCAACCATACACAGAGTCTTTTGGTTCACCAGTACTACTCTGCTCAAGTCCTGACAACCAAATCATCGACCACTGCTATCCGGAAGACTTCCAACCCATGTTCAATACTTGTCAATCACCTCTGTTCCGTCCCATGCAGCCTATTCTTCCCACCCAGCATGAGCCTTACTCAGGGCAATGTACACCAACATGGCCAGAGTCATATCCATACCAGCCGGTCTTCATGGACTACAACTTTGGTGTTGTTCGCTCCAGTCCCTCTCTCCTTCCTTCCATCGAACAAACAACCTTGAGCCGACCGGTCTCGAGAGCACCTTCATTCAGATCCGACACAAGTTCTTCGTGGATGAGCTGTCCAAGAAGCAATCCTTCTCGCTCATCGTCTCCCAACGCTGGAGAAATGTCCAAGTACGGAGCTCCCAGTGAGGATGGCACATGGAAGTGTGCTTACCCTGGATGCACATCCAAGTCTGTGTTCCGACGAGGATGCGACCTGCGCAAGCATTACCGCAGACATACAAAGACCCTCTTCTGTCGCCATATTGGCTGTCGATCTGCAAGCGAAGGAGGGTTCTCAAGCGAGAAAGACCGAGCACGCCATGAAGCTAAGCACGATCCTAAGATCGTTTGTGAGTGGGATGGCTGCAGTAGAGTGTTCAGCAGAGTGGACAACATGGTAAGTCCCTATAACAACACGTGTGCCAATATACAAGCAACTAACAATATCCGCAGNAGAGATCATGTCCGCCGTATCCACCGCCGCAAGCTCGTCAAATGAAGAGTTGCAGAACGCTATTTATGATTTACGATATAACCTTGGTCGACTTAATGTCTGAAAAGGATCACCATGCGGATGATATGGGATGGCCGTCGGCGTATGTGTCTATATTAAATATTGACCGGTGGACACTCTTGGCAGAGCCATGGGATGATAAATCTCTACAATAGGCAGGTGTTTATATGGAAGGATGGAGGTCTGGAGGCATTGTGGGACTGTGATTCGGATTGGGGCGCTAGGCTTGGTTCTGTGTTTTTCTCGGATTGATACCCCTGCATTTGCTGCGACTATGGCAATAGAAGGACAATAAGCATATACCGCAACGAGCGGTTGTTTTCATCCATCTTGTATATTGTTTGTTTGCACCATAACCTGCAACTTTTGAACACGTGCCTAACTCTCCAGGTCAATCAATGCCAACTCACGAATACTGGCGGTGAACCAAGCTGTTGGTACGCTCGAGTCGTGCTGGCAGCGCTCATGCCGACAAGGTGCAGACTCGACAGACATGACACTATTTTTGAACGATTTCCCAATTCTGCTAGAACACCGAGATCCGTCGATCTCATATAGATTGGCTCCCAGTCATACAGATGGCACGTGGACCGCCAGGGTCATGGTACCGACTTGATAGCGCGAACCAGATACATCGCATGTGCAGATCCGAACTTCAACTGAGAGGTAATGTGTTGGTCTGTCCCGAGAGACATGCGAAGGAAGTTTAATAGATTATTCAATTACTCGTGTTCAACGTACCGCCGGAGAAAACAATCACAATCGATGGATCTCATCAATGTAGCAGATGGTCCGCGGATGCAATCGCAGCAAACTCCATGTCCCGATTCTGCAGTGTTGCCACGACAACCAGAGCTTGTAAACATGCTGGCTTTCTCTTTTCCATAGTGGCTTGATCGTGAAGATAGTATCGACCAAGGGAAGAAATGGCAATTAAGATGGCACCCTCTCGCTATGTCGACGACAGCGACAGCGACGACCTTCCAGAACTGGATGCGCTCATCAACAAACATGTCAAGGGTTTGCCCATCACGACTGCGCCGAAGCTCACTGCCTCGAANACCAACCGTACCTCGTCTGGCACCTCAAAAACCAACTGGAAGGACACAAAGACCGAAGATCGACAACACAAAGACAAATGCACCCACAAAGAGCTCGACAAGAGCAAAGACATCCGGCCAACAACTTACCGAGCTGAAATCTGCTCCGGAAGTCAGAAAACAGGTACTGGAACCCAAGTTGCTGTCGAGAGCTCGCGGACAGGCTGCGCTGAAGGAGGTAGANNGGCTAAGGTCAAGGAACTGAAGCCGAGAGCCACACCGCATAGGAAGGCGAAGCCAGCACCGCGACGTCTTCCGCGCATAGACGATTCGGAATCTGAAGAAAGCCATGAAGAAGTGGAAGAGGAGGATCTGGAAGAGAGCATATACTGCGAAAGCGACAAAGAGCATGAGGTTCCAGTTCTTGCTCCCAAAGCTACGAACAAGCCTGCGAGAAGGCTTGTGGCTGGTCGAAGAAGTCCAGACTTAGAGTCGAGTGACTCGGACGAGGATGTCTTCCACACTCCTCCAAGCAAGCAATCGCAAAAGTCTTCGAAGAAGAGCTTCACTACAGAGACTTCAGACGACCTCACTCAGAAGCTTCTCAAACTTGACCTTGACGATTCAGACAAGGAAAACGACAACCTCGCCATACTCAAATTGTAAGTTACCTTACAGCAGATCTCACATGCCACATTGCTAACATCTAATAGCTCACCTCCGCGCGCAGCACGGCCAATCATGCTAGAAAGACCAGCAACTCCTCCACCAGCCTCTCCTTCAAAATCTCGCCTTGTCTCTCCTTCGAAGAAGAAACAACGCATTCCCACGCCCCCTCATGCACCGAACTTCGAAGAATTTTGGAATGTTCATGCAGTAAACACCTGGAACGACGAGTACTCTCCTCAGAAGCCCCTGATCTCGCCCAAGAAGAACCGTAAGGCACTGCAAGAAGACTCAGATTCACCCTCTTCATCGCCAAAGAAGTCACAAAGTCCTACAAAGAAGAGTCGCGCTGAGATGCTCGCAAAGAAGGACTTTGAAAACAGAAAACACAAACTGGTCGAAGACTTCTTTGCTGAGCTTGATCACAAGATCACTGGAGACAAGATTGGAGAGCTTGCTGCATTGACTGGTGGCGTCAAGTTCATTTGGAGTAAAACACTAAATTCAACCGCCGGCCGAGCAAACTGGAAGCGCGAGACAACAAAACACAGAAATCTTGATGGATCGATAACAACAACTCAGAAGCACCACGCCTCTATCGAACTTGCCGAGAAAGTCATTGATGATGAAGAACGTCTTCTGAACGTCGTGGCTCACGAATTCTGCCATCTTGCAAACTTTATGGTCAGTGGGATTAAGGATCAACCACATGGTCATCAGTTCAAGGTCTGGGGCAAGAAGTGCAGCGATGCATTCGGTCACCGTGGCGTAGAAGTCACTACGAAACACTCATACCACATCGACTACAAGTACGTCTGGACTTGCACAAATGAGATGTGTAACCACGAGTTCAAGCGTCACTCCAAGAGTATCGACCCAGCCCGTCACTCGTGTGGTGTGTGTCGCAGTAAGCTTGCTCAGACAAAGCCGGCACCTAGAAAGCAGGCAGGCCCGACTAGCTATGCAGCTTTCGTCAAGGCCAACTTTGCAGCCCTTAAGCAGGAAATGGCAGGAGCACCTCACAAGGAAGTCATGGCTGCCTTGGGTCAAAAGTATCGAGACCAAAAGGCCAAGGGCGAGTTGAATGCCACAACACCACCAGGAGGAGTCGACGATATGGCTCAGGCATTGGAAGTTGTGGTGTTGGACAGCGAGTGATGTGGTGGTCGCATGGTTGTCCCAGCTCTTTCTGTTTTTCATTTCATGATACCCCTGCCGTTCTTTCTTCATACGCCCTAAAGTTCTTCATACTTGTTTCCACCAGACCCAATGTACATATCATTGCATGCACAAACCATCTCTATATCCATGAAAATCATTCCTGAACAAACAAATCCCAATCCTTGATTTCAAAAGTCTGCAAGATGCGATCGCGGAATGATGTTGCGGCGTCCAGCATGGGTCCTTGCTTTCCAGCTGAAGGATCAACGTCGTCTTTGTTGTATTCGCCGTCTACGTGAGGGACGTTGACACAGATGACCAGGTCGGTTTGTTGGCGCTCCAGGCGGATCAGTGCGAGCAGAATGCCTGTGAAGTCAGGGGCTTTGCCACGAGACACTGCATCTGCTGATGCTGTATGTGTGGCGAATAGAGTGTAGGCGGGTGTCTGAGATCTGTGATATGGGCATCAAGGGTCAGTAGGGGACGTTTGATAGATGCTAAGACAAAAGGCGACACCAGAAAATCCTTCTAATCTGATGAAGGGATTCGCAAGACAATTTCAAAAGTCTCGACGAATGTCTTGTAAGAAAAACGATGAGACTTACGGGAGTTTGCTGAGGACTGCAGAGTTTGAGGTCCAGAGTTTTGTGGCATTCACATCATCCTCGACGATGTCTTCGAGATGGTACTTTAGGGCATCCAGATCCGGCTTGTCGACACGCTCCAGGATATCAAAGACAATGCTTGAAAGTCCATCTTTGTCCAGGTAGACTTCTTGGTTGTCGGGCACTTGTCTGATTTGGCTNNGTCGATGCGTTAGCGGGTGCGCTTGCTGTGTTGGCGACCTTGATCCATTTTACCTGACGTCTGCGAAGTTGGAAGGAAGTTCGACGGTCATGGCACCGCCATAGAGTTCGACTTTGTTGAATGACATATTGCTGATGTTTGTAGTGATGTTCTCTTGAATGTTTGAAGTGATGATAATATGGTTCGAGGGAAGACGTCTAGCACAGGATTTGTAGTCGCCGGTCCTCAGGCAGCAATACACCCTTAGGCAGACATCGACTCACCGTCACATCTACACTCATCTATTATTCGCCAGCTTCACATTGTTTGTGTAGAGCGCTTTGTAAGCACTCCTGTCAATCAAAATATGAGTCACTGATGCAGGATAGCATATTTAAAATGACTTGATTGTGTTTCACGACCATCGCAACTACGAATTCACAATGGCATAATAATCATATTCTATCGATCCTCCTTCCTTCCAAAACTTGCTGTGAGTTCGCCGGCAGTCTTTCCACGATAAGTTGTGTCCACGGAGCCTTAAGTTTTTCTCTGTCGGCTTCATCATTTGTTCCCAGCCAGAAAGTTCGAGATATGCGAAGCATATGGACTTCTACTAGCACTCAAGGTGTACACTAGGGAGCGGTCAATCGATGAGCGTGGTGTCCTGAAGCCGGTCCGGCTGTTGTAAGGATTGCATCTGCAACTCCTGCTTGGACGAGCACAGCGTGAATGCTTTCTTGGCGTGTGCTGTCCTGTGCGCTTTGTGGTCGGAAGCGTACGTTTGTTGTATGTATCTTGATGAGCAGTAGACGAGAGCCATGCAGCTTTTCAAGTGGCTTCGGCCATCTCAAGCTCGTAGTCGTCTTCCACCTTGCGCTTGCCGTTGTCTGTCCAGGTCAAGCCAGCGGCAGCCTCGGCCTCTTTCTGCGAGTAGGGCTTTTCTTTGAGTTGGCGGACTCTNNGTGATACATGTCAGCAGTGTACGATATCGTCAAGATATCATGAGGCTCACCTGCGCTTGTGAGGCTTTCCCTTTCCGTGTGCGACCAGGTTCGCTTCAGACTCGAACCATTTTGCGCATTCAACACAGTAGAACTGTCCGAGGCCAGGAAGGTCTTCTGCAGCCTTTGTGCTCTTGTACTTTTCCAAATGCTTCTCCTTGTGGATGTCGTCGTGAATCTGGTCCAGATCGCGCGTGTGACGGCGAGTCTTCTTCTTCGAGTCTTGACCGCGAATGGCAGGCATCGTGGCTTCCTGGTAGACGAGTGGAAAGTGTCGCGTAAGTGTGTATGATAGCCGAGGGTTTCCTAGTCGCAATCACAATCGTAGTCTGCTGTGTTCACGCAAAGTTATTCGTTTGGCGAAAGTTGATGCAACCCGCATGGAATTTTTACTTCGGGGTTGCCAAGCACTTTACTTTCTGTCTGCAGCCAAATTCAATTCTTGAGACACAAGTCCCAGCATATGTGCTGAGACTTCTCTCATGGTCTTTGCTCGGGTGTCACATCAATGACTGCTCCTTGTTCACTAATTCTATGATCTACAGATATTCAGCTAAGATTGAGAGTCGCGACAAGAGGTATGATGTAGTAGCGAAGGTCAAACGTTGAGTACACGTTCCAGACAGTCACATGCGAAGAGTCGGCTCCAACTTTTGGAAAAATTGCTCGCAGCCGATCGAGCCGGCCGAGTTCTTGTCTTGCCGACCGAACAATCAGCGAGCACCGATTTGGGAACACCTGCCAACCAATAAATAGGCGGGCTCCTCCGAGGTTTACCGGCACGGCTTTGTGAGAACCCGCACGCGGCAGGTACAGCTGTTTCGAAAGCTGGGCATGGCAGCCCCTTGAAGCTTCATGGAGCTCGAGCAAAACAGCTCTGGGAAGATGGAACACACGTCGCGATCACGATGAGTGAACAGCTATGCAATGCCGTCTGATGTCAGAAGATACAAGGCAACGAATGAGCATCCAGCGAGAGCAATCAAGCAAGCTGGACGGAAGCGAAAAAGCACAGAGGCGGCGGGGGTGTGTAAAACGAGCAGCTAGACCCAGCCTGATCCGTGCGCGCTCGAGCCAATGGGAGCAGTTTTGATGAGGCCGGTCGCTTTGACCGAGGGCCAAAGGGAGTGAGGACTTGGTATCTTCTCTTAAATAACTCTATCGTCTTCTTTTCCTCAACACCTCTCCGCTCCATCACTTCTCCCCACCCCCGTGTGTCCTTCTTTTAGCCGTATAGGCATCTAGGTCACTGTCAATAGCTATCTCGCCGTTGACTATCACAATGCAGTCTGCTCGTTTGGCAGCGCGCAAGCTGGTAAGGCTTTTTCACAGCTTGTTTCGTCCGCAGAACACCACACTGACAAGCTCTAACAGCTTGGCCGTCGCGCCTTGCGACTGTCGGCGACTCGCCTCTCTCCAAGAAGGTCGAGATGACCAACTGGGAGTCCGGCAACTACATCAACTACGCCAAGATGAGCGAGAACCTCAGCATCGTCCGCCAGCGTCTTAACAACCGCCCTTTGACCTACGCCGAGAAGATCCTCTACTCCCATCTTGACAACCCCCATGAGCAGGACATCGAGCGTGGTGTTTCTTACCTCAAGCTCCGCCCCGACCGTGTTGCTTGCCAGGATGCCACTGCCCAGATGGCCATTCTCCAGTTCATGTCCGCTGGCATGCCCTCAGTCGCTACCCCTTCGACTGTCCACTGTGACCACTTGATTGAGGCTCAGATTGGTGGCGAGAAAGATCTTGCCCGTGCTCAGGACATCAACAAGGAGGTTTACGACTTCCTGTCTACCGCTTGCGCCAAGTACAACATCGGTTTCTGGAGACCCGGCTCTGGTATCATTCACCAGATCATTCTCGAGAACTACGCCTTCCCTGGTATGCTTTTATTTGCTAAATCTCTGACGATCGGAGCTGACTCTCATTTTAGGTGGTTTGATGATTGGTACTGACTCTCACACTCCCAACGCTGGTGGTCTCGGTATGGCCGCCATTGGTGTCGGTGGTGCTGATGCCGTCGATGTCATGGCCAACCTCCCCTGGGAGCTCAAGGCCCCCAAGGTTATTGGTGTCAAGCTTACTGGCGAGCTTTCTGGCTGGGCTTCTCCTAAGGGTACGTTCTTGCATATCTTAAGTTCTTCTAGACTCCATACTGACTTTTCTACTAGACATCATCTTGAAGGGTATGTTCATGTAAATCTTGCATTCTTTTGATCTGATACTAACATTTGGGCCAAGTTGCCGGCATTTTGACTGTTAAGGGAGGTACTGGAGCTATCATTGAGTACCAGTTCGTGCTTTCCATTCCAAACATGGTTCAGGAAACAAGCTGACAGATTTTCTTAGCGGTCCTGGTGTCGACTCCATCTCTGCCACTGGTATGGCAACTATTTGCAACATGGGGTACGTTTCTCTTCTCATTCTCCTTGCTGTTACCGGAAAGAAAAGGGGCACACCGTGCAGCATCTCCACAGACGAAGAGCTCTCTCAAGACCACCATCGCAATGCAGGATGTTTTGTCGCCACGTGATGCCTCCACTGAGAGCGTGCTACTCCAACAGGGGCATCCACATCTCAGTGGTGGATGCAACGAACAGATAAATATCATGCATTGCGATGGTATCTACTAGGCATGCATTCGTTCTGGGAGCACGCCGCATGCCTGTTTCGCATACAACGCAACACCTTCGATCTGAACATTCGCTGACGATTATTACAGTGCTGAGATTGGTGCCACCACCTCCCTCTTCCCCTTCAACGACCGCATGTACGACTACCTGAACGCCACCAAGCGCAAGTCCATCGGTGACTTCTCTCGCACCTACGCCAAGGAGCTCAAGGAGGACCAGGGCGCTGAGTACGACCAGCTCATTGAGATTAACCTCTCTGAGCTCGAGCCTCACATCAACGGTCCCTTCACTCCCGATCTTGCCACTCCCATCAGCAAGTTCAAGGAGGCTGTCAAGGCCAACAACTGGCCCGAGGAGATGAAGGTCGGTCTTATCGGCTCTTGCACCAACTCCTCTTACGAGGATATGTCGCGTGCCGCTTCCATTGCCCGTGACGCTCTCGACCACGGTGTCAAGGCCAAGGCTCTCTTCACCGTCACCCCCGGTTCTGAGCAGATCCGCGCCACCATTGAGCGTGATGGTCAGCTCCAGACCTTCGAGGAGTTCGGTGGTATGGTTCTTGCCAATGCTTGCGGTCCCTGCATTGGACAATGGGACCGTCGCGATGTCAAGAAGGGCGAGAAGAACTCGATCGTCTCTTCTTACAACCGTAACTTCACCTCCCGTAACGATGCCAACCCCGCCACCCACGCTTTCGTCACCTCCCCCGACCTTGTCGTGGCCATGACCATTGCCGGTACCCTCAACTTCAACCCTCTCACCGACTCCCTCAAGGACAAGGGATGGCAACGAGTTCATGCTCAAGGCCCCTACTGGTGACGGTCTGCCTTCAAACGGGTATGATCCGGGAATGGACACATACCAGGCTCCTCCTCAGGACCGCTCCCAGGTCAACGTTGCCGTTTCCCCACCTCTGACCGTCTCCAGATCCTCGAGCCCTTCAACGCTTGGGATGGCAAGGACGCCACCGACCTCCCTATCCTGATCAAGGCTCAGGGCAAGACCACCACTGACCACATCTCCATGGCCGGTCCCTGGTTGAAGTACCGTGGTCACTTGGACAACATCTCCAACAACATGTTGATTGGTGCCATCAACTCCGCCAACGGCGAGGCCAACAACATTGAGAACTTCACCACTGGTGAGTTCGGCACCGTTCCCGGTGTTGCCCGTGACTACAAGGCCAAGGGCATCCGCTGGGTCGTTGTCGGTGACTGGAACTACGGTGAGGGTTCTTCCCGTGAGCACGCCGCTCTCGAGCCCCGTCACCTTGGTGGTCTCGCCATCATTGTCCGTTCGTTCGCCCGTATCGTAAGTACAATTCGTCCGACTTGTCACAAACCCAATTTGCTAACAACTCTTTACAGCACGAGACCAACTTGAAGAAGCAGGGTATGCTTCCTCTTACCTTCTCCGAGCCTGCCGACTACGACAAGCTCAACCCCGACGACAAGGTCGACCTTCTCTGCACTGAGCTCGCCGTCGGCAAGCCCATGACCATGAAGGTTCACCCCAAGAACGGCGAGTCCTACGAGATCAAGCTTTCGCACACCTTCAACGAGGGCCAGATCGAGTGGTTCAAGAACGGTTCTGCCCTCAACACCATGGCCAAGGCCGCTAAGCAATAAATGATGCACGAATAGTTACGGTTGGGACAGCTATTTTCTATAAAATCATGAGCCGGACACAAACATCCGGACCGGGGCGGTAGAGGAGATATCACACACACAGAGTGATTCACAGAACGGGGATGATGAAGTGGTCTTTATTGTGTTTATACCTTGTACTCTTGGGCGTATCTGATTTCCTTTTCTTTCAACCATATATCCCCGAATGAGTTTTCTATGTTCTATAAGTTGACCGACCCACAAGTGCTCAGAGAATGCATCAATTGTAAATATGTGGCCTTTTGATGTGCTGAATGTGTTGCTCTTTGGAGACTTTATCATAACCAGAACGTAGTTGCAAGCCGTATAAATGGGAGTGCTCAATTTCGTTCTACAGAGTGACCAAAGAGAATCATCATCATAAAGATTTTCATGTATACTGCCATTTGCTTACAAAGTAAAACAGATTTTGGCAGCCTCATAACACCAGACTGTGATGGCGAGTAGTTATAGATAGTCATGTCGTATTTGGCGCCCTGACAAGCATGATGGACAAGACCTCATGACAAGATACTATGTAATTAGCTATTCTTGTATCGCATCTGACTGTTTTCTGACTACCAGCTAGGTAGGGGGAGTTTCGGAGGTTTCTGGTACGCGCAACATCTAGAAGGTCCTGCATTATGTATACTTCGCAAAGCCTTGATATGTAGCCAGGCCACATGAGAATGTTGTGTTGTGATTCTGTATCTCGTACTCGTCTGACCATTCAGAGCCAAATGTAGTAGATATAATTACTGTATCAAAACCTTCGGTGCAAGGGTATCGGGAAGTCATTGACTCTTTTCCTCCAGAGGATGGATAAAATAGCAATGTTCCGACGCTCAGGGTACTAGAGATAAATGCCTCGAAGCCAGTAACACCATGCCATGATTCGGGCATCTCAGATATAGACAAGATTTATGATAGCCCAAAGAATTATCACTTCTACAATTAATTCTCCGTAGTAATATTATAAGTCGCGTTCATGAGAGCTGCAGTCACTTCAAGAATGACATGAAGTGAAGTCAAGCAAGCACCCAAAATTGTCCGTGCGTTGCCAAGGCCACTCGCTTAGCCGTGTGCGCAGAATTGGGCGACTTCACAGTGCGAAGAACTTGGAGATCCCGCAACCTCGACAAGTTATTCACCTCCAGACGTCGCAATGGCCAGTAAGTTGCGACAGCATGCTGCTAGATATGTTGATGAAATGCTGACAAAATTCTACAGAGTCCAAGAACTCGTCGCAGCACAACCAGGCTAAGAAGGCCCACAAGAACGGGTACGCAGCGATATCCTCTACAGCACCTTTCGACCGCCCTGCTCGCCATCAACCAGACCGATGAGAACGATCGACTGACACGACGACACACAGTATCAAGAAGCCCAAGACCCACAGATACCCTTCGCTCAAGGGTACCGACCCCAAGTTCAGACGCAACCACAGACATGCTCTTCACGGCACCATGAGAGCCCTGGTACGTGGCGCAGATCCCACCACCGACTCGACGCCATACTGACAACCTCTGCAGAAGGAGGTCAAGGAGGGCAAGAGAGAGTCCGCATAAACGCATCAACCACATCACGAAAGTCAAAAATCGGCGTCTAGTGTTATGGGTTGGAAGCTTTGCTAGAAGGAGCAAGAAATGACTCCTCGCGACAAATGCCATGAATCTGGTTGTGCAATGCGCCCCTCGGTCACGTCGCCTCTCGTCCTGGTCCATCTCTACATTCTCGTTCACTTCCATCTCCACCGTGACCCCATCCTCTTCGGAACAAAACAACAACGGCATAAGTGTGTACAGCAACTCGCGATCTCCATGCAGAATTTGCTGAAGGATTTTCCATCGTGCCAATATCAACGACCCCACCATTACCAAACACTTGACCTGTCATCCATCGGGTACATGTGCATGGAGTTGGGGTTACATCTATTTCTCTCTTTAGCATTTGATCATATGTATGTGACAATTCCACATCTTTCATTAAACAGAAAAGCAACTTCTCCTTTGTGTTTCAAATCTGTGCATCGTGAAGTTCTCGTCGACTATCAAGGCAAGTACGCGCAGTTGCGCCTTCTCTCACTAAAGCTCGCTTTCACATCAACATTGCGCGTTTATCACAACATTCGGTCATTGGACTCGCATGCGCCCAAGTGTTCATCACTACATCCCGCATGGTCAGATATTCATCAGATTAACATCATGGCGGATGTTTACCAATGGCGCAGAAGAATCCAGCCTGGTTTTCCAAACACACTCCTGCCTGTCGGCGAGCAAGATGAGGCGGAGCCAGACATCAGGAGTGGCTTTGGCTCGTCTCGCAAGAAGGTGCGACCCAAGATCAGCTCCTACTTCTCCCATCGTGGACCGTCCACAACTCATAGCAGATCCTCCGTCTGGTCTGCCGACCAACGTTCTTCTTTTAAGGAAACCATATCCTCCCCGTATCAAACTTGGCCTGAAGGATGCGAGCCCGACCCAGATCAGATCATGGACTCCATCATGCGCACTCTGATAGCCGAGCCATACCGTCCCCTAGACGTCAAGCACAACTCGCCCCTGTTGATGATCTTTGAAGGCTTTCGCAACCTTCGCGATGAGAACTCTTCTCTTCTGCGAAAACTGAAGTACGAAGCTGAAACTCGATTCGAATCACGTCATGAACTGGAACTCGAACGACAAACATGGCAGCGAGAAAGAGAAGAGTACAAAGCCGAGGTCAAGAGACTCGAACTGATCATCTCCAAGCAAAAGGAAGGAGTCGCAGAAGTGATGCGCGCCAGACAAGGCAGTTTGCTGGGCAGAGAACACAGACGACGCACTGCTTCTAGTGTATACACAAGCAGAGATGACCCAAGAGAGACTGTCTTCGAATTTCTTGAGAGGACAAGGATCGAAGATGAGAGAAAGCAGGAAGCAGCCAGAAAGGCACAGAGAGGTTGGTCAACCCGCCGATATGTCCAAGTCTAGAGAAACCACTCACCATACAACTAGTACCCTTCNCGTAACCGTCCTATCTCTCCGTCACAGAGAATGGCAATACTATCTCACAAGTTCTCCACGACCAACCACTACAGTGATTTCGAATCGCCCCCTAGTCCTCAAGAATTCACAAGTCTTTCTCAGGCCTCAATATTTGAGATGCTCGCTGGACGACCTTCCCTCTCCGACACAGACTCATCAGAGAACGGTTCTACTCAACAGGACCAACATGTGGAGACGGCCGACGGTGATGGAGAAGAAGAAACGGGTTACTCCAATCTCAACAAATCCCTTCTGAGAGAAAACGGCAGCTTTGAGATTGAGCATCAGCCAGCTCAATATTTCAACTTGCGCACGCCGTCACTCGAATCAGACAGCACGGAACAGCCGATGTCTCGCACTCCTAGGACTCGTCCAGAGTCACTTCTTTTGATCCATACACGAAGGTTTTCCTTCGAATACGACGACGAGGTCCCTTCCGCCCAAGTCAAGACACAACACGCAGTAAACTCTCCTCTCCAGAGAAGCATGTCTGCAGGCTACTTTCCTTCGAAGCAGGCATCTGTATCTCCACGTGATATTTCCAGCACGTTGGCTTCAGACAGTCTTGTTTCATCCCCTGTTGCAATGTCTGTGATGGAATCTCCGGGCATATCTAAGATACCTAGTCCGGTGTTCGATCCGTCCTTGGCAAGGCCGAGAAGAGAAGATTCATCGTCAAGCTTCCTTACCGTTATCAGAGCCCCCGAAGGCGGATCAAACCACAGCAGAGCAACGTCTAGATCGAGCAATCCTTTGGACAGTCCTCACCTATCGTCGAGTCTTCGAGGCAGCGGTAACTCTGCCACTAATCAACGCAACTCTGGACGTTATGGAAGCATGCACGATGTGAGCATGGCTGTCGCTGCCGCCCGTGCTGCTGTTCCTTCCGATTCGCCAAAGCCAGTAGCAGAGTTACGTGCCTCGTATCACGCCAACGCATAAAGCAAGAGCACACGGTGCCTCGCAACACGATGCCTCGATCAAGCTGGAAGATGTATAATTTTAGCATGACGAAAATGCTTATCATATGGCGATAGACTGCGTGGATCGTTGGAGGCTGGAGCACCCGCGGTCATGTGGACTGAGAAGAGAAATGGCGGTGCGGGGGATGATATGCAGTGGAAGAATTGCCTTGGTCGTGGCCCTGGTGTGGCTGTGCATGGTTCCCATCAACCATTTGAACGTGGCTGTCTTTGAGTCGCTCGAACAAATCGCTGGAACCAATAGAACATGCCATACACACAATCTACAATCCCGCTCGCCCTGCCAAGGGAAAGGTTTCTAGTGAACTGTAACGTTTGAGGTTGCCGGATTACCGCACGTAGACGGTCAATCTTACTGGATGTGTCTCGAGAACTGCTGTCTATGGAAAGGGGGTCTACACGTCCAGATGGTACAATACTCTTTGTACTGCAGGTCTCTCGCAGTCCGCAGGAACAGTTCTCGGAGCCGCTCTCCACACGTTATGATTACAAAAGCCTCACACCTCATACATGAAAGGACTTTTTTTGCTGCTGCAAGTACGACGGTTTCATCAGGGTACTACTACCGAGCTGCAATATGGCATCTCTGCTATTAGTGCCAATCCTGTACCTTGCATTTCGTTCTCTATGCCTTGTGCTTCCATTCCATCTCATTCGCCAGAAGACGTTGCGGTTCATTTTGACAGAGGCTATAATCTCCACATGGTTTCAATACGAAGTAGCGGCCCGACCATGCGGAGTTGCTTGATGGGGAACCTCCTGGAGACGGAGATTCAGCAACAGATAGAGTGCTATGTACGACACTGCTTGATAATGTGATTCATTCTTCTGGAGGTTGATCATTTGGAGAGAACATTGGTAATTCTCGCTAGCTAGTAGATACGCACGCATGTGCTTCCAAATACTCAAAACGAGAATGCTGTTTCGTCCAGTATCAGACGTGGATCCCTCGGTCGCTTCTTCAATCAGGCACCAGCCACGGATGACGAGCTCGAGATGCTGTTTGGACAAGGTCGAAGAGGGTAACTGCAATCCAAACAAACAACCGCCACAGGTAAACCACAGAATACTACCTCCTTGTCTTGTTGAGAACAGTCGAGCCTGCGGCATTAGATGGGCAGCCACACCCCGGCCTCATATCATATCATATCATCCATGCCGGATTNNGGGTTGCAGCAAATCTCCCGCAGAANNCAGCTCTCATCGAATCACGTTGAGAGAATTTTGAGAAGGAAGGGCNCTGGAGCGCGGTCGNAGTGGTTCAAAGCGTGACNNAGCAATGACAGCTGCTCAGCCACAGCCACAAAGTNNTACTTGCCTCGTTCTCTCACAGAGTTTGGCAGAAGAGGGGGAAATGTATGGTACAAGCACCGCCACAGACGGTACTCGTTGGAGGCTGGTTGTGGCTGAAAGCAAGTGTGGCACAAAGCTGAGGTCCCAGCCAGCCGACAGCTGCTTGTCGCAGGAAGCAAGGAGCCACGTTCCGGTTGTCGCTGCGCTAGATGGTTCGTTTCAAAGGCCAACTCTGAGCNNTTCTTCTCGCTCCATCTTCGATCGCAACACACCGCGATACGCGATAGGAATTTGGCCATCATTGNNGCACATCCCAGGATCTTCGGGTTGCGTCGAAGATCAAAAGTGTNNTTCCGGGAGAGTGGATACACCNTGTCGCTTCGTTGTCCACCGCCACTTCGCTGTGGCAGANCGCATGGGGGCGGAGAGGGGAAAAGATCAACGGATCACAAGCTTCTCGGAATTGTTGCGGGCCAACTCGCTCGCTGATCGATGCCTCGAGAGCTGTTGCACTCGTGCGGTGCTTGGGTGGCTTTCGCGAGAGAGGAACGAGGCGCCGTTTGAACGAGCAACCCAAACGGTACAAAGCGGGGCCCGTTAGCGCCAAAGCTTCCGATGACGAAAGTTGCACTTTGACAGCGCTCGTTTGATACGGCAGGACGTGCCCTCTGTTTTCTCTCTGTGTGTTGACCCTTGTGAGGCCATGCGCAATTACATTATGAATGTTAGTGGTAATAATAGAGTGGCTCGTCACGATATAAGGTTCTGTTCAGCGCATGATGTTAGTGGCTTACCGAAAATCTCAATGGTCTAGCAGATAAGCACATCTCAATTTCGGGTGGTGTTGCAAAGGGAAATTGCTTGAAGCAGAGAGACGGCAGAGAAGAACGTCTTCTAGAAGATGTAGGGCATGATGCCGATGGTAGAGCGGCAGCATCCTGGATCAAGGATTGAAAGGAGATGTGGCTCCATCGGCGAATTACCATCTCAGACTGAGTTCGCTATTGATGCAGGGTTAGATTGGACAGCATGCAGAGGTATCAACGCTCGGGGGAAGACTGTATGGGCCAAGCCGCTCACATATCGTGCACATCCTTAGCTGTGGCTACGTCACAAAGGTCAGCAGTCTGCCTGGCCGTGTAATGATTGCGAGATGCGACAGAAGACGCTTCGTGAGGCCTGCAAAAAGGGTCGAGTTGGCGAGTATCAAGTGCGTGCTAGTGAGATTTGCTGGCTCGCTGTGCGCTGTATTCGTAAGCTTTGAGGCTGTTAACATCGGACACAGTGCTTCGAGTTAGCAAAAAGGAAGGGCATGGTGATCGAGCCGCGTTTCTTGTGAGAGGACGAGATCGAAGATTGCCGTGACGGGCTCGAGTCAGCGCCGCAGCGTCTGCGGGGATGCGTTTTCAGCCACACGAGGGCACACGCTTTCCGCTTTTGCAAGCGTGCATGTGAGAGCGACAATCGATTCGAAGTAAAATCCAAAAAAAAAGCAAACTGTGGCACAAGCGGGGATCGTTGACAACGAGGGCAGTCTTCGGCAGTCGACGTGCTTTTGCACAGCCATGTGGCTAGATGTGGCGCCGACTGGGATGTGATGCATATACGGGACAGCGAAAAGATAGAGGAATCATGATGAGTGTGAGGCACACGGAGCAGGCAGTCGCTACGTGTATCGAGCGATGCTGAACGGTGCTGGGCGCAACGCAGCAAGCGCAAGCGAAGCAAATCGGCAGAGCACGGGACAGGCTGAGTGTCGCTTCCATGCTGGTAGCGTAAGTTTAGGTCGGGCCACAATTCAGCCTGCAGTTAAAACGGCGCGCATCCTGTGGCTTGTGGTTGCGCCTTTCCCTTATTGCACGCTGTTTCATCGACTCGCCTGGTGACGACCTTATCCGCAAGAGTTGTCTTTCACCTTTTCATAAAACCACCTTCCTCACCTCGCGCTCGCAAACCCGCTGCCTAACCACTCGACATCTCCCAAGATTGCATGGTGAGCGTCTAACAACCATGTTCGAGCATAGGTAAGAGCGAGCCACACTGCCACAGCTGGCTGGAATTCCGCGCGCGCATCCGTGGCTGACATGATTTGTTATTGCTGCTGCAGACAAAGCTCGCAGAAGCCGAGCATCGAACTGCAAAAGAGCTTCAAGCCGTACCTTGAGGCCGTCAAGTTCAATCCCAACAACACACAAGCCCACACCAATGCGCCCTCGTTGAATGCCCTCGACGTCGCGACTCTGAATCCTCGGTATGTCTGCTCCCTCCTCCATCTTTCCGCTCACCCAACCAACTCGTCCTCTCCCACTCGGCAATTCTGTATCTTCTTCCAAGTACCTGACCTCTAACTATTCGTGTGCTGTAGACAATTCGCCGAGCACCACAACATCAAGGATGCCGACCCTACCCCGCGAGCATCCTCGACGGAACAATGGAACTTTGGCAGCACCGGCCTCACCCCGTCGGTGCTGGACCCCAACAGCTCCTCGTTCAACACGTTTGCGAACCAAATGCCAGGCTACTACACACCCACTCCTGGTGGCACAAACACGCTATACCACCCCCAAGCAGGTGACCTCCATACTCCAGGTTTCGGCATGGGCTTGAACACGCCGCTGTCCATGCCCACCTCGGACACGTCAGCCCTTCATGTTTCTCAACTTACTCACATGCATCCATTTGCACATGCAATGCAACAGCAGCATCATCACCATCACATGAACCCCTTCGGAAACCCTCACGCCTTTCAAATGCACCACCAACCTACCTTCCCACCCCACAACTTCCAACATCAGGCCCCAGTCTTCGACCAACTGGACAGTCAAGCTACCGACTCGCCTATGTGTGGCGCTGAGATGAACCTTGACGTTGAGATGTCCAACCAGGCTCAGACCGATCCCATGTTCCCTCCCCACCTCAGCAATGCTGCACTCGTCGCTCTCCCTCAACATCCATCGAGTGAGAACTTCCGTTACCGTGTTACCCTCAACGCGCCGACTGCCATGGTCAAAACTGCCGATGAGATTCCCGTTACTTATCTCAACAAGGGACAGGCCTACACACTAAATGTGCACGATACTGCTCCCCAACATTCCGTCGTCGGCCAACTCAAGTATCGTACCTTCGTCCGCGTCTCTTTCGAAGAAGACTCACAGAGAGCACGACCTGGAGCCTGCTGGCAGCTCTGGAAGGAAGGCCGTGGTACCAATGAAGCTCATCAACGCGGCGGCCGCCTTCAAGCGGTCGAATTTGTTGACCAGAACCAATCCAACGATCTCAACCGACCCAAGCTGGAACTCGAGTCTTCTTCGTTTGATGGTTTCTGTGTAACTTGGAGCCCGTCTCCCAATGCTCAGGGAATTGAGTGCCCTATCTCTGTTCGTTTCAACTTTCTGTCCACCGACTTCAGTCATTCCAAGGGTGTCAAGGGCATTCCGGTCCGTCTGTGCACGAAGACTGAGTTGTTGCTCGACTCGATGTCTCCATCTCAACAACCTGCTCACGAAGTGTGTTACTGCAGAGTCAAGCTTTTCCGTGACCACGGTGCTGAACGCAAACTCTCCAATGATGTTGCACACGTGAAGAAGATGATCGACAAGCTTAACCAGCAGATTTCACAAATCGAATCCGGCATGAGGGATTCGAGCAAACGGAAGAGAAGTGGCTCGATCTCCAAGATGAACGCAATGCCTGCACGACCAGGAAAGGCACCCAAGCACAAGAGAACATGGTCTATGTCTTCCGCAGCCTCGAATGGAAGAACATCCGCTGAGGAAGACTTGCAAACGAAACTCATTGGACTGCAAGACATGTTTGGCTCCACACGCCCAATCAGCGTTCTGTTCCTCCGAGGCGCAGAGGAAGACGACCCAGACCTTCACCCAGTCAGCTTGTCCGGAGACACTCAGGGCCTCACCAGGGTTGATACCAACGACACAAACATGTGGGATGGTCAGAGCAAGACCAGCTCTGCCATGGTCTCGCCTACTCCAAGCAACCAATCGCTTCCCTCAAACTTCCGCCGCCCAAGCGCCTTTGGTCCTCCGTCTCGCGTCAACTCTAACGAGTGGGGTCGTAGTACTTCTCAAGTTGCACCTATGGATCTCAAGTCCTCTAACCCCCAACATCTGGCCAGCCCACCTGATCAGCCAGTCAAGATGCAAGCTCACTCGCCAACCAGTGGTACTTTTGCTGGTTGGTTCGAAGCAATCGGCGTAGATTCTTCCTATCAGCCTCCTCCTGAACGTACTAACAAGCCNTTGTAAGCCTATCTGCCATCTCAACCTGTAACACGATTACTGACAATATTAGTGGCTTGTTTCTATCTGCAATCTCGAGCCCAGGGCAAGGGACCTGAGGATAACTACTACCGAGCTATCTACCTTTCGCAAAGAACTCTCAAGGAGTTTGTCAGTGCGGCCGCCACGAAGTTCGACATCGAGCCTCAGAGAGTCGTGCGTACGGTTCGCATCAACCAGAAGGGAATTCAAATCCTCATGGATGACGAAGCGATTCGTGAAATGCCCGAGGCTCAAGATATGAAGGCCGAGTTTGCAACAGTCGACGTACAACAGGGCCAGTGGCAATCCAGATCCCCATCCTCAGGATACGAGCTCAGGCTGGTCTACTAAAGCTCAAAAATCACCAGCTCGCCAATAACGATCGTCATGAATCAACCTGCCGCCTGGGTCCTGGAGACTGAAGGATAATTATCCCGCCTTTGATCAGAGATCAGGCGATTTGAGATACCCCGTCCTTTTCACCATTGGACTTTTCCTTGTGTTGGTTCGAGCGATACCCCTCTAGTCGAGATTTCCTGTTGGTTTTCCTCGATTGATTCACAATCTTGTTCGGGCTACTAATATTTCTGGTTTTCTTTCCTTGCTGTACTCCGGATGCGCACACACATAAGTACGGTTTGTTCGTTCAGTGTACACAGTGGTTGAGCGCCTTCCGAGAATGTCTACGCCTTGAATTGGGCGCTCAAGGGATTGCCTGTTTGTTTTGAGATACCCTTCTTTGCTCTTCTCGCCTTTGGCTGTTTTATTTCCTTCCTATATCTTTTCTCTTTTGTTACATGCGATTACTTGTCAGCACACAATACCCGACCGTCACTGTGGTCATTGGAAATGGTCTTTTCTCGAATAGCAACTTCTTAGTATCTTAGTTNCATAGGATCCGCAATCTACGGCCGTATCCCTTGATATCACTTTTTCCTATCTTTAACACCTGTGAGGGCTACCGCACATCAGGNCTACTTTTACCCGCCCTTGCCGACGTTAACAAACGGCGCACGACGTGTTCGACGCCANNCACATTACCTCGCATCTTCGATCGCTTGTCCCCACTCCTCCTCAGANNCCGTTGGATACGTGTGGCGGTGCGCCAGGATGGGGCGTCAGGCTACGGATTTGGCTCGNNCGTTCCCGGTTGATGATCACTAGCCCACCACCGTTTATCGGGCGCGTGCTTCACCCACGCCGAGCCTTTACCAAGAAGTCGGTTCACAGCTTGCGTGACTCGGCAGGTCNNACATCGAGTCATGGGCTTTCCATATCACATCGGTCGCATCATTCATCAAAGAATTTACCACTCGAGCAAAGGATACTACAGTCATCTTTGAATTAGCAAGGACGCAATAAAAACGATCGCTCCACCTTGTCCCTTTTGCATTGTTTCGGAAAATCTTTATCTTGCTTGGCCGAGACAGGGAGAGTCGCCAATTCCGCAGCATCCTTCGATCTTGCGATCCTGCGATCCATTCTCTTCTGTAACCCTCGCTGTGCTCCGGCGACGCCGAGGTACGGAGATTTGGATAATCATCTTTTCTCTCCCAAACGGAACTATGCATCCACGACGACGACTTTGCTTTCCTCTAGGTCCGGTCTCGTGTTTCGGCTTGGGGTAGATTCTGTGAGTAGAGTTTACTCGAGGATCACAATGCTGTGACTAGACCAGGAGGCTCTTTGCACGCTGACCTCTTGGCCAGCGTTCGTTTGACTGCGTTGGGTTTGTGACATCCTAATGATCCGTACTCATGAGTGGGTATGTGTTGCATGCAGGGGCTGCTATGTATAGTTTCTAACTGCTATGACCGAGTCACTCGTTTGTCAACGGTATGTGCATGATGGAACATCTTTGAGGACGTCGTTGGATTGCCCATGTCGATCTATTCGCCCATGAGTGTTCGATCAGTCTCTACTCGTAAAACGAGGTCAGATGCTCATAATGCAGGGGTGTTATCTCATCCTCTCAGACATGGGTAGTCACAACTTGCAGAGACGTCACAGGAGAAATGTGACACCGCCCTTTGGCGTGTCAAACAACGCCAAGCAGCGTTGAGCCTTTCCGCCGTCGCGAGTCCGTGACATCCAATTCTCCCACTAGAACAGTGGATCTCGGGCAGGGTTAACGCAACACGTCCCAAGTGCCGTGGAGCGCGTAGCGGAGCAAAATCAGCAGAAAACTTCCTCGCGAGACAAACGCTTGACGAAGTTCCCGTTGGTAAGAGACCCTTTCTTGCCAGCCCTTGGCGAGATCGTGTGGTTTCGTTTGACTCTATATCGTTCTTGCTATATCATGGGTTGTCTAGCGGCCGCAGGTTAGATGAGCGTCTCTTGGGTATGACGCGGGCTTGCGCGTCCTTCTCTCTCCTCTATTCTTACACCTCGTTGTCTCTGTATCATGGTGGTCCTCATAGACGGATGTCTCTGTTGCACATCCACGATTAATTAGGAGCCACAACCAATAGTGGCTGGTGAAAGTCAATCAATGACCTGCAGAGATTTTACTCAGGGATCATCTCTTTAATCTGCGTTATGGATCTCGGTCCTGTTTTTGTAGATGTTTTTCCCTGGATGTTGCTCTCCCTACCCTTTTGGTTATCTACTTTCTCTTCTTTCAACCGTCTTGTTCCCGGATAGGTGGGGGGTGTACGCAAGAGCCAAGATTGATATACAAGCACCCAAGACACCGAGCCAAGAGTAAACAGGCGGAAACAAAAGTAACAGCTCCGTTGTCGACAACTTCCGCTTTGGCGCCTGAGTCAGTCATGCTGCTCGCATTGTCAAAGCCCTGCAAGAATACCCTAGCCGCCCCGTTCCGAACGAGAGACACGTAGGGCGACGGTTGCATACGGTTTCGACAGAGACAACGCATCCCTGGAGGTTTGTACTCGATACAGAGGAGCAGGTCATGCCGTGCTAAGCCGGATCCCTCGGGGCGAGCAAGAGGCTTTCCTCTGTGACTGTTGCAGTAATGGCGTCTAGTGTTGCCGCTTCTTGCCCGCGGTGTATTGTGTATGCAAGGGTCTCGTCGACATACCATCGCCTCCGAGGATCAACTCCCTAGCGCTATGCCCATTGGCATATATGAGGTCTCGTGTAGGAACGCCCCACGATATACCTAGAGATCACGTGCCAAGTACACACGGGCACTTGTGTTCACGATATAGACAGGAGCAAACTCCACACGAATGCCACAATCAATCGAGTTCCACAGTGACTCTTTCCGCGGAGTGACGGTCAGTGGCAGAGTGAGGGTTTGAAGAAGCGAAAACTGTCGTACGCCATAAAGTGGTGTTCAGGCTGTCTCCACCATGGCGGTTAGATGAAAGGAGCAAAGGTGGTGAAGCGGAGTGCCATCCGAGACCCCACGTGTATGGACAGAGATGATTGGAATACACGCACGAGGGATCAATTCTACCAGCCACCGTCTCACCGTTGCGGTGTGGGAGTTAGAGTCTCAAAAGCTACCGAAGGATGCTGGACTCGGCCGAGCTCTAACTTCTCGTATCGAGACTTCAGCTGGAGAAGACAGTTTGAAAGTCTGGATAAACATGTTCAGGGAGTTAGAAAAAAGCAAAGTGGCAGTTTCATGTGCGAGCAAACACTGGTTAACCAGCCACATCCGACGGCTGTTCTGGGTCCTGATAAGAAGCGTTATAGACGCATGACTATGCTACTCCGTGTAAAGACGATGTCTTCAAGGCCAGATTAACAATCCGTGTACTCTATTGCAGCAAAGAGGACATTGCATTGATGTGGTGCGAGGATAGCCGTTACTATCAGTATATAATTGACTGAAATCGTGACTTTAGTACATACGGCCACAGTCAGCTGAAAACTGGGCATCCCGTCCGCTCTGCCATACATAAGCAGTTGAACGGTAGATTAGTACTACGGTGGGTGACCACGTGGGAATCCCTGCTGCTGTATGTTTTAGATCTCCCTTTACTTTTATTTCTACTCCATATGCACACGCTTTCGTCAGCTTTCTCCCTTTTTTTCTACCTCTCGAGGCCAATCTGTTCGATGTCAGGACTACAGCTGATCCCAATGTCGTGCTCAAACTTGTGTCACCGTGATTGGGTTAGACCGAGGGCTGGATGGAGTATAAGGCCATCACAAAGCCTTTGAAGCGCTCGCTCTCGAAGGATACTGCTTGTTACACTTTTATTGTAGGAGAGTAGTGTTGCGTGGCTTTGTTTCTTAGTCGCTATAGACAGACCTGAAAATATCCAGTCATAAGAAAATAGACTGTATGATAACTCTGCGCTTGACCGTAGATCGACATCTGCACTAACTTGCAGAGTCGAGGTTGGTATGCATTTACCTCGTGAGGTTATGAGAAATCAAAGATTGGTGAACAGGATAGCTAATTTGATTTCAATGATCTACACCTAAGTGTTAAAACAAACATGATCTGGAGGAAAGCAACCAATTAAATATGTTTAGTGGTGTTTCCCGAACGGACAATATTTTGCTGCAAAAGGCCAAGGTCGTATCAACAACGAAGGAAGGTGTTGGTAGATTTCGCAGAAGAACGGCAAGCTCTCCCAACTTCAGCTTCTGCTGCCATTCTCATCGCCTGACCGATGCCACCAACACATCAGACATCGAAGATACTATAAATGATTTCTCGGTCACAGTCTCTGCAATACGGTACAGCCGCACAAGGGAGCGTCGTCGCAGCTTTTCAGCTCGGGTGGGCGGTCTAGTGTGCTTACTTACATATGCATAGTACAGCCTTGTTCGTACCGCCGAAGGCATAATGCAGCCATCAAACATGTTTTTGAGCCAAGCTGAGTCGATCTGATTCTTCAAAGCAGAGAACCACAATGCGACTGCGAGTAGCTAAAGTTCCGACGCATTTATGCAAATCTCTACCGACTTCTACTCTACGATAATCTGCCCGAGGGCAGAAGGCTGACCATACGCCTCCAGTCATGGTTCCCGATGGCGCGGAAACATGTCCAGACAGCTCAGGCTGCAAGTCTGCATGAGGTACTTTGGTATCGTATGTGCCATTGGCTGGTCGGCTTACCCGATGAACATCATATAGAGTGCTGTTGCCGTCAAATCCATGGGAAAGCCCCTCTTTATCTCCAACATCTGTCTGTTGCTCTAAAATACCCCGGACTATAATTCCTCAATAGAACCACCAGGAAAAGACACGCTTTAACCATGGGCGCCCGGCGTCTTTCAGCTGATTCAGCAGATATCGCGAGCTTCCAAGGGTCAACCTTCGAGTGGAGGGACTCGAAGAGAGACCAGTTCTCGAGCCATAACAGTGTAGCAAGATCATCACTGACTACAGTAGTGGACCATCAGAGAGGGTGCTGGCGATACTGCGCCATTTCTCGACAGAAATGATGAGTCCTTGTATTGTGAAAGTTATAATCGACCACGTGTATTGCTTCCTTCTCGGCAAGACACCTGCCACTGGCTTCCGATCACTCTGAGACTACCATTCCTGGTCTTACTTATTACACTCTCACTGGCTCTCGGTCTCGGCGTATTTGCACTTACGGTCTACTCTATGCAAAATCATGGCTTGGGCTCGGGCAAAGACAGTGACTCCTCAATCATATTCTTTGGTTGGAGGTTCTCTCCGACGCTAGCTGTCACGATATATGGTATACTTGTAGCATCGCTGCTCAATGATGTTCGAAGAACTGAGATCTTTGCACGAATGTCCAGACTTGGAGGCGCATCAGCTTCTACCACCATCTGTTTCCCTGTCAGATCATGGTGGAACGATCCTTTCGACGCCTTGAACAGGAAAACGAACAACGGCGTCTATAGTTGGGCGCTTTTGTTCACTTCTCTAGCCTACATTCTTGTCTTGCTGGTACTGGCACCACTGTCAGCAGGCCTTTTAGCACCAACCAGCGTTCAGTACCGTAAACCTGCTTCATTCAATCGAGCCCATCTTGCCGACGACTTCGCTTGGCAAACTGATTCCTGGGATCTCACCACCTTTCGTACTATCTCGGGTGCGATTCTCAACCAGTCAACATCGGCGTGGCTGTCTGACCATACAGTGATGCCTTTTTGGCCGCTCAATCTGCCAAATGTACCTCTTGGATCGAGTTTCAGTGAAGTTGACACGCAGCAATGGACAGCTGAGACGGATATCTACAAGGCTGAGCTCACTTGTGTCCCTATGGCGCTTAAACAAGTGTACGATACTATCGCAGTGAACCAAAGCCTTCAAAGGTCTGATGGCACACATTACACTATGATATTCAACGAAACTCTCTTTGAGCTAGCTTCTGGCGACGGATGTCTCATCACCCTAACAGCTGTGGAGGACGACCTTGATTATCCGTGGGTGAACTATGGTGGCGGTTGGTGGGCAAACGCCTACTCCAATGCAACCAGTAATGCAACCAGTGATTGTGGTAGNTCGAGCTCTCGTCTTTGCAAAAGTCCTGGAAATGACATCGAACCCAGCAAAGTCCAGGCTCATCTATGCTCGAGAGCCTTTTATTCTGCAAACATCATGGTGAATGTCACAATCAACCAGTCTTCAACTCTAGTGACATTTGATCACGACGAATTTTATCGCAAAAGAGTGCCATGGCAGCTTGAAGGAAATGCTCACAACCTCTCGTCAATTGAGGAAGCCTTCCTGAGTTCTGACTGGACCGCCAAGTTTCCACACTATAACAATATGGCACTGGACGCGAATGCACCGGTTGGAGAGGACTCTCCTTGGTTTTATGGGCCTCTCTTACCCATAGCCGTGGACAATGCTAACGACTCAACAATGCTAGTAGAAGACGTTGACCTAGCACAAGAGATCTCCAAGTTGTATCAACAATTCTTCGGTGAGATGTTGCTTCTAGCTCTGCAGTCGAGGTGGAGTCAGAGCGATATTCTAGGACAGGTTACCACACTTGACAGAAGGATTTCGGTCAGTGCTGGCATTGGGTTAACCATGAGCGTGCTGTTTTTGTTGTTGGTATGTTTCATAACTCTTGTTGCGTATCACACACGACTGCGACGAAGACCACTTAATCTTCACCAGGACCCAGGAGGTATCGCTGCCGCTGCCTCTTTGATGACTGATGAAAAGACGAGGTCAGACTTTATGGGCACAGATCATGTATCGAAAGGGGCCTTAGAAACCAGGATAGGAGGTCATACATTCTCCATGGAGCACGGCAGACTACTCTACGTCGACGGCGATGCATCTGAAACAACACCCTCTGATCGCAGCTATGATCCCAGACCCCTACTCCTAAGGGGCTGGATGGGTCCTGTGTTGCTAGTTGTTCTATCAATCCTTATCGCTGCACTCATTGTACTCTTCCGGATGTCTCAAGCGCAGACTGGCATACACCAATCTGTTTTTGTCTATCAGCTCAATCTGGACGTCCTGGGGCTNACGACTACCATGGCGCCATACTCGATCGTGCCGACCCTGTGTGCTGTCGGTGTCAAACTTTGGTTCGAGTCTATTGGCGACATATTCAAGCGGCTACAGCCTTATATCACAATGGCAAAGGCTCCAAGTAAACTTCCAAACTCAGTCTTAGCAGAGTATGCCAACACACCAACTCCTTTCGTCTCGGTAAAAGCAGTTCAACACGCGCATTGGCTTCTTTTTATTATCGGGTTAGGTGCATTTGCCACGGAAGTTTTTACTGTCGGCATGTCTGCACTATGGGCGCTCGAAGTACGAAGCCTCAACCATACTTTCATTCTACCAAAGCGGCTCACATTGCGCGACACGCCCATGATCTTTCCATGGTCCAGAGATAGTCGCGCAGCTGGCCCCTATTTCTCACAGCCTCAGAATGTTATCCTGCCGAGTGTTTACACCAACGCTGTACAGTCTTGGTTGTATGGTGCTGTTGTAGAAATTTCTCAGTCTGCCTCTACTCCACCATGGACGAAGGACACTTGGAGCTTCCTTCCATTAGATCTGGAAGATTTGAGGGACGCTGCTTCTCCAATCAGTAGACTGAACACATGGTTCCCAGGCAAAACTCGTAACATCACGTTCCAGACAATGGCCGTTCATGCAAGACTGCAGTGTGAACCGCTGGATTATCCCAAGAACAAAACAGCATGGCTAGAGAAGCTGAACTTTGATGGTGCGGGATGGAACAGTACCAACAGGCCACATGGTTACAGTCATGGTTACACTTTGATAGGGCCCGCGAACGCGCTCGAAGAATCCAACTTTACTTGCTGTGCCAACGAGACCAATGGTGTCGTCGGAGACGCGGCCATTGGTTACTGGATGAACTATGATCAGTCGTCTAAGATCTATCAGAATCATTTGTCCGCGACGTGGATTGTCGGCCGACCTCTCAATGGAACATTCCAGCCAGCTAACCAGGATTATCCCTTATGGATCTGGCCGGAGGAACCAAGGATATTTGCAACCAACTGTACGCCAATCATCGAACAAGCTGAAGCTCAGGTTATTGCTGAAGTAGAGACCGGAACCATTTTGAACTACGACATCATCACTCAAGAGCGAAATGCTTCCATCGCTTGGTCTGACGATTTCCTTGAGCATCGTGCATCGGTAGATTATGCAGGTCAGGCATCTCACTATACTTTGCAGGAGGAGAACATCACCGTCAGGTAAGACATAAATCCTCTTGTGTCCATCGTTTTTCTGACTNNCTCTAGTTGGGGCAATTTCTTTTGGGACACTTTGGTAAACTCTGGGCGTTCTTATACTATCTTGAACGGTCCTTTTGGCTCTGACATGATTGATCCGACTCAATATCGTACATTCAACTTCCTGGCTCGTGGCCTGAATGTCGATTTTATGTCNTTTGCCATGCTGGCGCTTGCGAACAACACCAAAGAGACATTGCTAGAGCCACAACGGTATATGGAGCTAGCCAGTACAACTTTTGGTGTGTTCTTCAAACACTACGCCTCCGAAAATATCACAAGGCTTTCTGGAGGCCACATCTACGAGCCTGTCGGCGACAGGCTACCTTGGAGCCTGGGACCTGTCATCAACGAGACCAACAGAACACTCGTGTCCACTTATCAGGGAGCTCTTGCAGAAGACGATCAAATTGACACAGCACATCCAGCAATATCCGCCACCTATTCCATTCCAGTCGAGCAACTTGTCATGTCTCCTGTTGCAGTTTGCCTTTGCCTTTCGATCCTCTCACTCTTGATTCTTACCACTATCGTGATGTATTCGACCAACCGCAGTCATTTCAAAGCACTCCCTCGAGACGTGGACACACTGGCTAGCACGCTTGCTTTTATCCATGGCAGTGACAAACTACTAGATTGGGCCCAAGATGGAGCCTCCACGAAACCATGGTACAAGCTTAGATCTCGCAAGAATAAGCTAGCACGGCAACAGTCGAAGCGGTTGATGGCACAAATGGGACCTTTCAAGGATCAAGACGGCAACGACGCATGGGGCATCGAGTTGGTAGAATCCAAACGCATAGCTCACGACCATGAAGGTGACCAGGAATCGGCACGGAAGCCATGAAGGGGCGTCGCTTGAGCACTTTCCTACTCCGATACACATTATATAACCTTTTAAAAGATAGACTGTCAATGAGGAAAAATGATGATCGTCTTTCAAAAGAAGAAACAATCCTTCGTTCAATGATTGAATTCTAAAGGTAAACTGACATAAGCTGAAAAGGGGTATCATAATAAGAAGAAGAAAACAGAAAGAGCAAAAATCAAAATCTGATGCATCTGCTCTCTTCGTGAGCGCTCTTGCACTCAAGACCGCAAACACGAGAACCGCACTTCAAACACCTGACACGGCCCCAGTATCCGCACATCTCACAAAAGATTCTTTGAGGTGGAGCGGTAGCTGGGCTAGGCGCAGAGCGAGCGGCATTGTATGAAAGTTGTGGTGCTGATAGCAGAGCTTCGATCTCGGCCGTGGTGGCTGTAAGCGGAGCAGGTGGTGAGAGCAGAGAGTCGTGTTGTAGTTTGTTCATCTCAGAGGGAGAGTCGATAAGATAAGGCTTGAGGAAAGAAGGTATAAGAGGTGCCGAGGGAGTGGTGGAAGCAGCATTCGACACGGCGGCAGTCGGAGCAGGACTTGCTTCGACGGCAACTGGGGCTGGTTGTGGTTTGCGTCTTGCGATGGGTGTTTTGCTTGCTCTCTGCGGTGGCTTCGNGGGTTCTATGTCGACTTCCGGACCATGGTGCTGCTTCAGAGCCAATGCAGCTTCGTCCTGGTCCAAGTAATGTGAAAAGTCCTTTCCNNTGGAAGCCAAGATGCGGCGTGTGTTCTGAGTCTGACGGCGATTTGATTTGGGTGGGGCGATGTTGACGGGCTTGTGGCTATCCTTGTCGAGATCGTCTAAATGTCGTTGGATGGCAGTCTGTTGGCGGATGGTGAGATCACCTTGACTGAGACCAGCGGTCGAGGCGCGCACACGCTTGCGACTTGCAGGGTTGATGGCGGCCTTGGAAGGGTCGTATCCAGTGTCGACAACATAGCTCCAGCCTGGAGCAGCTGCCTTTGCCGTCGTGGGCAGCTCTTCGATGTGTGGCATTGTATGTGTATGATAGCGACAGTGAAATGTCAAATGCCGAAGGTTTCAGTTCGTCATACTCGGATGTCTCTCGGAAGGGCACCCCAGTTTTGACCCCACAATGTGTTTGACCTTAACTCAATACCGTAACATTGTCACAAGACGGGCGCGGACGAGAGGAGATGTTGATTATGTGAAATCGCATTGACACCGCTCTCTGACGAAATCAGGGCCGCCTCTTAAAAATGCTGCTTGCCTCTACTTTGCCCTTCCACACCCGACACTTTCCCCAAAACTATATCAATATGCAGAGCCAACAGCCTCCCCTCATCAGATCAGCCCCTAAACCTGCCACCGACCCTGCCCATGGTGCTGCCATAATCTTTCTCCATGGTCTCGATGATGATGCCATGGGATGGGAGAGTCTGTCTCCCTTCTTTCTTTCTGCCGGAAAGCCTACAGCAAGAACTTACACTACATCCNNAGACATAGCCACACAGTTCCACCAAGGAAACAAGCTACCCTACATGCAATGGATCTTTCCGAATGCACCACATAACCTGGATGCCAGGCAAAATGCTTGGTATGCACCCTCGTCTTTGCAACCCGCCCCTGCTGGTCGGCCGGAACTCGCTCCAGAAGAAGATGAGGAGGGTTTGAGGAAGAGTGTCGAATATGTCGAATCACTCATTACCGACTTGACATCGAGAGGAATTCCAGGAAATCGCATAGTCCTCGGAGGCTTCTCGCAAGGCTGTGCCCTTGCATTGCTCACCGAGCTGACTTCTCGCTATTCTGGAAAGCTTGCAGGTATTGTCGGCTTGATGGGCTATCTACCGCTGCCCGAGACTATCCAGAAATTACGCGGTCAAGCCGGTTTGCCTCATGTGGTAGGCCATGTGCCCATGTTTTTGGGACGTGGAACTTCAGACAGATTGATTCCACGCAGCAAATGGACTGAGGGCCTGAACAAACTGAAAGAGTTGGGCGTTGATGATGGAGCCTTGGAGATCAAAGAGTACGAGGGCTTGGCGCATGCGCTGTCACCTGCTGTTCTGCAGGACTTGAGTAAATGGTTGGAAAGAGTGGTGCCCAAACTGGAAGATTAAGGGTGGTAGAGCTAGCTTTTATTTGCGAAGACATGAATCAAGGACCCAGTCTCTGAGTACTTCCTAGAGGGGCCAGAGTCGGTACCGGCCTAGGGGTCGCAGTTGTTGGCAGCACACCGTATCTTCCATATGTCTTCTGATCGACCGATACGTAATGAGGTAGACGACCAAGCAAGTTAAGCTTGCCCTCGATCCAACGCAGAATCTTCTCGTTGGGCACGAGGAATTTGATGTAGCCCAAGCCCCAGAGGTATCCGACAGCAAGACCACACAAGTGGCCGAGGAAGCTGGTGTTGGGGACAAGGACGGCGACGAAGAGGTTAAGGATCAGGGGAGCAGTCCAAGTGGGAATGTTGTAAGGACCGAGGGCAAAGTTAGGGTTCTGTTTAAACGTCTTGATGGATTCGGCAGCTAGGAGCATGAAGACCCAGACGCTGTAGAATATGTTAGTTAGAGCAAGAATATGACAGTGAAGAGTATCTGACCTTGCGCCCTGTACAGCAGTGTTTGATCTAAAGACGAAGCGCTCAATCAAGGTGTAACTTCCTCCAGGAAGAAGACCGAATGCNNTAGCACAGGCGTTAGACAGAAGGCCAATTGGACAAAATGAATAGAACGAACGGCCAGTAAAGAGGAGCAGAGTCGGCAGAGAGCCATGCTCGGCCTCGAAACGTTCGAGCAGCGGAGTCAGGGCGAATATGTTGACAATCATGTGTATGAAGCCAACATGTAGCAGAGGGAAGGTATTAAGTCGGTACACNNTACAACAATGGTCAGACGGACAGCAGCGGGATCTGGAAGAGCAGTAGATACTAGTTCCCAAGTTCATCTCGTTCGGTATCAAAGCGGCCCATTGTTGGAACCATGACAGTCTAAGGCTGGCAATCCAAANAGCGACTATAACAACGAGAAGCGCACGCGTGCACAAGGGAAGACGAAACAAGTATGAGCGCACACGACGTCCGTCGAACTGCGGCAGCGAAAATGACGGCATTGCGACCAAACACAGAGCGACGACGAGAGCAGCGAAAGGCTACGGGTTGGGAGTAAACAAGGTCGAGTCGAGTCGGTCGCGTCGGCGGAGACTTTGGGAGAGCAACAGAAACGCTCACCCCTCGAAAGCACGCCCTGACCCTGCTGCTTGTGTCTCTTGTCACGACCTCCTGACGCCCGACTGTCGACAGCAATGGCTGCCCTATTGTGTAAGATGGCGTTATCGACTAAGACAACAGACATGAGCTTATGATGCAAGAAGCAGGACTGCTCAGTCTCCGACACAGTCGCCGTCTTGCCCGTGTGCCGCCGTACCTGTCGCTTCTGTGCATCGTCATTGGCGTCGCCTGGCTGTTGCTGCTTCCACTCGACGAATATTCACGCCGCACCTACGTCTCCGAGAATGCCATTCTGCCTGGTCAAGTTCACACCTACTTTGGTGGCAGTGAACACAATGTCTTCCGCGCATACAGACAGGAGGTTGCCGCAATGGACCAGCTCTCCCCTGAGGACCGCTCGCAGAAGCTATACCATCTGCTTGGTGCCAATGGANNTTTGAAGCCCGATATCCAGAACTACTCGTATGATATTTCGGGTCAGAACAAGACAGGCCAGAATGTCTATGCCCTCCTCCAGGGTCCGAGAGCAGATGCCACCGAAGCAATGGTCCTGATCGCTGCATGGAAAAACATGGACGACAAGATCAACTACAGTGGTGTTGCTTTGCTTTTGACTCTAGCAAGGTACTTCAAGAGATGGTCTATCTGGTCAAAGGATATCATTGTCTTGATTCCTTCCGACAGTACCTATGGGCCCCACGCCTGGGTTGACGCCTACCATGACACACACGATACCACTGCAGTCCAGCCCCTGAACATCAAGGCAGGTGCTCTCCAAGCTGCCATCGCCGTCGACTACCCTGCCGGTCCATGGGGTCATCGTTTTGAGAAGCTTCACGTTGTATATGATGGCGTTAACGGCCAATTGCCCAACCTTGATCTTGTCAACACCGCCGTCAATATTGCTCAGGGCCAACTAGGTATCAGTTGTACCATCCAGCGCATGTGGGACCACCAGGATAGCTACCGTGAGCGTCTCGATACAATGCTCAGGGGCATGATGAATCAAGCTGTAGGTCATGCGAGCGGTCCTCATAGTGTCTTCATGCCTTACCATGTTGACGCCATCACCTTGCAAACTGTTGGCGATGGCTGGCATGATGAAATCTCGCTCGGAAGAACGGTCGAAAGTCTGTTCCGCAGCGTAAACAATCTCCTCGAGCATTTGCACCAGAGTTTCTTCTTCTATCTGCTCATGCAAGCTAATCGCTTCGTGAGCATTGGTACNTATCTACCCAGTGCCATGCTTATTGCAGTAAACTTCACCATCACTTGTATCTTGATGTGGGTTCAGAGCGGACGACCAGAACGTCAAAGTCCCAACCCGACATCGCCCAAGAGCGAGAAAACGCCGGAAATGACTCTTGTCAAGGATGGCGAGAATGTGGCTCTAGTGCCAACCGCAGATCTTGAAGTGGCTCAAAGGGATCTGTTCAGCCCTCTAGCCATCGTTCTCAGCATCCACGCTCTAGGTCTCGTGCCGTTCTACATCCTGAATCAGATCCCGGAAAAGGTATGCAATAGTTGTCTGACACTACATCACCTCTTGCTGATATGCTATTAGACGTCCCTTACAATGCTCGCGGCTCTTGTGGTACCCACAATTACCATGCCTGCAATCCTCGCCTTTGCCCTCAGCAACACTCTCCATCTTCCACCACAGACCTTCAAACTCATCCAATGCTTCTCCTTGCTCTTGCTCGGCGCCGCTCTTTCTACTCTCGCAACACTCAACTTCTCACAAGCTCTCTTTGTCGGACTTCTGGCCTCTCCGCTATCTTTTGTCCGACCCTTCTCACCACCACGAACATGGCCACTTGCTGTGAAAGTCGTGTTGGGAATCTTTTCTGTAGCGGTTATGATTGCCACTTCACCACCAGCGGCATTGTATGTTCTAGGACTTGTGACAGACAAGAGCTTCGACGAGGTCATTGCGGCTGCGGCATGGGCGTGGAGAGTGGAGAGAGTATGGACGGGAGTCACAGTGTGGGTTTTGTGGTGGCCGGCATGGGTGTGCGGAGGTCTCGCTCTTTGCAGTGGCTTCGTTGGGTAATTCAACCATCACTACATGTTCAGACAGAAACCGAGACTCACGAGCCGAAAGGGCACTCAAAAAGTATAGACGTGTAATTCCAAGCGTTTCTCTTTTACACTCGCCAATGTGATTTGGTGGGACTGACTCGGCTCTCATGGCGAGACCGTCAACCACTTCCAAGCTCCTTTGTCGCTTCTAATCATATCTCGTTTCTCAGTATTCCTCTTCTCTTTTACATCTTTGACAGAATCTCCTCTTTGAGCTTCTTGAGCTTGTCCTGGTTGCCCTGCTGCTGAGGCCAGCTGATGCCCAAACCCTCCTTCTCATTCGGCTTGGGGATCATGTGGAAGTGCACATGGTCAACCACCTGATGAGCAATCCTTCCATTGTTCTGCAAAATGTTGTAGTCGCTCGCATTGACTGCTTGCGCGATCTTCTTTGCCACAGGCAGGATCTCTGTGAGTTGGTCGTCGGGGATGTCGTGGAGTTTTGCGCCGTGGTGTTTGGGGATGACGAGCTGGCGTTTTGGTGTTAGAAGATTGGTTGGGAGAGGGATGGCAGAGAAGAGGAGAGAGAAACTCACAGCGTGGCCGTAGCTTAGAGGGTTGATGTCGAGGAAAGCAAACACTTTTTCGCTTTCGAAGAGTTTCATCGAGGGGATCTCGCNCTGGGTTTGGTAATGAGCTTCTTTGTGGTGTTTCTCTGGGAGTTCTTGATGTGGAGAGATTACTGTACCCTTGATGATTTTGCAGAAGATGCAGGCAGCGGACATGATTGATGATGTGTGGGATGTGAGGTTGGAGAGTTGGTTTGTAGAGTTCGTGAGATGGTTACAATGTTGCTTGCTATCCAAGATCAACAAGAAGTCAAGGACCCCTCCACCACTCGTCCGAATGCCGACCGAAGAGGTGACGACTGCGGGGTGGGAGCTTTGACATGAGTCTCGCTCGTTCTTGCCTGTTTCGGAATATCTGCTTTTCTCGAAACCTGCCTAGAGTGCTTCCTGCTTTGTATCTTTTGCTCTATCAAAATGTTTGCACATGTAGTCTTTCAAGTCCGACTACGCATTTATAACTATTTGCTTGCTTATGACTGAAACTTCCAAGCATCGCACTCAAAGTTGGCGTAGCATCTGAATTCGTTGCTCAAACCTTTCGAGTGCTCTGGAAGGAAGGTAGTAGTACGCATGCCAGCCTTGCCGTACAGCTTGTGAGCAAGTGACTCCATGCGCTCTCCAGTGCATTGGATGAGTTTGAGGGGTGCCTCCCATGTCTTGGCCAGCCAGCGGACAGTGAGTGCAGCNNTGTGAGATATCTATCAGTACACCGATCATGGTACAGAAGACATGAGTAATTTACCCTTTGATTGACAGTCCTCGTTCAAGAAGGGAGGATCGCAGATGATTCTGTCGAAAGAGCCCTTGAGGCTGGCTGTTGTTATTGTCAGCTCGGTTCCATCAAAAGGATAGAGAAGTTTCTTACGATCCAACTTGGTAGGCTGTTTATAGTCGTAGAAAGTAAAGTCATCCTTAAACACTGCAAATCTCTCGTCGAACTCCAGAAGCATGAGCTTTGGTCGTATCGGGTACTTTTCACGGTCATTCTGCATCTTGGAATCAGCATCTGGATACCTCTCCCAGCATAGTACAACTTACAANNGCAAATTCCTCAACTGAATGTAAACACTCGGTGCAGAAACAACAGCAATCTTGCTGTCTTCCGTCACGCCATCCAACAACTGCTCAGCCAGAATCGTTGCCGTCTCGTCCTTGTACCAGAACTGACTGTCCTGCCAGCTCTCGGTGAACAGATCCATAGAAAGAGGTTTTGAACTGTCGAATTCATCTTCGGCTTTTGCTTTCAGGTCTTCGAATTGTTTTTGTCTTTCGTCTCTCTCGGTGTAGAACTCTTGAAGGAGAGCAAGGGTGGAGGGATCCAGTTGACTATTGGATAGCCATCAGTATACAATTCATAGAGGATCTCGTCGCTGTCTAATAACTTACGGACGGTCATTTTCGTCAAAGTCGTCAGTAAGTCCCATTTTCGCTTTGGGCAAGTAAATTTATGTGCTTATGGTTGATATAGCTGGGTTAAAAAATCCTGGGACAAGGTCATTTCGCATAATTTTATTTCTTCCAAAACACCAAAATGTGCTCGAATAGGCTCGTCTTGGCTTTGAGCAAAGGTCACCCTGACCTTTCGCCCGAGCTGCTTCTTTGCGAAACAGCCCTAAAGATATGGCGTTCGCGAAGCCGAGGTTCGTCTGAGCACAACTCCATTGCATGAACGAATGATAGATAACCATTCATCACACAGATCTTCAACTTAAAACACAGTGGCCATCTAAACAACAGTTCGAGGAATAGTTACTTCAATATCAAAAAATCACAACAATCTACAATCCCTCAAACATGGCATCAAGTCTAGTACATCTACCAGAAATCGAGCGGATCAGCTCGCGCGTAATCAGAATACTAGGCGGCAATCCAGGAAAGGTGATGATTATATCTTATTACCAACTAGATAGACATGGCTAACAGGTTTACTTAGTTCACTCTACAAGGCATGCAGAGATACAAAGAAGCCTCTAGCAAAACATAATCAACTAACAGGATATCACAGGAACAAATACCTACCTAGTAGGCCAAGGACCCAAACGCCTTCTAATCGACACAGGAGAAGGAAAGCCCTCCTGGATAACCTCGCTAAAATCAACACTCGAGCAAGAAAAAGCCTCCATCGATAAAGTGATTCTAACACACTGGCATCCGGACCACGTAGGGGGAGTTCCCGACCTAGTCTCCCACAACCCCAACATCCAACTCTACAAGAACCAACCAACAGGAAATCAGAGCGACATCAGCCATGGTCAAGTCTTCAAAACCCAGGGTGCTACTTTGAGAGCTTTCCACTGTCCGGGTCATACGACCGATCACATGGCTTTGATTCTAGAAGAGGAAGATGCAATGTTCACCGGCGACAACGTGCTGGGACAAGGAACAGCAGTATTTGAAGATCTGGCTGCATACATGAACAGTCTGCAAAAGATGCAAGAGGAATTTTCTGGTCGCGCTTATCCGGGACATGGACCTGTGATTGAGGATGGAAAGGCCAAGATACGCGAGTACATTTCACATCGACAGGAAAGAGAGGGTCAGATTGTGGATGTTTTGGGTCGAGAGGCTCAGGACGGGAAGAAAGGATGGCAGTCGATGGATATGGTCAAGGTCATCTACAAGGGCTACCCTGAAAACCTGTACGCACCGGCAGAAAAGGGTGTTTTGCAAGTGTTGGACAAGTTAAAGAAGGAAGGGAGGGTTCATGAGGATGAGGGAGTATGGTTCTTGCAGTCAAAGCCTGCTCTGTGATGAGCATCATAGTTTGATCGTTAATATTTGTCTGGCCACATCGAGTCTGTACAGCTGCTAATTGCCTGATATCCTGATTCTCATCCTCAACGCCTTTATCCACTTGCTAGTATGCTGAACCCAAAGATAGCCATGGATAAAACACTCTTCTTTACGCCAATGGTGCCCAACAACTTACACCTCAATCTCCTGGACAATGTAGAAGAGCATGTACGCTTCCGCAGCCAAGACTTCTTTCTCCTCGACCAATACGACTTTACTGTCGTCAAACAAGAACCATTCATCGCCCTCTCGAGCGTAGCTCACATAGTGTCCACTGTCCATCTTGCCTTTGTGTACGATGACACTGCTGAGTTCATACATGGGTCTCGGCGATGCACCTTTCTCGGCATCTCCGTTCTTTGCTCCATTGGTTTCGTTGCTGCCCTTTTTCGATCGTGGGCGAGCGACGTAGGGTTGCAGATCCAGTATGGTCGGGAAATGCACTTTGGCATCGAGCTTGATGGATGTAGACGAGGTTTTCGAATGCGAGAAGCGTTTCAAGTGTATTGGCAGAACGGNGGGTAACCGTGATAGAGCGAGTCGCTTGGTGGCGGTTTGTTGACTATCACACTCTCGACAGCGGTAATCCGAAGCTTGCAAAGTTTCCGGGCTTGTGAAACGATCAAGACATTCAGTCAGATCGATGGCTTGAGGTGCTACAGGCGCTTCATTCTTCTTCTTTTTAGGCCCAGAGCTCTTGAGATCGAGAGAAAGATCCATGAAGGGGTCGAGAGCAGTTGTGACGTTCTTGCATTTGGAACACACGACAGTACTTCGCATCAGACCACAAAAGGCGCGGTGAATGACGCAGTTGCAGTCTTCGGCCTTTTCCTCCTTCTCGTCTTCGAGATTTGTGGTATGAAGCGAGTTCAGGATGAACTGCAGGTATTCGTGTGCATCTTGTTGTTGGTAGCCAGCCAAGTTACCGCCTCCTTTCCAGCTTCCTTGAAGCATGGCTACCGCACCATAGCCCTCTGCCTTTTCGGTGCTGTGGAACTCGGTGATTATGTCGTCAAGGGCACAGGACGTGCATGCTTCTCGCTCGCAATCGAGGGAACGGTGGCCAACGGAGAGGTAGAAAGCGCGAATGAATGGGTTGTGGATCAAGGATTGGAGGACGACCGACATAAAGCATGTCTGACCCATATTGTAGAGACCGCGAAGGCCTTTGGCACGGCAGGGCGTAGGTGCGGCATTTGCAGCGAGAATCTTGCTGTCGACATCGGACATGAAGACAGTGTGCTTGCGCTTCTTGCCNNTATGAAGCGGTTAGTCTTATGTCGTGTGTGATTTTCTCGTCGTCATACCTTGCTGAGTGCGTATCTCTTCGAGGGCATTGTCATAGACAAAGTCGTCGCATTCTCGGCAGTAAACATTGCCCTTGCTTGACTCGANCGCCTAGCTTGTCATCAGAACGTCTTGTCTACTCTGATACGTATGGCTGTCCTTACAAAGGATGTGCTTCTTCTCGTGCTGTCCACGTTGTTCTGACGAAAAGACAGTTGAACAGTCCAGACAGAGGTAGGTCGGTCGCAGTGAGATGGCTGATGATTTGGAAAGATGAGGACCGATTGCACCACTCTTGTGTACTGTTTGCATCAAGATTGTGTACCGCTTGATCAGGTCGGGCTGCGAGGCTTCGAGTTGACTCTTGACATGGTNCTGGCAATCGTTAGAGCTGCTGCAAACAAGTTGTTGTAGGATCGTCATACCGCAGCCATGAGTGAATACCGAGCCAGGAGACGGGAAGCGGATATCGGCCAGAGAGTGCTTCTTGGTGAGCACTGGGGATTGTGACTTGTTCTCCATCATGGCAGGCTTACAGCTACATTGCCTGCGGTCCGAGAGATGTTGTGACGATGCAGATATTCAGCTTGTCGCAAACCTCGGAATCGCATGCGACAATCATCACCAGGCCCGCCCCAGGGCGACTAACTCCGCCTTGTCTCCAGATTAAGCCTCTCTCAAGGAACCATCCGAACTCCGACGCAAAACAATTCTGTTTAAGCACACCATGTATCGAGATTTTTGCACTCCCTTTGCTCTCTGCACATACACTTTTGATCTTCCAGTTCTTGCAACAGAACATGTTGCTCAATATTAGGACATCACATTACGTATGAGCTCTCTCAAACGCAGCGATTTGCTAGCACAAGACAAGCCCGTTCTTGTTGACATATCCTTCAGCCAGTCTGTGTTAGGCGCCAGGGCTCGCTCGTGGATTAAGCAAACCATGGTCCACTGCAGATTCATATTATTGATACGCGATGAACCTTACATCATCAGGCGCTCTGGCCGAGTGGTCTAAGGCGTTAGACTTGAATTTCAATTCAGTAATCTAATCTCTTCGGAGGCATGTGTTCGAACCACATGGGCGTCGTCATTCCTTTGTTCTTCGTTGCAGTGACGAAACCATGTATATTCTAAGGCTTGTCTTCCTGCAGTTCTGTTACAAAACTCCTCAGGAAAGACGACTGTCGTATTAGGAAACCATGGCTCATGAGTCTTGTTGGTGTCTTGCATTGTTCTTTTGCTATTATCAACATAAGATTCGTCTTAGTGGAAACTTCTATGGGTATCTACAAACATGTACAATCATTGGCAACTGTTGTGCTCTTTAGGAATTCTCGCCGCGCTTGGGCTCGACGGGTTTGCTTAGCTGCGCCAGGTTTGTGTGGCGCTGTTATCCNTTTCCATCGATGAGATGCGTGACCAAATTGCTTTCGATACTCCCAAGCAATTTGATCTGCTTCTTGTTCCATGTCTTCCAATGGCTTCAGCTTTGTCCTATTCGAGTCAAGGTTCTCACTCCTGAGCGTGAAAGCCACTTCGTCGAGCCTATCCGCCACTTCATCACCTTCCAAGCGGCGAACAAATGGCAGGATCCATTGGAACTTCTCCGTGCTGAGCCAATCTCCTGCTTTGAGAGGGCGAGTCACTCCAGCATAGACAAGAGCCCGGGACATTAGGCTTGAAAGTGGTGCGCCTCGGTCGTGAAGATAGTTCAAGCAATCGCATACCCTCCTAAAGGCCATCCTTGGTGTTATTACTGGTGACTTGGCCATGGCGTAAGCAACATGGTGCACCAACTGCACCCTCTCTTGCGACAGAGGGTTTTTGGTCACCGACCGCAAATCCATTGGCAGAGAATTGGCATAGTCTGGTCGATTCAGTAGATCGAACACGTCCTCTGATCCAATCGGGCGACTGTCGATCAGAGCAAATAGCAATTCGGGTATGCTCGAAAGCCATTGTTGGCTATCTGCGCGATTGAAGACTTCCAATGCCCATTGTGTTTTGTCGATGTTAATGAAATGTCGCATAACATCTACGGCCACCGGATAAGGGATATTAACGTCGTTGGTAGTGAGCTTCGCAAAGAGATAATATGTCCACACAGGTGACTTGTGATGCTTGAGCACTTGAAACAGATCACTAAGCCAACCAGCATAATCGATCTGATTATCTCTCAGTAACANTGAAAGATGAAGCCAAGCTCCTCCCTGACTTGGATAGACATCACTACGATATGGCTTGCAACGTTCATGTAGAGTTGATGCGATTGTGTCGAACCGGGCTTGGCGTGTTGAAAGAGTTGCTCGGTGAGTGAGAGACTGATCGGGAGATCGAGACATAGTATATCGCAATCCATAGGTCTGGAATGAGTCCATGAAGTCGTGTCGACTGTGAACGGCTGGCGGAGGCTGTAAAGGAAGACAGCGTGCTGTGGCCAGTGAAGGCTGCAAAGGAAGATAGCGCACTGTGGCAGACGGTTGATTGCTTATAGAATCTTCCATCTCAGGTTCTGTCATATCAGGGTCTGGTACCTCAACTATAGACGGCTTTATCCAATTGTGTAACACGATAATAGCGGCGTCTGCGGGGTGTAAGGACCTGATGTGAGGGCCGAGCTCGGCGATGGTGAACCTGGAAGCGAGAAAAGGGTAAAGAAGAAGGGCGCATGATGAGTGAGGTTGGAAGATCGAGGGACGGAAGAGATAGAGGTCTTCAAGCCAGCATACGAGCCTCTTGATACACTTGTTGCGAGAAACGGTGGGATCAGAGAGAACTTTGACGAATTTTTGAGTAGCAAGAAATATGACGCGATCGAACTTTTCCGAGGGAATGGTGTTCAAGATGGGCATCAGCTCGTCTGATGAGCCGGACCGCGTAGTTCGAGTCATGATGGCCTTCTGAAGGTGTCTGCTCATTGCCTTGCTACGCCCACAAAGTGGGAGAGCCGCAGATATGAGTTTGGAGACATCTGGCGATGGACGCAGAGAAAGTGCATTCTTGAGCAATCTGGTGTTAAGGCTTTCTGGAGGTGCGTTTGGCGCAAAAGCATTCACCAAGGATTGATGAAGCATGGCGTTGGCTTCCAATAACAGCTGCTCATCAACTCCTGCAGCAGGCTCGAGCATATTGAGAATGTCTGATAACTCCTTCATTGGCATAGAGCTCAAGGCAATTTTGTCGCACACAAGACGAACGCAGTCCAGCGCGACATCAGGGTAGCCATTGGTAGCGAAGAGATGGGTGAGGTAGGTATGGCAGTTGAAGGCGTCTTCATGGTCCAAGTCGCTCTGCAGAAAGGCCAGAATTTGATCAGGAGTGGATTGATTCAAGAGGGAGTGAAGAGCAGCTCTGCTGAAATTCTCTGAAACATCAGAATCCGAATGCATGCTCGTATGTGCTCGAGCCAGCGAGTCCAAGGTGCGACATGAAGCCAGTAGAACTGTGTACTCGTGCAAAGAACGCTCTGGTTCCGGTTGGGGGGATCTGGGCGGTGTTGAGACGGCACGAGCGGCGCGAGGCTCCTGAGGTGTAGGAATTGTTCGAGGTATGGGCGGAGTGGGAGCAGTGTAGTCTGCCAGATTTGGAGCACGCGACTGTGCGGTGCTTGGTGGAACCCATAACGAGGTCATGTCGACACCTCCAGAGCCGAAAAGAGCGCCAAAGTCAGGCATCAAGCCTGGAGAGGGACCGGCCATACTTAGACCAGCCATTCGTCTTCTAGTAAGGCGACGACGGGCCTCCAATGGCCCCGGGACATTGCTGCCATGGCGCCTGGTGTCGGTATGGTTATGGTTCACCAGACATGTGTTGGCGAAGCGACGGTAGGCGGCGGCGAGAGTATCATCGGAAATCCAGATGTACGGCTGGAGTCGACATGGCATGGAAGGCGCCTGGCAAGTCCGCGATTGACCGATTGACTGTCTTCTTGTGCGAGCTGGAAGTGCAACATGAAAGTGCAGCTGCGTTGCTGCGCCAAGCCCGCGTCCATCGCAGTTTCCGTCGCGCATCTCGAAATGTTCCGCCGTGCATTGCGACTTTGTTTGTCCACTCGCTGCTGCACAACCACCACTTCCTCATGATTCTACGATCAATAGCCTTGCGGCAAAGTATGTTGCTTCTCTTCGGGCTGCTTGTCCAATAATACTCATGTCTATGCNNAGGCCGCAGAGCGGTGGCCAAGCCCGCACGATGCCTTCACTCATCAGCCACTTGCTTGCAACAGAACCAAGCCCTTGACCCTGCCTCGTACTCGTTCTCCTCACGCATTCAACCTCCCGTAGACGGCGACCAGGTCGCTCGTGACTACCAGGCCTTCAAGCATCACCAGGAAGTCACCAACCGCATTGGATCTGTCGTGTCTCCCAAGTACCAACCGCATACCCAACTCACCCAACCTCCTTCACCTGACGAGATTTCTCTCGAACTCCTTCTTGCCTCGCAATCCCACCTAGGCCACTCTACCTCGCTCTGGAATCCCGCCAACGCTCGCTACATCTTTGGTGTGCGTCAGGGTGTCCACATCATTTCGCTGGACCAGACCGCCTCCCACCTGCGCAGAGCATGTGCTGTCGTTCGTGATGTTGCTCGCCGTGGTGGCTTGATTCTGTTTGTCGGTACTCGTGAGGGTCAAGAAAGAATCGTTGTCAAGGCTGCTCAGTTGGCTGGTGGTTGTCATCTGTTTGACCGCTGGATTCCCGGAAGCATTACCAACGGTGCTCAGATCTTGGGCAAGTGTCGCACAAAAGTCGTTGACGAGAATGACAAAGAGATCAAGGGTTTCGAGGAGCAGCTTGAAGCAAAGGGTGCTCTTAAGCCTGATCTGGTTGTCTGCCTGAACCCTCTGGAGAACTACGTTTTGCTGCACGAGTGTGGTCTCAACAACATCCCCACTATTGGTGTCATCGACACTGATGCAAACCCCACCTGGGTCACCTACCCCATTCCCGCCAACGACGACAGGTACATATGCTTTTTCCTATCTCTGAGTACGTGATCACTGACCTATGCCAGTCTCCGTTGCATTAACCTCATTGGAGGTGTCCTTGGACGTGCCGCCGAGGCAGGCATGAAATCGCGTCTCAGCAGGGCTTCAAACGGTCTTGTCACATACGCAGCACGCCACAACCTGGCCCCTCCTACTGCTGACCAAATTGCCGCCGCTTATCAAGCCGAACGTTCCTTTGCCAGAAACAACGCCTTCGATCAAGATGCTGACCAACGCATCGTCACTTCGCCCGCTCCTGCCGACGAAGACGCCAGAGTCCAAGAGAAGGCTGATGCAACCATGGTGAGCGCCTTCGAATACGCCCAGTTCACTGATTTCGACGAGGAGGCCATGGACGCTGCGTTTGAGATGCACTACCCTAACCAGAAAATTCCCGAAACGGCAGAGATGGCTGAGTTGAGAGAGAAACTTCGCCGTACCCACCGCGCTCTGAACGTACCAGTTGAAGGCGAGCCAGAATACTTCGAGAGCGAGCCAGTTGATGCCGAAACAGCACTCGAGCTTGAAACAGAGGCACAAGACATCATGGATGAGCCACTCACCCAACAGGAAGCTGCTGCACTGCACTCCCAAGACGGTGGTAAGGGTCAAAACCCTTACGAGGGCGGCAGTTACCGTAGCGCTCTCAAGATTCGCAAGAACGCTGCCGATGCTACCCTTAGCAGGTTGGTCGCTCTCAAGAGACGGGCGTACGGCGAGGAGCTGTCTGCCGAAGACAAGGAAGTGCTACGCAAGCTCGACGAAGCAGCCAAGAACGCGCCTGCGGCTAACGAAGGCGAGTTTGCTCTGCCACCAAGACGCCCTGCGTAATCACCTCTTGTACAAAGTCATGTAAAGCATAGATTGGTTTTTGGGACGGAGAAAAGCCTGGCGTTCATCTGAGTTGGTGTGTATGAAAATTTAACCTTCGCAAACCAACATTTCTTGTATTATACCACTGTTCAAAATCAAACGATTCAAAATCACTTTTGTATTGCTCTTGCTACATCGAGATATTCCAAGCGCTTGAACATGCACCATTGGTATCTAGCTGATGAGACGCATAGTCAACTCGACACTGCATATGGAGTTAGTATACCTTTCCTCGGGAGACTACCAGAAACACTTACGTAGCAAAGGTTCCAGCGGATACGGGCATAGCTCTCAGCAGAGTAGGGCCCAATCCTCTCCAGAAACCTCTCATGCCCTCGCCCCTCCAAGTCTGCGCAAAAGTATCACGCATACTCTTGTACTTTTGCTGAGCTCCGAAACCATCACTTTGCATCTTGGACTTGATGACATCGAAGGGATAACTTCCGAGCCAGAGGGCCTCACCAGCCAGACCACCGTACAGCGCAATCTTCCAGGTAGGTATTTCCTTGCGCTCGATACCGTTGCGCTTGGCATCTTGGTTCATCATGAATTCGAAAGCCGTGAACCAAACACCGTAAGCCTGGGCTTCACGGAGCCAAGTTACGCCTGTACCGCGGTAGAGACCTTTGAGCACACCTTCATGGGCGCAAAGCTTCTTGACGCAGTCAATAGGTCCGTTGTAGAGGCGTGCTGCTCCGTGAGGTTGTGTCTGCAGACGAATACGGATGTGTTCGATGGGAGAGGACATTAATGTGTTTGCGATACCGGCGAAGGCACCAGCTGCATAGTATTGGCCGTACGACAGAGGTTGGGGTGTCTCGAGGAGACCACCGTTCTTTGCTGCATTCTGGCGCTCAAAGGCACGTCGGGCGTAGTGGAAGGCTCCGAATTGTACGGATANCCTTGAATATGTTAGATTGACTTGCTCTTGTATTTCACCTTTTGTCTTTTGCGCCCAATCCTGTGTGAGGAGGAATGGTAGGACACTACTTACACATGCACCGATACCGATCAGTGGTGTCAATGTGCCCTTGTAGAAAGCAGTTGCGCCCTCGTTCTTCAATATGCTCGATGCAGCATCTGCTGCACCCGAATATTGAGTTGTTGTTTGCAGGCGAACCTTAACAATGTCTTTGCAAGCATATTAGAGTCACAATCTCGCAACCCAGGGATCTTCAAATGTCTCACCGAAAGGTTGACCTATAAAGATAACAGAGTTAGCGATGTACTTTCAACATACCACCATAGGTCATTATTTCTTCTCCAAGCAACATATCCCCTTCTTGCCTGATCTTGTCAGAAAATCAAGGAACATATGCCTTGTTCTTCGAGTGTTCCTTGCTCTTTCTGCCCTCTCACTCTCTTCCTCGATTTGATTCCACAAGTACGCCAACTTTACTCACCAATCAACACTTGTGCGATACCACCAACAGCACCAGCAAACAGATCTTTGACGGCGCGGTTACCGCCATCTCTCTCAATCTCCTCTACTGCGTCTGCCATCTTGTCCTTTGCGAAGTAGTTCAATTGAAAGAAGGAAGCGAAAGATAGAGAAAGATGATAAAGTCACAAGGCGTCGTCGCTTCACCCCGTTCTCAACGCCGTGGTCGGCCCTGCCTTCCCTTTTGTCGGACGCTTGCGTGCTTGCTCCTACCCACCCATGACACGTTCTTATGATTCATTTGGATACTCCGGCCAGAGCCATGATTTAGTGTATCGCAGACGACAAGGACTCTTTCGATGGCCTTGCCTGACAAAAGGACATTTTGCGTTTGAGTTGCATGGCTGCACAAAGCCGACACCTCTTCGTTGATGGAAATTGAGAACATCACCATCGACGGCCACAACACTACTACTGATGGACAAGCTACTCGGCAGATGATCGTACAACGTACGATAAACAACCATTCCATGCTTAGAACCAAGAGAACATGCAATCCTCTGTTCATCTCCTAAAACGATGGAATCAGGATGCTGATGGAGCCACCCTGACCTTTAAGCTCATCTACCGTCGCAGCTGCAAGACCCACGCATTGTTCTCACTTCTTTGTAGATTCGGGTCTTCCAGGTCATTTCTGTGCATGAACGACTTGTTCTTTGTGGATTAGGAGGCTGAACGGTGCGAGTAGAGTTTCAAGGACATTTCCGTACGAGACGGTTGTGGTTGCGCCAAAGTATGATGATCTTTCACACTCGTTCCAAATGTAATCGCTTGTTTCATGAGTTCGTTGATAATGTAAATGCCTACTCGGCCTTCCACCGGCGACCACCACCCTGCTGCCAAAGCCAGACAGCTTCCGTGGCATAAGACTTTGCGCCCATATGCCTTCCTCCAGCAGCTCCTCTTCCCTCACTCTCAGCCAGACAGATTTCGAGTACGCTCTCTTTCTTGACTTCGAACCACAATCCTCTTGCCAGTTCTCCAAGCGTGTCTTTGGCTCCGACCGTGCCTTGACCCTCCTCTCCTGGATCACCAAATTCGCCTTTGCCAAGTCTGTACAGAACGCGACCTAGCGTCTGGAAAGCGACACATCGTTGAGCAGGCACACTGGACCTAGCTAACATGGCCAATTCTGGTATCGTATAACCCGCAGCGTCAGGAGCATCGCCATGATGATGCAGACCCAATGTGACCGGAATCTCTGCTGCAAGACTTGGAGGAATCAATGCACCAGTGAAGGCAAAACGGATGTCTTTTGGGTCGAGGGACGTCTGGGTCGCGGAATATGCATTTGATGGCGAAGAAGTCATCCATTCCAACTTCTCTGGATCAGCTGGCAAATCCGGGAAGTACTTCTCATGCAAGTCTTCGAGGAAGTTCGGGTCTGAAGGGTCGAGTGACGGTGGTTGAGGAGGTCGCGGGAAGTGGATGGTCGAGTCTGTTGGAAGAGCAACTTCTGCTGCTGCCTCATGACCAGGATTGTCATGTTTCTGTTGTTTTGCAGGTGTCTCACTTCCGTTGCGAGCACCACTTCCAACCTTTGCGTCTACTGAGTCATCTTCCACCTCAGCAAACTTGACAGTCTTGCGGGGCTTCATCGCTTCCGGTTGTGCCTTGACTTCCTGCTTCGTTTCCTCTACCCTCTCTTGCAGGCCAGGGAAGTCCTCGTTACTTCCACCTTCTTCGATTGTTGCGCGACCCAGCAAGCGTTGGATCAGAGAAGGATCCAATGATGAGAGAAGTTCCCTTCGCTCTTCCTCGATCTCTTCGGGCGACATCTCGGCGATTCTTTGGCGATTCTCCTCATCTATACGCCGCCTCTCGGTGGTCATGAAATCGTCATCGTCATCGTCTAGGACGTTATTCTGGGGCTGTGGTGTTGGCGCAATAGGATCTGCATCTTGTTGTCTACTCTTCTTGAACTTAGACTGGACGTTGCGCTTGCGATGGGCAGGAAAGCCACCTGGAGAGTTCTTGAAGACAGGTGGTTGCGGCGGCGTAGGTGCGGCTGTTGGCTTGCGTTCCTGGACGTCGGCGACAAAATTGAATGGATTGAAAACTTGAGGTGCACTGGCAACCTCGGGTGAATTCTGCGCGTCAAAGTCGTCTATACTGAAATGCTGTCCTCGCAGTGTCATGATGTCTATGTTTACAGCTCGAGCTGTCAAACATTTTTAGGAAAAGAGAGATCGGACCGGTTATGCACGAGGCTGCGGGTAGCCCCACTATTCCGCGGTAGCCTATTCTTAAAGCGGAGCAACATCGATCCTCACCAAAAGTAGGTAGACCCTGGACGACGTTCATTCACATGCGTAGTCATGAATCAAGAGTCTCATCATGTATTGTGTCAAGAACAAATGATAATGCTCATGTAGAGATCAATGTTCTGTATATCGAATAAGCATGCACCAAATCTCGTTTGACATTATTCAATCGACATGTCTCATCGGCAATCCTAGCAAGCCAAGCTTTTCAGTAATGCTCGGGATCTTCTACTTGCACCTTTGGTATTTCGAGTGGTAATTCAAGACGTACAGGACAGGCTTGAAAGAATGCTGCAGATGACAGAATAACAATCTAGGTTTGCGAGAACCTATCAGAAACGAACAGGTGTTTAGCATTGGTCATATATGTATGGTTGCAAGCAATAAGCACACCTCACCCCCGAAAGGTTTAGGATCCGAATTTCACGGATGTCACAGCACGTTCTTTAGCGCCCCTCATGCCTAAATCATAACTGGCCTTAGCTGGGCTGTTCGTTTGATCGTTCTCGGCCACTTGTTCCCGCAGCCAGCAGCAGCGCGAGGAAACCCTGGGCTCACGCTGAGCTTCTAAGAGCCCATCACCGCGCACTTTCTGTCTCTCTTCTTCCTTTCTCCTTCTTCTTTCTTCTCTTTCAAACTTGTCGTGTTGGCTTCTACGTCCACGACTTCCTGTTCTTCTATATCTTCTCAATTTAGGGTCTTCTATTGCCCTTCGTCCGCCATCGAGCATTACATCAAGTCCAAGCCTTTTGCTGCCTTTGCAGTTCAAACCAGTGCATCCAACTGTTGGTCCTTGTTGTCGTCGTCGCTCGCCCCGCTGGACGCCGTCCAAATCTCGAATTTCAAAACGTCGTCGGCTTTGGTGGTTGCTTTTAAAGCCTCCCGCGCAGCTTCGAGTGGTTTGACCACGCCTATATCTCTTCGGCTTAGAGATATCACTTCAATACTGGCGATTGCACCTGCAGTATTGCAAACCTGATTTTGCACTTTGCATTTTCCAATTCGGTATTCTTGTTGTATCGCTTGATCCTCTTCAGCCGCTGTACCACCTTCGATCCTTTTTCGTTTTTGGTGTTCGTCATGGCCGCGGTCGGCGATGGACAAAGCTCCAGGGGCTCCTCGCCCATGTCTTCTCCGCCACAAGGGCTTTCTGATACCATCAGTGTCGCGCCCGCGCAGCCTCAGTTTCTGCGTCCAGGAGATGTTGCATTTCCCCAACTTTCTCGTCTACCACAACCACAGCCTGCTACGTCAACTTCTGCAAATACCACAAATGGCAACGCCAAGGCCACATCACATGATCCTACNCAAAAGGTCAAACAAACGCGCAAGAGGAGAGATCCTGAGGTAGTGGCAGCAGAAAAGGCAGAAAAGGCTAAGAAGGCAGCAGAAAAGGCAGAGAAGGCCGCCGAAAAGGCCGCCGCTGCAGAGGCTGCTAAAGAAAAGAAGCCTCGCAAGCCTCGAGAGCCCAAGGATCTCAATGCTCCGACAGCTGGCTCGCGTAAGAAACAGAAGACTGATGCATCAGCCAATTCTACGCCTACTGCAAATCGTCAGCCTACCCTCGGCGACATGGTTGGTAAATTCCAGACGCCTCTACCTCCTACTCCAAGTGCACAGCAAACACAGCCTGTACAGATTATGAAGAGCGAGGAAAAGAAGCCCATCGTTGCACCCCCACCAGCTCCTGCACGGCCTGCCTCAAGCGGTCAAAGATATGACCCCATTCGCGCTTCCATGACCGTGGACCCTTACTCGACACCTGCCCACACTTCGACTGCTTCACTTCAAGTGTCACCACATGCGCACAGAGCAAGCGCATCGCCGGCAATTGCAAGTTTGATTGACCCTCCTGCTCCAAGCAACACACTCATGTCACCTCCTGTGGTTCCATCTGCACCTGCTCAGGTCAAGTCACCTAGCGTTGCTGCTGCCATGCCGCCTCCTCCCAGCGTCAATCGTCAAGCTGAAGTTCAACCGACGCCAAACACCCTCGTGAACAACCCACCCCAGCCAATCTCACATCCACAACCTGTAGTGATGGATGATGCCATGGAAATTGACGCTCACGATGAGCAAAAGTCAGCACAGATCGTCACTAAGCCTGCAGACAAAGAAAAGGAAAAGGAGAATCAAAAACCCGCCGCCAAGTCGTCTTCCGCACCAACACAAAAGGCCAAGCGCGCTTCACCCCCTGCACCTACCGGTAGTGGTCTTCTCTCTGGCAGCGATATCTTTGGAGGTCCATCAGCCGTCACCGAGGACCACAAACGCCATGGAGTAAACATTGACATTGAGATTCCCCTGAATCCAGCAGGCAACAACACAATCAACATTGCTCAAGAAATCCTCAAGAAGTATGGCAAGAATGCCATTAACCCTCGTGCCGCAGCACACCGTGAACGTCTCTTACAGGTCGCTGCTGCAGCCAATCGTTTAGAGCCTGGCACTGGTGACGATATCTCTGTCGACCTCAACTCCGAGGCTGAGAACGACAGTAACGTTGAGATGGGCGGCATGGAGGAAGAGAAGAAGGGTGAAGACGAACCAAAGAAGCGCCGCCGTAGAAAGGTGGAGGACTACGACAAGGAAGATGACTTTATCGACGACACGGAGTTGGCATGGGAAGAAGGCGCGGCAGTCGCTAAGGATGGCTTCTTCGTCTATTCAGGTCCGCTTGTGCCTGAAGGAGAAAAGGCTCAGATTGAAACTTCAGCACCCTCTGGTCGTGGAAGAGGTCGTGGCCGTGGACGCGGTCGTGGAGGCGCTACTGGTGTCACTCACGCCCAACTCGCCGCAAAGAACGCCGACCCTTCAGCTGCAGCGGCCGCTCCTACCACTGGCAGAGGTCGAGGCCGTGGCCGTGGCACCGGAGCAACTCGCAAGCCACGCATCACCAAAGCCGACAAGGAAAAGATGGAAAGCGAGAAGGTGCAACGTGAGCGCCAGGCTGCTGCACTTCCCCAGGCGACCTCTGCCGCAGCTGTCTTCCTCACTCCTGCCACTATGGCGCAGGTATAAGTTACTGTCTGGACGCATTGCTTTGGATTGTTGTCGTTATTGTCCCAAAGCGCACGACATGGAGTTTATGGAGCATGGTCAATGGTTTCGAGCGATCATGAGATGTTGCTTTTGGCGTTGCTCTTTTCTAATATGCTCTTTTTTTTTTTTTTTTTTGGCGGCAAGTGTGGAGTCCGGACGAGGAAGTCGCTATGTGGTTTCATAAGTTTTTCTTTTCTTCTTTTCTTCCTTTCTTCATCTTTTCTTGCTATTGCCTTTCTTACACAAGAAGGGCATTCGTTATTGCTTGCATGAATGCACAGAGCAGGTTTTGGAATGGCTATAGAGATTAGCGTTGATTAAAGTGGGAAACGCGAGCTGCACACGAAAACGCGTCCCACAAATGAACCATCAATGAAATGCATTTCGTATCAAGATAAATCACCAGTATTTCGAACCTGCCATCCATACTTTGATCAATTGAAGAAACACGTGAACATTCAGCGACCAAATAAACAATGCTCGCTATCAAGAAATCTGAAAACAGCGCCCCGAAATGTGCAGTTAACGTGCTGCCTTGCCGCATCCAACACAATGGCCCTGTCCACGCGAGCACAAGACACTGGACGCCAGAAGTCACTTCCGATGGCAATCAAAACAGCACAGCAACAGCATACTTCCGGGGCAGAAAGTTGAATGGCAGAGTGTTGGACTTGCCTGAAGGGTACAGAGGTATGGTTGTTCCAATTCTTCTTCATTTGCTTTCTCTCAGCAATTCGAATCAATACAAAACACCAACATCTATCTTCCTACGCATAAAGATCGAAGAAGAAACCAAGATGCTAACAGTCTTTGCAATACANGGCGCTATACTGCAGAAAACAGATACCATCCTTCCCAACACTACAAACAGCACAACACCGATGGCCCTCGATACAGAGGAAGAACAACAAGAAGAACCAACGCCAGAAACAAAAGTCCTCGAGGAAATTGCAACATTCGACAGGATTACAGTCTATGGTCATGAAGTACAACCGGACGCTCAAGAAGACGTGTACATTAAAGGTATAAACGAGTGGATTAGTCTGGCTGGTGCGGTAAGTCACTTTGGGAATCGAGTCTGCAGTGGAGGAAAAAAGCTGATGTCAGAACAGATGAACTCGTTTTAATGGACGGGGAACAATCTTCACACTCGTTGAGGTTTGCTGGTTGATTAGGGATGGAGTGTGAGGCGTTCATGGCAGGACTGGCAGGGTAGGATCAGAAGATTTTGGTCTGGCAATGATTTCAAAGCATTTCTTTAGGGCAAGAGGAATACACAAAACGGTGCACATCAAGCAATTGGTTCGAAAAAGTCGATAGAGCTTGTAACGTAAAATCGATTCTATTGTACAGCTCGAGGCCTGAGCAGATTTATCTGCTTCGAAAAAGGCCATGCATTATTGTCATATGCCATCAAATCCCAGTGCCCCTTTGTCATAATGCGCCGTAGCGCCACTTGATGATGATCTAATCCTTGCCCTTTTGATTCACTCATGCGGCCCAGATCTCTTGACCCGAACTCTCGATCCAGTTTCCGAGCTTGTTAACACCATCGTCCCAAGCACGCAGTCTTTCGCGCATATTGACGATCTGACCCTTGTCCAACACCTTAGGCTGGACCCACGTTATCCTCGCGACTTCTGCGACCTGGTCAATGGTTCCACGCACAAGACCCAGGCTGAGAGCTTTCATGATAAGGTGCTCGATCTCGTTTGGTTGGACCTTGGTCTGTTGAGCAATCTCGGTGAATGTCATGGCACGATCGTGGGGTGGGCGGCGGAAGACGGTCTCGGTCAAAGCGGACAAGCTGATCTTCTGGTACAAGAAGTTCTGGTGCTCCTTAAGCAGGTCGTTCTTGCCCATGTGTGCGGCGAGGACATCGTAGGCACCAANGTCGCCCTTGTTGAAGGCGATGATGAGATCACGCAACCAAGCGTGCTGAGTGTTCTGAAGTGTGTCGAGGATAGGGTGAAGAAGAAGTTCACCAAAGTTGTAGATAGAGTCAGAGACGAGAGCAGCAATCGAGAGGTCGTAAGCGATGCGCTGGCGGTCTTCGAGGGAGAGAGATTCGAGGTCGATACATGCGAGGTAGAGGAGGGTGGTACGGTAGTAGGCGGCAAACTCGTGCTTGGCTTGGTGGTAGTCGGCGCTGACGCGATAGAAAGAGGCGTGGACAACGGATTCAACCGAGTCAAATGTGTCGAGGATTTGTTCGCATTGGTCGAGGTCCTTGCGAGCCTCATCATAATTCTTCAAGCGCAGCTCAACATTTGCTACAGCGGTCTTTGCGTAGATGAAGGCGTCCTGTGATGCGGGCTTGTCGACGCTCGAGGCAAGGTTGGTAAGGAATTCGAAGCGCTCGTTGTCGTNCTGAGAAAGCAGCGTTAGAGATGAAGTAGTATACAAGAGGATGGGGAAGGTACCTTTGCATTGCGAAGCAGTGCTCAGGCCGAGGGTAACAAGCTGCAGTTGGTTGATCTTCTCGGCGAAAGTCTTGATGAACTGGTTGTAGAGCGGCAGGCGCTGCTTCTGGCTCCGGTCGTCTTGGAAGTAGAGGACAAGGTCGTTGGTCAATTCGTGCCAAAGCTTGCGCTCCCATAGATCCTCGAATTGCAGAAAGTAGTGCTGGACGTCTTCGGGGGCGGCGTCACGCTGATCGGCCAGCAGGTTTGGGATTGTGTCGACATCCATGTTGGCAAAGAGAACGAGGTGTGTGAATTAAGAAAGTCCAAAGGGTGCGGCGAACAGATGTTTGGACGTGGTGATGACGGGAAGTTGCAGTGTTGGATGGACGATTGCTTGGTGTCGTTTGGAGCTCACACAAGTGGAAGGTGCTCGCAGTGACGCTGTGCTTCGTGCACGCACCTTCCGCCATCTGGGAGCACGTCGCTCGCGGAAGTCTCCGACTCTCCGAGCGGACTTGCTTGGCTGTACCTCGCATTGCTGACCATTCGGGACGTACAATCGATATATACCCTAATCTACGCAAACATGAGCCAGATCGCGAGCAGCATGGCTCTGCAGAGGCAGCTCGCCAGATCCGGCCCCCAATTCGCAAAGACGTCGCTCCCACGCGTCCAGTCGCGAAGCCTTCAGGACGTTGCCATCACCAGAACCGGCAAGCCCATCATTAGAATCTCTGGTGGAAGGTACCACTCACCTGTCCGACACGCCCGCGCTTTCCCTACTGACGAAATTTGCCAATAGATCCTCTCTCGGAGGTTGGTTCCATCGACGACTTTTCCAATTGATCTATCTCGACTAACTCATCACCAAGGCCATACCGCTACCGTCTTTGGTGCCACTGGTTTCCTCGGCCGCTACATCGTCAACAGACTCGGTACACGCTTTCCCGACCTGACTGGCCTTCTCAAATGCTAAACCCAGCTCGTAGCTCGTGCCGGATGCACTGTCGTCGTTCCTTTCCGTGAGGAGATGGCCAAGCGCCATCTCAAGGTCTCCGGTGACCTGGGTCGTGTTGTCTTCCTCGTACGCCCCATCCTATACCTGCCCTCTTACGCCGACCTGCGCTGACAATCATGAAAGGAAATGGACCTTCGCAACACCGCCTCCATCGAGGAGTCCGTCCGTCACTCCGACATTGTCTACAACTTGATCGGTCGTGATTACCCCACCAAGAACTTCGACCTCGAGGACGTCCACGTCGAGGGTGCCACCCGTATCGCCGATGCTGTTGCTAAGTACGATGTTGACCGTTTCGTCCACGTTTCATCGCACTCCGTCTCTCAGGATTCGCCCTCTGAGTTCTACCGCACCAAGGCTCGTGGTGAGGAGGCTGTCCGCAACATCTTCCCCGAGACGACAATTGTTCGCCCTGCTCCTATGTTTGGCTTCGAGGACCGTCTGCTCCACCGCATCGCCAAGGCTTCCAACATGTTCACATCCAACAACATGCAGGAGCGCTTCAACCCCGTTCACGCCATTGACGTCGGTGAGGCCCTCGAGAAGATGTGCCACGACGACAGCACCGCTGGTGAGACCTACGAGCTTTACGGTCCCAAGCAGTACTCGATGGCAGAGATCAAGGAGCTCGTCGAACGCGAAATCCTGAAGAGCAGACGTCACATCAACGTTCCTCCTCAGATCATGTCCCCTGTTGCACAGTTGATGAACAAGCTCATCTGGTTCACCACCATGAGCAAGGATTCGGTTGCCCGCGAGTTCATTGACCAGACCATTGACCCCACAGCAAAGACCTTCAAGGACTTGGGCATCGAGCCTACTGACCTTGCCAACTTCACATACCACTACCTCGTAAGTTACTGCGCTGCTCTCTTCATCCTCGAATACATTGCTAACAACCATCACAGNCAAGCATACCGTAGTTCATCCTACTACGATTTGCCTCCCATGACCGAGCGTGAGAAGAGAGAGGAGAAGAAGTACCTTCACGTTCTCGACGACCAGTAAATATTTCGCAAAGCGGCCGTTGTGTTCCATTTTTTTGTTCTATTGTAGAAAACAATACATTTTCCTTTTAAGCGTTCAAGAACACTGGCCTAGCCTCAGACATGTAATCATGCCTTCCTGATACGAATTTTTGACTGAACTTGGTTCGGTTGTCACCATCCAATGTTACAGAAGGAGCAGGGTAATCTGCCAGATGAACATTCGGAATCATGGAAGTAGGGAGTAGATGTATGAACAAAGATGTTTCAAAATTCAGAAACTCGACTAATCCAGTATGTACAAGAAGGGGTTTGGGCGTTGTCTAACTAGCTCATTGTACGTACATAAGGAGGTCCCTCTCAAGACGAACCAAGAGTCAAAAAATTGAACAGAAGAAGAAAAAAAGAAGGGGGTCGGGGGGGGGGGGGGGGGGGGGAAAAACAAGCAACCAAAAACCCAAACCAGGGAACATTGCCATGTTTCGTGTTCGTAAAGCCTTTCGTCTCAGTTGCTGCGCGCGTAAAATAACATCAAGAAAAACAAAGAAAAGAAAACTCGAGTTCTTGAAGAACTCCAAAACAGGTAAACCATGCGCGCCTCTCCCTCTTTCGTGCTGTTTGCCACGCCATCAAACCCAGCAGACGGGGATCTCTTTCTAAAACGACAAATGGAAATAACGGATTCAAATGGAAATAGATGGTGGACATCAAGAAAGGGGAAAAAACCAGTCGAAGCTGAAACATGGTGTTGGAGAGTATGAGAAAGGTGCTGGCGATGAAGAACAATTCAAAAAAGAAATGGGTATCGTGACAAGACGAGACAGCGCTTGAAACACATACAGAGGAGACAGAGAAGGAGAGGTCGAGGATGAGAGAGGGATACAGAGCTCCAGAGCCGCGAACTCATTAGAACTAGCGAGGAGCAAGGAAACCAAGAATTGGAACCAGGGATCAAGAAGTGTTGAGGGCGTGTAGCTGTCTTCTCATTCTTCTTCGATCTTTTCGGGAACTCTGCTGGCACCTTCCATATGTGCCGAGTGTCCGGTAGGTCCATGGTGTTGTTGTGGTGAAGAGACATTGACGTATCCGCTAGTAGCGTTCATGTTCTGACTATGCTGTGCGAGCGCGTCGAGCGACTGCTGGCGTGGCGTCGTCGATTCTGTCTTGACTCCATGAACGCCAGGCGGATGCATCGGCGACTGGGACTTCTTCGAAGCCTTCTCAGATGTCGCCGAGTGCACGGAGTGCTGTGAATTGGTTCGAGGTGATACTCTGCCGTTCTGTTCGAGTGGTTAACCGTCCGCACTTACGCGCGAATTTGTTGCCGATTGACTCACCAGCTTGGCCCATCTTAGACCACAGCTGTTGCAAAGATCTCGTTGTCCGCTTGGGCCTCTCCTCCACTCGGGCGTGACTCTGGTGTGGCAGTTGGCACAGTCCTTCTGCATCTGACCAGCGCCCTTTCTCCTCTTTCGTTTTTTCTTCGCAGCCAACAGAGACTGCACTTCCTCTGCTAGCATGCGATTTTTCTTCTCCAACTGCCTGATTTCGTACTGCCAAGAGGATGACTTGGTTGTTTTGAGCTCATCAAACAGATTATCCTCAGAGGCCAGCGCTCCATCTTGCCGACCAAGCTGGAGTCCGTTTTGACCTGAGTAAGTGGGGGCCGCACCGTCTGTTGATTGGAGCTGCATCAACGACTGTGGAGTGTTGTCACCCACAAGCATTGGCGTTGCAGGTGTGAATCTGCCAGATATCACGGATTCCGACCCACGTTGACTCAACGCTGGTCGAGACGACGAATTACCTCGTTGATGCTTGATAAGACGGGTTTGAGCAACGATGAACGTCGGTTTTTGGCCTTCTGACGCATCTCCAGGGTACAATGTCGTGAAGGCCTGGAGGACATGTCCACGACGATTGATCATCTCGTGTCTCACAGATGCCTTCTTGCCGGTTCGAGCGTGCTCTAGGACCCGTCCAAACTCTGCCTTCGAATCTGCTCTCATCAAAGACTGGATGCTCACTCCTACAAGCTCATCTGGCTGGCGATCGAGCAGTTGTCTAACGTTCGAAGATACGAATAGGAACATGCCTGAGGTCGACATCTTGGTCCAGAGTTCGTTTTCGCCGACTCCATTGGATCCTGACAGCTCATTTCTGCTGAGAGCATAGACTGGGCGCTCTCTTCCAACCATGATGATCGATTTGCGGCCTTTGCCTTGTTCTGTGTGAAGTGATCCGTGACCTTCGAACCACATATAACCGCTATGCTTCCTACGGATTCGGAAAACGACGTTCACGGATGCTCCAGTAGAGGTGTCTTTGAGATCTCTTGTTACAGGCACAATATCACTAGGGTGACAGATTGATGAAAGTGCTGTGCCAATAATCTCTCCAGGCTCGTATTCAAGCACCTTTGATGCCGATGGAGAAATCCACTGGAATAGACCCTTGAGAGACAGAACATGGATGACATCGTCTGTGTTTTCGAGGAGTACCTTGTCCCACATGCGTTTGGCAAAATCAGATTCTCCGGTTCCGATCGTGCTGAGGATGGCGGAAACGTCGTCTCTTGGTATTGTCTGACCGAGCTCTGATCTGTTGGCAGTCGACTCCGGAGCATTCATAACGTAACGTGGCATCGTCATGCCTCTCTGGTAGTTGATCGAATAAGTGCCATCAGGGTTTCGGTCGGTCACAGCGTTTGGTTGTTCTACCAAATCGACTTGGAATCCAACGAAGAATTTGACCTGATCTGTATCCCATGAGATTGGGATCATCGTCAGTAAGTTCATAAATGGTTGGCCTCCTCGTCGATAGTTGATCAGTGAGATTTGAGCTTCTCTTCGAAGATTGATCATATTTTTGAGATAAAGCACCGAATCATCGTCGACATATTTGCGTCGAACTCCAGCTTCGACATTGCCGTCTGGTGATTGCAAGAATCTGCAATTTCTGCCGAGGATCATATGTCGAGTGTAGCCGGTAAGTCGTTCGAAGTTATCTGAACAGTACACGATAGGGAAATCATCCTTCTCTGCATCGCATACCACAAAAGCGCATGATAAGTCAACGGAGCCAATGTTGATTTCAGGATTTGGTCGAGTTGCAACACGCATNNCTGCTCCAGAGTCAGCTTTCATGACCCGTGATATCCTGACCATGGTACATACCAAAACTCCAAGCATGTCAAAACCGGTTGAAGAGTAGGCATTCTTATATTGGGAATGCATGTGGGGCTTGCCGGTCATTGTGGATGGCCATCCGCCNNTGTTTGAGGGTGAGCTTAAGATGATGCACGGATTCCTTCGAGTAAACGAACCTTCTGGTGTAGGCCAGTTGAAGCCTTGGTTGTTTGGATTGTATTTGGACGGATCGGGTGAACGATGTCCTGCATCCGAACCTCGGCCTCTGTCCATGCCTACGTCTTGTGTTGAACCAGGCTGGGGATTTTGAGGTTGCGCTCTAAAACCCGAATGTTGCCTTTGATTTTGTGGTTGTCGACTGCTGTTTTGTCGCTGTGGCGTAGGCTGGCGTGACTGTTGATGTGTATTTTGCATATTTTGGCTTGTTGATGACCTGCTATGCGAGTTTTCGAGAGACGGTCTTTTAGGAGGATTGGGATTGCCGCCCGCTTCTGGAGATTGTGTATACATGTGGTTGGGCACAGACGTATGCATAGGCGAAGCCATCATGCCGTGGTGGTAAGAAGGGTGGTTATACATTGGCATCGGGCGGTCGATCGTCGGACTGTTGTAACCGAGAGATGACATATGCATAGGAGTGTTGATGTAGGGACTGTTCAGATCCATGTCGATATTGGAGAGATTCGCAGGAGACTGGTAGGACGAGGTTGGTGGCATCATAGGCATAAAAGAGCTTGTTGAGGCGAAACCGTTGTCGATAGCCATGTCGCCTCCGCCAGCAGAAGATTGTCTGCCCAGATTACTGGGGTTGGATTGGCTCGCGGCCATATAAGCTGTAGCGTCGACCATGTCCGAATTTGGGAGATTGAATTGGTAGGATTCCAGAGGACCAGTCGGGGATGTGCCGGTAAATTCCATCATGGACATACGCCTTGGGTCGTCGGTATCCATAGGCTGGGTTGGTTGCGATTGCTGTTGCTGCTGTTGGCCTGGATGATATACTTGAGGCATACTTTGTCTTCGCATGAGTTTGGCGTTTTGGCTGACGATGTCGTCGAGAGATTGTCCAACCATGGCGTTCATAGCAGCTCCTGGGGCCATGACTTGTCCATTGGCCGACATGTCCATCTGCTGCATGCCATCACCTTGGTGCCCGTGCCCCGAGGCATAGGGATTGTAGCCGCTCATAATTCACGGGTCCGGGAGGTCATCCGCGCAAAGGGTGTCGAGGTCGCGGCACCAACGAGATGGGGCTTCGCGCGCGGGAGCGCTCAAGGACGTCGAGGGGTTGAGGCGAGCCGGGCGGCGGCGGCGTTTCGCGCGTGTCGCGAATGGCTCAGATGTGGCCGAGTCGTCGATGTCGGGTTTTGCAGAATGCCAGGGGAATGGAGCAAGCGGTGTGACGATGAGTTGGCTTGATAGTTCGTGTACCTAGCAGCAGAAGAATTGAAAGTCGGGCTTGCGTCGAGGTGGGAGCGTGCGAGCCTGGCAGCCACGCTAAAATCAATGCCGTCAGAGCTCTTGCCTATGCCTCGACAAGACTCGATATCTTTTGCTCTTCAGAACACTGTAGCTCTCTATGCGGGGCAATTATTTCTATCAAGCTGACCCTTTCAAGCTCGAGGTCGACCTGCTAGTATTTGTTTTGGTGCGACCCTTTGCCTCTACTGTACATGCTTGGTTCCGGCAGCGACGGATCTGCATCGCACCGGAACGCTGGGTTTTCGCTGTGAATCGTCGATACGTGAGCCACACCTACTGGTCCTACTCCAACATTTCTTATGCAGCCTAGGTATTAATCTGCCTAACTAACTGTGCAATACTCGACCAGGGGTTGACCTTCAACGATATCTCAAAGTGGTAACTGCATAGTACCGAAAGCGCCCCAGCCGACAAGGCGTGTTATCGGCCGCGGCAGGGCTCAGGGAAGCGCAGGAGGGCCTCCGGAAGACCCATCTCGGTGAGATAGTTGCTTCCACATTCTTGGGTATGCCTTTCTGAACAATCCGACGGCATTCGTGATCTGGAGAAGGCGATGGCATGTTTCTATGCTTGTGTTTATACTGGGCAGCATCCTATATTTGTATGGTACAACCTCTCCGAGTGCTAAATGATGTAACTTCCACTGTACCCCGACCATAGCAGAGGGTAAAGTACACGCTATGAAAATGCACAATGCTATCTAGAAAATAGGGTAGTGTCTACTAAGAAGCAATCTCTCGTCAGCTCTCTTTGGCCATATCCTTATTTCTGGATAGAAACTGTGCACTTTTATAGCCACACGCGTTACAAACTTTCGCACACGGGGAGGAAGTTTGGATAGTGGTCGCCAAGCTAGCCACGGACAGCCGTTTTTGGAGCATCAGATCTAAAGGAATCCCAGATGTGGCGTGGTCTCTCAGATCAGATCTCCTACGATGCAGAATTGCCTTGCGACGAGTTTTAAGGGGCTTTCCACTGTTACTTGTCTCGCTGGATCGATGAGGCAGGTTGAGCCTAAGAAGGCAAGTAGGGCAGGGTTGGCCCTATCTCACGTGATTGGAGCACGAGCTCCAGATGCTTGGTGGTCGGAGTTGGTAAGCTCCGATGTGACGACGATTGCACCAAGAACGTCGCTGAGGCAAGTGACAAGTGACAAGCCATCAACTTACTGTGTCTCTCCATCAGTCTATCGTGTGCCGCCGCCTTCGTCTTACATCAAGTTCACTGCATCCGAATTAACATATATCGAACGAGTAGCACATCATGGCCGACACTGCAGTCGACTCGCACGCAAACACCGTGCCGCCGCACAAGAAGCAGCTCTCATCGTCCATTCCAAACATCGAATCACTCGAAGGCATCGGCGCCGACTCTGACGACCAATACTCTACATTCAAGAAGCTGCAGAGACAGCTCGAGTGCGTCATGAGCCCTCTCCTTGGATAACCTTATGCTAACGGAGGCAGATACATCAAGCTGCAAGAAGAGTACATCAAGGATGAACAAAGATCGTTGAAGAGAGAGCTGGTGCGTGCACAGGAGGAGATCAAGAGGATACAGAGTGTGCCGCTTGTCATCGGACAGTTCATGGAGGCTATCGACCAGAAGTGCGTATGCTTCACACTTGACAGACCATCATATGCTAACCCCTTCNNCAGCACTGGCATTGTACAATCGTCAACCGGATCCAACTATGTCGTGCGCATTCTCTCAACGCTTGACCGCGAGCTACTCAAGCCTTCATCCTCCGTCGCCCTCCACCGCCACTCAAACTCTCTCGTAGACATCCTCCCTCCAGAGGCAGACTCTTCCATTGCCATGCTTGGTGCAGACGAGAAGCCCGATATCTCATACGCTGATGTCGGAGGTTTGGACATGCAAAAGCAGGAAATCAGAGAGGCCGTTGAGCTGCCCCTTACACACTTCGATCTCTACCATCAGATCGGTATTGATCCTCCTCGTGGTGTTCTCCTCTACGGCCCTCCCGGTACTGGAAAGACCATGTTAGTCAAGGCTGTTGCCAACAGCACTACCGCATCATTCATCAGAGTTGTTGGATCCGAGTTCGTCCAGAAGTATCTGGGTGAAGGTCCTCGCATGGTCAGAGACGTCTTCCGTATGGCTCGCGAGAACAGCCCTTGTATCATCTTCATCGACGAGATCGACGCTATTGCCACCAAACGTTTCGATGCTCAGACTGGTGCTGATAGAGAGGTCCAGCGTATCTTGCTCGAGCTGCTCAATCAGATGGATGGTTTCGATCAAACTAGTAACGTCAAGGTCATCATGGCCACCAACCGTGCCGACACTCTGGATCCCGCCCTTCTCCGTCCCGGTCGTCTTGATAGAAAGATCGAGTTCCCCAACCTTCGCGACAGACGCGAGCGAAGACTAATTTTCAGCACTATCGCCGGCAAGATGAGCTTGAGTCCTGAAGTTGATCTTGACAGTCTCATTGTTCGCAACGATCCTCTGAGTGGTGCCGTCATCGCTGCCATCATGCAGGAAGCTGGTCTGCGAGCCGTCCGAAAGAACCGCTACAACATCATCCAGCAAGATCTTGAAGACGCCTACACCAGCCAGGTCAAGGGAGCGTCCGAGGCCGACAAGTTCGACTTCTACAAGTAAGCTTCGTTCTCTTAGGGAAAAGCCTCTGTGTACACTAGACTAGCATGGAAAGGGAGCGGGTTTATCAGCGAATGGTTCGCTGGCTGGGTATGCGACTTATAGGCATTCAAGTAGACGATCATAATGGCAAACACATATCACGACATACGACACATACTTGAGAACAGCATGAATGACAATGTTTTTGACCGTCTTTTGTTTTGTTCGCTAGAAAAGTCCAGTGTTTACTTGGCTTCCGACTATGCGCCGGACGGGACTGGTACTACTTGACACAGCATCAACGCATTTAAGCGGCAATGGTGACCTCAACCTCAACACCGGCCTCGATGTTGATGATGATCTGCTTGACGACCTCAGTAGGGGCGTTAANGGCTGGAAGGTCAGAGTCAGCATGGAGATCAACAAGATTGTAGTGGAGCGGTAAAACTCACTCGATGAGGCGCTTGTGGATTCTCATCTCGAAGGTGTCCCAGGTCTTGGAACCCTCACCACAGGGNNGGGTCTTGCGGGTGGTGATCTTGAGGTTCTTGGTGGGGAGACGGACGGGGCCCTTGACACGGAGGTCCTTCGACTTTGCGCGGTCGATGAGCTCGGTGCAGACCTTCTCGAGGGACTGAACCTTGCGAGAGGTGAGGGTGATGCGGATCTTGTGGATCTTGGGGGCATCGGCCTGGCCGGTCTTCTTGGGGTCCTGGAACGACATTTTGGAGATGGGTTGGTGCTATCGCGAGGTGTTAGTCGACGGTCGCAAGGTGTCGCCAGTTGTAACAAGGCAGTCGTACCTGGTCAAAAGACGGATATGGCAATCAAGACTCGGGCAGAATGTCCACGGCTAAGTGATGATTGGCCTTTTGCTGATGGTCAAAATCGAAAAGCGAATTTGCGCCATCAGAAGTTCTGTGTGGGTCAGTCGCGGGTGCCAAGACCAGCGCTTTCCCAAGTTGGCGACCGTCACTCGCTCGGACCCAATTCCACAGCGTCATACAGTTCGCTCTCACTGTCTCAACTTTTTGGGCATGTTGTGAACTTGACTTGCTTGTTGATTCTTTTACTATCATACACACTAATTTCCAACTTGCACGACTGGGGACTGCTTTCTAAATTCTGCCTTCAAAACAACTGGTCCTGGACGTTCAATGAGTCTGCCATCACTTGCTTCATATCCTCCAGCGAAACTTCGCAAGGACTTGGGACCAGACGAATGGGAAGCATGCCTTGACGCTTGGTTGTCACTCTCAGCCCTTTACCTGCGCCTCGAAAAGCCGGATTTCGAAACTGTAGCTCGGAACGAGCAATCTTTGGTCCCTTTCCTTACATCTTATTACCAAGTATCAGCCCAAGAGCGCCAGCAGCATGGACAAAGTCAAGGGAAAGAGCACAACCTACGGAGAACTTGCTTCATCCTTACTCACAGAATCCTGCTGACCACTCCCTCTCCTCCAGCTCCCCTGTTTCAGTGGGAGTTTCTCTCCGATTTCAGTCATGTCTATATGAAAACCCAAAGCTTGGACTTGCTTTTGCAGAAGCTCTGGCGTGCTCGGCACTCTGATCTTGATCGTTCTCTACAAAGCTTCTTGTCGTTGACAATAAAGCAACTCGAATCATCGAAGCCTGATGTAGCTGAGGCCAGTGTTAAACGCATTGTTCCTCTCCTTTTCTCTTCTAGTGAGGCTGGTGCGATCATCTTAACAAGTTCCGAACTTGTAGACGCCATGTCATCAGCGTATGAGCGAAGTTCGTCTGAACTGCGCAAATCTCTTGTCTCGGTGCTGTATCATGGTCTTCTGTCTCTGACTAGAGGCGACAAGCCCAATTATTCTCTGCTCTTCGACCATCTTTATGGCCTGAAGAACCAAGCTGGCAGCTCGCAAGTATCAATCTTGGCAGATCTCGTCACCAACACTTCTTTGCTATCCAAGCTAAGAACAGCTGTCATGGGAAAGAATGCGGAGCGAGCACAAAACCTGGCAAACACTCTTTCTTCGTTCGTCTCGCCTTCGATTGCACGACCCAAGAAAGTGCGTAAGGTCAATAAGGGAAAAGGAAAGGCGACAACAGAAGAGTTTGGCCATGGCGTCTTCTCAGGCGAGCACCACGTTCATCAGATGAGCCTCATATCACAGATTCAAGATCTGTTCCCGGATCTTGGTTCAGGATTCATCGCCAGACTGTTAGATGAATATCACGAGGATGTGGAGCAAGTAACTGCCCATCTTCTAGATGACTCGCTGCCAAACCATCTACTATCTCTCGACCGCACCGAAGAACTGTCTACACCGAAGGCAGATGCTCAGCATACAGAGCAGGAAAAGATCGATCATCTGGCACCGCGCAGCACACCGCCTCCGCAACGCCGGAATGTCTTTGATGACGACGAGTTTGACAGACTCGAAGTGGATACTTCTCGCCTGCATCTTGGCAGAAAAAACGCAAAACTTACTGCGGATGCTCTTTTAGAAGACAGAAGCTCTGCGCCCGCCAAAAGCGCGATCCTTTCCGCTTTGGCTGCGTTCGACTCGGACGATGATGAACGAGATGATACCTATGACGAAGCTGATGTGGGAGGCTACGTTGATGCTGCCAGACCAGATGGCGAAGAATCGAGAGAGACAGATACAGGCAATCAGGGAGAGAATGAGGAGGCATTGTTCCGCGCCTGGCGTATGGACCGAGGAGTCTTTGAGCGGTCATCAGACACTCGTCGCAGCGCAGCTCGTGCCGCGCTCAAGAACGAGACAGGAATGCAAGATGAGGCTATTGAAGGCTGGGCAGTCATGCTTGGCCGTGACCCAAGACGCCTCAAGCGACTGGAAGCAAGATACTCTGCCTTCAGTGGCGCACAACCAGAGCTGGAGAGGACCGCCTATAGAGACAGCGAAGCCACGGAAGACTCAGACAACGGAGCTGCAGGAAGAGGTGGAAGAGGGGGCCGTGGAAGAGGTCGTGGTGGACGCGGACGTGGGAGGGGCGGTAGAGGCGGTGGTAACCCAGCCGGACCTCCTAGCGAAAGCAATACTCAGGCTGCTAGACAACGAAAAGAGGCACGCGGATCAAATCGCAGGGAAGGGAGAGCTAGAAAAATGGCTAGAGCTGGCTTCCCTGGTTAGCGTACTCGAAGGCTACGATTGTATCAGCTCGATGAGGAGGGGCAATACTACCGCGTCTTATGATGCAGCACGAAACACCCTTAGCCGACAGATGAACGCACTATTGTTATGTGCTATGATTTTGATTATCCAGGGCAATAGACCGAGACTCAGAATTGGCTCTGTGAAGTACTTGATGCCTTATGAAGCTTACATATTGGTTGCTCAGGTGTGAACAAATTGCTTGCTATTCGAAGTAAGTGATCGTTTCTCGATCACCAAAGCAAGTTCATAAGCAATTTCTCTGCTGGTGTAAAGGAAAGCGCCAACGTCTTTATATATCCAGCAAGGTTGTCGCGTTCCATAAGCGCTGGCGCTTCCCATCTGACGAGTGGACCCCTCTTTATCATTTATCTGGAACACAACATCTTGTCCCTTTGAACTCTTCATACACACAACGCTCAATCACTTCTTCGCGACAACGAAGTGACCAAAAGAAATCATCAACACCAACAAGAAACCAGAACCTGGAACTCACTTCTTCACGGCAACAGATTGATCAAGCTTGGAAGGAAATCACAAACACCAAAAAGAACAGGACTGTTACCACGAGCTATCTTCGATTAATCATCACTACTGTTCCTTCCCGCTTCGCTAGCTGTAATTCGCAGCAACTTTCACCATGGATAGACTTCCNCCAGAGGTCAAGCAGTATGTCTGCAGTTTCCTGACACCCAAGCATCTTAAGGCTCTGCGTCTGGTCTCCAAGGACTTTGCCGCTGCTGCTATCCCGCATTTCATTCCAAGGATCTTCCTNTTTAGCCATCCGGATAGCTGCGCCGAGGTTCGAGACATCATCACCCACCCACAGATGAGGAAGTACGTCAACACTGTTGTGATTGACCCGAAAGAGGTGCTGTACTTTGACGAGTTCGAGGACTGGGTCGAACACATGCCTGCTCACTGGCGTTTACCCAGTTGGAGAGATTACAAGCCCACGTTTCCACCACAGGCTGATATTGATGGCATCGTCATAACATGAAATCAAGCAATGAACGCAGCCAGAGAACTTTATCTGGACCACTTCAACAATGCTAAATATCCTGAATCAGAGCTAAGATTCCTATGGGAGCATCAACTTGTCCTCCAACGCAATCAACAGCGCGGCTTTATGAAACGGTCCTTGACCTCTATCATTCAGGACGCTTTCAACCAGTGACCTAACCTAGAGAATCTCGTTGTCACATCTGAACATTATCCAGGGTTAGATACGGTATCTCGGAAACGCCAAAAGCTATTTCATCCGTTGTTGCTGGCATCCTTGAGACCAAATTCGCGTTTTCGAATATCACCGCCTACGATAGGTCTGAATTTGGACGACATCGTTGTCAGCAAGGCCATACGCACGTTAACCATCTTGCACATCGAGTTCCCCATGGCGAACTGTAATTTGGCAATGAGCAATCTACAGCACTTACATGTCTCATTCAGGAAGTGTGAAAGAGATCCTAACGCATTGCTCGATCAGATCTTGAAATCTGCTCACCATCTGGAGACTTTGTGGCTCGATTACCCTCTATTAATGTCCAGTCCTAGCTATGGCTTCCAANNTAGCACACTAATGACTGCAAGATTTGGGAACCTCAGGGAGTGTTTGCTCGCTGGTTGCGCGGCCTCAGAGGACCAGATCGTGGATTTTTTGCTCCGGCATGCTTCATCGCTGCAAACAATTGGCCTCGGCGAGATATCACTCTCAGGCGGTACTTGGCCCTCTCTCTTTCGTCGAATATCGGGTCGCCTTCCGGTCTTGACGAAGATCTCGCTTCCGGGTTTATGCGCCGGTCCTGGCTTTGAGAATGAATTTGCACGTCGTTACCTTGATGCTCTCCAGAACTACATACTCATTGGAGGATCAGAACCGGTAGAGATTATCTTGGGAGAGAACGACTTCGACCAAGACTTGGGAAACACTCCGAGCGTCATCACCGAGACGCAGAAGGGATTATGGGAAGACATTGACGCGCTGGTGAATCCTTTCTTTTGAGGTCTCTGTGAAAGGATCGATGATATCTAAGTCAAAGGTTATTGCAGGCCTTGATAGCTATACAAGTGTGAAAGGGAAGAATATTCACTTAAAGCCTTCCCGTATGCCGAATATCGTTTTAAACCATCTCCCAATCGCTCTGAAATGCATTGATGTTATAGATCATGGAACGCACGTGCTTGAGAAGCAGATAGATGGGTCTTGAATGTTCTGTTTTTAAAACATCAACCCTTCCAGAAACTACCTTGTATCACTGTTGTCACTGTGTGACAGTTTTCACAAGGGGAAACAGGTTAGAGTATGCTCATATCAAGCCGTGAAGTACTGATTTTCACTCGAGCTCTAGCTTTTGCACCTGGAGGTGTTCCAACAGTCTCAATATCTGAAGTAAGAGGTGAAGGAATGTATTCAACATTACAAATACTATCGTCAGATCGTGGTCCATATGCAGTGCCCTAGATGACCGCGATATACAAGTATTCTCGATCTCTTGATCAATAGAACAACCCCTTCTGCCACCAGGCGCATCTCGCACTGGCAGCAGGATCTCTCATCGGACTGATGCTCCTTGGTCCCAAAGCCAGAACAGTTGCATTCTTTCCATACATAGGGAAGAAAGGCTCGCCCCTGATGTTTGGGTTACCAGTCTTTGCAAACTCGGTGATGTACTCCTGCATAGCGATGGCAACGGGAACACTCTGCACACCAAAGCTAGTGCCACCGGTTCCGGCAGTCGTGCTACCATTTCCGTTGTAGTAGGTGTATGCGACATCCTGACCGTGGAGTGAAGGAGGCACATCGAACAGATATGCGTGGGTCTGGTTGTTGTATGCCTTGTTGAGATAGACAGCGTTGCAGGTGAACACAGCCTCGGATATGATGGCATCGACGCGACCAATCTGGCTAGTGTAGTTCTGAGCTTGACTGCCGTCGAAGATTGGTGGGTACAGCACTTGAGTAATGTAGTTGAGTGTCTCTGGCATGTAGTTGAGTGCAGGGAAACTCGTAGTTAGATAGTTATCCAATGCTGAGTTGTTGTTGATGAAGGGGGATGTGAAAAGGAGGCCTTCGTTTGCATTGTGCCCAGTCATCAGGGATACATTCTTGTCGAATTGGCCACGGGCGAGCAGCTGACCTGGCAGTGCGGGTACAAAATCGCCGTCTACACTAGGCCCATAAACGAACTGACCATAGGCAGCTGAGTAGACTTGCTGTGCGTTTGCAGCAATAATTGCTGAAGAAGGCAATTGGCGTGCTTCGGCCAAGGTAGACACGTTCAGCAGAGCAAGGAAGTCATTGAAGACGCCTTCCTCTGTGGCCGGAGATACAACGGGAAAGAAGCCAGGTGACTGTGGCACTGCACCTGCGAAGGGTGCTGGACCTTTGAGGCCACCGAAAGCTGTGAGTTGATGCATTATAGAGCCACCTCCAGCCGACTCGCCAAACACTGTCACGTTCGTCGGATCGCNCTGTTCTAGAGTCAGAAAAAGATTGTGGACGTCAGGTTACCTGGCAGACTTACCTCCGAACAGATGGATGTTCTGTTGAACCCATTCGAGAGCAAATCTCTGATCCCACAAGCCAGCATTTGCGGTTCCGTTCTCCTGGAAAGTCGGACCTGAGAGCCAGCCCATAGCGCCTAGTCTATAGTTCATGGCAACATAGATGACACCGCTAGAATTGTCCACTTGAGACCGCTCGAGCAGACCAGCAGGGTTTCCACTGCCAGCCTTTGATCCAGCTGTATATCCACCGCCGTAAATCCATACTAGGACAGGGTGTTGTTCGTTGGAGTTGAAGATAGCTTCAGGAACCATGACATCGAGGAAGAGGCAGTCTTCACTCTCTCTAGGATCAGTCATGGTGGTAGCCGCAGACGAGTTGCTGCTAGAAGTGGTCAGGTTAAAGTCTGACATGCTGAAACTAGTTTTGTTATCCAGCAGATATTCTGGTATCCACTGTGCGGTGATGGCATCCCATGCTGGGTTGGCCTGAGGGCAGATACGACTGACGCTTCCTGTTTGCACCTGACTTCGGTTTACCGCAGGAGCTTGGGGAGCTGCAAAACGCAGGTCGCCAACTGGAGGAGCGGCATAACGGATGTTGGAGAAATTATAGTAACCGCCAGTCGNCCTGTGCTACATGAGCTCCCATTTCTGTCTTTGAGAGGTTGACACTTGACTCACGTTGTATGCCGAGGCTTGTTGTCGAGCATATCCAAGGTCCACAATAGGCAATGGCACACATGAGGTTGAGTTCTGAGCAGACACAGCTGCTGACAAGCCAAGTATGGCTGATGTTGCCAGAAGAGAGAAGGCATTCATGTTCCTCTGCAGTCAATGACAAATCGGCAAGGATGATGCTTGGGCTAGACGAGAGAATGGCAGACAAACGAGAGAACAGACACTGCTCTTTATGTACCGCTTACTCGGCAAACCCGGAGTCTCATCATGAGCTCATGGCAATCTAGAGGTCGAACACGGACACTGTGCATACGACTTACGGAAGACACTAATACGAGAGAGCGGCTTAGCACGATCCTCGGTACTGGTGGATATCAAGCCAACATCTATACCCCTCACATCGACCGAGGCCAGAAAGGGTATATTTTGCAAGCCATCTGCTTCATGGGAACTCCTTGCTTAGGTTCTGAGCTCAGGTAGAGTGGAGCATCCAGCTCTCCACAGGGATCTCGAGAGATACGATTGGAGGCTTGATGTCTCAGCATGTGCCTTTGAACGATCTCAAGATGGATAGGTAGTGGTGGATCACGGTTGGCGACCAGATATTCAGATCCAGATCAAGATCAACAGTGGGTGCGGCACACGAAGTGCGGGGTGTAATGGGGTCGGACGGAAGCTGCCCAAAAAGCGATCCGGTTGTCGAGGGCTGACCAAGGCAGGATGTGACGCGTCAGAGGCTGTTGTAGAGTTCGGAGCCAATGCAAGCGAGACAACAGTCAAGACAGGAAGGTTGACATGTGTCGTCCGATGAGCGGCAGGAACCACTTCTGGGGAGGTTGGTCGTGCGAGGGCTTGGCGGCGGACGCCGAGGTTGTCACAAATTTTGGGAAGTCGCAACTTTGACCATTTAGGTAGATTGCGGCTGCCCAAAATTTGTCCGGACCTCAGTAAAGAAAAAGATGAGCGCAACCAAAGATTCGGCCGCGTCGCAGGGACAGAAGCGCAAAAGAGAAGAGAAAGATGTGACCAACAACAAGAAGGCGCAAAGCGACAAACCCTCAGCATCGATATACAAAAACCTGCAACTCGCCGAGAAACCTGTATACAAGAACCTGCAGATCGCCGAGGCACTCAAGACACAATCCAAATCAAAGAAGCAGCGCCTCGACAAGTCGAACAAGGCTGAGAAGCCTAAATTCAAGAACCTCCAGATCGCCGAATCGCAAAAGTCAGTGTCCAAAGAAACACAAGACGACAAGGTGCACAGAGATGAGTCGCAAAAGCTTGGAACTGGAATTAACAGACCACACAACCTACCGGCTGCTCGCCAAAGCAAGTTACTCCAGGTCCGCCAGAGTCTGCCTATCTGGCCGCAGGCTGCCAACATTCGCAATGCGCTCCTCGAGAACCACGTCCTGATCCTTGCTGGTGAGACTGGTAGTGGTAAATCGACCCAGGTNCCCCAGTTTCTTCACACCTCTGCGTGGTGTACTGGACGTATAGCCGTTACTCAGCCTCGTCGTGTCGCCGCTGTCTCACTTGCCCGCCGCGTTGCCGAAGAAATGGGAACTCCCCTTGGAAAGAGCCCGCAAGCGCTTGTTGGTTATAATGTACGTTTCGACGACAACGTTGGAAAGAACAACAGAATCAAGTTCCTCACCGAAGGAATGTTGCTGCAAGAGATGTTGAGAGATCCTGCCTTGACCGAGTACAGCTGTGTCGTCGTCGATGAGGTACACGAACGAAGTGTCAATGTGGATTTGCTTTTAGGTTTCCTACGAGGCCTTGTAACCGGCACCAGTGAAGCAGCCAAGAAACGAAAAGGAAGGCCCCTCAAGGTTGTTGTAATGAGTGCTACAGCTGATACTGAGAAGTTGAAGGACTTCTTTAGCGAAGGCTTTGGACAGCCTCGTATCGAAGACAACATACCCACTGTCGACGACAGTGCACCAACCGTGGACGGAAAAGAGGCGTCTGTCGAAGTGTCACAGAAGCCATCTGTTTCAAGCTCAAACAAAATTTCAACATGTTTTGTTGAGGGTAGAATGTACTCAGTACAAACGGAATACCTTTCCGAGCCCACTCGAGATTTCTCTGAGGCAGCTTTGTTGCAAATCTTCCAGATTCATCGCAAGGAGCCCATGCCTGGAGATATTTTGGTCTTCTTGACTGGTGGAGACGTCATCACAAATCTGCAACAAGCAATCGAGGACATGATACCAAATGTAATCACTAAAGACTCTGGTCTGCCCAAGCTGATTGTATTGCCACTATATGCAGCGCTTTCTCAAGCGCAGCAACAGGCCATCTTCTCGCCGGCTCCTCCAAACACACGCAAAGTAATCTTGGCGACCAACATTGCTGAAACATCAATCACGGTACCCGGTGTTCGCTTTGTTATTGACAGCGGCAAGGCCAAGATTAAGCAATTCCGTAATCGCCTTGGCCTTGACTCGCTCCTCGTTAAGGACATTTCCAAATCTTCTGCCATTCAACGTCAAGGTCGTGCANNGGGAAGAGAGGCAGCCGGAAAGTGTTTCCGCCTGTACACAAAATCGAACTTCGAGACTCTAGAGAAGGACACTGTTCCGGAAATTCTGCGATGCGACTTGAGTTCGGCCGTACTCACCATGAAAGCGAGAGGTGTTCACGATGTTATGGATTTCCCACTCTTGACTCGTCCTTCTAGAGAAGCAATGGAGCGTGCGCTATTGCAATTGCTGCAACTCGATGCGCTGAACCCTGAAGATGGAAACATCAGTGACTTGGGTCGTAAGATTGCAAGACTGCCTCTGACCCCAGCCCATGGCAGGACAATAATAGCCGCTGCCGATCCTGAGATGGGATGTCTATTGCCTGTAATCGACATTGTAGCCTGCTTCAACTCGGAGAATATCTTCGTTGAAGTCAAGGATCAAGATGCGAACGACGAGGCCAGAGAAGCACGTAACAAACTTTCACGCCGTCAAGGAGATCATTTGACCCTGCTCAGCGCCGTACAAGCCTACGCTTCAGAGCGCACCGATCGCAAGCAATGGGCTAAGCAACACCTAGTGTCTCACCGCTCTATGCAGAATGTCATGGACGTCCGCAAACAACTTCGCGCTCAATGCCAACAAGCTAAACTTCTCACAAAGGAACAACTCGCTACAGCCGACGACGACGATGACCTCAACACAATCTCCGAGTCCACGGGAAACAATATCCTGAAGTGCTTCCTCCGAGGGTTCCCTACCAATGTTGCCAGACTGGTGCCTGATGGCAGTTACAGGACTATTCATGGACACATGGCTGTAGCCATTCATCCTAGCAGTGTTTTGTATGGACGAAAACTTGAAGCTATCTTGTACAACGAGTTTGTATATACGAACAGGACGTATGCTCGTAGTGTCAGTGCTATACAAATGAACTGGCTGGAGGAGATATACGCGGCACCAGCATGAGATGGTTCTGCGATAGTCAGAAGGTCGAATCACGTTGTAAACAGCAATTTAATACTAAGCAAGACTTCTCATGACCAGCTTCTTCTACATGGGCATCAGAATTGATATCAATGCTGCACAATCTAAGTATCCTGAACGCTGTGTGTTCATGAGAATGCACATTACCGAGTAATTTGGAAGGAGCGATCGCTGCGACGTGCATATAAGCCACATCAGTTTCCAACGATAACCAACACAATAACATCAACTTCTGAACCTCCTTCCACCGCAAGAAGAGAGTGGAAGCATTTAAAGCTCAAAATAAGCTTTGTCCGATCGGCAATCAATTCCCCGAAGAGGGTGTCCGACAGCGCCGATGCTTTCGCCGAAAACGGGCGCCTGTCCCACCAACTTTGCCGTGTCATCGGCTAGACCATTAGATATTGTACAAGTAGTGAATCATCGTCGGTGTTCTTATTATCCATTCGTTTTGTTCAGTTGCTGGCATTGATGTCTTTATAGCACTCAGAGGTATACATACTTTGTCCTTTCTAAACATGCGTCAAGTCGGATCTGCTCTTTGGCCGAGGCTTAGAGCCGTCCAGGTGTATGGAGCCAACACTGGTGTAGGCAAGACAGTTGTCAGTACATTGCTCTGCAAAGCTCTACGGAAAAGGCTACCAGACTACAATGTACATTACTTGAAACCGATCTCGACCGGACCGCTCGACGAACAAGACAACCGGTAAGTTCGGTCGTATACTTGGTCGCAGGTCGAATGCTGATCCATCTGTAGCCACATAACACGCTACTCAAAGGACATAACATCCAAAACACTACTTCAATTCGACGATCCAGTCAGCCCTCATATTGCCGCCAGGATAACAAAAGAGCCCATTGACGATCAGAGCATATTGACTCGTGTTTACGATGAATTGCTCAACTATGCTAACGGAAAGGATGCTGTAGCAGTCGTCGAAACTGCTGGCGGTGTTCTTTCTCCGGCACCTTCTGGAAACGTGCAAGCAGATCTTTATCGGCCTTTGAGACTACCTGCGTTGCTTGTGGGTGATCATCGTCTGGGTGGCATTGGCTCTACCATCTCGTCCTGGGAATCACTTCATGTCCGCGGATACGATGTGAACTCTGTTCTCATTTTTGAAGAATCAAGATACGACAATCACACTTACCTCAAGGATTACTTCAAAGAGAGAGGCATCTTGACTCTTTCTTTGCCGCCACCTCCCGAGGTCAAATCTTCTCAAGCGGAGGACGAGGAATCTATGAAACAGTACTACGACTCGGCAAGCAGCTCAGCCAGCTTGGAACAGTGTATCGACAACATCATCAGCACTCACGACCAAAGGCTATCTAGCTTGCAATCGCTGCCTAAGAGAGCCGATACCAGCATCTGGCATCCTTTCATGCAGCACACCGAAAGATCAGAGCAGAATATCCTGGCCATCGATTCAGCATATGGCGACTACTTCCAAACTCACAATTCTTCCGGCTCTGGCTCGAAAGAGGGCAATCAACTCAAGCCTGCCTTTGATGGTTCGGCATCATGGTGGACACAAGGTCTGGGTCATGGGAACCCTGCATTGGCACTTACTGCTGCACATGCCGCTGGTCGTTATGGCCATGTCATGTTCGCCGGGGCCGCGCACGAACCTGCCGTATCACTTTCGGAAACGCTACTACAGAATATTGGCAACCCTCGCCTGTCAAAAGTCTTCTTCAGCGACAATGGAAGCACTGGTATGGAGGTTGGTGTCAAGATGGCGCTCAAGGCAGCCAGCAAGCGTTACGGTTGGTCTCCAGATGATGAGATCTTGATCTTGGGTCTCAAGGGCAGTTATCACGGCGACACCATCGGCACTATGGACTTGTCAGAACCATCAACATACAACAAGAAGGTTGAATGGTACTCTGGTCGTGGCCATTGGTTCGACTTTCCGCTTGTCAAGATGCAAGAAGGCAAGTGGATTGTCGAGCCTCCTGCAGGCATGGAGGAAGAATTTGGCCCTACTCGCTCCTTCTCCAGTCTGGACGAAATCTTCGCACTCTCTGGCAGAAAGGCTGATGCAGAGCGTTACGAGTCTTACATCAAGACTTCTCTTGAAGCTTTGACTGCAGAAGGCAANAAGTTCGGCGCTCTTATTATGGAGCCAGTCATTCTCGGCGCTGGTGGCATGCTCTTCAGTGATCCTCTCTTCCAACACATGTTGGTCAAGGTCGTGCGTGAGCAGTGTCCAGAGCTCTACGGCAAGCCTGAAGCTTCATCAGAGTCCGAGCTGGCATGGAAGGGAGTTCCTGTTGTCTTTGACGAGGTCTTCACCGGACTGTATCGTCTCGGCCGTTTCAGCAGTTCGTCGTTTGTTGATGTTCAGCCTGACATTTCTGTCCACGCCAAGCTGCTTACTGGTGGTCTGCTGCCTCTATGTACCACCCTTGCCAGTGAGAGTATTTTCGAAGCCTTCTTGAGTCCTGAGAAGTCGGACGCTTTGCTCCATGGCCACAGCTACACTGCACATGCCGTGGGCTGCGATATTGCCAGATATTCTCTGAAGACCATGAAAGAGATGGACAAAGGCACTTCTTGGACTAGCTTCAAGTCTGCCTGGAAACAAGAGGACAGCGCGAAGCAGAATCTCTGGAGCATGTGGTCGCAAGATTTTGTACGTGATCTCTCGCTCAGGTCAAACGTCGAGAGCGTGTTTGCTCTAGGCTCTGTCCTGGCAATCTCGCTCAAGGATCCTGCTGGCTCTGGATATACCTCGACCGCCGCAACTGGTCTGAGGGATACGCTCCTTCATGATTCCTCTTCTGAGAACGCCATTCACTCGCGCGTCTTAGGTAACGTGTTGTATCTGATGGCCAGCATGACCACTTCGCCGGACACGATTGCAAGCATCCAGAGAAAAGTGCAAGCTGCAATGAACTGAGAAAATCTTTGTACAAAGGTGTATTTTGCTGTAATATATACAATCACGTTTCAAAATTTTAGGGACATATACACGTAAAACAGATGTTAGAATACCATTGTTTTGTCAAGTCTAAGTCTTCAAACAGATTAAACTATGTGTTCAAGAATGGATGAAGATGTATAAACGAAGCGATCAACACCTCACACCCTGCTCTTTTGCGATCCTGTATATCTCGGTGCATATCTTGTCCACATCTGTCTTCTTCAGCGGTACGCGATGTGTGCCATCCCATTCAATAAGTGTCACACTATCGGGATGACAGTACTNTTTCAACAGATCTCTGTGCAGATGTAGACCCGCATCATTCAGTCCATGTACATGTATCGTCGGTAGTTTGAGAATATGCTCATTGGGTCCATCATAGTTGAAGCCTTCGCTGATCTCGCCAGCACCCAGTGTAGCCGGTCCGACCGAATACTCAGACAATTGCATTAATGGCTGCCTTCCAGCCAACAGCACTGCGAACTTGTAGTCTGTATCCGCATGGCCCGTCTTTTCAATGCGCACTTGCTGATCGTACAGCAAACTCGCCGCAAGCTTAGCGCCCTGGCTGAAGCCCATCATGCCCACCCAAGGCCCTGTGCCAGGATCACTGGTCTTGCAAGTCTCGATCGCATACATGACTTCCTCAATGGCAGTCTCGTCGTCGATATCGGCGTGTTCGGGTAGCCAGCGCAGCCAGCGGCGGAAAGGGCCATAGTCTTCGTAAACAGAGGCGATGCCAGGGCCAGGGGCGCAGAAGAAGGGGCCATCCGCGAAGACGAGGCGGAAGGTAGGTAGGGCTTTGATGAGGCTGCGGGCTTGGAGTTGGAAGACTTCGGCTGTCACGCCGCCGCCGTGGAGGCAGAGGATGCGAGGAAGAGAGAGGTCGACGGGCTTTGGTGGTGTGGTCGCCATTACGGATATATGTGTCTTCGACTGGCTGTTCGTGCGCGTCTATACCACGATGCTCGCTTTTCGGTGGATTATATGGCTCGTATGGGTCGTGTGAGGTAGGATGTGTGCTCGGGGGATTAACAGTCGGGTAATAACCAGAGTTGGTAGCTGTGAGATGAGCAGAGAGAATGGCGGTGTTGTCAGACCTACAGTATCCTACCCTGCGCCAGATAATAAAACGGACGTATCGATCGGATGCTTGTGTTTCAATGCTCACATCATCTACCCGAACCGGCTCTCCATGTCCCTTACCGCTCTTGCCCAATTCCGACACCTGAGCGCGCTGCTAGATTTAGAATATCTCCGACAGTCGATCGTGCCTTCGGAGATTTTACGTTTGGCATGCGCCATGTTGGCAGGTGCGAGATGCATACCTGTTGCACGCTTGTAGAAGGAGAGAAACTCAACCTGGTGAGGTATTGTGACGATGACTTTGAGCTCGGACCATTTATCTCTACCATCTCCATACCACAATCATCCTCTTTTCTATCCTCTACGACCGCTAACACAAAGTGTGCATGCAACCTCAAACAGCCCTCAAGTGTCCCATCAATCGCTCAGTCGATAACATCGTCCCTCAAATCAAACAACTGCCTGATGACCTCGTCTGCCTTGCTACGAATGGCGTTGTGGTACATGACATTAGTCGTGAAAGTCTTGCACCCCTTGATCTTCTCTGCCGTCTCGCGAGAGTAATCATAGTCAACGTACATCTGAGATTGGCACCATCAGTCAATGTCTCATCATCAATTTTACCAACTAGAACTTACATCTTCTTGGTACACGGCTGCGTATACAGGAACCTCGTTCTTTCTGAGTTGCTCTTCATCGAACAACGCTGGCCAGTCGGAGTCTGCAGCTACTCGGTTGGCAACGTCTTGAATCTTGCGAAGTTCGCTGTAGTCCTCGAACATCCAGCTGAAAANTCTGTACTGTGTCAGCTCATCTTGAAACTCGCCATGGTTTCCTGAGCATACCATTTCTCCTGTGAAGTAAACGGGTCCCTCGGAAGTGATTTCGAACTCTGGGAACTCGCTGCGCATACGCTCAGCAGACCAGTTGGGTGCTTTGCTACTAGGTTGTTAGCAGAGCGCAGGCTGAGCAGACATGTGATACTTACCNNCCTCGCAGTAGATCTGCTCGTGCAAAATAGCGTATATGACTGCTTCATCGAATGGTGTGAGCGCGTCGATGGCAGAGAGCGTGCCTCTAGTCAAGTGGCCGAAAGCCTCGATATCGTAGGCCGCGCGCAACACCGCTTCGTGCACGCTATCAATGCCTCCATGCATTCCGAATATGATGCCCATCTGTTGGAAGCGTCTTGCAGTCAGATTACCTCCAGTTGGCAACTTGATAACGCCGTCACCGAAGCGCTGCAAGTATTTGACGATTGTCTTGACCCTGTCAACATCCTCGGGATACTTGTTGTAGTAGTCTTGGTTTCGCTTGGCCACTCTTTTGAAGAGTGCCCTATAGACTGGATCAGGTTGCTTGACAAGCGGTTGCAGACCACCATAGATGAAAGCTTCACGCAGTCCTTGGGGGTAAAATGAGAGATACGTGATGCTGCAAAATCCACCAAAGCTTTGTCCCATGACGCTCCACTTCTGTTTCTCCGGTGGATATTCTGCAGTCAGAGATTTTCGAATGGCCTCGCAGTCTCGCACAATGTTATCAGCACGGAAGAGCTTGAGGTATCTTGCCTGTACATCGTTCTCTCCGCGCAAGCCCAGCGTACTAGGGGTAATCGGCGTGCTGAGGCCGGTACCTCTCTGATCGAGGTAGAGCATTTGATAGCCTTTGTCCAAAATAGTCCAGGTAAAAGGGTAAGCACTAGGGTGTCGGCAAGGACCTCCAGGACCACCGTTCAAGAAGACCATCCACGGCAGTTGACTCTTCTTTCCATCGTCGCTAGGATCTGCAGGAGATTCATGCTTTCTGACACTACGAGCAAAGATACGAATGGTTCCAGAGTCCGGCTTTGAGTAGTCCTTGGGCACATCAAAGAAGTGTTCGGTGACTCTCAGCTTACNCTGTAATGATCAAGTGTCAACACATACCATCGATAGATAAACATCTTGCGATTGGATATTTGGAGCGGAGGCTTGCATGTTTTGTATGATCGTACCAGGCATCTGATGAGTTCTCTGTTCTACTATCTTCGCCGCAGCGACTTTGATAGAGGTAGCCATTTTGTGCTGGTTGAGTAGGTAGGCATGAGGGGGAGGGGTTGGCGGTTGAGTTGATGATGGGCGGTTGATGAGCCCCGCAGCATTGGCGCCCTGGCTAGCCCATGCCTGTCTACTTTGGTGCAGCCTTTCTCGAGGAAAGTAGCGGATATTTAATAAACAATCTCAACTAGTGATATTAACATCGTTGAGATGTGTTCACAAGATTCGTACCGACCTAATGCTTGTGGTCCACTCTCCCGATGCTCGAGCGTGATGGAGGGAGGGGGTCTATCACACAGGGTGTGTGGATATCGGCGTGAGTGAGCTCGGAGTCTGCTACGCCGACAATCCCCACCGCCAGTAAGATTTGTCCATCAGAGATATATTTACAGCTTGTACGAACATACCTGAACCATTCACCAAAACTTTACATTTCTTAGTCAACGATGGCTAAGAAAGACAAGAACAAGAAGGAAGCTAAGAAAGCTCGGGTTGCAGCCAAACAAGAAAAGGTTGCCAAAAGTCTGAAAAGAAGGCCAAGAACAAGAAAGATGCCGACGACAGCGATGTTGAAGACGCCGATCTAGATGCAATCCTGGCAGAATACGCAAAGAAGCAAGAGCAATTCCTAAAGGTCACTGAAGACACTGTTTCTGGCCCGTCACCAAGAAGTGCTTCCACCTTCATCGCCTCACCTTCGGACGGCAGAGAACTTTTCCTNTTTGGAGGCGAACACTACAATGGAGCAATTGCAAACTTCTACAACGACTTGTATATCTACAGAATCAACTCGGATGAATGGCGCAAGGTGACTAGTCCTAACTCGCCCTTGCCTCGCAGTGGCCATGCCATGTGCAGGGGCGGCAACACTGGTGGTATCTACATGTTTGGTGGAGAATTCAGTTCGCCAAAACAGGGCACTTTCTACCATTACAACGATTTCTGGAGTTTGGAGCCGTCAACCCGGGAGTGGACCAAGATTGAGACCAAGGGACCGTCTCCAACCGCCCGAAGTGGTCATCGTATGGTGGCCTTCAAACGCTACATCATCCTTTTCGGAGGTTTCCAGGACACATCACAACAAACCAAGTACTTGAATGATCTCTATATCTACGATTGTCAAACATTCCAATGGCATATTCCGGTCCTGCCACCAGCAGCTATGCGTCCCGATCCCAGATCATCCTTCTCCTTCTTACCCCACGAGACTGGAGCAGTCCTTTATGGCGGATACTCCAGAATCAAGACGTCGGCCTCGGCTGGAAAATCCAAAGGAGGCAGACAGGCTTCTCGTGTCATCATGAAGCCTATGGTGCATCAAGATACATGGTTTTTGCGCATCACACCACCTCCTGCAGAAGCTCCTATGAACACATTGCCAACCGTTCGTTGGGAGAAGAGAAAGAAGCCAGTCAACTCGCCCAACCCAGCTCGCGCTGGCGCGACTATGGTGCACCACAAAGGAAGAGGTATTGCATTCGGTGGTGTACACGATGTCGAGGAAGACGAAGAAGGCATTGACAGCGAGTTCTTCAACCAGCTTCTGGCTTTCAACATCGATCGTAACCGTTTCTTCCAGCTGAGTCTCAGGAAGCCACGCGCTCAGCCGGCAAAGAAGCAGGGCGGCGGCAACGAGCGTGGTGGCAGACGTGGAAGAGGAAAAGCAGACGAAGAAGAACTGTTGCGTAACCTTGCACTTATCGAAGGCAAGGGTTCATTGGATGATGGCGAGCTCCCTATCAAGCGCGACGACGACTCTGATGACGAAGACGTCAAGATCGAGAAACCCGTGCAATACGAGATGCCTCATCCTCGATTCAATGCTCAGCTCGCAGTACAAGACGACACTCTCTACATCTATGGTGGCACTTTCGAGAAGGGCGATCGCGAGTTTACCTTTGATGAAATGCACAGTATCGATCTCGGCAAGCTCGATGGCGCCAAGGAGATCTTCCGCCGTGAGCTCGAAGATTGGCAGGGTAGTGAGGATGAGGACAGCGAAGACGATGATGAGGACGAAGATGACGAGGAAGATGATAGCGAAGGTGAAACCGCCGGTACATCCACCCCTGCCACCTCTGTCGCACCCGAAGAGATCGCCAAGCCTGAAGATGTGGCCAAGAAGCAAGCAGCAGAAGACGAAGAGCCAGAAGATGAAGCTGCCACTGAGAAGTCTGATGGCCTTCCTGGCCCACGTCCCTTCGAATCTCTGCGTGAATTCTTCTCTCGCACAAACCACCAGTGGCAAGATATTATTCTGGAGGAGCACAAGTTCAAGCACGCAACTCAGATCACCGAGAGATCGGTCAAGGAGATTCGCAAGAGTGCATTCGAACGTGCTGAGCAGAAGTGGTGGGACGTCAGAGAAGAGATGCAAGTATTGGAAGACGAGCAAGAGGCCGCTGGTATTGGAGAGGTTGTTGCACTCGAGTCCCGTGGTGAAGGTAGTGGTGGCGGCGGTGCTGGCAGGAGAAGATAGTTGGCTACACGCTCGCACTTTAAACACAAAACACATGAAATATGGTAGCACAAATCGAATCGACTCAAACCATATATTGTACTAATATTCAGCCTATATAAGTTTGTTCGATCAAAGAGCGTGAGGTGAAGCAATCTTGGAGAATCCTTGAACAAAGTCTTTGCTGTGAGATCTCGAAGAGAAACCACTCAAGACATGCTAAACTCCGAAGAGAGAAGCGAGAAGTGAACGACATACACACTGCTCAACCGCGGAACCATTCAAAGTACCATCAGCGTATCTGACGCTTTACTTGGTCTGGACATAGATGTCAGAGCTGCCACTGCTCTGGTAGCCCTCTGTAGCCACAATTTGGTAGTAGTGTTGACCCAGGTTGAGGCCGAATCTAGCCCAGGCGTTGAAGTGGTTCTGCATGGTGACGGTACCGCCGACACGCTTGCCTTGACGGACAGACCAGTACTGCTGGAAGGTGCGGGTGCCATCGATAGAAGGCTGGTTGGTACGAGTAGACACGTACACGTTGTAGTTGCCGCCATCAGTGGAGAAGCTGCCCTTGTACTGAGCACCGCTGCTGGGGTCGTAGGTACCGAAGGACTCGATCACATAGTATTCGACGAGGGGCGATCTAGTCCAACCATAGACAGCAAGGTAGCCATTGCCCTGAGGGCTGAAGCTTCCACCATAGTTGATGGTNNGCTTGAGCGTTGTCAGCATGTTTCATTGCACAAAAAACGAACGATTATGATGGACTCACCGGCCAGTGCCAGGGTTCCAACCCTTTCCACCAACAAAGTTGCCAGTGTTCTGCCACTGAACAGAGTAGCGAGAACCCTCGCCCAAGGTAAACTGGGCGTTACCACCACCATCGGTCCACCAAGAGTAGAAGTAACCATTGTGGGTACCCTCAGCGCTGGGAGTGCCTGCACGCTTGGAGAGGAGAGTCGAGTTTCCATCATCGACCTCTTCAGTGAGGAAATCGAAAGGCGCAGCCAGGACCGTAGTAGCAGCCATCAAGGCGCAGAAGAAGGATTTGAAAGAGACCATATTGCTGAAAACCAGGCTTGATCTCAGAGTGTATTTGCTGAGTTGAATGAGGTTCAATTCCACGGCGAGTCTGTCCTGATTTATATCTTCTCTTCCTCTCTCATAGCTCTCTTCCCGACTTCGTAAACTCCACCCATGTCGATTGAGCCTAAACGAAATGTTGTACACCAACCACTCGCTGATCAACGTTAGACATGGTGTTGATTCTTGTATCTCGCCTATGCACAAACTGGAGTAGATTCTGTTCTATTTCTCTTGGTTTTCTTGGCTCGACAAGCAACGCGAAGGGCATGCCAATGCCATCTTATATACCCGCCTACGGCCGCACGCCGGCTAAAACAATCAGTACCTGCCAAGGTTAGGCTTAACACGAGAGGGGTATTCTCATTAGTGATCACAAGGGGCCATGTCTGCATGATGGTTGGCCTATAGAATAGTAGGAGAGAAAGACGAGAAGCTTGTCGATGCGGAAACATGGAGTCAGCCTTGTCGCCAAGCAGACTATTGTATCAGAATAGGCGAGCCGAAGAGCCACCTCCTCGTTGTCACACACAGCTCATTCAACGCAGCGTGCTGTAAAGAGCAACACAAACGAGAAGTCCTATGCGATTCCAGAACTTTCAAATTTCAGGCTATTCGGGAACACAGATGATCGTCTTCATGCCTGGTAATTTAGTTGTCCGTGGCGACAACATTCTCAAGATGCTGACCGCACACAGCACTGTAGTCGGCGCCTGATTTCGTGACAAGGAACAGCCGTACGCGATTACGCATGAAACAAATGCTACCAAGAAGTATCTCGAGAAGGCGTGTTTTAGGGGTCGCCATGAACGTCCTGCTTGGCTGTAGCTATGAATCATGCCGAAGTGATCGGATTGATTCTAGGGAGCAGATCTGCACTGTGCCAATTTATGTTGAGCAGCAACAGCGAGATAGGGAGTGAAGTAGCGAGGAAGGACCTGGCAAAATTCTTACCGCCTTCCAAGTGGGGTAGATCCGGTCGATAAGATTAACTTGCTCCTACCCCAAAAGACCTCGGCTGTTCCTTCCTCCATTCGCTCTTGTCAGTCCTACTCTGAGTAAGGTTACTTGCGATCAGCGCATCCAGGACTTCGTGCCTTGAGCCGTTCATCTCACTAAGAATCACGGAACCCGTCAAGCCACCGAAGTACATCCATGTCTTGTCTCGGTGGTATGTTTTTGCGAGCGACCTGTCACACGCTTTGTGCTGAGAAACGACTTGCTTGTCGAGAGATCACCCAATTGGACTTGGACCTTCACTTGAGCCTGGCACTTTGAAGCACCATCTGTGGAACCTGAAAACGGCCCCCTCCACTTGGTGGCAATAGATGGTCACAATCATTGTTCAATCCCCTCCACAGCGGTCCTATTACAGCCAATCGAGAATAGCCTGGCTGCAACGCCTGATGGTTGTATGTTCGGAATCCCATGGCGGCTAAATCCTTGTGTCATGACTTATCTCCTCTATAGCTTGGCATCACCAAGGTCACACTTCAACGGTGGACGAGGATGGAACTAGAGGATTGGTCGAGGCCCCATAGACCCTCATCTATCTCCTCCGCAGTCACGGTGACCAATTGAGCCCCTTTGTTCCACCACGAATAACCTCAGAATGTTGGCAACGATGCGAACGCTAGAGGTTACATCAGTCCTGACATGATTCAGTTTAAACCATCAATAGATGCCTGAAGAATAACGGCCAGAATAATCTCCATACATTGATGAAGGCGTTCTTTATGGATACACCCATTACCCCTGTACTTCTTTGGGACCAGGAGCCCACTACTACTTCCTCTCAGCTGAGATGCTGTGGTATAAATCTCCACGGTTGCCAGCACAGGAAAGAACGATTGAGATGACCGGTCAACAAATCTAACAGTGACGTGCATTGGTCAATCTTTGCGGCACTTATCATGCTTGAGTTACTACACTCTCTACGTGTCCCTTACGGGTAAGACCAGATCTCTATCCTGGCTGAGGGTCCTCTTTGCCCCGTCCTCATCGTGATCCTTTATCTCTCGTACAGGGTTTTCTCCGTCTTCGGCACCTAGCATCTCAATGCCTTTCTCGAGTACGTGACCTTCATTGACTCGCTCTTGCTGCGTCTCGCCCTTTTCTGGATCTTGGACAATGTTACTGTTGGCTTCGACAGCTCCCATGGTTTGCCTTTCTTCCGCCTTTCCGTCAGCACTTTGAGCACTTTTCTTGTAAACACTCCAACCCCCTCCCCACCCGAACCATCCTTCCGCCCAAGGACCGCGTGCAAAACAACAGATCAATGCGGCACCGATACTGGCAACACTGTAGCTGCCTGATACGATCCATCCGCCTCGTGCGTAGAGGTGGTTTCCTGCAGCCGTACCGACAAGCTGACCGCAGAATGTCGCAACCATGAAGGCTGTGTTAACGCGGTTGCGCGCTTTGGGTGCGATGCTGTAGATGGCACTTCTGTTGGCAATCTGTGCTGTCTGCAAACCGAAGTCGTTGAAGAAGGCTTGAATGACTGGTCCTGCAATCGTGATGCGGCCAGTATAGGTTCCGATGCAAATGCCTAGCATGCACCAGCACTCGCCCAGGATCACAGAGAACAACGGGACGAAGCGATCGATAACATACTTTGCCCACACCGGTCCGATGAACATACTCGCAATGCCGATGAGAGAGAATAGGCCGATGGTCAAGGAGTCGTAATTGTATGGTGACCCTGCCAGGAGGAAGGTCAATGTCGTCCAGAAGCATGTGAATGTTGCAGCTGTGAAGAAGGTGATAAAGCAGGCCTGCACTAGCACTGGTTCCTTGAAGAGCATCTCGATGATCGACCAGAGGATTTTAAAGTAACTGATGCCGTTGGGATTGGTCGAGGGATAATCTGGCATGAAGAACCAGAGCAAGGCGAAAATGGCGTACTGAAGTCCTAGAGCCAACCAGTAAATGTTGCGCCATGCTGNTTCAAGCGCGGTCAGCTCAACTGAAAATTAAGTTACGGAGCTTGACTTACAGGTAAAGTTAGTGAGTACACCAGACAAGAGTCGAGCTATCAACATTCCTAACAGGAGACCTGATGTGACAATCGACAGAGATGCTGCCCTCTTACTGGGAGGTGCGAGATCGCCAACCAAAGGAAGCATAAGCTGTGGTGTAACAGTAGTTACAGCGGTGATAAAAGAGATAGCAGTAAAGACGGCCAGATTTTGTGTTATGCAAACACCAATCCTAGATATTTAACGTCAGCAACTCTGACTTGCAAGGCGTCTCATCGACACGTACCACATGGTTGCAGTAAAGAATACAAGTGACAGGACAAATGGTCTTCGCGGTAAGAGGTCGCCTAAGGGACACAAGAACAAGAGACCAACTGCATACCCTGCCTGCATGACAGTAGGGATTTGTGAGACCTTCTCATAAGGCACATCGAATTCATCCGCTAGAATATTAAGGATGGGATGACTGTAGTAGAGATTGGCGACTGTGAAAGCACCAGCGAAGCCGAACAGTACATTCAATGCCATGCTAAATGCTGGTGGCTTCTCCGGGTCCCAGCGACATCTTGGTGGTGTGTATGTTATGACATTGTAGATGCGCCTCCATGTTGTGTTCTTCTTTGTGTCCTTCTCTTGTATCCTTTGACCTTCCGATCCTGAAGAGTAACCTTGGTCCAGTGATAGATTCGATGGCGAGCTGTGCTTTACATCCTCTTCTGCCATGCTATATGTGACGCGCTGCAAGCGACTTTCGGTTGCGACAGCAAAGGGGCGCAGATTGTTGCGGCAGAAGGGAAAAGAGAGTAAATATCATGGATACGGGTAGCACGACATCTATGTACCTAGTAGAGCATGCATGCCATCACTTGTCGAAGAGCCGCATATCCGATGAGATCTTGAACCCGTCCAGTGTTGATCTTCGTTCGGCCCTCCGCCTCCGCATTTGAGAAAGATAAAGGCTTCATGCAACCTTGCGAGACTCGTCTTGGAAAAAACATCCATGGAACAGGTCGATTCCTATGTGCTTTGCAAAGCTACATGGAATCTCTCTGACCTATTCTCAGAAGTACATCGACTCCAATCGTGCTTGGGAGACGTCAGCGCTGTGCGAAAGTTAGCATGCAATGGGGTTGCCGGACAGAAAGCCGCAAATACTGTGGTTTCACACGAGGTGAGGTTGAGACAAAGTCGTTCTTGAAGCCGAGGTTTTACCCGATTAGGCTAGCTGCTTCGTGCATTCACAACGCCAGGCTCAAACAGGCATAGACGAGCAGCTAGCGCTATCAGCTGGGGAAAAAAACTTTCTCACCAGCCACCAGAGTACAAAACATGCAAGTGACATGCCCTTAACAAGCAAAAGAAGATAATGGTCAGTACGGGGGTCGAACCCGCGACCTTGGCGTGCCGTGTATCACAGGATATTAGCACCACGCTCTAACCAACTGAGCTAACCGACCTGTCTATACCAAATGAGTCTGCCAGTCATATATAAACTCTAGATGTGATGTGATAGCACGATGCTGTACGACCTAATACGCCACGTGGTAGGCCTCTCTCTGTGCAAATCATGGCCCTGATTGTTAATAATAGTTTATCCTCCAGGACACATCTCATACACTGGCAAATTAGTGTGTGTCGAGACTTGCAAAGTCTTTGACACTAGGCTCCCTGGATCGATGGTCAGTTTGTACACTTTCAGATGTGCAAGTCGTGTTAATTTGCAATATATCTCTAAACAACCCATACTATAGCTAACCAAACGAAGGTTTTCCATGGACAGTAAAGTCGTGTACTAGCCTTTCTTGGCTTCCAGTCAGCGATATTGATAGTCTCCCTGGGATGCAGGAATGGATTTATTTCTTGTTGCGATGATGCGAATGGGACAACCCTGACCACGAGTACTCCAGGGAGCAATTGTCAAAAGGGTGAGACACGGCCATATTTTCGGTGGTCAGACGGTCGCCATGATATGATAAATTGATATCGTGACCCGGATCGAGTATCCTTGTCTTGTCGTTGACATCGATTGTGTGTGTAAGACAGTTGGGAGAAGAGGCTTCGTATCGAACCAGGGGATCGAAGCAGGAACGATATGTGTTGTCTGATATCGACCCAAAGAGCATCTCGACTCATCCAACGTCTGGTATGGCTGATGGTGGAAGGATCAATAGCTTGCGCGTATCTGCACCAGGTACGAATTGTTGGCCAGCCTCTTTCCCCCCAGTTGGCCTCGCTCCCCACCACGATCCGTATTGTCAACCGTGACTGTTATCGCAAGAACATGTTCACACTACAGCAAGCCACATGGCCCAGCTCTCGGTCGACAATCCGAGCCAATTAATTGGCTGATTACTATTCGATAGAGACAGTCGACATGCATAGGTCGACAGAAAGATCCAGACCGTTCAAAAGGATCTCGAAGCGTCCGCCGAGACTCAAGCTTCAAGACAAGCTAGATCTCGCCGGCAACGGCGATAGAAGCCAGACCCAGCAAGAGAGAACATATGACAGCAAGTTTAACCATGAATTATGGAAGCTTGAAAGTAATCATAAAGCTTCGTGGATCCGCTTGCACTGTTGTTGTATGCACAGAACCAGCAGCAGTGCCATATACAGCACAGCCGTTTAACCCGTTGGGTGTCACTATGAGCTTTTGGGGTCTTCTAACGGCAACTCCGGGAAGCAGTCGTTGAGCATGCACCGTATCGAGTAAGGTTTCGCGACGGCATCTATAACGCCTTTACGATTGAGTCCGATCCTTGGTAAAGTCGCGACCGTTGGTCAATACAAACGTTGGTGATTACGCCTTTTTGCTTATACCTAGCAGGGGGAGTGACCTTGCTCGGAGGATAGCCCGCATCCAAGCGGCGTAGCTTGATGACCATATATATACAGACTCTGCCTTGCTCTGTGAACAGAGCTGATGACATCCTCTTGAACGCATGAACGGTCACCTGGACATAAACATAACAACAAACCTACCTTTTGAGATTATTACGTCAAACCTCTCTCACCGACTGAATGACAACCACCACTGCCACGCGGGCTCGCTGTGAACAAGTAATGTTCGACTCGCCTGTAATGGAGAGCATGAATGTACATACCGCCATACTACAAGAGGTGGCCAAGAAGCATGCCGATTTGATCAACGGCATGAACGCATTGTATGCCACCTTGATCAAGATGCGTTACCTCCGAGAAGATGAGGTCATCTATCCTCCGTACGGAGTGGCTGGCAAGCCTGCAGTAGCTGTCGAACAGCTCAAAGCTGCTGGCTTCGTGCCCGAGGTGATAGCTCTCATGGAACTGCTACCTTATCCGTCAAACGAGGCACTGGAGTACTGGTCGGAGCAAGAGGAGGGCATACCAATTGCGCCAGACAGCGGTGCCTTGTCGTATCTCGAAGGTCACGACTGGGACCGCACGATAGCAACATCCAGACAACCACTACGGGCTGGTGAGACTGGTTTACCGGCGTGGGCCTTCAAGATCACGTTTTGTGGTGAAAACTGGGGTACGGAGTACTTGTACGACACAAGAGATAGTAAGTCAAGACTATACACAAAAGCGACATTGCGATATCAGGTAGCTGACAGTTTGGTTGCAGGAAGAATGAGACGGTGGGCGTCGAAGAGCGAAAGTACAGAATACGAGCATCAGCCCAATCGAGCAACAATACAATCCTGGGATCTTCTGCGCAACGAGCTACTCAGTCTGGACTGGATTCCATGGCGCGACGAGGGCGAATGCTACCAAGTTCTCAATATACATGCACGACCAAGCCTTCTTTCTGGAGTAGGCGCAACGAATCGTTATGAAGAACACGACGGCGAGACAGAGCTGCTGCAGAACGAGCATACGAAATTGAAACGACACATCGAGGCCGCGCGAATAAGAATCCCCTCACTAAACGCTGCCTTGAAATCAGGCCGACAACGATCAGGTTCGTTGAGTACCGAAGAACTCAAGCAGCTGGCGACTGAGCACAAGATTTCGTTAGAGCACTCTCCGACCCGACATGTGCAGCCAGAAGGCTGGGGCATAGGAATGGTGTTGGACGGCGTGGAGCGGAATGCGCCAGACAACAAGGCACTGCGCCAGAAGATCTTGTCCATGCGACATGCCAGTGCTCAGCAACTGCGCAATACAGCAATGGAATATGGATGTCCTATTCCAGAGGTACCAGCACCACCTCCTGCACCACCGTTGGAAATAGACTCCAAGGTCGAAGTCGCNAAGGCGGTGCAGAACATGTTCACTGTCAAACGTCAAATGTTCAAGGAGTGTGGATGGGAGGAGGTGTTCGATGGCGAGATGTTCGAAGCAAAGCGGAGGGACTTGATAGATGAGTACCATGCTTTCTTCTCGCTACTAGGGCCCAGGGGACAGAACGTTCATGACGCTGTCCAGGGGGCGTGGTTGAGAGACTGGTTCAGGCAGAAGGCTGGCGAGAAAGCTGTTTAGTCAATTGAGATATGATAACCACGAGAGAAATGAATGACATATATAATGCGCGGATTTCCTGCATAGAGACTGGGTTGTTGTTTTGTTTCGTATAGTCGTTTCCTCATGAAGATGGTGATGTTTCCGCAGCGGGACCGGATGATGAGTCCGCTAGCTATCAAATATGGTCCACTGTCTTATCTTTGACCAAGTGAGCGCTTCTCGGGAGCATGGTCGTCTTGTTTCATGCCCGTCGTATTGGAATGTATGGGCACTTTCGGAGCATCACGCTTCTGACCACTGGGTCTTTCGGTCAAGCTGGGTGCGCGCGGTCGCCTTCTCCCTTGGGCTTTGCCGCCGATGACAGGGGTATGATAGGCACAGGAGCGGTATACGTAGAAGACGAAGTCGTAGACGAGGAGGAGAGCCCATGGGCCTATTGTAACGACGCCCAACAACATNNCTGCATCAACATGTGTTAGTCTATAGGTTTGCATGATGGGGAAGCAAAAGATACGAACAAAGATGCTCGAGATCCATCCTTCAATGTCGCTCAGGTGTGTTGGCAGTAGCGAGTACCAGCCCATTGTTGTATGGATGGTCAGGGTGAAGCCTGTCCTCAATCGTCGAGTTGGATCGTCGATAAGTCAATCGAGCTGTGTCTATATTGACTGAGACTTGTCGACGAGTATGAGAAGCAGTTGAGGCTGACAGATTGGTTGATCTCGAGTGCCCCATGCAACCCAGTTCAACGTAACTGTCGTCGGTAGCGAAGGTGTCGCCAAGGCTTCGTCATCCTCGAGATGCCATGATCGAGGCGTCGGTCGACATCTGCACCACCTCGAGCCTCCAGACTCTACTGTAGACAATCACCTGTATCTGGATATCTAGAACTGATATCGTAACGAAGCCTTGGCGGATATGCCATGTCCCTCAGCTCAGATCTACAGTGGCTTGACAAGATCCCACATTATGCTGGTCATTGAGCCGCAACTCTGTCAGGTCCGCCACCGCGACATGGGCCGTAAACGATACCGCTAACCATACCCTCCTCAATCGACCCAATTGACTCACCAGTAAGCCGGAATTGCAGAAAATCTGACCGACACACAGCCGTGCTGCCTATTGTGAATATCTTAGTTGAACAGGGAGGACAAGCTCATTGGGTACCCTCAGCCGTACTCCGATCACATGCGCTACCCTGGCTGCCTAGCTGCCACACCTAATAGGTAGGAAGGATTGGGACGTTACTCACAGCCCACAACTCTTTCTGTTTCTGTTTCTCTTAAATACCTTCGTTCCTTCCTGAACGTCTTCATCATGAAACCTTTTATGCTTCAATCTGTTCACAAGACCATGCCTGGCTCACCTACTAGAGAGTTCCTGCGTCAATTGACTAGCGCAGACGCCCTCCTTGAGCTGGACTCTAGACTACGAGTATGGAAAGACGAAGATCCTTCCAACGAGGAGCCACGTTTTCCTCCTCCTCCCAACACAGAACTGCAACCTTCGAGGGTCGCCAGAAGCGACTTCGACTGGGGTCGCTACGCAGACTCCCTTGAACGCTCTCGTCGACGACGCCTCGCAAATCAACCAGCACCGGCTGCTTCTATAAGGGAATACCAGTCAGCCATCCTCGGTCATCATGAGACAGGCCTGAGAGACAACGACCCGGCTTCACGGGAAAACGTCCTTGCACGAGAACGTCTTGAAGACCAACGATATAATGCTATTGCGGACAACGCACGCCTTACCCACTCCTCACGCCAACGATTAGTAGAATCGTTTGACCACATCCCGAACCCACAGGAGACTGCTATCTTAAGAAATCGCTTCGATGGCGAGGAAGATAATGCCNNGGGGGGGGAAGGGACAGGGCAAACACACTCCGAGCGTGAAGATGCAAGATTAGCAGCCCGTCTAGGAGCAATACCAGATGCTGTTGACTCTTATATCGCAGACCCTCCGTTGCCTGTCGCGCAGAAGGGCAAGCAAGTACAAACGATGGACGATATGGCCTTCCTGGCTCTGCATGCCGAGGGTGGCAATGCCACTCTTACTATAAGAAATACCCACACACAAGAGACTACAGTGCTCAAGAATCTGGATCTCGCTACGATAGAACTGGTGGCGCCAGTCCTGGCTTTCAGTTTCGAGGAATCTAGGAATGGACCAAAATATACAATCGAGGATGTGTCTTCGACAGCTGTTATTTGCATGCTTAGACACATCTATACATGTGAGCACTACGTGCCGGAAGACTGCCTCTACGATCAAATGTCTGCTCTACTACACATAGAGATCTTTCACCTGGCCTCGACCTACGATATCAGTAGCTTGAAGACAATGGTCAAAGCACGCATGTTCCTCGAGCTAGAGCTCTCAACCAGTTACCCAGGCCCACCAAAAGACTTGTGCAAAGCGCTGGCTTACGCGTACGAGCACCTGCCAAACGAAAACGACATCACGAAAACCCTGGCACACTACTGCATCACTTGCTTCCTGCAACATCGACTCAACGAAGACGAACTGTTTACGACTTTTCATTACAATTGCCGTCCCTTCCAGCGCGACCTGGTTCTCATTCTACGCGAAAACAGCTTCGAGGACGAGTGCGCCCCCACCCTGATACAGCTCCCCATCAAAACCTCTGACATCCCCACACGCTGGCCCGCCGTCTTCGATGCGGATCCCCAAGGTAGCTTCTTGGAAGACGAGTTTGACAATGAAGTCAAGCGCCGCACCAACATCTCCCAGCTGGACAAGTTGAGGATTCACTTCCGCATTGCGCTACCATTGAGATAGAAAGTAGGGGAAGAAAATCTTTTGGGTAAAAACGATGCACAGAAAGAAAGAAAGACATGAAGGACGTGAGTTTTCTTCCGATTAAGCTTGCTGTCTTCTGCGCTTGCCGATCTGGGCTGAGAAACCAGTCTTGATGGCAGAGACGGAACGTCTGGAACCACACGAGTTGCAGGTGACGAAGTAAAGACGGTTCTCACCCTTGTTGAGCTCAGTGTCTGGCGAACGGCAGGTCTTGCAAGTAACGTATTCGANCTGTTTGGTTCTCGTTAGCTTCCTGGGGTCTTTTTTGTAGTAGATAACAGAAATGCACAAAAAATGATGGGTTGTAGGAAAATGAGAAAACGTACCGATATATCTTCTCAAAACGTTCTCCAACTGCTTCTGCTGGAAACGACCCTTGATAACAAGTTGACCCTGACCAGCGACCGAACCAGAAGTACCCAATTCGGAGAAAAGGAACTGAGTGACGTGCTCGTCGGTTCTCTTCATACGGCGACAGATTTCGGAAATGTTTGCGAAAATGGTCTTCTTGTTTCCTTCACGCAAGCACTGAGGAGGAGGGATCTTGTACGACTTGCCGCCGCTAGAGGCAAGGTCGGGGTTGTGGTGGTTGAGCTGGGAGAAAAAGCGGGTGAGCAACAGGGGGTACTCGATGGGTGTGGTGTTGCTGTGCTGCCAGATGCCGGTTCCCTTTTCCAGATCGCCCTCCTGGCTGGAGGTTTGTTGCACGACGGGCTCGTCGTCGTTGGCCTCTTCGTTGGCGCCGGCCTCGGCCAGCTTGGCCTCGAAATCGTCGGCCTCAGCCTTCTTAGCCTTCTTCTTCTTCTTCTTGAGGGCCGAGGGGTCGAATTCGGCGTCGGCGACGGGAGCCTCTGCATCGTCGGCGGACTTCTCCTTCTTGGATGACGACTTCTTCTTCTTCTTGGCAAGGCCTTCGAACATGGCGGTCATCTCATCGACTCCTCCTTCTGTTGGTGTTGCGGGTGGTGAGCTGGTGTCCTCATCTTGTGCTTGTTTGACTGCGGGGAGCTTCTTGATCGTACCAGCAGAGTGAGTCTCGGCGCTCGACTTGTCGCCATGTTGCTCGGTGGCCTCGGTGACCTGGCCGTTGCTGTCGACAATGGTGGTGCCCTCGCTGAAGGCAACCGACTTGCGCGGCTTGCGCTCTTCCTATATTCGATTGCAATCAGCCACTGATCTTCTCCCCTTCAGCCGAATGCGCGCCCGGATGTACTGACAATATCAGCCATGATTGCGGTGTCTATGTGATCCAAAAACGTGTTTCGTGTAGTGTAGGGGCGGCAGATGGCTAGACAAAGGATGTGGTTGACCGTGACTCAAAAGTTGCTGCTGCAAGGCCACAAACGAATGACGCCGCCCGAATCTGGTCTTGGCACAGCAAGAAATAAATAAATGCAACAAAAACGCCTGCCCCTCCACGTGCACACTTGGACTTTATATCCTGGCTAATTATACTGAGAGCATATCAACACATTCGCGTCAGCCCTTGCGATTGAATTTAGGGAACTATTCTCCCTGTCGCTGCTTCTGTGATCATGAACCTGATCTTCTCGAGATCAATCGGGCTGTCAAAGCTATCACTCTCAACACCATGTCTCTCACAATGTTTCTCTCTCTACCACGCTTATCAAATCCCAATCACGAAGGGAAGAAAAGCGCGCTTACGACAGGGAGCGCTACCACGCAAAGAAAACAACACCGGAGTGGATGGAAAGAGACGTATCACCACCGCCCGACACTATCAAAAGCTGCGCGATACGGATCCAGAGCAATTGAAACGACGCATGCATGCAAGATATCTGAACTACCGACCTAAGATTGTCAATGATCCAGAACGCCATGCCGAGTCTCTCAAGTACCAAAAAGAGAAACATGCGAGAAACCAACAGGAGGAGCGATATAGCTTCGGCCAGCGCCTGAAGCAGTGGCTGTTTCTCCATGCTTGGGTGCGAGATGAATTGCCATGGAAGTCACATCGTCCGGTACTTTACGACCAAAGAACTGAACACTACTGCGCTGGTTGTAAGTGNGAAAGGTTCGGTGGCAGACGGTTGTGGTTCAAGAGTCTCATCGATGAACGTTATCTGTGTCAAAGCTGCTACATACCGCCAAATCCCGATTGGAACAAGATAATGCCTGAAGGATATGAGGACGCCAGACATTTCAAAGACTTGCGAGCACGAAAGGAACAGCTTGACGGATCTGGATCACCACCATTCTAATAAGGTCAACATCCACCCGCACAACACAAGAGCTTTGGTGAAATCGATCAACGAAGTTGTCTGATACTCTGCAGCTATGAAACAAGTATAGTCTAGAGGCAAAGAACGAGCATATTAGGTTTGAGGCGACGAAGCGACTCCCAACGCCTGCAAAAGATATCAGAACATTAACAAAAGAGACAAAGGAAGGAAGTGTGTGCAAGCATTGAAAAACACGGACCAGGCTTGTAGGTATTCACCCACGGAGACCAACAGTTTGTTCAAGCTTCTGGACATAGCGTTCCGGACAGGGCTCATTTCCCCCTCTCAGTCTGTCTGCGAGAGCCTTGACTCTGTCCTGTATGATTTCCTTGTAAAGAACTTCATCGTCAAGCTGCTCGAGAACTGGCAACACAAAAATACTCCGAGTCATAGGATCGATCAACTTGTGGAGCAAACTCCTGTCCTGAAGACTCAGACCAGAGTACTGTGGGATAGACACAACTGCAGTAGTCTGGATATCTCCAGCATATTCAACCAGCTGCTCCAGAGTGTATAGGAGGATCCCGGCAATCCTGACTTGCAAATTTGGAGCCATCTCATGGTGAGCTTGGACAAAAGAGTGCAAGTGACCAATCTCGACACAAAGAGCTTCTGCAGTTGCATCAAGGTTGCTATCGCTTGGCGTACGCATCGCCATCCAATATCCATAGTCAAAGAAGATGTGCTCAATGCGACTGTGGATCTTGGTCAGATGCAGAAAGTCTCGCTCTGCTTCAGGCACAGCTGCACCCAGAGCGACAAGCAGGAATGGCTGTGACTTGACCTGCTTGATCATTTCGTTCTTGTATCGTGCAAAGAGTGNCTCTATATCCAAGTCAGCGATAACAGAAGGCAATCGGCATCTTGAAAGCGAAAGTTAGACTCACTGCGACTCCTGCTGCAACATTTGCAAATTGTCTTGACCATGCTGGCTGGAAAGCACTCCTGAAGGCTCAAAGGTCGAGAGGATCTGCGTGGCAGTCTGCTCAACTAGTCTGGTGTCTTGCTGATTGGTAGGGTCTTGCTTCCACCAACCTGCATGGCGAGCAAGCTTTTCGAGGGTCCTTTGTTTCAGCCAAGTGTAAAATGTCAGAACTTCCTCCTCCTCAGGTTCGCAAACAGCATGCCCGTTCGGCGAAAGTTGGTACTTGAACTGGGATCGAACTTCGGTATTGACAGCAGTGCTCAAGATCTGATCGTCCACCCACCAAATGTGTCGACAAACCCGGCTGTCCTTGCCAGAGCAAGCCGAACAAGTTGGAGCTCCTCTGTCACGGAAGGTGACGCGGATGCGTTCTTGGAGCTCGAAGTGAAAGTTGTTGTTCTGCTCGTAACAACGAACCATAGACGTTCTGTCATTGGACAGCCCATCTTTGGCATTTGCCAGAGATGTTGGGCTCAATGCTTCAACGTCATATGATAGTCCTGTCTGTACTGCGGTCACAATACGACTATCATCCGTTAGACCTCCTTCTTCCGAGTTTGAGAATCTGCGTGATCATGCTTACGATGGACCTGACTGTTGAGCCTGAGGAGTGCTCGGTGGAGTCATATTGTGAGTTCTGAAAGGCGTTGCTCAGAAGTGACTCTTGTCCTTGAACAAAGTGTCTTTGTTGTACAAGAGGATGATGAAGACGAGGAAAGGAGCAACTATAAATCATCGACCTGGACAACGAACATAGTGTCTTGATGCCTGGGGAGAGGCGTTGCATCGGAGACTTCTCACCAACCACAACAGAGCAACTCACTGTTGGCAAAAGTAGCTCGACTAGTCAACTTCATGGTCTCCCTTCCCAGGAGAATGGTGGAGTCGACAGCATGAACCGCGATAGAGGATACTCTTCATCGTCATCGATTAAACAGCCAAGAGAGGCATGATTGCTGTATTGGTTGTTGGGCGGGGTGAGTTAGCCTGGCATCTGTTGGAGTCCCCAAAAGCTAGATGAAAGAGCGGGAAATGGCCTTGAGCACCGGAAAGAAATTCCGCCGAGACGTTCCAGGCAAGGCGAGGAGTGTTCAGGGAGATTGTGATGGTTGTGCTTAGGTGGCACAGCCGTCCAGTCGGGGCATGCCTGGGTGCAAGATAGGGGTTCATGCACAGTGTTTAAGAAGGCTGAGTGCCGTGCAGCCGAGTGATGGCATGGCAGCATGCAAGATCAGTCACCTGAGAGCTGCATAGGGAAGGCAGCTCGATGGTTGCCTGTGCTAACATCTGAGTGCAGAGGAACCGATCAAGCCCTGGCTTGTCAGTCAAGCTGGCAGTACAGCATATTGCACTCAATTGTTGCAACAACTGAACCAAGCGGGTAGATCTGCAACGCAGGGGAGGATATACATCGGGAAAGTATCAATAATGCATTGGTAGTGCAAGGGTTGGCAGCGTGTAGCGGTTGACGTGAGGTCTGAATCTGCTCCCTCCACGGAAACTTTACACAGGCACCAAAGCTCGCAACCAACAACGTTTCGCGAAAAGTGCCACCAACGATGCTTGTTGCTTGTCGAAAGCTTGATTGTGACGAAAGTGGAAAGTGGGAGTGAAAAATTTGATATAAGCGCTGGTATATTAGCCGCCCAGTGTAGTGACCACACATACCTCGCAGACAGTGCTCTAGTCGGTCAACATGACCAAGTGCAATCCGAATCCCACCAAGCGGCTGGGACGGCATGGCCAGGCGATGAACAGTTGAGATGCTCATAGTAGCTAAAGTTGTTAGTGGCATGTTCTCTAAAGTAAGTGTGAGCATCCCAACAGTTGGCAGACAACGCCGGATCCATACAGGTTAACCGAACAAAGTTGCTGATAGATCAAAAAGTTAAAGGTAGAGATAAGTGAAACGACAGAGAACAAGGGATAACGGACACTGGTGGAAAAGTTGGTAAGCCATGATTTGGGCCGTAAATTTCATGATGAGAACCTAAGAAAGACGTAACGTGACAGCCGCGCATGTGATGGCGGCCTTTCAACTCCTGAGCGCCGTCCGCAATGCCAATGCCCTCCTTCGTGTTGTACAGAATACGTGCGTACGTTATCGACCGAGGTATAATTCGCACCTGCTTCGATGTTGTCTAATCCTGTCTACCCTTGAGCAATCTCTTGGTGACCTTGTCCTTCTCGATGATGTAGACGTGTGCTCCCCAACCTGAGAGAGCATCGCGGTCGACGGCGTTGAGCAGAGCTTGTGAGATGGTCTCGAAGAGGTCCTCGGGTCCCTGGTATTTATGTCAGTATACAGAGTTCTTGCAAAACATAACAATGTAATCTCGTACAAGATCGGGTTCCCACAAGCCTTCGCAAGTACCGAAGAGCTGATCGCTGGCAGTTCCACTGACGATGAAGTCCTTCGCAAAGTCGATACAACCGATGCTGTCGAAGCCACAGATGAAGGGCTTTCCAGTAGTGTGGTTGATGCCGGCAATGACGGGACTGATGAAGTATGGGCCGAAACGCTTCTCGTATAGGGAGGATGAGACCAAGTTGGCCATGGTCTGAGGTGAAATCTGGCGCTCCTCGCGCAGGCGGTACATGTTGACCTTGTAACGGAACAGCTCACTGACAGTCTGGACATCGGTGGCGAGACCAGTCAGACCGAGGTATACGTCGCCATAGTTGAAGATCTTGGGGAAGTTGTTGGAAACAGTCAAGGCTTGGAGACCGAGGCGGAGATCGCAGGCGATGGCGACACAGTCCTTGCCGACCATGGCAACACAGGCACCACCGTCTATCAAAGTTGTCAGTGGGCGATGATGGAACGACGAAGAGGATGCGACGGACTTATTGAGAAGGGGTTAGACTAGATGGTATTGATTAGCTGGTTGCATCCATGATAGTGAGGTGTGCGTGCACTCACCATGGTTGTGACGAGGGACTAGATGAGGATTAGAGGTTGAAGTGGTGTTATGTCAGAGGTCGACAGAGAAGGCGCGACCTGAAAAGTGACAAAGACAGAAAGTAGAGTTGAATAAGCAGTTGCACGAGATGGTTGCTGTTGTCAAGCTGTAGCTAAGCAGGTACGAGCACTCTCAAGCATACCGCCCGGCCACTGCATGACGCCGACGCCGCCGCCTGGGAGCTTGCGGCCCCGGAGAACGGCAAACTCCGCGTAGATTCTCCAATTGCATGTCGAAACATTGAATCGATCTTTCCGCGCCGACGAGGTCAGATCAGCTCACCAAACACTCAACATGGTGACAATCAACCCAGAGCATGTGCGCCTCGCACAGTCGCTGCCTCCGCGACTCCTCAACTTCTTCAAGCGCTACCCTCCGCCGGCTCTTTCCCAATCTACCACCATCGCCGCCAATACTTCTTCGGCCGACGCAAATGCAAACACTCCTACTTCAATCTCAGAAAATGCCGTCTCGGAGTCAGCTCTACAACCCGAAAATCCTTTCATGCCCTTCAAGAACCCCATCACCCAAAGGTGGCAGCCCGCCTCGTTCTCTCTTCGCAAGCAGTCCGAAATTATCAAGCTCGCCATTAAGCACAACGTTGTCTCGTTGCTACCATACACGCACAAACTGCCCGAGGAGGTTGCTCGTCGCCGTGCCGAACACGGTCTCCGCGTCAAGGGTACCGGTGTTGGCCAGAAGGTCAAGGGAAAGATGTGGGAACGCACCCTCAAGGGCAGATTGGACCAGCGCGAGAAGGCCATGGTTGCTATGCCCGAGATGATCCGCCACTGGAAGGAGAGAGGTCACGGAAGAGGCTGGAAGAAGTGGCCCAAGAACTAGTTGTCTATCTCTTTCTTGGCTTGGACGACAATCTGCACAAAATCGGCGTTATATCTTGGGGGAACACTTGTATCGGCATACCACGGTTGTACATTACTTTCGAATCGGACGGCCTGCTGGCCTTTTCACTTCTCCATACTGTCTCTCATTTTGCTCAGAGCTTGGATCTCGACCTTTCATATTGTCATGATTCATCTGCGAACTAACCAGTAATATAGGTAGCCACTCTACTTCTTCTCTTGCTGCATCCTCTCATGCTCGTTCTTGACAATGGTCGGCACCTCATCCTCAATGCTTCTCTCCTGAGGCTTCCAACCCAGAATCTCCTTGAATCTTCTAGCCTTGCCCCTGCTATTCCAACCCCAAGAAACTGCCTCGAAGCCAGCAGTTTTCTTTGCCGTCTCCATGTCCATCTGCTCCGACTTGACTTCCTTGAGCAGACCTTGCTGCTTAGCACTTTCGGCAACAACCTTACTCAAGTCTCCCCATACGTGCTCACCATTTTCGGTGAAGTAATAGCCATTCTTACCCCAGAGCTTTGGGTCGGTGTTGTTCTTCGCTGCTTCCTCGACCAAGAGAACAAAGGCACGAGACAAGTCGTGAACATGCACATTGTTCCACATTGCCTTGCCGCCGCCGATGATGGGTGCAGCCTGGATATCCAGCACGGTCTTTGCGAGCTCGTACACCTGGCGACCACGAGTGAGGGAAGGTCCTCTGCCGTCACCATAAATAGTGGGTGGACAGACGATGGCAGTCTTGACTGTACCAGATGCGTTTGTGCCGGCATTGATGACGATCTCGTCGACATTCTTGTGGAAAGCATCTTTGGGAAGTCCAATCAACTCGTCCACACCGTCCAGATCATCAAAGACTTTGTCTGTATGTTCGCCCAGCTTGTCCGCTGATGAGTCGAAGTAGGTCAGGATACCAGTTCCACCAGTGTGAAGCCAGTAACCTGGCTTTGATGCACTGTGGCCCGAGGCGAGACCTTCGGCGATAGCCTTTGCAGCTCCCTCGTGATCAGATGCATCTGCAGTNNATCTGTCACGTTGTTAGTGTTGGGAAAGACTTGTAAACAAGCACAGAAGTGGAGACTTACGAATGACAATGTCTGCCTTGGATGCTTCCTCCTTGAGCAAGTCACTGCTGTCATTGTCTCCTTGCACGGTCTTGACCTTGGGGAATTTGTCCGTGACAGATTTGCCCTTCTCAGGTGTGCGGACCAGAGCCGTGTATGAGTACTCGGGGTGCTTGTTGTAGAGTTCGTAGAGCGTGTCTCCACCGATATATCCGGTGGCTCCAGTAATGAAGATGTTGACCATTTTGATTGAATTTTGTCTGTAGTGTGGATCTTTCAATCCCTCGAGAATTAGGATGGTCAGATGTTTATATAACACTCGTTAGGGCTCCATGTGTGACGTCGTGGTATTAGCCCTAGTCCGGAGTGGCATCCGGCATCTGAACAGCGATAACGACATTTGTCGATCGTACGGAGACCTTTTGCGCCCACCTGCCCTGTTTCCCAGATTCTGTGCTTGTGGAACGAATCATCGAAATCGACTGTTTACACAAGGACTGGAAATCAGATAAAATGCTTTTCAGTAAAAGTCTCTAGTAACAACTCAACAGCAAAGAGACAGACAGACTTTCAAAAATTCCTACTCCCCCTGTGTACCCGGTTGTTTCCCAACTCCCCATATCCTCGTAATGACCAAGAGCTCCGATGCAATTAAAAAGAAACGAGAAAGAGTTTTGTGCTGAATCTTAACAAAGAGAGATCATTTTCGCTGCCACATTTACTCGACAGTGACACTCTTAGCCAAGTTTCTGGGGAAGTCGACGTTCAAACCCTCAGCAACAGCAAGCCAGTAGGCCATAAGCTGGAGAGGAATGACGTTGAGCAGACCTTGCAGAACATCAATAGTCTGGGGTACCTCGATCTTGTCGGTCTTGTCGCCAGGGAACTCACTGTCGTCCTTGCTGCAAATGACAATAGGACGACCCTTGCGAGCAATGACCTGCTGGTATGCGTTGAGGGACTTGGCGAACAGGCTGTCACGGGTGAGGATCATGACAATGGGCAAAGACTCATCGACCAGTGCAAGCACACCGTGCTTGAGCTCACCAGACATAACAGCCTCGCAGTGAAGGTACGAAATTTCCTTGATCTTCAAAGCACCCTCAAGAGCAGTGGCGTGCTGGGCACCACGGCCAAGAAGCAGCAGTGACTTCTGGTTCTTGAACTTGAGGCACAAGTTCTTGATGTCCTGGTCTTGCTGGAGAATCTCCTTGAATTGCTCGGAAATCTTGCCGAGACCTTCCATGATAGCCTCTCTTCTGGCCTGCTTGGATGCGCGGTCCTCACTGAGTGACAGAGCGAACATGACCATGCAGACGAATTGAGAGGTGTAAGCCTTGGTCGAAGCGACACCAATCTCAGGTCCAGCGTTGATGTGAACACCACAGTGGGTCATCATGGAGATGGAAGAACCGACAACGTTGACAATACCGACGGTCAGGGCACCGCGCTCCAGACAGTGGCGGAGAGCCATAAGAGAGTCAGCAGTCTCACCAGACTGGGAGACAAAGACGCAGGTGTCGTCACGGAAGACGGGAGCCTGTCTGTCGAGGAAGTCAGAGGCCAACTCGACCGAGATGGGGATCTCAGTCAGTTCCTCGAAAATACCACGAACAGCCATGCAAGAGTGGTATGAAGTACCGCAAGCAATGAAGATAATTCTGCGGCAACGGCGGATGGTGCTGATGTACTGCTTGAGACCACCCAGAGTGATAGTCTTGTCCTCGAGGTTGAGGCGACCACGCATAGCGTTGACAATAGACTCAGGCTGCTCGAAAATCTCCTTCTGCATGAAGTGGTCGTAGCGGCCCTTCATGATCTCCTGGAGCTCGATCTCGATGGTCTGGATGGCACGGACGTTGGAGGCGCCAGAGTCCTTCGACAGACGGTGGATGTTCAGCTGACCGTCGTGGATGTGAGCAATATCGTCGTCCTCGAGGTAGAGAACCTTCTTGGTGTGCTCGACAATAGCCGAGGGGTCTGAAGACAGGAAGAACTCGATGGGTTGAGGAGCACCGTCCTCGGAGAAGAAAGCGCGTGACTGAGAGCGGTGGAGCAAGCTCTTGTCAGGAGGAGCCAGGAGGTTGTTGGCCTTCTTAAGGGCGACATTCTGGGAAGCAGCCTCGGCAGGGAGAGGACCGGCATCACCAAACTCAACATCAACAAAGTCAACCTTCATCTTTCTTTGTGTGCGGACACCAATGACCAGGGGAGAACCCTTGCGGGCAGCGACAATCTCGGAGGGGAAGTGGATGGACTTGAGCAAGAGACCGAAGGCACCTTGAAGCTCCTTGATGACAGCCTTCACGAGGGTGGTGAAGTCGATGTTGGGGTGTTCGTCGAAGATGTACTTGGCCAGCTTGGCGATGGCCTCGGTATCGGTCTCAGTCTCGAATGTGAAACCCTTGGTCTCGAGCAGGGCTCTCAATTCCTTGTAGTTGGTGATGATACCATTGTGGACGACGGCGAACTCCCACTTGGGGTCGGATCTGGGTGGAGACTTGTGTCAGACTTGGATTTGTTCCCGTTGCAGCTCTTTCTTGGTTGCATACCTGTGAGGGTGGCAGTTGACACGCGAAGGAGGACCGTGGGTGGCCCAACGAGTGTGGGCAATACCGGCGTGTGCATCAAAGACCTTTGTGAGGTCGGGCTTCTCGTCCTCGATGAGCTGCTTCAGCTTGGCGACCTTGCCGACCTCCTTGAATGCAAACACTTCATTTCTCTTGTCTCCGTCGATCGCCAGACCAGCTGAGTCGTATCCACGGTATTCAAGACGCGCAAGACCTGCCGCGAATTAGCTGATTGCGTTCGCCGCAGCCATCTGAAGAGCCCATGGCTCGTGTGAGAGCATACCGTTCACAAGAGTGTCAAGAATTGTCTTTCTGTCCTTCTCCACCAAGTAGTTGATGTAGCCGAAAATGCCACTATTACCAATGTTAGAGAGTCGTCCTACAGCATTCTCGGCCGTGTTGTTGTGGCCTTTGAGCTCTTGACGTACCACATGATGCCGTATAAATAGTGAACAGCGTATCCTCAAGACCTAAATGCAGAACAGAAGACAAATGGGTCGCAAAGTTGGTGACGAGTATGAACCTGAGAAATTCAGGAGCTATTAAGAAGCGAAACAGAGAGATATGAGAAAGATCAGTAGCGTTGAGGAGCAGAGGGTGAAAATGAGAGATGGCGGAAGGGGCAAGCAACGAGCTCTTATAAATAAGCACGGCCCAAACACACCCCAGAACTGGCTGCAATTGCTGTTTCTCAGGCAATCTGTGCTGTCCCCGACATGTTTCAGACCCAACAGCCAATTCTGAATCTCCCCTGTTTCTGCTCGCCTGACTAGCTGCTACCATTCCTCGCGCCGCCATCCGTACTTGGTGCTTGGTATCTTCTATCTTCATCTACAGCCATCTCTACTGGCCTTTGATTCTCGTGTTCCTGCATATAAATACCGTCGCTGTGCCGATGGTGCCACTGCCTGAACCCGCCGCCAGCCAAGAGCTCCCCAGGTACTCAAAATAGCTTTGCGCATGAATGGGATCAGTCCATAGCGTTTCCAGATACCTGCCAACCGCGCCCTGTGATTGATCCGAAGGGCGAAGAAGCCCTCGATACGTTGCTAGCACTCACCTTGTCGGTTGCTGTCGTGCTTGTAACCGTCTTTGGATCTCAAAAGCATTGGCCAGCTGAGCCTCTTTTGCGCTCGTAAGCTGCATCTCGTCGTCACCTTTTGGAGAAAAATGAAAACGCCTGTCAATCGGCTGGAGTCAGCGGATACTTAGGTTGGGCCCGCGTAGAAGCTCGAAGCTGAGTCTGCTTCGCCTTCCGCTTTAACATACAACAGCATATCTTAAGAGCGCCGCTGTCTCCTCATTTTCTTGAGTCTATTCGATCAGTCTAGCAGACGGCCTGATAAAAGCAATGTCTCCCATTGTCATTCTGATCAGACACGGCCAAGCGCTGCACAACGTCAATCATAAGTGATATCCCTCACCGCCGAGGCTTCCACGAGAAAACCATGCCTGACGCGTCCTGCACAAGAATATGATATCCCCGACCCGGCGCTCACAGAGCTGGGACAAGAGCAATGTCGCAAGCTCGAGCAGCACCTCCGTCAGCATCTGCCACTCGCCGACAAGATTGAGCGCATCATTACTAGCCCAATGCTTCGAACCTTGGAGACGACCACTCTGGGTCTCGACTGGCTCATCAAAAGGGGTGTACCCGTAGAAGCTGCTGCCCTCTGGCAAGGTAAATAACCCTCTTTCCATATCTGTTCAACAATCAACCTACCCGACTCGCGCATCTCAAAAGACTGTATAGCCGTTTCTAGCCTATACATGAGAGCCGATGCAGGGCGCAGCACACCGTTGACCGTTGATTTATTTTTGGACTTCCATAACGCATTTGATCTCGCATGCTCGGCACTTGTCTGGCTTACGCGTCGATCTCTTTTGTTATACATCAACACCTCTTACTGTCGACCGAACCATGGAAGTTGCCCTGGGTATCCTCCTTGAGTCCCTGGATTCTCGGAGATCTGCTTTTGTGGCTGCGAGTCAGCCGCCCAAGACTTCTTGCGCCATACCCAGCCCATGACTTTGGTTTAATATTACCAGGACCGCACCTTACAATAGTGTGCTGTCGCAATGTAGCTTGCGTTGAGAATTGCACTTGGGGCCTTTATCAATCGCATAGCATCCAACAGGCCACATTGGACTGATATGCGCTTACTCTAATCTATAGCCTCCGGATGTAGAAATGCTGGTCATACTACGACAAAACTACGCCACTACAACTCGCGAACGACACGGTTTTGAGAACATCTAGACTAACCCTAAACTCTCACAGAGAACTCGGACAAACCCTGCGACACTGGTAGCCCTCTCTCAGAGATGAAACCTCAGTTCCCGCACTTCGACTACTCCAAGGTCGACCCTCTGTGGCCTTCCAAAACCGGCCCTTATGCCTTTACACGCACCGCAACCGTTGCTCGCGGGCAATCCTGCCTCCGCGATCTGCAATCGCGCAAAGAAAAGGTCATCGCGGTGGTCTCGCATTCTGGCTTCTTAAGATGCGCGATCAGTTTTTGCAAGTATGCTAATGCTGATTATCGCATCTTTAGCTTCCAGGATACGGAGCAAGGCAGGGACTTTGAGTTGAAGGAGTGGAAAGAGACGGAGGAGAATGGAGGTGGTATGGGTGAGAGCGAAAAGGGCAGGGCAGACATTGAGGATACCGACTTCCCTGAGGAACAGGCTGAAGAGGTCAAGCAGCAGTTGGGTGGCAAGGCTGATGGCGAGGCTGCTAGAGAGGTTCCTGAGAAGAAGTAGAACTGGATTAAAGGGTAGATAGAGATACAGATATGATTAGAGTTGTGATTCTGTCCACTATAAATCTCCTCTGAATGAAAGGGCATGTAAACGTGACATTATGGTCCTCCCTGAACTCCTGTGCGCCTAATGATGCTGTCGCGGCCATTCCCCTAATATTAGCTTCATGATAGAACACTCTGTTATGCTGAACCTAAACCTCTCCATGTGAAACAAAGACAACCATCTACAACTCCATATCGTCATCGTACGAAGCAACATCGTGCGAGGCAAAACCACGCTGCTGCTCGACCTGAGCGTTCATGGCCTGCAGCTGCTCGAAATTGCGTGCCTGTGCCCACGAAGCATGTGCATCCTCCATCTCCCTGGAACGATCATGCTGCTCGATTTGTGATCGCCACAGCCCACCAGAGCAAGAGGCATACACTGGCTCGCTGTGCGCAGAGTGGGCATAGCCAGACTCCATGTAAGGCTCCGCTTGTGCGTCATCCACCTGAGTACGCATGCGCTCTTCATAGCGTAATGCTGCCAACTGCTCTTCATGTGCCATGCTCGTCTCTTGCTGCCAGTGGTGGGACGATCTTGGGGGTGAGATGCGCCAGAGTTCAAGTAGGCGCAGTCGCTGTTCGTAGTCTGCGTTGGTGAAAAGCTGGACTTGCGACTGGCTCAACGAGGTAGGGTCAATGTCGTGGTTGCGCAGCATCGACGCTAGGTGGATGGGTGTCATTTTGTTGCTGTTGCTGTCGAGAGGGCTGCCGCTCAGAGGAGAGTCGGCTCGTGGAGCTGCTACTTGCTGTTGCTCTGCTGCTGGAGAGACGTGCATGTAGCTCGTCGGAGTGTAGTGCTGTGAGCTGTAGTAGATGGGCTGTGCGGTGTGGCCGAGGAATTGCTTGTCAGGCGTAGACTGAGGCAATGTCTGGTTCAGACTCATGTTATGGGCAAAGAGCCTGGCTAACTCGTCATGTTGATACTGCGACATGGTGAAGATGTTGATGTGTTCGATGTTCTGTTGCTGATGTTGTGCTCTGCACTGAACGTCAGTCGGCTGCGCCTCTCGAGAAAGAGTGCCTTGGTTTTACGTGTTGGTGCGAACGCAACTGAGATTCGATCAGGCAGAAACGCAGGGTAAGAAGAGAGATGCGGAAGGTATGTGAAATACGAAACAAAGAAAAGGTGAAGAATGAAGGAAAGGAAAAGGTCGAGATTGCGGTGTGGGAATAAAACGGACTGGTATTGCTCCAACCTGATGTGTCTCTGCCCAACCGTGCTCCACCTAGGAGGAAGGCTAATATGAGTGGAAACAAGCGGTGTCCAAGGGGCGGCGGGGTAATGAGCAATTCGACTACGAGGAGTGTAGTCGTGGGATGAGGGATACGAAAGGAAATTGTGTCTACAAGGCTAAATTGACAAAAGCTAGCAGAAAGATGCAGTGGTATAAGAAAGATATATGGTGGGAGAGGGCGGGGTTGGAAAAGTTGGTGGGCGGAACTAAGTCGTCATTGATAACGAGGCTTGCCCATGTCACATGGCTCTATTGTTGGACAAAAGCAGTGAGAGCAGCATGATACTGGTCACTGATAGCTGAGAATAATTGTTGTACATATTGTGTTCATCAACTGACAGTTAGAAGCAGATATGTATCCTAAGCACCTTGGGAGACTGGAGTATCTAGGAGGAAGGGCGATCTTCATAGATGTGCAGGATGACAGAGTGACAGGGTGACGACCTGGATGTCGGAGCTTGGCGTGCGTCTTGCCGCGAGATGGAGCTCGCTGCTCATCCATGCGGACCGGGAGAGCTGCGTCGATACATCACAGAATAGCCAAACACCCAATCTTTGCATCTGCGCATCTGAATATTCCGTGTTGATTCACTCACTTACCTGGTTCAACACTTGTTGATTCTTCACCTCTTCTCTATACTACCAACTCCATCTTGCCTTCCTCTTCTCACCGTCATCAACCGCAACCATGGTCAGTAAACGCCGCTTCATATTGGCGCATCCAAGTTCGTCGCTGACACCATCTCAAGACTTCGATAGGAACGGGCTACGATCTTTCCAACTCAGTCTTCTCTCCTGATGGACGTAACTTCCAGGTGAGTCTATCAAATCTCAACCATGGCGAACCGCAACAACTAACGACCAACNNCCAGGTCGAATATGCCATGAAGGCAGTCGAGAATGGCGGCACTTGCGTCGGTATCAGATGTCGCGACGGTGTTGTTCTGGCCCTGGAGAAGCTTGTCACTTCCAAGCTGTTGAAGAAGGATGCAAACAAGAGGATAGCCACGGTCGATCGCAACATTGGTGTCGTATGTGCTGCTCGCATTCTATACTGATCTCCTCTCGCTGACAACAACTCCAGNGTCTCTACTGGTCTTCTTCCCGACGGTCGCCACTTTGTCAGCCGTGCCCGCGATGAGGCATCATCATGGCGTTCTCTCTACAAGCAACCTATCCCCGTCGCCTCCCTTGCCGATCGCATGGGCTCATACGTCCAAGCCTACACCCTCTACTCATCAGTCCGCCCCTTCGGTATCACTGCCATTATCGGTGGTTGGGATTCCGAGCTCGAAGTGCCCGTCGATGCACAAGTTGGTTCCGGCCCATCAACTGGAAGTGGTGGCAAGATGGCCGACGCAAAGGAGGGCGGCCCATACCTCTACATGATTGAACCATCTGGATCGTACTGGGGATACTATGGTGCAGCTACCGGCAAGGGAAGACAAGCAGCCAAGGCGGAACTTGAGAAGCTGAAGCTCACCCCCGACCAGGGTGGTATCAGCCTGGAGGAGGGTGTCAAGGAGGCGGCAAGAATCATCTATGTGGCACACGAGGACAGCAAGGACAAGGAGTTTGAGCTCGAGATGACGTGGATCAGCAAGGTTGACGGACCGACCAAGGGCAGACATCAGGAGGTACCAAAGGAGATGCTCGAGGAAGCAGAACGCCTGGCCAAGAAGGCACTCGAGGGCGATGATGACGAGATGGAGGAATAAACAACCACTCATGACTTGTACGATACAGCACGTAGAGAGCTGGACGTTGAAAGAAGATTACAAGCAGGCAATGCGTACACGGAAATGGCTATTTTACATTTTGAAGAAGATGATATCAAAGTAGTCTTTTATACACTGGGACCCTTGTCGAAACCGTTGTTGTCGCCGAGTTTCTGTCTCTTCTCGACTCTGTTGTCGACGGCTCCCCAGTTGATCGACTTCCACCATTCGATCAGGTACTTTGCCTTTCCGTCCACGCCGTACTCGGGCAGGTAGCAGTGTTCCCAGGTGCTGACACAGAGAGCAGGTGTGATGAGCTCGGTGCCTGGAGGGAGCTTGGGTGTGTCTCTTCCGCGTGCAGATGTGGAGCCGAATGAACCAGCTGAGCCGTTGTATCCAACCGCTGTGCTCTGGTCGACACCCTGTTGGCGGTAGATGGCTTCGGGGTAGGGAGTGCCAGCGTTGTAGGTGGTGAGAATTCTGTACTCGGGCAGGGAGGATGTGTTTCCAGCGGCCGAGGTGGAGCGTTGCTTTGCTTGGACCAGCCAGACGAAACCAGGACCGGTCATTGCGTTTGCGGTAGTCAACATTGTCCTCCAGAGAGTGTCGATGCTGCCGAATGACTTGATGAGAGCTTCTTTGAGGAGGGGGTAGTTGTCGAGGTTGTTGGAGTCGAGCGAGGGCGACAGCGAATCGAAGAAGAAGTGCGTGTTGTGGGCCATGCTGGCAGCGGAGAAGACGGCAGCCATGGAGGGGTTGCGGGCGAAGGAGAGGACGAGTTGCTTGGTGGTCGAGTTCTCGTGGTCGGAGCCTGAAAAGCAGGCAGGTTAGAGTGGTTGGTCTATCATGTCGCGTGGGTGGTGGTATAGCAACCTTTNTGTGGCCTTGTTCAATCGGTCGACGAGGAAGGCCATGTTCTTGTTGTATGCAATATCGTAGGATTCCTTGCTCATGAGGCCGGCGATTCCATTTGTCTCGAATTCCTCCTTGTAGATCAGGTTGGGCACCTCATGGAGCGATCTCGATATTGAGGCATGGAATTGTCTCGCCTGCGCAAAGCGTGGTAAGTAATTGTATGTGGTGTAGGGATCTCGAAGCGGACATACGGCGATGCGCGATTCAACCAAGGGAGCCCATGCGCTTCTTGAGCGTGCTAACGTGTGTAGAACCATTGCTGGAATGCTGTATATGCCGACGGCGAGGGTCAAAAGTCTCGAGGCCCTCGTACAATTCAAAGTCGCCGGACGGAGATTGCCGGTCGCGGTCGTCAGTCGTTTGTGCTACCGCCTTGAACTAGGATCGCAAACACTCGAATGAGGACATGTGCTGTTCGCTGTGGAGACTAGATTCTATGGGCATGATCCTAGCTACAGTAGTTCTTTCCCTCGGACGCAATGGGCGATTGAGGGCATTGAGTAGGTATTGCAATGGTGGAAGTTGCAGCCGGGGATGGCTGACAAGTGCCGACCCGAGATGGGGATCCAAGTAGTTGCAATATTTGGTCAGTCCTGACAAGTACGAGACCAAGTACATTGTCTATTTCTCCAGCGACTCTGCAACCATGCCTACCACTTGACACGCCCGAATCAGCATTATTCATCCGCAACCAGCGTACTACCCGTCGCATATAGCCTCTTTCGCAGCTTAGCATCCTTTCGACCACCCCTTTCCGTTCCCGCACGTGGTCATCAAGAACAAGATGGCTAGTACCATCAGTAAGAGGCAGCAGGCTCGCAATGAGCGCATGCTGCAGGATCTGTTGAAGGTGTCCGGAAATGATAGGTGCGCCGATTGTGCTGCAAAGAATCCAGGTGAGCAAGCCTGAACCAACACGCCTCTTTCTGGAATCTGCGTGCTGACATTGTCCAANGCATGGTCGAGTTGGAGCGTGAGTAAAAGTCGCGTCCGTGTTTTGGCCTCTTCTGATAACAACCACAGNCTGGGAATCTTCCTCTGCATGAGCTGCGCCGCCCTACATCGCAAAATGGGAACTCACATTTCGAAAGTCAAGTCGCTGAGCATGGATAGCTGGTCTCCTGATCAAGTCGACAACATGAAGCGCGTAGGAAACACCACCTCAAACCGCACCTTCAACCCACAGAACGTCAGGCCCGACATTCCCACCGATGCTGACGAGGTCGGCGGTGTCATGGAACGCTTCATCCGCCAAAAGTACGAGCACAAAGCCTTTGTTGGTTCAAGACCCAGGAGTCACACAGTTGGAGGCGCCAGTGTTAGTTCGAACGAGGGTGTTCCACCACCTCTGCCGCCAAAGCCTGGAAAGAAGTTCGGTTTCTCGCTGGGTGTCCGCTCCTCGTCAGCCACCCAACAAAGATTCACACCTCCACTTTCGCCCGCGTTGACTGGTTCGGACGGTCGCTCTACACCGCCTGTCGGAAAGATGAACAAGCCTTCGCGTGTGTTTGGGTCCAATGTAGGAAATCAAGAGGAAGAATCATTTGACACAAAACTGGCATCACTGAGAGAGATGGGCTTCCCGGACACACGTCGCAACTCGATGGTCTTGAAGAATGTCAATGGAAACTTGGACAAGGCAGTCGAGACTCTTGTGCGCTTGGGTGATACCACTTCAGGNGCACAGGGTACCCTGACACCCATGTCAGGCAGCACTAGTAGCTCCAACGCAAACGGCATCTACATCGAGAAACAGAGGGCACAGCCAGAAAAGGCCGCTTCTTCGACAAATCCTTTTGATGCTCTGGATCTGCAACCTCCGCGGCGTGCCTTTACTCAGCCCGCTCTTTCCACTGCGGCTCCACAACCTTCGTACAACCCCTTTCTCCAACCTCAACCACAAGCACAACCTCAGGCGCAGCAAGCTCTTCAGACCTCTTTTTCGGCCATGCAGATCTCCGCACAACANGCCTCAGCAATACCAGAACAATCCATTCATGCCTCAACAAATGCAACAGCAAATTCAGGCTCCTACTTATCAACCTCAGGACACACAACAATACCAACAACCTCAACCACAGTCTAACCCTTTCTTGAGAAAGACTCAATCTCAAACATTTGCTCCCTCGANATCCATTCGGAATTCAACTATCGGCTGCCCCACAGAATCCATGGCTCGCACAGCCTCCGGTTCAGACACCACAAGCACAGTCGCCTGGTGCTTTCTATCAACCTCAACAGGATTTCTTCTCCGCACAGCCGCAACCACAACAACAATCCCAATATCAACAGCAACTCCAGCAGCCACAACTCCAGCAGAATCCCTATCAACAACAGCCTCAGCAGCTAGCGCCTCAACACACCTCAAACCCCTATGCAAACGTGCCACTTCAGCCTGCCNTCCAATCCTTACCAAGTGCCTCAGTCCAGTCAACCGGAACCTTACCAATCCTACCAGTCTGCCCAACAACAGATGCCTCAACAACAGCAACAACTGTACTCACAGCCCACTGGTCGCTATGGCAAGACGGACATCATGGCACTTTACAACCAGCCACAATTAGCGCCTTCAAGACCTCTGCAGCCACTTCCTGAAAATGGTATGGCTCCTGCAATGATGCCTCAGCAACAACAGCAGCAGCAGCAGGTGCAGGTTCCACCTCATATGCAACAAGCACCGCAGAGAAGTGTCACCATGCCAGTGGGAAGTGGCAGTATGAACCCCTTTGGCTCTGGTTTCTCAGCACCTCAGCAAGATCAGCAAGCTAGACCGGGCGCCAGGCACGTTAGTCAGGAAAGCAAGGATTTCGTGGGTATGGGTAATGGAAGACCCCACAGCCCTGATGCATTTGCAAGTCTGAGTGCAAGATATGCTCGCTAAAGTCCTTGTTTCTCCTTGTGAAGATATACCCATTGTTTTGTTTTAGGTTTGGGTAGTTTTGTTCCTTCTTCTTTTGGTTGTTGGGAAGCATCAATTCTTGAGCAAGCAAGTCCTGGTTTCCTTTCTTTGCTGTTTATTGTCGGGCTCCTTCTTTGCATTTGTCTTCTTTAGGGAGACCCGCTCGAGGTTATTCTTTTGCATGAGCGCTTGCCTTTTCACAACTACCCCTTTCTTGTACATATACTTGCCTCATTTCATTCCTTCTTGCATCCAGTGAATGATAACAAAACAATCGCTTCTCTGTTTCTAGAATCGGGTTTTCGGGAATTTCAGTGCTTTCCAAGTTGTGTTCGTACATTTTCTGCCTTGTGTGCGTCTATAACATCAAGCCTGGGGATTGCTTCAAGGCGCGTAGTTTGCTAAGGTTGTCTACAACTTTCACCCCAAGCCATCCTCAAAGTTCTGCATTATATTCTGGTATCTGGGCTAACATCTATTCGTTATGGGTTTCATGAACATCGTGGCACATCTCCAGCCCAGGCCTATGCAAAAGTGTCCTATCCATAATTGAATGACAGGGTCGCTCTGGCGTCTTGCTCTTTGTGAGCTACAACCGAAGTCCTACAATATAACATCTGAACAAAGGCTGTGGTCAAGAAAGCTTGACATGGCTCTCGGCACCGAAGTCTCAAATCTAGAGTCATCATTTGCATTATCCTAGCGATACGTATGACAGACTTTAGCACGACGGGAAGACGCACCAACATGGTCACCCAAAGAGGAAGGTGGGATGCGGGGCCCTAGCGCTGTCGTTCTGTATATATATGTCCGCCCTACCTTGATGTTTGAGACTGCTTCCTGCGTTCTCCCAAGCAATAGCAAAGCAATGACAGTCAAAGCCCAAAAGTTTACACCAGAGGTCTTGCTCTCGGCCCCACGCCGCTCAGCTGGTGTACCTAATAAAGATGGCAGCTCCGTGCTCTACACCACGAGCACGTACTCCTTTGACTCACACACTAAGACCGTCGAGTTGAGGAGCCTGGACACAAGGTCAAATGAGAGCACATTGCTGGTCCAGGATAACAGCGTTAGCGAGCCTGTCTGGTTGTCTGGTGAGAAGGATGTCTTTGCCTGCCTCAAGGGCGAGGACAAGGGCAAGACTTCTATTCTCATTGCAACGACCAAGTCTACCTCTGATTGGAAAGATTCTACATATACCGCTGGTTCGATTGATGCTCCTGCTGGTAGCTTGAAGATTGCACAATTGTCTGACTCCTGTTACGCGGTTGTTCTGGCCGCTCAATGCTGTCCGGACGGTTCTCTGTATAACTCGGAAACAGCTCCTAAAACTCACTCGACTGGAAAACTCTACAAAAGCCTCTTTGTGAGACATTGGGACGACTATGTTACTCCTCAAAAGAATACTCTGTGGTATGCTACTCTGACCAAGGCCAAGGATGGCAAGTTCGAATTGAGCAAGTGGGTCAACGCCCTCAAGGGAGCTGCTGGTCTTGAGAGTCCAATCCCTCCTTTCGGAGGTACAGACAGTTTCGACGTCAGCAAGTCCGGAATCATCTTTGTTTCCAAGGACCCAAAGACCAACCCTGCACTGAGTACCAAGTGCAATGTGTACTATATCGAGCTTCGCAGCTTCACTGAGGAACCCGCGCCGAAGCCTTTCGAGTATACGATTCAGGACTTCAAGGGTGCTAGTTCTTCCCCTGTCTTTTCTCCCGATGGCAAGAAAGCCGTCTTCCTGAGCTTGTACACTGCTGGGTACGAAAGCGACAAGTCTCAGATCTTCTTGATCGAGGACTTGAAGAAGAACTCGGTTCAACGTCTGTTCGACCAAAAGAAAGAGGGCAGTCTAGACAAAAGCCCACAGAACCTCGTATTCAGCTGCGACGGTGAGACGTTGTACTTCTCTGCAGAAGACCAAGGATATGGTCGCCTGTTTGCATTAACTTCGGATCCTACTAATGGTCAAGTATTGCGTCCGCTTACAAACACTGGTTATGTCTCTGATGTCTGCCCTCTGGAGTCAGGGGATGTATTCTACACCAGCAGCTCGCTCGTCGACTACTCATCGTACAGCATCATCGGAACTTCCCAGGCTGAGGCTCAAACTGCGAAGTGGACACACTCGTCATCTAAAGGTGGTTCTTCCCTTGGTCTGAGAGCCTCTCAAGTCTCTTCGATCCATACACCCGCTTCAGACCCGACAGTGAACAAGACTGTGCATTCTTGGGTATACAAACCGTCCAACTTTGAAGAAGGCAAGAAGTATCCGCTTGCTCTCTTAATCCATGGTGGGCCTCAAGGATCTTGGGGAGATTCTTGGAGTACACGTTGGAACCCTGCTGTTTACGCGGAGCAAGGCNNTGTAAGCTGCCCCTGCACGTACGATAAATAAGCTCAACTGACCCTTTCAGATGTGGTTATCACACCAAACGTTACTGGTTCAACAGGCTATGGTCAGGCTTTCACAGATGCGATCAGAAAAGACTGGGGAGGACGACCATACAACGATCTCGTCAACGTCATGGACTGGGTTGAGAAGCACATGCCAGAGGTTGACATGACAAGAGCAGTAGCTCTCGGTGCCAGCTATGGTGGATACATGGTTAACTGGCTCAATGGACATGATCTTGGACGCAGATTCAAAGCACTCGTCTGCCACGACGGCATTTTCTCCTTCGCTGGCGGCCTCCTCGCAACTGAAGAGTTGTTCTTCGCGATGCACGCAAGTCTCTCTCATCTTGTGGATTTATTATGTTGTTGTCACTAACATATNGAATTTCAGGACTTGGGCGGTACACCTTGGTACTCTCCATCTGGAAACAAAACCGCCGACGAGGCCAAAGAGACATTCGGGCAGACCTCGTTAGATGCCTGGATCAAGAACGATCCCAGTCGCTACCTCGATCACTGGCAGACACCTCAGTTGGTTATTCACAACGAGAAAGACTATCGTTTGTGTATCTCCGAAGGACTCGCCGCTTTTAACGTACTTCAAGCCCGCGGTATCGACAGCCAGTTCCTGACGTTNCCCTGTAAGTTATTCAACACGACCTCTTCTCATATCCAGCTTGTATAGTTACTAAAGGATGTGCTTTAGGATGAGAATCACTGGGTGCTTAAGCCAGAGAACAGTTTGGTCTGGCACAAAGTTGTGTTGAACTGGATCAACAAGTATGCCGGTCTCCCGCCGTATTGCAACGATGACGAGGAGAGTGAGGACTTCTTCGGAGGGTTCAAGGAGGACAAGGCAGAACTTGTTGAAATGGCAGGCATGGGCAAGCCCGAGACTTGAAGAGATTTGATAGTATATCATGTCATCTAAGAAGAATGTTGTTTTATGATTAAATGGAGATGGTGAAAATGATACACAAACCAAAGTAACAGATGGTATATTTGGTTTTTGAACCATGAAAGGACCAGTCAAAGATCTAATTGTTGCGACCTGCCACTCAAGAGGACAACGAAATCAGGTAGGAGCACGAGTTGGAGATAGTCAGGCATTCGATGCAGCCGTTTTTTTAAGGAACCTATCACTGCTACATCTAGGTTCATATAGGAACAGGGAACCTTGTAATGTGAGGCCAGCTCACCTAGGCAATCGAGTCCAGATTCGACATACAGACATTAGTAGACAATGGGAGCTTGGAGACCACAACTGAAGCTAATCTTCCAACGGGTCTCCATCTTCTGGCAGAGCTGCAATAACATCGTCGACCATGGCGAGCAATTCATTAACATCTGGTCTCTCCGACGGCTCGACTCTCAAACACCTCCTAACCACATCCTTGATCATCTCAGTGATAGGTGCGTCTTGTGCAGCAGCTTCCGAATTCGTGGGCATCTNTTGCTTTCCTCTGCTCTTGTTTGCTTGTGCGTTGTGCTCATCTGGGAATCTCCAGTCACCACCCAAAACACAGAGACTCAGACTTCCACCGGTTTCTTCGCTGCGGGCTTCGAATGGTGATTTGCCGACTAGACAGGCGTATAGTGTACATCCTAGACTCCAGATGTCTACCTTTGTATCGATTACAGAGTCGGTTTTGACGTCGAAGAGTTCGGGAGCGCGGTAAGGCATGGTGCTGTGTTCGGCAGCTGTATCTTGGACTTGTAGTGCGAGAGCGCGTGATGTGATGGGAGTGGGCGAAGGGGCTAATGAGCCAAGGTCCATAAGAATAGGTGACTGGCCGTCGTCTGAAATCATGATGTTGCCTGAATATCGTCAGTCTTGGATGTCTCTAGCATATTAAAGATGATGCCTCTTACCAGGCTTGATGTCGCGATGTGCATATGCTCTGGTCTGACCTTCGGACATGCCCTCTTGTGCCATGGAGATCTCGCCCTCCATCAACGGCTCAGCATCATCCAGCTCGTCATCGTCGTCGCCATGGTCTTCTCCCCTGTCGGCTCTTGCAGCATCGGCCCGTACCCGCTTTGCTCTCGATTGTGCACCTTTACCACCTGGAGCGCCTCCCACCTTGTAGTTGTGCATGGCTTGTAGTGCGACACAGACACCACGGAACAGGACCATCAACCTGCGCTCAGGGAACTTTGCGCCATTGACGAGGTTGGCATTTATGGCGTCTTGCAAATTGCCTCGACGGTAGTATGGCAGAAGGATGTAAACAGTCTTTGCTGAGGGGTCGCTGCGATCCGGAATGACGGCATGGTCAAGGGCGTGGATGATGTTGGGATGCGGCTGGAACAAGCTGTATGCTTCGACCTCTTTGAGAGCCAGAGCCACCGACTCGGCGCCGAATGGACATCGAATCTTCTTCAAGGCGTATAGATTTGGCGACGGCGGTGATTGAACCAAGTAGACGTATGAGAAGCCGCCCTCTCCCAGGAGACGAAGGATCTTGTATGAGCGGCCATTGATCTTGAGGGCGGGATTGCTCGGGAAGCAGTTGAAGCAATTGGTGAGCTGCCACATCAGGTCCACCACGTACGAAGACATTGTTGCCGACATGGTGTAGTTAGCCAGAGGCACAGATTGGTCAGAGTTGGGTATGCGTGTCTCTTGCGAATACGAGTAGCTACGAGACCCTGCGGCTCCGTCGAGGGTGACATGACGATCTGCCAAGACTTGTAGTATGCAATGTCAGACTGCATCGACAGCAACGTTTGTCCAAATCTTAAAAATCCAATTTACACCTCCTAGTACCTGTCTACTCTATCTCTAAATCCTTCCTCTTCGTCTCCGTCGCCGTGCCGGAAGACCTTGTCCAGGTCCTGAGCGTCGTCCGCATCATCGCCAAAGTCATCGCGGTATTCTTGGTCGCTACGCAGACTGATACCATCGTCGCCCCGGATTGCCTCGGTAGCTTCCCTCTCCATAGCATCGTCCGAGTATTCATATCTGCCCTCCTCTTCGAATTCGTCCCCATCCGGTGCTTCTCCACGAATAGCAGCTTCACGCTCCTCAGCCTCCAGCTCTTGTGCCCTAGCCTTCGTCTTTGTGTACATGATCCACCCCGTAGCTAGGCCTGCAGTCAGTCCAATTGCAATGCTGAGATAACTGATGGCCTTTGTTTTGGCGTCCATCTTGTCTCCGCTGTCAGCGATGCGTCCGAGCTGGCTGCCCACAAACACATGTAGGATCAGCTTGGGACTTGCAGCTGCCGTAGCTACCATGAACTGTGGCCACTGTACTGTGGGAATTGTAGAGATGGCTCCGTTCGAGAGTGAATAAGGAAGTGGACAAAGTCTGATCATCATCAGAAGCTTGATGCCATCATGTTTCAGAGTCAAGGCGAGTGCTGCAAATCGTTTGTCGTTTTCTGTGAGTCGGGTCACGTATGACTTTAGAAGCGTGCGTGAGGCGAGGAATGAGGCCGTACTGCCAATGATTGTTCCGGATGCTGCAATGAGCCATCTGTAGATCACTTAGTTGCCAGGCCTATACGAAACATACATCCGAATCACAACTCACCCCTTGGGTACACCATAGACGAAGCCGGCCAGTGTCACACACGTGGAATACCCGATCAGAGGCGGGAAGCTGACCAGGAAGGTCGCCGCCCATAGGATCATCCAGCCACCAGTGATGTTCCTCCAACGCTTAGCTACGGGCGACATGGCGTGGAATATCCTCTCATTGTATACGAGGAACAGAATACCAAGCACAAGAGTTACGACGCCTGCAATCACCAACAGGATGCGCTTCGCAGGGCTAAGGCCGAAGAATGTTTTTGCAGCATTGCGTTGTAGCTTGGCCGCCTGAGCCACTATGCCGCCTGACTTTGCGCGGCGGTTTGAACGTGGGACCGATGTTGATCGTCGAGAGAACACGGGCGAGTTGGATTGAGAGCGATGTGCTTGTTCGTCTATGGGTAACGCCAGAGCCCGGGCGGTCGAGTTGTAGTCGGTCATGTCTGGGTAGAGTGAGGAAGGCTATGACTTCATATGCTGAGTAGTGCTTTCGATTGGTGAGTCGAGAAAGAGTGCAAGACCGGCTGGCACTTGTCCTGTTATCCAAAGCAAGATGACCGTATGCTGAGAGATAAGTAAGAAAGGGTATCAGAGAACAAGAAGAAAGGCACAATGCTCGACCGGACCGTGGATGATGGCGGCAGCTTCACCTCGTGCACCCGCAGATGCCCTAAGCCTCATCATATCTCCGGCCAAATCTCCGCTCCGAGGCGCCGGACCCTTGCCTAACTCTACCTATATTTGGAATGGCCTCAAACGTTCACGTCGAAAATCTATACAACCATGTTTGAACATGTAGAGACACAAACAGCACACGTTGACTGCGAGGCCACTGGACTACAGCCATATGCTCGCATTGCTATGAGAGACAGACTAAATAAAATAAACATTAGCCCCCAATTCGAGGTCCTGTAAACGCCACCCCAACCTGTCACAGCAATTCATTTGCTCCCGGACAGCCTGCCTGCGCCCCCCACGCTTCATCTCATACATGTGTGAATCCCAATGCCGCCGGAAAAGTATGTACAATGAAGCCAGAAAAATGCGTCGCTGGGACGAAGAAGAGGATGAACAGAAGAAATGATGCATCTAATGCCAAGGACAAATGAGAAGTGTAGGTAGGTAGCCTGCCAGCCTTGTCAAGGCATGCTACGATGCTGCTGCTGCTTTCTTGCGACCGAAAAGCGTTCTGGACCTGCCTCGTGATTTCTTCACGGGCTCGGGTGTTTCTTCCCTCGGAGGTGGATCCGGCATGTATTTGGGCTTGTAAANTCCTGTTCAATGTTAGTGTCAGGTACTCTGCAATGCGTGCTGCAAAAGAAGAACAACATACCAGCTGTTGCCCGCCATGCTCATGCCCTTGTCCGCAGCCTGGCGGTAAAATTCTGCGGCCTTCTTGAGGTCCTTCCTGCATCCAACGCCTTGGGTGTAACAGAATCCTGCTTCAGCAAGAGCATCCGTGTCGCCCCAGCTGCCAGCAATCTCAAAACATCTGACTGCGAGTGGCTTGTCTTTGGGGATGCCCCATCCGTTCATATATGACATGCCAAGCTCATAGATGGCAAGTGCGAACTGGGCTTTGCGTGCTTTCTGCTCCTTGGACACTGCTTGTGAGCCGTCATTGCTGCTGTCCTCGATGAATTCCACTCCAGCTGAATCCACCGCGCGTCTAAGCCACGATACACCTTCAGCTTGGTTAGGACGCATGCCCCAACCATGTCGGCATGCGAGAGCATATAACAGCATGGCTGTTGGAAGTCCTGCCCTGGCAGCCAAGCGAAGATGATATGTTGATTTGCTGAGGGAGCCTGAAGAGTGGCACTCTATGCCTTTCTCAAGATGTTGCTCCGGTGATAGACCGGCTATGTCGGTAGATGGGCTGTTTCGAACATGCGATCCCGCCCTGATCGTACGGTTTGTGCTCTCAGAGGCAATCGATGGGGTCTGCGGTGTAGTCTTCTTGACCAGCCGGTTAGGTGAACGAGCTGGGCGCTCGGCTGACTTGTTTCGACGTGGCCCTGGTGCTGGACTTTGTCCACGTGGTGTGCTGGGGCCAGGGCTGAGCATGGGATTGTCAAGATTCGGGCTTGGTAGAGGACTTTCGACTATGCTGGGTTCCAATCCAGTTGGCTGCTGTTCCCATTTTATTTGGTGATGGGCCCAAGAAGATCTCGCTTCCACCGAATCCCTGTCGAGCATACGTCCACGAGGCAACGAGTATTTAGAATAGACGTAAGAGGGCGCGCCCGGTCCGGGATGTACGACTTGAGTTTCTTCACCACTGAAACACTCCCTGTCCGATAGAGCACCAGAGATGTCTGTCGCACTGTCTGAATTTTGACGTTCGACAGGAGCCCTGACACGCATGGTTTGCATAGAGTTGGCACTTCTGGCAGTTTGCGACATAGAAGAATCATTGGAAGGCTGACGTTCGACAGCACGGCGTGTATCAACCGTCAGATTGTTCTCAGCTGCTGGTCTTGCGAGAGAGTTGCCTCTAGGTCTGGAGAAATTAAAAGATGGGCGAGGCAAGTCTGAAGATACGGAGTACTCGGACAAATTTGATGGGGAACGAGAAACTGGTAGCATTTCCGGACTGAACGGAGTACGGGTCTTGCTGGATGGACCGACCTCAAGTGATCCAGATGGGCTGCCGTTGTCTTCTTCGGCACTGTCGATGACGGATCTAATGCTGGCGATACTACGCGCTGATCTTGGATGCGCTGGCGATCGAGGTGGTGCTAGACTATTGTCCTGTCTCCTTGAGGATTCATTGGTCAAGGTCCGTGGTTGTGAAGATTGTATTGAGTCAATACTGCTAGTGAGACTGGGCAAGGCGGGAGAAGCGTCGTCGCTTTTTATGTTCCTGGAATCGAATGGCTCTGGAGACGAAGAGCGCGGTACCTTTATGCCGAAATAGCCCTTCTCTTCGTGCTCAGTGCTGGCTTCCTTGATAGGTTCTGGTACGCTGGGCACATCCTGGTCGTCACGGACGACGTTCCCTAGCATGGGATAATGCGACACGGGGCGGTAAACGGCACCATTGGGTGTTTGCGCCTGCAATCGGGGCGGTTGCCATGAATCTTCCTCGTCCTCATCGTCGTCCTCCTCTTGGTCCTCGTCGTACAGACTCTCGATGCCGCTTGAAACAGATCTAAAGTAGCCAGGTCGTTTTGCGAGTTCGTCGGCAATGTCCTGGTGTGGTAGCCTGCTCATGCGTCTTCCGGCCTTAGTACTCTCCTCCAACCTTCTCGCCAGGGCGCGCGAGTGTAGGGCGAAAGCATCGAGCGGAGAGAGGGCGGGCGGGATTTCACCTGCGCGAGGCGACGGCAGGTCCATGTGGAAGTTTGGGCGAGAGCGACTGGGAAGGCGGTCGTGACCTCGAGCGCCGCTCAAATCGAGGTTTTGAGGTCGGTTGGTCATGGTTGAAAGGCAATGAACGGAGTTCCAGATTAATTGCGTTTCCAGAAAGTGTTAATTGGTCGCCCTGTAGAGCAGTCGGCAATGTGATGATTTCCTGCAAGGGAGGGTGTCGCCAGCGGCCAGTGCAGGTGCATAGAGCGAATTAATGGTCGTCAAAATAGAGAGATCAATGCAGACTAGAGGACTGGCTAATTCGCATTCGTGGGGCTGTATAAAAGGAGTGGATTGGTAGAATTGCCAGATCAAGATTGGATCGTCGTCGAGCCAAGAGCGTGGCGATGAGACACTACTATCGAGGTAGCCGCGTGGAAGTCAAGGAGTGTGTTGATGTATCGAGTACGGCGAGATGAGCGAGGCACAGCACAGTGTGTCGTGTCGAGGGTGAGCAGAACGTGAAGAGACGGAAAATAGCACAGAAGCGCAATAGAAGCCAGACGACGGCTGTNGAATACGATGCGTTGATTAGGCTAGTCAAATCTACNCTGCAAGATGGTCGTCCCCCGTGACTGTTACTGCAATACACTTGTGGATCTCGTGCGGCGCCGCCAGCCATGGTTTGGACGGGACCCTTGAAAACCGTTCTGATCTGTTTTCATCCCTCTGTCCGTTTGTGCAATGTCTGTTTTGGTTGCATCGCCCACATAGCAACAATCACCGCTTGGTCTTGTTCCACTATCCCTCAATCNTTCTCTTACGTCAATTCGAGGGCTGAGCANTCCATCTTCGCGTGCATTGGCTATCCTGCTGTCCTGCTGTAATGACTGCTGTTTGATGTGCTTTCCCACGCCTTTGACAGTGGCTTGGTTCTGGAGCCTCGGCTTCCAACCCCACTTTTGTTTTGGCTTGACAAGAGTTTGCGCATTGCAATCATTTGTGCCCCCTGGATGCGTCTTCTGAAATACGTCTTTGCAAACACTGGGACTCAGCATATCCAAGAATGATCGTTCATGCCCTAGCCGTCATTTTGTAGCAGGTATTGCCGTTGCAACGCTTTCCGCTGGACGGACTGCTGGGCGTCCCAGCGTCTTGACCCGCTTTCCAATCTTGGTCGTGAGTAAAGTATATCATTATTGGCCAGCTGCCGTTTACTACAATATTCTCTGCAGCCAGAATCTACCCGACAAAGCGCCCTGCGTTGCTGCCAAACTCGAGCGTCTTCGCTGAGCTGAACACGTACACGGGGAGCAGTGTACCTATCAGATTTTCTCCCATGTAATCGATCGGTCGCTTGAAGAATCCTCGGATTCAGGAGTTTGCTGATCCTCGTTTCCAGGCGCGTGCTGCAATCCCATCATCCAACCTACAACTCCACTAGGTATCCACGATCCGATGAAGTCGTAGATCAAGCTACCCCTGCCTACATGCCATGTACGACTAGGGTTGCTGCTGTGCAACGCATCAAACATGGCCTCGTGGAGTTTGCGTATTGGTGTACCCGAAGCACCCCTGACTCTCCTGTTCTCGTCTCTTTTCTGTTTGTTCCCCACAATCTCAATGTTTCCGAGTTTGAAATGACAGGCATGTAAGCCTTGAAGACTGAGCTCCGAGGACAAAGAGGCAGCGAATGCGCCAAGCGCTGAAGATACGGTGCTTTCGACTGCACGGTAAGGTGGTCGCAAGGACGATACGACATTCGGTGTGAGGAGGAGTATCTTACTCTTGAACTCGGTCACGAGCGGGAGCATATACTTTGCGACAGTGATGGTATGCAACACTTTCGCGTTCAGAGCAGTTGACCAAGCTTCTGGCGAGAGCTGGGCGATTGACCCTACAGCCACGGATGAAACATCGGGAGCAAGAATGACACCAGCTAGTGTCAGGCGGTGAGCAGAAGCTCCGTCGAAGGCATGGTGATGGCGGGACAAGAAATGGTGGAAGCGTTGCATCTGGCCTTCGGCTTTGTCGGGCTACGCATAGTCAGTCAGAGCGTGCGGTCGTGACTACCGACAAACACTCACATGGATGAGATCAAGGTCAAAGGGNNGGAGCACATCTGGTCGCAACTGCTTGCGTAGGTGTTCTTCGTCTTCTCTGGTGCTGGTGATGACATAGACGATGAAGCCACGGCGCTCGAGGTCCATAGCGATGGCGGTAGTCAAGGGTGATGTAGGCGAACCAGNCAGGACGACAACCTCTGTCCTTGCACCATTGTTTGACTTCCTAGCTCTTCTCTTCTTCACATGTGTCGACCTCTGTATGAATACCAGAACAGCACCTGTGCCGACAAAGGCGAGAATACCAGCACTCAAAGCGGTGTTGCGCGAGACCCATCGGTTGATTTGGTTCCAGTATGTGGCAGGAATGAGTGAGCGAGGTGGAGGCGGTGGCGGAGGATGAGGGCGCATCTGCTCAGGTAACCAGTCTCTTAACTGCGTCGCAACATTCTCGAAGTGTCTCTCTAGACCACCAGCAAGATCGTGATACTGCTGCCGTGCCGAGTCGATGAAGTACTGGGCGTCGGTCATGTTGTCCGGACTCAGTTGTTGTCTCTGATGATTGACGATGTAGAAGCAGGCAGGTCTCGCGACCAAGTTCCTCAAGGCTTCTCGAAAAACACCGTCATGGTTTCTGTATGATGCGGGGTTCTAGGCAGGGAAACTGTGCCGAGCCAGTGCTTGTTTTGCTTCTATGCCTGAGTCTGCTGTTTCTCGTGTCCCCCTCGTTCGCCCTGATGTTGTTGGCATGATCAGTATTCGTTAGTCCAGAATCCGATGGTAGTTGTTTGAGTGTATTCGATTTTAGATGTATCAACACACAATGCCTCATCGTAGTCGTCTTGGCGCCTTCCATTTACGACCGTCGTGTGTTGCGGCCTCGCCATCGCCACTGCTGACGAACCCAGTCACTTGTTGTCTCTGCCATTCAAAGTCACAACCTTGTCTCGTCTCGTAGTGACTCTTTACTACATGGATCATTGTCTCCGCGTGATGGAATTAAAAGATTGCTTGCCAGCTCTCAGCACACCCCACTGATTTACAACCTGACTATGACCGGATTGTCCTGGCGCAGAGACGTCCCGTACAGAAGCAACAATGTTCCCACACGGTAACAATATCAGGGTCGGTGGCCCATCAAATCACCAAAAATCGTACCCGTCGTCGTTTCAAGAACATGACGCGCTGTTTGGCTCCTACGAACACCTAAAGGACTGTCCACAACCCGAAAAGGCTCTTCTCCGGCTGCGAAAGATAGCTTCTCTCGTCAAGCCTCTAATGAGAAAGCGTTCTTGGAAGGTCAAAGTTCTAAGCGAGTTTCTGCCTGACGATGAGCGTCTGCTGGGTCTCAACATCAACAGAACTCAAAAGATCTGTGTACGTCTTCGATACACCCACAACCCAGGAACCTTCCTTCCCATCGAACAATGTGTCGATACGCTACTCCACGAACTATCTCACATCGTTTTTGGTGCCCATGATTCAAACTTTCATGCTCTTTGGGACGAGTTAAGGGATGACCATGAGACGCTCCTTCTCAGAGGCTATACTGGCGAAGGCTTCCTGACTGGTGGCAGAAAGCTTGGTGGTGGTCCTGTGCCTCCACAGCATGAGATGAGGCGCTTAGCGCGTGCCAATGCAGAGCAGCGTCGTGTGCTCCAGAAGGGTTCCGGCAGAACTGTTGGAGGAAAGAGGATACCCCTGGGAGCAGATCTTCGCAAGGTTTTGGCAGACGCAGCAGATCGAAGAGCCACCGTTGATCGTGGATGCGCATCTGGCACTGCTCAGGCCAACAACCTGGCAGAACAGGCCGGCAGACATACTTTCAAGACCAAGGCAGAAGAAGACGATGCCAACAATCGCGCCATCGCAGAGGCATTGTTCGATCTCATTGAGGAAGAAGAAGCTCAAAAGATGAACAGCACTTTCAGTACACCTCCACCAACCGGCGGTCTGACCTGGTCTAAAGAACATGGCCTCGCCGCAACAGGACCTAGCACACACGACTCTGATGTGTTTAGGAGCGAAGAAGAACAGATGAAGTGGGCACTGCAGGAAAGTCTAAAAGGCGATCAATCTCGAAAGCGCCCTCTATCCATGGACGAGGATGTACAAATCCTTACCAAGCCACCACTTTATGCGAAGCCGGTACTTGGAGCTGTTGCTAANAAGGACGTACCACTAATTGATTTGACTGAGGAAGATGATGGCGATGAAGCCCCCATCCCAGTTCCGGTTGTCCACCAACCGCCTGACTCTGGCAGCTGGGCATGCCAAGTGTGTACTTGTAAGTCAAACCAAAGGTACAAACACCACAACTAGTGCTGGCGTTCTCTGTGTTCGTTTAGCAAAGCCGTGGTGTTCTCACGTCTAACACTTGACGTCTTGCTGATCGTACCTCGCTCTAGGNNTATCAACCTGCAAACACATCTAGCCTGCGATGCTTGCGGCGTAGAGCGTCCAGCATTCATGACCTCAACCGTTGATTCAAGCAATTCTCGCCGTAGGAATGACGCGCGTCCTCCACCAGCACATGCAGAGAAGAAACAGACCAAAAACGAATCACCAGGCTGGAACTGTCGCGAGTGTGGTACCTTCGTCGAGCATATGTGGTGGTGTTGTACTCTGTGCGGGCTCATGAAAGAGAAATCATGAGGGACGACGATAAGGCGAAGAAGCAGAAATGAAACATGATGTCTTGCTTGCGACGGTTAAACTTAACGGCCACGCCACATCATCTATGGCGCTGCATTATTTTCTCACTGCCTCGACAACAGGCACTATTGCTCTACTCTCTCCATGAAGTCATTCAGCAGTCTGAATATGCGACTTTCGCGCACTTCTAGGCGAGGGCTTTCTAGCGTGGTGAGGAGGGTTCGCCGACAATTCTGAAGCCTGCAGCTCATCCGCGCGGGCCCACATGACGCTGGTATTCTAGCTATATAGCATCCCAAACAGTGTTTCAGTTCTCAGAACATTGTGGTCAGGATCTGCTGACCGGTAAAACGTGGTCGCAGCTCAACTCAAAAATAATAATAAGGCTTCCAGACCAGGCGCTATGTCCATATAATATAGTGATTGCTTGCCGCTCATTGATCGCTTACAGCGACCGCTAATCGTTCGTCTAATCTCTTCGGGGTTCGGACTTTCTCTCACCCTGCCTGCTCAACAAACATTCCTTGACAGGTGGGAGCATTCCTCTTTCACCTTGCTTGCAAGGCTTCGACATACATTATTCGGTCTCGAGATTGGCAGTTGCGGATACAGTACAAAATGTTCGACCGATGGGTTCGTGAGCCCTACCGCCTCGCCACTACAGACGACTATACCTCACGCTTCGCAACTTCATGGTTCCTCTCGCCTCTGCAGCTGGCCATATGGCGCGGCATCGTCGCNTTTTATGCCTTTGTTGTCATCTTCGTCAATCTGGGCCATGAAGGCAGTGTAAACGCAGGCCGATCGTTTAGTTACTTTACTGTGCTCGGCTATTGGGGACTGGCTTTCTACTACGCCGTTTCATGTGCGCATTCAGCGAGTTTCTGGTTACATGGCGAGTCCTGGCTGCAAAGATGGCCTGGATCTCTTCAGTGGTTGCATTCACTATTCTATGCGACGGTTACCGTGTTTCCCTTTATCGTTACTGGTAAGCAACTAACAAAATTGTGTTGGCTGGCAAGTCACTGACACGATGGCGGCNNAGCGGTGTTCTGGGGTGCTCTCTCTAATGGAGCTTTCGCTGATGAGTGGTCTACTTGGTCCAACATCTCTCAGCATGCGCTCAATTCTGTTATGGCGTTCGGCGAGATTGTGTTGCCTCGGACTCTGCCGCATCCTTGGTTCAACATAATTCCTCTGATCGTCTTGCTCGCACTTTACCTCGGCCTCGCCTATCTTACTCACACGACTCAACACTTCTACGTGTATCCCTTCCTAGACCCGNNTAAGCATATATCTCATGTTGATCTCGAAATACTTTCGCATGCTTACTGGAGCAATAGTCAGAACGGCAGGGGCTTGATTGCTGGAGCCTGCATTGGCATCCTGGCCGCCGCAATCGTCGTCTTTGTCATCGTCTATTTCTTGATCAAGCTGCGCGAGTGGATCACCGAGACCAAACTTGGACTTTACGGAAACCTGTCTACTCGCAACGGCAGATTGATCAAGAGTCAAACTCATGAGACTGTTGAGATGGACCACATCAGAACCAAGGATTCTGCAGTCTAGGACTGCTATCCTTCCTCCTTTACCCTTCTGAAATTTTCTTTCCTCTCATATTCTGTCCCAGCATATGAATCTGTTCAGGCGCACTGTGTTTAATGGCAAAGATAGAAGTAAGCGGTAACGCATTATGATTATATACCCTCATCAGTAACGAATTTTTATCTTAACATCGTCGATAGGCCACAATATAGACATTATAGACATTCCTTCCTTGTGTTGTCAAGATTCCAGGAGACTTGAACGGCCATCGTGAAGCTTTAATCTTCTGTGTCTACTTGTCCGCTCCAAATCTGGTCTCGCCCTCCTCCTGGTCTGCTTCTTATTTCAGACCCGTCATGCCGTACGAGTTCTTGGACTCTCTCCTTGTCAACTTTCGTCTGTGATAGATGACACTTGTGTAGATCAGAGTGCCATAGAAGAATGCACNTAATACCTCGTCAGCATTTCACAACCATACAATCCACGCGTATAGAGTTACTTACAAGGCAATGATGGTGCCGATGAAGCTCAGGAAGGAAACGTATCCGCCTTTAGCGATGTCAAAGAGTCCAAGCATTACTATAATGAAACTGATGGTGCAGAAGACGCTCAGGATTATCTGAGACGTGAGCATCGTCTTGGCAGGCAGGTTCTTCTTATGGAACCGGACAATCTCAAAGATAATCATGAACAGTGCGAAGAACCATAGTATGACGAGAATGACTGATGAAATGTAACCGAAGGTTGCGCGGGNTTGTTCGACTATTTCGTATTCTTGGTAAGCTTTGTCTCGCTAGGCTTCTCGAGAGAGGCATTCCCGTATATAACGGGTTACTTACTGTTGAGCGCTGTCATAAGAATACCAGTAGTTGTAGTACTCGTAGTAACTCAGGTACCATATGTACGCGATGATGTTCAACAGTGTTGCCCCAATCTGAATTGTCCATATGGGGATGAGGACCTTCCCAGACCAGGCGGTCTTTCTATTACTGTTCATTTCTGCTGTATCCAGGGATGTCATATTGATGGTAAAAGCTGTAAAAACGGATTCGGATTGCTATGCACCATTGTTGAGAGGGAGCTCTGGTATTTATGTTCCTGTCTCAAGCATGTCTAAGCCCTTGGCAAAGGATCAAAGACGGTACAGCAGGACTTTCAGTCCTTAAGTTGTTGCCTTGCATCGACTCGTATTTCCCCTCAAACCAAGAAGCGGCTGCAAAATGGCTGTGTAGCTCCTTCGATCTGCGAAATCTGACAACTTTGCAGATATGATCGTCGGTGGCTTGTGTCAATTCCTCCTTCGTTGTTTTTCTATTTATAACTGAACCTGATTCAACCTCAGCGGCATGCAGAGTCAACCATAACGTCAGGCTATCTCTGACCACTCAGTGCAGCTTTCTGGCCAGACCTTCACCGCTTCATTCGTGCTGCCGAAGTATTGAGACTCCGAGTCTCCATAACTTTGTGGGACCACGACACTCGACCACGATGCGCCAAAACTAATGGACGCAGTGAGAAAAATGATCTTGATTGCATCAGAGATTGCTCGGAGTTGCGGTCACCAAAGCATAAAGACCTCGGCTGCCCGTATGAACAATAGAAGATAAAACTTGTGGCACACGAACCTGCATGAAACAAACGCCATTGCGAACAATGTCTGGCACTTCTCTACACATTGATATACAGTCGATTGGATCCAAATCTGGAAGATCTACAAGGAAATAACAGTCTCTACGGTATGCTGGTGCCTGAACTTTAGATCTAGAGACTGTTTGTGATGTTAGTGGATGCTCGGCCCAAGTGTCCTCGGAAGCTCAATATGGACTGTCTACTCTACTGGATATACCAGGTTTCAGGATTCGTGTCGTTCATTCGGGAAGGTAAAGCCTGAGATTGAGCAAAGTTCGTGTCTAGGACTCAATCTCCCAGATCGATATCCTTGCAGGTGACCCTTCGAGGCACCAACATCTGATCAGACTTGATCGAGGGAGGCCGCAACATCTCACGGCTCTCAAGGCCCGAACGAATTATCAATGCATATCATGATGCTCACGATGAAGAAAGCATGACCTCAGGGAACGGGGAACCATTTAACCTTGTGTTTTTGTGGGTAGGAAGTCGTTCTCAGTCTTCATCTGAAAGACGTTGTGTTGCATATTGTGACCGATGAACGTATGTTGAAAAGCCTTGTTGATGATATTCAAGCACGCGATCAAAAGCCATGAAGTCTGGCTATCGGTATGATTGTAGTCTCTCGATGTTCCCTGAGCTTGGGAACAGAACATGATATCGCTGGACTGTCGAGCTCAGATTGACGACATGTAAACATTACACCAGCAGTTCCAACGTAAGGTTGTCTCCTACTGCACCAAATCGTTGTGTCTTCCACCACATCCCAGAGATATACTTGTGCTGCACCCTCGATGCACCAATCCGTCCAGTTCAGAAGTGAGTGAGATACTGTGGCTGCTCGATCATTTTCCCTGCCATTCGCAGAATCCAGACGTGTTGGTCTTCCTTTCACTGCATCTCGCGATTCCGTTCCCACTGCTCTGAACAACACTCCTCACCAAAAGATCTCCGAAAGGTCTGCTTGCTTTGTTCTCTCCCCTCTTTCCTCCAGCACATTCCAGACTCTTGCACCTGCATCAAGAGCATGCCGGATTCCTTCATTTCGGTCAGTCTTCTCTTGAGCATATCTTCACCACCTGCACTGCTTCAACATCTCCATCCCTCACGAACATTCACCAGACGCGTCGAACTTCTTGCTACACCTACGCCAGTGCAATCTCTCGACACACATCTGACCTCCTTGACAGCAACATTATCAAGAAAAACTCAAGTCGCGCCACCTTTTTCAAGATGCCCGGTCTCGCACTCTCCGATACCCAGAACCGCTACCTGGCTCTGGCCTGGCTCTGCGTCGATGTCGAACCCAAGGTAAGCACTCCCATACGTACCACAGAAGATTGTCCAGAAGTCTGCAGAATACCTGCAGTGTAAAACAACAACAGATCGTCTTTCATCACGAGTTGAACTAACAATCCATCTTCATCTCGCAGNATCGACTACGAGAAGTTCTCTCAGCTCACTGGCTCCAAGACCGCAAACTCGGCTCGCGAGATGCTGCGCGTCACCAAGAAGAAGCTCCTCGAGTTCGACACCACCATTACCGCCGATGGCACTGTGGCTCCTCCCAACACCCCTACCGTCAAGACTCCCAGAAAGAAGGCCACCTCCAAGACCAAGAGCACCAAGGGCAAGACCAACAAGAAGCGCAAGGTCGCCAGCGACAGCGATGACAGCGAGGACAACGAAGAGACCCCCATCAAGAAGAAGACCGTCATCAAGAACGAGCCCGTCGACGAGGACTCTGAGGCTGGTGCCACTGCAGGTGCCGATGCCGAAGATGCTGAAGTCTGAAGCAACTTGGAGCTTCGCAGTATCTGAGAACACTTGTGGTTCAAAGACATGTACAAACAAGATCAACGACAATGAGACGATGCGATAAGCAAAGCGCAAAGATGGATGCAAGCGCGAAGGAGAAGCAATCATGCAGGATGTAAATTATCAATCAGAGACGACATTCATCGTGTGTGACTTTTCCTAGTTGGACTTCCATATGCAGCCCCATGGACATGATACGCGTGACTCCTCTGAACTGTGTTCCCAAGCATAGTCACAGGCCGTTTTGCTTATTGACATCCCGTGTTCGAATCTCTTCTAGAGGTTCCGCCTCGAGAGCAATCAAGAATTCATAGCCGAGACACCCAGTACGGGATTTTAGCATCGATACTGAATTGTAGAAGCAGCGGATATGGAAGTGGCGTGATTCGATTGTGGTTTCTCTATTCTTGTCGGTCAACCAACGAGTTGAAAGAACACACCGTAGTACCGAAAGAGCCACGAGTGTGCATGCGCATCGACGTAGATGGCTTGAATGGACAATGCAGCAATCACGCCACAGAAGGAAGGCGCAACTTGTCGTGTCTGAACTTGACTGTTTAGCAGAAGCATCCATGCTTGACGATGAGGTGCCTCTGGCACTCTTCATCCTGCCAAATTTTGACACGAGAGGAGAAGAATCGTAGACACGCTTTCTGTAAGGGCCTCATATTTGTGTTTGATGGGAGTTCAAGGAGTGCCTTTCAATCGAGCAACACCGATTCCCTTGAAATCATCCGCCGTAGAGTCGTACATCAGTGGTATAACGTCTTCGGGCAGTCATGTTGCAGGATTGCCCGTGCTCTAATTGTGTTAATCGCCTTGCGACAGTTCTGAATTCCGGTTCCAAATGTCGATGGATTGAGATATTGCGCAGGTGATTGAGCAAAAGATATTTGGATATGATTAGGGTATCGGTCTCAAGCTACAGTTCAGTTCGTTACGTCATTAAAGATGGTGTAAGAGACGCGAGGACTCCTAGAACAGCAATCCTCCCAGAAGTGCACCTCCAGCGAGACCTCCCATGATGGGGAGACCAAGACCACCTCCGTAACCGTAGCCGTAAGGACGTGCATAGCCATAGGCCGGACGTCCATACATTCCGTAGCCACCGCCGTAGCCTCCACCATAGCCTCCACCGTAACCTCCGTACATACCACCACGCATTGGCGAGCCGAAAGGATTGATCATGCGGTCATTTCGCTGTTGGCTTTGGGCACCTTGAGGAGGGGTAAGGTAGCAGTCGCGGCCTTCGCGGTCCTTGCCGATGAATTGAGGCTGACCGGTTTGAACAGCCTNTTGCATTGCCTGGCGAAGTTCGAGATGACGCTGGTAGGCTCGCTGCTCTTCCTCGGCGCGTTTCTTACGCTGAGCCTCTCTTTCTTGGTGAGTGCTTGAAGTCATTTTGTCCTTGATCTTGCGGCCAAACTNTTTCATGCCGGAGGGGTGGGAGTCTTCGCGTTTGGGAGGACCTCTTGGATCATGGTCGTCGTCTTCTGAGCTCTCGGCGATGACATCGGCATCGGTGGGTACACGACTCAGACCTCTAATTCGGGCACGCTGTTCAGGCGACAAGGAGGCCATGTACTCGTCGTCATCGTAGGGGTGGTGCCAGATGGCGCGCTCGGTATGTGTGTCGACATAGAATTGATGGCTGGTCTGAGGATCATACTGTCTGATCCAGCCTTCGGGGACTTCGCGACTGGCGTCTTCCATAGAGCGGCGGTGGTCTGGCGGAATACCATTGCGAGTCTTGTGAGGAGTAGGGTCGCTCTTGCTGTATGGAGGAGGCTGATCTCCAGAAATTTGAGCTGCTGATGAGGACGCCATTGTTGTGATGGGTTTGTTGGTGAAGGGAAAGAGTTGAAGAATCCAAGAGGATGGAAGGAGGTTGCTATCGGATCGTGGTTTCCTTGTTCACTTGTGCTCCGTCCTGCCGCGGAAGTGATGACGCATGACATCGCTTGCGCCACTCTGGGGAAAGCTTCAGCCACGATCGCTTTCTCGACGACAGCACAGGCCACCATGCGTGAGGCGCGTCCGCCTGAACCAATTTGATTGACGTGCAAGACATTATTCCTTCCTCGAGTACAGCTCAATTATCTCTATCGGGCGCTGCCATGTCTCTCAAACGCAAAGCAGCCGACATTGCTGCCGCTGAAGCAAAGAAGCCAAGAGCCAACAGCTCCATCACCAGCTTCTTTGGCCCTCCCAAGTCCAACCCGTCAACGTCATCGACCAACCCGTCCAAAGGTCCAACCGACCCTGCCCCTGCAGTCAAGTTTGACAAGGAAAAATGGGTTGCCAGCCTGACCGACGAACAAAAGACTCTTCTCAAACTTGAGATTGAAACATTGCACGAAAGCTGGCTCGCTGTACTCAAGGATGAAATCACATCCAAGTCATTCATTGACTTGAAGAAGTTCCTCAAGAGCGAAGCCGAGTCCGGCAAGAAGATCTTCCCTCCGTCAGAAGACGTCTACAGCTGGTACGTCTGCTCGAGTTCTCCATCAAGGTTGTGTCAACTACTAACACAGCCTTCAGGNTCGCGACACACGCCGCTGAGCACCGTCAAGGCAGTCATCCTCGGCCAAGATCCGTACCATAACCTCAATCAGGCTCACGGCCTCTGCTTCTCTGTCAGACCTCCGACTCCTGCTCCTCCATCGCTCCAGAACATCTACAAAGCATTGAANAAGGAATACCCATCCTTTGAGCCTCCACCCAACAAAGGAGGCCTGCTCACACCTTGGGCTGATCGTGGTGTCCTACTACTGAATACTTGCCTTACCGTTCGCGCTCACGAGGCCAACTCACACTCCGGCAAGNNGGGTTGGGAGAAGTTCACACAAAAAGTCATTGATCTGGTTTGTCAGAAGCGTACCCACGGCGTTGTCTTCTTGGCTTGGGGATCTCCTGCACAGAAGCGCTGTGCTGGTATCAATGGATCAAAGCATCATGTTCTCAAGAGCGTCCATCCTAGCCCTTTGAGTGCACACAAAGGCTTCGTAAGTTTTTCCTCTGCAAGGGCACGAAGAAAAGAACCATCTGACCAGATTTTANNGTTTGACTGCGGCCACTTCACCAAGGCAAATGAATGGCTCAAGGAGAGATATGGCGAAGATGGTGTGATCGATTGGAATCTCAATGTTGCTCCTGAAGATGCCGGCGTCTAACAGCATTGAGATTCATGTAATAATAGCTGTAATTATCTGTTCGAAGGTAGAAACGAAGAATTCCATTACCTCGAAACATCAATGTCAAAATCGCGTGTCTGATGTGACCCTGTCCGTCAACCTCGAAATAATTTCTTCTTGGCAAGCTTGACCATTTTTCTTGCTGGACATTTCTCCAATACCAATCACAGAACAACAAAATGCCTGCAGTAAAGAGACAAGCGAAAGCAGACAAGCCTAAGAGGCTGAGAAAGCGCAAGGCTAGAACGGAAGGTGTGTTACGATGGAGGAATATCTTGTGTGCACGCATTGACTGAAAACCCTCAGTCTCGAATTCTTCAGACTCATCATCGGACTCATCATCGTCGTCAGAGTCTGAGAGCAGTGATTCGGAGCCTACGCCCAAGAAGCAAGTTGTATCCAAGTCCAAGGTTAAGACAAAGACCGTTTCAAAGGTAGGTCCGGTGACTTCTCTCAATCTTGTTTCTTGTCTCTCGCTCGCCTCGTCTGCCTTCAATCAAAATCGGACTTTGTTCCTTGGAATGTTCCCTCGTATTTTTGATACATGGACATACGACACAACTTCCTCAGCTAGATACACAGATTGACTGTTGTATAGTCACCATCCCGGTCATTGTCACCAGAACAAGATCAGACCATCACTCCCTCTACAGGCGGACCCCAGGCCGGGGACGCGGAGGCGGAAGATGCATTCACCTCATTCTACCTCCGCCAGATGACGACCGAGTTTGCCGAAGACCTCGACAAGATCCGCTCAGCAGGCGATTTCAACGACAAGTCACTGGGCCTGCTGATTGGCGCACTAAAGCAGGGCCGCGAATGCTTTGACCGACACGACAGACTGGCTGTTGGCAAAGCTATCGTTGCTACCAATCAGTGAGTATGTCTCGACCTAGAATTTCCTGTGGTACTCCTCCACCTCCGGGCCATCTCAACTTCTTTCATGTGAAGGTGTTGATGGTGGGAGGTGTGGAGTTGGTGTCCATGGCGAACAAAGGACAAGGATGCTGGCTGCTCATTTTGTTGAGAGGGATCACGGATGGGGTTTATGTTACTGAGGAGAGTTTGTGCTAGGTGAAGTGGCCTAGCTCGGTACGCTCGCCTGCTCCATGCTCTGATCTTTGCCATGTATCCAATTGGATCTGTCCATGGGCCACATGTTTTTGCGGGTCAAGGAGATTTTCCTGCATTTGAGGGCTGTCACACCAGATACGCGAGAGAGATTGAGTGGTCTTCTTGAGCGATAGGGGTTCTTGCACCGGGATGATTGATCTACAGTCAGCTTAACCACGACGGTACTCTCCAAGGGTGTCTTTGCATAGCTTCAGCCGCAACTGCATGACGAAGCGAACTTGCAGCAAAACTCAGGGTCTCAGAGCAACAAGCAAACATTAGTTACTCCAAGGTCGTGGATACTGGAATGCATTCCTTTCGGACACAAATCCGAATCTGGGAGGTACAAAAGTACGCGGAGCGGAGAAGGATTCACAGAGATCTTCCAAATACCCAAATCCTTTTCAAAGCAGCACGTCTCGATAGGTCAAAAGGCTCATACTACACATAGCATTTTAGTCAGTTGCAACCATGATGCCCGCCTGCTGTGTATTCGCGGTCGCAACCAAATGCTGCGTCGTATGCTGGAAACGTGCTTTTCGCCTCCTTGATATTTTGCCCATCTTGGGGTTAAGATGGTCAAACTAGGAAGATTGATCTACAGCTAATCCGAAGCCTATGCAATAATTGGCGGAACGAAGCTCCGCGTATGGTGCGGCTCAAAAGGCTCTCTCCTACGAGATACGCCTCGCATATCATTCGGCAGAATTTGCCGCTAGACGGAGTTAACGTTATCGCACGCGCGGGATGGCTCTGCTGCGCAATTGAAGATATCGCGCGCCTGTTTTGACACGCTGCTTCAGGCCCAACAACCAGTAAAGTCAGGCGATACCGATTGTTGTGCTGGAGGTTCCTCGCTCGCTATCTGCCGCCCACAAAACGTGGGGAGCCGAACATGGCGTCTGAAGTACCTTTATTGGCAGACATGAATGAATGGGTGTTGGCGTGGATCCAGAAGCAACATGGCGTTTCGTTCGACGCCAGCCCTCATGTACACTCAGAGGACTTGACTGATGTCTTTCTGGTAGGCAGAAGAAAGCTTTCGGAGAATAGAATGCACGTGTAAACATTCCCCACTGACTCAAAACGTGAGGTAGCGATTACTGAACATTAGCAGTGGGGGCTGCTAAAAGTGACGAACGGGTTTTAGCTCGTGCTTCCGTTGGTTTAGCACGAACCTCAGTACAACTTTACGAGTTCTCAAGCATAAGATCTCTCGATCGCCTGCGTGCCGAAAGCTGCAGGATTTACCACGGTACAACAATCCATCTTTAGTGGCCTGCCAGGCACGGCCGGGAGAAAACTCCTGAAAATGGCTACTCGAGCGAGTACGGTAGAGATTCATGTTGACTGCCTGGCCCGAATACACACATTAGTCGGGCGTGTTCTCTGGCGGCTGCGAATGGTTGTCACAGTACATCCGCATAAGGCAGCGCTGAAAACTTCAAGATGAGGTCCTCGACTGATGAGGGAGAGCGGTCCGCATATAGATGGAGGGAAGAGCAACCAGAGGTCAACAGGGACCAACGGACCAGCATGCCGCATCTCGCAGGGTTTCAGGGGAGGATTTGTCGAGGGAAAGCTGCTCATCAATTTCGAGGTGGAGTCCTGCAATGCAGACAAGGATGTCTACGCGAGGCATGCGGCTCAACCACAGCCCTGAGTAAATTGTCCAATCAGGATGAGTATTGTGAACAGTGCCTATGCGTGACGAAAGGGTGGGCAAACGACGTCGTTCCGTCGAAACAAAGAAATCACAAAGATGATAGACCAACAACTCCTCGAAGGTTTTCTTGCGGCTCTGTTGTCACCAGGTGGACATTTGAGACAAAGGCTTACGCCAGTCAATCTTTTCCTCATCCCGGAAATTGCAAAGACAGCAGCAGCGTCATTTGAAAGTTCCCAGCAACCGTTTGCTGGCCCACAAATGCGTGTCTGCGGCCGAAAAACCCACACAATTCGGAGGATTTCTACGATGCCTTTTCTACGTCGCCCCTCTTGCGGAAGATGGCAGCGCGCTAGGCATGCTTACCCCACGCTTGATCGTGGGTTTGAGCTTCAAAATCGTGAGGCACTAAGTCTAATATTACTTAGCGAAATAGGCGTCGTGTCAACTAGCAGCTTGGAAAGCCGGTCCAACTGTTGAAAATGTGGAATTTTTCTCGATCCGATCTCAGCAATTCGCTTTTCAGACAGGATGCCATTCATCCATCGACTGACGTTTGATCATGTGCGATAGTCCTAAGACAGGTTGATCACCAATGCAAGGGTGGAAGACGGCTTATCATGTGTGTCCCAAGCAGATATCGACGAGAGATTTCTGACCAGTGACAATCCTCTCTGAGGTGCAGCGTACGGGACAGATCTTGCGGACACAGGACCAACGGCCGCAGTCCACTGCACCGGGAACCATCTTCCCACCTCGTTCGATAGATCTGGGTAGTACGAGATCTGAGGTGATGCTTGTTTTGCTGACTCGGGAGTAGGGCATTTTTCACTCAGAATCATTCCCACAGCAGACTATTGTGCAACATTGACACAATATCGTGCCGTCTCTTCAAGAATGCTTGCGAGTTTCAGCTTGATGCTCTGCGGGACTACTGGCAGCCCTGAGACGTTACTATTGGAGGTGCATCTGTATTATCGATCCCACCCTTGCTTGAAGACACATCCTCGTGCTCGACCAGGATGCATGCAGATGCGGTGTACGAGATATCCAGATAAGCGAGGTATTCGCCACACCCAATCGACATTCTAATTGCTGCCCCGGTATGTCCAAAAGTACGTACCGCTGTGTACCCAGATCTAACGGAGCTAGCCCCTGCTCAAGTGCTACTGTGGAACCACGTTGCTCATGTGGTGTGTAAAGGTCTTCTCAAGCATTACAAGCGTCAGTAAAACTGATGAGATTTTGGCGTGTCGAACTGACAAGCAACACGGAGACGCTTGCTCAAGATATCGGAGCTATGACGAAGGACGTACCAGATTCAGGACCGGTTTCCGCGGCCGGTGAGCTGTCTACGGACGGGCCGTTGTGAACTAAAGCCTGGTGCTGGAAGTTTACGATTGGCGCGAACCGTACCAAAATCGACCAAACAGCCAAGAGCTTAGCCGCATCGAGTATGCGTATCTGGGGATCTCGAGCGTTGAAAGGCGTCAAAGTGACACTGGAGGAGCAGGCCAAACCGAGGGGTGATCGAGAAAGACATTTGGAAGCCTCTGACGATCATTCCGCCGATACGCCTCGAGCGAGATTAGGTCGCAAGCACCGAAAGACGATCGCGGTACCTGCCCCCAGCCACGTCAGATTGTTTCTAAAGCACAATGCTGATCTCCAAGGACACAAGGACGAAAACGTTCCCTGGCCGCAGCGAGTCGATCTGCTAGTATGGCACATTCCAACGAGGCCGCTGCAGGGANTTTGATCAAGCACGAACATTTGAAGAGTTGATTCAGGAAGTAGCGACTACGTGGCATGGCCCGAAAAGACCCGAAACTCGATAGGATAAGAGCATCAGAAAGCTTGGAGATAGTCGCTGTCGAGCAGTGACAGGCTGCGAACAGCAGACAGAGGGAAAAGGATGTTTGGCTGAGCAGTTTCCAAAAGTGACGTGGAAGGAGNNTGAGCTCGGCGGATGCGCGGGAGCCAGACCCAAGCGGGCAGGCGATCGGGGAACGTGGCCTGTGTGGTGCAGCTCTCAGATAAAGTAGATGCCAGAATGCTCCGAGCGCATGTCCCGTTACTCCACTCTCAGATGGGCCAATCAGCGGGAATCCCAAGCCACGACCACACGAAACCGAGGAACCGAANNAAGCGCACAGGATGGGCCGCTGTCGTGGTCCGGGCTAACAGAAAGAGTTGGCGCGATCGTAGCTCAGCCTTTAACCTCGGCGGCTTCCTACCAATGACACCAGACTGCAAATCCCACGCCCTCTGGTCTCTAGCTCCGATCTGATGCCTGCAGCAAGGCTTTTATCTCCCCGGCCGCCCTCCTCATTCTCATCCTCTTTTCCATCGACATCCTTCGTCTCTCGAACATTTGTTATTAGACAAATCCGAGCACAAGTCACCACTTCACTTCATACCTCAACACTACCACCCGGTTCACTGGTTATCTCCTTTGCCTCTGCATCCCCACCCTACCAACACACCGGTATCACACAGAACCAATCGCTCGAGCTTCTGGCATAATTCTCCGAGACCCTTCTTTCAAGGACCACTTCTGTGACCTTGGCAAATTCGGCACTTTTTCAGCCTTCAACAACACAAGTTACACATAGACATACCTCTTATCGACATGCCTCCTCTCAGATCTATTCCCGCAGCCAAGCCCGTCAAGACGGAGCGTACTCATGAGGAAAACCAGGAGAGGTTTGTACCACTGTCCTACCATACTCAGCACTAGTTCCTAACACATCTTNNTAGAGCATATATCGCTGCATCTCGCCGCAGTGACCGTAGTCTCGAGGCCCGAGTCGAGTCTGCTCGTCGTGCTTCTGAGATCCACAAGAGGCGCACAGGAAGATCGCTTCGCGTAACTGAGCAAGACGTTATCAACGAGGAGATGTATGAGGAGGAGGATGACGACCTGCCCATGCAATACCGTCGTCTCACCGCCCATCTTCAGACTTCGAATGCCGACTTCGATCGTAGACTGGCTGCATACCTCACCAACCATGTTGCCATGCGTGCCGCACTCGGCCAAACCATGGGCGACCAGTACAACCCTCAGCAATACCCCAACGCTCCTCAATTCGCCAACCAGCTCGGCCAATTNCCCTCAGTCTTTCCCTAACCCTATGCTCCCTCCCCAAATGGCCAANNTAGATCGCCTCAAAGCTTCCGTGCCACCCCTTACCCTCAGCAAAGCTTCCGCCAGAATATGCACGGCCGCTCAGCATCTATTGCCACACCTCAGGAATTGCAACATATGAACAACTTCTCTCCCTCAGCACAAAGTCCCAACCCTGCATTCATCAAGCCCGAGGACCGCCGCATGTCTCTGCCTGTTCAGCCGCAGCAGAACGCTGTCGCATCACCGCCTCAGCTTACTTCTGCCTCGCGAACTTCATCATCGACCAGCCTCACCAACTTGAAGCATGAAGCAGCTAAGCAGAGCAATGGTCAGACGTCGCCGACGGCACAGGCCTCACCGCCCACATACCCCTCTTCCTACAACAACGTCTCGCCTGCCTTTGATCCTAGCATGATGAACATGATGCCTTTCTCTACTTCACTGCCTCACGAATCACAGCAACTGCTTGGACCTGCATTCGACCAGAACGATGCCTTCTCGCAGATGCTCATGGGTAACTACGGCCAGCAACAGTCGCAGCCCTTCTACACTTACAACCCCAACCCTACCAAGTTCAAGGGTGGCAGCCCTTGCTTCGATGGCATCAACCAGACTCTTGCTCCTGGCATGCTCGACAACAACATGGACAAGTTCAGTACACCGATGTCGGGTGCTGACTCTGTTCTCACACCGTCAACCACATTCGGATTCGATTCGAACTTTGACCCTCTCAAAGGATTCTCGCACAACAACGTCAGCGGCATGACAACACCTGGCGAGAACGACTGGTCAAATCTTCTTGATTCGAATGCCTGGGAGGAGCAGAGTTCGCAAGCTGCTGTTGTCAACTGAGCTCCTCTCGGTTTCTCCTTAATCTTGATTTCTGTTCTCTAATGTATTGATATATTGGCTTGGGGTTCTGGTGTTTTGATGATACCTCATTGGATGGATTCTTTGGGATAAAAATGGGAGGATAATTTACGAATGGCGTTGTACGGATGAAACATAAGGGATTCACGATGGTCGGACTATGAGGATATGGATGGATCTCTTTTCTTGTGGACTGGTAATGATCGAGACCCATGAAGAATGAACAATAACAGGATCGCTCTGCTTGCAGAGTGATCCAAATTTCTCACAACAATACTCCTTCCAATTATATCATCCAACGTGAATATGATGCAAAACTGTCCCAATTGGGATGGGTGGTACAGACAATAATTGTCGACGAGCGGTGACGGGCGGTGGGAGGATGCATGGGACGACTGGGGCGAGAAACAAGACCAAAAAGCAAGTGAGAGCGCCAAACAGGACTCGGGCGCATGTTCCTGCACCAAAGGCCCAGCGGGAATTTAGCCCCCAGGAAGCCTATTTGTCACGACACGCAGCTTTTAGCCTCGCATGGAGAGGAGAAAAAGAGGGGGCACACTACTGCTGAGAGCGGACGCGTAGGCGGCGTCTTGCAGGCAGGGATGTCAGCGACCCTGTCTTACCCTGCTCGAACGTCGTCTGCACTGCAGCCGATGCAGCTGATGGGTTTCGATGCTCACAGCCATCGCGCCCTGGCCCTGGCCCTGAGCCATGACCCACGTGTATCTACAAATCTCGCACACGACAGACAAGCCTTTGCGAACACGAGATCTCTGCGAGATCTATGGGGCGCCGGCGGCATCGAGGGAAGCACATGGAAAACGCGATCGCAGCAAGGGTGCGGGTAGCAACGGACGAGTGAGAATCGCGAGCAAAGCAAAGTGAGACAAAGCCAAGATCTGTATGCCAGGCAACACAGATTAAGTTTGCGCAATAGATCTGAGGGAAAAGCTGAGGCCTTCTTCTGGCGAGCAGATTCAGGTTGATGGTTTTTGCAGGAAGAAGCGACGAGATGGTGCCGCTGAGGTGGTGGCAGCGTGAATCGCTGCTGAGGGTGGGTCGAACCCCGCATGGCGCTTTTTCAGCTTGCGATCGGGTCGCACGTCAAAGATCCGAGAGGACGACAGCCTTGGCGCACCATCTCGCCCGGCAAGTGACAGAAGGTGCCGCTCGCATCATGCTAGACCAGCACAGTCGAACTTCTTGCACAAGGACATGATGACCCTTGCGGGATGCCTTCTACCAACCCATCTCGTACCCTCCTGACCGCGCCGCTTCCTCGTAGCTGCCACAAGCTCGCCGCCCTCTCACACGCTGCCACTGCTCGAAATTCGTCGACGTCATCACCACTACGGTATCGCTCCCGCACACGACCAGCGACCACAGTAGCAGCAGCATCAGCACGACTGGGTAATGCCTGCAGGTCTTCATCATGCTTGCCACGAGGTTATGCCACCATAGCTGGTGATCCAATGTCAGCAGGCTCGCCTGATCCATCTTCATCGTCCTCGGCATCGCCACCAAATGACATGCCATGGCCCAAGGCACCAAAAGGCCATTCACACCCCACACCCTACCAGATCCTCTCGACGACCGAGTCTGAGCCATACAGCAAACGTCGTTTTTACGAACTAGTAAAATTATACCATCCTGACTCGGGCGCCTGCGAAAAGCACCATCATCACCATAGCATCCCACAAACCTTACGTCTAGAACGTTATCGTCTGGTTGTGGCCGCTCATACCATTCTCTCAGATCCGGACAAACGCAAGATGTACGATCGCTTCGGTGCTGGGTGGAGTGGTGTCCCCAGCACGGTCGGTGGTAAACCTGGATCCGGTGCACCTGCAGGTCCATTTAGCGGCTGGCGCCATCATACAGATTCAGACATCTGGGGCAATGCGACCTGGGAGGACTGGGAGCGATTCTATGCTCGTCGAGATGGTGTGGCTCAGCAACCACGATACCTGTCCAACGGGAACTTCGTCTTGTGCGTCATCCTGCTCGCCATGATAGGAGCTTCCCTGAACCTGAGCCGGGCAGAGTCTGAGGGCGACAAAGTCGTGGCAGCAAGGGATCTGGTCCACGATCGTGCGAGCAAGGACCTGAGACGCGTGCGTCAACTATCTGAAAACAGACCTAAGGAAGAGCGTATCCAGTTCTTCCTACGCCAAAGAGAGGCCACTATGCATGGCGTTGGCGTTGAAAGTTTGAGAGATGACAAGGTAGCAATGTTGTTACCCGAGCAGGAGACCTGCTTGAGCGACGAGCTGCGGAATGGTGACAGCGAATCATGATACTTTCCCTATGTATGTATATATCTCATCCCCGTCATTTTTAGATGGCCACATAACCAGGAACGGCGTTCGGGCATGCAAAATACCACAGTTTCACCTTTGTTCTCATGTTTGCAAAGCACATGGTCATGATTTCCTGATCAATTTCCACAAAATTGGACACGAGTTTGGAGCTTGCTCTTTGGGCGAACAGCACATCAAGATATGTCCGCCTTGTCTGCAAAGGATATTTGAAGTCTCCTTTGAGATACCCGGTTGTGCCAGGGTGATTTCATAAGCGATACAATTGACCAGGTCAGTCTCATGCTTTCGTTATCATCCCGTACATTCCTATGACAAAGAACAGTAATATTTCACTGATGCACATGCATTGGAGAATCTTGGTTCAAGAAGCATAAATTCGTTCATACATACATTACATATCGGTACTCATTAACAGCATGGTCGATCGCTCTAGCCAATGCTCAAGCAACAACGAAGCCCTTCCAGCCATCGAGTGCATTTCTACATTCCTTCTCGTACATGGGGAAACCGCCAGGGAAGTTGAGTTGTTCTCTTGGCTTGCCAGGGATGTTGGCACCCATATACCAGGACTCGGTGCCAGGGAACAGGGTTTTGTCTGAGAGCTCGGTGACCAGCTTGTGCCAGCCGGTCTCTGCATCCTTGGTGGGTTCGATTGTCTGTTTGCCGGTCTTTTGCAGTGTGGCAATGGCGTCGACGATCCAGTCGCCTTGGACTTCGACACACGTGGGGCCGTTGCTGAAGGCAGTGGGACCTTGAGCGCCGTAGAGGAAGAACATGTTCTGTAAGACTGGTCAGTAATGTTGTATATGGTTGGAAGGAATAGCGGTGAAGCACTTACGGGGAANACCATTGCAGGTCATACCAAGGTATGTCCAGGTACCGTTCTTCCATCTCTCGGACAAGTCCTTGCCTTCAGTGTCCTTCAGACCCATGTTCTTCATACCACCAGTAACAGAGTCGAAGCCAGTAGCGAGAGCGATGATGTCAAACTCTCTGAGCTTACCGTCGCTAGTAACAATACCGGTCTCGGTAAACTCGGTGATGGGAGTCTCTTTGACGTTGACAACATCGTTCTCGGCTCTGTCCATCAACTCGTAGAAGTTCTGCTCCAAAGAAGGACGCTTGGTTCCCCAGGCATGGGGAGCCTTGAGAGGAGCAAGGATATCACGCTTGCGAGGATCGGCAATACGAGCTCTGGTCTTCTTGACCCAGAAGTTGTAAGCTTGGTCGTTGGCCTTGCTGTCAAACAGCAGATCCTTGTAGTTTGCAAGCCAGAACTTGAAGCCGCCTTCCTCCCACAGCTCCTCGTAGAACTTCTCGCGTGTTTCCTCGTCGTCATCGAATGTGTTCTTCTCGACAAAGTCGTACGAGAATCCGGCGAAAGTGGTGAGGCGGTTGCGGTAGATATCGGGGTACTCTGCCTTAGCGTTTTGCTGCTCCTCCTTGGTCAAGTCTCGTTGACGCATGGGCAAGCAAAGGTTCGGTGTGCGTTGGAAGACTGTAACGCTGGCAGCATCTTNTGCTGTCTCCTGGGCGATTTGGATACCGGTACTGCCAGTGCCAATGACAGCAACGCGCTTGCCCTTGACGTCGACACCCTCATCGGGCCAGAAAGAGCTGTGGTGCAACTCGCCCTTAAAGTCGGTAAGACCCTTCCAGTCAGGGAAGTGACGCTTGGCTGCGAACCCAATGGCGTTGATCAAGTACTTGCACTTTGCAGTGCGGCCGTCCTCGGTCTTGACAGTCCAAGTCTTGGACTCGTTGTCGAATTGAGAGCCAATGACACGGGTGTTGAAGCTGACATCCTTCTTGATATCAAGAGTCTCCTCAACATGGATAAAGTAATCACGAAGCTCGTTGAAGTCAGGGTACTTCTGAGTCCATGTCCAGTCCTTCCAGACCTTCTCGATCGAGTATTCGTAAATAGGGACTTGTGTATCGACACGGGCTCCTGGGTAGCAGTTCCATCGCCAAACTCCACCAAGCTCGTTTGCGGCTTCGAAGATCTTGACATTCAGACCGACCTCGTCACGAAGCTTGTGTAGCAGATAGACACCACCGAAACCGGCACCAACGATGAGAACATCGCAGGTGAGTTCTTTGGCATACGTGCTGTTCTCTTCAGGATGCAATGGTGCATTGGGGTTGGTTGCACCGATATCTGTTCGTAGATGTACCATGATGAAGTGTGTGAGTATGTATTCAACAGCTGATTGAAAGATTGATAGAAAATGGCTTCTGTTTTCTTCGAGTCCGTCGATAGTCTTTATATATATCCTTCGTTCTACCACGGAACGGACTCCAGTCGGCCCACCTGCCCAAACACTCTCAGATACCCCCATCGAGTCCTCTGAGCCTACCCAGCCACTAAACAAAGCAACTTTGCCGCAGGCTCTCATGGTATCCCCAGGTAAACTCGTGATTTACACATCTCGGAACCCGGGGACTCCACAAACGGTTGAGTGGGGGATGCGGGGGACCGAGAACCCTAGTGATGGACAAGGCAGGTGCGCCGACTATATCTCTCGGGATACCTGCCTTGTTGAGAGCATCTTTGGTTAGTCCTGGCGGTACTACATGTGATGTTTGGTCTGAAGGAAGTGCTTGGCCCTCGTACTTTGAATTTTAAGTGTCGTTGCCAGCTGAAAAGGATCTCGCTCGACCGGGAGATTGGCAAAGGGCCGAAGGAAGTCAGCGGTATCACCAAGGACTCATTGAAGGATTCTGGAGACTACAGGGGCAAATTATTGGTGCTATTGAATGCTATGTTGTGCTGGTGTATCGGGGTATTAGGGAATCAAAGCAAGGGCAAAAACATCAATGAGAGTCGGCAGACTTTTGCTGCGGTCCAAAAAGAAAACAACCCAGGTGAGAAACGCAAAGGAAGGTCCGTCGCGTCGTGCAAGTGATTGCAATGGTATTCACGCACCGGACCACTGGAAAGTCTGGGGTACTGAGGTACAAAACTGAAGATCGACCAAAAGGGATCGACCAGAAAGGGGATCCGGGACGCCGCCAACTCACAGCAATACCACGCGATCAACTCCAAAAGGCTCCTTTCCGCCGCGCGTCCGGACCTGAAGATTGTGGCCTGTACACATGTTTGGCTGAAGGTTCCTATCCAACTGGATAACCTCCATCCGTGGGAATCGCCTTTCAGGAGTTGGAAGCTCTTGTCTCTTCCCTGAATGTGGAAGGCAAACGTCTAAGGTCCTGAAAGCAAGCTACTCACGATGTCCTTCATGTCGTCCTCAGTGACATTGTTGATAAGGCCAGGCTCTTCATCGTCTTCCTCGTCATCCTCNNAGGGATGAACTTCTTGGAAGCACTAGTGCCCTTTGCCTTGTTAGATGGATTCTTTGCAGCAGCCTTTGCAGGAGTCTTTCTGGTAGAAGCTCTCTTTCTGGTAGTGGGAGGCTTGGTGCTNGACGACGGCTTTACCGTCCTTGATCGTGACATCGCGAGCATTGTAGCGGGAGGCAGACTTTGGCACAGCTGGCTTGGCTGGCATCTTGACTTTGACTCGGTTGCCGTTCTCGTCAAGTGGGCGGTTTGTACGCAGGTTCTGGTACTTTCTGGAAGACTTCGCGTCAGATGTAGCCAAACGTCTCATCAACTCAGCCTTCGTGCCGGCCGAGTCTTCGTGGCGCGCCTTTAGCAGATCTCTGAGCTGCTCGATACTGGTAGTCTTGTCCTCGTTGTTCAAGCGGGAGATGATGATATTCTTGTTCTCCTTCATGCGATTGAGAAGCATGCCGCGTGCACGCAGGATGTTGTGCAACTCGTCGATAGTGCACCAGTTACGGGGTTCTTCAGAGAAACCGTCAGCGGCGATGGCAGGCTGCTGAGATGCACTCCTGCTGGGACCAGATAGCTTGGTGATAGGCATAGGTTGAGTCTCGACCGTGGCTGTAGCTACAGGCTCCACAACACCGGTGAATTCGTGAGAACGAGCATTGATAGCAGCCTCGGTAGCACTGACGTTCTCGTTGCGAATCTGGTCGGCAGTATTCTTGTAGGCGTATCTGCTCCTGGGTGGATGAACAACCTCAGTCTCTTCAGGCTCGGGAGTGACGCCGTTGTTCCTCTCCTTCTTTCTCTGCAGAGCAGCCACTTCCTTCTTCAGCTGCTTGTGGAGACGGTTGGAGAATCTGTGCTTTCTCTCGTTGTACATGCGCTCCTCGCGGGCGGCATCGAGCGCATTTTGCTTGCGCTGTTTTGCGAGAGTGACTGCTTCAGCTAGAGACTGGCGGTACTCGGCTGCATCCTTCTTCTTCTGGGCTCGGAGCGCAAACTGAGCCTCCTTACGCTGACGAGCAGCAATTTTCTGGCTAGTGTTGTCTTTCTTTGCACGCTTCTTCTCCTCAGCTTCGACGGCATCGCGCTTTGCTTCTTCCTCCTTGCGCAGTTTGTAGGCGGCGATACGCTCCTCACGTTCACGTTGACGGGCCTCCGGATTGGGATCAATCTCTGGAGGGCATCGGGCAGTGCCATCACGGCGTGCTTCATGACGCTGTCGGCAAGCCTTGGCGGAGAAGCGCTCACGAGGAAGACGCTTGTTGAGATTTTGAGCTGTCCAAGTCCAGCGCTTTTGTTCGAGCTTTTCCAGTTCGACTCGATATTTCTTGTCAGCGATTTCGAGCGCTTCGTCGAGCAATTCGTCNNCTAGTACAGATCAATCAATTGATACGTGCACTGAGTATTGTTTGTGGGATCTCACCTCTCCAAGATGCCAGTCGGTCAGCTCCTCGTCGAGCAACTTCTCCTCGTACTCTTGTGTCTTCTTTCGGATACGCATCCAGCGGCAGGCGACACTTCTAGCCTCGTAGCAGGTGAAGCCCTTCTCGATAAGACGGTCACGGATAGCATCATCTTTGTAACCCTGCTGCTTCATGTCGACAATCATTTGATCTTCCTCATCAAGATCAACAGTGATGGGCTTGAACGAAGGAGCATGGCCACCCTTGATGTTGGTACCCATTTTGAATCTCTTTTGGCGCTTGGCAGGGAGGACTTCATCTGCAGCAGGGCGTTTCTTTGAATCCTTGCTCGTGAACGGGTTCTGCTTCGAACTCTATGGAACTTCAGCTTTGCACGATTGATTTGAAGTCGACCNTAGACTGTACCTTGTCGATGTCATCGATGTATTCGTCATCCTTTTCTCCATCCAAACAAGGGGTGATGGAACGGGTGTAAGGGACGAGAACGTCAGCTACCATATATCAGATTTAGTAGTTCGGGGGCGAAAGTATCAGATGAAGGAGACTTACATGGTGTTCCGAAGAAGAGTTCTTCGGACGGAGTGTTTTGTTCTGCTGACATGGTGGCTTGAAGATTGGATGTACTTATTGTCCAAGGGCAGGGTGCTGAATTGTAGAGTATGGATGAGTTACTGTTACTGCAGATCAGGTTGGGCAAACTATATGTGAATGGCTGTAGTCAGTAGAAGATCATGAGGTAGTTGCATGTATAGTCGTTGGGTATTGGTGAAGCGGTCGACAGGGTTCGCAGGGGAGTTGAGTGATAATGTGGATTTGGATATAGCGCTTCACTCTGCGAAGCGCTTCGACGCGTCTAGATCGAGAACAGACGTGCGAGGATCGTACTTACCTTGAGGTAGCAGCGGGGCTCGTGTCAATGACACGAATGGGCTGTGACTAGAAGAAACTAAAGGGAAAGGACGTAGAAAATAGGGAGTGTATAAGTTTGTGAAGCGAGCCCAGTGTTGGCACTCTGACGCACGGACCTCGGACGATTTGTTCAAACCCGCGAGTGACGGCGGAGCGGAACGAGATTACTGTCAATTCCTTCTGGGAGTGCACTGTGCCGAGCAGTTATGATCGAAAGAGTTGTCTCGAGGCTGGCTACTGAACGCGAGTGACGGCGGAGCGCGATGCAATCACGTGGCAATGTGCGGTGAGAGCGAAACTTGCATGCACAATGTAGCAGGACCTGAGATCGAATTCTAGATCGCGAGTGACTGCACAACGGGATGAGGGCGCATAGATGCCTGGAGGAGGAAGCCACTGGGCAGGAAGGAAGCAGGTCCTGGACAGTAAATTCCTGGTTGCCAGTGACAACACTCTCACAATGACATATAGTGATGTTGTGAGCTGTCAAAATACACAATTGCTTTCCAAACCAGAAGTGTGGCCACAGAGATGCCACAAGGTACGGTCTCTCTGTGGATACCACTCCTTCCCGGAAAGTATTGTGCATTTTCATAAGTAGACGTGTTCCAAGCTTTGGCTCATGGAGAGCGACCAGATGTCCATATTGATAGATACCTTCCTTTTGATGCAAACTATAATTGGTGGTAAGTTGAGAAAGAGCGAATGTTCGACGCCCGGAATTGAGTGAAGTCGTCGCATTTGTCAAACAAAGCAAACAGCCCAGTCTCTACACTGTGCTTTTCTCCACCATTGTCACATTCAACAATTACCTTTCGTCTTCTGACCTTTTCCCTTTCGCAGCTGTATCGTCGTCTCATAGATGCATCACCACGGGCCGTCATTCCGTTAGTGTTGCCTGTTGGTGGCTCTTTGCTCGGTCTCGAACTTCCCTTTTACTGAGCCGCTTCCTGCAGCTCCGTGTTCATGACCTCTAGGACACCAAACCCAAACGCCCAGTGAAAACTGTTCGATCAACTCATCTTCCTGTTGCATGGATGGACCTCTGGTCTTTTCACCGGCCCGTTGCATGAACGCGTCAAGCACGATGGTTGGTTGCAGAGATGGCACGAACAGTTTCTTTGCAGAGCTAGCAAGTAGGTACATCTCAATACGAGCTCTGATGCGAACAGGTGGGTCTTAATAGGTGATTGTAAGTTTGATGGGTTCGAAAGCTATGCAAGAGAAGACACATGTACATGCATAACCAGAAAAAGACCAGAAAAGACATACGCGCAAGTCTTGGTTTCCTCTATACTGATATCCAAGCATCCAGTGATAGTCACCACTAGCTGACTACTAGGGCACCGTGTACCGTTGTCGACTCCGCTCAACAATCACTCTGAGTGGCCCCGCTGTCGACAGGATTGCAGCAGCATCTGCATGGAGCCTTCTCACCTCCGCATTTAGACTTTGCAAAAAGCAAGAAGCCGGACCTTGTCGTCAGCTCCATTGGTTTCAATCACTGTATACAGTGGTTCTGGTGTATTCCTTGTGCATGACCGGAACAACCGAAGTACGCACACTAAAAGAGAATGACGAGTCATCAAGCATTTTCCTCTTTGCTCTTCAAGAGAGGCAAAGGATCGGAAATAAATTCGTCAGAAAAGAGTTCTCTCAGGGCTGCCGCCAACGAATTTTGTACGACGCCGGATAGCAACATCATCCGAGAACCTCAAAGCGGGGTGGCGAGACTGTGCACCAGTCATGTCAGCAACCGTTCCTCTGCGGCAGATGATTTACTCCTGTCTCGGAAGGTAGTTGCAGGTTAACAGGATGACGAACCGTGCTTGAGACGTCCGAATAAAGCGGCTTGCAGTCGATACCGGATATTTGCATCTCTCGACATGGACCTCGGAAACTTTTGCGATAGATCGTCGGTGCTCCCTCCTAGCAGTAAAATTGCGCGGGCAATCAGTGGATGAAATCATCCCGGTCGTCAGCAAGTTATGTTGGCGTTACCACGACGACTTCGCTGGTCCCAATCAGTGCCAGTCGAGTCTGAGCGCGCCGACGATGACCACCGTGTTCCTTGTTTGGGTTGCAGCTGGACCCAATACGATTGACAGTTCGCGTCTGCAACAACGGAGAAAAAACTCGCGCCTCACAACTGACCTCCGCCGTGGTGCTTCGTTACAACAGAGGCAAGAGACCCCAAGCGCGAGTTTAAATGCTGGAGATGCCGCAGCTCTTCCTCGAAGACCCAAACCAACAGCTGGAGTGCCTCAAGCAGACCAAATCTTTCCTGCACCACTTCAATCCTCAGTCGACGACATCGAGTCCAACATGTCTAGCCCCGCCTCGGCCGACAGCGACACACTTGGGTGGTACGATATCACCAAGACGTACTGCATCATTGGCATTGAGTCAAGTGATACCGGCATACTAGAACGTCCCGAAAACGAACGTTTCCTCTGCCAGATCCAACCCATGGCTGGCCTGGGGGATGGCTACAATGAAGATGACGACATGCAATCTGGATTGTCATTGACATTCAGCATCGACTCGTTCACCGATTTGACAGAGGGTCATAAGTTCGGACGAGACTCAGAGAAGTGCGACATTGTCTTGGGCAAGGAGAACGACGAGGACGTCGATGGACTGCACTTCAGAGTGCAGTTGGACTATACGCAGCAGATCCCTGAGTTGGACATATACAACTGCAGTCCAAGAGGGACTGAAGTCGACGACAAGCTGCTTTCTGGAATAGGGCAACGTACACGGATATATCAGGGCGAGGCGGTTACTGTTACAGCCGGGAGCGTATCACTTATGCTTATGTTCCCTTTTCTGGATTTCAGCAACCGCAAGACGCAATCAAGATGGGCAGAGCTGAGAACGACAGCGTGGTCTCTGCTTCGACCTTCTGTACGGCAAGCACTCATNCCCCAAGACGCGCGTCAAAGATACCTCGACGCAGAGGAAGATTGTATCTGGCAAGAAGCACGGCCCTTCCGTTCTGAAACTGGTAGCATGACAGTAATGCTTGCCTTTGGCAAGCAGAAGCAAAAGACTGGCTTCCCTGTCGTTCTGAAGAAGCTACGAGATAGGAAGGGCGACGCCAGAGAAGAACGCATCAACATGGGCGAGACGGCCGCCATGACCCGAGTACGGCACGAAAACGTCGTCTCTGCTCTCCGCGAACAGTGGCCTCAAGGAAATGTGATCCTCGTCGAACACACACCTCACGGCAACATTGCGGACTTCATCCGCAACCACCACGCCAGACGACTAAAAGAAGACGCTGTCATGGACCTTGCTATGCAAACCCTCAAAGCCCTTTCCTACCTCGCATCGCAAGGAATCTCACATCGCGACCTCAAGCCCACCAAGATCATGATCTTCCGCACAGACCCTCCACTCTTCAAGCTCACAGAGTTTGGCGGCGAGGACTTGATAGATGCACGACAATACCTCGCCGACCGCATCGCAGACGATACAATCGACTACGTGGCCCCCGAAATCTTCGAACGCGGTGCTGGTGCCCTGCCCTCCAAGACCGACGTCTGGAGTCTAGGTATCATCATGTGGGAATTACTGGTCGGTGCCACGCCCGTCCCATTCCTGGAAGATCTGAATTACATGTCTTGCTTCCGCGCCATTTTGAATTGGCAACCTAGAGTTAAGGAGTTGCAAGAGTATGGGGTTAGTGATGAGGGGCAGGAGCTGCTGATGAGAATGGTGGAGAGAGCGCCAAAGTTCAGACCTGATGTCGAGACACTGAAGGGTGATGAGTGTTTTGACTACCTCGAGTATGTCAGGAAGAACGAGCCCTGCGAGTAAGTCTTCTGGTTCCTGCCTGTGACTACTGAGACAATGCTAACTTTTGCGACTGAAGTTTGCAAGATTGCTTGCTTTGAAGCACCACCCCCTTAAAAAGGATATGCGGCGGTTAAATTGTTCATGCACAAAAAAGTAGGGTGGCATTTGATCTTTTCTGGCGTCTAGGTTTTTGAAGGAAGGAAGAGCATACCATAATCAAGGGGGTCTAATGTCTAAACTGCATTTGGAGGGAAACCTTGGGGAAAATATACGAGTCGATAATACAAACATTTGTCTTCACGAGTGTCTTGGGTCTACTCGCACACCATCTACAGTACAAAACCCTTGTTTGAGCTGGCCAGCAAGACATAGCCACACATTCACTTCAAAGAAACACATTCCATGCTAGAAAGATCGCTCTGTGCGATCATGAATATAATAAAAATACATGTTACGTCAAGCTATCGCGAGTTGCTCTTTCTGTGTTCATCGTCGGGCATGATAGAAGTCGGAAAAGTCGTAAGAAATGAAAAGACGTCTTGTCGACAGATAGTAGACAAATCAAGGGTCCCTGTCGGCACCACCGTGGCCGGCCCTGTAGTTGGAGTTAGCACATGCAGAAGAGGGAAGAAACACATAACGGAAAGCATACCAGAACTGCTTGCCAACCTTGTCATCCTTCTTGCTCTTATCATCATCAAGCTTCTCAGCAGCCTGATTGGCCTTCTCGTCCATCTCCTTGTTATGCTGCTTCACATCCTCAGGAAGGTCTTTCTNCTGCGGGAGGGAGGTGTTCTTGTTAAGCTTAGGTTCCAATCCTTTCGTCGACTTGGGGTGTTCCTCACTCATCCTTCTAGCCATGGTAGAGAAGCTCTTCTTCTGTTGCTTTGAAGCTCCAGTGTTGTGACCAGTGCTGTCGGCCTTGGTAGCGCCACCACTGCCCTGACCAGCCTTTGGGGGAGGAGGACCAGGGTGCTCCTTGTCGGCCGAAGGGTTCGCGCCTTGTTCTTGAGGCTTCTCGCCCTTGGGGTCACCAGAGCCGCTGCCGTAATCTTGGTTGGCCATTCTTCTGGCCATGGTGGAGAAGCTCTTCTTCTGCTGCTTGGAGGCACCGGTGTTGTGGCCGGTGCTGTCGGCCTTGGTGGCACCGCCGCTGCCCTGGCCGACCTTGGGTGGTGGTGGGCCGGGGTGCTCCTTGTCGGCAGAGGGGTTTGCACCTTGTTCTTGGGGCTTCTCGCCCTTGGGGTCGCCAGAGCCGCTGCCGTAGTCTTGCGAAGCGAAGCGTCTGCCGCTGACGCTCAAGGCAGGGCTGCGGGCAAAGGTGCGAGGAGCATTGCGGAGGAAGGTAGTGCGTAAGAGACTCATGGTGAATTGATGAATGTGATGTTTGTTTAGACTAGAAGAAAGAAGAAAGAGAATTGAAAAAACAATTGGAAGCAATCGCGTGTCGTCCCAGCTAAAGAGAAGCTACATCATCGGGGTAGGAGCTTCCATCGCAGTGATGTCATCGAGCACCTTCCCCACACATCACTACCTATCCACCAAATGTCCATCGAATTTATGTAGACTTGTGCAAGCCATGACTAGCATAAATATATGACCAAGAACAAAACAATAGGTGATAGCATGGTCAATGTGCAGATTCAGATCCGTTTAAAAAGGTCTCCAGGCTCGTAATCCAACAACAGGTACATCTACAGGGATCTCCTTGTTTCCAAACACAGTCGCTTGCTCAATGCCTTTCCAAAAACGCCATAAAATGCAAAGACTGGGCGGCTCAAATGATAAGCTCATCGTCAAGCATGCTCCCATCCCCATTTGTCTCCCAGGTGCTCCAAGTATTTCGCTGAGCTTCCTCCTTAGTATGCCATGCATGCCCTGTAGTCTCTTGGTCCGCCCATCGCACATCATCTGCTATGTTGCTGCTAGTATAGTACGCTGATCGTGGGCCAGGAGGTCCAATCTTTACTTTCGCAGCCGATCCCCAAGCACCAGGACTAGCAGGGTAGTACTTGTATTTTTCTTGCCCCCAGATGACTTTCCACAACCACCCAACTGAAGACACAAGCGGGGATATCAACGGAGTCAAGGGCCGTGATGCCACAGTTGGTAGAACATAAGGGAAACGTGGCACGTGTGGGTCTACACCAAATCCACGCATCTTAGTCGCGTACTTGGGAGGACTCAACATGGAACTGAAGATCCATTCGGTGATGAGCCATGTCCAAAATATTGTGCATGCTAGTCCGAGCCAAGTCAATCGGAAGCCTAGCGGAGCTTGAGCGTTGCGACGAAAATACCAGCCCCAGTACTCGTTCCATGCAGCGCGAAGCACACTGGTCGGTCGTCCACATTGCGTGCATTGTATGCCTGCTACATGCTGATGAGCACTCCGGATATCGCTCGACCTGGAGGTAGACCCTCTGGATGCCGATGCAATTGCTGCACCCAAGTCGCGATCGTTTTCCGTTTGTGATTTCTGTCCGGATGTGGCACTTGTGCCGCTCGATTGTTTGCTGGAACGTCCCAGAACGGACCATCTCTGTCGTAGGTCCGTATCCTTCTGCGAGGCAGATATATTTTGTTTCCGCTCAGGTTCAGAATGTTGTCCTCTCTTTTCAGTTTCAGGTTGGGTTGTATCCTGCTTGTTGTTTGCATTCGAAGATTGGGTCTGGGCTGAAGGTACGTCCGGAAGATCGAGTCTTAAAGTGTTGTCGGCAGATCGGACCATAACGTCTTCCAAGCTGGCAATAGTAGAATCGCCAAGCGTTGGATCATCATCTTCTCGTCGCTTGCCGTTCCGAAGATCCTTGAGTACAGCGTCCAAAGCAGAGGTGGGCAGATTCGGTTCGCTAATCGAGCGTTGGTGTGGATCTTCAGCAGCTGGCTCGCTATGTTGTGTGGTTTGATGATCAACTTGAGATGTCGCAGAGTTGTTCGACTGACGGGCAGTTTGTGGTGTGTCTATCCAGGCACCCATCACCACAGGAGTTTTGGCGGGTAGTTGTCGTTCTAGCGGCCTTGAAGGGGTCACCAAGGGTTCTGAAGATGCAGGTTCTGCAATTTCCACTACTTCGGGTGCTTGTGATGAGTCACCCTGCTCAACACAAACCACCTCAGGGCCTTNTACAACCTCGGGAGCCTGCGGCGAGTCTCCTCGGAACAGTGATCGTGTATTCTGCTTTGGGTACTTGTCCGACCATGCAGTATCCTGACGGGCAGGGTTATGTGCAGGCATGGCTTCCTTAGCGGCAGTAGGAGAAGGCGAAGCGCTCGGAGTCCTTGACAGCCTTTTAAGCAATGCCAGGGAGTCTGCTTTTCGCTGTGCAGGCTGTGGAGTGGTTGAAGGCATGTGTGATGTGGTCTCGACAGTTTTGTACAAAGAGCGGGCTGACTGTCGCGGTGCCAGGGGTATATTCTCTTTATGAGCAATGTTTGGCTTGGAAAGCTGAGATGGAGTGGGTTCTACGTGGGTGTCTCGATATGTACGCGATATTGTCTCATTTGTCGATTGTTGTCTCAGTTGGCGGCGAAGGGATGAGGAAGCACGAGCTTCGTACGTCTGGACTTCGCGTTCTCGGATCTGATCAATGGTCAAACGGGAGCGTGAGGGTACGGCGGGTGTAGAAACTAGCAGCGAGGCGGCACTAAAGTCTTGATCTGGATTCCACTGATCAATGTAGCTGTCGTGTTGTTCGACCGCAGGCTGTTTCGAAAGGGTGCGGGCACGTCTTTGTGGTGGGGAGACATGGGCAGAGGAGTATAGGGAGTCGTTCGCAGCATCTGCCCAGTCGATGTTGGGACTCGATTGGATGTTGGACTGAGGCTGGTCGTGGATGTGACGCATCCAGGTGTGGTTCGGTCTCCCTTTCCTTCCCCATGCTCGCGGCGGGTTCAATGGCGGGTCTGAGGCGGTACTGCCGGAGAGGCTAGCTGGGTGGTGATGATCAGGTTGGGACGAGGGAGGGTTATAGGCGTTGTTGCGCTCGAGGTTGTCGAGACTCAGGGCGGCGCGTGGCAGGGGCTTTGCTTTGCTAAAGGCGTGCGACTGGGTCAAGGCCGAAATGCGCTGAGCGTCTTTGGTATGCTGGAGTAGTTTGCGACCGAACTCGTCCGAGCCATCGAGAGAGCTGAGGTCAGAGAAGTTGGAAGACTCGTCGTAGTGCGACATGGTTGCGACAATTGAGACTCGAATAAGAATTGATGTTTAGCAGGACACTTATGTTTGCATGCACGTTCATGTCCAATCCGACAAGCAAAAGGGTCTGCTATACTTCATAGTTGTTGAGGATGGTTACGCGACCGAGACTGGGCAGACGCGACAAGTGGTATAGAATGTTAATGTCGAGGTTGCTCAGCATCCGAGAGGTTTGTTTATGCGCCTCTGCCTTTGTTGACGCCTTTTCCGCGTGTCAGGGTTACCGACAAGGCCCAAGCTCGGCCTCTCGGACCTCTCCCCACGTCGTCCTCGGAAGCCACCCAAGCAACTAACGACCGCCTAGACGACATTCAAACACCCAATTCTCCTCACACATACACCAACATGGCTGATTTCAACTGGCGCACAATCAACATCGACGCTCTCGATCCCGAGTCCTCAACGAACTTCGACCTCTCCACTCTGACACCAGCTGTCCAGCCCGTCAGCCCGCAAGACGTTCAAGCCCTCAGCCAACAGATCAGACAACTATGGCGCGGAGGTGATGCTGAGGGTGCTCTGCGCGGTGCCCTCGAGAACGCCCCCTACGGAGCCGATGCTCAATCCAAGGACTCATACATGCAGACCGTCACCGAAGTCTTGCAACAGGTCCGCAACGCCGACATGGCTCCCTTATTGCAGCGCATCTACACATCCGAAGGCGGCTCCGAGCTATGCGACGTCCTGATGAAGTACCTGTAATCACTCTGCCAACATCTTTCTCTGGTCGACATGAGCTGAACCCTTCCAGANTACAAGGGCATGGCCACTGGTGCCTCCACCACCAACCCTTCCAAGAACGTCACACCACAAGTCACTGGCTTCTCCCAAGTTCAACCGCGCAACACTGCCGAGGGTCAAGGCGGAAACATGGGTGTCTTNTTGAGTTGGCACGAGAAGGTAACTCTCTTTCTATCACCTGCTCACCCCCCTGTCAGGTACTGACCATACACTTTTCTACAGGTTGTTGAAGTCGCCGGCCCAGGTACCATCGTGCGCGTCATGTCAGACCGCAGAACTGTTTAAACCATTTGACCCATGTATATTACGACAATACCCAATTAGATTCATCCAACATCATTTATCTCCTGGTGTGAGCAACATCACGCTCGAACGAATAACAACTGGTTTACAACATGATCAATCCGTTTCGACATCACACACAAAAATAGAGGATAACAGAGAGATGTAAGGTGGATATATGGATTAGAGTCTCTTCATTACCCTCTATGTGAGGCATGCTATCATTTTGTAAAGGTACCTTCCAAAACGCCATGCATGCAGTGTCAAAAACAACTCTAGTGGGTATCTGCTGCGATCAATAAACAAAAGAAATGCCAACTCGTCAAACTTCATTAATAGAATCCATGCTTCACGGGTATATCATCATTAAAATATGCCTTCGGTGTACTCGACACCGGTAAACGGACATTGGCTCAGAGCCAACCTTTCAAGCATGGGAAGGGTTGACGGGCGGTGCGCTCGAGTCAAAGCTGTGGTGGTTCTGTGTCTCGGTCGATGCCTCCTGGACACGAGTAGGCTCGTGAACGTGAGCAGCCTCAGGGCGGTTGGGACGAAGGGCCTCGGGTTGCTCGCCAGTAAGAGGGTTGGTCAAAGGCTTCTCCGATGGGTGTCCTGAAACGAAGTTGGACTCGACGTCAATGTTGTTCTTCTTGGCCTCGCGGACGTGGGTGCTCCAAGGTCCGACCTTCTCGTCGTGGTTCTTGCCAACAACAAGGATGACAGTGCTAGCAATGACGAAGACCCATCCAATCCATCCAAAGACGACCGAAGTGACGATACGGGCGCTGTGTCTGTAGTCCAGAGGAGTCTTGCCGTTCTCTGTAACCAGTCTGTTTCCCTCGGCAGTGCTAATACCGGTGGTATAGGCGGTCTTCGTCGCGACAATGACGGTCATGGCGATACAGCTGGCAAGGTGTACAAAGATACCAGCAATGGCGCAGATCTTCCAAGCAACTCTGACACCACGGTCCTCGTGTCTCTCAGGCCAGATCAAGTCGAAGAAGAAAGCGCCACCAAAGATAGTGGCCACGTAGATTCCGGCGAAGATGTTGTAGGAAGCGACACCAACGTAGTCATTGTTGTATTCGCTAGCGCCAGGTGCGTGTTTCTCGATGTACTTCTGCTGGCTTACGAATCGCGACAGAGCATCGGTTCCGAGAGATTCTGAGACAACGCAAAAGATCATGGCGAGCTGGTAGACAATGAATTTCGTTCTTCTCAAGTGGTAGACATTGTTCCACATGTTTGCATTGCCGAATTTGGACCATGTGAACTCGCTAAAAGGCAGGCCGAAGATGACGGGCGCCATTTTGTTTGATGTTGGTGATTAAGACTGGTGAAAGAATTGGTATGCTTGACGCAGCAATTTGTTTCCAATCCCTTGTGGCTTTAAGAGTGATAAATGGTGGCGATGTATGGTTGTTCTGCCGGAGAGACCGATTTCTAATCTGAAGAAGACGGCAGTCGGCAAGGAGGTTGGAAGGGTCCAAAAGAGTATGAAACGGAAGAGGAAAGAGTGGTGGAGTGTGGGCGGAGAGTGAGTTTAAGAGGAAACCAACAGTTCATCGTCCCCGTATCTAACCAGCCCTATCCCGTAATGCTGTGCCTATCTTGCTTATGTTTCGACCAACAATTTTTCCTTGCGGCCGTCAACTCTTCATCTCACGAAGCGCCCTTGACGCAGCGCACGCAGACGGATCCTCTCCGGTGAGCTTGTTCCCGAATAGCCTCGTCGATCCTCAACGCCACCGACGTCTCAAGGCTTATCCCGCAAAGTATCCTCCACCTGATGCGACCTCAAACACAACCAAGAGCCGCCAACTGAAAAAAGCTTTGCCAGGACCATTCGCCACTTACGAATACCAAGCTCCAGTACCTTGTCAATTTTCATCTGCTGATACCTGTTTACAGACGTGTTGTTTGTCCGCTTAACTCGTCGTCTCGACATGAATACTCCAGACATCCTTCTCGAGCACAGACGATCAACAAATCGACGTCATGCGTCCCCACCTGTATGCGGCTCGAAAATTGTTATGACGGAGACGGGTACGTGACCGTGGTTGATGCCGAAGCAGAATTCGCACCCAACCTCTTAACGTCTCATCATACCCATGTATCCCCACACCGTCCTCAGAGATTTATTCTGATCAAACCTCAGATCGTGATAACGGCTCGGCGGTTCTCGTGCGTACCTGGATGTTGAGGATGAAAAGTGAGACAACTTTGCAATCGAATCCTTCAGACATTGAGGGTAAACCAACTCCTTGATGCAGTTTTCTATTGAAAGCAGGGGATACGTGAGAGTAGGATGTCGTTGCTATGGCATACCGTCGCCCCTATCTTGAGACCCCGAGTGCATGTCGCTAGGCACATCAATCTCTTGGCCCAAAAAATGGACGTTACAGCCTGTGCGATATGCGTACCGGCCTCTTCCCCAGCAGAGTAGGCAATCCAGTATATCTGGATGCTCAGGAAGATGGTAGTTGCATCACAAGAGCTTCTCGTCTAACTTATGCTCCTCTTTACTAAGAAGGGTCTGACGATGCTTGAATTTCAACGCAACCTATTCCACATCCGTTCGAAGAGACGATCTGATCGACGACTATGGTATGCACCAGCATGGGATCTTCAGCTAAGCGAGATTCGTCTACCACGTACTTGCACAGGACTTGTTGTCATGCATGTCGACTCGGTGTTTTGAGTGGATTTTTCATAGGCGTCATTTCTCGGATGTACGAGTGACAAGGGAAGCAACGCATCCTCCCTCGGTGCCAAAGAAGTGCTTGATACTCAGTAAGGAGTGTTTTTAGCAGAGACGATTTTATCTTTGAAATTTTTCAGGTCACGCTTATACATACTCGAAAACAACTGTACATTTTTATAGCTCTCCAAACAACCATATATCACTTGAAGACACGGTCAACTGCGAAATCGTGACAATCTTGAGCCACGAGGAGAGTTTACACCGAGGATACGGCTGCTTACCCGTACTTCTGTTCGATGAACATTTCGTGTTGGCATGTCTACGTGAGCGGATTTTCTTGCTTCGGAGTAACCTTCATGCCTTCAACGACCGGCAGTTCGATGCTCAGGAATCTGTACCACGTAATGCGTACTCTTGGCACGACACGTGAGCATTTAAGAACATTCATGCTGTTTGGGTGGCAGAATCGTGTACACTGAGAGTTATGGCTCTGTTGGCTCCTCTGGACGAGCTACACTGTCATCCAAGGTAGATTGGCAACAGTGGTGCATTTCAGTAGTATACTCGTCTCGTCATGTGCCACTCTGAGACGAGAACGAGAATGACATGCTACAGCGCCAACAGACAGCCTTACTTGATTGCAACAATCAATAATACAAGAATGTCATGTCTTGACGTTGACATGGCGCCATCAAACCAGAAATGAAGTGGCTGGTTCGATGCCAAGACCATCGACAAACACATGTCAATTGTTTGGCTGAGCGGGGAATCACTCTGGGGTTAGCTAGACACGCATCTCAAATTAACCAGGATTATGAGCGGAAGTTAGATCTTGTTCATAGAAACGAGGAGGGACGATATGTATGCTTGCTGTAGGAAACAATTTAGTACTCTACTTGGTATTGTTATGGAAACAGATAGAGTCGAGAGAATCACAAGAAATCAGGCATGAGCTCGATCGTTCTTTCTCTTGTTACGTCACCTGTCATTATGACGCTCACCACAAGCAAGCTGCGACCTTCACAAAACGCGAGATCTGCCTTCTCCCTTCCACCTTCCTCATCAAACTACCTAGATTTATTTCGGTATTCGCAAATATGAGATTCAATTTCGCGACCGCCGCCGTGCTCGCTCTCGGCGCACAGTCTGTTGCCGCCAGCACCTGGTTCAGCAAAGCTGGTAAGTGAAGAATGTTTGTTGTTGACAGCTGGCTCGCCATTGGAGTATTGGTCGGACGCGCTGCTAAGCACGCATCCAATCATCAGTGGAGTCTGCTGCAGCTTCTCAAGATGGCTGTTCAGTCGTGTTGAGGCAATATCTTGTGCTCTGATGCTGACAAGATTTGCAGCTTACAACAAGTGGCATGAGACCGAGTTGGAGAGATGGCTCTCTGATCACGATGTCCCCTATCCCACTCCTGCCGACCGCAAGGACCTCGTTGACCTGGTCAAGAACAACTGGGACGCCAATGTTGCTCAGCCCTACAACACCTGGGACACCAAGCAGCTCCAGAACTACATCACCAGCTCTGGTCAGCAGGTCAAGAAGGGCACTGAGCAGAACAAGGACAGCCTTGTCAGCCAGGTCAAGTCCTACTGGTCTGAGACTGCTGACCAAGCCTCGGACGCCTACTCGTCTGTCCAGGACTGGGTCTTTGACAGCTGGACCGACTCGCAGCTCAAGGCTTTCCTCGACTACCACAGCATCCCCAACCCTTCTCCTCGCTCCCGCGACACTCTTCTCCACTCTGCTCGCTCCAACTACCAATCCGTGGCCAAGAAGGCTGGTGAGACCACTGCTTACCCTGGTAACTGGCTCTACTCTTCGTGGGCCGATTCTGACCTCAAGGCCTGGCTCGATGAGCGTGGTATTCCCGTTCCTCAGCCCAGCTCTCGTGACAAGATGATTGCTGCCCTTCGTCGCAACTCTCGCACCGCTTCCAACCAGGCTGCCAAGGCTGCCGCATCTGCTTCTTCTTCTGCCGCTGGCGCCCAGCAGTCCCTGTCTGAGCAGCTCCTCAACTCTTGGTCCGACAGCCAGCTCAAGCAGTGGTTCGACAAGAACGGCATCAAGGTTCCCCAGGGCTCCAAGCGCAACGAGTTGATCGCTCTTGCCCGCAAGCACAGCGCCAAGCTCTCTGGCGACAACGTTTCCGCCTCTGCATCTTCGCTCTACGGCGAAGCTTCCAAGTCTGCTGGCTCTGTCTACAACGCCGCTTCTGGTGCTGTTGGCAACTCTGCCTCTTCTGCCTCCGGTGCCGCCGCCAAGTCTGCCTCTTCTGCCTCCGGTGCCGCCGCCAAGTCTGCCTCTTCCCTTTCTGGTGCTGCTGCCCAGTCCGCCCACTCCGCTACCAACGCCGCTGGCAGCCAGTTTGCATCTGCTACTGACTCCGCCTACGGTTCTGCTCAGTACTGGTTCGACTGGGCCAAGGCTCAGGTCGGTATTGGTGGTGAGGAGGCCAAGGCTTCTCTCGCTTCCATCTCCAGCGTTGCCTCTGCTTCTGCTTCGTCCCTTTCCAGCGTTGCCTCTGTTTCCGGCTCTTCCGGCTACAACGCTGCCACTGACGCTGCTGCTGCTTCCGCTTCATCCGCTTCCAACGTTGCTGGCGACTACGCCAACAGTGCCTACGATGCTGCTGCCGCTTCTGGCAAGTCTGCAACTGATGCCGCTGGCAAGTCGGCCTCCTCTCTCAGTGGTGCTGCTGCCAAGTCTGCCTCGTCTGCATCGAGCGCGGCTTCGGTTGCTGCTTCCAAGTCTTCCTCATCTCTCTCGAGCGCCGCTGCCAAGTCTGCCTCGTCCGTTTCGGCTTCTGGTCCCAAGTCCGCTAGCAGCGCTGCCAGCAGTGCCTCCAAGGGTGCCGCCGGTTACGCTCAGCAGGCTGCTGATGCCGTCAGCGAGAACGCCAGCTCGGCCAAGCACAGAGCTTCCGAGGCTGCCCAGAAGGCCACCGACCGCGTCAAGGAGGAGCTTTAAGCTCGATAATACCAACCCCAGTAACAAAGAAAAAGCCGAAATGAATCTTTATGAATCATGATGATCGAAGGAGGATATGGCGACGCCGATGTGCCCTGTACTTTTATCATAGCCAACGACACTGACGACCCAAGAGAGATCCCTCTTGCTTCCCTAGCTAGTTTTACAACAATTCTTTTGTTCTTCAGCTGCCCTGCTTTATTCTACCTCGTGAATGCATTCAAGTGTAGTACTCTTCAACATCTCGTGCTTTTTCTTGTGCTCTCCTGTGTTATTATTGTGAAGTCGTTACGGTAACAACAGCCTTGTCTTTACACTTGCGAAAAGCTGCATGACGCCAATAATGCTAAGTGCCATATCACCAAGTGTATCTTCGGAAACGCCATAGTATTTCTGTATCTATGACGGTTTGTCTCTTACCTCAGCGTGCTTGGCTCGTCTCCGTGATCTTTCGTATCACTTCCTTTATCTTGAACATGGTTGTTGCTGCTGCGACCCTGTCTTTATCTTCCTCAACTCTATACTCCTCCAGGATCATGAGTATAGGTCTCTGAATTGTAGACAAGGGAGTCTAGTGTATTAAATGAGTTGGTCTAGATGGTTTAGAGAGTGGTCAGATTAGTGAGAAAGGGCATATCTTTCGAAAGACCTCCTTCTCTCTAATCGAATTGAAGATGGTGTGAAATGATATCGGTACCTGGACCCACTCGATGATCAAAAACAGTCATACTTGTACACCTCATCGAGGGGGAATTCAGACTCTAGCAGACACCATAAAGACTACCTGATACTGCTTGCTGCGGCGAGTTGGATGTCGGACCTCGCTCTTACTTATTGAACGATAGTTGTGAGCTTGAGTCACAATGTCCAGCGCTGATGCTATTGGGATGTGAAGCCATTGGTTGTATTACAACAGAGCTGTGTAGTCATATACACGATCGAGTAATGTAAACAGCAAGATGCAGCAATGTTCCTTCCATCAGTACCTCTCGATCAACCATGCATGTCGTTCCTTCTCGTCCATCTCATCAAGCATCTGCTTTTCAGCTCTCTTCATAACGACGTAATCATCGATCAGCCGAGGGTTCATAAGTTGCTTCAAGACCTCAGCTGTCTCAAGGTGGCGTAGAGACTCCTCGAGCGAAGCAGGCATTCTCTTTGTGATACTGAGCTCAGCTCTTTGAGCATCACTCAAACGTGCCGGATTCTCTGTACAGTCCTTCATCTCCAGATGTTTTCCTGACTCCACACCGTTCAGTCCAGCAGCGAGTAAAGAACAGAGAGAAAGGTAGGGATTCGCGAAGCCGTCCAGACAGCGAATCTCCCAGCGTCCTGTCTTGACTCTGCGAAGTGGCACTTCTCTGTTCTGCGTGCCCCAAGCCACCCAAGCGCCGCTAGTCCAGATGTCGTCGGCAACGCGAGCGTAACTCGCGTCGTTGGGAAGCAAGAAGGCACAAAGGGGCGGTAATTGCTCGAGCACTCCAGCAAAGAAAGATGATTCCTTGTTTTCCAGATCTTGCGGAGACAGGCTGGCTGAGTTGAGCGAGATGTGAACATGCTGGCCTGAACCAATCTTATTGAGAGGAACTGGATGCAGTGTAGCACGCAGTCTATGAAGACGAGCAATTTGTTGAACGACTTGACGTGCTTGCAAGAGTGTGTCAATTGCTTCAACGACTGGTAAAGGCGACAACACGAACTCATACTGTCCTGGTCCAGACTCCGAGTGGAATTGTTGAACATCAATACCGATATTCGTCAGTTCGTCGGCGATCTCTGCAAGCACAGGAAAAGCAACCTCAAATTGCTCCGGCGTGAAAGTACCCCAAGCATGGTTTGTGGTCCAAGGATTGTACTGGCCTTCCGCATCTTGTTTGAGGAAAACCACTTCAATCTCAAATCCAGCGAGGAACGTGATCCCATGGTCAATCGAGAAGCGTTTTGTCAAAGTTCGAAGACTGTCTCTCGGACAACATTCTGAGCGACGGCCATCTTCGTTGCAGAAAGATCCTATCACTGTTGCGGAAGCAAGCGAGTCTCGAGAATGCGAAAGCCTCAATGTCGTGATGTCAGGCTCGACGTAGAGCTGACCTACAGGAGTGACTGCTGAAGTGACATGATCGTTTTGCAGTGTGCCTGTATTGCCTCGTGAGATACCGATACGCTCGCCGCTTGTAATGAGGCGCCGAAATGCGGCGATCGGCAGCATACGAGCACGCAGCGTACCAAGGTAGTCGAGCCATTGTACATAAACATACTTCAGCTCCGAGTGCTGCTCGAAGAATTTGGTGAATACGTCCAAGTCATAAGGCTTCTCGTGTGGCTCGATCTCCCTCCACGCGAGCTGTAGAGGCTGAGGAGCCTGCATGATCTTGGCTTCCCGATTGCTCTGTGCCCTAGTTCGTCGTGGTTGCTCGTCNNCTGTTCCGAGATTTAGCAAAGAGGGTTCAGTGAGTGAGTATATGAGTTCCTGGAGGAATCACATCCAATGCTATGCTTTCGCAGAAGGTTTGGGAAGACTCACCAATTCAACCTCTGGAAGCTCCACAGAGAGGTTATACACTCTCTTCGCGTTATTGAAGTAAATGTCTTTTGCAGCTTGAATAGCCTGTTCAGCTGTAAGGTCGTCGTTCTCAACGTAGTCTACAAGCACCTTCTCGAATGCTTCTCTGAATTGCTTCAATGCAAGCCAGTAGACTTCGCCAAAATGGTGAGCATCAGTACTGAAGAGCAATTTCGAGATAGGCGTGATCTCCATGCATTGACGCAGGATGGTCTCTTGTCCATTCCTGCTGACCTGCGGAAACACTTCACCGAGGTCAAGATAAACGTTCTTGTACACTGTGGCAAGGTAGCCAGCCTGGCGCATGTAGGGATACGATGTGTGGAGAAGAATCATCTGAACATCAGGGAAAGCAGTAATAAGTGGCTGAAGATGTGAGGGGTCGGAGCGAAGCAAATCAATGTCTGCATCGCCGAGACCAGTGTGAAATTGAATTGGTTTGCTTATCGAGTCTTGCTTGGCTGCTGCGCTCAAGAGTCGACATGTTGAGATGACGAGACTGTCGTTCAGTCCCTTGGACTCGATGCGGAAATCCTTCTGCAAGCAATGCGGGAGGTAACTGCTTTGAAAAGCCTCCAGGCCGTTCGTGGCTACTTGAACATCTCCAGCGATCTTAACATCCAGACCAGTTCGGTAGCATATCACAGACTTGAAACCCGCGACGTCTGGATCATTAATCTCGGTGACGATGGAGGATTCAAAAGCCTGGAGAAACGTAACCCAGGCTTCTGCACACATGTCATCGTTATGTATGGCTGGTCCAATTGGTAGAGTGCCTTTCCTGTACATCTCTCGCAGAATATCTGCAGCCACGGTTTCAATGCGGACAATACGAAGTGTCTTGTCAAGGACAAAATCGTCATGCCAATCGTACAAATAAACGGTCGTATCATCGAGGCCGTCGTCCATAAGAATAGTGTGTATTCCAGTGAAGCATTTCTGGAGAAAGCTCTCGAAATCTCCTTGTAGAATGTCGGCTCTCTTTTCCATCAAGTCGTCCCATGATGCATCATCACCAAGATCATAGAGCTCGCGCAGTTGACGAACAGCACGGATGTGTGATAGTGACGTTTNTGTATCTTGAAGAGCATCTCCTTGTGCTTCTGTTGTTGCGGCCAACAGGTCGTGAGCTTCCTGCTTCGAAGGCAGTAGAAGGTTATGCGCGTGGTTGTCAATGACTGGATACGAACGAACGACCTTCCTCAGGTCATCCAAAGTAGCCATCTCTGCATGCACTTTCAGGTACCTGATCTGGGCAAGATGCTGATGAGGAACTCGCGACTGCCATGCGTACCGCTAGGCCTTATCGATAAGAGTGCGTCGTACGTCACCTAGGTATGTTGCACCATCTTATTCTCATATCACCTCATGTTGTTGAACATAAGAAGCTGTCTTCCCTGGTTGTAAGAGTCTGAGTAGACAGAAGACTAATCTCTTCACTTGTATGATGCCTACTGTACTTGTCGTCGGCGCCACCAGAGGACTTGGCCTCGAGCTCGTGAAACAGTACGCCGCACGAGGTGACACAGTCTACGGCACAGCACGTTCCAACAAACCACAGAAAACACCCAACAGCATAAACTGGATTGATGGAATCGACATAGCCGAAGAATCAGCCGGGGAGAAACTAGCAAAATCACTAGATGGCAGTCACAAGCTCGACATTGTGATACTCGCAGCTGGCTATTTTGGCTTCGAAACCTTTGACAAACCCGACTTTGAGAAGGAGCTACTCATGTACAAGACAAGTGCTGTTGGTCCTGTGTTCATCGTTCATCATCTGTTCAAGGCTGGTCTATTGGCCAAAGGCTCAAAAGTCATCATTGTCAGTTCAGAGTCGGGAAGCATCACCCTTCGGCATGAGAGCGAAGGAGGAGGCAACTATGGTCATCATGCAAGTAAGGCTGCTTCTAACATGGTCGGCAAGCTGTTAAGCTTGGATCTGAAGGAGCATGGTGTTGCCGTGGGCCTTGTTCACCCGGCCTTCATGAGGACCGAGATGACCAAAGGTGTTGGATTTGATAAGTACTGGGATGCAGGTGGAGGTACGCATCGAGTATTCAATCTTTGTTCTAATAAGAAACTGACATGAGCACCAGCTGTGACGCCTGACGTTTCGGCCAAATCTTTGATTGAGTTCGTGGACACCTTTGACATCTCCAAAACAGGACAGTACTGGGCACCCCGAGGACCAGATGACATTGGAAATGCAGAACACGTACTGGGCCCGAAAGATCAGCTGTCGACACCACTCCAGCTTCCTTGGTGATTGCGATATCCTTCACGTACTCATAGACAGCGATTGTTCCGAGGTTGAGGTAATCTGCATCATGGTATTCATTAGACGAATTCCAGCTCGTCATTACTTGTGTTCCCATATCTTCCAGCCTGTTTCTGAGCACAATAATTCAATCATAACCCTACTCGTTCTTCTTGATGACCTTCTTGCCCATGCTGAGCCCGAGACCATAGTCGTAGACGAGAGAACCTCCGAGGTTGGCACCGAACATCAAGAGTGCTCCCAAAACAATGCTTGCGCCGACCATCCAGTTCTGAGGCTCGTAGGCCATGGGGTTGAGACCTTCCTTGATGTACTCCATGCTGGATACGTTTCTTCTCTTGTACCAGATCCAGGCGGAAACTGCAATAACAATGTCGTTGACCAAAGCGTGTGCGATCAAGACCTTGGACTTTGCCTTCAGGTTTCCGCTCTGGTCGTAAAGACCTTGGTTCTGGACCATCTTTGCTGCTTGGGCAATACCAGAGGCAGCTGAGGGAAGAGCAGTAAGGACACCAAGTCCGAGAGCCCAGTAGCCAATTCTTGTGGTCTCGACGACGGTAGGGAGGTAGTTGGTCAAGGTGGAAGGTAGGTAGGGGCGGACGACATGGAGGGCATCGAGACCGTAGGCCGTGCTCAGGAAGGCAATGGGCCAGTGAACAGTCGCGGGATGAACGGGATGACTATGCAGACCAACATGTCAGCTCTTGCTACACTCGGTCGTATAGCACATTGTTGTCATTGCTCAACAAGTGACAATGTGGGGAAAGCTTCCATGACTTACTCGAGAGACATGATTGATGGAATCTGTGTATCAACAAAACTTGGTGGAATGTAGAAGAGTGAGATAGTAAGAAGCTCTCGGAGATTTTAGCTGGGGTCTTGAGAAAAGCAAACAAAACAGTTGTCTATAAATATTGATTCCCTTCGAGAAATGGACGATTGTTGATCGGCCCCTCCACTTCCGGCGAATCGCAGCTTTAACAATGGTCATAATTCGGTCATCCACCCTGCATCCTGCCGCGCATCTTGTGTTTTTCAAAGTCGGAAGCAGGGCACAAGCAGGGTTCTTCATGTGAAGAATAGACAACGTTGATATCTAGCTTCGTGTCACCTCTAGCCTCGCCATATACACTTGTTGGACGTATGCAAGAGTGGAAGACATGTTCGAGCTGGAGCTTGAGCCAGGCTGGACTGTGAAAAGCTCAAATTTCCCAAAAACAGAGCCGAACCCCTCCTAAACAGCAGGAGCGAGAGCTTAGCAAGGAGAGGCTGCGTATACATGCGCAAAAAGACAGTATGTTAAAGGTCGTACTGGGGCTCGAACCCAGGACTCAAGAAATTTTGAGGTATAATCAAAATCTTGCGTGCTAACCGCTACACTATACAACCGTGTATCTCTAACTTCGTTCTTTGAGACAGCCATATGGTAATGCTCCTGGCTCGATCTCGTAGTTAAGAATCATATGAGCGAGTGCAAGTATCAAGAGTCAAAATGTTATCATCATTCCAATGTGTACCAATCTTGTCTATGCTGGTAGCAGACTCTAGCTTTGCAGCAACTTCATTCGTAACAATCATGTTTCTCATCAAGGTCATCTCCCATACGTCTTGCACCAAATCGCTCAATATCTCTCCCAACCAACAACACACCCTTCGTCTTCATCTTCTTCACCACTTTGTACGGCATTGTCGTCACTTCCACTTCCATACCTCTGGTCTTCCTCATCGATAACGCCATTCCCGTCTTCGATTTCAGGCCCTTTCTCAGCGATCTCCTTTTCGATCAAGCTCTTCAATAACCCGCAGAACTCGGCATGCAGACGTACAAAGAAGTACTCGTCTCCAACAATCTCAGCCAGACTGCGAGTTTTGGGGACGTTTGCCAGCGGAGAGGCTGCAGAAAGCGAAGAGCGAGGGTAGCCATCTGGGTCTACTGATTTGGCGGACAAGAAACTTGATACAGGTGTGACGACCGCAGATGTAGGTGCGGGCTTCTGAGGATGGCTTGTCGAAGAAGCAACAGACGAAGCTTGGGAATGAGTGCGTTGGGGCTGTGTTGGAGATACAGGCGGTGGAGTACGTTCAGCAGATCCCATAGACATGGGCGGCGAAGGCGTAGCACTCGAGCTGTAGCTACGCAGGGACCCAACATTCACGGCAGATAGTTCTACTGGCGAGGCTTCTGCGCTTTCTCCTTGCTGTAGGGTTGACAGGTGTGTTTCGGCGAGTGTGATGACTGACTTGGCCCACGCTTCAAAAGCACGACGAACAGTCATCTGGTGTCGGAATAGGGACTGCGAACCGACAGCCACAAATGCATACGCTCTCCTTTGTCCCCTAGCTCTTGGATCTGGCAGTCGAAAGACATGTGCAACGTTCACGGTCCTTGGATCTTTTGGTCCCTGTGTCGCCAGATCCGTGGTCAAGGTTATGGAGCCAGAACTCTGACCACGGGGCAGCGATTCTACGGCCAGGGCTCTTGTGCAAGCATCACGCAATAGAGGATTGGAGGGCGCTCGGGTAGTCGCAAAGGTCGAATCACGCCATTTGCTGCGAAGTACGGGCGGAGTTGTCGTTGCGGCTGGCACGTTGTACGAGCAGTTGGCGCAACTCGTGCCGGTTTCGTTTGGCGGCGGCGATGTTGCTGTCGGAGACTGGACCGATGTGGTCAAAAGTGCTTGCGGCCCGTGGATCTCGCAAAAATGTCCCAGAGATATCAGCGTGTCGGCCATAGATGTTGATGACCAAGATCAGGGTCAGCCTGCTTTGGCTCGCGTGGCACTGGCTGTGGGGCCGCCGACGTCTCCAGAAACGTCCCTGGCCACCAACCTCCTCTCACTTCGTCTCCGTGTGCTAGCCGCCATCTCGCCATTAGCCTCATCTCCTTCTTGAAGTGCAAGAGGAATATAAGCTATAAAAATGCACAATAGTACCAGGAAACAAGATAGATCCACTGAGAAGCCCCAAGTTGTCGACTCTCTGTGGACACGCCTCTGCTTCCAAAAAGAATTGTGCCTTTTTATAGTTCACATTTTGCTCTTTGCTGTAGCTGGAGTATGAGAGAAGTGAGCATGTTCTCACGCTTTCTGCTGAAAAGCTAGTTACCCATATGCCAGCTAAACCCCCAAAGCTATGCTCAGCCGAAAATAGCAAAAAAATAATCCCCCTAGCCGTACCAATTGCACTAAGCCATCCTCATAGCCATCTCTGTCACTTCATCGCTAGTCTCTCTTGCACATGCAAGCCTACTTCTTCAATATCTTAGGTCTTGGTCGACCGTTAGCAGCTAAAACTTAAGAGTAGAGCAAGCAACTTACTGCCAACGATGGCGAAGGTCGCTTCATTAGGAGCAGTGCCATTGAGGGACGCATCGAAGAGTTGCTCCTGGACAGCACTCGCGAACGTCATGTCACTGGTGACGACATGACTGAATTCCGACCAGACAATCATCTCTTCCGAGGTAAGCGCTTGTTCTGACTTGAGTTGTCTCAAGAAGTCATCGAACGACAAATCCCGCCAGTCCCGGAGGGACTCTGGCGCCGCATCTCTTCCATTGACTGGCACCTGACAGCGCCAAAGTGGAAAAGAAAACATCTCGCGATTCCAAGGATCTGACGAGCTTGGATAGACCACAAGAATGATGTCGGCCAGTTTTGGCCGGGACTGGGCTGCGTCGTCAGATCTTGGTTCCGTCGGAGAGTGCTCCGTGGATGGCTGGACCGAATCGGTTGGATATTTCGGCTTGTCAAAAGGCGACTCGAAGACCAGCTGGTCACCTGGTGATGGCGACTNTTTGTTGACAGCTGTGAATGTACGTGGAGGTCCTCGAGACTGAATAGGGACGTTTTCTTCCTTGATGTAAGGCACATAGTTCTTCGGCTGACTGGCATCCGGCTTGGGAGCGTCGTTCTTCTTGGTTGACTTGGCCTTGGGCACTGTCTTGGGTGTGGGTGTGGTATGCTNTTTGTTGTAATCAAAGAGATAGTTGGAGAGCACCTTGCTTATTGAGCTCATCACCCATTTCTGAGAGGTTTTGGACCAGTCCCATTGACCTTGAAATTGAGCCAAGATCTGGTCTTTGTGCGAGGCATAGAGCTTGTTGCGCTCCTTTCCGATGGGTGTTGGGGCGATAACCTTTGCAGACGTACGCAGCGCTTGTTCAAGACGCTGTCCATCGATGGTCGAAAAGCCATGCACGGCAGCGATTCTACTGCCATTGTGCGCGATCTGAACTTCTTTTTCTGCTTTAGGCATGGTTGGTTGATGAGGAAGTAAGGAAGATGATGATAGAAGTGGGAAGTGGGAAGTGTGATGGATGAGTCGAGGCGATTGTTGTGTTGAGGGTGTGGTTTTATGTTTGGAAAGAAGTAGGTGAGTGACACGTGCAAGACCTGATGGTTCCTTCCCTTTCTGTAATCAGCGGCCAAGCTAAGTCGTCACTTCTTACTCGACCGTCCTTTGGCAATTGCAATCCAGATGACCTTCCCACAGAGATAATGTGCATCGGAGCATCGAAATTGCCATCTGAATCTCACTGAGAAGCTGGAGACTCACTTCCATCCACAGACCTGAGGATCCGACTGTCCTCCTCCTGTGCTAGAGACTGTCACAGCATAGCTATAGAAATGCAGAATACTTTCTTAGTGAAATGGTCTCCACAGAGAGAACTTCAATGAAGGCTATCTCCATGGCCAGACTTGTATTCGTATTGCAACTGTGCATCGTTATAGCGTACAGTAAACCATACATCTCAGGATGGAGTAGAGGTCAGTTGTATCTTTGCGGTTAACCTTAGCATACGGGGAGGGTATGTGAAGTTCTCAGTAAGGAATCGGGTTTTGAGAGGACTGGCATCTAGATAATCATCGCGTAGGAATGACTGCGCCTGGAAACAAACATAGCTCACAGTTTAGGAGGTCCCGAACAATACTCAGATTGGATGTACAACTTCGAAGCATAGGCTGATTGCATTTCATTCAATACATTAACATGATTCTATGTTTATGATCCATCCCTGACCCGACACCAACCACCGCACCATTATCCCAATCGTAGGTCGTGAAATGCTCTCAACGTGAGATTTAGCACAGGTCAAATTGGAGAACAGTGATACTGTACTTGGGTACATCCCAAGACCAAGCAGAACCATTCTCCGAGCTTGCTGACGACTCAAGGTCAGCAGGACGAGGAATAACCTCAGTCTTGTTCCCGACATAGTTGTACGAGTTGAGGTCGCTAGCAGTGATGGAAGTGCCGTTAACACCTGAGTAAGCAGAGGGGATATTGACGCTCAAGGGAACGGTGGAGTTCAGAGTATTGATCACCTTGAGGTAGACAGCATTCTTCCCCTCGTCAATGCTGGCTGCCCAGAACAGAGGGTTGATTTGTCCCTCGGTGGCGGTGACGGGCAGTGTCTCGGTACCACGGTAGTGGGCGAACAGCCACTGTTGCCAGTAACTAGCGCTCAGAACCGTGTTGTCTTGCAGAGCATCGTATGAAATCATGTCGGGAGTCCAGTTTGTGAAGTTGCGGTTCTGTAACGAAGGCGCGTAAGAACTCATCTTGACAGTGTGAGGGTTACGCTCAGCACCCAGGGCATAGACACCCTCAGCAATGGCAGAGAGAAGGCGAGGGTACTGGACATGGACATCAAGAGGGTAAGAGTAGTTAACGACACCGGACGGTGTGTCGATTTGAATGACCGAGTACTCGCCCAACAGAACGGTGACATTGGTGTTGTTTGTTTCCTGCTGCCAATTGTCCCATAGGTCAAAGTTGGCCAAGAACCATGAAGGCTCTTGGTAGCCATGCCAGTCCCACATGTTACCCTCAGGAATGGAGATGTTGTAGTTAGCGGCATTCTCGTTGAAGGCAGTACTGATGTAGGTGATGTGAGGGTATGCCTTCTTCAAACCATCGTACATGATCTGGAAGCGGTAAGGATAGGTAACACTGAACCAATCCTCATTACCAATCTCAACGAAGTTGATTTGGAAAGGTTCAGGGTGTCCGTCAGCGATACGTCTGGCACCCCACTTAGTGGAGTTGTCACCCATGCAATACTCGAGCTCATCCAAGGCTTCTTGCAAGATCTGAGGCATCTGCTCAGGAGGATAGGAAGCACCATTCTGTCCATAGACATCGAGAGAGAAGCCAGCGTAGACAGCAAGAACGGGTTCGATATCCATAGCCTCAGTCCATTCGAGGTATTCAAGTAAACCAAGGCCTTGGGTGTTGTAGTAGTTCCAATCTCCAACACGGCCAGGGCGGTCCTGAAGAGGGCCAAGAGTCTCCCACCACTTCCACCTCTGGGCGGGACTATAGCCCTCTAGATTGTTGCCTCCAGGGAATCTCAAGAACTGAGGGTTGAGATCGTAGAAGCCCTGAGCAATGTCGGGACGAAGTCCATTCTTGTAGCCTTTGAATGTCTCAGGGAACACCGAGACCAGGTTGAAATAAAAGGTCTGTCCAGCAACTTGAGCACCATCGAAAGTAATGGCAAAAGTGTTGTTGGCGTCGGGAGCAGTCACGTTGGGATGCAAAGTGGTCTCAAGCTGTTTGAAATCGATGTAGGTTGGCGTGACATTCTTAAAGGTCGAGCTTGCCCATGTCTCGCCAGTGACGTTAGAGCGGAAGGATACAGTGATGTCGCTGGCGTTGCCCTGAGTGTTGCGTGGATAATTGTTCAGGTAGAACAGCGAGGCGTTGTATTGCTGGGGATGGACATCGAAGCCCCACCAACCGAAGTTTTGGAACCCGACTTCTCCAGTGGCATTAAGAGGGAAGTCAATCTGGAGCGAGGTCTCCAGAGCATCCGAGAGAGGGTGCAGAATATCAAGAGTCATGCGTACTCCATCACCAATAGGTGCCCAAGCCGTCATGACAGGATCGAACGGAACGATTGGGTTCTCAGACTCTGTCACAAATGTACCGTTATAACCATCGATCGTACTGATGATTGCGTTGGACCNCTATTTTGCATGAGAGAAGCTCGATGGACTTGAACCGCTGGACATACCTTGAAAAGCACGGTTGGCAATCATTTCTGCATAGATACCACCATCTCCGGAGTGATTGATGTCCTGGTTGGTTTGATCAGCTACGAGCACATAGAAAAGCGTCTAGGGTTCGAAGAGGCTTACCTCATGCATGATACCGTAGAGGTAAGGAGACGTAGCATTACGTTTGCTGCTGTCGAGGGTGTCAATGTGCAAGGCGACCGGAGAGTTGTCATTGCGAGTGGCATTGATATAAGCCTGGTACGAGGGAAGAGAGGAGGATAGAGCAGTGTCATTGTTGAATTGGCGTGGAGCTACATGAGGCAGCCTTCTGGCGCTGACTACGCCAACGCCAGCGAAGATAAGAGTTGTAAGACCAAGCATCTTCGTTTGACCTTAACTTCGAAAGACCAAGCTGCAAATGGTGAAAACATAGTGGAAATGTTAGTCTATTTATCATACCGTACGTTATTAACCTGCTCCTCGAGGCCAAGAGAGACTTCGCCGTAATCGAGGTGGAAGAATGCGTAAACACTAGACTGTTCTCATGGAGACCATGTCATAGACCACGCGAAATAGCGTGAGCCCCACCGGTAGCGGCATAGGTCTGCAGAGAGGAAGGCGGCTCCACCAATGATGATGGAGGAAGTGAAGGCTGGGGAAGCCGAAAGCCTGGAGAGCCAAGGTGCGGGGACCGAGGACCACACATCACGGCTAAATGCGGATCGCTATACCAAGCCGATGAAGGCATTTTGGAGCAGATCCACGGGCAAATAGGGTATGGCAATCGATCGACGACCAGCAAACAGGATACAATGAGCCGGTGCGCAGCATCAGAACGCATCCTTGTTCGATTTCGACGATGCAGCTGCATGCTGATGGCTGGGAGACCACCATCCCAAGCCTCTTGGTACGTGAGGACTCGCGGGGAAGGACAAGTACCAGGTTGGTCGAATTGATTCATTTGCTCCACCAATGACCCGGTGTTTTCTTGTTTTGACCTCTTCGACCTAAGGACGAGTTGACATTACCGTTGGCCTGAGGTTTCTGCGCTTCATTTCCATCCATCAACTTCCTCCACAACTCCGAAATTGGGATCCGCTTTGCTGGGAGCATACTGTATTGTAGACTGTACAGACTCTTGCGATGAATCGGCGGCACAAATTGACCTGTGAAAAGGCATAGAAACACACTAGGCGAGAGGTAGTGTTTGCGAATGCGATATGCGAGCTGTGCGTATTGCGAGAATGTTTCTGAAAAGGAAGAGGGACCGACTGTAATATGTTAGGAACCGGCGCGTTGATGCATCAAGAAGCCTGTTACCTGTAACTGTATGTGCGCAGTGGGTGCGATTTCAGGTTTCGTGGAATCATGTTCGCGGGAAGAATCGAATGCAGAGAGGGTATCACGAAGTTCAAAACGTATGCCACNCTTTAGGATCAGTCAGTTCAAATCACCTGCACATGTGCCAAGTCTTTTTATACCTGGTAGCCGCTGAGAATCTTTGATCCTCAGCATAAGCGCGAAAAGAGGGAAATGGTTCAAGCAAGCCAACCATGTGTCTAGGGCAGCTTTGAAAGCAATTATGCCCATGCGCGCGCCAGCAAAAGTTGCATAAAAGACACCAACGGTAGGGAGCAGGAACGTCAAAAGCGTGAACAAGATCGTACCCAGGAGCAGCTGGTCAAGGTCGTAATCGCATGAGTCGATACGGTTTCGGAGGACGTTTCGTTTCTTTCCACGAAAGAGATGGAAAAGTGAAACTATTATGGTGAGTTGCCAGTTGTATATGCGGGCTGAGGCGATGTAAAAAGCGTAAACGTGAATCGTCAAGACGGAAAGTAGATCTGAGAATAGTGAGATGGGCATGCTTGCTCCAGCAAAGCTCGAAAAGCCTATGACCTGGATGACATGAGGGAGTAGAGGTCGTATGCTTGTCATGCATTCAGCCCAGTAGTCAATGATCCACAGAAATAGATCACCAAGAAACTGTGCCAAATCGCCATTGAGTTTGAGGCCAGCAGGATAGTCCATCAACCACTTTATCATGCGTTGTAGACCATCGATGAACCAAGAATCAACAACAGACTCGACTTGACCAGCTACATAGTCTGAGTTTTCGATAATGTAAGAACCAATGGCAATCCCGATGATTATGTCGTTTGCAACGAGCCAAAGACTGTTGTAGAAGCGAATGTATTCGGGATGGCTGTTCGTAACACTTCCCCAGTCAGTACGTCGCTTACGCAACGTGAGATATTGAATCGGCCAGTAACAAAATTGCTGCAGGCGAATGTCAATTTGCTGTGCAGTGGCCGAGATGTCTTTAAGAGCGGCAGCATCTGGTAGAGGTCGCCATTCTAAAATTTTCAACCACGCTTCGCCCGCAATACGATGACCAACTAAAGCCATGACCAGCAGTTGAGTGATGACCGGATAGACATAGGCGAAAAAGGCGTGATGTATCCCGTAGCGAGTGTAGTCCCAAAGGTCGGCGGCCGACTCAGCCATGCGCTCGCTCACGCTCATGCTACGTTTTGTGCGCTGACCAACAAAGCGGATGTTCTTTCGCATCAGCTCATCAATCTCGTATGAGCAATTGATTTGGTTCAATATCACGGGCAGAGCAATTTCCTTGGAAGTACGCGCATGATGGACCACAGTGTGCATGCGCAACTTGTCGACCAGCTGCTGCTTTCGCGCTTTGTCGGCCGCTTCTTCTGCTCCAAAGCCTCCCACTTGTGGTTTGCCTGCTCTTTCTTGGGCGTCCGACAGTGTTAAGGAGATAGGCGTGAGGGACAAGTACTGCATGCTGTAGGGATTGGGTCGATCGAATGTCACAATTTGCAGCGAGATGGTAGGTTCGCCAGGGCAATGCACTTGAGGGATGGTACAACGGGGCGTGTAGTAGACCTGGATAGACGAAGGGTTGAAGGTAAGCGAAGGTGCACGCTCCGGGTTCAGCGTTCCCAAGACTTGCAAAGGCACGCGGCCACATCTGTCGATGATGCGATCAATGGGGTGAGGACTGCCGCGGAACAGATTGCCCATTCGGAGAGCATTTTCAACATTGCGTGCCTGTACGTCTATTAGCTCAGAGCCAAGCGTATGCGGCCACAGCGTCAGCGAGACTGACATCAACTTNNCTAACAAGATGGTCACAACGACCATGTCAAGGTCCGAGTTCCTCCATCCTACAATGACGCCTGGTTTGGCGGAACGAGCAATGTCGGTGGGCCAGAAGATGCGCATCAAGCCATTGGGGGCGATCATGAAGGTCTAGAAGGAGCCCCGTCGTTTCAATTGTTCGCGCGCCGAAAGACCTAGAGCTGGACGAGGATGCTTCAGACTGTCAGGAGGGGTTCCTGCCGAGGATACGATTGCACTGACTATATCACTCTCTCGGGCAGCTATACGCTCGATAGGGACGATCAGGACGACGAAGAAGATGCTGAGGATCAAGAAGGCCTTCAATGAGCGAGTNNCTGCACATGGGGTTAGCTGTGCGCGAACAGGTGAGGCACAGGGAGAACAGACAATAACACCGTGATCCCAAGCAAAGATGGCCAGTTCATACAGGCGGGTGACGAGATCCCAGCGAGCGGTAATGTACCCAGCTACAAAGATGCCAAGCGTGAGGACGGAGAATGGGTGCATGAATTGCCTCGCTCATGACCAGAGTCGATGTTGATGTCGCAGATGATGCGCGCCCTCTTGGCAGCAAGTCGTCCGGTATCGAGTGAGAAGCGGTGCAAGGTAGTCGAGAGGGGGATATCAGCTGTGAAGCATGACGAGGAGCGCGCCGGAGTTCAGAGGACCTTTGGAAATTGCCTTTCTCCTTGTCAGCCTTCAGCCGCGCAATCGTCGCCCTTGTCTTGGGATCCTCCCTAACTAAACCAACTTCCTCCGACTGACCCTGACTTGGTCTGTGCCCCATGCAAACCTCTATCCGAAAGTGGAAGCAGCGAATCGCGTCAAAATCACCTTGGCTGCTCTTCCACCTTGACAATACCATCTTTGACGCGTGGAATATCACTCACATGTTCTAATCTTGGTTGCGTAGGGATTGTGTTTGCCGCTTGTCTGTTCGTCTTGACGAACTTCCGTCACTCGCTTGTCAATCTCGCCCTAGGTTATGCTTGATATTATGCAGCAAGCCTAATAATTTTCCAACCTCAAGCTTCACTTGCCGACTCTGATCAGTGCTGTATAATCCATGTTCGGGCGCGTTCAACACGGCAATGCTGGCGGCGGGGGTGGTGGCGGCAGCGGCAGAGTATGCTCTTTCTATCAACAAGGACGATGCAAGTTTGGAGGTAAGGACAAAATTTGATGCTTTCTCCTTCCATCTTTTCGAGTTTACTAAACTCATTTGTTCNNAGACAACTGCAAATTCGACCATCCTGGCGCAAACAAACCTCAGGACGGTGGAAATCGATTCCAAGCTCTCGGCACTCAAGGCAACAACTTTGGTCAGGGAAATCGGAATAACCAGCGACCGCCTGCTCCTGGTCGAGGGCAACACTACACTAGCCAGAACTCGTAAGTTTTCATGTGTATCGTATCAAGACCTTGACTGCTTCACTGCTTGCCAAGCGGCCACTGTTCGAGAGCAGATGCTAACCACTTCCCNAGTTATGGCGTGACGAGAGATGCTATCGAGGGAGATCTTAAAAACGAGAAGCCAAAATGGCCATTCTCTGCTTACGGTCCAGGCAGGGATGCTCCTATACAACTGTTTGGAGGCTTTCCGCTAGAACAGAGTCCGGAGGAGATGAGAGTTCTCTTCTATAAAGCTGCCGCAAGCGGTAACCCACAACCTGCTGTGAGTCCTGTTGACATCGATGTTCTTACTCATGGTGATCTAACTATCCATACANNGATACAAGCCGAACAGGAGCTTATCGCGCAAACGAATCAGCAAGTAGAACGAGTACTGGCCGATCTAGACGGGGCAGTCAAATACGTCCTGGATGGTGAGAACCAACATCCAAACCGATTAGATGGGTGTCTGGATGCAACCGGGAATGTCTTCCACAGAGGTCGAAAACTAAATTCGAAGTTTTCACCTAATGCTGCAGCACAAACGGCCAATCAGCCCGCTCAAACTGGTGCATTCGGCCAGCCATCCGCTATAGGTGGCGGCGGACCATTTGGCCATCCTTCAGCCCTGGGAGGCGGAGGTGGCTTCGGTCAGGCATCTAATCTCGGGCAAAGACCAAGTCCATTCGGACAATCAACGAGCACAGCACCAACTGCTGGAGCATTTGGATCGCCCTCAGCCCTCGGTCAGAGACCTGCCTTTGGACAACCTGCTGCAGGAGGGTTTGGCCAGCCAGCAGCATCGACAAGTGCATTCGGACAACCAGCAGCAACAACGACGGCGTTCGGGCAACCATCGACAATGGGCCAAGGAGGCGCATTCGGCCAGCCTGCTGGTGGTGCTCAAGCGAGTCCATTCACTCAAGCAGCGCAAGCCAACCAAGCACAGTCATCACCCTTCGGGCAGAATGCACAGCAAGGAGGAGGAGCATTTGGCCAGGCTTCAGCATTCGGCCAACCGTCAGCTCTCGGTCAACAACAAAATAATGCCTTTGGGCAATCTTCTGGCTTAGGTCAGCAACCACAGCCAGCATTTGGTCAGCCCTCGGCACCTGTTCAACAGAATCCAGCCTTCGGACAACCATCGGCACCTGGTCAAAATACAGCATTCGGACAACCATCAGCACCTGGTCAGCAGGCATCAGCGTTCGGGCAGCCATCAACACCAGGTCAGCAAGCATCAGCGTTTGTGAAACCATCAACTCCTGCTTTTGGGCAACCATCAGCACCCACACAGCAAAATGGAGCATTTGGGCAGCCTTCAGCTCCAACACAGCAACAAGGTGTTTTCGGCAAGCCTTCGCCGTTTGGTCAAGCACAAGGAAACCAACAACAGCAGCAGTCGCCATTCGCTCAAGCCGCAGCGAAACCCAATCCGTTTGGACAGCCTTCTCAACCTGCTACTCAACCGGCTGCCGGTACTTTCGGAACAGCGGCTCCGCAGCAACAACAGCAACAGCAGCAACAGCAGCAGCCGCAATCATACGCAGAGCCCGTACCTCAAGGCGATTGGATCACTCGTCAACCTAACGGGACATTGAANAGTTTCAAGGGCGCACCTGTGCAGTACGTTGCTACGAAAGAGAGTCAAGAGCCGCACTACAGGAAGGCCAATGGAGAGATGGAAAGGATCTGGCACCCCGAGGGCAATGCAGCACCGAGGGCAGAGATAGAAGCACCGGCAGAAGCCTACACAGCCGAGCACGAAGCAGCATACAAGTTTGTGGCTGAACAGGGTGTATTCAAGGACGGGATCATGCCAGAGCTACCACCAAAGTGTGAGTGGATCAGGTGGGATATCTAAGAAATCGAATGTGTAGTAGTATTAGACAAGGAAATCAATTGCTGACGCGGAACTATTTCCGCGGGAGGATGAGACGACGATATTCATATCAAAGCATATTTCTTCACAATCTTTTCCTTTAGCAATGATGAATTCGAAGAACAGCATGACTGATGATATGCCCTACTTGGTGCGCACGACTGGATATGGTACGACGAAAAGAAATGAGAGAGATGTCTATGACGGAGATGGTGTTTCAAGAGCTCTTGGCCAGAAATCACCATCTCTTCCCCGCAAGATGATGCGTCTCAGTTGATGTCACGAACAAAATCACAATGGAAGTGCGAAGACGACTACCTCGCGAGAGATCCTACATACACGAGAAGCAAGAGAATGTTCCGATCCCGGATGCTGCGACAGCCAAGACTGGACATGGATTGATCAATGGTCTACTGGCCCTGCTTGGATATCTGGTTCAGCTCCTGAAATCGGTCGTGTATGGGTCACAGCAGGACACGCGACAAGTAGAAGATGGTGACGAGGACAAGAGCAATGAAGAGAAGATACTGCTGGGACATATGTGCCGTGGAGTGATAGCGGTGCATGAACGGCGGCGCAAGCGGAGCACAGCTCTAGTCCTGTCCAGCAGTCGCAATGGAGAGACGCCTTCTGTGTTGAAGCATGCCTCGGCCGCATATGCCTTCCTGGGCTCAGAGACACATTCCAGGCTCCTCNNCGGTAGATACCTCCTATTCCTGTGGGCGCACTTGTACTGACAACTTCTCAGCTGTCTCTCCCACGGCCCACCCATCGTCCTCGAACATGCCCCCCTCGGCACCGTCTACGCCCTCCTCTCCACCAAAACACCCTACCCATCCCTCTCGCACCCATCAATACCTCCCAAACACGCAACACTCGCTCTCCCACTCTCCTGGCTCCTGCAAACATCCTCTGCCCTTCGTTTCCTACACGATCAAAAAGTCACCCACGGCGCTGTCTCTCCATCCTCCCTTTTACTTCGCTCCGACATGACCATCGCCCTTACAGACTTTACAAAATCCACGATTAATGGTCATAACAATGGCGTGCCTACCCGAGAACCAAAGGAATTTGCTTTCCCTGTAGATGCTCTACGCTACGATTACTTTGACGGAGAATTGTCTGCAAATTCTCAGGCTTTGGGATTAGCTATAGATGCCTTTGACTTTGCAACTTTGGCTTATAGGTTGTTGGTGAGGAAAGCGCCGGACTGGGACTTGCCGACAGGTAATGGCACTTGGGCGTTGGAAGAATTGCATGAGGCATTGGATGAAGCGGCACCAGAACTCGGGGATGAGATTGTGGTGGGCTATGTGGCGAGGGATGCTTGGTGTTTGGTGTATGAGGAGGGCAAAACTATGCAGGAAGATGTCGTGCATGCATTGTGGAGACATGGGTTCCAAGTCAGAGGTGATGATGTTGTTGGTGTCAAGGAGGCTGCCAGAGAGTTTGCAGAGACATATCAGCCCTCTTGGAGGTTCGAGGGATGATAGGTAGTCATGCTAGAACTCTACGCATCTGTCCCTTGGCCGGTACCAAATCTCCAAACACAAGAATTAGTCATGAGAAAAGAAATGATATTTGAGGCAACCCTATCCACATCCTACCAAGTCTCAGCAGGGAGTATGCTATCACCTCTCGATCTCCTATTCCTAAACACCGGATACGCAGAACTAGTCTCGCTGATCTGCCTACTACCTCTCCTCTGCCTAATAGTATTCAAATACCCATTAGCCCAAACGTCATTTCCAAACACATCATCGATATCATCCATCTCATCCAACACACTCTGTGGCGGCTCCTCGTCAAACACATTTGCCAAGTCAGCGTGTGCTCCAAAGCTCTCCCAGAAATCGAGGAAGGCGTGTCGGCGTCGTGGTCCGAATTTGGAGCTGCGTTGCCAGAGGTATTTGCGTTCGTAGAGGGCAATTGCGAGTAAGAGGGGTGCATTGAGTACGCGTACCGCTGTGACGTTTACTTTGTGGAACCAGCGGGGTGTGGTGAGGAACTTAATAGGGAGGAGGATGGCCAATGCAGCAACGTTGAAGGGAGGGCGGAAAGCGAAAAGGGTGTCTGATTTGACACCTTCGAAAGTCAAGACCGCTCGCCTGAACTGGATCTCGGCTGTGGCGTTCTTTGCGAGGTTGGAGTAGGTGTTACTGAGCATTGACACCAAGATAGTCAGGAAGAGTGTGTTACCAATGAAAGCGAAAAGCACCATGAGCGTTGGTCCCAACCAGCTGTGGAATTCAACAGATTTAGTGATGCCGGTGCCATCAAGACCAAACCAGATCCACAACATCCATTTGGAAATAACCAGGAAACTGTGGGAAGCATAGCCCTCTTGACTCTCGCTGAGCCAGCGCATGGCAAGCAGAAAACCGCCGAAGCACCAGACAGTGACCATTGTAAGGAAGGTGAAATCTCCCATCATGGTTCGCAATGCGATGAACAGCATGTTCTCAGGCATGAGACAGAATGCAAGTCTTGGCATCAGGATTGGTGCTCCAAGGGAGAGGATGTCGAGCGCTTGTTTGCCAACGGGTCCAGAATTGATCCTCAAACCATGCATGCGGATTCCAAAGTAAGCCAAATAGATCAATGAGAAGGCTATGTCCATGAAGGCCCACAAGTTCTCAGTGTGGACAGACCACCCATGCTCCAGGACAGATGCGAGTTCTTCAAGTACCCAGCCACTGCCGTAGATACAAAAGATAAGCTCTACCGTCGTGAAGTGCAGATGGCCGGGTCCTATCTCCTTGGCCTTATTGAACATCGTCAGCAGATACAAGCCGAACAGCACAAGGAACTGTGTAATCTCGATGACCTTGCGGTTGCGAGGAACAATGAGACGATATTGATTGAGAATCGGTGCCTTGCGAGGGTCGTAAAGAGAGATCCGGCGGTTCTTGTAACGGTCTGGCAGAATGTCGATGAATGCGGTCGGCGTGTAGATAATACGGCCTCTATAGACAGCATCGACAATCTTTTGGCAAGCAGATGCTGCCAGGAAGCTCTTCGACTCAGAGATGATAGCCACCTCGAGCGCTGTCAAGACTCGTTCACGACCTGAGGTGAACCAGCCTTCAGCGAGTGGAGATCGAGGTCCTCTGCCTCTGTCAACAGAGGGAGGAGCATTCTGAAACGGTTCGAAGCCAGATACCAAGACGTTGGCAAGTGTAAGAAGTCCTTCGCGGCCGCTGTGGTCCTCATCGAAGCGGCGCAAGATTCGACTGGCCAGAACCTCGCACAGATTGGCCCGAGTCACGTTAACAGTTTGGTGATGCGCTTGGAACGATTGTTGACGCAAAAATTGTACTCGGTTGACCAAAAGACACCAAACTGATGGAAATCAGAATTGACACAAGAATGTGAGGTTAGTTTACTTACCAATTGAGACATCGTCTGGATCGTAAAGATGGTCAAGCAGAGGTCGTACAACAGCAGTGTTCATACGGGGACTCTTGAGCTGATCGAGACTGTAAGGATCATCTANCAACTTTTTAGTAACGTGCTGGATGCTACACGTTGAGGGCAAAGTACCAATGCATGCAATCACGAGTCTCCTTATCCGATGGATGGTAGTATAGACCGGTAACTGCCTATGAGGATTGGGTTGCCAAGGTATACTGTCTTTTCGAGGAGGATAACATCCATCGTCATCTGCAGCCTCGCCATCGTCGTCGAGAAGTTGTTGATGTTCTTCGCGGGACATGGCAAGTCTAACGGCCTCGCTTATGCTACGAGAAGATTGTTCTCTCGCAGAAAATCTGTCTGGCAACGATGGGCGATAGCGCTCGGGCGAAGGAGTGGTCATGGTGATATGTTTGTCACCATTGCCATTGTACTGATTCGATGGCTCGGCAGAGTCCTCGTCAAGTGGCGGCGTCTGGCTGCGATCACGCTCATGGGGGCTCACTGAGTCGGGTGCAAGATTGTACTGAATTGCACTTGGGCTTGGACTTGGACGATCATCCATCTTTGCGATTGTTATCCACTCGTCGCTCAATGGCGCGGGAATATGGTTGATGGAAGGAAGATGTTTTTGTCTTGATAGATGACATCAAACGTCAGAGCTTTGTCACTGACGGGACGGCGCAGCGATGGCTTCAGATAGCAACAACACACCACGCGGCTTGAGATATTCATCTGATTTGCAAAGGACGCTTTGAAAGCGCATGTGACCATCATCAGGAAGGGCTTGTAAAATCGACGCGGTTCAAATCTGCGTACGGCAAGTAACTATGTATAATGAGAGAATAATAGAGCCAGAAAATCTCGCAAGAGAGAGGGTGCGATCTGCATCGATGGCAACAATCGTGACTATCAATCGCAACAGCAGTGCCTGCCGATGGCAACTGTCTGCTACGGCTGACCTTCATGAAGTTCTGAGAAACCAAGACGACATTTGCTGTTTCTTTCCACTTGCAGCTTCCACTTTTATCATTCGATCTTCTCTATCGTTGCCACATCCCCTCGCTGCCTGTGATCTAGCCTCAACGTTGTAAGGTTGAATTGATGAGAAACACCTTCCACATCCTGGTCGTCCGTCTTCACAAGTCTTGCGGTGATTGATCATCCAACAACAATCTTGTCCATGCTTTCTTTTCGACAGGATAATTCGCAACATCTCAAATTATGAGCTGTGGGTTGACGTGGTAGGCTCAGGGTCCTGCACAAGCATCAGCAATCGTCGTAATGAAGAGGACTGAAGCATTTTCCTCAATCCGAGGCAAATTGCACGGCATACCTTGAGCTCTGTGATCAATCTGACCAGGCCATTTTTATCTATAGTGGCCAAATAGTTTGTAACGAACCAATTGTTGCCCTCTGAGTCCTGGTAAAAGCGTTCATCGGCATCGCTATCAAGATATCCCTTGATCGTCGCATCACCGCCAACATGAAGTCGGCCTTCTTCTCCTCGACTCAGCACGCGATGTTCTCTGCCAGCGACAGAACAGATCTTGACGATGGAACCCGGCATGACAGTGCCAACACTCTTAAGAGTTCGATCGGCCAAAGACACGCTACGCCAACCAAGCGCACCGAATCCTTCGCCCATTGTCAAGAAGGATGACGCCCATTGGGTTTGCAATGCGTATTGCCCCTGAGCCAACAAACCTGTCCTCACTACTCCGCCGCTTACAGAAAGACTTTCAAGAGAGCTGAGATCTCTCTGAGTTTGCGAAGGATGCTTGATCAGCTCCTCCAGTTGTAGCGGAGTACAGATGAGACGGGTACCGTGGTGAAGCTCAGTCGCCGAGAGGGTTGTCTGTGCAGAGAAGAAAGCCCCTGGAAAAACGACGGCTGCACCTCNTTTCCAGGCTACCATTACAGCTTCAAGCGTGGCACTGCTTGAAGACGGGCAAGTGACCACATACCTCTGGTGCGGAAGGATGTACTGATTTACCAGTGCTGTCCGGATGTTGTGAACGGTCAGAGGGCAGCCCTTCGGAGAGTGTCTAGAGCTTGGTTGAGTGAACAGGACCACCGCGACACGATTATCGACAACAACACGATCTTCTGGGCTTAGTCTGTGTGGTTTGTCTCCTGCATTAGATGCCCGGAGCCTGTAGGTCTTCTCTGAGGGTTCGAAGTTGATCCAACCGCGAANAAAGAAGTCGACTCGTTCATGGCAAACAATCCTGCATCTAACTGAATTTCTAAGGTCCGGGTAGAGTTCATCGAAATTGTATGCGTCTCTGATGTTAGATACCAGGACAATGCTGGTCTCTAGCAGCTCGAGAGGGTAACCTTGCTCTCTTCCACTGTTCACCGCCAGACTCATAGGATCTAGGGGCACGAATGTAAGTTCAAGGATGGCAGCAACCCAGAAACCAAGCGCCCACTCCACACAGCTTGGAAGGAAGGCAACGAGAGTGTCTCCTCTCTTGACACCGTAGCCTTCCCAGACAATCGCAAGGTCGCGGGCGGCTTTCATCAGTTGGCGGTAAGTCCAAGTTAAGCAGCCGCTAACTGGCTGATCGCCAGCGATGTTTCTGAGATGACCCCAGGATTGATGTGTGCAGATCAGAGCGATGTTGTCTGGTCCTTCGTCGTAACCTTCTTCAAGCTGCTGGAACATAAGATCGGGACCCATTTGCGCACCCCAGCCGCCATCAAGAATAGAGAGTCGTCTGTTACGCGTTGCAGTCTTCATGTGGTCCTCCTGTGAGCGCGCGAATGAGGATGAGAAGCAGATCAGTAGACTGGCCTCTAACGATGTTAGGAAGAACCGTCTTTGTTCGATAGATGAACTGATTGGTGAGATAGAGGGTAGAAGGATCGTTTTCGAAGTTGTGAGACTCAGTTTGTTGACGGAAGCGTATGGAACTATGGATTCGATATGATGACTATTCTAAGTGATTGCTATTCTGCCAAACGGACGCCTTGCCAAACACTACGAATGAGACATGTGCCAAACAAAGGTCAATCGCACTGGTAGACAATGAGCCCTCCCCGTGTACTAAAGTATGTAACATGTGTAGCTATAGAAATACACAATAGCAATAGGAAACAAGATAGTATCCACTGAGAGGCAATAAGTTGCCGGCTCTCTGTGGACACGCCTCTACTTCTCAACACTATTGTGCCTTTTTGTAATCTATATTTTGCTGGTAGTTGTAGTTGGAGTACGGTGGACGGACTTAGTACATGAGAAGGACAGGCAAGGGCGTAGTTGAGACAATTGCGAGACAGTAGGCAGGAGCATTTCGGCTTGCTCCTTCCACAATGCTCTGTGTCACCTTTTATCATCGCGCAGCTTCGACCCTCTTCTTCTCATTTTCACAACATCATCTGCACTGCTAATTTATCATGCCTGAAATCAATGACCTTCCCAACGAGTTGATAGTGGAGACCTTCTCCTACCTCGAGCTCAGCGACTTGATAAGATGCATGCGCGTCAATAAATGCTTCAAGGCTATCATCGAGCACTCTGCCTTCGACAAGATCTTCTTCCGCACTAAGGCCATCAAGTTTGGAGACCCAATCAATCTCGACAACCTTCAGCTCAACCCCGCCTTCGATCCCCTGCACTACACAAGTCGTTCTAAGATCGACAACACTCTGTTCCTCTTCTCCTACAAGGAATCCGAAGGCAAGGACGGCATTCGCGAGCTGCCTCTGACTGAATCGTCAGCCGCCAAACAGAATGCTACAGAACCCGCTGTCACTCGCATTTATCTCAGACCCTATGGAGACCCAGAAATAGAAGTTGAAGTTGAGTCTGACCAGGGAGTGACTGTTCAGGATGTCATGCAAGGGCTTTGCGACTACTACGAGCCAGGTATTCCCTACGATAGATGCCACTACTTCTTTGAGGGCTTCTACAAGAACGAGGAATCAACTGAGAACGAACTCATCCTCGAGGCTCACTGGGGTTCGTAGGCGGAGACTTTGTTAGTCCAGACTGGGATGTAATATCATCCATCGTTGTTGCTCTTTAATGGCAGTTGCTTCCCTCCAGTTTATTTGTAACAAATATTCGTCGCTAGGACATGAAATTCTGATGCTCTCTGTGGACATGCCTCTACTTCCTCAAACGATTGTGCCTTTTTATAGTATATGTTTTGCTCTCTACTATAGTCGGAGTACGACGGAGGATATGAATAGGCTAGCAATGGCATACGATCCTGATCAAGTCAGTCCAGCGAAGATTACATTTCATAATTAACCCGCCTTGGTTTCACAGTTTGATTCACCCTTGCGTTCTGGAATGTATCGTATTCATAGGTTTATTAGCGATCAATGTGACTACCTAGGTGCGTTTTTGGTAACAGGAACTAAAGCTCGTCGTGAGCAGCCGATTCCTCGGGCTTGAGGGGCTTGAGCTTGTGAGCATTCATCAGTTGCTCATACTGCTCATCAGTGAGTTCCTCCATCTGAACATCGACCTTCTCCTCGGGCTTCTCAGCAGCGGGTGGGGTTTCCTTCTCGGCGGCAGGTGGAGTTTGCTTCTCAGCAGCTTCGACAATGACACTCTCGGCGAGCTTCTCCTTCTTGCCTTCACCCATGCGGATTGAGTCAACCCAAGCGTCGATAGCATTGTAGCTGATATCAGAGATACCCGAGTAGCGCTTGACCCAAGCCTTCTTTGCGTTGACTGCGACAATCTCGAGCGAGTCGTCGGACAGACCCAGTGCTGAGCGCAATTCGGAAGACGCGGATGCTGGTACGTTGTGGAAGGGGAACATCTTCGCGCCACGCTTGGTATGCTTGTGGTGAATCTCAGACAAAGCACTGACGGCCTTGGAGACGGGTGAGTCTGTGGTCTGGATGAAAGCAGATGGAGCAAGGAGCAAGATGCAAACACCAGACTTGGATGTCAAACACTTCTGCTGCAGGGACTCAGGAGTATCGAGGGTGGAGATTTGAGGAGCCACATCAGGGACCTGAATTGGCTTCTGAGTGTCATCGGTGACGACTTGAGGGTTAGGGCTCTCAGTAGGGTTGCTGTCGTTCTCGAGAATCTCTGCAGTCTGCGAGGCTTTGATGCTGGCAGACTCATCAGAGCGATGAGAAGACGACGCCTTCGAGAATTGGGACGAGGCTTTTGAGGACTTCTTAGAGTCCTTTGATGATGATTTGGACTTGGACTTGGACGAAGAAGCAGGAGCGGGATCAGGGTTGGGAGTAGCAGCCTGCGACAGGAACTCGACGATGGCAGCCTTGTTCATCTCGCCAGAGTAGACAACGGGATCCTTGGTGCCACCAGGAAGCAGTACAAGAGTGGGATACGAGGTAACGCCGAAGAGAGAAACAGCGGCTGCTTCCTTGCTTCTGATCTGAGCGACCGAGATGGAACCCAAGAAGTCAATGGCCACGGCCTTGAGGAGGGCACTGGTAACACCCTTTTCGCTGAAGAGGATGGCCTTGGCCGAAGAGTTGTTCTCGGTTAGCCAGCCATCAAGATCCTTGTCTGTCACTCTCTTGACATGGCTGGGAATCTTGTCCTTGACAGATTCGACGATGCCCTTTGCGGTTCTAGGGCCCTGGTAGTCCTCGACTGTGGGTCTACCGGCCTTCTTTCCAGGACGGACAATCTTCAAGGTAGGGAAGCCCTTGACATCCATGCTACCACAGAAAGCCTTGTTTTCTTCTTCATCGCAGTTGACAGCAGCGACCTTGGCAATGCCATCGAGAGATTTGGCAGCCTTTTCATAGGCGGGTTTGAGGTTCTGGCAATGACCACACCATGGAGCGTAGAACCTGAGAGATGAATGAGATTGAGCGAAATGATGTTTTGCAGAAATATAACTTACTCGACGATCTATGATTTTGTCAGCGAGAGGGCGGACAGAACAATCAGTGAAAACAACNNTTACGGAAGTGTGGTTAGAGTTGGCGATCAAAGAACGGTAGCTTCTAGCATCGAGGTTGAGAACGCCCGAGTTCTTGGTATAGAGACCAGCGGCCTGAGACGAGGGGAGCAGCAACAGACCGGCTGCAGCCACGGTTAAGGCTTGAAAGTTCACCATGTTGTTTGTTGGAGTCAATCAAGGAACAGGAAGATCAGACTCTGACGACCTCTTGGGTAGCGGCAACCTGTCCTTTGGTATTTATGTGACACCTTGGGTTGGCGAACAGGTGGCTCGAGCACCTCCGAGGCCGAGGCTTCCCCGCGTCAACCAAGACGTCCAAGGCAACCCTGACCTCTTCCGCAGCTACCTGCATCGAACTTCCAACCATCGCAGTTGCCTTGTCACAAGACAAATTCACGACAAGATGGCCGCCTCTCTCCCAGCCAAGTTGAAGATCAAAGACATCACGCCCTTTGCAGTACGCGCTGCTCAACTAGAAAAACACAAGCCCATCGTCTCATACTGGTGCAACTACTACATCATCGACCAGATCCTCTCCAAGGGCCTGCACTCTGCCGACGATGAGTGCATGCAGTACACAACCGCTCTGATGGATAAGCTTGAGCAGACCAAGATCGACCAAGCAGGAAACGATGCTATCGTCGACGACATTGCCGCAAAGGCATACATCGAGCAGTTTGCTCTTGACACGTTCCAACGCGCCGACGATGCCATCCACGACAACAAGGCCTCGCGTCAGACAATCGACACCTTCCAAGCCGCCGTAACCTTCTTTGACCTTCTGTCCATGTCAATCTGGGCTCCCATCGACCCAGACATTACTGCGAAGTCCAAGTACGCAAAGTTCCATGCAGTCCGCATAGCCAAAGCTATCAAGGCCGGCGAGGACCCGAACGACTCGAACCCTGCCCGAGAAGAGCCGCCAGTTGCTACCACTCAAGACACATACCATCCTCCCACCGTCGAGAGCGCTCCTGAGAGCCAGTATCCTTCTCGCCCAGCCTCAGTCACACAACCTGATCCCGCCCCCATCGCTTCGCCAACCGCTCGAGATGCAGTCTCCCCTGTCGAGTTCGCAAACCCACGCCAGAACTCTATCGGTGGTGGCTACTTCCCCTCTGCTCCCACGTTTGTCTCAGATCCTGCGCCATCCATCCCGCCTGCCGCTGATCCAGCCACGCCCTTCGTACCCTCTGTTCCGACACCTGCTGTGAATGCACCTGCCTCGCCATCACAATACTACACACAACCCACGCAACCGTCTGTGTCGATACCTATGCATTCTCCTGCTGTTGTGCCGCCACCAGCCGCGGCTCCAGTGCCTCTTCCACCTGTACAGCCCGTAGCTCCAGGTACCTACCGAACTGATGACGACTCTATAACACTGGCTCAGAAGCATGCCAAGTGGGCTATGTCAGCTCTGAACTTTGAGGATGTCGACACTGCTGTCAAGGAATTGAGATTGGCTCTCCAAACTTTGGGTGCAACTTAGTCAGATCCTTCGAAAGCACCCATCCTCCACTATCAAGCTCGACACAGAAGTGGGCAGTTGTCAGCTCGACAATGCCACGCCTGGATCCCAATCGCTCAAGTGTGTCTATCACCTAGCATAAGCAGGATACACATCCGATTCTGGCACATTACATCAGGCTTGCAGCAGGACTCGGAACTTTGACGCTAACACTGAGCCGTATGCCAACTGTCGTCGATCTAAGAGAGATTTCTTCACCCTCTCATCGCCGAGCTTGGATAAAACAGAGTTGTTGGGTGCTCTAATACAGGCTTCCGGCGTTGGTGGTGGTCCTTGGCTAATTCAACTTCCAGCACATATTGTTTTTTATACAGATACCCATTCCGTATGAATGTTTGTACACCTGCTTGTGGTCCTCGGCATGATACATCGGGATGTCGACACTTGATCTTAGCGATATGCAAGGTCCCGCAAGCTGTTGATTGTTTAACATCTTGTAACACATACTAAACGGCCTCAAGATCACGATGCCCAACGTTGAACATCGTTGTTTGGAGAGCTGATAGTGCTGTAGACTTTAGTACTTTTTAGATCGTATTGAAATTGTAGACGCCAGTACAAGATGTATGTTCTGAAAGAGCGTCTTGGAAGAGACGGTAGTGCCTTCCCGATCTATAGACGGGATATCGATGCGGTGTGCCGTTTGTGATGAGTCGGCAAGATGACAGTCCCAACCCACCGGACTGATCGTGTCTTCTGTTTTCGGGTCAGACACAACTTCAGACACGACTTCAGACTCACCTCTTTTCCGAACACCTGTTTTAACACTCTTTTCACACCGCACACCTACCCACATCATCAGATCCATCATGGTAGTGTTTTCCTAAGCATCTTCGTCCCACAACCGCAGTGCGTAGCCAAACATCTTACATTTTCGCTTCCTCGTTTGTACTGACTTCTTGAACAAGATCTGTCACTTTACTCATCAACATGCAGCCTGCTTGCTTTGCTCCTTACTCTGGCGGTGTGCACGACAACTTCGAAACCAGCCCTTTCGACCCTTCAAGCAACATATGGATAGGCTATCTTGACGAGCCCGAGAAACCTTACCGTCACTTCATCAGCCTCGAAGATCTCGTCGACGAAGCTCAGGACAACTACGAAAATGGCTACAAGGACAGATTTCCTCGCTATCTGATCACCTTCGATGGCCGCGCTGGTTACAGCGTCCCTGTTCACGAAGAACTCATGTTCAGCGCTCAGTGTTCTGCTTGTAAGGGCAAGAGGAACTGCGATCGTGTTTTGATGCAGTACTTTCCCATCAAAGTCTGGGACTATTCTCATGGCAGAAAGACCAACATCTTTGTGAGTACTACTAACTATCTGATATTGCCTGCAGCTGACATTAACTGTGTANNGCTCTGCGCGCTGGTCTTCAAGATCAAAGGTCAGAACATGCTCGCACTCCTGAAGCATCATTCCCAGGGCAAGTATGGCTTCCAAGAAACCAGTGGCCAAGTCTCAAAAAGCATGACTGTCGAATTTGCTAAGCCTAAAGTCGGCGTTGTTGATGAGCAAGTTCTTGACCAGAGCAAGGCATGTATAGGTAACAACAGCTCCACCTATCATGACCTGCTAACCTTATAGCAGGCCAATACTACAGATGCTACGGATCTCACCTCACAGAACACGGCGGCAACAAGTCACTACGCTAAGTCACGCAACCGACCCATGGTCATCGATCTTACCAGTGATGATGAAGATGACGTTTCGACCGTCAAGAACGAGCGTAGAAACACTTCGCAGGATACACCAACCTTCACACCCGTCACACAGCAACCTGAGAGCCATCCACCACAGATCGACTTGGCCCCACAAGTTGATCTGTTGAAGGAGTTTGGTAGTATGATGGCCGTCATGGTAGCAGACTTCGGCATCGATGCTCTGGCCCAGCCCGAAGCTAGACGACTGAGACTATCTATGGGAGAAGCCGCAAAATCAGGCAACCAGGCCTTGCTCCACCAACACTTTGGAGCACTCCATGCTGTATTGCAGGCTGCACAGTAGGACTGGTCACATTCTGTACACGATGACAAGAACATGGATTGAAGAACATGAATTGCTGTAATGACTACCTAGATCAAGAATCACGAGAGTCTCCACTCTAATAATAGTATGTCTCGTATCAATGGTAACAAAACACCCAACCAAATTCCACCGTGTTACAGCCTGGTGTCCGTCATCCGGATGATATAGAACAGAATATGACAAGGAGGTTTTTCCATGAGAGCTCATGACATTGATGGGTAGGCCAACCACATACTCACTCACTCACTCACCCTTATATACCAGCATCACTGCCACCCTCCCACCTACCACCATCGCTTTACCGACAAGCGGTGGTTGGCCCAGCGGTCTTCGGTTCGATTCTCGGAGTCGGACTGTTAGAGCCATTATGGCTCTCATTCTGAAACGAAACCAGGGTATCTGGTGGCTTTCTCCCCGCTGATAGGCTTTCTTCGACTGAGCCTTGGTGGCGGGGATTTGTTTTGCTAGGTGGGTGGTCTGGAGGTGGGCTACTCTGGTTTTTTGCTGCTCCAAGTTTTGATTATCTAGTTTTTTGTAATTGCTTGTGTCCAATGTATGCAAGCTCCAAGATAGTGGCTTTTCATTCGCTCCAAATCATCGTCTTCACTTGCTTATGCTCTCGACACACTGACATTCCATTCAAGCCGTCTCCTTTACATCCTTGCCCATCTCTGGAACCCACACAACTCTATCCTTACCAAAGAACTCAATCTCCGGTTTCGGCAACTCAACCTCGCCAGCAAACAATCCATACTGCAAGCATCTATCATCCGGACTAGCAGCCTCAATAATACAAACCGGACTGCCACACTCGGTACACATAGTCCTGGTCATGGGTTTGCCACTTCCAGTATCTGGGTCTGAGTAAGATTTGTGCGTTAAGCCGGAGATGGAGACGTGTTGGTTGGGGATGATGAAGGCGTAGGAGGCTATGCCGCCTGAGCGACGTTTGCAGTTTGTGCAGTTGCAGCAGAGGGTTGAGAAGGAGGTCAGTGGTTTGTCGGATACGGTGACNNCTTGGGGGCTGTTAGAAGAGGTTTTGAAGCGTTTTGGCAGTATGTTTTTATTTACTTGGACTTTTCCACAGAGACAGCGGCCGGTTGTTTTGGTTGACATGTTACTTTGGAGTGTCCGATGGTGCTTGGTATGCAACGAACAGAAGATGAATCTTAGATATACAGAAGATTGGATAGGAACTGGGTCAAAGTTGATGTCTTGCTATGTGTTGGTTTCAAGGAAAGAATAAGAATACCTTGCATATGTTGTCGACCTTCAACTGCTATCACCTCTACGTCATCCAGGGTCCAAAAGCGCATGCAAATAGGGACACCCTGGTCATATGAAACCTTTGTCTATCATCGTGTCAAGGCTATCCTATGCGAATCCCTCTGTCACGCAATGCTGTGCTGAACTTCTCCTTGATGCTTGCATCCACATCCTTAGCCTTGATCAACTCAGCAGCCAAGAGAACAGCATTGTCCCTTTCCTTTTCCTTCAACCACTCTGGACGTGAGTCTTTGGCCTTTTCATCCTCTGCTCCTTGCGATGTTTGTCCGCCCAATCTAGAATTGAACAGTGTAAACAAGGCCTCATCCTCAGAGAAAGCATTGCCGACTTTGCTTGCTCCATCAGGAAGGCGAGCTGCGAGGTTTAAACCGAGCCATGCTTCGGCTTGGATGGCGATGATACCCGGTTCAGCTGCATGCTTGATACTGAAGATGAGTGGATCGAGAATCGAGGATGTGTTTACTGGTGTGTCGAATAGTGCCTTTGTGGCTTCTTCTTCTCCGCTCTCTATCTCTGACACTGTGGCCGAAGATGCCTGTAGGGTGCGGAAGAAGCTGACAGCAAGCCTTGACATCTCCAATTTGACTGAGGTGGAAGTGGTGCTTTGGTGGGTGGTGAGTAATGTACTCAGGAAGTCGTTGTTCGTGTCAGACAGGATTGCTACCAATCTCGATTTCATGTTTGCAAGAATTTGACGCGTAAGTGCAAGACCATCCATCTGAACTTGTTCTAGTGTGATGTCTGTATAGAGATGTCTGGTTGATCTCAGATACTCGGCGTCTGCAAAGTAGCGCTCGCGATTATGCATCGGTGTTGCTAGATGGCGTAGTAGTCCAGAAGCCGCATTGAGGAAGGCAGAATCGTTGGATCGACCTAGTTCAGCAAAGATGTCCTTTATCGGTACGTGAGGTGCTATTGAGATAGCCGCTTCATCGGATATGATAAGGTTTCCTAGAATCAGACAGGCTGCCGGCGCGATAGGTGATCGTGATGTAGGATCTGCTGTCGTGGGAATCGTTTGCAAGTATAGAGATTGTATGAAAGCGCCATTTGTGTTATACTTTTCGTTGTAGAGCGGCAAGGCAGTCATATCGGCCAACCCTTGTGATAGTACGAGCTGGAACTGCAGATACTGCTTTTCGTCATAATCTTCCTCATCCTCTGCTTCGCGGTCGTTCAGCATCCTGTGTTCGGTACGCTTGAGCAGTTTCCAGACATGTTCGATTTGTTTGTGTTCCACAAGAGCCTGAACGAAATTCTTGTCCAGAAGATGAGCAGATACTAGTGTCAACGCATCTAGAAAAGCGGTTGCATCAACTTCCGTAAGAGGCAGTCTCAGCAATCGAGGTGCAGTGACCTCAAAGTCAGGGTACTCAGCCGAGGGCTTCAGTTTCTGCTTGTGCTCGACTATCATACATGTGAGATCCAGGGCCAGGCTCCAGATACCATCGTCAGTCGAGAAGCGTGTGTCGAGGCAGTAGATCAGAGATTGATGGACGTTTTGCATGAAACACTCTTCTTGAGCAGNGAGCTAGAAAGATCAATATCTGGATTTACCTGCCTTTTGATCGTCGAACTTACTGTAGTCAGTGCATAAGTTGAAGATGACTTTGGTGGTGGTGTCTGCCAATGCTATGGCCTCAGGAGAAGTCGAGGTGGATATCAAGAACGAGTTCAAAGTCTTCAAATATGTTGGATCCGCAACTAATTCAGATCTACGAGAGTNCTTCGTGCAAAGAATAAAACAATCAGCATCCTTGAATTCATACATTTGAGTCCTCCTCTTACCATTGTCGGCGATCATGTTGCCGATGCAGCGAAGCAGATTTCTCCATAACGTCGGATCGGACGATTCTTGCTCGCTACTCACAGCAAGGCCAGAAAACAACGAAAGCAACTGCTGGAACGAGACATTTTGCATTCGTGATCTCAAGACAGGGTCAGCACTAGAATCGGCGAGGATTTGAAGTGCTTTTGCAATATTGCTCAAGCTAGGACGCTCATCAGCATCCAGCACAGACTGGGCCCATTCGAAGTCGGACATCACATCGATTTTCAAATTCGATAAGATATCAGAACGTATATCCAAGAGTCAAGAGAGCGAGTTGACTGATGTAAAATTAGGAGTGACACCGAAGAGCGCCAAGACAGAATCAGGGCGGCGCTCTGCAACCCCGGACTTTCAGCAGATCAAGGGAGAGCTCGACGAGAGCGACAACAGCAACGTTGACTCTCCCCTTCTTCGAGTCTATACAAACACAATCAGCCAAAATGACAAGGGCCACACAAACAATTTCCATTTTCCTTCTTGTTTCCTCCGTACGTTTAGAATCACGAACGGTCGTGTGCACAAGACTGATGCGATGCCTTACANNGCTCTACCTGGCCCTCTTCCTTGGCTTGATCCCCTTGCCAACAAAGATTCAGGAGGACATCATCCCCTACGTACGCTTTGTCCAATCTTTCGTAACAGTCACGACTGGTCAGACACTGACTATGATTTTCAGNCTTCCCTTCTGGGCCCTCATCTCGTTCGGCGCATACCTCCTGGGCAAGCTCGGCTACAATGTCATGACCTTCCACGATGTCCCAGAAGCTCACAAAGAGCTCATGGCCGAGATTGAGGTCGCTCGTGCAGATCTGAAGAAGATGGGCGTCGAAGTGGACTAGATGCCACATTTGATAAGTGGTTCAGTCAGGCGTCGCTGGGTGTAACAGCTGGGACCAATGTCACAGGGGTTCAAGAGGGCGTTACAAGGGGAAAAAGCAATGTACACATACTCGTCCGCCGAGGCTTAGGTGGTTCTATCAAACATGCCTACAAACTTCAACCTGCTCGCAAGCTCGCCAATCTCTTGGTGCGAGGTCTCTCTACNNCCTCACAGATAGGACAGTCATCGTCGTTCTCTGGATGTCCACCAATCTCACGCTGCCACTCCACTTCTCTCTGCTTGGCCAGTTGTTCACGTCTGGCAGCCAAGTATGTCTTGTGGTCAGGAGGGCTGGCATCCATGATGGTGCTGAGCCCTGCATACTTGATTTGTCCACTTTGTTCGTCAATGACAGCGTGCGATCTAGGATATCTCTCCCATCTTTGTTTAGCAAGGACGATCGAGTCCCGTGTGCAAGACAGCTGGGGGTCAACCGTTGGCAAATCTTCACCAAAGCGATGGCGTACAAGCTCGAGACTATCCTTATGCGAGGGTAGAAGTCGATCGTAAATAGTACTGGCGCTACTGGGTATGCTGGGACCCGAATGCTTAAGAGCTGGCTTGAGATGTGGTGATACTCGGGCGCTCTGCGTTGAAGATTGAGGCTCACTTCGTACCATCACTCCTGGCGTTGTAGCAGGCGATGAGCTACCCGAATGACTGTGTCTGGCCGAGTATCTTCCGCGACCCTTCTTTGGCGTATTACTTGTTGCACAGGTGTTAGGTGAGACAGCTGCGACCTCGTCAGGGCTGGACGAAGGTTCTGGACTCCGCCTTTCGCTACGTTTTGCGCCGGCTTTCCTCGTGCGGGACATGGTGGAGAGCTTTCTTTTGACTGCTTCCAGGGCGATCTCACCTCTGGATCCCAATGAGCTTCTTGTGTTCGCACCTGAGCTGGATGCACTGCTCGATGGGCCCGACCTATCACCAGCGCCTGCCGTGACTCTGTCGTCATATGGTGTTGCGTACGCGCTGTTACTGGACGTGGAACTTGCGGCCTGACTTCGAGACAATCGCGAGATATCCTCAAGTTGCTCCTCGCTATCGTTGTTGTCAACAGGCGTTGTGCAAAAGTCGAAACGTATGGGACTGCCAGCGACGTGTGCATTGATGATCGGGCTATAAGCTGGTTTGGAGTAGAGCCCTGATACCGACGATGTGCGATAAAACTTGGCCGAAGTGGGCCTTTCCTGAGGTATCGGCGAGGCATCCGAAATTGAATGTGACTTTGTATGCCTGAAGGAGAAGATCGGATCCTTTGCATCGTCCACGTCGTCATTATCGTCTTGAGACACCTGCGGAAGCTCTTCAGTTGGTGTAGAGTCATCGTTGTAGGTCACCATTTCTACATCCATGCCGTAAAAGTCTTGGTCCTCTTCATGGCTGTTGAGAGAAATCTCGTCTAGATTCTGCGTTGCTTTGGATGGAGTGTCTTCGGTTTCCTCGAACGAGATCAGATCGGGTGATACCTCTTCGACGTTCGGCTGTCCTGACTCGGTTGGCTCTCGAACCAAGGCAGTTGTGGACGGGATTCGAATGCCTGGAGGCGCAGTGTTGGACCTTCGTGGAGCAAGATCCTCAGGCCTAGGCTCGATGAAATGTATCTTTCTCTTGCGGGGCGTTGTCGGAGCACTTGGTGAACAGACAAGCCTTTGAAAGCCGTCCCACTCGCCTTTGATCTTTAGTTCCATTTCTGCATTTTGCGACAATCCAGACTCACCATCATCCTCCGGCTTGTTCTCTCCAACAGATGACCGGGGTTCGAAGTCGAAAGCGGTAGCAGGTGCGGCTGTGACACTGTCTCTTCTTGATCTACGATATGTATCCATGATGAGGACTAACTCCTCGGACAGTCTACGGGGTCCCAGAGCGTAGATAGCAAAAGGCTGCAATCGATGAATCAGAGGTATGGTGTAGAGACCTTGAGTTGAGGTGGCGATCAAGGCAGATGAGCGATTGTATTTAGGGATGATCGAAAACAGATAGCAATGAGGACGGGGGCAGAGAGGAGCCGTGGGGAAGGTCAAGTAGAGGGGATATGTCGGTAGCGATTGGGATGGTAAAAGTCAGAAGCCGCGTACGTGCTACCGGCATGCAGTTCTCCATCGTCGCACCTACCTTTCGACTTTTATTGTGCTACTTCGATGAACGCCTTCCCGAGATGGAAAGAGCAAGACCACAGCTCTTTTTGACAGTTGCATTGCGCCTCTCCAGCAACCATCGCAGTCCGACGACGCATATCGTGTGGCATGGAATCTTGGGCAACATCTACACGGCAAGGATCATCAGATGTCTGCATAACCACAGTTCAATCCGTCGAGCCTCCAATGTAGGGTGACAAATGTCACGTACAGGATCATCGTTCGTGGACAGGAGTTCGTGAAGGTTGGCTGAAGGGCGGAGAAATGGGAGAGCATCTGCCCCTCCATTGCATCATCCGAGGCCCCGTTCCTGACTGCCATCCGCATCATACTTCGTGAACAGTGACATTAAGAACAATTCAATCCCATCTTCTAATTTTCAATCTTCTCTACCAACCTCCAATCACAGTAACAATGAGTGGTGAAAGCAAAACCATTCTGGCCTTTGATGCCTACGGCACACTTCTGTCCACCGAGTCCATTGCTAAGAAGCTCGCCTCACATTTCGGACAAGAAAAGGCCCAGACAATTGCAACTACATGGCGCAAATACCAATTGGAATACACATGGCGTCTGAACAGCATGAGTATGCAAGCCAAACCCTAGTCTGAATATCCAACTTACGCCACACACAGANNTCAATACGAGNNGGACTTTAGCAAGCTTACACTGCGTTCGCTGCGGCACGCATTGGCCGAATCTTCTGTCTCACTCGAGCAAAAAGACATCGATGATTTGATGAAGGCTTATGACTCGCTGTCCATCTTCCCCGATGTGGCGCCAGCCNNCCTCGAGGCGATCTCCAAGCGCGAGGACTTCTTCCCAGTGGTGTTCTCGAACGGTACAAACACAATGGTTTCCAATTCGGTCAACAAGTCACCAGATCTTTCGAAGCATGCATCGGTGTTCAAGGACATTGTTGTGGTCGAAGAGCCAAAGCGATTCAAGCCTGCACCGGAAACATACGCTCACCTTGCCAAATCAGTCGGAAAGGATCCCAATAACAAAGGGGATATGGCGAGTATGTGGCTGATCAGCGGCAACCCATTTGACATTACAGGTGCTCGCGCGGTAGGAATGCAGGCATGCTGGGTGGACAGAGCAGGCAATGGATGGCAGGATGGTCTCATCGAAGGCGAGCTCGGAAGACCAACTGCAATTGTCAAAAGTCTGGAGGAGGTACCCAGCGCTGTCGGAGGAGTCCTGCCCGTGCAGTAAATGATGTGTTGCTGTACTGAACAAAATCATAAATCCTCAACTTCAAACGTGCTTCAACAAAGTCGCAGTGGTTTAGTGGTAAAATTCGTGCTTGCCATGCACGAGCCCCGTGTTCGATTCACGGCTGCGACATCGTTTTGCCAGATGGACGAGAGTCTATGAACCTTTGCTCTACCTTGAATGAGCCGGGGATCAACATCTCCCAGTTCATGATGGGCAACACTATAGCCATAAAAATGCACAATCGAATCCAGAACTCGACCACTTCCAGTGAGACCTCTCCCTGCCGCTGTCTCTCAGTGGAACTCCTCCAGAACCGTAGATTATTGTGCATTTTTACAGTATGGTTATGGACCACTAAGGAGCTCGGGGATGCAGTATATGGGATGGTAGCCTCGTACATGTACTGGCACTCACCTACCCTCTTGTCTCTCCCGATGACGAGTGAGGTGTTGGAGAAGCTATAAAAATGCAAAAAGTAATCCCAATCGTATGCGTTTCCAGTGAGAGGCCTCACTTTACAACACATGTCAATTCGCACTCCTTCTCATAGAGCAGATGCCATTTACTTGCCAGCAGATTGTTATTGCAGACCAGCAGAAAACATTCGCAAAAGCAGATGCCAAATCATGTCTTGACATTGACCGCAAATGTAAGAGCAGATACATGGCAGCGCGAGCAGGTGCGAAAGCACCAGAGCAGGTGAAGACACACCAAATCCCGTGCAAAGCAGAGCCTCAAATTGTGAGTGAGACGTAAATTCTCAACAGCACATTGAAAATGAGAACAGCAGGCAACAGATGCATGCTCATGCTTAGAGTTGCAGTCAGGAGTGTCGATCGTGCACCTGTCCCTGAAAGAAGCGCAGATGCAGATTTTTCTGTCTCATCCAAATATTTCCTTGATCCTCATCGATTCTGAAGATTTCGGGGTAAGCAGACGAATGTCAATCTATTCCCTTTTTCCCCCCTCGCTCGCAACAGAGAACAGCACGGCGTTGGTGAATAAAGGGAAATCAGTTTTTATGTATCCGGACAAAAGAGGGCGTAGGGGAGGGTTGAAATTTATACCTGAGCGACGAGGGACGCACAGACCAGAAGCAACAAGCGCCGCCAAGGACAGATGACTGCTGGTCAGCAAATTCCAGTCGGAGATCGAGTGAGGGTCAGCGGAATCAGAGCCCAAAGTAATTTTGCTTCGTCACAACCACAACAAAACTTTGTCGCGACTTTTGGGGACAGCGCAACCGTCAGAACAAAGGATCTCCACCAGGAACACAAGAGCCTACGCCGCAAGGTCAATCAAGAAATCCACACAAACCAACAACCTTCACAACTGCAACCATGGCTACTAGAGGTAGAGGCGGCAAGTTCATGAAGCCCAAGCGAGGTGGTAAGTGACAATTCCATGGTGTCTGACATGCGACGAATCTGACGACCTTCACAGGCGGCAAGCACTTCAGCAGAGATCTCCGTCCCGTTGACGCCGAGGGTGCTGAGAAGAGCATGTGGGCATCAGACTCAGAGAACTCTTCGTCTGAGGAGGAATCGTCTTCAGAAGAGGAGTCGAGCGAGGAGGAGGCACCTAAGCCCGCCGAGCAGGAGATGACCCGTGAGCAAAGACGTGAGGCAGCCAAGGCACGCAAGGCTGCAGCCATCGCAAAGAAGAAGGGACCCGTTCAGGTCGGAGACATGCCCTCAGGAAGCGAGTCGGAATCATCAGACGACGACGACATGCCCGCAAACCCCAACCACACCGCAAAGGCCGCCAAGATGGCCGCAAAGCCCGTAGTTGCTGGATCGGAGGATGAGGCACCCAAGAAGAAGTCAAACAAGCCTACCGACATGTCGCAACTGTCCAGAAGAGAGCGCGAGGCGCTGCAAGCACAACAAGCCAAGCAGAGATACGAGAAGCTGCACGCCGAGGGCAAGACGGAACAAGCCAGAAACGATCTGGAGAGACTGCAGCTGGTCAGACAACGCAGAGAGGAAGAGTCAGCACGCAAGGCAGCTGAAAAGGCCGAGAGAGAGGAGCACGAGAAGGAGAAGGCTGAGCAGCTGGCCCGTATGGAGAGACAGAGAGCAGCAGCGGCAGCCAAGAAGGCCCGCGGCAACAAGAAGAAGTAGACGGCATTGCTTTAATGACTTGATGAGCGAGGAGCGAGTTGAGGATTGCCGAAGCAAGGCTATCAGAGCAGGACACCAGAAAGTGTTTTGAGATTTTGTGCATAGCATATGGTAGCTTACGACACGGTTGCTCCTACTGTCTGTTCTAATGCTCGTGTGATGTGTTTGTGATGCAGGTCGAGTACTCGGTACGGAGATAAAATAAGGTGGAGCAACCCCGGAGGAGAGACGCCGCCGCAATTGCATGTGCTCCAAGAAGTTTTCGGGACAGCCTCACAGTGCGACCTTCGCGAACGTGACCTTGTAGAGGCAAAAGAATACGGCATGCGCAGGTCCAAGTTGTTGAGGGCAAGTCAAGGCAATTGAACATGCGAGAAATCTTACTGACCATAGTACACAGGCGTCCTCGAGTCAAAGCCTCTGCAGCTTTTGCGCTGATCGCATACACCCTCATGCCCTTCAAACGAGTATAATCAGGAGTAATGCATTCCATTCGACTGCCAGCCAGGGCCAGGATCCCAACGACCCTTTCTCATCCTTCGAAATCCCCGATGCCGCGCTAGAAGCTCAAAAGGTCTTGCAAGCGGCGAAACGCCAAAGAGAAGAACAAGAGGCTGCTCGACGCAGGCAAGTCGAAGAGGCGAACGAGAGACTCGCATCTCAGAAGCTGTTTGGAAATGCGTCCCGGAAGACACCCCAGGCGCAGCAGGGTCAGCAAAAGCAACCACAACAGGCACAGCAGCCCAAGCAGGCACAGAGACCTAAGCCGCAACACACTCCACAAAAAGCTCTCAGTAACTCACACCAGCCCCCCTCAAAGGCAGCAAAAGCCCAATCAGTACAACCAAAAACCGAATCCNNAGTAGATCCGGCTGCTAATCGACCTCTGAATCGTGTCCAAACTGCTCGGCGCGAAGGACGACAACAACACGCAAAGATCTCGCATGACGACTTTCTACAAAATCTTGATGTGAAGAAGTCGGAGAATGTCATGCCTAATATGGATAGTCTACCTATGAGCCCGAGGCACACGCGGAGCAACCAACCTGTATCAGAGCCTGCCCCGAGACCCCAATTCAAAACCGAGCCGAACGCTCCTGCGAAGCCTACAATTAAGGCTCCATCCTGGATGTCTGCCACTCCCACTTGCCAGCCAGCCACTTCCTCAAGTATCGTCCCAGCCTCAGCCACGCAAACGCCTTCGTCACAATCTTTCGACGATCCTGTCTCGGGAGCGTCGCAACCTTCTGAGGATTATGAAGACATCTTCTCGGCTGATCTGGAGCAGGCAAGGAAGGCTATGGAACCCGTCTCCGCTCCGCCAGTCAAAGTGCGATATTCACTGCACAGTTCGGATTTCGTACCACCGGATAATACTGAAAGACGAGAAACGTCCAGAGATCGTGCCTTAAGCAATTGGCAGCGAGGCGAGGATACCCAACGACAAAGAAATGTGGAGGGCCAGCAGGGAGAAGAACCGCGCGCACCTCGAAACAACAACTTTACCGACCTTGCAACCTCCTTCATAAGCCAGCGCCCAGGGCCTACAACATCTGCAGCACCACCACCACCGCAATCTACATCGTCATTATCACAGGAGACTGGCGGATTATCGCAAGAGGAGGAGAGTATGCTCCAAGCATTATTAGCTCGCAAGAACAAGTTATCGGCAACGCCCTCGACATCACCTCTAGAATCTTTGTTTGATGAGCAAGACCAGCGGACAAGACGTGCTCTCGTTGACGAATCGAAAAAGCGCGTCCAAGAAGAACAGGTCAGAAAGACTGAGGAAGATCGTTCTCGTGGACCTCGCTTCTCCACCAAGATGATTAATAATCGCGAGGAGCCAGATGAGACGCCATTCGAAAACGCTCAAACCTGGAGTATCTTGAAATCGCGACGACAGCCGTCACAATCGAGGCAGCAGGAGCAGGAGAGTGATAACAGAGGCAACCAAAGATTCTCGGGTATCTCAGCTGGAGATATTGATGCAAGATTCGAAGAGTACAGGCAAAGGCGACCAAGATTGGGTGGTTTCAACATCGAGTCCTTGAATGTCGAAAATAGACCTGCCGCTCGTCTTCGTCCGGGTCAGACTTGTGTCAGATGCGGTCAGCCGGGTCACGTCTTCCGTAATTGCCCTAATCCACCCAAGCCTGGCTGGGTTGAACGAGCTCCAGGTGAAAAGCCAGTTCGTGGTGAGCGAGTTGATCGCAATGCGACACGAGGCGACAGAGACGTACGACGACCCAGAGAAACCAGAAGCGCCGGAAGAGATATGGCTGCTGCATATGGGGTCTCGGCAGCCCAAGAAGCCTCTGAAGAACCTGAAGAGCTGGATCCCGCTGAGGTGGAAGCAGCCAGGAAATTAGCGGAGCGCAATGCTCGCAGAGCATCTCGTTTCGTTGAAGAAGATGATGAAGCTGATGCGCCCAAGCCTGCGCCCGTCAAGGGCCGCCGCAGCCGCTTCGACGAAGTAGACGAAGAGGATGATGACAAGCCTCGTAGAGGTCGCCGCAACCGATTCGACGATGATGACGATGTGGAAGGTGACTTCGGCGCTATGCGCAACAACCGCGACGAACGTAANGAAGGCTCGCCAGGCGAAGAAGGAAAAGGCAGCAAGGAGGCTGCACGTCAAGCTGCAAGACAGGCAAGACGTGCAGAGGCCGTGACTCCCATCAACCTACCAGAATTCGTCAGTGTGTCGAAACTTGCACAGTTGACCAACGTGACATACCAAGAAATGGCCGACAAGATGGAGGAACTTGGTTTCGAAAACACATCGCACGACCACATCCTTGGTGCCGAAGAGGCAGGTCTGATTGCTATGGAATACAACTTCGACCCTACTCTTGGTGCCCAAGAAGAAGCAGAGGCGGAGGAGCGTGACTTGAAGGCTCTGCCCGAGCCTGCACCCGAGGACAAAGAGTTCTTGCCTGTCAGACCTCCTGTCGTTGCGATCATGGGACACGTCGATCACGGAAAGACCACTATCCTCGATTACCTTCGCAAGTCTTCGATCGCAGCTTCCGAGCACGGAGGTATCACACAACACATTGGTGCCTTCAGCGTCGCTCTTTCAAGTGGCAAGACCATCACCTTCCTTGACACACCTGGGCATGCAGCTTTCCTTGAGATGCGCAAGCGTGGTGCTACTGTGACCGACATCATCATCTTGGTCGTTGCAGCTGACGATTCAGTCAAGCCGCAAACTATTGAGGCCATCAAGCACGCTCAGTCTGCCCATGTGCCCATCATCGTTGCTGTCAACAAGATTGACAAGGAAGAAGCCAACGTCGAACGTGTCAAGGGAGATCTGGCTCGTCATGGAGTTGAGATCGAAGACTTTGGTGGCGAGACTCAGGTCGTGCCTGTCAGTGGAAAGACTGGCCAAGGTATTGATGAGCTCGAAGATGCAGCAGTCACTCTCTCTGAAATCTTGGACCACCGTGCCGACACCGAGGGTCAAGTTGAGGGTTGGGTTATCGAGGCCACGACTAAGCCAAGTGGTCGTGTAGCCACTGTGCTTGTCCGTCGCGGTACATTGAAGCCCGGCACCATCATCGTGGCAGGCAAGACCTGGGCTCGTGTCCGCAGTCTCCGCAATGAGGCGGGTGTAGCCCAGATGTCTGCCGGTCCTGGTACCCCCATCGAAGTAGACGGCTGGCGCGACCAACCCGAAGCGGGTGATGAAGTCCTACAGGCACCCAACGAACAGAAGGCCGCCGATGTAGTCGCCTTCCGTGACGAAAAGGCCGAGCGCATCCGCATGGCCGAAGACATGGAGAAAATCAACGCCCAACGCCGCGAACAGCAGATCCAACGCNNGACTTGACAAAGGGAAGCCGCCGCAGCCGAAAAGGCCGCAGAGAAAGCAGCCAGAGCAGGAGGCACCGACGTCGAGCCCACAGCAACCCGCAAGACAGCTGTCGATGCCGACGAGAACGAGACCCCTGGTCATCAAACCGTGCCTTTCATCATCAAGGCCGATGTTAGTGGTAGTGCAGAGGCTGTCTCTGCTTACCTACTCCAAATGACCAACCCCCTGTGCTCGCCAAAATTGCTTCGCGCCTCTGTGGGCCCAGTTTCCGAGTTTGACATTGAGCACGCCGATGCAGCAGGAGGCCATATCATCTCCTTCAACCTCCCTCACGATCCCGAAAGCGCTGGCCGTGCTGAACGCAAGGGCATCAAGATCCTCGAGCAAAACGTCATTTACCGCATCGTTGATGATGTTCGTGCAGTCCTCGAAGAAAAACTACCACCGCAAAAGATCCAGAAGGTAACTGGTGAGGCTGAAGTAGCCATGAGTTTCGAAATCGGTATTGGTGGACGCAAGAAGATGAAGATTGCAGGTTTGAAGGTCAGAAACGGTGTTGTGGCTAGAGGATCGAGGGTCAGAGTTACCAGAGGTGAGGAGAGGGTATACGATGGTAAGTCTTTTGTCTTCTCCCCTTTTCAGAATATCTTACTGATTTCGACAAACAGGTACCGTTACCAGTCTCAAGAACGTCAAAAGGACGTTCAAGAGATGCGCAGAGGCACAGAGTGCGGTATGGGCTTCGACGGCTGGGAAGGCTTCGAAGTCGGCGATATGATCCAGACTTTTGAGGAGAAGACGCAAAAGCGTAATCTGCCGATCTAAGGGGTGTATTTGTAGGTTGGTGTTGTAAGAGTATTAGAGATGGAGGCCATACTTTGTGCATATGTAAAGGTTAGAAAGCATGGCATGGCATGTACAGCGGCGTTTGTTTTTTCTTGTTGTAAAGACTAGCACTCCGACTCTTTGGATGTTTACTGTATATAGCCTCTCTCTGTACTAAAGTCTCCAATTTGCACAGTACTCTGACTACAGCTAGGAGCAGAAGGAGGAGGCTGCCTAAGGTTGTGTAAGCATTGACCGTTGGACTAAGACTGCTACAGCACGATACAGAAGCACTTGGACATGGCGTGTTGATATGGAAAGGAGGAAAAGGCTTTTGTTTGAGAATTGTACATGGTCTCAATCATACAGACTTGCGCAAATCGGCGCCAGCCCATAGAACAGGAGCAAAGTGTTTTGGCAGATTCAGACCAAACAAGCTGATAATCCAGAAAATGGCAAAGGCGACGACAGGGGTCAAGAGCAGCTGGGTATGATGTAAGAAGGGAAGGGCATTGTAGCCGAGGAAGGTGACGACGAAATAGTAGCCAAACGCGACCAGGTACAGGAGGTTTCCGAAGAAGAGCGAGACCCAGTAGTCGCGTGAGATGACGGGCATGAGTAGAAACTGGACAACGTACAGCCAGACCCAGACTGGGAAGAAGGCACGAATCGAAACGTCAAAGCAGTATCCGAACTCGAGTTGCTCGGCAACATCGTTCCCTGGTGGACCAAACAATCCAGCTCTTTTGTTTCTGCCTGGCAGACCTTTGACACCAGGACCCAGTAGTTTTCCGACGAGGAAGTAGGCGGCGGTAGAGACGAGTAGCGAGGTAAGGAGGAAGTGGCCGAAGATGAAGACGAGAGTGATGCGTAATGTTTTGTTGAAGCCGTCGGCGTAGGCTAGACCCCAAGACAGAGCAGTCAGGAGCAAAAAGAAGGAGAGCAGGTAGGTGAAGGATGGATCTGCTCTGTGCCATGTGTTGCGAGTTTGTTTGTGATAGTAGAGCTGGCGGAAGACCTTCTTGGGAGCGATGATCAGACTCGTCATCTCCCAGACGGCCATCTCGAAATCCATTTGCGGGAACTTGAATAGGCGTCTGAAGAATCGAGGCATGCGGATGCGGCCATCTTTCCGCCGTGACGACGAGGGGACTGGACCAAAGGACGAGACGTTCGAGTTGTTTCTCGGGAGCGTGATTGTCGGATTCATGTTGCGATCAGAGGATGATACGAGTAGTCGCACGAGGGCAAAGAGTCGAGATGGCCGGGTCAGTCAACAAGCTCAAAGACGGTCCAGGGCAGCGCATCCTTTGATGTCACCACCGTCACAATGCAAGTGCGGGTATACCCGGCGCTAGCGCTGACTGGCGGGAGCAGAGCAGCCTCGGAGCTCTGGCGTCTGGCGTCTTGCGCAAAGTCGTCCAAACTTCACATCCATCTCTGCTTCTGTTCACTGTCGCATTTCTCGTCATCCTTTCGGCTGCCTGTTTGCTCGTGTTTTCTTCTACCTTCTAGTGCTGTACCTCTCACACAACCACGTCTAACATTCCAAGCTCGGTCAAGAACTCTTACGTGCACACGACATTCGACTTGATCTGTTCCCCGCGCGTCGTCTACCTCGTTGCTCGCGTTCCGCCGCAATCATGGCCGACATGAGTGCTGAAGACGCTTTCCTCGCCTCCATGAGCGCTGCCGAGTACGATCCCGCCTCCTACGACCCCGCCGCCCAGCTTCCCGCCGAAGACCAGGAAGAGGGAAGAAGAGGATGACGAAGATTATGACCCTTCCAGCTTCATGCCCGACCAGCCTCAGCAGCCTCAGCCCTCGGCCGACCCACAGCCCGCCGCTGTCGCATCTCAGCCTCCATCCCAGATTCCTTCTCGCACTGCCTCGCGCATGTCCGAGGCCACGACCTCGCAGAAGCCAAAGACTATTGGTGGCTTCATTGAAGAAGATGATGACGAAGACGAGGAAGAGCAAGAGCAAGGCACAGGCACAAACGGTTCGCTCGCCCAGACTCCTGTGCAGCAGCAACAGAATGTACAAGCCGTATATAACCCTCCTCCTACTGATCTACTTGAACAAGACCATGCCCCTTCTGCTATTCCCACACAAGGTGCTTCTGTCCAAGCTCACGCCCTGCCGCAGGCCAGTGCTCCTGTTCCTTCTGCCAACATCTCTTCTTCATCTTCTGCTGCCCAAACAAAGCCTCGCTTGCCTCAGGACCGTGTTGGTCAGTTGGAGGACAGAATCGCCGATGACCCCAAGGGTGATGTTGACGCTTGGCTTGACTTGATTGCTTTGCACAGATCCAAGAACAAGCTCGACGATGCTCGTAACGTTTACGATCGCTTCTTCGAGGTCTTTCCTACTGCTGTGAGTTCCTCTCCTTCTGTCCTCTCCCGTTGCAACAGTCCCAGCTAACGAGTCTCGAGNGCCGAACAATGGGTTGCATACGCCCTCATGGAGCAAGACCAGGACGACTTCCTTCGCTTGGAGAACATTTTCAACATGGCTCTTCTCAAGAATTACAATGTACAGCTCTGGGGCATTTACCTCGACTACATCAGACGTCGCAACAATGTCATGACCGACACAACAGGCCAGGCTCGCCAGACTATTACTCAGGCGTACGACTTTGCGCTCAACTTGATCGGCAATGACAAAGACTCTGGAAACATGTGGCAGGACTACATCAACTTCATCAAGTCAGGTCCCGGTAACCCTGGTGGCAACGGCTGGCAAGACGCTCAGAAGATGGACCTCTTGCGCAAGGCTTACCAGCGTGCCATCACCGTTCCCATGCAAGCCACCACCACTTTGTGGAAGGAGTACGATTCATTCGAGATGGGCCTCAACAAGATGACTGTAAGTTACAGAGATACACCCTCTGACGGCACTCTGCTAACACCTTGACAGGGCCGCAAGTTCCTCCAAGAGAAGTCACCAGCTTACATGACCGCCCGCACCTCTTACAACATCCTCCAAAAGATCACCCAGGATCTAAAGCGTAGAACTGTTCCGACTTTGCCTCCTGCACCCGGCTGCGAGGGTGACGATGAGTACCAACAACAAGTCACCATCTGGCAAAACTGGGTTGAATGGGAAAAGGAGGACCCGTTAGTTCTGAAAGAGGAAGACATCAAGGCTTATCGCGACCGTGTTCTTTACGTCTACAGACAAGCCACCATGGCTCTTCGCTTCTGGCCCCAAATCTGGTACGATGCTGCCGAGTTCTGCTTCGACAATGATATGGAGACCGAAGCCAACGACTTCNNCCTCACCCAAAGGCGCCGCCATAACCCAGAGAGCTGTCTTCTCGCATTTACTCGTGCCGACCGTATTGAGCAGACTATGCCTGTCGAGGACGGCGAGGAGAGCCTCGTTCGCCGTGGTGACGCCGTCAAGGAGCCCTACGACAACTGTCTGAACGCATTGTACGCTCTGATTGACAAAATCAGAGCGCGCGAACCTAAAGCCATTGCTCAAATCAAAGAGTACTACGAATCGCTACCTCCGCTATCTCGCGAACCCACACCTGAAGCTAGAGACGATGAAGACGAAGATGAGTCGAAGGATAGACCTGCCGCGAACTCGAGAGAAGCCGAGGAGAAGAGACAGGTCGAGGAGGTGCAGAAGGACACTGCTGCTCAGATCAGATCTGTCTCGAAGACGCTATCGTTTGTCTGGATCGCCCTCATGCGTGCAATGCGCCGTATACAAGGAAAGGGCAAGCCTGATGCACCTGTAGGAGGACTTAGAAACGTCTTTGCTCTTGCAAGAAAGAGAGGTCGCATCACTAGCGATGTCTACGTGGCAACCGCACTCATCGAATACCACTGTTACAAGGACCCGGCAGCAACCAAGATTTTCGAACGTGGTATGAAGCTGTTCCCCGAGGACGAACTTTTCGCCATGGAATATCTCAAGCACCTGATCGCTACCAACGACGTCACAAGTAAGTTCGACCAGTCTGATTATGTGTTTTGGTACTGACGACTCTCNACAGACGCCCGTGCTGTCTTCGAGACCACTGTTTCCAAGCTCTCGGCTAAGCCGGAGAATGTCGCCAAAACCAAGCCTCTTTTCCTCTTTATCCACGAGTATGAGTCCAACTATGGCGAACTTGCCCAAATCACAAAGCTTGAGAAGCGTATGGCCGACCTCTTCCCTGAAGACCCTTCTCTTGTCCGCTTCGGTCACCGCTTCAGAATCCCTACCTTCGACCCTTGCACAGTCCGCATCATCATCAGCCCTAATGCCCAGACGAGATCCAAGGGCTCGGAATCAGCTATACCNAGCACTGAGGTTGAGCTGGTGCCCAACCCTGCCGTCCTGTCTGCTGTCACTGGCTACGTACAATCGCCCAAGCGTCCGCTCGACAACACAGACTCTGATGCCGAACAACCTGCACGCAAGCTCGCCCGTGGTGAGTCCCCGCTCAAGGGCGCGGCAGGCCGTCGTCAACAACAAAGACAACGCGCAGAAGGTTACGGCTCACAGGTAGTTGCTCCACCACCCAAGCCTCTTCCCAGAGATATTACTCTGTTGCTCAGCATGATTCCCAATGCTTCCACATATCCTGCTCAAGCAAGACTGAACCCTGAGAGCATGGTTGCTCTAATTAGAGGCATTGATCCTAGCAGAGCCATGATGCAGGGTGGTGGCTACGGTGGTGGCTACAACTACGGTCGCTGAAGTTGAGCAATCTTTCCATGAATCTCGAGACGCTCGCTATACAAATGCAGGAACTTGGACTGCCAAACGGAAGCATACTTGAAATTTGTCGATCAACGACAGAATGCGGGCTGCGGAATATTGCATTGCAGGGAGCATCTGGGCGTTGATTTGGGTTTCTATACGGCCACATGGGATCGGAGCAGAGAGGAGCACATAGTTGCTTGCCTTTTGCTGCTTTTTTGTCACACGTACCGCCGACTGTAATATATAAACGAAGAACAAGAGCAAATTTGACGAACTTGCATATACCGATCTATGAAACGCAAAATTCAATTGACCATGCTGCCATCACAGCGAAAAATGATACGAGACGACCGCTCATTGGCAGCGGCTCTGTGCAGACATGGCGGTTCGGCGACGCCATGCATCTCTACACTTTTTCCTTGCCGACCAACGACGTACAGCTCTCTGGCTTCTTCCAATGTATCCCGCAGCGAATGGATGCTGGTCTGGTGCTCAAAAGCGTACAATGCTCGCTGCTGAGGCTATGTCGGGCTGACAAGGCAAGCCCCTGGAGCTTGAGCGAAAATGGCTACGTCGATATCTGTCGCGACTTTCTTTGCCAACAAGTCAAACAAGAGAAGAACTAGCGACCTTTGATGCATCTGTTGCTCTTGCCCTTGATGCTTGCAACGCACATACCCGGCTCTTGTATGCTGCCACGAGCTGAAAGCATGACGCTGATGCCAAATCGTGGTTCTGGTCTGACAAGCTTGATGCTTGTTTCGGGTTTGTACCTCTTTCTGCCAGCTGCAAAGGTCTTGTGCTCGGTGGGTTTTGTGTTACCTGACTGCTCGAGCGGTTTTGAGACAGCCTTTGGTGACGAGCTCCTTCACGGATCTTTTGCAGAGTGTGCGCACAGCTCGAAGAGTTTGGGTACTGGCTTTGTTCGATTGCTGCCCTAATGATTCTCATGTCAGTATATGGGATCAATCTGATAGAGCAGGTAAGACTGTGAACTCATTGATGACGCTGTTTCCTGCAGTAAGGGACGCAAAGAAGATGCATGCTGGCTTGCTTGGTGTTTTCGACGCAGGGAAGGCGGCATCCACGGTTTGCACTGGCTTCAGATCTTGCTGCAACTTCTTCGCATCGACTGGACCCGTGTGCAGGGAGCGCGAGACGGTATCTGTTGGTTGCTAGCTTCTCGGCTTCCCACGCAGCAAGCTCCTTCTCTCAATTGCTTGCGTTTGTGCTGTCCACCGACATCCTTTCTGGTAGCCTTTTGCTCAACCACAAAAGCCTTTGCTCTGCGTCTACCAAACTCATCCTTTTTCTTTCTCTACCCCTCCGACCACTCCTTCATCAGCGCATCTGAAAGTCAGTCCGTTATCGACATTGGGTGCGCTTTGCTCAATTGCTTCGTGAGTCTTTGCTTGCGCGCAAACTTTCATGCTTACTCCTTCAACCATCTAACCATCACCACAGATCATCCTTCTCTACTCGATTGCTGTCCCGAGCATTTCTTTTGACACTGCCGGTACGTCTTTCTTTACTTTCTCCTTCTCGCTGTCTGCCCTTTCATCCCTCCATCTTGCATCCTAGCCAATCTCCCAGAAAGATCTTGATTGCAAACACCTTTTCATTGCCTTTCACCAATTGCTATCAATCTACTACCCTTTCAGAATCATCCTGCTCCGAGTGATCACTGTTTTCCTCGTTCAGTCGGAGCTTCCTGCCACTTCGGAGCGTGCTACTTACCAACTCTGAAGCTTCAGTTAACAACCCTCCTTCCTTACTACCACCATCAATCAGGTATGTTTGCTTCCTTTCAGATCACTGCTCAGTTGCTTTCATTCACAACTCCTTCCGTCCTCTCACATCAGTAGCAAACAACCCTTCCATTGCCTATATAAACCCTTCCCTCTTCCACCACCAACCACTTCCTCTACCACCCACTCCACTCTACATCTTCCTTCTTCAACATCTCCAACACTTATCTACCTTCTTCATCATCTACCATCACCTCATCTACTTCCCATACCAACACATCCCTTCAACAATCCACTGACGATCTCTGCGCCTCAGTCAAAGCAAGATCTTCCCTCACCAACTACAATCCAATATGCTCAGCACTTCGAAGCGCAACGCCCAGCGTGAGGGCCAGTCTGGTGGTGCCTCTTCTGCCACTCGGTCTGCTGCCCATCTTTCGCTTGCCCGCTTCGATGGTAACCGCGATCCCGTTCCTGCCGGTCCTGCCGCTCAGGTGATCCCTGGTATCTCCAACAACGTCAAGAACATCGATCTTGGCGGCACCATGTGGACCGACGCTCGCGGCGCTCGTCACGCCTTCCAGGGTCGCCAGCCTGCTTCCAAGCTCGGCAGAGAGGTCAACATTCAGTTGAACGCCTTCCCTGTCACTCGTCTCCCTGAGAAGCCCATCTACCAATATCAAGTTCAGGTCGGTACTGGTGCTGAGAAGCGCGGCTTGATCAGGGCTGTCTGGAACAGCAAGACCACCAAGGACAACCTCCCCGATGCAGGTGCACGCTGGATCTTTGATGGAAACAGTCTTGCCTGGTCTCTCGACAAATACAACGAGATCCGCTTCAACGTCGATCTCGACAAGGAGCCTGGTCACAAGGCTCGCCCTGGCCGTAGTGACACTCATCGCGTCGTCATCCAGCCTACCGCTGTCATTGACTTCACCCCTTTGAACGCTTACCTTAGCGGTACTGCTACTTACGACGCCAAGATCCTCCCGGCTATCACTGTACTTGATCACATTATGCGTGAGAGCCCTTCCAACTCCAACCGTTTCATCTCAATCAAGCGCTCCTTCTTCGCTGCGGCTTCTCAGCGCAACGCCCTTGGTGGTCATGTTGAACACACCACTGGTGTTTATCAGTCTCTCCGTATTGCACATCACCCTGGTGGTCACCGTCTTGTCGTCAATGCCGACGTGGCCAACGGAACCTTCTGGCAATCTGGTCCTCTCTCCAGAGCCGTTGTGGCTGTTACGAGACTCAACAACGAGTCTGAGATTCAGCGATTGCTCGCTCCCAACAACCCCAAGTTCTACGACCTTCGCCGTCTGAAGAAGCTTCGTGTCGTCGCCGCTCATCGCAAGGGCGCTGAGGACAAATACGTTATCGACTCTATCTTGAGACAGGACTCATCCCACCAATTGAGATTCAAGGACGGCAGCGTTCAGACTGTTGCCCAATTCTTCCAGACTACCCACAACATTCGCCTTAGTCATCCTAACTGGCCCGTTGTCCAGATGACTAAGAAGGCTGTCCTCCCTTTGGAACTTCTGAAGCTCGAGGACAACCAGCGCTACACCTTCAAGCTCGATGAGGTTCAGACCTCTTCCATGATCAAGAGGGCTGTCACTCCTCCCAGCACGCGTTGGGCCGCCATCAAGGCCGGTGTTGACATGATCAACTGGACCACGGACCCTGTTATCCAGGAGTTCGGCATGTCCATCGAGCAGAAACCTATCATTGCTAAGGCCCGTCTGTTGCAAAACCCCAAGCTGCAGTTCGGTGGTACTGGTGGCACCTCTCAGGCTGATCCCAAGACCAGTGGCCGTTGGGACCTCAAGGGCAAGAAGTTTGCATCTGTCCCTCCGACTAACTTTCTCGCAAGCCAAACCTGGGGAGTTTGCGTGGTGCCTGCCAGATTCCAGGCTGATAGGGCTGCGATTGAGAGGTTCGTCAAGACCTTTGTCCAAACCTATGGTGCTCACGGCGCATCGCTTCCTCCTACGATGATGAACCCTGCCATTCACTACCCTTCAAATGCCGATCCTGCTGTCTTTGCGCAGGAGACTTGGATTGCTGCCGGTAACAAGCATAAGCAGAAGCCTTCGATTCTCATGTTCATTCTCATGGACAAGAACAGCACTACATACGGCAAGATCAAGCGCTACTGCGAATGCAAGCTGGGTATCCCTTCCCAGTGCGTCCAGTACGCCCATGTCCAGAAGGCCCAGGCTCAGTACATCTCCAACGTCTTGATGAAGTTTAACGCCAAGTTGGGCGGTTTCACCAACACTGCTTTTGGCCAAGTGACTCAGAAGACCCCTATTCTCGACAACACCACTGTGGTGATTGGCGCCGATGTCTCCCACTCTGCTNNCCCCGGTCTGAAGGGCCCTTCCATGGCTGCCATGACTGTCTCGATGAACGTTCAGGCCACCCGCTACGCTGCTGCTGTCGAGACCAACGGTTTCCGTGTCGAGATGATCACCGATGAGAACATCGAGAAGCACATTATGACGCTTATCAAGCAGGGCTGGTGCAACAAGGTTGGCCAAGGTAGACCTCCTGCTACCGTTGTCTACTTCCGCGATGGTGTCTCTGAGGGCCAGTTCGCCCAAGTCATCGACAAGGAAGTCGCTGCCATGAAGAGAGCCTTCGCCAAGGGCAACGTTACTCCCAAGTTCTTGGTTATCATCGCATCCAAGCGCCACCACGTCCGTTTCTTCCCTCAGAGTGGTGGTGACAAGAACAACAACGCCCTTCCCGGCACTCTTGTCGAGACCGGAGTCACCCAGCCATACGAGAACGACTTCTACCTGTGCGCCCACGCTGCTATCAAGGGTACTGCTCGCCCTGTCCACTACAACGTTCTTCTGAACGAGCCCCAGTGGGCCAATGAGAAGATCCAGACTCTCATCTACGAGCACTCGTACCAGTACATCCGTGCCACTACCCCAGTCTCGATCTTCCCCGCTGTCTACTACGCCCACATCGCCTCTCTGCGTGGTGTTCACCACAGCAAGAGCTTCGGTGTCGTCGACGACCAGACCAGCGCTCACGACAGCAACGCCACCGATGTGCCTGTCTTCCCACCTCTTCTTCCCATGGTTAACCCTGGAGTCATGAACCCCGGCATGTGGTACATCTAAATGCGCCAGTCCGAGCTGAGTTGGACATGGTTAGCTGAGCCGTCGAGCTCATTGGGAGCCTTTCCATCTTTGGCACAAGGTCCAGCAGGGGGCCATGACATTCTTGTAGAAATAGCTTGATTAACTCTTCTGAATTGAAAGCACATTATGACTTTCATGCAGTGTTCCCCTCCTTTTGAATGTGACAACAATGACTTGACATGAAATTGTGATGATTACTGACAAGACAGAAAAGAAACTCCCTGAGAGGGTCCAGTTCCCTTGGAAAGAGCTGACACAAGAAAGAATGACGAAAGTCGGAGAAGAACTTACAAGGAGAGAGAGCATTACCAAAGGAGACACAGAAAGACTTACAAGAGATGAGACGAAAAGCCATGCCTGAGCAAAAGACAAAAGAGCATTCTGCACAGAAGTCCTCACGTCCTATAGTATGCCTCGCAAGGCAGTAAGAGATTGTATTGGTATGCGTCTTTTGAACTTGTGTAATTCTTTTCATTTCAAGGTATGGGATATCTTTTGCATTTACAAAGATTCATGGAGGGAGCAAAGGAAACAAGGAGATGGGGGCATGTTGTTGCTGGCTTGGTGTTCGAAGAAAAGAAAAAAGCCGCGGGCGGATGTATGCTAGAGAGCTTCGAGTGCAATGCTTTGAAGCGGAGATCGAAGAAGAAGGCGTCGAAGGGGAGTGAGTCTTCGGCGAGGACAATCTGATTTCGTAGCGAGAGAGATGTCGCAAAAGAAACGGAGGAAATTGGCGCATAAAGGAGAGCAGATGTGTAGGTTTACTTGCGGACCTTCTCTTCGAGCGATTTGACGTAGCCTTCTATGCGTGAGACGGCGGATTGAAGGGCCTGGGTTCATAAAGCAGTTAGTCTGGCTTGCTCTTGTGGATACAAACATGCACTGCGACTCACGTAAATGTCCTCGGTCAACAGCTCGTTCGAGACGCGGTACTCGTCAATGACATAGTAGTAGAGGGCTCCTCCGCTCAAGACGGCACCAGAGAGAAATCCGAGGANTACTGTTTGAGCACCAAGTCAGTCATGTCACGCGACGATCTTTAGCTGTACACCCCGGAGCTGGAAGAGGATGAGAGCAAGACGATGTTATGTTTCGTACCCTCCACGGAAAGCACCGACAGGCTTGCGGACAGGCATAGCTCCTGCTGGCACTTCAAGCAAACGTGCTGAGCTGGTGAAGCTGCGACGAGCAAAGGCAGGAGTGGAGAGACTGGCGGCCAGACGACGGGCCGGCATCAACATTGCGCGTGAAGCCATTGCGTATTTGTGAGATGTGTGTGAGCTGCTGGAACGGTATCTGGGTGTTCTGAGTGCTTGCGACAAGAGTGTTTGGTTCGTTCTCGGCTGTCGAGGATGGATAGCGGGTGGTTACGGTGTTCGGGTGATGACCATGGATCTGCGAAACATGGAGAAGCTCTCTCCGCGGTTAGCTTGTGACAATGCTGATGCGAATTCGATGGAAACAAGCACAAAGAGGAGGTATACGTTGAAGTTATCTTGTTGCTATCAGCATCTACATTGAAGGCAACGCGAAGTTGAAGCTACGTTGTTGCCTTCTGAGTTTCTGCCCCACACTACACCTTCCCGCAACTCCCGACCACGGCCCTTGAGGGGATACAGCTATCGAATTGCACAATAATACCAGGAAATATAGTAGTGTCCACTGAAAAGCGGCGACCTATGGTCTCTCTGTGGACACACCTCTGCTTTTGAGAACGCTTGTGTCTTTCTATAGTGTACATTTTGTTCTTTGCTACAGTCGAGGTCCACTCCTGCCTAATTGCTTGAATACTGTAGCATCATTCATGCCGGTACAATGTCCAGCGATACAGGCTTGCACAACCCATTGTTGTAGGTAGAAGGTCCAAGGACCAGAGATGTTGTCCCCCAAACTGTGCACCAGTACAGCTGCTCGAGATCACCACTCTTGCATGAGAGCTCTCCACCCTGATTGCGGCAAGCTAGCGGCACCGCAGACACGTTGTACATACGCGAGACCGGATTCATCCAGAAAGACGTGGCCCAATCCCCTCCNNCCTCGACATTGGCCAAGAAGTTTGATCGGAACTCGACGAGCAAATCAGGCTCGGCGAAGAAGAACTCGCTGGCTCCCGCCTTGCTTGACGTGAACTCAAGAAGTTCGTCTCCTCCTGGCAGTACCGCCCATTCTCTGTCAATTGATGTCTTGCTCTTGCTCGAGACTTGCATGTAGAAGAGGTCAGGTCTTGCAGTCGTCTGCTCAAATTGGATTATTAGCTAACATGTAAATATGAATCGCATATCACTTTGTTGACTTACAGTGTGGTATGCTGTCGTCGTAGTCGAACTGACCACGGTGTGAACAGCCGTGACTGTCGACGTAACCGTAGTGAATGTGTCCATGAAGATGCTCCTTGTGAAGGTAGGTGTGGGCACGTGCAAGCAGCTACAGATGCTTGACTGCTGTGCATTGTTGAGCCCATTGAACTGTGCTGGCTGACCCTTGTTGATGGGTACGCTTGGAGTCTTGACAGAATTTGTACTCGAGGTAGCCTTTTTCGATGTAGAGACAGGTTTCAACGACGTACTGGCTTTCTTGCTAGTAGTCGCCACCTTCTTGGTGCTGGTCGTCTTGAGACTTGTGCTGGCTTTTTTCGAGCTCGATAACTTTTGGGTACTGGTAGCCTTCTTCACAATTGGCTTCTTACTAGTAGTGCTGGGTTTCTTCGTCGATGTCGCTTTCTTGATGCTGGTCGTCTTCTTGGTCGACACGACTATATTTCTGCGCTCTTCCAAGTCGCGTCTACTCATCCCTGTACTTGACGAAATGTTGGCAAATCCTGAAGGTGATGCAGTGGCCATCGACGTCGTGTTTGAGAAGAAGGTTCCGTTGGTGGAGGTCGTAGTGTTACTCGAAGGGCCTGAGGTTGGATACATCGAGGTGAATTGACTGCTACTCGTCACAGACGACGATGATGGCGAGGCGATTGGTGAGCTTAAGGCAGTCTCTGATCTCGATGTTGAGTCAGTCTCCGAAATAGAGACAGAACTCGAAGTTGATGCCATGATGGCATTCGTGCGTGAGTTTCCGCTGGTTGGACTGCTGGAGCTAGACGTAGTCCGAGTGCTTGAAGAACTCACACTTGACATACTGGCAAACGTGGATGAAAGTGAATCAATACTGCTTGATGAACTCGTCGTTGGACTTCTGTTGCTGCCAGAAGACGATGTCGAGCTTGGATGGATGCTGTTCGATGAGCTCGATGGAGTCATGCTTGACGATGATAGATTGCTGCTGGTCGACAGTGTCAAAATATGGCTGGATGCTTGCGGGGCAGTCACCGAGATCTGAGAGCTCGAGCTCGAGCGCGACAAGGTCGAAGATGGCGAAGCTGTAGAGCTACTGCTCGTTTTACTGATGCTGCTCTTCAAAAGACTGCTGCTAGTCTTCGATGCACTGCCGCTTGTCTTCGATAAACTGCTGCTGCTGATCTTTGAAGGACTGCTGCTGATCTTCGAAGGACTACTGCTGGTCTTGGTCAAACTGCTGCTGGTTTTCGCGGAACTGCTGCTTTTCTTGCTAGATGTGCTAGTGCTCTTCTTGCTTGGAATGATTCTTGTGTCTGACGCGTTGAATGAGCTAGATGTCGTGGCTGTGACATCTTTGGTGATTTTCCTGCAAGCTGTTAATCTTTTGCTACACCTTTTGATGTACCATCACTCAACATACTTAGTCGAAGTGACTGTTTTGGACACAGTCGCTGTCACGACATGTTTCGAAGGAATGGAGGGTTTCAAAGTTTTGGTCACAGTCTTTGTAGAAACTTTGAGGAGAGACTGGCAGTACGGAGCGACCACAGAAGGATTCAGTTTGGTGACAATAGACTGAATGCTTTTGATTGTACATGTGTTAGCATCACGCTCTTCGAAATTTATAGGTGAGCCAGCAACTATGCTGGCAGCCGCGATGGGCAAAAGAATGTCAGACGCGCGCATCGCTGCTTCCTGCTACTCAGTGCTGGTATCTAGCAGGCGGATTGAGTGTAAAACAGATCTTGGAGGGGACTTGAACGTGGTATAGGACGAAACAGGGAAACTGCAAGACCTAGCTGACAGAGCATTCATGTGTTATATTTTGTAAGACATCAGTCTCGTCGCCAGTATTCGAGAAACCATTTTCGCCGTTGCCGGCAAGGCGATGTATCGTACGCCATCAATAAAGACAGAGTGTTTCAGGAAGCACATACACACCAGTGGAGCGGATTGGGTGCAGGGCCGTTGGAAGTTGAAATAAAGACCGTTGCGATTTCCAGCCCTACACGCATATGGCTTCGCTGTTTCCAGATTAAGCCATCTAAGACTCTCTGATTACTTGTTCGTCGTTCATCAATTGGCCAGAACATTCAAGATCGAAAACATTGTGCCTCTGACAGCGATGTTTAGTGATACTTTGAGCTATGAAAATGCACAATACCTTTCTAGAAGAATTCGGTAGCCACAAAGAAATCGCTCTCTGGAAGCGACTCCATGGCCACATTTTTGTTTTAGACAGTGTTGTGCATTTGGATAGCTATACCGTCCCAGGTTTTGACGCATGAGAAGGTTGTGTACTCTGCGTCTCCACAATGCTTCCTCGTCAGTCGGGAAAATCTCGCGCCTGTTCGAATGACGAAAGAGTTGTTGTTTCGTTAGTCAGGTCCGTGTTCTCTTTATGGACTCAAGTCTCAGAGCTGGTTTGGACAACCGGCCCGGCAGATTTTGGGTCAAATATCCTAGAGCACTTTTACTCCGTGAATCACGTCCTGCCCTACCACAACCGCTCGCCAGGCATCGAAATAATGCAGAAATGATTCGACACTTCGGCGTGACTCTTTCGAGGCCTTGCTACCCGCCCTTTGTCATTCTCGATATCCAATGGCTCACAAAGTCTTGGTAGGTAAAAGAATCTCCAGATCAGTGAAAACGAAGCCACCGGAATCAGACTTTGACAGGTTGTGGGTGCGAACATCCAATGATGCGCTGGGAGCAGATCCTGGTTTTCCTGTTCTCGGTTTCCATTAAGTCTGAAGACAACCCAACGACTTGATCCCTCCACAGCGGCCAACACGTGCAATCGTAAGATATTGCCACGGAGTTCGAGATCATGGTGAACTTGGACGCAGCTTTGGGCATGTGCATTCTCGTTTGCTCAGGTCTCCAGACGAATAGCGTGAGGTTTGCCGAGTTGCTCTGTCAAGGCGTCGGGTGTGAGTCGTACAGTGGTAATACCACATATCTGGGATGGCATAACTTATCGCCTTGATTACGAGCCAATGTACCACAGTTCGACGCCGAGTATTCCGAATTTCTCGCCCTCGTCGCTCAGACGTGCGTTGCCGAAGGTAGGACAAGGCGAACTAATGCCTCTGGCCAGGTTGTTGTCCAGCCATAATCCATAATGGCCATCACCACCACCGACACTCAAGAAGCCTTGCTGGCAGAACATGGTGTAATCATTCTCGCCAGTATAAGGGAAAGCCTTGAAACGGATTCTGTCGGGAGTCGAAGTGCCGCTTGTTGATGATGGAGTCAAGGAAGGTTTTTTGATGGTGGAAGCGATTGTTGTGCTGCGTTGCATATGTGTGGTATCAGCAGAGGGTGGCGGAGGTAGTGATGAGAGATCAGGCAGAGAGGGCAGGCGGAAAGCGCTCCACAAGAAACATTCGCCAGTGCCGTAATAATGTGGATGAGGTTGAGGTGGGTCGGACAGGTATGCGCCGAAGACNNCTAGAGGGTAGTGTCAGTTCTGGTCACAGAAGGTTTTGGACAAGTCTCGACTGACTCCTTGACTGGCATCTCTGACTACCAAGACAAAGCCGCCTCNTTTGCCTCTGTATTCGTCGCTTAAGCCATACAAGCTGCCCAAAGATGTGCCGTTTTGCTCCAACGAGTAGACCAGTTTCCATTCATCGACAAGTTGGACTCGCGGCGGCACGAGCAGGCGAATCTCTTCGGCCAGGGCCTTTTCCAATAGACGACTGGCAAGTGGAGTGCTGTCTCTGTAGCCGACAAGAGTCAAGGGAGTCAAAGGTGGGGGCTGGAAGGGTGAGAGACGGCGTTTTGGAGCATCGAAGAAGGCGGCGGAGGGGCTCATGGCGCCGTTGTAGTTTGCTGACAGGGCTCTAGCGAGGGGTGTGGGAGCTTCGTCTGCGCTAAGGCGGCGGAGGAGGCCACTGAAGGTGTAGGAAACGGGATAGGCGATGTGTTGGAAGAAGCTGGCTTCGTTCTTGTCGCTGCCGCTGTCTTTGCGACGAGGAGCCTCTTTATCGTCGGGTGAGGGGCTGGTGTCTTTGGTATCAATGGCCGAGGAAGAGGAGTCGCCTAGAGGAGAGGGAGAGCGAGAGCGAGTAGGTGAAGGAGACTTGGACAAATGCTGCTGCATGGCAGTGGAGAAGTCGAAATTCTTGCCTAGTCAGTTTCGTAATGTGGCAGTTGGTGAACACTGCTTTTGTTAATTTCGTTAGCAATGTCAAGGCAGGGACAGCGGTGACGTGCCTGCCTCGACAGCTGTGACAACAACTCGGACGCTCCTTCTCCCGTTTAGGTCCTCGATGCACCTTTACATTACACCACGACAGATTCAATATTTCCTCCAATTCTTTGTGATTTGTCCCAGACTACTGATTGGAAGGCTCGTCAGCCACGCCAGCCTTTCTTTTCTTATACACAATTTACGTGAGCATGGTAGATGCTTGTTTCAAAATAGCAGCTCGGGAATAAACGAAACGCGTACCTGAAGCAGCCACGTCTCCCCCACGCCAAGCGCGAGCTATACAGCAACAGTTAGCAATTGACAACAATAATATCATCCATCATCGTGTCGACTTCCATGGTCTTGGTTGGAGATGCCTTTTGAACCCGGTGATGGTCGGCGCTCCGTGTCGCCTCTGAGTACGGGACGCTCCTCGCCCGCTCTCCGTGCTCCTCGCCGGGTCGAGGACGGTATGTGCGTTTGCGTGCCTCCTGTCCCTGAACCATTGTCACTGACTGCATCTCCGACCAGCTGTCGCCCAAAAGACAAGACCACTCGTCGCTATGCTACTGCCATAGACCGTGCCCTGTCATCCTTCGACAGCGCCCAGCAAGAATGGGCTGACTACATTGCCTTTCTAGCCCGCCTACTCAAGGCCCTGCATCCACCTCCACCCGCTCTTGAATACCTGCCTCACGCTCAGTCCGTCGCTCTGCGTCTGTCGCAATGCCTCAATCCTGCTTTGCCATCTGGTGTCCACCANAAAGCTCTCGACGTCTATGCCACCATTTTCTCCTTTCTCCCACCCCCATCGCTCGGCCATACTTTACACGTATACCTGCCTGGCTTGGTTCCTGTCTTGTCCTTCGCATCTCTGTCCGTACGGCCCATCTTTTATTCAATCATCGAGGATCACATCTTGAAGCTGGACTCTGAACACATTCGTCCGGCCACAAAATCTCTAATTCTGTCATTACTACCTGGTATTGAGGATGAAACAAGCGAGGACTTTGACAGGGCTTTCCGTATTCTGGACGTTCTGCGAAAAACCTCTTCTCGTGACATCGAAGATGGTCCAGATGCTGAAGGAAGAGACGGTTACTTCTGGCAGTGTTTCTTCCTAGCTGTAATCACGAATCCTTCTCGTAGGCAAGGTGCTCTGGCTTTTCTGACCCGTAAGCTTCCCAATTTTACCCCATCCGAATCATCTCCGGACTCGGGCCAGGCCGAAGACCGCACGCTTCCTCTGGCTGCACAAGCTGCTATCAACCCTGAGCCTGGTCTACTCGTACGTTGTTTTGCTGCTGGCCTTCAGGACTCGCAGATTTTGGTGCAGCGCGGCTTTCTCGATCTATTAGTCACACACTTACCACTACATTCGCCTGTCTTCCGCAATCATGTCCGATCCAAAGACATGGTGTTGATCACTACTGCTGCCGCGAGTTGTGTCTTGAGAAGAGACATGAGTCTAAATCGTAGGTTGTGGTCATGGTTTCTCGGTCCTGATCCGACCGTGTCAGAAGCTGAAGATGGCGCGCCCCTGTCGCCCACAGATTCACGTGGTAATGTCTCCCAAAAGCAGGCTCTGTATTTCCAGAAGCACGGTGCGGCAGCGCTTGAGAAGAGCATTATCAATATGCTTGGTCAGCAAAGTACAAACTCAACCATTCGTGCTAAGCCCTTCCGCGTATGTCTATCCTTGATGGATCGCTGGGAAGTCGGCGGCTTGATTGTTCCAAAGGTTTTACTCCCTGCTCTCAAAAATGCACATGAATACAGCCAAGCCGGTTCACCAGCGCAACTTGAAGAAGTCATTCGCAGTGCAAGTCTTTTCTTCGACGGCGTTGAGAGCAGTTTGATATGGTCGCGCCTCATAAGTGTGCTTCTATCTTCCTTTGACTCGCGACGATCTGCTGAGAAGGATTCTTTACGTGGTCTCGAATTCCTCCATTTCGTCATTGACCGGTTCGATGTGCGTGACGAAGAAATGCTCTTGAAGCACATCCCTAACACTCTCCTGATCCTNTTTGCCCGTCTTGCTTCCATTCTGAATGAAACCCGGGATGGTTCGGAGCGCTTCATGACCCTCGTGTTGACTTTTGCGCAAAGATTGTTGCGTCTTCTACCTTTGCGTGCCTTCGAGCAAGACGGGAAAGACGATTCCCATCAATCTACTTGGCAAGCTGAGAGTTGCTCCTCAGTAGCCAAGTCACTGATGCAACAATACACTCGAGATGATTTCGAGGACAATGCCACAGATATTGAGAGGCTCGATCGACGAAGAACTGTTGAATACATGCTTCAAAGCATTGTTCAAGTTCTGAAAATGGCCTTGACGTCAGACGCCTTTACGAACCAGCTGGGTCTGATCACAGATTGTTTTGTTAGCATCATCACAAAGACGCCTAACTCCCAAGCATTCCGTAATGCAGACATTTACGATACCTTCAAGCAGGCACTTGGCAAAGAGAGCCTGCTACAAGATTCTTCGAGCGAGCAATCATCGTTCTTAGTCATTAGCTCAATCATGTCAGTCATAGTCGCCAGTGTTGCTGGAAGTCAATCGACATACTTTAGTCACGAACAGGTCATGGACCTACAGGCCAATGTTCTCAACGGTATCTGGCATCATCTGTCACCATTTAGACCAAAGTATCATGTTGAGGCAGTCAGATTGATATGGCAGCTGGAAAGCTTGACTAGAGCTGAACGTCAGGTTGAAGCACGATTGGCCCTACTCGTTAGCGATCAATCTGAGGTAAACGGCCCGGAAATAGCCTCCCGCTTCACAGTCCTCTGGGAGCATACCATGCAGAGTCTCATGCCAAGATCCGAGGGCTCTGGAAGGCCTTTGTCTCGTAGGCCCAGCGTTATGCCGGCTTCAGGCGAGTTCGGCAGTGATGTCGACCCAGAGAGGGTTCTGACAAGACCGTTACTATTACTTTTGGACTCGTTGAATACCGAGGGTACAGGCGCTGCTGATGTCGTCTGGTCGTGGCTGCAAAGTCTGTCTAGTCTCGACAGAATCTTCTACATCATATGCTCCAAGCTCCACAATGACATGGAAGCCTTCGCTCGCGAAGCAGGCAAGAAGGAAGCTCGGCATCGAACACGAAGAGACGCAGAACAAAGCCTGGATGGTGTCTACTTCTGCCTTCAGCACCTGCGAAGTCTCCTACGCAGTCCCAACGAGCACATGTGGCTCACTCTCTCGAATCTTCAGTTTGATTTCTCGAGTATGTCGAGGCTTGGAACCTCGAAGACTGATGCCGTTGAGTTCTTGTCAAGAACGTGTTTAAAGACTCTTGCTTTGCAAGGACATACGGTTCCCCAGTCTCTGCAACATGCATCGTTGACGATACTTCAAACACTACTTGAGTATCCTGATCCTTCCGTGTTGNNGAAGCAGATGGCGATCGATGATGCACTTATTGGCACCCTGAGCATGGCCTTGAAGGGTCCAATTGGAGCTCTCCAGACTGTCTACCTCGAAACGATATCGAAAGCGCTCAAACTACGAGCGACCTCAGGCCAAAGCACGTTTGTGCCGCCTCGGAGCCCACTTGCTTCTCACAGACCTTCGCTCACCATCGAGGTCCCAGAGAAGTTGCCACAACCAGTGATCTCCACCCCACCACCGGAACTCTTGAATTGTCTTCGTACCGGTCTATCGTCGCCCTCCAGTCGTCTATTCCTCGAACATTGGGTCGAATTTCTTGATCAGGTTTTGCCACTCTATGCGGATGCTGTCTTTGCGAACTTGTTGCCACTTGTCGAGTGTATATGTAAGCAGGTCTCGACCGCTTTCCGATATGTGAAGCACATTTCACACTCGACGCATGAGAAAATTGAGTCAGTGCCTATATCAACGCTAGCAGCATTGCTACATGGACTGGAGCTCGTCCTCGCTCATGTTCATCGCCAGTTCCAGAGCGAAGAAATCGTTAGCCCTGTGCCGAAGTCTCCAGAGCCATCGCAAGGCTTCTTCGGCAATATCTCTGGTGTCTTTGCGCAGGATGGACAGCACGCACCTCCAAGCAAGACTAGCCGCATAAACAGCAGACTCACCATGATATTGTCGTTCCAAGACGCCATTCGAATTTGCTTCTCCATTTGGGCATGGGCGAGCAATGAAAGTGGCCGGTCAGATGCTACGTGTGCAGCAACTACCTCACTAAATGCCCTCAAATTGAGAAACCGTACGAGAAGAATTCTCGAAAACCTNCTTGCCGCTGAAGAGTTGGAGTGTCTTGAAACACTAGCTTTGATATGGTCTCGACCAAAACCATCTCATGAAGCCGAGTCTGCAGCTGTTTTCGACTTACTCCTAGTCTTAGATGGGTCTCGTCCCAAGAATACAGTGCCGGTCATCATTAATGCCCTCTACAGTCGAACAAATATCGATGCTTTGGATATCGGGCGTAGGTCGAGTTTGACGTCTGATCTGTCCACGGCTGAAGTGGCTGCTTTCTTGCTCAGCTATTCGCGCGCAATTGAAGACGATGCGACCGACGAGATATGGGGCGAGTGCATGATCTTCCTGAGAGACGTACTCTCGAACCCACTGCCTCATAGACAGATATTGCCATCGCTTCTGGAGTTCACCGTCTTGCTCGCCGAGAAAATCGACAACACCAACTTCGGTGAACTGCGTAAGATGCGCCGCGAATTGGGCGACATCTTTCTCCGACTTTTAACTGCAACATTCACTGCAAGACCACTAGGCAACATTTTGGAAGCTCCATCAACTGGGTCGCAACTTCCTAGTGGAGCTAGCGATCTGATTCAAAGCCTTCTCTATGTCACGCCAAGACTCTCGACAATTTTGCAAAGTAATGACAGAGTCCAGACTGCTGTAAACACCATATCGAGCAATGTCATGACGCCAGCCTTCCATGCAAAGGCGTTCCCTGAGAACGTCAATAAAAACTTGTTGAAACTTTTCGAGCATGTAGCACAGCAAGGGCCAACTTCCAAACAATGGAAGAAGGACATCGCAGATGCCTTCAACAATCCTCGACTGTTGACGTGCTCTGCAGATTTGATGCACAATGGATGGTATCCTGTGCTACGCAAGTGGGCGCTTAGTGACAAGGATCGTCTCCCTGAGCTTCTATCCAAGATCACCGCTCCTTCAACGGCTGGCATTATGTTCGGCGTCGGTGCCAATGCAGCACGCCTCGAAGCCGATCGAAGGACACAGCTTACGCTGCGAAAGATGATGCTGCTCATGCTCGCCTGCGAGCAAGACATTTTCGTGGGCAACCTGACGCAGATTGTGGACAAAATCGTCGATTTGTGCACGGCCGATGCCTCTTCCTCGCCATCGTCCACCACAAGGGCAGAAGTCTTCATGGTATTCCGAGCAATTATACTCTCCTTCTCGCCAATACACTTATCCGCTGTATGGCCCGTTCTCAACGCAAACTTGCAGAAGGCTATCACTACATGCCTGCCCGGTGGTTATGAACAGGACACTTATAGCAATCTCTCATTGTTGCAAGCTTGTAAACTCCTCGATCTGCTGACTACACTATCGCCCGACGAGTTCCAGCTGCACGAGTGGCTCTACATCACCGACACTATCGACGCCGTATACCGACCTGTCGACCTCAACCCAGTAGCCTTGACTGACGAAGCAGCCGAAGCTCTAGGTATGGAGAGCTCAGAGCATCCCGCCTTTACGCCACCAACCACGAACAATAACTCGTCCAGCGAAGCGGGTCTCAGAAGACCGTTCTTGGGTGGGTCTGGCGTGGACGGCGCCGATACAAAGGCAATGGCCAGAGATGACTTCTTGCGCAGTGTGTTGCAGCCTTTCTTCAGCCAGTTGAGCATGTATTCGTACGAAGCTACGTATAGTATGAGTTTGCCGGATGTGGAGTTGTGCAGGCGATGCTTGCTGGAAGATGTCTTGGATGAGAGCACTATGGCATGAAATATGGGTAACAGCAGATAAAATCAACAATGAGCTTTCTCCCTCCGTCCCTGAACTCTTTTTTGATGTTTGTATGACGGTCACGAATGTATATAACGTCGAGCCTGCATGTCTTCGATATCGTGATATGTGTCATTGCGAGAAGACGGCCCGTAGGATGCAGTGGTTGTGACGTGGGCTTCGAGTGGAAATTGGACCAGATACAAAATTTACACGTTGCTACATCGTCTGGCCGCTTAATCTCACAAAAACATCTCAAAGTGGTTTCTTAAGCTCATGAATATCTGCTTGCACTAATTTCACCAGTAGCAAAAGCCTGTGAGGCTGCTGATGATGATGGTCTGTCAGAGAGCAGGGTCATACTGCCAGCAACCGTGCGCACCCTGTTATCGCGCTAATTACACCAAACGCAAAAGTCGACACGAAAAGTTGTATAACGAATTGTCGCACAATTCGTTCATAGTGTAGTTGATATACGTTAGAATATGACACTCCCTTACTACTGCTCTCTCTACATCAATGCACGCAAACACGAAAAATCAAATAACAAATTGCTAAACGATTAGATCATTGTTTGGTTGATATACGTTACTAAGACATGACACTTCCAAATCGATGGAGTTTCAAACAACTCCGAATGCGCGTCGAGCAAACTCCGGGTTCGAAACGCAACAACTCCGCTGAAGTATGCGACAACACGAGGTGGAATCCTGACAACTCCACGCGACCTGTCAAGAAAGACACACGACCGCTCGAGTTGACGTGCAGATCTTCGATACATTTCTGCGTGAGTTGTTCTTGCTTGGGGTCGAGTCTGCGACTATTGCCGGAACGAATAAACAACTTCATCGTTAGAGTCGAGTCCACGACGACAAGGTGAAAACGAAACCGAAGGCGCGTGGCCGAATCCGTCAAGCAGAGGTGAGGATGTCAAGATAAACTTGATTTTCTTGCATACGAAGCTGTCAGATGCTATGGGTTTAACAAGATCAAAGTTAGTTTGATAAGATACGAGGGTACTTTCAACTTTGCTTCAATTTTGCTCCAGGGATCGCAGCGTGTTATCCACTACGGTCTCGACTGGTCCTGGTATGGTACTTCGTAAAAGGGTCTCAGTCAATGGATCCGTACACGAATCCTGACGTCGTCTGTATGCATGCTGTGTGCGCAGTACGTGTAGTTAGCTGCGATTGAGTCTGCATCTCTGGATCAACGGATCTTTGGAGAACGCGCGGCACTATCCTGCCTGTCAGCGGGACCAGTGAACCATCAGAGGGTCACAAGTAGGTATGCATTTTCTTTTGCGGGTTTGGATCCCTGAGTATCCTAACATTGATGTGTAGTTTGCTACTCGGGTTTCGGCAATACTGTCTAATAGGGCTGGCTTCAGGAGCCCTACAATGGGAGCGATTCTTGGCTAAGTGCATACGGGAGTAGGCGAGCAAATGTAACAGTCAGCTCATGAAATTTTCTGCACTTGAGGGCTTCCAATGTTCGTGTTCATGAGATTGGCAAAAGTGGATGAGGCTGTTCGGCGGTATCAGCCTCTGGAATCAGGGGTGTCGAGATATGTGGGAACAACCACAAGGTTCGGCACTGGAGCCAATCAGATGTCGGGATGAACCGAAGAATCGAAGTATGTTCGTAGGTAGGTAGCGTTCGTGGCTACCTTTATCGGACCCGAATACCGAACGCCATGGAACCACTGCCGCTCAGTGCAGGACATGGTCTGAACCATGGAAAATCGGCATGAAAAAATGTAGGCACGAAAAAATGCCTCGCTTTACTGCACCCAGGCGATCCTTTGAAGGCAGCTGAGATGAACAGAATCCTTCTCGGAGACGAGCGCGACCGAGCGGAGCATATCAGGGTCCGGTATGACTGCCTGCTCTTTGACCAAGAGATTATTGGACGATCGTTGTCGAAAATGAATTAGGCAAACGGCTGATGCGTTCTTCGACGACCCTTCCAAGACCCCTGGTTGCAATTCGTCCATTCTCGAACACCGAGACGATGATTTTGCGGGTGCGGATGTTCGTCATCTTCAAAGCAGCATCTTCGGAAGTCAAATCTGGCCGGGGCCCGAGACAGCATCTCGTATCAAGAGCGAGATGGCCTCCTGCAGAAACGCGGTGGCTTGCGGTTTTTGACAAGCACGCTATGGAAGGTTCCTCGGGGACTGATCAACAAAATGGAAGTTGCAACCGGGTGTGCCATCAGATCCATTCGACAGCATACGTGGATATGCACCCGGCGATTTTTCGCCAGCATCGAAGCATGCTTTGATTCTCGACCGTAAGCTGAGATGAAGCGAAGACTCGAATGCGACACGCGACGACAAGGTAATGAATCAGATGACAGCAAGACCGCAGGTACGAACAGTGATTGACAGGGCTATGGTGCTTGGCAATGCCATAGAAGCAGAACAATGCCCCACGGACGACAAGCCAAACACCTTCCGAGCTCTGAAGGATGCTGGATGAGCCACCAAGATGACAAGACAGACAATCTAGTATGTACCCTGTGTGTACATGGAACCTTGCTGCCTACTGTTTTCGAAAGGACATGGATGCGACCGTTCAGTGCGTATTCAGTGACATTCACTGGTCTCACTACACAGAAGCGCAGCGAGAAATCACAAGGATTTCAACAAATATTTGAATATCGCGAACGATTGCCTCGGAAGGTCGAATGCCCTGAGATCGAAGGTGCTGCTGTACCTTTAAATCCATGGTGACAAGCTTTGGCCATATTGTTAGCCCGCCGTTGGTATGACTCGGCGGGTACTGCCCTCGCTTTTCCAATGTTCCCGGTCCCGATCCATCGGCCGGATTTGTCCTCGAGCTTGTTTCCATCATGATCTCGAGTCTGACCAAGCAATCGGCGTCAATCTAAATCATGCCTCCGCGGACTGGAAACAGTTTAACAATTAGTCAGGCCATACAATTTTAACAGGCGTTTACCATGTGGCCTCCAATGGGATAGCGTCATCATGTATTCCTGCCAACGCTTGGTGACCCATCCCTCACATACATATATTTGATGCGTTCCCACGTCACGTACAGCTAACCTGCGTTTTGTGTCAAGCTCCGACCATATCTGACCGATTGTGAATATATCTAAGAGCCGCTCCTTGGCTTGATCTGTGTCTTACTTCAACCTAATCATCATCTTCCCTTCAACAACACATTGACATAGTCACTCTCATTCCCTACACTATGCCACCATCAGCTGTCCGTAGGACATCCTCCTCGGATTCAACAGACAGCATAAGGAAGCGTGTTGGCAAAGCCTGTGACAGATGTCGTCTCAAAAAATCAAAGTGTGACGGCAGTCANCCATGCACCAGGTGCAAAGCTGATAACGCTATTTGCGTCTTCGGCGAGAGAAAGAAGTCCCACGACAAGATCTACCCCAAAGGGTTCGTCTCCTGTCTACTACTATCTCTTACCAAAGCTAACTCATTTGAAGANTATGTAGAGATGCTCGAGCAACAACAAGCTCAACTGGTCGCTGGTCTCCAAGAAACATACCGCCGCCTTGTCGATGCAAACGTCTGGCCCGGAAAACCTTTATCTGAAGCTAGCGGACATCCTCTCACCCACGACATCCTTGCAAGACTGGATCTTCTGGAACCCAAAAACGATGGCAGCGGAGAGCACGAAGAGTTTGAAGAGGACTGCCAGAAGCTTCAACAAAGACTGGTCTCAGAGGGAGCTTCTTTCATGCTCAGAAGAAACTCTAGCGGCTACGAATCAGATCACAGCCTTCCTCGCAAGCATGCTCGCACATCTTCTCATTCAAGCCTTCACAGCACACCGATACCTGTAAATGCTGCGCCAGTGTTCGACGAAAAGTTCTCATTCCACCAAAGTGCTTCACCATCGCCAGCCTCCCACAGCCCAGTACCTAAGATGTCGCAACTACGATCGCCAATCAAGCCTTCACCTCTGCATAATGAAGCCATCAACAACGACGAATTTTTATTGCCATCCTGGCAAGAACAGTTCTCACTTCGCGGATTATCAGCTGCCGATTTCATGAGATCACAAGTCGCAATGCAAGTGCCGACGCTGCAGGACGGCTTCCAAGCGGCAATGGCGTATGGCAGCAACACATTTGAACCTCAACTAGAATACGACAACATGATGCCTTTCGGCAACCAAAACTATGCCACACCTGCCCAAGGATTCTTCAATACTCAGGATTGGATGAACGAGCCAATGGAAGTCGACTTCAGCAAATTCGTCCAAGTGTCGACGTGATCTGGACGTCAGCAATGTATCTTTAATATTTTAATTATCGTCTCTTTCTGGATTAGTCACCATGTGCGGCTCAAACCACGAAGGGATTTACGGCTGAGATGTCCATCACGGCGGCATCTCACAGGTTACGATCAACACGTTATGCAATCTACACACGCGAGCTTTCAGGGAGGCGTTAGAATCTTTGTCGCTAGCGAGCGAGTGGACAGGGATGGGAGGTTGGGCTGCGAGTAACAGTGGGCGACGGTGCACACGAGGAGCTTACAGGCTTTGGTCCTCGGCACAAAATTTATTGGCGAAATGGTTGTAGGATAGATGTTTTAGACGATCATTCAGATCCACATGTCACAGAATTCGATGTCATATTCACTCTACCGGGTACGTCTGTATGCAAGACGAGTTCATTGGCACGCAATCATGACCGTGTGTAGTTCAGCGGACCTATCTCCATCCCCATGCAACATTATTTGTCCGACGGAGTGGCGCGCCGACCACACAGCATACCATGCGAGGATTTGCAGTATTGCACTTTGTGAATGCGCTGTTCGCTGAGAAGAGCTGTCTTGTTCACAGAGGGCAAGGGCAATCGCAATCGAAAACAATGTGGCAGTAGCTGTCATCGACAAAAACTTCCTCGGAGCGGGTTGCGAAACATGGTTTTTGACATGGGACGGATTTAGAATGTTGCAAAATCCGAGGGTTAGATCGGTGATCAATCGTTGATTATTCATTCCTTATCGCCTTGATTTTGCTCTGATTATGATCATGAGAAAATCATTTATTGCTTTGACTGGCAACCGCTTCCGTATCATGAAGCATTAAAGAACGTTGAATTCAGCGCCTCATTCGTTGTTGCTGAGCGATGCCTTGTATGCGTGTAGCTGTGATATGGCTTGTTGCCGAGAAAAGGCGGAGTTTTGCCAATGCGCACCCAAGCAAGAGCCGTTTCGTATCGCAAATGCACCGTATCGCGAACGTGAACCATTGCTGAGCCACATTTCCTGATTGATTGAAGACTGCCAGGCCAGTTCCTTGGCAGCAGTTGCGCCTTCCAACAGCTTGTCCCAGGTAACTTCTCGTCCTCCTCGTCCTGTCGTTCCAACTTATAGAAGCACACATGGCGAATGTCAAAGGAAGTTTTCACGTGGAGACGGACGTACGTGACGTGGAAAATTAGGCTAAACAGTGGCTTGAGTACCCCTCCACTCCAGCCCCCACCAGAGTTCACCCCGCCTAATAGCTGCGATGAGGCAAGAATTCTGTTTAACCGTGAGCGCAACATATTGTCCACACGTGTCGCTTTGCGTCTTTCTCTCTCGCTTTCTCCTCATCTTTTCATCAACAAAGCAAAATGTCGGCCGAAGACGCATTCACGTTCTTGCCGCAAGGCGCCATCATCCAAGAGTTTCGTGTTGCGGGGCACAACATCGTCCAAGGTTTCCCTACCGCGGAGCCTTACAAAACCAAGAACTCGGCGTACTTTGGTGAGACTATTGGACGAGTCGCAAACCGTATCAAGAATGCCGAAATCCAAAACTTGAACGGAAAATCCTACAAGCTCACAGCAAACAACGGACCCAATGCCCTTCACGGAGGCCCTGCTGGCTGGGGTAAGAGAACCTTTGATGGACCTACCCCTGTCAACAGAAATGGAACAGAAGCCGTCCAGTTCAAGTATCTCAGCAAGGACGGCGAGGAGGGTTACCCCGGAACAGTGGAGCTTCGCGTCTGGTATATTGCAAGCAAGAAGAATGATGGTGGCGTCGAGAAGACACAACTCGAGATCGAGTACGAGGTTGAGCTCGTTGGCGATGAGGTCGAAGAGACGTTAGTTTCGGTTACCAACCACAGGTAAGTCGTCAATGCTTGGTCGCCAATACGTAGTAGCTCATGCAGGACNCACAGCTACTTCAACATCTCTGGCAAGGACACGATCGAAGGCACTGAAGCTACTCTGATGACCGATCAGTTCATGGTTGTGGATGATACAGATATCCCAACTGGCGAGATCAAAGCTTTCCCTGGCGTCGAAGCCGAGAAGGCCTTCACACTAGGCGCAGTCGATCCTGATATCGACCACTGCTTCGTCATCAACACTGATGCTTCAAACATCCCCCTTGACACAAGATCGGAGCCTCTACGCAAGCTGTGTTCATTCTTCCACCCCACCACAAAGCTTCATTTCGAGGCGCTTGCTACTGAGCCTGCCTTCCAGTTCTACACTGGCAAGTACATTGATATTCCGGCTGTAGACGGCGCACCCGCACGTGGTGCTCGTGCTGGTTTCTGCGTTGAGCCCAGCCGTTACATTGATGCTGGAAATAACGACAAGTGGAAGAAGATGGTTCTCCTGAAGAAGGGTCAAACTTACGGAAGCAAGATTATCTACCGTGGCTGGAAGGAGTGATCGCCGTCATCATACGTGGGTTGACACCGTGGTGCGACCCCCAAACGGTTTCGGTACATAACTGCCATGTACAGCATAGTTCTTACATCATGAAATATCCACAAATTTATCTTCGATACTATGCATTGAAGCCTTCGGAGCATGCCCGACGTGCCTCCTCCAAGATGTGCGAACAGCCTGGCAGTCGTAGATGCTGCTTGGTCATTGCAGTAAGCAATTTCCTCATTAGGATTATTTACCATGATTAAGGCACATAAATCTTCTTCTCCTGGATAGGGCCCGTCGGCTGCGCTTGCACCTAACTGCGCCTCTTACCTGTTCCTTGCAGAAACCGTAAGATACAGTATGACCTCCACTATCTGCGATCCCAGAGCAGTGGTCTCAGCCTCAGCCGATAGGCCTCCCGATCCAACGATCGTGGTGGTCATTGCTCTTAACAATTCTTCAATGCCAGTGAATGCCATATATTCGCTGGACTGCTGCCGGAAGTCAATGGTGAATGACTTCAAGGGACGCTAATGTGGGTCAAAGCTCGATGTGACAGATATCTGTTGACATGTAGGTGTGTGTGGACATCACAACAAGAGACAAAGGCCAACGCATGGGCAATGCGTCGGCCCTCTCGCTGAGCGAAACTCTAAAAGATTCTAATAATCGACGCCACAAATACCGCTTCTTTAAGCATACCGTTGACCGCTTCAAACGGCGGCCCTTAAGGTAGCAAGAAAACGCAGGGTTGAGTTCGTGTCTTTCAAGTTGGTCACATACAAAATGATGACTCTCATTCTGGTGACGTTGGCATAATTCACAAGCAACAAGGCAGAGGCTCTGACCCATGTACCGAACAGCCTCCAAATGTACGATAGGAAGTTGCGGCTTGAAGACCAGGGTCTTCATCGTCTTGAACAAGTTTTGATTCATCCGAGGCGACCATGCATCCATCATGTCGCCCATCAGAATACTAGTTGTGATGCATATGCAGCATGTCTACCGATAGCGCACGGGTCTTGAGCAAGTTGTGTCGAAGTATTCCTGCACCTCGTTAACTTAGCCATACCAACTCATCAGAACCAAGGCTTTGCGCGCGGACTATTGATTACGAGGACCTACAACTGCAGATCGCAAGCTCTAGATCCATGCTAATTCATGTCAATTCATGTCAGTGAATGTCACCAACACATCCCATTCTTGCTACAGATGTACTGATAAGACACGTTATACCCATGGCTGATGACTGATAGTACCGGCAGTCTGTTGTGACAGAAATTGGATCTCTGATCGCAGCAAACAAGTAAACAAGAATTTTTCTCATCCAAACATGTGCAGGTGGAAGTAGAGAGGCAGTGATATCATAGATCCCTGGAGTCGTCCGCGGGCGCTAAGAGCAGGGAGATCGTCATGATCGGCCTCGGTACTCGCCTCGGCTTGACCCTTTGGGTACCAATTCACATGGCCGCAGACTCCACCTGTTTGTCCATCGTCTTTCGGGTTAGAATACTGCGTGGCAGCTGGCCGCGTGTCTCCCCTCACGCATTCCCCAAGCTCTAACGAGCTCATCCCTTGAGAAGCCTTCCAACCAGTATCATTTGTCTGTGGGCCCGTGGGGTTCACCCAAATTCTGAGACAACACAAGGTACCTCGTCACAATCAAGGCATATTGGGAAGTTGGTGATGCTCTCGATCTCAACAGCAAAACAGCTAAACAGCAATGCACACGACTGATCAGGGGGAAATGCACAAGGAACGGACGCGCCACACCGAACCTTCCGTACCTTCTTTTTGCTAAAACCAGCCCCCCGGCCGAAGGAGAGCCTTTTGCGCTATTGCAGAAACAGGTAAACGGGTCTTTTAGGATGCAAGAGAAAATGCTGTGGCACAAACAATAATCCCTGGTCTACTGTCAAACGGATCCCTCCGAGGTTCGCGCTTTGAGGCATCTTTCCAGTTTCCCCTTGCAACGGCGGTCAGCCACTACCTTTTTGTTTCTCTGCTTTCCAATTGTTGTGGTTCGATGCATACATAACAAATAGCGTGGAACACACAAGTCTCACACGACGCAACGGAACGAACTCCTTTGGGCTCTGTGGTCTGTGTCTAGCCAATGTTCAACGATGGAATTAGGCCTCCACAGGCACATGCAACTCTATCGCCAACGTCATGTCTCCCCCTCCCTTTCATGCGGGCATGTACGGTAGTGTATTCACCTTCTTCTCGGACCGCAGTCCAGCTGTATACTTCCCATCAAGCTCTTGTCGAGCGAAATATTGGGTTATTCCCTCCAGTCAGCGGCTCTGCAAGGGTTGAAGAAACAAGATAGATAACTCCCATCTATATTAATCTTTGCAGATCTCGCGTCTCTCCTCGCAGCAATGCCGCATGTCGCTTTCGTAATGCTGCTCCACATCCAACCAGCGCATGTCTTGACGCGCCTTCGAATGCCTTGACATACCGCCATACCACCAACGAAAAGCGTACGTACCTCCAAGGTTAAGTTTTCGACATGATGGGTTCAACCCCTCACAATAACAAGTCACAATATACCGCACCTCCTCAATTTCCACGTCTGAAAGCTCCGCGGCTCCGCATCACTATATTCTCCAGTAGTTGTAGAGAACGCACCGCTATCCCCAGTAGTCTTGGGGGAATGCACCATTATCTCCTCCAGTAATCTTGGGGACCCATGGGCATCCAACGATCATCACTGTCAAGAGACAAGCCAAAAACTTGTTCGCGATTCCTCGGACATTGTTCCCCTCGGACGATCACATCGTAATCACCTTGGCCCAACACCCCCTCCCATTTCCGAAATCACCTACCTCTGTACCATGTTTCTAGCCTTCTTCCGATCGATACAGTAAAATGGCAACTAGAGCCTCTCTGCTGGGACCCATGCGTTTCCAGGGAGACTTTGACTCTTAGCTGACATGCGCACGTTACATAGCGACTATGACGCTCGACACTAAAGTCAAACCTGGGAAAACCTTATCATTCCCAAAGGATCGTCACACTTCAACACGTTCGGCAGATGTTATCTGAACATTGCCGAATTACTCTCACGTCGATTCATCCTTGATCATTCACACACGTTGTTTCTGAGATGCTCATTTTCATTCGAAGCTATTATCTACAGATACTGTATCGCCGTTCCATCGAGTGCTCTTTTGCTCATTCATGATCTATTGATGTGCCCTTCACTGCCTTCGAATCGTCCCTTACCATGTCGTATATAATCATGTAATTCTCAAGAATGAAAATCAATACACCTTAACCTTCTGCCCAACCTTAGCCAGAACACCCATGCATAACATCAATGGCGAGAGTAGAGACTGTCTGCGAGCCAATTGTCAAACTCAACGTCTCTTTCTCTGTGCTGTCTCTTGACCTGGCGGCTGCGATGACTGAGAGAACGGATTATCTCACCGCCCTTCATCCAGATGTGTCTCAAGCGTTCAGCGACACGCTTTACACGAAACTCGACTCGGCCCATACCAACCATACCATCGTAATTCTGAGGCGTGACAGGTTCGGTGTAGCGGTCGCCAAAAAGCGAGCCGGTAGTGCGAACATTCGAAGGCCGACCGTAATGATCAAGGGATCTGCCTCTGTGGGCGTCTAACGACTGTGAGTAGGGTGCAGAAACATGTCCCTTTGGCACTGCTGATGACTTGTCTCGGAAGGATGTGATCTGTTTGCGGAAGGAACCACGGTGCTCAGCATCATGTTCTTCTTCTGTCGAGTCAGAGAAGAAAGACCGCACGTCTTCTATGTTCATTGTGTTTGGTGATTGCAGGCTTGTGGACGGATATCTGTCACCGGGACTTGCCCTTCCAGCGAGGGCACCTTCCTGGACAGTAGTACCAGACTGCACGCGCGTGCTCAGTCCTATACGGCGAGATAAAGACCCGATCAGTGATTTCTTTGAAGATTTGCGATCGTGAAGGGTCAAAACTGTGGGAGTGACGGTCTCTGTGTTCGATACCATAGGTGAAGAAGGAAGAGTACTGTCTGGATCTAGGTTCTCCTCTGTTTCGTCCTGGGTCCTGTTGGATTCGCGACTTTGTCTGTGGATGAGTTTAGGCGGAGAAGAGTGACGACGAAGTACTGGTGTGGGAAAGTCGATCTTGATTCCAGGACTGTTGCCACACCAAGGATAACTCTCCTCAAGGTTCCAAGGCCTCAAGTTCTGTGTAGGAAGCACGAGAGAATGTCTGGGGGCAAATCCAGGGTGCAAGTCCTCATCCTTGCTGTTTATGACACTGAGAGATTTCCCGCGAAGCAGAGCAGGCTTTGGCGGCTCAAGCTCTGAAGTACTTGTCAGGCCCTCAGTAATGAATGTAGTGTTTCGGTCAAGACCAGAATCACTTAGCGAGAACTTCTCACTGTCCTCTGGCAACGGAGGTAACTCTTTCATCAAACGTCCACTCTTCTGAACTTCGAGGAAAGCAGAGTCATGAGTGCCGTTAGTTGCAATGTTGTCTGCGATAGCGGCTAGCTGATGAAGACCTGTTGAGGATCTTAGAAGTTCAGCAGCTTCACCCTCAGGCCTTCCAAGGTGATGGATTCTATCAATGGCATCATTCATTGCCGTCTGGTCTCCAGGAGCACAGTCGATATGCAGGTGTTTGATAGTAGGCAACAGCGTCGACAAGCGCTCCGAAAGAGCGGCTACAGATGGTACGGGAAGACGGCTGATTTCCGAAGCCATGCCCAGCATCTGCTGTGTGGACATTGGTCTGACTGAGCGAGCAAAAGACTTAGTTGAAACAATGTCTGCATCGTTCTGATTCTTCTCCGGAGGTGTTTGAGATGAGCTCAGTGTATCAAGAGCTTCAACAGTAGATTCTTCAGGCGGTTCGGAGTTTTCAGGGTTGTTGAAGAAGCTCGTGTATCTCTCACGTATGTGGTCAGTCGATGCTGGATGTGGGAGTGGTGAGGGACGAGTACCAGATTTCCTCTCGCCTTTGACTCCAGCCAAGGATTTTGATGATCGAGATATATGTGTTTCAAGCTCTTCATTCAGCTTGTCGAAGAGATCCATCCGGCTGAAGTTTAGAGAAGGAATTTCTCGCAACTCTGAGAGTGACATTCTCGGGGGACGAGGTGACAAGTAGCTTTGCTGAGTTGTTTCCTCTGGAATTTTAACAGCATCACGGGAAGACTTTAGGCGCAACGACGGCGTGTTGGAGAGCCTTAAACCAGTGAGTGATGTCTTCGTGTTTCTGGTGCTGATGTCTTCTTTGGAGTCCTCGTTGAGATCAGGTAGGTATCCAGGTCGCGTCTTGAACGTCACTGTTCCGAGATCAGATGTTGAATCGCAAGACGATCTGTTGAGATCAGACTGTGCAGTGGTCCACATCGATCGCTTGCGCGGAAACGAGCGACGGATGAATGAGGAAAGATCCGCTCCTTCAGTAGTGGTGGCAACTGGTANAAAGCTTTCCATCCTTCTGATACGAAGTGGAGCTACCTTTTCGATACTTGATAGAGAAGAACCCTGCAAGCTGCTGTCTTCAACAGAACGTGCTTTCTTCATCTCCATAGAAGCTAGAACCGGAGTATCGGACAAATTGCTCAGATTCACTAACTGAGCTCTGCCGTGGTCAGATGAACGTGGTATAGAGAACTTGATGGCAACATCTGTGACATGGTCTGACGACGGACTGGCCTCGAGAGTCTGAAAAGGTCCTGTCGGCAAAGACAAGCCGGAGGTCATTTCTGTGGTATCGTAAGTCTGCTTTGATGACCGATCAGGCAGTGGTTCTTCTGTACTGTCAGGGTGCTGGCCTGGGGTCTTGGTTTGCTCTTGGCCAGCAGTGAGATGCAGAGTTTGAGTAGCCATAGGGCTGACGATCGAATCCCTGACCACTGCTTCACCAGGGCGTAGAGGACTGACACCGCCACTCTCAAACTCTTCACTGAGTTGTTTCGTCTTGTCCTCAACTTTGGCCATGAGTTGATTGGTGTGATCAGATGTAGGAACCGGCTTCGATAGCGTGATTTGCACACCAGAACCAGTACCGTTTGGTTGCGATGATGAAACAGATGTTTGGGTATCCGAATAGTTGAGAAACAACCCATGACCAGTCTTTTCGCCACCAGAATCCTTCTTTGAATCATCTGTGTGGATCTTTGCAAACTTTTCAGTGATTTCTTGATCACTCTTTGCTTTGACCGTCTCCCCAGGGGCAAGAGATGTCGTTGTGTTGTGCTCAGATGACGAGGGAGCGGTGTTGGCCTGAATTAACTGCCTTGTGATCCTGGGAGGGACATCAAGCTCAACAGGTTCATGAACAGATGATCGTTTGCTGGCAGACAGCTCGACCGGTTCTTGTCTTAGACTTTGGAATGGTTGTGGGACAATAAGCTTCGAGACGTCCTGCTGAGGCTGGCTTTGACTAGACGATAGATGTTCTTGACTTGCAGCACGATCTTCAAGCAGGTTTCTGATACGTTGAACCAGTCCAGTACGTTTCGCAGTAGGTGTGTCTGCTTCGAGTTCGGCAGCAGCGGGTTGAGAAGCATCGAGTTCATACATAGTGGATTGCTCTGTGTATCTGAGGTAGCTTTGAACGCTTTTGTACTCAGAGTGCTCCTCGGGAAGCTCACTGAGTGCGGGCTGAAGGACAGTCGGGTCGATCACGGCCTGAACCGTAGTTGTATCTCTGGGTGTGGTTGGATTCAACGATGGCGGAGACGACGAGCCCTGTCTCGAGGACGATGGCATAGCATCCAACCCTGGAGTGCCTGATCTGGGTGATGGGCCATACCCTAGTGAAGGCAGAGCATTGACTGGAGAGCCATACTGACTGTGATAGTTGGGCTCCTGAAAGTTGTGCTGTGCGGGAAAAGGCATCGTTGCCTGCTGCTGGTTTGTGTACCTTGGCCCGGGCGCTGGACCATAAGGATAGTCAACAATGTGTATTGGCATGTTGGGTCGATGCATGCCTCTGCCAGATGCCGGTCCATAGCCCCGACCCTGGTATGACTCCGGGGGTGGAGAGAGATGAGAGTAATACGTGGGATCATTTAGACCGTAGTAGGCTGAGGGCTGCTCGTTCGGGTGTTTGGGCTCAGGCTCGAATGTATGGACTTGGTTGTATGAGGCTTGGTAGGTGTTTCCAGTATAGTCACTCAGTGCTGGAGAAGGAGTTCGGAAACCAGGACGCTTGTGTCTTGATGGATACGCAAATGGGGGACGCGGAGGCTGAAACTGTCCACCTCCCTGACTTCTGAGACTTGTCACAGACTTGGCTGGCTTGAGTGAAGGGGCGTGATGTGACCGAGTCAAGGAATAGGAGCGACCATCCTGAACATACGGAGGACCGTAGGGCGATGATCTAGGTGGACCTCGAGGCATCGAAGGCACTCTGTTGTCGTGAGGTGGCATTGTTGCAAGTGTTTGAAGACTGACCATAGAGCCATGTCTACCGGACATAGCATTTCCTGTACCGCCTGATATAGCTGAGACGGCGTCCCATCCCTGAGGGTTAGGCGCAGTGGAAGCCTTTCTCGAGCCATGAGAAGGGATACGGCTGTGATTAGTGTGGTACGTGTACACAGAGTGATTAGACGAATTGGAGAGACGGGATGAATTGTTTCTGCGTTGATGTGTCGGGCGAAGAGCGGCTGGGAGACGACCTGTGTTGTGCGAGAATTCGCCTACATCTCCAACATCGGTCGATGTCTTGAGCATAGAGAGGACTCCAGGAGCAGCGGCGTCCAGTTTGTCACCAGAACCTTGGGGAGCCTGAGGCCCGAGTGCTTTGGATTGTATAGAAGTAGTAGATGCACGACTGATACGTCCATCGAACGACTGCTGCCGGCTCAATAGAGCCATCATACAGACAATTTGCTACTGCTTCTTATCCAAGCCGTTGAACGAGTGTTGATATGACGAGGGAATGGTGCAGTTTGATGAAGGTATCGTACTGTTGAAGAACACGAATTGCGACGCCGTTCGGTCATGCTGGAGCGAACGAATGCTGGAAGTCGCAACCGCTGACGACGCTGAGTACTAAGGTAGGTGTTCGAAGCCTAGAGGAAGGAGTTGCCGCCATAAGTCAGCAGATTCAACGAGCAGCTCTTGCTAATCAAGCAGCCACATCGCAAGACGACTTCGAGAGAATTTGATCACCATGCAAACTCTTCTAGCGTTTCAGTTGAACATTACAGTCCTCTAACTTCAAGTCTGATCTATACAGTGGTGGTTGCCGATTCTGTCGATCGGCCTGGAGACCTTCGCGAACAAGATCGATGTCTGGATCGCGTGCTGTGCCAGATCCCTCACATCTGCTACATGAACTACACCATTGACAGCGACGCAACATGACGGCATCTGTCATCTAGCCGGAATCTCCATACAATGGTCATATATCACAGATCGTTGAGAAAGCGAGGCGACTTGGGCCCGTGGTAGGATGTTCGAAGAAGGAGGCAGGATCCGCAAACGCGTCTACAGTGGAAGCTTTGCCAAGTCTGCACAAAATTTATGCATCACCGAATCGCATACATAATCTACCATCCACGCCAGCGAGTCCAGACATCTACAATCTTGTCAGGCTCGGAGCTATCGCCATCAACCACGACATAATAACCGAAGTTTGGCCCGGCCATACAAGCATGGTTGGGCCATATCATCACCTTTTCGCCAATCTCGAGTTTACGCATGCCATCCGTTGAGCCCTCCCACGTAAGGTTTCCATGCTCTTGAGATATACGTCCAACGATCCAACCTGTCTTGGTTCCCTCAGGATCATATACTGGGAAAGTCTCAGCAGGGACTGAGCCGCCTGTCCAAGGCGTTACCACTCCCCATCCTGGATAACTTTTACACGGCTCTCGAGCGAGCACTATTGAGCCAGCTGCGATCAAAGCCTCCGGCTTGTCTCTCTCATCGTAAGTGCTTGCGACTTCGACCAAGATGCGCAGACTCAGGTTTTCCGTGGAGAGGAGTGGTTTGCCATCAACGCTGGTCGGACGGGCGCGTGTTGCAAGCTGTTGCATATCCAATACTGGATAAACACCAGCATGAATCTCGACATCGTACATCTCTCTGACCTCCTCAATGAACTTTCTGAACTTTTGGTTCCCCTCAGTCTTGACAAGAGCATTTTGGACAGCCGTAGCCGTTGGAGTTGCGCCAAGTGAGATCGTCAGCCTGCTTGTTCGCTCCTTTGGCAGAGCCTGTATTATTTGGTCCGCTCCCGCCTTTGCATCTCCGACCTCACTCATGAGAAATTCAAGGGCCTCCTGTGGACTGTTGGATCCATAGCTTTCGCCCATATGAGCGTAGGCGCCGACCAGGTGAACCTTTGGCGTCTGTGCGATAGCTCGTACCAAGGAGTCGATACTGGCAGATTGGGNGGATAAACCAGCTCTTGGGATAGGAGCGGCAATCTTGATATAAAGAGGAACGCATCCTGGCCAATCAGAACCTTCCAAGCTTGCAAGATGTTCTACCTGTCGAGGATGGTCAACGAAGAGTCCCACAGCCCCTTCGCCTAGCACACGTGCAACTGCTGCAAGGCGTGGTATGTGAGACAAAGCAACAGGTAGACCATAGAGGANCCTATAAAGGATTAGCCCCGTTGGCAAATGTGGCGTAGAGAGACTCGCATTGATACTCGCGCCTTGAGACATGCATGCAAGCAAATATGGTACAAGGTTCTCAATTTCTGAGACAGTAGAAGCAATCAATCTGATATCCTTGGAATCGTGGCCCATTTGGTATTGGGCGAGCTCGGTGGTCTTTGGCAAGCATTAGTCCAGCTTTTCATAGTGGATGAGTATACGAGGCCGAACTTTATGAGTCTTAACGTGTGCACGGAAACCAAGTCCAAGAGCTTTGGTAGCTTCCAGCATTGCCTTGCAGTTCCTNNTCCTAATTGGAGCCAGATCCAAAACTGCCGCGGGAGTTGGGATATCTTTGAGATTCTTGCCAGCATACTGTAGCTGCAAGGCCGCCTTTGATGGCGATAGATAGAATGAAGGGGCCGAGAAAGAAGACATTTTGACGTCCAAATTGGAGGGAGATACAATTGAGCAATTCAAATTCGCAACTCAACAGCTGGACTCTTATATATTCACGAGTCGTTGCCATGTGTTATCTCGGCCAAGCTGGCCGGCGTAGGATTGCGGACAAACAGAAGTCCGCTACGTTCTCATCGTGCTACGTTTGTTCCCATCCTGGAGCCACAGCTGCGTTCCCATCAATAATTCTTGCTCTTGGTATGAAAATAATCAGAGAGTAAGAAAGACTTTCGTCGCTACAAGACTTGAGAAGCTTCAAGGTTCGCTCAGATCACATTCGAATGTTGAACATCGTGGGAGTTGAAGTTATTGGGACGGACGATTGGTCGCATGTGAAAACAGCGGTTGGTCTTGAGCTTTCAAAGTGAGGATTGACCGCCGCAAGCTCGGACCACAGTGTTATGCTGGCCGGATTTCTGAAAAGTTGCGGCTGGAGAGACACAGAGACGACCGCAGAGTCTCCATAAACAAGCCATTCGTCCTTTGTGTGTACATACTTGATTTCAGGGCCAGTTCGGATATACACAGCACTCTGCTCGACCCCTAGAAAATCACAGCAAAATGTCGTTCGGTGGTCAAACACCGACTATCGTTGTCCTCAGAGAGGGTGCGCTTTACCTTGTGTCTTTTGGCGCGCAACACATAGCTAACTAGCCCAACCCAGGCACCGACCAGTCGCAGGGCCGCGGCCAAATCGTTTCCAACATTAATGCTTGTCTCGCCGTGCAGTCGACAATCAAGTCCACCCTGGGCCCTTACGGAGGTGATCTCCTGCTCGTCGACGAGAATGGCAAGCAGACCATTACCAACGACGGTGCCACTGTCATGAAGCTGCTTGACATCGTCCACCCCGCCGCCCGTATCCTGACCGACATTGCCCGCTCGCAAGACGCCGAGGTTGGAGACGGAACCACATCAGTCGTCGTTTTGGCTGGAGAGATTCTCAAGGAGATCAAGGAGCACGTCGAGCACGGTGTCAGCAGTCAGACCATCATCAAGGGTCTGCGAAGAGCCAGCACCATGGCTGTAAACAAGGTCAAGGAGATTGCCGTCAACACACAGGAGAACAACCAGAGAGATATTCTGCGGAAACTCGCTGCAACTTCGATGAGCAGCAAGCTGATCCACCGCAATGCCGACTTCTTCACAAAGAGTATGTCTTTGTATGCGCGCGCTTCCTCAGACGTCTGCTAACATGCCTGCCCTACAGTGGTTGTCGACGCCGTTCTCTCCCTCGACCAAAATGATCTCAACAACAGACTCATCGGTATCAAGAAGATCACTGGTGGTGCTCTGCAAGATTCTCTGTTCGTCAATGGTGTCGCCTTCAAGAAGACCTTCTCCTACGCCGGTTTCGAGCAACAACCCAAGGCCTTCAAGAACCCCAAGATTGTCTGTTTGAATGTCGAGCTCGAACTCAAGAGTGAAAAGGATAACGCCGAAGTTCGTGTTGAGCAAGTGTCAGAATACCAGGCCATCGTCGATGCCGAATGGCAAATCATCTACAACAAGATGGAGGCTCTTTTCAAGACTGGCGCAAAGATTGTTCTCAGCAAGCTGCCCATTGGTGATCTTGCGACACAGTACGTTGATCATGCTTGACTTCGACATTACACACATGCTGACTCCTGAAAAGGNTACTTTGCCGACCGCGATATCTTCTGTGCTGGTCGCGTGGCCTCAGACGACATGGAGCGCGTGTGCCAGTCCACCGGCGCCTCAATCCAATCTACCTGCTCCGACATTCAAGAGTCCCACCTTGGTACCTGCGAGACTTTCGAGGAGCGTCAAATCGGTGGAGAAAGATTCAACTTCTTCGAGGGCTGCCCCGGCGCAAAGACCTGCACTCTGGTCCTCCGTGGTGGTGCTGAACAATTCATTGCCGAAGTCGAACGTAGTCTGCACGATGCTATCATGATCGTCAAGCGTGCCATCAAGAACCAGAGCATTGTTGCTGGTGGTGGTGCTTGCGAGATGGAGATCAGCAAATACCTTCACACCTTCGCCGACAGCAAGATCCCCCACAAGCAGCAAGCTATCATCAAGTCGTTCGCCAAGGCACTCGAAGTCATTCCTAGACAACTTTGCGACAATGCTGGTTTCGATGCTACCGACATTCTGAACAGACTCCGTGTTGAGCACAGAAAGGGTAACCTCTGGGCTGGTGTCGACTTCCAGAACGAGGGCGTCAGAGATAACATGGCCGCCTTTGTGTGGGAACCCAGTCTCGTTAAGATCAACGCCATTCAAGCCGCTACCGAGGCCAGTTGTTTGATTTTGAGCGTTGACGAGACCATCAGTAAGCAAACAGTCGGCCTGAACCCATTTAGAAAACGTGCTAACGCAAGAAACAGANNAAACCAAGAATCTCAGGCTCCTCAGGCTCCTGGCCAACAACTACCCCCTGGTGCTGCCCAAAGGGCAATGCGCGGCAGAGGAAGAGGTATGCCCAGAAGGTAGACAACTTCTGCCAGCAGGTAACGACGATCTTAAAAGCAAAACATCATGTAAAATTAAATTAAGAGCATGACTGTCATCTTGTCATATGGCATGTTCAGAATACCAAAGCATTGGCCAATCGTCTTTCCAGCATGAGAACACACAAGTCGTGTCTTCGTGTTTCTCTCCATATGAATAAAGATGATCGCGAAACTGAAAAACAATATCCAATTGAGCAAAAATGAACTAAGCCTGACGAGGGCACACACTGCAACTTAGATATTCAGATGTCAAAGATTACCTGAATGCAGAAAAGCGCGCCGACACCGCACTTTTGTATGCATCATTGTGAGTTCTCTTGCGCGCTTCAGGCTCGAAGATTGTCCGATTAAGAGCGCGTCGAACACGGCTCGCAGATTGTGATGAGACCTACCTTTCGAGACCTAAACTTGAGACTGAATGGTGCTTCCTCTCGAGAGCTGTAGAAAACCATACACCACATGCATGGTCCATGAACCAAAGAATGCGACCGGCACTACCTCTCCCAGTGTGAAGGCCCGGATCGATGGATCACCAAGACCTGAGGTGCAATCAAGGATTCTCGCTTATGGCACAGACCATATGGAGGGATCTTGAGCTTGAGCTTCTTTCGAGGAAACACGTTTGCGAACGACACTCGACAACACCATTAATGGTATGAAAGACCACGAGGCCACAGTGACGACTCGAGACAAGTCCAGGCCGATATCATATCTGCCCAGAAATAGTCACGCGGAAAGAGTGGACACGACCCGCGTCGTTTGCTGGGATCTGGAACGAAGTAACCATGTAGTCCGAAGATGGTCTAGCGGATCGAATTGATGATCTCGACATTTGGGCCTGTATGGGTCGAACTTACGACTATGAGATGCCATAATCGGGACTGTTTGCAAGCGAAATACTGAATGCAGCAGTATAGTCATCCAGCGAGATAAAACAGGAAAGAGCGAATATCGTGGAAAGCAACTTCCTCAAAATCACTGGCTGCTGTCCAGAAGGACCGCGGCGGGCTTCAGGCGTGATTTGGGTGATCGTCCATAAGAGTTTAAAACCGCTTTGGCCCCCCGCACCCACCCCCTCCGCACCCTCGACTTTCATCACGCTATCCCAAACATACAACCAACTTCGATTCCACGCGTTTGACCCATCATTGGAATCCTCGAGACCCGCTCAATTATCCAGTAACAACAACCACATACCAAAATGCCTCCCAAGAAAGCCGCTGCCGCACCTAAGAAGGCTGCCGCCAAGGAGCCTGCCCATGCTAGCTACCAGGGTATGTACAGACTCACAGACTTGTCGCGTCGCCGGCGCGCTTGTTTGGCCTGTGTCGCGAATGTGTGCTGATTCTGGTTTACAGAGATGATCAAGGAAGCTATTATCAATGTCAGTATATCAAAGCGTTTACGCGTGTCGTCGAGTCTGGCGGGTTCGCGACAAGGCGCGCAATCTTGTCCAGAACCCGGCGCTGCTCGTATCTTCTTCTCGGACCATTACTGACGCGTTCTTTTCGAGCAATAGCTCAAGGATCGTCAAGGAAGCAGGTCAGTCGCGTTACATTCTGGTGCCGTCGCGTTATGTGCTCGTTGCTGACTCGTATGTGCCTACAGCCGTCAAGCTCTCAAGAAATACGTTCAGGCCAACAACAACCTCTCCAGCGTGACCGAGGCCGCCTTCACCAACCAATTCAACCGTGCTCTTGCCAAGGGTAGCGAGACTGGTGTCTTCGAGCGCCCCAAGGGTAGNCATCTCCTTCTCGTCCTTCCTTCCTGCCGAGATTGAAGACGAGATCTATGTCGGTTTGATGCAGCTCTGACAGTAAACAGGTTCTTCCGGACCTGTCAAGCTTGCCAAGGCAAAGGCTGGCTCTCCCCCTGCTGCAAAGAAGGCAGAGAGCAAGAAGACCGAGACCAAGGCCACCAAGGCTGCACCAAAGACTGCTGCTAAGGCCAAGAAGACCGTGAGTTGAACACAATGTCTCAGAGATCCTCCTGCTAATGTGTATCAGACTGCTGCAAAGGAGGCACCTGCTAAGAAGGCTGCTGCACCCAAGAAGACCGCTACTAAGGCTGCACCCAAGACCGCTGCCGCAAAGAAGGCCGCCGCACCTGCCAAAGCAACCAAGACCAAGGCCAACGTCTCCAAGGTTAGAAAGAGTGCTCCTGTATGTCTAGTCGCCTGTATTTTTGTATCTTGTACTGACCTGAGTGCAGGCACCCGCTGTTGAGGAAAAGGCACCCGTTGTCCTCGGAAAGACCAAGTCAGGCCGTGTCACCAAGAGCACCGCACCCTCAGCACCCGCCACCAAGGCAGCTGCCAGCAAGAAAAAGGCCGCTCCCAAGAAGGCAACACCCAAGAAGAAGGCTGCCGCCTAAAGGGAGCAAGCCGATGATTTCTTCTACTGTTATGACGGACAAGGGGTCCTCTAACGGGCGTGATTGACAGGGCGTCCGGTGTAGCGATACGGATGAAGGAGCACTTGACGAGATACCAACACTGGGACTACTACGAGATGATTTTGCTTTGCTTTGCTAGGGGTACTGTTCAAAGGTTCATGGAAGGGGGCGTTTGGGATTAATTCACGATCAGCTTGCTGTTATATTCGATCAGCAGCGGCGGACACATACGACATTAGTATTTTATCGCAAACACGTTGCTTTCTTTTTGGAAATCCGGTTTATTTATGTTGATTGACAATGACGACGAAAGTGGTAGTAAATAGAAGACGGGCGAGGGTTGCCAAGGCGTCGGTTCGGAGATGAGATGAGCAGTGACAAGCGGGCGGAAGTTGTTTGGGCCGATGCTATACGGAGGGTACGAGGGTTGCGTAGGGCTGAGGGTGCACAGCCAAGAAGCTTAAGCAGGGCCGGCCTTGTCGAACGCGCGCCATCGTCTCGCACACACAACGTCGTCTGGCACTTCGTCTCGCAGCCTGTTGTGTGCATGCCGCGACTCTCGACGCCGCCTCTTTGATATTTCCACCTCTCGATATTCCCAAGACCCATTCCCAGCCGCCCTCTGACCGCCCTCGGTCGACAACACCGCCTGACCGCCCTTGTGCTCGACGCATCAGCAACGCTGGCCCAATCCGCGCGCTTGAATGTCCCAGAGGGGGACACATTGAGCAAGGTCACCTCCCCGCTCAATGCCGTCTACTTGATGAAGAAGGTCGACATGCCATCATTCCTGCCCGACGATCGCGACCACCACAATTCTTTTCCGAACAAATCCTTATCACCACCCGTCCCGACACAACAACAACAAACCCCCGCCGTCGACTCCCTTCCCGGAGCATGGCCCAAACCCACACCTGGCTTGCCCAATGGCTTGCAACATGGAGCAGACGGTGCTATATCCTCCCTGCCTAATGGAAGGTCGTCAGAGTCGCACAGCACACGCGGGAGGACCGTCTCGTCCAAGGGTAGCATGCCCTCGATGCTGTCATCCAAGAGTGACAATGACCTCAAATCCGCCGACCTGTCCTCGCTTCCTCGAGAAGACGACGGCTATTTTGCACAAAAGCCAAATGGAGTTCCTCGGTCACCCAACCTTTCCCAACACGCCCTTGCTGTCCCCGAAGACGTTTCGCCAACCTCATCTGCTCTGCCGCTCCAAACAATGCCAAGCCCTGTGCTACCACCCGTGAGTGAGGCTGGTCCTTTCACCAACGATGGTATGCTCCGTGTACCACACTCAACACACCGTGCCTCTTCTCCTCCTGCTTTCTCCCACACCTCTTCGTCCATGGCCTCCGTCTCGTCCCAACCTCCAGGTCGCTTGGTTCACCGACATACTCTTGAAGTCCCTAGTGTGGCTGGCCGCACTTCTCGTGACAGCCAAGCACCCTCTACTCATGATGGTAATGTCGTCTCTGCCACTGGTCGTTTCTCACCTACCACTCCAAGCAGAAGGAGAGGTTCTTCTCAACTTGTTCGCCGAGGAACACGTTCAATTCAATCAGACGCCCATCTCGATGAAGTTGTCCCGGACGACGATGCTGTACGATGGGCTGAGCATATCAAGCAAAAGAGAGCAAGCAAGCGGAAGCGAGATGAAGATGATGAACGCGTCGTTGTTGGTACTAAAGTCGATCAGAACCATGTCAACTGGGTGACCGCATACAACATGCTTACTGGAATCCGATTCTGTGTATCGAGGACAAACGCAAAAATTGACAGGGACCTGACTGACGCCGATTTTGACGCAAAGCACAAGTTCTCGTTCGATATCACCGGCAACGAACTCACTCCCTCGGCCAAGTACGACTTCAAATTCAAGGACTACGCTCCCTGGGTCTTCCGTCATCTTCGTCACAAGTTTGGTCTGGACCCCGCCGACTACCTTGTTTCTCTGACCTCAAAGTACATTCTCTCTGAACTTGGCTCTCCCGGCAAATCTGGCAGCTTCTTCTACTTCTCGCGCGACTACAAATACATCATCAAAACCATTCATCACGCCGAACACAAATTTCTGCGCAAAATCCTTAGAGACTATTATTCACATGTCCAGGAGAATCCTAACACACTTCTCAGTCAATTTTATGGTCTCCACAGAGTTAAGATTCCTTATGGGAGAAAGATCCACTTCGTTGTCATGAACAACTTGTTTCCGCCTCACAGGGACATCCACAGGACATTCGACTTGAAAGGAAGTACAATCGGTAGAGACTTCAAAGAGGAAGAGCTAGAAAAAAATCCAAGGGCAACACTCAAGGATCTGAACTGGCTACGACGCAATCTCCACCTAGAATTTGGTCCAACCAAGAAGGATGCATTCGTAGAACAGATGCAGAAAGACGTTGCACTTCTCCAGAAGTTGAAGATTATGGACTACTCGATGTTGGTCGGCATCCATGATTTGCAGCGAGGCAACGAAGACAATCTACGAGACAAGACTCTGCAGGTCTTCCAACCCGGAGGTCACAAATCTGAGGATCAACCGCCAAACATGCTGATGCGGACGCCTAGCAAGCTTGAAAACGCACGAAAGGCACAGGAATTGCGAGAGCTCATTAAGAACGAAAAGCCTATACCAATGGGTCAAAGCTTGGACAAGATGCCTGATGAAATGGCCGGAGGTCACAGGAAGCAATCTTATTTCTATAGTGACGACGGAGGTTTTAGAGCAACCCACGAGAACGACATGGCTGGAGATGAGATCTACTACCTCGGGATTATCGACTGCTTGACACATGTAAGTCGATGGAACCATCTGTTGAAGCATACACTGACATACTACAGNTATTCAATGATCAAGCGCTTCGAGCATTTCTGGAAAGGCCTATCATCCCCAGAGTCACAAATCTCTGCTATACCACCTGAACGTTATGGCGATCGCTTCGTTAGGTTCATATCAGGCATCACCAAGTCACGAGAGCGTGCAGAGGCAGAGAAGGAGCAGCTCCTCGACCAGGGTAGTGATAGACTCAACCAGGCCATTCACAACATCGAAGGCACTCTCGACGACCCTCAGCTCTCTGGTGTCAACATGCTTAGATCTCCGGACCAAAATCCTGCTGGCACCGATAAGGTCATGCGAAAGGCAGAAAAACAGGCAGAAAAGAGCAAACATCGCGGCGCCAATGAGGATGAAGTCCCGGACCGCGCTATTGGCGCAGTTAGAAGCCCTCATGCCGAGAACGACAACATGATCACACTGCCCGTCATCGGCGAGGCTGCAGAAAACGGCAGNCCCTCTTCGAGAACACCTACCCGCACAATAACTCCTCAGCGTTCAAAAGAATCTTTCGGCGGCCGTAAAGGTAGCACTCAAACTGCCGCCCGACAAAACGAACTTGGCAGCCAAACTCTTGGTGAGGTACCACCACCTACGCCTCCGAAAACAGACGGGCCGCCCTCCTCCAAAGAGTCCATTGAATTTGAGAACCACGGTCGTACTGTCAACAACTTCAGTCGTCCATTAACACCGCCAAAGGATGATAAATACAGCCTGCGCGACCAAAGANNGACAGACCGCCGACACCACCCAAAGACGAAAGATATAGTCTCGACAAGGCTCTGCCTCTGCCGCCATCCTCAAACAGACGGAGTTCATGAAGACGAGGTGGAGGCTTTGAGCACAAGGGTTTCTGCTCTCTAGAACTCTGTTTTCCTTTCCCTTGTGTTGGGTCTTGCAAATTGTGCACAAAGAAATCTGCTTTTTGGGTTGTTTTTGGATCTCTGGGGCTTATTGCTATCTTGTTTCCTTTCTGTGTGTTTCCAACACTTTTCTTCTTTTATTCCCCCCTCATAGCGTGGTTGTGTTTTTTCTTTTTTCGAGCGAAATTCATGTTTCTTTTGTTGGTTCCATAATCGCTCTTGCTCTTTGTTATATAGTCGTCTCCATTCTCCTTCGATACCACTGTTGTTGGCGTGTACTCAAATGCAAAAAGCCCTCTTCTTTTCCCCTTGTGCTGTATCCGGTTATCTCTTGAGTTGTTGTTCTTGTTTTGGATGTGTTCTGCGGCCCCTTTGCTTTTATGCATCAAATAGGTAGGGTATTATCTGGAGGAGCAATCTTTATGTTTATCCCTCAGGAGCTGAAGATTGTCATAATCATGTGATGCACACTTGTTCTTCAGAAGACATTGTGTATCTGAACAGCTATACGGTGATGATCTGTAGCACACGATGTAAGCATGAGCACAGGGTTAGGCATGATGACAAGGAGTAAACGTTCTATTCATGGAAGCAACGCCAGCTGATCATACACCTTCTCGTCACACTTTCTCGTTTCCATCACTCTTCATCTTCGTCATGTCAGTCCTGCACACCATCTCTCATCTCGGTTTCGTCGATCCACAGAGCCCACAGACTCCATAGTCGCCTGGGTTGACGTAGCCGACACTTTTACATCCTGTATCCGTACACTTCCAGCAGTTAGGCATGAGTGCTGGGTTGAGCACGTGCGAGCAAGCTGCACACATCGCGGCTGTGGGTTCATTCTTGAGCGAGCAGATTTTACAGGTCGAGGAAGGAGCGACTGGTGAGCGCTCTTTGGGCTTGCTCTGGGTGGCGGTCGTGCCTACCTCAGTGCTGGTGATTGTCGCTGATGAAGATGGTGCTGATGATGTTTTTGGCGCGATAGTGTTGATGACAGTCGCCTCGCTTTCGCTTGCTGTCGACTCATCCTTAATGGCGACAAGCGGCGGTTGTGACGGCTTGCTGCTGTGTTCAGATTGCTTGCTTGACGATGATGACGACTTTTCAGAAACATTCTTCTCTTTCTGCTTGCTCTTCTCCTGCACAATGGCTGTGATGTCTTGTATCTCGTCTTCGCTGTCCGTAGATAGGTCCTCTGGGATTGGCTGTGTCTTGGTCGGTGGTTTGACGAAGCTGCGCGGTGTGTCCAGGTCTTGATCGTCGTCGCTCTCTGTCGAAGCATCGTCGTCAGGAAATGTCTGTTTAGCTTTTCCTTTCGAGGACGGCTGCGTTGATTTCGGCGTAGCCTGGTCAATCTCACGCAGCTCATCGAATTCTCGCTGCGCATCTTTGTCATCTGAGTCTTCGTTCTCGCACACTCTGACCATGCTGCCATCTTCTGGATTCATATTCCTCTCAACAGTCGTGTACTCATAGTCGGAATCGGTTTCATAATCGTCGTCGCTGATTGTTTCAGTCTTGGGCTCAACCTTGACAGCCTCCTNTTTCACATTTTCGAAGCGTGCCAATGCTGCTGCTGCTCGAAGCTCCCTTCCTCGCTTACTGCCTGCCACTCTGGGCTTAACAGCAGGCTTTCCGCCTTTCTGGCCAGCCTCGAGCTTGGCTCTGATACCTTCACTGTCTCCTAGGGCGACGCCATTAACACCAAACTTCTTTGCGATTCTGCGTTGTTGGCGCTCGGCATATGTGATCTTGGGAGCGTCTTCTTTTCGCCTTCTCTTCCGGCCACCTGATGATCTGAAGGTACCACCGCACAAGCTGGCAGGTGCATTAGCACCCTCGGGCATGTGGTTGGTCATGTACTGTCCAGTGATGAGAGATTGACCTTTGCCCCAAAGACCTTCGCCAGTGTATGCTTTGTCCCAGAGAACCTTGAGCTCGTCGGCATAGGCGTTTCTGACCTTCCAGAAATCGCGAGAGTGGTTCATCTGTTTGCAGTGTGCCAGCTCGTGCATCATGACCATCTGCACGTGTCTGAAGGGTAGCCATTGGTTGGTGTGTGGAGCCTTGAGAACTAGCTGAATGACTTCTCCTGCGTTGAAGTTGCGGCCAATGAACTCAGAATTGGGTGGGTATTCTTCTAGTGCCATGACAACAATGTGGTTCTGTTTCATGATGGGGTAGCAGATAGCAGCAACTCTTTCCAGGAAGTCTTGGGCTAGTGCCTTATCCGGGGTTTCGAGTGGTTTGATGAAGTTGATAAGTGCGTTTGGTCTTTTCTTGCGCTCGTTGATGCGCTCGAACCCGAGCACCTTGTTCATGTTCGACATGATGCTCGAGGTAAACAGTGGCGAAATGTCAAGCGAGCAGATATCGCGGCGGTGGAAGGAAAGAAGGAACAGACTTAGTGAGAGTTGATCAGGGCAGATTAAGAAGCATCTTTGGACCGGATGATGGTTGCTGTCGCGTCGTTGTCGTTCGACAAACAAGATGAAGGTAGAAAGTGAAGACAGAAACAGGGTCATGGACGCAACTTCGGCCTCGGCAAATCTTGCCGTCCGCAACATGCTCTGTCGCTGGCCATGTGCTCTTTCTTCAGTATCGACAACAGCAGACTCGGTTTCATAGTCAAATCATTAGCAACACGTTGAAGACTTGATCAAGCGTCGCCTGCTCGAACGATAGAACAATCCTCCGAGACGCCACAATATTTTCCTTCTCGACGTCGCTGCTTGTCCAATTTTTCTTCCAAACATTTCGGTTGCTTCGTCGATACGCAACCTGCCTAACATCGCTTGAACAAGCACAGATTTAGACTCTGTCATTACATATCCGAAACACAAAACGTATAAAGGACTCTGCCGCTCCGAACAATCATGGGTGGTACCGATGAGCTGATGCCGGAGGGCGTCCATCACTACGACGAATCATCAGAAATGCCCGAGAACATCCAAAAGTCAGTCAAACATCGAGGCTCCAGTCGAGGCAGAAACTGATCAAACAACAGGTATTGGCATCAACGCTATGATATCTGGTCGCGTTACGATGAAGGCATCTGGATGACCGACGACGTCTGGTTCGGTGTTACCCCCGAGCCGATAGCCAAGTATATCCCCCTCTCCTTCTTCAAGCTCTTCGAAGACTGACACTGATCANNCAGCCGTATAGCTGACCACATAAAGACTGGCGGGCCTGAATCAAAATCAATCATAATAGATGCCTTTGCTGGTGCCGGCGGTAACGCCATTGCTTTCGCCCTTTCTGGTCGCTTCAAACAAGTCTTCGCCATCGAGAAAGACCCTGCAACCCTCGCCTGCGCACGACACAATGCAGAAGTGTACGGCGTAGCATCAAAGATCTGGTGGATCGAGGGCGATTGCTTCGACGTGCTCAAGAAGCGACTAAAGTCGTTGGCCAAGGACGCCATCGTCTTCGCCAGTCCACCTTGGGGAGGTATGTATCTACACCCGATGGTCCCCCCTGATACACATATTGACACTATAGATNNAGGTCCTCAGTACAGTGACGACAACATCTTCGATCTCAGCACCATGCAACCTTACAACCTCAAGCACATCTACGACAGATTCTCAGCCTACGTTCCAGATTTCGTGCTCTTCTTGCCTCGAAACTCTGACCTGAACCAGCTGGCAAAGTACGCGCCTGCTGACAANAAGCTGGAAGTCGTACACTACTGCACGAATGGCTCTAGCAAGGTAAGCTGCGAGATTGTGTTGTGGTATAGGGTTCCCTGCTGATTTGTTCTANNGGCTCTCTGCGCCTATTTTGGCGAATTCAAGTTTCAGTGATGGTGGTCAGGGGGTCACAAAGAATACAAATCGAAGGATACATGTCGTCGGACTAGCAGGAAAGATACCTTCAACAGTAAACAATTCAGCTAAATAGGAGATGGTTACCCTCAAGAATAGAATGATGTCCATCATTGTTTCAATCACATAAATGTTGTCTTAAATGAGATCGTAATATGCTGCGAGAGTGTTGGGAGAGAGGCCGTGCGCTCACCTGTTGTGAATGCGAAGAATAAACATGTGAATGCGCCCAAATGATACACATCATAAATTTTTGCCAAACCGAGACCTACAGCGATCATGTTGTACGTGAAATTAGAGTACTAGAGGCATCATAATCACAAATGAGGTGTGGACAGAGATGAGCAGCGCCAGTAAGTGTGATACCTTGCAAGCCTCAACCTTTATATACTACGACAGCCAGGTTCCACCCCATAATAAAACGATGATGGCAGTCGGTTTAGTGGAGTGGTCTGGCCAGCCATGAAATTAATCCTGCCTAGCTTTTCCGCGTATTCGTCGGGGGCCCACGGATGTCCATCTATACGTTCATCGTTACAAAACGGTAATGCAACTTATCTGCGTACGGTGTGCTGAACTGATAACTGACGAGTGCACGTTTTTGCGCTCCTTCCTGGTATACCTCTATCCTTTGACACCGATTTCAGTGGTGCAAATAGTTGTTGTGTTCATGCACAGGTGGACGATTACTGCGGTTTTGGATCTGTAAATTACAGGAATCTGATAACCAATGGGCCAGGGTTCAACTCTTGCAAGTGTCGTTTCTTTTTGCGGTGGCAACCAGCACGACGCAGCGACTGGTTCTCTTATACTGAGCTCCCAACCACGCCTGCCTAGGTAGTACATGCTAAACTCGAAGATTGGCCGTATCTATCGATAGAAGCTTATATCAGTTTATCAAAAGCCGTGCGACAGATATAAACAACTCATATGGAGGCAACATCTTTTCTATATGAAGCATACATCCTCCCTCCCCATGTGCTAAAGGTAGTCACGATTCTGCAACTGGGTTCCTCCATCTGGAGCTATGCGGGTTGTTGTAAACTATCGGCATGCACAGTTTTAATTCGAATATAAAGTCCCGCCATTGAGATATTCTTCATCAATATTCTCTGTGGAGACCTTGTGCGTTTTTGTAGCTACACTGTGACTGTGTTTAGCACACGGGAAGGATGAAGAGACCGGGGTTCGCAAGTGTTTGGTAAGTCGAAGATATGCGTATTATTGTTCTTTCTCTACAAGTGCTAATTTAGGAGTTTATGATGCAGTAGATGTGGTGTTGCCTACGACCAGACCCTCAGCGTTTGCCTGACTGGCCCACGCATCTCTTAGAGCCCAAACGGCCACACTGACACCAGCGCCCTGGGGGATACCCTTAGCTCCGATCCTCAGAGTATCGAGTGGGTGTTCAGGGAAGAACGTCATGGTGCCGCTCTGCTCGCCTCCATTAACAAACAGCTCTAAGATGGTACGATCAAGAATACCGCTGATTGTCCAAGTACCGTTCTCGCTACCACTGTAGATGCCTTCCGAGGAGAACTTGTCGGTGAAGTAAGGGTTCTCAGCACCCCAGTTTGTGTTTCTTCGCGACAGCCAAGTTGTGCCACCGGGGATTGTGCCGCCCTGAATGTTCTCACCACTGATAGATGAGGTGAAGGTAAAGTTCAAAGATCCAGCCAAAGTATCAGGGGTCAGACCAGTGATGTTGGCTTCAAAGTAGAGTGCACCAGAAGGCACACTGGAGTAGTCGAGCAAGATGCTGTTGTTACCCAATGACGAGTTGGAAATAAGAACCTGCGAGAACTGCGAGCTGATATTGAAAGGCGAGCTGACAAGGTCCCAACCAATTTTAGGCAGCATCTTCAGATGGTTCTGACGGAAGACCGTCATGGAGCTGCGCCAACCCTCATTTGCAGAAGGAACATTGTTGGTGTATTGCCAGTTGCTGGCCCAATCCATGCTGAGGCGCTTCTCCGTACCAGGGATACCGGAGAAGAATTGACCGGCGTAGTTGTCCTTAGCAAAGTCGGAGATGCGAGCGACAGGGTCAACAGCCTCGAAGTGTGTACCGTTGAACGAACCGGGGAAGTACTGAGAGATAGAGCCGCCAAGAGGAGCGCCAGGGTTGATGGAGATGAACATGAGCCACATGGTCTCGTCTGAGTCCTCTACGGGCATCTCAACCAGGTTAGGACACTCGTATTGGATGCCCAGGAGGCCATGATGACTAAAGTTCGAGGCGTGTGTCCAATCTTTGAGATCGAATGAGGTATAAATACCGACGGTGAATTCAGTAGCATAGACTGTGACCATTACCCAGCTTTGAGTTTTGGGGTGCCAGAAAACCTATCAATGAGTCAGTTGTGATGTGCCAGATCTTAGTTGGTGCTGCTAATACCTNNGAGGATCACGGAATTGAGTCGAGCCGATGTCGATGACGGGGTTGCCTTCATAAGGCTCGAAAGAGTAACCACCATCTTTCGAAAATGCAATGTTCTGGTTTTGAGATGTGCTGTTGGATAGAGTGTAGACGGCAACCACACCATTATCCTGTCCAGGGAAGTAGCCACTGGTGTTGTTGACGTCAACCACTGCTGAGCCACTGAACACAAATGTCTCGTTGTTTGGAGGAAAGAGCGCGATGGGCTGATTTTCAAAGGTGTAACCATCGGTTGTAGTTGCATGGCCCCAATGCTGGTTGCCTGCTACATCGCCTGATGGATTGTCTGTGAGCGTGTTAGTGCCGGTTCATCTATCATGTTAAAGAGAGAAACAAACNNACTGATAGTAGACATGATAAAGGCCATCAGCATCGACAAAGAGACCATTGGGGTCATTNNCTGAGCAAACATATTAGACACGTCTTCCATTTGTAGAGATTAGGATATATACCATGAAGCCTTTTGGAGGTGAGAAATGGACCTGTGGCCTCAGAGCACCTCCATAGTCACCGACGACAGGTGTCCCTGTTGGCACTATTGACGAAGATGTGGTAGAAGCATCCTGTGCAAACACAGAGCCCAAACAAAGCAAAGAAGACAAAANAGATGAAGTACGAGGCATTGTGATGATTGCGTTCCTACCTTTTCCCACGGCGATCTGCTCGTTATTTATATTGACATCTTGTAGATCCTACCATGCTGTGCCTCCACTGCCTCGGACCTCAGAATCCTGGATACGGGCCACATAGGTCATTGCTTGCGGAGCGGATAAATAGGTCATCACACGACATCTGCCATGAGTCCAATGAACGATGCCGCGAGATGCCAATGCAAGAGAAGGGCCGATTTTGCTTACTGATTCCTCACGAAAACAGCGTCTCCACAGGATTGACCATGACCGCACTGTGGGTGAAAGTGGGGTCTGGGGACGAAATTGTGGACGAAAATCCGGATGCTTGCATCCTTCTTGGCTCGCTCTAATTATCGGACCGAGTACACGATCTCGTTTATGATCCAAGAGAGTTTAATTATCAGGGCATGCTCAAAGCCTCTGCAGGATATCGGCAATAACAACAAGAAAAATTGGGGAACGCGGCACGACATGTTCATCGGCCATCTCTGGCTGATATAGGGCCAATCACACATTATTACTTTGATTCTGAGTTGCAGGAGTACAGGCAGAAGTAACACACAAGATGGAATGAACTGTGGACTACTGGTAGCCCGTATGTATTTGAGGTATGTACAACTGCATGACATTTTTACACATTAAACAAATTTTCGTTACACAAACCGAAGCCTTTTACCAGCCTGGCCTAGTTGCCGGTCCACCAGGTGCGGTTGTTGGTCTGTTCAACAGTATCCCAGAGAAGCACGCTTGAAGAGTTCAAAGGTCTCTCGGGCCAGACGTTGTACAAGCTTGACCACATGTCAATGCTCTCGAAAGTGGCAGAGGAACCGCTAGGAACGTAGATACCGACACCAGTGCTGCTCTCCATGCTGGGGTAAATTCTGGTTGTGAGAGCGAAACGCTCGTTGATGTAAATCTCAACCAGGGAGCCATCGACGAAGATTTCCCAAGCCAGAGCCTCCTGAGTAGCGTTGCCATACTCGCCTTGAGTGGTGTAAGGGTGGAAGTATCCAATAACAGAAGAGTTGGCAAAGCCATCGAGAAGAGATGAGTGGCTGCGGTCAACGACAACAGTGTTGTTGGCAGGCTCATAGTAGATAGTGGTGTATTCGCGACCGTCAGGGCTGACACCAATTCTAACACCGCAAGGACCACTGGCGCTAGAAACAACAGCACTGAGTTCCATGTGAGCACTGCCATTTGCAACAAGAGTCTGGCTGCCGTTGTAAGTACGACCGGGCCACGAGTGCTGAGTGGAGCCATTGCGGAGACCGACGACAACATCGTCAAGAGGTCTGACACCAAGAGTCTGAGCTGTGAAGCTGCCATCAAGGTTTTGAGTGAGGTAGGAGCTGCCCATCTCAGTGACAAGGCCGTCCATGTTTACAACGTTCTTCACGGTGTGAACAAAGAGTTCACGAGGAAGAGAAAGGGCGCCTTGGAAACCCTGCTGCTTAGCAGAGAAGAGACCACCGTCACCAGTAATGTCTTCAGGTGCCCATCCAAACTGAACGCGGCGGTCGTTCTTGGTGTCGTTGAAACTGGAAAGGGCATAGAGGAGACCCCAATCGCCGGCACCACCAGAGATGGGAGTGAATTCAGCAGAGCCGTTGGCGCGACGAGTGACGTGACCCTCGTTCCAGAGAGCCCAGTGGGCAGACTCATGGAAAGAGACGTTGCCACCCTCGGATCCCATGTTGACAAAGTAGTGTAGGTGACCATCCTCATCAGGGAGAGCGAAGAAGCCAGAGACTTCGAAGTTGTAGCCGTACGAGCCAGTTTGGAGTACCGAGCCGAGAGAGCTGTTGTCAGCAGGCTCAAAGAGGGAACCCAGGAAAGTCCACTTGGTCAAGTCTGAGGCAGGTGCGGCCCACAGAGGCATGCGAGGACCGACACCCTTGATGCCGCTTCCGAACACAGCGTAGTAAGAAGGCTCGCGACCAAGAATGGCATCAAGAGCGGGCAGGGGCTCGAAGAATGGATCACGGAAACCGGTAATGTTCCAGTGACCAGGAGGACCCTCAATGACAGGGTTGTTCTCGTACTGCTGCCATGTCTTACCACCGTCGGTAGACATTGCAAGACTCTGGCTCTCGGTTCCATTCTGGTAAGGAATGCTCCAGCTGGTGGGAAGCTTGGAAACGGAGGTGTAGAAGACGAGCAAAGTTCCGTCAACACCACCAGTCAAGTTGACAGGCTGACCAGTACCAGAGAAGATTCCGAGACCGTTGTAGCTACCGTTGCCAGAAGGTCCCATTGCTAGAGCATCTGTTCCCTGCCAGCCACCAACATCGGTCCAAGAGATCATGTCTCTGGAGGTGGCATGGCCCCAAGAGATGTTACCCCAGTTGATGTGCTCGGGATGCCATTGGTAGAAGGCATGATACAGGTCCTCTGTGGGATCATACATGAGACCACAAGGATCGTTCATCCAACCTGCTGGAGCAATGAAATGGTTCTGGGGACGCCATCTTGTGAAAAGAGTGTTGTTTCCCATGGACTCGATCATGGATGTAGTCAATGTTTGGCCGAGGGCAGTTGCGCCCATCAGGCTGCCAAGAGCGAGAGAGCCCTTCATTGTGGCGGGATAAAGAGATGAAAAGAAGGATGAAAGGGAGGAGAGGACTTGCTTGATGAGAGGTATATCGTGGGGTGATACCTGGAGGTTTATATATCTCCAGATCTCATGAGACCTGGGGCACGAACGGGGAAAGAAGGCAAGAAAGCAAAGAATTGAGTTGCTCCAGAACAGATTCTAGGCGTTCTGGCAAAGATATGACGCCGATCGCGAAGGCATCAAGCCACCAAAAGTGTCGGACCGACAAAGATACTCGTCTGCCACGTCTGGGGCCCCACACCGGTAAAGCTATGGTCATAGAGCAAGCATGCGGTTTCTGTTAGAGGATAAGTTACTCGTACATGTCTTGAAGAGCGGTCAGTACACGCCAGAGACAATCGAGAGCATGGTATGAAGCACATGAGTATCGAAGGTCTTCAGACGAGAGCTCTGTGGTGATGGATAACCTATGCTGCAAATGGGCTCGGTTCGAACTGCAAAAGTTTGGAGGGTCATGCAAAAGAAAATTCATCATTAGTAAGTTGGGCGGTGGTGCTGTCAACGCTAAAGCCATTTGATTGGATATCGCGCAGCAATGGCCTACCAGGAAGGACGGGATAGCCGACGCATAGCATACGAGATGAGAAACAGGCGCGGCGCTTGGGCATGCTACGATGGAGACGTGGATGGTCGTAGCTCAACTGATGGTGATGATAGAGTTCGGGACTTGGAAGTGGATTGCGGGACAACGTGTGTGTAGGAATGGGAGCCCCGCGCGGAGAGCGAGGTATCCAAGTTGTCCTCACGTTAGATGTCGGGTGGTGTTTGCAGGGATGATCGCCAGCGAACTGTAGTTGTTCGTATGGCAGATGTTCGTATCGAAGCCATGTAATCTGGCATGATAAGTGCCGCGATTGCGAGATTGCGAGATTGCGAGATTGCGGGAGAGAAGAGGACGGGCGGCAGTTGTCGGTGGTGTTGAAACGAAGCATCATGTGGCCTGTCTCCGGAAGAAGAGGCTGGTTGCCGTGAGCGGAAGATTTAGAAATGCCATGGCCCATGTCTGACTCTCAGTCGGGCCGACAAAGACTGGGAACCATGTGGATTGTGGAAGGCGCGGAGAAGTGTGCGCACAGACACCTCGGAGCAGTGACGTTCGGCATCGGATGTTGGCGTCGTTTGGATCCGGCTGCTACGTTTACGTGTTCGCATGTGCATGTCCAACCTCCGCGACGACAAGACACAATGAGGCTCGCTGCCTATGCTGGAACCTCTGCGCTGGTGGCAGCCGGTGCTCTACTGAAGGCTTTCCACCAGCGGCCCAATTTCTATTCGGCCACGGTCTACCTGTCGCAGAGCAATGCCTGTGTTCTTGTGAGCTGCTGCTGCTCCTGCTATGCCCTCTAGACGCCGCTAACTCCGTCATCACCCAGNATCCTCACCAACCTCGCCCTCGTCACCGCCTGTAGCTTCATCTACGGTCTCCAGCGTCTCTTCTACGGCCCCCTTCGACCCATTGAAATCGAGCATCTCTCGGAAAAGGCCTGGTATGCCGTCCTCGACACTCTCTTGGCTATGCCCTCCCTGAGGGACGAGGTTGGAGGATGGATGCTCGCCGTCTTTGTTCTCCTTCTGGCTGGCAAGGTCTGGAGTTGGATTGGCGAAGGCCGCGTCGATATTCTTGAACAACAACCNCCACAAAATCCCCGTCTCTTCCACGCACGACTTGCTTCATCGCTACTCGTATCCACCGCATTCAGCGCTGCCATGCTGAGATACTGTATCGCTACTGTCAAAGACGACCCTCGCCCTGGCATGATGGTCATCTTCACCTTCGAATTCGCCATTCTTCTGATCTTCTCTCTATTTACCCTCCTACGCTATGTGCTGGCTCTGACAGAAGCACGTGTGCTAAAGCAACAAACAAAAGCCAAGATGGACGAAAGACGAGCCGAGATTCGCGCAGAAAGAGAACGTCTGGAACGAGAGCGTGACGAGTCGATCGATCCTGAGAGTTTGCCTCCTCTACCCAACGAAGAAGACGTGGATGAGAATGAGATCGACGTCCCAGGCTGGGAGGAAAAGCGTCGATGGTTGTTTGGCCTCGAGCTTGCCACAGGTCAGTCAATTTTGCTTCGGTCTAGGTCATCAGGACTAACCATGCGTNNAGACTTCATCAAGCTCATCGTCTACACTGTCTTCTTCGGAATCTCTTTGACCTTCATGGGACTGCCCATGCATATCATCCGTGATGTCTATCTGACCTTTGCATCCTTCATCAAGCGCGTTCAAGACTACAACAATTATCGCAAGGCCACCCAAAATATGAATAGCCGATACCCAGATGCTACCAGCGAGGAGTTAACCAACGACAATACTTGCATCGTTTGCAGAGAAGTCATGGTGCCGTGGGGTCAACCCGATGCTGCGGGACAAGCCCGCAGACCCAGTCTCATTAACGAGGGTATGCGCGCGAAGAAGCTACCATGTGGTCACATCCTCCATTTGCGCTGCCTTAAAGCTTGGCTCGAACGCCAACAGGCTTGTCCAACTTGCCGCCGCCCCGTCATCCCCACTGGCACCCCTTCTCCTGATCGTGCGGGAGCTGGAAATCAAAACGCGAATGGCGGTGCGAACGGAGGTGCGCAGCAAGGCGCAAACGCGCCAGCTGGTGGTCCCAATGCGGGCAATGGTAACGCAAACCGTCCAGCTCAACCCAGACTGCGTATGCTCAATCTTGGCCCAATACGCATTGGTGTCTACAACGGACCTGCCAATCGCGTACAAGATGCTCTGAACCAAAGACGTGCCCAGGACAACGGTAATGCCACTGGAACCGCAACACCGGCAGCAGCGACTCCAGGAATCGGAGGATTGGCTGGAGCAAGATCGATGGACACTCAGTTGCAGCTTCTCCAGATCGAGGAGCGTTTACTCCAAGAAATTCGTCGCTTGCAGATCGAGCAAGCTCAACTTGCGACGGTTCGTGCTTTAGAAGCGGAATTAGCAAGACTTCGCGCCTACCATAGCAACAACCAGGCTGGAAGTAGTGTCACTGGTCCTTCTGTTGGTACCAGATCGGCTACACCGAGTCTTTTCCCAGCCCCTACTAACATGACGACACCTGGTGCTGGTTCTGCGCAACCGCAAGTGCTCCAACCTAGTCTGGGACAAGCACCAATGACGCAGGGGCATGAAAACTTGCCACCTGGTCTTGTGTTGCCTGAAGGATGGACCCTCACGCCTCTTAATAGAGTCGAAGGCACTTCACAACCTGGTGGTGTCAACCCGCAGTCTCAGGTGGTGCCTACACCTACGACCACAATCCCGGCGACTGAAGCTCCAGCTCCACAGGAACAAACAGAGGAACCCACGACTCCAGATACCACGGTAACTCCCACTGCCAATCAATCGACCGAAAAGAGTCACAGTGCCCAAGAAGAAGTACCGGAAGTAGAATCTTCTGGTCACAATGAGGAGCTCTCTTCGCTGTTGCCTCCGCAAGCTTCCTCCTCGTCCACTCAGCCGCAACAGCCTGAGCCTCTAAGTGTAGATGAGCAAGTCAATGCGGATGAAGAAGTCTCTGTTCAGCAGCCTGTGGAGATTTTGTCGGAGATTCCGGCACAGTCGAGCTCTAGCTTTCTGACGACACAACCTGATGGACGGGGAGAGAGCTCGAGCTGGAACTTCGACAACATCGACAATGTTGAAGCCGAAAACAGCACCCAGCAAGTAGATGACGAAGAGCAGCCCAAAGCAGTTGACAAGGGCAAAGGCAGAGCAGTTACGGTGGAGGACGCGGAGGATGCGGAACAGTAGACGGAAACTTTCATTGTTTATATCATTCACGATCATGGCACCAAACCAAAGGCATAGGGCGGGCATAGCGAGGCGTTTTCTTCTTTGGAAGCCGTATCAGGGCTTGGTATTCCACTCATAGCCGGCATGAACGGCGCAATTCTACATTCGTTTTTACAGAGATTGGCTTCTACCATCTTTCCAGAAGGTGGAACTATATGTGACTTGTGCTGTCGTTCGTAGACTCGGCACGCCTGAATCAAGCCTTGCAAAACGAGAATACGGGCTGTTCTGGCCATGCCTAATTGCTCCGGTATATTCAGCACCATGTCGATAGAAATCGCTTTAGTCGTTTCCAACGCCCCAATACAAGAATATCCAGAGAAACAGTGCAAATGTTGATACGATACAATGGCATACAAGAGAAGCAAAGAGTAAAGGCACTCCGCTGGATGCTTAGAAGTTGCGGGCCTTGAGGAAAGCTTCTATCCGCGGCTTGTGCCAGCCCTTGATCATGACATGGTTTGTGAGTCTGTTGATGACACACTCGGCCTCTGGAACACCGAGTTCAATCTGAAGGGCATCGCGCAGAGCATCAATGTTTCCGTCAATCTTCTTGACGCGGGTCAATCGCATGTTGCCGCCGCGTTTCCTCAAGGTGTAGATGGGCAGTTCGTTGGAAGGTGTCCTGGTGACAAAGTATGGGAGGTTGGGAGCGATTTCCGACTCTGGCAGGGCAGGGGCTTCGGAAACGGGAATGTCGTTTTGAGGTTGGCGGTCAGGGTAGTTGCGGACCTTTGTTGGTTGCGAGGTGCGGTGTGAGGCGTGTGATACAAGGGGTCGCGGGATGGACTTGAGAGAAGTGGGAGGATATGAGGGAGAGGCGGTGCGCGAGGCGACGAGGTTAGGATCCACCGAGGGAGGAGTGTAGACATCNNTGTAGAACATTTAGTAAATGTTCAAGTGTGAGAGGTGGGCCAACATACCTGATCGGATTGAGGATGTCGAGAAGCGCAGACATTGGCGCACGGCAGATGTGCGCGGAACTGCCAGAAGGCGTAGTGAAGGCATGGCCGGTTGCAAGAACGACATGATTGTGAAGGGATGTGGTGTATCGACGTCTAGCAGAGGGCAACTTTTCTGTTGCAAGTCGCTGGTCGACGCTGGCTTGTGCCAAGAGTTTGCGGAGAATCGGCGCTTCTCGTGCAACGAGAAATTCGCCAAAGTGGCAGCGACGACAAGCCAGCGACCAGCGTCAGTCACCACCTCGTCGTCCACCCATATCGCCTCGCGCAAATACAATCATGGCCGCTACCGCCGACGCTGCTAAGCAGCATTCGATCCTGCCCACCTTGATCCCTTACCTCGACCGCCATCTTGTCTTCCCTCTGCTGCAATTCCTCGAGGACCAGGAAGATGTCGACGAGCCTTCGCTCGAGCACACCAAGCTCAAGTTTGAGCTGCTCAAGCACACCAACATGACCGACTTTGTCGGCGACCTCTTCGCCAAGATCAACAACCTGGACGAGCGCCCGGAGGAGTACGTTCAGAAGCGCGACGAGGTTCTCAAGAAGCGCGAGCAGTTGCAGGATGAGTGCTCCAAGATCCAGGACCTGCTGGCCGATACCGAAGTTGTCAACAACCTGCGCTCCGACAAGGTCCAGAACTTGAACTACCTCAAGGAGAACCACGGCGTCACTGTCGAGATGGTCGACGCTTTGTACGAGTTTGGCCAGTTCCAGTACAGCTGCGGTGATTACAACAGCGCCTCTGAGCTGCTTTACCAGTTCCGCATTNNCTTGTACGCCACGACTCTGCCTGCACATCCAACTCTATCCACGAACTAACATACTTCTCAGAGCACCGACAACGACAAGGTCTCAGCTGCAACATGGGGTAAACTCGCCTCGGACATTCTTACCACCAACTGGGAATCCGCCATGGAGGAGGTGCANAAGGTCCGCGAGAACATTGACACACGCCTGTTCAGCAACCCCCTGGCCCAACTCGAGCACCGCAGCTGGTTGATCCACTGGTCGCTCTTCCCCTTCTTCAACTACGAGCCTGCACGCGACCAGCTCACCGACCTCTTCTTCTCCCCCACATACATCAACACCATTCAGACCGCCTGCCCCTGGATCCTTCGTTACCTCGCCGCTGCTGTCATCACCAACCGCAACCGCCCCGCTGGCAAGAACGGCCAGAACTCTTACCAGAAGCAGCTCAAGGACTTGATCCGCATCGTCAGACAAGAAACCTACGAGTACACCGACCCCGTCTGCGAGTTTGTCAAGGCTCTCTACGTCGACTTTGACTTCGAGGAGGCTCAGAAGAAGCTCGGCGAGGCCGACGAGATCCTGCGCAGCGATTTCTTCCTTGTCGCTACCAGCGAAGCATTCAAGGATGCCGCCAGACACCTCATCTCAGAGTCATACTGCAAGATCCACCAGAGAATAGACATCAAGTACGCGCATTCCCCACTAGCTCTCTCTATCTCGAGCCCTCTTACTGACATTGTNTTTCTNAGGGACCTTTCCAAGCGTCTCGGTCTGTCCGAGGATGAGGGTGAGAAGTGGATCGTCAACCTGATCCGCGACACTCGTGTCGACGCAAAGATTGACTACAAGGAGGGTACCGTTGTCATGAACCACCCTCCACAGTCAGTGTACCAGCAGGTCATTGAGAGAACCAAGGGTGGTTTCTTCCGTACCCAGGTCCTCAGCGCTGCTGTTGCCAGGTAAATCGAGAAGTAATGAAAAGATAAAAAAGCAGCAAAAAGTTTTTTCAATTCCTCTCTTCTTTACGATACCTCGAATCACCTTTTTTCTTCTACATGGCATGAGAAAGGAAAAGAGGGGCCAGAATCATTTTCGGGGCTGGGGGTGTCACAATAACTCTTTTGTGTTACGATCAAAGCTAGGCGTTTTTATATTTCACAGTTTTTGGGAGAGGGAATTGATCGCAATACGCAAGGAGGAGGAAGAAAAGAAGAGAGTTGAGCAGAAGAGTTCGATGTTCGAACGAGCTCTTCTCTCGACTGATGTGTGTAGAGTTTGATGAATACACGGACATAGACCATCTACATTTCCCTCTATCATTTGCAGGCTTTCCATACTTGTGTCTTATGAGCATTGTGAGAAAACATGCTGATCACGAAAAGCAAGGCCACTGCCTTCTATTGTACGTACTCTGCCTGTCGTACCGAGGCCCTTGGAACAGACATGCTCATACTCGAGATGCTTACAACATGATTGTTCTACGAGTGATTGTCGACATAACTCACACGACCATACTGAGATGTGGCGCGTGAAAGCTGCGCCACAGCCAAACGCCACATCTCTACAGCGACCAACGCCTTGTCTTCCTCGTCTCTAAATTCCACCATCGCTTTCCAAGGCACCAACAATACAACAGACTTTTTCAACTAATCTTCTACATTCTTCTTGGAAGATCCCCACCGCTTCCGAACTACCTCATCTCACAGCATAAAGACCGAGAACCCGATATCTCAAAAGCAAAGCGAAAAATGTCGGCATCATTGGCGCCAGAGTGCAACGAAGTCAAAGAGTGAGTTCCTCGTTTTCTTCGATCAAACCTTTTGGTTTACTGGATCTCATCAAAGAGATTTTCGATGTGCTTGAGAAAGAAGTATTGTGGCTGACATATGGGAAACCGAAAATAGGCGTTACGACAGCTGCTTTTTGAAATGGTATAGCGAGAGTAAGTTTAACATGATTTCTTTTTGGTCTAGTTCTTTCTCTCAATCTCTTCCTGTTCTTGTTTCTCAGTTATGCAAAGGAAAAAACAAAAACATATTGTTAGTTCGTGAGAGNCTAACATTGGTTGTAACAGAATACCTCCGCGGCACAGCAACATCGGATGAATGCGAACCTCTGTTTGCAAAGTACAAGCAATGCCTTAGTGTAAGTTCTGTCTTGTCGACCCTCTTTTCAGAGATTCTGTGTTGACGTAACCTTCTCTTGTAGCGTGCACTCAAGGAGCGAGGCATTGACAAAATGCTCGACGAGGCGAGAGCGGACAACCGCGACAATGACCTCGAGAACATGAAGCCATCAAATTGAATAGGTCTTGAGGGGATGTGATACCTTCTCAGATCTTGTATTCTTACTTTTTTTTTCCTTCCTCTCTCATGACATGTAGCGCGTACGGTATGAAGCATCTCCATTCTCTTCACATATTCGATGTCTTGTTCTGTAGTAAGCCATACGTAGGAAGAAAACACATAGAGTATATAAAAAGAAGCAGAAAAGCCACTAGAGACAACCGAAAATAAAACGCCAGTCCACCAACCTAACCCATCTTGTTCCCAACACCACCCAGTCCCGAAAAACACCTACCCACCCAACCCATACATTTTACTCGGGGGAGTAAGTTCAGTCGTTCTTCTTCTGTCCGGCAGCAGAATCTTTCTCGCCGTAGTTGCCCCAGACCCATTTGCTCCAACTGCCGCTTCTCTCTGGAAGTCTGGGGCTGGGCTTGTTGCTTCCTGTAGGCACATGTTCGTAGCCCAGATCCTCAAATTCGGTCTCGCTTCTGCTTCTGTTGAGCAAGCCCTCAGCAGCAGGTCTCAGGTAGTCTTGAAGGTTTGGACCGGGACCGTCGTTGGTAGGGTAGGGTGGAGATGAGACTGGAGTGTGCTCGCGAGAGGCTTCATTATCGAAAGCCTGGAGAAGAGTGCGTAGACGGTCCTNTTGTGTAGAGATGTAGGCACTGCGTTCTGCGCCTGACATGTGTGGAGGTACGAGGTTGCCGCTGGCACTGAGATCTTGAGCTTGCGCGTCACGGGAACGACCGGCACCGCCAGGACCTGCAGCTTGAGCCATCACATTGCCGAGCATGGAGAACAGGTCGTTGGCACCAGGAGCAGATTGTGAAGATCCAGGACCGCCGTATCCTTCGGGACGAGCAGAAGGCATGACGAAGCGGTTGTAAAGAGCTTGGCTGTAGCTGACCTGTCTGCTAGCGGGAGGAGTAGGACGACGAGGTTGCATACCAAGAAGGTTAACCTTGACCCACTCGATGCCCTGCTTGAGGTATTGCAGACCGGCTGCTTTTGCTTTTTCATGGCTGTTTGTGATGAAGCGGTCGATTTCGCGCTCGTGCTCGTAAAGGAAGGGGTGGATGTAGGTTTGGTAGACAAAGACGCTACCTTGCTGGCCGGGGAGCACGAGGTAGAGGTGAGCGCCGAGACGGATCCAAGAGTAGAAAGGCACCCAGCTGAGAATGGGGTAGAGGAAAGACTCGGCGGCGAGAGCGAGTGAGAGAGTGGTCCAGTACATGAGCCATGGTGCCAGCTGTGCTAGGTCTGAGCTGCGCAGCGCCTTGTACGAAGCGAAGATGGGGAAGAGGATCGAGGTCACCGNAGCTGTGAGCGGAGTGTTAGTGGTGTTGGATGAAAAGAGATGAGAAGCTGTCTCGTACGTGAGTATGTCCGCCACAAAGCCAAACATGATGGATAGTAGTTGGTGGTTGAGTTGTCGCTGCGAAGCTTAGGTAGGTGATGTAGGAATAGAAATAAGGAAAGGTCAGTCACTTGATCAGAGGATACGTCGGTGGATAGCTCAGGCCAGCTGAGACACGACTAGCTGTTAGGATCTTTTGCTTTTCACGGCCACGGTGACTGGATCTGATTAGGCACCAAGTTCGGCTTCAGCTCACGAGTGTGCGTACTGAGGCCCGTATGTAACCTCTGACGATGCTTCCGAAACCCGCTCAAACGCCGTGTCCATTTGCGGCGGGGTAGATGATCTACGGCCTTATCTCTTATCGTCTCTCTTGGCACCCGCTCTTTCCACATCCGATCGTGTTCCTGCTTCAAGGCCTCATATCAAACAACCTTGATGCACTGCTTCAGTTCAAGTGAAGCCTCGCATGTTCTGTGTACCTATCCTGGTACGGTCAAATGCCATAGAGTGCCTCGTGAGAACTATGGTTTCTTTGCAGATCTTGGACGAGCTTGCAAAGAAGAATTGCACGATACTTGCTTTTTCATTCGTCTCACATTTGTCTTCAAAAACACATGGAGAGGCTTGACCAAGCGTTGCACCATGGCGGACTCGGAGGTGCTGCACATGAGGTAGCCAAATAGCTTACCGTACCTGGTTGTCGGTGGGGGACAGCATCAGTCAAGGACGAAGGGCGGGAGATTGGTGTGGCTGTGCAAGCAGAACAGCCAAAGCGTCACCGGCATCCGGCATCAAAACATTCGGTGGTGACGGTTTGACTATGACGAAGCAAGATGAGAAAGCCATCTTCCGAGTCTTCTCTCGCCCGTCTATACACATGTAGTCTTGTGCGCTGCATATCCAACCCACAGCCAGTATCTTTACAAACATCAACAAAGCCATGGGCCTGACAATTGCATCATAAGTCAGGTGCACACTTTGTATAGGTCCATCACAAAAACAAAGACTCGGGACTTCTTCGACTACAGACGGTACTTGTCCGTGGTGACGCGACGAGAATGTTGCTTGTCCATCAAGCCGGCAGCGTCAAGGTGGGCGAAGTGGTGCGGTATGTCATGCGACCTTGATGTTCGACGCGTCGACGTGCAGCTTCAGCTTTCTGACCACTCTATAGATTCACTTTGACCTACACGCCTAGCAACGATCGCATCCTGCCCAGCCCTTCGCATCTGCACCTGAAGATCAAAAACACTTCGGCCATCCCTCTGCGTGCCGCTTACCTCCACGGACCCTACACCCTTCACGTTGCCTCATATCCTGCCTCGTTCAATCCGAATCACAAAGTTGAGGATCCGCANAAAGAGGGAGTGCCGGACTTCGAACCGCTACTCAAAGCAGGCTCGAGCTGGTCCACCAAGCTGACTGTTCCCGAGAACATCCGAGAGACGGGCAACACTTTCGCCTCTGGTCACCAGCCCCGTGCTTCGCAAGATGCCCATCGAGACGACAAGCAAGGTCCGCCAAGTGTCACATGGATCATTGAGATCGCCTCGCAGATCTTGTTTTCCAACACGGCCGCTGTCCACTTCGAGCTCTTGGTCGGTCGGGATGAAAGAAGCTTAGACCTCGGATTTGCAGCCGTCGCTAGCCACGGCCATGGCGCTCCCGGCCAGATACACGATCACCAGAAGGATAAACGTAGAGATAATGTCGGTCAACANAAGGGCCTCTATTCGCGTGCTGTCAAACTCGTCGTCGAGGACACTCAAGCCCTCTGGGACAAGCCCGCTCTGCCATCCAGTGACGCTCATAAACACACTCGTTCGTCAAAAGAGTCGGTTCGAAAATCTAAGGAGACGAATACCAGTACCGAAGAAAGCAAAGAGAATGCTCCTAANGAAAAGAAGAAGATTCACTTAGTTGTTCTCACCCATGGTCTCCACAGCAATATCGGCGCCGACATGCTTTACATGAAAGAAAGTATAGATGCCACTGTCAGACAAGCAAGAATAGATGCAAGGAAACGAAAGGCTGCCTACAAGAAGTCGCAGAACAAGCCTGCCTCCTCACCAGACCAGCCAGATTCGGCAACTGACGACAAGCCTAACGAAAAAGCTACTACCGCACCTCTCTCAGGAGGCCAAGAAGATCTCGATGATGACGGCGAAGACGATGAAGAACAAGTCATTGTGCGTGGTTTCAGCGGTAACGCTGTCAAGACCGAGAAAGGCATACAATATCTTGGAAAGCGTCTGGCTAAATTTGTGCTGAATTTTACTTACCCGGATCAACCATTTCAGCCAGTCAAGAAATCCATGACAAGATCCTTCACCGATCAATTTAAATCTCAGGCCACTAAGAATGCGAGAGATGGCGAACCTGCGCACCAAGGGAGCAGCATTCACCACGACGACAGCAATACTGAAGAGCTCGCTTACACCTTTACTAGCATCAGCTTCATCGGACACAGTCTTGGTGGTTTGATTCAAACGTATGCGGTCGCTTACATTCAAAAGCACGCACCGCACTTCTTCGAACAGATCCAGCCTGTCAATTTCGTTTGTATGGCTTCTCCTATGCTTGGACTGAGTAATGAGAATCCCATGTATGTAAAATTCGCCTTGGATTTTGGCCTTGTTGGACGTACTGGACAGGATCTTGGTCTAACGTGGCGCGCTCCCAATATTGCAAAGTCTGGCTGGAACGCCATGATGGGAGGGTTTGGAGCTGGTTCAAAAGAAGAGCATCAGGAAGACCCAGGAGCAAAGCCTCTGTTGCGCATTCTGCCTACTGGCCCTGCTCATACAGTCTTACGCATGTTCCGTAACAGAACTGTGTATTCAAACGTCGTCAATGATGGTATCGTACCACTGCGGACTAGTTGTCTGCTGTTCCTCGATTGGGGTGGCCTTGGTAAGGTTGACAAGGCACGTCGCGAGAACGGTCTGATAGGCACATTGGCCGAATTTGGATGGGCTGAGCTCACGGGCGCCAATGCATTACCTAAGGCGCTCAGAAACAATGGTATAGCAAGCGTCGCTGGGACTGAAGACGAAGGATCTGGTGCCGATACACCGACAGGCAAACAGGGCGATCATGTTCCTCAGCCGTCTACAGAAGCAACGACAGACGACAATCGTGACTCTACAACTTCTGCTACAGAACCTGCCTCGGGTCAATTCTTGAGTCCTCACGATCGCGGGAGCGCAGGATCTTCGACGAATGCATCAAATCAGGGCGGTGGACTTCTGAATGGGTTCTTTAACTTCTTCCGTCCTGCACCCTCGCCCGAGCGTCAATCTTCAAAAACCATCAAGGCAGTGCGTCGGGGCCAAACCGTCGATGTGAAAGCTAGCGATGAAGGCGAAGATGCAAAGCTGGATGAAGGGGTCCATCAACGAGTTCGCCGAAACAGTCGAGGTACGACAGACAATCCGACGATGAGGCCAAGCAAACGTCCAGTTGCAACACGCGGCGGGTCTATGAACTCCAACCCAGATGCACAAGCACCCCCGAGCACATCCATCTTTGAGGCGGCCAGCGATATCCTTCACCCACCCATTCCATCCACAACTTGGCTCATTGACCCAGCGTCTCGCGACCGTACCATCTTCCACGACAGGATCTATCATCCCGAAGATATTCCGCCACCTCCAGTGAAGCGTCCCAGTAGACTTGCACGCTCATTCTCCTCGGATTCTGCATCGTTGAGAACAACTCAGTCTCGTGAAGATGCGGCTTCGGTCGATCTGGGTAACATGAAGGTTGAGGAGAAGATTGCGCGAGCGTATCACAAAGATTTATCCTGGCGAAAGGTCTTGGTGCGTCTCGAGCCTGATGCTCACAACAACATGATTGTGCGAAGAATGTTTGCAAATGCCTATGGCTGGCCTGTAGTCAAACATCTTTGTGACACGCATTTCGGAGACACTTTTACTGCGACTACAAGAGACGAAGACGAACCAGCTGTGGATCGTGCGAAGAACTATTCACAAGCTGATCACGAAGCCGGAGAAGAGGTCCAAGGGCAAAATGAGCAAAAGCCTCTTCGAAGACGTGCGTCTGATATGCGCGAAGATAGAGATGAACTGAAGCCCCTCAAAGACAGTACCAGCGGTGCCATCAAGCATAAACTCAACCCTCAAGGGTCCGCTGTATGGGATGACATCTATTTTGAAGGCAGCGACGATGACGACGACGAGGAAGAGGGTTACGCAGCCAAAGTACAGAGATTCTTACACTTCAATCAAGGCGAAGGTGATGGTGCGACTTGGATAGGTGGCGGAGGTGCTCCAAAGAAACAGAGTACCGACGATACCATCCGTCCTACCAAGAAACGCCAATCAACTGAGGTGCATCGTGGTCTGGGACCCACCAGAAGCCATGAGCCGTACTCTCCTCGCCTTTCTACATCTTCAAACAATGGGCCAGTATTGTCACCGAGCTCAGCCAGCGGAGAGTTCACAGGCAAGGTGTTGACGGAAGAACCGCCTAGCATGGGTGCTGGAGAGAGTATACTGAGTAATGCAAAGCGCAACAGTACGACCGGAGTTGGCTTGCAGAAGCCTATTAAAGAGGTTGTAGCCAAGCCTGATACGAATCCTGACGGTGAGGCAGGTGTTGGTGAGGAAGTCGCTCGCAAGGCAAATAGAGCACCATAGGCAATCTTGAGTACGTAGTGCTTGGGTCGTTCCTGCTTCCCGATGCTCGTATCTAGATTTTGTGTCCAAGATACACCTCTGTCTTCACTCTGACTTTTATACATTACCTGCTTCCCTCGACATCAATATTACACCTACAGTTATCAATCTAAGATCCGCATGCCTTCAAGAAATAACAACAAGATACCACGCCGTCGGCATAAGCACACCATATCTCCGAACCAACACCGTGCCATCTCTGCCTCAACACCACCACAACATCGCACTCAGCGTGCAACTGCAAGACCGTTAGCGAGTTCCTACCAATGGCAAGACTTGCGCAAGAACCCTTCCACCAAGAAGCATACCACAGTTACGGCATCCGCATCCAGACAGACGACTGGTCACGGAACAAGAATGACAGATGCGCGTCTGATGGGTGGTATCGTGGCCAGTACGACAATGGGTCTATCTTTGCATCATCCGTTGTTCTTGCCGCAGATTGATGTTCCAAAGCCGAAGGGTATGCGTCCAGAAGCGCATCGAAGGGACCTGCATTACGTGCTGTTGAGGACAGGCTAAAGCAGGTGCCACATTGTACTGTAGTCACTCCAAAGCGTCTCAATACATCACGGTCACTGGCAAAGCGTAACTCTGTGGAAAGAGATGGGAAAGAGATGAATCTTGTTACATGTGTTACAAATATCCTAAATCATTCACAACTCGCTCCTTACTGCATCTGCGAACTGCTTGACCGCCCAGTCGAAGCTGTCCAAGGGTGCAGTAGCGAAGGTCAGACGAAGCTTGATACCCTTGAGCTGGTCAGGCTCGGCCGCAAACCAACTTCCCTTGCTGATAACTACTCCCTTCTCCATGGAACGATTGTAAATTCTCTCCTCCAGATCCAGCAAAGCAGTCTTCTCCTTCTCGATCGAACAATCTGAGCAAGACGAGCACGCAATACGAGGTGTCGGTGACTGAAGATGTAACCAGAGGAACATACCGGCTTCAGGCACAACCCAAGTGAAGAGATCAGGTGGCAGGTACTTCTCGCACGCCGAGACCAAAGCATCTCGTCGTTGACGGTATTGGTGCGACAAGAATGCAAGCCAGCGAATGAAACCATCATGACCCCAAGTCACATCCAGCAGCTTGTACATGGCGACCTGAGAGAATCCAGAAGGAGCTACACTGCCAACTTCCGTGTAGTTCATGTACTTTTCGGCAATCTGAGAGCAACATGTCATCCATGCGCACCGGAGTCCAGGCGCGAGAATCTTTGATGTGGCATCTAGACGGACAACACGACCAGAGACGTCCATGGAGAGATATGATGGAGGCAATGATCGAAGATACTCGTCCACTGGCATTGGCGAGTCTTCTCCGGACTCTGATCTAGAGTGTAGCTTCAAGAAGTAGTAAGGGTCGTCCTCGATAATGTATAGATCGTGTTCCTCTGCGACTTGATAGATCTTCCTCCGTCTCTCGGCTGATTGAGTAGCTCCTGTAGGGTTCTGGCCACAAGGGACAATGTACATGACAGATGGCTTGCGTCCCTTGGACGGATCCCAAGAGCGCAACTTGGCCTCCAAATCTTCTGGTATGAGACCCTGGCCATCCATTTTGATCCCCAAAATATTGATGCCCAGCGGTGTGACAGCTTCAATTGCTCCAGGGTATGAGTACTCCTCTGTGATGATCCAATCTCCCCGATCGCAGAACATGCGGAACACAGTATCCATCGCCGACGTGGTACCACTCGTCAAACAAGTCTCCCAGTCATCGTAAGGCGGATTATGGATCATCTCAATGTGCTCAGTGATGAACCTCAACAGCTGCGGCGATCCAGCTGCATATCCATAGTTCAAAGCAACCGCAAAGTCAAAATCGTCTTCTCCTCTCGTACACGGCATAACCACAGCCTCATCAACAGGAGACCCTCTAGATTGTTTTCCAGAAAGCGCCAGCGAGTCCCAGGGAAAGTATTCTGGAATAGGTCGTCCAGCTCCGAGACTGATCTGTCGTTGAGGAATAATCGGAGCACCATCGAGACCAGGTTTTACACTGCTTGCTGATGCTTTCAGGTTTGAGGGTAGTCGGTTGCGGCATTCGGTGCTGAGATGATGGTTCCAATTCTTGGCTCTGGGCTTTGTGCCTGGTCGACACAATTTGAAGAATTCGGAAGAGGTGAATGGAGCAGGACCTGAAGGCAGAGGGTCGGATGTGCTCCGGTGCAAGGTATAGTCGGCAATTGCTTGGGATAACATTGTGGTTTCAATGAATTTGGATTCGAACAAAAGAATAAAACTATTCGGAGAAGATCGTAGTACAGTAATTGATATGGTTCTTGACAAGATCGGAATGGAATTGTCAATTGAAGACACTCAGGTTTATTGATGGAATAAAGAGGCGGAGAAAGATGTAGTATAGATATATGTGATGAGCAGGTGGTGTAGTCGGACAATTCGGAGTAACAACGTTTTGGTGCTTCCTACCTTCGGAGTATACTTTAACGTTTAGCAATTGACTCTCTTGCGTATCATGATTGCTCAGGACAGATAAGAAGCAACCAAAAGCCGTACCGGGTGGAACGACTCAGACGCGGAAACCCAATCCGATAGGGGAAGTCGGAAGCCGACGTGCTACGGACTGAATACGGCCTTAAGAATATAACAATATCAAGAATTGAGTGATTGACTGAGAACAAAGAGAAGCGTTCAACAGGACTGTGTAGGTTGTCGAGACGGAAAAAGCACTTGACAAACATGTGTATTACAGAATCATTGACATGTTCCGTGACGACTCTGCTGTGTGACATTGCCAACGTATTTACGTGTCGAAATGATCCTCTTGATTATTCTGAAAGATCAACTGGCTAGTTCGTGATAGATGGTGTACGTTGTAGGGTCCGCAATGCTCAAATCTTGGACGATTCACGAGCTCTCTGGTTGTTCAAAAGCTTCAACAACAGGCCCTGGGCATCTTCGCGCTCCATGAAGACCTCGAGCATTCTGACGCCTTTCCCGTTCGTAAGCAGACCACATCCTATTGCTGCTTCTAATTCGCCCCAGGTCCGCGCAGAAANAGTGTTGGTCTCCACCTCGTCTTCATCTGCTCCGAACATGTTAAGCGCTTGCAGATATCTCCAAGGTGCAATATCATTGTATGTCTGTTTGCGTCCGTGTATGACACGCTCGATAGTGTAGCCATCATTGTTGATGACTACAATGATGATATTGAGCTTTTCCCTGATCATAGTGCTGATCTCTTGTACCGTCATTTGTAGACTTCCATCGCCAATGAACAGAACCACTCGGTCTTCGGAGGCATCTGTGCTGCCTGATCTGTTTCTCCACTTCTCAGAATCGCGCTGAGCCATTGAAGCGCCAAGAGCTGCAGGTAGCATGTAACCAATACTCAACCACGTAACAGCCGTGAAGTAGTAGCTTCCACGCGGAAGCACAAGATCACGAGTGCCGTGAGAGGCTGTACCAGTCTCGCCCATAATAATATCTCCAGGTTTGAGCATAGGGTTGATAACACGATAGAAGTCCTTTTGTGTGAGTGAGCCAGACGATTCGACCGACGGCTTCACCTTAGTTGGCTTCGAGAGGGCTTCGGATTTTGATATCTTGTTGCAGTCCAGTTGGTCCAGTAAGTTTGCAACGAGCTTCTTGTTCGAAACATCACGAGTGATCTCAGTTCCGATTTTGACATGACGTTCGGAGAAAGAAATCGAGATTGCTTGCTTCGGAATGGTGGAGAATAAGGCGGTGTTCGTGCTGCTGAAGTGAGGCCCGAGTACCAGAGCGAGATCTGCTGATTCGAAATAGGTTTTTGCGTTTTCGCTGCCCAAGTCGGCATTATAGATACCTTGAAAGCTTTCAAGATGCTCATCTACCAAACCTTTGCCAAAGGGCGATGTCCATACGGGCCATCCGGTAATTTTGACAAGCTCATTTATCTCATCAAGGATGTCTAGACATCTGCTCTCACCATCCACAAATATCAGAGGTTTCTTGGCGGAGTGCATGAGCTCAAGAATTCGACCGGAAACCTTCGACTCGTTATCACCATAAGCTGTCGGAGGTAGAGAGATCTTGGACTTTAGACCGGCCGCAGACACCTTCACGTCCACCATGTCGGCCGGAAGCTGAATATATACTGGTCGGCTGTGGATCAAGGCTTGCTGTACAGTCACATCAAACTGTTCGGGCGCAGTACGAGGATCCAAGAGATTCGTCTGAGCGATAGTCACATGCGTATGCATTGCTGCAAAGCGATCGAAATCTCCATCAGCAAATGTGTGGTGTACATTGGTACGAGCCTCTTGCGTGGCTCTTGCTGGAGTGCCGACGATAGAAATGATAGGGGCCTTTTCCGCGTATGCACCAGCAATACCATTGACGGCGCTGAGTTCTCCTACGCCAAAAGTGGTGATCAGGGCACTCACACCGTGGATTCGAGCGTAGGCATCGGCAGCGTATGCAGAGTTCAACTCATTGCAATTGCCAACCCAATGCAATCCTGAAGGTTCAACAAAGTCCAGCAAGCGAAGATTGTAGTCGCCAGGCACTCCAAAGACGGATCGAATCCCAAGTTGATGGAGTCTTGCGAAGACGTAATCGGCAAGCGTGATCGTATCTTGTGATACAGAGGACATTGTTGAGGTGGTTTCAAGTCCGATGGGTTGAGACGCAATTCAGGTCAAATGACTCTACGCAATGAGAAGTTGAACTCCGATACAAATGCTTGAGCTGAAACGTGTGCTCAGAAACCATGATATGTGGTTGTCATCGGCGTAAGCGGGGCAGCAACGACCGAGGCGTCCCCACACCCCTCAATCGCCTTGCCAAGCCGCTCCCAGCCGAACTCGCCGAAGACTCCTATCGAATCGGAGTGATCTGCCATTTCCTTACTCCGACATACTCTACCATAGCAGAAGGAAAACACGATTCGCGTCAGGAAACTATGCCGCCTCGTGAGGCAGCCTGCGAGCCTTGCAGGAAGTCCAAATTGGCCTGTGATCATGTCCGACCAGTATGCACTCGATGCTTGGGCGCTAACAGGGCCGACGCTTGCGAGTATCGAATATCTCCTTTCAAAAGAAGACGAACAGATTTGGGTCCTTCGCCTAGGACGAACATATCACGGTACAAAAAGCAGAGTTTTCACGATTCTGTGTGGTTGTTGATTGGTTCTATAGTAATGGAAGCNCAAACTCGAGAATCCGAGCCACCACCAACAGCAGCAGCAACACCAACCATTCGACCTTATCCCAATCCAGGTTTTCAAGGCTCGTTGAGTTCTGCAGCAATTTTCAGTCATATTTCTCCTCGGCATCATGAACCGGGCACTGCTCAGCCGGAGCCTGACACTGTACCGGCTGGAGTGTCTGTGCCTGCGTTGCTTGACAACGATGATATTGCTTGTAGACAAGGGACTTCGTTAATAAAGCTGCTTCTTGAGGAGTACCCCTTGAGCACTCTAAAAGATCTAGTTTCATTCTGGCTCGCTAAAGGCATCAGTCTCTCACATGCTGAATCGCTGCTAGATTCGTGCATCGAAAGCATGGACGAAGCTCTAAACTCCGGACAGCCAACAGACTCCTGTATGGAATACTTGACTCGCAATTCGCAAAGTCCATTATTATACGGCCCCGAAACAAGTTTTGCTGCATACGTGGCTCAATTTTCTGGCCAGAATGCTCGTCTGGAAACCTTAGGTATTTTCCTATCAGCCGTAGTCAGAGCTACGAACGACGTCCCATTCTTCCCAACGCTATACAAAACAGACGAAGATAAGTTCAGGCTACGGAAGTTGGCTACTCGGCTGAGTGATCACGCTTTGGAAGTCTGTCTATCGCTCGACTGCTTGAACGACCTTCAGCTTGCTTTCCAATACGAAAACTTCATCGTGCATACATTCGTCGATGGAGACCAGAGTTATAGCTCGTGGCGAAGGCTCGGAGATGTCATCGCTTCGATGCTTGCTCTTGGCTACCACGAGCGTGTCGAGACCCGATCCAGGATCCCGGACTTTTTGGTGGAACTACGGCAAAGTGCATTCGCACGCATATACACTGATGACAAGGAAGTCTCCATCTTTCTTGGTCGACCACCTCGGCTGAGCCGGAGATTTTGCCATTTTCGAATACCAATCGCTCTGGACTCGTTCGAGGCTAATGCGTCTGCTCCTGGAACTGAGGTTGTCGGACAAGCAAACGAAATCAAGATTGATTACAGAGCGGGATGCAGTTGGGCGGCCCTGTGCGCACTACTCAAAGAAGAGATCTTAGAGTTGTTCATCGAGAAGAATCGCGAGCATTGCGTACAACGAGCAAGTGTTATCTGGGCAAAAGCGGAAGCACAATGGAAACAACTACCCACACATATGCGCTACGATGTTGGTTGCCTCAACGACTACAGGAGGAGCCCCTTCGAACGTGACTTCCTGATTAGCGCTCGACTGGACCATATACACATCAGGTTCTTGTTGCGATTTATTTTGATCAATAGTCTGGCCCAGCCAGATGATGAGATGATCCAAATCGCGCATGAGATGCTGACTCTGGTCGTCCAAGCTGTTCTCGCTCGCGATCGCCTTGCCAACTCCGGAAGCGGTCTTGTATGGAAAGTCATTCTTTACGGCTTGCCAGCTTCAGGCATCATATTGCTCGCCATCCTGGAGCAACGCAATCCTTACCACTTCGGCGGCCTATCACGTGCGAAAGTTTTACAGAACCTACGAATCCTCGTGGCCGAGATTCAAATCGGCGCATTATCACACCCAAGAGAGCCGAACTTTGCCTTGCTTACCAGAGCCGCGCAGACCATTGAGAACTTCCTGGACTCTGAGGAGAGACATGACCATCATCCGAATGGTCAGATCAACACTCATCACGATGCAGCTCCTGGACAGATGGGACCTTGGGCTTCGAACCTGAATTTGGAGGCTTGGGACTTTGATCTCGGGTTCTGGGAGAACCTTGCTGAGCATCCCTTCTTGTCGAACCTCGAGTTCCCGGCATGAACTATACTTTGCTATAGATGGTCGAGCGTATATTTTGTTAAATGCATGTCAACGTAGGATGCAACATTGAAATTCTGAGAAAGAAACAAATATCACCTACGATGCATTCATCACGTTTGTCATGATCCCTCTCCCACGGTCGCACGCAATGATTTATCGACCATTAAAATGCACAATTGCTTCCTAGACGGACGCTTGGCCATTGAGATACTCTCAAATCACGTTCTCTCGGTGGACTCCAAGCGTCTCTGAAAGGTATGCTGCATTGCGATAGCTATGTTGTGACTATCCTTATGCCAGTGAAACTCTCTTCTCAGCCAGTTCGTAATATCTCTCTTCCATCTCTTGAGCAACTTCTCGACAAACCTCTCTCAACATGCACCTATCTACTACCCGAACTAAACTCGCTTAGAAGCAAAGCTAACGGGTCTGTCGTAGTCCTCCCATAGTCCCTCTTCTGGCAGGTCTTGCTTTCTCAGTGCAGGTCTCCAGTACTTCTCAGAATACTCTTCATCAACCACATCCTCTTCCTCATCGTACGCCAGAGGCTCTGGCAGCACGCCTCCGTTCAGAATGAAATCACGTGCTTCTGAGCACCATTTAGGAGTGTAAGGTGACATGCCTTCATCCACCTCTATCTCCGAGATTTCGATGAGTTGCACCCTCTTTAGTGCAGTCAGTTGGCACGAGATGCGTCTGAATGTCGAAGGCCAATTTCCAGCGCTCAAAGTGAGGTCGATGTCCAGCTGCTGCAGCGACTGAGAGTGGCGAAGAAGGAAAGCGACCAGAGCGTCTTCAGTAACAACCATGTCGATGAGAAGAACATCACGGAGGAATCTCGAATCAAGTGCTCGCAACATCGCGTCTCCGTCGAGAATGTTTCTTCTACTTTGTTGAGGTGGCATCTTTAACCAGATTGTCTCCAGAGCATTTGCCTTGCTGATTGCTTCCTCGAGATTGAACCCAAACATGGTCTTTGGGTTATTGGGAAGACAGGTGTAGCCAATGCGGACGTGCTTGAGTCGTTCGAGGGACCCGAAGCTCTCAATCTCGGTGTAGTCTGCACACTTGAAGGGAAGGTCGAGGATGGTCAAGGAGTGTAGACCAGCGTTCTTATGGTCTGCAGCAGACAGTATCTCTGCAAGGCCGAACTCGAAAGGGTCGTGCATGTCGGCATCGACCCATGCATCTGGGTGCGGATGTATGCTTTTGAACATGGAGAGCAGCTTGAAGATGACATGACTCTGACCCGGCTGTGGGGGCGCAATAACAATGTTGACCAGGTTGGGACACATCCTGAAGGCATAGGTGATAGTGCCCAAGAAGTGGCGTCGAAAGTCTTCAGTGGACTGATACGCAGCAATCTGACGCTGAGCTTTCCAGTATTGCTCCTGAGATCTTCTTAAAGTTTTGTCGACTTTCTTTGTGGCCGCTTCAAACTTCTTGTGTGCGTTGGACCATTGTGAGCGTGCGTACGAGGTATCGAGAATCGGATCTCCGTCTTCGTCGTAGTCAATGTCGTCAGGCTTGAAGTCCCACCAGTCAGGAAAACTTGAACGAAGATGAGAGTGTTCGTCCATCCACTTCTTAAACGACTTGTGGTTTTTCAAGTTACTGGGGTCGACAACCAGGGTGGTAACATGCTTGCTGAAGATGGGGTGATCAGCGATCTCGCGCACTTCAGCGCAACTGTCACGATGCTTGACGAGAAAGATGCGTGGCAGCAAGTAAGGCGCAGCCGCGTCAGCGAATTGCTTCGAGACAAGGCGGATTGGTTTGAGAGACTTGGGGCTGGTAAGGAAGCTGCAGATGCGCTGCTTCAGTTCAAGGGGCAGTTTTTCCATGATGTCAAGTTGTTGCTGTCGATGCAGAGCATCAACTGTAGTGCGTCTGAGTAGCTTGTGGTATAGGGCGATGATCTGTGAAGTGCAAGGTGTTGGAATGAGTGACGCGAAGATGTTTTTGAATGCAATATGTTTAAAGTGAAACAGAAGCGACTTTGTGTTTGTTGTTGTTGTTCCGCACGAGTCTGGTTTGGTGTTTGCTCAATGCAATCGCGATGGGATCCTTTCGAACAAAGGCAGCAACCACGACCCTTCCCATGCCGAAGCATGTAGTGTGTGGAGCTATAGAAATGCACCATGTTATCAAGGATATGGTAGTGTCCACTGAGAGACAATACACTATCGGCTCTCTCTGGTAGCATCTCCATCTGGAATAAACTTATGACTTTTTACAAGCTCCGAATTATGAGCTTCGCCACGGAGGAGGAGAGAGTGCTGGAGTCTTAACCCTTTAAAGCAGGCTTGCTTGTAATTCGTTTGACATAGACGTAGAGACTCAATACCTGATCAAGCAATCAAAAGGGACCTACGGAATAATGGATACAAGCAGCATTCAGCAAAAAGAAATCACTGGTCTGGTGGTCGGAAGTTTCCTGCTTACCTCTCCATGTCATTGTTGATGCATTGTTTTGATATTCCTCCTCCACTTCCCCAATTCTCTGATTTCTCCTCCAGCCTTAGAAGTTTGACTCGACCCCCTACAATTCTCAGGGGCACCTGCTTCTGAGACAAGTTTGGTTGAGGGTTGCTGCCAAATGATTGCTGATTAGCTGACTCGAACTCGAGAAAGTTGGTGATTGTTGTTGTGAAGGAGGTGTTTAGTGACTACCGAAATGGGTTAGCTAGTGTGAAGTGAGGTGGTGGTTTGACCACCGGACCATAGATGATTTGTTAGAGAAGAGGGAGAGTTTCTTGATTATGTAGGCTCAAAGTAAGTGAAAGAGGCCTGTCCAGCACCGACGATACGTCTTTGTAAGCATGCTCGTCGACCCAACCCTGACTATACCCACGATAGTCAACACCATGTCTTGCTAGGTGGTTCAGAGGCTTGCATCTCGAAGGCACTGAATACGTGGGTCTGCGATCACACTATCGACAAGAGCTTACAGTCAAATGTACATTAATGCTTTTGGCTTACTATGTAATGGTAATCAACCTCTCTATCTGCTGTTTTCCTCCCAAGTTGAACCAGTGCAGTTGAATCCAACAGAGGAAACATAGTCACACAAGTACTGGCTAGGAGCGGTGCCGTTGACAGTGTCGATAATGTCAATACCGGTGATTTCCTGGTCAGTGCAAGGAGATGCAGCTGAGCACTGGATAGCACTGACCACATCGCTGACAGCCGTTCCTGTCCAGTTTTGCAGGCGAATATCGTGAAGATTGAACTTGCTAGTGTTGCAGCCACCCGAAGCACCATTATAAGAAGTGCACTGAGTCACAGCATAGATGCCAGTGTTGTTGTGCAGGACGAAGTCGGAGAAGGTGATGTTGGCAGCATAACCCAGGCCACCACCACCACCGTTGGGAGGATAACCAGTAGAAACTCCGGTCCCTAAGCAAGTCAGTAAGTTGTTTTAAAATAAAAAGTATGGTATCACAAACAGGTCTTGACATAAGCGCCATATCTCATGTTGTAGGAGCGGATGTCGCGGGCAGTGACGTTCTCGATGTACTCGAAAGTGTTGTCGTATTGACCGATGCTGCCAATTGCAACACCGAGACCAGTATAGAAGTCGCAGTCTTCAATCAGGATGTTAGTGCTGTTGGCCTTCAAGGCGATAGAGTCATCTCCGTTGGTGACGTTCCAACGACGGAAGGTAATGTTGTTTGCATAAACAGTGTCTGCACCGTCAGTGTTAAGCGAGGAGAAGTCAAAGCCAACAGGCTCGTTGCCAGTGCTGTTCACATAGATGTCTTCGAGAAGAATATTCTCGCTATGGATAACAGTCATAGTCCACATCTGCGAGTCCACAAATCTGGTACCCAAGAATGTGCTATCCTTGGTTCCAGTGATGGTAATCTGATGAGGTCTGCCGGGGCTATTCCAAAGTCAGTATGCCGGCCGAGGGAACAACTCTCCATATGTCAAGGTATGTAACGTGTGTAGCTGTAGAAATGCACAATACAATCAGGAAACAGGACAGTGTCCACTGAGAGTCAATATTGTATCTGCTCTGTATGTACACGCCCCTGCTTTTGAAGCTAATTGTGCATTTCTACAGTGTATACTTTGCTCTTCGGTAAAGTTGAAGCACGATGGAAATTACAGACTTTAACACAGAGGGAGGAGCGAAGGTGTGCACTTACTAGTTGTTGGTTCCATTGACAAAGGTATACCAAGTCTGACCAGAGCCGTTGAGAGTAGCGTATCCATGACCATTCCAGTTGATGTTCTCTCCACCAAACAACCAAGCCGAAGATTGGTTTTGGTAGCCGACAGGAAGAGAGTGGTTGAGCCAGTAAGGAATATTCGTGTCCCAGAGAAGTAAACCATTCAAATCGACATCAACATTCTTCAAACCAGTAGTGTTCATAACACTGTGAATGTTGTAGGTTTCGTTGCGGAAGACGACCTTTCCGCGGGAGGGCTCTTCGTTATGACCGCATTTTTCGAAAGCCTCGATGATGGCTGGAGCAGAGTCACCGCCATTTGCACAAGGCTCGACGATGCAGACACGTTCAGTAGCAGTAACAACTGTTTGGGCAATTGCAAGTGCCGGCACACTGAGTGCCGCGATGAGGGAGGCGTACATAATGATATCGAAGACAGAAAACAAGGTGTACCTACAGCTAGAAACAGCGGGACAGAGTCCGGTATATATACTCCATTTGCAAGTCAGGTTTCGGCATCAGGTTGCATTGATCTCCATAGAAATTTCCAACACGCTGCTGATCGCTGCCTCATGGTTGCAACGACGATCCTCGAGTCGGGGCACACCGTGGTCATGGTGGAGAGGATGATGTCGAGAGAGCTGGAGAAAAGCCGGAGCAAGATGGATCTTTGTCTTGGGGCTCCACCTTTTCTCCACATTCGTCGGCAACGGATGAACCGTCGGCATTTGAACAACTGCCATGTGCATCTGAGCCATGTTCTAGTGGTGCCAACCCAAGCAAGATCAGGTCTTGTTTGCATAAGAGGAGGGGGCCAAGACCGTGTGAGTGCAAGACAATTGCAAGCGTACATCACAGCGCATGTGCCAAGTATTGCTGTTGCAGCTAGTGTAAAATCAACAGCGTTTGCTGGATGCATTATATATATTTATTTGATCATAAGATATGAGAAACTTCTCATGCACCGGGAGGCCACTTTGAAGGGGCATCAATGACAGTCCTCGAGAAGCGAGCACTGATCTGATCCTGAGCCTTCTGTTTTTGCTTCGCACCAATTCCTGAGCGGTCTAGGACGGGGGTTGCGTTCATGATGTTGTCAAAATCATCGTCTTCAGCACCGTCGACATCTGAGCCCGACTCGTCATCAGAGTCGTGAAGAGGCTTAGGTTCAGTCTGTGCGATGCGACCTGGTTGCGGCTTGTCGTCGGAAACAGGAGGAGCAGGATTTTGGAAGGGCTTCGAGGCAAGAACGCGGCGGCGAAGCTCGGCCATCTCTTCCTCATCGTCGTCAGAGGGTGGCAGACCGTAAGGATCGTGGTCATCCTCTTCTTCCTCATCTTCGTCATCCTCGTCCTTGTCTTCCCGCTCTTCACCATCGCTCTCCTCGTCGCTTCCCTCTTCGTCAGACTCGTCGAGCATGCGAGTACGGTTCAAGTTGCCTCCTCTCCATGCGTCGTCCTCGTTGGCCTCTCGCTCGGCGCGGTCCTGGGTGTACTCATTCTCAATCTTCTCCAACCAAGCAGCCTCGGCCTTTTTGATACCAGCTTCATCCTCACAAGCAGCATAACGTTTGAGCACAGCTTCGTTGATGTCGAGGAAGGCCTGGCCATAGCTGAAGGTGCTAAGAATGTGTTCGGCCCACTCTCTCTTTCCACAGATGAAGAAACAGGCAGCAAGGGCCTCAACACAGTTCATCCTCCAGGGCTTTCCGTAGTTTGTGGGGTTTGCAGCGATCAGGTAGGGGAGGAGTCGTTGGTGAGGACCTCCAATCTTGCCAAAGGGAACTTCTTGAATACGCTTCCAGCTGGCTTCGACAACAGCAGCACCGTACTGCTCGAGGAGAGGGGCATCGGCGGGCGAAATGATGGTCTTTGCATTGGGCGAAACGACGATACCAGCGAACTTCTGGCCGACATGCAGTTCGCGCATGAGCCCCAGACGCATCAAGCGTTTGCCGCTGCATCGCTTAGCATCGCAGTGGCCGAGATCCCAGGCGGCAGCCTTGTAAGNGAGAGGACGCTTGGAGGCATTGGGATCAATCTCTCCTTCCTCGCCACGGGCAGGAGGTAGAGGGCGAGCAGAACGGCTGTTTGGGTAGCGCTTGCCCTTGTTGGACATGTCCTTCTTGTGGCGGACCATGTTGACTTTGGTGTTTCTTGTCGATATCGATGAATAGGTGTTATATGTGCAAACGTAGCAAAGGCACCAAGATGGGTGTTAGATGAACTGAGAGAATGAACTCGAGAGTGTATATGACGAGATGAGGGGCAGGCAAATTTCGTGATGGTTTGGGAAAAACGACGCGAGTCAGGCAGATCGAGGGCTACGTCAATGTCGCGGCCTGCCAAGCTTAGGAGTAGTACACCACAACGTGTGCATACCGCTGCCTGCACTCGACAAGTTATCCTTATACTGTTTTGCGTGAGAAGCGACCTTCTCATCTGACACACGCCCACAAAACTTTCATTCTCCAACACTTCCCACATCAACATCGCCCATCGTGGAGGCAGCATCAGCGAGATACGCGGCGCGAGACCGCTGGGTCCACGAGGGAGCTGCTCCCCAGACCCCACTGCAGCGCTATATTCGTCTGTCTACTGCTTGAGCACATATCGAGAGGCTGCCGATCTAACATGTGTCCTCAGACAATGCCTGCGATCCGCAAAACTTCGAGCCAAACCTGGCCCTCAATCTCGAGATAGCCGACCTGATCAATGCTAAGAAGGGAAATGCTCCGCGCGAAGCCGCCGTCGCCATTGTGCAATACATCAACCACCGCAATCCCAACGTCTCCATGCTTGCCTTGACCCTGCTCGATATCTGCGTCAAGAACTGCGGCTATGCTTTCCACCTCCAGATAAGCACAAAGGACTTCCTGAACGAACTCGTCCGTCGCTTCCCCGAACGTCCACCTATGCGCGTCTCTCGTGTTCAGAACCGCATCCTCGAGCTTATCGAAGAATGGCGATCCACCATCTGCGTAACCTCAAAGTACAGGGAGGATCTGGGCTTCATCCGCGATATGCACCGCCTGCTGAGCTATAAGGGCTACACTTTCCCCGAAGTCAAGAGGGAGGATGCTGCCGTACTCAACCCCACCAATGACCTCAGATCAGCCGAAGAGATGGAAGAAGAGGAACGTGCAGCTCAGTCTGCAAAACTGCAGGAGCTCATTCGCAGAGGTACTCCTCATGACTTGCAGGAAGCCAATAAGCTTATGAAGATTATGGCCGGCTTCGACACTCGCCGCAAGACCGACTACCGTGCAAAGGCTGCTGAGGAGGTTTCTAAAGTTCAGCAAAAGGCGAGATTGCTCGAGGAAATGTTGCAGGGCTACAAGCCAGGCGACGAGATCAAAGAAGGCGATGTGTTCGAGGTAAGTACTGTCAGCAATTTCGCACTGAGTTTTGATGTTGACGAGGCTAGNGAACTCGCAAATGCCCTGGCTAGTGCGCATCCCAAGATCCAGAAGATGTGCGAGGAAGAGTCCGAGGACCATGAGGCTGTCGCAAAGCTATTTGAGATCAACGACAGCATACACCGTACAAGCGAGAGATACAAGCTTATCAAGAAGGGCGATCTCGAGGGCGCCAACAGAATCGCTGCTGGCACTCTGGGCATTAGCGGTGCTGGTGTCAAGAGTGGACCCAACAACGAGTTGTCTCTGATCGATTTCGGTGGTCCAGAGGAAGAAGAGGCTGCTCAGCCTGCTCAATCTCAGCCTTCGCAGGCCGCTGCTCAACCTAAGGGAAATGCTTTAGAAGATGACTTGCTTGGTCTATCAATGGGCGATACTGTCTATGGTTCTGGTGGTGCCTTGACCCTTGGCTCTCCGAACAATGGTCTGGCCGATCTTGCTGGCTCCTCGAGCTCACAACAGACCCCTGCACCCGCACCTGCTGCTATTCCTCCTCCCGTTCAGCCCCAAGCAGCCAAAGCAAACTACGATCCCTTTGGCATGATTTCTTCCCCTGCTCCTGCATCAAACTCCTTCCACCAACCGCAGCAACAACAGAAGGCAGCAGATCCGTTCGCTGCTCTGTCCGGTAACTCGCGCACCGCGTCACCTTTCCAATTCCAGCAATCTGTCAAGCCTCCAGCATCACCTGCAGTTCCGCAATCGGCTGCATCACTATTGGGTGGCGACGACGAGTGGACTNNTTTCTCATCTGCTCTCCCAACACAGCCACAGCAACCTCAATCCAACACTGTAACTGTCATTGACTCGAGCGTGAGAGCCGTCTTCCATGTCTCGAGACCAGCAGGTGCAAACGACTATCTAGCCATTGACGCCAGGATATCCAACAAGACTCCTCAACCCATTAGCGATTTTACCCTTCAACTCGCAGTAACAAAGGTATGATCATAGCTCAGCCACGACCCCCTCCACATGCAGCAAGCTAACATTTCCACCTTTTAGGCATTCTCCTTGCAACTTCAACCACAATCCGGTCGCAACCTGTCCCCGAACCAGGTCGACGGTATCAAGCAAGCTATCCGCTTGCAGGGTGTGGCTCCTGGTAAAGGAAGCGCTGTTCGTATGCGTTGGCGTGCTAGTTATGTTATCGGCGGTCAACCGCGCGAGGAGAGTGGTGAGGTTAGCAATCTGGGTGTGCTTTAGATACTCTACATGATTTAATAGAAGATTCGTTCTTTTCTCTGTGAATTACCGCACTCAATTGTTTTGTGCTTGGAGTTGAGAGATGATCAGGCTTCAAGGACCGAAGTGATAGAAAGAGATCAACAGGGTTACTCTAACAGCAAAGTCGACCATCAATCTCATCTTCTTTTCCTCAGGTCGGTAGCTATTCGGTGGATCGTATGAGTGGCAAAGGAGAGACAAAAATCACTCGGTGAAGATCGGAGAAGGTTAATAGACCTCCCTATCACCAGCGAAGAAACGGGTTACTAGCAGACTAAAAATTCCGAGTACTGTTGATGTTCGGAGAAAATATGTGGCCTGAGTGGAAGAAATTTGTGATACGAACATCATGATACACGCTACTGCTGTTGAGACCAACAAACAAACATCCATATAAGCTGATACGCATACCACGTTACCCGAAATCACGTCCATATCAATGGTGTTGCTAGCTAGTGTCAACGAACGCGTGGTGGCCAGAGTAAGGAGTCGTTCGCAGGCTCGGGAGCAGCCGAAGCTAGAGCTTGACTCGCTCAGTTGGCGCTGGCCCAAGCTTCAGATGATCAGGACGATGTCATCGAGTTCGCCTTTTGTTTATGGAATGTCTTCCGAAAAGCGCCCTGCTCAAGAGATCGGAATATCATGAGCTTCGTGTAGGCGATATGCTTGGAAGAAAAGCGAAGAGAAGCTGAGAAGTACGGAGCCGGTCGCACTCTTGAGTAGGGCCGCAGAGAGAATGGCGAGGTTCTGGTGATGGGGTGACTTTTGTTGGTCGGGCCTATCCATGATGTGCCGATTCGGCCCTGCATCGTCATACCTACTTGCTGTCGGGAAGGAGCTCCATGGGTGTTCCAGGAAGCAGTTCAGCGGTTGAAGCTTCTACGGTTTTCGTTTCGCATTCAGTATTTGAGATATAAACCAACCGAAGCTCCCGAGCACAGAATCTCCTCTTTCTCATCCCATCATATCCAAACACCAACAACAATCACATCTACTCCGATATGGCTTCTCAAGACATTCGCACAAGCTCGCTCAAGAAGCCAATTACCATTACCGAGTACATCTTTGCTCGTCTGAAGCAATGTGGCGTCAGCTCTGTTCACGGTCTTCCTGGTGATTACAATTTGGTCGCCCTCGATTACCTGGAGAAGGCTGGCCTGAAATGGGTCGGCAACTGCAACGAGCTCAACGCTGGTTACGCCGCTGATGGCTACGCCAGAATCAAGGGTCAGTCAATCGAGTTTCTCTCATGATAGCATAGGCTAACATTGTCCAANGGCTTGTCCGCCCTTGTCACCACCTTCGGTGTTGGTGAGCTCTCTGCCATCAACGCCATCGCCGGCGCCTACTCCGAATACGTCCCCATCGTTCACGTCGTCGGTATGCCCTCAACATCAGCACAGAAAGATGGACTTTTGCTCCACCACACTCTCGGCAACGGCGACTACAATGTCTTCGTCGACATGTTCCGCCCTGTTTCCTGCGCCGTCGCCAACCTCAAGGACCCCAACACTGCTGCCGCCGAGATTGACCACGTTATCCGCGAATGTTACATTCAATCACGTCCGGTCTACATCGGTCTGCCTTGCGACATTGTCGAGGACAAGATTGAGGGCGAGAGACTTGATCAGCCTATCGACTTGTCATACCCTCCCAACCCCGAAGAGCAAGAGGACTACGTTGTCGATGTTGTCCTGAAGTATCTACACGCAGCAAAGAACCCCGTCATTCTGGTCGATGGTTGTGCGATCCGTCACCGCGCACAGAAGGAGACCCACGATTTGGTCGTCAAGTCTGGTCTGCCCACATTCGTCGCTCCCCTTGGTAAGGGTTGTGTCGACGAGACTCTCCCCAACTATGGTGGTGTGTATGCTGGTGATGGTTCCAACGAGGGTGTTCGCGATCGTGTCGAGAGCTCCGATCTTGTTCTCAGCATTGGCGCCATTAAATCCGATTTCAACACTGCAGGCTTCACATTCCGCCAAAGTCAATTGACCACCATCGACTTCCACTCCAACTTTATCCAAGTCCGCTACTCGCAATATCCTGGTGTCCGCATGAACGGTGTCCTCCGCAAGGTCGTTGACAGAATGGGCAAGCTGAATGTCGAGGCTGGTCCCAAGCCCACAAACCGCGTAAGCAGCCAAGAGAACACCCAGGTCATTACACAGAAGTACTTCTGGCCTCGTCTTGGTCAATGGCTGCGTGAGCAGGATATCGTTCTTACTGAGACTGGTACTGCCAACTTTGGTATCTGGGAGACTCGCTTCCCTGCCAAGGTCCAACTCATCTCTCAGGTCCTGTGGGGTTCCATTGGTTACGCCACTGGTTCTGCTCAGGGCGCCTCATTGGCCGCCAAGGAGCTTGAAGAGGAGAAGGGCGAGAAGCACCGCACTATTCTGCTCACTGGTGATGGTTCGTTCCAGTTGACCGCCCAGGAGGTCTCGACCATGATCCGCCGCAAGCTGAAGCCTATCATCTTCCTTATCCAGAACGACGGCTACACCATCGAGCGCATGATCCACGGCATGGAAGCCGAATACAACGACGTCCAGGAGTGGAAGTACAAGGACCTGGTACCCGCCTTCGGCGCAAAGGAGGGCGAGTACAAGACCTACACGATCAAGACACGTGAGGAGCTCGACCAGCTCATGGCCGACGACAACTTCAACGCTGCTCCTTACTTGCAGTTCGTTGAGATGTACATGCCCAAGGAGGACGCTCCCGAGGCACTCAAGCTCACTGCTTCGGCCGCCGAGCGCAGGAACGCAAAGGTCCAGGCTTAGAAGGCACCAGGATCGAAAACAAAATGGGCTTCTCATGTGAATATTATTAACGAATAACTTAATTGGCTTCTCCTCTTATGATGAAAATAGACTTTAGCGTTTTTGGTTTTCCGGAATCTACTTCTCTCGTTGCTTGAATGTCTCTTGGACTCTGTGTTCGTGGTTTGTGCGTCTATACTCTAGAATCCTCTTTGATGGATGATTCCTGATGGACTGTATTCTGCTCAGATGGCTCAGAGCTTCTGGTTTGGCCGGCATTTATGGCAAGAGGCTCTTCTCCGTTGGATTGTTGACGTGGGTGTGTGGTATGTCGTGGAGTTCCGAGTCCTAATTCGACCCTGCAGATAGCTTGGTGCTTGCATCGTTCCAAACAAGCGATCAAAACCACAAAGTAGCTTTTGCGCCTTGCAGATAGCAGGACGACTACTGGTGTAAGGCCAGTCCCAGCCTGCGGTCTGGGTTCGAGACCATGAGCGCGACATCTGTCGTCGCAATCAAGTGCATTGGTGCGCGTCCAAGAAATTGTGAACTCCTGGTTCCGTCCTATCTTTCAACTCTTGTCTTGTTCAGCCAAAGCGGCCAATCTAGCCAACACCTCCCTCTGCCTCTTGATCTTGTCCTCGAGCCCTTTGATCTCTTCCTCCTGCTCCTCAACACCCCTGTGCATATCCGCCAGTCCAGCCAAATCAGCCAACGCTTTTCTGATCCTGCTCTTCAGGAACTGCGCAGCCACAGCCGCATCTTTGTAGTCTAGTTGCTGAGGCGCTGAGCTGGGGAGGGCAGAGGCAGAAGTGACAGGTGTGTGAGGGGCATTGTTTGGGGGTATAGCGGCGGAAGTGTCGGGGGTGTAGACGTTCAAGGAGGGCTCTAGGCGCGACAGAAGGGCGTGGAGAGGTGGGAGAATGTCGAAGGTTTGGGCTGGCGGGAGTGGTGGTTGTGCGGTTGTGGGAGTTGGATTTAGAGGTGGCGCGGTTGTTGTGGTTGGTGTTGCGTTTGAAGACATGATTTCTGTTGTTTGGCTGGATGGTTGGAGAGGTGCGCGAGAAGGTATCAAGTTGATTGATGGTAGAGTTTAGAGTGAATTGAAAGATACGTTGAAGTGGTGCGAGATGACGCGGGGAGTGATCGCGACTTCCTCCACATGCAACTCAAGTGCTTGTCAATTAGAGCAGTGTCAAACATGACAGACCAAAGCTATCGATCTGGGAATCGCTTTCACACAAACTACACTTCATTCTTCTGATGTCCGAAACTCACCATCATGACTGAACAAACACCCTACGCCCTCACGATCCCCGAAGTGCTGCACGAAGTCATCCAACATCTGGAGGATGATCGCGAAGCTCTCTACTCGGCTAGCCGAGTGAACAGAGCTTGGGCTGGAGAATGCCTCAACCTATTATGGCACAGCGTATCCGAAGACGGCGCAACGCGTCTCGCTTCGATTCCCAAGCAGCGACGCCAGTTTTACGCTGATAGGATCCGCTCCTGGACTCCAGATATAAGCCCAACCGATGATCAGGACCAAATGTGTGAGCTGGACTTTCCGCGACTGAGAAGGGTCGATCGTTGGCTTACCGATGACAACTCGGGATGTAATCATCAGTTGGTACCGACTCTTGAGGAGTTTCAATTATTCAATAATTCAAAAGAACCCGAGTATACTTTGTGGGAGTTGCCAAGTTGTTGTCCTAACCTTCGCAAGTTGTGTGTTCGTTCTGAACCGCAAATCAATTTTGACGAGTTGGAAGATTTTCTGAAGGTGTTTTCAAGATTGCGAGCTCTGGACCTCACTGGTATTTCCGCCGATAATATAACCGACGAGGTCTTCTGCCACCTTGCAAGTCTACCGCTACAAGAGTTGCGCATGAGGAAACCTATCACATCTGAGATGGTCGACCTAGCCTGTCAACGAGTAGGTTCTGGCAGTTTGTTTCCGAACCTTCATTACTTCGAAGCTGGAATGGAGTGGTGTACTGCAGCAAGGCTGTTACCTGCCATGACAATGTTGAGAGAGCTAAGACTTAATCTTGTGTCTAGTGATACAAACCACGAAACTTTCCAAGGTATCGGCACACTAACGGAATTGAGAGATTTGGATCTTAGAGTTGCCTATCAGACTGAGAGGGTTCTCTCTCGTGAAGAGGTGCTTGCCATCGGCCAACTACACAACTTACGCAACTTAAAGATACTGGGTGGTCGTGCTCTGACAATCGACAAGGTTGTCACCGATAATGATCTGGTCACCTTGCTTTCAAGCTTTCCTAAAGCCGAGGATATCTACATCGATGCATTCAAGACCACTCTCATCCCAAGTTCAGCTACAACCGCTCTTGCGATGACTAGCACGCAGCTCCGATACTACACATTCCTCGCAATCTGGGATCTAGACTTCGCCGAATCGAGCACGCTACCGCTGTTCGCTGAACCGCGAATCATGCATTATCAATATCTGTTCCATCGGGATGTACCAGTCGAAGGGTAAGTTCGTATGATCACCGTGTATGCTAATTATGCAACGCGTTCGGCTCTCCAATGTGCACAACAACCTGTGGGCCAGGCTAAACACGAGGAGAAAATGTAATTTCTCAAATCTCTTTGAAATATCTCTGGCATAGACAACATTGCGCATCTTCGTAGCTATAATGTGACAGATTGAGACAATAGTTATTGGCACACTTACTGACACATTGCACAGTTCGGAAGCAAGGCTACAAAGGATTGCAGAGCTTGCAAAAGCCCTTCTCAAAAGGTGCCCCAACCTCAAAGACTTTTCTAGGTGGGGTGTTACGGTAGCAGAGGATCAGTTCACTTCAGAGTTTGGCAGCGCTATGTGGCAACTCCTGCATGGCTCAAGAGGAGAGGTGCTACATGCAGGTCCATAGAACCATGACTAGAGTCTTGGTTGATCATGAAGCAGAAACAATGCAGGTCATGTTCGTAGAGCGGTCACCTATGCCAAGTACAGTATCATATACAAGTTGCGTTTTAGCGGCAGCCCGCCATCCGCCATTCGCAACCTCTGTACGTACCAGCTGCAGTCCTTGCCTCAGATTCCTTGAGCCATGAAAAGAAAACATCCTCAGGAAGAAGATTCCAAGCTTCTCGTGTAGATAACTCATGGCCGTGTTCGTTCCGAATAGCTTGCCATGCCACCGCTTGACTCACAAAGTCAACGCCAGAATCAGCTCTGATGGCGTCCAAATCTCGCATCATATCTCCTTCCTCTAGCACGATTGTGTAGCCGGCAGTCTGGTAACCTTCAGGGTCTTCTCTTTTCGACGCTTGATGCGCTCGTCAGGAAACTCTCTGCCGATGATAGAAAAATGGTCGTCGAGAGTGTGACCAGATTGTAGCCCGATCCTGTACTCGTTCGGGACGATGCTAGCCCATTCGCTGTTCTTCTCTTCCCTCTGTCAAGGGTCTTATCGACTGCAACGTTCCTTCCGGCAGACGGGTAGGCGTGGAAGGTGCGAGTTTCCTCCTCAACTCTTCATTCGGCCAAGCCGGCCAATCCGGATGATACTCGTCCCAAGGTTCTTCATCCATAAATTCTTCATTTATAGAAGTAAATGACATGAGAGGAAAAGTCATTACAGGCATCACTTCGACTATCATGGCGGCCTCGAACCGCAAAAGTCCGGTGTCTCGTCGAACGAGCTCGATATCGGCGTGATCCACTAGGTAGGCTACGTATCCATGGTCATAGAGACGGTGGAGATGACGGCTGAGATCTTTCTTGATGAGTCTGAAATGGTCTGGCACTGAATGATCGGGTTTCAAAGTGATGTTGTAGTAACCATCAAAATCGCAGCCGTAAGCGCGGGGGTCTGAATATCAAAGACAAAAGGTCAGCGTATTTAGCTCAAGTGCAAAGCGATTATTTACTTACGAACTACCTTGCTCCAGTCTTTGTAAGGACAATACAAATCGTCATAATCTTGGAGCGGTGGGACATCCTCAGGCTCCAATAATGTGTAGCTACAAGATGCAGTCGAGCAATATGCAAGCAGCCAAACTACACTGTATGATATTTTCATGACTGATAATGATGGTTGCCAAAAAGCGCAACAAACTCGACCAGCTGAGCGGAACCCTGCTCAAATATATATCTGTCCTCTATCAGGCGCCAGCTTTCCTCTCCACCAACGGCCTGACAATGACTCGAGTCAGCATGAAACACACATAACCAAACCTTGCGGGAACGAACAAATTCTTTTGATATCTTAAAGTCTCTCCTGCTTTATTGAAAGGAATGATTCGGAACGGTTCAGTTGATTCACGAAACAAGTCTGCTACTAATCCAGCTACATAATTGCCAAGATTCACTACCACACAACCAGCAAAACCACCACAAGGCATGTTGTGATAGATATCCAGCTTAGGAGGCCCACATTGATACGATACGCGAGACTCGCAGTAGTCGTAGCAGCCGCAGCCTCGTTTCCACTTTCAGGTCCAGCCGTCCTGCTCCCAGTAGTGGTACTGGCTGATGGCCTAGAGCCATTCCCTCGTACTAGAGCCAGTTGTCTCGGTCGAGCGAGCAGCAGAATCTGGTCTTGAAGCCGAAGTGGAAGTAGCAATCCCCTGCCAGATGTAATCACCCAGACCCTCGGTCGTCGTACCCTCGCCCGACTTGACAACGACGACACCTCCACTGCTCGCTAAGCTCAGCGTCTCGCCATTGATGGTAACAGCTTCACCAGGATAAAGTGTTTGTGAAGCTACCACTATACCAGATTTTAGTGGTGTGAAAGAAAGTTGTTGTGAATTGGCTGATAAAATGGCGATGCCAGATGCTTGTGCTAGGCTCTTTGTCTGACCGTCCACGACTATACTGTCTGTTACCAAGGGAGGAAGACTGTACGTTGTGCCACTGACTGTAATGGCAGAGTCACCTGGGACAAGGGTCTGTGATGCGAGAACTAGTGGTGTCCTGGAAGCGGCAATGGCAGTGAAAGTTTGCGAACCAATGGTGAGAGGTGCAGCAGCCACATTTTGGAAAGTGGTCGGCTTTCCATCAATAAACACAGCGTTTCCGGATGTGGCCAAAGAGTATGTTGTTCCTGAAACTTCGATCGCAGTGCCACCAGCACTCAAAACCTGAGAAGCCAACACATAACCTCCTGCAATGAACGGAGCAGCAGTAACACTGCCAAAAGTTACAGGCATAGGTGTGTTCACAGCATTGGCCATGGAAGTGACTTCGTTCAGAGGTGCAGCAGGAGCCGCATTTTGTATCGCAGTTGGCTTCCCATCAACGAAAACTGTATTTCCGGACCCAGCCAGAGAATATGTTGTTCCCGAAACCTCAATCTCAGTACCTCCTGGGCTCAAGATTTGGCTAGACACGATATAGCCACCACCGATGAATGACGCAGCAGTAATACTGCCCAAGACCACAGGAGCAGGAGTACTCGCAGCATTTACGTATGAGGTTGCTCCATTGACCACAATGTTAGCTCCAGAGTTTGGCAGAGAATATGTCACACTGGAGATTTCTATTGCCGAGGCGCCAGGAGAGAGTGTTTGTCCAGCAACAACATAATAAGCTCCGGACGACTCCGGAGCAGCCGTCACATCGCCAATCACGACTGTTGCTGGTTGTGCAAGGGTTGCCTGCAAAGCAGAAACTGGTGTTGCTTGTCCGTTGACAACTATTCTGTCTCCAGATGGCTCCAGCGAGTATGTGGTGCCAGATATCTCAATGGCTGACCCTCCACGACTAAGGGTTTGATCAGCCACAACATAAGCGCCAGACGAAACAGGCCTGCCCGTCGAATCGCCCAACACAATAGGTACTGCTGATCCGATAGGAGGTGCTAATGTCGTGACCTGGACATCTTGTCCGTTGACCTGGGCAGTGCCGCCGAACGCTTGAAGAGAATAGGTTGTACCAGAGACCTCGATGGCAGAACCTCCAAAAGCCAGAGTCTGGCCTCCCACGATGTACCCGTTAGACGCTTGCGAAGCTGTGATCTCACCGATTGCGACAGGCGGAGGGCCTTGAGAGGTCTCTGCGGGCGACGTTCCAGTTAAAACTGCCGTGTTCTGAACAGTGTCCTCCGTGTTAATTTCTTGAGTCGCAGCCTGCGAGTTTACTGGTCTGGATCCTGGCAGATTTGAAGCTTGGTTTCCAGCCGATGTGATTTGAACTAGATCAGCTGAATTTTGGTCCCCAATAGACACCGGTTGGTCTGAGGATTGTGTTGGAGCCGCGGCAGAGTCACCTGTCGGCTTTTGTGTCGCCGGCTGGTTCGATGTGTCAGAGATGGATGTAGGCTGTTCGTCAGGTTTATTCAGCGATATCTCGGTAGTCGTCAGCGGAGAATCATTTGGGCCTGGTGATGGCGATCCAGGCTTTTGCGAAGTTTCTGCTGGAGGATTGGAAGGTGATGGATTTGGCTGATCGGGTTGACCAGTTGGCTGATCGGGTTGACCAGTTGGCTGATCGGGTTGACCAGAAGGCTGTTTTGATGGGATCTGAGTGGCCTCGGTAGTCTGAATGGTCGGCAGCGTAGTGCTTATAGGGCCAGCTGGAGGAGGCTGGCTAGCAGGAACTGCTGATGTTGTGGTGGCCTTGTCAACAAATATCGCGTTCGTAGTGCTAGTCACAGCGCTTGATGTAGTCAAGAACGAGACACGAACATGAACATTTGGTGCGCCTGCTCCTGAGACCGGGGAGCAACTCATGATCTTTGGTACGGCAGAGAGAGCCACTGGGTCATTAGCCAACCACGTGATGAATGGCTCTTCAAGTTTTATGCCCGCTGCACTCGTGTACCATTCACCTGGCGTTGTTGAGTAGACAGAGATGTATGCCGTAGACAGTTGGAAGTTAGTATATGCGGCGTAGCTCTGAACCCAACCAATTGGCTCATAAGAAGCCAGGCGAAACCAGCTCATTGCTACAGAGGATACATCGTATTCGGTGAATGAGGTGGATGAAGCCTGATTGGATTCAACCGGACTTGTTCCCATACATCTCCCAGCGTCATTTACCGTGCCGGAAAACACATAGACATAGGGGAATGCGACGAATGGCGTTGGAGCTGTGCTAAGCGTAGTAGTCAGCATGCAATCCATCGTTTTCAAAGCCAATGTAGATGGTATTGGCTTACATAGTAGTATATTCAGCATCGACCTCAGTCCCTGTGAGCAAAATTGTCTGATCGTATGGCTGGGCACCATGGGTGGGTGCGTTCATGCTTGTTGGGATTCCTGGGAAACTCGGACCAATGCTTTGAGCAAGCCCATATCTGCCTGGCAGATCAGCAGCAGATGAATTGGTTATCGTGACTGTCGCCGTCGGAATGACTGTGTTATTGTATTTCAAGTATTCGGTTACGACATTTTGGTCGACAGCCTCGATTGTGGCATTCGTATACCACCAGTTCAAGGCAGCTGCCGGAGCATAAACTTGACAACAAAAAGCACCAGAAGCGGAAGGATCAGATGGCGGCTTGGTCGTGACTGACGAGTTTGTGTATTGTGTCGTTCCTGCTTGCCTTGGAACACGCACAGCAAAGGCGGTTGACAGGCACGAGACGAAAGACAGGACATACACACCTTTCGCCATGGTTTTTCGTTGCAACGAAACAGTTTCGCGAATGTCGCTCAAGAAGCAGCTTGAGTGTAAGCCGTACCTTTAAGAAAATTATTGTGCTGCAACTCAGCCTTGGTAGGATGCCGACACCTGCACGCGAGAAGGATTCTTAATTGGTAAACCTGCACATTCATCTTGACCGCGAATCCTGTGCGACAATCCCATAACGAGCATAAGATGGTGAGGTATGCATCCAGAACATGGAGACAGCGGCTCAACCTGCTTTGTATCATGTACTTCAAAACTAGCCAGGCACGCTTGATCAACCAGCAGCCTATCAAGATGCTCGACTCGTATCCTAAGAATAGATGAGGCTGGGCGAAGCTGGCAGATTGGCGTCTAAATGAAGCTCTCTTGCGAGCGGGGAGATCAAGATGTAAGTATGAAATCGTATTACTTTAGATAATTTAAATTACTCACATTCATTGTGTTTAGTAAGCTGCAGACTGACTAGATAATAGAGACGCTATGGTCCATTCAGGTGACTTTGCTCCGTGACGCCTAAGTCAGTGGTGAAAACATTTCTTGTACGTTGAGCTGACTGTCGTACCCTTTCGGAAGATCCAGACTTTGTGGGTGTCGACATCTTTACGTGTGTGTCGTATTGGATATTGTGGTGGGTCTTTCGAGCGCAAGAGATTGTTTCTCTGCAGGTCCGCAAAGTTGTAGCGTTTGTGGTAAATGATGGGATTCCTCAACTTTATCTCATTCCCTTCTGAGGTATGACTCAGACGGCCACCTGATCATAATCTCAACCGCCGTGCCATGTGGCAGTGAATTCCAGTGAAGCGTCCATAAGAGTCCATTGAAATCTGTGCGAGTAAGTTACAGCAAACCAAACATATGACTAAGCTTGAAACAACAAGTCCGCAAGCCAGGCAACCATCTAACGGGTATCCCGACGCCCTGCATGAAAGGATGAACTATTGCTGTTTCCAAAGACCCGAAGACAGATGACTTGAAATGAGGCTGACAGGTTGGCGTCCAATGAAGCTCTTTTGCATGAGTGGAGCACTTTTAGGCATGCAGGGACGTCGACCGGTCAAGCCATGGTGTGTCGTTGGTGGATTGATTGAGCTTGGCATATCTCAATGCAACAGACAGTGCTGGACAATATCAGAGAGTCAGAAGCATCTGATCTTGCCGTAAGCGTGAGCGGGCCAACTGACCACGGAGCAACTGAATAGGCTGTTGCTGAGACGAAAGACTTGGGAGGGCCAGGGAGGATGACTTGACGAGGTGGCTGGTCTTACATATGACGCCAAGACTCGGTTGCTGTGAGTATCACCCTGGTTCATAACCAAGACTCCTTAAATCAAAGCAACGAGGCGGCAGATCGCTACTATTCGCAGTTGTAAGCATTTTAGGCTCTACAAGAGCTAGGTCAAGGATTGCAGGACATAGCTTGATGGTTGAATGTGTGTGAACGGGTTGGGATTCACGAAAGTGCTTGGAAGTAGGACGGAAGCTTGGAGTTGAATGCAAGATGCAGCGATCCATACTTTCATTGCACACTTACGAAACGATAGAGCAATAATGAAGATTAAATTCATGCGTTCTATCCGCTATCGAAGGACCGATGCGAGGAAATTAGGTATAGAATGCTCAAGAACCATAAACACCGAGAACAAGAATTGCTCCGGCAACCAGAACTCTGATGCTGCCAATCAACCACCACGCTCACCAAACTCCTTAGCCCAGTCTTCAAACTCTTTCAAACCAGAGGCCGAGACACTGGGTCGGATGTTGATCAGACTCGCTTTGAAATCTGTGACGTCGATCGGCCTAATATCGTCTGGAGACATGTGTAGCAGTTTCTCTCCCAGAGAACGCAGAGGTCCCATGGCTGCATCTTTGGCTAGAGCTGTGATATCACTACCAGAGAAACCTGGATTATGTTGTCAGTATCGATCTCCAAAATGTTCAAAGCATATTCACACACCTTCAGTCAAATAAACCAGCTCGTTCAGATCTTCGTCGCTGATGTTATGTTTCTGTGCCGCCATCAATGTCGTGAGCTGCAGCTTGCGCACCCAGTCCTCGGGCAGTGGAATGTATTGTCTTCTGACAAATCGTCTTCTCGCTGCTTCATCGATCGCCCAGGGCAAGTTTGTAGCTGCCAGTACTAACACTCTGCTGGCATCACCTCGCTCCTTGTCTTTCTCGCTTGTTTCCTTGCCCGCAGCTGCTTTTGCCAGGTCGCTCCATTGAATTAAAAACTCGGTCTTGATCCGACGAGTAGCTTCATGCTCGCTCGACCCACCACGCGCTGAGAGCAGTGAGTCAATTTCGTCGACGAAGATGATTGATGGTGCCAGTGCCTTTGCAACAGAGAACAGCGCGCGTACGAGCTTCTCGCTCTCGCCGAGGTACTTGCTCGTCAAACTGCTAGCGGAAATGGCGAAGAAGGTACTTTTGCTCTCCGTAGCTACCGCTCTGGCCAACATGGTTTTTCCTGTTCCTGGTGGCCCGAAAAGTAACATACCACGTGCTGGCTCACGAAGTCCCATGAAAAGGTCTGGCCGCAAGAAAGGATAGACAACTGTCTCTTTCAGTGCACTCTTCGCGATCTCCAAACCTGCAACATCGTCCCAATGTACCTCATCACCCTGGATCACGATCTCGTTGAAGATCTGTTTCGCGGCTGCCTCATCTACTCCGCGAGGTAAGTTGTTGAGGAGATTCTTGACGCGTTCGTCCCACTCAGACAACTCATTCTGCGGCTCCGTGGATGCTTCAGGATGTTCGGTAACGGATTCGACAATGGGCGCAGGGGCTTCCTCTTCCACAGTAGCAGTTTTCTTTCGTCGTACTCTTGTCGAATTTTCTCTTCCACTACTATGCTCATCCGCACTATACCCCGATGAGACGTTTCTGTCGTCGAATTGCTGTCGCGCCTTTGCAGCATTGACTACACCGACTGCTTTTCTAGGAATCGGCGGTGCTACTTTTGGCTTCGTTTGATTTGTTGCAGCCGGCATCGAAGACGAAACCTGATTCTCTAGATCCTTCAAAGTCTTGGGCGGCCTAGCATTTGGAGGATTCTTGTATTTGCTCGGTTGCACAGGGAGATACTCGTTGCGATAGGACGGTAAGCTGACAGGTTCAATCCTTCGGACAGGTGATTGCTTTCGCGCCTTGGTAGTGTTAGCGGTAAAGGTGGCATTGGGTCGTTGACGCGGAGAAGTTATTGGTGAGGGTGGACCCAGGTGTTCGGAGCTGCTGGCGTATGCTTGGGATGGTTGTACAGGGTTCAACAAAGAATGACCAGGATATGGCGGACGTTGCGATTCAGTGTGGGATCCATTTGCAGCGGATGGCTGGACGAAGTAATCTGATGGACTGGGTGGTCGTATGTGCTTTTGAGGAGGTCTTTGCTGTTCTTGAGAGGAGCGAGAATTGGTCGGATGGAGGGCAGCTGGAGGAGCAGAAGCAGTGTGTGTAGGCGCAGTAGGTCGAGAAGAGTTGGAAGGATCCACAAGTGTTCTCGTGTAGGGGTCCCAAACGGTGGCAGAACTAGAGGGGCCGTCCAGATGTCCGTTCGCTTGCTCTAGACTGCCGACGCTGGCATTTCGTTGAGTAATGCTCCATGCTTGAGTTGCGGCCTTCGAAGCAGCAGCAGGCTTTCTGAAGGTAGCGTTGGATAGTTTGCCGGATGAAGTCGTTCTCTCCTTTCCGCCAGCGCGCAAAGTCCTCAACATGCCTCCTCTCTTCTCCGGACTAGGGGTACGCGAGCCTTTTCGCTGGCCAGTCGACGATTGAGGAGCCAGCATGGATGACGATGGAGTAAAGGCAGAGCCGGCTTGTAAGGGCGACCTGCGCACGGTTGGAACATCGGTTCCAGAACTATATTTCGAAGTATAAGATGGTCGCTTGTTACGTGTTGGAAGAGCGGGAGGCGTAGGACGCGAAATATCAGAGTAGCCGACTGGAGGGATGCTTCCTCCACCCAGACCACCACTGTTGTTCTGGTCTGCACCTTCCTGGAGTGGGATGCTTGTGCTAGACGCTGTTGCTTTTGCTTGTGTTTCTCCCTCCGCAGCTTCCTCCCGACTCTGCCGAAGTGCCTCAAGTAGGTCTACACGCTCTTTGCATTGCAACTCCATCTGTCGCAATGACTCCTGCAGGGCTTTCTCGGTTTCGGAACGTGGTCTCCATCCGGTAGGCATGCGATAGGCGTTGTGGTAGTATATTTGATCCAGTGCGTTGCGCCATGATCGGAGAGCTTCGGCCTCGTTGTTCTGATTCACTGTCAACTGCTGCTACTGACGACTGTCAGGAAGACCCGTACCTTCCCCCTCGAAATACACAGCAGTCGAGCATGTCAAATAACAATCGTCATAGGTCTTCTGCATGGAAGCTGCTGGCTTCCCACGGCCCAACATTGTGTCAACAACGAAGGACTCTCTACATGCGAAATTGAAAGAGCGGTATGCAGTCGAATGTAGTGATCTCTGGGTCGCACGAATATGCCCAGAGTTGGTTCAAACTTCTTGTCCCTCTGTCCAAGCCTCGCTCTTTGCGCGGCCTCTAAGGGACGGTAGGCATGACGTAGAGAAGTGCACCTGCCAAGTCTCGTGCCAAAATATAGTAGTCCCATCGCGATCCGCTCGGATACGCAGATCTTTATAAATGCTTCGAGAAGAACACGAAGAAGATTTGTATGATTTTACAATTACAAGGAATATATTCTATACAGACTCCGAAACAAATCGCTCTACCGTGAGTAACGCCGTCGACCAAAGGGTCTGTCGAAACACGAGACAAGTTTTGCTTTGTTTACTTCCTGCGAGTCATGATTTTGGTGATGGCATGCCTGATGGTCACGCCAGCCTTTTCCGTCTCCTTCTTTGACAACCCAGTGGTGACACAGACCTTGACCGCAGCTTGAGGTTGCCAGCCCTCGTCGCGAGGTGTACCGCCCAGTGGTGGAGGCATGCTCTTTAGTCGCGTGATCAAGACGCCATTGGCAAGACACTATTTAGACACAGTCAGTCAATTGATAAAGCACGATGAAAAGGGAGAAGCCTGGCTTACCTCTTCAACAATGTCTTGCATGATTACATCTTGCTCCGGTGCACTCAAGTGTCTGCTCTCAACCACCTCTTCCTTCAGAACAAGCATCAGGACAGGGTTGTCAACAGCACTTGTGCAAGTAACCCAGTCGCTGCGAGGATCCAGTTGAGCACGCATGGCGCGAATGTTCTCCCTCAATGCGACAAGGAGTTCGGGTTGTTCTTGCAGCATTCTGCTAGTCGCGCTAGCAGTCGTTGCAAGCATAGCAGGCAGTGCGGCCGAGAAAGTATATGCATTACCAGAAAGGCGCTGATGTTCGACGATTTCCTCACTACCAGCACAGAAGCCACCACCACCACAAAGGGATCCAGCGAGCGAACCAATGATCATGTCGACCTGACTGGCATCCACGTTTTGTTGCTCAGTGACACCGGCACCTGTGCGGCCCAGGACACCATATGACCACGTTTCGTCCAAAATTATGCGGAACTTGTACTTTTGCTTGAGTTCAACGAGCTTGGGGAGATTGACGACATCGCCTACGTTCTCGAACAGGCCCTCGGTGATGATAAAACGGCGGGTCAGGGGCTTGCGAGCATTCTCTTNTACCAGCTTTGCAAGCACGCGCTCAAGATCTTCCATATCGTTGTGCTCGTACCATCGGATTGTACTGCGCGAGATCTGGATACCTTTGCGTGTTGCGAAATTGACGGCCTTGTCAGCAACGATGATGTCGCCGCGCTTGGAGAAGGCAGGGATGACCGAGGAGATAGTACTGAAAGACTGGGCATAGACAATGGCAGCGGGTGCGCCTAGGTGAGCAGCAACGTCGGCTTCGAGGGTTTGGTGGACATCTTGTGTGCCGTAGAAACCAGGAGGACCACAGGGACCGACGCCATAAGCGCGCAGCGTCTTGACAGCAGCCTCCTTGATAGCTTCCGAGTTGATGAAGTTGAAGTGGTTATAGGTGGCAAGGTTCATTACGGTTCGACCATTCGCTAGCTTTGACTTGGGCGCTGAAGNGACTGTACTGTGAATCAGTATGTTGCCCATGGTAGTGCTGAGCTAAGTTGCGTACCCAACGATGACTGGTCTCTTCTCATTCTCGGCCTCTTCGAAAGCTGTTACGGGGGCTGCCAATGGTTCGGGGGTCCAGTCTTCAACAAGCTCATCGATTTCNNCTGTGTGCTGTGTCAGCAGGCAATAGATGGAGACCGGACAGTGGTAGCTAGGGCGTACCTCCTCAGTCAAAGGGATCTGCTTCTGCTTCTTCGTAGAGTATGCGGGCGAAACCAGGTAGTAGACGGCGAAGAGAAACAGGAACAGCTCCATGGCGGAGCGCACAGGATCATTCTGGTAGCTGGAGCGGATGTATCGGATGACTATTGAAGAGCCGGGAATCTTCTGCACTTGGTCAAAGGCCTGGTTGACAAGCTCGAGAGCATTGCCCAAGGCATCTGGCGGAGGACTTGTTGTATTCATCGTGGGCGCATAGTCTCATGTGTACAGAAGTCGAGGTGCGACGGTCATCAAGGCGTCTCGGTGATTAGACCCCTAGATGTCCTCGGCAACTCGAACCGACTTTCTCTAAATCAATCTCAATCTAAACCCAGGCGCGTGCCCCTGTCCTCCCTTGACTGCTGCTTTACTCTAGAAAACGTCTCTTTGAAGAATACCAGCCTGTGTTCTAGGCATGTCATTATGCTAGCTATGTAACGGCCCCTTTATGCAACCCCTCGCCTCGTCATTGAGCAAGTTTGCCCTGCCGGCCCTCGGAATAAACTGAAAAGTCAAAAGCACGCGAAATCAACACGAACCGCGTCCAACAAACGCCCATGTAAAACCCCCTCTCAAACCCCTTGATCCGGCGCCATCGAGGCACCCCACCTCCTGACCATTGAAAACAAAGGAGAATTGACTAGAAGAAGAAAAAAAAAAAACGTGCGGGTATCGATATTGGGTATGCCCCATGTAGGTCGTGAAATCCAAACGTCTGTCTAGAAATCGTATCGTCGTGAAAGGAATGTATGCTAAGGCCGAGCTCATTGGAGAAGGGCTCCGAGTTCCAAGGTGCTACCGCTCGTGTGCCTTGTTACTTCAGGACTGGATCCTGGTTGCAGTAGGCCATCAAAGTTGAGTTTTCGATGTGGCTCTCGTGCCGATAGAGGACTTTTGTTAGACGCCCAATTCACTTGGGCAGGACTTGGTGTAACGTTGCAGAAGTCGGAGAAATTGAAGTTGTTGGAAGGAGTGCTCAGCGCGAACCCAAAGAGACCGTTGCTCCCNNCTCCGGGCGTGTGCATCATCGTCGACGGTAGTGGGGTCGTTTTGGATGGAGGCGTGGACGGAGCAAGGACCCGGGCACTGTTGATACCGTTCGCCGGAGTAGGTGAGTTGTATAGTCCAATCATTCCAGAATCATCGTCTTTGGATGTGCGCGAGAAGCGGTGTTGAGGAGGTGGCGTCTTGGNGGGTGATGACCGAATGTTGTAGAGGTCGCTATCGACATTGAAAGAGTGTACGGGAAGATCGGTGTCGTCGTCTTCGGAGAGTTCAGGCGAGGGAGCGTCGTCGATGAGGCTAGAGCCTTCGGATATGAAAGACAGCTTCGGAACGTGAAGGGTTGAAGGAAAGACGGCGGTTCTGTTGTGGTAGGCTGGAGACGACTCTGGCAGTCTGTGTGATCTCTTCCATGACTGGACAGCGAGAGCGCTACGGGTCTTGCGACCAGTCTGACTGCTCGATGCAGGATATCTGTGGACGTCGGCGAACCTCGGGCGTTTGCTGCTGTGGGTGCTGCCATGGACACTGCTGTGAGAGCTGCCTAGCCGAGGCATGTCGTCGGAGAAGATGGGGGCAGTCAAGGGCGATGAGGCCATGCCACCAATGGAGTGGAAGCGGCTTGAGACGCTAGATGAGGTGTCCGAGTAGCTGTCGTTGATGCTCGAGGCAGTTCGTTTACGCTTGAGTTGTTGGTCGATGTGCGGCTCGATGGTATCGATACTGAGGTTCTCCCAGCCATGCTTGATCTTGACATTGGCCAGTGCTAGTCTGTCTTGCAGAGCTCTGGTCATNNCTGTGATGTGCGAGTTAGTGACGTAGGTAAACAAGACAATACTATCGAAGCCCTTTCATACCTTTGACACCTCAAGCCGGCGCATGACTCTGTTGGCGACATCGTTGCCGGTAGCGTCGGCGTCTGCCATGGCGCTCGAGTGTATGAGGAGTTTGTGGATGGGATGCGCTGCTGTGTGGTGAGGTGTATGGGTTTAAGGAGAAAATCCGACAGTTTGGTCAAAGGAGAAAAGAGTGGTCAAAGAGCAATTATGCACGAGGTGTCAAGCATAGAGTGGTGGAATGCATGGTCAGTTGCTGGGGCAGTTATACGCTAAGGCTTAAGCGCTGTCAAGTTTGCAAAACTGTGGGACGGAGTCGAGGGGCTACTTGAGCTGAAGCAATTCCCATCTCGATCAAACGCTCCAAGTATCGGCAGCGCCTTGGTTGGTTTCGTCACCAACTCCAAGCTCTCCGCGACAGGTCTGAGATCTATGCTTGCTTATTCCAGGTACCGTACCTGCTCAAACAGGCATATTGATATCTTTGTCGTCGTCTAGCAACAACAGCAACAACAACTCTTGACATGCGACAATCAATCTTGAACATCACTCTCCTTGCTCACCTCTCCCTGCGCACTTAATCTGGTCATATGAAGCAATCTTGGAAGGCATTGTGAAGGAACAGAAAGTGGATTGCATAGAGTCTCTTCCCTAGTCCACTCTGCCTTGGAAGACAAGAGGAGTAATGGAATTGGCACACGAGTCGGATTTGCCGACTCTGTTTAGNNCCTCACGAGCTTGGTGAGGATCGGCCGAAGATATGAATAGAAGCAGCACTTTTATCCTTTGCCCATGCAGCAAAGCAACAAGATGTTGAATCTGATGTCCGAAAGTCGTGTGCGCGTCTTGTGCAGAGACATGGCTTGTTGGATCATCAGCCGCTCTCTNTGTACAATACTGGGCTAGAGCGGATGGCTTCGGACGATATGCACCGGTGGACAAGAGAAGCATAAATCTGTAAGTGGTATAGTGGCCGAGGAGGCACATGCAAGCCCCATCAGCACGGCCGGCAGGGCGGCGCCAACGACGCTTGATAGTAGGTAGTGATGCAATGGGCAATGGCGGGTTGAGGAACATTCGTGGCAGCAGGCTCAACGGACATGTAAATTCCAGGACCCAAGTCAAGGTTCCAAGTTGGCATATCCGTCCGCCGAGCCTAGTTCTTGGAGTCCTCATGCTGTTTTATCTCTGCATTTCCTCTTGTCAGACCTGACTTGACTCTCTTGTGGGAATTGGATTGCTTGGCCAGCCTCTGAAACGCGTACCTCAGAAGCAGCACTCGATCGACCTGTCTTGCGGCAGAGTGCAGCATTTCCAGCAACCAACCGCTGTGTCGCGCATATCCGTACCACTCGCTGTCACAGGCTTCGTTCTTTTGTCTGTCTAGCTCACCCTTCTGTTTGCTGCAAACGAAAAGATATTCGAGAGATCTGTATACAGCCATCGTCCGCAGCGTCGCATTGTGTCTCCATATCCGACGACCACCGCCATGCCTTCATTTCTCAAAGAGTTCCGCCGAAGGTCAAAGGCCAGCTTCAAGACCGACAAGACAAGCTCTGGAAACGACGGCCATTCACACTCTAGCAGCAACGATTCGCGCTCCCAAGATGGCACCACCGCCGAACCCGTCCCTGAGATGCCCCGAAACAAGTCATCCTCAACACTAAATTCCATCTTTGGAGGAAAATCTCCGCCGCTTCCTGCTGGTTCTCCTCCGCTTCCTTCTCTCNNCCCTTCCGTCTCGGGCTCCAACACAAACCTCGCTGGCATGAACGGCAGCAAGACCCCTCCACTCGGCTCCCGGCCACTGCCCTCGAACAACAACAGCAGTCGCTACAGCATCGCTGTGAGTACATAAATGGCCGTTCCTAGGCCATAGATTACTAACGTGCAATCANNGGGTTCGGTCAATGGCTCACCAAAGCCCAACCAATATACGTCTCCGCTTGCACCTCGTGTTCTGTCGGCTTCCGAGGGCTCCTGGGTACATCAGAAAGTCCTTCTCATATACGGCCAGGTCGGTGACCCATCGCAACCTTTGGACGGCGAGATCGTCGTTTGTTCGCACCAGGACTGCTTCCCTCCTATGACTTGGCCCGTTAGCGACTCGCACTTCAAGGCTCTCGTGTACCTACAGCCCGGCCCCAACCGACTCCGCCTCGACTTTATTCCTCGGCAGCGTAGACCTTCGCAAGGCCAGCTCAACGGCCAACCCGCTCATTCATCCTACTTCCAGATCAATTATCTCCCTATGAACACCTCACCACCTCTCCACTTGGCTATCCTGGTTGCNAAAGATTCACCGAGAACATACGATGCCGTCCCTGACCGTATCAAGTCAGAAGGCAATGGCATAGAAACAGCGGTGCGCAAGTTCCGTATGGCTGCCTATCTGTGGCAAGCCTTCACAGGTGAGCAAATGAATCGTCACGGTTTCGGTCGTCGCTGCTTCCGCTATGAAGAGGAATGGCAACAAGGTACCTTGACCGGTCGTGATCTTGCAACCGGCCAAATGCGCAACGAGGCCAAGATTCATATCATCACTCTGAACAAGACTGTCGCCGAGATCCAAGACCTTAATATCGCACAACAGTATGAGCCCGCGAAACAAAAAGGAGATCTGTTTTCCATCGCTATGGACGCCGTCAAGAATCATTTCAACCCTCGACCGGGTCAGAAAGAGTATGTCTCATGCATGTTCTTGGACACACATTGGGATTCTAAGGTCGGAACGGTGAGAGGCCATGCTGCTCTAGGAGGTGGTGACGCACAGATCAAACTTGCCATTTTCGGATCTCATTCTCTGCAATCCTACCCCGCCCATCTCGAAGAAGTCGTACCCGCTTTTACTGACTGTACGAAAACCGACACAAAATACGTCGCCAATGATTGCAACGAAAGTGGGAGCAACTGGGAGGCTGCCAACATCGGAATCGGCGCCCATATGCACGAAACCGGCCACTTGTTCGGCTGCCCTCACCAAGAATCTGGCGTCATGCTCCGTGACTACGTTCGCTTGAATCGCACTTTCACCACCAGAGAGCCCTACTCAACTCGAACTCAATCACAGGGTATGCGTCTTTGTCTCCAACAAGATGAATGCGCATGGCACAGGTTGGACGCCTTGAGATTCAGACTACATCCTTGTTTCGCTTTGCCTACTGATATGAATGTTCCCCCAGAAGATAGCATTCAAGTATGGGCTGTTGACAAAGGATCTGCTCTGGTCACCGCAAGCACGGGAATAGCCTTTATTGAAATCTATACAGAGGGCGATGATCTTTGTCGTCACTGGATTGAATACCTGGATCCTAGCAACGGCTCCTCATCAGCTGCACCGCGCCAAATCACTTTGACAGAAGCAGACCTACGAGCCAGAGTAGGAGAGGCTAACAAGAACAAGAAGTTGAAGATCAAGATCTTCTCTCTTGGCCAGGGCGATCACGAGGTTGCTGATTTTGCTCAGCACGTGAGCAAGGATTCCAAGTTGAAGCTTCCAGACAGCAGAGTGGGCTTCAGAGGTTCAAAGGTTGGATTCTCGCAGATGGATGGAACTCAACCTCAAGAAGTGCTTTTGCGATCATCACACGAGAAGCGCAAGCTCTTGGTCTCGATCAGAGTTTACCATGGTTTCGCACTGGATGGCATCGAGTTTGTGTATGAGGACGGAGAGAATCAACTTTTCGGAAAGAGAGGTGGCAAAGCAGGCGGTGATGAGTTCCCTATCAACGCAAGGTTCGGCGAAACGTTGCTGGGCTTCAATCTGAGAGCTGGTCTCTGGATTGACGGTATCCAGATCCTGACCAGTGGCGGTCGCCGTAGCGAGTGGTACGGCAATAAAGATGGTGGTAGCNNGGGTAAGTTGTTGCATCAAACTAAGGAAAGAGACGTCCTTGCTAACATTGTCAACAGATGCAGTCTCATACCTCCCAGAGGATACAGCATTGCCGGCGTTTACGGCACATGTGGACAGTGGCTTGATGGTTTTGGTCTGATCATCACTCGCTGAGTCCGCATTACATCGATTCTTGTCACAAAATTTTTACATCCTAATACTAGACTCTGCAAGCAGAACAGCTAATCATCCTACGAGCAACTATCTCCTGTCTGCGGAAGCCGGAATTCTCTGATGCAATTTTTTCTTTCGTACGCAATTCTCACCAGCATCTGTCATATGCGTCAAGGGACAACCCTTTCCCCTTTGTCTTTTACTTCGTTACAGATGAACTAGCAGTGTTGCGCATCATTCAACCTTCTGTGGTATATTGGAAGCGTTGCATCCTCATCATTCCTTACCATCATTGTCATCTCTGGAGGCCATGTCTTTGATCTTTGTTGCATGCATAGGGAGCACGGATGGCGTTGTCTCTTTCCAACTCTGTCGTTTGTACTACTCTAGGAGAATACTTTGATTCGGTATTATGTCACACTCTGAACATGAGATGCTTTTTCCTTGTAGATCCAGACTGCCTAAGACGTTAATCTATCGTCACTTGTACCTTCTTGCCTCGATGTCGACTTTCTTTTGCATCAATACTTCGGGACAAGAGAACAGTCGGTTGGTTTTAGATGATGTTTTTTTGGTTGAACTCTGAAGACGTGCTGTCTTTGTTTAATGACAAGTCGGGTATATGACTTAGGAAGCTCTACAGAAGAATCTACACTACAGATCTAGCATGGGAACCTGCGAGCCCTTGCGTCCATAAAGTTTGCGGAAACCTTACAGATTAGTAGCTTCAGCTGCCACCAAGGCATGCAGACACAAAGGAAAATGATCGGATGTCACCATCGAGACCGAGCGACCGTCTACGTTGCGTCTCGCTACGCTGTAAAACTGTATATATTCAACTAAGATCAGGGAACAAACACGTACGGCCACAGTCAGCTGAAAACTGGGCATCCCGTCCGCTCTGCCATACATAAGCAGTTGAACGGCAGATTAGTACTACGGTGGGTGACCACGTGGGAATCCCTGCTGCTGTACGTTTTGCATTTTGTTGCAGTTCAGTAAAAGATGACTGCGAATTGGAAGACAAACGCATGGCGAGATGTGTGACAGGTGGTAATTCATTTTGTAGTTGCTCCTAGAGTCATCTTTTTTTCCTTTCCTTCATATGGTCGTATTCTTCGGCGAATCGTACATCATGCAGGTATGTCCTTGTTACTGCCACTGGTAGTGGGTTTCTATCCACCTTGACTAGCGTCGAGTGCCACACCGCGATCAACTCAGGAGCATTTTCGAAGGCCAGCGGCTTGGTCGATCTCAGTCTGGCCAAGCACATGGACTGATGCACAGTTTATTACTCGAATGTCCACTTTCTGTTTGCTTAACAGAGCACTTACTCAACGTGTTGGCAGTTTATGGCTCTTCTGTCGAATTGATTGTATAAAGTATGGTTGCTCATGTCCAGTCAGTAGTATATCCGCGGTGGGACGAATTGCGCTCGACCATAGTAGCCATCTCACTGTCATAGATGGTGGGCAATATCCCTATTCGAGCGAGACTCGAGTGTTCGGTCGAGAAATCTTCTGAGCTGATGGGGTCTTTTGNCCTTTTCTCGCATGTGACCGGCTCAGAAGAGTCGGGCTTCCTGGGACTGCTGGTTGCAGGATATCTGGAGCTCCCTCTCTTTCGGATGCAGGCCTGGAACAGTGGGTGTAGAGTTGCCATGCACACCGTGATGATGGCCACACCAAGTTCGATGAATGAGAGAACGGCAAAGTCTCGGTTCTGGTTTAGAAGTAGAACCTGCAATCCATCTCCCGGCATGTATCGAAGTCGAACTAGAGAGAGAACACTAGCTCCGGTAGCGAGGAAAACCAAGAAATAGACGCAACAAACTTCTCCAATCGGCATACGTCGTAGCTTGGTGAGTACTGGAAGACATGCTAGGACAAAAACCCAGTCACATGCGGTATTCAGCGAAATAGCAACATACAGCAGGGGTTTGACGATATGAATCCAGTCGATACATTGTCCATCGGTCCTTGCCTTGACGAGGTTCGAGACGGTTGGCACACCGCATTGGAAAGTGCTGATGAACATGAAAGCGAGGTGGTACAAGGAGAAGATAGAGACGGCGCCAAAGACGACATAGCGCTGGGTCAGTACGATGAACCATCAGTTCAGAGCCCNAAGAAAACATGCCTTGATGACTCTTGGATAGCGTTCCATAGCATCCTCACGTACTAGCCATTGGCCGATAACGATTGTACTTGTACACAAGGACATGAACAAGACNNCTATATCAAACGTCAGCAAGGAAGTCCACAGGGAAAAGGGATAGCCTACATATGCAGGAATGATGAGCCAATCTGCAACTCCAAAAGTCTTTGTCATGTAGCCACGGACATATACACGCAAAGCGACAGCCAGGGTAGTCAAGACCATCATGGGAATGCCAAATCGATACAGATCGTTCTTGGTAGAGCCACTGAGCGCGCCGACCTGAACGGTGCCAGTTTCATCTTCGTAGAAGGCCATTTTGCCTTGCAGACAAGACCGAAGGACATGTCAGACAAGAGAATCCTTTGTCGAAACAGAGATGCGTGAGAGGTTGAGGCTGAAGGACAAGGTGGTTGTATGGTGGAGATTTGAGGATTTGAGACAACAATGATGCAGGATCGTAACGGCTCTGCCGTTCAACCGTGGCTTATGCGGGACATGGTGCGGTACATTAGATAGATGTAAAGAACGCCGTACTTTGATCGATGAGGATTCGATATGATGCTTGATACGCGGCTAAAAGGATGGTGCCATTGAAGCCTATCGCATTGGGTCATATCGAGGGGGTACTAGGTGTATATGCGAATTGGACTCTACAGTGTGACTTGAACGAGAGACAGGCTAGACCAGTGATGCTAGAATCAGTGCAAGCTTCCATTATAAAATCACGTTGCTCGTTGAACATTAATTAACCCACCGGAGTTTTGTCCAGTCAATGTCTGAGCGCAGTGGGCTCGGCGGCTCGGTCCACGCAGCCGAATATGGTCGCAGCCCTGAGACCTGCGATCGAAAGCGAATGCAGAGTTGTGGTCAACACGAACCTACACAGCAGCAATATCGTGCAAGTCTACGATGAGGAGTCGACAAGATGGGATCGGACTGAGAAAAGAGAATATGTTCAAATACACGAGAATCTGATTGGCGGTCAAGATGGGAAGTGTAGATGGTACAACAGCGTGGCGGAAGTGGCTGGTGGAGGCAACTGCCTCGGATGCAAGGCTGCAAGGTGCATGTTGCGTACCCATATGGGCTATGTTTTTGCCATTGTGATCGAGTAGTACGGCAAGGTGAACACAGAAGGTTGGACAAGTGGTTTTGAGCTGACTCTTTCTCGAGCGACGACGGCTCCTAGAAATTGTCGTTGGTGCGCGGATGGCACTGAGCCGAGCGTCGCCCTTTCCGTCGTGTATCACAATCAGCCAGACCTCATAGCCAATTTCGCTGTTCGCATTTCTCGTCGAGATCTTGCCCGTCTTTGGCCGCTTCTTCGGGGGTTTGTGACGAGGTTGCGCTCAGAGTCGACATGGAGGCAGCGCTCTGAGACCTGATCGTCTTGACTTGAAATGATTGCAGGAGACTCGTCGCAGCAGCAGCAGCAGCAGTCCACTGGCGGTCAACAGCACCACCACCAACAGCCACGACCCAAACCTGCCAACCGAGCGCAGAACGGGCTCGTCTTGAACGACGTGCCCTCGTTCGACTCGCGCGACCTTCTGCGGCCCACGTCGATAGTCGCCAACAATTCACTCTACCCGACCATCCAACCAAGTCCCCGTAGTCCCCGTCCGCGTGCCCGTACCTTTGTCCATGCCAAATACCTTACCGATCCCGACGACCCTACGAGACGTTCGCTGCCACACACTTTGACCCCTACCGCAATGCCGCCGACCAACTACCAGCCCAGCCAGCAGCGCCATGTCTCGGCCACAGCTGCGGAACACGTCTTGCGCCAGCAACAGCAGCAACAGCAGTCACAGCAGCAATACATGCCTCCGCCACCGCCCATGTCCAACCCTCCATCCATGCAGTTTCCTCCACCTCCACCGCGCCCGCCCACCAGCAACTCGCAGCACAATGGTCTGATGCTCCCTCCGCCACCCAGCGCTCCACAGTCGGCTCTAAATGCTTGGGCTCTCTGGAACAGACAGCAGCAACAACAGCAGCAGCAATCTGTCTACTCGCAGCAGCAGCAGCAGCAGCAGCCTCCATATCCACAGCAGCATCAGCAGTATCCCTACACGTCGCAGCAACAGCAACAGTCTCCCTATCCCCAGCCCCGTGAACCTCGCGCATACGATCCTACTGCTTACCAGGCCTACACTTCGATGCCTCCACTACCTCCCGATACTCAGCCTTTGGTTTCTGCTACGTACATTCCTGGTGCTGATTCTTTTGGTCCTGGCGTTGGCATCCCTCCATTGCACGCATCACCTCCTCCACCACCGCCTTCCAGCACTCCTGGTCGTTCTCAGAATCAGCAACAGTACCATAATGGTTATTCGCAGCACCCACCAACCCCTCAGTATCCGCTTGATCCCATGGATGATGGTAGATGGCTTCAGTACAACCAGCCCATTGCAAGTCAATACAACTCGTACTACCAACCATCGCAATCTATGCAGCAATTGCGATCTCAGCAGAGCAGGGATTATCTCTCAAATGCTCCTCCGACCCCTTCAAACACAAGAGTGGTAGTGCTGCCTGCTAGAGAGACGCAGGAGCACTCTTCGCCTGCTCCACACATGCTTTCCTTTGCTGATTCTAATTCAACACCGGTGCCTCAGCCACGTGAGCAACCACCTCCAGAGGTGCCTGCCTCGCCTCACGATCTGCAATGGCCTCTGGAGCGAGTTATCGCTTGGCTTGCTGATAATGGCTTCTCTCACATTTGGCAAGAAGCATTCAAGCATCTCAACATCCAGGGCTCGCAATTCCTTGAGATTGGTCGATCCCAAGGTAACAAACCAAACGTCGCTTTCTTGCACAAGACCGTCTATCCCCAGCTGCAGAAGGAATGCGCCAGTGCTGGCATCGTGTGGGACCAAGCCAAAGACCGCGAGGATGGCAAGAAGATTCGAACACTAATTCGTCGTATTGTTGATTCTGGAGGTAGCAGTGTGAATGGCACCAGCTCATCAAGCTTACCTTCACGTCAGCGGAGAGAGTCCTCACAGTTCCCACATAGCGCAGACGCGGATGGTGCTCTCGAGAGTTCACCCATGATGACCCGCCACGAGATGACTTTCGGTTCAACTCCTACAACCGCTGGAGGAGGTGAAGACAGTCCTGGTCTGCAGATGCCCAATTCTTTCGCTCAACGGAGATACTCGTCGCAACGTTCCGTCACGCTTGACTCTATGACTTTGATGAACAAGCAGCATGACATCTCAGACAGCCGAAGCGCATTTTCTCGCGCTGCTCTTGGCGAGACTGACATACCTCGGCGGCACAGTCCCAGTGTTTCGACAGAGCTCACCGCGAGTTATGCACAAACCACTTCTCATCTTCGCTCTGATTTTGGCCGCCCAGGCTTTGAGCAAAGCCCACAGCATAGTCCTGCTATGCAACAAGCCCGTCCCGCCAATCCTCCATCTGCAACAGCACATAATCGTTACTACGGCAATAACCATCACAGACTCAGTGGTAGTGACTATACAAATCCCAGCGGTCCTGCTTCCAGTCGCATCATTGCTACTAGCGACGCGAACCATGGTAAAACACCTCCGGTAGATTCTCGCAGATATGCTCAGGAAGGATCACGACCACCGCCACCTACAGAGCTTGCTTCTAGAACCAGCGCCGGAGAAGTCCCCCACAGTGCTACAGCAAGCGCGAAAGAACACAGGTCAGGCTTTCTCCGTAACTTCATACGCCACAAACAGAAGAATGAGAGAGATCATTCTCGTGACGATCACATGGAATCACCTACAAGTCCAGCGCAATCTCGACTGCTTACCAAGTCAAGTCTGAATTCGAGCGAGACCTCGATCGACAGACCCGCGTCTCGCAGGTCAGGACATATCACTGTGGAGGTAGAGAAGGCCCAGCATATACCCGAACGGGGAAGGTCTGCAGCGAGAGAATCTGACAAGCGATACGCATTTGTTACTCCTGATGGATGGAACTACAGATTGATAGATCTGACGACTGTTTCAACAGCCGAGGAGATGCGAGCAACCATATGCTATAATCTCGGCATTGTGGAAACACCTGATTTGACTATTCATCAAACTTCGCCTGGCAAAGAGCAGCACGAAGAACCCCTTACAGACTCGCTGTTGTTAGCTGCACGTCACCACATTTCTGATTCGACGGGAAAGCTCAAGCTTTTGTTCGCTCATCTGCCACCGAATCCTCGCGTGATCGGATGGTATCGCCTCTTCGCGCTGGGTCCTTCTCTAAGCCCGTCGATCCCTCGACGTATTCTCAACTCACTGGAGACGACAAGATCGACACCTCCACTCTCAAATCAAATGAGTCTACCTTGGTACCTGATAAAAAGCGGTCGTTGCAAAACCTCGTCCGCGACATGGCTAGCGAGAACCTACTCTTACCGGACCGCGATCTGCCTACTGACTTGTCTGCGCTTTCCGAGCCTGAGCGATTGGCGATACTTGAGATCAAAGCCGAAGAGCATCGAAGGGAGACACAGCGCAAGCAACAGGCGTATCTGGAAACCAGACAGCAGCAAAGACTTCGATTGGAGCACTCGCGTGATCGTCTTGGCAAGGATTTCTCGCCCATCAGGCGCAAAGACATAATTGACTTCGACCAACGACGAAACTCGCCCTACGAAGAAAGAAAGATGCTTGAGCAGGAGAAAAGATGGAGCCTTTGATCCCGCTACGCAAACCACCGCCCCCTCCCGAACCGAGCAGCACTCTATTCAAAGCAGATTCTCTCAGAAAGAAATCAGGGCCAATCTCGCGTACCAGTTGGCCTGATCGTGGCGATGCTTCCAAGAGAAGTTCTGCCGAGAGCTTGGACGGCAACAAGCGCAAGACTCGTGTAGGTTCTGGTATAGGTGCTGCTATCATTGGCGCAGGAAGGTTGGGCGGCATGGTTGGAGCTCCTGGCACTCCTGCTTCAGCCAGAGAAACCGCACAAAGCCCTCCGTCTGGCTACAATAGTGGCGTCCCACCGAAGGCAATGCAAACATTGGGTATCACCGGCATGGGCGAAAACAGACCAGCCCTTACTGGAAATTCACCTATCACGATGTCAAAAGGTGAAGTACCTTTCAAGATCCCTGCCTATCTTGAAGATAGCATCGAGGATGGAAATCATTCTTCGGCTGTTAGTAGCTTCACACGACCAGCACTTACTCTTCAGATGCCTAGCAAGGACAAGTCGACCATCTCGCCTGCTAAAGACATTCAGAAGCACCCCAGTCCGGGAATTAGTCCTACGACTGCACGCCCGCAAAGTAGCTTGAGTCGCATGAGCAGCCGTAGAAGCTATGGTCCTAACTTCCATCTGCCAAGTGAACCTGTTTCTTTCGACAGACCATCTACAGCTACAATGGACGAAGAGGACGAAAACTCGGACTCAGACGATGGTCTGTTTGCTAGACCATTGACAAAGAAAGACTCGAACGAGAGTCTTTTCGCCATTCCATTGGCGAACAAAGTCAAAGGGAAGCAATCAAAGACTTCTCTGATACAGGATCAGGCCGAAAGCTCTACCTCACAGCAAGAGCAAGTCATCAAAACCAAGGCCTCTCAACAGAACATGAGATTTACCGCGTCTCCCGATCCTCTGGATGAGAGCGAAAAACCACATCCAGAGTCTGCAGTATCTGCAGCTTGGTCAACAGAATCTCCTGAAGATAGTGCTAGGTTTGGTCGTCGTGAGAGTTTCGCCAGTGATCTATGGGCCAACCGTCCTCCTCCCGAGGCCCTCGTGGAACACCTTGATGAGTTCTTCCCGAACGTTGATCTCGATCAGCCAATGATCGAGGAGGAGGGTCAGGAAGGTCAAGCTAGTACCCCAAGCGAGACGCCGAGCGTCCAACCCTCGCAGACATCCTTAGTGCCCACTGTGGAGCCCAAGGCAGAACAGAGCTTCGTGCCGGTACCCGATCTTGAAGCTGACAACGGAACACTTGGTAGTGACGAGTCAACTCTTAAGGAAGATTCTACGCTCAAGAGAGGACACAACATGCCTTCGGTCGCTCAGAGGAACCTTAGAAAGTCTGGTGGCCTGGGCAGAACCAAAAGCATTCGTGAAGTCGTGAAAGGCGCGTATCAGTTGCCTGCTCAGAAGTCGCCAAGCCCGTCAATCACTTCCTTCTCATCAAGTCGTGCTCCTAGCGCACAGATGAATCGTAGCGCTCTGAACCGCATGAGTACGCTCAAGTACGGCGGCGATATCGTCCGACGTAAGAGCACGAAGATGTTTGGCGCTCGTATTGAGCAGATCAAACCTCCTCGTGGTAGCCGCCTCATACAGCTGGAAACCATTCCTCAGGATACTTTTGCGCTTCAACATCCCCAACGGCAGCCAACATTCAAGTGGATGAAGGGTCAATTGATCGGCAAAGGTACCTTTGGCCGTGTGTACTTGGGCATGAACACCACCACTGGTGAGCTCTTGGCAGTAAAGCAGGTCGAAGTGAATCCCAAGACCTCGAATGCGGATCCCCAGAAAATTCGCGAAATGGTCAAGGCCTTGGACTCTGAGATCGACACCATGCAACACTTGGATCACATGAACATCGTTCAGTATCTCGGATGCGAACGCAAAGAATACTCAATCAGTATCTTCCTCGAGTACATTTCTGGTGGTAGTATTGGCAGCTGCTTACGCAAACACGGCAAGTTCGAAGAATCAGTTGTCAGTAGTTTAACTCGACAGACCCTTGACGGGTTGGCATATCTTCATCGCGAAGGTATCCTCCATCGCGATCTCAAAGCTGACAATATCCTTCTCGACCTTGATGGTACCTGCAAGATCTCAGACTTCGGAATCTCCAAGCGCAGTCCGAACCCATACAACAACGACATCACCAACAGCATGCAAGGCAGTGTCTTCTGGATGGCACCCGAAGTTATCCGCGCGCAGTCTCAAAGTAGCACCTCAAGCGGTTCTAGCGAATCTCAAGGTTATAGCGCAAAGGTCGATATCTGGTCGCTAGGCTGCGTGGTTCTGGAGATGTTCGCTGGCCGTCGTCCTTGGAGCAAGGAAGAAGCCATTGGTGCAATCTTCAAGCTCGGCAGTCTTAACCAAGCTCCACCTATCCCTGAGGATGTCAGCAGTGTTGTCGGACCTGCGGCTTTGAGCTTCATGTATGACTGCTTCACTATCGACCCTGCCGATCGCCCTACAGCTGAAACCTTGCTTCGCGCACCTTTCTGTTTCCACGACCTCCACTACAATTTCTTCGACACAGAACTATATGCCAAGATTCAAGGAGCATTTGGTCCGTAGATCTTGCTGTCTAGCATCTTCTCTTCTCTGTTTGCTACACTATTTTAATGTTCTCATCTGCGTTTTTGCACGCATATTCTGTATCTTTTCTCGTCTGATACCCAATGATTATTTACCTGTTCTTTCTTGATGGATTCTGTATGCTTTTCTGCACTGGTCGTGTTGGCGACTTGGATAATTTAGGAGCTATCGGCTTCTCGAAAATAGACATCTTCTATGAATATGACATTCACTTTCCTCTTGCATCATGTCGCTAACTGTCTTTTTTTCCGAATTGTCAAGATGAGGTTTCCGAGACGAAGTACCCGCGTGGCAGGGCTCAGTCACCAGACAACGCGTGCGCATGGTACGACACGCGCCAGCTCCGGCTTATACCGTGACTCAAGGACAAAAGCAGGTCTTCTCGGACGTACAGCCGATGAAGCCTTGTTACGAAGTTGTCAGGTTTCCTGCTTCGCAATGACAAAGGTTTAGTTAAGCACCATAGAGTGACGGTTCGTTCCGTTGCTTCAATGACAGTGTCCGCCCCGCCCCGCAAGCGCGACGAGCACGGTCTGTGACCAGGTCCGAAGCTCATGGGAGATCCCGTTTGATATAGACACGCGAGCGAAGGTGCTGACGTAGGCAAGCTCGTGGCAGTGTTATACCAATGGTATGGTACAACAACTCCCATGATCATAAACTGCTCGTATGTAAGGTTAACACCGCTGTACGAGGGCCAAAAGTGAACAGGCGAGGACCGCAGCAGTGGCTCATCGTGCTGGCAGACGAAAGAGGTTGGAGCTAAGCTTTTGATATTGATATTCTCGTGTGCAAAAATCGATGGACAAACGGAGCGTCGTGTGGCCGGCCATCAGTCGTCAAAAAGTTGCAATTTTTCGACGTGGTTTCGAAGATTGCGTAGCCCACGCAAGTGTTCTTGCTCTAAAAATTTTAAGTAACTAAGTTAACTATATACAGTATCTATCCTAAGCATTTAAGTAAATATAAATCAGTAGGTTCGAAGCTATAATATAATAAGTACAAAATAGCAGATTTCGAAGATTTCGCAATTTTTATCTTATAAAAAAGATTTAATTGGACTTGGAAACTCTAAACTATATTTTTGATAAACCTTTGTATACCTTTTACTATAGCTATCATATAAGTATATATGATATTAAATACTATAAAGTCGCTAGAGATCTATAAGCTGTTAGAGTTTTAGAAGTCTAGACTTAATAATGCATATGTTATTCATAAAAATATACTAGAAAAATAGTGTTATTTAGAAATTAAATATAAAGCTATACTAGACTACCATCTTCTACTTAGATAAGCTAGAACCTTATATATAGGTAGAGATAGTAGCAACCTATCTATGCGCTACGTTTCAAAACATAAAGACATATGGTTGTTACGCTATTCTATGATTTCAGTCGAAGATCTGAAATCTGTTTGCGATGGCCGACCACACGACGCGTCGCTTGTACATCGATTTTTGCACGCGAGAATATTCCCCAGCAGTCAACACTGCCGAGCTTCGGCCTGCTCGATGCGGCTCACTCCGTTCTTCGTCGGCGCTTACCAACATCGAAGTTTGATAGGCACATCGCTGACCATCTGAATCTCGCTTTCGCATCCACCGCTCACAATTTCGTCGAACAGGCCAAGTCGGTTGGGTTGCACAATCACAGCGATCATTTCTTGGACGCTGAGAAAATGCTTTGTGATGGTCGTGTCTGGATGTTTCGAGCTGTAACCTGAGCACATTGCCCTGCATTGGATGTCACGGCTTGGCCATGTGGCCATTGACCTATGAGTCCAACTTAGTCGAGCATGCAAGTGTTTGGGTGGACAAATCTGCCGAAGTCGCCGTCCATGCCCAGGGCCAAGAAACCGGGTTTGTACGATCGAAACACTATCAAATTCTTGTCCAACGCTGTGCCCCCCATGTAGAAGAGCTTGGTAAGAAATAGCAGGTCAGAAAATAGTCTGTGCAGCCCTTGGATGGCCTGATCCCCATTCATTGCACCCGAGTAAGTTGGCAGTTGATCGATCTTCAGAGGAATACATAAGAAGCCAGCATGGCCACTTTTGGACGGCCTCTTTTGTTGTACTCATACGGCTCTCTTTTTGTGTTGTTGAGATCGAACAGTCATTATGCGTTTCTTACTGTACCTCCCATTGATCGCGGGCACTGCCTTTGCTGGCAGCTGTCCCTACATGAGTGGTGAGATGGGAAAGCGCGATGATGCCGCCCTTCAAGAAACCACCGAGCAGACCGATGAGTTCATGGGCCAATTCAAGCTCAACGATGAGCAAGGCTTCATGACCACCGATTGGGGTACTCCCATTGACGATGTGACCAGTCTCAAGGCTGGTGCAAGAGGTCCTACACTGTTGGAAGACTTTGCTTTCCGACAGAAGATGCAGAGATTCGATCATGAACGAGTAAGTCTTATGGTCCGGAACGTCAATGACTGGGTTTAGCTAATTGTTTTTCAGATTCCGGAACGTGTTGTCCATGCCCGCGGTGCTGGTGTTCATGGTGTCTTCGAGTCTTATGGCAATTTCTCTAATATCACAGCGGCAAGCTTCCTCGCAGAGGAAGGCAAGAAGACTCCTACTTTCGTACGCTTCTCGACCGTTATCGGTGAGAGAGGGTAAGTTGCATGTGTTGATGCAGAATGTCATCTACTAACAGCTACAACAGANAGTGGAGACGCCGCCAGAGATGTCAGAGGTTTCGCAACTCGCTTCTACACTGACTCTGGCAATTTGGACATCGTTGGCATCAACCTGCCCATTTTCTTCATCCAAGATGCTATGCAGTTCCCCGACATGGTCCACGCTCTGAAGCCTCAACCTGACAAGCAGATTCCTCAGGCTGCTACTGCTCATGATACCGCCTACGACTTCTTCTCCCAGCAACCCAGTACCTTGAACATGGTCAGTGCATCAAGTCACGATAGATAATTGATATGATACTAACTATCTCTGCAGCTTATGCTTATCATGTCGGGTTACTCTCTACCTCGTTCATACCGCCACATGAGCGGCTTTGGTGTCCACACCATGCGCATGGTTACCGAAGAAGGAGATAGCAAGCTCATCAGATGGCACTGGAAGTCCAAGCAGGGTACCGCAAGTCTTTTGTGGGAAGAAGCTCAAGCCATCAATGGAAAGAACCCCGACTACCACCGCAAGGATCTTTGGGATGCTATTGAGAATGGTGCCTACCCCGAGTATGAGCTCGGAGTTCAAATCATGGATGAAGACCAACAACTGGCTTTCGGCTTCGATGTCTTGGACGCCACCAAATGGATTCCTGAGGAACTCGTTCCCATCACCATTCTCGGAAAGATGACTCTGAACGCTAACCCGACAAACTACTTTGCCGAGACTGAGTCTATTGGTTTCCAGCCAGGACATGTCGTCAGGGGTATCGACTTCAGCGAAGACNNCCCCCTGCTTCAGGGTCGTTTGTTCTCCTACTTGGACACTCAGGTCAACAGACAGGGCATCAACTTTGAACAGCTTCCCATCAACCGTCCTCGCATCCCCATCCACAACAACAACCGCGACGGTCGTGGACAGCAATACATTCCTACAAACAACTACGCCTACTCTCCCAACTCGCTCAACAATGGCTTCCCCAAGCAAGCCAACCAGACCGTCGGCAAGGGTTTCTTCACCTCACCCGACCGCCGCTTGACAGGTGCATTCACCCGTGAGCTCTCACCTACATTCAACGACCACTGGTCGCAAGCACGAATGACCTGGAACTCGATCACTCCAGCAGAGAAGCAGATTGTGGTCAACAGTCTACGCTTCGAAGTCAGCCAAGTGCAATCTCAAGTCATCAAGCAGAACTTCGTCATCCAACTCAACAGAATCTCACACGATCTGGCTTCTCGTGTTGCTGTTGCTTTGGTTGACGTTATTGTTCCTGAACCTGACAACACTTTCTACAACTCGAACAGCTCTGCTCATATCTCCATCTTCAACACTACTTTGCCTACTGTCAAGGGTCTTAACATGGGTATTCTGGCTTCGACATCTTCCAACGCTTCCATGGCTCAAGCAGCTCAGTTGAGCAAGTCTTTCGCAGCTCAAGGCCTTTTTGTCAGCATTGTTGCAGAGTCTCTTCAGCCTTCTGTCAATGTGACTTACTCCGCTGCCGACGCCCACGCCTTTGACGCTGTCGTCGTCACAGCAGGCGCAGAAGCAATCTTCACAGGCGAGAAGGCTTCACCACTATACCCTCTCAACCGCCCCATGGAACTCATCAAGAACGCATACAGCTGGGGTAAACCCATCGGTGCGGTGGGTACTGGCAGAAAAGCTTTGGATGTTGCTGGTATTCAGCAGCGCCCTGGCGTCTACTTTGCCAATGCCACTTCTGAGGCTGTGGAGAACTTCAAGTGTGGTCTTGCCACTTTCAGATTCTTGGACAGATTCCCTATGGATGAGTAAGGGAGGATTGTTTGTAGATTTCTTGATACTATTTTTATTCCATGTCACGAATTTCTCATATGCCATGCTGTTTGTTGTTGATCAAACTGTCTCTTGCACTGTCTCATTTGGCAATGACGATCCAATGTTTGTTACTTGCCGTCTGAAAAGGGGAATGGTGTGAAGTATGAGCCTAGATGGATTGTGCCTTCCCTCTTTTTCCTCTTTCATCATCTTGCTCGTTATTTCTCCTCATCAGTCGTTCCTTCCTCACTCTTGATTTCCTGTTCTTGATAAAAATGTCGCTGCTACTCATCAGTCTGCTCTATTCGCACCTACTCTGATTATGTGCAGAAACAAACAGACAATGAAGAGACGTGGCAGACACAAACCTATTTGCGCACATTTATCCAATCCTTGATTCGTCGCTGTGATTATCGCAGGTTACAATCGTCGATCTCTTGTTGCCTTTACTTCGCGATCACGAATGTCCCATGTCGGAAAAGCCAGGAACTGGCGTCTTTCTCGTGTTTATGCTTGCACACTTGACATGCTTCCGGATGACAGCGGCAGATGGCACACTCGATGCATGACTGTACTCCAGAGTTATCCATACAAAGATTCAAAACAAGCATGCAATAGAAGCGTTGTGAAGTTAAAGCGCGGCGATCTGCAAACCGGTATACAGAAGATCAACAGCATATCGAAAATCGATTGCGCGATCAACACAAAGGAGGCTTGATCAAGTGGGAGCAGAAGTAGAATTGTGCCGTAATGACAAAAGGTAGACACGGATTGAGAGAGATATAGATTTGGTCTATTGATGTGTGGTTGAACCGTCCTATAAAAGCTTCGCCGTATAAAATGCTTCCAAGTAAACCATTGTTCGGTGACATTGAGCCAATTGCGCTTGTGATGGTGTATCATGTGGAGGGAATAAAACAAGAAAAAGGTAGAAACACACAGAAAAACATTGGCTTGTCGTAAAAACCCACCACCCAAGATTCATATCAAAAAGTAAAAGAAGCCCACAAACCCCCAAGGGAAACAGAAAAGAAAGAAAATACAAAGAATCTAAACATGTCCCATATGCTATCTCTAGTCTTTTTTTTGGGGACTTCGTACATCTATCATTCGCCAATGTGGCGTTCGTTTTCGGGTTTCCATGAGCCTGTAAAATCGAGTTAGACTTGTCCGTAGTAAAGGGACAAGGAAATATCAGGCATACCTTCAAAGTTGTGCTTCACGAAAGCCATGGGGTCGTCATCGTCACCAGCACCCATCTGACCAACACCAGGGCTGAAACTCGTGATGGGCAAGACAACGACATCACCGACCTTTTTAGCCTGTGTGATGCCGGTAAAGTGCTCCCAAGTAATATTGCCCTTACTCGTTGACATGTCAAAGTAGTCGGGGTCGTTGAAGAAGGCGAAAACGGCGTCGGTCCAGATGGCAGGACCGGTAAACTCAACGATCGACTCAATGCTTGATTTGGTGAGCTTGCCCATCTCCTTGCGACGCAGAGTCTCGTGAGTAATGGTAGACACCAAGTCGCGAAGAATGGGGTGACCAGGCTTGGATTGAATGGTCCACTGGCAGAATTGGATGCGACGCGAGTACCAATCGTGCCAATCCGGACGGTCAGGGTCTGCCTCGATACCAATGACCATGCCGTAGCTGGAGCGTGGCACCTCTGCTGGGACCCATTCGGTGGCACTCTTCAAAGCGCGTGTGTCAATGTCTGAGTAGATGCCTCCTCTTGCCAGCAGAATCAAATAGCGGAAGAAGTCGGCCTTGAGCACGGGGACGGGCATGGCGTCGTATGCGGCTACGACATCGGGAACGGCGGCGTAAAGGTGACGGATGAGGTTTGCAGCGACGTCGTCGGTGATGACCTCGTGCACAAATGTTGGGTGCAGCTCGGTCCAGGCAGCCTCGCCAGGACGGAAGTCTTCGTCAAAGTCGCCAGATGAGGGAGTGACCTTCCATGTCTGCCAGATGTATGCAGGGAACTTGCTCTCCGGGTCGTAAGGGAATTGGTAGGCCAGCTGCTGTCGTAAGGGCATAGCATGCAGGTCTTGCAGGGATATTTGCGGACGCTCCTTCTTGTAGTTGGACTTGGGCTTGAGTTCCTCGGCGACGTCCGGCGTCGTTGAGGACTGTGGTGTAACCAGTCGCGAAGTGGTAGCATCGGCCGGCGGCTGTATTTGGATCTTGCGGTTATCTGAATATGAGCCGGTGGGCTTGGGCGAATTTACGTTGAATGCAGCTGCTGTTGGTTGTGAATGCGAGCCCTTGAGCAGGATGAAGAAGCCCAGTACGACGACGGCCGTCAACAAGGCCCGTTTGAAGGTGGACATGTTGGGCGACGGAGGGATAGCAAGGGGAGAGAAAGAGAGAGCGCGGGAGTGCGAGGCAGGAGCAACGTGGATTAGCAGCAAGCGACGGGCATACCACGTATATGCAGGTCTCTATGAGCTGGATGCAGTCCGGACACTTCGACTGGCAGAATTGGGGAACGGCTAGGAAAATGCGGGAACTGGGCGACCTCTTGGGCCGGAGCAGCTACTTGTATATCTTTTTCGAGTGGGGATGTGTCGATCGGGGGATGGACCAGGGCACCGTTGTGGATACCACGCACAGGGACACGACAACAACCCTGTTCTTTCTGATGCGCCCGCCGCCAGCAACAAGATGCAGCTTGCACAAAGTAGCGAGCCTCTTTTTCCTCAAGCCTACAAGCAAGGGATAAATTGACAGTTGATCCGTTTGATTGTCCAGAATCTCTCAACCTGAGCCCGTATCACGTCAAAAGTCTAAGGACAGCCACGACTTGAAACGCCGAGTTGCAAAGGGGTCGTTGAGTCGCCATAGCACATCAAACATAGGAACGCGTCATTGGCCCTTCCTTCCGCCTGCACGCCTGTCACCAATACTCGTACATGTTTCGCTTGTCTATAATCATTAACGTCTTCGGCTTTACAGGTTTGATGATTACATGCATGCAATATCCTCACCATATTATGCAATGCGTAAGCAGTGCTCAAGGAACACCACTGTCGTATCCTTATCACTGCAGCCGCATCACTGCACTCTGCTGGGAACCTCAAAGGGGCCGCCCCCGGCACTGTGCAAGCGACAAGCCACTACCGCACTTGTCCAGCTTAGCAGCACCCAAACGGGCCAGATCTCCGGCTCTCAATCCATCAAGACTCCTCTCAACTTAACCGTTGAAGGCTTCACATGCTCGTGTCCAACGACCACGATATCTTTAGAATTGCTGTCTCACCGAAATACATATGAATATCTGCCAACGACCAAACAAGCCGTCACTTTTCGAGGCATCTTATGTGTATATCTAGACCTTTCACAGCCTGCTCTCGTCATCTATGTCATAGGGAGAGAACGTCTCAGCCACTGCAAGATCGTGTTCGTGTTAAGTTAATAGGATCAGCGTGGAAGCTGACGAAGCCCGCCATCCGCAGCCTGCGCACGCTTAAAGTTTACGAACATGTACAAAAACAAAAAGACCGCTCCCAAAACCTCTTCCCAAGGGAACGAACAGACAAGACAAGACTGTCGTTACGTTTTCCAAAACGCCGGCGCGCTGTAGATTGCACACACAACGTCCATCATTTCTGCTGCTCGCTCGAAAAGACCAAGAGGCGAAACATAACATCTCTTATCAAATTGTTGTACCGATTCCCAACCCACAGACGATGCAAGCAATGCCCCTGTTCACAATCGAGCCTGCACTGTTCGGACCCCGAAGAGAACCATGATGCCCTAGCCTGCGTTCCTTCCCCTCAACCGCATCTTTTGCTCTCCTTCCCCAACTCAACAACCACCATCCCTCGCCCATTTTAGCCTCTGATGCCGTAGTAGATATTTCCCGCATCTGATAAACCATCCAATCGCGACTTTTTGTATCTCTGGTATTCTCCGCTCCCGACTTCCGAATTTTGTAGATTGAGATTTGTCCGTCTCCACTGCACTAAATGGTTATCGATGGTTGCAAGGGTCATGCTTGGAACGTGCTTTTGATAATTGCTGCTTTGACGACCCTGTCCATGTTTTCGCATATTGTAACACGCAATCTACATGATTCTGCACGGCTATTCTCCTGTGTTACAGCATCAGGAACGGTGGTTGGATGTGTAACGCTCATGGGATATCTCCAACTTGGCCAGGATGTCAATGTACATCAGACTAACCCTAGACACAAAGATCTGGAGATACTTTATTCACAACCATGACATGATGAGTCCAGTCGTATGCGAAAAGCAGATGGAAAAAAAAAGGTGAAGGTAAAAATGCACTTTTTGCTTTCTCAAATACGACGAAATAGAAGATAAGGGTGGATAGAAGAAGCAGAATACAACGACAGCGACGACGACATCCGACAATATCATCTTGCTCATTGTCTGGGTGACTGTGGACGTCCCCAGAAATCCAGACTGGCAATGACATCCTCGCCCATCTCGTCTTCGTATGCATAAAGGANTCTGTATCCAGTTAGCAAGCGTGCCTTGGGTGAATGGTACATAGTGTTGGGTCCTACCTCTCTTGAGCTCGAGTGCAGGAAGCGTATGTTCTTGGCAGTCAAGATGCAGACCAACCCTCCAGTCTCGGTCAATCGCACCTCGATGAACTCTTGCTCGAATGCCAGAATGTACTTGTCGCCCCACGTTGCAAACGCCGTTGGTGCACCCTCCCAGATGATCCTCCAATCGTTCCGCGCCCTCCAACCGTTTTTGTTGACGAAGAATGAGAAGTCCGTGTAGCAGAGCAGGAACTCTGATGGTGTACGCTCGATATAGATGGGCTTGACGTTTTCACGACGGACGACAAAGTCGAGTGATGTGTCAGCTTGGTCAAGCAGTGACTGTGTCTCGAGCGTCTCGAGTGATACAATCTCGAAGCCTTTAGCACCACCGACACAGAGCTTAGACCGCAGGAAGTGGATGCTGTTCGACTCCATGGGTATGTAGAACTCTTTGAACGGTCGGAGCACTTCTTGACCACCAGCAAGCATCTTAGCCAGACCTGACTTCTTCTTGCCTTTTGCCATTGCATCCATAGGCTCGTACACCTTGACAGTACTTGACAATGACGATGATTTGACGCAACAGACGAGCAATTGGCCGTTACACATGCCAGCGTTGAAGTAATTGGCATGGCAGATCTTACGCCCACGCTTAGAGGGNNGGGCCGGCTGGTTGTCCTCTGGGTCTAGAGCATCCAAGGGGTATGAGTACATGACCTTGTCAGCAAGGACCAACAAGATCTGATGCTGTTCCAGCACATCGATTTGTGAAACCAGCTTGCAATCAAGCATGCGTTTTGGTTTGTGAGAAGCATCCTTGGGTTTCCGTTCTGCCACGAATACACCAATATCGGTTCCGAGGACCAGTTTACGGCCTCCATCGATGGGGACACAGCAGTTGACGCGGTTGTTGGATGCGAAGTAGCCCTGGCTGATGTTTGTCTTGGTGAAGATGTTGCTGCGCTCACGGAGCTTCTCTTGCTGGGTGTGGATGTTCTCCATCCACTTCTCNNCCTTTTGAATTTGAGTCGAGCAATATAGCGTGAGCTCGTAGCCACCTTNTCCAAGTCTCTTGAAGGTCAAAGGGTACCCGTCTTCCTTCTTGGTCGTAGCGCTTGTGATAGTACGAGCTCCGGGAATCATGCTGGACGAAGGTCTTTTCGTGACTCCTAACTTCGGCAAAACTTCCTCCATCTGTGTGATGACCAGCAACTCTAGTGGGATCGGCTTTCGGTACACCTTCTGTTCTTCACGCTTGTTGACCATCTTCTGTCGAACCAGCAGCACTGCGTGGTCGAATAGATATGCCTGAATGTCGATCGTTTCCGCGCTCGCCGTCTTCTTGAGGCCGCCCTTGAATACCATCTGACGCCCTTCCTCAGTCAGTTTCAGATCTTGATAAGGCACGTTAGTCCATTTCAAGTTTTGATTGAGTTGCATAAGTTGTTGAATGTTTTCCGCCTTTCCAGATTCCTCGTTGACCCTGGTAAGAATAGTCTTGATCATGGTGATAGCTCGTGGGAGATCCTCTTTATCCGGGTTGTCATCCTTCGCTTTCTTGAGCGCTCCTTCTAAAAGCAAAGGGTATCTGGCAAGACGAGTGGTAGGCTTCGTCAGATAACCGTTCAGTTCAAGTTTTCGCGACTCTTTCAGACGTTCTGTCTCCTCGACGAATTTGGCAAAGGCCGGATTGCTCGATTTCTCCTTCTCGAACTCGAACTTGCCGAACAACTGGTTAGCACCATATTTGATGAAAGGAGTAAACTGAGGCACATATTCTAAGAAGATGTCGCCAACGTTTCGCACAACCGGGCTCTGCTGTTGCCGTCGAGTCAAAGCGCTGGCGAGCCTGACATTAACAGCGTGAACTTCCTGGCAGTTCGAGAAAACGGTTCGGATAAACTTCTCACGCCTGTGTTCCGGAATTGGCGAGATGTTGGGATTTCTCAGAGGCTTGATCCAGAAGTCACGCAGATACTCCAAGTCCTTGACAAAGTCTCGCTCGGTATACATGATTTCGGCAAGGACTTCCTGGCGTGCCTTTTCCTTGTCATCTACACTGTCGGCGATATCCTTGGAAACGGTATTGATCCACAATCTCTGTTCCGCTTCCGGCTCATCTCGCAGACTGGCTTGTGAACCTTCCCTCTTGAGACCAGGCTGGATCTTCATATTGAGACGCTGCTGTTGTTCGAGTCTCCTTGGGCATGCAATGGAATAACAAAGGTGATCGCGTGTACACGTAGGCGAATAACACTCGGTCAGCAAAGTGAAAACTCCATTGACCTCGGCTGGCTCTTCAACCACAGCTTCCTTGAACTGGTAAATCTCATTGGGAGAATCACGCAACCTGTGTGCATAAGCAACCTCGTGGAAGAATTTTTGCGCATCCAGGGACCTGCCCAGGAGCAATGCAAGGTTTCTGTCGGATGTTCGGATGATGTAAGCGATCAGCTCTACTGCGTCGTGACCAGTGAATGCATTCTTGTAAACCAAGCCGTCTTTCTCCTTCTCCGCCATTGGGATCCTATCGTAGAAGGCGGCGGCGACCTTGGAGAGAAGAGCGCCATAAACAAGAGACGGACGTCTCTGGGCTATCATCTGACCATTGCTTTGTTGAATTTGACTGTTGGAGCGAGTGGAAGAGGCAGTTATCGAGGGTCGAGGTGATTGCGCGGCGCCGACTGTGGTCTCTGAGAAGTCCGAAGGGGCAGCAATAGTAGATGCCATGGACATGGAGCGGGACTGAATACTGCCTTGACTAGGAGTTCTACCCTTAGCGGCAATAAAAGGATCCGGCTGATTCACCTCCGAGTCACCACGTTTACGCTGAGGTATAACACGACCACTCATAATCTGACTGTGATCTTGATCGCGTGAATATGAAGACATGGACATGGTTCGCTCATCAGCAGGACGGTCGGGCACAACTCTGCCCTGGGCAGTCGTCCTTGCCAGGTGATTGCTCATATATGGCTGCTGACGGAAAGCGTGTGCCGGGGCTATGTTATAGCTGGACTGACTATGCTGTATAGGGAAATTGGGCCGAGAGGTTGCTGCCATAGATTGCGAGCGGTAACTATCAGAGTTGAGAGCAGGACCTGGGCCGGAAGACATTGCAGGTCCACCGGTGTAGGTGCGAGCATAGGGCTGCGAGGGCGGCGGACCACGCGGATCAAGGCGCTGCGGAGCGGCATAGGGACGGCGGTCGGGACGTAGAGGCTGGGGTAGGTACTGGGGCTGAGGTTGGCGGTGAGGTTGTGGAGAGGAAGGATAACCTTGCTGTGGCGGGAGTTGGTGATGTTGCGGTTGTGGTGGGTGGGAATAGTCGCCGTTCTGAGTAGGGGGAGAGGGAGCGCCGTAAGACAGTTGGTGATGGGGTACGGGGCGAGGATTGGCTTGCGACGGAGGGTATGCTCGCATGGGAGGGGCGCGTTGCATATAGTCGGACATCTGCGACGACATGGTGGCGGCGCGTTCGGTAGGCGGCCTCATAGGCTGGGAGAGCATGGTCTGCGAGCGACCCTGGTGTTGCTGTTGGGCAGCGGGTGGACCAAAGATGTTGTTGTAGGCGGCCTCGCGCTGCTGCGACGAGGAGCGGCCCTGTTGTTGCGAGTACTGAGCCATTGCGAGCGGCAGGGCTTAGCAACTAATACATCCGGGGGAGCAGAGGGCTGCCGACTGCACAAGCGAGTGACGATGGAGGTCGTGGATCCGGTGCCGTTGCCAGTGGTCATGAAACAAGGCGGCCCACCAAGGAAGGGCCTACTCGACCCTCTGCTCAACTCTAAGTCCTTGTCCACGTGTGTGCCGGCTGTCAAGGCCGCGGGAGACGATGAATACGGGAATGACAAGGCGGTTGGCAGAGTGCGCAATTGAGACAATGAAGGTGGCAGTGGTCCGAGGCTTCGTACCCGACAGACTGCAAGTTGGTGGAGAAAGAGACTGTTGCGATGGCGGTGGCTTGTCTGCCATCGACTTGTGTGACATGCGTCTACAGCGAAACAGCCCAGCACTTGAAAATGGTCCGAGCGCTCCTCGCATTGCATCTACCATATGCTTTCCCTCACCTCACACACGTTAGCCCAGAACAGTACTCACGCACCTTGTTGTAGAGATCACACGTGAAGCAGTCTCTATTATCTTCCTCGTGCCCAAAAAGATGCATATCTGAAGTCAGTGTAGGTAGATAGTGTCCAAGTACCTTGTGTCTGGCAGATGTCAGTCACGTGCAGCGTTTCATGAGGGAGGTTTGAGTCGGAGCATCATCATAGCGGACCGACGTTGCTGCCGTGAGCCTGCCTGCCAGTTCACGTCCAAGTTCAAGACCGCTTCAACATCTCGTCGACGACCCTCCCTCGCGCCGTTCGCCATATCGTGACTAGTCGCTCCTGGTCTTCGTCTTCCCCATTTCTCGAACCACAGCGTCGGCTTTCAACTCTATCACCATGGCCGACTCGGAACTCGCCCCTGCCTTTGCGCCATTCTTTGGCATGGTGTGTATGCCTAATCGCCTCGAATGACATGTTAGCTGACCCTCTCCCAGGCTGGCATCGCTTTTGCTGTAAGCTGCTCCTCTTCTACTGCTGACTTGCAAGCTCTCAGCTAACCTAACTGCTTGCTCGACAGATGATCTTCGGCTGTACGTTCTCTTCCGCCCTCAGCACCTCTGCTTGATATACTAATCCTCAACTCAAGGTGTTGGAGCCGCATTTGGCACAGCAAAGTCCGGCATTGGTATCGCTGGTGTCGGTACCTTCAGATCCGATCTGATCATGAAATCGCTTATCCCTGTCGTCATGTCTGGTATCATTGCCGTCTACGCCCTCGTTGTCGCCGTCTTGATTGCCGGTGACATGCGTCCTCCNCCGGGCACCCACTATAGCTTGTTCACAGGCGCCATGCACCTTGCCTGTGGTCTTTCGGTCGGCATGACTGGTCTTGCTGCCGGATACGCTATCGGAATCGTCGGCGATATGGGTGTGAGATCGTACATGCAGCAGTCACGAATCTTTGTTGGCATGGTTCTGATCCTCATTTTCGGTGAAGTCCTGGGTCTATACGGGTATTGTCCATTATGCTGCCTGGCTCAAGTCCTCGATGCTGACATTGTTCACAGCTTGATCGTTGCCCTTATCCTCAACACCAAGAGCAGAGGTTGAACGCTTCTCCTCCATCCGCTACTCTATCAAAATCACCTCAACGCGCTGTACCATATACCAAATCACAATTGTCCGAATCATATCATCAATAGAAGCTTTTCATAACGAAATATATGCGCATAGCATGCCACAATTCATCAGTAGTCCTGAATTCCCGTCTCACCCTTCTTCTCGCCTTCGCCTACAAATTCGGCCTCCTCGTGTCCGAAGTAGCTTTCTTCCCTCTCTTGTCTTTGCCAGTCTAGGTCGTCATAGTGTTCGTCTTCGTCGACAAGCCCGTAATCAAAGTCTTGGTCTTCGCCTCGAAGGAAACGCATCTCGACGTACTCGCGCCACTTGGCTAACCCCTCTTCTTTTGTCTTGGGCCTATCTTCCTCGTCCTGTTCGACAGTTGTGATTGCCCCCGATGCATCTCTTCGGTACACTAAAGGGCTGTTGGGGTCCGGGTGGTTCAAAGCCTCAATCTTGGCTTCAGATCGCATCAAGTCGGCTTCGAGTATGCCTGAATAACCTTTGTCGCGTCCATCAGCCTCACGCTCCGCAGCACTCTGGAAGCGCCTGACCATGCGGTCGTATAATAGGGGATNCTGTTGCACGGGTTGGTTTGAAGGTTCTTAGTCGTACACATGCCACGCGGCAGCACCTGCAAGCTCTAGGCTGGGCGACTCAAAGTATTCGCCATGTTGTTCCAGATATCTTCGCCTTCGTGTCTTGACACGAATGCGTGCAGTGCGTGCTACCTCGCTTTCCTGGCCATCGCTCGCTTGGTCGGCGGAAGGAAAATGTGGCATCGTCAAGGTGCACTCTGGTGGAGAAGTCGCGACGTACAAAGGCGGCGTGGATGTTTTGTGGTCGGATGCTGATCATGCCGAGGCAGTTGCGACCGACCGGTTGCGACTGGCTTGCGACGTTCTTGGCTTGTGGGAAGCCACGCGGGCTTTCTCACCGTTCCGCTCGCACCTGCGCAAGGCAGCAGCTTTCGGAGGCGACCTCTTTCCCATTTTCATATGGCTGCCTTCCACGTACAATTCTGATAGATGCAATAGTTGTCCATCAGTCTCTGCAGAGTGTTTTCGACATGGGTCTCACGCCTTGATAATAATCACAAACTATCACACGTCATGGCTTCTCTACGGTATAATCACAATCTCACACTCCTTTATAACGACACGAAGAGAAAGGCCGCCATCAATGTAGATAAGCAAGAGCCGAGTCCTGCTTCCGCGAGACTCCACCGCAAGCTTCATGCACAAACCGATCGTCTGGTAACATGGGGTCTGGAATGGGCCGAAGAAACAAACGACAGCATCGACGAGTCTATTGAACGAGCTGGTTTGACCGAAAACGTGACCAATATCCTAGGGAACATCAAGGACATCCTCGAACAAGCCGACAGACTCTCGTCATATAATCCTGCATCTGACAAGGTCGTCTTCAACCAAGATAAATACGAAGATCTGCTACGCGATCTGACTTCTTCTGTTGATGTACTTTATGACCTTTCAGCTTCTCGCAGAGCTATCGCCCGCGGCACATATCCCAATTTGAGCGACCACCCTCATGATGTTGCCAAACGTGGTCTCCGTATATCAAAAACTTCATTTGATGCCGCCAGCTTCGCTTCTTCGGAAAAGACTCTTGTCAACACGCAGTTCGCAAGACCCACTCTTTCGCCATATGCCGGACTTCCAGCAAACATCAACCCACAAGCTTTGTCGCTACCAATAGAAGGGCCACCTCCTTATGAATACTTCGGCGTTCCATCGACAGCTAGAATGATGGGACGCTTGAGCAAATCACTGGCTCCCGAAAGCGTCCGTAATGTGTTCAGGGATGTCACAGACGAATATGTGTGGGTCATGGTTGAATTTGAGAACTATGACCCGCTATATCGTGACACAGGTGTATCCCCACCACTTACACGAGTAGAGAAGCTGGCTTCCTCTCTGAACATGTTGTCCAATAGAGGAAGCCTGAGGCTACTCGGCTACGTGGAAGACCCTCAACAACCTCGCATAGGACTGGTTTACGACTATCGTACAATTCAACCACACCAATCTGAAGAAATTCGTCCCGTCACCCTCATGGGCCTAATTCTGACAGCGACACAAGCCAAAAGGCCAGTCGACGTCTCGAATGCCACTCCCTTCCTGGAAGACAGATTTCGTATAGCATTGCGTCTGGTGGAAAAGTTGAGGGATTTGCATGCCGAGAATTATTTCCATGGAAACATACATAGCGAGAGCATCGTGTTTCTCCAACAAGGCCATTCTCCGCAGCCACGACAAAGCGAACTGCACCGACCTGTTCTGTCAGCATTCGACATGTTTTCTAGAAATAGGATCGAGTATGGCGATTCTCCGCCAATATCCAACATCACAAAACATCCTGAAGACAAGGGAGGCGAGATTGACGATGTTACGGCGATCCGCTATGACCTCTACCAGATAGGTCTCGTTCTACTGGAGATTGGTCTTTGGAATCCCGTGAATGACTATTTCAAGGAGAAGTACACGCTCAAGGATTTCAAACTCAGACTGGAGAAACTCTACATACCAAAGCTTGCAAGCAAGTGCGGCTCGCTGTATATGCGTGCGGTACAGACTTGTTTGCGTTGGGCCGACAATGACGATGTCGGACACATTGGCGTAGAGGCCGTGTATGACAGCATCCTGGTGAAGCTCCAGCGTTGTGTCTTGCTAGACGAGACAGAACCTTTGGAGATTACTCAGATTCCAGCTGGGTTTTTGCAGGCTCAGAGCAGCTTAGAGGGTTTACAAGCAGCGGANAAGAAGCGTCATAACATTTCGCCTGGACGTCTTGTCACCGACTCTGAGCTCAAAGCTGCTGAGAGGGCTTCTGTTGCCTCGTATCCATCTGCTATTTCAAGCTCTGTTGCACCGCGGTCACCTATCCTTTCCATGCTGAGCGCCAAGTCAAATCGATCCAACTCAACGAGCGCGGACTCGATCAAGCACATCTCACAACCCGTGACCCATGCCTCGACTCCTACTCCGGTTTCTGACCTTGAGCGATCTGCTCCTGCGTCCAATGCACAGCTGAAATCTGCATCTGACCCATTCCCTTTCTCGTTCCGCGAATATCGTCGTAAAGTCGTGCTGATTCAGTCAAGATGGCGTGCGAGAAGAGCTGAAGCACGCCGTAATGTTCGCGAAGAGACTCAACCCCTGCAGTCACAAATTGACCATCGACTTGTTGCTCCAGTAAGCAAGTGTCGCATGTTCCCTATTTCCCTTCCGCAAACGATCGTGGATGAGTGGCACTCAGACATCGGACTCCGTCTTTCTTGCATCATTGAGCGAGCACTGAAAGGCTCTACTGAATCCTCGAGCATCGATCTTGTCAGTGTTGGCCACGACGCTTTCACGGCAAAGCCCACTATCGTCGTGACTTGCACAAATACAGCAAGGGTCAAAGCTGCACTCAAGCGCAAATTCCACTACGACCGGACCATGTTCGATCTTAAGATTCGACAAGGTTGTGTGTCATTATCGAGAGGCAAGTCACGGGGTTGTGGAAAGGGAGACATTGCTAAGCGAAGTCAGGCAAGGGGCGATGGAAGTGAAAGGTACACATCATGATTCACGTTTTCTTTTTTTCTTTTGATTCTGTTCCATCTTCGGGGCGCTTTTCTTTCACTGCTCGATACCCAAATGTTTCCTTATGATACCCAAATGTTTCACAGAATAAAGCTCAAGACTCGCATCATGTCATGCTTGAGGCTGACGAATTGTATGNNTAGTAACGTAACACCAATGAACCCTTTCTGGCAGGAGCGTCCTCTTTGCGGTGCATCTATCGGTGCATACTTGCCTGATCACGGTCATCTTGAACCAGTATCGTTTGGCGGTATAGTCAAGGTAGACGACAGAGAATACGGCATGAGCGTACATCATATGCTCGAGCCTCCGACTGATGAAGAGGACTTAAACGACTCGGATTCGGATATGGATGAACAGACCAATCCAGGTGCCAATCGGTCAAGTGCGAGAGCTCCAAGGTCAACTACGCCACACCTTGCGACAAAAGCAAGCTATGACCACGGATACATGAGTGATCTCTCCTCAATTTCGAGTGCTGATTCTGACGATGACGGCTACGAATCATCGGATTTCGAGAGCGATGTCTCCGAAGACGAAGACGCAGGCGACAGACCCGGTGTCGCAGTGTCATCATACTATAATGTACAAGTCACCCAGCCCGCATTCGGAGATGCTGTGGCCGAAGACCTTCATGCCGATGACGCTACCACGGAAGAGTTAGACGAGGACCACCTGTCTTCTTACAAACTGGGAAAAGTCTACGCTTCCTCGGGTCTCCGTCGCTTGAACGAAGGAGGCAAACGCTACGAGATCGACTGGGCGCTTCTCGAACTTGATCCTCCTCGACTTCAGCCATACAACTTAGTCCAAGGAGGGCGTCGGCATTGCAAGTCACCCGTGTCCTTCGTACCCGAACTTAAAGCTCCTGTCTGCAGACGTGGCAACCTCTACACAGCAGAAGAAGACTGGTACCCTACCGAAATCATCCCTGCTTCCAACTTTGCGAATTTGGAAGTTCACTGCTTAGGGCGGACATCTGGTCTCAAGACCGGCATCATCAGTGCAGCACAGTCATTTGTTAAGATCAAAGGACGCAGAAACTTTTCTCTCAGCTGGACAGTAGTAGGAGGCTTCGGAGTTGGCGGAGATTCGGGTGCGTGGATAGTGTCCAACACCACTGGTCAGATTGCCGGCCATGTGCTTGCTGAACGTACGGGCTTGACGTACATGTGCGCCATGCATCTTTTGTTCGACGACATACGACAGACGCTCAAGGCTTGTAACATCAGCCTTCCTGGCGCGTCTGCATCGATCACTATGGCAGATCAATATGATACAAGCGCAACGCCAGGAGTCATGTACGCGACCCTGCCTACGAGAGAGAAGATAAACCTCACCAGAGATATAAGCTTTCCCTCAGAAGATAGCGATGGAAGAAGGAGGTTTTACGAATCTTCCGCGTCGCGCGCAAGGAAGGATAAAGTCACAGATACTACTACAGCGGTGAAGATGNNTCGAAGCCAAGAACGACTGGTTGGTGGACGCAGAGTATTCCTAATTGAGAGAACAACAACACAAGAAGATTGGAAACCAAACCCAACAACCAAATTTAACAACCAAATCTAACAAGGGAAAATCAACCACAGGCGTGGGGGTTTCCAGAAACTTAGCTTTCACAGTCGCTGTTTTGTTGTTTATCCTTTTCTTCTCTTCTCTTTCTGTTGTCCCTTTTATGCTCGGAAGTTTGACTCGAACTCGAGATGTTGTTCTTGGCGTCGTTATCATGAGTGAAGTGAATGGCGGTTTTTGATTGTGGTGACTGCCTAATCTGGTTAGCTGTGTAAGCAATTGACGGCTGTGTATACGACCATAGTGATTTGATAGAGACTATGGCAACTGCTACCAAAGATACTGACAGTTTTCCATCAACTGGCAATGTGACGCACAATTTTTGTAGCGGAGAGTCTATTGGTATCAACATTACTATATTTCTGCACCATATCAAGTGTTGCTTGGCTCTAGGACAGCAAGACGCAGACCTTCCATGAGTTCAAGCAGGTTTTCCACTAATGGTGGCGCCGACCTTGACGGCCTTCCGTTCATCTTAAATACGTCCATAAGCACACCCATCACCCCAGCAGGATCCGACAATAAAACATGGGAGGCGCTAGGGTCACCGACAGCTTTCTTGATGGCAGCTTGTCCTTTGTTCAGGTTGATGAACCTTTGCGCGCCGTTGCTATCGGTCTCATCCAACATCGCAATGCTTTCACCACGCCTTGTGGATGCGTTGCTCATGCTCATGGAGTCGAGAGCAGATTCCGTCAGTGCAACGTTCGAGATCACGCCGTAAGACCACAGCGCTAGACCGGCTTGATACAGCACAATCGCAGGGAAGTCACGCAAACATCCAGTGGGTATCTTTCTAGCTGCTGCGACAATCTGAGCGGCATGGTATACGCCTTGACGTGCGCTTGATGACTTGGCCCAGTCCTGCAGTAGAGGAAACACTCTTCGGGCTTCCGAGTGGCCTTCGGCTCCGGCGAAGAGATGCATCTCTTCAAGAGAGATATGTAAATGCATATGCAGCAGCTCTAACGATAGTGTCATGGCGGTATTGGTGTGAGAGCTCATTTTTACACAATCAAGCAGCTTCGTCAACTCAGTCAGACGCGATGACAGGAGCAGCTTCGAGTTACTCCATGAGCTAGCGTGACCTCTGCTGATGGAGCACATTTGCCGGTACTCCCAGATCAGTCGCCACGCAGCACCGAGCAGAGCTTGGCTCGCGGTCGTCTCATCAAACATATCGTGTCCCTCGCCGAGAAGCTCGACGTCCTGCAAGAGATCAGTGAGGGAGGGCTCCCTCTGTTTGTGCTGATCCAAAGACACGTATGTTTGCTTCCATTTCTCAGCTGTTGCTGCAAGCCAGAGGCTCTCCGCTTCTGGCAGTGGCAGTCCGAGCTCCGCATACGAGATGAGTGGATTGGTGAACAGCGCGATCGACTGACGAGTATCGTACTCGAGGAGGTAGAAGACCAGCCTCTTGCGCGTTTCTTGCTTAGCCCACGAGTGCCACTTGTCTTCAAGAGCCTTTCCCACATCTGTAGGATATGGAACTATGGCTTCGTACGCCGACCTGCGGAACCAGCCTCTACGGCGGCACATGGTAAGATATGGTTGAAGGAAACTTTCTGCAATCTCCATCTTGCGTGAGTTACCACTCCACAGGCCAGCGCCTAACCCTATGCAGAGTGACGTGACGCATTCAACATCACCAATGAGTGTATTGTCTCTCTCGATATTTTGGGGGACTCCAAGACGAACAACTTCCATCAGCGCGAAGCCCATCTTCCTCAAGCTGACGTCTGGCGCTAGAGTCGCTCCTCCCACAACCATTGCTGCTATCAACTCTGGTCTTGCGTTGTTGGGACGGAACGTTGGTAGATGGATCATTCTGTTGGATATCGCGGTCTTGGATGACAGAAAGTACTGCAGCAAGCTGTCAAGAAGCTCAAGCGATGGAAACGATTGCATGGTCTTCTGAAGCGTATCAACGTTTGCTGAAGACATGAAAAGCGCCATGATACGATCACGCATGGTGTACGATAGCATCTCCGATGTGACTCTTCGTTGAACAGGCAGTCGCTTGCTGGTCTCCCCAGATGGAATAGAGATGTTTTGCTGATCGTTCATGCCACGATCTTGTGTTACCGGACGGAAACGCCATGTCGAAGATTTCTGCAGCGACTCAACACCAAGAGCTGATGGTGGCTCGCTAGCAGATCCAGGTATAGATCTGTTTGTCTCTGGTGTTTCGACAAAAGAAGTAAATGGTATTTCATGGTTATAACCATCTAAGAAGTTGAGATCGAGATCGTTCAACTCAAGATCGGTGTTCGCACCAAAATCGAAGACGTTTCGTGGCGTCCAGGTCCCTGATACGTGTTCCCCTGGTGCTATCTCTCGAGGGAAGGGATCTCCGCCGATGATACTCTGCAGAAAGTCATGCAGAAACCCTCCATCGTGGTCATTTGCAGGCACTGATACGTGACTGGGACCCTGGTGAGTTACGATCATGGGCTCTGGTGGGAGCTGATATGGGCCGGTACTGTCATGATCCATCGAGGGGTCCATCGGAGGGTCCATCGAGGGGTTCGTTGGAGGATTCAGAAAGGGGCCCATCGAAGTGTTCATGGAGGGAGTCATCGAGGTGTTTATTGAGTGGTCCATTGAGGGATTCATGGATGGCATGTCAGACGGCATAACGATCGATTCGCTTGCAAAGGCCAATAGATCTCGAGCGACAGCTTCCTTTTCTGGCGGTGGAGGAGATGTCTGATAGACACAGGTAATCTGCTNTTTGTTGCATCTCGTACATGGTTTCTGTTCATCGCAGCGAATGTGCAGTTCAGCACAGGCTTCGCATGCTTTGCTTACACGACCTTGACGATTTGGTACTGTTGAGTTTGCAGATTGTTCTCCTCGAGCCTCATGGCCAGCGACATGGCGTTTCAAGAGATCGCTGAAATATCGTCAGCTATGTTGCATTTGAACAATGACATGCTTCCAATGTGCTAGAGACTGTCACAGGTAGCTATCGAAATGCATAATAGTGTTTCAAATCAGGAGTGTGGCCAAGGAAGTACCTTAGTATGACAGGCTCTCCGTGGACACAGCCTTCTTCAAGATACTATTGTGCATTTCTATAGCTAGGTTTATGGCTGCATCTCGGCGTGGGAGAGGGTTTTATTATGAGATGTGTATCACTTACGCTCTAGCAAAGCTCTTATTGCATGTCTGACAGAGATACGGCTTTTCCTATAGACTTAACATTAATAAGACATCACACAGCACACCAAAGGCAACACTGACTTTTGTATGCAGACGAACATGCCTCGCAAGATGATCAACACGCGAATAGCTCTTTCTACAATCACCGCACTGAAACAACTTTGACGACTCCTGAGGTGTCTGGTCTGAATCGGCTCGGGGTCGTTTGCCCAAGACTGATTGCGGGGAAGGGTTCTCCATCGGTTCTGAGTAATCGCAGCAAACAGGAGATATCATGTCATGTAGCACCATGGCTGGACAGATGGGCCATGTGGAGATAGAAAGGGAGATGCCCGACCCCTCATTCTCCCATATCGTCGGTTGTTCGGTTTTCGCTGTGGGTCTGCTGACTATTTCGACGCGAAACGTGCGGTCTTTGTGGCGTTCCTTCCCGAGCTCTCCACCCTCCCGATGCATCCAAGAAGCGTGCTCCGGCCGGGGTCCACACTGCCGAATGCCTGTACAACCCATGTACCTAGTTAGTGCATTACGATCTGAATTTGTATTCAAGCTGCTGCCTCGCTCGACTGACCGCACATTACTGACATACACAGAGAAATCATCATAAGAATGGGTATGGTTTTCTGATCGAGAATAAGGTTGCACATGATTTAACGGGAGCAGGTCTAACACCAGTTCATTTCTTCAGCCATGGCTCGACCATGATGTTGGGCGAGGAGTCTACCAGTGCTGATTACTGGAAGAAGTGTGGTGACGAAGCTTTGGCACATGGGATCAAGGGTGTGGTCATGATGGTGAGTGTTCTAGTAATTTATCGCTCAATATTACTCATTGTACTGACAACCTCANNGGGAGCACATTGGGACGCTCGAGGCGACAAAATCATGGTATCAGCGAACCCCAAGCCAAACAAGAGTCCAGTGGCATATGTTCACCCCTCAAAATACGTTGACTACGAACTCGTCCCGGACTTGCCTACATCTGATCGCGTGCTGGACTTGCTGCTCAAGGGAGGCTTCAACGCAGAGAAGGATGCCACTTTCGACTGGATCCACGACACATTCCTGATTTTAATCAGGATGTTCCCTAATGGCTGTCCTCCTACCACAATTGTCAGCATGAACGCATACTACGACCCTCACTACCACATGAAAGTCGGATCAACATTGCGATCGTTGAGAAAGGAGGGCTACCTGATTGTTGGCACAGGAGGTGCCGTTCACAACNNCCTCTACCGCAACGTTTGGTGGCCTATGGTCCAGCACAGAGACAACTTTGCCCAAGTTGCTCCGCCAGAGAAGTCTCTCCTGGAATTCAGACAGGCTGTAGAAGATGTCATGACACAAAATCAAGGCCCTGCTCTGCGTAGAGCCATGACCCGCTTGATGAAGCACTACCATTACCGCGAAGCTCACGGCACAGATGATCACTTTATGGCAGCATGTTTCTGTGCTGGTGCTGCAGGTGACTGGGAAGACATGGAAGAGCAGGGTGGTGTCTTGGGTGCAGAGACATGGGAACTACAGAATATGTGCAACTCACAGTTCACAATCGGAAATTGGCAAGGAAGCAGAAGCGTACGCGCTGCCGCCTGAGGATACGGGCTTAAGTGGAATGCAGTTTCTTTTATAATATTCTGGGCTCGGCAATCGGAACTGCTTTTTAAACGGACCATCGATCTGTCATATATTCTTTGATGACTACTCACCTGTCGAGGTCGCTGCTATTAGAACATGAAATTCACATTGATCATCGTTACATGCTTGTAGCTTTGATGCTTCGTTACAGCTTGTCGCAGCGTAGATTGCTCGGACAGATATAAACACGACAGGCCTGCTTTCTGATCGATAAACGGTTATGTTCATTATCAATAGAAGTTACTCCCGGAATGCTTTAATCTCGACAAGGTGTGTATTTGTCTGAAATGCATGCTGTCAATACGCTAAATGTGATATATCTATCTGCCTTCTACGTTTTCCCGCGCTGCTGCTCATCTGTCGTCTACTCTTCCTTGGGCGGGATGACGGGCAGAGTGACATAGTTGACAAACTTATCACTGAAGTGAATGAAGTTCGTACCCTTGAGCTTATCCTCAGATCGATCGACAGGATCGTTGTGACCAAAGATGCCAGAACCTTGAGTATCACCACTTGAAACCTCGAAGATGATTTTGCCACCTTTGTCTACTACGACGTTAGTGGGCCAGACTTCGATATCCACAGGGTATACCTCTCCAGGAATCACAGGCAGCTTGTCGGTGCTGAAGTAGTCTCTGTGAGGCAGGTAAGGTCGGTGTTTGTAGTGCTCGGGGTTGGTCTTGCGCATAGATACACGAAGCCAGCCCTTGCAGAGTGGCACAGGGTCTCCAGCAGTTCCTGTGTAGTAGACTTCNNCCTTGCCTTCAGGTGAGATGTGTCTGAGGGTCACGAAGAGATCGATGTCAGTAGGTGTAGGTCCGGTGGTATCAGGAGTCAGAGAGACGTTGAGACGAGCTGTGATATGACCAGTGATCTCCGTCTCCTTCTCGAAAGCGGGAGTAGTGAACTGGATCATCTCAGGCTTATCGAGCGTCCCCAGGGCTCTGTAGCCGAGCTTGGCCTTCTCTGAAGGGGTCGAAGTAACGAGCTCCTTCTCGGGTGTGAGATAGTAATTTGTGTATTGTGTTCTGGCAATCGGCCACTCGTTCTCTTGTCTTCTGGGGTAGGTCTGTTCCGCTTTGGCATCGTTGAAGCCAACATCGCCCTTGCGAAGGACGATGTCAACCATTGGGACCTTACCCTTAGTAGCCCAGCCGACTCTGTCTTCGCCTTTGAGGAAGGCATCTAAGAAGCTGCGCTGAATTTCAACTTCCTCGTTGTAGTAGAAGGGAAGATCGTGACGGCCGGTGATACAGCGCAGGTATTTGAACTCGGAACCGGCGTGAGTGAAACCCTCAATGTTTCCACGAAGATGGAGCAGGATGCCACCCCAGTTGGCGACCGAGAGCAGAGGAACCTTGATGTCACCCATGTCGTACTCCTTCGAAGCGTAGTATGGGTCATCGCGGTAGCTACGTGGGGTTAGTCTGTTTGTAGCCTGCGAAGATCTCTAGGAAACTCACTAGTTGTTCTGGTTGTCGATATTCTGATCTTGTCTGTTCGCAGCTCTTTCCTCATCTGAGAGATCACCCTCGATTGTGTCTGGGCCCCAATTGCTTGCTTTGCGACCTGGTCGTCCGTACTGATTCGTAATAATCTGGCGGTTCCACCAAAATCTGATGAACTGGTTGGAAAGAATGCCACCATGACGGCAACGATCTCTGTAGTAGTCCGACATACCCTCCCAAGGTACGATAGCTGACAGGCCCTTTGGGTTTCTTGCAGCCACACGCCACTGTGATCCGGCGAAGTAACTGATACCAAGCAGACCGACCTTTCCAGATGACCATTCTTGCTCTGCAGCCCATTCAACCACATCGAAGAAAGCTTCTGAAGTACCTCTTGACATGGTGTCGAGCAGACCAGGAGACTGACCCAGTCCACGCTCATCAGCACGGACTACTGCATACCCATTCTTGGTCCAGAAAGCAGGGTCAGGAGTCTCCCATGCCGAGTGCTCTGACTTGTGCTCAGGGTTGACCTCTGAGTAGCTCTTTGCGTGGAAATCAGCATACGGGATATCCTTTCCGTANNACTGTCTGCTGTTAGCTCTCGTCTTAGCTGGGGAACTCGTCCTGTGCACTTACGGTCCATAGGTAACCAAAACAGGGACCTTCCCAGATGTCTTTGGCCGGTATACATTAACACGAACCAAGCCTTCGCTTGATCTTAATGTCACAGTGGCATTCTGCTCGAAGACATAATCGAAGGACTTGTCGTCCACGGTGTGGAGGTCTTGGATTTTGTTAGGCATTCTGAGGCAACGACAAGGATCAAAATGGAAGGAAGGGTCTACGTACCCTAGTCTCGAAAGTAGGAGCTTGCCTTTTGTTCAACAATAATCGCGTCTTCGTAGTGTTTCGGCGCGGGGATGCGAAGCGGGCAATCGCGGGGGTCCTCCACCTTCCCGCGATATGGTCCTCCACCTTGATGTATTGCCGAGCATGATAAACAATCACCCGAGAAAAGAGGATGGCAATCAAACTCCCAGGCCACGGGTTACATTCGACTTCTTTGTTCAGTTTGCAATCCTCTCATAGCCACAGATCTATCATCTCTTCACAATTATCAATATCACGTCCCAAATGGCCCACAAAGGAGAGCTTCCCCCCTACCAAAGGCTTATTACCGCGCATAACGAAGATGGCAAGGCTGTGTTCGCAAAGATCGACGAGGCTGGTCCATGGGATGGTAGCATCAATGGTGGCACTGTCGGCTTCTCTCTCGGCTACACAACCTCGACCACGCCAGTAGACATGACCAACGACAAGGACATCGCACAGTACAAGGAATACTTAGTGTCACCACCTGGACTTGTCAACAAGCAAGGATCTGTCCTTCGTCTAGTGGTATGTATATCTGTAACACTCATTCCACGGTCACTACTGATCATATTANNGGATTGCCCTCCTGGTTCTACATCACCTATGCACCGCACAGTTTCGCTCGACTATGGTGTCGTACTTTACGGAGAGATGGAACTGGTTCTCGATAGCGGCGAGACCAGAGTTATGAAGGTCGGAGACGTTGCAGTACAAAGAGGTACCAACCACGCATGGAGAAACACAAGCGATACCCAGTGGGCTCGCATGATGTATGTTCTCCAGCCGTCACTTCCTATCGAGATCAACGGAAAGCCATTAGATGAGGACCTTGGCCCTATGGAGGGTGTTCGTAGCTCATCTTAGAAACAGCCCAACAAACCGTCTAGACCATTCTTACAAGTTACCATCTCAAGACTTTGATCAAGAATACGATCTACTTTACCATCCAAAAGGTTGGGCCAAGGCGAAGAAGAAGATCAGAGCACATCGTTCGGCTTTTTGGCAAGAGAGAAGATTGGATCGAAAGCATTTGTGAAGCTCCAAACGCCATAAATAGCATCCCCAATACAACAAATTCACTCAATGTTCTCCTCCAACCTGCCAACGGAAGTATGTGTTGTTCAACTTTCCTCCAGTGGCTCTCCAAAGTCTGTTGGTCGNCCTACAAATGAACATCAGTATTCCAGGCTTCTTCTGTTATGGAAGGATCTCTCTTACCGATGTGAGCACAATTCCACTGAACATGTTCCAGATGAACGCTCGCTCGATGCCGTTTTGTGTGGTGTCACGGTACGCAAAGTCAAGATCATAGTCGACTGGGCGATAATCTGGAACCCGGCGAAAGCTGTCCTCCCAGTCTGTTGGATTGTTGCCGGCACCTTGCGGTGCAGGACGAGAGTTTGGAGTCTCTGAGACGTCGTTTTCCTCGCCGCTGTGTTGCAAGTCGTAGTCGGCCAGCGTCCTGCCCAGCGAGTAGGCTGTTCGGTTTTCGGTGAGAGTGACGGACATTGTTGTGGTTGGTTTTGACAGCAAGGATGGGACGCGAATTCCGATTCGGCGAGAAGCAGCAAAGGTAGACGAGACGATCAGAGTCAAGTATTCAGCCTGAGCCTGAGAACATCAGTTGCCGCATTTGATCAAAGCAGCATGAGGGATCCCCGCACGCTTCCCCGTAGCTGACGATCTTTCTGCCTCGGGACGGCCACATCCCGATGCCGGGTAGTTGGAGGAGTTGGCATCTGGTATGGCACCTGCATTAGCATGTGATTTTGTTCCGGCCTCACGCGGCATGGCTTGACAGTAGACAGAATTAGTATACTTGATGCTCTTAGCTTTGGAGCAAGTATCTTCTGCGACTCTCTCACCTTCCTTGTCTTCATCACATCAGTAGTACCAGCACATATATTTCAAAAATGTCGAGCAGGCCCTTCCCGCAGCTGCAAGCCGCTGCTATTGATGGCAGAACCCGAACCGTCTTCTACCGTCAAACCCAATTAGAGAAGTTGCACAAGAGCCTCGTCTCGAATGCATCCGAGATCGTAGATGCTATTGTCGCAGACTCTGGCCTCAGCCGGGTGGAAGCGCAAATCGAGTACTCGCTTGCTTTAACGACGGTCAGAGAGCGCTTTGCAGAGCTTGAACCGAAGAAAGAACTCGAGAACGAATATGCTGTTGCCCGCGGAGAGGATGCTGGTAGTCTGCGCCTCGGATATGGCACTGTATATATCAAGGCTTCAGCGGACCACACCCCATTCTACTCAGCAGTTGCACCTTTGAGCGCAGCGATTGCCGCAGGCAACTGTGTGGTTTTGCAGGTACGCGATCTTGAAGCAATGCAGAAAAGCATTTGTTGACATGAATTCCAGATTGAGAACAGCCTCCGCAGCCTCCCAACCATTCTCCGCAATACGCTCAAGTCTGCGCTAGACAACGATACATTTGATGTTGCACAACAACCCGTACAGGATGCTTCTTTCTTGAACAGCTGCCTGCAAGTGGTCCAGGATGGATCCGTCGACGGTGCTCCTGCGCTGAACCAGCTTGTCTCGAGGGCCACCTCAATCACAGCAGCGATCGTAGACAGAACAGCAAACTTTGATGAAACCGCGAAAGCTCTTGTGAACGCTCGCTTCTCATACAACGGCAAATCGCCATACGCGCCGGATATCATCTTTGTCAACGAGTTCTCCAAGAAAGACTTTTTGCAAGCACTTCTTAGACACTCCGTATCCTTTGACGAAGTAGTAGAAAGGGAGAAGTCGCCGACTCGCAGGGGTGGTCGCGAAAATGGTATTAAAGACTTGATCTCTGGTCTGCAGAAAGACGGAAGTGGACGTGTCATCGCACAAGAGTCGAACCGAGCGATCCTAGATCTAACCAAAAGGTGAGTAGTATCGCAAATATTGTTAGACGTCAGGAGCTGACACTCGAATCCNAGGAGTACGAGCCTACTCAAGACCAAGATTAGCGAGCCTGTGCTGCTAGTACATGGCGTCAAGAGTCTCGACGATGCCATCGATTTCATCAACAACAATGGCAGCGAGCTGCTTGCCGCATACCACTTTGGCGAGAATGCCCAATGCAAATACCTCAGCCAGTTTGTCGCTTCGCAAGTGTCATACGTCAATCACATCCCAGCAGAGCTTCTTGGTCAGTACAACCTCCCTGCACCTACCAAAAACGCAACTCGGACTAACGTTCATCTCAGTCGGTCCTGCCTTCCCAGTCGGCCACCCGATAACCTCAGTACGCTATCCGACGGCCCTCTTTACCCGCCCGACGCCTGCCTTNNCGTCAACAACACCACGCAATCGAAGACGGTAGAGTCTGCACTGAATGGCGCTTCAAAGTCTGAAAAGTCGGCCGCGGTACAAACATTGTACCAACAAGCACTCTCAGCTCTGCCATCTGCACACAAGCGACCGAAGCAGACGCGTGCAGCCTTCGGTTTCTTCGAACAGTCGATGCTGTTGAACCTCGGCTTCGTGCTGCTGTCGACTGGCGCTTCTATCGCTGCGACTGTGATTCTTGGAAAGCGCGCAAGAGCTTATTACTCTCACTGATGGAAGCGTCGGTCCATTTTATGGTGGTTTTAGGTAGTGCTGTGTGTCGCGTACGAGTCTAGCACAGAAATTCAAAGTCCCAATCTTTTTGCAAGCGAAACAGTGTCACCAGGTTTCTTTTTGTGCCCCTGCCATCAATGTGTTTTGCTTGCCAGCCATCTTATTATAATCCCAAACCGACTCATATATGTATGTGCGAGCATTTTACTATTATGGAGCTTAACAAGTAACATGACAACAGTTTGACACCACCTTCCCTACTTTCACAATGCCTCTCATTGAAAAATCGTATGTGGGAAGATCAACAGCCAAGCCCGCAACCATTAAGAACAAACTACAGATATCCCGCCATCATGAGCGCAATTAAGAGCTCATCCATCCCCAAGACTTCTTTCCTGGTCTTCTACTCATCGATTGTGGATGGCAAGATGTGGTGCCCTGACTGCGTGGACGTCGAACCTTCCGTCCGCGAAGCCTTTGATGGCGCCGACAAGCCCGAGGCCATGCTCTTCTACGTGGGCAAGAAGGAGGAATGGCGCACACCTGAGAACGTTGCCCGTGTCGATTGGAACGTTCGTGGAATCCCTACCGTCATCAAGCTGGAAGAGGGCAAGGAGACCGCTCGTGTGACCGAGACCGAGATCTTGGACAGCAGCAAGTGGCAGGCCTTCCTCAAGAACTAATTATACTACTATTGATGAGATAAAACGAAAGATTGAAAGTGTAGGTTGTGTTGTCACGAAAAACTGCTTGGATTCCGGCATATAACGCGCATTAATATCTCATAAAAGGTCATCAAAACATCCTGGATTATACACCAACAGGTTCACTCGCTTCTGACATAGCCCTTCATCACAAGTTTGCTGGTCGCGATTCTCATTCTCTTGCCAAACAACCAAACTGGCACGGTGATCAGACTGAACACACCCATGAGCAGAGCAAAGATGCCGAAGGGAAGAGCAGGTCCTGCACTCTCGACCCAAGTGCCAACGAAGAAGGTCCAGGCGAAACTGATGATGGCACGGAAAGTGACAACCATGAGNNGGAAGCAATCAGCACTCCAAGCACCGTAACTTTCGATGAGGTAGTTGAAGCCGATAGAAGGCACTTGCATGAGACCGAAGGCAACCATTCCATTACCGAACTCGAGACCAATCCAAGCCTTTGGAGTTGCTGCCTTGGCTGAGAAACCGAAGCAGAGCGCGCCAGCTGTTGCAATGATGAGAGCTGGGAACATGAGAGGGAGACGTGCTTCAGGCTCGCTGAAACCATGTCGCTCCCGCTTGGCCTGACGCTTGACAATGAAGTCTGCAGTGAAGTAGGTATAGATTGCACCAAGGACAGTGCCAACCAAACCGCCGACGTTTATCAGTCCAACTGAGCCGCCCCAAAGGTAGGGTGGCTGAGCGAGTAGTTGTGGTGCAACAGTCGAGATGGTAACAATCAATCCGACAAGGCCGGCATAGTGCAACATGACCATCCATGTGCCAGGGAAAAGAAGGGTGGTGTAAGGGGTGATGCAACGCTTGAAGAAGCCAGGTCGGTACATGCCCATCTTGAGACTTCTAGCGAAGGTGTATTCGGGGAACACAGTAGAAGCGGCGGTCTCGACTCTGGCCATCTCAGCCTTCTCACCAAGAGTTGAGTCTTTGTCGTAGCCTTCCGGGCGTACGACAGCTATGGCTGCCTCGCGGTCGAAAAGCGTCTCTGGAACGAACAAGAAGCTCAAAAGCAGGACGGCACCCGAGAGGATAGCCGAGATGTACATGGTCCATCTCCATCCCATCGAGGCGGTGATGTAGCCGCCGATGAGACCGCCAATCAACGAGCCAGAAGCGAGGAAGATGGTATAGATGGNCCTGGATATGGTCAGTTCAACGTGTCTCCTTATTATTCATGGCCAACTTACCATAGCACGACCTCTCTGGTGGACGAAGAAGATTTGACCAACGACATCTGGGGCAAGAGTGTCGGCTGCACCACCACCTACGCCCTGGAAGAGTCTAGCAGCAAGTAGACTGTTGTAAGATTTGGCTTCGCCCGCCCAGATAGATGTTGCACAGAGAAGGGCAAGACAGACAAGGATGACAGGACGACGTCCAANAGGCTGACATAGCGTCAGCATGCACACGACAAAATGTTTTGGTCGACACTTACTGTTTCCAAGAGGCACCCACCAAATATTCGAAGCACCGAGGAACAAGTTGTTGATGGCAATGAGGTGGGTCAACTTGCTGAACGGCAGGATGCCAGTTGGTGGTCCCCGTTCGTGGAAATGCGCGAAGGCTGTGATTAAACTCGGCAAAGCACTGCTGATGATCGAACTTGAGACGTTGGTGACAAAGGCGTACAGACTCATCAACACTAAGATCATGACCTTTCTTGAGTTCGAGAAGTTGAGAGGATCCGCTGGATCCGGTGACGNGTCTACAATCGCTCGTCAGAGGGTACGGTCTAAGCATTCTGCGACGGGAATAACATACTCTGGGTTCAAGTGAATGTGGTTTTCTTCAAACTCGTGATGGCCTGTGTTTGTCCTGACTAGTTCTCTGTNCTGTTGTCGATGGTCAGGGATATTGTCGTTGCCATTCTCAATCATATGCCACTCACCCATCAACGTGACGGTGCCAGGAGGCGCCATCTCATTGAGTTCTTGCTTGTCCAGCGAGAATGCATGTCTGAACTGAGTCATGGTGAATAGTATGCCCTGAATGGCAACCGTGAAATTGAAATGATATTGCTACCAAAGGGAAGGACGTATCGAGATGAAGATGCTTGCGACACATGGACAAGGAGCGTGGTTTATGAGTCTGCCATGCTCGCCAAATCTACCCAATCAGAAATTACACACTACTCCATCGGCACCTCACGTTTTGTGCCCACTAGTAGGGCAAGAAAGGTTCGTTCTCTCTTTCTCCACGCAAGCCGATAGAACGGAACTGCCTAATAAAAGTCTAACAGGGAGGTGAAGGCCTCGCCTGCATAAATTGAGTACAGACTGCCATTCTATCCAATGAGAGATCAGCCGTTCGATCCAGTGCCGTTGAATGGTCCATGTGTTCACGCGGGGACGTGGGGAAGTGTGGAGAGGCCGAAGAAGGGTGAGTAGGGCTAATAAAGCCCTGATTTGAGGACAGAAACAGCAATCTGTGAGGATAGGCTTCACCGATGCTATGGAATCGATAACACGCGTCCATAGTGACCTCAAAGACAAGCATTTTCGGCACTTGGTGATCCTATTTACTCACTAGTCCATGTCTCTGTAGACAGAGCTGGCAGTAGTTCTGCTCGACATTCACCAAAACCAACGCCTTCGCCGCACTTTCCTGTGAATTGAACGACAACACCATCCGCGAGGTAACCACGCTGTACAGATGGCGGTGGAAGGTTGTGTTCAAGCATACATCCACGCCCATCTTCCGACTCTTCTGACACAGTGCCACAAGCGAGCAGATCTCCAGCTTGGAAACCACAACCTGCGCTGCCTTGGTGCGCCAACAGCTGCTCGAAAGACCATGCAAGAACGCTACTGTTTGCTACGCAAGCACGAGTCACGTCGTTCTCGGGTGATTGAACGAAGACAGAGAGATCGATGGACAAGCCACGATCGTCCTTCTCCACAGCGAGGTGGGGAGGCAAAGTATGTTTCCAGCCTGGCCCTGAGACTCGGAACGGCTCCAAAGCGTCGTATGTAATAATCCAGGGTGACAGGGTTGTTCCAGAGTTCTTGGAGTTCAAGGGGCCGAGTGGGACCATTTCTAATATCTGGATATCGCGAGNCTGTTGACGAGTTAGCCTGTGTAACATTTCGACATGTCCGGTGTAAGACTTACCACTCCAGTCATTCAGCATCACAAAGCCAAAGATGTGCTCGCCAGCATTCTGTGCTGTGACAGTCTGGCCGTATGGAAGTGGCTTGCCTATTACAGCGGACAATTCCATCTCGTAGTCCATTCTGCGACTCGGACCATAAACGATCTTCTTGTTCTCGCCTTTCATCGCTGCCATATGGTCTTCCCAAAATTGGCCAACAGGTCTTCTCACAGGAGTTCCAGAAATCTTGATGCTTGAACATCTACCAGCATAACCTTGACGATGTAAGTATGTGCTATACGAAGGGGAGTGTTGATCAGACTTACCTGGAGGAATGAAGCCCCAAGAGGGAGGNNGAAGTCCTTTTCTTCCCGTAGCAGCAAAACCGGCATTCAGATTGTGGTACTCAGAGCATGAGAAGTCTGTAAAGTCTGCAACCGATACTGGAAGATGCATTTGGCATGCTGAAACATCCTCAGTGCTGCCCTCGGGTAACTTGCTCTCTTGAATGAGTTTTTGAACGGCAGAGCGAACAAGTCTATGAGCAGGTCTACCAAGAGCTGCAAATGCATTCAGAGTTGGTTGCGAGAAAATGCCATAGGGCAGACTTTGCAGCTCAGAAGTAGATTCTACCAAGTCTGCAAGGAAGACCACCTTGTTTTCGAAGCGAGTGACTGCTTGCGGTGATGCATGTCTGCTTGAAGATGCGACTCCGAAAGGAATATTTTCGATGCCAAAATGGCTACCAAAGTCGGATTGGAGAGACGTCATTGTATGTGTTTGTAAACAGTGGACGAACTTCGAGTACTCGAGAGTCGCAGTAGTGACCAAGATCGTATGAATATATCGCGGGAACGACTCTCCAAGCATACTTTACCTGGTGACTATTTTTCGGTTAAACGCATTGACCCCACTATCTCCGCCTTTCTCGCCCTTCTTATGTGGAGCCGAGGCTGTTCCCGGTGGAGGAACGGCAACCGCGGCTGCGTGTGATTATTTTCCTGGGTCTCCAATATGTATCACACGGACGATCTTCCAGCCGAATGCTCTGAATACCCAGAGTCCGCAATCAAGGAGGATCGTGACTATTTTTGTAGAAGCAGCGTCCGTCTTCCTTTCGTCGCTGCCAAAGCATCAAATCTTGCCTAGAAACAAGCACAGAGCCTCATAATGGCACTCAATGTCTTGATCGTAGGAGCAGGCATCGGCGGCCTGGTATGTTGCAACGAATTATGTTGATATGAACAACCAGTCTGACAGAAGCGTAGATGGCTGCGATTGCTCTCAGAGAACAAGGACATGATGTGACTCTCCTCGAGTCATCACGGTTTAGCAACGAAACTGGAGCAGCTATTCATATGGCACCTAATGCAAATGGCTTGCTCAAACGCTTCGGAGTCGATATCGAGAAGGTGGGCGCAAACGAATGCAACCGAATCGCACAGTACCATGCCGAGTCAGGGAAGGCACTTTTCCAGGTCGATCTTACAATGCCAAACAAGCAGTGGCAACACAAATGGCTCTTAGTGCATCGTGCTCACTTGCACACTGCTCTGAGGGAAAGAGCCATTAGTCAGGAGGGCAAAGGCAAGCCCGCTACGCTCAGACTAGCCAGCAAAGTTGCTTCTGTAAATCCTGAGAAGGCAGAGGTCACTTTGGAGAGCGGCGAGAAGGTATCTGGCGATATTCTGCTTGGAGCTGACGGTGTTCACGTAAGTCCTTCAACTAGCAGATCTTGAAATCTTCAAACTGATTCGTCTCTANNGTCCTTGTGTCGTAAGGCTTTGGATCTTGATGATGCAGAGAAGTATACGCCGTTCGACTGCGGTCACAGTGCATACCGCTTCCTGGTACCGAAGGAAGAAGTCATGGCCGACCCAGCCTGCCGTGAATTTGTCGAACCGGACGGTATGCTCTGCATGATTGTTGGTGAAGACCGCAGAGTTGTTGTGTACCCTTGTGTTGACAACAAGCTCATGAATTTCCTTCTGGTAAGGACAATCATTCGAGAATCGTAAGCTTCTTCTGACTTTGGTCCTTCGCAGATACACCCCAGCAGCGAATCACGTTCAGAGGATGCCGGCTGGAACCAACAAGGTGACAAGAAGCGCATGCTTGCAAGTGGCGCCAGCTTGGCACCTCAAGTTCGTGCTCTTCTGGAGAAGGCCCCCGAAGACAGCTTGAAGGTCTGGACTCTACTGGATATGCAAATACTTCCTACGTGGATCAAGGGTAACATGGCATTGCTGGGCGATGCAGCTCATCCATTCCTGCCCCACCAAGCGCAGGGTGGAGGGCAAGCTATGGAAGATGCGGTGTCGTTGGCAGCCATCTTACCTTATGGCACCCCGAAGGAAGACATCCCGGAGAGATTAAGACTGTATGAGCAGTGCAGGCGCGAGCGTGCAAATAAGATCCAAGATGGTACGAGACTGAGCGGAACCTCTCAAAAGGACCTCGCAAAGATGGGCAAGAAGTACGATGGTCAGTATTCTTGTTGCCGTGGCTTCGGTTTGTTTCTTACTGACATTGGTGTGATCNNAGCGTTCGCCTTTACCAATTACAACTTCGGTCACGATGAGTGGGACTTCTCAAAGAATGCTTTGAACAAGCATCTCTGGTCCAAGCAGCCACATCGATTCCGGCAGCCAGTGTCGTTCGGCCCTAGCCCAGGACCACGCCAGCCTCTGAATGCCCAGCCGGATGTGCATTCGGTAGCAAAGCAGAACCAGACGATCGCCTCAATCCGCTTCAAAACTTCAAGGACCTATCTCCAGAACCTGTTTCCCAGCTCTTCGTTTTCTTTCATGTCTCCAGCAACAGTCGCTGAAGCCTCTATCGTATGTTGCTCACTACGCAACATGACATGGCTGGGTGACACAGGATACGACCACTGTGGTTTATACATCCACGGAGTGAAATACACCAAGAAGGATGGCGATATCCTACAAGGAACATTCCTACCGATCTTGTTCGAGAACTTGACTGACCCCATCATTACTGGTCGTGAAGAGCTTGCTGCACCCAAGCTGGGTTGTGATATCGACGTCTCAGCTTCTGGTGACTCTCGCAATGTACGCATGAGTTGGCGCGGTACCACTTTTGCCGAGCTCGAATGGAATGACCTTCATGCAAAGCCCCAAGCAAATGGTACTAATGGCACGAACGGCGTGAACGGTGTGAACGGCACCCACGTCAAGCCACCGGGCCCACCCGGACCTCCAATGCCAAAGATCGAAGACAATGGCTTGTTCATGTATCGCTACGTGCCAGCTGTGGGTGAGCCGGGGAAGGCGGACGCCGAGTATGCTGTTTTCGATGAATACGAGAAGAAAACACCATCGTCTGCAGAGGCTCAGCAAGGAGTACAGGATCAGACAACCAAGTCGGCCACAATCAAGTTCTTGCCCGGTGATTGGAGTTCGCTACCAACCCTTCATCACATTGCACAAGGCCTTGCAGATGTACCATTTTATGGAATTGTGGAGGCTACCGTGAAGGAGGTACCATCAGTGGGCGATGTTAGAGGAGCAAGGAGGATCGAGTAGGCCTTGAGAGCAAGGTGTTGAGACAGCTCTTGACATGCTGCTTTGCGGTTCAGCGATGTCCTTTCGAATTTGGTAGCTCGTCCGTGATCATAGTCGTCGGTAGTCATGCATCTTATCGTACACCTCCAATGTCAAAGATCAACGCAGGATCGTGCAACGTTAGTAGCCATAGCAATGCATGACATTGTTCTCGGTTTCTTCAAGAGGAAGTAGCATTCACGAAACATTGTTTGTTAGGTTGTTCCACAGCCAGATTTCTGTTTGGAAAGCAACTGTACATTCTCTCTTAGCTTACCATAAGTCGGCATGAGAAGCGGGTCGAAGGTAAAATTCTGACAACCCTCGGGTCCTCGGGATAGAACGAGGGTGTGAGAAGTTTTCATGTTGCATAGATTGAGCTTCGTGGCCCGATGAGGTTTCATGTCGAGATATCATTCTCCGGATATATCAAGACTGTCACTTGTCGGTTGTTTCTGCCGTTTTCGGAAACGCGCCTCGCAGCCGAAGGTGCACGAGGCTCGCACTTCTTGGGAGTGTTGGATATGCTGGTAGCTTGAGCAGAAACACGTTGTTCATGGCATTCTGTTCGTGTGTGCATCTGCAGCTCTCGTAGAGTGCCGAGACGCGCTGATTGGAAGATGACAAGTAGAGCCGCGAACGAAGGCAAAACGGCTGTATGGCACGAGGCAGCGTTCTGGAACCAAAATAGCTGTCGGCGAGACGTAGCTAGTGCAAAGCATAGATGACGCCTACAAGTTTCGAGCAGCTAGTCCGTATGCCGAAGTTTTACCTTTAGGTGAATTTGCGATGTTGCGGCCAAATATGGACAGTAAATCGATGTTGCAAAGTCATGAAGGGTCTCATAGACATGCGGAACTTGTCAGTCTTGGACCGAGATCAGCATGTTGGCGAGGTTTCGAAAGTCTCGGCCTTGTTTGAAGGTGTTTTGGAGGCCAACACCGGTGCCGAGGCGTAGGTACACGTATCGAGGTGTGGAGGGCAGCAAAGTTCGATCCGCAGGCTCGATCGCGAAGTAGAAGCATCTCATGTGGCGGAGCAGCAGCTCCAAGCAGGGCCAATGACCGCTGGCAGTCGAGTAGGGAAATTGCCTGGTTGGGCGATAGCGCAATCAAACCTGTCGTTGTGTCCACTCGACTCGTGCATGTCATGAAGGTCGCCGCCACCGATGCTTCCGGATCAAGAATATCTGATTCGGCTTGACCATGTCATCTTGTGCTTGTATCCCAATTTCTTTCCCCTCCCCCTCTCGCTGGTCCCGTCCGCTAGGAGATCCTTGTACATTGCACAACCCTTCGCACGACGCGCAGAGAAGCTGGTCTTTGACAGGCGCTACCTTCAGTCCGGCTCAAACACCGAAGTGGTCTCGACGTCATCCAGCAGCAAAGACCCTTGGACATATCTCACCACATATCCAAAGTCCGACGCACCTCTAGTCGGCACGCGAACAGGCGTCCAGACAGTAACAAGCTGTCCTAGATGGAAAGGTCGTTCGTCGGCGCTCACAGCACATGAATTTGCTGGACGATACTATCAGGACCTCGTCAATCCGCGACGGCGAGGCCCGCCTACCACGCTTCATGGATACCAATGAACTTGCCATGGACAGCCACCAAGCCTCCGCCCTGACCGCACACCAGGATGCCCGCGCCCTCATTCGTTTGATCCAGTGTCCGCAGTGCTCAAAGCCCTACACAAGTCCCGTCACCCTTCCTTGCGGCAACTCGCTATGCCGTACCTGTCTACCACAGACCCACCGCCGCGAAGGTGTCTCATACCCCGATACCCCCGGCAGACAACGCGGGTTCCTTTGCCCTTACAACGACTGTCTCGAGGAGCATGTCCTGGCAGACTGCAGCATCGACGTAACTCTTTCAAAACTCATGGAAGCCATCGCTGATCTCGTCCGCCAACACATCCAGCTCGCTGGCAGCAGACAAACATACATGGAAGAGGTGGTGAAACAAGATGAGGTCCTCGGTCCCGTGACGTCAGTAGACCTGGACAAGGACAGCCCTCGGTGCTGGACCATGCCAGGAGCTCGTCTAGTCGCTACATACAACCTCGCTGGTACCGGTATTCTCGGTTACAAGACTGAGGTCGTGTATACCGACTTGCTTGGACCACCAGAGATGGCTCAACAGACGGATCAAGAGCTATTAGTACAACTGCTTGACACTGCGCAAAAGGAGGTTGATTGTCAGGTCTGCTACAATATCATGCACGACCCCGTCACGACGGCTTGCGGACATACCCTCTGTCGTAAATGCCTGGCTCGTACACTCGATCACTCAACCCACTGCCCCGTATGCCGACGTTCTGTCATCACTCCGCCCTCCCTGCTCAAATATCCGAGCAACAAAACGTTAGTCAGTCTTCTTGAGGGACTTGTTCCAGAAATTGTTTCTGCTCGCGCTCAAGCTGCCGCTCTGGAAGACGCCATTGCTCTCCCTGATTTTGAGACTCCTTTGTTTGTTTGCACACTCGGTTTTCCAGGATGCCCTACCTTNTTACGCGTCTTCGAGCCAAGGTATCGACTCATGATCAGACGTGCTATGGAAGGAAACCGACAATTTGGTATGGTCACGTACAATCGCCACGGGGTACCTCAAGAAGGCTTGGGTATCACACAGTATCTTGCATATGGTGTCATGCTCTACATAGAGAATGTGCAGATGCTTCCAGATGGGCAGAGTATTGTCGAAACCAGAGGCATGTACCGCTTCCGTGTAAAACAACATGGCACTTTAGACGGCTACACGGTAGGCAGAGTTGAGCGTGTCGAAGATGTCTCTTTGCAGGAAGAAGAGCGCTTAGAGGCTGAGGAAACCTCCCAACCCCCTGCCGACGAGAATGACATGGAAGGCCAAGTTAGCAGAATGTCAACTCGCGAACTTCTCATGCTCGGACTCGACTTTATCCTTGTCATGCAAGGTCGAAGCGCACCTTGGCTACACCAACGCATTCTCGAAGCCTATGGTGGCCCGCCGGACGACGCCGCTCTCTTCCCATTCTGGTTTGCCAGCATCCTACCTATCAGTGAGGACTGGAAGTATCATCTGATGCAGACCACAAGTGTGCGATCAAGACTCAAGATCACAGCTCTTTGGGTCAAGCACATGCAGACCCAACGGTGGTACCAGAACAACGTATGCACAGTCTTATGACTGATTGCACACCTCACGCTGCGTTTTGGAGCTCCCATCTTTGTTATTCTTATTGCGGTCCGAAACTTTGTGCGCGAATCATAAAGGGGAACTTCTTTTCTCTAAACAACCAGAAAACACCGATCTCCAAGAAGCTCATTCACGGCGCTTTGTGATCATTTTCGTTTCTTTTGTACATCATTTTTATTCGCATTCTTGGCTTTTTGCTCTTTTTCTTCTTGTTGCTTTTTTTACATAGCGGTCATGATATATCCAGAGCTATTAGGCTCACCACCGCCAGGCGTTCTGGGGCGAGATATATAGGACATGTGATGCTGTTTTTGCTTGGACTATGAGAGGGAAAGGAATTGTACATTGCAGATCAAAATGGTGGGCCAGAGGAGTATTTCATGTTCTTTTCCTGTTTACAAACACTGTCTCATGTGATTGTCGTTATCGAAGTGACTCGAGAGGCTCCCATGCAATCGACTATCCGAGTAGAGCCTCTCCCCGTGCAAAGTATGTAACGCATGTGGCTATAAAAACGCACAGTACTGTTAGGCAAAAGGATGGTCTCCACTAAGAAGCAACCTCTTAGCAGCTCTCGTTGGCCAATCTTCGTTTCTGAACAGAGTTGTGCATGTTTATAGCCACATGCGTTACATCCTTTAGCACCTAGGGAGGTTCTGGATACCCAGGGGCAGCAGATCACCACGAGGACAACATTGCGAATGGTTCCGATGGCACTCATTAGACTACGGTGGGTAGCCAATCTGCAAGTAGTGTGATGTAACTTTGGAGTATAAGTTTTGTGCGTGTGTATGTTTAAACATCAGTCGTAATCTATTTATCTCCTCCACCCATGACAACTTGGACGAGCAGGAACAGACCAATTGCCCACCAGTATCTGTCAAATGGTTAGCAGATATTCAAAGAGGCTACCACAATGAAAACTGACTTTTGTAAGAAGGACTTTTCAGGTTCCTTATCTTCTGGCTCGCCCTGTTGATTGACGACAATCGGCTTGTCAAAGGCGACTTGTGGTCCCTGGTGCAGCGGCACAATCTCGACTGCAAGCGAGCCATCCTTGGACTTTCCAGCTGCAGTGCTGAAGCCAACATGCCACACATCTCCAGCTGAGTCCAAGTACAGACGCAGCGCTGGCTTCTTTGTCGCATCGAAGTTGGCTCCTGAAGTGGATACACCGACCCAGTCGCCGGCGCGATGGATTCCGACTCGTACAGTCTCGTCTGATGTGACTGCAGGCGCAGTATATGAGTCTATTGTGGCATTGAGAGCGGGCCAGGAGTAGGAGACTTTGGCGAAGGGAAGCGGTGATGAGGCTGATGAGGGCCAGGCGAAGACGTCGGTGGTGCGGAGTGAGTCTGTAGTGGCTGCGGCGATGGCAGAAGTAGCGCACAGCAAGGCTGCTAGCAGGTTGGCTGCTCCTGTGAAGCGCATTGTGTGTATTAGTATTCCTGTATGCGGATTGTGCCCCGTCTAGCTGTTGACGACGCTATGGATGTCTGAGCAGGAGCTTGATGTCTTGGCAGGCGCCATCTCGTGTCCGGGGGAAAGTGGGCCGAGAGGTTCTGGTCTGGAAGGAACTGGACCCTGACCTTCTCCACGTCACCTTGAGTCCAATTGGGGAAGCTTCCTTCAGCCATGATTTTCCGCGGCTGCTGCAGCTCTTGTTGATCCATATGCTGTTGAGACGGATAGTTGGGTCTTCTGAGACCATTCTCTCATGTGGTGACACGGTGCTCGAAGATCTGACAAGCCTAGGGAAGCTAACTGCAAATGAACCGACGAGAATGGTGCATTTAACCATGCATGTCCTGCCTGTCGACCAAAACATCCGGCGGCAAGCACAAGCTTCCCCGAGTCTCCTCGTTTTCTCCACTCCCGCGTCATCAGGATCGACATCCCCAAGCTCTCCAAGATAAGTGCCACGCCTTCACCTTTACCCGTTCTGTCACCAGTCAAAAGTGTTGATCTTCTTCTCTTGATCCTCACTGACTTCTCTTTCTCAATTTCACACTCAATTGGTACCAGTCCATTGAACACAGCTCAATTCGCAACACTACTCATAGTTCAACTCAACCCCCAACACTACTTGATCTTTGACCACAGCAACCACATTCACCATGACTTCAATGCCATTCCGCCAGCCCTACAGGCAGGCCTCTCGACAGCAGTCGAGACAGATGTCTGTCGACCCTCACAACGAGCTCCACCCTGTTCAAGATCACTACATTGGCATCGATGTCGGTACCGGCAGTGCCCGTGCCTGTATCATGAACGACAAGGGTGACATTGTCGGTCTTGCCAGTGAAAACATTGGCCTCTGGCAGCCCGAGACTGGCTACTACGTGAGTCTACTGCAATCTCACCACAAGTAATCATGCTTACAAGCTCGTAGNGAACAATCCACCACAGACATCTGGAGATGCATCTGCAACTCAGTACAGCGTGCCATGAACCAACACGGCATTGACGGTTCCACCATTCGCGGTATTGGTTTCGATGCCACCTGCTCTCTCACCGTCTTCTCCAACGATACCGACGAGCCAATCTCCGTAACGGGCCCCAAATTCGACAATGCCGATGGCAACGACCGCAACGTCATTCTATGGCTCGACCACAGACCTGTCGAGGAGACTGATAAGATCAACGCCACAAACCACAACCTGCTCCGCTATGTTGGTGGCAAGATGAGCATCGAGATGGAGATGCCAAAGGTTCTGTGGCTCAAGAACCACATGCCTAAGGAGCTCTTCGACCGCTGCAGATTCTACGACTTGACCGATGCTCTTACTCACATTGCCACTGGCAACGACGACCGCAGCTTCTGCAGTGTCGTCTGCAAGCAAGGCTTCGTGCCTGTTGGTGTAGACGGCAGTGTCAAGGGTTGGCAAGAAGACTTCCTCAAGGAGATCGGTCTTGAGGATCTTTGCGAAGACAACTTCAAGCGCCTGGGTGGTGTAGACGGGGTGGTAATTACCTGACCTTTACTATTTCAGTTGCGCAAAGGCTAACCCAACTCGCAGAACGGAAAGTACCACACCGCTGGCGACAAGATTGGCACTCTTTGCGAAAAGGCGGCTGCTGACCTCGGTCTTCCTGCTGGTATCGCTGTCGGCGCTGGTGTCATTGATGCCTACGCTGGATGGATTGGTACTGTCGGAGCCAAGGTTCGCTTGCCAAACTCCAACCTCCAATCTGGTGCCGACAAGAACGACGTTTCGCAAGCCTTTACTCGTCTTGCTGCCGTCGCTGGAACTTCGACTTGCCATCTGGCCATGTCTGAAAAGCCCGTGTTTGTCGAGGGTGTCTGGGGACCATACCGTGATGTGCTCATTCCAGACTACTGGATGGCCGAAGGTGGTCAGTCGGCAACTGGCGAGTTGCTGAAGTACGTCCTCGAGACCCACCCAGCCTTCCAGCAGGCAATGAGTGTCGCTGAGACTTTCAACGCAAACATATACGACTACCTTAACGAACACCTCAACGAGATGATGACAAAGGAGAACGCTCCCACGATCTCATACCTTGGCCGTCACTTCTTCTTCTACGGCGATCTGTTCGGTAACCGCAGTCCCATCGCTGATCCCAACATGAAGGGAAGTGTGATTGGTCTGTCGAGCGACCGTAGCTTGGATGGCCTAGCGCTCTACTACTACGCCACTATGGAGTTCATTGCTCTGCAGACCAAGCAGATTATCCAGCGCATGAACGAGTCGGGCCATGTCATCAACTCCATCTTCATGTCAGGAAGTCAGTGCCAGAACGGCATTCTCATGGACCTCATGGCGACTGCTTGCGAGATGCCTGTTGTCATTCCCAGATATGTCCACGCGGCTGTCGTTCACGGTGCAGCCATGCTCGGAGCAAAGGCAGCTTCCGCCGATAAGGACGGCAACACCGAGCCTTTGTGGGATATCATGGACCGCATGAGCAAGCCTGGTAAGGTCGTACTGCCAGGCAGAGACCAGAACGAGAAGAAGCTGCTCGAAGCAAAGTACAAGGTCTTCCTCATGCAGTGCGAGCAGCAGCGCGAGATCCGTCGCGACATCGACGAGGCTGTCAGTGGTTGGAAGTAGAGAACCGCATGACATCTTGTTCGTCACGACGGAATCTGCTTGTCCCTTACTATTGGCTCGAGGATTTAAAAAAGGCTGAGGAACCATATTTGCTACTATAGATATACGATAATGATGACATTTGATTTTTTTTAAACGTGTTTCGAGTACTCTCCCCATGCGCTAAGACAGTCACAATGTAGCTACAGAAGTGCACAATACTTTTGTAGATGATAAAATTAAAGGCTGTCTCGGTGGCTATCCTCATGTTCCAATTGCAGCTATGCATCAATCCTTATACTCGGAATAAAGAAGGGGTCATCTGCTAAATTCCAATAGCTGACCTGACCATTCCAATAGCTGACCTGACCATTCTAATCGCTAAGTTGACCATGTCAATCGCTGAAGCTGACCATGCCAATCGCTGAGCTGACCATGCCAAAACTTCAGTTGACCATCGCGAATCCTCGGATGACCATGTCTTTAGCACACAGAAAGGATACATCGCTGTAGTGTTTACTTGCGATGGAGCCTGTTTCGGCTTCTGATGACTTGAAAGGTTTATGGCGTTTTGCTCTCCTACTTCTTCTCCTCTGTAGTGTCCTCCTTTACTTTGGCGTCACCTCTAGCAGGCCTCTCGCCAAAAATGGTAGTACCGACTCTGACCTCGGTACTCCCTTGTCTGATGGCAGCCTCAAAGTCTGAACTCATACCCATGCTCAACTCTAGTTTGTCAGCATCCAACCCCAGCTGCTTGGCCACGTCATCCCTGCACTTTCTGAGCTCTTCAAAGTCCTCGTTTTCGGTTTCTTTGGTGGTGGCTTTTGATCTCGCGATCGCACCGATAGTCATCAACCCTCCCAACTCCAAGTGCGGACACTTGTCGAGGATGTGTTTGCAGAGTTGTACTGCATCTTNTGGCTCCACGCCGCTTTTTTCCTCTTCACCTGATGTGTTTACTTGGACCAAGACTCTTAGTTTGTTTCCTTGCGTCTCGTCGCTTTTTTCCGCGACCAGTTTCGCGCNGCCCTTTTCTAGACCGTCGGCTTTTTTTGCTGCTGTCCACGCNNTGCTCACCGAAAACAGGTTTGGAATGGACTCGGCTAGGGGTCTGCATTTGTTTGTCTGTAGCGCACCGATGAAATGCCAGTTTATAGTTTTGGGCAGCAAAACAGCTTNTTCCATCAATTCTTGCGAGTAGTTTTCGCCAAAGTGGGAGTGAGAGGTGGGGGCATTGTGTAATGCGAGAATGTCGTTTGCGGGTTTGAGTTTGGAGACTGCGATCAGGCGGACGGGTTTGCCAGAGGTGGTGTTTGCGGATTTTATTTGTGAGAGGACGTGGCTGAGGTTGTCGGTCAGGTGTTTTGCGCGTGTGGGGTTGATTTGCATTTCTTCTTGAGCGGGGGACATTTGAGGTGTCGTCGAGTTGAGGAGCTCTGATGGGTGGTTTGAGGGAATTGGAGTGGTGGTGTTGGAAGTGAAGATGTCGAAGATGTGTTTCTTGCGAGAGCGAGCGCTTGTCGATGACGATGTTCTCAGGGCCTCGGCTAAACTTGCTGGGCGTGGAGTCAACTCCTTCGTGGTGTCACCCTGACTGACGAATGTCTTGTCGGTGAGGCCATTACGATTTGGATCATGTTGAGGGGCACGGAGAACTAGAGCTGGCTCAGTAATTGCCGTTGTACATCTAATATTCGTAAAGTTTCATAACGGATCATTTGGAGACTATGTACTGTGACCAATACACAAGGTGTTTTGAGTCGCTTCTTGGATCTCGAAGCATGATTTTATAAAATCGACGATATCCGACGCAATTCGAAGTACTTGATCCTCATACCAGTACAGAGGGTGGGATAGTACTAGAAGAGATATTAGACATGGACACAGGCTGATTGGTACTATCCTTCGCTGGATATGTACCTTTTCGTACTCAAAGCACTTGCTAGTGGTGCGACCCTGCCCTCTGCCATCAAAGCAGATGATTTTCAGATCGCCTGCAAGATTGTAACGCGTATTGTCATTTCACCAAGGACATGTATCTCCTCTTAGATCGGTTACGTTGAGTTATATGTCTGTATATGAAATTTATGGTCTCAAATGTCGTGATAGAGGTAGAGCATAAGTCACGAAGAAGTTTGCGACACAAGTAGCTTCTTGAAGCATGTACTCTTCTTCCTTCGTCATGTCTGCCACTACTGGGTCTTGACTATCCTGCGTCACATTAATGGCCTTTCGTGTCAACAGCANAAGGTCACCAATCAACTCTATATCAGCATGTAGTACGAGTCCACACATCCATCTTACCAGTCTTTGTACCAGCTTCTCTGCCGGCACGTCCCATTTGCGAATCTCGCATGTCGATGTGACATGACGTTTCAAGACTAGCGAGGTAGCTCTTGCTTTGATGTTGGGAAAGCGAGTGATGTCTCCTCTTTGCACGGCGAGACCGAAAGCTACCAGAATTGTGTAGAGATCAGGATCCTCGTGTAGAAAAGGCTGCAGCCTCTCCATATTGATCAGCCATGTCACGAAAGCTGTGTGCAATGCAACGTTGATATCTGAGCGGTGGTTCGTTTGCGAGACGAGTTGAGTGTCGAGTAATGGTAGACGTTGTGCAGGATTAACGCGCGGAGAAAAAGGGGGTCCGAGCGGAGGTGAGTCAGGGGTATCGAGCGGATTCAACGAGAAGCTGCTGTCAGTGCATGGACCTTGGTTCGGAGGTGTCGTTGGCACGATGGAAGCATCCCTGCGTTTGCTTGAACGTGGAGTGGGTGCGCAGTCGCTTGCTGGCACCTGAACCTGTTCGTATGCTGGTGGTGGAGCATCGTCTTTTGCGGTCTGTGGACCCTGGGGTTCTGGTTGGGTATCTGCTTCATCTCCGACTGAATGGTCTCCTTCTCCTTGCTCATGCCTTGCTCTTTTCCTCTTGCGGGCGTGGCGGTGGTCCAGGTCAGCATCAACGTTGGTTGCTGTGCGAGCAGAGTCCGTATCCAGATAATCGTCCCACACGTTGAAAACTCCACCGTTGTGGTTGTAGGACGATTCGAGGTTGAACGATGGAACCGCGTAGTCGGACTTGAGAGCATGTATGTTTCTGGTCAAGGCCTCATGCGCGTATGTGCTATAGCCCATGTAGATTTCATGTCTCTCGGCCGACTCGGCGAAAGCTTGTGCATAGAGCATAATGTGTTCGGCAGTGCCTTGTACAGCTCGCGTAGCCTTGCGGATAGGCATTAGGGTCTGACTCGGTATTGTCTTGCACAAGGACATTCGCAAGAATCGAGATTTTGTAGAGCCTTCGATGGCTTCGAACATGCGAGCGATGCCTTCAGGTATGTCATCTAAACCCAAAACGGGTATCTCATCGCTGACAAGCTCCAAGCTTTTAGGCACTGAGAACAAGTCGAACCTCTTCCTCTTTCCTTTTGAATAGTGTGTGACTGTGAGTTGTAACATGGCCACCGCTTGTTTGCTAGATTCGACGAGACCAAGCCAAAGTATCAGACTTGCGTCCTTGTTGAGAGGAGACGGCTCTCCGAGATGTAGCGCTTGATTTCGGGTTTGATCGTGCCATGTTAGAACAACCCGCTCTTTCAAAAACCACACAGGCTCATGCTCAGGCTCGAACGCGACGGAGGGAGGAGATGGATACATGGTTGTATTTGGGATATGTACTGCAAGATCAAAATCAATTTTGAAGAGAATGCCCTGACACAAGACGCGTCAGAAACCCTCCCACCCGGGCTTTCGTCGACTGTGAGCAGCCCTGACTCAGAAATACAGAAAGAAGAGAGCGCTCAATATTGCGATATAAAGGAGCAGACGTATGTCCTCCCAGGTTCGGACGCTGTGGGCTTCCAGTCATACGGATACCGTCATACAATTCTTGGAGGACACCACGAGATTGCGGATACCAACCAGAGAATCGGACAGACACCACACGAAAAGCAGCACGCAGGAACAGGCCGATCAAGAGAGGTGTGACACGTATGTTCGATGAAGTTTGCGTGATGATAAGAAGATGAAGTTGCGCGCAAAAACAGCTTTGACGTTCGCCGAGAGGATGACCGAGTCATGTGTTCATCACCTACGCGTCACGCGTTTTTGGCAACAAGCTTGACAACCATTTTGACAACAACGTTGTTCCAACTAGCATCTGTTACTGTTCGTTATCAACAACAACACAAGGACCATCTTGTCTTCGACGCCACAGCAATTTCGCCAGATTTTATGCATCTCTCCAAGAATGTAGCATCTGATTTTCCGTGGAAACTATTCTGTTGCAAAAGACAATTCATTCGAAACATGAGTCTGAAATTCTGGGATCGCCAGACCAAGGAACGAGAACTTTGAGCACATGTTCATGCAATGCTAGCACCTGGAGGAACAGACGTCGAACAAGGCCACACAGTTTCAGTAAAAGACCATGCGATGTGGATCAAACCAAGTTGCCGACAGTGTCTGAGCAACAGTTCCCATCGTGTAAGCTTCCTATTTCAAGATCTCGAGCAAAGATATGGACAATATACTTGTAAGCATCGGAAGTCTCGGGTGTTGTCTCGAAACCTCGTTGTGATCAGGGCAAACCCCAGCCATCGAAGGATCGATTGCTGCATTTTGCTGTCGTGTATGAAGACGGTAGCCAATCAAGACAGCAATACATATTCGAGAAGCGCGAATAGATTAGAACACATCGTGCACAGGACAGCCACGGGCAAGTCAATGTATTCGAAGAGACAAAGGTGGCTTGCTTTTCGACTCTAAACCTGCCACTCGGATTTGTACTGCACTGCACAGTGGATCGGCTGGGGTTATGAGACAAGGCTGAGATATGAATGGGGTTGCATGATTTGAGAAAAGGTTGCTGGAATATATTGCGTGCATTAGTTAGGTCGGGATCGCATCTCGTGTCAATCACCCCTGACAGCAGCTAGCCCACTAGCCTGCCAATCCACATTGCGCAAAGCTCTGATTTGCAAGATTGGTGGAGGCTCACCTCCCAAAAGCCAGATCATGTCATTACTGATCATCGCTGCGCTGCAATCAGTAGTTGCAACTGCCGCCGGCATGGGCGTTGCGAGTTTTCTCGCGAAAGACTTTCGTTGCTAGGTNNTGTCCCCTGAATCCGTCGTCGTTCAACATATCCACCAGGGGTGTGCCAAGCGAGCTGTCACGAAAGTNNTCAGGAAAGCTCTTGAAACCTTCTCATCAGCTCCTACAACGTCAAAACAAACAAATACATCGTCACATCGTATATTAACCTGAGAGGCTGCAGCATGTGTAGCTCGTCTGTGCCTCAGCAAGGNATATTCGACCCAAGGACCGAGTTAGGTTGGCGCAGCAGCCCTGCGATAATTACATATTCGAGGCTCACGGCATCTTCGATCCCGCACAAGCCTCGCAAATCCACATCATCAGCTTCCACTCCAACATGCTATATGCGNATCCGTGCCATGCACAANATCGGGCAGTACGTCCGTATTCCAGCTGCCATGTGTCCCCGGGATCCCCGTATGTGGAGGATGAAATGTATGAACGCCGAACACAACGAGACAGTCGGTCAANNGCAAGTGCAGACATAAACCGGCCCCGGAGCGTTGGGTCTGATCAGTCAAAGCTACGGTATCCAGTTCGTACTCGTTCACGAAACGCGTCCGCGAATGATGGCAGAAGTGCATTAGGTCGTCGCGCCTGTCATGCACTTGGTCCAGACAGGTCAGGTTCGGCGCATCGCCGGTGCCCTATCCCAATGCGTCGGCACTGGCGATGGCGCTAAGGCTGTTCGGCGCGGCGCGCCCGAGTATGGTCTAACCTTGTTCTGCTGCGGGCTCGCGACGTTTTCTTCCCTTTACTCCTTTTCACCATGGCGCGTGTTCCGTGCCGTGCAGCTTGCATCTCTTCCTGGACGCATTGCTGGTCTGAAGTTGGAAGCAGTAAAGGCATCTTTGCGCAATGTGCCTCTTTTAATCTATCTGGCATTGCACTTGTGTGCCTTCCAGGTACCTGGGTCTGCAAGAATGATTTGAAACTAATATTGCAATCAGCGTCATGGTGGTGGAAAGGTGGTCGTTGCGTGCATATACATGTTCAAGTTCATGCTTCCTTCGAACGTTGGACGTAGATGGGATGTGTGGGTTCCTAGCTTGCGAGTATAACAACGTTCCTTCCCCCCTCCCCTTTCTCACCGTTCAGACATCTGCTTCCTTCACGTTCATTCCAACTCACCCTCCTTCGCTCCAACGTTGTCTTATCTGGTACCCTGCAAGGCGATAATAAACATAACGGAACCTCTTGGGAACTATCTTCGTGAACCCTTCTTCACCGTCATCGTTCTCTTTCACGAACTGTCAGATCACGATGGATACCACACTCATCTCTTCATCTCGATCGACGGTCCAAGGCATCGCGGGCGCTGCCATCGGACTGTCAAGCATCCTCGTCATCGTTCACATCGTCTCAAGGCGTATTGCAAGGACTTTCATCTGGTGGGATGATGGTCTGTTATGGTTGGGTGGCTGCATGACTCTTGTGATGAATGCTCTCTTCATTCATGGTAAGTCCTGAGACACTTCCAAAGCCTAGGATGAGATAATAACAATGAATNNAGGAGCACAATTAGGCCTTGGTGCATATGAAGATCAAGTATCCTCACCGCAGCTTGAAGGTGTCTTCAAGGTAAGTTCATGATGCATCATGAATCGTAACACAATCTAACCTTACATAATANNGATCCTCTTTACCAACAATTTGATCCACTTGTGGGCATTGGCCTCCATCAAAGCTTCATTACTACTCTTCTACAACCGTATGTTCGCCAGCTCAAACAACACTCTGCGCTGGACAGTGTATTTCTCTCTTTGCCTCATCTTCGTATGGGTCATCACATTCACTGCCGCCTCAGCCTTCCAATGCACACCAGTCTCATACTTTTGGGACAGTGGTGTAGCTGGAAAGTGTATCACTTCTGACTGGACTTCGAGGACAGCCATTGCCATCTGTGACACTATCTTGAACCTAGCCACCGACTTCCTCTGCTTGATGGCACCTTTCCAGGTGCTTCGCAAGCTGCAGTTGACCAACAGCAAGAAGGCTGGCTTGGCCGCTGTCTACCTCCTCGGTGGCTGCAAGATTGTCATCACTGTCATCCGCGTTCTCTACCAGATTGATACTCCTTACCTGGCCTCAACCGACTCTCTCTACTCATCTTTCGCTCCTACCATCTTCCTCATCATCGAAACCAACCTTGCAATCGCTTGTGCTTGCTTACCTTCCTTCTCTGTCATGAACGGTCGCGCAATTTTCGTCAAGACTAAGCTCGTCTCACGCTCCAACACTCCCGAAATCATTGAGCCTCCCAACTCTCCTTACTGCCGTCCCAGCTTCCAACAACAACCATTCTCAGACACTTCTCTCTTCCTGACCGAGTTCAAACGCCAACCAGCAGCTGAATTCCCAATTCTCACCACTATCACTAGCAATGTCCCCGAGGAGCCTACTCGTCTGCCCAGCCTTGAGTTGGGTAGCTTTGCCCAATCTTCTGTCTTCGACATCCTCAAGCCTGCCGGCGCCATCGTCAAGACTTTGGACGTCCAGCAGACCATTGAGGAGTTCGACTCTGTCAGAACTCTAAATGTCGAACAAACGATCGAGGAGTACGACTACATCATGAGACAAGCGTCCTTCTCCATCGTCTGATCTGGCTGCCTCTTCCTTCTTTCCCCTTTCTGTTTATTGTTTTGGTTGTTCTTCTGTGTTTCCTGTTTTCATCTTTCCGTTATACCCCCTTCGTTTTTGTCTGTTGAGAGCCTGTTTGGGAGCGAAGCGTTGGTGTTATATCATGATGATCAAGCGCGGTGTTCCGGATGGGATGGAATGGGATGAATGGCTGTTTTACCTTGTCGTCGGCAAGACCTTTTCCTTTGTTCTTAGAGATTTTAGATGAGGACAGAATACTGTTCTTGGGAAGTTTAGAACGACGATGATGATCGTCGGTAGTTGTAGTTAGTATGAGAGACATGCCTTCCATGAGAAGGTCATGAATGAAAAGAACAAAATCGATCAAATTCCACTTGGCTTTCATCTAGCACGTCCTTCTCTTCTGCTATGAGGTCTGTCTTTGCTGCACACTATGCGACATGTTGACCCTCAATGGGTCGTTCAAGCGCGACTGTCTATTCATGGGTTGTTCCTTCCTTGCACTGCCCCACTCTCCACTTCCTCATCGTTGTTGCTCACCTGGCGCTTTTCTCAATTTCCCCCCCTTCTTGCTTTCTTCTTTTCCAATCTTCTCGCCCCGAAGGCTTCTTCTCTGGTTTGTGCAATAGCAAGTACTCAAGGTAGAACACATAGTAGTCATGGATGCGAAGTCTCTGCCGAGGCTACTGAAAATCGATGAATGGCCGACGGAAAAAAGCACGAGCAATTCAATAGCCAAGCCGACCATCGAATATTTGAAGCTGATGAGTCTAGAAGCTGAGCTGACCATTCCAAAAGTTCAGTTGACAATTCCAAAAGCTCAGTTGACCATTCCAAAAGTTTAGCTGACCATTCCAATAGCTGAGCTGACCATTCCAATCAAGACTCTGATAACTCGCGACCGAAAAGTGACACAACAACTGGTCGATCATTTCCAACCCTCTTTTAGCTCTCTTCCGTCTCGTTAGTCAAGATCTCTGTCTGGGACTTAGGTTCAAATGTAGAAGCATTGGTCGAATATTTGTCCGGAGTAGTTGTTTTGAATAGACGGATTTGTTCATTGAAATGGTTAGCTCAGCTATTGGAATGGTTAGCTCAACTAATGGAATGGTTAGCTCAACTATTAGAATGGTCAGCTCAACTATTAGAATGGTTAGCTCAGCTATTGGAATGGTCAGCTCAACTTTTGGAATGGTCAGCTTAGCTATTGGAATGGTCAGCTTAGCTTTTGGCACGGTCATCTGAACTATTGGAATGGTCAACTTAAATATTGGAATGGTCAGCTCAGTTTTCGGAATGGTCATCCGGGATTTGCAATGGTCAACTGAAGTTCTAGAATGGTCAGGTCAGCGAATGGAATGGTCAGCTCAAGTATTGGAATGGTCAACCAAACTTTTCGCATGGTCGGGTTGGCTTTGGCATGGTCAGCTTGGCTTCGGCATGGTCAGGTTCGCTAAGGCACGATCAAATTGTCTTGAACAAGAAGAAAGAAGTAAAAAAAGAGCGACTGGATTAAAAAAAAAGCATAAAGATCTGTACCGAAACAAGCATCACAAATTCTGAGACCGCAAGCAAAGTCTGCCCTATGGTTTGCCATCCCAAGCACTGCTCAAAAATTCCTCAGTCTCTGTAAACTTGAAGTCCAGCAGCAGTTTGTTCCACTCATCCGAGCATACGTAGTCCCCAGCTGAGATACCTCGAAGGATCTCGGCAACCATGTATCTCGACAGCTGATCGTCCTTCTGAGGCCGCATAGCCGGGTGATCAATCTTTGGCGACCAAGAGCTTTTCCACGATCCGTCTTTCAGCTCATCCAGAGGAATCTCCTCGACTTTGAATGGTTTGCCTTGNNATACTTGAGCGTTAGTTCATGCCAGACTTCGAACATCAGAGCAGAGCAAAGGATTACCTCTAGTCTTCTCTCCGAGCTCAATCATCTGCTTCAGGGACATCTCAACTCCAGAAATACCACCGACAACTGGCCATGGATGCTCATAGTCTACAGCCCTGGCGACGACTTGCGCCAGGTCCTGAACAGTTGTGAAGGTAACGCGGTTGTCGTTACCACCTTCAGCAATGATGCAGCGACCTTGGTCAAAGTCAAAGGGTGTTTGCATTTGCCGAAGATGCTTGGCTGATTGGTAAGGGCTCGTCAAGTAGTTCAGGAAGAGACCGCACTGAAAGAGTGTATACTCTATGACCTNGAACAGAGGATTTCCATATTAGTTACGAATCATCTCAACTCAGAAACGCTTTCAACATACCTGATGCTCCTTGTTTAGATTCTGAAGGTAACGACGGGTTTCGCCCTTGTATGAGTACCAGCTAACGATCCCCGNAACTGCAGCTTGTTAGATGCTAGAAAATTGTCATCTCGATATGACCCACGTTGCCCATTCGTTGGGTGCGAAACGCTTCACACCAGCGTCAATCGCAGCCTTGATCAGGTTCTTTTGGAGCGGGCTGTTAGGATCTTCCTGTTCGGAGACGAATGAGAGCAGTGTGTGTACTCCGTTAAGTGCGTGTCTCAATTGCGTCTGGCTTTGGTAATCCACCTGGACCCGACTCGTGCCTTTGATTGCAGCACTAGTGGAAACTCCCTGCATTAAAGTCGGAGTAAGCTGTTTGAACCACAGAAGCGCAATCTTCGCATACTTNNTTCGAGACAATAGCAAGATCTCGTGTTTGCCAGTTGCAACAAGGACATCAATAATCTCCGCAGCAACGTCTATAGTGTTGTCAGTAACGGAACAAAGAGATGATTGATCATGGCACCCCATGACTTACTGCTGGAGCCACCTGCAATCGCTATCTTGACCATCTTTTCAAGACTTGTTCACAGTTTGGAATCTTTTCGAGGTTGTACTGTCTGAAATGCTCTCCTATTCATCGGGCATCGAGTCCCATTATATAACTTGTCCACTCCGGTCGAAGCTTCCGCCGAAGAAGGCATGGTTCGTAAGCGATTTGGTGGCATTGACCAATAGATGTGTTTTTGCAAACAGCAGACGCTGGTCAGTCTCTACGAGAATGTCGGAAGTGGTGAAATACACAGTGTTGTGTTCCACCGAGCTCGGCGGAAGCAGGTGAGATCCTGCTTACAAACCCCGCTGCCTCGACCGAAAGCCTCATGCTTCAACCGAACATCTCACATCAACTGTTAATTATCTCTGATGTGTGTTACTCAACAACCGAGAACAATCATGTCTCAATATGATGAGCTGGACCATGTCCCGAAGCGCAGAAAAGTTCGCAAGGGCACGCAGAGCTGCTGGGAGTGTAAGCGACGCAAGGTCCGGTGCGTATGGACCGAAAACATCTGTCAAAATTGTAGCCGTCGCGGCACTGCTTGTACAAGTCAGGATCTACCAGATACTTTCATAACCGTTACTCCGAGTCCGTCTGAGGAAGATGCGCTGGTATGTGCAGTTGTCTATCAATCGAGCTTACCAAACACATTTCTGACCAAGAAGCCTGCAATCAATCTTCGTAGTTCGTCCACTTACAGCACACCTGTTTCGAGATCAAATCTTCAGGATGAAGCTCTAGATCGTACCCTCAGATCTCTGTGGCCTAAGCAACACGAACTCGATCAGATCCTAGCCTTACCGATTGGTCTATCAGTGCTATACCACAGTGAGGTTTGCAATTTTTACAAGCCCATAAGTCAAGCCCTACCTTCGACAGGAGATATGTTGCGACTCCCACCAATCGGCTCGCACCCTGTGCTAATCGCACGAAAGCTATTGTTGCTCGGCAATCACTTACAAGGAGTTGTTCTGCCCAGTAATCAGGCGTCGCAAAAACACGAATCGTGGTGCCATGATATCATGTCTCGTGTTATGGATGCTGCCATCAAGGTCACAAAGGACGAAGATTTAGTCAATTCTGTCGAAGGTCTCGAGTGCATCATGCTGGAGGCCACATATCAAAACTATGCTGGAAACCTCCACCAAGCGTGGATGGCAGTGCGAAGAGCAACCACGATTGCGCAGGTACTAGGACTGCATCGCGGCATTAGTTCACCAAACTTGAAATTCATCGAGACCACGAAGCAACCACTGTTGGATGCTAAACAGGCTTGCTTGCAAATAGTCCGGATGGAGTGTTATCTCGGCCTCATGTTGGGTTTACCAAGAAGCAGCCTCGAGGCGCCATCACGCAAAGTTGAAGAACTAGAGGCAGGCGAGCGTCTGCAGTACAGCCACCTCATTGTAGCTGACCGTATTCTGAAGCGATCGACTCGTCTCAGCCTATTGGAAACTCAAGAATTGGATTCGCTACTGGAGACAGCAGCAGGCAGTGTGCCGGCTCAGTGGTGGCTGGTGCCTGATTTGTCAACAAGCAACAGGACTGCCAATGACATCTTCCAGGATATGAGTCGTCTCAATGACCAGCTCGCGCATTTCCACCTGTTGATCAGGGTGCATCTACCATATCTGATGCGATGCACATTCGAGAACAGTCATGATTACAGCAGGATGACGGCGTTGAATGCTAGCCGTGATACGCTGATTCGTTATGTCGCGTTCCGCGAGAAGAATGCGGCGGATTTTTATTGTCGTGGGACCGACTTCGTGTGCTTCGTGGCGGCGACGGTACTGAGCCTCGGTTATATCGAATGCGCAAGGCTGAGATATTCGGGTTATGCTCACGGGGCTTTTGGCCTTCTCGTCCACTCACGTCCAAGCGATCGCGGGCTTTTGGAGCGAACGCGTGCTGTTGTTCGAGGCACATGTCAGGGCGATGATGATAGCATCACTCGGCAGATAGTGTTTGTGCTTGAGCAGCTCTTGAGGATAGAAGAGAGGGCGGCGAGCGGAGTAAGGTACCGTGTTCGAGCGAGCGACAATGATGGTGGACAGGCGGCGTACCACAGTGAAGTGACAGGCGACGGTGGCTTGCACCTTCACATTCCAGCATTCGGTAACGTGGATTTTGGTGTCGAAGGACCTGCGGTAGTCGTGTCTCAGGCGCCTGCGCTGCTCGATGTGGGCGTGTACGGAGGTCATGGTACGGGCGATGGGGATAACGGCGGGGAGTGGGATATGCAAGGCATTGATCTGGCACTGTTTGAGGACTTGTTCGGTGGCAGCGACCCAAACATAGTCAATTGACGATGCTGAGGTCGTTGCAATGTGGATAGATGATGAAAGACTTGGTTGTGACAGCCGTCGGGACCGACAGCCCAAGACTTTCGGGACCGAGCTCTCTTCAGTGGCTCCTGCCCACGCCCAACTTCCTTCCTCCATCGCCATGCTGCTTTTAAGAATTTCCTTCATCGTATCGTAGCTTCCATCTTAACCCATGAAACATTTGTAATGTCCTTGTCCGACGCAGAGATGCGGGTCGCAAGCCCGTTCCAGCATGCAGCCGCTGCTCGTGAGCAGCCCTCCTCACGTTCAAAATCCACCATCACCCGTGGCCACAGTTGCATCGCCTGTGCTCATCGGAAGGTGCGCTGTGATGGCCAAAGGCCGTGTTCAACCTGTCGAAAGTCCAACACTCAATGTCTTTCAAAGCCTGTGCAACCTGCCCGAGCCAGGCGCGCTAGAAGACCTCGAGACTCCATCGCCATGCTAAGTACTACCCCTAGCAGCCCGCAAATTGTCGAATCCAATGTTTCCGAGCACGTGAACGAGCGAGGTCACTCGCGCTATGTCGAAAAGTGCCTTTCTCCCTATCTTCTTGCTGACTCTAGACTGATACATCCGNNCAGTGTCATGTGGGTTGGTGTAGGCAAAGAAGTATTGTCNTTTTCTCTCCTCCCCTCAAGGCTTTGCTTACGCTTCATGCAGCTTACTGACCAGGATGAACTGGATCCGGACGTCGATCTTTCCCCTGGCCCAAGTCCAAGTTCGCTACTCGGCGAAGGGCTCATCTTTGGGCCATCTGTCGTCAATCTCTCTGATCGACATCCTAGTCCAAGCCGCATTATCTGGCTTTGGTCGACTTATCTCGAGAACGTGAATCTTCTGGTCAAGATACTACATGTTCCGACTGTCCAGCCTCTAATCCTGAATATGGCATCTGACCCAAGTAGACCGAAAACAAAAGAAGCCCTTCTGTTCTCCATATATTTAGCCGCTATTTGCTCTATACCTCAATGCGATCAAGCTNNGGAAGCCGAAAGGATCATGGGTCAGCCGATCAGTGAATCGATTGTGTTGTACACTGGACTGGCCCAGCAAGCTCTGATCAATGCACGCTTTCTGCAAACCCCCAACTTCNNCCTCACACTTCAGGCCCTGGCACTCTTTCTAGTCGCGCAGCGAGCTCGAATCGATCCTCAAACAATGTGGCAATTGACTGGCGTGGCTATCCGTAGCGCCCAGCAGCTGGGATACCATCGAGAGAAAGCACTTCGAAGCTCATCTGTATCTGTGTTCCAAGCCGAAATGCGTCGACGCTTATGGTGGGAGTTGACGTTTCTCGAAAGCTTTGCTGCTAAACAATGTGGCGTCACCTCGATGATCTCTTCTCGATCCCTCTGGGATACCGATCGACCCCTAAACGTCAACGACTCAGCTCTCCACCCGGAAATGCAAGATATTCCTAGAGACGCCCCTGGCATAACGGAAATGAGCTTTTGCAGTGCTCGATTCGAGATCGGAGTGTTAACCATGGCATACACTTATCCTGAAAAGTCGCTGCAAGATACTCGTGATGTAGACGCCGCTATCGAAGAATTACAGCAGCGTCTTAAAAATAGGCTCTTGAAGTATTGCGACCCTTCCATCCCAATGCACAAACTGTTGCAGTTGTTTTGCAAAGGCGCTATTGCACGCATCAGATTGACGGTACGACGACACCAGATGTTTTCCAAGTCTGGGTTATCTCTAGATCAACGAGACAGTACTTTTTTGCTTTGTCTGCAATTGGCCGAAGCTCCCAACAGCTTTGCGACAGATAAGACGATACAGAAATATCTCTGGCAGGCCAATGCTTTCTTTCCAATAGACGCATTCATGTTCTTGCTGGGAGAAATCGCTTATCGGACCATCGAGCAACCTCTTCCAGTGCCATTGAAGACTGTATGGACGGAGATAGAGAAGGCATACGAGCATCAACCACGTCTCTTATACGACGAAAGTAATGCCATTTATAGTGCGGTCAGGAACCTGTCTCTCAAGGCCTGGGAGAAGTCCAGTGGTCAAAATGCTGAGCAAGCTACACCTCACTTCATACGTATTCTCCAGGCGAGGCTACCTACTACTAGCACTTCTAGAGAAGCGGCGCATACAACTGCTCAAAACGTGCCCACGGAAGACGAAACCGACACGAACACCTTTGATGGAAGCGAACTTAACTTTGATCTAGACAGCTTGGACCCGAGCTGGAGTAAGATAGCTATTCCAAACGATCCAGAATTCTGGGAGTACTGGCAGCAGTTTGCTGCGGATATGCCTGGATTGTCTACCACTTGAGTAGTGGCACGGGACATGTGGACCATGCAGATACATCGACTCAATCGAGTCCGGTACGTTGAGAGAAGACTTGAAGATTCAGCTCTTGAAGTAAGCAATTCGCATAATGTTTCTCGATGCCAGAGCCCTTCTCAAGGGTGGAGCCTTCCTACGGCATGCTCTACCGGCCTCACTGGCAATCGACTTCTGAAAGTTTTCCATATAAACATAGTAGATCCAGGACTCACAAGCAGCAAGTGTGTTTCATGTTACATCCGTGAATTTATTTGGACATAGCAAGCAACTTCTATTTTTGGAAGATTTTCGAGGAAAGTGCCGGCACCGGCACTTACAGAATATCAACCTCAAACATCAATATCGCTTGCACAGTCGGTCAGTCCTGATAAGATATTTCCTCATTAAATTCAAGCAGTTGAGATTTCTGTCATGGGAATATCACGCTATCTTCCCTGACTCGATGGGGCAAAGCACCGCTTGATCTATCTAATCGCGACACTGAGTAGCCGCATACTCTCGGTCTTACCGAGTGCCAGGGCGATCTCCTCGGATCTCACTGACCTTTCGAGCTGGCTGCGAACGAATGCATACTCAACATGCGTCGAAAAAGTTATATGCAGTCATTTTTAGTAGCCTGGCGTTATGGCTGCAGATGCGCGAATGCTTGTATTGTGGATAGCTAGCCATGGCAGTGGATTCTTCGACTTGTACATTGCACATATAAAGAGGTTCTGGTCCTGGAATCTATCGACCAATCTCTTGCAGGCTCTTTCATCATGATTTTCACAACACAAGTATGGGCTCTGCTGGGCCTTTTCGGTGCTTTGGCCCATGCAGCAAGCTATCGTACTGTCGGCTCGTCGGGATGCGCTGCGCAGATGGCCTTCGTGCCTCCAAACACTGACACAGTAGTGTTCCTAGACAAGTATGTCCTCGGTTGTGTTAGTAGATCGGACCATGCTAATGAAGCANNTAGTTATCACCGCAATTTTGGTGGCCCAGGAGTGAATCTCCAGACTGGCGCTCATTCTCCACACCCATTCATGCAAGACGACGACTCGGGACTGTTCGTCTTTGGTGTTGAATATGAGTGGCGTACTAATAATCTCCGCAAGTTGACTCCAAAATCCAACACCTTCTGTGCTGCAGGCGCTTTCATGCCAGATGGTACTATGGTCAACGTTGCAGGTGCGGAACTCTACTCCGGGGATGCCAAAACAACACATCTTCAAGATGGCCGTCAGACTGTGCGAAGATATGCACCGGGCCCTTGCGAGATAGATGGGTGCACCATGGATTTCAAAGTTAATATCGACGAGCTGCAGTCTCGAAGATGGTACCCAACCTCTATCACTATGACAAATGGAGACATCCTTGTCGTTGGTGGCTCAGACGTTGGTCTTCTAGTCACCAATGAGGCTTCAATCAACAACCCCACCTACGAACTTATCAAGGCCGATGGCAGCAAGGCACCACCTCAGAAAAACTTGACCATCTTGGAGTTTGGCGCCGAGGACAACGAGAACGCTGACATGTCTTTCAACCTCTATCCTATCCGTATGTATAGGTGTCCGAAACAGATTGAACTCTACTAACTCTATCTCNNAGTCCAATTAATCCCGAATGCCGAGGGTGCCGACCACATCTTCACGCTTGCTGGAAATCGCGCTAACGTGTATGACTATCGCACCGATGAAGTACACAAGACTCTACCAGATATTCCCGGAGGCCCAAGAACTTTTCCAGGATCCGCTGCTGCTGTGATGCTGCCTTTGGGCGTAGGTGGGTACGCGCCTACCATCCTGGTGTGCGGTGGAAGCTCAGGAGACATTCCAAATCCCAAGGCCCTACCCGACTGCTACAGAATCAGACCAAATGACGATCATCCTATCTGGGAAGAGGATGATGCGTTGCCGAATGGCGGCCAGACAATGATCGAACCTATCCAACTCCCCGATGGCACGATTGTTATGATGAACGGTGCCCACAAAGGAAGTGCAGGAGGCTATCAAGCCGAAGGCCCTGCAATGCAAGCACTGATCTACGATGGCAACAAGCCTCCCGGCCAACGCTTCACCAAGTCTGCCACATCCCACATCCCTAGAATGTACCACTCAGTCGCTATTCTTCTTCCCTCAGGAGAGGTCCTTGTTGCTGGAAGCAATCCTGATGTCTTCTACAACCCCGTCGGCAAGGTCAAGCTAGCAAACAGGCAATACCCACATTTTGGCAACAACGGTCATACATCATACCTTAACCAACAACAATCGCCTGACTCAGCATATCCTACCGAGTATCGCGTCGAGATCTATTCACCGCCTTACATGGATCATGCCGATCAACGCCCTTTCATCACCGCCTACCCTACCTCTGTCAAGTACAACGAGAAGTTCCAGATTGCAGCTGAGGGAGCGGGAGAGGATGTTGTTGTTCGCCTCTCTTACTCTGGCTTCCATACCCATGGTGTTGATATGGGAGCGAGAATGGTTCAACTGGAAGCTACCTTGAGCCCTGATGGCGATGACATGATTGACGTTCTTGCTCCGTTCAACCCTACAATCATTCCGCCAGGTGTATACATGCTCTGGGTCATCGAGAAGGGTATTCCTTCAGAGGCTGTCTGGATGAAGTTGGAGCTTTGATTTGATTAGAGGAGGTGGGCTATTCTCTCTTGTGATATCTATTGTAATAATTTAATTTCATTTCTTCGACGAGCTCCAAAAGCAAGCACACCTCTGAGATATTGTCTGCGGTCTTTTTTCAGTATATCTTGTTGACATCTTGGACCTGAATCGTAGACGTCATACCTGAAATGTTGAAAACCCAGTCCAGTTCAGTAACTTGCGTAAGCTGAGCTTTTATCGTAGAAGTACTTGTAGAGCGGCCAGCGCGAATTTGAGCAACCCTAAAGCCACACAAACCTCTGCACAACTCCTCGCAACGACTCCATTAAAGATCCACGGCGTTACATCATCCTTAGTGACCAGAGTCGCAATAACTCTGAAGACTGCCAACAATAGTGCCGCTATGGCTGTAGCAGCTGATACATCGATTTCTCGCTCGTCGGCTTCGAGCCGCTCTTGTTCATCCTCCTCAAAGGGATCATGGAAGACTTGTATGAGCTTGATACTCATGATCACGATGGCTAAGCAGCAAGTCACAACAACTGTTATTGTGCAGGCCATGGTGGCGCCAGTCCGAGATATCGATTCGACGATGTCCATGACAAGCGTTTTGAGAGAGGGAAGTCGATGCAATAACTTGCGTAGTGTATACGTGGGTGTTGAGTTCGGGTTATTGACTGGAGTGTAGGGGAAATGGAGAAGAGAGAGAAATCCGGGTAGTGCGAAGACTTTATAGACGATTGGTCGCTGAGGCAGTATGAGTCAATTTAGCAAATTCAAGTCACACCAACTTACTATGTACCCAGGCACAGCCGCCAGCGTAAGAATGTATAGAAGGTCCACGGAGAGTCTCGACCATGATTTACATTCGATGCTGCGGGCCTTCTCGAACATGTTATTGTACAGGGCGAACTCTAGTTCAAGATTTATCGCGGTTTGCAGCACTGCTGTCCTATCACTGTCAGCTAAGCACGTATAACGGACCAAAATTCTGGCAGAGATCATCTTCCAAGAAAGCAGAAGTGATTGGAGCTCTCAATATGATATTGAGTTGCTTTGAACGTTGGTGAGTCTTCGTTCGCCTGTCGAGACAAGTGAACAAAGCAAACGCACAAAAGGCAGGCGCAACTCTGGCGCCGCCAAGGTAATTGGATCCCTACTGAACTCGTAGTGAAGGCGGATCAAGGACCGAATTCACTTTTATTTGTTGTTTCGAGTTGCCGCACAGAGATCAAGCGACACTCGCCGATCAAACACACCAACTCTCACAACACAACTCTTGCAATGATTCCTCACAAACCACAAGTCATGGCTAACCGTACTCCTCTTTGTGGTTACTATCACCGCGACCAATGTCCAAGAGGCTCACAGTGCGATCGCTTACACCCAGCCAATTTGGACCCCACTACACCCAAGGAGATCGACTACCAAGTGTGCAACGAGGTCGGTCAAGGATGCACACGCTGCTTCCAAGCCGGATACCCAGTAAGTTAGTGCTACTTTCCATTCTCTGCATGTGCTAACATGGTGCAGTGTGACAAGAAGAATCGTGATCACAATGATCCCATGGATCCGTGCTCCGAGTGTCGCCATTTTGGTGGATCTGGATGCAAATGTATCCTTGCTCAGAATACAACCCAGAATGATATGTTATATCCCATCATGCTCAACGGCGCTACTCGTGAGCCCGAGTACAGTCTTCCCAAATTCAAGGGCAGAGAGGAGCCGAGATCGGACGGTAAGGTCCCGAATCCGATGCCTGCGAACGAGATCAAGCCCGACTGGGCTGGCGCCTCCAAGGACGAACTACTTGCAACACCAGATGTGCTGCCTCCCCAAGTTCGCCGCCGCCCTAGAGCCTATCTCGTTCCTCCACGTGAGACCCACACGAAGAAAAAGAATCGTGATTGGCGCGCTCGTCATCCTCCTGGTGACATGTCCTTTGTTTCCTCGCCAGGACCAATGCAGCACACGGTGATGTGTGCGCCGCAACCATCAGCAAATCGCTTCCAGGGCCCCATCATCTCGACCACCATACATTGGCCGACGAGCCAACCCATGCCACTGTATTTCTCCAGTCACACGGTCTCAAGTCCTAGCATGCATTATGCGAGCTATCCCATGGCCCAAGCCATGGCTCCTGCAGTAGGTTGCTTACAATTCCTGTCCAAAAGCTATGATACTGATCGATTAGCANNTTGGGCACCTCAACCCATGGCACAACGTATGGCTCCTTTGCCCGTCAACCGTGTGCCTGGCACACGTCAGGTGGGCTCTCACTCGCTTCAGGGCATGTCTCAGACGGTTAGTCGCCCCGATCAGCTTAAGAAAGCTTTTGCTAACGATTGGTAGCGTGTGTCTCGTCCCTCGATCCGTCCTAGACCAACAATGCCTGCTCCAACTGTATCCACTGCAAACACGCGTCGTGCAGACTACGACTCCTCATCCGACATCGTTGAATCTCGACCATCTAAGAAGTCTCGCACAGAGACTACCGCAACAACCACTAGAGTCGAAGAATGGGCACAAGACGTTGCCAACATCAACGACAACATTGATACCAAGAGTGAGTTCTCAGTGTCCACCATGTGGCGCCCATAAGGGAGGATGGTATCAAAAATGTTTCTTTTCTTTTACTACGACCTGCAACATCGTCCTCGGCTTTCTTTCTTCATCCGTTGCACCAGCTCGCATTTCTGGCTCTTCTCATAAATTCCCGCAGCTTCGTCTTTTCTGTTTCGGTGGCGCATGATAGCTTGGTGTCGATGTTCATAGCTCTCGAAATTGACGGCTTCTTCTCCTGTTGCTTGATGACCTGAAAGTCAGCTTCAGCTTCAACAGAGCATCCAGTGATATTGTGTCTTACTATCACCTGTTGTTGATGAGCATGATACTGTTTGAACCTGACATGGCAACAGTTCAAGCAGAAATTTGGCCGGCGACACGCGAGTTTGTTTGACAGCGGCCAGTCCTTGCGTAGCACATATATCATTCCGGTTTGGATTCAGAACTCAGGAATTACTCAGTTCGCAACCAGTTTACGAACTGCAGTAAGGGCTAATCTGAGCATGCCCAAAGCAAGGAAAGCCTCGAAAATCCCCTTGAGTACCGGAACACAAAGATCCCACCACCACAAGCCGGCAGGATTAAACGAAGATTTTGCTAGTGTCTGCTCAAGAGTGACACAGAAAGAGCACAAGAACATTGCGATGAGACCCGAGAGTAGTTTCTCAGATTTCTTCCGGGATTCCTGCAGGGACTGTTTGCTTGGTTTTTCTAGAGAGTATGATGCTTCTTGGTCGTCGGATACAATCCCAAGACTGGCGATCATGTTGTATAGAATGACGCCGAAGGGCTCGGCAAGCTTGACACCGATAATTCAGGTCACGACAATGAGAGCGATGATGGCAATCAGTGCCGAGGCAATGGCTGCGGCCGTGTAAATAGCGGACATGAGTGCATCCATGTTGACTTTGTCGAATAGGTCCCGATGATAGTGGATAGTTGATGGATGATGGATGTATGCTGGCGGTCGCGGAGCATATTGTTATCTGTCGAGAAGCTGAGTGACGATCGATACGGCGAGGTCCTATAAACTTATAGTTGCAAAGCATGTTGGGTTCGGCCATTCTTGTATTGCTAGTACAGTAAGCGCGGCCTTACTGTCAATCAGTGCGGCCGTGAATCCTTCAGATCATCATTACTACAAGTTGCCAAGAAAAGTATTCCGCCGTGGACCCGCAGCATCGTCACGCCAGACAGAGGCAGTGCCTATTGTTTGCGGCATCACTATCCTTTGGACAACGAGGCAGATCGAAGCGAGTAGTATTTGGTGCAAATACGAGGAAGAATCGAGGAGAGTTGGAGACGAGAGGGAGGTGCGGTTGGCGGTCGCCGAGAAACTTCCGACGTCACCACCAGCCGGTCCTACCACCTCTTGTAGACGATATCAACATGTTTATAATCATGAGAATGAAGTAGGTCATTTGGGACAGTCAAAACGATCAGGAATCTCAGGGAATCTGCTCCTATTACTGTCTCCGTATCTCTCAGAGAAGCGACGAGAGGAAGATACTTCTTTGTCGGCAAACGGCACATGAATACCTTATCGCGACTCATGCGTTTCTCTTGCCCTCATATACCCATCTGCCTGTCGCGATCAATTCTGACAGCACTCGAGACACCAATGACCTGCTCTACCGATTGGCTGGCTAGAATCATCACTGTATCGCTCTGTTCGAAGGCGACGTCCCGAGGCTCCTATCTTGGCGACTGCCTATCGTGGACACCGCAAATATTCGCCTTCTTGAGGGAAGCAGCCAGGATGATATATAGTTTGGCGACTGCTTGAAAAACCAAGCTCAATTTATCACAACTTCCAAAAGTATTTTCTGGACATCAACACTATGCGGATTCCGGTCATCGATTTTTCGGCTTTCCTGGATGCATCTAGCAGTAACGATGCAAAGCTCGAAACAGCCAAGAAGCTCGATAAAGCATGTCGCGAAGTTGGTTTCTTTTACCTCTCCGGTCATGGCATTGATCCGGCACTATTCACTGAAATGCTGTCAAATGCCAAACAATTCTTTACTACTGCTTCTATCGAGGANAAGGATGAAATCAAAGTAAAACCAAGCGGCCAAGGGATCGGTGATGATAGCAGAGGCTACAGATTGGTNGAAAGGGCTGACGCAAGCTACGAAGTAGGCTTGAGCCAAACGTACCAACCAAATCCTGATTTGATGATTTTTGCANNGGCTGTTGATTTTCTTCGCGAACGCGCAACAAAAGGACCACCATACACGAAAGGTCTTGGTCGTAACCAGTGGCCTAGAAAGCCAGCATCTCTGCGTCCGATCGCCGAAGAGTACACTACACGTCTCGTAGCCCTTGGTGTCGCAATCATGAAAGCTTTTGCCTTGGCTTTGAATGTGCCCGAAGAAGTATTTTCCAGCAGAGTTGACGAATCATTCTGGCAACTGCGTTTGGCTGCGTATCCTGGAGTTTCAAAAGAACCGGACCAGTCAAAGAGCGGACTATACCAGCACAGCGACTTCGGGATCCTTACGTTTCTTTTGACTGACGAGCATAAAGGCTCTTTGAAAGTTCTCGCCCCTAATGGAGAAGACTGGATATCTGCAGATCCTGTTCCAGTACACTAATTCCATCATACCGCTATGCTATTATCTTGCTGACTCTTTCAGAATGCCCTCATATGTAATATTGGCGACATGCTTTCTGTCTGGACCGATAGCATCTACAAGTCAACACAACACAAAGTACTGCACGTATCGCAAGACATGCGCATATCCATTCCATTCTTCTTCGATCCGAACTGGGATGCTAGGATCGAGCCTGTATTGGGAAATGCCGAGAAAAAGTCGAAAGGAGATGGTGTGAACTACAAGGACATATTCACAGGTGCAATCAAATATCCTTACTGAGCTCACAAAGTAGTAAGAGATTTGGAAACAGAGAGTTGATAGTAAAGCTTTGTTGTGTTATAATCATTCGAAGCTCCCACACATGGAACATGTGCTGCTAACTCAAGCCAGCCAAAATGCGGCGCTCAGAGCTACTATCATCGCGGGCATCAGACTTCCCGTTAAACTTCCTGCTGCTCCAGAGGCCGCGGGACTCTTCTTGTTTAGATGGTCGGTCTTGACACGAAGACAAACAGGATAAGTATTCTTTCCAGAGAAGACCACGACATGGAGACGCTCGGACTCCCTTTCGAAAGCAGTACCATTCCCAGCTGGGTATACTTGAGATGACCACTGGTAGAAATTGAATGGAGACATTTGTACTGCAGGTTCGGATGAGTTTTGAGGTGAATCCCAATTGAGTAATGCTGNTTATCAACGTAAGTCAATGGTGCAAGAAAAGAGCTCAGAAAGCAAGAACTCACAACCGCTTCCAATGCCTCCATCGCCAAATTTCCCAGAGCAGCTTTGGGGTATGTTGGGCGAGCAATCGACGCCGAGATCATAGCCCGATTGCTTCAGATCGTTCACACAATCTTNTCCAAGGGCTCCTGTGCAATCCCCATCGTCTTTCTCATCATATCCGTTATTAGCAGATGCTGATAACAGACCAAGAGGGAACGAGGCACAAAGACGAGGCTTTTGTCCTTCACCGACAGACTCCGCGGCAGCGATGGTATCGTTCAGATCGGTTGAACCTGACCATTCGAGGGCATAGAAAGATGCTGCAATACGTGGATCCTGTACGCTTGTATTGGTGTCTGGCGTGAACTCTGCAACGTTGACGCGGAACGTGAAGTTCCTGTCACCCATCTGGAACGGGACTGATTTTGTGATGTTGGGATTTCGATTTGCATCTACAAAGGCAGTATCGTTAGAGCTGCCGAATGCACTTCCAGGACCTGGAGAGGCAGCGGATGCAAAGGCAATGCCTGAGACGAGCAGTAGTGTATGTCTGAGCATGTTGTTGCAATATGATGTGTTGGTTGTGAACGTGCTTGAGGAATATGTCAATGTTAAGTTGCTTGCCAGATGGACTATATTTATGATAACGAATATTACCAACCATGTGGAAAAATAGGCTACCAAGCGCCTCTTGCGCATTCTTCAGGATCATGCGCACTCTATTCTTACAATCCTGACCGAGCATACTGCGCAGGGATTCGCTACCAATTGAGGATTCTCCAATGTCTGAATCCTCTGATCAACAGCACGTCACGCGATACTACAACTTCACGAATAATTCTTTAGGATCGTCTTCAGTACCGGTGAAGCATAGCCACGTTTACGGTCATAGAGTTGGAAGGCTGAGGAGAAGGAAGAAATATGACATAAAGATCGTTGTTACCAAGACGCCAAGCAAAGCCACCAACAGCCGAGGTTCCGCCTTGAACGAGACCAGGACCTCTTTTGCATCTCGGGAATAACTTCCACAATTTGATTGATTATTTCCTTGATCCGATGCTTGCCCTATGCTTACGTGGGTTAGACTCTGAGAGAAGCGTCCCAATCACCTTTAGGCGTCTCCTTCCACTGCTTGGTGTCTGGATCAAGCAGTTTCTGAGCAACCATCCATTCTTCCTTGATGATACGCGCCTTTTTCTCATCGCGAGATACGATCTTCGCTTCGAAGGGTGCAGGTCTAGCTGCGAGCCCAACAATCAAGTCATCCGGGTTGGGTAACATCTCTTGACCTTGAGCATCCTTCTTTGGCGTGATCGAGAACGACCACAATATTCCAGTAATACCCAGGAAGAGGCTTCGATTGGCGACATGCATACCAGGACAGATACGTCGGCCAGCTCCAAATCCAACAGTGTCTCTTTTGCTTGGATCCGGATGAGCTGCCATTTCTGCCATAGAAACATCGTCACTGTCTTTGGTAAAGCGATCGGGATTGAAGCGACGTGGTTCTGCGTATCGGTCTGGGTCTGTCATGATTGCCCACGCATTCAAGATGACTGGTGCTCCCTTCGGAATCTTGTATCCCATATACTCATCATCTTGGGTGCACGCGTGAGGCACAGCGCCCAAGGGGCCGACCGGAAACCATCGTACGAGCTCTTTCACACATCGTCTAATGTAAGGCAAGTTGGCCGCATCGGCCATAACTGGCAGACGGTCAGAACCTATGACACGATCGATCTCTTCTTGCGCCTTTGCTTGGATCTCGGGGAACAACACCATGGCCTGGATGAAAGCATACAAGGTTGACGACGTGGTTTCCATGCCGCCTTCAAAGATGTTGCCCACAGCATAAGCAGCTTCGACGTCCGTGATGCCGTCCTTCTCCTGCGCTCTGGCAAGCCCGATACTCATGCAGAAGCCAAGAGTTCCATCTTTGATGTTTTCCTTGACAGCGTACCAATTTTCCATATGTACTTCATGGCCCATCTTCAACGCACGATGGACCTTGTCTTTGACAGGAAGAAGGGCATCAGGCAGAAATCTCAGGATCGGGAAGGCATCAAGCAAAGCAGCGGCGGTCGTCCCAAGAGCATTTTGCAGAGCAGCCAGCTCGTGATCAAGCTTGTGGATCCTGGGATCGGTGGTCGAAGAAGCTCTCCAACCATACAACAGTGTAGCGGTGAGGGATGTCGTGTATCGTTGGAGACTCGAGAAGACGTTGTCGGGATTCGTAAGTATCTCGTCCAACATTTGCTTCCGTTCCATCTCTTGGTAAGGATCATAGTTCTTTGTTGCCTTGATACTGAGAAGTGAGTGGGTCACTTTGCGCAATTTGCGCCACAAAGCAGTATAGGNGCTGCCGATACGAGTGAGTAGAGGTCACTTCTCGTGATGATATCGACTTACCATGAACACAATTCGGAGTTTGCTGTCAGGGTAGTATCGTGCTGCATATGCTTCGGGACGATCTGAATAGATGGCACTGCGCTTATCCAACAGCTCTTTGACGACCTCTACACTGTTTAAGACGATCATTGGTTGACTGCCAACCATGATACTGTAGATGGGCCCATACTCCCTGGCCCATTTGGTGAATTTAAGGTATTCGTTTTTNNGCGAGGGATCTTGTTCAATGTCAGGTTTGTATTTTTCTGGAAGCTTAGCACGTACCTGATGCAGGTTACCAAGAATTGGCAAAGTTGGAGGACCTGGTGGATAACCCTTTGGCCTGGAGCCCAGACCTGATAACAGATATACTCCGAGTAAAAGGACCAAACCGATAATAGAGAGAGTGTATGTCGAGAGCATCTTTAGTGGTTGATGGAATAGGTGAATTGATCTTGCAGTTGAGACAGGTTGGGAATAGCATCTTTGTTATAAGCTGGTGGGCTTTGTTGTGCATGCCTGGATATATTGCAGCGACTGCCCCGCACTGTATATCACCTATTCTCTCATGGGCAGGTGCAGCGAGCGGTCGTGCCTAAGAGAAATCAATTCGTCGAGAAGACATGCAGCTTACAAGCTGTGTGTTTCATGTACGGAGGTGCATCCAGTCATTGGTCACACCAAGACATGCAGGTATATGCATCTACGCGATACCAATAAACCAAACACTTGGAAGATATTCTTGGGCATAGATGCATGGCCTGATGCCTTAGACAGCTTGCCTGGATGACTCTCAGTGAACTGGTCCTTTCGTCAAGGCCCCGCCACGGATAAGTCAGCCTAGATTGAAACTTGCCGAACTTCTGAGGCTAGGACAGCTCAGGTACTCGAAGCGAAGTCGCGATTCCCAGATGATGGCCATCGATAACAAACTCTTTCGATAGACGAGGTTGATTTTACTCCTTCCATTCGTCTCTTCCCAACCTTACGATATCTGATTGTTCCAAGACCCAGAACTTCTCTGGAGCTTTCCCCTCTTCTACCATTCTGACAGCAGCTACTGCTGCTCTTCCAATAGTCGTCTGATCTTGCGCNNTGCACGATATCGTTAGTCCAATTCATGCCACGCCGGGACATGGATTCAACAAAGTAAAGTCACTCATACCCCATTTATCCCGGAAACCCTGTGAGATCTTCTTGAAGCCATCAAAGATATCCTCAAGCCATTTGTTCTTCGGGCTTTCCCTTCCCAGAATCATTCCAGGTCGCAAGATGATCGCGTTTTCAAAATCCAACTCCTTGATGGTATTCTCTACGCCCCTCTTCATCTTTGCATATGGTGTCAAGGCAAAAGGACTAAGTGATCCACTTGTTCCTGCGCTCGAGCAATACACATACGTCTTGATGCCTGCTGCCTTTGCAGCTTTTGCATNTTCGACGCATAGATCATGGTCAATGGCCCATTGTGCGGCGATGGACCCAGCACTGGCCATGGTAGTTCCGACCGCGTTAAAGACTACTGAAGGAGCAGGAGAGAGTGTAGAAATCGTAGGGCCCCATTTTGCAGTGTCAGTTTCGATGACAGTCTTCAGTTTTGGAAATTGAGTCTGAGTTTGAGGCGCGCGACGAGAGATGGTCGTGAGAGATGTGCAAGTATGGGATGAGAGAAGCGTGGCCAGGATCTGTGAGCCAACTGCGCCGGTTGGACCGAAAACCAGGGCTGTAGTCATCGGACTGGAGACCGCCAGACGTGGGGATGAGTGTACAAAGGTCACACCGAAAAATGAAACAACAATTTGAAGGATCACGGAGCGGCTAGTACTTACGTCCAGGGTCACATCCACCACCATGAGCTAGGAATACACCGGCCACACGTCCTCACTGTTCAATAAGCAGTCGAATTATGCCTTTTCGGTAGCACAATGCTTGTAAGAGAAAAGCAGTATTAATGAAGGAATGTTAATACACTCGGAAAAACCTGAGTTGATAGAGAAGGAACGAAATCAAATTGTCATAAAAGTCATGCTCGAGTAGCCATCTCATGCCTCGCTCTACTGCCTAGCAGTCGCGGACCAAGCTCTGAACTCCCCTTTCGAAGGGTTTACTTCTTCTGGTTCTGACTCTTTGCGCCAGTAACATCGTTGATGCTGCCACCGGCACCCTTGGCTGTGTTCTCGAGCCCGGATGAAGCATCAGAAAGTGTCTTTCCAACACCGCGTCCGACGTTGCCAACGACACCTCCGACGGTGTTGACGGTGCCTAACAAGAATTAATTAGTCGGTTGTCATTATAAATTGTGGGTATATAGAGATATACCTGATGCTACACCTCCTACACCAGAAGCTAAACCGCCAGCAGCATTGCTGAGGCCTCCAAAGAAACCGCCGCCTTGCTGGGGCTGTTGATTGTTGTTGTCCGACATGTTTGGAAGTTTTTGTTTAGAGTTCGGGGTTTGAGTTTGGTATGGTTGTGGATGGTCCGAAGATTGCTCTTGACGTATGTTTTTCTCGATGATTCAGATAAACTTGAGACGAAGAAAGAAGATCGAGGTTCAGAAGCAGGCAGCTCAGCTCTTTTGTATCTTGGGAAGTCAAGGGTGTGAACACATAAAGGTGGATACACGAGGTGAGCAATGACGTCTTTTTTCTGTGAGCTGTTTACCAATCGCGGGGTTTGTTTGTCCAGATGCGGTTCGAAGACAGGGATGTCTCGACGACGAGTGGCATGCTCATCATGCACGAGCGGCACAAGGAAGACAGAGAATGAGAGGGTGGCTTTCAAACGGTGGCACCTCTGGTCTCACAGTTCCTACCAATGTGACGAAGCGAATCACATTCTGACTCTCAAAAGCGGCTCTCATAAATAAAGAAACAGTACGAGGTGGACATGGTAATCAAAATTCGTTCAATTCGTAGTGCACTAGGGATATACATGAATATTCTTCCTTCTCTAAGTGTGAGATACTTCATCTTTTCTGTTCAATCGGCCAAACTCCTTAGGCGAAGATGGGGATGTTGAGGCCGTAGTTGACAGGGTCGTTGAAGCGGAGACCTCTGTCAAGCTCGCTGATGGCCTTGATCTCATCCTCAGCAAGGTCGAAGCTGCAGACGTCGAGGTTCTGTGCAAGACGGTCCTTGTTGTTGGACTTGGGGATGACTGCAACACCACGCTGAGTGGCCCATCTCAACAAGACCTGACCAGCAGACTTGTTGTGCTTGTCGGCAATCTTCTTGACAACCTCGTTGTCGAAGAGGAGAGNGGTGTCGTGTGCTCTCTGCATCTTCAACTCGACGAAGGAAGCGGGACCGAAGGATGAGTAGGCAGTGACGTGAATGTTGTTCTCCTGGCAAAGCTTGACGAGACCCTCCTGGGTGAGGTAAGGGTGGTGCTCAATCTGGAGAGTGGCGGGGGTGATTCTGGCGTAGCGGAGGACGTCGAGCATGAGGGCACCGTTGTAGTTGGAAACACCAATGCTCTTGGCAAGGCCCTCATCGACCAACTCCTCCATAGCCTTGTAGGTCTCGGAGAGAGGAGTCTTGGAGAAGGAGATCTTGTCGTTCTCGTCGGACCAGCCGGGAGGGTAGCGAACACTGGGGTCGACATACTTCAGAGCGACGGGGAAGTGGATGATGTACAGGTCGAAGTAGTCAATGCCCAAGTCTGCGAGTTGCTTCTTGGCAATGGGCTTGACCTTGTCGGCGTCGTGGAAAGAGTTCCAGAGCTTGGAAACAAGGAAGAGCTCCTCACGCTTGACAAGTCCGTCCTTGATGGCACGGGCGACACCCTGGCCAACCTCCTTCTCGTTGCCGTAGTCGCAGGCACCGTCAAAGAGTCTGTAGCCAACCTTGATGGCGTTGTAGACAGTGTCAGCGCAAGTGTCGTTGTCGACCTTCCAGAGACCGAAACCAACGAGAGGCANTCTGTGCTGCAAGTCAGTATCTTGGAACCTTTGTCTTGCATGTCATTGGATCCTTACCTCGTGGCCGCTGTTGAGCTTAACAGTAGGAGCAGAAGGCATTTTGGAAGAGTAGTGGCGGAATGTGACGGGTTCAATCTTTTGTAACAAGTAAAAGCAGGTCTTGCAATGGCCGAGTAACGTAGGGAGGCTCTGGAGGCAAGCAAAGGGGAAGTTCTGTAGAAGGGAAAGAGAAGATCAGTGGTCTGAGGAGGGGCAGGCTTCACGTCTTAAATAATATGCCATGGACTTACCGCGCAAAAGGCTTGAGCACGTTCATCATGGTCTCTTGGGTGGCAGCCAACGGCGGCAGCGTACAGAATAGCTTTTAGTGTGGTGGACAAAGCGGACCTTCGACTTTAGGCGGGAGAGGCGAAGATGGAGTAGATGTCACTACGGTCACTTCGTGGAGAAACAAGAGACACAGAGAAGAATTTCGAGAAAGATTGCATGCACCTTGGTGGCGCCTGCCTACATTTTTGTGCCACGACCAACTGCCATGCTCCAATTCCGTCTCCTCTTCTGCCCGTTCGATCATCGAGAATCAAGACGGTGCATTCTTCCGCAGCACACAGCAAGCTCTACCCGACCAGCCTGGCGGAAACGTGTGAAGAGTGGATGCCCATGGAGGGCACTACGCAACCGAAAACAAAGTGGGGAGCCTCTTTTAGCCAAAAGTCGGCCCGCATCTCAGACATCCCCACGCGCTTCCCGGCACAATGATGTAGCGATAAGCTACCGCCCGGCTGAGGATAAACCTGTGGATAAATCAGGGGCACCCGCTGTAGCGCCGAGAATCGCGCCGTAGCGACCGGATTGCTATACGCAGCCTCATACTATTACCAGGGCTTCCAATGAGTACGCCGAGCAATTCATGTTCTTGTAGATGCACAAAAATGACAGAACCCTCGAGAATTGGGAACGAAAGTGTCCACGACAAAAAATCTGGTACTCGTTGATATCGAAAAGAACAGGACAACCTGGGGCGAAGAAATCTGGTATAAAAGCGACTTTTGTCTTTTTCCGTCCCAGCACAAACAACAAAAACTCGACGCCGACCGTATGGGAGATACAAGAAAAGTTGGAAGAGTACAGTAAAGGACGAAGGCAGTATCGCGAGCACGAGTCTGCTGAGGGGGTATGTGTCTACGACGAGAACTTCTTGGTGATCTTTGCCAGGACNNTAGGGATTGCGTGTCAGTCAAAGTATCCTTGTTTCGACAGATGGAGAGACGTACTGTGTAGTGCGACGACAGAGATGATGAAGCCGACAGAGAGGACAAGGACGACAAAGGNGTCGACCTTAAGACCTGGTGACTCGTCGGTGTAGAGTCTCAGCATAGTGCTGCTGCTGCCACCAGCACCTGCGGCGCGAGTGCTGCTGGGTCTGACATTGGCGGCGCGGTCGGCACGGTCAGCGGCTGCCTTTCTGCGGATAGCGGTTGCGGGACCGCCAGGGGCTCTGGGAGAAGCGGCGCGAGCAGTGGTAGAGCCAGTCGAGGCAGCGGCGTTGACGGGGGAAGAAGGGCGAGGAGAAGACTATCGAGCGCAGCTAGGTCAGATACCAGTACATATAGAAGAGTCGTGTGACGTTTTGAGAACAGTGTCGTAGGGTGCTGCCACAGTCTGATCGCTCGTCCCTAGTAGACCATCTTTTCACTGTATCTGTCCAGGAACGGCTCTCAAGCAACGTAGTAAAGCGACAGACGTGCGCAGGGTCTTCCTTCAGGGACACACGCAGACCGTGGTGTGGAGGAACGAATAGGGACAAGCAGGCGTACCATGATGGCTGGAATGTGACGGGACGTGGGTGATAGATCTGAGTCGCAATTGGGTCGCTACGAGATTTGAATACAGTGGAAAGCGATGATCGAGTCAGAACAGCAATTGATGGGCGAGAAGGGTGTCGTTGTGCTGTCGAAAGCTTCCTGAACTCTCTCCTCCATGCTCCAGTTGACACCAGCTGTTCGTCCAGCCAGCGCTGCGCACGGATGCAATTTGAGGTCTTGGCGGAAGCTCCTTCCCTTTGTCGACCGTGGACGCTCTCGCACGCTTCCTGGGGAATGGGAGACCCCTCGAGACGTTTCAGTNNCACAACAGAAATAGTAAAGGCANNTCACAATTAGCATCATGACCCAGCCAAACTTGCTTTTGAATACATTCCGAAAAGATGNACTCGCCTGCCCTTCCCGTTTTATGCGTCCATACAAATTACCCTTGATACACGCAATCACCCTCCAACCCCGTCGTACTAAATGAAGACTCCGACCATACCCCGTGACCTGACCACCCGAAAACCTCAAGGAAAAGCAAAGAACAAACATGTTCAGACGGCCAATCTCCAGCCGTCAGCCCATGTGCTAGCCCCTGTACCGACAACCACCGCCTATCGTTCGACGACATTTTGACATGACAAAAGAAAAAGAGATCAACCCCAAAGATAGCCGAAAGGAAAAGACCTTGTGCAGTTGCTGAGATCCACTGCAGAGATTTGGTCTCCCCTTTCGCCATCTTGAACTGATAAGAATGACCCAAACCCATAACTCGATGATGCACGAACGGGGGTATATGTTGTTTCCCATGAACCCACAAAAGACACCTTCTTGTCCAGTCTCGATGGTTCGTTGCCATGCTTGAANAACGATGACCCATGCAGTATGAGAGATGATGAANNAGAAAAAGAAACCATGAAACAAACTCCGGCATACCTCTTACAAATTGAGAGGATTGGTGATGTGTAGAAATGCGCGCATGGTCTAGCCCCAGACAGGAGCCTGGACACCAAGACTATTCTTAGCAGAGCCCCAGACTCCGCTGTTGGAGCCCCAGGAACCAAGGTTGACCCCTTTGTCAGCTACAGAGCCGTTGGGACCAGCGGAGGTGGAACGCTCGTTTCTTGCTTGCTCGTTGGCACTGAAGCCGAAGCTAAGGGGCGAAGGAAGGGGGGTGGTCGAGCGCTTGTTCAAACCGGTAGCTTGCGCAGCATTAGGTACTGGGCGAGTGCCGATAGGAGCGGCGGCGGCGGTTCCCTTCGAGCCCTGTCCGAGAGGAGGCGAGCCGCTGGGCGAAGATACCGAAGTGCGGCTTGATTGCTGAGTTTCACCCAGTAGACTGCCAAAAGTGGTAGGGTTAGACTGCGGGGATGAGGCGCTGTTAGGCGACTTGGGAAGCATGACACCATCACGAGGAGGCATCTGAACAGCAGGCTCGCCGTGGAAAGGGTCGAAAGCAAGAGGTGAAGCACCACCTCTGGAGGCTCCGGAGATGGAGCCTCTGACGTCCTGCGAGGCACGGCGAGCAGCAACGGCAGCAGCCTCCGAGGTGGGGTACAGTGCAGATTCGTTGCCGTAAAGAGCACGGTGCTGACGGGCAATGAGGTCGCGGCGTTCGTCTTCACTCATGGTTGTAGCAGCTGCAGGGCTCAGGGCGCGGTCGGGCTTGGGGCCTTGGGCGGAAGTGTCTGTAGGCGGGAATCAACTTGCCATTCTAATTGTCTAAGGCTGTTCTGCGATGCTCTTACTCCTGTTGTATTGCTGCTCCTGGTGATAGTTGCGGAGCTCCCTCTCTCTTTGCGCAGCCATCCTTCGCTTGGCCTGCATCATCTGCTCTGCCTCATTTTGACGTGGTGCGAAGCGCTGCGACGCATAGTAGCCCTGGAGGCCAGCCGCCGAGTTGGATCGCATACCGTCGTATTCACTGACCGAGTGGTGGCGTGCCTGTCCCGGACCGCCCATGCGACCATCGGCAGGAGAGTTAGACTTGGAACCAGCTACATCCACTTGTAAGTACTAGCTCGTTTGAAGAGATCCATAATACTCACCATAATCAGCGTTGAATCCGCGGCCCATCATCAAGGGAGGCATGGACTCGCGACGACTGTTGTACTGTGGTGCTCCGCCGGCCATCCACTTGCCGCTCTTGACGAGGTTGTCGGTGGCACGCTCAATCTCTGCGGAACTTTGTCAGCTGCTGCTCCCAATCTCTGCTCTTCCAGTCAATCCACCGAGGCCAATTCCTGTTATCCCAAGCACTCGTGCACCCCGTTTTCCTAACCAATTGGCCTCATGTCGAATTGCTGTCTCTTTCTCCTACGCACCTTCGAATTGGGAGCTGAATGCGGCCGACTCCTCTCTCGAAGCGGAAGCGGTTCNCTGTAGAATAATGTCTCAGATTTTTGGTGCCCGATCGACGAGTGGTTGCGTCTACTAACCGGATCTCGAGGGAGGGGCAGGTTGTTCCCACGAAGGCTGGCGACCAGGTGCAGGCCATGCACCGGTGGCAGCAGCGGCCTGGTTCTGCTCGTNAAAGGCGGACATGTCGACTATAACAATGTATGCGTCGGTCGAGGCTGGCTATGTACAAGAGTCCGGATCGTTATGCGGAGTGACTGCCGTTCGTAAAGACTCGAGAGGTGAGAAATTCGAAGGGGCAGAAAATGCGGACTGTTGAACGGCTACCGTTAGTTTGGTCAAGGGCCCAAGGAATGAGAAAAGGAGTGGCAGGAGGGCAATTGAAGACAGGCGACGACAAGGGCAGCAAGGAAGGACAGTGAGATGAACACCGACAGACCAGACAGAGTCGCAACAGCAGCAGCAGCAAACAGTAGGGACAACTATGGCGGGAGATTGAAAGCAAAGCCGCTGGTCTGCACAACGGTCCAACTTGGTGTCGACATGCTAAAAAGTCAAAGCCCGCGTGCACCGCTTCTAGCCCGAGCGTCGCCCTCTTTGATGGAAACCCTAAACAATTTTTTCCTCTTCTTCAATCACCAGAGACATGCGGAACAAGGGAGGACAGAACAGCAGGAAACAGTCGAGTACTCACCAGACGATGCGCAAAAGGAATGACTGAACTGGCCGTCGGGACTCGTCCTGGAGGGAAGCGGATCTCTAGGAATAGGGAGAAGAGAAACGTGGTTCAAGGCCAGAAAAGAGTGGGATTCAATCGAAAGAGGAGCATCAAAGCCTTTGCCGGGCGTGGGCTGGCGTTCGGCGGTGCGCTTGAGGGAGAAGGCACGGGCGGGTGAAGCCGATTCACCGAAATGAGAAGTTCTCCTTCGAGGAAGGAGGAATCAATTTGGTGTCCGGATCCTCCACCTTGGCCGCGTCCTCTCAACAAGACGCGATCGTGTTGATATCGATAGCTCTGTTGCTTTTAGATTCGTCTCGCATCTTGGTCCACTGCCTCTTCTGTCCCGGCACTCGTGATTGCTGTTACTGCTTCCCTCTACTATTGTACTCCAGTGCATTGAAGTCTTTCACAAGACTGGAGCGCCGAGGCTGTCAGACCAAGACAGAAAACAATTCAACCGAGCCACTTGATGCATGAGGCACACACCTTCTGCATCCACCCAGCGCGCGACTTTTGTTCCTCCGTGTCTTCTATTGGCCGCCGTGATGCATGATGATGCTTCACTACGATCATGACCCTCGAGTGTCACGTTTTCAAGTTCTGTCGTCGACGAGAGATCCAACGTGATGGATTCACGATTGAGAGACGCTTTGTCCGTCTGTAGCTCCACAACGATAGTGGAGGCTCTCGCTAACCAACTCCAAAATGTCTCTGTCCGTGATCACGAACCCTATCTCGTTATATTGATCGTTCGATGCCCCAACTCTTGATGCTCGTCCGTGTTTTGTCAGTCCACGCTCGATGTGCACGCGATTCAATACATGACGCGAAGGATTACACGGGTAGACGAGCATAGGTAGCGAACCGCTCGCGACGAGGGGTTCGTCTGCAGCCCATCAATTGCTCTACCACGCGGTCATCCCCGCTCTGTACGGCGAGTCCACGCTTTTGGCGGCCAACGCGGCACGCAATCTTCGCTCCTACCCCACACTCGGACCCGATGCTCATTCCGACCTTTTCCAATGAGCCTCAAAGCACTCGGAGCAGCAGAGCAATCATCCTTGAACTTGACAGACTTGCTTGCCATATTTGATGCATGTCCACAGTCGAGTGTGTCTGTATCGTGCTTGCACTAGTCGAACTTGTCAAGGAGGATATGTAGATGAGGTTTCGAGAATCAAGCTGAATGTGAGTGCCGCGAGAGTCACATGTCAAGGGTCTGGAGATGACCTGTCAGAGCTTCCTTAATCTCCGAAAGGCCATGTCTCAGAGCCGGTTTTCAAGTTGAGTGATATGCAAGTCAGTTCTGGTTGGCGGTTCCAGGTGGTTGAGAAGCAGTGGTGGGCAGAAGTCGGAAGGTCAAAGACCGCTAGACGGCTAGGCAGGCACGTAGTCAGGTGAGCTGGCATGATCAACAGCACTGTGATGGTTTCGTTAGAGATTGTATGCAACACTCGATGTACTTCATCGATAAGCACGCAGTCGAAATGCTGCATGATTGTATGATGAGATGTTGTGTAGGCAGGCACGACTTCCAATGAAGTATAGATGTTTGTTGCAACACATATCAACTCAGTCGTAGGCAAAAGTCTTTGATGTCGCTTTCATGGTTTGGAATCCTGCTGTCCAAGTTGTAAGTTATGATGATGCTGAGTCGGAGTGGTATACCTGCAAAAGCAGCAGCTTGGCATGGAGGAGGATGGAAGTGGAAAGTTCCGAGTGAGGGTGAAGCTTGCCCAAAAATTCGTTTCGTCAGACAGCCCTCGCCGCCGTGAGCGCGACCGTCGTCAACCAACACTATCGCTCAAACACTTTACACACTGCAACCACCAAGATGGGCATCTGGGACTCCTTCACCGGTCGCAAGACTCAAGAACAACCTGCACAGGATGCGCCCATGCAAGACATGGCCGTGACGACATCGTCGCAACCACAATTCGAGGCCCAAGACGTCAACTCTTTCTTCAACACACCCGGCGCTTTCGATCCCGCTTCGCTACACCCCCTCGCTGGCTTGAACCAGGATACTCTGGACTACCTGTCGCTCGATGACCAAGCCCTGTCGGAGCTTCCTGGCAACCGCAGTGCCCTGCCGTCGCGCGGCTGGTCCGACGACCTCTGTTACGGCACTGGTGTCACGTATCTCGCTGGTTTGACTGTTGGAGGAGCCTGGGGTCTTGCAGAGGGTCTGAACAGATTACCCGCATCTTCGCCGCCCAAGCTTCGCCTCAACTCGGCCCTGAACGCAATCACTCGCCGTGGTCCTTTCCTGGGCAACTCGGCTGGTGTTATTGCTATGGTCTACAACGGCTTCAACTCCTTCATTGGCCACTACCGTGGCAAGCACGATGCTGCCAACAGCATCGCCGCCGGTGCACTGAGTGGCATGCTCTTCAAAAGTACAAAGGGTATCAGGCCCATGATGATTTCTGGCGGTCTTGTCGCTGGCACCGCTGGTGCCTGGACTGTGAGTTTTGCATCATCATCTTGCGTCTTTGTGGTCGTCTACTAACACAACTTCTTCTCTAGTTCGTTCGTCAAATGATCTAAACTCCTGTATTCTTCTATCTCGCACCTTAATCTTGCCACGTTTTGCAGTCGGATCTCCCACCGCCTGGACGTTTCCTCTACCACGGCAGTCATGACTCTCTTCATGACCATCACCTCACCCCTTTGTCGCTCGGTCCGACCTCCATCTTACACATGTACAGTAGAAGCAAAAGAACCGCGGGTTGGGCATTGCAAGGCGTCACGGATCAATCTTCTTTTAGTCTTTCACAGCGGCTTTCTCTCTCGAATACATCGTCTCCCTTTTCGACTCCTCTCTCCTCTCAGATCCTGCTATGGTGGGTGCCACTGTTGTTCTTTTTGCTCTTGGTTGTTTTAGAGAAAGATCTTTCTGCTTCCTTGGCGAAAGCTGTGGAAATGTCCATCTCCTTTGAATATTCTTATGCCTTTTGTCTTGCTTTGATCCGTGAAATTCGTGTTTCACTTAGCTTGAGTGACTCGTCCTCATCTAGTTCGTTGCGGCCTTTTGTGTCTCTATTCTCGAGGCCACTCTGACTCTCAGGAGCTGCGTCTGACCAGTCTGATCACTTAGCTCGACGATACTTTCACTCGCGCTTTCGCTGATATTCTGGTCGCATCTCGCGTGGCTCTTCATTGCTCTTTTTCACTCGTCTTCCCCGGCGCCATCTGGACCGCTCTCTGGTCGTACACCGGCGCGACAACGACATTCTGCCAATCAACCATCAGTTTCAGCACGATGAACCGGCTGCAATTCTCTGAGCACTCTTCAGGAGTCGCTGCCAGCTCTTCTGCATCTGCCTCTACATCATTCCCTGCGACTGCGGTCACCTCCATCCCAAGCTTGGATGACACAACTGAATCATCACAACACGAGCAACCTGTTGACGCTCTCGAAATCTTCAACGACCCGTTCACCGGCGTGCCCAGTACTCCCTGTGACGTGTCTCGACTCTTCATGCTATGTCAGTGCGAGGCTCGACCTTGCCCCCTGTCGATCCCTGCATCTCTGTTCTTTCTATACGTCTATGCACCGCCCTGGCAAGAGGAAAGTCGCAAATTCAGAAAGGAAATCCCTAGGGGCGCGCGAAGCTTCATGCTCGACTGCAAGGACAAGCAGAAGCTCGCAACATACACACGCCTCTACACGGAATGGCTGTTCAGCGGTGGCGCACCACCTTCGCTCGCGAAACTGCATCGCAATGCCGATGGCTCTACCAGTGTCTCTTTTTCAGACAAGGTTCGAGCTTGCATCTACGTCCTTAGACTCTATCGGCAGCGTGGTTACCCCTTGGTCCGTTCTTGCAAACAGATCGCCGCAATCTTCGGCCAGGAGACTAGCTTCCTAGTCAATCAGGAGTCCTGGCACAACGTCGTGATACGCACCGAGCCCCCCGAGATTCCCGAGAACGTATGGGACTACGCTTATCCCACGCTTGCTATCCCAAGACCTCCATCGCCTAAGGAACCCAGAGATCCCACCACATCCGTCCAGAATCAGCACTTCCGTGGTCTTGCATCTCTTCAGTCCAGCGAGCCCAGCGACATACCAAATGGATGGACTCTCTGGACTCCAGTCACTGTACCGAATCTTCAGCGCGTGGCTCGCCAGAAAGCCTACTTATATCAATGCTCACAAAATCGCGAATATGTCCACAGCGTGGCCGCTATGCCAATGCGTGAGACTGGTTTCTATCGTGCAGTCTACAACGGGCAGAGGGGTGGTGAGAGCACTAGGCTACCGAGCCCTGATGTGCTCGCTGGTGCCGAAAATGAAGTTGAGGCTGGAGCCTCGTTCAATGCAACTGGCCCTGCTCAGGATCCGCGCCATCAACTCATTAAGAGACTCTCCCAGACACCTCACAACACCACACCTGCACTTGACGATCTTGCTGCAACAAAGCGCGGTGTCGGTCGTCCGCGTCAATCAACTGCCCCTGCTCCGACCAAAGCCACGGCCAAACCCACCAGAATCCGTCTCATTGCTCCCCGCAGACCATCTACCCCTGAACAAGCCGCTGCTTTCGAAGAGTATATGGAGAACCACTCCCCTACCTACACCTACGATGGTGAAGACAACGATGAAGTCTTCGAACAACAAATGCAAGAAAGTGAAGATTTTCCTGAATCCAGTTCTAGCTGGAGTTCGGGCGAAGCAAGTTACCAGTTGAGCATGACTAAGATGTCAATGGCGAAGCATGAACTTATGACTGCCGGAATTGACACAGATGGTATTGGAATGTCGGATCTGGCTGAAGAGAGAGTCCTCTTCAACCCTAAGGATTGGGAATAGGTAGTTAATGCTTTTCATGATGTATAATACAATCTTCTGCCTCCCCTGATCCTACAGCGCCATTTCCTCATGTAGCCCTGTCTCAATCTGAACACTACTGTGCATTTTGACAAGAGCTGTCTCCTACTTGTGCTTTTGCTGGTGAGCGAGCTTGAGGCCATCCACCTTGGCCTTCCTTCCCTCTTTGCGAGGCCTACGGTGGGCACCCGACACAACAGTCATCACGTTGCTTCCAGGCGCAACGACAGTGCTTTTGGAGCACGGCAGGAACTCAGGGGCAGGGGGACCATAGGGTGTGAGATAGTCCAACAGGGCCCAGGTATGCCAGTGCCTGGGCCTGCCCCTGAGCTTTGCCTGAATGTGCTGGGGCATTGTTTGGTGGTACTCCTATGACCAGTCAGCATCCATTATAGCTTGTAAAAATGCAAGATGTTTTGCCAGAAGGAAGAGAGTCCAGTGAGATCCCTTCCAGCTTCGGACTCTCAGTGGACAGTACACAAAACGCTAATGCATTGTGCATTTTGATACAACATCAAAAGGCAAGCATTGGGAGTGGGGATACTATGGAGCGTGGGCCAAACTTACATGAATCAGAAAAATCTGCTTGCCCTCAATAGAAGAGAGTGTTTTATAGCTTGTCTCGTCCACCATTCGCCAGGAGTCACGGTCCAGATCAAGCATTTCCATGTCCGTTGCAGCCTGATAGAGCCAGGCATCATTGTTGCTCTGACGATCAGTCAAGAAACCCAAACGATGGGGATAGTAGGCTTGACCTCTGCGAAGGGCTTTTGAGACTTTGTCCATGATATTGGCGAGAGTGGTCTTTACGGGAGTTGTGAATGTCTCGAAGTTGGAGGGTTTACCTCCAATGAGGCTCAGGTGTGTGATGACGTTGATGCGAAAGCGCTTGAGAGGCCGAGGAGGCTTAACTTTGCAGTGAAGACTTGTGGTTGTCAAGGCTGGTGTGGGTTGTTGAACTGGGGTGGAGGCTGGGATGGAGGCTGGGATGGAGGCTGGGATTTTGCGTGGCGCAGTCTTGTAGTATGCGTCCGATGTTGTAGCAATCAAGATACATGCAAGGTCATTGAGAAGTGCTTTGTTTATGCCGTCAGGAATGCGATAACCAGTCGACTCAGTAATGGTTTTCATGATGCCTGCAACTTGGCGAATCGAGTTTGCCTTTTTTTCGAGCAATTTGAGTTCTTCGACACAATCGCGGAAGATCTTCAGGTATGTGTTGTCGATGTTGCGTCCTTCATTATTGGCATTCTGAGACAGACTCATAGATGCCATGATGGATGCGAGTTCGCCATCCCTCGATGTTGCTGGCTTTGATTTTGTTGATTGCGAATAATTTGACGAAATGAATTTTTGCGTAACATGCGACTTGAGGATCATCGGCACATTGCTCTACGAGATCCAAGATGCGTTTGTGTACTGGATCTTGGCTCAACTGTTGGTCGAAATCTGTTCCATGAGATACGAGATCACCATCGAGTTCAACGGGCTCCGCGACTTCGACGTCAGAATCAGACATAGTTTCTTGTGGATCGAAAGTGGGTGCAAGACGCGGATCCAGTTCTGTCGCTTCGAGATTGTTGACGTTGATCGAGTCCGTGTCGTCCTGAACATCGAGGTCTGAGTCTTCCGAGTCGTCCTCATCATTCTCGTCGTCTGAGTGGATTGAGTGGTCTACGCTGTGTTCGGCATAAGTGTGTGTATTGACGTTGGTGACCAGATCTGTTGCGGGCACAGGAAGCGAATCAAGTTCCATCGCTTCGGGAACGTGAGCATGCGAGTCTCTCGAGAGCTCCATGGCGGTTGGAAGTAGGGTGGACTGTTGGAGCAACAAAGAGCGTAGACGTTGTGCTCTTCGCAAACAAAGGATTTAACCGCGTGAGGAGTATCAAGACGCGTGAGATTTCCGTTGGTTGTTGTGGGACTGACAGTAACGACAGTCAGACGGTGTGATGGCACTGGGTCAGATGGCGCGTCACTTTTCCGTGCGCTTGTTATGTTGTTGTAAACAACTTCCAATCGGACACACCATCACAGTCGTCACCTCTCCTGCTCACAATCTCGTGTATACGCTTAACAGTTTGGGTAAATTGCCACTACTTTACATAGAATAGACAGATATCCGAGTCCCTGTGCGGGCAAAAAGACTAAGCCAAAGACGACCGCTGCCAGAGGTAGAAGTGAAGTGATGGAGATAAGGTGCTGGAAATGCAAAAGAGATGACCGCTCTCGTAGTCGACCCAGGGTACTTACCCTCATATGTAAACAGTTTCTCAAGGCTGGCCCGATATATCTTACGGCACCAACCCCTACACCACTGAACACATTTTCTCTCCTCAAAGTTGGTTTAATATATGCCCACACTATTGGCGATTCAGACTTACGTTTTCCAAGGTGCTCAGCTTGCCATTCGTGTCTGCCCCCGAGCTCATCTGCTGTATGAGATGTCTCTCTAATGAAGACGATCTCTGTCCCAGCTGCTATATCGTACCTGTGTTCTTGTCCGTCAATTCAGCGCGCACAAAATTTGATGCAACAGCACACCTACTCGCAGCGCACCATTCCGTGTATCGATCTGTCTCATTGGGTTTCTCGACCACCTCATCCGCACAATGTATCGGTCACCCAGTGCTTGACCCAGACTGACATGTAGGAGTTTCTGGCGACTGATGAGAGTATTCCACATAATGTCGCTTCTTGTGCTGTCGAAAGGCAGGTCTCAACTGCGGTTTGGGCAAAGCGCAACCTGCGTCGTCTTGTATGTTGCCTGATCTCATCGCTGCTCGAGTCTGTTTGTTGCGTCGAGTAGACGTACATTACAGGCTTGATACATATCCATTGGTAAGGTCCCACGATGATCATGCCGTGAATGGCTGGGATCAGGGCTACCCTCCTCTTGCACTTGGATCCGATATCTCCTGAAGGAAAGGCCAGGACATTTCCGACGTTTTTAGTTGACTTATGGGATGATGTAGACTTGAACGTCTGGTCTTGATTGATGTTTTCTTCGGTGTCGATATGATAGAATCTTCCTGTGTGTAGCTGCAAAGAATTTCCGGTTGTCCTTAGATCAGAGACGCATACTGGCCGGATGAATACTCCTGCTGGAGTTGTTCTGTTTTCAGCATCCTCTTGTATGCTTGGTTATGATGTGTCGTCGTATCGAATGTAAGAGATGAAGTTGTGACGGAGAAACTTCGGGCAAGTATAGGAAGGGATATGGGGTAGCTGTTTCCAACATCACCTCCTGCTTTTCATTCTTGTCTACAAGTATACAGTATGATTGACACTATATCTACCATGTAAGAATGGTGTACAGGTGCTGGGCTACATATGAGAATAACTTAGGCTGATTCTTTCCGGATACGGCCTTGCTCAAAGGTTGAAATTTCTTTGTGCGATGAGTACAGCAGGTGAGTCCAGGTACTCATGCTACGTACAAAATCAGAGAGAACAAGGGGAATAGCGGAGCTGTGTTTGACACATACATCGTAGATTCGTTCCTATTTTACAATTGCATTAGTTGTAAAGAACGAGGTACGACCCTTTTTGTTAGATTTAACAAACTACCTCTGACATGACAGCAGCCAATGCTATGCAATTCCCTCGACCGCATGGTAGCCCTGTTCAGTAGCACAACACAAAGTCATAAAGTCCTTGGTAAGTTCTCAATGGTAAGTTGTTTTCTTTTCGTCGAACAGAAAGAACAAAGGGTTATCCACACATTATGTTTTCCTGTCTACGTTCTTTGATTGAGCCAAAGACGTTTCTTAACAGTCCTTCCCTAACAATCGGAGGGGAAACAAAGAGAAAGGCCTTTTTAGCCATCGCGAGACGCAGCAACCTGCTACTAATCTCAGCCTCTTCATGGAACCCTCATGTGACCGATTGCGTGTGGTCAGGGAGCGCGAAAACCAAGCTGATCTGTGCCTCTTAGCAAGGCAAGGTGTCCGTGACACGGCCGTTGGTGGTATTGCTGTGTAGAATCAGTGGTGATGTGTTATGCCGACCCTATCCCACATGAAGGTATTTATTTGTGCCACATGGCCTCTCTTCCGTCCAGCGGTAAGATGGCGCAGTTGGTAATCGTTTCAGTGTCCCTCGGATCGGTTACTGTTACCAACTATGCCGTCAGGTCATTGGTTCGATTCCAACGCTGATCACTTCTTTTTTTTTTTGCTTCCTCCTTCCCTTTTGCACGAATCTTCTTATAGGTCAGGGGCTTCTCACCAGAGGTATGAGCTGTAGGCTATGATACTCCAGCGACAGGATCTAGGTCAATGTACATTGCTATATAATGGACGTAACCCTGCGCCTCTGCTGCCTATGTCTGTTGCTGCGAGCATGCGACTTTCAAGTAGCATCGATTCACTCCAGAACACATTTTTCTGCACTGCAGAGTCAGGGGGGAAGGTCGCGAAATTCACGTGAGCATTGCCTGAGGTTGATCGAATCAGATGATTTGTGCTTTAACTGGCGCTTCACTTGTGCTTCGCTTCGCTTTCTTTCACTTCTCTATCACTTGCGCATCACATCTTCACCTGTTTCATCACCGAAATTTTGCTCGGCGCGCTCGCAGCGTCCGCAACCAACAAAACAAGCTGGTTGCAGTCTATCATTCTTGTCTTTCCATCGCACATCTGATCTCACACACGACTCCAAAAAATTAGGGCTCAACATTCAGAATTTCCGGATACTGTCGGTCACCATGAACACTGCAAGTCCATGCTCTAACTGTGTCACCTCCAATAGTGCTATGGAAGAACTCGAACGCCTCGCTACGATGCCGGCTCACATCGCTGCCGACGGCACCAAACACGACACGATGCACATCAATGCTGGCGCAGCAAATGAGCCCATGTATGACACTAGCCAGGATCAAGTCATCTCCTATCAACTTGCTGGCTCTGGTGATAACCATGATATCAACAACAAACCATTGGGCAACGAGTGCGACTGTCCAGTTAACCAATCTGGCACGCTCAAGTTCACAGATGCCGAGACTCATTCTGAAGAATCCTTCTCACCATGTGATGTTCCCGACACCAACAACAGCAGCGCACTCGACGCCCCTGACAAGTTCGACGACTCTGTACAAAAACTGGACGTTGAGTCGATCGCCGCCGTGTACAGGGACCCCGTCCTCATGATGATGTTCCGCGAGCTCGACGATCACGTCCTCGCCAAGAACTTTCGTACCAAGCTCGTTGCAAGATACATCAAGCTCACCTTGGCTAAGTTTACCGTTGTTCGTGAAGCGAAGGAATGTGAGACAGAGTTCCCCGAGCTCATGCTGGCCATGCAAGCCTTGGAAATTGATGCGGACAATGCTACAATCACTGAAGCAGATGGCCCTGCTCAACAAGTGATCAAGGTCGGTCGCGCACTAAGAGCTTCGTATTCCAAAGTGTGCAAGGATGCCACACGCAAGTTGAAACAACTCATCCGCGACACCGGCGCACAGGTTGCGAAGGTTTACAACGAGAACAAAGAAGATGACATGTGCAGTGTCTGGTACGCTATCAAATCTGATAAGTACTACCAAGCCAACGAAATTCTCGTTCCCTGCCACCGCTACGAGTTCCGAGTTCTCGTCGTCACACACTTGCACCTGATTGGCGGCACTCCATCCCACTACAAACCTTTAAAAAAGCCACAACACACGCCTTACCAGCATTTCCTCGACCTTCTCCCCGACTTCCTCAGTTTCTCCAGGTGTGAACAAGCAGCGCGCCTCGGCTACTCAACCAAAGGCCCCACGACTGGCCCTTGGAAATATCAGGTTGCGTCAAACCTAGGCGGCCTTAATCATGAGCATTGGACAGATTTGAGTGAAGCAGAGTACGAAAACATCAAGGCTTGTTCCAATCAAGTGGTCTTTTGATTCATGTAAGTTCGATTGTCTCTTCTCTCATTGCAGCAGTTACGTAACCTATAGAAATGCACAAAGTAATTGAGAAAGAAAGCACTATCCACTGAGAGCCCCTGATACAGCAGCTCTCAATGGACAATGCTCTGTTTCCCATATACATTGTGCATTTCTATAGTTGTTTTACACAAACTTTAGCAGTATTGGGAGCAGAAGAGATTGATGGATCCTCCTGACGTGCTGTGGTGTACCCCAACGATACTCATGCTAACCTCTCCTTACAGGCCGGCGATCAAGCTATACCTTTAGGAATCGCGACAAAGACTCAACGCCGCCCTAGAGATTGGAGCACAGGGCTGGCTCAGTCACCTACACCACCACTCGTGAGGGACCGGTCAAGTTGCCTCCCCCTAACTTCCCTTCCCGGCCCCCTCCTCGGCACCTTGACCGCCCGCATGGGTCCATCTCTTCCCCCTACTCCCACCATCGCTGGGCCTGCCGGAAAGAGCTCGCTGCCTTCTCGTTCAGCCTTGAAGCGCAGCAACTCTGACGACGGACAGCAGGGACGCAAGAAGTCCAGGGTCAAGGGTTCAAAGAAGACAAACTAGTTGTGGGGTCTTAGAGGTCAGGAGTAGCAGTTGAAGGTAACTGTGAAGATTTGCAAGAACAGGAGATGGATGGAGTTGTTAGTGGAAATTGCTTTTCAGCCAGTGAGCTAAATGATACCCCTTTGCTTTTTGTTTCGTAACCTGAATACTGTTGCTGTTATGCTTCTATCCCACCTTTGCAGTTCTAAAGAACTGAAACTCGACGTATTGCATAGAGTTGACGTGGTCGACTGTTGATTCCGGTTGTAGACAAAGGATTGGCTTTCAAGATTGTTCTGCTGTTCCATTCGTGCTTGTGGCCATTGTCCGCATCCGGTGGCTTCGGAGTTCGAACAAAGAGAATATTGGGGTATACCGTATTCCATTCAACAGAGTCGATAACTCTCCTCCAGAGTTGATACTCTCTCGTGTACGTGTTTGAAGCAATCATGAGTCGAGAGGATAGCCGTAAAAGCGAACCGCCACCAGGCGACAACGATAGGAGTGGATTGCCAGACGGTGATTGGCAAGGGAACCATTTCCTAGGAAAGGGGGGTCAAGGAGCAGTTCATTACTGGGTCAAAGTCGACTCGAACCAAAGGATTATCGATCGTGTGGCCATCAAAGACTCCTGGAGCACAGAATCTACGTGGGAGCCCAACATCTACAAGGGCATATACGACGAGCTGGTACGCAAAGGCATGAGCCTTAGTGATGCACTCCAAGGAAGCTCGGTAAAGCTTCCATTTTACAAAGAGGCCTACATCCAAGGACTACTCACCCCGGAGTTTCGTGCAACAAAATCCAATACCGTACGTCTACGTGGTTTCAGGAGAGGAGACGTCAAGGATCCCTATCAAACAGCAATACAGTCAACTCATTGGCGTATCTACATGGATCACATGTACCCTGGTGACTTGTATGATCTCATCAGATACTATACCAACAAAGAAAAACCTATTCCAGAGCCTTTCATCTGGTGGGTCATGAAATGCCTCGCCTCTGCTCTTGTACAGATGGAAGACCTCTCACGAGCACGATCAAACGCACGTAAAGAGAAGGACGAAACCGTTGTGTTAGTAGACATGAAGCCATCTAACATATTTCTCGACGCTCCAGCAGAAGATGAGTTCGTGGTGTACGCCAAGCCTGTTATAGGTGATTTTGGATCAGCTCATCTTACCTACAAAGACGACCCAACGAATGTATCGAACGGTCTGAGTATAATCTGGTCGCGAGGATTCTTAGCTCCGGAGCTTTTTGCACCGGACACATCCAACGATAAGAAGATGGACGACAGTGGCTGGGATGGGGACATCGCTCATGACGAGATGGACGACTTGAGATATACTGAAGATGAAGAGATGAGCGATATAGACAAGGACCACGCAAAAGCTACAAAGCCGGTCTTGTACTCCTGGACCAACGTTTGGCAACTCGGCAAGACTATCGAGTCTATGATGCGAATAGAGACTCATCCCGAAGACCGCAATTGGAAAGATCCAGAAGACAGAGAGTCACGAATTAAGGTCGACCCTCCACACCATGAAGCCGAGCCTGATTTTCTCTACAGCGAGGATCTTATCGACATAGTATGGCGTTGCCAAAAATTTGATCCCGAATCTAGGCCCACACCCGCTGACCTACTGGATATGATTAAATCCATTTCTCCCCTCCACGTGCATCGGATGGACATATGGGGTACTGAGGAATGGATTTCGGAGCAATACGAAGACATGGGCACCTTGACCGAGGACCACAAGAGGGCAATGAGAGCGAATATCAAGAAGCGTGCAGACGCTGGTAAACTATGGTTTCTTCACGATTTTGAAGATCGGAATCTGGCTACACTTTACCGAGAACTGGACTTGGATATCCCTTCAGATTGCGAGCTCATATGGATGCCTCAGAGGTTCAGAGACAGAATAGGCCAGATATTCGGGGCTGAAGAATCAGAACTGGCTGAGAACCCAGACACTCCAGAGAATCGCAACAACAAGCGGCCCAGATCAGATGAGGCCATCACAATGACACAGACGAGGAAGAAACCGCGGATATAAGCTGTTGCGACCTGAAATGGCAATACGATGTTTGACCTGGAAGTGACATCGTATCAAATCTCTCCAAACATTTATGTGCTGTGAATCTCGAAATGGTGTTTGCCTAGTGATTGTTTTTACTTTGTTTTGAAACGATGTGCTCTCACCTTCATACAGAATGTGTAGATGCAAAGGCAAGTAAGTTGATCAATGAATATGCTGGCTTGTTGTACGCAAGCTTCCGTGCTAGCTCTTGTTGATAGCACAAACCTTAATTCCATCGCCCTTTTCCCTCGAGTGGGCCCATGTTAAACTCCCATAACTCCTGCTGTCCCGGAATCATCAACGGGTATCTCCAATGCAACTTTTGTGGCAGCTCCTTCGGGCGCGGGTAGGTGGCGGTTCGTGGTAAGATATTTGATGGTGACGCGCAAGAAGACATTACGACGTTCAAGACTGGAAAAGAGTGTCTTCCTCTCTGAGGTACTCGCCGCAATCGGCTTGTCTGAAGACAACAATGCCAGTAGGGTCCAGACGTTTTGCTTCGGCGGAGGAGCGGGCGGTGACACCAAAACCGAGGGGAGTNNACTGGAACGGGTTAGCATGTGTAAGGGTCAAGATGGCGCAGAGGCGCATAACATACTCGTTCATCGAGTAAACGATAATGCCCTGGTGCTCAGGGCAGTCCTCGCTCCAACGTCCAACGTGAGCCTTGACAATGTGACCACCGTAGAGGAAGGGCATCTCTCCGTTAGGCTTGACCCAGATCTTTGCGCGAGCATGGGGAGCGATAATGTCCAGAGCGGTGATGTGAAGGCGGAATTTGCCAGTCTTGGTCAACTTGCCGATGCAGTTTCCAAGGCACAGCAGGTTGTCTCTGGCTACCGAGGTGGCCAGGTTTGCCATGTCCTCGCGCACGTAGTAGACTCTTGATTCTTGAACACGGAAAACAAATCTCGAAGCCTTTCCATCCTTGCCGGGCGCCGTGTCGGTCAACAAATTCGTGAGGGATTTTCCAGTGTAGTTGGCGAGCTTCTCGAAGACCGTCTTGGATTCTCCTTCGGTAAGAGGACGCATGTTTGTGGTGTTTGCGAAGGTGACTTGTGTGGTAGGCGCAGGCGAGCTGAATGTGCGACAGGAAAGTGCGAAGGGGTCAGTGTGGGTTGAGGCAGGCGCAAAGCTGGTCGACGAAATGATAATGTTCGGATGGATATGCAGCAAGGCAGAAAAAAGATTCCCCAGATTCGGGGGTCTCTCGTTTTCGCCGCAACTGCGCTGGCTGGCTTGGCAGAAGTGCCCTGCAGAAGTGCCCTGTATCTTTTTTCTTCCCTTGCTGGTCTACCTCGCCAGACAACATATCACCCAACCGAATCACGTTTGAAATGGCTCCAATCGCAAAGAGGCGTCGCATCAGCCCAGAGGTCGAGTCACCTCCNCAAACCACGAAAAATGGCATTTCTTCCGAGGAGAAAATCGAGGATTTTTACCGTAACGCTGCTGGATGGGATCTAGAACAGGACTACGAAAACCGACCGCGTAACCTGAAGAAAAAGAAGGAAGAGACAAGACTGCCAATCAAGACTTCGGAAGGTTGGGTTGAACAGACTCCTGCTGCCGTCGAAGAGAAAGAAGAGGATGCCGACAGTTTCTTGGGAAGTGGTGATGAGGACGAGGCTGTAGACGATGACGATCAAGAGGACGAGGAACAGGAGGAGCCAGAAGTGCCACAGATCTCGCCGCGCGAACAGATTCTTCAAGCCAAGGAGGAGCTCGCTCGTGTTGCCAGCTTGATTTCAGAGGACCCGGAAGAACATATTGGCCAACTCAAGAAGCTGCAAGTCCATGCGATATCCCAGAACCGAACCGTCGTCAAGCTTTGCATGGCCACACAACTCGCCATCTACCGCGATATTATCCCCGGCTACCGTATTCGTCCCGTGTCCAAGGAAGAGTTGAAGCAGAAGCTATCAAAGGACGTCCGCAAACTGCGCAACTTCGAACAAATGCTTGTTGGCGGCTACCACGAGTATGTCAAGTCTTTGACAAGAGCTGCCAAAAAGAGTGGTGACAAGGACAAGGAGGCTGCTTCTGTAGCTGCCGTCGCCATCTCTTGCGCTTGCACTCTCCTCAACACTGTTCCCCACTTCAACTTCCGTGGCGACCTCATCAACATCTTGGTCGGTAGACTCAGCGTCAGGCAGGTCAACCCGGACTTTCACAAATGCGTCGAATGCTTGGAGACATTATTCCGTGACGATGAGGATGGAAACGCCTCACGCGAGNNGGCTGTCGACTTGCTTTGCAAGATGATGAAATCGCGAAACTACAATATCCACGAATCCGTGCTGAACACCTTCTTGCATTTGCGACTTCTTTCCGAGTTTGCTCACAGAAGCAGTAGCACACGCACTGACAAGGACGAGGATCAGCCGGCCGTGAAACAAAAGCAGAAACGAGAGTTCAGNAACGAAAAAGAGAGGAAACGTCTACGTGAAGTCAAGGGTGTTGAAAAGGAGCTCAGAGAAGCCGATGCTACAGTTTCGCATGAAGAGCGTGACAAGAACCAGTCAGAAATGCTGAAGTTGGTTTTCGTTGCTTACTTCCGCATTCTTAAGCAACGAGTTCCTCAACTGATGGGTGCTGTACTGGAAGGTCTTGCTCGCTATGCCCACCTTATCAACCAGGACTTCTTCGGCGATATTCTCGAAGCTCTCCGCGAGCTTGTCATCTCTACCGAAGCTGCCGAGCAAGCGCTTGCTGAAGAAGACGAAGACGCCTCTACTGCACCAAGAAACATCAACCGTGAATCCCTGCTTTGCATTATCACAGCATTCGCCCTTCTTCAGGGTCAAGATGTTGTCAAGAGTGTCGGCTCTTTGCATCTGGATCTTGAATTCTTTATCACCCACCTCTACAAGACGCTCTTGCCATCATCAATGAACCCCGATCTGGAGCTGAGTGCCAAATCTCTGCGCTTGAGGGATCCAGACGGTAATGACGATGAAGCTCTCCTACCTCAGCAGGCCAAGCACAAGATCAACGTTCAAACGACAACCGTGTTGCTCCTTCGTTCGTTATCATCAGTCCTGCTACCACCACAGAATTTGCGCTCCGTTCCTCCGCTCCGTCTCGCTGCTTTTGCCAAACAACTTCTTACAATCTCCNNCTTACAGCTACCTGAAAAGTCATGCCTAGCCATGATGGGTTTATTACAGCAAGTAGCTAAGGTGCAGGGCAANAAGATCGCAGCATTATGGTACACAGAAGAGAGAAAGGGAGATGGTGTTTTCAATCCTCTGAGAGAAGAGGTAGAAGGAAGCAATCCTTTCGCAACGACGATCTGGGAAGGTGAATTGTTAAGGATGCATTTCTGTCCTCAAGTCCGAGAGAGCATTGTCGCACTCGAGAAGGGAGTCGTTTCCTCAAGATCGTAATGCGAGCAGTCTCTTTGACCTGCATGTAGCGATTTACGTTCAATATACCTTTGGTTTTCGCCGCAACAAATTCCTGACTACATTCTATCAAACTAGCTTGGTAAAGACGTTCTTGTGACAAAAAAGCATCGCACACTTGAATCTACACAAAGAGCATAAAATATAGGTATGATCAGGATGATGAGATCGCAGGTTTGGACAGGCAGGGTCAGTGGTGTAGCTTCAGGTGTGTCCGTGCGTTTCATGACGTTTGATCGCCAAGCAATAAATCGTCTTCGAATGAACATTTGACAATTTGACCATCTCCCAATATTGCACAAAAACCAAAGACACAAAACAAGAGCACAATTCCACTGGATCTACTTCTAATCATTTTTCTGAAGTACATTGAGACTGAGTTTGCCACAAAGTCTGCTCCAATCGCAGAGCCGATCGAAACAAGTAACCCAAAGTATTTGCAACAACTCCCAAGGCTCTTTCTATCAGAACGCTCACTCTCAAGGAATCAAGAGAATCTGAGATCCGGCTTGAATTGGTCTACGGCTCAGCTAAAGAAATGATACCATGGTCAACCCCTTCTCTTTTATTCAGCGCGGCTTGAATATTCTACTACCATTTGCGACTCCCGGCACACCCTTGTACCAGGATTTACTGCACCTCGCTGCCTTATGTACAGCGCTGTATTATGCACCTCAGATCCAGGCCTACATCCAGGAACGACGACAGTCACAAACGCATAATCAAGCAGAGAGTCAAGCTGATCAAAATATTCACGATATTGAGCCTGAAGCTTCGGAGCCGAGACAGCAACAAGCAGCACCCCCACCACGGCCTTTCATTGAGGATGANAGAAGAAGAAGACGAGCTAGAACAACCTGACGCCCCTTTTAATGATTTTGCCGGACCTGCAGGCCCGCAACAAGACAATGACGATGGAGAGCCGGGCCCGGTAAACCCACGTCCTCAAGCNNACCTCCAGGAAGTAACAACAATCGCACAGTTGGTGCTAAGAAGGCCAAGTCCCTGCAACGTCGTGATCAACGCCGAGCCTACCACGAATTCATGCGCTCCCAGGGAGAAGCTCAACGTGCGAGAGACGCCGAGGGCGCAGAAGAACGTGAAGCACAGCTCGCGGCTGAGAGGGCTAGACGTGCAGCAAAGGAAGCAGAGGTTGAGGCTAAGCGAGCGAAGGAAAGAGAGGAAAAGAGGCTGAAGGAAGAGAAGGCGAGAGAAGAGGAAAGTCAAAGACGAGAGAGGGCTGTGCGCCTCGTGAGGGAAGGACTTGATTCCAGACGAGTCGTTGATCTGGAAGACGTTGCCGGCCAAGCTGGTGGTAATGTTGGCCGCGAATGGGTCGAGGGATTAGTCAGAGCCTCAGGGCTGCTTCTCGAGAGTCAAGGACAATATCACACAATGATCACGGCAAGCGGATGGGTGGTCAGGGTCGAGAGAGAAGACATGGAGACTCTGTACAGCGAGGCCGTTGCAGATGCAGGCGAAGATGGTGCAGTGGCATATACGAAGCTTGGCGAGCGATTAGAGCGCATTCTGGGAAAAGGCATCGCTGCTAGTTAAGGGTGCTTATGACAATAACACGTCAAGGACTATGGCATCAGAAGCTCGCGCAGACCTGCATCTTTGTTCTTTTACGAGTAAGAAACACCTCAGATGTGAAGATGTCCGTTGCGGGATCAAATCTGATTGCACTAGCGAATCGCAAGATCGAGCTGGAGCCAATGCAAGCCGAGCAAATAGAAGAGCTTGACATGCAGGCTCAGCTCTTGTTGTCAGCCACTTGCTTCCATGGTGCATCAAGCAGCTCAACAGCATGATCACGGCTGAGAACTGTAAGTTATAAGCCATGTTGGTTGTAAGCAAAGAAGAGCAGTAGTGGCCGGCTTATGAGATATCGAGTGAGATGAACACCTATTTTTGAAAGGTGTTCTCGATGTACCGACTCAGCATGTGACACACTGGCTTGCAGTTTTGACAATGGCTGACAGTGGATTATTGAGGGAAGCAAACGCATAGTTAAACGGCGTGGATTGGAACGCTTCTCTGTCGATCGATAATGCAATGCGATCATGGCCTGATTCGGCGAGGCTGTGACTTTTCTGTGGAGGTCTCCAGCCCTCGGGACAGTAATGCGAACGGCATACCGGTTGAGACTACAAGCACGTCGATGGAAGCCTGACTTGTGTGGTTGACGAGGAAAGGAGGCTCAGAGAAGGACAAGAGTCAGACAGGCGCAGCACAGGACATGACTTGCGCAATCAACGGATCAAAAGACGTTTCAGGTGATTGGGTTTAGATTGATGGGGAGTGTGGACGAGTCAGTTGAGGGCTGAAAAGCCGGGGTCGACGTCGAATCGGTCCCTATCTTGCGCAGCATTTTTAGAAAGCACCTGTTGCGACCCCTGCTCTGCATGCACCCAGTGATCGCGGTTGCCGCATCGCGCCTTCCTCTTCCCTTCCATTCTCTTGTTCTGCCTCCCAACTTTGTTTTCATTTTCACCCGCTCTGTTTTGACTTTCTTCTGCGAACAGGACAGCCTTCGCTGATCCCTTGGACTCCCTCCAAACCTGACACGCGTATTGTAAGACTAGTGTCAACTACCCTCGTTTTCGGCCAGGAACAGCATTCAACATCCAACTGCTCAACCTTCTGTCAGCCGAGGCGAGAAAAAGCTTCAGCCCATGTCTGCTTTCACGTTGCGAAACGTCGGCTGTCAAGAATAGTTTAATCCACCCACCTCAATACTCTACACATACACACACACATGGCCACTCTACCACCATCGAGCAGCAACCTCTGGGCTGCGTTCTTCCTNCTGATTTCTTTCACACACGCCTTCTACATTNNCCCGGTATGCCATTGTTGCTCGTCATGGACAATCATCACGCGCTGACATGACACAGGTTGGTCAATAAAGAGCTACAGCGACGGCGATGTGATACCGCTGCTCGTCAACAAGGTCTACTCAGACAAAACCCAAATCCAATATGCCTATTCTGAGCTTCCTTTCGTATGCCCACCCAGTGGCCGCCGACGGGTCGGTGGTCTCATCTCTGGTTCGAGTATCGCATTGAACCTGGGCGAGGTTCTCCGAGGTGATCGCATCGTTGTCAGCGACTACGAGTTGGAAATGGGAAAAGATGACGAGGTCCACTACCTCTGTAGTCACAAGGTCGACAGAGCAGGTCTACAGAAAGCCCAAGAAATCGTCAAGGACAACTACGTGGCCGAATGGGTCGTCGACAACTTGCCCGGTGCAACCAACTTCGTATCGGCCGACAAGACTCGCAAATACTATGCCTCAGGCTTCAAGATGGGCTTCCAAGATGAGGATCCCACCACCGGTCGCCCACGTTACTTCATCAACAACCACGTCACACTCGTCATTCGCTACCACATGGCTCCGGGAAGAGATGGTCAACAAGGCAANAAGGTCATAGTCGGGTTTGAGGTTTACGCAAAGAGCATCGAATCTGGCAACAGAGACGCTCAGGGCATACCCGCTTCCATCGCCGACGTCAGTAATGGCATGGAGCTGAACATGCGTAAGAACGGCACGGCCGCTGCTGCTTATTACTCCTCGGACTCGACCTACCACCCGGCTACTATCGACGATGTCGACGAGGATGCCACCCTCACCATTCCCTATACATACTCGGTCTACTTCCGCGAAGAGCCACACGTCGAGTGGCAGAACCGNTTGAGTCTGTTCTTCGCTGACCAGGACGACACCACTGGTACCCACTGGTTCGCCATCGTCAACTCGATCATCATCTCTGGACTGCTCACGGCTGTTGTCGCAGTCATCTTCGCTCGCACCATCCGTGGTGACCTCAAGGCTGTCAACGTCGAAGATGGTAAGCTCAAGGTGAAGCGTGGCAGGACTGGCACTCGCTCACCTCGTAAAACCGACGAGAAAATCGGGGGACTACTTGACCAAGGCGATGCTGACAACGATATTTCATCGGATGATGAGGCTGTGGAAGACCTCACTGGCTGNGAATTGGTTCACGCAGACGTCTTCCGTACCCCTGCGAATGGTGGTGTTCTGGCTGCTCTTGTCGGCTCCGGAACTCAGCTGGTCTTCGTGGTCGCTGGTCTGATCATCCTGTCTTGCTTCGGCATCCTCAATCCTTCTTTCAGAGGCGGCTTTATCAGTGTCGCCGTCGCTCTCTTCGTCCTTGCTGGCCTCATCTCCGGATACTTCAGCGCTCGTGTGTACAAGACCTTTTCTGGTCAATACTGGCAGAAAAACTGTTTCGTCACTGCGACTCTGTTCCCTGGTCTTGTTTTCACAATCGTCTTCATTCTCAATCTNTTTGTCTGGGCACAGGCTTCGAGCACCGCTCTGCCCTTCGGAACGCTTGTCGGCCTTATCGCACTTTGGCTTCTTATTCAGCTTCCTCTCGTCTACATCGGCTCTTGGTATGGATATGTGCGCGTTGGGGCTTGGTCTCACCCAATCAGAGCAAGCACCATTCCTCGTCAAATCCCTCAGCAGAGCTGGCACATCCGCAGCTGGCAAAGTGTCCTTCTTGCAGGTTTGCCAGCTTTCTTTGTTGTTGCAATCGAGCTCATGTTCGTCTTCAAGAGCATCTGGCAAGACAAGAGTGGCTACTACTACGTTTTTGGCTTCNNCCTCGCTGTTGTAGCAGTCATGCTCGTTGCAGTAGTGATGGAGGTTACGGTCATAGCTGTTTACATTCAGCTATGCTCTGAGGTAAATGATCACTCCGCTTATCATCACGTTAGCTCAAGTACTAATCACAATCGCAGNAACTATCACTGGTGGTGGCACAGCTTCATGGTCGGTGCCTCGAGCAGCTTCTGGATCTTCGCTTATTGCATTTATTACTACTTCAACCATCTGCACATCCATGGCTTCGTGTCATCGTTGCTTTTCTTCGCGTACTCGGGCCTTGCATGCGCCGTCTACGCCCTATTAACTGGAACCATTGGGTTCTTGACTGCCTATGCTTTTGTGCGTAGGATTTATGGTGCTATCAAGGCTGACTGAGAAAACAACCAAATCGATTGAGCGAAGGCGTTGATGGTAGAGGGTTTAATACATTGTATATACTTTTTGTCTATTTTTCTCCGCACTCCATTCCATAAGACTGTGACAATTCTGCAATCTTCGTGTTTACACGTGGATTGTGTCGACAGAACCAAAACTAGACCTGTGTCTCTCTTGTAGGAATGATGGACTGTCTGAGAATTTGTCACAATACAGAGATCTTGCTTACAGAAGTCTCCAAGGTAGTCTCACGAATAGACACGGTAAGCAATGAATCAGAGATGATTCACACTATATAGAATTATAAACATTCAGCCAACGACCAGCGTTGGCCCATTTCTCATTCTCCATCCCAACAAGTCACCACATTTCCTCTTCAGTTGCTGATATGGTGACAGCGTCATGCCTTCAACCCTCTTTTTTCTTCGTTCTTTGTTGTCGACTCTTTTAGACTGAAGGCTCGATGAGGCGCCCTGTCTGATTTCGTCGGCGAGCAATATTCTTCTTGCTCGCTTGGTGGCTTGATCAGTCCGGTCGCTGTACTCTTTCTTTGGTATCTGTCGTTGAGATTGTGGTAGAGAAATGTTCGGTGCAAGCATAATTGGTACATCTCCTTCTTCTGTGATAGAGGTTGGCTTGGTCTTGACGTCCCCGCCACCCGTAGTGGCTAGAGCATCATGCCAACTTCCATCCTTCAGAACAACGTTCTCAAGGTCGATCTCTATTAATGTGCTCTTGTGCGTCTGCATCAAGCGCTGCACCTGGGTCGCCGAGATTACCACGTTATCCAGCGCCAGGTACTCAAGATGTGAGAACAGTGGCGCAGGTGTTGAAGGTGATGCATGCCTTAATGCAGGATGAGTCCTACTACTCTGCTCCAGCGCCAACTCGGGCAGCGGTGATAGCCCTCTTGCGCCAATCCATCGGAAGGAGAATCGACGCAGTTCCTTGTAGCTACGAACATATTTGCGCAACAGTTTTAGTTGGTCGGACTCCGCTGTCGAGTCGGATCCAGAGTACATGGTGATATCCAGAACACGAACCTTGGACCAACATTTTGCAGAAGCCGGATGCGCACTTATTGCTGGAGGTGACAGAGCCATGATGTCTGCTGAGCGAATATTGGAGAGAGTGAGTGTGTCTAGATGCTTGAGCCTGGCTTCCTCAATAGCGCAACGAAGAGATGCGAGTGCGACTTCCACTATGTCTGTGCCTTGTGCATTGGACGATATTGTTTCACCAGCTGCAGTGCAAGAGATTCTCAGGTTTTGCAAATTCGTCAGACAAGACATTGCGGTAACAAAAGATCGTGCGTTTGTAGCGGCGTGAAAGAGTGGTGGGTACTGCCGGATCAGCAACTGTGTTGTCTGCACGTCACCATATCTTGGTTGTTTGACCGAATTCTCAGCATTGCGGTCTTGAGCGATTGAAGGCTTCCACACAAATGGCTTTTGTTCTCCAGTCCAAGGATCTATGAGAGGTGGTAACGTCGTATCCATATTTCGAGATAGACGAAAAGTGACCTCCTTGATATGATGGCCTATCCTCTGCAGAGAAGCAAGTCTGGCCGGTTTACTGAACGATCGAGCCCGAAAGGTGACGTTGATGGCAGTAAAGGACTGGCTTGTGACGCGTTCACTGATACCATGGCACACAAGGCGCAGTGCAGAAAGATCTGAGCGTGCAAGAAGAGGNNGAAGCAGCGTGTCCCGACATCTCTCTACGTTCCAAAATTCGAGCAATGCTGGATTGGAGCAGAGTATAAGCCCGCATGTTGATCGTGCACTCGCGAAAGCTGTGCAAACCCTACGTCAGAACTATGATTGCTGTAGAGTATGCGTCTGTCTCTTACATTGGCTGCAGGAGACATCCAATTCGCCAAACAGCAGCCTTGAACCTGAAATATTCGACGATGAGGTTGAGAAGGCGGTGGAAGGTTTGCTGGTCAATGTTATTCCAGAAAGGCTCTTCCTTTCAGACTTCATTTTATGCGAAGATCAAAACAGCTTGTAATGTTTCTCGAATGGTGGGGTTGATCAATATAGTGAGAAAATGTAAGAGATGAACAGGGAAAGACACCATTAAGCATACAATAATACCTCAAACCTACCTCTGCTGGCAAGGTGATAACCCCTCATCTTCTTACACCTTCAGAGTTACACCCTGGCAAAGCACTTGCATGATCTTGGGCTCTGATACTCTTGGAATTTCACCCAAGACACGAATCTCTCGCGGTCGCGAAGACGTGTTCGAAGGCTTGGTTGGTTCTTTTATCCTGGTCTGCGTTAGCCGCCTGAGGTGTAGATCTCTTCGCCACGTTTCAGGGCTGATGAGAGGCCAATGGCTGCCGTTTTCTAAGCGCTTCGTCTGCATGCAATCAAGGCTTGTTCAAGACGCTTGAGCACAGGAGAATAGACCGAGTTCGAAAAAATGCTTTCAAGGCCATATCATGGCAAAAATACCACAGCAGCCTGTGAGAGGTCATGGTCTCTAGTTCCTCTTTGGATGGGAGAAGATGCAGTTCAATCACGTGCCAATGTAATGACTACAGACTTCGGATACCAGCACAGAGCGAAAGACTGCATGAACGGTCAGCCTTGTTGTTGATGTTCAATATGCTCTTTCGCCTTGTGACCTCCAGCAGTCGTAATGCTCGAGGTGGTGCATTTGGGTTTAGCAAGTTTGGACATTCAGGCGATATCCCACAGAGTGCCATTTGCTCAATGGTTTTAGCAGATTCGAGGTCACTGCAACATGGATGCGCATGCATGGCTGTTGTATATGATAGTCAACGGTCAACTAGTCAAGATCATCTCAACGAACGGCTCGGCGTAGATAAACCGTGATCAAAGATGCGATGCGACCGTTAGCATCAAGACATGGGGAAGAGCCGCTTCCAGTGTTGAACTGAGACATGGCTATCACGATGCCAATAATGCACGCGTTAAAGATGAATAACAAAGCATGACGATCGGACGAGTAGACGAGATGAAAATCGTGCTTAGGCGAACCTTGGAAGAGGGCCGTGACTGTCAAAGGCAAGGCTCGGACCGGGGGTAAGCGTTGAAGCTTTGCGAAATGAGATGCAGGGCGACTGAATTCACAATCATGGAGGGCTGGAGCGGAGCTGAGAAGAGGGGCCGAAGCATGGTAAGCACAAAGGATTTAGACGAACAAGACTATTGGCATAGGGCAGGGCTTTATAGAGGAGTCAGGCAGATGATACGAGCGGGCGCTGGGTAGGATCGGAGTGGACTGAATGTCTCAGCCATAACATGGAATACCAAGCATAAACAGCGACGCCAGCAGGCCGTTGCGGGTGCAGATTAGGCGTGCGGACGGACAAATTGTCAACACAAGACAGAGTTTAGTCGCAGTCAGGCAGCAGAAGCACCTGGAGAAGAAAGTTGCGGCTAGAGGGACGGTCTTGAGAAAGGGCTCTCAATTGCTCGCCTGAGTGTCGAGATGGTAGACTCGTAAGAGTAGCGGAGCGGCGGAGTAGACACTCATGGCCGTGCTTGCCGTGGCCGTGGGAAGCAGCGGAAGAGGACTTCGGGTCTGTGCATGCTCATACGTCAACGGTGATGAACAAGCACGAACAACTTAGTCTAAAGAGTGAAGTGGTGCACCGTTTTCCTACGCCTGCCAGACTAACTTGGGCCTCCATCCGCTCTCTTTCTGTCTTCTCTGATTTCTCGCCTCTCACACTGGCGCTGGCCATGTACGCACGCCCACGGCACACCACGCATATCGGAGATTGATGCGTCCTACGACCTCGACATGACGAGCCAACAAAGCAGCTGGTGGTCCCGAGTAAGCGGCACAGGCAAGGTCGGCTTCGACAAGGCCTGGAACCTCGTCGACAAACTCGGTGCTCCTGTAAACAAACTGAGCAACAAGCTGGGCTCCGAAGCCTTCTGGCCCACCACCCTCGACAAGGAGAGCGACAAGGCCGCGCGCATTCTGCGCAGTTTCTGCAGTGCGTCCAATCCATTCCAAGCCTGTACTGTGCTTCCCACTAACCACCCCGTTCAGAGNGATGGCTTCTACCAAGAAGAAACGACAACTGCGACTACCGACGGCCCCAAAGCGAAGCAAAAGGTCCTTAAACACATTCCACCAGAAGTGCGTCCATTCAATTCTCTCCAATCCAGTCTGAACTCCCCTCCTCCTAACACCGCATAGGTCATCAAGAATGCAAAAGGTCTCGCCATCTTCACGACAATGCGCACCGGTCTCTGGGTCTCGGGTGCCGGTGGTTCCGGTGTCTTGGTCGCTAGAACTCCAGACGGCAGCTGGTCGCCTCCTTCCGGCATCATGCTTCACACTGCCGGCCTCGGTTTCTTGGTCGGAGTCGACATTTACGACTGTGTAGTCGTCATCAACTCTCAAAAGGCCCTTGACGCCTTCTCCAAGATCAGGTGCACTCTCGGCGGAGAAGTCAGTGCTGTCGCTGGTCCTGTAGGAGCCGGCGGCATGCTCGAAACCGAAATCCATAAAAGACAAGCTCCCATATTCACCTATCTGAAATCGCGCGGCTTCTACGCTGGTGTTCAGATCGACGGTACCGTTGTCATCGAAAGAACCGACGAGAATGAGCGCTTCTACAACGAAAAGATCTCTGTTGGTGACATCCTAGCTGGCAGAATACGCCATCCGCCTCTCGAATGCCGCCCTCTCCTTGAGACTATCAGAGCCGCTCAAGGCGACAGCAACGTCGACCAATCTATTCTTCCATCCGCCCCACCGCCTAGTGACTTAGATATTGACAATCCCGACCATTTTTTCGGCATTCCTGACAAAGAGGACCCCGACCCGTACGGTGTCCTGGCTCTCGAAAAAGAAGGAATGAGCATTCGCGAAGCAGGAACACAAAAACGAGCCAGCTGGGAACAGTTTAATTTCCAGCCTGCTCCTACTAGCCCTATATTCAACACCTTTAGTCGCCAAAGCTTGGACAAGAATGGCAACCGCAACCGCAGCAGTAGCAATTCTACCTGGAAGACGTCTAACCTCTCGCAAACTGCCATTTCGACTGCTAGCACAGCAGTCGAGCAGCCTAAGCGCGTCAGTGTCACACGTTCCATGTCAGACATGTGCACACAAACAGACTTCCCCGAGCCCATCAGCCCACGCGTGGGCAGCTTCCGCAGTCGTCAAAGCAGCCTCCACGAAATCGCCGAAGACAACACTGTTGTTTCTGAGCAGCGCCCCAAAGTTGCTCGCAATCCGAGCTCGCATTCAAGTCGTTCAAGCCCGAGACGTTCCTCGTTCCGTTCGTCGCATCGCCGCACTGACAGTGGCAGCGACTCCCGCTCAGACTCTCCACCACAACAAGCAACTCCTGCGAAACCTGAACACAAGGACATTGCAGAAGAAAGCTTCGATGAGGTTGATGGCGACGGTGAGGACACTGCTGACGAAGCCATTATCGAAGAGCCTGTCGTGCACTCGGTCCAAAAGGCTACGGCTCCTCAGTTCATCTCTCGTGCTCGTCTTGTCGAGGTCCCGAAGCGTATCACACCAAAACTTCCTCCTCGCAACCCCAACCGCGGTAAGGGTCCAGTTGTTATCAACGCTGAATCTGGAGCCCAGCGTCCTTCTTCCACAGAGCTATCAAGCCCTGAAGAGTCACCTCTCAAAACCAACAAGCCTGACTGGAGCGCGCCGGCGAGTCCCAACAAGCTAGACGCCGACAGCCCTGGATTTGCAGACCCCACTCCTAGTCCTGGCGAGGAACGAAACCCCTGGGGCCAGATCTTGGAACAGCACAGAAGAAATGAGAGTAAAGACTCTCTCGACATGCCTGGAACGTTCCACTCTTTGCCTGCAACACCGGATGAGACGAGAGAAGGCGCTCATGCATTCTAGACAGAAGAAATGCTCTGAGTAGAGGTCGTCTCAGATATACTGCCTTCCATCTTTGGCATCGGTGAAATATCTCAACGTCGGTCCGGAACTTCAAGCGACTCATCTTTGTGCAGATATTGCATTGGATTACTTAATTCTCTTTCCCTTTTGTTCAATGATGTTACGACAGCGGATTCTTTTCGTTATTTTTTTGCAGACGTATCTTGCATGACTCGGCGCAGGGGTGGCAAGCAGTTCAGAACCAGGATTCCTGGTTGCAAACCATATGGGTGGACGTTTTCATATCTCACATATTTCACATATCCTCCTGAACTTCAGACTTTTTCACATTATCATGTCTATATGCCCACAACTGTGGATTGAGTAGCTCTAATCTGTTGGTTGTATGTCCGCATCGTTTCTTCTCACAGTGCATATGCCTCGCTGGCGGTTCCACTCCATACTCGTTCCTTTTCTTGTTCTGTACAATCTCTTCGGCTCAGCACTTCTTCTACTACACTTGTCCAGACAGGCCAGCTTCCCTCCCCCTTCGGCCCTTTCACGTTACACACTGGCCAGTCACTTCCGAACATGACTCTTTGCGGACCGAATGCATCAAAGACAACGTTTGTCCATGGTTGGATCCTGGTTGCTATTTCCTTGGGATCTGCTGTGTCAACCGGAGAGGCATTGTTGCTGAGTTCCGAAAAGGCGCCAGAAAGTTTCATGTAGACGTGAGGGTAGGAAGCGAAGGTTTGAATGCAGTGTTTCCATCGTGAAAAGGAGTCAGAGGACTTAGACGTATACTCTGGTTTGCACATGTGGTCNNTGTTGCAATGTTAGCCAACCCATAAAAGCAAAAAGGCCCGTACAGAGAGTGTCTTCTTACTCATGACTATCACTGTTCTCTCGTCTTCCGGGACGTTGTCGTACAGTTTCTTCAAGACTTTGGCGAAGGTCTCCAATTGCCAGGTGCCACCACTGCGTTGGTCGATTCCCACATCGAAGGTAAACTNTTTGTCTCGTCGAGAGAATGACTTCAAGATGGAGATAAAGTCATCACTCAAAACCAGGTTCTCAAATTCAGATTTATTGGTGATGGCTTGCAGCAAGAATCGAAAGCCTTTGACGCGCTTCCAGGTTTCTGGTCCAGTAGTCTTTTCAGCTACGTCTAGCCATTGAGAAAACACAGCCGGTCCTTGATTCACAGGTGCCCATGTCACAATGCCTTGGAGCAGATTCGAGGCTTCAGCGCCATATTCACCCTCGACGATGCTGCGTAGAAATTGCAGTTCCTTGATGGGTTCTGCAGCCCAAGTCTCTAGAGGTGATGAAGAAGGTTCTTGTAGTCGGCGGTCCGTCTCTACGTAGACCACGCCAGTGGGTGGACAAGGAGACGATGTGGTTGTGTAGTCGGAAAGGATATGCTGCTTTGAGAGAATAAAATCAGGGTCATTCATCCATGCGTGGCCTTTTGCATCTGCAGCAGATGCAGGCCAGAGGTGAATGTGGCTGTCAAGGATTGGGTGTTGGGGTGCCATGATTGGTGGTTTGTCCCTTCTCGTGGTAAGAGAGTATATTGTCGCGGTCGGTGAGAAGATGGAGCGTAGAAGCGGTGTCGGCAGAGGATGAAACAAAGCCATGGACTCAACAGCCGACAGTTGGGCTCAGTCCTCGCCGACTCGGTGTGTCTTTATCGACACTCTTGTTGTGGGCGCTCTTTCTCGGGGCAGATCTGTACCGAGCAGCGAGCAACTTCTGGGGAACGTGGGGCTCCATCATGGCCCGACCCCTCGGTCTTCTTCGCGGCCAATGTTGCGGCAGTCGTGCACCTCCGTAATAAGAACTCCGCCTTGCCCCTCTTGCTGTAGTTCAACAAAAGGCCTCGCTGCTTTGATCTCTCTGCCCACTTTGATATACCGGTTCCTCTAGATTCAAAATGGTTTTCTCTCCTCCTCCCTCGGGCATCTACGTNCCCCGTACGTTCATCTTCAGCCCCGCCAAACGACGCTTCGTGACATTGACAAGCTTGCAGGTGCCCACCTTNTTCGCTTCTCAGTCAGCATCCAACTATGACCCTGTCAACAACCCTCTAGATCTCGAGACTCAAACCAAACACTCCCTTTTCCTCGTCAAGGGTGGAGTCCGTGGTCTTGTCATTCTCGGTTCTACTGGAGAAGCCATTCACCTCACCAACAAGGAACGTAACGAGCTCATCACCAGCCAGCGCAAGGAGCTTGACAATGCCGGTTACAAGGACAGACCTATCATTGCCGGGACTGCCACACAAAATGTCGAGGAGACTCTAATACAGCTCGAGGATGCCAANAAGGCTGGTGCTGAGTACGGCATGGTACTCACACCTGGTTACTTCGCTTCGGCCGCCAGCCAGCAGGGTATTGCCAAGTGGTTCGAGGCAGTAGCTGACAAGAGTCCCATTCCCATCATGATGTACGTATGGTTGCAGCCTCACACGTTTCCTGCCAGCACTGACGCCTGATACAGCTACCATTACCCTGGCGTGACCAACAACATCGTTGTGGCTCCTTCGACCTTTGAGCGGCTCGCACAACATCCCAACATTGTTGGCTGCAAGCTATCTCACGGCGACATTCCTGACCACACTTTGATTGCTTCATCACCAAAGATTGATTCCTCGCACTTCAAGGTCTTCTCGGGACTGGGTCAAAACCTCCTGCCTGTGCTTACTGTTGGCGGCCAAGGAGCCATCGATGGGCTTGCAGGCATCTTNCCCCGCGTCGTAGTCAAGCTGTTCAACATGTTCCAGGAAGGTGCAGACAACAANAAGTTGCGTGAATTGCAGTTCAAGATCTGTGAAGGTGAGAGATTAATCGGTAGATGGGGTACTGTTGGCATCAAGGAGGCGATTGCAAGATGTTGGGGCTTCGGTGACAAGGAGGGGGCCAGACTACCGCTACAAGGTGGCTTCCAGGGTGGTGAACAAGAGTGGAGCAACTGGAGCGGCGTGTATGAGGGACTGAAGCAGTTGGAGCAAGAGCTCGAGAAGAGTGGTTAGATGACTTTGATGATCAGGCTATGAAATGAAATAATCTAGTAAAACTTCTGTGCCATAAGAGTTAGCATGGGAGATGGATGGATGTGAAGAATGCGATGCTGAGTTTTTGGGCGGTTGTATCAGAAAGTGAGAAGATATTGGATACTGGTTTTGAAATCAAGCAAACGTCCAACGCGCGACATCAAAGTGAGGCTGTTCGAAACAAGCGGATCATATGGCCCCAGCGTCTTTCATCAGGATGTACATGGGAGTGAGAGACAGCTCGCTTACCTTGGAAGAGTTGTTTCCAGGTGAAAGAGGTGGGCGCCGACTAATAACAACCCCGAGCAAAAGCAAGAGACAGGCAAGAGGGAAAGAGAGGCTGATCAGGTCAGGAAGGCGGAGACAGAGAGAGGAGGATGGTCCAAGCGCCGAGCTCCAAAGATTCGCGATCAAACCAAGACGCGAAACACTCAAGCATTTATTGTTTGCATTGATCTTATTCACATATTCAACATTATCTGGACACGAGCGCATACAGGAGCCCCCCATACACATCACATGCCTGCGAGATAGACGACCATGTTCAAGGTGCCCGACTCAGACCCGCCGTCGACGCCCAATTCGCGCCGCGACAATGACCATCCGTCGACAACACCCGCACACCCTCCACCGACCGGATACACGAATGCCTCCTTCACTCCAGCCGGCCCTCCACCTCCCAGCGTCTACGGCAGCTCGCTCTTTGACGAGTCTCGCAACACTTTCCACACCCACTCCAAAGCCCAGAAGCCTGCCTTCGCCGTGCCTAGCAGTCCACCGCGCAACCATCACCAAGACTTCGACGACGACATGGATGCCGATGGCGAGAGCATACTAGACGACTACCCCAACAATCAATTACCCGCCTTCAATTCTGCTTTTCCATCTGCCTTCCGCTCAGTCAACAAGCCGACACAACCCACAGCTATGCTCTCATCACCCCGTGGTCTGAAGCGTTCACGTTATGGCAATGTCATGGGCGATTCCTTGCGTCAGTCTACCGGCCTGCGCATCGACAAGGACAGACAGACTGCCATTCCCGGCATTGCAAAGAAGATGGCTGCCAAACCCGCCCCACAACTGAACGAGAGCGACGAATTCGTCTTGCGCACCGATTCCCTCATGGCCCAATTGGACGCTGACACCAAACTCGCAAATACACCTGTCGTTCCCAACCGTACAGCACAACAACTGGGTCAGCTCTGGCAAAAACATGCCCAGGTCAAGTCTCAATCGGGCTCCATTGGTCCCAAATCAAACTCTGGTCTCGACAAAGCAAACTATCTGGCACAACTCGCCCTCCGTCTGCATCATCCCTTCTCCACATCCACCAATGCTCCTTCCAGATATCAACCTTCCAACGCCTACTCCAACCTTGTCATGTCCTCAGACCACCCTACCTCGATCCCGTCTGCCCTGCTCAATTGGCTGAACACCTACCACAACCCCTTCCCTGATGATCTCACAGACGTCATACGCCACCGTCCTACGCCCGTTGCCCATGATCGATTCTGGGACATGGTATATGCCTGCACGTTGCGCGGTGATGTACTTAACGCTATCAACTTATTAGAAACTGCCGATTGGTCACAAGCTGAATCTGCAATTGAAGATGGTTACGATGAACCTGGATACTCGGGAAGCCACCTTCACGCTATTCGTGAAGTTGTCAGCCGCTGCGTGGACCTCCTTAGCACCTGTCCTGCTGTCACCGAGAACGATTGGGATGTCAAGGGCTCTGACTGGACCATCTTCCGCCACCGTGTTCGTCGCGAACTCCAAGATCTGCAGGACTTTGCAGAAGCAGACAGTCGTGACAAGGACCAGTTTCCAGCGGCACCCTTTGGCAGAGTGAGCATGAGTTTCAGCACCGCCAGCCGCCGAGCCGAGAGCAAGGTGCCTTGGCTCATATACGAGAGTCTGAAGACCTTGTATGGTCAACTGCTGGGCAAGAGGGACGAGATCATGGTTGCTACTCAGGATTGGTTGGAGGCCGTCATCTTTCTCACTGCCTGGTGGGACGGTGAGGACGACGACGTCATCTCGGATGATTTTGCTGCTAGCAGACGTTCCATGCGCCAGTCACAGTCGATGCGTCAAGTCGACATCTCGCCTGTATTTGCCTACAAGAAACAACTGCTTTTAGCTTTCGCCGCTACCACCGACAAACCTGATGAAGAAGAGTTTTACCTCAATACAGTCAACCCCGTCCATGTCGGTCTTGCCTGCATCTGTGAAGATGACATCCAGGGCCTTATCGGCATCTTGAAGTCGTGGTCTCTGCCTGTCGCTTCTGCTCTTGTTGAACTAGCTACTGTTGCAGGTTGGATGCCCACTTCGGCAAGCAACATCCTAGACGCGTTTGACCAAGACGACTTGATGGTTTTGAATCACGCCCAGCCAGCGCAGCCCGACTTGATCAAGCGTGATGATGTTTTGATACAATATGCCTCAGTATTGGCCAAGAAGGATTCATTCAAGAGTGCGACTGGTAAACCTGTGCAAGAAGGCTGGGATCTCGCTTGTCGTGTACTTGGTCGTCTTGATAGCTTCGAGACAGCCGAATCAAAGATCTCGGATGTGCTGAATCAGATCACCCTTGACTCGACGACGCGAGTGGATAAGGTCCTCGCTGTTCTCAACGAGATTGGTTTGCCTGATCAGGTCCGCGAGATCGCCGAGCGCTATGCCGATGATCTGGCAGCTTCCAGTCAAGACTATGGCAGCGCTTTGGTTTACTACGCACGTGCTCACGCCTCGCAAAAGCTTCGCAGTACCATTGATCTGCTGATCTCATTGTGTCTGGTGCAGAGTGCTGCCTTCCCTCCACAGGCAATTATCGATCCGCAATTAGATGCTCTGCTCAACGATCAGCATGCCACTCTACATCAGGTCGCACGCCAGGACGTTGCAGCTGCTCAACTACTTGCATCCCAGCTTAGTGGTTACGCAACGCTGCGCCGCTTCTATGACTTGCGCGATGCAGATGCTGCCAAAGACGCAGCAGAAGCCGATGTTGAAGATGACGAGGAAGCAGCGAGCCGCAAGCCTGGTATGTTGAGACCTTTGGCCCGGAAACGTGAAGCAGCCAGAGCCTTGATGGCTGTCATCGAATCTGCCGCAGACTCCATCCGTGGTGGTTTATACGACCCTGAGGCCCAGTCTGTAGTGCAGGTAGATGCTTTGATGACTTTGTTGTGTGAAGCATTGCCTCTTATGAATCGTNNAAGTCCCCTCTATCAACCTTTGGCATGTCTAAAAGAGGAAAAGTCACTGACCTGAAGAACAGAAACAAAGCAAATCTTGAAGACACCACACCTCCTTACTTTGATTCGCGCAGTCGAAGACCTCGAAACGATCACCCCTGGAATTTACGCTCAGAACTCGGCTGTCTTCAACGCTGCAATCAACACATATCTTTCAAACTCTAACACGCCTAGTACTGCTACACCACCATCCTCAACGCCCGATCTTAGCAAGTCAATCGCAGGCTTGAAGCAGAGTGTGAGCTGGAATATGGTCAACAGCAGCGGCAGCATTGCTTCCGAACAGAATGGCAATGGTGTCGATTCCAGTGCTGGCGTGATGGGAGGTATACAGGTGAAGAGGGCTTGGGACTGGAGAGTTGGAGCTGTGTACATGAAGGGCAAGAGCGTCAAACCCGAGGACGTCATGAGAGTCTTGAGATGCCAAGTGGCGATCGAGATGGGTAAGGTATGGATGTAGATGTCCCTTCCTTTTGCGGCAGCGTCATGGTTTTGGGTGCAAAATGGTTTTCTTGTCACGCAAGAGATTTTGAGGGTCAAGAGGAGGGAAGGAACAATGCATATACACCTGCTCTCGATGAGCATCTTCGAAATGACAAAAACACAAGAATTTACCGTCACAAATGTACAGTTCCTGATCCTGGAACGCTTACTGTTACTGTCCCTGCTGAAGAATGAGCGGACGACCTAGGCTGAGACTATCCTCCACTTTCTGAATTTGATACAGAAACTATAATCTTTCTGTCAGTCTTCGTATACGCTACTGACTCAACACCATACCCCATGTATTGCGTAAACAACAAGTGTATGAAGGCCAACAATCCATTAGCCATGGTAGAACAGGACAGTGAAGACAAGATCAATGTGTTACGTCTTGGACAGGGTCATACACCCACCACATCACCTCGACTGTCATCATTGTCTTGAGAATCTCGAAAAGAGCAATATAAATGCAGATCGAATGCAGTCGTCTATAGACAAGGAAGTTGTATAGGGGTGTTCGTTCGGGGCAAAGATGTGACATGGTTCGATTCGAAGAACCAGTAAAATCAAGGACAGATTTAAGGTGATCGAGTGATACTTCCAGGTTGTCTGAGGAAGACAGAAGAAAAAGTCAAAGGCATGTCTTAGGGAATTGAGCTCATATGAATATTTGATGTGCTTGAAGTTGAAAATGCAATGACTGTGACATGCTTGTCCGTGATATCCATTCCCATGCCCAGCGCTATGCAAGAGAAAGCAAGAAAAAAAGCAAAACCATAAACTCCTTGAGCTTGCCCACTAGAGAGCAATAAGATCTACATTAGCAAAATCAGGCGGGCTTTTCCTAAATACAACCTTGCCTTTTGCGTTCAGCGCAGTTCCTTCATTGCTGATCCAGATATTGGCCTTCGGAGTCCTCTTCTCAGTCTCTGGGTGTATATCATCGACAGTGCTCATGCGCTTGGTTCTCTCGATCTCGTCGTCCGATATTCCAAGATTGTCACGCGGAATCCAAACGACTGGCCTACGGGCGCGGAGCGCAGAGTGTTGGAATGAATAGCGGATAAGTGTGTCGCGCTCTTCAGGCGTCAAGTCTTCCAGTTCGTCGCTGAAACCACCAAAGAGCACATCACCAACCTGCCTCTGGGCCTCCATGTCTACCTTGGCGGTCTGAGGGTCCACGTCTGTGGCAGTGGGTCTAATGCCGTCGAAACCATGCGCGTGTGGTCGTGCAATCCTGCGCAAGTGGCGAACAGGTTCACTGACCTGCTTGACTTTTCTCCAGCGGTCACCGCTGTTATTATTCGCAGGCTTAGTGTCCATAATAGCGGGTGTAGGACGCTCAGAGTGAACACCAGAACCATAGCTTGACATGCGAGTGCTGGTACGTCTGTGCTCATGAATCATTCTACGCTCCTCGGCAAGTGCCCTCTCCTCTTCTTCGGCTTCTTTTCTCTCGCGTTCTTCCATTGTGGTTTCGAGATCGTTCTGTAGTCGCTCGTGCTCTCCTTCTTGGTCAGCCAAACTCTCCCATTTGAGACGTTGAGCACGAGCGAACTCTTCGTCGCGAATGACAGCATCGTCTTCCAGTGTGATTGGCAAGTATCGGAACAATGGTGCAAATGCATCATTCAGAACCCATTGGAAGATGGCGGTGCCCACAAGCATGACAATCATGATTATGGCCTGGGCTGTACACTTGTCTTTTCCCGGGAAAGCAAAGAATAGACCAATCATAGCGATCTCCATGACATAAAGCCCAACAAACAATTGGTTGATGGCTCTGGGAAACAGTAGACCTCCTGTGTCATGACGGTATTGGTAGACGTAGAGCGTATTGTATCGCTGTGTGATCCAATAAACGCAGAATACAACGAGATTGAACACCATGATCAGAGGTGCGATGATCGAAAAGATGATGCCAATGACTGCGAAATTTGTGAATGGGGGAAAGAACGATCCCCACTTCACTATGTTCAGACTGGTCTGCCTCTTCCACTTCTGGCGGGCTGTAGTGTCTACGATGGGAGCCCACAGAAACCACTGCAACAAACCAGCAACCTGTAGCAGTGCACCTGCGCTGTTGTTGAGGGCCTGGACAGTCAGATAAGAGAAGAAGTAGTTTGAGGCTCTTGGCAAGTTTGACGCGAGAGTCTGTGGAATCTTCGAAGTCTCAGTCGCAACCTCCTTGAAGAACGCGGGTAATCCAGATGACAAGGTCACAATGAGGAAGACCTGGATGAACAGAAATGCGAAATAGTAGATCTGAACACCCATTTCTCTGCCATTACCTGTAGCAACTCCTGACTGCTTGACCAAAAGTCGAAGTATGATAGGAACCAACGCAAGTACAATACTCAGGAAGATTGGAGGCAGAACACCCTGGACCAAGTCTACAGCTTTGGGTGGTAGCTTGCGAATCCATGACAACCACGAGATAGTCTCCAGGGTGTTGAGGGTTGACAGGAACCCAGATACAACAACCACAGGCGCCCAGAGGAACAGCATACCAACTACAGCAGCGAAGATGATGCCGCTCCGCAGATAGCGCTCCCACCATTTCATAGACATGTTGTCCCACAAGACATCAGTAGGCGAGATTTCTACCAGGCGAGGTGTCATGTGTTGCGGCATGTGGTGACTGACGGACTGACAAGCCATATGAGCGGCAACTTGGTGGTTGAACTGAATGAAAGCTGAGTTCATGAAGGGGAATCGTTCCACATCTTGCTGATCCTCTTCGATTTCGACATTCAGCCGGGCAAGCTCTTTGCGAAGATAATAGATCTTGTCAATCTTTTTACCCATCAGAGGTAAGCGAGGCCACCACGACAGGTTGAATATCGGTTCACGAAGAGTATCACGATCCTTGGGATCGATATAGAGCGTCCACAGGGCCTCAGTTTCCTCAGCGTCGGCAAGCTCCTGGTTGAAAGCTTCTGGATAGACAGGCTTCTCTTCATTATCATTTTTCTTCCAGAACATAATCCAACCGAATTTGTTAGCCCATTTGCTCTTTGAAACTCCTTGGGCGGCGTTCTTGTTGAGGTCGGGGTTCTGAGGCTGTCCGATAGTATGCAGAGGATATTCGTCTTCTTCCACGGCGTGAGGTTGAGGGCTTGGAATAGGCAAGGGAGTTGCCTGCACCTGTTTTATCAAGGCATCCCACGCTCTTCTAGGCGCACCTCTGGGCTTAGTGGCTTTGTCCTCGTCAGACGTGGTTGATCCTCTGATGCCAGACTTTGGACTGACTGTCCATGTCTCCTGGCTCTTAGTCTGAGTATTTGTTGAGGAAGGCTCGCTCTGATCGGAACGACTGGTTTCTGGAGGTTCGACACGATCTAGGACTGCAACGTCCTCGGGTCTTCTGAGCCCGGTTGGGACTGCAGGCTCGAACTTGTTGCTTTCGGATCGGTGACTCTCTCTTTCGACTTCCGGAGGATCAAGAGATACTCGAGCAGCAGAAGGTATGGGAGCAGACATGGGCGCTGGAGCAGGTGCGGGCCCAGGTGCCGGTACCGATGCATCAAATGCAAGTCTTTCGGCAGGGGCAGGCTTGTTAATATCATCAATGTCTGCGTAGAAGCCTGTCATGTTGTTGGCCTGATCTACCGAATCATTAACGTTGCGAATGACACGGTTGACATCGTCAGCAACTTCGCCGACCACCTTGCGACCGAAGTTACCGATTGCACCAAATCCATGACCAACAGCACCGAATCCCTGACCAAGCCTGTCTCGCAAGCGTTCAGGAGACGAGCTTCTGTGTTTGTCATGTCTGTGCTCGTCTTCCTCGATCTCTTCAAGAACCTCCTGCAGATTGTGCGGCACCTGATGAGGGTCTCCAGAACTGACACCATTGCCTTGGGCGATACGCTCGGCTTGTTCATCAGCTCTAGCCCTATCTTGTTCCTTTTCTTCCTTAGTTTTTGTTTTTCCTTGCTCTTTAGCTTTCTTGGCCTCCATTTTCTTGTGCTTCTTGACGCATTTTTGGATCAGATTGGTCTCTGCTTCTTCGAGGTTCCGGGCGATCTTGTCGCGATCCGAAACCTTGTCGGCAAGATCGTCGAAGTTTCTGTTGATCCAGATGTTGCGAATACCTCCAGGGAAGACATCGTACAAGCCATTCAGTGCATCGACAGTCAGCCACTTTCTAGGAATGCCGCTGACAAGCACAGTGGTAGCCGAAGCGCGAATGCGGTGTTGTGGAGAAGCGAGGTAGGCCTGTCGAATGCGGATGTAGCCACGGAGTTCGGTGACGATGACATATAAAACCCAGCAGATGGTGAGAACAGCCAGGACAAGATGAGCCCATGTGCGTTGAGAGTGGGCAGCGGGAATATTTCTCCAACCCAGTTGGTCAGGGCCTACTGTACAATCCGAGCAACTGAGTTTGTTGATGGGCAAGAGTATAGGAAGAATGACGACCGAGAGGGGGATGAATATCTTTAGCAGCATGCGCAAGAAGCGCAGGAAGAAATAAGCATCAAGACCACATTTCTCAATGAAAGTCTGATTAGGTGTACGGAAGAGGGGTACAGTCCATTGCCACAAGCCTTGCGGAGGCGCTGGCACTCGTTCACGTTCGGCAACTAGATAGGATTTGGGACGNNACTGTAGAAAGATGGTCAGCCAGAGACAGGACGTGGCAGGCGGAGAACAAGTATCCTACTAGATTCTGCTGAGGCGGAAACGCAAGAGGACAAAAGCAAGCAGCTGGCCTCCTAAAGACGCAAGAGCAACGACAATCGAAGAAAGGAGCGTACCCCAGTCTTGACCGACAGTGTTCAATGCAGCACCACAGCCAGCGTTGAAGAGCCCCTTGCCGCAGCTGGCCGAGGCTGACGCTGCAGTGGTTGTAGTTGACATGACATAAAACTGCGACAGACTGCGACACACAAGGGGACTCCTTAGACGAAGATGGTCGTGACTGAAGGCAAATGTCCCATAGCACTTGCAGTGGGGTTTGCAAGGGTCTTTGTCTAGCGACCGCCGAGAGTATGAGGGGTGGGATCCCTGCCAGGAATGTCGGGAGCAAAGAGATGCAGGTCTGAGGAGAAGGACGATGAAGGACTGGGTGCGGACAGTCAGTTAGTTACTTGTCTCGCAGCTCGTTGCCCGCAAGCCATACGGACATGGTGCCGTATTCGTGCCCGCGCCAACACAAACTTGCTGTCGAACCGAGATCAAGGTTTAGACTCGCGCCTGCCCATGCCTAGATTCGCTCTCCACCAATCACCTTGATGCCGACCCCTTTCTTGGCCTACGTGGACGGTATGTGCACGGCTTTATTTCCACGGCTGGTCGATCAGCATCAAACTGGAACTGCGCAACCAAGACTTGATTCTGGCCATCTATATTGAGCGCCAGTACTCATGTGATCTGAACCCGCCTCTTACGAAGTCGGCGCTCTCATCTTGATCGCTGTTGTGCTCATACGTCCAACATCAAGCGCTCATTCACGTGTGGCGCTTGTCGAAACATGACCGTCAATTGTCCCTGTCGCAACCTTGAACGACCAATTTCATGTCTGCTCTAGCCATATGTATATCAGAGATTTGGTCTTCAGCACTCGACTCTAATCTAACTTATCTTGTCTATGACTACTCTTAGTTTTCAGAATTGCTGCATCTCTATCAAGTAGTTTTCGTCTGTCTGCAAGCCTTATACACCTGCAGGCTCCACGGTCTCAGGGAATGCGTTTTCTCCCAAACGAGCCCCGCAAGCTTGTTTCCAGTGTTTGGGAGTAAACTTGTCCACAATGTCTTTGAAGGCCTCGAGGGTACACAAGCTCTCGTCATCACCATAATGCTTTCCAACTGGTCTACACCCAGGAACCTTCATGGGCCGGTCGTTGTAGCGAAGGCGCACGTAGTAGCCATTCAACTTTTGCTTGTCGGACTCGGAAAGATTCGTCAAGGGAGTGCGAGGAGAGGCGTCTGGAGTCAACATGCTCTTGGCTGGGAACAGCGAGCTCCACCAACTACCAGTGGTAATTGCGGGCTGCGCAGCCGTAGGACTTGTGCGATCCTTGAACAACTCGATGGCGATGTGACTAGTGTATGGAGGCCACGGTTCGCCGTGGAAGGCCCCCATACTGCTTAGCACAGCAGCTAGAGTCGTGTCGTGGCAACCAGACAGAGCCATGTGTATGTCGCTGTTGCTGCTGCTCGGCGCTCTAGTTTTCTCGACCATACGACTTACGATGTCGCCCATGAGTCCACCGATACCTTTGATACGTCAGCAACACCCACCAGAAGTTTCTGCGGTGTAATCTTACCAAGTTGACGATACCTAAAGCGAAGGTACGATTAGCAAGATGTCAAAAGGTTAGACGGGGAACACCACGGCTTGGCTAGACGAATACGCGCAACTCTGCGAGACGCCGTCCTGGATGGTGTTTCATCGAAACACATTCCAGAGACTTCACGTGCAGACTGAGGCAGAACGCCGGCACTAGTCGTGGTGTTCGTACCTTCGGTTTAACTTACTCTCTGGATTCCATGTAGCCCGAAAACCATTCCTCGACGCCGATCTTGTCAATGATTGCCCTGCCCTTCGGGTCATAAAACTCCTTCGGTAAGCGGGTCTCTTGGGGGTGAGCAAGAGTCGAATTGACAGTGTCCATGATACCACTGTAATCAGTCAGAGAGCTGTGACATATATACGTGCAAGAATGTCGACAAACCTCAATCTTGGATGACCATCAACCTTGACTGTAGGCGAATCTTCAGGCATCCATTTTCCGAACATCTTGTTGAGATATGCCATGTCTGGTGAGTCGTTCCAGCGATCCGAAGTTCTTTGAGCAAAAGCCTGACTAAGCTGAGCAAAACGCCGACAAGCTCCCTCATTAGGGAAGAGCGTCTCATGACTAGGCTGACGCTGAATGATGGTTGGGGGAACGAAGCCAGCTGCTCTTGACGAAGGAGGATACAATCCATAGAAAGTCTGCTGAACAGACTCAAGAGCTCTGGGGATAGGGGTGGCTCGCAGGTACATATGATTTGCGTCCTGTAGAACGGCAGGCATGAAACCAAGCTGGTCCACGTACAAACCACGCAGGCGTTCGCCCAAAGCTAAAGTGGAGGCGCGGCCTTGATCAGTCAATTCACCAGGAAGACTAGGAAGAATGCATTAGCAAGGCCTCAGCTGCTCGATTGAGTCAAATGTACCAAATTCCATCAGTTTCACGTCCAGGGCCATGAGACAGAACAGGTGAATCATCCTTCTCGTCGAAAGTTTCGAGTCTTCGTCTATAAGCCAGCTCGTCCCATGAGTCGTTCGCTGACATGATCACACTGCGGAGATGCTGTGCGGCATTACAATACGGCCAATCTAGGTTAGGGTCAGCAGATGGTTGGCCGAGAAGTAGAGACAAGACATACTCGCCGAAAGACCGGCCTGATAAGCACACTGTTAGTACTAAAGTATCAATGACAGACGTAGTGGTCAAAACATACATTCTTGAATCTGGCAGAAACTGGGGATCTTTCGCCTTTGCATAGTCAGAACAAGAAATCGAACGAATATAGGATACAGTCACACCATGTCTGAGGAGCTGTAGATATAGTGAGTATGGGGGTCGAATAGTCAGCTGTATCGAAAACTTACAACTTGGACCTGCTGCAGTGCCAGCTCCTTAGGGTAGAGTGTTTCAAGCTCGTCAGCAGTGTATTTCTCTCGAGGTACGAGGGTAGTCATGGCGTGCTGTCGGTAAGAGAAGAGACAGAGAGACGAATCAAGGGTGAGAAAGAAGAACTACAGGGAAGGGATTCAGAAAGGGGTTGATAGGACAAAGAACGGACGAATGATGAAGTGAGGTGTAGGTGGTTGGCTGACGGATCAAGCACGTGTGGAGCCGCAGCGATTGATGAGCACCGATGGGCACCAAAGCTTGGCAGGACAGTGGAAGCGCGGAACATGTGAAAGACAAGTTCCGACGCAACGAATAATTATTTTGTTGTTCTTGCTTCGACGTCGACAGCAACCAGCCAGGCTCATGTCCGGCGCTCGCGTTTGCATACAATGTTGTCGCTCTACGGTGCGGCGAGCAGTGAAGCTCGATCGCCAGCATTCCTGTTCACAGCACCAGCTGCGATACGCCTCGTCCTCGTCCCCATCCTACCACCTTGATGATCTCGTGTCAGAATTGCCGCGCAGCACTCGCTATTCACAGCCTCGACGGAAGTCTGCCACGTCTGCTCCTGGCCAATCTGGAAGCCTGTACGATTATGTAGCTGCAAAATCCACTCCTCAGCAGCCCACTCGCTTTCCGACAAGCACATCGACTCAGCCCCGTGCTGCCTCACAGCCTCGGAATCCTGACTTTCCTAGTCGAGTACCACCTCGTTCGAGAGACTCTCGAGATGCCTCCCTCATCCCGTACACGTCCAACTTGGAAGATCTGGTCGCAAACAACGATGCCAATGCTGCCTGGTCTTACTTTTCCGCCCACTACACCGATCCCAATTGCCCAGCCTTGGACCCCGCCTCCCTTCCCTTTCTCGACGTTTCGNNGAAGCACAGGAGAGGTTTTGTCTATACCCACCTTCTATCTCTGATGACTCGCTACTGGCTTACACAACTCAACTTGCATCAATCTGCTGAGAACATCACCTCCCCAGTGCCATATGCTGTTCTCAAGAAATTTGATGACCTCGGCATATCTACACCACCTATTGCTTCCTCTCTAGCCTTGTCCTTAGCAATTCACCTCCAGTTGGCTGCTTCGAAGGGTTTGGATGTCTTGGATCATCCTACAACAAAGATTGTCCTTACTCAGTTGTTTAAGACCTGGCCGTTGTGTATCTACCCGAACAAGCGCCATGCAACAAACTATCATCGCTTTCTGTCTTTGCTCAGAGCCCCAACTGATAAACCGGCAGACATCAGTCTATCACTCTTGCTCACACAAGATATTATGTGCCGAGTTACGTCTTTTCCAGAAGACCTCGAGGAATATCGATCACTGCTTCAGGCACTCGGCGGCGCGTGTTCAAAGGCACAGTTGAACCAAGCCGCTGTACGTCATATCGAGATGAAGCTCAAAAACCAAACTCGTGATGATGCTTTAGCATCAGCCGAACTTAGCCAAAGACTTTGTAGACTTCACACGGCCTCTGTACTCGAAACTCCCTCGCACACAGACTCTACGTCCATCGAGAACGCAACAGCAGCCCCCGAGTCTTTCGAGCAAAAAGCCAAATTATTCACCTCCAGCGTCAGTGCCGCTGCCAGCAGGCAGAATCTCGACAGTCTGGAACGACTTTGGGATCAGGCACAAGAGATATTCACAGACGAATCGTCACGAACGCCGGAACGTGCGTCTTCGACGCTCCGGCTGTATGAAGGGTTNTTGGTTGCTTTCTTCCAGCTGCGAAGACCTCAGTCTGGGCTGCAGGTCTGGAACAGCATGCTCCAGTCAGGTTTCGAACCGACTATTCGTACTTGGAACATTATGATGAAGAATTGCCACATTTCCCGAGACATTAATATCATGGAATCCATGTGGCAATCCATGAGAAATTCTGGTATCCAACCTGACGTGGTTTCATGGAGCACCAGAATATATGGCCATTTCCGGATCGGCGAACCTCGTGATGGCATGTCTGCGCTGGAAGAAATGGGAAGGGACTGGATCAACGCCCAAAACAGACGACGGTCAAAATCTGCCAGCCTTGAGGACACCTCAGAGGTTCCCAAACCTGACACTGTTATATTGAACTCGGCCATTTCAGCACTTCGTGGCAANAAGGCGGGTCATATTCCTAGCGTTCTAGCATGGAGCCGGCGCTTCAATATTGAGCCAGACGTAGCCACTTACAATGCGTTGCTTGCCATCTCGCTTGGTGGAGGACAGGCAACAGATGCGGCAAACATACTACAGCGTATGGCAGCGTCTGACATCCAACCTAATTCCGCGACCTTTACTATCCTGGTTGACTCAATGCTGTCGACAACGCTCGATGACATGACGCAAGACGAGCAGAAGGACAAAATTATAGACCTCATTTCTTCGTTCGAAGGGTGTGGCATGAAGGTCGATGTTCAGGGATATGCTCTGATCATCGATCGTATGCTCAAGGACCATAACAACCTGAAGGCGGCTAGAAGTGTACTGGCGCACATGACTGCTCGCAAGGTAGCATGTACACCTCACATATACACAATTCTCATGACGCATTACTTTGACGCCAATCCGCCCGAGCTTCTTGCTGCGGACGCACTTTGGAACGACATACAGAGTTCGAGACAGGAAGTAACAATGGACGTCATCTTCTACGACAGAATGGTAGAAGGATTTGCAAGACATGGCGATGTCGGCAGGACGATGGCCTTCTTAAATCGCATGAGCAAGGAGGGCAAGCGGCCTGGTTGGCTAGCCATGATTGCTGTAGTACAGTGTCTTGCGCGCAGCCATGAATGGGACAGAGTCGCACAGATAGTCATGGACTGTCACAAGCAAGAGGGACTCCTTAGCGTGGGTCTGCGAGGTAAGAAGGGACAGAAAGACTTCTGGGAGTACGTGGGAAGATTGGCGGACAACGAGCTTTATGGTAGCGAGCATGGCAGGGATGTCTTTGCGATTGTCGAAGCGCAGAGAGCGGCTCTTGGAATGTGACGCCACCAGTGACAATACAATCTAATATAGATAGACTGTATATGAAGCCAACAGCTGAGTCAGAATATGTCACTTTAACGTAAGAGCAAGCAGGACAGCCAAAGATAAGAGGTGGTGGAGGACATGTTGGGCGGGCGGAGCGCACGCCCGACGCGGGACGGGGAAGTTTTCTGTAACTCCGTCACTTACGTTTGCAAGCAACCGAGACAAGGACGGGCAATCAATATATAAGAAGATGCGCCGTTGCACATGACGGCCTTTTTCTCACCATGGCTTTAGCTGCCCTCCGCTCGAGTCGCAGTCTTGGGCCTTTGGTCCGCCGTCTGCGACCAGAAAGGCGCTGTATTGCGACGGCTACAGCATCGCCATCAGCGCCCGCCGCCCTCGACCACGATGGTCCGGCGCTCTCGCTACCGCACCAGATCGACGTGACCAACAGGCGGCAGGCCATCAAGCAAGCAAAACCCTTCTCCGACTTCCTGACGGACAAATACAACCGCCAACATGACTATCTGCGCATCAGTGTCACTGAGCGATGCAACTTGCGCTGCCTGTACTGCATGCCCGAAGGTACCATGACTTCTGATGCACACTTGTCGAGTCCACACCACTGACTTCATTCGTCTNNAGAGGGCGTGCCGCTCTCGCCATCGAGCCACCTCCTAACCACGCCCGAGATTGTCTACCTCTCCGAGCTCTTCGTTTCCCAAGGCGTTACCAAAATCCGACTCACTGGAGGCGAACCCACTGTGCGTCCCGACATTCTGCCCTTGATGCAGCAGATTGGAAGTCTCAAGTCAAAAGGTCTACGTGAGCTCGCCCTGACCACAAATGCCATTTCGCTGCATCGAAAACTGGACAAAATGGTCGAAGCTGGTTTGACTGGTGTCAACATCAGCCTTGACACTCTCGATCCTTTCCAGTTCCAGATCTTGACTCGTCGCAAAGGATACGACGCCGTCATGAAGAGCATCGATCGTGTCCTAGAAATGAACAAGTTAGGCGCCGGAGTCAAGCTGAAGGTCAACTGCGTCGTTATGCGTGGCATTAACGAAGGCGAAATTGTTCCNTTTGTGGAGATGGGCCGGGAAAAGGACATTGAAGTACGCTTCATTGAGTACATGCCTTTTGGTGGGAACAAGTGGAGCGAGCGGAAGATGTTGACCTACCAGGAGATGCTGGACACAATCCGTGAGAAGTATCCCGCGCTTCGTAGTGTCAAGGGCCATCTCAACGATACGAGTAAGACGTACGAGATTCCGGGCTTCGTAGGAAAGATCGGCTTCATCACTAGCATGACGCACAACTTCTGCGGTACCTGTAACCGCTTACGCATCACGAGCGATGGCAGCCTCAAAGTCTGTCTTCACGGTAACACTGAAGTCTCGCTAAGAGATCTTCTGCGCAAGGACAATGACAGCAATCCAATGGATGAGCAAGCGTTTGAGGCTATCAGAGAGATAGAGATGAACAGACGTCAAGGACTCTCTGTAACGGACACAAGACCGAGTTGGATCGAGCGAGAGACTGCATTGCTGAATCTTATAGGAGAGGCAGTCAAGCGCAAGAAGGAGAAACATGCTGGCATGGAGGAATTACAAAACATGGAAAACCGGCCCATGATACTTATTGGTNNGGGTAGGTTCCGCAAACCCTTTGATATTGTCGACCTTCGTAGCGCCGTCGTTTGCACGATCGCCTTCCCGAACTGTCAAATGGACCCATTCGATACCGGAACCAGTACTGATTTGGTGGTAGCTGAGGGTAGTGGCCTGAGAGGAGGTATTCATAACTCCAAACACCGACCTATGGGCTCTAGCCGCCTGGGACAAGCTGTTCCCTTACACCTCTTACACTCGAGTACACCTAGTTACCACGGAGCTCGCTTATACTCTTCGTCCACTTCCTCATCTCTTCCTCCATCTCCGGAAAAACAGACCGCCGATGATCTCCAAAACGATGTCACCCCGTCGCTCTTATCGGCACCCACACCAAATGACGGCCCCGAGTCCGGCTTTGCGAGTTTGAGAGGTCTNTTTGGCAGCCCCAGAAGATCCTGGTCTCCACCTCCACTTGAGACTCATGAAACAGATGCAATTGTCGACACGCAGCCTGACAGATCGATTCAGGAGACCAACTCTTCCGACAGCCCTTTCGATGGTGATCTGTTCTTTTCAAGCGCAGAAGAAGAAGAAGATGAGAAAGCACACGAAATGTTGTCCTCGATCCCCACCATCAAGGCACAACAACAACCTGATCCTTCATCAGCAGAGCAACTCGTGGATACAAACGATGCAAAGGTCGTGTCGAAAGGNTCGTCGCCTCGTTCACTGCGAGAACACACTGCTCGAGACGGGTCTGACTCATCTGAACAACCCCTCCAGGTTATCCGATTCAAGAAGGCTTCTAAGGATCCCAAAGCTTCCCGGGCTATCGCTAGAGATATAGAGGCGGCAAAGAGTCCCCACCAGCCGAAGCCGAAGCCGAAGCCTCTGCCGGCGTGGAAAGTCATCTCAGAAGATACTCAGCTGCCATCACAGTCGAATCAGCGCNNAACACCAAGACCTCGACGGTATCAGATAAGCGCAGAACCAAAACATCGACTGCATCTGCTTCGAGTAAGCCACTCGAANTCAGTACAGCCTAGTGCTCTGTCCTCAACACCAGTGACTAGCATAGATGCCGAGCAGAACGAACCTTCTCTAGCACAGCATTCCGCCTCCGAGACAGATTTTCTCGACTCTGTAGTGAGCACGCCGACGACACCCTCGTCAAGCTTGAAGAAAGCAGATACGCCTAACACCGCAACGGCCACCACACTGACACACCTCACCTCGAGTGGCGAAGCGCACATGGTTGATGTCGGTGGCAAGGACTTCACCGAGCGAGTTGCAGTAGCTGTAGGTTTTGTGCACTTCAGCAACAGCGAACCATACAGACTCATCACTCAGAACCTCAACAAGAAGGGTGACGTCCTCGGTGTTGCACGCATCGCAGGCATCATGGCAGCCAAAAGATGCTCGGATATCATTCCCCTCTGCCATCCCATCCCCATCACAAAAATCACATTGAACGTTGGAACGCTCTCGCCACAGACCGCCAGGCCTATGAGGGCGCCGTTCATGGGAGGCAATCTCGTTATTAGACATGGTGTGGCCGCAGTGGAAGCTCGAGTGCACACTCGTGGTCAGACGGGCGTCGAGATGGAAGCTCTCACGGCCGTGTCAGGCGCTTGTCTGACCATCTACGACATGTGCAAGGCTGTGGACAAGGATATGGTCATCTCTGGTGCCCGTATCTTGTACAAGGAAGGTGGTCGCTCCGGCACCTATGTGTATAAAGGCCTTGAGAAGCAATCCATCGGCGACAGATTCATCAACATGGATCAAGACATCTTATCGAAGGAACCCCAAGATGAACAGTAGAAAGCCCTTTGCTGTCGCCTTCCTCAAATACCGAAATGTATATAACAAAAGTTTGAATTAAATAGAGTCATATCCGCCAGTCAGTGATCTTACGCATGTTTCCACGGTCACCATGAAGAGCTCTACATACGCCTTATCGCAATACGACTAACCAACATTAATACCAATCTCACGGTACTCAATATCTTCTGGTTGATTCACAAAACTCCTCGTTGATACTCTTGACTTGACGAGAGGCTTGCGAGAGCTATCTCTCATATCTAGCTCGATTTGGCTAGGTTAGGTCATGTGAGACCGGAAACAAGTATCGGCGTTGAGAATGTTGAATCCAAGTTGTTAAGAATGTGCGCTTTATGTTTGGAACGCGAATGCCATCGTGTGGAGCAACGACTTGGTTCAGGTTCAGGAGGGGGAGGAGGTTGCCAAAGGCTTATCGATGTTTGCAATTTATATGCTCTTTGATTGTTGCTTGAATAGATGTTTTAATCATGCTTCTGAGATACTGAGGTGAGATGACCAGGTGTGTGTGGTGGATCTTAAAATCATCTTAGGCTACGAGACGTGGAGCAAGACGGGGCACTGAATGTCTTATCAAGCAGAGAAGAAACGAATGGAAGTGTTGGTTGTCTAAGAAGACGTGTATTTGCTCTGGAGAAAGACTCTGTATTCCGATTGCAGCGATAACCGAACGCTATATAATTATGTTGTTCCGAGACAAAGAGACACATTAATCATGACTTCATGCGTATTTACCCTTGACGTCGCGTTGCGGTGCGGGTTGGCCGGCAAGAGACTCGCCAACACCACTTTCATATGCAGGTGGGCCGCTCTGCATGCCGTAACCTTCGACGCTGCCGATGTTGCCATAGCCAGGGCCTTGAGCAGGCTGTCCATCACTCTTGAGACCAGCCTTTCTCATGTCTTCATCTTCGACAACACCGCCGTCTCCACCTCCAACAATGACTTGTCCGCCGTTGCGCACTTTGCCCACGACCATTCCCTTGGCGACTGACTTGAGGACTGCACGACGAGAGACACCCGTTACGTCAATGTAGACAAGACCGACGTTCTTGACACCACCGGCGAGACTGGAAGTAATAGATCCGGCTTCTGCGCCGTAGCGGTGACCAACAACGGTTGTTGCAGCAGAGCCACTTTGTTCAAGTAGGTGTTTACCACTGGTGGCTAAACCATCAGCGATAGTGGAGAAGGCGATCATGCTTCTGTTGAGAAGACCTGGCTTGTACTGGTCCTGAGAGAGAGGCTTGCCATTGGCGTCGAAGCCCTTCTTGTAGCGGTCTTCATTCTTGCCGCCGAATCTGGCACCTAGGTTCTGAGCGTACTTGCTCGCCTGACCAACGGTCTTTGCAGACAAGCCAGCGGCACTATTGGTAAAAGCGTTGATCTTGCGGACACGTTCGTGAGCAGCAGGGCTGAATTCCATGGGCTTAGCGGTAGGCTTGGTCTTCTGGGTGAAGTTCTCGGCACCGGCAGTCAAGATGTTACCAAGACGGCTGCTAGAGGTGACGATGAAGCGAGAGGCGGTTGCAGCATGCTGGACCATGCCGCTATCTTTGTAAGCAGGATGACGGGCCATCTGTAGGTACTCTTCGCTGATTGGCATGACGCTGATACGTTTTCCATCAGCAGAGATTTCGATCTCGACTGGATNCTAACGGGAGGTCAGTGAAGGCTTGCAGAGCTGTGGGTAGAGGCACCTACTCTTGGTTCCTTGGTTGAGGGTCGAGTCTTCGACGATGTGTGCATCACCAGCCAATTCGCCAATGATGCTGCCATTATCTTCGTCGACAAGGACGACTTGACCGTGTCCAGTGCCCTTGGCGTCGTGGTATCTGCCGCCAGGAGCATAATCTCTTGGGTCATATTGTTCCAGAGGACGGGAGGGCTTGGGTGGAGCAGCACGCTCAAGGAAAGCAGTGCATTGTGCCAGAATGGTCTCGAATGTATCGTGGTCCTCGGGTGAGATGTTCTTGTCAAAGGTGATGCGAGTGAAGATGCCGCTGTCAGCGCCTAGATCCCAGCGAGGGATCAGGTATGAATGTGGAGGCTGATGGTAGACTTGAGTGGTGGCTGGCATGGGCAAGTCTAGCTCTGGGGGCAGGTTGAGGTGTAGGTAGAAGTCGTTCTCGGGCATTTCATTCTGCGGGATGGTCGACGACAGGTCTGAGAAGGGCGACGAGGTGGGCACCATCAACAGAGACAGCGTTTGAGGGCCAGACGGGGTCAAGTCCTGCTCTTCTCCACCCTGGATGTGGTATGCCTTGACATTGGCGATCGTGTATAGCAGCTTGGGGTCGTGGTGTCCTGCCATCTTTGCCTGTATTGTTGTTGATTGCTGGATTGTCGAACTGAGTGGTCCAGAGAGGATCGGAGGCCAGATATGGCGGGGCAAGTTGATTTAAACATGGTCGTTTCCCTGTTGTTCATGGCCTGCAGGTCGCTTCGCATATGTCATCGCTGATGGGGGCTATGCTGCTCGCGCCACACTGTGGCTGTGAAAACATACGAAAGCTTGTCACCAAGAACACACAATACTTCCCAGCTTGAGACCTGTCCAGTAGTGCCTGGACCGACAGCCATGTCCTATGGCGACTTGTTGCGCTTTAAAGTTTTCGCGATTATGATAAGTCAGCTTTCTGTCGCGAACTGAGAAGAGTCTCGATGTATACAATTAAACTCTAACTGTGGCTGAAATCCAAAGCCTCTGTCGCCGCCTGAAGAATGTCTTTCTTTCCTCCATCATTCATGCTTGTTCCTTCACCTTGATCGTCCACACTCCAATTCTTCGCACTACACGTTTGCTACACGAAACCCGTTCTCGAGCACCCTCGCCTTCCGTCCACCGTGCATCCGTTTGCACACCCCTGTCACCGCTCTTGCATGAATAGGGAGCAGCTCGATGGCTTACGACACAGATCCAGATCCTCCACAAAGCTACTAAGGCATCGTCCAGAAAAGTAGATACTCAAGACTCTTTACTTGTCCAAATTTTCAATAATTCTTTGCATCGAAATGCTGGGTCGACGTCTCAAGTTGCGCTTTGCTCGGCCTCTGAGAGCTGTCCGTCGCGCTCTGCCTCCAGTCAATTTCATTACCTTACATTATGCATACTTTATATTCACCGGTCTGCTGTCTGCTATCATTTTCTGGGGTTCCTCTACCACTACTCATGTCGATTTCACTGACGCCTTATTCCTTTGCGTCAGTGCCATGACTCGAAGCGTAAGTCGACATCATCCTTTCGTCCGATACTTCGTCCTCTTGCAGTGCTTTTAGCTAAATTTTGCTACAGCNGGTCTGAACACTGTCAACCTTAGTGAGCTTAACACATGGCAACAGTTCATGCTCTTCGTTCTCATCTTCATTGGGTCTGCCATATTTGTATCCAATTTCGTCCTCCAGGTCAGAAGAAGAGCATTTGAACGAAAGTTCATCAGTGTTATCGAAAGCAGAGCCCGAAAACAGCGTCGTTCTTCTTTGAGACCTTCTACTTTCTCAATGTCCAGGCTCTCGATAAGCAGATCTCGGGAGAATCAAAATCAAAACCTAGGTGTGGACAAACGGCCTTGCTCAGCAGACGTGAGTGATGTGAATGAGGCCCAAACTCCTGTTAGAAGAGGTCGTACTTCATTCAACAAGTCCTCTCTTCGCCTGAGCACAAGCAAGGGTACCGATGGCACTAGCGATGATCCACATGTTGCTGAAGATGGACTGAATAACGCCACTTCGCCAGACCGCATTACCTTCAGTCCGGAGACTGTGTTCCGATCCCAGAAGCACCAAGAAGACCAGGCATCACCTACAAAAACAAGACAACGCATGTTCTCAGTTTCTGGTGTTGGGGCTCGATCTGAAGCGAGTCTTCACCGTGTCACATCCGTGTCGCGCACATCTGTCGCTGAGGAAGCGCCTGCGGGCAATCAGTCTACCGCTGACTATTTTCCATCTGCTGGATACATCTCTCGCAATTCAACATTTCACAATCTGACTGAGGCCGAGAGACAACAGCTTGGTGGTGTGGAATACAAAGCATTGTTGTGGCTTTCCTGGATCGTTCCTTTGTATCTCGTCCTCTGGCAACTGCTTGGAGCCTTAGGCTGTGCGGCTTGGGTTGCATACAACCGTCCGGGGACAGCTCGAGCTAACGGTCTCAACCCATGGTGGGTAGGGGCTTTCAACGCCGTATCAGCTTTCAACAATTCTGGTATGAGCTTGTTAGATGCCAACATGGTAGCCTTCCAGACATCCTACTATCTTCTACTGACCATGGGCTTGCTGATCCTCGCTGGAAATACGTGCTACCCAATCTTTCTCCGGTTGATTGTCTGGACAATTTACAAACTATTGCCGAAGAGAGCCAGATTTGATGATCATCGAAACACCTTGCGTTTCCTACTCGACCATCCACGCCGCTGCTACACTAATCTCTTCCCATCTGAGCATACCTGGTGGCTAGCCTTCGCGGTCTTTGTCCTCAATGGTGTTGATTGGGCTGCCTTCGAGATCCTGAACATTGGCAATCGCGTGCTTAATGCGACCATTCCCATCCATATTCGTGTAGTTGATGGTCTCTTCCAGGCTTTTGCCGTGCGCTCCGGAGGCTTCTATGTGGTCTCTATTCCTACGATCCGCATCTCGCTCCAGGTTCTTTATGTCATCATGATGTATATCTCTGTCTATCCTGTTGTCATCACGATGCGTAATAGCAACGTCTATGAAGAGCGAAGTCTGGGTGTATACGACGAGAATGATCCGGACAACATGTCTGAGGCCTCCAAAGATCCCAACAGCATCTACAGCAAGTTCCGGGGAATCAAGAAACAATTTGCGACTGGCTTTGGTGGGTTGAGCGAGGGCAAGAGCTACTTCATACAGCAGCAATTAAGAGCGCAGCTCGCTCACGATGCTTGGTGGATCGTGTTCGCTGTTTTCCTCATCATGATCATCGAAGGTGGGCAATTCGAACGCGACCCAACGACATTTTCCGTCTTCAATGTCATCTTTGAAGTCGTCTCTGGCTATGGTACAGGTTTGTGATCATTTTCGTTCTCTTTCTGGTGAACTTTGCTAATCAGTATGAANACAGTGGGCATAAGCGTCGGTGTACCCGACAATGCATACTCGTTCTCGGGCTCATGGCACAAGTTGAGTAAACTGATTCTTTGTGCTGTTATGCTGAGANNGGGAAGGCACAGGGGTCTGCCCATTGCTATTGATCGTGCAGTTCTCCTGCCAGACGAGAGACAAGATTTCGCCGAAGAGGAAGATGCAGCTATCAGAATGGAGAGGGCAGTCAGCAGACACACTACAAACGGTGACGTGGTTTGATCTGCCCACGATACTTGCAAGGGGGCGGATATTTGAGTGCCAAGAGCAGAAATGCCTTGAATTGAAGAGGAGGAAGATGAAAGCTAGGAGATGAGCGGAAGAGAAGGCGAAATATCGCAGTATGGTGGATGTCGGGAAGAAGAGCTGGTAAATCGTGGTAAAGTAAGCATATTGCTCGCAGCGTATCATAATTTCATCAGCATCATTCTCACAGCTATCATAATTTAGCCATAACCTTATCTTGCTCCCCTAATCCTCCACTCATAAGATAACCATCATCAGGCACACCATCGATATCAAGCAGCAACTCTCGTCCTCCTCTCGAAGTCCACCAACGCACACATATTTGGCTACGCTCCGGATCCATCTCGCCACCAACCAGAACTTCCCAGAAATGCTTCTTGCAATAATCACGCATGGCTGGGTCAGTGATCCTCCGCGTGGCTGTCGCTGTCAGTGGCAACCACTCTTCCAAGAGAGCCAGGGAGAGGCATGGGAATGCATCCATGAGCGTGAGTGTTAGGACTGCCTGTTCGGACAAATCAGGTATGGCAGATGAAGGAGGGCTCTCGAGTTCTGGAGGGTTTGTTGACAAGGGAATATGACTCGGCGGAGGAGGAGCGCTAGGAGCGTGTATCGCACGTTCATGTACAAGATCAAGAAGTGTGGCAGCAAGCATGGGCTGAGTGACAGCAATGCGACTAGGCGGAGAAACAACCTTGATGAGGTTCTTGAATGCCAATCTGAACTGGCGTGCGGAAAGATTATGAGGAAACACTCGGAACAAGGCGTCAACGTAGAATGGAAGGTGTTTTGCGGCAAGATCGACATTTTGCGGCGCAGAGAAGACTGACAAGGTGACACTGTGAGCGGCCTCAAAGATCGGAAGGAGATTAGAGTTCCCGGCTGAAATGAGGTAAGGTGATGCGGCAGCGAGGAGAAGGTCCTCGTTCTGGTTTGAAGATAGGACAAGAGCAAAGTGTTCGGCCGTGTTGAGGAAGAACAGGTCCAGATTACGTTCGAATGGGTGAGAAGGAATATGTCCGAGTTCAGAGGGAGCTATAGAATCGAGGAAAGTAGCCGAGTGAGTTGGGTAATTGGCGAGGACGTCGATGGAGGTGAGGTAGGTGAACGTATACTGTGAAAACGAAATATTGCCCATACGGCTGAAGACAAACGATAGACTACGGAGGGCGTGGAGGACAGCTTGTGCCATATGAGATGCATNCTAACAAATCAGTCTCGGTAAAGGACATCTTGATGCGTATGACTTACTGTTGTGGGCCGCCAAAGCGGCATTTCCTACCACGCGACCGGTAGCGCTGCGAAGGATGATGACAATGGCGAACAAAGCCGAGCGGAGGAGCTTCCATAAGGTCGGAACTGTGCTTTTCCGGGCTTCTTCATGGAGAAAGATGGTCTCTTCTGAAGCATCGATTTCTGACAGCTTGTTCTGCCTCCATTGTGTACCCAATCGCTTAGAGAAGTCTGACAAGTCCTCAACAGCAGACTGCACGAGCCAGGCATCCTGTACATGATCGATGGTATGAGCTATCAGCCTTGATAAGGGACCAAGAGACGAAATCAGTGGACTCGCAAGAATAGACTCGATTTGCATATATGATGGTGATTCAGAAGCCCAGTTGAACTGCTGGCTCGAGACTTGGTGAAGGTCGGCGTCTGCCGCGCCTAGGAAATAACCCGAGCGCAGGCCGTATGACGAGTGGAAGGCAGAGGTCATGAGCACTGGCAAGAGACGGTCGTAGTCGAGGGCAGAACGATCTACGTCAGACAGATGAGTGAAAGCATGGTTTAGAGCCAAAGAGATATTCCCGTGGGCGAAGTCGTCAGCAGCAGGACTTTCCGATAGAGCGAGGTTCACAGCCTTGACAAAAGCAGAGCGTAAAGTGTAGGCAATGTTGGTGGACATGAAGTCATGGTCGCGAGTGGCTAGACCAACAATCAAACCAGCAATAGCAAGCAGGTGGTGGTCGGGAGGAGAGTGTTGATCGGCACCTTTCAACACGGCTTCAATCCACTCATGTAACGGAAGGTGAGACTCGAGATGCGGACGTATGGACGAGTGGATTTGTTGGGTTTCGAGATATGCGGTCTCACGCTCCTGGCATTTGATAGCAGCCGAGTGGAACAGACTCATGAAGGTCAAGGAAGATGTCAAAGCATCTGGGAGTGGCCATAAGGCTGGTGCAGACAGCAGTTGACTGGTAAGTAAAGTGATATTTAGGAGGTTGTTCAGCGATGTTAACAGCGATGCTGCTGTCCCAAGTAATCNTTGAGCATAGTTAGTTGGAAAGTGGCAGTAGTGAGCGTGTGCAGATGGGATGATACAGTACCGGTGGGTGTCCTGTTGATGTGGGGCTGATTGTAGATATCTGAGCAGAGTGGCTAGCAATCTGTCGGTCGACATGGTTCGTTCTAAGGTCGACCAGATGCCGAATATCTGTATGCTATACTATTGATCGCTTGAGAGGTTATTGACGATTTGTCTGATGGAAGGTAGGTACTGAAGGTACCTAGGGCACAACAGCCAAGCGACAAGCCGAGGTCCGCCAAAGTCGGAACTCGTCGGACGCGAGACTTGGCTGGCCGATGCACTGGGCAGTCGCGATTAATTGCTGTATCTACCTACCTACACTTCCCTCGAAACCTCGATTCTCTGCATACCGAAAGGCTTCGCGGCAGACGTCCGAACCTGGCAGAGTACAACACGGCGACGTTTATCCATCATAGCCATGGGGTCAGTGCCGTCTTCTCCTGCTGCAATGCAGCCTTAGTCGACCTCTCTAACTTGTCGTAGCATCCGGTAAACGCTCCCTTGTCATTAACCGCCCAACTCTTGTCGCCTCTCTGACTCTCGTCTACAGGGACTCTTTCCTCCGAACTGTCGTCGACACGCCTCCTCTCTCATACTCGACTCCACCCTTTCCCTCCTTGTACTGGCCCTTTCCCGTCGGCGGAACCCAAACCCTGTACCTCTATCACTCGCACGATATATGGCGCTTCACCCTCCTCTGGACCATCATTGATGTCGTCGGCATCCATCTGATTGCCGCCGCTTTTGCCATGGCCATCCAATGGCGTAATTGGAAGCTTATCTGGATTGTTCCATTCATCTTCGGCTTCATTGGCGCCGTCGAAGCCCTGATTGCTGGCAACGTAGTTGGTGGTCTGTTGAGTGGTGTCTATTCTGCTGGCTACTTTCGCATGTCAACCTGGATTCCTTTCTCGTGGGGCGCCATCAATTCCCTAGTCCTGATTTTGTCGTCCTTCGCTATACAAGGTGGCATGTGATCCTCGTCCTGTTCTTGACCAAGAGTATTGCCTGGTCATTCACAACGCCAATTGTAGCTGCCTTTTGCTAGTCACAGCTCTACTGGGCGTTAGGCCCACTTACAGCTAGGTGCTGTCTATCTAGACCTGCAAGGCTTTGTCTGTTGTTGACTTCAATCTCGGCATCCACCGCACTCGAAGCAGAATGATGAACCTGGTCTGCAAGCTGGCAATGTTTGGTAGATAACCGAACGCCGTGAGCGGCAAGAGCTCCAAAGTCATCTCGCCATTTGACAGACTGGAGTTGGCAGGAATCTAGGTCTGTATGCCGGTGCAAGTTTGACGTTGCTGGATCTTTCGAGATCTCCGGTCTCACTTGTTATCGAGGTCTAGGGGGTTTAGAGATTGGCTAGAGTCGCTTGATGTGCAACCAACGTCTTCCTCGCCGTCACTCAGGGTTGCTGGTTCAAGGTTAGTCTTCTTCAATGTGCGCAACTTCAAATGCTTGACAAGATGTTAGTACGAATCCAACAAAAAACTATGGAGCCACCACTTGCAACACTGGTTGTCAAGCCGCATTAGAGCACTAAGACTTGTGCTTCTGTATGTATCTAGCCTCTTGTTCTTCCTTTACACCCGCTCTGTGGCGGATACGTGTGCCATAGAGATGCTAGACTTATTCTTGGCAGTGTTGCTCACGGTGGTATCGTGATGAGCAGTCAGGGTTATCGAGTGACACTATTCGGTCAGAAGATCAATGATTGGGATACTTTCTTGAACCCTGACGCACTGACCATGTTCAGCATCGGGACCCTGAAGATCTATTATCTGGGGTACAAATTGTCCGCGTGCGTCGCAGGCCAAACACGTAACATTCTGCACAACGCATGCGTACACGCAGTAGCGTGGTACACCAGCCGCGCATTGCGACATGAGCTGCCTTATTTCACAACAGATGCGCAGATGAGTTGCAGTATTGACGGACGACAACGCCAGTCAGCATGTCTGGTGGGTATGAACTAACCTCTCTGCCATCGCGCTCACCACGAGAAATTGCACATGGTCGATCCTCTCTTGTTGCTCAGCCATGGTACAGGCGCGTCTCAGCGGTTGTTCAATCAGCTATCGCATCCTGGCGAGCTGCCAGCCCCGCTCGGTACAATCTCTTAAGCAACATCGATGACAGAAATAATCACGGCCGCCTTGTGGTTCACACAGCATCCCACTTTCTCGGCCGTCTACGACTTCGACACTTAATATGGATTAATTTTGTCGCTATGCCTTCTCTGGTTGTTGCTTTCATAATACTTGTTGCTGCTTTCTATCCGTCCTACTCGCATCCGCCGCATCATTACAATGTTCTGCGCTCAAAGGCCTTAAAATCAACAGACCCCGGACGTGACAATCCTCACAGAGAGAAAATATTCATCGCAAGCAGTATCTATGACAAGCAAGGCGAACTTGCGTCTGGACCATGGGCAAAGAATCTACTCGACCTTGTAGAACTTTTGGGACCCGGGAACGTGTTTCTCAGTATCTTCGAAGACGACCCAGACAACTTGGCAAGAGTTTCCCTAGAGCACTTCTCAAAGCAAGTCAAATGTGGGTTAGCATGAGATGTATGTACAGACAACAGCTTATTGGTTCACAGGNNCAACTCTTCGATAGTTGCAGGGCATATTGATCGCGCGGCCTTGCCACACATAAAGCTTCCGACCGGCGAACAGAGACTCAAACGTATAGAGTTCCTAGCTTACGTACGCAACCGAGCATTAGCACCTTTGGAAGACCCGAAATCACCCGCATTTTCAGTACACTTCGACAAGCTACTTTACTTAAACGATATTATCTTCGATCCCATCGATGCTGCAAACCTCATTTTCTCTACTAACGTCGACGAAACCGGCAAGGCTAACTATCATGCTGCCTGCGCTGCCGACTTTATCAACCCTTTCAAATACTACGATACGTTTGCAACGAGAGACGATCAAGGAAATCGTATTGGCGTACCCATCTTTCCGTGGTTCAGCGGTGCAGACAACTCAAGCAGTCGGAGGGATGCACTTGATCAGAAAGATGCTGTGAGAGTCCGAAGCTGCTGGGGCGGCATGACTGTCTTCAACAGCGCGAGATGGTTTCAGACAAATGGCATACTCTCCCTCCAAACTTCTGAGGACATCAAAAACCACACACCGATAACATCCTTGTTGAGGGATTCTCCTCACAATACAACAGAACCGATTCGTTTCAGAGCCTCGGCTGACTACTGGGACGCATCCGAATGCTGTCTGATTCACGCTGATCTTGAAGCGGCAGTCCAGCGCTCTGGCTCGTCATCAGCTGGCATCTATCTGAATCCTTACATCAGAGTCGCATATAGCAGCAAAACGTTTTCACTCCTCCACATTGGCCGTCGGTTCGAACATTTGTTTGCTCCACTCCAAAAGTTACTAAGCATGAGTCTCGGTCTGCCAGCCGAAACCCCTAGAAGAATGCAAGAGGTCGGAGAACAGTATGCAGATATGGTTTGGGAGTCTGGCGGGTTTCGGAATGTCACAAGAGTTGCACTTCCAGGTGGATTCTGTGAGATCAAACAACTTCTTGTGCTTGGTGAAGGCAATGCAATCAGAGAATGGTTCAAGGAAGTGGTGGAGATTCCGACTCTTGAAAGATAGACGTGAAAGTCTACAGTACAAACTGATCTGATTTGCTCAGTCCAAAAAAAAAACGCTAGAATTGTGTAATTTTCCATGGTCATATGCCAGCATGAGCAAGCGCATGAGCGATATTATGTTAAGCAACCTATCACTGAAACCACTCATAAAAGATGCTAGAGTTTGCATTGGATGTTTGTATAGAGTTTTTAGGTTGGAATCGCGGGCTCGTTTAAGCAACCGCCAGAAAACGTGACTAGCGTACGTCGTCATCGCATACCACGTCAAGCAAACATCACATGAGAAACGCATTACAGCAACTCGCTCCATATTAACATTGCGCTTCCAAGCACTTTATTTCCTCGTATCTCTCAGCAGGTCACTACGAGCAGCGTCGCTTAATGCAACACAATCATGGCGTCAATACGGACCTTTTTCAGTGCAAATGCTGCTCTTCGTGCTACGCCTCGACAAACAGTGTTCCATCAACTCCGAAACAAGGGTGGCAATATTTGGCAGAAACAGCATTTGAGAACATATGCCAATGGATTTGGTCGAGGAGGTGGCTATCAGTACTCGAGATTTCAGCAAGCAGGAGGCCTCATGAGACGATGGGCAGCGAGGCCAACATTCTACTACGAAGCTGGCGGCTTGGCTGGTGTGTGTGGTGGCTTCTACGTGTACAATTTGGAGGTCGTACCTGTAAGTTCGGATTATGAGATGCAAAGGATACCAAGTAAGATATTAAGCTACTGCACANNGGTTTCTGGTCGTAGGCGATTCAATATCGTCTCTGCGAGCATGGAGCAGCAGTCTGGAGACGAACTGTACCAGCAAGTCATCCAACAATACCAGCATGATATTCTGCCTCCCTCACACCCTCAACACAAACTCGTCCAACGCGTCTTGAACCGTCTCATCCCTCACTCTGGACTGCCTGCAGAGACCAACAACTGGGAAGTGCATGTCATCAGGGATGAGCAAAAGAATGCGTTTGTGATTCCAGGTGGCAAGGTCTTCGTTTTCTCGGGTATCTTGGACGTTTGTCAGGGTGAGGCAGGCTTAGCGGCTGTTTTAGGCCATGAGATCGCGCACAATGTAGCTCATCACTCTGCGGAGAGGTTGAGCTCTTATGCCGTGTTCCTACCAGTCGCACTTGTTGCTTCAGTGCTGCTGGGCATGGGAGATATTGGTAATGTTTTTCTGAGAATGGTTGTGGATTTGGCTTTCCTGAGGCCCGGTAGCAGGAAACAAGAGGTAAGTGGTGGTCTGTCCAATTTTTATCAGAGCTTCTGAGGCTGACTCAGAACTGTANNGTCCGAGGCTGATTATATCGGATTAATGATGATGGCACAAGCTTGCTATGATCCATCAGCTGCTGTCGGCCTGTGGTCCCGTATGCACGCAGAGGAGCACGACGCTCCACCAGAATTCATTTCCACTCATCCTTCGAGCCACAACCGAATGGAGAAGATACAATCGTGGTTGGGTGATGCCGAATTGAAAAGAGAGCAAAGCGGTTGCGGTCAGGTGTCTGACTACGGTAAGTGAACATGGCAGTGTTGGCAACCTCTGAGTACTGACATGTCTTTAGCTAATCAATTCCGCGACACATTCTCGTTCCGCTGGTCTTGACAGAGTTGAAAAGAGAATACAGAACATCAACGCCGCACGAGACACCAACGTGTCAAAGTGACTCCATATTTTGCAACATGGAAAGACAAGAGACGAACTCCACTCTATTTGGTGTCTACTCCAAGCATCGATCTCACATGGCCCAGAACATTCCAAGACAAGCCTAAGATCACATTACAGATGGTCGAAGTTCATCGTGACATGCACACTGCAAGACTGTGATATGCATCCATTTGATGCCACACACAAGATCAGAGCTAGAAGAGCAAGCTATAGTCACGCGCTTCGTATTACTTAGACGCGTGCAAGCCTGGGAGCAGGTCTGGCCTGATTTCACGTCAGCCATTCTGTGTGTAGGTGGAACGTGAACAGCTCAGGTGCGACGTGTACAGTAGATATGGTTGGCATAAACTCTCGAGTACGGCGCGAATGTTTGATGATAGCTATCCAGGAAAAACGAGTGTCACGTTTCAGAAGGACGCAACCTTCCCCCTGCATGGATGCAAAACATGGGGTGGTGCGGCCGTACAACAAGGGACTTAAAATTAATGCAACGCTCCATGCAGACAGTCAATATGGGTAATGACCTCAGTCATCTTACTTCGAAAACGACTTGGGCTGAGAATGTTACTAAAATCGAATGAAATTGGTAGAATTATAGCGTTGGTTTGGTCACGCGCCGGAGGTTGCGTGGCTGTGGTCGACAGGTGGAGGAAGCAGCTGAACAGCGCGGTCATGAAGACAATAAAATCAAGCAATATAAGAGTCAATGCTTTGAACGACTCCGGAAAGAACAAAGCATCGCGATTCGTGCCTATCCGACATTCGAAGCGCTTTGCTTGTTTATTCGACACGTTCGATTCGCTACAGCAACCCCACAAGACACCTGTGTATCCTTGTACTCGACCCAACATCTTGAGCAAAGCAACTGCGAGTACAGTCGCCAAAAAATTGACCGTCTCTGCGGACGATCAAGTTTCACCAAGACAAGCTCGACCCTGTTTCAGCATAAATCACCAAATATCCGTCATAGGCAAAGCCACCTCCATAACGGTTTCCAAGCTATATAAAAGTGCCCTTGCCTTGGAACAAAATGTTCACTCTGGTCTCTGTATTGGCTATAGCAACTGCTTTGGCTGCAGCGAGTGTGTGGATTTGTGACGACAGCAACTCAGACGAATTGCCCAGCCGAAGATACTACAGACGTAAAGTCTTGTCCGAGAATCGCGAGAGGACAATCAAGTAGTGCAGACAAAGAAGACAGAAGGACATTGCAACAAGAGAAAGCTCTGGTACAAAGCCAGAAACGGCAACCATGTGGTTACCCTCGGACCTGCTCACGATCTGCCACTCCATTATTGATACAACATCTCTTTCTCCAAAGACCAGCGCCGCACGAGCCGACCATCAAGAGAAGCATGATATCACGATCCAGTCAAAAGCTCGACCAGGACATGGCAAGAAATCAACACAGCATGCCGCCTTTCCACTATTGCAGCTACCCCTCGATATATTGGCTTTGCATTTACCCGCCCACCTTCCATACGACTCACTCATCTCCCTTCGTCTCAGTAGTCGGGATTTGTTCACGGCTATCCCATCTCCCAAGAAGAGAGAAGGCGGCGAAATAACAAGTTGCGAAAGACAAGCCATTCTCACTGCTGTGGAAGAGAGGACAGAGACACGAAGGTGTTGTGTGATATGCCGGAGCTGGTATCCTGTTGCTCTGTTTACATGGGTACCGGACCAACGAACTGCATCAGGTAGTGATGCTCAGGTTGGAGGTGACGTGATGGAGAACCGAGTGTGCAGATGGCATCGTGGAAGATTCGAACGTACTGTGTCAAGGCCAGTCTCTGGACAGGATCAAGAAGCTGAGCAAGGTTGGACAATGGAGGAAGCATGTATGCATTGCGGCGGCGTTCTAGCTTGGGGCAGATGTGATTGTGAGACTTCTTGCCAGACTTGTTGGAAGAGGGACGTGTGGTGTCATACACGCATCGTAGACGCAAGTACTGCCAAATCTGACACTTAAGAAATGGATCTTACACGACCCTCACTTCTGTGATGAGATTAGTCGATACGCTCGCAGCCAATTGGTTTCAGTTGTGATAAAAAGACTTCATGAGAGGTTAAATAATAGGTGTATATCGCTGACGTTACGCGTAAAGATGAAAGGAAACCGTTATGCTTCTATCGTGTCCAAGGAAAATATTGAGCAGGAATTCTGAAGGTGGAGAGACGAAGGTCAAAATCAAGAGGGCCTTTCAGCAACCTCGATGAAAGCGACGCCGTCTTTCTCTCCCCGTGACGATTGCTGGACGCTGGTTACAGCATCCTGATATTCATCGGCAAGACTTTCCTCCTTGTAAAAAGCCTTCTCTTCGTCCACACATTGGACCGTGTGGTAGTTGTTCAATTCTAGCTTGAGAGCATATCGGCGTACGCTCAATCCCATACCCCATTGAGCGATTGTCCAAAAGACGAGGACAGCGCCAAAGGCAAGTTGGGCTAGGAGGACGTCCGTCTCGCAGTGGCGGCGAGCCTTGATACTCGCACCAAGAGTTTGTTCGGTAGATGCAGTCTGGATTACACGCCCTGGGCCGTGCAGGTCTGCGGTAGTGGAAGGAAACCAGAATGAGGTGTTGAGTTTACTGGTGAAGCAGAGGTCGGCAGTAACGTCGTAGAAAAGATAGACAAGGCCGATTTTTGGAACGAGAGAGAGGACAGTATCTATGAGCAAGTGGTTGGAGAAGATTGTCAGGTGCGTGGGTGATTTCTGCGCCGAGTCAGATGTGAAAAGGTTAGAGTCGCACTACTTTTTTATAGATACCTTGAACGATCCGTAGATTCCTAGCATGGCCAAGACGCAACCATACCAGGCATATGCGGTCACGCTGAAAGACACATACAGTGGGTCGTTGGTGAGAAAGGTGCATAGATATGCTGTTGTGGCATGATACATCAGGATGAGAGAGGATACGACTATGCTGAGCGTCCTAGCGAATATTGTCAATACCAACTCCGACAAGCGGGACAAACACGGCTTTCCCACCTTGCAGTATCGCGTGTTGCGCCCATTGTGATAGTATTTGTGGTGATATGTTTGGGGGGAAGATGTTTGATGTTTGCTGAGCAAAGAGTAGTTGAGACGGGATTTGCAGGTGATGTAAGAGACCAGCTCGAAAAGATCAGTCCGATTGCCCACAGCACAGAAGCAGCGACTCCAGGCGCGCGTGAGTGGATGAGGCGAGTATTTGACGCGAAGTGAACGAAGGTCCGAAGGGAATGGCAAGTGTAAAAAAGGAAGAACAGAGATCTAGGGATTAGAAATGCGATCGAATGACCGCATAGTCATACAGCATCGACGACCGTGCTGTCCGGTGCTTCCGGCATGTGCACCGACGATGAGTCTACAACAGCTATCTACTCTAACCGCCGCGGTCCGCTAGACATGTGTTATCGTCGTCCGATCATCGACATCCGCTCGCCCTTTTCCTTGGTCTGTCCTCTGTGGTTGCTTGCCGATATCACAATCGTCTCTGTTCCTGCAGGTGTTTCTTGTCCAGATCTCAAGCTTTTCCTTTCACATGCATCATCTACATGGTCTGTGCAATTATAAGGCCCCGAAGAAGAGCAAAGTGGCTGCATGGCCCGCAGAGCCTGATCAACCTTAGCGGAGCGGACCTACGCCAAGCTCTGCCCAAACCAGCTAACTATCGAAAAATTAGGTGAGCAGAGAGACTTCCATCAAGAACCCTGATCTCAGCTATCGAGACGACTCGGGTGGCCACGCAAGCAGCAAGGTATCCATTACTCTGAGAAACAGGATGAGGCTAGCTGATGCATCGGTACACATGCAATGTACCTCTCACTTCCAAAGTTATCCGGCATTCCTGGTTTTGAGGCCGTTGTGTGCGTGTCCTTCATTCTGCTGTATCATCGGAGGTCCGCTTCCACATCATCGGCTTTCTGGTTCAACTTGTCGATGATCTATCCATGACCTCTGCCATTTTTCATGTTCTCCTCAACGTTTGTTCAATTTCTTGTCAGGCCCACCTGCAAGCTATTTGTAGAGAAACAGCAAATACCGTTTTGCTACGACAACCGTCGAGTCCCTGTTTAAGTCGCCTACCGAATTTCGGACCCGGTTGCATCGGATCTGTTCTCTGCCTGACATACTTAACAAGCTCTGCTACCTCGTACCACTGCTTGACAATAGTTGTCAATCCGACCTCTTTCCTTTCCCAGTCTGCTAGTCCGTTGATACATCCTGTAATGCTTAGCATGATTGGGTCTAAAATCGTACGATTGGTAGGTATCTCATAAGTCATCCTGTATACCCCACGGTAGCTGTGAGGCTCTTCGGGTGATGCACGATGCTATTTCGGAATGTACGCGACACGCGTGCGCATCTTGATATCGTTAGCAATTGTTACTTGGGATAATGGACTTGATGGACTGCGAACCTGTCGCCCTTTGGTTCTTGATGTCTTGGTCATGTCAGAAACAATGGCAACACACAATTCTAAATCAATACCAGTGCATCTACAGTGCGTAGGTGCGAATAGACCCACTGCTGTCTGGCACGTTCACTAACGATAGATGGAGCCGTCTTGACGGTGGGCTTCAACGAAGGATGGCATAGACGATGCTCGATCGAACCGTATCAAGTTGCGGTAACTATCTATTTATCATAAACGGATTTTCAACTTAACTCCGGTCGTATGGTCTAGTGGTATGACATCTCTCTCACATTGCTGCACAGAGAAGATCCTGGGTTCGATCCCCAGTGTGACCATTTTGTTTTGCTGTATCACCGGTATATCCTTTTGTGAAAAGCCATTCGACGAGACATATTACCTTGACCAGTGACAGAATACATTTTGCAGGATAGTCCTACTCAGTAATGATATATCAACCCAAATACAAACACTGTACGTACTAGACAGAAAGAAAAATGAGTATGGAGCTATGGCTTTCGCTGGTGTAGACGAAAACAAGTACTGGTTCTGTAAACCACACGGCCCTGGCGACGGCAACCACGAAAAGTACCCAAGATCACCACAATTGGATCGAGAGTTTTTGCACCAACCCATGTGAGTGATCAGGCTCTACTTTGTGCTGCCGTTAGAAATACTGAGGTGCAGAAATATTGAGCAGGGTCATCCCTCTAACAGTCAGGCTGTTGCAATCGAAACGTGTAATGAAGAGAAGTCTTTCGAGATATGATTTCACCTCATAAACTACAGCAACAAACTATGAAAAATAGACACAGTTTGCTTCTGCGGCATTTAATATACTTCATCACGCAGAGCTTCATCTTGTCGATGTCCAGTGTCTCCAAGGGTATTCACGTAGGCCCTGAAATTCTTCACCACAGAAAGCCCAGCTTTCACATCTTCCGTGGCGCAATTGGCTAGTGCGTTCGACTGTCAGATGTCTATATCGGCAAAACATCACAACAAAAGTACGGAGCCACACTCCTCACGGAGACAGTACACAACGTGACAAAAACAAAGATGTAACTCTCCCGGACAGGCTTGAACTGTCAACCTCTCGATAGCTGATCTGCCGAAGCAAATCTAACAGTCGAACGCGCTAGCCAATTGCGCCACGGAAGATGTGAAAGCTGAGCTTTCTGTAGCTATTGACTGGCAAGCGGCGACAATCTTTGGTATATAATACTAGCTCAATGGGATCAGAGCACTCACCAAAGTCGCTTGAGCGCAAATGTTCAAATCATGCAGCAAAAGTATGGTATCAAAAGCGTTGCGCAGTATAGAGTCTCCATTGAACGAACGAGCTGAGGGCTAGGTGCTACACAGTCGCTTCACATCGTACGCTTGTGGTGTATTCTCACAGATCCGATATTCCTTGTATGCTGGACGATTTAATATCATGAAACGGTGTATTTTGCCTAAAGAGCAAGGGCTATCCAATCTGTAGTATCACGGAGCGATTGGTGTACAACAAAGCACAATGGACAGCTACTACGACACGCGGCATGAGAACAAATGTCAAGCAAGAATATAGCAATTTTGACTGCTGGGGTTGGTAAACTTATTTTACAGGCCCCCTCGATGTTGTCCAAAAGCAACCAGCTCGGCTGTTGACGCCAGAAAAAGAGCACATAAGCTCGATTCATTTCACACATACAAGCATCTAGTCCACCATGTCCAAATAACCATCAAAGAACGCCTTTTCATAAAAAAAAATCCTGCGGAGGGGTATCATGACTCGGACCTACTGACCCATTCCCGACCCGGGTCGTTGTTGATTCATCGCATTCTGTCGAGCGAATTGCATCTGTTGCTGCATTTGTGCTTGTTGAGCTTGCAACATGTTCATGTTTTGTTGCTGCTGCCCTCCACCATTCATCATGCCTTGTTGCTGTGCCATCTGTGGGTTTCGCTGCATCCTCGCAATCAGTGCTTGCTGATTGCGGAGGTTTTGCATGTATTGCTCGGTATTGCTCGTGTCGCCAAGAGTCTGTTGCTGCGTCCGCGCTGTAGCCACTGCCATTTGCGCCTGAGCATTCTGAACCATTTGTGTTTGCTGCTGATATTTGTGTTGCAACTCTGGCGGTATTTGTTGCTGTTGCTGTTGCATATGTACAATCAACTGCTTCGTGCGCATCAACGCAGCACGAGCTTGCTGGAACCTTTGAGCCTGAACATTGGGCATCGCCTGCTGTCCCATCTGTTGACTCATTGCTTGGCTCATTTGCTGTTGTTGTTGCTGCTGCTGAGAAGGCGTCTGCATCATAGGTGTTCCACCTTGCATATTCTGCATCTGCATGCGCTGTTGCATTTGAGCATACATTTGAGGGTTCATCTGCTGCTGCAGTGCCATGTTTTGCTGGTTCCTCATCATAGCAAGCTGCTCAGGCGTATAAGTCTGGTTCGGTGAAGCCTGCATAGTCTGCTGTAGATTACGAGCGCGCTGCTGTTGCATAAGTGCCATCTGCTGACCAGGGGTGAGCTGGTTCATCTGCGTTGCAGCCATAAGGCCCGCTTGGCTGGGTGTATTCTGCATATGGGGAGGGATTGGGCTACGATGTTGCATGTTGGGCGTACCACTCATCTGGCGGTTGTTGTCGATGGGTATAGCAGATGCCATTTGAGGAGTTCCGTGTGCCATTTGAGGAGTAGCATGACGGCTCTGGCTAGCCTGCTGGCTGAGCTGCCTAGCCATGGCGATGTTGGCGTGTTGCATGGCAGCCGAAGGAGGACGGGCCGGACTCCCAGCGCCTTGATTTGACATCGAGGGTTGCATCGAAAAGCCTCCCATGTTCATGTTGGCAGCATTTGGCATGAGAGGTGACGAAGCCATGATAGGGGTTGGGTTGTGGATGATAGGAGACGAATGCTGAGCAGCCATGGCAGCTTGTTGCTGAAGATGCTGTTGCTGTGGATTCGCGGCCATGGGCGTTTGACTCTGAGCCAAGTTGTGTGCATGCTGCTGTTGCATCTGTTGCTGCTGCTGAAGCTGAGCAGCCTGTTGCTGTTGTTGCTGGAGAGCCTGCTGTTGGGCCTGTTGCTGGGCTTGTTGCTGCTGCATCAACTGCTGCTGCTGCATCATCATCTTCTGCTTCTGTTGCGTAGCGGCCTGCTCTTGTCTGGTCCTGTCCTCCATGAGCTTTCTCTTTTGGGCTAGGGCAGCATCGTGTTGACGCTTTTCGATGGCCTTCTGCGCCTCTTCTTCCTTCTTCTTGCGGTCGTTCTCCTCATGATTCTTCTTGATAGTTTCGAGCGTCTTGAACCTGGAGAACCCAAGTGCCACCGAGGCAGTCTGACCTTCGGAAGTAGAGGTACCGTTTCCACCACGCAAAGAAGGTTTTGTGCGTTCGTCCATGATAAGCATGCGCCTCTCTTCTTCGAAAGCTTGTGCATCGTCGAGAGCCATTTCGGCATGTGTTCGCTTGCGAGATCTTGGTGATGGCGGAGGCTCGGAATGTAGGGGATGTTGAAGCATTCGTAGAGCCATTTCGGCCTCCTCGGGAGACTTTGCAGGATCTAACAGCAGCGGAGGTTCGCTAGAAACGAGCATGCTAGCCTCGAATTGGTAGTAATCCTTTTCATCGATGGCCAGAGCAGTCTTGTTTGGTTGGTTGGCGAGGTGCATCAACTCGTGATGGCGCGAGAGGTCTGTAGGATGTAGAACAACGATAGAGGTTCTCGGACCAGTGTGGGTCTGTTCCTTGGAGCCATCCTGTTGCTTAATAGACTCGGACCTCGACTTGTTGGATAAAGATGAACGGTCCTGCGCCTTCTTGGGATAAGGGCCGAATGGAGAAGGAGTAATATGGTCGTGATAATTGTGCATGGNAAAGGGAATGTTGTGGTCGGCCGACGTCACGGACAGGTTGCCAGGAGTTGTTGTCTTTGCGACAGAGGATTTGTGGTTGACAATGTTGACGATAAGGCAACCATCATAGAAGACGACGCCATTCTCCAGCAGGTCCTGGACCATCTCATGGGGAACGGTCTGTTTGCGCAAGTGTTGTAGGATGAACTTCATGGGAGAATCGTAGGGGAAGCTGCCATCTTGCTGATCGAAGCGGAAGAAGGTGGCATGCAGATGGATGGTGAGCGAGGGAGGGCTGCCACGAAACTTGCGCAGGATGTACTCGGAGGATCTGACGTGTGGTTCGGACATCTTCTTGACGGGCGTATCGCTGCCTGTGGTGAGGGTGTTGGCGCGTGTGCCCAAACGGGCGCCCATGCTGGGTCGCGGCCGGCGCATCGCATGTCCGGCCTTTGCTGTCGTCGCCGTCGCCATGGCGAGTGCTGACACTACGCTCTGCCGCTCTGCTCGAAGAACAAGTGGGCGCACACAAAGCCCTCGGTGCTCGGTCAAGCTGCTGCTTGTGCTCGTGCGACGTGATCGGCCTCCGTCTGGGGAGATGTTGAATGACCCGGAGGTGCCAAGTCCTCCTTTTCCTGTTTGGGCGTCGCGACGTCACTTTCACATGACAATACAATCACTGAATGTCGACAGGGACCATGAGCTGTTGTACAATTACACCTTCTTCCGTATCGTTGACTCATCAGACATGGCAGAAATAGCAGCTGGAGCCCTTGTCGCCGAACAGGCTGTGTCTACCACTGTCGAAGCCAGTGCCGTCGCTGGATACGCTGTTGCCAAACCTACAGTACCTCTGAAAGCTACCTTTTCGCAAATCGCTACTGCAGACAAGGACGATACTACGTATCCACCCTCTCCTGGCCTTCCAAAAAATATGGAAGCTGATATATGTCTAGCNTTGGCTCTTGCACGCTCACATCATACCGTCAGCATTGCCAATGACAAGGCATGCATCTTTGGGGGTCAATCGACTGGCGGGAAGCTGGCATCTAACGACATCCACACCGTGACTCTTCCTCTGAAGCAAACCAGTCCAACAGACATTGCTTACGCCTGCTACCCAGCTGTTCCTCGCGATGAAGGAGCTGCTGTGCCAAAAGCACGCACAAGACATGCTGCTTGTGTTCAAGGTCATGAGCTCGCTGTATTCGGCGGTTGTGACGAGCAACACTCACTTGTAGACCCAGACTCTTCCTTGTGGATATGGAACATCGAGTCAACAAAATGGCATCAGATTGTGACAGATAGGTATGCATTGTTCCCACCAACGTCATTTATTGATACTGATCATCGTACCCAAAGCCCGAAGCCCTCGCCTAGATTCGATCACAAGCTGTTTCATTACGGCGGACATCTCTTGCTTCATGGCGGACGATCGTCTCCTGTAACTCAGCTCAACGACACTTGGTTCTTCGATATGATCTCGCACGCTTGGACTCAGCTGCCTGATGCTCCAGAGCAGTCTGAAAGTGTAGCCTTTGCTGACGGCACACTCTACCTAGTCACCAATTCGCCAGCTGAGGGCATCACTCATGTATACAGACTTGAGATTGGTGACAGCGTTCCCGCTCCAGGATCGCCACACGGACTAGAATGGCAGAGAATCACCAATCCCTCAGAAGTTCCATCGCCTGGCCCAGGGGCTCGAATCGGTGGCGCGCTAGTGCCCATAACCACTGGGTATGGCCGTCTGTATCTTGTCTACTTCTTCGGTAGTAAGGAAAACCATGCGGACCCTGAAGAACTCGAAAAATCAATCGAGTCACGCGACACAACTAGACCTATTGAGTCCGATCTATGGACCTATCAGCTGCCATCCAAGTCGACCAAACCTACAACGTGGACAGACTTTAAACCGGCTGCCATCAAAGATATAATTCGGGACAAGTTGGGCTACAAGAGTGGTGGTTACGAGTGGGCTGAAATTGAAGTGCAAGCTACAGAGCAGAGCGGCCACGAGGGCAAAGTGCACCCTGGACCTCGAGCGTTCTTCGGAGCAGATGTCACGAGCGATGGNAAAAGTGTAGTCATATGGGCGGGAGACAATGCAAGAGGCGAGAAGGAAGCGGATGGCTGGCTCATCCACTTCGAATGAAAGCTCACAGAGTAACAGTACGAACAAAGAAGCATACGCAGGTATCGTTATTCGTCATAGTGGTTTTGTACAAGCGTAGTGCTGCTGCAGTTATGCAGATCCAACATATCTTCTCTTTCCAACATTACGTGCACTCATTTTGCCTTTGCCATTGTCCTGTAGAGGATGGTCTCTTTCCCATTTCTCATCATCTTGGTAAGCTTCAACTGCGGAGTTCAGATCATAGTCATGCTGCTCAAGGTAAAGCTGTGCGACATCGTACCTAGATAAATGATCAGAATCGAGTACCGATTATGGCACAACAAGTACTTACTCGGAGACTTTACATGTGACCATAAAGCGGCGGAGCTTGGATTTTCGCAATTCTTCTTCTTCGCCCTCAACAGGTCTGGGACTCAGGCTTGGTCCCTTATAATACTGTCCAGGGATAACAACAGTCCTACGTCCTTGTATAAGATGATCTGCAAAGACGTTGTTGGCCTTTCTCAAGGCATGAAGGGGTACGCCATAGGCAAGAGATAACGATAAAGCCGTATCGTCGGGTGTCAAGAAATGTAGCACGTCAGGGGCACTCTCCAGCGTCTTTTCTGATGGAGGTTGCAAAGGTTCGTGTGAGGAGTAAGCCGGCGGTGCATCGTGGTCTTTCTCAGATAGTTGTAAAGTGGAGTCTTGTGTATCGTTGTATGGCGGAGGGTCGCGTAGGCCCTGTGGCAGCGTCGACTGTGGATCTGTGGAGATCTGGCAATATGGACAATACGAGTTGTAGCGAGGATTCTTTGCAATGCATTGTTGGCAAACGGGTCGCGAGCAACAGCTAAGGTGGCGGGCAGCGATGGTGGGCTTCTCGGTTTTGGAGTCTATCGTGTCGAGCACCGAGGAACAGATACAACACGCCGAAGTAGAGGACATGATCAAGAACGAGGATGCTCGTAGGGGTATGGCGGTGGTCGAACAGGCACACGGAGGATATCGACTTTCACAGGGACAACAACTCGGCCAGCAACGACATGATGGCAGGCAAATAATAGTGTTATCATGGCGAGGGATCAGCAGCCACAAATACCTTATTAGGTAGAATTCTAGAAGACAAGTCTGGGGTGGGCGTGTTGGATGACGGGAGGTGACGGGAAGGCTTTCGGGCGGCTCGCGGGGTGGCGAGGAATTCTTTGAATTGGCATCGGGTGACGGGCACAGATCAGTCCGAAGCAACAGGAGAAATCGAATGACGATCACAAATACCTACCGCCTGCCTCATTTCCTGCCGCTGCCTTATCCACCTCTGTTCACTCTTTTCCTTCCGACCACAACCTGTCCCTATCAACCTGACTGAAATATACCTCAATTCGACCACCCCTTCAGCTTCAATCGCCTCTGTTTTGGCTGTCCCCGTCTTCTCGAAAAGCACAACAAACGGAGCTTCGCGGATCGCAACTTCTTCTACTCGCGTGCCGGCTTCGAAGCCACAACAAGCACCATCACAATGCAGTCCGCCATGTCCAATGCGACCACGCTGCCTCTGCCTCCTCTTCCCACATACACCTTGACCCCTCTACAACCTCTGATTTCTTGGCTTCCCGACCTCTATCTGGCCCTGATCCTTCCTGTAGCCGCCTACTGGATCGTTTCCTTCATCTTCCACTTTATCGACGAGTACGACTTGTTTCCTCAATACCGCCTACACACCCCTGCCGAGGTTCTCAAGCGCAACCACGTCTCACGATGGGACGTCTTCCGCGACGTTATTATCCAACAGGTCATCCAGACGGCCGTCGGTCTCGCCATAACCATCATTGAGCCTGAGGCTACCGTCGGCCAGGATGACTACAACGTTGCCGTTTGGGCTCAAAGGATTCGTGTCGCTCAGCGCGCAATTCCCACCATCTTCGCCTTTACCGGCCTTGACGCCAACACCATTGCATCCAACCAGGCCGCTGCACACCCAGTCCTCTCTGCTGTCTTGAAGGGTGGCATCTACAACCTCTATCAGCAGGCTGCTTCTGGCGACCTTGTCCCGGCATTTGCTTCGTGGGAGCTTACACTCGCAAAGACCATCTACTGGATCGGTATTCCTGCCTTGCAATTCACCTTCGCCGTCCTTGTCGTCGACACATGGCAGTACTTCTGGCACAGAGCCATGCACATGAACAAGTGGCTCTACACAACCTTCCACTCTCGTCACCACCGTCTTTACGTCCCTTACGCTTATGGTGCTCTCTACAACCACCCCTTTGAGGGCTTCCTTCTTGATACCTTGGGTACCGGTATTGCCTACATGCTTGCTGGTATGACTTGCAGACAATCTATGTGGTTCTTTACCTGCAGCACCATCAAGACCGTTGATGATCACTGTGGTTACGCACTTCCTTGGGACCCGCTACAACACATCACCAGCAACAATGCCGGTTACCACGACATCCACCACCAGAGCTGGGGTATCAAAACCAACTTCAGCCAGCCGTTCTTCACTTTCTGGGACGGTCTTCTCGGCACAAAATGGGTTGGCGGTGACGTATCTGCTCGCTACGAAAGATCGAGAATCGCTGCTCAGAAGAAGCTCGACCAAGATAACATCTCGCATTCCAGCCCGTCTCAGAGCATTGCGGCCGAGCCCTCGCCCTACGAGTCTGAAGAGAAAAATGTCAGCACACTAGCAAAACAATCACAAGCACAGCTCGATCCTAGCATTCCAGAGGGCAAAGCAGCACTACAAGCTCTTGGATCCAGACAACAGATTCTGGATGATCAGGCTGGTGGTGGTGTTCAGGTTCTTCTCGAGGAAGCGGCTGAAGAGCGAGAGGCACAGCGTGTTCTGCGTCGCAGTCCTAGGAAGAAGACTGTGTCACAAGCATCATCAGCACCACTCAAGGGTCTGCGGGATAGAGTCAACACTAGCCTGCACGGGAAGGCGAGTGGCGTGCTCGTTGAGAGCAGCAGATGAACAATGATTTGTCTTTCGTGTTGTTCAGCGCCATTTTCACATTCTTCATAATGTTTATTATACCCTTCTTCCGCTATCATTCTATCGTTCACGAGGGAGCCATCTTTTCTGCCCCTTTCTCTTCTCCTTGATGCGTCTCATTGGCATCTGCTCTTGACTGTTCTTTTTTTTCTCTTCTTTCATAACTTTCAAGACTTTCGTGTAGAACAAGCTTAGGGTCTATCTTCATATCCTCATATTGGATATCATGGCGTTCAGACTGGATCGGGGATTATCATGTTCAAGCGTACGAAATGAAATAAACTCTCGTTGGCTCGAGTAAATCAACATCAGTGACCTTCAGTCCAAGTATTTACCTTGTGTGCTTCAATAGTTTCTGGTGTGATCTCGCAGCTTTTCGATGCATTTGTCATCTGTGCTGTGCAATGCAGGATGACAGGGTGGAAGTTTGATCCTTCTTCAGATTCGGATTAAAGACGAAGAAGCAGCTCGCTTTTGATCTTCGAAACAAGGTTTCTCAAAGCAAATCACCAACCAAACCAGATTCTCTCGTGTGGTGAAGATATCTTGTTGGGAAACGGTCAAAAATAAAGAAATCTGGTTTCGTAGTTCGTCAAGGTAATCAACATAAGAGCAGAGTGAGGCGAAAAGGGTATGATAAGAAGAAAGGAAGAAGAAAGAGGACATTATTTCGCTCCAGGGCGAAAAAGGCTGAACCGATTTGGCTCGCCGGATTTTATGAAAAGATCTCCCCCTTGTCCCAAAAAGGAGAAAAGGAAAAAAGACAAGCCCATAAGGGCCTACAGCAGGCGAGCAGCCGCTGGTTGGTAAAGACAGAGGAAAAGGAAAATAACAAATAGAAACCTCCTGGCCTTGCCCAATGGATGCAACCTCCCCCTTTCGTGTGTTATCGTGACCTTTGGTGAGAAGAACTGTAATAACTCGATGGTTTGTCAAAGAAAAACTCCATTCACCTCCCTTGAACCACTGATGCGACGAGCTCAGTCGTCACTCCAGCTTTCCAGAAAACGCCTTCCTTCCACGATGCATGTGCTCGAAATGTTTTTGATCCAAAGATTTGCGTCATGTCTGTACAGTATCACCGATTGAGCTGGCCGACCTGTGAATCGTGCTGTTGACTTCGCTGAGATTCGACACGAGCGGCACGTTGTCTCTCAATCTTGATCTTTTCGGCTTCGGTGCCGTCGTCTTCGTAGTGTTCTTTGAACCAATCATGCTGCAGAGCTTGGTGTGCTGTGATACGCTTCTTTGGGTCATAGACAAAGATCTTCTTGAGCAGGTCAAGGAACTTGCGGTTGAACTCGTTGTGGGCTGGTATAATCTCCTGGAGAGTGTATAAGTATGGTGCATATTGGTTTTGGCTGAGACTGGCTGGACGAGCTACTCGGGGAGGAGCTGGAGTGGGTGAAAGGACAGGGGGGCAGGNGAAGTTTTCAAGCCTGGAAAGGACGGGAGGGCTTACATGAAGAGGTTTCATCGCCTTGACAAACTTGCGAGACGAGCGGGGAGTGTCGCTCTGAGGGTAATCGAGTTGTTGACGTCTGAAGTAACTTGAAAATGGTCAGTAAATGGTACGCAGGGGAAAGAGGTAGCGAGAGCCTTACGCTGCAGCAGAGTTTTTGTTGCTGCCACGGCCAGAGGTGACTTGACGGACAAGGGCTTTGTCGATAGGGGTATTGCACACGGCCTCCATCATTGCCAGATGCTCCAAGTTATCGTGCGTCTGGAATAAGGCGTCGCCGGTGAAGAACTCAACAAGAATACAACCTATGCTCCAGATATCGCAAGGGAAGCTCCATCCAAGGTTGAGTATAATCTCGGGGGCACGGTAGTGTCGGGTCGAGACAACAGACGAGTGGTACTCGTCGTCGAAGGTGGCTGAACCAAAGTCGATGAGTCTAATTTCGGGATCCAGCAAGACCCTGCGGAACTTTGCCGAGCGAGGATTTGTGTTTGACGACGAGGGGATGTTGCGGTTATATGTGAAGGTTTGGTAGTGGTTCTGTACAAGGAGAATGTTCTCGGGCTTGAGATCGGTATGGATCAAATTTAGATCATGCAGGACTGGACACAGGAGTTAGAGACTGGAGGACGAAGCTGGGTGGGGATGGGGACAAGCTTACANGGCGACGCTCGTAAAGAGCTGGCGAGCAAATTGCTGAATGTGAGTGCTGGGAAATGGTACAAAGGTGTTGCTCTTGAGGAAGTCAAAGACGCTCTGGCCCAAGAGGTCGGTGACAATGCAGATGTGGTTGCGGAAGTCAAACGTGTCTCGCAGGTGGATACACTTGTTGCGGTTGTGCTTGTCGTTGCAGGCCAGAGTCGACAAGACCCTCAACTCGATGCGACTAGCATCGCGGTATTTCTGCACAGAACGAATGATCTTGATGGCCACATCGGCATTTCTCCTGCGGTCGAAGGCTTGCACAACCTTGCCGAACGTGCCTTGACCGAGGAGTTTCACGATCGAGTCTGTCGAGAAAGAGTTAGTGCCGCTCAGGCTTGTTGGACAACGTCTACTTACNNATCGCTCGGTGAGATCAGCATGGTCATGAACGATGTAATGACCATCGTCATCGTCTACCTTCTGATCACGCTTGGCCGTTCTNNCTGTACCTGTGTCAGCAAATGAAGCACTTGAACAGGCATTGGCTAAACATACATCTGGCACCAAGGGCACAAAGACATCCTTGGCCTTGAGCGGTGGCTTGGGTGGAGGAACATACTCGGCGAAGGGATCGGGACGAGTGATGACTTCGCGCTTCTTTTGGTCGGCAGCAGCCTGACGGGTGGTCCTCTTGCGTTTCTGGCCGGTGGCAGCATCTTCGGTGTAGGCGCTCGCACTTGGTTGCGAGGCTAGGGATGTGGCAGCCGACGTTTTGTATGATGTAGAATTCTGGTCGGTTGAGGCGGCGTCATAGTAAGGTGTGTGAGTGTTGGAGTACTCGGCATGGTGGTAGACGGGGTCGTAGTTTGTTGTCTTTCTGCGCTTGTCCGTGTGTTGCTGGGTTGTGCTGGCGGGAGCGGCGGGGTTTTGATATGCGTGGTTGGCAGCGGGCGCTTCTTCGTCATCATCATCGTCAATGACTATGATTTCTTTGGGAGGCTTGCCGCCAAAGAATTCATTCCAGTCAACGGGTTGATTTCTCGATCTCTTGGCTGCAGTGCCGTTTGAAGAGGCGGCAGTCGAGGGTGGAGCGGGATAAGGCGCAGGAGCGGCAGTTGTAGTGTTGGTATTGACAGGCCGTGATGGTGGAGGATAGCCGTTGGCATATGGTTGTGGGGGATACGAGTAGTCGGTCATGGCTGGAAGATACTGATGGGATTGGTAGTGGTTCGAGGCAAGGGTAGCGGTAGCGGTTTGAGGAGTCGACATGTTATCACGGACTCTGCTAGTGGTGATGGGTGTCGTCGTCGGCACGGTGCAGGTGCAGGTGCAGGTGCAGCGAGCGAGGCAGATATCACAGAGACTCGGCCCACTCGACACTGGCGATTCTGGGGCAGCGTTCTCGGTTCGGACAAGTTGAGCGGCTCATTCGACAAACGAGCGTCTTTGGACAGCCTGTGCAATGGAGTGTAGAGACCTCACTCGCACAGAACAAACGGCTTAACTGCGGCTGTGGGTGAAGAAGGCGGCGTGATGGAGCGACGGGCCTGCGACCGTGGCAGAGTCGTCCTGGTCGTGCTGGTCGAGGGACGTGAAAAGGCAGAAGCTGCAAATGTGTGCCAGAGGGCTGGACGAGAAAGCGTGCGAGACACTGCGGCCCATGGACGACGAGCTGCTCCTTCACTCGGTGCTTCGTCATTCTGGCACTCTCCGCATCTTCGTCTGATCAAGACACTCGACTTGTTTCTACCCAACACTACATGTCTCTACCTCGACATCTATTCATTCTATATTCTTTGACAGTCTTCTGCTCCTACTGCATGCTCTCTCGTACAACATCTCTTCCAATTCCGATGCCTCTTCCGAGACCATTCCGTCTCTTTGACCCCATTTGTTGATTGTCTCACCCAATTGGCTTTTCCTGCCGTAGTGGCGCTGTACAGTCAACCTTCGTCACCTTTTGTCCATTTTGACTCGTCCCTCCACAAGCCACCCAGGAAGAAACGTCTGTGATTCTTCTATGCTATTCACCGACTACATCGACACCCGAACAAGTGTCGAGCGGGTTTTGTACGAGCTGAGAGCTGCACAGCGCCCACTAAGCTGAAGTCTGGACTCTTCCACGTTGATCTAGTGCTTCGCTTCACCTTGTCAAACTCTCTCTGCTCAGCTGCGTGTCCACAATCGTTGCATTTTTACACATATGTGAGCAAGGTTGTGAGCCACGAGAATCCATGACTGCGTTTGACTTCTAGACATGCGTCGATTGAAAATCATGAGAAAGGGTCTTTCAATGGCTATGTCGTTCTAGTTGGTAGGTCTATGTGGTCGAGGAAGCCAATTTACTGTTTTACAGTATCCACAAAAGGGATTCTCATGCAGATTGGAGCGATAAGGTATCGAATCTTCACGCTGCTTGAAAATACTCCTCGATAACTCTTGCCGTCTTTCGCACAATCAGTTCTATCACTTCCGCTGTCACATTGTACGCAGGAGCAAGGAGAATATGGTCTCCAATCCTTCCATCAGCCGTGCCAGTTCCAGGATAGAGCGTGATGTTGTGTGGATCACTCAACCNCTACGTCCAGTCAGCATCTTTCCAGATTAAAGTGACCAGTCCCAGCGACTCACCTTTCTCGTGTATGCTCATTGCAACATTCTCTTTCGGATCGAACGGCTCTTTCGTTGTCTTGTCTTTGACAAACTCGATCTGTTCCCCTCGTCAGTATTGGGTTCGACGTTTGTCTCAAAGTCGACACTTACTCCNCCAAAAGAGCCCTTTTCCTCGCACATCACCAACATGAGGTAGGGGTAGGACAAAGCGCTTCAGCAGCTCCTCTAGTTTCGCCCCCATAGCAGCCGCATTCTGTACCAGCTTTTCGTCATGGAGAGTTCTGAGTACTTCTAGCGCTGCTCTACAACTGACGGGGTGACCTTGATACGTCTGTCCATGGGTAAACGCACCAGTGCCTTGGAATAGCGTGTCGGTGACCTTGCGGCTGATCAGCACACCTGCTATGGGTGCATACCCGCCACCTAGCCCTTTCCCAATGGTTTGTATATCTGGAGTGACGCCAATCAAGGGCGATTGCCAAGCGTGCATTGTGCCTGTACGACCCATGCCACACATCACTTCGTCGAGAATCAAGAGCGCTCCGTACTTGTCACAAATAGCGCGTACTGCCTGGAAATATCCCTTGACCGCAGGAACACAACCCAAAGCNNCTTTGTTCGGTCAGCATGTATGGAAAATCTTGGATGACATACTTACAGCACCGACTACAGGCTCGGCCACAAAGGCACATACGGTGTCCGGGCCAAGACGTTGGAACTCGTCATCCAGTTCCTTCGCCAGCCTATTCACATATTCTGCCTCTGTCTCGCTCTCTCCCACGCCACGATACGCATTGCAGGCAGAGACTCTGCTCATGTTAGCAAGTAGCATAGGTTCATAAGGTGCACGGCGTGCCCTGTGGCCGCTGATCGACAGCGATCCCAAGGTTGTTCCATGATAAGACTCGTGCCTGGCGATGAACTTGGTTCTCTGTGGCTGTGGAGGTTTAGATTCGAGATAATGTTGTCTCGCAAGTTTCAGAGCTGCCTCCATTGCTTCGGAACCTGCGCATTGTTGGCTATCATGATGGTCTAAGTCTGGATACTATGCCTTACCAGAGCTGACGATATACGCCTTCGACATTTCTCCGCCTGTTGATTCGACGAGTTCTTTTGCAAGCATCTCTGCGGCTTCTGTAGCAAAGGTTGCCGAATGTACGTACGAGACCACGTCCAATTGACTGATGATGGCTTCTTTTACACGCTGGTGTCCGTGGCCCAGACACGATACAGCTGCACCTCCTGTGGCATCAAGCAGTTTTCCGCCATCAGCCAGATGCAGATAGTTTCCACTAGCCCCCACTACTGGAATAGGGTCTGTATGAAGACTTCGATGGAACACGGCGCTCTTTGATTCAACTGAAGTCATGTCTGAGATGATAAAATGTACAAGTTGGCTTGTGACATGAAGGTGCGGCGTGAATGGTCTGTTTATCTATCTGTCGGCAAACTTTAGTATGGACGGGAAACTGAAAACATGGGGCGGACAAGTGCTCGCATTTCTGTGGGCAACCCACAAGAGCTAACTTCTTTATGAGCGTCAAGTCATAGTATGTAATATCTCTCGTAGAAACCATTCGTGGTACTCGTAGGTGAAAAGTTTGTGCGAAGGTGTCAATTTACTGCTGCATTGAAGAAGCGATTGGTGTAGCTGGTGGGCTACGTAATATACAAAGAGGTGTGAAAGAACGGCCTCGCCAGTTGCCCTCCAGCATCAATGAACGCCCCTCCCAAATGCATTCCATTACTTGCTCGCCTAACACACACCGACGCATAGGCTCGAACATCAGCACTGCAATTTTCAGGACACGGCTCTGCAACATGAGTGTCAGCCCGCCGCCTCTCAAGAGAAGGTGTCTGGGCGACAAGGAAACTGAGCCCGCCACTTCACCCATGGATACTTCAAACAAGGAGCGCTTCTGCGTGTACTCCTGGAACATCAATGGAATTCAGCCCTTCGTGCAAAAGTCAATAACCTCGTTCTTCCAAGCCAANAAGCCGTCATCCAAACAACCAGGCCCAGAAGCTACGACCACAGCATCCCTTCGAGATTTCCTACGGCGACATTCCTGGCCTACCATACTCTGTCTCCAAGAAGTAAAGATCAACCCAAGTGACGAGGCGACTAAATCGGCAGTCCGACAAGCTGTCAGAAGTACCAAAGAAGGCGAGCCCGACTATGAAGCTCACTTCTGTCTGCCCACCGATCCTCACAATGCTCGTGGTTTCGGTAGGAAAGTATATGGTGTATGCACCATCATTCGCAAAAGTTTCGTCGCCAAGTATCAGCCAATTGTTCGGACTGTGGACTGGGATCTCGAAGGCCGTATTCAGATTGTTGAGATTGAAGAACCTAAAATGAGTATCTGGAACATCTATGCTGTCAATGGTACCGACAATCCATACAAGGACAGCAAAACAGGAACAGTAATAGGCACTAGGCATGACAGGAAGCTAGCCGTACACAAGCATATGCTCGATGAGGCCAAACTGCTCGAAACGCGAGGCTTCAGCGTGATACTTGCAGGCGATTTGAACATCGCTCGTTCCCATTTGGACGGTCATCCAAATCTACGTACATCCCCTCAACAACATTCTATCAATCGTGCAGACTTCAACAAGAAGTTNTTTGATGCAAACGAAGGGCTTAAGGCCATCGATACATACAGACACATTCATGGAGATGAAAAGGGATACACATATTATCCTCGCGGAAGGGAANNGTTTGGAAGCAGTTGTGACAGGGTTGATCTGATTATCTGTTCCAGATCTTTGGANAAGAAAATTATCGATGCAGGTGTCTGCGCTACGGAGAAGGAAAGGGGGCCCAGCGATCATGTTCCTCTATTCGCAACTTTCAGACTCGAAGAGGATGGTCGAACAACAGCTAGTACAACTTGAAGAAACCGTTCGTCTCGAAGGCCATTGCGATTGAGATTTGTTGGCCATGTTTTCTGCTCTCCGTCTCAACACAAACACTGTGATACGAATTCATGCCTGTAGTTAATCATAGAGTTCTGTTCATCGCAGCCTTGCAAGAAATTGTCCCATCCCCAACGACTTGCTCTGCTTCCTACATGAAATCCACGTTCAGAAAATGAACGAAGCATCATGTGTTTGTAGCTGTGCTGGTTTTCTTCTGCTTCTGGTTGCATAGCCTGATGGCACAGCGGTTTGGGGTCAACATACGAAGGCGTAACCTTGATTTCTGAGCAATCGAGTCGTGTCACATCCTCGGTGTCCCTGTGTTACACCCTATCACTCGTGCTCAGTGACGTTGTCCGGCTTGATGATCATGCTGGCCTATCTTTCTGCAGTGGTGTCCTCGTGATTCGATTGTTCATCCAGCTCTTGCCTTTTCCACCTCTCTCAGTACAACAGTGACCAGCTGTCTGAAGGCTTCCATCTCCTCTTCGACACTGCCACCGTTTCCAGCCGACGAGAAATTGACCGAGCTGCCAACCTGTACCGGCAGGTTCGTCCTTCTCGCCAGCGTTTTGGCCAGTCGATCGGCAAAGTCTAGACTTGATGGGAGTGTGTATAGAGGTGTGCTGAGTGGTGCTGAAGGGTTGTAGCGNNCTGTGCTTTGGCGTCAGTATGTGGGGACTGGACAAGGTGTTTGGGAAATACGAACGTCAGGCATAGCATATACGAAACTACCGAGCGAAGGTACGACAGAGGAAGAAAACTCGGCCGTGGTGCTGGTGCAGAAGAGAAGAATGGAAGTTGCGAGGATGGTCAGGTGCGTGTGGATGCGGCTTCCAGGTGCGTTCGGTAAGGGCATGGAGAATTGAATTGGTTCCGTCATTTTAGATCCTGGACCAGTGCCATTGGTAAGTGGTCTGCTTGCTTCGGTGGCCATGTTTGTCATAAGTATGTTTGAGGTGTAACAGTTGTAAGACCGCATCTATGGTTCATGGTTATGATGGTCATGTTTGCTTTGTTTGCTGCTCGTTCCTCTACTTTTTGATAACGGCTATATAATTGCTATATCCGTACATATTATACTCCTCGCCTACGGTCTTGGATTCGCACGTTAAGCAGTAGCATGGACGATATGGATGAACAAATGTCAACACCTCGCGAGGAAGTGGCAGATGAAGAGGGCTCGGAGATTGATCCGCTCTCTGATCCTGAAGAAAGAAGGGTTCTATTTGCTGCCCTCGATTCTTTTCGGTAAGCAATTCATGCCTCGTTCTTCCATTATCCAGTATGGCCTCAAAGGATTGAAATCATGAGGATCTTAAAACAATATCAAGGTTCGGAGGGATAATGTATTCTGAATTGAATTCCTAGACAATATCGTCAGGCTGCCCACTATAACATTACCCATCTACGACGCCAATCTTTCTACTCGCTTCCTTCAACTCATATGGAGATATTGGCTTCTGAGCCATTCAGTCTGCCCAAGACTTTGGACGCCGTGGATGCAGCAATCGATGCGAATGCCGATATAGCCGAAACCGTCCTGGCCTTGGGTCTCGATATGTACGGTATAGACCCTGAATCAACCGATTGGCACGGAGCAGCCACCTCACAAGACATGGACAAAGTACGCTCAACTATTCGCCAACTCTACCGCGATTGGGCCGCCGAAGGTGCTTCCGAACGAGAAGCATGCTGCGGGCCCATCTTGGCTAGCCTCAACAGGGCTTTTGAAGACATCAGTCCGGCCAAGCGCTCTCATATGAGCGTACTGGTTCCAGGCGCTGGACTAGGACGTTTGGCTTTCGAAATATGCAATGCAGGCTATGCCATGGAAGGAAACGAAATCTCGTACCATCAGCTTCTTGTCAGCAATTGGATACTCAATTATACCTCAGGTCCGAGGTCACAATCCGTATACCCTTGGGCCCTAGGTTTCTCAAACCATACACGCCGCTCCCACCAACTCCAAAAGGTACAAGTTCCTGATGTATGGCCGTCCGAAGAGCTGGACAGGAGCTGCAAGGATCTGGAAGCAGAACTACACGCTTACCAACGAATGTCAATGTCTTCGGGCGATTTTTGCGTCTTGTACAAAGAACCGCGATACGAAGCTGCCTTTGACGCAGTAACTACATGCTTTTTCATCGACACGGCACCTAATTTGATTGCCTACATCGAGACCGTCAAACACTGCCTCAAGCCCGGAGGCGTCTGGATCAATCTCGGACCTCTACTCTGGCATTTTGAAGGTGGCTCGCCAGAGAAGAAGAACTCGTCGACGTCCTCTTCTCCTTCAGAAACAGGCAGGGAAAATCAAACCAGGAATCGTGGCATTGGTGAATCAGGATCCTTCGAGCTTGCGGATGAAGAGGTCGTGAAGCTGGTCGAGCATTTTGGTTTCCAGATTGTCGAACACGAGTCGGTTGTTGGAGAGGCTGGGTACATTCAAGACCCACGCAGCATGTTGCAAAACATGTACAAGCCCAGCTTTTGGATGGCTAGGAAACAATGAATTCGGATTTCACGATAACTGTAGTTTCTTGCCATCTCTACGGCTTAGCCACTGTAGCAGCAAGCCGCATAGCGAGTAATCTAAGATAATGCCAACGATACATGAAACGCCACGCCCTCTTCTCACCGATTGCCTGACTTCCCCGGGTAGCCATCAACTTCCGAATCTGGTTCATCCCATTGTTGTGTGGTGTACCCAAGAGTGGACCGATCTCTAGTGAAGTGTCCTTGGGCGTTTCGCGAATGCGCAGAAGCTACACTCATCTTCGCAGCACTCACGATCGGTTTATGCTTTCGCTGACATGTTTTGAGTTTGTCGGAGTTTGCTTGATGGCTCTGGTACTTGGAGTTGCTTGAATATTTGCTTGCATGCCGTGTTGATACAAATTTCTTAGGCTTTCAGCCACCTTGGCCATTGGGTGGTGTGATATTAGGGACCGACTTCCTAGGTCCGGTACTCCAGGGCGATACACCTGCTCCAANAAGAAGAGGGCTTTGCATGCCTGTGTAGTGTCCGGAAAAGCTTTGGTAACGATCTCCGCGGGCACCTATGCTGTTGTATGGATTTGGTGTCGGCTCGAATGAAGACGGTCCGTCTGGTTGTGGAAGGGGACTTCGAATAGAGTTGGTCGAGTTTACGCGGGAATGGGCGTTTGAACGTCTGGCGCTGGTTGAGGTTGGTAACCCCGGAGGTGCACTTCCGAATGGGGTGACCGGACTTGTCTCTCGTATGGGTGCACCATTCCAGATGTTAGAGACTGAATGCAAGCGCTGTGAAGGAACGCCAGTTGGACTCAGAGGTAGCTGCCATGCTTCTGTTCGCAGTTCGGGCGTTCGTACAGCCTGGTAACCACGCGGCGAAACTCCCCTCAGGGGAGCGTTGCTCCTGTAGCTGGGGACATTGAAAGAGTCGTTCGCCGGCACGAAGGATTTTCCAGGCAAGCCTGTAGGAACAACATCGTCTTCGTCGGGTCCAACAAGGTCGTCAACCATTTGGCTGAGTTGAGCCTCTCGATTTAGCGGCTTTGTGGTAGTAGCTACAGGCACAGTGGATTCAAGGGCTGGGGATGGGTTTCTTTGCGCAGCAGGTTCTTGCGGAACCGCAACTGCCGGACTAGTTCGTGTCGTTCGACGAGATGGAGCAACCTCTGGAATTAGGTTGACTGATTTGCCGTCTGTCATACTGGGATCCTGGTGGATGAAGTGCGACCCGTCAAAGGTAATAGGTACATCCTGTGTAAGTGGTTAGTCTTAGACGAATCAGATATCACAAACGTGGTTACAAACTTTGTCCACAGCGAGTAGTAAAGCGTCGANAAGAAGTTCGCGAACTCTTCCGAGCATCTCGTGGTTAGCGTCGAGACGTTTGATGCTTTCATCGTTGTATTTGGCCTTGGTTTGTCCAGTTGCATCGTCCAACCAGACTTTGCGCGACCGATCCGAGTTCAAGGGCCTGAGACCAAAGGCATCAACATCCTCCTCAAGCTGGTACGGTACCTCATCAAGCTCGCGGAACGAGAAACTAAATGCCATGACAGATAGTGTTTTAGCGTAAATGTGCCAAAAGTGATCCATGGCTGTTTGAAATGACTCGTCGCCAACACGTGCCGCAACAATATGAGCATTACTCAACAACCAAGTGCTGTAGAGACGCAAAGCAGGCAAGACATGACGTGCCACGTCTGTAAGCTTTTCAACAAGATTTGAAATTTTGGTGTGCTCCTGAAGGTGCTTTTCGAGGTCGGCGTAGTAAACCTCCAAGATTGTTGTGAAGAACTTCACATTCAAACGCAGAANAAAGAAGTAGGAGTGCATGAATTTGTGTTGATCAGGCTTGCTCTCGAACTGATTGCCAGCAGTAGCTTGGGCGCAAAAATTGATCAAGGTCATCTTAGATAGGATGCCATCTAACGTACGCGCTTTCATCTCAGTGATAGTGCGGCTCAAAACTTCACGCTCGAGCTCATCGTACCCAGCAAATTGCTCGCCGTTGTAACTGAGGCTGTGGAAGCGAATGAACCAGGAGGTGAGAGCATTGCGCGAAGCAACCGGGTCCTGAGGNNGGGAGTTCTTGGGCACCAGATCGCCTTTCTGCCATCCAGTGGTAATCTTCTTGAATTGCAGTTCCAAGTTAGGAATGGCGTTGGGGTGAGGTTCGTCGACGTTGATAGAGCGGTAGAGATAGTATGTCGAGCGGAGAAAGTCGTTCTGTTCAAAGGCAACGACGGATTGTTGGTGGAAAGCGAGTCCAGATTCGGGTCGCAATGAGGCAGCAAGGGCATAGTAACCAATAGCCGGTCCCCAGTCAGGCTCCTTGTCGAGTCTCTCAGCGGCACGGTAGCGGAACAAATCGCCAAGATAAATCAAAGTTTGGTGGCAGGATAGAGTGACGGCGGCTTGGACTTCAGGGGACACAGGCTTTCTGGAAAGCTTTGGGACAGCNNTATAAAAATCAGTCTTTGTGTAACCAACATGTGAAAATAGGTAAGATGTACAGTCTGATCGAACCTGGCGGGCGATGCGCTCCAGGTCCTTGATGCCGCCGAACCTGACATTCAGCTTCTGGATATAGTCTCGATAATAGCGCTGGCTGTCCTTTAGAAATTCAAGATACAGCTTGGTGAATTTGCGAGTTTCAACTGGCTTGCTAGGGCGTTCCTTGCGCAACTGGTGCAGAAGGTGAGCAAGAGGTAGACTTGTCATTGGCTAGCCGAGACTGACCTTGCTTAGTTGTTTGCGCAAACGTGCATTCAGACGATTGTGGGCATTCCAAAGGCGTGTCTCGACGTCGGCGGCGCGTGCGGACAAAAAGTCACTGGCAAGAGCATGTGCGGCGGCAGTGCGGTNATCTGTGTCGACTTGGTATAAGAAGATGGCGACAAAAATGTGCAGACCATGTCTGACTCACTGCTGCAAGACTAGAAAGATAGGATCCAGAGAGGAGTCGGCGAGCTGTAGCGTTTGTGCAAATTCTTGGTCGAGGGCGAGTGCCTTGCTGCGAAGAGTGTAAGTGGCAGATTGGCAGGAGTCACGGAGGCGGGTGCATACGCAAGAGGCTGGTCGCCAGTGGATTCCATGTTAGAGAATGGCGCTCAACATAGAGCGCCTAGGATGGGTCGTTGGTGACCGCGCAGTGCGAGAGGTCAGATGTAAACGTGCTGATATCCGGGGAGTGCGGACGGGCCGGTGCGATCCATAGCGATGGCGAACTCGATGGATTGGAGCGTACAGCAAGGACAGTCCCGTTGCTGGTGTGAGGATCCGAAACGAGCGCGACGTGGGGACGATGGTCGAGATTTGGCAGCGACAAGTGTCGAGGCTCTGAGGCAGCATCCACCAAGTCTCGGGCGCCGGGTGAATCGCTCCGTCTTCGCGCCCGTCTTTTCCGCTGCGTCTGTGCTTGCTGTCAGTATCACCCTGCCGCCACATTGCAATCTGTACTGCCTAGCACAATCTCACTCCAATCTTCCTCCCCACCACATCTCTTCGCCATGTCAAAACGCGCTAGACGAGACTCCGAATCTGATGTGCACCATATCTCTGCAACTGACGATTTGCTGGCTCAAAACATACAACCGCCCGGCAAGTATACACATCTGGATTCTTCAACTCCAGACACCGCAAACACGACCATAACATGTGCTCTGCCTCCGCACCATCCAATCAAATTCACCACATACAATGATTACGAGATACACTATCACAAAGCACATTCGTTCAGGTGTTTAGAATGCGGCAAGAACTTTCCAACCGAGCATTTTCTTTCTCTGCATATTGCCGAGAGCCACGACCCTCTCAATCGTGTCAAGAAAGACAGAGGCGAAAAAACATATCATTGCTTCGTCGAGGACTGCGAAAAGGTTTGCAGCACGCCTCAGAAACGCCGTATGCATTTGATCGACAAGCATATGTTTCCGCGTAACTACGATTTTCATATCGTGAATCATGGCTCCGATAACCGCACTTCGTTGCTGAGACCAGAAGGAAATAGTCACCGAAAGCAAGGCAAGGCTCAGAGCAAGCTGGTCGAAGAGGATAACACTCAAGGCCTCGATGCGTCCGACGCTATGGAGACTGAGGTAAATGCAGTCAACAATCTCGATGAATCGACAAAGGATGAATCCATGAACGACATCGCTAATGCAATGGCTGCACTCAAATTCGTGCCCAAATCCATCGCTTTTGGAAGAGGCCGGCAACGGGGAGGGTTCTCGAAATCTTGACAAGTTGCTAGCAATGTCTAAACGAGGTAGATGAAGGTATTATCACATGAAAACCATCAAGAAGGGATTGGTATCATTTCGTTATGAACAACACTGATGGACGCTGCACTTCGTGTCCTTATTCAGTCGCCATATTTTGTGTAAAGAGGATTCGCGCAAGCAGCATGTTCGCTTACTCTGCCGCACACTCGAGCTTCAGCAAGCTCTTTTGTAGTGCCTTCTTCTCTTTACCATCTCTCTCGAGCACAACAACCCAGTCTCTGACCTGGATGCCTCTGCCTTCTACGCCGTCTTCTCTCCAACTACCCCACTTCCTTTCACGTACTTGTAGCGCCTTGTCCATGCCATTGCTGCCACTTGAAGCATTCTTTCCACTACCAGTGCCACCTGTTGCCGCAATGGCTGAAGTGGACTTGGGGGTCTGCTTGTAAGGATTCACAGGCGCCGCTGGTGCACCACCAGTCAACCAACTGTACTTCTNTTTCTTGCCCATACCCAGTTGCAAGGCAGCGGTCGTGTTAGAGTTTTTGTGCAAAACTTCTTCAGTCTGGCCCATCTTGGCCTGTCGCTCACGCTCCTTCTTGGTCATTGGCTTTTCTGGGGCTGCACCGGAAGCGTCTGTGGATGATGGAGCGGCAGCTGCAGAGGGTGTTGCAGGTCCAGATGTTGCGTCGGTGCCATTAATACCGTCCACATTTGAGGCTGAGTTGGCGCGCTTTGCACGTTCCTGGCGCTTACGAACGCGTTCGCGCTCGGCATCACGATCTTGTTTGGCCAGCTCCAGTAGATGTGTAGAGATAGCTGAAGAAAATGACTTCGTTGGTAGCGGTTTGTTTTCTGAGCATGCACTTCAGCAACATATTCTATACCACGATGCAAGAATACTTACCGGNNGTGTTTCGGATTTTACCACACCACCCTCGATACCACTGAGGTTGTCTTCGGGCACCTTCTCCCAAGCTGTGTTCGTGATGCGCGGTATCTCAGCCACGGCAGCTGTTTCGTTTTCACCAATCGCAAGATCTGACAGATTCGGAGGAACCACTCCATGACTACCATAGCGTCTGCCACGAGCAATGGCATATGATTCGTCAACCAAGGAACGGACTCTCTCGTTTGCGGCAAGCGATATGAGGGTGAGAATTTCAGCCAGAGGTGCCGTCTCTTGAAGCAAGCCATGTCCTTTGACAGCTGCAGCAGTACCGTTGGGGCCTGTCGCTGAGACACCCTGAATTCCCTGTGGCCGTTCCGGCAATTTGTCATACAGTCCATCCACATTAAGGGCAACGCCTTGGTCATAAGCAATGCGGTGCATACGATGACGAATGTTGTTAGCTTGCAAGAATGGGTCATTCAGGTGTTGCTGACGCTTCTCATTGAGCGCAAGCGCAGCGGCGCGGTGTTTTTGGTCGAGCTCATCCTTGACAGATTCTTGCGATACTGGTGGTTGTGAGATAGGACCGCTCCCCGCAAAAGCAGGCTGGCTTCCGAAACTGCCCTGCGAGACCAGACCAAAGCTATTGTTTGGTGAAGCGACAGTTGTGTTTGAGCTAAAGGAGGTGTTAAAGGACGGGTTTTTATGCACGTTTCTGTAGGTACTAGTCATGTAGTTTTCTTCTTCCCTTAAGTCAATACCCGAACCGTGGAAGACATCAGTGACGTCGCTGATGTCGGTGATCTTTTCCTTGTCCTCTTTCTCAGCCTTTTCCTGGGTGGGTCGTGGAGGNNAGGGCCCATGGCGCCAGGCATGGGTGAGGGGGGCGTAGGGCTGAGGCGCATTAAAAGCGGGAGGGCTACCAGCAGTCATAGGTGAGTAGGTGGCATATGGACTTTCGGGAAGAGCAGGAGGCGGAGGATATGGACTCTGAGCGGAGTGAGGTGATTGGGGTTAGGCGACAGGCGTGGCCTTTTAGCAGGAGGCAGAGCGATGCCGGTTGGCGAAGCATTGTTCTGGTAAGGCGAGTAAGGGCGCGAGATAGGCTGCATGGGCTGGTGTGGGTGTTGCGACTGCTGTGGAGGATGAGGAATTGGTCGTGGGGGTTGCTGAGGCAGCTGCGGTGGAGTCTGCTGAGGGGCAGGCATGTTGTGTGACATGGCGGCGACTACGGGGATGTAGGTAGAAGGATGTGTGTTGCGGCCGTGGCCGCTGCGCAGCTAAAGGTATAGCAGTTGTCGAAAGTATCAATAGGGCATGCCGAGAAGTGCAAGGCGGCTATGTGGAGAGAATGCAGCGGCAGTGACGGCGACGGAGCAGACGAGTGTGGCCAAGGCGACAGATATACGGTTGTCGGTAATGGTGGAAGGTGTTAGCGACGAAGTGAATGGGTCCTAAATGGTAGAGGGCTGTAGCAAGTTGATGATGCTTTGCGCTGGCGGCCAGACGCGGCGGATGCCGTGATGCGCGTCGGCGCCTGTCACTTCCCTCTCTCTTGTAGCTCGGCGCCTGTGCATTTCACTCTCCCTCTTCTAACCATCACTCAGCAACAACAGATTCGCGACTCATCACCCGACACTCCTTGCGCACATCAGGGAAAGCTTTACTACACACTTCATACGACTCGTCGCCGATACCACAGCAGCGACTTCGCCCACCATGGCCACGAAACGAAAGCTTGACACGGCCACACCGGAGCCCGAAGAGCCCGTGGACCCCTCTGATGAGCTGATGTTTCTGTGTTTGGGTGGTGGAAACGAAGTCGGCCGATCCTGCCATATCATACAATACAAGGGCAAAACTGTCATGCTCGATGCTGGTGCCCATCCTGCATATGACGGCCTGGCCTCTCTACCTTTCTACGACGAGTTCGATTTGAGCACCGTCGATATTCTTCTCATTACCCAGTAAGTCCTCATGGTCTGCTCACCACAACCACGCTCACGGTCACTGCATCGGCACACGTTTCTTTCTCCTTTCTGCACTGCTCCCCCTTGGATGTCTTGCATCTGCATGCTATAACCTGTACCCCCAGGCAGCTTCCTCCGCAGTTGTATATAAACCAAATCGAAATTTTGTTTCCACCACTTCTCCTGTGTGCCGGTGACCGTGAGCCAAGTCCAATCTTCGCCTTTTGCATGCCCAAATCCATGATTCGCGTCTACATGATACGCATCTCTGATAGCTAACACACTGTACAGCTTCCATCTAGACCATGCCGCCTCACTACCTTATGTTATGGCAAAGACAAATTTCAAAGGCCGCGTCTTCATGACGCACCCAACCAAAGCCATCTACAAGTGGCTGATGCAGGATTCCGTTCGCGTACAGTATGTCTGTTCTTTTCTCAAACGTCCTAGTGTTGGGCTAATGGTTGGCCAGNNGAATACGCATGCAACTGCAGAGCAGCCTACACAACTCTACACGGAAGCTGATGTTCTTTCGACTCTTCCCATGATCCAGACCATCGCCTTCCACACCACACACACTCATGCAGGTATCCGAATAACCCCTTATCCAGCTGGCCACGTTCTCGGTGCAGCCATGTACGTGATCGAGATCGCTGGGCTTAACATCTTGTTCACTGGAGACTACTCAAGAGAGCATGATCGCCATCTGATTCCCGCCTCGGCTCCAAAGGGTGTCAAGGTGGATGTTCTGATTACAGAGTCCACCTTTGGCGTTGCCTCCCATATCCCGCGACTGGAGCGAGAGACTGCTTTGATGAAGAGCTTGACTGGTGTCCTCAACCGTGGAGGACGTGTTCTTATGCCTGTCTTCGCTATCGGCCGTGCACAAGAGCTTCTTCTAATTCTCGAAGACTACTGGAACCGACACCCCGAGTACAGAAAGTACCCCATTTACTATGCCAGTAACCTAGCAAAGAAGTGCATGCTTGTCTACCAAACCTACATTGATGCCATGAACGACAACATCAAGTCCATGTTCCAAAACAGGCTTGCTCAAACTGCTGACGGCAGCAGCGGCGACGCTGGCGCTGGAGGTCCCTGGGACTTCCGCTGGATTCGAAATCTAAAATCACTTGACAGGTTCGATGATGTTGGCGGATGCGTCATGCTTGCATCTCCTGGTATGCTCCAGAACGGCGTGTCTCGTGCTCTTCTCGAGCGCTGGGCTCCTGATCCGAAGAATGGTGTCATTGTCACTGGCTACAGCGTCGAGGGCACCATGGCGAAGATGATTCTCACTGAGCCTGAAAGCATCCAAGCCGTCATGACTGGCAGAGTGGGTGGTAGAGTGCAAGGTGTAGGCAGTCGAGGAAAGCCAGGTGCCGAGGGAGAAAAAGTCATGATACCTCGAAGGTGTACTGTGCAAGAATATTCCTTTGCTGCACACGTAGACGGAACCGAAAATCGCGAGTTCATAGAAGAAGTTGCAGCTCCTGTTGTGGTGAGTAGTATCGTAAAGTTCTGCATTGCAAGATGTGCTAATCCAGGTATCACANNGATTTTGGTACACGGCGAGAAGACAAACATGATGAGACTCAAATCTAAGTTGTTGTCTCTAAATGCAAACAAGGCAACACCAGTCAAGGTCTTCTCACCAGCAAATTGCGAAGAACTTCGAATTCCCTTCAGACAGGATAAGATCGCCAAAGTGGTTGGTCGACTCGCAAACCAAATCCAGATCTCAGCAGCTCCACCTTCACCTCCCACTTCTGATGAGGACAGTATAAGAGATGAGAAGAAGTTCAAGACGACGAATGGGGACCAGGTAGTCTCTGGTGTATTGGTGCAAAACGATTTCAAACTTAGTTTGATGGCGCCAGAGGACCTGAAGGAATATGCTGGACTAACAACCACAACGATTCTTTGCCGCCAAAGATTGACACTTGCAGCTGCGGGCCTCGACCTAATTAAATGGGCTTTGGAAGGCACGTTCGGAGCCATCAAGATAGTTTCATCACCTCGCGAAGGAGCAAAGGCAGAGGCCAATGGAAACGGTGCAAAGGTTAAAGAGGCTGACGAGGAGCTCGAAAGACAACAGGAGACCGTCTTTGAAGTTATGGGCTCGGTCAGGGTCAGGGTGGCTGATCGTGGAGAGGTTGAGGTTGAGTGGGAAGGCAATGTTGCTAACGACGGAATTGCTGACGCCGTTCTTGCCGTTCTGTTCACTGTCGAGAGCAGTCCTGCGGCTGTAAAACGTGAGTCTCAAATTCAAGCAGAATCATCGGGCTGGAGTTCTAACAGATTTGCAGAATCCTCGAATCCCCATTCACACAATCACCACGAACACAAGCGTAATCTCCACGCACATATCAGCCCGTCGGAAAGGCTCTCACGTCTATGCATGTTCCTCGAAGCACAATTTGGTGAGGACGCCATCACTCCGATCTCGAGACCGAAACTCAACATCACCGACGACACTATTAGCTCCGACGATCCTGTAGCAGCAGAGAAAGCCAGAGCTCAGCTGGAAATGGTAGAGTTAGAACGTCTCCATAGAGCAGGCATACCTGTGCCAGGCCTGGAGGTCAAGGTGGACAAGATTGTAGCCAAAGTTTGGCTCGAGACGCTCGANGTAGAGTGCGGCATGCGAAGCATGGCCGACAGGATCCGCGCCGTGGTCGAACGGGCTGTTGAGGTTGTTGCTCCACTATGGGAGTGAAAGTGGAGGGAACCGAACAGAGAGCCCGAGGGCAGCGAGAGCAGCCCATGCTAGGAAAGGATAGTGGACACATATGAGACTTTTGGGAGCATTCGGGCAGGAAAAGCATACACTCTCGGCCGGTATTTCACTGAGATGAATCATGAATAAGATCCAGGCGTTTTAAGGTAGTCGCAGTTTATGCTGAGAACTATGTATATTGCAGAAGCTTTTCTTGATGCTCTACTACGCCCAGACGCTTCCGAGCGGAGTAATTATCGCCATGGAAAGGTTGTGTCAAGTGGCCGAGGAAGTCCACACTGCTGGAAACATAGCGTCTCACCTCATGGCATTAGCACCATTCTGCTCGAAGCCTGCTGCAAGGCCGATCACCATGGATCCTTGCTAATACGAATGCTTCGGAGCCTGATCCCTAGCTGCTGATCAACTACAACCCATGTGTAAGGGAAGGGAGGATGGGAAAAGTATACTCGTGGGATCGCTCGGTCGACATGAGAGAAAAATGGATACCGCTAATAGTTACGATCTTCCAACAGTGACACTAGGAAAAATAGGCGCATTGTAGTGTGTAAGAATAGGCAAAGCGAGACGAGCAGTGAACGCTATCTTGCAAACCACTAATCATGCAAATCTTATCCCTGCGTTCATGCACAGAACATCTGTTCTACATACAGAAGTAAGTTCGCACCTGCATGAAGAGAATCGATTGCCTTGTCCCCACCGAGTGATTGGACCAAAGTTGGCTTTGTTCCTCCCAGCGAAAAATGCACCTTCGAGTCAAACCGTTCAACCGAAATCCCACATATCCCGTCAAATATTGTTACCTATCCAAATCAACCAAGACTTTCTACTGCGTGTCCGTTTACTTACAAACCAGCTTCTCCACAGTTGTGGCCTTGTCGACCCCACTTTCCTGCATCCTTCGCTCCTGCACTTCCCGCTCTTCGTTCTCTTGCTTGATTTGCTTCCAAGGATTGGCAAAAGCTGCTCCTCTCCCGAATACTGTCCCAAAGCGGACGAAGGCGAAGGGAATAATGCACATTGCCAAACTTAGGAAGCCTAGCAATGAACAGGCCCGTGTGACACCCAAGCGCTGATACCTTTTGGAAGTAAGCAGGTTCTTGGTAAGTTGTCAACCTATTCCCGCGTTGCGATAAATGCTACGTTGTGGCGCCAGCGAGGCTGTGCGGACCCGGGTCAACACTCCGCTACGAGCTTCAGAGGCCCTCGATTGTTTTTGGGCACATGCCCACTACTACTTACATTGGTCTGGCCACGAACGGCAGAACCGCACGAACAAGCTCCTTGAGCAAGCCGATGCTGCCATGGCGCTTGCTGCGAACACTTCGTACGCATCAACCAGGTAGCTATAGCCACGTCAGCCAACAATAGATTGAGATATTGGGATGAAAAAGCAAAATACTTGATCAACGACATGAACATTAGCAGGAATCTCATGCCAAAAGGCAAAGCCGACAAAATGGGCACCACCCAATGGATGTCCCCTCGAGCTGTCCCTGTAAAAGCACGGTCAGCATAAAATTCGATATGAATCACGATATAATACCACAAAATCATTACAGAGCCAGTCAAGCCACAGCCACCAAAACAGCTCGGACGTTCAGATAGTTTATGGCTTCAGCATCGTGGCGAGTGCTGCGACATATGTCCCAATCAAAGGTATCGACAGATCAAGCTGTAGCCTCGTGGTACAGTATGTCTGTCTTCGTCAAACATACATCCATTCAAGCTAGAAACAACTGAGCATCAACAACAGTCCCCCAAAAGCACGCTAAAGGCAAACGTCGATGTTCCTCACTCTGCAACTATGCAGCAAGTGGATCGCGTGCCTTTGCCTTGTTCAGAACACGATCCCAATAGAGATATAGGCCGCATGCAGAAGGGCTCCGAATCCGATTGGTAGGAATGTTAAGCCGACTTCACCAGAATTGAAATGGCAGATCCCACTGAAAATAGTTGGGTAAGCTTGGAAGTTCATGTAGAAGATTGCATACACGAAGGACAGATACAGGCAACTACTGTATTGCACGATTGCCTCGGCGAAAACATTCTCACCGGTCTGGTGAGAACGACAGTGATCATCTGCTCCAGGTCACGATGCTCGAGCTCGAGCGGCGCAAAAGATGTTGGGGTTGCCGTTTTCCTTGTGAAGACGCCGTGCGCGCATAGCAAGGATTATGGGTGCATAAGTTTCTGGGCTGAACAGCAGGATGGGCCAGGTAACTCCACCTATAATCAACGACAGCCAGAGAATCCAGCGCCATGACACGACTGCGATGAATCCCGACATGATAGGCCCAAGGATTGTGGACTAAACGTCGTTGCCTGCTCCCGTCATTAGTTCCTCAATGCTCGACCTCTTTCTGCTTGGAGGCTAGCATTGAACAATGCCAAAATCGCCAGCAGGCGGAGAGACCAATCATGCACATCACGAGGTATAAGCCCCCACGTGAACGCAAACGACCGCGGATATACCCATATCTGTGAACATGCTCAGAGACAGCAGCTGTTGCTGTAACTAGGCTCGGGGATATTGTGGGCTTGACAGCGTCCTGCTCCATTTTGTAGGGCGGTATGCCATGCGTTTCACTTACAGTCATAAATATAGTCAGAGCTCAATCTCTACTCACAGAATCGGGGTATACGTCGGCATAGATGCTGGCAAGACGTTCAGTTGGGGCAATGGAACCACGTTTGTGGGCCTGCATACTCGAGACCAACCACGGGAATGGGACCCGAAGCGCCAACACCCACGAACAATCTCATTGCACACAGAGTTGCAAAGTCATTTGCCAGAGCACAGCGTGTTGTAAAAGTAGTTAACAGTGCTTGGACGAGAAGCATTATCAGTGCAGTTAAACAATCATCAAGCACGAATCCTTACCAAAGTTGCCATCATGACCCATCTTCGGCCGTAGCTCTCACTTAGTGGCCCAAAAAAGTAGCGGGCCCTTCCTAGGACGTATTCGCTCAAGTAGGAGGACGTTGGTAAGGCCAGCTGCACCTGGTTCGTGACATCAAAATAAGCAGCAAATTGATGCGATGCTCCTGTTGCTATAGAAGACCCTATAGTTGAAGACATGACCTAAGCTTCTCGTTAGGAAAGCGATCAACACTCAGTATGAAGACAGACCAGAGCCACTCCATTGAAGACAACAAAGGATTTCTTCCTATTTGACCAGTTGTGGGGATTGTCTCTATCATTGGGAGCGAGCGCAATGACTTCTTTGAGGCTCTGTGAACTCGAATGCGAGGGTGGAGTGTGGACGAGTTGAATCCTCGTCCTCTAACTCGAACCGGAATGTCATTCTGCTTCAAGGCCCCGATTGTTTGTCCCGTGGCTGCGCTGGTTTCTGCTGGGACCGCAACCGTTATCATGCGCTTCCGAGCGCACCCTCGCTTATCAGAAGAGTGGGAGATGATCGACCAGAGGACACACAAGAGGCGTGACTGAATGTCAGAACAAGAGAAGTGGATAAAAGAAGGATGGAGGCCACCAGCAAACTCATTCTCACATACTACTCGACCGAATATCTGCATGTCGAGTCTCGACAGCATCTGAAGACGGATAGTACGGCATAAGACTGACTAGCCAAGCAGTCTCGACGACAGAGGCAAGAAAAGTGTCGATCTGGGGGACGGCAGATCGTCGTCACCCGAGGGAGCCACCGAGCTGAACTCTGGAGAAAGGGTGTTGAATGAGGGGTAAAACGTCCAATTTTTCACGTGTTTGAGAGTTTGACGAACGACTACTGCTCGTGCGGTGACACTATCTGCCCTCGCAGACAATGACATCGCAATTTGTCTCTTGAAACAAAATAGGGCTTACAAAAACCGTGCTTTGAGTACGAGCGAGCGAGAAGTTCGCCTTGGGAATAGTGTGGGATCTTGAACTTCGGCAAAACGTGCCTGCATAATCCCGTCCGGGCAGATGAAGTCAATTGCCCGGCGCTTTTGTTGATAGCTTGGTTGGATGATCGATGATCGAGCGATCTGGATACGGGAACCGTTTGCCAGCTCAGTAATCGAACAGCTTTTCAGCCGAGTCAGACATGCAAAGCCAGCAAGGCGAAGGCCGAAAAAGGTCATTTTCGTCAATGGTTTGAAGATTGAAGTGCATGCGCAGAAAACGGACAAGGTTGGAAGTCAAGGTGGAGTTTAAGAGCAAAGAGGCAGCCAACCGAGGCGTTTGAACCCATATCAGGACAGAATTGGGCTCAGGGCAAGGATCCCTGCCACAGCCACGTGCGATCATATAAGAAAGCGAGATACAGAAGACAGAGGTGGCTTACAGGCTTGAGAGTGTTGAGAGAGGATACTGCGAATCAGCAACAGAGCAGTGGGTACGACGACCGTGCTCAAAAGAGCAAAGCCCAGCCTTGTGCCTGGCTAGCAACTGCCTGTTGTGCACACTGCACAGGGAAATTTGGAAGCTTTTGGATTTTAGGTCTTTTACGTTTTACTAGAAGCTTCTCACCAACAGTAGTTTGAGGTCAAGCGGAGTAGCCACGGTCTTGGAGGAAAAAGGGGTCAGAGAACGAGTAGCGAGCGGGTGGTCGCAACGTAACGATCAGGAGAGGAGAGATTGGGCAGACGAGGGTAATGCAGTCTTGTGGACAGACTATCGTACGTTGCTCACCTGGGCAGGTCTGCTATGGGCATGTGGTGTACCTCGCACTCGCAGGGCAGATTAGAAGAGGTTAAGGGAGCAAGAGCGATAAGGCGATAGCAGATGGGCTGACGCAATAATGGCCCACGAGCGAGGCAGGTGCCAGGTGCGCAGGACGGACCCTGGAGCAGACTGGATTTAGCAGACAACGGCGTGCACCCAGGAAACAGCGGGCGGTGGGCATCGCGGAGCGGCGGAAGCAGACTCGTTTGGCGGAAGTCTAATCATGAGGTGCAAACGGCTCTGACAGTCTCGGCATCTGCACAGAGCTATGGGCGACGGCGAATGGTTGTTGGTGAGCTACGGCGTGTGGCATGTGTCTGTGGACTGCAAGGGACGTTTCTGAGGCGGACTGGACCGTGTTGGTGAGAGAGAAGGTAGGGTTTCGACTTTCGTACATAGACCCTACCCGTACACTCTTTGGGTCTGCCTACCGTTTGGTTTGCCATAGAAAACCGCTCTCTTGTTGTTGTGGTGTCAAAGATGAGCCAGTTCGAGGCAGCAGGTGCAAACATGAATTGGTAAGTGTACTCGTACATGCAAGCGGACCGCAAGCCGTACGCNAAATGGCTGCTGCCCAGGGCTGACGTGACGCTTCTTGCTTGTCACAGGGACTGGCAACAATTCACGCCGTCATCCACCCCGACCACGACCGTCTTTGACATCAACCTCAACAACAGCAATGCCGCCACGCCGACTCAGTCTCACTTTCACGAAGCCTTTCCCACTTACGATTATGCCCACCACAAGCGAGACTCGGTAGCCTCGACTGCCACTGCTGCCTCGATAGACAGCAATCCACACTATGTAGCCTATCCGCAGCTGCAGCAGCAGCAGCACCAACAACCACCTTACCACACTTACGACTATGCCGCCAGTCCGCTCTTTGTCCAAGGTCAAAGCCAGGCCCTTTGCCAGAGCCAGAGCCACAGCCAGCCCCAAACACAGTCTCAGGTCTTCCAGATGCAAACACCCCCTCCCACCCGAGGCTCGTCTACCAAGCGGAGGCCGCAGCGACTAGACGGTGCCACTCCTCTAACATCGACTGCTCTCCGCCAGCCCAACTTTGACAATGCTACCTTCAGCTTCACTGCCTCTCAGCAATCAATGGACTCGTGGACCCAGCTCTCTGGACCCTCGTCTGCTCCGCTGTCAGCTCCTGCCTGGACTGCCAACCAAGACGACCCTTTCTCGCACTGGTCTACGCAATCCTCTCAATCTTCTCACCCTACCCACGCTTCTCAGTCGTTCCGCTCGCAAGCTTCTCCTCAGCCCTCGGCTCCCTCGCGTCCTACCATCACTCGCTCAACCAGTTCCAACAATGTCCCGTATACTACTCCTACCGCTGCCAAGAAGCCTTCTNNGTGCCCTTCACCGTGGATCCGATGCAACCCCGATCGTCGCCCGTGCAAACCAAATTCCCCAGCATTCCTCAAGCTCGCCCTGTGTCACCGGGGAAGCCATGCCTGGCCCCTGCTTTCCCCCTCAACCTCGGGCCAGGGCTCGCCAGTAAAGGGCGCTGGTCTGCATCGTAGCAACACGGTCGGAAACTTGCTGAAACCCAGCCCGGAGATTGTGTCGCAAGCCTCGGGAGCTGCATCTTCACTTAGTCGAAGCAATTCTATCTGCAACCTTCCACGTCGATCCTCCCCGCTGAAGCGGATAGCACGTGGCTCCTTATCCTCAATTGCTGAGACTTCACGACCACAGGTCCGCACATCTGTTGTTCTTACAATTGACGCCAATGGGACTGCAAGGACGGAAACTAGAGTGATCGAAGAGAACCCTTCTCAATCGAAAATCGAGTCGCAAACAATCAAGGACAAATATCCTAATCTTTGGGACGACTCAGACAGCGATTCGGACTCGACGTGTGGTAACAAGTGGCCGAGCCGTCATGACTCTCTTGCCCACGCCAACGCTGGTCAGGAGCGATCGGCTAAAATGGCCAGGCTTGACACGTCGTCGGAGAATCTCGAGATGGCACGGCTGCCACGTTCCAATTCGACGGCGTCATTGAAGACTCCATGCAAAGCTGCTTATGCAGCCGCCATGCAACTTAGACGACAGGGCAGTGCTAAGAAGCAACAACGACCGTCAAGCGTGCAAAGTCGACGCAACACGCTGTCTTCTCTGAACAGCTTGAACAACTCTTTTGAGAATCTGGCTACCATGGACCTGAACAAAGATGAGATGCACCTCAAGACAGATGCTGGTTCTGCACTTCGCCAGGCTGCTGCCCAACGCCTTTCTCCANNACCAGTAAGCAGATTCGTCTCTTATCCAATCGCAAACGAGACTAACCACATCATAGACCAACTCGTCCGCCCTGTTCGCTCGGACACGGCACCCTCGAGCACTTCACGACCTCGGCAGTTATCACAGCCTCAGCAACCTCGCCAACTGCAGCAAGTACAACAGCCACATCAAATGCAACAAATTCAACCGCAGGCGCCCCAGCAGATACAGCAACCCCAGCCACAAAGACCGCAACACATGCAGCAAGTTCAACAGATACAGCAGCTGCCTCTCAGCAACCAAGTCTATACTCACACTCATTCAAAATCGCATAGCGTCAGTTATCCGACAGCTACATCAACAGCACCAGTCTTCGATCCTCGCGGCTCTTTCACAATGGGTTACCCGCCCGTAACTTTCACTTCGGCAGCTCCTCAGCAATCATTCACGAACGACATGAGCTCCATGACACGATGCATCTGCCAAATTCCATTCTACGATGGAAGGATGGTCCAGTGCAACCTTTGTGCTATGTATTCCCACGCTGGTTGTGTTGGTCTTGATCCCTCCCAACATGCATATGTTTGCTCTTTCTGCGTCAACGTCCAACCCATCTACGGGCATCCGGCACGATCAAGTTCAATGCAAAACTTCAATGCTTGGACTGTTCCTGGTCTTTGAGACACGTGGCGCCACAAGCCTAAAATTTTCTACCAAGCCTTTTGCATTCAACGACCGAAACGATACTCATCGCGAGACAAGAGAACTTAGGTAGAAATACCTGACATGGAACTCTCTTGTCCTGTCTTCCCACAAAACACCACACTCTGCCAAACCATTGGGGTAACCCTCGAGTTTGACATAGCAATGTCTCCGGAAAATTCTTGCATACTGCAGCGCTGCTGAAAGCACTGTCTGAGCACCATCCTTCTAGCGGAAAAGTTTAGATTTATCTTGACTGCATTTTTGTCTTTGCTAACGTTCAAGGGAGTTCCTGGCGAGTTTCTGTCCAACATCATGTTTCATTTCGTTTTCCTGCATCACGCGGCATTGGCGCTCTTCTTTTATCAAGGAACCAGGGGGGAACATCTGTGTAAATTATAAGGTCAAATGGAGCACAACATCACTATATGAGTAGTGGTATCAAGATAGGTCTTTCAATGTTTACGTCCTATGGACTTGAACCACATCGTCTTCCTCATTCGTGCTACGCCTCATCCTAATTATCATTGACACAACCCCTATATGCAACATGCTAAGTCATCATTACTGGTGTCTAACATCGACTCAAACCTTCCCTCCTCGAAGCTAAGGCCTATAGGTTGTTCCTCGCACAACTGCCAAAGACATGCATGAAACACATGGCGGGGTTGTGAAAGACAACTGTCTCGCAAGGAACATGCCAGGCAGATACTGACGAGTCAGAAGGTTCTACTCGGGTCTCGAAAGATACCTTTCGCATGGGATAACTGTTTCTTCATGCTCAGGTACATCGGTATGGTGTTACTGATATATAAGCCATCTGCAGCACCCTTTTCGAATTGAGCTCGAATCAATTCACTGTCTCATATTACCGTCTGTGTGTGACGACCAACGATCTGAAAGCTTTTGTTGTCGCGCTGATCTCATGACAGCACTACATTCTGCACACAACCTTACGTCCCGTCGATGACAGCGCCTTGAATTTCCTTCGAAAACTAAATCCCACATCTCATCAACAAGTCCTCTCCAAAAAACCGTACGGTCGTCACAAACATGGCACATCAGGTCGTTGATCAGCAAAGCGCCACCTCAGCGGCATCAACGTGCTCGTCGCTGTCCTACCTCTCTATCACCCAGGCGCGCTCGCCCAGAGACAACGGAGAGTGGAGACCTCGCCGCCGCCACGCGCCTCCTCCAGCGTTACCTACACATCGTCGTGCCAGAGGCTACGATGACCTGTTNCCCTTTGAAGTCAGCCAGCTAGCGTCAGTCCTTTGCCACGCACCACCTGTCAATACGCCCAGAGATGGAGCAGTGTGGACGGCGTATGTGGCTCACACTAACCAGCGCACGGCTCTGCTCGGCCCCAAACTCAGAGCATCCACTTCACTTCCAAGCTTCCTGCCTTGGTCCGCCAATCACGGCACATGCTGCCTACATCGTCGTCTTAACACCAAACCTCTGGAAGATATTTTTGCGGCTCTACGATATGAGGCCGAGGTCAGAACACAGGAGGTCTGGCAGCATGTGGCCTTGGCCGGTGCCCTGTCGGCCTCACAAACCGAACAGCTAGCGTTGATGGATGAGCTGCAGTCACTATGGCTTCCACCATCTAGATTCATGGAGAAGTTCAACCGCTTGCCTGCCCAGAGGTTCGCATATCAAACTGATGGATGCGTTGCTTGTATCCTGGCAAGAATGGGAGGCAACTTTGACACTGCCATGGCTCTAGGTGCCTTATTGTTAGGCTCAATGCGTCGATCGGATATGCTGAGTACCCGTGTCTGCTTTTGTCGCGAGTGGGTTCGATACACTGTCGATGGCGACATTGATTGTGTGGACACTGCTCTCGCCGACATGGAGACGATGGGTACGAAGTTTAGAAAGGCGAGGAAGTGGGCACGTCGGCGAACGAAAGCCACAATCGAGCATCAGATAGAGAAGCTCGAATTGGGCGCTATGTCACAAGTGCAAACAGGCTTACCTAGCCTCCACAGATCAGTTACTACTGGACAGCCAGTCTCTCCCGGATCAAATCCGGATGTTGAATGGCAACAAGATGGTCCCACCCCATATCACCAACCTCCTCCCAACCTATACCAATCGGAACAACACTACCCAACTCGCAACTCTGCCGAGCCTCAGCGTTTTGATCCTGGACGCACTGTAGCTCGAGACTATCCCTCTGAGCCCGGCATGCCACTGCAGGAACGACTCCAGGGAGCAACCTCTCAAGCAAGCTGGAAAGACAGAAACATACTTCTTGATCCGAGTTCCAACAGCCAGGCAAGTCAGTCGAAAGTCACAGCTTCAGTAGTCAACAGTACTGCTGAAACAAACCCGATGAACACGTCTCCGTCGAAAATGACCAACAAAAACCTGATGAACTCACCAACATCTCTTTACTCCGAGTTCACCAGCAATCCTTTTCTGGATGGCAACTCCCCTGCTTCACCCCTTGAAGACAGATCCATGCCTCCCGACCTGCCATTTCGTCTCTTCGAACGACGTTGCGTACGTGACAATGACGGAACACCCAGTCCACCCAAGAATGCCGTGCAATGGCCCAAACAGACTCCTCTAGTTAAGCAGTCCACGGCGGACCAATTCAAGGATAACCTCATCCCCGTACCCATTCTGGCGAGACTTGACAAAAGTCATTCGTCTATTGGTGCTCTCTGGAAGAGGAGGGCAAGAAAACCAAAGGTCAATCAAGATGTGATCAGGTAGAGCACGATGTCTGCAAAAGTTTTGCCGGGATGACCTGTTAGGGCGAGAGAAAGAGAATCAGCGTCCCGATTGAGCTCCAACAATGTTCCCTAAAGCAGGAGAGGAAGATTCGTTCACCGTGGTCCAGAAGATGTCGAGCGCGAACACAATAGGGGATAGCATCCAGTAATTACAGGTCGCGAGGGCGACGGAAAGTGGATTAAGAAAAATCCACCACCTCCCGAAAGCACGGCAGGCTTGGAGCTGTAGATCAATTGACGTTCTACGAGAACGTGCACTGTCCGCTGCACTGGAACTTGTCTCTGGGCTGAAATTGACTACAGTTCATCTTATTTTGATATACTTGCGAACTGCTCTTTGTCATTGCGGGACAGAGACAATGGTGTAGCACCTAGGTAAAGGAGAATTGGGTAAGACAGTACGAAGAGAACGGGTTGTATTTCTACTTAATCAAAGTACATTGTCAGTTGTGATAGCACCAATCTCGTTTGCTGCGTCAAATCTTGACTCGATTCGTGTATCGACCGGTTCGCACCTCTCAATCTCTGGTACTGACTGACAAAGAACATCGTAGGTCGTCAGACGCTTGCATGAAGGCCAAAGCACTGCCGTCGAGTATGTCGCAATGCAGTCAGTCTAGGAACGCATGCTTGCTAAATATGAGACAAAAGCATCTGTGGTGTCGCTATACCTTTTTTTTTTCTGCGGGTTGAATTCAAAGTACGCCAGAGGTCATTGATCATGCGGAAACATGCAATCTGCATTGTCAGCACTCATCTGAATTTGGCGTGTTTGGTGGTGCTCGAGCCGGCTTTCCTTAGAGACTGGCGGCCTTGGGGAAGTTCATGTTGTAAACGGCATCAACAACTGGCGTGGCCGTCAGCGTGCGGCCATCGAAGTACCTGCCGTTGAGGCCCTTGAGGGCGCTGTCGCCTCCGGCAATATCGGCAAACTTGACATAGATTTCGCCGTCAGAACTATCGCGGAAAACACCGATGTGGACGACTTTGCCGTATTTAGAGCTGCACTCTTCCTTGAAGTCCTCTTCGAGGTCTTTGGCCCAGTGAGGATCGGTTTNGGCTGATTCATATGTTAGCGAATGTCTACATACAACACGCAGGAAGAAGACTCACGTAGCTTCGTCGTAAGCATTCTTGACTACGATACAACGGCTGGGGGCAGGAGTGTGCATGACAGTCTNTTTGGCATCCGCACGGGGGCGAGAAGAAGTGGTCTGAGTCTGTGGAGCAGGGTCTTCAGTACGAGCCAACTTGCGCATGAGGGAGTCTCTGCTGAAGTTGTTAAAGTTCACGCCTCCAACATCGGCATCATCAAGAGCACTGGCACCTCCAGTGCCCTTCTCTTCGCGGGCGCCAGCGCGATCAAAGTTGTTGTTACCACCAGCATGGGCACCACGACCTCCGGCGCCCGAAAAGGACGAGCCTTGGAATTGGGCAGCCTGATTCTGGCTACCAAAGCGTTGCAACAAACTGGCGGTCGATTCGGGGGTGAACTTGTCGCTACCAAGACCAACGCGGATGGGACGACCAGCGATTTCGAAGCCGTTCATATCGGCGAGTGCTGCCTTTGCGTGAGCAGGATCAACATNATCTACAAGAACGGTCAGTACCAGAGGAAGGAGATGCTGAACGGTTGTAGTCACTCACTGCACAAAACCGTAACCCTTGCTACGACCATTTTCCTCNNCCTTTTGCAATTGGACAAACTCGAGCTCACCAAATGGCGAAAAGACGTCGCGCAGATCTTCCTCGGTGACAGAGAAGTGTATGTTGCCGACATAGAGCCTGTGAAATGGTATGCCGTTAGATTGAGTAGGCTGTCCGGTTGCTACACGAGCCTGGCGGTTCTTCTCAGCTTCTGTGAGTTGTACAATGACGGGAATACCGAGAAGCTTCTGACCAGTCAAGCCAAGTGCCTTCTGGACCGATTCTTCTTCCTTGAACTCGACGTAGCCAACACCCTTGCTGCGGCCACTGACGCGGTCCTTGACAATTTGAGCTTCCTTGACAGGGCCGATCTGGGCGAAGAAGGCTTCGAGTTCCTTGGTGCGCAGCCGGGCGGCAAGTTGTTGGACGAAGACTGTGCGGCGATCGCGCTCGTCGTCGGTGGGTTCAGGGGTTCTCTGGCGAGGAGGGGATCTATCACGAGCTGCACGTCCGCTACGGTATGAGTCGCCGCGGTCACGACGAGGAGAACGACGGTCACCACGTTCTCTGTCGCGGCGACGAGGACGATCGTCATCTCTGCGCGAACGGTCTGAGGGGCGGTAGTATCTGTCGTCGTCTGAAGGGGATCTAGTTCTGTTACGGCCATTTCCGCGGTAAAAGTCACCACCACTGGAACGGTAGCGCTCGCGACGATCACGCGAATCAGGGCGGCGTGATGAGCGATCACCGCTGCGATCCCTACGCCTACTACGAGTGCTTCCGTTAGCAGAGACGTTGTCTGAGTCTTTCATGTCAACATCGGCTGTAGTGCCGCGGCGAGAGCGGGCGCCATCATCGTCCTTGTTGGTGGCGGTAGTTTGTGCCTCTTGAGCGGAGGCGTCTCTCTGTGCGGATTCGAGAAGTTCTTCGACCGAGATGTCTAAGGCACCCATGATGACTGGTTGGTGAGAAAACTAAGCAAAGCGGAGGCTTGCGCTGACTTGCGGCGTGGGTGAGCGTGAGCAATTGGCACGCTGATGCTGGAGTGAGACAGAGGCTGGTCGATGAGAGGTGTGATAGTATTTCGATACACAGTGTCAAGTTTGGAAGCGATAATATACGTGGTGGTTGCGAAGGAAGAGAGCAAATTCGATCTCTACTGTACGGATACAAGGGAAGTCGCGGGACGTGCTTGGCGGTGTCGTTCGATTCGCTTTGCCTGCCTCCGATTTCACAAAAGCGCTAGCCAGACGAGGCAGCGTCTGTTTTGGCAACAACGTGAGCGCCTGGTGATATTTCACTACGAGATTGAAGAAGTTTGTTAAGTGACAACCCTTGACGGGACTATCGAGTAACGAATCCCATCTTCAAGCTCGAGGCAAGGATGAGATGAGTAGAAAAAGTGGACATGCTGGCGGACCCTTCGGCGCGGCGAGACTCTCCGGCATGTTGCGGTTCGGTGTTTGCGCCCCGTCCAAATTTCAATCCCTGAAAGGGTTGCTTGAGAGGCACGCCACCCATCACCTCACTAGCACTTAGTTTTCCAAACCTCGTTACCTACGTTTGCGTTCTCAGGAGATTGTTATATTTGCCTGTTCCCGCCCTCCTTTTGGTTTCAACCTCCAGTCGCCAATTGATATTTCGGCATAGCATCTGACCTCTTGCTTCTATTTACATCCGACCAATCCGCCGCTCTTCGGCCTACTTGCGCCAACATGCCTGGAAGAACATTGCCCACTATTCCTCAGGCCGACGTCGCCTCGCACAACACAGCCAAGTCTTGCTATGTCACCGTTGGTACCAAAGTCTACGACATTACTCCGTTCCTCAAGGATCACCCTGGTGGTGGTGACCTGATAGTCGAATACGGCGGTAAAGATGTCAAGGACATTATGGACGACACAGCCTCCCACTTCCATTCGGAATCTGCTTGGGAGATCCTTGACGATTATCTCATCGGCTTTGTCGCTACCGAGTCTGTCATGAAGTCGGTCACCAACAGCACCCACCCAGCCGACATCGTACCTCTGCCGCCCTCAGAAAGCGGTGCCGAGCAGCTACGCAACGACGGCGTCAATCAGCCACTCTACGAAACCACCGGCATGTCCTGCGAGGAAGACTTGTCGAAAGAGACGGACGCCAGCTCAGATTACCGCACCCACAAGTTCCTCGACCTCAACAAGCCTCTGTTGATGCAGGTATGGAGGGGCGGCTTCACCAAGGACTTCTACCTCGAGCAAGTGCACCGTCCTCGCCATTACAAGGGTGGAGAAAGCGCGCCTTTGTTTGGCAATTTCCTTGAGCCTCTGAGCAAGACCCCTTGGTGGGTTGTACCTACCGTTTGGGTTCCACCGGTCGCCTACGGCACCTACTTGTCAAGTCAAGGGCTTTCCACTGTTGGCCTCACTTCTTACTGGATTACCGGCCTCTGTATCTGGACGCTGGTTGAATACGTCTTGCATCGCTTCCTATTCCATCTCGACCAGTATCTACCTGACAACCGTGTTGGTCTCACCCTGCATTTCTTGCTCCATGGCATTCACCACTACTTGCCTATGGACAGACTGCGTCTGGTCATGCCCCCAACCTTGTTCCTGGTTCTTGCCACGCCCTTCTGGTATCTCGCTCACGCCGTCTTCTTCTATGACTGGAACGCTGCCACTGCAGTCTTTTGTGGTGGTATCTTTGGATACATTTGCTACGATCTGACTCATTATTTCTTGCACCACAAGACGTAAGTTGCTCCGCCCGCCCAAAGCGAGGATCTTTGACTGACATCTTTTAGCCTCCCTGCTTATTGGCGCGAGCTCAAGAAGTACCACTTAGCGCACCACTTTGCCGATTACGAGAACGGCTTTGGTGTCACCAGCCGTTTCTGGGACTGGGTGTTCAAGACTGAGCTGCCCATGACCCCACCCAAGGTCATCAAGACGTCGTAAATGATCATGTCAAGCATTCGTGTCAGGCGTTTTGTACATTAGACAGATAGGAGGCGATGGGCGTTCCAGGAATCGGACAGGCGTTTAGGCTTTGGATTTCTTCTTATCCTTTTTCTTGGGAGCGGGTGGCTCAGGCGCAGAGGGACCGCCGCCAAACATACTTTCCATACCCGCAGGCAGAGTGGGCATACCAGGCTGACCCTGCATGCCCTGCATTTCCTGCATCATATCCTTAAAGTAGTTCTCGTTGACGCCTCCACCGCTCAGAGCGGGAGAGTGTAATGGTAATATCGTACCCATCTTCCAACCTTTAGGTGCAGCTGGCGGTGGGATGGGCTTGGTCGGAGGTGGCAGACCAGCAATGCGCATGCGCATAGGCGACTCCTCAGTGGTGGGGTGTGCTCGTAAGTATTCGGCAACCAATTTGTACAGCTGGTGCTCTGCGTAGAGTTAGACATGAGAAGCCCAACGAAGTATAACAGTTGGCTTACTGTTCTTGATAGAGCCTCTTCCTGCAGGCTTTCCGTCCTCCTTGATCAAGACACGCACGCGACCGGGGTTGGCCCAATCCTTGGGGTGTGTCTTTGCAGGTTCAAACACAACCTGGCCGGCAACAGGCAGCTGCGAGCAGGCGTTGGCGATGTCTTGGGCTAGCGGGTTTGCGACAGCCTCGTCCTTTCCTACTCGTCTCCCTTCGGCGCGGGAGCGAGATGAGTCGAAGTAGATGGGGTATAGACATTGGTAATGCTTGGTGCGCTCGCGTTCAGCATTCTGGTCTGGCGGTGGGCGGCCAGGAAAATGGGGCTGAAGGACAGGCTGCTGCTGTTGCGAGTGTTGCGGCACGGTGGTGGTGGAGGGAATGTTGGCGGGTTGGATGATGGAATTCATGAGGCCAGGATCAAACTCGGAGGGATCCATCTCGGACGGGTCCGAGTCGCTGTCGGACACTTCTTCAATTCGAGCATGACGAGACATGACGGTAGGCAGTGGACAGTGGTCGTGATTGTGTCGTGGCAGGTCTGAGCAGCAAAGAGGTATAGAGGTACAAGCAGAGTGCGGGCATTGCTTGGCACTAGGTATGCTTTAGATTGCCTGCCTGATAGCGCCTTCTCAATAATTTCCTCCTTGCACTACCTTATTGTTTCTTGTACGGCTTCGTCCTTTTTTGTCCTCCTGCTCCGTCGCTCTTGCTGCAACTGAGCCATCTCGTCATTTTTCTACACATCCACGCCGGCGATTCATCCGGCAGCTTCCTAGAGCCATGTGGGCACAAGGCATGCTCGGGTTATTGCCCGCTCTACTCCTACTCTCTGCGACGACAGCCACGGCCGTTTCTCTTGATTGCAAGAACGTCGTTGTGAAAGGACAGCATTTCGATCTCTCCGAGCTGGCTGGCCCGCGTGCTGTCCACCTGATCGAAGATACCCCTCCGAGTCTTTCCAACACCACCTTTACTATCGACATCTGCAATCCACTGAAGAGAACCAAAAACGTCCCCAAGGAGAATGAATGCCCAACTGGCACATACGGTACCTACTGCTTCTTGCGCCTCTGTCATTCGCCTACTTACAACTTGCANGTTTGTGGTATTGAATACGATTATAACCTCGCCGATAACTCCAGCACCATTAGACGAGTCATGCCCATTGCTGGCCAGTATGCCGCGTCTCACAGTAGATTCTTGGACCCAGAATGGACCCGCCTAAGGAATTCCCCTTCACACGATGACGCCAACAAGGAAGGTCTGAGGGTTGAGCTACATGGAGGAAGGTACCCCTTCGAAAAGTCCGACGGTCGCCAGCAAAAGGCCATTATCGAGTTTCAGTGCGATCGCAACAGGACCGGTCTGGAGGGCTCTGAGCACGATTCGCGCGACAAGCTCGATGAGGACCAAGAGGCTGTACGCCTAGCAATTCGTGCCGAGCCTGACGACAAGAAGGATGACAAGAAGGACGACAAGGAAGAACCTGCTGAGGATCCCAGTCTGAAGCTTGTCAGCTACAGGTCAGAGGGAGAGGGCGATTCCGAATTTGATGTCTTGCGTCTGCAATGGAAGACAAAGTACGCATGCGAGGGCATGACCGAACACAAGCCCACCTCTGGCAACAACTCCAGCAAACACTGGGGCTTTTTCACCTGGTTCCTCATCATGTAATGACCCCCCCCCCCCCCCCCCGTGCCCAACTTCGTATTTTTACTAACATGGTATACAGTNGCCTTTTTGGGAGCAGCAGCATATCTCATCTTCGGAACTTGGCTTAACAGCAGCAAGTACGGTGCGCAAGGCTTCGACTCGGTACCACATGCGGATTTCTGGCGCGATTTGCCTTACACCGTCAAGGATTGGGGACGCTCCATCGTTGGTATGATTCAAGGACGCAGCAGCCGTGGCGGATACAGTGCGGTTTGAGCGATGGAAACTTCCCTTTCTCTGCACATTCTTTGTACATTCCTTTTCTTCTCTAAGACGAAACCATGCTTTACCGAGTCGAATGCTTGCTTAGAATCGTGCACATCTATAGGCATGCAGAATGAACCGAGTAGGTGTCTTTGTGTTCCCATTTCTATGCGAACGGCGACATTATTGCAATTGCTTCCAACATATCTCCAGCTCGACCAATCACTGCTACACATCTATCAGGCGGGATTCCACTCCGTGAGGATGCAGGTGAAGCCCAGATCTTCGTGTCAGCCGGTACCTACCAAACTGTCGGCCCACTCCAAATTGGGGTTGACAGCATGACCAGCATACAATGCCGAGACACAAGAAACATCACCTATCCAGAACTCGTCCCCCATGTTCCCTTCACGAGCAGCAATAATCCTTATGACATGAGCAATGGCTTTCCAACGATTCCCATGACCTTAGCGTACCAAACCCAGCCGAGGCTGATGATCGATCTCTCAGGCACATTCACGGGCCGATCGATCTTCCTGCCCTCCGATTGGTCAACTTTGAATCATGGCGCGCGCCCTGGTCGAGTTATGGTATCGTCATCATGCTCGAAATAATTATTGAATCGTGTTTCGCACACGCCCGTTGCGCGTTGACCGACTGACTATGTTCTGGGTTGTCTAGGGTTCTCCTTCTTATATATGTCCTTGATTTCCTTCCCGAGCTTCTCTGTCTTTGGTTTTTGTCCTGATTGCTTGTTTGTTTGTACAAAATTGCGTGGACGCAATGGCTGTTTCTGCAGATTCTAAAATGGCTTCACCACTCCAATCTTTGATGAATACGACGGGCTACGATTCCGTCAAGCATCCTTACTACCCATTGGATGCCAACATTGCCGGTTATGTGGCTAACGAATCTACTGTTCTGTCGCTTCTGGGCTCCTTTGTTGCTGGCTGTGCTGCGATCTTTGGGTTGACCTACCTGGCCGTCAAGAGGGTCAACCCAAGGTTGCCTACCACCGAACTGATGACCGTGATGTGGTTTGTTCTGTGTGGATGTATACACTTCTTTTCGAGGGTCAGTAGGCCGGCGCTGAAGAGGTTGGGAAACCAGACTGAATTCTTCTCGACAGGGTATTTTGCGTATAACCATGCCAATATGGGTGGGTTGCAGACGTTCTTTGGTCAGCTTTGGAAAGAATATGCTCTGTCAGATTCCCGTTATTTGACACAAAATATATTCGTCTTCTGTGTCGAGGCCATGACTGCTGTAAGATTTTTTACTATCCCCGTTTTCTCTCGAAAGTTCACTGATGAATCATGTTAGGTGCTTTGGGGGCCGCTGAGTTTCCTGGTTGCGGTATTGATTGCGACCGAGCATCCGCTAAGGCACCCGATGCAAGCTGCAGTGAGTCTTGGGCAATGCTATGGCGATCTCCTCTATTACGCCACCAGCATGGCCGACCATTTCTACCTGGGCATTGAATACTCAAGACCGGAGGCCTACTATTTCTGGGGATATTACTTTGGAGCCAATTTGTTTTGGATCGTGATTCCNAGCAGGTGAGTTGCGCCGGAGAAGAAAGCATTGGAAAGTTGCTGATCTTGCGTAGTGTTGTTATATAACAGCGTTAAGACTAGCGCTGATGCGATTAGACAGGTTCAGGAACTTAAGGGCTCGAAGAAGACCAAATAGATGGGTTTAAAGAAAGCGGATTTTAAATTGTATATCATAGACAAAATGCTAATGTATAGAGTAGCCATAATTTAGTAATACACAGATCCACAAAGATACCATATCATAGCTATTAAAGTGCACCATGGAATCCAAAAATGGAGTATCGCCCATAGGAATACGTTATTCTAAGGTGTCTCGTTGGCCAAACTCCTGGTCATCAAAGCAGTTGTGCATTGTTATAGCGCGTATTTCACTACTCGTGACTGGGAGAGAGGGCCATTCCTGATTTTTTGATAGCCTTCCTCCCCATGTGCGAATGGAAGGCTGTTACTTCTGTTTCGGACTCCCTTCCCATCCCGGCGCATAATGGTATTTCAAGCTATAAAAATGCACAGTTCTTCTTAAGAGTGGTTACTGTCCACAGAGAGACCGACCTCTCAATGTGTCTCTGTGGCCTTACTTCTAAGTCGAAAACTATTATGCATTTCGACAGCTACACTACGATAGTATTTAGCACATGGGAAGGTTGATCGACCGGAGGCCGGACCAGGAGATGCGATCATGAGCAGGCTGCAAGACCGGTTTTGGGGATAATAGATGGCCACTTGAGATAAGGATAGATTGATCGGGCGTGAATTAGGGGCGTTGTTTGCGACGGGCTGGGGATGGAGCGGATCATGATGCACGGGATGGCTGGTTGCACCGTCCGACTGTAAACACAAGCCTGGTTTCTGTCCCTCAACCATGCGCCTGTTTGACTTTTGCTTCAGCAATGAGCTCGACCATCGTTTGTTCGGACAATTCTGAGCTGTAAAAGACTGGTCTCCACTGTTGACACATGCCATCAGGGTCCAGTTCTCTCCACGTTCGCCGTTTCAACCGTAAGGCATAATACTCACTACAATAACGGCTATGCGACCGATACTGACATGGATAGCTGTATATTGCTTGCTTACGCGCACACCTTGTGCCTAGCAAAGTCGCGCACCCTGTCTTCCACGGCTCCGACCTTCGATGCTCGATTCTCGTTTTTGCAAACCGATTCTCCATCCTGCAACGGGACAACACCCTCCATGTACCTTATTTCTGGAATTCGCTCTCCGATCGCAACATATCTAGCGCATGCTCAGAAGCAATTCGAACACAACAACAGCTTTTCGGCACAAACAATCACACATGAGGAAAGACGACCGTGACACCGGCAAGCAACCCGGCCTTTACGATACCGATAAGATTCGTCAAAGAGTGCAGAGATGGCAGGCCGACAGTGCTGGAGCCGCAGTTGCGAAAGATGAACAAAACTTAATAACGGTTGAATATGATGATGATGCAGACGAGAAGAAACGAGCCAAAAGACCAACCAAGAGCTCGCCGGACAAGCATAGAACCGAGACAGACAAAAGAAGCAGGCAAGCATCTCCAACCAAATCGCCAAGGGCTCCTCGAGAATTGGATCCGGATCGACAAGCATGGATCCGTAAGAAGAGCGCTCAACGGAATGACTTGGATACCGATGTCAAACATGCTGGTGCACCCTTGAAGCGCGTAGTCAGTGATGCTCACTGGCGCAAGGACCGTTCGCCTACAAAGACGCCTGAAAATGCACCCAAGTCAGAGCCAAGACCGTACACAATCAAAAGAACTACGATATACAAGAGTGATGACTCTCCAAAGCCAAAGAAGGATGACGATGGCATCAGAGTCAGGCCCATGCCAGAGGACGACGGGATTCGAATTATACCGATAGATGACTCTCCTCCCGCGCAGCCTAAACCGCGTAAGAACAAGAGTGATGGTGATCGGCCAGGCAGCTCAGGAACAACAGGTCAGCGTACTCCAGAACATCGTCTCGACTCAAGAAGCGCAGAGGTACCCGCAAGGGAGAAGAAGGACAGAAGGAGCGCTCGCGAAGTAAGTCGCGACAACTCGGATCGTAGACGGAGGTTACGTCGCCGCCATGCTTCGCCAGCAGCTTCCGAAGCAGAGACAGAGGATAGGTCAATCGCACAGACTCTGGATCCGGACGACAGTATCAGTGCTCGAAATGCTCACTCTCGGAAACCACGGGGAGTGTCATCAACTGTACACGAAACTAGAAAAGACATACCTGCTGGTCGTTCTAAAGCACTTGGCACTGACAAGACGTCCACACCAAATTCGAATACTACAACAACCCCAACGTACGGAAATCGCATCGAGGCATGGCTTGGAGGAACTCCTGATCCCTTTATCGCCGACGAAGCTCAGCAACAGGAAGACGGGCACAAAGAAGCTGCAGAATCTCAAGTCCAATCCAAGCGACGATCAAATACGGATGGAATAGGCAAACGAGACATCTCTGTCGTGGACGACGAAAGGTCCACTGGCTCATCGAGGTCTTCTCCTGGCGAACCAAGTTCGAAGTCGAGAGAAACTTTGGAGACCATCGCTGAGTCTAGATCATCAAGTTTTGGGGACGGAAATTCTTCTTATGCTACATCGTCCGTACCGTCTGATGTCCAACTTCCCGATGTCCAAACCAGCAAACACATGCCTGGAGCGAACCTTCGAAGGCGATTTCCTACCACAGGAAAGAGACTGTCAACCATCGCTTCGGCAGAGACACTGCAAGAGTCTGCAGCCCCATCTGAAATTTCTGAGCAAGATACTATCGTGCCCGAGCGTACAGGATCTTTGAGTAGCGCGAACGGACTCAAGCGGAGATTAACTCGTCACGAGGACCTAATGTCTGTGTTGTCGCTACCTATAGCTGATGCTAAGAGCATTGTTTCAGCACGTAGCATACGGACCAATCGAACGAGGCTCGAGAAAGCCACCCTTCAAGATCTCTGGAACGAGTTCACGGCTGACGAAGCAAAATATCAGCGAGAGCTTCGCACATTGGTGGATGGAGTAATCCCGGTGCTCCTGTCATGTGTACTTTCCAAGTCAGACTCAGCAATCGCTGTCGGTCTATTTGGACATTCTGCTGCGGATGATGTGGTTACAACCAAGCCTATCGTCGATATGGGCGTTGCGTTAGAGCGCCTGAAAGCACACCATCGTCGAGTTCCCAATAGCGACAACAACGCACTGCTATCCTGGGCACAAGGAGCGACCCGAATCTACCATGATTACCTGAAGGCGTGGAGGATGGGATTCCAAGATGTCGTAGTAAATCTTGCACCTGCAGATGCCAATACCAGCACCAGATGGGATGATGGGTTGCTGAGGAATGAGGATGGTGATCTGATCAATGGTGACGGCGAAAGAGTTGATGTTGCTTTCTTGCTAAAGAGACCTCTGGTCCGCTTGAAATATCTTGCCAAAACTTTCAAGGTATGTATAGGCACCATTTCAAATCTTTCGATTACTCAGGATTGTGGCGCTGACAAATCANNGGGTATCAACATTCTAGCACCAACAGCCTTAGCGAGTTCTCTAGCCGAGAAGTATCAAGAGTTGGTCACCGAAGCCCGCAGAAGATCCAACGAAGAGCGAGTTCGGTTGGAGGACGAGGCGGCTGCAGCTATCGACCCAACCCGTGCGAGAGATCCTCAAAGCCTCGCCCTGCTTAAGGGAGTCAGCATTGACACGACGCGATGTGTTCATGCCAGAGATTACTTCGACATGAATATTATTCACTCAAGCGGCCAACAGTTGGATTGCAGGATCGAGCTCATCATTCGTGACGACTGTCCTGGTCGAGGAAACGGTGGCGATGTTCTCGTCTGCGAAGTATCTGATACAGGTCGCTGGTTACTGTTTCCACCTCTCAGCAGGGACTCTGTTTCTGCAAGAGCTGGCAGCGGGCCAGGAGACGTAGTCATGATGATACGGGGCCTATACGCCGATAAAAAAGAGTGGCATGAGCTTTTGTCATTACGTGCCAGTGACGAACCCACTGGGCCTGAATGGGTAGAGATGCTTGGACTCAGTCCTGTTCCTCCATCTTTGGCAAGGCAATCCAGCTTTCTCACCAAATCTCAAACTCCGTCCCGCCGTCGGTCGCAAGGACTCACATCACCTACTGTTAGTCCTACATCCCGAGGTGAATGGACAAAAGAGATACAGATTCCGATTGGAGAAAGACCTGGCTCGTCCAGGAGCTGGATTTCGGACCACAGTGGGCAAGAAAAACTCGTAGCCACTCCTGAGAGTGCCAGACTGTCCAGCCATTCCATACCGACTAACAACTTAGAGCGGATACCTATTCCTTCAAGAACAAGAGAGACCCAGGATGGCTTCGCTCTACATGATCCACCATCACGACAGTTCGTGTCTTCTCTCGACAAGATGTCGCAGACGGAAATGCCTACANNGGGGGATTCACCAGGTCTACGACGAGCAAGGGCAACGCGTCATAAATCATCGCCACCTATGTCGCCTAGCTCATCTCGTTCCTCGTTACAGTTCCCTCAAAACAAGGAACCGAGAGCATATCCAGAACGTCCTACACACCACATGTCAAGGTCGGAGACCGGAACCACTTTGAGTTCTTACTCAAGTCAGTCCACTCTGTCCCAGTCAAGGAAAGAGTATAGTGTTTGGATGCCATCGTCTACGATTCCATCCGATGAATCTGAGGAAGAGAAGGAAGAAGATAGCTACAGAGAATCGACAACTGCAGCTCGCTCACAACTCCACCGTAGAACATCATCAGTACCGGTGGTCGAGCCCCCTCGTGCCTCCAAGCTGCGACAAAGAAGCGAGCCAAATTCACCCATTCAGCCCGTGGAGATTTTCGACCACCCGGACCGCACTCGACATGAGGAAGTAGTAGAACCATCATCAGCACCTGTCAAGCTACAGAAACGTCGGCCTAGTGTGAAGGGTGTCAGCTTTGATGACATACTCGGGGACGCTTCTAGCAAAGACAAGGACTTGCCCCCTGCAAAGCCAAAACGATTCAGCATCCCGTCCTTCACCCCGAACTTNTTGAAGAGGCATCGTAGGTCATCATCACCTCTTAAACACGAATACGAACCGTCGATCATAAGTGAATCTTCAACAGAGAGTGATCTGTCCTATTCTGAGGGCGACGATGAATCGATTACGTCCGACTCGTCTGAAGAAGCTGTAGAGGGAGCNAAAAGCGCTGTGCCGCTCGATTCGCCTCTGGTTGATGGACATGCAAAAGTCACTCCCCCAGCTTCGCTTGCTTCCCTGCCTACTGCCACACTAGGCCCATCAAACTCGGCCTCTCAAGCTCCATATCGGGCAGTTCCTCATCAAGCGACAAACGCTTCGAAGATCGTCGCCTCGATCTATTCATGGTCTGATCGAGGCGCATGGGAGCTCCTACACCCAAGCGAATGTATTGTTGTTGTCACACCTGGCCTGATTGAAGCTTTCGATCTGGATGAAGCCATTCCGGATGGCAGTGATGTGACAAGTCCTTCTGCTAGAGGCGTACAGCCTCTGATAGCGTTCGAAGTCACTCCCCTGGTTCCTTTGCGACGGGGCACAGCGCTTGATATCTCCATAAGATCACCNCCCACGGCCAGTTCCTTGATTCGTGCCAGTAACAACGTCATGTTCCGCTCTCGTAGCGCTGAAGAGTGCGACATGCTATATTCATTTATCAACACTGCTCGAATCAACAACCCTACATACATTGCGCTCCAAAATGCCAGAGGTCCAGTCAACGAGAGTGCGTGGGCCATGAATCGAGACAATAACCAAAGGACTTCGAACGGTTCGTGGTTCCACAACCCACTCCGCAGGAGCAATACGTATCGATCAAAGACCTCCCGAGCACCCTCCGAGGTGACTGATTCTTCTGTCGGTACAATGAACACAGCCTTCTCTGCTCTCCGCCGATTCAATGGCAACAGCCGACTCTTCAACATTGCTAAGAGCACTATCACATCTCGTCAAGGAAGTCGGACTGGCACAAGCGAGTCACTTTCCTCTGGAGCGTCAACGCCGATTACCTATGACCCGTCGCAAGGAACGCCGCTTGGTATCACAAATGCCAAAATCCGGTTATACATACGTGAGTCACAGAACAAGTGGAGAGACATGGGGTCGGCGCGGCTGTCAATACTGCTTCCTCCACGGCCATCTTCCGGAGTTCCACCAAGCCCTCGGTCGATTGGTCTGGAGAAACGTATCCTAGTCAGTGGTAAAACTAGAGGCGAAACACTGTTGGACGTTACACTAGGCGAGAGTTGCTTCGAGAGAGTCGCCAGGACAGGCATCGCAGTCAGTGTCTGGGAAGATAGAACCGGTCCGGTCACCTCAGGCGGCGTTCTTGCTTCGAAAGCAAGTACTTATATGATTCAGCACAAAACTGTGAGTTATGCTTTGTTTGTTTATGGTTCGAAGATCCAAATACTGACCATGACCAGNGAACGCGAATGTGCATACACTTTTGGCCTTGTTGGTAAACTAAGATATTGAGCAGCGGCCTCAGTCTTGTTCGCACCTTCAATTTTCTCCTGCAATTTCTTGCTCCTGCTATGAGATTCACAATTACGGGTAGTGACAAACACTCGAGATGTGTTGCTATGGTTTCTCTGGCATTTGATTTATTGTGGTTCTTCTGTTTCAAAACTTGATATCCCACGAGCGTTGTAGTTGTTTTAATCCTTGTTCCTTTTCGTTGATAGACCGATGATTACGCAAGCCTTGTCATCGTGCTGGTTGTTGTTCAGCTTGACCAAACTTACTTGCTCGATTATTCAGTCTCACCTGGCGCTTCTCAAAGTATTTTCACACATTGCTTGTTGAAAGTAAACTCACTTGGTGTATCACTAAACCATCGTTGTGAAGTGCTACAAGTGAAAACAAGGCATTACCAATGACTCGAGCTCAGCAAACATAAATAAGTGGTCCTGGTCCGTACACACTCCGAGACAGCAACCTGATCTTTTAGATCTGTATCTTCGACCTATCTCGATAACACACAACCAATCATGGCTTCGTGGCTGCGCAGTAAGGCCCAAAGGTTTGAGGGCTTCCTCGACGCTCGCACAAAGTGTAGGTCCCACGATCTCTCGAAGCGATTTTTTTTCTGAGTCGAAGTGTTGACATGACGTAGCNNGCCGGACAACGGAACAGCATCACCAGCTGTCAAAGCAGTGAGCGAAACAGGAATACCCACACCCCAGAACCAAACACTCCTGCAAGCATTCGAATGGCACACTCCCGGCGGACACTGGAATCGCCTTGCAAATACCCTGCCGGGCTTATCTGACATCGGAATCACTTCACTCTGGCTTCCACCAGGCTGCAAAGCCAACAACCCTCACGGCAACGGCTATGATTGCTACGACATCTGGGACTTGGGCGAGTTTGACCAGAAGTGGACACGCGCAACCAAATGGGGATCTAGAGAAGAGTTGAACGAATTGATCGCGAAGGCCAAGAGCCAGGGGATCCTGATTATCTGGGACGCTGTCCTGAACCACAAAACAGCTGGAGACGCTACAGAGGAGTGTTGGGCTGTCGAGGTCGACGGAGAAGGCAAGCATGTCCATATCCCTTTTGTTGAGACCTTAGACTGACTGAAGTCCAATCANGACCGCAGAATTGAGAAGACTGCACCAAAGAAGATCGAGCCCTGGATCCACTTCTACTTCCCTGGTCGCGGAGACCACTATAGCAGTCTAAAATGGCACTGGCAACACTTCAGCGGCACAGACTGGGATCAGCGTGCTCAGAAGAATGGGGTCTACAAGGTCGTGGATCCTCCAGAGACGCTTCCCCGTCCTGGAGCAGCTGTGGATCCAGCTTGGCGCAAGAAGGACTGGGCCACCGATGTCGACGACTTCAAAGGCAATGGCGATTATCTCATGTTCTCCAACATCGATTACTCTAATGCCGACGTCAGAGAGGATGTGCAGAAATGGGGAGAATGGATGGTCAATGAAGTTGGTGTGGATGGCTTCAGATTGGATGCCGTACCTCATATCAGCTGGATGTTCACTCGAGAATGGATCCGCATCGCAAAGGAAGCGGCCAAGCGCCAGAACCGTGAGCTCTTCGTCATGGGCGAGTTCTACAATGGCAAAGTCGCCAAGATTCTGCAGTGGATGGATAGGATGAGCAAGGGAGTGTACGCTTACGACATTCCACTGCTGAGCAACTTCGCCAAAATCTCCATGGCCAAGAGCAAGCTCGACGTCGATTTGAGAAAGGTCTTTAAGAACACCTTGATCCAACACCGACCCGGCAATGCAGTGGTAAGTGATTCTACATTTATGGCACTGCGCAACCGCTAACAAGCATACACANNGACTCTCGTAACCAGCCACGATACTCAGCCTGGTCAAACTGTGGAAACTCCTGTTGCACCTTACTTCAAGCCTCTGGCTTATGCACTCATGCTCCTTCGTCGTGAGGGTCTACCTTGTGTTTTCTGGGGCGACGTCTACGGAATTGAGGGCCCTCACGCCTCGCCAGCTGCCTGCGAAGGCAAGCTGCCTACTCTCGTCCTCAGTCGCAAACTCTTTGCCTACGGCGAGCAGACCGACTACTTCGAAAGTAGAACTTCGATTGGATGGGTCCGCCACGGTACCTGGGACAGAGCTGATGGCTGCGTCGTCATCATGAGCATCGGAGGTGCTGCTAAGAACAGCATGTTCGTTGGCCCAACTAAATCTGGTCAGGTCTGGAGCGACGTCCTGGGAAATTCTGACCACACGGTCACCATCGATGACAGAGGCTACGGCGTCTTTAGATGCACCGAGAAGAGCGTTAGTGTTTATGTGCGCAAGGACGCACCTGGCAGAGCAGAGTTCGGAGCTTGCCATCCGGAGAAGTTTACCATGCAATGATGCACTCACTGCCTGCGGGCTATCTGAGAATTGAGGATTGGGAAGGAAATTGAGCAGAATTTGTATACTAGATTACGACGAATGAACCATTTACAATGATTTCTTATCAATCCGAAGTAAATTCTCTCCATGTGCTAAGACATGTAACTTATGTGCGTATGAAAATGCACAATCATCTTCGAAAACAGAGTAGTATCCACTGAGATGTAAGTTCTCGCAGGCTCTCTCTGGTCACCTCCCTAATCTGAAAGCATTTATGCCTTTTTATAGCTCATAATTGGCTCTGCTCTCTACGGGAGATGGAAGGACACAGGCATGTTGCATGGTGACCCAGAGTATACACACTTTGTGAAGATATACAACCATTTAGGTATGTTCACTGAGCGGTCATTCAAATGATGGAGTCCGGAGTGAGCGTGAGTCGAGTGAAGATGGGGCACGCCAAGACAGCTTCGCAGTATTCGCGGTTTTCGCCAAGCCCGAGCTAATTGCGCACCCACACAGCCGTCGCTTGCCAAAATCCTCTCAGCACAATTTGATCTGGTTGTATTCGCGCCGCCAACAGTAACATCGCTCATCAACCGCCACGATGTCGCTCGTCTCCGGAGAAAAGTCGAACTTCCAGTTCATTCTGCGTCTGCTCAACACCAACGTACGCATTCCCACGATCCGCCCGCCATTGCGCACCCTTCAATCCGCAAAATTGCCTCCTTCCATACCCAGACACGCAAAGCCACAGACGCACGCATCGCCAGACGAGACAAGAAGACCAGTGTTGACATGTCACTTTACANNGGTTGATGGCAAGCAGAAGGTCATGTACGCCTTGACCAAGATCAAGGGTGTCGGTCGCCGCTACTCCAACTTGGTCTGCAAGAAGGCCGATGTTGACCTCAGCAAGCGGTACGCATTTGGCTTTTGGACACACAGCAGAGAATACTTGGATCTAATACGAACAAAACAGNNCGCTGGTGAACTCACCTCGGAAGAGCTCGAGCGTATCGTCACCATCATCCAGAACCCTACCCAGTACAAGATCCCCTCGTGGTTCCTCAACAGACAGCGCGACATTGTCGACGGCAAGGACTTCCAGGTCCTCGCCAACGGTGTCGACTCCAAGCTCCGTGAGGACCTCGAGAGACTGAAGAAGATCCGTGCCCACAGAGGTCTCCGCCACTACTGGGGCCTCCGCGTCCGTGGTCAGCACTCCAAGACCACTGGCCGCCGTGGTCGCACCGTCGGTGTCAGCAAGAAGAAGTAAACGACTCGCTTTCTACAACATTTTCCCGGAACGATATTGGGGCGTGTGGTGGTGCAGCGTTTTACAGCCGAATCAAAAATACCAAAGCAGTCTGCTCTCGGCTTTCTTCATGGATATGGCGCAAGACTATGGTTGTTGTTGTGGTCCGCTCTCAATGACATTGTGCTGTTGAAGAAAATAAAAACCTTTTCTTTCTCGTTGACAAACACAATGCTCCTTGCCGCCCCGATATCATGTTGCGGAATGAGAACCCTTGTAAAGTGAATGACGATATGAGACGGTTTCAAAACACATTTCACAGACCCCTGCAACAACACAAATACATGGTGATCGCAACGTCAATGGTAGAGAAAATACATGTACAAGGCAAAGATGAAGCACTTTTGATGATACAAAACTCCTGGGGTATGTTCGCTGTAAAAAGCAATAAAAGAAAGACCAGACCTGTCCACCGATAAACTAGTCGCCTTCGTTCATGACAGCCATGTCCAGAACCTCTGCTCTGGCTCTGCCTTTGGTCTGTCCGCTGACAAACTCGCTCAAAGGCTTGAAGCTGCCTGGCTCCACGAAACCAACGACTTCCCATTCTTCACCCATCATGTCCTGACTTTCGACTTGCTCGATGTAGCCCAGTATCCTGTCTTTGACAGTACCCTTTGCCTGTGCCTCACCTTCAGCCTCATCGCCAGGTTTAGGTGCGCTCTTGACTGCCTGTTTGAGCACCGAAGTAGGGCAAGTGATTCTCAGTCTCATTCTTGCGCGGGCAACTGGAATGGGTTGATGCGCAATCAAAGCCTTCATCGCGTTCAGTGCTTGAGATTTGGCATCGCGAGTAGTCACGACACCGGTCCACATGGGTTTGGACTTGTGTTCGGTGTGACTTTCGCCTTCTACAGGAGTTGCGGTGCCGCTTGCGTTGGGTGTGGTTGTGTCTTTTCCGCTTTGACTGCTGAGTTGGTCGAGTGCTTTCTCAATCATGCCAGTAGTGTAGACACGCTTGCTCTTGGGGTCGACCAGCTTGCCCGCAACAATGTCGATGACCTCGGCATGGACTCTCTCCAGCTGGGCGTGTCGCTCCTTCTCGCCGACTTGCAGTTCGCCCTTGTTCAGAATCTCCAGGATGATGTCGTTCAAGGGCACCTTGCCAAAGGCTTNTTGCAAGTCTGCTGAGGGAGCAGCCTGACCTTTGGAGACGTTAAGAAAGACGTTTGGAATTTGGAGGACATTGTCAAGATCGGTTTCGACACCAGAACGCCATTCAAGGACTTTGTTCTTGTAGCATGCGACTTCGAAACGCTTCTTGCNCTGAGGAAAATGAGTTGGATGTTCATCGCAGGGTCACCGAAACCGTGCGCGGAGCAGGGACACTGTGCGCAAGGGAGAATGCAACATACCCTTCTTCATACGGACAAGAGAGACATTTGTGAGTCTGATCTGGTTCGACGGCTTCGCATGACTGTCAGCATACTAGAGATTTCCGAGTACAGGATAAAGATAGCGGAGATACCTGGTTAATCTGAGCCGAAGGCATTCTGATAGCTTAGTGTGTGACGATATACGATGCAATATTGAAAGAGGCTGGGGTTGACAATTCATGCAGACCAAGTTCGGCATGCAAAAGCTGCTAAAGCCGTTCGCGCCTGGCAAAACGTCGTCATGGCAGCGCCGGGGAAGCAGATAAGCTCACACGACTCGCGAGGGACATGCTACCGGCCGCGTGCCACTTTGATAGCCAGCGCTCATTCTGCTCTGCATCTATGTTGCCAGGATAATTACTGCACATAATTGCAAACCTGGTTGAACATCTTCTCTGTCCGAATGCTTGCACTCAGCTATCGACTCTTTCTAGCGGCCATAAATTAATGCTCGTGTCGTGGTCTGGTATTAGTAGCACTCAGTACGCTGGTTAAGAGCAGGACAGGCGATCGGTAGCACATCCGTCACATCATTGCCCAATTCGGCAGGCGGGCGTATCAGGAACCGTGCATGCTTCGCATGACCTTGATGCTCCCCACACATGGTTACGCTGCCTCTTTCCCTTTCCTCTTCTTCCCTCATCCACTCCACCTTGATAACCTCGAGGTCCGCTGCTTGCCATTCATCCTTGTTCTTTATCAATTGCTTCATCTTGTGCTGCATTGGCAATACCATATATTACAATAAGCTACACGAGTCTGTTTGCGCCGCCATGAAGGTTGCCGCATACGCCTCTCTGATCGGAGCCGCCACGGCTGCCGTCGCCCCCGGCCAGTCTATCCTCAAAGCTCCTAAGCAGGCTTCAGAGGCATGGTCCAAGCCTCTGCACAACCTGCAAGAGTCTCTCAAGTCCTTGACCGGCGAGGCCCGCCAGATCTGGGATGAGGTCGCTCTCATGTTCCCCGAGGCAATGGACCAGACCAGCTTCTTCTCTCTGCCCAAGCCTCACTCGCGCAAGCATGACAACGAGTGGGACCACATCATGAAGGGTGCCGACATCCAGAGCGTCTGGGTTGAGAATGCCCAGGGCCAGAAGGAAAGAGAGATCGAAGGCAAGCTCGAGAACTACAGCCTGAGAACCAAGAAGGTTGACCCCAGCCATCTCGGTGTCGACAAGGTCAAGCAGTACAGTGGTTATCTCGATGATGACGAGGACGACAAGCACTTGTTCTACTGTAAGTGGCCGTCTCCCTCGTGCTCTCACTAGCATCCACTAATGCATTCACAGGGNTTCTTCGAGTCCCGCAACGACCCCAAGAACGACCCCGTCATTCTTTGGCTCAACGGTGGCCCTGGCTGCTCTTCCTTGACTGGTCTGTTCATGGAGCTTGGCCCCTCGTCTATCAACAAGGATGGCAGCCTCAAGTACAACCCTTCGTCTTGGAACGCCAACGCCTCGGTCATCTTCCTCGACCAGCCCGTCAATGTCGGCTACTCGTACAGTGGCAGCTCCGTCACCAACACTGTTGCTGCCGGCAAGGACGTCTACGCTCTCCTGACTCTCTTCTTCAAGCAGTTCCCCGAGTACGCTACCCAGCCTTTCCACATCTCTGGCGAGTCTTACGCTGGCCACTACATCCCCGTCTTTGCTTCTGAGATTCTTTCTCACAAGAAGCGCAACATCAACCTCCAATCTGTCCTCATCGGTAACGGTCTTACCGATGGTTTGACCTAATACCCTGAGTACCGTCCCATGGCTTGCGGCGAGGGTGGTTCTCCTGCTGTTCTTGATCCTCAACAGTGCCAGGCCATGGACAATGCCCTGCCCCGTTGCTTGAGCTTGATTCAGAGCTGTTACGACAGCGAGAGTGTCTGGTCTTGTGTTCCTGCCTCCATTTACTGCAACAACGCCATGATTGGTCCTTACCAGAAGACGGGCCGCAACCCCTACGACATCACCAAGAAGTGCGGTAGCAACAGTCTTTGCTACGATGAGCTTGACTGGATCAGCGAGTACCTCAACAGACCCGAGGTCATGAAGGCTCTCGGCGCCGAGGTCAGCAAGTACGACTCTTGCAACTTTGACATCAACAGAAACTTCCTCTTCGCTGGTGATTGGATGCAGCCCTTCCACCGTCTCGTCCCTGGTATCCTCAAGGAGATTCCTGTCCTGATCTACGCTGGTTCTCTCGACTACATCTGTTCGTCCTCCACTTTCCCTTCGCTTTGACGTATTAAATAGCTAACATTTTCACAGGCNAACTGGCTCGGTAACCAAGCCTGGACCGAGGCCCTTGAGTGGCCCGGCCACAAGGACTTCAAGAAGACCCCTCTTGAGGACTACGTTCTCTCTGACGGCACCACCGCTGGAGCCGTCAAGAGCAGTGGCAACTTCACTTTCATGAGAATCGATGGTGGTGGCCACATGGTTCCTTACGACCAGCCTGTTGCTTCCCTCGAGATGGTCAACCGCTGGGTCGCTGGAGAGTGGCTTGCTTAAGTATTTGATTGGCTTGTTACCTTTCGATATTGCCATCACTGTTCTTATTAAGAGGTGTATGTATCATACCGCCTGCCTACTATCGCAGGCTCACATTTCCTATGTACAACCAATAGCATTGTAATTCAACACGAATAACTTTACCTTTTATGTGCTTCGTCTTGGAGACAACTTACTCCCGCAGTCGTAAGATCCCGTTCAATTCAGTGCACCTCGAGCTACCAAACATGACTAGTTGCACAGAGAGAATGCCATCCCAGGGTATCTCCATGGCTTCGAATCTGATTTGCACGATCTTTGCATTTCCAATAGCTACACGATGACAGTCTCTAGCACACGTGCAGGGTATGTGACGATCGAGAAATTGTGGGCATGTCAATGACGTGAGGTGTGCCAGCAACCGCCCGCGTAATTAATTAACAATCTTTCCCAGGCAGTTCAATCGTGTTCTCTCGTTCTTTCTTTCTGTGACCACTGTAGAATTGTGCCACAATCATGTCTCATCTTCCCAAGTTACAAAATGTTGTTGTCGTCGGCGGTTCGCTGGCTGGACTGATGCATGCCTTGGCTGTTATCGTCCACTGTCCTTCAGCCAAGGTCACCATCTTGGAAAGATCGCCAACCGCTCTTCTACACAACCAAGGCGCCGGTGTAGTCGCAGGCTCTGACACACAATCTTTCTTCTCCCGCTACGTATGTCCTGGGCAGGACTTTGCCGTCTTGAGCAAGCAGAGACAATACCTTGATCGCAAGGGCGAGGTTATTCAAGGAAGCACTGAGAAACGAGAGCAAAGAATGACAAGCTGGGACACCCTCTACCGTTTCCTTAGATGGAGGGTAGACGATATGGATATCAAGGACTATATCTCGAACTCGGACCTCAAAAAACTGGAAGCCAGGCTCTCTGGCGTCGGTCATGGAAGAGCAGATTATCAGTACGGCTGTAACGTTAAATCTGTGGAAGACCTAGGATCCTCAGAGGGTGTACGCGTACGTTGGTTGAACAAGTCTGAGAAAGAGGAAGAGATGACTGCAGATCTGGTGATAGCCGCCGATGGAGCGAGCTCATCAGTACGCAAAACATTACTCCCATCCGTCGAACGAACATATGCTGGTTATGTCGCCCTTCGAGGCACGGTCCCTGAAGGCGATATCTCAGAATCTGCTGCGAGAGCTTTTGTCGAGAAATTCGCATTTTATCACGCTGATGGCACCCAAATTCTGGCCTATGTGATCCCAGGAGAGAACGGCACACTGGAGCCTGGCAAAAGGCTGATGAACTGGGTCTGGTACAGGAATTACAAGGAAGGCAGTGATGAGTTGGTAGACCTGATGACAGGAAAAGACCGCTCACGTCATCACATCACCCTGCCTCCTGATCAGATGAAGGTCGAGGTCTGGGCAAATCAGAAGCAAGCTGCTAAGGACATTCTGCCACCTCAGTTCGCTGAGCTAGTCAACAAAACTGAACATCCATTTGTTCAAGCTATTACCGACAACATTTCACCGAAAAATTCGTTCTTTGGTGGAAAGCTACTATTGGTTGGAGATGGTTTGGCTGGATTTCGTCCTCACACGGCTGCATCGACTAGCCAGGCTGCTTTTGACGCATCGACCCTGGGGGAGTGGCTCGAAGGCAAGATCAATAGAGATCAGTACAGTGATAGGGTTCTGAGGTATGCTGCAGAAACCCAGAGGCATGGCGTCGAGCTCGGTGAGAGGAGTCAATTCGGCAGACATCCTNNCTTGCTTGTTAGCTGCCGGGACAATGTTCCTTACTGATGATCAGCCCGTGTGGTATTTCCGCACGCTAGCTAGACATGCTGAACATCGATACTCCTCTTCCCATGTGCTAAGTTGATGCATCTATCAAAATGCACAGTACTTTATTGGACCCAAAGCGCATCCACTGAGAGCCGATGATCTAGCAAATCTCCCTGGACTTAGCTAGAGTTCCGAAACGATTGTACATTTCTATAGTTCACAATACTGTGATTCGTTTCTGTGAGATAAGGAAATGGAATACTGTGACTGTGTAGCCTCTCCGAAGGCTAGACCGCGATGCGTATCGTTATGAAAATGCACAGTAACTGTGAGAAACTGAGGAAACCCCATGCGGTATCGCCGCATGCTGGCTATAGAAACACACGATACTTCCAATAGATGAGCGATGTTACTGAAGTCAGAGTTGTCGCACATCAATGTTGATAATCAGTCTACTACTACTGAGTGGCCAATCGGGATTTGGGACCGAGATTTATGGTTCTTATCCACACCAGCGGCGAACGATATGTGTGACATGTACCCTAGTTACTACTTGGATGAATTGTTATTGCGTTATTAAAGCCAATGTTATATGATATAATCGTGTCGTGGGGCAGTATCCTAGGAAGAGTCATTTCCTTTGGCAATTACAGGACAATGAAATGTTGCATGCAGTATGACCCTGTCCTGCTGTTTGCAACATCAGCTTCTCGACTCACAACCCCTGTAAACACAATTGAGTGCGCCAAACACGATGAAGGTAGCTTCAAAATACATGTAGTCATATGTCAGAAGCGGAGCAGCAGACATTGTCCATCCAGTCGTTGATCATTTATGGGATCCCAGCGACATCGAAGCCCGACTGACATCACGATGATCCGAAGCATATATCACCCTTGTTACGCGCAGAAAGTGCGACCCAGCTACATTTCCTACCTTCAACTTGAGTCGATCATTTAGAATTACTCTGACCACAAACCACCAACGATATCGATTTCTACATCATGCCTGATATGAATGCCATTGTCGTGGAGAAGTACGGAGGAATCGAGAATCTTGTGCACAAGCGAGTGCCCAAACCCACGGAGTTGAATGATTATGATGTACTTGTGCGGTGAGTATCATGATCATCGTGTCTACTATGAGAGCAACATTGGAGCTGACTTGTANNCAGAGTGAAAGCTGCCAGTGTCAACCCGATTGATATGAAAGTAAGAGCGGGTGTCTATGATGACTATGCCGGTGAGCATTGGAAGATCTAACGCTACCAAGAAAGACCAAGAATCTAACATTGTTAACACNNAGACTACTACGATCATGTACCAAAGCCAAAACCAGGCGAAGGCGGCTACCAAATCATCGGATTTGATGGAGCTGGTGTGATTGAACAAGTCGGCCCAAAAGTCAAGAACTTTTCTGCCGGTGACGCGATTTACTATTCGGGCTCGCCCATACGACAAGGCTCAAATGCAGAGTTCCAGCTGGTCGACTCTCGATCCGTTGCCATGAAACCCAAGAACCTTAACTTCATCGAGTCTGCGGCATTGCCCCTAACTTGGATCACCGCGTATGAGGCTCTGGTCGAACGAATGGAGATCAANAAAGGTGAAAAAGCTGGTCTCTTGATTATCAATGGTTCTGGAGGCGTTGGGTCAGTCGCAAGCCAGATCGCTAGAATGGTCCTTGATTTGCCTGTGGTCGTTACCACGACATCGCGACCCGAAACCACCGAGTTCTCAAAATCTATGGGAGCTACGCATACGGTGAATCACCGTGAAGATCTGCCACCACAGATTGAGAAACTGGGATTGGAAGTACCAATCAAGTACATCTTCATCACCCACTCGACAACTCCTTACATCGAGCCGGCGGCCAAGATCTGTGCTCCATTTGGCAAAGTCTGCTCGATTGTTCAAGCCAAGGATATCCAGATGTACGGCACGGAGTTTATGGCCAAGTCCCTAAGTTTCGTTTGGGAGCTGCTAGGTACAAAACCCTGGTACGGAGTGGATATGGATTCCCACGGCAAGATACTGGAAGAGCTTAGACAATTGGTCGAAGACGGAAAGGTCAAGACTCATCTACAGCAGAGCTTCAGACTGGATCTGGAGGGGCTGAGGAAGGCGCATGAAGCTATTGAGGGTGGAGGCTCTATGGGCAAGAATGGCTTGAGTGTTGACTTCGGTGAAGGAGGTACTCCATTTGCATAGACAAGAGTACTTTAGCTGTCAACGTCATCGTCGCTTGATTCTTCTTCAAAGGGCATGAGAGGTGCATGTTTAATATGCTTCGGTTCCGTAGTTGAATTGTTTTCGACGCCGTGAGGAGTTTTGCGCATTTCTTCTTCAGCAGGGACTGGCTCCTGCTTCGAAGCGTTGCTTCCTGTGGCAGTGGTATTGAGATTCTTTCTTGTATTCTCAGCTTGTGTAGGCGGGGGAGACTCGGGACCAGGGCTTGCGATTAACAGGCTATTCTGCTTCTCTGCTTCGTCAATCTTCTTCAGAAGAAACGCGACAGTACTGTCTCGTGCTTTGTCAAACTGCCGTAGGCGCTCAAGAGGCATGCTACTGTAATCAGGTGCTGGTATAGGGGGNNGCCGTGAGGGGCCTTTCTGTTCTGCTTGCGGCTGAGTTTGTTTTGTCTTCTCCTCTAGGAGTCGTCTCAACACCAGGATATTCTGATCCCGATCCGCCAGTTCGACGATCAAACTCGCTTTCTCCATGTCTTCGTCTTCGATTCGCCTACGCTTCTGACCTTCGCTGTCTTCATTCTGCCGCCAAGCCCGAATTGCATCCCTGGCAGAGTTCTCAATATGGGCAAACCGAGCGGGTCCCAACATAACTCCTCCATAGTATCGCGCAACAACAAGAGCGCCTTCAACACGCATTTCCTCAATGACCTTGAGTACGTGACGGCCTCCATATCGCTCTCCATCGTCGTCTGTGCCGGTCTCGAGAATATGCTTGTTACCCACCAAAGTTCTTTGCGATGAAGGACTTCGCCATGCTAAAATGCGGTGAGAGGCATCTTTTATTCGATCCAGATTCTGAAGCTCCTTTGCTGGCATGGTTGGAGAGAAGAAGGCCTGGAATTGAGATGCGCGATCGTCGATTACCTCGGAGATCCAGAAGTCATGCTCTGAGTTTCCCGAAGCATCCTTGCTAGGAGAAGGGCTCCTCGGGCGTTTCGCCATTGTGGCGGAATTGACTGGTGCTGCTTTTCGCGACAAGTTTGAAAGTGGTCGTTGGCTCCGCATTGGATAGAGCGACCACTTTTGTAGGCGACGTGTGCCAAGGCGTTCTCAACAAGACGTCAGTCGACTCCGGAACAGTCGACTATCTTGTAGCCTACCCGAAATTGTGATGACTTCCCTTTCTTCGTTCCAGATGCAAATGATCTCTCTCTTCACCTTTGACCTTTGTGGTTTGATCTCTCATTCAGTTGAACTTGCAATGCCTTCAATTAAGATACGCTTCATGAACAAAGTAATCTCCTGTCTATCCAACATTTCCACGCTTGCCACCACGCTTTTGCCGATCGATGTGACCTCTCAAGATCTTTCTATGTTCAACCAAACTTCTCTTACCCTTCCTCTTTGCCTTTCCTAGAGTCATGAGGAAGTTCTTCTGCGAGCCTTCTCTTTGTTGGTTGTACTCTTGCCNCTCAGCCTCCTTCTTCTCCTTGCGCTTGGCCGTGGTCGACATGTGCTTCTCATCGCGGTCTCCCTTCGCCATCGCGATCTTCTCCTCCTTGGTCGCGCGCGAAGACAGTGCCGCAAGTCCCTCAATCTCAGCAGCTGTAAGAGGGTCGTCAGCGTGACGTCCCGAACCTGTCTGCTGTTGGCGTCTTTGTGAAGGCATATGTTTGGCCACGGCTGCACTCGTTCGTAGCTCCTGTAACTTGGCAAGATCTGCAGGTGTAAGGATGCGGGTCGTGGCCAGTTTGGAGAACTCGGCAACGGGGTCTTTGGGTGTGTCTTCAGTGTCCTTGGGTGCGTCGGCGTCCGTCTTCTGCTTCTTTGCCTTTGGCTTCTTATCTTCGTCTTCGCTGTCGCTGATGTTGATGTCTTCACCATCGCTTTCGACGTTGATCCAGCCTTCTTCATCTGAATCGTCATCTTCTTCAAGATCCCACTTGCTCCAACCTGCTTCTTCATCTTCTTCCTCGTCATCTTCATCTACATCGGAAGCATCAGGATCAAGACCCTTCTCAATGCGTCGTTTCCTTCTTTCCTCCGCCTTCCATTCCTCAAGCAGCTCCAGGCCCTCGATACCACCAACCTCGACTTGTCCGAACTTCCTGTCCTTGAGGGTACCCTTTTGTATGCCTATTGAAGCATCCTTGCCTCTGTCTCTTCTACGCAACATCTCTGGACCGACTTCACGGTACAAACTCAGTAGACCCTTTGCGGCCATCATGACACCCTTGTCCTTGCTCTTTCTGTACTCGACAAGATCCTGGAGGAGAGTCTCATTCATGGCAAGAGGCTGTCTGACACAAATTTCTCTAATCGCATTCAGACCAGCTGACGCGACTTCAGAAGCAGCAGCTTCGGAAACAAACTCGTTGGCGATCTTCTGAACAAGAGGCTCAAGAGCATCCGGAGGAACAAGGTTGTGCGTTGACTGAGCAAGCGATGCAAGGAAGGAAGTGACCTGGGGCTGCTTGGGGGTGAGATACTTGATGAAGTAGGAGTAGAGGGGAATCAGGGTTAGCGTGTGCAGACCGACAAGACGAGAAACGAGCTGCAAAACAACCAGCTTCTGGTCGAGCTTGAGTTTGGCCTTGGGTGTCTGGGTGTTAAGGTGTTGGTGGAACAACTTCTCAGCAAAGCCCTGAGGATCGTGCAGGAGGTGCAGGGCAGAGAAGTTGAGAGGGTGTGGAGCTTTCTTCTTCTTCTCCTTGCGCTTGACGGTGGCGGCCGCTCTCTTCAGTTCGTTGGCCTTCTTCTTTGTCTTCTTGTTGATACCGGCCTGGTGGCGCAACTTGCCCATGTCGATATTGTCGTCATCGTCGCTGTCCTCCTCTGCCTTCTCCTCACGCTCCTTGTCTCCACCTAGGAAGAAGTGTACACCTCCAGTAACGACCTTTTCGTGTTGCGACAAAGCAGCCTCTTTCATGATCTCTACAGCCTTCGCGTCTGTCCAGATTTGCCTAGCCCACATCTCACGAGTGATGCGCACAGCCCAGACACCCTTGGGCGAAGTGGGATCGGAAGTGAGCAAGTTGTAGAGAACAGTCTGAATGGTACGGTTGAGCTTGTGGTTGGTAGCCTTTGAGTTCGAAGTGCGGAGGTCGGAGATGATTTTGGTGAACAAGAGGGTACGGAGAGCTTTGCTAGGGGTATCGACCAGTAGAGGGAAGAGAGCGTTGAGCAGACTGCCGAGGCGTGAGTTTTGGCAGAAGACGTGGGCACGTGGTTGGGCATCTTACACTGCAGAGTCAATGATTTCCTTCTTGCGCAACAAGACCAGACTGCCAACGACCTTATCACGCAGTTCAGGTTCCAACTCGGCATGGTGCAGGCGAAGCAGGGCCATGAGATCGGTAGGGAAGTCGGCGGTGAGTTTGGGATAGCAGTCGGCGCAGTGGGCGACGAAGTCGATTAGCTCTCGGAGACTGACCAGACCCTGAGAATCGGTCGAGCTCGGAGCCTGCATGAAGAGTTGCAGAAAGGCCTGGTATTGGCTGTACTGGTTGTTGAAGTCATCCTTGTATGANNTCTGGCGCAGAGTTAGACTGGACGGCGATGTCTTGGATCGTCTGGCAACCTACGCCGGGTCTCGTCGGACCTTGTACTGCAGATTGGGCAGGTCTGCGTCGACCTTTTCGAGCGCTCCAACCTTGCGCTTGACCATTTTGTGCGAGACTCAATTATGTCGACGTCCCGAATGGTGTGTCTGTGTCTGTGTCTGCACATTCCCGAACATTTTCTGATTGCCGGGCGGTGAGTATAAAATCAGGTCAACCCCACAAACTCTCAAACTTTAATATTGGCTTCAGTCCCATCTCGCCAGACTTGGCGTCTCCTGCCTACCTGCCTCCACTTGAGTGTGAGCATGTGCACCATGAATCGACTTGCAAAGAATTCGTCCCATGTCCCTACTATCCAATGCTACAGACCTCTACACCGTCACCGATCTGCGAGTCACCCGCTCTCTTACTCTCTTCAGTTCTTCAACACTTGCCAATCCTTTGTTACTGGCCTCGATCTCATCTGCCACCTCTTCGTAGTGTCCAAGCAGTTGTAGTTCGAACCTTCCCAGTATATCTTCGTTCAACACCCGCCCTCGTGGCACGAGTTTATCCTTGCCTGTCCACTCCCACCATGGAGCTCGTATCGATTTTCCCACCTCTCCTGTTGTAAGCTTAGAATTGATCGAGAACTCGTTATGATGCTTGTGCCCGTCATGAAGCTTCCACCAACGTAGCGCTTCGGGTTTGTACAAGACTTTACCATCTCGGCCGAGCAGTGATCGTAGCCATCGCATAAGATTTGACCTGTAAGGCGAAGGTACAATTAGCAAGATATCTGGTTGTGGGAACACCACGACTTGGCTGAACGAATGCACTCAGCTCTACGAGATGCCGTCCAGGACGGCGTTTCGTTGAAACACACATTACAGAGACTGCTCGTGCAAGCTGAGACAAACGCTAGCACTAGTCATGGTGTTCGTACCTTCGATTTACGTNNACCACCTGCTAGGCTTTGGTTCTGAAGCGGACCCTCCAAGATCCATGCGCGCTCTGACCGAAGCATGGATAAATTCGTGCGTGTCCCTCATAAGCACCCCACCATGCTTTCGCATGCCCGTCAAAGGATTCTTGACTCTGTACCGACCAGGTGTCCGGACCAGTCGCCCTGCTAGGCTCTGTGGGAAGGTGAAGGAGTTGTAAATCGTGCCCAAGGACCAGCCTCGTACAGGAGGGTTGTTCTCATACCAGACCTTGTTCAGCGCTTGTTGCGTGTCCAGGTAGTCGTCGTAAAATTCGATCCAATCTTTCTTGTCCAGCGGCGTATCGGTAGAACCCTGTGTTTCTCCAGAAAGCTGATCCATCATCCATGCTAGCGATATATCTGCTGTAGCTGTGTCATCGTACGAACCACCAACGTTCGAGTGTGCTCCCGGGAACCAGGTTTGTTTTAAGTANNCTTTGCTGCAAGTCAGTAAGGTTCATGTAGTATAATGCCAATTTTGACTGACTGTATGACTACCCTCAGGCTTCTCCCAAACGGCGGGTGAAAAAGGCGCTCGATGCTCGTCTAATGCCAAAGCCTGAAACGCATTTTCCACATTGTCGGAGAGCCTTGTATCAAGCCATTTGTATTCGTGCAAGAACCCAGGTAGCCCCAAATGTTTTTGGAACCAAGGATTAATCGGTATACCGAGGGCACCTACTAGGGTCAGAACCTCCAGTCGCAGCATATAAAAGGGCGTCTTACCAACTGTGTCCCAAACACCAATGGCTCTGATTGGCACGTCGCGTTGCTCGTTCTCCCGAATTGGAACGACATGTGTTAGTCCAAAACTTCGAAGCACTTCAAATAAGTCAGCATTAGTAACGACAACATGGAGACTTTTCGCCATACTGGCACGATACTCGTTCAGGTAGTCGTAAACCCTTGCTGGGTCATTAGACGGAGTTTGAGGCATGCTCTTTCTGGCTGGATTGAAGGGGTCCCGGTAGTGTTCCCAGAATGAAGATCCTTTTGAGTCCGGATTGCCTGCGTTCTCCCAATCGAGAAAGATTTCGTAAAAGAAGGGCAGACCTTCCTTGTTCAGTAAACCAAGGTTTCCGATCAGTCCGCCTAGACTTCTTGCCGTGAAGCTGCCACGGGAGAATCCAATCAGGAATATCGAATCACCAGGCGAGTAGTTGTTCGCAAGGAAATAGTAAGCCTCTCGAATGTGCTCGGACAGCCCCAACCCGGTTCCACCTCCAAGTAATCGGTCACGGAGTCCGAGTCCTGTGCCGATCCCTGCCTGATAGTAGACAATTTGAGCGTGGTGCTCGCTGTCCTCGGGCTTGATCGCTCTCGAAATTCTGGTGACATTGGATGGCGTTTTTAAAGTTCCATTGACCCAACCAGAGTCACTNNGTCCTCCAAGGACAGTTAGAACTTTGATGAGCTCAATATAAACCGAAAAGAGACTTACCTGCCAGGTGCCTGTACTATGTTAGTGGGTATTGACGATTGATCAATTCTTTCTCTTACCATCAAGAGCACAGATGATCTTCTTTGGCTTGCGGAGGATAGCTCGACCAGCTGTAGGAGATACTACCATGGCGATATTTCTTGTGTGTGTTGGGCGTATGCGTATCACAATAGTAATCGGGAGGGTATCAGTAGCACAGAATGCTGTGAAACAATGAAAAGGGGAGGAAAGATATTGGAGTAGTTTATATCATGAATTGTGTTGGCAAAGCCCTCTTCAGGCGGAAAATCAGGCATCCATAGCCTTGCAGGGAACGTGTTAGTTCTACAGGCGGCGGTGGTCAGGCGTGGGGCTGATTCGCGGCTGAAGAGTTGGCGCATACTGTCCTTGAGGTGGATGCGCTGAATCGCCGCCTCCACCACCCCACCTTCAACATTGTACACTTATAGATCGAGGCTGCTGTCTCGAATAAACAGCGTTCTCTACCACACACTGTTTTCGAACATATAGAGGTCCGGTAACAGGCTATCCAGGTCGGAATATATGAATTCATGCATGCCAAGCAAACGAGGAGCTCACTGACTAAGGCGTATATTAGATGGCATATAGCCGCCTTTTGTTTTGCATGATCGTAGTCTACTAACGCGAAAGAAGTGGAGACATTCTCATTGTGTTGGTAGCAAGGCTCTACATTTGTGATCCTGCGAGGCTGCGCCCAGGTACTAACCTGAATATTTTGCCGAGTGAGACTGTTGCGAGGCCGACTTCAGCGAAAGAACTTAGCAATCTACCTGTGAGCTGAAGTTTGTGATATATGGGATCATGGTTCTTGCACAGTGCTCTTAGAAGACAGAGCACGTCACTGAGGGTGGTTGTCGCATCAGCTCTCATGGACATGTCTTTGATGGGTCGCGACCTGTGTACGGGTTATTGTGGCGTAATCATCGCCCTGCATCACTTCAAGACGAGAATCTATGTCGAGAGGAGGCAGAGATGCTTACTTGTCTTGCCAGAATCTGGCAAATACATATTGCGCAACCTGGAGACAGTAAAGCCAAATGTGGTTGAATCTACCACAAGCTGAGGCTTGCAACACGTACATGAGGAGATCTAGCAAATGTTGGAGGTGTGTCTGGAGAACAAGGCATAAGTGGAATTTGTGTAAGACGAAAACGTCTCTTGTACTGGTGGTAACAGCATGTTGGTGAAGTCCGAAAAGAGACAAAGGTGCGGCTGCGGGTCCTTGCCAAGCAGTTTGATCGTGTTTGCATCCGCAGCGAGCATGATCTGGCGACACCTCGAGCATACAGCCCGAGTTGACACTATAAACACAAAAATGGCAGCCATGATGTCAAGAAGAATGGTAAACGATATTTTCACATTCATCATGAGACCGCAAGCTCATGACTCCACAGTTGTCAAAGGACGAAGAAGGCGAGGAGACTGAGGTCCGCCGTGAAGACCAGGACAAAATCAATCGCTTCAGCACACTACACCAGAAAGAAAAACTTTTGCAAGCGGAGCTCAAAACCAAAGAGGTCCCTCTAAATCTTCGTTACGCAAGAGAGTGCAACAGATTTGCTGACAGGATGTTCNNACAGAAGGAGAAGGAGGATTTAGAAGAAGTCTCATCAGAACTCGAGCTTGCTGACGAAGACGAGAAGGTCTCGTAAGTAATGACAAAAGCCGATCACATGAAAGTTACTCATGTGTCTGCTAGATACAAGATTGGAGACTCATTCTTTCTGCTACCTTTGCCAGAGGTTCAGGAATTGCTGGCGGCATCAATCGAAAAGATCGATGAAGACGTGACCACCGTCGAAGAGAAGTTAAGCGAGCTCAGAGATGAGATGCAGCAGTTGAAGACGGCACTTTACGGACGTTTCGGCCGCAGCATCAATCTCGAGGCATAGAAGAAAGTCGTGTTGCTTGATCCAAGCAAAGAGATCACATCGAAATACCAACAAACACCTGTACTCGCGACGTTGGCAGGGCGGGATGAATCGCAGCGACTTGAGTAAGACGATTCAGGGGTGAAGGCTATGAGGTCTTACAGTGGTGCATGAGATTACGACACTGCTAGCCAGCATGCTACACATGCAGATTACCGGAAATGGCATAATCTGCCCAAGCCCCTTAAAATAGTTAGGTGAAGGCGCAGCTGCTGACGCTCGAAAAATAGAATCTTCTTCTTCGGCGATATAGTATAGATTACACGCCACAAAAGTACACGCAGCCAATAATGCAGCTTTTTACAGAACCTTAGCCTTTCTACTCTAGCTCCCGAACGGAGTTAATAAATAACAACTCAAAAGCTCATTTGCACACACTTTGAAGTCAGGTCGATGCAATGCAAGACATCAATGAAAAGTGGATGCTCGTCCGCTTTCTATTATCAGGTGTTGAAGTGCAGTGCGTTTGAGAGCCCACGGCTACTCAAATTTAGGCAACATTTCGTCCAAAGAGGAATCGAAGGGCGATAGGCTAACGGATGTTGCTGTCTATACACGAGCTTGTAAATCGATCTTTGAAACTCAAACATCGTGTACGACGTAGCTTCATGTTGATGCGCTGTTCAAGAGAAATGATGTGGCGCAGAGGACACACGCACGATGGGGTTGGCGCCACTTCCAGGCTGTGTCGAACGCAACTTTTCAGTCCTCCCCGTGTGCCGAAGACTGTCACAATGTAGCTATAAAAATGCGCAGTGCTTTCGCAAATGATGCAGTTCCCATAGAAAGACCCTCATCGAAGGCTATCTCAATGGCCAGAGGCATAGCTAAATTGCAACTGTGCACTTTGATAGTATGTAATGACCTTCTCTCGTGATGGGAAGGGGCCAATCGCAAAGTCGTGACAGTCTTTAGCACACGGGGAGTGGTAAGATATGACAAGTTGGCCAGGGGAATCCAGGGCTTCAAGGTTGCCTATCATAATGATGAATTCGTGTCGATCGATGCCATGCTAACGAAAGACACGAGGTTCCCATTCTTGATGGGCTTAAACCACTGGATTATCTGTTTGTGAGAAGGATCCGCCTTTGCTGATGCTGATACGATAGCTCTCAGCGAGTAGGCTTACTATGGCTGCTTCTCACAATAGCGACAAACAAGTCATATTTTTAGCATCAGTGATTGAGGATTGACCATGCGGCGTTGGACTCGACAACCAAGCATATTCGACAGATAAGTTCAGCGAAATCATGTGCTTTGCCAATGCTCGTCTTTGAATGATTATGGGTTATTCCCGGGGTGTCACTGAGTTTGTTATTGACGAACAGCCCCTTCCGAAAGTAAGACATGGAGGTCACACAGATGGCCTATCAAATCGAGAGAAGGTGACTCCAAATCGTCAAGAACAAAACGTCTACCGGTGGCACGAAATGACAAACCGACGGGCACTGACGGAGTACATAGCCGGTGTCGGTCCAGATAGGATGCGTGCGAGCTTAAAGGAAAGCAAATTGAGAGTTTCCGACCAAGCCGAATATCCAGGCCCATGAAGCTGCGACGGGCGGTCGGGCGTCACCGGGTTGTCCAATTTCAGCGCAAAGCAATCAGTTGAGCAAGGAATCGATTCAAGACATGAAAATGTTCGAGGGCAGTGAGCGCGAAAAGAAAAAAAGGCGTCTGGCAACTTGGCAAAGCGTGGAGAGATGGGTTAAGCATGTTCTCACAGGGCTGATCGAGGCCGATGAGACGGGAGGCTTGCTAGGAGGGGCCTAGGGCTGATCCATGCCATGGCTCCGTTGGGTTCGCTGTCAGAGCAAAGTGGTCTGTGTGGCTGTGCGTTTGTTTCGGGAACGGACCCGTCATCGTTCCTCCCCTTCCCTGGTTGATTTGCCCGGTCGCATTGCTGCCTTCGTCTCCTTCTTTCTCTCCTCAATCTCTGCACTCCCGTCTCTTTCCACCAGCAATACCCCCGACATTGCCATCGCGCCTGATACACTTTCAAACGCCAGACATCGTCGCAAAGACGCCAACGCCCCAATCCGCAGTCACTCGCTCACCTTATATCCGACAGGCGCTTCTTAGGCTTGGCACTAAGGCCGCGTAATCCACAACGTGCGCATCCGCATTACCCATAACTTCACACGCATCGCTCTTCTGCCCCCTCGCCAGTCACCAGTATCATGGCCACTGCTCAATTTGCCCAGATGGGCAGCCTCCCGCATGCCCTCAAGCCGGATCTTGATATGGAGTCGTTCTTCGACTTCAACCAGGGCACTTCTCTCAACTCTCCTCAACTCTCGGGTCCTACNCCCCGCCCTTCGATTGATGCCTCAGCCTACTACAACGCTCCCTCGCCTTTCGAGGCAGACGACGCCCACATGTTTGCCGGCCCAAGCCATGAATACGATCGTTTCAAGCAGCAGACCGGCCTGCCGGTTGGTTCTGTCGCCAGTTTCTCTGCAATGAACCAGCCCGTCTCTGACACTTTCACCCCCAGCCATGCCTTTGGCGGCTTCAACTCGGGCATTGACGACATGTCCTTTGACCCCGGCTTTGGTGGTTCGTGGTCCTCTGGCATTGATGTCGATGCCGACATGAACATGGACTTCAACGCCACGCAGGCCATTCCTGCTATCTACTACCCCCAGCCCGGTCCCTCTCAACCGCGCACCGCCGACTTTGTCGATCCGGCCTCTATCGGATCCAACGATACTTCTCCCAGCAACGCAGGCAGAGTCTGGCCCGGCATGCACCAGCAACAGGCACAGCAGGCCGCTATGGCCAAGGCTCAGGTCCAGGCTCATGCTCAGCAGCAAAGAATGCAGTTCGAAGCTCAGCAGCAGCAACACAGACGCCTGGCACAACAGCAGCAGCAAGCACAGCAACAACAGCAACAGCAACAACAACTCGAGGTCAAACCCAACAGAAGCCGTGCTTCTTCGTACCAGTCTGACCCCCACACCGAGGAAAGCATCTCTCGTCTGCTCAATCAAATGCGTCAAGGTAGTGCTGTACCTTCTGGCAAGGAGGACTCTGCCAATGGCATGCTTCCTCATGTTGCTCGCATGCGCAAGGAAGAGGAAGACATGGATGAAGATGAACGTCTGCTCAACAGCGAAGAGGGCAAGAAGCTCAGTAGCAAAGAGAGACGTCAGCTTCGGAACAAGGTCTCTGCTCGTGCCTTCCGCTCTCGCAGNAAAGGGTAAGTCACCTTTGTAACACCAATAATCAAGATGTACGCTAATTAAGTTGCAGAGTACATCTCACAGCTCGAAGGCGAAGTGGCCATGAAGGCACAGGAGGCCAACGATCTGAGAGTGGAGAACCGCAGTCTCCAAGAGGAGAATGGCCGCTGTCGCCGCCTTATCGAGGTTCTGCTGCGTCATCCCTCGTATGCTCCTTTCATTGAGGACATTAGCAAGGATCCCAGCATCGCTGGTCCTGTAGGTCAAGCTCAACAGGGTGCTGCTGGCTCGGTACCTTCCCAGCGTGAAGCTCCTCTTGATATGTCTCTGCTGAACTTGAACAATGGCCTTCAGGTCCCCAGCAACTTCCAGTAAGGAGTGCTCTCATGTGTTAGCGGCGGTTGGTCAAGAAAGTCCACATTCATTTGTGATGCGCGGTGGCATTCCATTTCCTTTGTCAAGTCATTCTCTCCTTAGTCATCCATGATTCACTCTATTCCCCCGCCTTGTGGAAGCGTTCTCGGGCAATGCTGGCGTTTGGCTGTCGGTTTGATTCCCCTTCACAATGTAGATATTGCAATCCTCTATAGACTTGGAAACCGGAGTTGAAGGTCATGTTGGTGCCTAGTGCTAAGTCAGATGTGTCTCCAACAGTCAAGTACAATAAGACGAAGACTGTGATCAAGTTGCGTCGATGCCCAAGCTGCCTCCCATGTGCCAAAATATACAATGCGTATAGCTATACGAATGCACAATGCTACTGGGAACAGGACAGTGCCCGCTGAGAATTGACACTCTGTGAACATGGCTTTTGTCCCAAAAGCAACCGTGTCTTTCTGCAGTATATACATTGCTCCTTGCTATGGTCGGAGTACGATGGAAGTTACAGACTTTATTTAGCTCATGGAGGTGCAGCGGAGTGGCGGACCGTGCTTGCTTGCAATCGACAAGAAATTTGGGCACTCGTCATACGGGTACAAGACGCATAGACAAGCAGAATAATTCAAAGATCCTTTTCCGGCGGCACAACAGCGGCTACCAATCTGGCATTTTCACGGAACCCATTGTCGAGTCTGATCTCAGTGACGCGGTTGCAGCGAAGGTCACTGGCAACGGGCAAACCATTGCGAAAATCGCGTCCGGACTCGACAGACTCCCTCACGGACAGTGCTTCGCATCTGGTACAAGACCTGTTCAACAACCACAAGTCTTCACCAGATCTCGCAGGACGCCAACCCAAGTCCCAGCAACTACGAGTACTGCGAGACCTTCTCCAGACATCAGCCCGCTCACGTCTGAGCCGTCGACCTAAGCTTCGAGGCGAGCGACGGGCACACCACCTCGTTTTCCCGCCCTCCACCTCTCTTGAGATACCCAAAGGACCCGGTCCGGACCCTAGAAATAAACTCCGCAGGATGCGCTCCTTCTTCCAGTTCGTCACTACGCCGACGGCAGACACACCCGGCACCACACTAATCCTGCACTTCGACAACAAACGTTATCTGATTGGAAACATTGCCGAGGGTACGCAGAGGGCTTCAGTCGAACAGAAAGTTCGCCTCTTGAAGGTGTCGGAGCTCTTCTTGACCGGAAACACAACCTGGGAAAGGACTGGTGGATTGATCGGCATGATCCTGACACTGGCCGACGCTGCCTCGTCCAGTGCCCATGCCAGCTTGTTGGAAACCAAGAGAAAGATTTTGAACAAACTAGAGCGTGAGGGTACCGCAATAAACGATGAAGACATTGATGAGCAGGCCGCTCGTGAAGTCAAGGATAGAGCGCGACTTCAAATCTTTGGAGGGCCTAATCTCAACTACACCTTGGCGACTGCTCGCCGCTTTGTCTTTCGCAAGGGAATGCCCGTTGATGTGCACGAGTTCGGCCACGACCTTGCTCAAGACCCCAGCCCTTCAGTCGAGCCTACATGGTCAGATGACAATATTCAAGTATGGGCGTTGCCCATTTCTCCGGCCTCGAAAGTGCTGAGCGGCTCGAGTAGCCCTCGTAAACGCAGCTACGATGAGCTCAATGGACGTGAGGTTCCGAATACTCGTTCGCCCCTGCACCCTGTAGACAAGGAGAAAGCCCTTATGATGTCAAAGGCTGTAGTTGCAGAGATGTTTGACTCCTCATGGCGGATGGACGCACTTGTCGAGACACCCATCAACGAAGTACAGCTGCCTGCTACGCTATTCGTTCGTGATCCCGAGACTCACAAGATGACAAAGTACATTGGCCCCATGCCAGGAGGTAAAGAACCAGTCCCAGATATCAAGGTCCTGGTCCGCCGCCCTTGGCCTGGTGCTCTGATCGAATCTCTTCCTCCCTCAGAGCCCGCCAAGGTAGCCATGTCGTACATCTTCCGCAATCACATAGTGAGAGGCAGATTTCAGCCCCAAAAAGCTATAGCACTGGGCGTTGAGAAAGGCCCCAAGTTCGGAGCTCTAGGCAAGGGTCAAAACGTCGAGAACGACAAAGGCGAAATTGTGACCCCAGATATGGTTATGGAACCGAGCAAACAAGGTGGAGGCGCGGCTGTAATAGATCTGCCTTCCTGCGAATATGTTGAAGCCCTCGTCTCGCGACCCGAATGGAAATCGGAGGAAATCATGGCAGGTGTTGGTTCTTTCATTTGGATGCTTGGCCCGGACGTTGCATCACACCCCATGCTCAAGCAGTTCATGGAGGATATGAAGCATATGAAGCATATCGTGTCTTCTCCGGAACTCTGCTCCAACAGATTGGCTCTTGACTCGGCCGCAGGTGCTACGGTACGTCTAGGTCAAATTGATCCTAGACGCTTCGACGTTCCAGTGCACAATAATACGACTGCTTCACACGAGTCTACCAATGGTTTGGAAGGGTTGGTCACGATTGCCGACCGCGGACAAAAGGTGCAGCTTGAGCCATCCCTGGAAATTCAAGACGATGAAATCAATACTCTACTGGATATCGANAAAGTCAAGACAGAGATGTCGAAAAACGTCCTTGACCTCGCACAAAAAGCTCATGAAGATGTCAAAGCTAGCAAGCAAAGTCTCGAAGCCTGGGCAGACAGTCTACCCCAGAAGGACGTCGAAATCACTACCTTGGGAACTGGTTCAGCCTTGCCATCTAAATATCGTAATGTCTCGGCAACACTTGTGCGCGTGCCTGGGTGGGGTTCGATGCTTCTCGATGCTGGCGAAAATACTTTGGGCCAGCTGAGGCGTGTGTATGCACCCAAGGTTCTCGACGAGATCATGAGAGAGTTGCGGGTGATCTGGATCAGTCATATGCACGCCGACCATCACCTTGGTACTGTATCGGTCATCCGCGAATGGTACAAGGTAAAGCATGGGTCACAACCAGGGCCAACACTCAACCCGGGGAGCGATGTTGACTTCGATGCCGCTTCTATATTCAGCAAACAAGATCGTCTGTCTGTAATCTCGGAGGTAGCAATGTTGCACTGGCTTGAGGAATACAGCCATGTCGACGACTACGGCTTCTCACGATTGGCGCCATTGTGTATCACTCCCAACTTTTATCAGAGAGGCCTCCGATCCACTCTGCAATGGTTCATCCCACCTGCTTCGTCGCAGGTGCTCAGTGGCGGTGCTTCTGTTACAGGCGAACCGTGGGCAGAGAAAGTCGCCCGCGCCCAAGTCTTGCCACAGGCACTGAATCTCCAGGATATCCAATGTGTGCAGGTTCAGCACTGTCACGGAGCTCGTGCTGTGTCTGTGACATTCCCTTCGGGCTTCAAGGCTTCATATTCTGGTGACTGCCGGCCATCCAAACCGTTCACGCATATCGGCAAGGGCAGCACGGTCTGCATCCACGAGGCAACCTTCGACGACGAGTTGCAAGGCGATGCCGAAGCAAAGAATCACACCACAACTAGCGAGGCTCTAAGCGTGGCTCTGGGCATGGAAGCGAAAGCCTGCATCTTGACTCACTTCAGCCAGCGATACCAGAAGGTACCTGTATTAGAATACACAGACGAAGAGGACGGCACTGTCAACTCGCTCGCAGCGAGCGGAGATGAGATGGACACCTCCACCAACACCGACGACGAAGCCGATGCACCTGTGGTAGACACAGCTGCTCCCACATCTGCAGACAAAGCTCCTGCTGATCCCGCGAACGCAAACAAAGCAGCAAAGCACATCAAGATCAAGGCGGGAAGTGAGATGAAAGTCTGCGTTGCTTTCGACTACATGAAGATCAAGGTCGGCGAGATTGCTCAGATGGAGAAATACACAGACGCTCTCGTAGCTTTGTTCGCTGAAGAAGAGTCTGCAGAGGAAACCAAACCTGAAGCGCCTAAGAAGAAGGCNAAAGGTGGCAAGGCACAGCGTAACAACTGATCATCTGAATGATTCTTCTATACATCTGTACAACTACTGTATATATCTAGACGGCCCTATATAGAATTACTGCATCCATAACAGATAGAAACGGCAGCTTTTGGCCTAAGAATCGATGCCTGTTTGATATCTTCTTGTAATCACGTAGACTGCAACAACGAGAGGTTCTCGCACCTCGGTGGCGCTGTAACTCAATGAGGCTAGCTTCGAAACGCGCTGTGCAAGCAACCCTGGCTGAGCTATAATCATCGAATTCCTGGGCCAAAGATGTTCAAGTCCATACCAGTATGCAGATCTGACACTGTTTCAAGGGCTTGTACCATGAACCAACAGCAGCCTGAGTACGATGGGAGTTGCAGACTTCGGGCAGATGGTATGGGAGGCAATTTTGCTGTTGCGATATGAGAGCAGCATTATTCAGCGAGGTTAAAAACACATCTGTTGGGCTTCACGGCAGGGTAAGGATGAAACAAGCCCATTGAACAACTATTCTCGTGAAACAGGCGAATGTGAGAATGTGCATAGAATGGAATGTAATGATTGTCACATCGAAACTACAAACCAAAGGCTGTATACGACTCGACCTTCTCAAGAAAGCTCGTTGAAACAGACAGTGTGCATCACCAGTAGCTGAAAAGAAACCCCGTTGCAAGAGCCAACCACGTGTAACGTTTTCGAGCATCAAGATTCGGGATCGCAAAGCTAGAAGCTGTGGAATTTGAGCCGCTTGAGCTTGATACGGAACCTGTGTTGGCAAGCTCGCGGAGTTGTGCTGCTTTTGTGGAGAGGATCACTGTACTTCTGCCGCCTGGACAAAACACGACTTCGACGCCAGCTCCAGAAGGGATGATGAAGGTAGACGACTGGTCGTCGTAAGCATAGCTGTAGGCATCTGGGCATATGGTCTTGGCTGCTTTGGCGTAGTAGTTTGGGCTGCATGCATTTGGTGAATTGTATTTGCCCAGGCAGCAATACTGGTCAGAGTTGTATTTTGCGCAGGCTGAGAAGCAAGGGTCAAACGCAGGCCTTTGGATGTTGCCGTCAGGGTAAGGATACACATTGCCTCCAGGAGCGGATGGGGCATTGACTTGAAGATCCCAAGGACACCACTGATTAGCATTACTTGTGGTGACCTTTGTCTCGAACGGTAGAGGATACGAAGCATTCGTGCCGAGGAACGTCCCACTGTTGTATGGGTTGAAGTTGGACGAAGCAAGCATAGAGCCTGTGCCTTCGCAGGATGGGTTGGTGAGATTTGGAGGGATATCATCCAATGAAGAATTGCCGTGCGGAACAAGGACGATGGCTAGCGGAAGGTTGTACCCATCGACAAGAGAGATGTCGTAGTAACTTTGACCATCACCAGCATCAAGGGTGAACTCGGCAAGCGTCACCGGTATGGCACCCTGGTAGCGATCAGTACTCGTTCAGCAGTATGTTTCAGCGGGGAAGCTTACTGCTGCCTGACAAGGTATCACACCGTTGCAATCACCTGTAGTGCAGGCTGGACCACCGCCATTCGATCTCCCTTGAGCATTGAAGCTGCAGTTCGTTCTGCCCCAGATACGCCCTTGCCAATCTTCCGAGACAGTTTGTGACACAGTTGCTCCGGAAGTGAGCTCGAACCCAGTCTGTCCGGGTGCGGTGCCGTGCTGTGTGGCGATGCCAGGATAGATGGTATCGGGGCAATTGTTTGTCACAACAAGAGGGGTGTTTGCAGCGTTGTTTTGACGAACAACAAGTTTCCGGTCCATATGGTGTGTATACAAGCCATTGGTACGCAGCACCAGAGTCAGAATGGATGCCGTCAATTGGTGTTTCATGATGACAAGATGCGGAAAAAAACCAGGTAATAATGATGAGGCAAGCAGCACCGATCAGGTCAGTATGTCGGGAGACAAGTTGCCTACTGGCTCATACAGGCTGATGCGATCAATGGAAGCTCTGAAGGAGTGAGGAAGGATAGGAAATAAATGGTGCGAAAATGCTGTTATGTAAGGTCGTGCAAGGTAGAGAAGCTGGCGAATGAGGGTACCGAGTAGAGGGAAGGGATTGATGAGAGCAGCAGAGACGACATGGCGTCGGTAGACGAAGACCTACTTGTTGCAAGCATGGAAACAAGAAACACGCAGGAAGGCGCGAACAAGCTCGTTGATGGAGGAATGCGATTGGAGGGCGCGACTTCTCTATGTCGGCGCTTCATGACGTTGAGGCTTCAATCTTGGATTTCTGCAATTGTCACACACCAAAGCTGCATCGACCAAGACACGGGGGCCGGTCTGAATATATGATCTTGGAATATTGTCGCATGAAGACCCTTGCCTATTCTGATCTGAAGTGTGCCAGCCGGCAAAGGGAAATGGGGCTTGATGCAAACGAGCAAGCGACCCCAGGTTCAAGGTCTGTGCACTGGTTGTGATGATCAACCACCAGTCAAGTCGAGAGATAACAACTCAACTTCAACTGTGTCTTCAATATCCCAACTTCTAGAGCACCAAAAACATGCGTGAGAATCGAGACCTCGCAAGTCCTACGACGGATTTGATTGGAAGCCGCCACGGTCCTAGTGTATCTGCCCTTAGTGGTCTTAGCATTGCGATCAAGACTACATCGAATCTAGATAGGTATCCCGGTCAGTATCTCTGCTCCGAATTGCCATATTTCCAGCTTTTGTTGACGATACAAAGCAAGGCAGCATGCTCAAAGAGTGGCTCGTGCTCTCGATGTCGACCAAGGTCTCATATATCTGCCTGGTGAACAGACTGTCAACTGGCCCGACAGTGACCAACCTCGCACTTTCAGACAGCTTCGCTACTTTCTGTACCTGAGTGGATGCCAAGAACCAGATTGTTTCGTAACATACGACATCGCCTCAGACAAACTGATCCTATGGTTGGCACCAATTGATCCACGAAAGGTTGTCTGGACTGGCAGAGGATCTACTATTCAAGAAGCGCTTGAGAAGTACGATATCGACGAAGCCCGCTTTGCACCATCGCTTGAACACTTTGTCAAGAAATGGGCTTCCAACAATGCAGGCTACATCTATCTTCTGCACCCTGATACTGCTCTTGCCAAAGGCTATCCGGGTAGAACCGACTCAGAGCACCTTCGACCTGCAATAGATGAATGTCGGGTGGTCAAAGACTCACACGAGATCTCTCTAGTGAGGAAGGCTAATCATATCAGTACATTGGCTCACGAGCAGGTTTTGCGAAAGCTGCGGTCCTTCAAGAACGAAGCACAGGTCGAAGCCGAAATTCTGGACGTTTGTATCGCCCATGGCGCAAAGCACCAGGCTTACGAGATCATCGCTGGGTGAGCAACTGTAACAATTCCTCCAAGTGCCGAAGCTTGCTACACGTGTAGCTGTATAAATGCATGAGTGTTTTCGATGGTTAGACATGTCCAAGGAGAGCCGATGAAATACGGTCTCTCGATGGATGATGCTCTTTGCCTGATACGACTGCGCAGCTCTGCAGCTACTCGCGTAACAGACTTTGGCACACGGGGATGGCTTGTAAATGAGGGGGCTTTACTAACCCGCGTTCAGGTCTGGACCAAACGCTGCAATCCTGCACTACATTAAGAATGATGAGGACTTTGGGGATCGACAGTTGATGTGTTTGGATGCTGGAGCAGAATGGCAAGGGTATGCAGCAGATGTTACCCGAACGTTTCCCCTGTCTGGCAACTGGCCTTCCCAAGAGGCAAAACAGATATACGACTTGGTGCAGCGTATGCAGACGAAGTGTATGGATATGCTTGGTCCAGGTAAGCGATTTGTGGATGCCCAATATCTCGCGCATCTTGTGGCTATTGAAGGGTTGCTCGAGCTGGGCATTCTCCATAATGGCTCCAAGAGAGATATTTATGAGGCAGGCACGTCTGTTGCCTTCTTCCCACATGGTCTAGGTCATCATATGGGCTTGGAAGTGCATGATGTTTCGACAGTGCTTACAAAGAGCACTGCGACCGAGGCCGATGACCAAGTGATTTCTGAGGTAATTTATTGTCATCGACACAAGTCTTGTTAACAAGTGCTGAGGTGTAAACAGATCAATCAACATCTGCCGGATGTAGAAAACAACACAGAGCTTAGGTCGCTATCGACCAACATTATTCCTGCGGTTTGGAGCAGTGCTCTCAGCGAAACGAGCACACCTAGTTTGCGGCCCGGCATGGTGATCACCTGTGAGCCTGGAATGTATGTTCGCTTGTGTGCATATTTGCAAAGAATAGCAGCAGCTGACTAAGCCATAGTTACTTCAACCGCGAAGCGCTCGAGACAGTCTTCCTTCCCTCGCCCGTACATTCGAAATATATCAACAAATCGGTACTCGAGCGCTTCATGGCAGTCGGCGGAGTTCGAATTGAGGATGACCTTTTGATTACTGAGGATGGATGGGAGAACCTGACGACAGCGGCGAAAGGAGAGGCGGCGCTCAGGATCATTCGCGGCGAAGCCTAGAGATAGTTTTGCACGCAGGAAGGATACAGGGACAGAAGAGGACAGTTCAAGGCGAGGATGGGCGAAGTAGAAAGAAGTTTATTCATGAGGACAGGCCGCTCAGTGGGCAAGACAGGACTATGGTTGGTAACTCCGTAACGCCGTGGTATCTCATGTCTGAATGGAGAAAAGGGATATGCAGAGAAGGGGGGAGTTGCTCAGAAGGCATCCAGGGTCATGCTGTTGCTCACGTCGGTGTTCTCGACCATCTTTGTAAACTCTTCAAAGCTGATCTTGCCGTCGCGGTCGAGGTCGGCTTCCATGATGGTCTTGTCGACAATCTGCTGCAACTGTTGGTCCTTGAGATTGCTTCCGACCATCATCTTGAGAACGATGAAGAGCTCGCCATTGCTGATGTAGCCGTCACGGTCAATGTCGTAGACCTTGAAGGCGAAACGTAGCTTTTCCTCCTTGTTTCCTTTTGAGCTGAAGGCGCTGAGGCCCGAGACAAACTCCTGGAAGTCGACATCACCGCCGCCATCCTCGTCGAAAATGGCAATCATGCGTGTGGCGAGAGGGTTGGAAGAGACCTGAGGAAGGGAAAGGAACTCGTCGCGTTCAATGGTGCCAGAGTTGTCCTTGTCGAGCTTCATGAAGCGCTTGCGCAGGCGGTCGACCTCATCGCGGTCAACNNTGTTCAATGAGGGCGGTCAGCACACGGCAGGGAGGGCGAGTGTTGTCGTGCAAGACGTACAGTTACTGCCCTGAACCAGGTTCTCGAGCATTTGGGAGTTTGCGTTACCCATGATTGCGTTGTGTGGGTTGGGTGGGCAGGCTACAGAGCAGTCGAGAAAGATGGTTGTCGTGGTTGCTTGACGCTCGGCGAGACGACCGAGGGGACCTTGACGTCTCTCGGCCTGGCTTGCACTGACTCCTTCCACATAGACGACATCATCGACACAACAAGCACGACAATGACCGACAGTCCCATTCTCCAGCTCGCAGAGACAATCCAGACAGCCTCTATCAACAGGCACCCCTCGCCCGCCCACGATGCCAATCCATCCACTGCCGCCTCGAACAAGCAGCCCGTGCGCCTCGACGACGAGCCCGACCTTGACCACCTGCCCGACAACATCGACGACGACGAGATCCCTGTCTCGGTCCTGAGACCCACGCCGCGCAGCAAGCAGTTTCCTCCNCTCCCCGACCTGCGCTTCGAACAGAGCTATCTCGCCAGCATCCAGGACGCTACCTCTTGGCAGAAGGTTGCCTGGATCACCTTCAGAGACCAACTCTTCATGCCTTTGACCCAGGGTCTGCTCTGGACCTTGGTCGTCGCTGGCTGGAGGAACTGGAACACAGTGCACAACACTTCGTCCAAATTCTCTGGCTCCAGCATTGGTGCTCGTCTGAGAAGGTGGTGGTGGCAGACCAACAACTGGCAAATTCCAACTCAGAAAAAGTCATCCTTGCGTGACAAAAGGCTTGCTGGCCAAGTTCAAGAGGTATTTACTACATTCCGAGCCCGCTGTCCAATGCTGAATCTGTGCAAAAGCTGATGCTGACCACCTTGAAGNTTCTATCAAGCCGAGTTCAGCGCAGGTGCCGATTGATTCATCTGCTCCTTCTCTCCTATTTGTCGCCAATTCCATCATCTAACCTGCCTCCGACTGGTCAGCCCGCTGCATGTGTCTGCCGCACTGTTACGAGACTATCGTCATAACAAAGTAAACACGATAGCAGCAGCCGGGCTCTCCTTTAGCATGGGCCATGCTTTTGCTCTCGGGGCCTTGAGCTGGCCAATCCATGTAACTGCATCACGCTAGACGGGCGGCCATATCTGCCAGCGTTGCTTGTCTAGATGTACTTCTCAGGGTACTGTACAGTACGTCGGCACAGTGCTACCATGCAGTCTTGCCACACCTTGTTGTAACTTGACCACGCAAGTATCGAGCCTAGGCCCTAAGGGCAATATAGACTCAAGTGTTCAGCTCATGTCCCAGTGTCCTTGGACCGTGAGGCACACTCTAAGAACAAGGCGCTCTTGTAGAATCCCAGTATTAAACGAGAAATAAAAAGCACAATCTATATGAGGATACACAAACCTCGGCTTCGCGGTGGCATGGCTGTTGGTGTCGCAGACAATGGGCCGACATTGCGCGAAAGCATTCGGTTGAGGCATTAGGAGCTGCGGCTCAGATTATGGTTGAGCCAAAAGTCGTCGAAGCGGGGTGTTTCTCCACCCCGCTGCTCTTCCAACCAAATGCGCAAACCTTGTCAACAAGATGCATCGTATCGTGTTCTTTGCAAACAGGACTCGCGATCCGACTTGCGCTATTTCGGCCACTAAAACGGCTCACCATGCCAGGGCAGCAACTGGCACTGCGCGCAGAACGCCTCGGGCCCACACGAACACCCACCACTGACCACTCCACCCGGCCATGGATTGCTTGCACGTCATCAAGACCACCCACTTTTGTCACCACTTTGAATCTACGCTCCATTGGGCTACCGTTTAATAATCTTTGATAAATCTCTGTCCCAAACCCGCGACTGTCTTTTGATCCCTCAATCGCTCTTCCTTTTGCCTGTTCTATTCTGCATACATTTGTAGATTTTCCATTTCAACTCATTGTTGTGCACGAGACGAGCTCAGAAATTTGCCCTCTCCCACGCCGCAACCATGTCCAACAAGCCCATCTTCGTGGCCACCCACCCTAGAGCATGCTCGACGGCATTCGAGCGAGTGTGTTTTTCCCCTTGATGAACCACCGTCCGCGACCTCGACAACTGACCCTCACCACCAGGTCTTCATGACTCAGCGGGACACCCTGCAATGCGTCCATGAGCCTTTTGGCGATGCCTTTTACTTCGGTCCCGAGAGACTGAGCGACAGATACGAGGAAGACCACAAGGCCCGCGCTGAAAGCGGCTTTGAGAACTCGACATACAAGACCATCTTCGACAACATCATGAAGGAGAACGAAGAGGTGTGCATCCCTTACAGCGCTGGGAGGCAGTCCTGCTGCGTGTCCCGCTGATCCCTCTCCTTCCCATCATTTTCTTCCATTCACCTCTGGCTTCTGCTGCCCCCAAAAGCCCCAATCATCAGACTGGATCAGCTCGTGGACCGCCAATCACTTCTCCATATTGCACCAGAGACACGTGCACGCTGCATTGCTGCATTCTTCTCTATGACTTTGTTCCTGTACTCACCATTATCAGGGTAAACGCATCTTCATCAAGGACATCACCCACTACCTGTCCCCCCCCTGATGGCAAGCCGGCATCCATTGCTCCCTCATTGATGCAAGTCAAGCGTGGCGTCGGCACCAATGGTAGCAACCCCTTGACAGACATTGCCAATGGTACCAATGGCACCAATGGCACCAATGGTTCAAGCACCAACGGTGTGGCCGAAAACTCTCCTCCCTATCCATATGCCACAGAAGCCGAACCTGGAAACCCCACCGTTGTGCCGACCGACATCTTGAACAAGTTCCATTTCGCCTTCCTTATCCGCCATCCCAAGCACAGCATTCCCAGCTACTGGAGATGCACTATCCCCCCGCTCGACGCCATCACTGGCTTTTACAACTTCATGCCTTCCGAGGCTGGATACGACGAGCAGCGTCGCCTGTTCGACTACCTCCGTTCTTGTGGCCAGATTGGGCCCAAGCTTGCAGGCCAGGACGGCGAGCAAAAGAGTGGAAATGTAGACATCTGTGTCATTGACGCTGATGACCTTCTGGACAACCCATCGGCCATCCTTGAGCAGTTCTGCAAGAGCGTTGGCATTGAGTACTCTCCCAGCATGCTGAACTGGGACAACGAAGAGGACCACGTTCAGGCCAAGGAAGCATTCGAGAAGTGGAAGGGCTTCCACGAGGACGCCATCAACTCGACTGAGCTCAAGCCCAGAACTCACGTATGTTTTCCGTACTACTAGAATATGGTGCATAAATGCTGACAACCGACACAGAAGAAGGCCGAGAAGAGCGACGAACAGCTTTTCGCTGAGTGGACTGAGAAGTACGGCGAGGAGGCTGCCAAAATCATCCAACAGACTGTTGCAGACAACGTCAAGGACTACGAGCACATGAAGCAGTTCGCCATCAAGGTATAAAGTGCTACGACAAGGTCGGCACGTTCCTAGTACCTGATTGTAGGCATACATAGCCTTTTTCTTACTCGATGAGATATGAAGAGATCATAGCACACATTACTAGTCAAAACTTCACGATCGCGTGTTTTGCAATTCAATGTTGATCAAATTGTTGCGTTCTTGAAAGTTACCTACGTCATGGCAGTTGACGTTTGTGAGCATACGCCGAGCACACCATTTGATGGCATGTGCAGCAGCATCTCACAAGAACGTTACGAATTCCTGTATTGGATCAAACTCCTCTGTACCATACCCAATCTCAGGCCACCATCCATCAATCATGTCTAGCGCGCTCATCTTCGGAGGCTCTGGAAAGGTATAGATAGATCAACATTGTCGATGCCATTATGTGAAAACTAACAGCATAAAGGTCGCACGACACCTCACAACCAAGCTAGTGGCATCATCCTATACCGTCCACTCAGTCATTCGCAAGGAGTCGCAGATCCCTGAACTCGAGGCACTCGAATCAAAGCCTATTGTGCAGAGCATCGAGGATTCTAGTGTCAACGATCTTGCGGCAACCATCAAGAAGCACAGTCCTAATGTGGTGATCTGGAGTGCAGGAGCTGGAGGTGGCAGTCCTGAACGCACAAAGGCTGTAGACCATGAAGGCATGTCAATCTCGGTAGACATCTGTCAAGTTCGGTACATGGCTAACGCAAGGACAGGCGCCATCAAGGTCTTTGATGCCACCGCTGCTGCAGGTGTCAAGCGATTCATCATTGTCAGTGCAGTAGACATTCGCGACCGACAGAACAAGCCAACACCAGAGTGGTAAGGTCTCTTGAAAAGATCAACGATAATCATATACCAACGACCAAACAGGTACAACGACGACGACAATGCTGTTAGCAAGCGGATGTGGGGTGCGATTGGTGTCTACTGTGAGGCCAAACTGGCTGCCGATCGTGACCTGGTCTCTCAGAACGGTCGCCGCAAGCTAGATTACACCATCGTTCGACCAGGATCTCTCAACACAGACAAGGGGTCTGGTAAGGTCGCGGCTGGCAAGGTACACCTGGGCAAGAGTGTCTCACGCGAGGACATTGCCGAAGTGATCGTGCAGTGTATCAAGAGCCCGTCTACCATCGGCCTTGCTTTTGATGTTGTGGGTGGCGAGACTCCGATTTCCCAGGCTATAGACGAAGTCGGCAGCCAAATGATTGATACGTTTGAAGGACATTACTAGATGGTATAGCGACTCACTGTCATAGAAATGCAGTTGTCAGGGCGACCCTGTCGTGCAGTACTCACGCTATTTCGAGAATCGAAAAACTCGGAAGGTGGTTTTCAATAGACAAACACGATTGAGAGAGATACAAAAAGATGTGAACGGATAGTGAAGCACAGTAAAAGGGCTGCTTCGATCATAATAACGATATAAATCCCACCTTGCCTCATAAAACCAACAGCCTGAAACATTATACCTAACAAGAATATAAGAACATTAAAATCATGTACAACCAGAATGTATGTCGTATGTACTCAGGGTCTGCTTCATCCCTGCAAGTACTAGAATCATAGCTTGTGAGACAGTTGTGCCGCATCCACTCCAGCGCCGAGTACTTTGGGTTGTAGCGAGTGGCTTCCTGGTTCCAATCCAGTGCCATTCAGGGCTGACTCTTCAGCACTATTCGAAGTTGAATTTGATACAACCACGTCTAATTCTTCGTTGCGTTCGTTTTCTTTCTGGCGCCGCTTCTCCATCTTGTGGATAGCCTGCTCTGTGAGCTGCTGTCTGAACATGCGCTCCACCACGTCTTTCTTGCGGGTTATGCGATCGCCAACGCTGATGAGAATACCACCAGTAATATTACATGTAAGCGAGCAGCAAAGAATGACAGTCGTGAGAGCGAATGGCCGTACGTGGTAAGAGATGGACCATGTACAAGTGCCCAGAGCGATCTGGAGGAGGGAGTGACAATCGAGCAGGACGACGACAGCAACGAGAAGTCGCAGGGGAAAGGCATGGTGAGTTTCGGTTTCGTGGGGCTTGTAGAAAGTGTGCGACTTTGAGAATTTGTCCTCGTGATGCTTGAGCTTCCTCTGCTGTTCTTCTGTGAGGACGCTCTCCTCCGAGTCATCCTTGCTCATGGATCTGTTAGACTTGACATCAGCGTTGAGAGCGGAAGCGGTTTCATGAATGGAAGCAGCTTCTGCGGTTGAGCCGGTCTCGATATCTGCATCGATACCGGGTTGGACAGGAAGGTCGTTTTCGTTCTTGAGCTTTGGAAGGTTGCGTTNTTTGCGGAGACTCCATGTCAAATGATGGTAATGAGCGATGTAGATCATGTGGTACGTGTCGACTGCTCGGAATGGGGCTAGACCGTCACCGATGATGGCGAAGAGGGCGACCAGGACGTTGTCGATGATATTGATAATGTATGACTGTCGACCCCCAACGTTAATCCATCCGATGAGGAAGAGAACCCAGGCAAGACCGAACAAGGTCACCAGGGTGGCATATACAGTAACGAACAGACCAAGGGCTATGAGAGGTGGATCAGCAAAAGCCAAGAGGGGCTGATAAAGCAAGAGTGGGACTCACGNGCGGCGAACGTATTGACCAAAGCCCTTCATTCCTCGTTTGAAAGCAGCACGGCGCGAGTGCAACATGTGTCTAACATGGTCGTTGAGTTCCTGCTTTTCAGCCAGACTCCAACCTTCCAGACTGATACCATGAGGAAGAACGGCGTAGTGGTCTTCGGTCTCACTCATATGCGAGGCAATGGTAAAAGTGCGGTCGATACCCGGACGCATTTCGACATCTTCGGCCTCGGTTTCGATTCGATCCTGGGCCATGATGGAAGAAGGCTTGATGGAAGGAGGTTTGGTTGGAGGGTGGTCGCGGAAGAAGCTTGGTTCACGAGTCAAATTATAAGTTGGACGACGGTTCAACAATGAGCCCAAGTCTGGAATGAACAGAGAGTTTTGAACATTAGTAAGGGTCGCGAGGGTAGCAACCTCGGGATCTGCGGAACGGTGNNAGTCTTGGACGTGTGATTAACGAGGGATAGAGAGGAACGAACCCACGACATCAAGAATGTCGACCAGATCAGAGTCGTACTCGTTCGCCCAAGTTCCTCGACGAGGCCTCCTTCGAGGGTGGCTTCCAGGGCACCGTCNTTCATGCTGCGGCTGACGTCTAAAAGGTTGGAGGGCGGCAACACTCGCTCTTTTCCACAGACCTGGACGAGCGGGCTCTTGAAGTAGCGACGGATCTCCAGCAGCAGCCAGTTGCTCAATGTCGACATCAGGCGGCAGAGTGGTAGATGGGCGTCCAGTCTCCTCGTCCAGGCGGGGCATGTGGATATTTGTAGGTCGTGCTGCACCTCTCGGAACACTCAGGCTGTTGGGATTGGGACTGCTAGAGGTGGCCCATAGTGGGCGCTGGGGCTCGGACGAAGAGCGGCGCCTGCCCGATGTGTCGGCCGGAGGCTTCTGAGCAAAGTCGGTCGTGGCCGTCGTGTGTTGAGAGCCTAGGGTGCTGGCGGATCCGAGGCGGCGTAATCGGATGCTGGGCTGCCGTCGGTCTTCCAGGGTAGGCCTTCGTCTGTCATTGCGTGGAGTGGATGGCTGGTGTGCTTGTTGCTGCGGAGGGGGAGGAGATGGCGACGATAGCCGTCTATTGTTGTTGTTGTTGGCATGGGTCGGGGCGCTGGCCATCGGCTGCAGCGCGAGCGCGTCCCGGCCGAGGCCAGAGTTGTCTGCCTTGTCGCCGCTCATGTTTGCATGTTGCAAGGAAAGAGGTTGCTGGGGTTGACCAGGTATTAGCTGTACCGCGGAGCACAATGGCCGCGCAGAAATAAGTTACTGCTAAACCCGGATCATCAAGGGTCAAAACACGGTTCGTCTTAGACCCGGCCACAGCGCCCACGTACTCTTAACGTTCACCTACCGAGACCATGACCGCCCGCCAATGACGCATTTTTGTACCACCCAAATTTCCACCCGCTGGCCCTGCAGATTGTCAACTTCCAACCTGCAGCTCGCCCTCCTGACATTGCCGCCAGAGCCCTGGTGCTGCCAGTACACCTACCTCGAGTGCCAATAACGCCTTCTCTCCAATGACGACAATCATTCATTTCCGACTTATAAAAATGCACAATGTTTTGTATAGAGTTACCATGTCCACAGAGAGATCGTCATAACAGGCCGTTTCACTGGCTACACCTCTAGTACAAAAATTACTGTGCATTTTGATAGTCATACTGTGATGGTGCTGAGCACATGAGAACATGCTCTCCAATAGCAACATGTGGTCAATTCTAACTATAAAAATGCACAATGTTTAATACAGAAGGATGACTACCATAGAGAGAACATCCCGATAGGGTGTTTCAGTGGCCAAGCCCTCAGTACGAAAACTACTGTGCATTCTGATAGCTATAATTTGATGTTGTTGAACACACCCGGGAGCTCTCTCTCTGTCTCTCTCTCTCACAGTGACATGTACTAGATTCCAATTGTAGAAATGCATAGTACTTTATATGGAAGGACGATTACCACAGAGAGAACGTCACAGCAGGCCGTTTCACTGGCCACACCTCTAGTACGAAAGCTATTGTGCATTTTTATAGCTATATTGTGATGATGTTGAGCATATGGGATTGAAGCCTGCAACTCGGCCGACATGAACCTACCATTTGCTCCTTTACGCTCCTTATCAAGTATGCACGCAAGTATTGAACAAGAAAAAAAGATCTAATACATTCCCTGAAAGACTCCTAAAAGTACAGACCGAGTCAAGGATTATGTAGGACTCGAAGGTCAATAAGTGAATGTAAGCCTCCACATCATGTCCCTCCTCTTTACCCGAGCGTGTATCCTGTTTTGGTATGGTCATTATCACATCTGCTACTCCTCTATCGAAGGTATAGACGCTTATTTGGCGATTTCCACACCTCCGGTGGCGCCGATTGCCTTCTTGATGTCGCNCTGTGATTCGATGGGATTAGCGCAGTAAAAGACGTTGAGAAGTTTCCTGAACTTACCGTAGATGGCGAACTGTCCAGCAGTGATGGTACCGACCATGAAGAGACGGGCACCGATACCAGAGTACGAACCCTGCAANNATAGATCAGTATCGAGTTCTACGGAAACGAAACACCGTAGAATACTTACGCGGAAACCAAGCTCCTTGGCGATCTTGATCAAACGGGAAGTGGTGCTCTCACCGGGCATACCCTTGGTCTTGTTGATCTTGGAGAGCATGGTGTCGGCGGGCTGAGAAACGATGGCGGCGGCGAAACCGGCGATGAGACCGGAACCAAGGTTGATGCCGGTCTGCATACCGGAAGAGGCAGTGTTCTTGTCGACGCGCTTGTAGATGGCCTCGGCGACCTTCTCGTAAACGACGAACTTGGACATGGTGTAGGGAACCCTGAGCCGATGGTCAGCATGCACCAACCGAGCAATATAATATACAAGAACTTACTGCTTGAAGAGCATGGGACCGAAACCAGAGTAGAAACCGCCGAGACCCTCAGTCTTTGCAATCTTGGAGAAACCAGAAACGAGACCGGAAGCGAAGGTGGGCTCAGAAACGAGACGGATACGGGTGGCCTCGAGAGGGCAGAGGGCAATGTCGGCGAAGAACTCAGCGAAGGCGGAAGAGACGAGGTAGACAGCGGTGCGGTTCTGGACAGCGTTCTCGTAGCCGACCATGGAGATGGCCTGCTGCTTGAAGAACTCGTAACCACCGAACTTGAAAGCACCCTGGAGGAAGTAACCAGCGAAGGTGGGGCCAACACCGGTCAGGAGAGCGCCAGCACCCTCATTCTGGATGACCTGGCGGAAACCACCAATGAGACCGCGGTTGTAGGTGACGGGGTCAAGCTGGATTCTGGTCTTGACNNGCTGTATAGGGGGTCGAGTCAGCCATTGGTCTCGTCAATTGGTCTGCTGGCGCGCAGAACGAATGGATTCTTACACATCGACGGGGGTAAGACCACCGTGGGTGACGGAACAGCAGACAGCACCGGCAAAGGCGAATCTCGAGTAGAGGTCAAGACCGCTGGGCTGCTTGACAGCAGCCTTGACGTTCTCCTTGATGGCGTCCACCTTGACGGAGCCGGTAGAGGTGGGAGGGGCAGTTCCGGTAGCAGACATTGGACCAGGAGTGAGGGGAGTGGAGATGGTATGGACTGGAGTGGAGGAGGAACAAGAAGATTATTGCGGCGGCCGATTTTTAGAACCAAAGCCTGGGAAAGCCTTCTCAACCAACACGCGCACAGGCCCATCACTTCGGTACTTCGGAACAACTCGGGCCTATGACGCTGCCTCTCCATACCAAACAATTCACTTCACCGTGACAATCTTCACAAGTGTCGCTCTCTTTTACTGGACTAGTAAATCATGACTATCACAATGTTGTGACTATCTTTGTAAGTTTTTCAATGCAGTAGTCCTACACTTGGTTGTCACTCCCAGAGTTGAGCCCTGGAATCCCAGCCATCAAACGGATTTCGATATTGCCGAGTGCCAGCCAGCTTCTGTTCAACACACATTAATGCCACAGAGATCAACCGTCCGCCCGACCGTTTGGACGTGCTCCCGTCCAAAGTACAGTGCGGCCATCTCTTTGACAAACTCCCCATCACTCTTGCTCCATTCGTCCAACCCCATCCTTCTAAGGTCTTCGCTGTGAATGGTTATGGTACTCTCGTTTCCATGTTCCGCCTCAGCGTCGGCAGCTTCAACAGTTTCGGCCAATGTCTCCATAACCAGCGCAGTCAGGCGGTGTGCATAGGCTATCAAGATCACCGCCACCGCTTGAGACTTCACGTTGATCCCTTCTAATTCATTGTGGTCCGAAGAACGCCTCTTGCCGCTGCCCGGACTCTGCTTGCTCGGAGCTGGCAAAGGCAAATCATCTATCAACCTTGCATCTTGACATGCCTCATCATTCAACAAAGCATCTTTTTCCCCAGCCGAAGCCCACCATAGGAAACTAGTGTAGGCGATGGAGGCCCATGAAGAAGGCTCGACCAGTTTTGATTCTCCTTCAAGCTGGATGTATTGATCAGAATCGATATTTTTGTCTTGGCTCGATGGTACTAAAGGTACACTTTCGCTCGAATCTTCGTCGACCGAGTCCTCGGCTTCTCTATCAGTGTATGTTCGGCTTTGATGTTGAATACTAGTCAGTTCCCGTTTGAGGGTGTAGTAGCGTCTCAAATCGCGTTGAGTAGCCTTGATGTCTTCACCAGAGGAAGTACGAATTCGAGGCCAACGTCTGGCGGCAGAAGCATCGGATGTGGGTGGCGGTAATTCAACCAGTACGTCGTAAAGCTTAGATTTGGTCGCCAGTATATCATCGGTGGTGCATGCGATCCAGGAATTCTGTGGCTTGGTTTTGCTGGCCAATCGAGAAAGATTGTCGATGTCATGGATGCCGACATTAAACAAAGGTCTGAGTGGGTACAAGGGGTCCTTCTTTTGGGCCAGTTCGGCTGCCGAAGAGGGGATATTTGACAGGACGGATAGATTGTAGACAAGATTACAGGCGGGTTGGACGGGTGCGGACGACATGATCAATATGCTTTTCTTGAGAAGTGCGGCTCTCTGGAGCGGGAAGATGAGTGGGCCGAAGATATCGAAATCATGGGCCAAGGACATGGCAGGATGGTCCTGAGACAAAGTAGGATTGGTAGGGTGCAGGCCTGCAGCATCAGACAGTGCACGAGGCTTCCGTCGGGTGGAGTGTTCGTCATGGTCAGGGCGTGGTTCGTCGGAGTCGGTCATGCGGTTGTGTTCCCAGTATTCTTCAAGCGCATTCGTGTTGTCAGCATCGTCGACTATGTTGGCGACCAAACGGCGAAGGTGGTTCGCGTGCAGCCAGCTGCGACCCAGACGACCATATGTCAAGGGGACGAGAAGACCAACAGCAGCAAAGTGGGCGTTCCTCTCAGACTCGTGAGCAGGGCGATTTGCGAAGGCGCTGATTCCGGCGTGTTGATCGTGAACGAAATAGACGAGATCCGAATGGCAATTGTGGAGGCCCGACGGCAGCGACTTGTATTCAACGACACCATCCAGCTTGACNNTGCACTTGTCAGTATACGGACGGGATGCGATGAGACCAGGGGACACACGGTCAGGAATGGCACGTTGCCATGCTATCGTGTAGCTAGACGACAGTGGTCAGCGGATGGCCTGTCGCTTGTCGAGAGTGGATGGCATGACGCACCCTACCTTGCGGTCAAAGACAACGACGAACAGCGCAGCTATCGGCGGCAATGCCACCTCTGCGCTCTTCGACCTGCCCTGCACTGCCATGTCGTGTCTACAAGTCAGAGCGCAAACCATCCTCACGTCCATCAATGTCATACCCAGCCGAGCCTGCCGACATGTGGGGTACGGTATACAAACCCCACCTACACACATCCAACCCATCATACCCTTTCTACATGAACTACAAGCGACTGTGAACCTTGCATCCTTTATTGCTGCACCAGTGAACATCTCGAGACATCTGCAAAACAAATTACTCTCAATTCAGCCACCACGTCTTGTCGTGATTTGACGACGCCCTAATCTTGACAGTCGTTGCCAACGTCATCTAGTCATTGACAGGCATATACGCATCATAATATACTTGAGCCACATCGTGTCCAAACATCCTCACGACATCTTCGTGCACCTATCCAACCAAATACATCCACTGCTGCCATGGCTTCACTGGACTCGATCAACTTGATCAAAGGCTGGCCGAGTACATCGCTGCTCCCTACCCACCATTTGAGCAGAGCAGCCCAAACAGCATTGGCCGATACCTCCGTCGCCTTTCCCGGTCTGCTCTATGGTCCTGATGAGGGCTATGCTCCATTGAGGGAGACCCTTGGCAATTGGTTAACCTCGTGGTACGAGCCCGAACAATCCATTGGCAAAGAACGAATTACAATCACAGGTGGTGCTTCCCAGAACCTAGCTTGTCTTCTCCAGGTCTTTACCGATCCTGCATACACTAGAGATATACTCTTTGCTGCTCCTGCTTATATGCTGGCCTTCCGAGTCTTTGAGGACAATGGTTTCTCAGGCAAAATGAAAGCAGTACCTGAGGACGATGATGGCATGGATATGCACGCTCTGAGAAGAGCACTCGAGGAAAGTGAGAAGCATTCGCCCGAAAACAAGACTCCTGTAGGTTGCTTGTATCAATTTTACTATCTTCTCCACTGACATTGNCAGATGTTCAAACCTCCAAGACCCTATGCAAAGTATTATCGTCATGTCATCTACTGCGTGCCCACTTTCTCAAACCCTTCATCAAGGACTTTGCCTCTGGACCGCAGGATTGAGCTCGTAAAGTTGGCTCGAGAATTCGATGCTTTGGTAATCACGGACGATGTCTACGACTTCTTACAATGGTCTGCGGATTCCAACACCTCGACTAGCATTACCAAAGCTCTATTGCCTCGTCTAGTCGATATTGACCGCTTCCTCGACGGTGGAGCAGAACGCCCTGGAGCCGATGGCTTTGGCAATACGACCAGTAGCGGAAGCTTCTCCAAGATTGCAGGACCTGGTTTGCGAGTGGGCTGGTCAGAGGGGTCGCCAAAATTCGCGTACGGTGTCTCCCAAACTGGCTCCTCTTGCAGTGGCGGGGCCCCTTCTCAACTCACGTCTACTTACATGAACATATTGGTCAAAGATGGGACCATGTCTGATCACATTTTCAAAGTACTACAACCTGCGTATGCTGCACGATACAAGACTTTGGCATCGGCAATCAAGGACTATCTTTATCCTCTTGGAGCCAGCCTGCCGCAACCGAATCAGCGTGTAGTAGGAGGTTACTTCTTGTGGCTGACACTGCCTGACACGGTCAAGGCTGTTGACTTTGCCAAGAGATGTCAAGATGAGGCCCAAGTCATCGTCGCACCGGGTAGTATCTTCGAGGTTCCCGGAGATGACAGTGTCAAGTTCGAGCATTCCATAAGACTGACCTTCAGTTGGATTGATGAACATCTGATGGTTGAAGCCGTGAAGAGAATCAGTACGGTTCTTGAGAGATGTTTGAAGGGCGAAGGTCCTACAGAGGCTCCCAAGCAGAATGAAATCAACGAGAACCCATATTAGATAGACCAGATATTGGTGTCAGTATTACCAGAAGTCTGAGGAATCACTTACGTCTTTTCTCGGCTGCTTCTGGACAGTTCGCCATCTACGGTACGTTTTAGGAAACTTCTCAACGCCTTTTACTGCGCTAATCCTATCGAATCACAGGCGACATCAAGAAGGCAATCGGTGACTAGGAGGTGTAAGATCCCCAAATCAGTGTCTACAACTTCGATAGAGGAGTGGCAGATGTGTTAATGACCATACCAAAACAGGATACACGCTCGGGTAAAGAGGAGCAACATCACAGACTCGGCCAACTAAACCAACAATCTTCATCTTTCAAGTGGCACAGTATCGGATTTGAGAATAAAACTCTGGAATGGGAGTTCAATATGTACAAAAACACATGTAAAACCAGTCACAACAAAACGCACATAACACCGTCGCCATGCCTTCTAACACTTTTGTTCGTCCCTTATTGCAACATACCCTCAAGACTCTCACCGAGAGTGCCTTCCATTTGTCGGATCCAGGCTGTCGTCTCCCTTTCAACGTCTTCGTCATCGTCTTCCTGCAGTTCGCTGATGAATGGTAGCATTTCAGGAAGGAGAGCAAGCCAGTCTTCTCCAAGCTTCTCGGTCAAAGACTGCTCGCACTTGACGGCTGACAATCTTGTCAGTTCGTTGTCGTGTCTCATGAGTTTAAGAATGGCTGAGTTGAGAGTCTTGTGATGTTCAGGCGACGCTGCTGCCCCAGCCAGCCCAGTGACGGCAGAGACAATGTCAAGCGAGTCTCTGATCTCTGGCTCGTTGGCAACAGTCACTTGATCTAACAAAGGCTGCATAATCGCGCCAAAGTGCGACGGGTTTTGCCAGAAATCGTCTTGATCGTTGTTGAAGCTGGCAATCAGTGTCTGAAGTAGAGCCTTCAAGAGGAGCTGTTCGGACTCTCCCTCCGGTTTGACGCTTTGAAGGATAGACGCGGCCTGCTCCAGGATGTATCCAGAGTAACCAGTTACAATAGNACTAATAGTATGTCAGTATCTAGATAGTCCCAATAAACAAAAAATGTGTCGAAAACATACCTTCAATGTCTCGAAGAATCTAGCTAGGAATCCGTAAACACTGATCAGACGAAGTGTGCGACCGGCCAGTTCCTTCTTCGGTAGACCCTCGCCTGCCCAAGACACAAGACGAGTGAAGAACGGCCTGAATGTCGTGTCGTTGAGCCTCATAATAGCATCCAAGGACAGGCTATCCCTCTGTGCTTCCATGGCAGCAAGCTGTTGACTGTCAGGTGATGTCAGTTGTTGAGAAAGCAAACGACGAAGATCGAAAGATTTGTTGAGGACAGAGAACAAGATTGGAGAATTCTTGATCAGAGCCGATTTGGGGTGCGTTTTGATCACTATGTGAAGAGTTGTAAGAACCTCCTGGCAAGCTGGGTAGCCAAGAGTGACAGCATTGTCAAACGTGCGCTCCAGGGCCGCCAATATAGTTCTGGCGTCGAGCTTTTGGGAGAGCAGGGTAGTGAACTGTGGACGACTGCTCGAGGTTCGGATGTCTGTGGCTCCGCTACAAGCCGATTGTTGTGTGAGCAACAAAGCTTTATCAAGAATATCAGCAGAGAACATCCAGGAGATGTACTCGATGACATTTGTCAAGAAAGAGTAGACAGCGTTGTGCAGGCGAGCATTGCCGGACTCTGTCTTGGTGGCATGGTCAAAGTAGGCATACGAAGTGGTGAGAATCTGAGGCAGAATGTCGACCAGGTCATCCTTCAAAACCTCAACCATGGTGGCAAGACAGAGCAAAGAAATAATGCGAATTTCGTCATTCTGACTGCCAAAGGCGTGTTTGGAGGCCACCACACGAGCAGCCGACATGACCTTGTCGGTGTCCTTCTTGCCAAACTTCTCTGAGATGACATCAATGCATGTGACAGCACTGTGCACCAATTCAACAGAGCCTTCCTGACCAATGACACCAGTCACACTTGGCAGCACAGAAAGCATGGCACTTGCAGCTGTGGTGTCGGCGAGTTTGGCCTCACGACCGCGCTGCTCGAGCGAACGCAGGACCATGAGTCGAAGGTCTTGTTCAGGTCTTTGCAGAAGTTCCTCAGCGGTACGAACGAAATAAGGTGTTGGCAGAAGGCTCAAGGCTGCTGTCAGTACATCGTTCGAAGCAGACTGCAAGTCAGGCTTGTCTTGAATGGATTTTGAAGAAGAGAATTGCATGATCTTCTGCAATATGTCGGCGGCAGCAGACTGAAGTCCACCATGTGCACGCTCGTCCTTATCAGGAGCCTTGAGAATTTGTACATGGAGCGAGCGTTGTTGTAAAAGGAGTCCCAACGAACGCAGAAGATGCGCGACTGATTGCTCAATCTGCTCTGGCGTCTTGTCATTGAATCCGAAAATTGCTTCAGACACGACTGATTTGGGCTGCAGAGCATTGGTGACCAGATCAATGTATTGAGATGCTGCGACAAGCTGAACCTCGGGAGAGAATGATCCCATGAGCTCGGCAGAGAAAGTTGGTACCCGCTTGTCTGTCGGATACTTGTCGAAGAGCATGGCAGTGATAGCAGGTAGGAAGTCTTGAGGACCCAGAGCATTGACAAGATGACTGAACAGACGTAAGCGACGATGGAGGGGGATGTGCTCGAAAGCAGCGGTAAAGCTGAGTAATAGTTCAGCGGCTCCTGTAACAAGGTCTTGATTCTTCTTGCGCAGTGAAGCAACAAGAGGGGGNNGAACAACTCGAGACACAGTCTGATCGATGACATGAGCTGAGTAGTCGTCACTTTGACGCAACAATGTGTTGCTCATGAATGTAAAGATCGGCATCACACTGTGCAACACCAAGTCAGGAGCCCAGCTTGCCAGACTTGAAATGAGCAACAGAGCAGCGTTGTGAATCTGAGCATTGGTACTAGTGCGAACGCACTCGACAATAAGGTCTGCTCTCAATACGGAGCGGTCAACCTTGACGGCAGGGTTTTGTTTGAGCGAGTCGACAATTGAGAAGAGACAGCCAATGACCAGTTGCTGCAGATAGACTAGGTTTGAGCCAAGTTGCGTCCTGTAGTGCTGGAGCTCGCTCAGGACGTGGAAGAGGCTCTTAAGCAACTCAGGATGTCTTTCAGGACGAGAACCCTCGATCAATTCCAGCACAAGAGTCAGTCTACGAATGACATTGTGTAGATCTGTAACGTTTATGCTTTGTGACTTCGCCAACTCAGATCTGCTCGTTCTTCTGCGCTTGGAAGCGGGAGGCTTTTCTTCCATCTGTGCAATGCTAGGCACTGACTCCAAGAAGGACAAGAGAACTTCTGTAGGCATTGTAACTTGGCGAAGAAGATCGGTGGCTTCAGATTGTCTAGCTTCAGAGATTTCGTCTGATTGGTCGTCCAAAGCGAGGTCGAGAAGGAATCCAGCAACGGACGTCTGTGCAATTGGCTTCATGCTAGGCCACAAAGCTCTGAATCTCTGGATCGCTAGTGTGGACAAGGATGCGCTTTGTCCCAATTCTCCATTTGCAAGTGTCCTTAGGCAAGTCAACTCTTCTGAAGTTCGACTCGTTAGACAATCAACATAAGCCTTATCCACACTTGCTACGTCAAAGTGGGCAGAAGCGCATGAAGCAGATCGTGTTTGCAAGTCGGTTTGGATCCAGCTTTGAAGTGATGGGACAAGGGTTTGCACGCGGCCTGTAGAAGCAGCCTTACCAACAAGACTGAGGAAAGAAAGAAGTCGAAGTTTGACGGAAGCCAAGGACACTGCAGCGGCGTGCTCACAAAGCCATGATGCAAATGATGTCCTCAAGGAAGACTTCAACTCTCCTGAAGAAGCAGATGGATGACCAGGCTGTGTTTGAGTCGGACCATTGAGAGCGCTAGCAAGCACACGTGCAACCTGGCTAGGGTCGAGAACACACTCTTCAAGACTAGGTACAAGTGCATCGGCCAGAACCTTGTAAGCATTGGGACCAGTCAGAGATGACTTTTGAGAAGCGGCTGCATATATGCTTTGAGCTGCCCATGACTTTATGGATTCATTCACCTTGCCCTTCGCTGCGTCGGGATGATAGAGAGCCGTGATGGCAATCAGCAAACCAGCAGCTGCCTTGCGCACAGCTTCCGAAGCATCAGCCAGAGCTACAAGTACGAATGGCGTTAACGCCTGCATATCGATGGCTGCGGTAGAATGTGCTTGGAGAAGTGTAGTGGCCGAACGAAGGGCAGAGACACGAGCAACAATAGGATAACCGCTTGTCCAGAGTCTCGCCAAGAAAGTCAAGTATGTTGGAGAAGATAGAGCGTCTGCACTACGAAGTACTGGCTTGCCGAGGAGTTGGTCCAGATTTTTGTTCCGCTGGAGCAGAATCAGGAAAGCACGAGCAAAAGCATCGAAAGGAGAAACGTCGGCGTCTGCAACGAAGGAGTAGTCCTTTGACAGATTCTGGGGCAGCGAAGAAAATGCTTCGTCTAATTGGTCGGCCTGAGCAATGGCGGGTCCATCGATCATCTCGATATCAGCATCGACTGGTGGTAATGCCAACATCTCAGCCGGAGCTAGTGAGATCTGTAGCTGAACCTCAAGAGACTCAAGACTTAGGTTAAGCCGAGCAGCCTCAGCTTGCACTAGCGGCAGTGTGGAAGAGGACTGACAGAGAGTAGAGAAGATGCGGGCAAGTCGCTCCTGAGAAGCAGCAGCTTCTGATGATGCCTGGAGGTCTGAAACAGCAGAAAGCAAGAGCTGAATAATGGCAGTTTTTTGAGGTAGAGTAGGAATGTGCGAAGTGACAGCATTCTCGATTAGATCAAACGCCTCGGCGCTCGAAGTCTCGTCGAGCGAAGTCATGGCAAGACCGGTAAGAAGTCTTCCAGTGTGTTGTTTTGTCTGCAGATCAATTATACGAGCTTCTAGAGCAGGGACTTTCATCAGAGCTTTTGTAACCGGACGCGTGAGTTTCAATGATTGGCGCTCTTCAGCGATGATGGCAACAGTAGACAATCCTTGTTCGATGGTCTGCGGAGTCCAGCCTCGAGATACCGCGTCCATGAGACTATCCAGGACTTTATCATCGAGTTGTGTCTTGGAAGCGAGAACGCAGATGATCATGCACGATCCCAGGAAAAGCTCAGGAACGTTCTTGATGCGTAGTGTCTGCTGAAGTACGGGAACAATACGAAGCAACAGGTCCTCCTGACGCTGACTGCGGACATCAGCGCGACCCGACATGGCAGCGTCGAGCATACCATTGATGGTCGGGGTCATGACACCGGCCCAGAATTGTAGCAACATGACAGAGTGGTGGCCCAAGTTGGAGGTGCGGATAATATAGGTGTTGAAGGCAGTGAAAAACGAGGCGTTATTCACGGCGGCGTATATCAGTGCTTGACTAGGAGGACACGACAAGCTGGAAATGTACGGTTGCAGGAACTTCAAGGTCAGTGGAAGCGTCTTGGGAAGAATGGATAGCATGGTGGGGAAGACGGGGTTCGCGTGGTATGGGAGGAAGGTGAGGACGAGGGATTCAGTGTTGTATTCGTGCACNNACTGTAGGCAGATTAGCACTGTGCTACTCGGTGTTGGGGCCATGCTAGACACATACCGGAAACGACGAACAAGCCACTCGACGGCTTTGAGACCTGGCCGTAGCAGCAGCCTGGAGCTGACCAGGCCCAGGAAACTGTCGATGATCTGGTCCAGGTCCTCATTCTCCTTCTTTGTCAGGTTGATGCGCTCTTCCGACTTTGACTGTTCGCTGAACAGGTTGGCGGCAAAGGGCGCAAAGCGGGCATCGAGCAAGCACAGTTCCTGGAAGGCCTCGGCACATATTTGGTAGATGGTCTCGAAAGTCTGGTTGGCGGCGACGCGCGGATCGAAGAGCAACGATTTGCTGTGCTGTGCGCGCTGGGCTTTGAGATCGAGTTGGTCGGTCGACTTTTTGGCGATTTGCGCCAACTGCTGTTGCAAAGCTGTGGCCATGGTGCCGATGGGTGTCGCCTGTGGAAACCCAACTGTCTCAAATTGAGCTCCTCTCGCACAGTGGTTGACGACCTGGAAAGTGGTGGATTGAAGCGGCGACAGGAACACTGTCTTGGGTATCTATCTGCTCGTACCTTCCCTTCAGCACTTCTGCCAAAAGTTCCACTTTCTGCCAAAAACTCGCTGTTCTTGGCACACGAGAAGCCGAGGGCGGTGAAGAGTGCACGGTCTCTCCATCTCGCTGCTCACACCTTCGATCATCATTGGTGCTTCTGATCCAGACAATCACCAACAACCACTTGACACATCGATCCTACATGTCGGCGCCCTCCCGAGAAGTGCCCAAGTTCTCGAGCTTCCGTGCAAAGAAACCCACCCCACAGGAACAGCCGTCATCACATCCCACAACTCTCAAGCGCCGACTGAGATTTGAACATGACCATGGCCCTGTAAAATCTCACAGGAGTACTGAGGGCCAAGAGACTTCTTCTCGTCGGCACCACATTTCAGACGAGCATCGAGTGAAAACATCTGACACTCCTCACCGTGACCGAAACTCACGTGAGCGTTACGAACACCATAGATCCATCATCAACAACCCGTCACAAATTCATCACGATGGGAATCCTGATCTCTTCGTCGTTGACCGCAAGGGCGACCAACAAAACGTTACCTATGACAGACTGCACAAATACAGCATCCCGACATATCATCGAGTCGGTCACGGAAGTATTCTGGGTCTGCATTCCAGATTGAAGATAGATCGCGCAGAAAGCACTCTTGATAAAATCCTGATTACTGACAAGTCTGCGATTTCCAAGCAGAATCCTCAGAGGTTGCTTCTAAAGCGTCAGAGGAATCAAGAATTTCCTGCTTTGCCTGTGCGTAATGAACATGAGCTAGATCTGGCTCAGGATTTCGTGGGTTTGTCACCTTCTGCTGGTGACCATGATATCGAATCCGTTGACGACAGCTTCGACTCATTCAGGCATCTCGCCCAACCAGTAGATGCAAATTCGCACCACTCTCGAGAGCAGGGAATCCTGGACGCGGCATCAACTGCTGACCTGCAGGTCCGCCAACAGAACGTTCAATTCGTGCGAGCCACCAAATCGAATCCTTCTAACCTTCAAGCCTGGCTTGATCTAGCTAATCACCAGGAACACCTTGTCAGCCCTGGTGCCGATGCTCAATCCCTGAGCAACGTTGAAAGGCAGACTCTGGCAGACATGCGCATAGCTGTTTACGAGAAGGCTCTCAAACACGTTCCTATCAGCGAAGCAGCAAAACGTGAGCGTTTGATATTGGAACTGTTACACGAGGCATCTGTTGCCTGGGACGCGCAGAAGTACATACACAAGCTCCAGGGCATTCTCCAACAACATTCCGAAAGCTTTCCTATCTGGTCTCTGTACTTAGATGCTTGCCAGACTAATCCCATCGACTTCCGTTTCGAAGATGTCAAGACCTTCTTCATGCGTAGCATTCGCACGCTTGGTTTGACTGCTAACCCAGACCATGAGCCTGGTTCACGAAGGATGCTTCTCTACTTGATCTTGCGCTACACTGTCTTCTTGCTAGATACCGGTTATGATGAGCTGTCTATAGCCATCTGGCAAGCTCTCTCCGAATACCACTTATTCAAACCAGAGCACCTTGCCTCTCGGGAAAGCAGTCATGTGCTTGCCGCTTTTGAACAATTTTGGGAAAACGAAAGTCCGAGGTTTGGTGAAATTGGAGCACGAGGATGGCGAGCCCATTTTCAGAATGACGATATCACGTCAAATCCTCATGAACCACCTCCCAGGAATCAAATGAGTTCGAAACTACCTTTCAAGTCCTTCTCTGCCGTAGAAACAACTATGAGCAAGCTTTTCCGATTTCCTGGGAGAACTATGGACGATGTCGGTGCTGATGATCCCTTCCATGTCGTGTTGTTTTCCGACATTCGTGATGTCCTCGAGGCCACGGCGGCTGGCCTTGACCACTACGACCTGCTCGATGCTATACTATGTTACCTAGGTCTCCCTAGTGTGGGCTTGAGAAGAACTACTGGGAACGACGCTCGAGACGCTCGACCACAACCTGAGTGGCGATCAGACGTCTTTCTCCGGCATGGGCTGCTGCAATCCGGTTTCATCATCGATGGTGACAGCGGATTGATACGACAGCACATCTCATGTTATCAAGTCTCAACAGAACTGTTATTTTCCCACATGTTCAAAGAGTTTTCGGTACCAGCGTCTGGAGATAATGTTCACAACGGAAGATCGACGCAGGCTGCTACGGATTTTGCTCGAAGGATACTATCAAGCATGGTGAATTACTTTCCCAACGACGACGATCTGGCAGAGTACTATCTAGGTTTCGAGCTTTCGTGTTTTCCTAAGGAGGCTTCNAAAACTGCCAAGCAACTCTTGAGGCAACGACCGTCGAGTCTCCGACTCTACAACGCATGTGCCACAATCGAAGCGAAGCTGGCAAGGTTCGAGAAAGCTGCCCGAATCTGGTCTGGCGCGGTCAAGATGAAGGACAGTTTCTCACAAGTAGCACAAGAAGAGCTTGTTCTGCTCTGGCGCGGATGGATATGGTGTGATCTAGAAGCCGACCAAGCACAAACAGCACTGTCACGTCTTGCGTCTTTCGGGAGCGGCGTGGATCTGGATATAAGCAAATTGGTTCCGATGACGACTGCGACTTTGTTGAGGCTACGCAATGCCTTCAAAGATGGATTTGAACATTCACTCGGCCAAGCCCATCCACGCCTCGCTGCATTAAACGTCGAAATGCTGGCGCTTGTTGCATATTTGACCGAGCCAGATGCACTGCAGGCATCTGTTCGTGCAGTGAATGAGCAATGCAATGCAGCGAAACAGAAATTCACAAATCAGAATGTGCTCGTTGAGATGTTGCACCAAGTCAAGGCTGGCATCATCGCTTATCATGTTCGTCAAAAACGACCTTACAGACCTGCGTTTGTACGCTTCGAGCTCGAGGCAAGTATTGTAAACTTTCCAGACAACACCATATTCCTCGAGATGTATCGGGATAATGAAGCGCGTTTCCGGCTTGATGATCGGGTAAGATCAATACTCAAAACTCAAGTGCTCACTCGCGGTCAATCACCCCTTGTGACGTGGACATTCGCAATTAACCAAGAAACACTTCGGTACAAGAGTCAGTCCTCTGGCTCGACAGCGGAATCAGTAAGGTCCACATTCAAACGAGCATTGTTGACAGCCGCGAGCCCGGTCAGGTATTCACAAATGCTCTGGGCAATGTGGTTCCACTTCGAGAAGCACATAGCCACGGAAGAAACAGCAGAGAAGTCTGTGACAGGCAAAAGAAGTCTCATCGAACAAAATACCTACGAGAAGTTGAAGGAAGTCTTTCTCTCTGGTTTGCATCATCTTCCCTGGTCAAAAGACTGGATCTTGCTGGGTCTGGAGACGTTTGATAGAGACGACGGGAGGGGTTGGAGTACCCCGGAATTGAAGAACTTGTGCAATGTGCTCATCGAGAGAGAGCTTCGTATAAGAGTGGACGACATCGAACATTATCTGGGCGTCAAAACAGATGATCGCTAGATTATCAAGTATTGCCCACCTGCTCATTCCCACTTTCTACCGCATCCAATACATGGCACTGAACATATCTCCTCTGCGTATTGTAAGAGGGCATTGCAGTCAGCTCGTACAGTCAATACTCCTCGAGTGAACATATCAACATTGTTCGAAACTAGCATATTCCCTAGCAGTGACGGGACGTGCATAGACGTGGGCAGTATATTGCTAGCCGACTTCCGAGTACGTGTGATGCTAAAAGTGTGTTCCGAGGAATGTTGTCGTGAATGTATGCAGGCCTCCAAAACGCTTCAATGGCCGTCCGAGAAGTTGCCACGCAACGCAGATACATGTACAGGAACCTCAATCGTGATTAGTTGAAGACTGCGTGAAGCGCTGCATTTTCATCAATCAAGATATCAGGTAAGAAGAGGGAAATCATTGCATTTGTATACACGCGGCCACCAGCACTCCGACAGCCTTGGCGCGGAAAGACATGCAGTTGTTCGAAAGTCAGAAAATCGATCTCGGCTGATGTGCCGAACTTCCTCTCCAAGAGTGAAATACTCAACATCAAAAGCATCAATAAGCACAGAGATTTCAGGCGTGTGATCAGTAGGGCAGGTGCCACAAACGATCCGGTCTCAGGAACATGCACAACAAAATAGACGCCTGACGGCTTTTTTCTTCGAGCGCATGAACAACAGGGCGCCCAGGACGACGAATCTATTGGTCTGCGAGATGAGGACGTGTCAGTCTTGACGCCCGGAACCTTGCTATTTCTGATGCTGAATGGTGTCACGGATTGTTTCAGGGACATAGCCTCCTCTGTGCTCGTTGGTCGTTATGCAGACTTCGCCTCTCTCTCGGCAGAAATTGTCCACGGGGTTGCGTCATTGCATGCACGACCTTCTACATACAAAGCAACGAGGGATCCAGCACTCGGATAGTCATGCGGTATTCTCTTTTCTCGTTCTCTCTCGGAATCTTCTAAAGGCTTGTTGTTCTCCGCGCTACATTCATTCAAGCTTGTGAAAGTGTCTCACCATCGAAGTATATATACCATACAACCCCAGAGTTCTTGGCAATCACCATGGGCATGCGACTACAGAAGACAGCATCGTCTTTCTTCCAGTCTCGAAGCGTTTCCGGACAATCTTCCCGAAGTGCGCACTCACCACTGGCATCTCCTACTGTTGAGAAGGCTGGATCTCTGGAACCTCAGCGTCCTCTATCGCCCAATTCTCGATCAAGACCCTCATCTCGTCTTCGCAATAGAAGTCCTCCCTCGCCACCCGCGGACGAGTTATTTAATAGGCCGACTGCCGATACGCTAGATCCAGTGCTCGCTGTGAGGGACGATAAAAGNAACCGCCGGAGATCATGGTTCGGGCGAAGTAAGAGCACCGAGAGCATAGAAAGAGGACCCAAGGCATGGGTCGTTGGCCATCCCGAACGTCCAACATACGATCTCGGTCGTCTGGCTGGTGGAGAACATTTGCTGGAGTTGTGGGACGAAACCGCAGACTGCGAGGTACACTTGTTTCCTAGGACTTCTGGCAAGGGTCCTTCGTTCAAGATTGATTCGGCGTTGTTGGCTTCATCGAAGCTTTTGTCCGAGTTAGTCATACCTTTCCAATCGGGTAAGTTGTTTGCACCGCAGTGATCGACAAACATGAAGAACTGCTAGAGGTTGTAGTCCACCGCTGACTCCTTTTCGCCGTTAGATGTCAATACGAACACTGAGGGGCCTCATACGCCTCCTATGACTCCTAAAAGTGGATCGAAATGCCAGCTCTTTCTACCAATCGCATTGAAGTCCGATGTGGCCCTGTCGGTGCCGACTGGTTTTCAAGGATTATCAGATGATGAGGAGATTCTTGTTACAACACGCAATCTCTTTGCTTTCCTTGCTGGAGAATCCTTGGTTGCCACACAGGAGAACCCTACTATNTTTTCTGTCTTGATCAGGGTATCTGATACTCTGAAACAGTTTGGCTTCTCGAACCTCGATGGATCAACATTTGGCGAAATTGCAACTTCCAGCTTCGACAGATATGTGGATGAGCTCGGTTTGGCCGACGTGAGGTCGAGCCGTGAGAAGACTATTGAAGGTATAATCCTGGGAGAGCGCATGAAGAGCATCAAGTTGTATAACGAGGCCTTCACGCATGCCAGCGGGAAATACGACGAGCTTCTGAAATCAGGAAGTCCCAAATTCAGAATGATCAGTCCCATAACTGCGAACAGACTGGGACGTGCAGCGATGGATCTGGAGAAGCGTACGGCAAGCGTTCGACAAACCTTGGAAGACTTTGACTTTCCGCAACTCTTCTCCGGCTTCCTGAACAGCAAGACAGCCGATGAGCGCAAGGATGTTGACTTTGACCTTCTGCGAGACTCGTTCCTCGGGACTCGGAAGTTTGTCATGTCATATTACAAAAGTCGATTTGGTTCGTGGCCGCCAAAAGCCTCGAAAAGAACGAATTGGAAACAAGCGGTCTCAATCGGATAGTTTGTCAANGATTTATACCATGACTTCTGCGCTGTGTACGACTTCTTGGTGGACCGCACGAGTCTGACAAATCGTACCGCAGATGGTGTCTTGATCGACGATAGAGATGCTGATGCACCACGGGTACGAGCACTTCGTGCTGTGCTTAGTGAGTACGACCGATCTTTGCCGCCCGTCAAACCACCAATTCCATACGACCTGCCCATGATCCCATCGTTGAGACAGACCCGTTGCAATGGGTGGGGTGATGCGAAGAAAGAAGCGAAGGCCATGTCGAAGAAGTTGAAAGAGGACGACATTGCGGAGATCATGACAGCTTCACACAATATCGATGTCCCACCCTCGCCATTCTTAAACTGTTTCAGAGAGGTCGAAAGAAAGTCAGCCAAGCATCGCACTATCAAAGAACTGGCAGAGATTCGTATGGGCCAATGGCTCTTCGTCTATGCCGTGCTGCAAGCTTTGCCATTGGTCACGGTTGATGGACCTCAACTCCAGCATACTCAGGGTGTGGAGTATTTCCTTTGCGAATCTCCCAGGTTTGGTGTGCCTTGGGCGAGGGAAGAAGCGCTTCGTGACGTTAGTCGTACCGGAATAGCCAGAGCAGGGGGCATCGCTCGCCTGCCTGCTGATGTCTTCCATCATGGCGCGGACGGCATATACTTCCGAAGCCACTGCTGGCAGGCAGCTGAGAGATGGAGTGCTGCAAACGCAGTACTAGCTTCAGAACTTCCTTTGCAACACCACCTCGACATACAAGAATTCCACCCTCCCGCTGTCGTTGGGGCACAGGCACCGGAGAGCAGGAATGGCAGTCCTGCCCCTGAGGTTGAGAGTCGACGAATAGTAGGTCTTGGTCTGGATTTGCCTTCAGCTTCTTCCNNAGGTAACAGGACTCGATCAGCAAGACCGGTTAGCGTGTATGACCCTAACTTGACATTCGACTCCTTCTTACCTGCATCTGGTATGGGCAAGAAGAAAAAGTGAGTCCGAGTATTTAAAAGGCCAGTATATGGCACCAAATCAAAATGCTTCTCGACCACCTGTGTCCAAGCTTCGTCTGGTTCTACCGTGTGACCAACGCACTACCAAGCAAAGATTGTCAAGGAAAGGCAATGCAATCATCGAAAGAAAGCATGCGTGTCGAGGTGAAAGTTGCCATTTCCTCTCATATGGCTTTCTCCGTTGCTTGCTTTCCATGAGGACTTGAACCGATGACATTGGCCTCTGAACGACAACTGTAGTGCATCCAAGTTACACTAGTAAATTAAGGTTCAGTCTGACACTTAGCTCAAGCCTCTGCCCCATAGCCTATAGGTGCTAATATATCGAAGTTCACGCGCGCATTGAACTGGCAGCAGAACGCGTAACTATGTCAATCAACGGTCCATGTCATACCCTACTCAATTGTGGAGTACTGTCCTCGAGTTGGTCTCTCTGAAGACCCGCCGAAAAAGTCAGAAAATGTCTTCGGCCAAGCACGTGTATGATGTGAGCTTTGGTTGCGCAACTAAAGTGCTCCCAACCCGAACTTTGCCGTGATTGAATAAACAAGACGAAACTAAATCCAGCAAGACGTCAGATACTGCCTCGATAGGATCACATCGACTCTCACGGTTACCGGTGAGTAGTGCCGCAGACACACACCAATTAAGTCAGCACATTTTCCAACACTTTGAGACAACCATTGATGTCTGAATGGAGATAACACGGACAAGTCTGGAGGTTCGGCATGGCGCGTGCTCGCTGCCGCATTGTGCACATGCCTCTCTGCGCACGCATCCGCATGTCAGGGTTTACCGCGCATTGCGCTCGGACTTGGTGTCTTTGCAGGGCGCAAGAAAGAACGAACATCAAAAAAATTGTAGGTCGCTAAGTCGGCCAAAACATGTGCTTGTCCGCCTCAACCAAATCAAGGATCATCGTCTCTCGAGTCAAGGAGTAAGGTGCGCAATCTAGAGCAGGATTGGTTGAGATGCTACCAGGCGGCCCTCTCCTTTGCTCTTACCTGTACAAGCACAAGGCTTGAATGGCGCTTGCGCAATGTACATGCATATAAACGCCGGAGAGCTGCGCCTTGCGCAAGCTCCTACATTGAGAGTCACGGCGATTGCGACCTGACCTAACAAAAACCATACAGATGCCGATATGCAATTTCAGCTCACGGTTGTCATGGTGTTGTTCCTGACCTGGCCAAAGCGAAAGCATTCAGGCACGAATTCATCAACAAGCCGCTAGAAAGGCCCACCATCCAGCAAAGACGAAGCGAGCTCGCTCGGATGACGGAAACTAACCGCCTGGCCACGGATGTCGCGAAGTGATCGTCACAAGCATGTTGAGCACATAACTTCCTTGTCGGTACGAGTCGGTTGTGCGAATTGATGCAGGAACAGCAATTGCGAAGTCAACATGCAACTGTCAAGTGTCGGCTTGTCCGTAAATCCTCCCGTCGACAACAAATTTCACAGTGTCTGTACAGGTCCTGATGCTGCTTTAGAGACATGAACAGAGGAGAAATATGCAAGGGTAAAAAGCATCTAATTCATTAACACAATCGCAGCAAAGTTGCCGAAAAGGCTTCTTTCTCTTCTCAAATCATCCACTTATACCAAAGATCCCTTCGCAGAGTCCATTTTCTCTTTTCGAGACCCCGACTTTTGTCGCCCAGAAACGAGCCTCTTTTCCCTGAAAACGTTGCGTTCCCTCCTTTTTCGTCTAGTATTAATTTTGGGTATCGGATCATCATTAGTCGTGGCTATAGTGGCCCTGCAATGGGCAAGTCTCATCGGGCTCGTGTTTCTTGTAGGGAGGGGGGTGTTGTGTTATTGTTGCCGAAGTGGCAGAATTTGGAGCCAAGGGGAGAGATGCTTCAAGGTCATCAGTGTCGTACGGTGGGAGCTTGATCATTCTGTATTGGTTGTCCTCGTCTGCGCCGTCGCGACTTCCCCATGAGGNTCTATATGATAGTCAGTGAAATCGAGCGCTGAACGGAAGCACGGAGTAACGTACCGCGGAGAGCGTCAACAGTCCTGCAAGCTTGATAAACCCATGCACATGACCAAACAGGATTGAGCAAGGCAACATCAACAAATCAGCGGGATAGCGAATCCAGTGACCATAGAGCTTGATTGACTTGGCAAAGACAAAGATCCAGATGCCAATTGCACTCAGAATTTTCTGCCGAGTGCCTGCGGGCAAGTCCTCGGTGGCTTTGTNAAAGAGGAAGAATATCAAGAAATCCGTGAAAGCCCAAGCGGTCAGAGTGGTTTGGAACACTGCATAAGTTGTCCAGGGCGTTGACCTGGGAATAGTGAGCTCATATTCAAGGTTTGTACGACGGTTGACTCTGGTTACACACCTCCAATAATGTCGTTCAACGAACATACTCGTCAGATTGCTCCTCCAATTACTTCGAACCCAGCGAAGACATTGTTTNNCCAGATACTTTGGGCTGTCTTCTAGGGTGGTTTGTACCTCACAAGCCTTGTGATATTGCATGGCGATCTTCCAGCCATGTGAATACATCCAACGAGTGATGAAGTTATCATCGTCGGCGTTCAGTTGGAAGTTTCTCCACGTCTCGTTGGTAAAGCCATAGGTGAAGGCTTCGTCTTGCAGGATACAGGTACGGTATGCGACTGTTCTACCTGAGAGGCAAGGCAACCCACCGTCAATGTTGAGACATGCAGAGCAATCGAAATTGCGTCGTTCGAGGTAGAGGGAGCCGAGGAAGCTCCAAATGGTCGTTTTTCTGGGGCGCATCAAACGCTGGGATGTTCCAACGCCGCCCATCAGGTCGTTCTCAAACGGAGCTAGTATCCACGGAAGTATAGTTTGGGGCCAGATCACATCATCGTCGGCAAAGATGGTGATGTTGGTCATAACTTCAGGAATAGCAGCGCACATCTGGCTGCGCTTGTTGGCCTNTGCAACGCTCAGTATGCGGATTTTGCTGCTGTTGAAAGTAGCAACAGTTCTTTCGGCCCTCTTTATGCTGGCATCGATAGTGACGATGATGATCTCGAATGGCTGTGTTGCCAAACACGTTTTGATAGTGCGACAGAGGGTTTCCCCTTCCCCTTCAATGGTCGGAATGATGACAGTGACATCTTTGTTGGTGTAGAAGGGCTTTTCGGGTATGGGAATCGGTTTGTATGTCCAATTGGAGATCAAATTAACTACAAGTCGCAGATAACGGAAGATNNGCTGCAGCCAGTGGTAAGCACATGACAATTGAATTGGTCTGGTGAACTGAAATACTTACAAAAGCAGAACTGCAGACCATGCCCAGCACGACAACAGCATGACGAAAAACGAGAGTGAATGCAACACCTGTGTCCGACCAAGGATAGGAAAAGAAGGCTTGCAGGGCCGCCGGGGGAGCGAGGTATATGAACATGATGGGCTCGGCTGCGTTGCGGTGCAGTCTTGGTGGACTTGAGAAATTTTGGTCTAGCAAGAGTTCGGATAGTGGGTAATAGTGGCATGGCATGATGAGATCAGAAGGTAATGAGAGGCGTCGGAGGGTCGCCGGTCGTCTCGCTGAGGCGCCCGCATTGAGCTATCACCCGCCGATACCACGCATTCATTGGTGCTGTCGACCTTGATTTCTTCAGACCAGCAACCGGCCAGCCCGCTTTGAAGGTGGGGGAGCATTGACTTGACAGTGGACATGGGCACGAGCGTGCCCACAATAGGCTAACTTAGTTCGCGAAATGGCGAATGAGGGGTCCTCCGTCTACCGCAAGCCGCACGCCGCAAGGGCCTGATCGGCGCTTGATTAAATAGTAGGGTAGCTAGAGCACTTGTTTGGCACAGGGCAGACGACCGAGCGAGCCACCCATAATCCTCTGGTCCACCTCCGCAGGAATGCATTGGTATCCGCAGGCGAGCGAACGAGCAACACTGCAAGCCAAGGTACGGAGTACTTGACAGGACCTCCTGCAATGACTTGCAGCTCGCATTATTGCCTTCTCTTGCTTGGGTCGGCAGTGGAAAGAAGAATCGGTCAAGGAGCAGCTCCTTCAGCACGAGCATATCATCGGCGATAACTGTCCACTCGAAGGTCACGGCAATCGCTGTTCTTACGAATCGCCCTAATAACGCCAGCCACTTTTAGTGTACATGGTCCAAGCATCGTTAGCAAACCACAAGACATCTTTGTAGTGACGACGTGACCTTGCGCGCTGCTAAGATCGTAGGATGAAGGACTCGAACACCGATAGGGACCAACAGCTCAGGCAGACTGATCAACTAATCAGCTCCCGCTCATCTTGTCATAATAGCAGGCTGTTCCGTCAAAAGTAGCTATTGGTGCTGCAAGCTCTCGACCGTGGAGTACGTCTTGGATGTGGACCGATAGGCAATCATTCGGGCGCTCAGACCAAGAATACATGCATGTGCAGTGTGTATGCAGGTTCAGGCGTCAAACGAGACTGCATGCCGACATGCGGAAACTGATGCCAAAGCGTACGAGGGTTCCTATCCAGCGCAAAGGATCATACATGAGTATTTTCATCTGCAAGAGTGCTCGAGCTCCTGTGGAATACAACTTGTTGACAAAACCGCAGCATGCTTACCTACCAGAGGCATAAGCTGATCGCGATTCTCGAGACCTTCGTAATCACTCTTCGAAGTGGCACTCAAATTCTCTCACCCTCGGTTCGAACTCGAACCTCTTGTCGTCTTTGTTGAGGTCCCAATAGAGCTGGATTACCTTGTGTCGGTGGGGCAGGTGGTCGGCCGGCCGCTCGAGCGGACTCAAAGCTAGACTTATCACGAGACTACCTAACACTACCGTCGTTTGTTCTCGTGGGCAGCACAGCTGATTTTCAGACCGTTTCAAACCCAGACATGTGAGCCTGTATACCGATATCTGGGGTTGGATCGTGGCTTTTCAAGGAATTGAGGATGATCGCTGGGGGGATGCATGTTATCCGTTCCCCGAAACGATTTGAATCCGTATTCGGTGAAAGCACTCATGTATGAAAGGTTGTCTACGGGAGCGAATGGTTGACGACATGGATGATCGCCATCTTCCACCAGTCGGTCTATATGAACGACTCGCTTACTCCTAGAAATACATATTGCTACACGTGAAGCCAAGGATTCGTCGGCTGCGACACCTGCATGCTCAAGACGAATCACATGCGACGTCTAGCATCGATTCCCGAGCCGTTTTCTCACGACCGAACGCGATGGCAGCACACTCAGCTCCTCACAATCTCAGATCGGCGTGCTTGATAGAGATTTATGTTTCGTATTGATGAAGGGGAAGATGTACATACATGCGAGCCTCGTGCTGGGAGGGTGTCGAGACACTCCGGCCCCCCTCTGTAAATACAGATGACGAAATCGGTAGATGCTATACAAAATACTTGCAGAAGTAATTGGCGGCTGAATATTGGATTTCTTATTTTTGCCGTCTTGATCCTCGCAGCCGGGATTGAAAATGTTGAGTTCCAGGAGTCAGACGGATGAGTGAAGTTGCGCCTCCAATCAACAGTAAACTGACTGATCATTTTTTTTTCTCTTCTTGATGATCAGAGATACCGACAGAATCGGATTACGCAAACTCGAATTGACAGAGGCTGTTCAAAGCATCAATCAGAAAGGAGGGAAATTGAAGAGGAGGATCATCCAGGTCTAGTAGGTGAGCAACTAAACCTGTCGTCCACTCAAAGGTTCATCGAGAATCCAAATGCAGGTAAAGACATTATCTGATTCGGCTTCTTTTGGAGCCCGACCTCGGAGAAGCAGGCTCGAACAAGCATAAGTGTTCAATCGAGAAAGGCAGAGACAACGGAATTCAGACTGGACGTAGTCGAGTAACACAGCAGCTGAGGACGAGCAGCATTCATATATTCTGCAGCGCGAACAAGGAGGAAGGATGTGAAGAGAAGACAAAGTTCAAGTGTCGGCTGGAGCGCGGAGAGGGACGGGCAGATGCCAAGACACGGATACTGTAGATTTGCAACCTCTGGCAAGCGCGTGTTGAGCAGTCGAGCGAGCACATCACGCACCTTCACGCCTCTTTCCCACTTGTCGCCCCTTTGTCGTTGCGCCCCGTCTTCATCATGTCTTTCTCGGCGTCCCGTATGCTTCTGCGCACCCCTCAGATTGGCCGCATCGCCGTGCGCCATGCCTCGACCACATCCNNGAAGCAGCCAATGCTGCCTCCAACGCTGCCTCCAAGGCCACATCTTCTGCCTCGCAGGAGTCTCTCAAAAGCCTCGTCGTCGGCCGAGTCTGGCATCTCAAAGGCTGCCGGAGCTGCCACCAACGCTATGAACAGCGTTGGCGGTCGCACTGGTCAGGTCATTAGCTTTGTTCAGTGTATGTGATAGCCTGCCTGCCGACTTGGTCCATGGCAATCATGCTGACTTTGATCTTCTTTTGCAGCCATGATCCCTCCCACCGTCTACTACGGCAAGGTCGGCCTTGAGCTCGCCAAGCTTGTTGCCCGTGGTCAGAAGATGAGCCCTCCGTATGTCATAGCTATCTTGTCCTTCTTGTGCGCCTCGACTTACACAATTACTACAGTNAACGTCCAGACCTTCCAGACCTACGGTCAGAACTTGATGAACGCCGCCAGAAACCCCAGCGCCAACACTCCATCAAACCCCTTCCAGGCCATGCGCAACATTGGCAGCGCTCAGCTCATCACTGCTGGAGTTGTGACGGCTGAGATTCTCGGATTCTTCACCGTTGGCGAGATGATTGGTCGTATGAAGCTCATTGGCTACCGATCAAGCTCTCACGACGAGCACCACTAAACGGTGGAAGCAAGGAGCGCTATACGATACCGACGTGAAGGAAGCTGGAAGGAGAAGCATGGATGGAAAGAGTCGCCTATGCCGAGACGCCGAGGGGCGGACGCTGCAAGAGCATAGCAATGCACATATATGGATGGGAGCGACACGCGAGCCTGTCTCTTCGCCGTGTACAACAGCCTAGATCGCCATTTTTTCTTTCTTACTTGGACTGTTGAAAAGTCTGCTTAACAATGCTCTTTTGTTCTTCTACAACTTGTACACTTGAGCTTCGTGACGGACTAGACATGACGGAGCATTGTTTCATGTTTCATGGTTTGACTGCTGACACGAGACAGGTGAACTGTGTTCGTGTTGAAGCTTCCACGTAACGTCCAATCAATACTCACTTCTGGTTCTTAGATATGCTAGATGACGGTCAGTAAAGTCATAGAGTGCATGCAATGTCAGAAATCGAGACCTCAACCCACAAGAGCAGGACATGCGACGGATGGTCCGATGTTCTGGTGTGGACAGGGTGATACGACCATCAAGAATGACGAAGCTTGGCTGCCGCCATGGCCAAAATTTCCAAACTTGAATATTTTCCATTTCTTTACCTTGTCACGTATTTGGCCAAAGACACACTCGCCCAACAATCATAATGGACCCCTTACGACTATTAACAAGATCGACCAAGTTCGCAAAGAAGAGCACTTCGACTGGCACGCAGATACACACACCATCCTCGGGACCTGCTTCGAATCCGCAACTCTTCGATCATGGCAACGAATCTTCAATACTGAACCGCAAACGCAAGCGAGGGAGCGAGACGGTGGCACCTAGTCTGGACTTCTTCGGTGGCGGCGCATCAGCCAAAGAGAAAGATGGCCAACAGAAAGAGCAGGACGCCTTGGAGGAGCAATCAAACCTGCACCAAGAACAAGCCGCAGCGCCTGTGGCAATGAGCACCGAAGAGTCCAAACAACTGCTCGGACGTCACAAGATCAAGATTACTCTATTCCGCAATCAAGACGAGGCCCCCACCAAGAAGAAAAAGAAGGAAAAGGCTGTCAAGGATAAGAAGTCTTCTCAGAGCGGGAGCGCCCAAGCGACACCACTCTATCCTGCTCCTGTCAGTGACTTCAATAGTCTAGCGCCCAGATACCGTCTCTCAAAGGCTCTTCTCCGGAACATCAAGGACAATGGCTACAGCACTACCACCGAAGTCCAACTTGCCGCATTGTCGCTTTTGCTCGATACACGCGCACATCTGCTTGCACAGGAACAATCTCAAGACCAAAAACAACAACAACAAGAGCCCGTTCTGGATGTCGATCTTTTGAGCATTGCACCGACAGGCAGCGGCAAGACCCTGGCCTTTATGATTCCTCTCATCCATGCTCTGGTTCTCGCACGTCGCTCCCAAACACACTCCGGTCCTCAAGCCATAATCCTCGCCCCTACAAAGGAACTTGCCAGTCAGATCGCCAATGAAGGCAGAAAGTTGGCCCTCAACACTGCTATACGCATCACAAATGTGCGTAAGGGCATGCACCTCGGCTCAGACTCCTCGCCCGATGCAGACGCTCCTGAAAAGGACGTGCCTCCCGTCAAGGCCGACATCCTCGTCTCAACTCCGGCTGCTTTGAAAAATGCCATGGGTGACACCAATACCACTTCCCACGCCCTGTCTCAAATCCGCTTTCTGGTCCTCGACGAGGCCGATGTTCTNTTGGATCCCTTGTTCCGCGACCAAACTCTGGCTGTATGGAATGCCTTGTCCAGCCCCTCTCTGCGTCTTGGTTTCTGGTCTGCTACCATGGGTTCCAACATTGAGGAGCTTGTCAAAGCCACCATCAAGGACCGTGCTGAGAGGCTCTCTGAGACGACTTCCACTCCAGTTCAGATCGCACCCTTTGTGCGCCTTGTCGTTGGCCTTAAAGACTCGGCTGTACCCAACATTGACCACCGCCTGATTTACGCTGCCACAGAGCAAGGTAAGCTCATGGCTCTCCGCCAGCTATTACATCCTACTTCAACCGGAGTCGACAAGCAGCCTATTGTCCGCGCCCCCTTCCTCATCTTTACTCAAACGATAGAGCGCGCAGTCGCCTTGCACTCCGAACTTCTCTACGACATTCCCGCCGAAGCAGGTGGTATTTCTCGTATCTCGGTTTTGCATTCAGACCTCTCTGATACCGCGCGTGATCATGTAATGACCCGCTTCCGCAAGGGCGAGGTCTGGATCTTGATCACCACCGATCTCCTGTCACGAGGTGTCGACTTCCGTGGCATCAACGCTGTGATCAACTACGACGCGCCGACCTCTGCCGCTGCTTATGTGCATCGTGTTGGACGTACAGGCCGTGCTGGTAGAGAAGGTGGTGTAGCCCTGACTTACTACACAGATGATGACGTCGCGTCCATCAAGACAGTTGCCAACATCATCGTTGCGAGTCAAAAGCAGAAGGGGGCAGCAGGTGGCACAACAAATATTCAACAATGGTTGCTGGACGCTTTACCCACACCCAGCAAACGCGACAAGCAGCAGCTCAAGAAACGTGGTATCGAAACCAGAAGATCTGCTTCTGGCAAGGATTCCAAGACCGGCAAGCCAAAGGCGCGTATCAGCACAAAGAGTGGTTACATCAGAAAGCTCGAGAACAACAGAAAGGGTGCAGTCGCAGCGAGTAGGAATCCACAAGAATCGGGGAACGCTTCAGATTCGGCTGAGAGCTTTGGCGGATTTGAAGAATAAGTGCATTCATCTAGATACCCTTTGCATATGTTCAGCGCGGTAGTTTTTGTTCATGCCAAATGTTTCTAATCTTCTTCATTCATATCGCGAAAACCTTCTTGCAAAGGTATGCTGACTATCAGTACGAAGTATTGGACAAAGATTTATTGGAAGTTGACAAAAGCACCGCCATCTACTAATAGTTGTGCGCCGGACTGGATATGATAGTCAGCTCTTACACATTGACACCCTCCCTAATTAGTGAAACTTACAACATATGATGAGAGGTTTGAAGCGAGAAACACTGCGGGTCCAGCAAGATCCTAAGAAGGGGTTAGTAAACTACTTCTGGTCTGGTCCAAGGTACATACATGAGGTTGGCCCAGTCTACGAAGCGGGATGCGACCCTCCATATACTCCTTCTTCTTCGGGTCTGCCAGGTCCTCGTCATTGAGTTGAGTACGGATCGTACCTGGTAGCAAAGCGTTGCACCGAATGTTGTACGGACCCAGAGCGCAGGCACAGCTCTGCATAAGTGATAAAATGCCTGCCTTGGTAGGTGTGTAGTGTGTTTGACCAGCACCACCAACGAGAGCGCTAATTGACGAGACACCAATGATGCTGCCGCCTTGGGGCGATTGCTTCTTCATCTGCCGAGCGGCTGCTTGAACGGCAAAGAAAGCACCTTCGAGGTTGATGGACACGGTCGATTTGAGAAGCTCAGGGCTCAGACNTACCAGTGTTCGGTAAGTCAGACAATACGATCAATCCAAATCCAAGCAATCAACTCACCTTAGAAACTCGGCAAATTGGCAGACACCAGCATTGCTCACGAAAATGTCTAGTCTGCCAAACTCTGATACTGTCTTGGAAACAAAATCGGATCCTGTTTCGGGCTTTGCAATGTCACCAGGTACGGCAATGAGCTTTGCACCAGCACCAGCCTCTTCCCTCAACCTCTTGAATTGATCGTCTGATTTTGAGTCTGGGTAGTGATTCACAGCGACGGCAGCTCCCTGGCGCAAATATTCGAGGGCGATGGCTCGTCCAATGCCCGTCACTGCACCCGTAATAGCAGCGACCTTTCCTGCGAGTAGTGTTGTCATCGTGGACAGTTTTTCTATTAGTAGCTAGGGAATGTGTTATGTCAAGGCCAGACTTTTGCGACGGAAAAGTTGCGCGAGCGAAGAAAGGGACCTTTGGCTAATAAACATTTCTTGTCCTGGTTCTGGCGCATCACTCTCGATCCAATTGTGGAGATGTCGTGAGGGTGACGGGGTATCATTGTACCGAGAAGCCCGAGCGCGGGGCTCTTGCACAATGTTGCATACTTATGAAATGTTCGTGACCTTCTAATGCGATTACTCAATCCATCACAATGAGCTGGCCGACCAACCTATACGTAATTTGATGTTATGCCCAGGCGATCAGAAAGACTAGAGTAGTACAGTAATACTGGATCTCGGTGTTCGATCCCCAAGGCAACGACTGCTGACACATTCGCTGTTCCGAATTGACCGAGCTATGCACGTGGATTTATATTGCCTCTTCCCTGGTCTGAGTTGCATTACAACCCTTCGAATTTTCTTGATACTCACTATCCATCGATAGTCATAGCACAATGTCATTCAAATTGCTTCGTGGCGGTACAGTGCTTGTCCATGATGAGCATGACCGTGTCAATGTGCTGCAGAACACCGACGTACTCATTCAAGGCAATAAAATTGTCGAGATATCCCAGGGCATACAAGCACCAGTGGATACAGAAGTTATTGATTGTGTGGACAAGCTGATTAGTCCGGGATTCGTCGATACTCGTAGGTTTCCCTTCCCTAGATCATCTCCAAGTACGTCCGTCAAATTGACAAAGGGCAGATCATCATGTCTGGCANNGACTCAACTCAAGGGCCGACATGCAAACGAACTCCTGCTTGAGTACTTCTACTCGGGAAACTTCAATTCCAGCGTCTTCTCGGCCGGAGACATATTCTGGGGTCAGCTCGGTGGGACGATGGAGATGATCAATGGAGGTACAACATGTGTGGTCGACCATGCCCACCTCAACTATGGACACGAGTACAATACCAGTGCAATCTCAGCTACAGTGGCTTCCGGGATCCGTTCAATCTATGGCTACACCCCAACGGCACGTGTTACATCCTGGAATCCTCTCGTGATAGACAACAACATACTCGCCGACGAAGTTATTAACAACTTGGAAGAGCTTGCTTCGGCTGCCCCTTTTGGCAACGGCAGAGTCACTTTAGGCTTCGCTTTCGATGGTTGGTTTCTCCCCAAACAATCAGTCATTTCACTGTTTGACAAAGTCGCCAAACTCGGGATTCGAACAATTACATGTCACAACGTCCGCACGCCCTCATTTGGTGCCTCCGGTTCGCTCCCCAAGTTGATCGATAGCTACGGTCTATTGGACGACAGGTTTTTGTTCTCGCACGCAAACAATATGACACCCGAGGAAGTAGAACTTTGTCACTGCAAGGAATTCTGGATCAGTAGTACCCCTGATACAGAACTACAAATGGCTCATGGCTCACCAGTTTGTTTCGACGACAAGATCGGCGTACAGAGCAGATGCAGTCTGGGTGTGGACTGCCACTCGAACAATTCAGGAGACCTCCTGACACAAATGCGACTGGCATTGCAGTCGGCACGCGGCAGATCTAATGAAGTATGTCAGAGCCCGTCTCATCATTTCCAATCGAACCTATACTTTTGGCTAACACTGTGTCAGAAATTCAACACAAAGGGCAAAGATCCCAGGTCAGTATACAAGACAGTCGAGGAAGCCTTCAACCTGGGCACCATTCAAGGCGCTCGTGCAGTGCACATGCAAGACCGTATCGGAAGCATAGCCGTCGGCAAAGCTGCCGACATTGTCATNCTTGACGCGACAAGTGTAGCTATGGTCTGCGCTGCTCAGCATGATCCCGTAGCAGCCATCGTGTTGCACAGTTCACCCGCAGATGTGGACACAGTAATCATTGACGGATATGCCAGAAAGCGTAATGGACGTTTGTTGCCTGTGCACTTGGACGATGTCGGTCGATCTGTCGTTGACAAAGAAACGCTGGAATGGAAAGAGGTCGCAAAAGCGTTGGTCAAAGGACGAGAAGTGATCCAGAAGAAGATTGACACGCATGATGTGGAGAATGCAAGGAAGGTCACGATCGAACGTTTCCGCATCGATGAGTCCAGAATTTGCCACAAGGTCGATGATATTTAGGCAAGCCGTACAGAGGTATCTTGAAGACTATAGTCTTCTTCATCTGGTTGTATGAATTTTCTTGACGGATAAGACTTGGAAACTGCCTATACTGAAGTGTATTAATTGCTCAATGGGGAACACAAACATTTTGATTCAAGTGTACTTGCCATAGCAGAACTCGGAGTAATATGAGCCGCCAGCACTTGGTATACGGAAGAAGAATAAGTCGAAGAAGTAGCGTGCTTTTGTTACTGACACCTCGCTCGAATACTGGACGCGGAATGTGAAAGAGAGAAAATTGAGATGAAGAGAACAAGGCGGCGCAATTATAATTACAAAAGATACAGAAACACCACAGATTTGTACCTGTAGCTACCCATTTCACCTTTCATAAGTCGTGTCATAGTCAATCAAACTTTCTCTAGAGTATTGTTGAGAGGACGTTAGATGTGAATCAGGTTCATGTCGTTGACTCGTTCAAGCTGCCATTCTGTTCAGCTCCTGGTTGGGCTTCATCAATGCCGCCGATGCCTAAGCCGCTAGATTTGGGCCTAGAGGAATCTTCCAATTCGTGTACGACTTTGGGTGTGGCAATTGTATCTTGAAGAGCAGGCGGGCGCTCATTGCGTGCGCGTGCTTTTGACAGGGATATTGTGTTCTGACTATAGCTTGTCGTGACTTTACCACTCGAAGCGTCGTAATCAATCGTGGCTTTCATAAGTGCAGCCATCCACAATCGACCTTCTTGCCTACTGTTCACGGCAAAGTAATGTACGGTCGGTTTCGTAAAGTTGACGGCTTTACTGAGGCCTTGGCGTGGTGGGACCAATTTGAATATAAAGAGGCCCTGTCCATCTGCAGATGGCGCTACGGTCCCTTGTGGCACCATTGGGGACGACCCGGCGCCTGTGAGTGCAGCGTGGAGCCCTGTCATTTTCTCGTTTTCAGCCGGCAGGACGCGGTGAGACGAAATATCGATTAGCCCCTTCTCTTCGGTGTCATTCTCAGAGTAGTAGTAGGACAATCTCCGACCACGAAGCACAAAAAGACGAGGCTTCCACGAGCCTACCAAGCTGGAAGACTTCTTCTTCATCCATCCACTGTAATCACAATCGGCGATTTGCTCAGCGGGGGACTTCTTCTCGAGGCCACGAGTGTATGCTGAGGTTGTCTTCTTACTCTTGGCTTTTGGCCTGGGACGGGTAGAGGCTGCTGGTGGAGCAAGAGCGCCCGAAGAGCCCGTTGATACTCGAGATTGGTTGTCTGATTTCTGCAAGTCGAAGGAACGATTCTCGGTGGACGGAGTGGTAGAGCCAGTGCGAGCAGGAGAAGCGAGAGGCTCGTGCTTCAAAGCACTCTGCTTCTTCTCACTTTGGGTCACGGCATCAGAAGCTATCCGAAGGCCGCCGCCAATGCGAGGCTTGGAGAAGAACGATCTAGTGTTCGATGCAGGTGACGGCGAGGGATTCAATGATGAGTTGTCGCTGTCAGCCAAAGTTTGATCTAGTCGAGTAACGATGGGTGAGACGGGTTGTTGGATAGATGCCAAAGGTTTTACTGCAGCGTGTGGACTGCTGACAGCACGGTTGCTAGCCGGCTTGTTAAAGGAAAATTGGCTAGACGCAGGAGACATGATGGGCGAAGCAGGTTCGTGCATCGACTCGACACTGGACATCCTAGGAAAGTTCCTGTATGAAGCGCTATGCCGAGCAGAATCGGTAGCAGCACTTATGTTCCTAGTGTGAGCCGATGTTGACTTCTTCTGCAAGACATTACGCTTGTTACGAGCGTCAACTTCGTTCCCAGAGAAGTAACCGCGATCCAGGTCAACAGGCGAGGAGAGTGATCCAAAGCCGTAGTCGCCAACACCTCCGTCGGTCTGTGAGATGGCGGCACCGAGGTCGGCTGCTGGTTCGTGTGCAACGGAGAGGCGCCGGGCAGTGGTAGGCGCTCCAGAATTTGTACCGACCGAAGACTGTCTATGATGTGAATAGCGATTCATGCTATCTATCGATCCCATGGACGAGTGTCTGCGAGAATGGTTGAGATTGCGAATGGAAGCGGCCGACGGACGTTGAGTGTTGTCTGGCCGAGTAAAGGTCATGGACGGAGTCGCCATGCTGCTGACGGGTCTGTACGGCGAGGCTGTCACGCTCTGGCTTCGTCTTCTTCCAGCTTCATTTTGCAAATCATCGGCAGCAGCTGAGTATTCAGACACGCTTCTAGGGACGTTGGTTGAGCTTTGGCGTATTTCATCCTGGAGAGCCTTTACCTTCTGCCATGTTTTCAATCGTCTTCCCACAGAACCAAGTTCGAACTCTTTGATAAAGATGGCCGACTGCTCCATGGTTAAAAGCACTTCTCCAGAGATCTCTTGCTCGCGGAAAGTGTCACAATGCGATTTCTCAACGCCGTGGTCTTCGAGATATTCAGCAACTCGCACAGGTGACCACAACATGACTTCGGCCTCGGTGTGTAGCTGATTCTCCTCGTCGTCGGTTTCACGGCCGTTGATGTAGGATAGGCGATTGGGGGCATGTGAGCTGTAGACGCTCTCGGTGTCGTGGCTGTGTATGTTGGTAAGAGGTATCTCGCGTGGGGTGCGCAAGTCGGTGATATGTTCGTCGATGACGCTCAGAGTTTCATGCATGACCGAGTTGTGTTGCGATGCGCGTTGGGCAGGATTGGAATTGGAGGATTGCGAAGAGGTGGTGGAAGTAGCAGTCTGCGGCCTATTTGGTTGGGGTACATCGTTGCGACGAGTTGGGGGTTGCTGAGTAGATAGAAGAGTGCCTCTCGGGGCCGGAGTGGTGTAGACTGCGGCGAGCGAGTTGGCGTGAGCGGAAGTGTTTCACAAGGTTTGAGAGGTGATTTGTTGGCGTGTCTGCTCACCTTCAGGAAACAGGCCGGTAGCACTTGTGGTCATGTGGCGACCAAGAAACCAGCCATCACCGAAATCGTCGTCCCGCTCGATGAGTTCGATGCGGTCGCCCTTGGCCAGGCTCAGCTCGTCGGGGCTGCGGGCAAGAAAGTCATGGACGACGAGCAGGATAGAGCCTGGGGGAACCTCTCGGGGATCCGAGGGCTGACGAGAGGCCATTGAGGCGTGCTGTCAAGGGGGTAGGCACGCTATGACTGGGACAGGAGCATCGAAGTCTCAGGATGGTATGCGATGGAGGCGGAGGTCCGAGGCGTCCCTTGTCGCCTTGTCACAAAAGGACGAGGCGGTTGTCGGACGTGGTGCCGGGATATGGCGCGTGAGGAGGCTGAGCGAGGGTCGAGCTGAAACAAACAGCAGTCTGGCCGAGGACAAGAATAGTGTATTGCAGTCGGACTCTGGCAGGGACAGTACGAGTGCTAAGGTACTTGGGGACGGAGGGCGGGCGGCGATTGCCGTGTGGAAGTCAGTGACAAGCAGCAGCAGAAGGTTTGGCGCGACGCGCCGCTAGACAAGGGCAAGAGGCAGCAGAGCCGGCCGAGGCAGAGGCAGAGCAACAAGAAGAGCTGGAGGTAAGAGCGAGCTGACTTGCCATTGCTCGACCTCAAAGGTCATACGAGCCACTCGAGTAGGCAGCTGCCTGCCTTGGTGCCCCTACGCAAACGCTCGCGTTGCTTTGCGGAGTTTTCTTTCCTCTTCCGGCACATTACTTAATACCTCGTCGCCGTCCACTTGCGCCTGTCGACCACGACCACGCGCAAATGGGATTCTTTCGCACGCGCCCGCGACATGCCCCAGAACATGGCCTTGTCGCCCTCTGAATCCAGTGCCAATGCACGAAACATCCTGGGTCGTCCTGCCCAGCGCCAGTATTCCTGGATGCAACAATCCTCAATTCTCTCACAGCCGCCTCTTCGTGCTTCTGCCAAACACCGCTTAACTGCCACCGACTCGGCCACGCCTCAATGTGCATCTCCCACGACCGCACAGGTACAATCTCCCCCCGTTCAGGACGTCCACGAAACTGCTGTGCCCGATACATCCATAGCGAGAAACTTTCTTCCCTCGCCCACTCCCAGCGATCACCATCACAAGTCTCCGAGCCTGGCCACTGCTCATCAACTTTCTAGAGAGCCTGCTGCTCGCCAGTCTCCACACCAAACTGCTCTCCATCGTGATTCGGCTCAGCCTTCTGCTCGTGTGACCACCAACAGACATGTCTCTGTCACCTCTGCTACCTCTTCTTCGCGACAGCCAACTGAGCCCGTCCCTAGTCTGCCACCTCCCTCGGCATCAAATACACGCAGCACCAATGTCCCGTCTCATCCCATTAGTTCCAACAATGCTCCGCCCTTTGGTCCTCAATGGTCTACTGTATTCCCAAGCGGCGAGTGTACTAAGCGCCTATCTGACTTCGCTGCCGCTCACGGAAGCTTGACTGACGCTGATCTCGAGAGATTGGGCATTCTTTATGACGCTACGCAAAGTAACGACTGGTACTTCATCATACTGCTCATGCTCCTAGCTTGCTACTCGTTGAATTTGCCATCTCTCCAATCTGTTCAGGATCATTTGCCAAAAGACAGCCTCCCTATGTTTGCAAGAATTTTGGGAGAACAATCGGAAGGTGCAACTTCTTTGAGCAACGAAGTCCAGGTTTTTATAAGCACCTTTCCTAAGCCTCTAAACGAGCTGAGAGTTTGTTTGACTGATTCTTCTTTCATGCTGGCTATTCGTCATATTGCTGGTTGTCTCTATCAGATAACATTAAATCTAGATTGTGTGCTCTCACAGTGCCGCCAGGCAGAAACACTTCCGACGGTCCATGATTTAATTGTTTCTCTGGGTATCCGCTCACTATTACTCCAACGGGCAACTTTCCGTTTCCTTCTGCGTAATACCTGGCGGTCGGACAGTGGCCCAATGGCTGAACTTGCTATGCGAGAATTTATGATTGAGCAACAAAGATTCGGGATGGAAGGTGCTCAATCACCAGAAGTGCGTGGTCATCAGCAGAATGTTTACCGCACCATCTTTCACCAGCACGTACGTTCTACTCACTTTCCGCACGCTCACTCGAGTCCAACTACAAATCCGGCAAACATTATCCCAAACACCACTACAACCGCCCATCAGCCCACCCTTGCTCCCATTGGCACTGCCATGCTTAATCCAGGAATGACACGGTCACAATTGCCCCATCCGGGTCAGAACCACATCCAACCATCGCAACAAGCTCAGGCGACAACACCAACCGGTGCACAATTGCAAGCCGCTCAGATGGAGGCGCAGAGGCACATGCAGCTGCAGCAAATGCGTGCTCGAGCTCAAGCACAGGCACAGGCACAGGCACAGGCAGTCCAGCCGCCATTTCCTGCCCATTTCCAAAATCACCCGCAAGGCGCTTCATTGCCAGCTCCGGCCTTCTTCCAAAACACCTTCTTCCAACAGGGTGCAAATGTTCAACCTCATCAGTCCATGCGTCAAAACAACACTGCAATTCATGATGCTGCTCAGATACAAGCATTGATGATGTACCAACAAGAGATGCTCCCGCAACCGCCCGTGCTGCCTTCCAACTCCCTACGAGCTCCTCCACGTCCACGGGGAGCAAGATCAAATCCACCTCCTCGCCTATTCTTTCCTGGAGCCAATCCTGCTGTGCCTCAGCCGGCTCAACCAGACTACCGCCGGTCGGCGCTGCATCAAGCCCACTTGCGTAGTCCCGTTCTTATTCCAAAGACGCTCGATACCTTGACCTCGGCCGCATCCAATGACTACTACCGCAGCGTTTTGGGCTTTGCTCTTCCGCCCCACAGGCTGGCAAATCAGCCGGTTCAAGAAATTCACTTTCAGCTGCCACCACAGGCTATCGCAAGACTCCTGAAAGTGAGATTGAGCAATGACGGCGATCCTCCAATTGGAGAAATCGACACCAACTCGTTGATGTTGAGATTAAGATGCTGCGAGGTCGCGCCATCTGGGCCCCTTCCCACTGAGAACAAATGGATTCTTCTCGACGGTACCTGGCCAGTCCCAGCTTACTTCGCGATTAACGAAATTGCGCTCGAACCAAGACGCAAGTTGCATCACGGCAAACACCTACCCATCGACATTACGCATTGCATCAGTTCGGAAGCCAACAAACTGGTTGTAAGAATCAACCGTTCCAAGAATGACAAATCGCCCTTTAACTACGCAATCGCTGTCGAAGTTGTTGGCTTTGCTACCCGTAAAGGTATCAAAGAGGCCTGCATGAAGCGTCTGATTCCTGCTGAACAAATTCTGGACTCGATTAAAAAGTCCTTGACCAGCCACGACGACGACCTTATCGTCCAGTCAAACTTCAACTTGCATCTTTACGAGCCCTTCTCTAACTCCAGGATCTTCAAGATTCCAGTTCGCGGTTCTGATTGCCTACACAAGCAAGCTTTCGATCTCGACGTCTTCTTGGAAACTCGGCTTGAGCAACAGTCCCAGCCGCACAAGGTCCGTATCAGTAAGGTCGACGCATGGAAGTGTCCCATCTGTAAGGCCGACTCTAGGCCGCAGAGTTTGATAGTCGATGGATTCCTAATGGCTGTCCGTGAGACACTCGCAGCCAGAAATATGCTTGAGACACGCGCCATTGATGTCGAGAGTGATGGCTCTTGGACAGCTGTGCAAGAAGCTCACGACGACGAAGAAACCGACGACGAGGCAGCTCCAGCGCCTAAGAAGCCCATCGAAGTCATTCTTATTGATGATTAGTTATCGAGGTCGTCTTGGGTCTCATTTGTCGGCTCAAAACTGACGTTCCTTTCTTTTCGTTTCTGCTTTTCATGTCACACGATACCCAACAACGTTCTAGCTGTTTGCTTGCACTTCATTAGCGTTGCTTTCTTCTCTCACGAGCCATGATAGCCAATTCATTTTCCTTCACATCATGCATGCACTAGAGGCATCTAGGCAGACATGGATGGAGCTCAGGTATGCAGCTTTCATGATCCTGTGACTCGGGCATTCTCCTCTCGGTACTTTTCCCAAATAGATCAATGATACAAATAATGCAAACTGTATGCCGCTTTGAGCTGTTCTGCTTATTGAATATCGTGAGTACTTTCTAGGCTCTCGTGCTATGTAATTTCTGTTGTGCCCTCCCAGTCTCGCTGACATGCTGGTATCACATGCTTGTCAGTCCTCTGCTCGCCGACGTACGCGCATTAAGAGTAAACAAAAAAACTCCAGTCTTCTCAATCTCTCCTTGTACACCAATCCACAGCTCGCTGAAGGCTTCCTCGAGGGTTTGGATATCACAGTGTCTTCAAGCCTGCAGCTTCAGCTTCTGTTTCTGTTTCTGCGCTTGCTGGATCCAGTACTCCTGGAGCACGTCCGTGTCCTCGAAACTTGTTGCCGGCTCCCAAGTCGTGGCATCGTAGCCTTCCCATTTGACGTGATACAACATGACTGGCTTGTTTCCGTGAACGGACTTGTCGTGAGACCTCGGATCCGAGAGGCCATGGGCCAGGATCTTTTCGACCGCGTAGACTTGAGATTCTTCAGAATCGGAGCCTGAGTCAGCATCGGGGCCGTTGACAGTAGCGACTGCTTGAGAAGCTGAAGTTTTGGCGCTTGGGTCGGTCGTGCGGAGAGAGGCTAAGTTTGAGGCTGATGCTAGTAGTGTGTTTGTCGTTGGTGTTTCTTTCATCGAGACTGCAGGTGCTTGTCTTTCGGTCAACGAGGCCACAAGTTTTGCTTTGGCAGATGGGGGTTGGTTGCGCGCAGCAGTGCTTGAAATTGGACGAACGGCATGATCTCTGAATGTGAAGAAGGCGCTTGCCGCGCCCTTGCCCTTGTCTGCGTGCACATCTGTGTTCGAAGCGCCTACTGGTTGTCGGATCGGGATGTCAATGTCATTGTCGGACTCATCATCGTCGTCGTCGTCCAGTTCCATTGGGTCAGACTCTTCTTGTGCGTCTGAAACCATGCCGGCTGCCTGCTCCATAGCAGAAGGTGGTTGGGTCGCTAGCTTGGGAGAGGCTACGCTATAGACACCCTCTGTGTCTTGCGTTGAAGACATATTGCCGTCCTGATCTTCTCCTAGTCGACGTCTCTTGTTATCTCTGTGATNCTAGTTTCATCGTGTTAGCTGACTAAGTAAGTCTAGGGTTTGCGTGACGTCCAACTGACTGTTCTTGACTGGTGGTTCGGCCAGTCCGTGTGTCGATACGGGCTTCAAAGATCCTCGTGGTGCCCGTTGCTTGGGATAGAAATGGGTGTAGGACGGTCGCTGTCTGCCGCCAGCTGCCGCTCCGGAGTTCTCATTTCCAGACAGCGGTGCACCGGACACGGATCTAGCACGCGTAGATGAAGATTCAGAAGCCGAATCGGAGTCTGTGATTCTGTTCCTGCGGGTTTGTGCTTTTGCAGCTAGTCGCTCCTTCTGTCTGGTCTCTTCTTCTTTGATATCGTTTGCAAAGGTTTGGTTTTCGAAGACTTCTAGATCATGTGCTGAAATATACTCCGTGACCTCAGTGAGCGAGACATTTGGGACAGACACAGATCCAATCTGGAGTGTATATGTTACAACTCCATTAGAAGGTGAAGACCGCGAGATAATCTTCGTTTCTCCGTTAATAGGAGCTGTAGAGTCAAGCCTTGTGCGGAAGTGATTCGCTTGCGCTATGGGATCTAGTGAGTTTGTCGTCATTGCTAGTAAGAACTATTATTAGTTATTGCATTAAGAGTTGCAGCGCAAGTCGTTTTTAAACTCGCGCAATTGTGAATTTGATAAGGATCTGGTCGACGCTTACTTCTTAATACCTTTTAGCTATGGACAAGGGTAGAAAGGTAGGCGCTAGTTAGGAGGAGTATATAGGTAGCAAAGTGATTAGAAAGGTAGGTTAAAGGTAGCTTAGACCAACTACTCAATTAGGCTTCCTAGCCTTAGTAAGCTATTAAACTAGCTCTTACCCTTTTTAATATTATTTTTAATTCAATACTAGTAAGCTACTTACTACTTATGATTGCTAGAGTAAGACTATTAAAATTAATGACTTTATAATAATAATACTTTAGCATCAATAATATTAAGAAAAGATAAACAAATAACCATAGTAAGAATAATGAAGACAGGGTTGCCTTTGGAAACTAGGAAACCGTCGAACAATATCTATCCACAATTTGATCAAACGAATAATGATAGCAAGACTTGAAAGACTCTTACAGTGCCAGAACAAGTGAGTGTATGAGTTTCTAAAGCAACCAAGTTTGTCTACCTGTCTATCAGGCGAAGACTGCAGGCAGATTTGCTACAGTCTCGCCATTCGCATTGCACCATCTAGGCGTAACGTAGCGCCATTCAGCATGACATTCTCGATCGCATGCCTCGTCAACTCAGCAAACTCTTCGCCTTTGCCCGCCCTTTTGGGGAATTCCATGACACGTTCAAGCGATTTCCTAACCTTGTCGCTCATCATGGCCGTCATGTTGGACTCAAACAATGAAGGCGCGATCGTTACAACACGAATACCGAATGGTGCAAGATCACGGGCCATAGGCAGTGTCATCGACCTTACTGCACCCTTACTAGCAGCGTAAGAGACNNCTTGTCCGTGTCAGTATGGTCATACAAGTCGACTGGATGTGAAGCTCACCTGTCCAGGCTGTCCATCGTAGGCAGCTGATGAACTGACCAAGATGACACATCCTCGCTCATTATCCGGCTCTGTCGGCTTGTTCTTGGTCATGAGTGGGAGTAGTTGGCGGACGAAATCTAGAGTGCCTCGAAGGTTGATGTTCAAAACAAAGTCAATGGATGACAAGGAGAGCGGCTCGTTGTTACGATCAANTCATCTGCCTGTACTTAGCATACCACCATTGGAAGCGGCTATCGGCAAACATACCTTTCCGGGGTTACCTACACCAGCTGCGCTGATGATACCACCAATAGGCTTTCCCGTCTCTTGAATCCATTTTGACACTCCTTCCACAGCTTTTGCAATACTCTCGGTGTCGCTGACATCAGCTTCGAAGAAACGAGATCTCTCAGAGCCAAGCTCCTTGACTGCTTCGGCTCCAGAATCGACATTGAGATCAAGAATGACAATATAACCTCCTTTCTCATGGAGATTGCGGGCTGTGGCAAGACCCAGACCAGATGAACCGCCGGAGATGACGAAAAGCCTGTCTTTGATGTGCATGGTTTAGTAGTCTGCACCTGTCAATTATGGCAAGAGAAGGGAATCTGTTTGTGTTTCGAGGATGAGCTTTAACATGATATCCCTCGGTATCACATGCCTCGGCATCTTCAGATCCCCAGATCTTGGCGGGTTGCGACAATGTAATACGACATTTGGACTTTCGGTAAAAATTGAGAAGCTCAGAGGCTCGTCAAGAGCAGTCCGAACCATCAGATATGCAGGACGCCATTCAATCCAAGGTGGCTTTGACAAAACGTCCTAAATCAGATGCATTCAGGATTACGAAGTCGTAGATGTGCACATCATCTTATCCTCTGACAGCTATTAAGTACATACCAATGTCTTAGGCACAGAGGAGCTCTGTTCTCGCAATGACTTTGACTCTGATACGCTGCTGGGACTCGGTCATGCACAAACATGTCTTGGTCAAAGTTTGATGCCGGACTTTTGTTGCACCACTAAAGCTCGACCTACTCAACTCCTGAGATCGGTAAACAGAGGTCGTTGCAGAAAGTCCTTCAGCGAGATTTGACAAGGGTTTGTCAACTTGAGGGATATACCGCTAGACGTGTGAGGCATTGAAAGAGTAGGATTGAAGATACATACCGACCAAGAAACCATGATTTTCTGTACAAGATGGTTCGCTGAACACCGTTTGAACGCCTTCCTATGCCCTTCTTGATGCAAATATATCCTCAACTCACGGATCGAGCACCCGTATTGTCCACGGTTCACTACTTGGAGTCTTTCTTCTCGATACGATTTCCGTTTTCGTCCAGACCCCACCACTCACGGTGGAATTTCTCCTGCTCTTTCCTCTTCTCTTCCTTGGCCTCTCGCTCCTTGCGGCGCAAATCACGAGTAGCAAACCACTCCTCTCTGGCGGCGTCCTGTTCGGCTTGATTGGCGTACTGAAGCATGCAGGCGTTCATCTGGCGGCGTTCGGGTCGGCAATAGAAAGGCGCAGTGAATGTACGATTGGTAGCGCATGCTGCAAATACTACAAGGCAGGATTATTAGCTCTAGATCAAGTTTCGTTTCAGAGCAAGAGATGACATACGTCGTACTTCTTCGGCGCACTTGTTCCGCACTCGTTTATGGTAGATCTCTCGCACTTGGCCTTCTTGTGAAGCAGACAGAGGCAGTGGCTGACGAGATGGTACAAGCTGAGGACTAGTCTGAGGTACAGTGGTTCCAGGCGGTGGAGGCGGTTGCGCCGGTGGTGTTTGCGGCGGTTGCGAGACCGTCGCCATTGTGAAAGAAGACGATGTCGAAGCTACGGTGTATTGATTGTTGCGCAATGCCAGAGGAGACTACAAGGAACCGGATGCGGACGGCAATGGCAATTGCAATGTGGTATGTTGATGTTGTTAACCAGAGGTAATGTGCTTGTCGGATTGATTTTCCATGAGCCCGTCAGTCGTTCCACTCCCGAATCCGCTCCGCAATGAGAAAGACTCTCTTGGCAATATCCATCTCTCTCACCTCAGTCGCACGTAGCCAAGTTGAATATTCTTGAGTATTGTGAATGCCATCTAGGCCTACATTGATTGCTGATGTACTTGCTATGCTAAAAATCCAATATGTGCGCTAAATCATTCAGTCCGTCTCTGCTAAATCGTCCAACGAGGGTATAACCATAAACTCCACGCTCATAAACACATCCAAAGGGACTTTCCCTCCCGCGCTGAAATCATCCAAAATATTCACAAATGCTTTGATAACTCGAAAATGCTGTCCGTCATGCACTCCTTCATCTGCCGGCTGGGGGCGGCATCAAGCATTCCCACCGCAATTGAGGAGTCTGGTCCGAGTCCAGGCAAGGAATCGATTCCAACCGCCTTTTGCCTGCTTGGTCTTGCTCGGCGATGGTGGTGAGAGCGGCACCGTTGGGGCAGCGCCACTGTGGTCTCCTTGGATGGGGAGACTGAGATCATGGGCAGGTGTTTGCGTGGCATAATCAGCACCAGCGACAGCCTTCTCCTCGTCAACAACAATACTGTTGCTGCCGTTGCTAGTCATGCTCGCACGTGGGTCCGCCTTCCGCCACTTACGTTCTTCCTTTTTGATGACTGAGGCTCTGCGCTTGACTTCTTCTTTCTCATACTTGCGGTCTTTTGCCGCCTCCTTTTCTTCAAACGCCTTACGGGCAGCACGGATGGCGGCAGCTCGCGAGGCAGCGTCTTCTGGTTCAGAAGTGCGTGTGATAAAGCTGAAAGCCTTGTCGATCGAAGTACGAGCAGAAGGGGTAGCTGGATAATCACTGGATCTACCAGTGTTTCGAAGAGAACGACCAGACTTGAGCTGGTCGTACGAGGGTTGTGAGCGGATAGAAAGATTGGATTGAGATGCACTGGTCAGCTTGGTAAGAGAACCAGCGGTATATGTTTGTGAGAGGGGGGANNTTATGGCGGGGTTGGAGGATATGGAGATGGATCTGCGAGGCTTCCAAGGTTCATAGTCTGGCTGACGGATGTCGTTGGTGAGCACGCCAACGCTCTCTTCTGCCTCGTCATCGGACGTGTCAACCTGCGAAACGGTCGCAGGTGGGGTGAATGAACGTGGGGCCTCACGTAGCGGAGCGAAGGGCTGGGTTGGACGCAACGGACCCGAAGCAGCAGCAGTCAAAGAGGCAGGACCACTGGTGGCACGGGAGTGAGAGGCTTTGCGGCGAGTAGAGGGGATGAAAGAAACATCCGAGGCGGATCTCGAGAAGGATGGGGCGTCATCACAGATACCGAGACCGGTCAAGGACTCGTTTTCGGCAGAGGGACGCGACAGGTCGAGGCGGCCTTGGTCCAGGTCGTCGTCCCGCAGTGACATCTTGCGCAGGTAAGGTTTGATCTTGTTGGCAGAAGAGTGGCGGGCATGCTGGGTGTTGAGAGACGAGTTGGGTTGGGTAAACTCGTGCTGGATGGGCGATGGCATGGTGAAGACTTGAGGAGCGGCAGACGAGGTCGAGCCGGACCTCTTGTGCAGTTTGGCATGACGGGGCAGGTGCGAGGCCGAAGTCATGCTGCGGGCCAGGGCCGGGCGGGCAGGAGCGAGGTGCAGCGAGAAGGATGTCGAGGTCGAGGTGCGTCGGTATGGGTATGGGGTAGTGAAGCTGTCGCGACGGCCATTGGAGTCGCCAAAGGGATTGAGCGAGTGAGATACAGCGGTCCAGGGAGGAGTGGTGGTCGTAGGCGCAGGTGTAGGCTTAGTCGTTGTCGTGGCTTGGGTGCTGACGGTGACGGGTTGAATGGCAATGCCAGCCAAGTGACTCGGCCTTCTCTGCCGTCCATCGAGAACCATTGTAACGTGAACTCAATTCCAATCTGTTGAACAAGAATACCCGCTCCCTCTCAGCCGCTCATGCCTTTCTTTCCTTTTTCGTCTTTTCTTTTCTTCTCTTTGCAGCAGATGCTCCACCAACAGCTTCCTACTCGCGAGCAGCCAACGAGAGTGAAAGAGGTGAGAGAAAGGAGCGGCTTGTGTCTTCTTAGGGCCAAGACGGATTGGCTGTCTGCTGCTGACCGCTCTCGGCAAGCCGGGTCAAACAATCAAAAACAATGCGATGCTAGGTACGAGAAGGTGGATCCAGCCAAACTTCATAGCAACCATCTCTTCTGCTTGCGAGTGCCCGCCGTGTTACATATATCATATACATTGCTGCTCCGGCGACAAGTCCAGGTCCAGCATGCCATTGTATCCGTCGCCCCGCTCGAATCTTCATGCCAGCCATGCAAAGCCCGTTTACCGTCGCAACCGCCGTCCGTGTTGTCAATAGTTTTTATCGATTGTTGTTCAACTGCCATTGATCAAGCCCTGTTTCTCTACTCTCATCTCCAGCCTTACCGCTTCACAGTGCTCCCTCCCACATCTGGGCCCTTGCTAATGTCATTTGCATGTCCACTGTCAATACAACTGCCAGTCTGCCACGACTTCTTTGGTCTGCTTCTGCTGTCCGTGAGCCGCTCGGCCCGCAAGTCTCGATCTCTTCTGCGACGCCCGATCGACACACATCGACGTTCCCCACATGGTTTTTGTCATGTCGCTCTGACCTCACTTGCGACCATGGCGATGAAATGATATCAGTCTTTGATGAATTGTGCCTATCCACCATCCAAACGACAGTCAAGATTTCTTCATCCCACAGATTGGTTTTGAAGCAGAGAATTCATCAAAGCGGTGGGTTTCTTTTGTGGCACTACCGGGCTGGTTCCTGTAACACGCATCCATTACCTTGAGCAGCGATTCAAGAACTCGATCATAAACTGGAGAGACATGTCTGAAAACGATCCACCAAATTCTCGGGCCCAGACTCTGTACAGGTTGTAGATATACAGTTCTTTCGCTCGCTTGTTGGTTTGAGACATCATGCAGGGCTCACAACCGTTTCTGCTTGAACTCCTGATGCCTAGTCTAGGTCTACTACCTCTTTGGGCATGAACCAAAAGGGACTTTTGCTCGCCTTGATTCGTGTATTTTGCAGTAACCGTTGGAGCAGTGGAGCACCAGCTCTCCGGCTCTTCCACCACAGTACCGTTACAGAATTCAGGTATCCCATCTCGGACAGCAATGTGACTTCTGCTATATTCGCCAGCCACGAGGATTCTAGACTGTCACTCAACATGACTCGATTGTCATCTCACGTCTCACCGCAGAAGCAGAGCCTTATGCTACACTATTTGCAAAAGCGGCTCGTTTTCTCTTCTGTTCAGTTAGATGAGTCTGTGCTCCCAAATACCTACAGCAGGGTTGGCTTAAGCAGATGTCACAAAGTGTCTCATCATGTTCTCAAGACTCGGTTTGGCTAGAAATGGATATGACGTGTCTGCTGTTCTGTTTGACTCGAATGCCACCAGCCTTGGTCTTAAAAGCAAAACACCAATAATGAGAATGATACTTGACAGAAGAAAAATGAAGACCAGGGTCGCCTCGGCAACATCAGCCCAAAGTTGATAGAGATTTAGATCGTATTTGGCGATTGCGATGCGCATTGTCGGCTCACGTAAAATTGCACAGACACTCAGAACTTCAGTCGAGCTGGTGCACACGTCTTACCCAGCATAGCCTCCAAACCGGCATCGACTCCTCTAGAGGGACGTTGCTCTAGCAAGCAAGCAGAAACGGGGTCACAAGGACAAGCAGTCATCAAGAAGGAACATATCAAGGAGAAACATAAGTAGTGCAGACTGGGGTATAGATCTTGATGATGATGATTGACAACAACCGCTCGACGTCCCCGTTCCCTTTTCCGTCCCAGCCTCGTCTGGCCGAGGCATCGACGAAGACCCTTGCTCCCTCTTGCACACCAGACGCCGGTTCCGTCGTTGAGCTCTTGTATGAGGAAATAGGAAATTTGTTTTTGTGAGAGATGTAAGAAATGTGCTTGTTTGCGTGTGTGTATGTCGAGTTCTTCTTTCGTACGTTTCGACCTCCTCCAAATAGACAGAAGACAGATATGAGAATGAGAGTCGTTTGATCTCGGAGATAAATTTGTTGAAGTAAGAGAGTTCCTATGCAGTAGCAATAGAAGGAGAAATTCAACCGTTCGTCGTAAAGAGGTAAGAATAAGGGGAAATGTTCGCGACTGCGTGAATTTTTCAAAGTGGTCAAGAGTGACCAAAGTGACGAGAATATAATCGGCGTCGTATGTCCATGACACATCGAGTGTTCGGAGCAGCAAACACATATGGCGAAGGCTTAGGCGTGAAGTGAGCAGTGCTCAGAGATCACCGCCTGCTTCGAGTCCGCCATCAGTGCCGAAGTTCATGCCGCTAGGGTCAAAACCGAAGCCGTCGGCGCCGCCGTCAGTCGTGAGGAAGGAATCGAAATCGAAATTATCAAGCACATCTGGGCCGCCCATTTCGAAATCGAGACCGCCAATGCTGCCAANACTGTCCATGTGTCAGTTTGAGTTTGCTAGGGAAGCACAAATTACATGACTTACGTTGTCGTCCATGTTGCCGAAAGGAGCTCCGATATTGGACATGTCGCCGCCTGGATTTTGCTGTCCAGGCATACCGGGTTGCGAGTTGGACGGTTGTTGATTCTGAGGCTGGCCTGGTTTCGGAGGGAAAGCTGAACTTGGCTGGGGTGTGATTGGTGGTGCTGGAGTCGGAGTTGGGGGCTGTTCAGTCGACTCTTGAGGAGTTGCGCCGGTTGTTCCCTTCTTACCACCCTGGAGAGAAGAATTAGCATAAGAAAACACCAAGAATGCTTGAAATTCATTACCTTATTTGCTGCCTTAGAATTATCTTTTTTGGACTTGGTGTTGGGCTTGTTTGCTTGCGAAGGCGTGGGTGGGGCTTGATTTTGCGAGGGAGATGAGGGCCGGNNTACCAGCTCTGGCACCATCGTTACCAGGAGCAGGCGGAGGAGGCATAGCCGCATTGCGCTGCTGAGGCGTCATGTTGGGTGGTTGTGGTGGGGCTGGCCTCCCATNCATGGGACCCGGTTGGGGCATAAAGCCATTGGCCATCTGCGCCTGGCCATTGCGTGCTTGAGCCTGGCGGAACATGTCCATCTGTTGTTGCTGATTCATCTGAGCAAAGGCAGGATGCGAGCTGGGAGGCTGCATCATCTGGCCGTTGGGACCTTTCATCATGGCCATTGGGAACATGGCTGGGTTCATAGGATTGTTTGGGTCGAACTGGCCGGGAGCAGGAGATGCGCGACCGGGCATGCCACCGTCGGCCGTGGGAGAGGGGACGACACCGGGGGCCATCTTGGGAGTGCCGCGTCGCATCTGCTCGTTGGGGCCTGGAGAGGGACCAGCCCTGCTGTTGGAGGGCGACATGGCTGGCGCGAAGTTTTGAGGCTGACCAGAAGCAGGTACGGGGCCGTTGGGTCCATTGGTCATGTTGTCTTGTTCTTGGCGAGCCATCAACAGGCGCTTCTTGTTCTGCTGTTCTAGCAGCATCAACTGCATCTGGTAGTCCTGGAGGGCGTGGTTGCTGTTCGCATTGGGTGGCGGCTGCTGGCCAGGCATGGGACGCATCTGCGTGTTGAAGAATTCGGCCGAATTGGGATCCTGCGGCATCTGAGGTGCTCCGTTAGGCATCAACCCCTTGTCCACGTTAGAATCCATGGCGGATTGCATATGCTGGCGCATGGAGTTGGCATATACCTGTTGCATGGCTTTTGCCTGAGGGTTGGCCATCTGNNCGTCTTGTCAGCATACAGGGTCGCGTGTGGACGCATAGAAGACACTGACCTGTTGTCCGGGCATGCCCGGAGGCTGGCCGCGTCCCATAGGGCCCATGGCGCCGTTGAAGTTGCCCTCCAGTCGCTGACGTTTGGGCGATGGAGCGGCGTCGCCGCCGCCGCCACCAGGAGAAGCGGGTCTTTGCTCCATAGTCGAGCCCTCTCTCTGCATGGCGGTTTGCTGCAGTTGAGCCATCTGTTGCATGCGCATTTGCTGCTGCATCTGTACCACTTGCTGCTGCGTGCTGTATTGTCATGTCAGCACTTCAGTCGCGTACCATTTGCGTAGGAGTTATACTTACGGTTGACGGCCAGGTTGGAGGCCGAACTTCTTGGCCATCTCGGGAGGTACTGGCATACCAGGGCCAACCATGCCGGGGCGCATGGCCATATTGGCTTGCATCTGGGGATCGACGCGCATCAGCCTCTGTCGCTCGCTGGCCATTCGGGCCTAAGGCTGCTGGTTAGTGGGATCGGTGCTGGGCAAAGACATGGGTGAAGCAAAAGAAAAGCAGCGACATACCTGGACGTTGGTCAGATACTTTGCAGTCTGCGTGTTATTGCCTCGACCGTGTTGTGCATTAAAACACTCCCAGAACTGGTGCCACCAGTCGTACAGGAAGCTGCCGTCTGAAGCGGCTGGCACGTTGGGTGAAGGCAGGTCGTCGGGTTTCTTGTTGTTGTCTTTGGAGTCGGTGTCCATCGAGTCGCTCACGCCATTGATGTCTTTGCGATCCGGGCTCTGATGCGGATCTAGGTCGAGATCGACAGTCTTGAGGATGCTACGGGCGACTTCGTGGTTGCCGTGCTTGAGAAAATAGTCGTAGATATATGTGTTGAGCTTCTGGCGGGATATGTCTCCACTGGACGCGTTGTTTGGCGTACCGGAGTTGGGAGTAGGCCCGCCCATGATGTTCATTGGTTGGCTCATGCCAAAGAGTGCAAGGTTGGTTCAGCCAGTTGTGCGAAAGTCGTAGGGAGATGGTTGTCGATGGGAATGTCTCGGACTCGGAACGCGCTCACGGACGACGAAGGCGAAGAGGTGGGTGCGACAGCCAGACGAGGAAGCAATCGAAATTGACAGAGAGCAGAGCAGGACAGAGGTGTCGACGCTACGGATTGGCGACAAAGGCGGACGCGGTGGCCGCTACGGAGTGGTGTGGTAGTGGTGGTGGTGAGGTCGCGGTCAGTGGGCAGCAAGCAGCAAGCAGCAAGCCGAGGCGTGAGTGTCGCCGATCGCAACACGGGGCACGGGTTGAGGCGCGCGAAGAGCAGCTGTCGTCGTCGCTGAAGATGCGCAACACAATCAAGGCGCAAGGGGAGTCGCAATAGCCTAGCGGCACGGCGGACGGGGCGAAGTGGATCAACAAAGGAAGAATGTGGGTGAGGTGATGAGGTTAGACTGGGGCAGAACGGACAGGGAGGAGGGCATCGGTTGACAGCCAGCGAACGTGCCAAGACCTATAGAAACGCACAACTGCTTCAACAGGAACCATTTAATTGCAAGGACAATGCTGTTGCCCGCCAGAAACAATGCCTCCTGACTATGCTCGCCGTCCGATTGTTCTTTCTTTGCCATAGACACGCACCAACACCCTTGTCAACGCCCATCTGGCGCCCACCAGTTCCACCGAGTCATAAATCACGTGCGTCTGGCATTTATCGTGCTTATGGTGCACCTCCTTATTATCCGCCTGTCAACCTTCAGGGTGTCGCCATGTCTATCTATATAGACCCTGTTCTGGATCACTGCTATGAACCCATGCCGGTATGTCTTTTCCGACATGTGAGATCTCGCGCTTGCATGTGACAGCTTTGCTATACCCTTGATTAGGGCCCGGGTGGGGACGCTCGGCCTCGAATTGAGTGACTCTGAGAGTTGACAGCTTCAAAGTAGACATTGTTCGTGACGTCGTGATACGTAAAAGTAGAGGACAGTTCAGAGTGCCCAGTAGGAGAGAGGGTTCGCCTCACTCATCGTCTGGTGGCATCTCGTCCTCAATGTATCGGATCAAGGTGACGCGGATTTCTGTCGTGTCGTTGCCACGAAGAACGTCGCTCATGAATTGAGTCTCGACTTGCATTTGAANCCTGAGGTGATTAGTCGACAGCAGACGACACAGATGGCTCGTACTGACCATTTCCAGAGCACCCCTCAGAACACCACAGAAGATGTTGGAATACCACAGTTCGTCCTGGGCCTTTCCGTCATCGGGCAACTCGACAAAGTCGGCCAAGGGGTTCTCGTCAAAGAGGAGAGTAAAGGACTTGTTGTCGGATGACCAGTTTGTGACAACAGGAGTAATGTTGAGGAACATTTTGAAGCCAACCTTTGAGATGACCTCGGCCGTCTCACGCAGGTTGGAGCAGGAACCTGAGTTTGACTTTGCCAGGAAGTCCTCAATCAGGCGCATGCCCATGTTGTATCCCATCTTGTCGAGTTGCTTGTTGACCTGGGCATAGTCGGCGTTGTAGTCTTTGCACAGCTGAGCGACGATGGTGCCATAGGTGAGGGTGACGAGTTCGGCATTGACCTTGTCAACGCGGGTCCTTGTCGACAGTGTCAGAGAGGGTTGCTAGACGGGGCGTAGTAGGGAGGCAGCCAACTTACTTCCACACCCTGTCGCATGTCAGCAAGCCTGAATTGTCTAAGACAGGTCGACGAGCACTCACTCTTCGCCGAGACGGGCAGCTTTGGTAGCCATGTCTGTGGTTAACGACAGACAAGAATGAGCAAATGCGCGAATGAGACGGGGTCGATGCGGCCGAGAGGCCCTAGGTCAGGCTAGGTCGAAGGGTGTCGTGTGGGGTCCAAGCTTGGTCGACCAACTCTCTGGTGGACCTTATTCTTGTAGTCGTAACTTTCTGGACTGCTTCGACTCTCAAGCCACTCGTCTCGCCTGCCCACTCCATCGCACATCATGTCAGAGAAGCGACCGGCGTCCAGCTCCATGGCTTCAGGCCAATTGGTCAAGCGTCAAAGGTCGGACAACTCTATGGCTCTGACTTCGGCCTCGCAGAATGGCGCCCTCATTCAGAGCACCCACCGTGGCCCAGCCTTGTCCGCTCCTGTCATGGAGCTGTCTGGTCACACAGGAGAGGTACTTGCTGCGCGCTTCAACCCAGAAGGAAACTATATCGCCTCGGCAGGCATGGACCGCAACATTCTCCTCTGGCGCACTTCCGGAGACTGCGAAAACTACGGTATTCTGTCTGGTCACAAAGGCGCAATCCTCGACTTGCAATGGTCGCGCGACTCGCGCAATCTGTTCTCTGCCTCAGCAGACATGCACATCGCCAGCTGGGACCTCGAGACCGCTCAGCGCATTCTGNNAAGACACCAAGGTCACGACGAGGTTATCAACGCACTCGACATCAGCCGTCGCGGCGAGGACATACTTTTCAGCGCTTCCGACGACGGCTATATAGGCATCTGGGACCCTCGCCANAAAGCTGCTGTCGACTTCATCGAGACTCGCTTCCCTGTCACTGCCATCGCGCTGGCCGAGGCTGGCAACGAATTGTACTCGGGCAGCATCGACAACGACATCAAGGTCTGGGATTTGAGGAAGAAGCAGGTCTCATATTCTCTGGTTGGCCATACCGACACCATTACCTCCCTGGCCGTTTCGCCTGACTCTCAGACACTCCTCTCAAATTCGCACGACAGCACCGTCCGCACCTGGGACATTCGTCCTTTCGCTCCTACCGAACGTCATATCAGAACCTTCGATGGTGCTACTGCAGGAATGGACAAGTACCTGACCAAAGCTACCTGGGATACAAAAGGAAAGCGCATCGCTGCTGGCAGTGGTGATCGCTCAGTCGTCATTTGGGAAGCCAGCACCGCCAAGTTGCTGCAGAAGCTGCCCGGTCACAAGGGTTCTGTCAATGATGTCCGTTTCGCGCCCAACGACGAGCCATTGAGTAAGATTATCCCGAACATGTTGCCTCTGACTCGTGCTAATTTGACCGCAGTGCTTTCTGCCTCTACCGATCGCAACCTGATCCTAGGAAGTCTCTCGACATGAGCACTCCTCGCAGTTACCAACGATAGAACGCCATAGACTCACGACATGCTTACGCATACCATTCCATTGCCTATATGATGCGACGACGCAACACATGTATCCTCCGCGATTACACATCGCAGCCAGTTAGGCCACATACCGATGCTGCCAGGACCTCGTTGAGGCCACGAGGAGGAAGGACGTCAACGCTTGCAGCATACCAGCCTTACTCACGTTCCAGCTTGATGGAATCGAGGAAAGGCCAAGGACATGTCCTATAGGTGGATTGACCATGATCTGGTTCAAAAGGATTCAATTGTGTACACTTCCAGACAATACTCTGCCAAAACGCTACCAAAAGTACATGACCCAGATTAAAATGCTAATATTTTATCCTCAAACAATATGCACCTACTGAGGGCCCTCGATGATCATCTTGATACCCTTGGCGGCGTGAACGTCCTTGAAGGCCTGCTCGGCATCCTCGAACTTGACACGACCTGTAATGAGCTCCTTGACGCTGAGACTGCCAGAAGTGATGAGATCAACGGCCAACTGGTAGTCGCCGGGTCCGTATCTGAAGGACCCGCGCACGTTAAGTTCCTTCGCGCACATTGCCATAATGGGCCAGTTGATGTCTGGCTTGCCCATGCCACCCTGGACGTAGGTTCCACCGGTTCTCAGTGCGTGGATGGCTGTCTGAATGCAAGGCTCGGCTCCAGTGGCATCAATGATGGCATCGGCACCCAGTCCAAGGTCGCACTCGTCTGTGAGGAGCTTGGCATTCTCCTGAGCGCCGACTCTCTGCGAGCGGAAAACGTGTGTGGCTGCGTACTTCTGGGCGAATGCAAGACGCTCCTCGTTGATATCTACAGCAACAATCTTGGTGGCACCGAAGGACTTTGCGACAGCCATGCAGAGCAGACCAACAGGGCCTGCACCGAAGACAACAACGCTCTGGCCAGGCTTGATGTCGGCCTGCTTGGTGATGTGGACACCGACACTCAATGGCTCGACCAATGCGGCTTCCTCGAGAGGAACGTGGTCTGCGACTTTGTAACAGAAGTCTTCGGGAAGGCGGTAGTACTTGGCAAGAGTTCCGTCATAAGGAGGGGTAGCTGCAAAGGCCATGTCAACGCAGAGGTTGTACTTGCCCTCTCTGCAGCGTGGGCATCTGCGACAAGGGACACCGGGCTCCATGGTGACACGGTCGCCCTTCTTGAGTGTTGTCACCTTGTCTCCTACTTCCTCGACAATGCCGGCTGACTCGTGGCCAAGTACCATGGGGGCCTTGACAACGAAGTCTCCAATAGCACCGTCTGTCCAGTAGTGCACATCGGATCCGCAGATACCAGTGTACTTGACGTTGACGATAACGTCGTAAGGATCTCTGAGTTGAGGAATAGGACGGTCCTCGAACTTGACGTCGTAGGGCTTCTGAAGAACAAATGACAAGTNTCTATACATCACACACCGTCAGCTTCCACTTTGCCATAGACTGGTATGCATGATTGGAAAGCGAGAACTTACCTTCGCATCTGCGGGGTTCACTTCTTGCACGGAGGCCATCTTTGGTGTTGCTGTGGCGGAGAAGCTTCTTGTGACCTTCTTGGAGTTGAGGTGGTATGCAGCGGCGGCGCAGCTACCACAGCTTCTTGTAGATTGAAGCTTGTATGTGGTTGAAGAAGGGGCGCGAATGGATGAAGCTCTAAGGCTTCTCTGTAGACCTGACTTGAAGACTTGAGACATGATGTAAGCAGTTGTGATGTGAATGGTAGTTGAATTGTTGACAAGATAACCAGACGAGTGACTCCGATGACAGAAAAATGTCAGAGAGAAAGGCGCAGAACAGGAGGAGAGGAGAAAAAAATCAGAATGGGCAAGAGCGAGGACGTACAAGAGGAATGTATGCAGGCTCAATTCGAGGATGATATCAAGCAGCTACGGATGATACAGAGGGCTTGCCGAAGGATCGGGTCAGAGTATGCAGAGTTCCAAGAGGGTGATAGCGATTGATTTTTACCAGGACAGTGGTACCGTAGCCTGCAAATGGCAGAAACCAGAAGCCATCCATCCTGTGAGTGCCGTCAAAGTTGCACCAGACTGAGCCCCACAATACATGTCATTATAGCCGTCGGATAAATTGCCCCGCCAAATCGATCAGCTCCCGTCGGAACCGCCGCCTGGCCCGCCTCTTGTCTTGTCTTCCGAACTCATAATCACCGAGCACGCCGTGCCGCCTGGACCGTAAGCCGTGACCTGCTGTGCGCGAAACAAACAGCCTGATCCCCGACCTTCGAGCATGCCCCTGAGCGCTGCTTCCGGGCTGGTGGCCGTACTTGCGGATCTGCCTAAACGAATTCAGATGCACACGAAAGCCCTCTGGAGATTATGTGCGAGCGTAGGTCCAACCTTCCCATGTGCTAAAGACAAGTCACAGTGTAGCTGTAGAAATGCACAATGTTTTCGCGAAGAACATGGTCTCCAGAGAAAATCGTGATGAAGGCTATCTCAATGGCTAGACTTGGATTCGAATTAAAACTGTGCATTTCGACAGCTTACAATAACCCTTGTACCTCAGGATGGAGAAAGGGTCGGTTGCAAAGCTGTGACTGTCTTTAGCACACGGGGAGGTTGGACCTACACTCCCAGTGACATAATATTATGCGACATGCAGAGATGCATAATCCTCACGAATATCAGAAAGATGCAGCAGAACTACGACATCAAATTCTGGGATCACTCTTGATCATCCTTAACGACATTGGCCATAGAATTGCTTCTCACAACCTCGACAGGGCTCCGGAAGCCATTTCTGCATTGCCATGGGTAGAACAGAGTGATGATCAATGTAAGCCCACCAGTGATAGCAGACGAGTAATTCATCGTTTCGGCGGATACAGGCATTCTAGAAAATGGTCAGTCTATGCAATAACCATGCAGAGAGCATCGCTTACGAGTAAGGGAAGCAGAAGATGACAATGAAACATGCGATATAGGCACATGCGATTGGCATGAGAATCGCAGCAACCTTATCCGGCATCCTGAATGGTCCGAATTCGATATTCTTGCGTCTGCTTAGCAGATGAGGGAGAATGGCGGCCAGGTAAGAAGCTGACGAGAGAATAATGAATGATCCTACGAAGGCATTAAAAGCCTGGAGAAGTCAGTTCTCGTGTCACTCTGAAACACAGTGCTTCCCTAGATGCTGAGATTGGTCACCCGCATATGTGTAGCTATAAGGACGCACGATGCTTTTGAGGAGTACCAATTATCAGGCATCGTCTCGTCGTGCATCCTTATAGCTGTACATATGCGACTGATTATAGCACACAGGAAGGGGAGTCATGGCTATACTTACCACCGCGCTGCCGAGATAGATGAAACCAAGTACAGTAGTGATGATGAGACAGGCAACAGTCGCTGCAAAGGATTCTCCCAGCGGGGAGAGATTTTTCCAAGTGTATCCGAGAAGGGAGTGGCACGGTCTGCAGAGCGTAAGTCAAAGTACACCCCATTTGATATATTTCGAGTTACTAACCACGAGAGAGAGTCCAGAGCATGCGTCCACTTGTTATATACGTCCCGATCGCATTCGCCACTGTAGGCTAGATTTGGGAGTATAGTCAGCATGAGCCGGAAGATACTGACGGCACAGAAGTGCTCAATCGACTTACCAAAAACACCACGATCAGTAAACCGCATGATCCGGCCTTCGACCCAGTGGCTTGTCTATAAAGCTCGGCCAAGGGATTGGTGTAAGGGTTATTCATCAAGGCATCAATGTCGTTGATGCTGTAGAAAATGGCTATGAGGTATGCAAATCCGGTGATGAAGCCGACTCCCATCTGTGCAGCGATGGCCTTAGGCACATTGCGAGAGGCGCGTGGAATCTCTTCTGCAAGATGTGACACGCAGTCTGGGGTACCCACGGAGAAAGCTCCATTGAGCATTCCTGTGATGAAGACAAGACCATTGGATTTGTAGCCAGTATTGTTCGACCAGGTTGACCAGACAGCCGCCGTGGTGGCATGGCCTGCGCCAGTCGTGGTAGGCATTATGGCACAGACCAGGATTGTGAGAAAGCAGCCACCGAGGCAGAGGAACAAGCCAATATTGTTGATCATGGGCAAAGCTCTGTTGGCGAACAGGACGACACCGCAGCATGACCACGAGATGATGATGTAGCAGATGAAGACATGCCAGCGTTCAGCGACATATTCAGGATGGAATAACCCCCACATGGCTAGGACCTCGTTTGCCAATATCGACGACATCGACGCGGATCCAAAGATCCAGGCCAGGACATTCCACCAGCCTGCTAGGAAGCCAAGGAACTTCGAGTATTTGGGTCCTGAGGTGGCAGTGGCCCAATGGTAGACACCAGCTGAGGACGGCATGCTGGATGCTAGCTCTGCAATGCAACATGCCACCATCCAGTAGAATACGCTAACCACAAGGAATTCGAAAAGCACGCCAGTAGGTCCTCCATTGTACAGTGCTACTACAATGGAACCGCCGAGAGCGCACCTAAATGAAGGACACAGTCAGCTTTTCTGCTCAAGAGAGGAGGATCGAAGTGTTTCAGCACTGAACGACCAGATTCGACATTACCATGTGTTGCCGGTCACGATTCCTACAGCACAACAGCTGATTATGTTGAAGTTGCGTTCGAGTTCTTGTGTGTGGCCGGACGTGTTGACGGTGATCGTGCCTTCTTCGACCTCGGGTTGGTCAGATCGACATGGCGTCAATTTATCTGCTGGATGCTTGGAGTCCATTTTGGTATGAGAATGGTCTCTGGACTAGTTCTAAGAACGAGAGAAAGTGCTCAGAGTATGTTAAGAGGAACGAGCTGGCACGCCTCAAGGATGTATGTTGGAGAAAGCAACACGGACAATAGAGGTGTCTTTCGAAGCTGATGGCAAGTTTGTTGGACAGGACAGAAGAGGCAGGCTGTTGGGCTGGACGAGAAGGTGTATTCAACTGGCCGTTCGGTGGCGATCTAGACAAGCAATGGTCTTTCATACTGTACCAAAAAGCATAACTAAGAACCTGGTGTGTACATCCCGTCTCTGACTGATAAGCGGAGATATGGGGAGGATAAGGGACTGTGCACCGTCCATCTCTTGCCGCTGCCTCTTTGGGATTGATGACCTTTTGGGGTGCGGGGAGAAACAGCTGCCGTGTTTGCCCTAGATGCCGATAGCCAAGTTTTATGCCATCTTATTACGATTTCTGGAGGTGCAACTCGATTATCCAGAAATTCGTTGATATCTTGTCTATGGTGCGAACCGAATAGGCAACTTCAGGAGAAAAAGGTGATAAGTTAGAGAAAGCAAAATCAAGTACCCGAGGATTCCATGTCTCTGGGTTTCACCTCGGCGTAGAAGTACTCGAAAACCAAATCCTGTCTTTTGCTTCGAATCATGGCGGATGCGCAGTTAGACTTGGGTTCTTGCACAATCTGTACTTACAGATTCCGGTGGCCCATTGACACCTTGTCTCTCCAAGCACAATGTCTTATCAGAATTGTGCGGGTTCCTCTAATCATAGAAGCCTAGGACTTTGTTCGCTCTGTCAAAAAGCTCCCTCTGAGTCTCACTCAAGCCCGCCGCCGAACTATCCCACTCCTGAAGGCCAAATGCAACCATGCCTGCATCTTTACCTTGACTTGCTGCTTCGACGTCCTCTACGCCTGGTCGACCGACGTGATCTGCCTCCCCAATCCCACCGCCAAAACCGGGACAGGGAAATCCTTCAAGAAACGCTTGTCGTTGGCGGGCAAGGAACTCTGCATTCCGAATGGTGAGGGGGCACGCAGGAATATACAATACGGAATTGTCAGCAGTACCCTCGTGCTTCTTGTCGACTGCATGTATCTGGTCGCAATGCCAGGCTACGTAGTCACCAGGTCTAACCTCGGGGATATGGACCATAGTGCTATCAAGCTCAAGATGAGGATGCAACAAATTACTCAGCTCCTGCCCCTTGCCCGGCGATGCACCTTGGAGCCAAGATGTTTGGGGCGAGTCCAGAACCCAGTTGTTCGGCGCAAGGAAAGATTCATCGAAAACTCCAGTTTCTGGATGCATTGGACCCTNTTTGGCAGAGAAGAAGGGTCGTAGAAGGTAGTAGGCCGTCGCATGCTTCAGCATCGGGTTCACCAGCAAAGTCCCTTCATGTGCCTTTGCAGTGCTTAGTGACAACCAACCTTGTGCGGCACGAAACATGCTGCAGGCTCCGACGCCCTGGTATAGATCCGAATTCACGGACAAACGAGAACTGATTTCCCAAGGATCATACTCTTCCCATCGTCCCTGCCAGACCGACTCGTAGACATGTCCATATCCGTTGGGCTCCCATCTTTCTGGACCGCCTCCATCGACATGGGGACCAAGAGCGAAGGTATTATCTCCTGGTGTTCGCATACGCAGTCGGTCCGCATAGACCGTCGGGTTAGATGTAGAAACCAATGAACCGGCGGTCTTCGAGTGCCAGTGAGAAAGAAGGAACCTTTGAGCGGCCAAGAGATATGGATGTGATCGCGCTTGGATCTGAGCTGGTGACCAGTATAGTTCATATACCTGAGGATTGTCGCTTGGAAAAGCCTTGGTTTGCGGGTTTGCAGCGATATACTTCTGGAGCTCTTCTTTCATTTCCATTGCCTCGACTGGAGGAATCACGTTTCTTATGATTGCCGCCCCTCGAGACTTGTACTCGGCGCTGAATTTGGTGCTTGCATCCTTGATGTCTCTAAAGTCAATTTCAGGGATAACCTTACTCTTGAGTGCTTTGAAGACTGCTATCTCTTCTTTCAAAGCATCGAGCAGTCGATGGAATGATTCTTGTATGACGTCTTCCTTGCCCGCGATCTTTTCACTCTTGAGAGTTGCAAAGCGTGGTTCCAGCGGTGCAGGGGCGAAACCTGAGAGAGAAGAGAAAGCATCGCTTATGTTACCCTCTCTCTTCTGTGCATGTGTTGCCATGGTCTCATGCCGACATTTGCGCAGTCTCAATGCATTTGACTGCAGCACCGCCCTGTATCGGCCCCGGAACATGCTTAAGGAATCTGCGTCAGAAATTTGAATGATAAAGGTCGAAAGCACGCCTTGAATCTGAAGACCAGAACTCTACAGCTTAGGTTCCGTACGGTCGTATGACTGCTCGTACGCAAGCGACAGGCTCGAAAATGTGGATGTCAGCCGGCAGCAGCACAGACAATTGTAGACGTTTGTCACAAGGAATTGCGGCCCGCAACCCCACTTCCTTGTCGAACGCGGCTAAATAAGATGCTTCACAAGTGTTCCGCCGTACTATGTTTGCCAAAAGGAGGTCAGTCAAGGCTCACATTTGTTGGCTCCATCTGAGATCTGGCTTCGTGTTTCCAACCGAGTCAATATCTTGGCTGCGTCTTCTACTAAAGTGTCCCCTCTCTTGTATCATTATATAAACTGCTCTCCTCTGTTCAGATTCGATCCAAGAGGTTCACTGATCAACCAAAAATACCATGTCTGGACCAACTCTTCCTGAGGATTTTCTGTGGGGCTTTGCTACAGCAAGGTTAGTGGCCGGACAATTGAAACATGTGTAACCAGACCATTGAGAAAGCACTTGTAGTTACCAGATCGAAGGGGCTCCTCATGAAGACGGCAGAGCAGACAGTATCTGGGACACCTTCTGCCGCATTCCAGGCAAGATTGCCGGTAACGAAAATGGAGACGTGGCCTGTGATTCTTACCATCGATACAAGCAAGATGTTAAGCTGCTAAAGGATATGGGTGCTCGAGCATATCGATTTAGCATTTCATGGTCTCGCGTAATCCCGCTAGGAGGTCGCAAAGATGCAGTCAACCAAACAGGTCTACAGTACTATATCGATCTTGTGAACGAGTTGCTTGCAAATGGTATTGAACCCATGGTCACATTGTTCCACTGGGACCTCCCTGAAGCGCTTGACCAGAGATACGGCGGACTTCTCAACACAGAAGAGTTTGTTGCTGACTTTGAGCAATACTCTCGAACCATCTTCAAGGCACTGGGAGACAAGGTCAAGTATTGGGTGACATTCAATGAACCCTGGTGCAGCTCGATTCTTGGTTACAACGTAGGTGCCTTTGCACCAGGTAGAACCAGCGATCGCTCAAAATCATCAGTCGGAGACAGCAGCACCGAACCTTGGCTGGTAGGCCACAATCTGCTCATCGCCCATGGTGCAGCCGTCAAGATTTACCGGGAAGAGTTCAAGCCGAGCCAGAAAGGCCAGATTGGAATTACTTTGAACGGTGGGTAGTTGGATATTGAAAACGCTATACCTCAAGCTGACTTGTTTNNAGGTGACTGGGTTGAGCCTTGGGATCCTAAAGACCCAAAGGACATTGAAGCCTGTCAGAGAAAGCTCGAGTTCTCCATCGCTTGGTTTGCCGATCCTGTTTACCACGGCGACTACCCCGAGAGTATGCGTAAACAGCTTGGTGATCGCCTACCAAAGTTTACGCCGGAACAGCGAGCACTGGTTCAGGGCAGCAATGACTTCTACGGCATGAACCACTACTGTGCGAATTATATCAAGCACAGGTCCGGCGAGCCAGAAGCACAGGACTACCTTGGAAATCTGGAATCTCTACTCTCCAACAAGGAAGGTCAAGACATTGGTCCAGTGACACAAAGCCCGTGGTTGAGGCCCTATGCTATCGGCTTTAGAAGACTACTCAAGTGGATCTCCGATCGCTATGGACGCCCCACCATCTACGTTACTGAAAACGGCACCAGTCTCAAGGGCGAGAATGATCTCTCCAAAGAGGAGATCCTCGAAGATGATTTCCGTGTATGGTATTTCAAAGAATACGTCACTGCCATGGCAGACGCATACACCCATGACAACGTGGATGTCAGAGGATACATGGCTTGGAGTTTGATGGACAATTTCGAGTGGGCCGAGGGATTCGAGACTCGCTTTGGAGTCACGTTTGTCGATTACAAGAATGGGCAGCAGCGGTTCCCAAAGAAGAGCGCAAAAGCCATGAAGGGGCTGTTCGATTCGCTCATGGTCGAGTCATAGCGGAGAGACACATGGCTAGCTGCGTTACTCGTAGAAGGTGCAAAGGTGACTAAATTGGTGCAAGCCACTCGTGCTGTTCACGCTGAAACAACAAGATCTAAGCAAATAGGAGTCAAATCAAGAATGCATTCCGGTGCTTGTTGAACGTCCTGTTGTCCCAAACACTCCAACCACCTTGAGAAAGATGAGAAAGAAGAAACCCATACTCCATGCTAAACAGTTTTGGATATATATATTAAACATCATGCTCCTTTGATATCTCCCAACGCCAGGCTGAAACTTGACAGAGCGCAGAAGCTGAAAGACGCTGCATGAAGAATGAGGAAAAGAAAAGGCTGGAAGATAGTCATCACGCCGTTGGCTGCCAAAGAGCGGCGGCTGCAGCGGTGGTAGAAGCGGCAACACCGGGGACAGTAATGGGTGCTGCTGTAAGACGAGAAATTGGTGACGAAGTATCGGAGTGACTCATGGGACCGTCGACAGGACGTGATGTGGCTAAGAGATGGCCACTTTCAACCAGTTCTTTGAGATAGGCTTCAAATTCTGGATCCATCTCGACGTTGAGGCCTTGCTGTCGCGCAGCAATGGCTGCCAAAAGGCGGCGATTCAAGTCGTGACCAATACTTTGTATACTATCGCCCACGTCTTCGTCGTCGTTGTCATCTTCGTCATGATCCTCTTCGGCATCGTCGTTTTCTTGTTCTAATTCTCGATCGATGCCATCTAGATGGCCATGGTCGTCCAGGAGCATGTCGACAGGGTGCCTGCCCTCGGTCACGTCGACCTTGGTGTGGACGCGAATCAAGGTCTTTTGTTTTGGTTGGATGCGTGGGTCGATCCACTCGGAGATGCCGTCGCCCGTCGTGTCTCTGACCTTGATGTTCTCGTCTCTTTCAAATCTCTGTCTTGCCCACAAGGTGCCCTCCCAGCGCACCAAGTCCATGACTTCTTGGTCTGTAATTGCCAGATAGTCGATGGCGCTAAACAGACGTGCATGATGGGGGAATCGACCGAGGCGCATGCGGTGAGGACCATGACAGTAGTTTAAGCCAGGGTAGCGAGCCTCGATGCTGTCCAGACTGCCATAGAAAGTGGCGGTTTCGATGCGAATTTCTGGAATCAGATCGCGCGCAAGATGGGTCTGAAAGTTGGGCGGGTCCGAGGGGCCAGGATGAGGAAAGAGGTGAGCGTACAGGAGTGAGGCCACAGATGTTTGCCTACGCATGATGGTTGTGATGCGATGGAGTCGAGCGAAGCGGTCTGAAATGGGAAAGACACGCCCAGGCAAACCAGATCACGGACACGATATGAGTAGACTCGGAGTCAGGACGAGGGTTGGGATGATGAATCTTTTCACAATGTTTTGAAGCCACGAGGGGGCACGAAGCGGATCGCTGAGCGTGGGGAAACAAAAGTTTCGTTTGGTGGAGAAGGAAAACACGGTCAGTGGGCAGGGGCGGTCGGTGGTGTAACGCTCAGTCCAGAGACTCGGTAGTCGTATGGTCACAAGGAAAAGAAGGAGACCTATTTGGCTGCAAAAGTACCGACGTCCGAAGGTCGCAAGATGGAGCGCTCCGGTTGTACAACAAGAAAATTCTACACCAACTAACTCCCCGGAGATGGGCGAACCTCCTTCCACGTCTGGCCCAAATGCGGGCGTTGATAATCGCGGGTTGCCGCGAGCTTAATTTGCCGTCATTTGTCTATTCGAGAACGTGTATCTTGCCCTGCTCCGACCTCATGTATTCACGTTGTACTTTTGTTTCGTGTCACCCACTTTCTGCCTGGTGCAGTCTTTGCACTTTTACACATTTGCCACTCTGCCTAATCCCATTCGCATCGACCAAATCTCACAGACTATCATCTAGATATCTGTTCTGTGCATACAAACAATAACAATAATACTAGATACATCTACCTGTCAGCCCTGTCGAAGCCGTAATAATCCGACCCTTGAAACGCCCTGCTAATTCATTCATCCGGGATATCGAAAATGCTTGATATTCATGTTCTCTTCTCTCCTTCTGACGCCATATCCGTTGTCCAGCAACTCGTTCATCGTCCACGTGCCATGCTTCTCTGTGCCATGAGGCTTTGCCGCACGATCAGCTCTGCTGCCGCATGCGCTGCCAATCTCTCCTNTTGCCTACTGCGATCTTTCAAATATCTTTCTGCCTCGGGCCGCATGCGTAGAATTCTCAAGATTATATCGTCGCTCGGTTCCGCCTGTGCCTCTTTGCGCTTTTCCTCCTTTGCCTTCTTCATTGTGCCAAGGTTGCGGCTAAGCATAATACTCTTGCTTCGTCGTGTACTGGGCACTCCCACTAAGCTCGCCGCTCCACTGAATGAGTGTTGAGCAAGTGTTGCTGGTGCCGACATTCGATTGAGCTCTCGTGTCTGTCTTGCCTGCTGCCTTGCTACCGTTGCTTTGGCCATCGACTCTGACGTCCGGATCAGATTCTCGGTAGATTCAAAATAGAAGAAATTCAGATTCTGCAGGTCGTGATATTTTGACGACTTGAGAATGTCCAGTGGCACTCCGTGTGCCGTGCCATCNNCCTCTTCATCAACAGCGTGGANAAAGTCAAACAGCATTTGTAACCATTTAAAGACAATGTCCAGCTCCTGCTGTGTCAGTGGTCGCTGTTGAGAAGGCTTGTCAGAAAGCGGAGGCACAAGCAACGACTCGATTGTAACAAGGACTTCTTTCCAGAGTCGTGTCATGACCATCACCATTGCCGAATCCGTTAGCGTCTGTTTCATGATCGCAAAGTTATCATCGAAATAAGTGAAAAGAGGCTTTAGCGCATTCGAAATATCAATCGGAGTAGGTCCTTGGACGACGGATTGTGGTCTGGCTTTCTGGAAATACCCACGGACCGTGTTGATGGATATCCCCTGATTAAGAAGACCACGTAGAGCTCTGCGTGACAAGACCTGTTGGATATATGAGGAGAGCTNTGAAATCAATCAGTTTAGTAGCACAAAACACAGTATTGAGCATCCACATACCTTGTCTGTAATCTTTCGTGTCATGTCGCGTTCGCTCCGCTTGAGCGTGCGGAATGCCTTGCCAAAATAAAACTGGATATCATCCCTTTCGCCTTCCATGCTTACGCGTAATAGCAATCTACCCTGTGTATCAAGATCAAGCCAAAACTCTCGTGGCATGTAATCACTAAAGTGTGATGGATCCAGCTTCAAGGACGTTCGGCCTACGCAGTCATGATCACCCAAAGCATCCCAATCCCAAATTGTGGCAATGATGTTGAGGGGACCCTGTGTACTGATATCAACTGTCTCATCCCAGCGTGGGTTTAGGCTACCGTAGACAATACGAGTCTTGGCCAGGCGTTTCTGATATTCGTCCCCAAGCACAACATACGGATCACTCAATCCGTTCATGTCACAAGCCTTGAGATCTTCAGCCTCGATGATCTTGATGGTGAATACAAACTTGTTGGCCTGGCGAAGCTTGACTGGATTAATCGGAGGTGCGTGTTTTTGAATGACGTCTGCACAAGCGTCTACATTGATCTCCTTTTCCATTTTGTCCAATTGGAGTGTTGTATACTCGATGTTGTTCAGCTTGACAAGCGACTCGGGTAAGAATTGAAAGGGTTCAACCTTTTCCTTGTTGGCCCATGTGTCTTTGGCCATCTGAACCCACTTCTCCTGTCGTGTCTGACGAGATGCAGCTTCCTGTTCGGGAGTCATGCGGTCCATCTCCTTGACAAACTTTTGTTCCACAAGCTCGCAGTACCTGGCGATACCGAGACCGATGGATTTGGAGATGGCTGTCATGAACTTGGCATATTGCAAATCATCGTCCCATTCGAGTTTGATGATTTGATCAATGGTTTGGCTGAACGAACGAAACATGTCGACTGCAGACACACTATGGCGCTCTTCATCTGTAGGAACATTGTCTGGATGTGAAGTGCGGACCCTAAAGTCATCTTGGTTGACAGCTCCTTCAACCCATCCTAGCATGTTTGCATCGGTCATGGCGATCCACCGCCATACAAAGTCTGCCAACAAGCCTTCAATGTGGAAAGCAAATGGAACATTGGGAAGCGCTTGTGAGTGGACTTTGCGGATGCTGACCAGTTCTTTGTATAGGTCGAAGCCATCTTGGACCGGAACGTCTTCACCACGGCCACGAACGACCTCGATTATGCGTGATACGAGGTCGCGAGCATCTGCGGCGAAAGACGGCAAAATCTCCTGGACGAGGGCCGTCAATGGGTTGACACCCATGATTTCAGGATTCTTGCGATAGCGTTTTTGGATCTTGTCGGCGAGCGTGACTACAGCTTTGCCGAGTTGTATGACATGATAAAACTCCCAAGATTCTGCGTCTTCGGGTACGTGCTTTGACAGCATACCGTTGTAGGCCTCTCTCGCTGTTTGTCTCAGCGCGTCGTGCAAAGCTACTGTAAATTCGTCCAAATCTTCAGGAGTCTTTGCAAAGAGAGGATCGTCGTAAACATGAGTCTCGAGGATGTACATCACAGACCCAACAGATGGAGGCTTGGGCTCGTAGCAATGTTGCAGAAGCTCGAAAAGTTCTCTAAGAAGCGCATCATGAATTGAAGAAAGGGATTGTTGCTGTAGTGAGTAGTCGGAAATTGTCCACTTCGATGCATCGAACATGAACGAGGGAGTCATTTGACTCATACGATTTGCTTTCTTGACTTCGGTTGTGGGCGTCTTGACATACATGAACGCGGCATCGAGTGTGTCCAAAGTGATCTCTTGACGGTCAAACTTTTCCCTGACAATGTCCAAGAATAGTGTCATTCTGGATGGTTGAGGGATGCGCCAACGCAACGCTAGCTCGTTGAGGAAATCGATGGACTGCTTGGAAAGTAATTGTATCTCTGGCCCATCTACGCCTTCAGCTTCGTCGTCTTGGAAAAGATCATTGTCCAAGGCCTTTCTGAGGACAGCACGATAATATGCCCTTGGCTCGGGTGGAATATATGTGAAGGCTGTGTCATCACTGACCGACTCTCGTGGCGAATTGTTTAGATTTAGTGCACCTAGATCAAAAGACTGGTCTACCGAGACAGACGTGTCGACATCATCATTCGAAGCCAGGGGTAAAGGTTTTATGGCAGCTGATCCAGTCGTGCTCTTTGCAAGCTCGGGGTTGGACTGGATGATGGCCAGCATGAGCTGTGAGAGGTCTTGAATTTCGGCCTTCTTCCAAGTCTCGTAGGCATCTTCGAGTTGAAAGTCCTGGCTGCTGAGTGTCCTACTAGAATTTAGACTGAGATGCATTTGGTACAGCTTCAAGTCTTGTATGGCAGCCTGCTCAGTCCATACAGTCTTGTGTAAATCAATATCAGCCTGAATCTGATCGTACGAGATGCCAAATATGTTTGCAACACGGAGGACAAGAGGCATATCTTTGACTTCTGAACTGCGAGGAATCTCAACTTCAATGGTGGTGCTGCCAGAAGGCTGAGAAGAGCTGGTCAGGTCCTGAGCGTGTACCAGCAACTTGCTCTCTAGTGTCTGCAAGCGAGAGGTGAGCTCAGGACGATCGCGCGCCCAGTCGTCCTTCTTTAGCGTGGAACTGATGAGGCGCACGAAGAGAGCAACATGACGATCGACCATGAGCTTCCATGAGTCGTCTTCTGAACCCTTTCCCTNTTGCAGCTCCGAAGTGGCTTTGGAGAAGAAGATCAAGAGGAGATCTTCGACACGACGGTCTTNTTCCATGGACTTGCGAAACGTGGGATTCTTGAATTCGTTCAGAAAAGTGGCAANGGTGCGTTTGACCAGAGGGTCATTGAATTCGGGCATGCGCTCTTTGCCGACAAGGACTCCTGTGATGCGCTTGTCCAGCTCACCAGTAAAGCCATGTGGAAGACGGGTGCTCTTGGAATCGCGGATCGAGGAGAAGTCTTTGACCAAGTCTGTGATGGAGGTGGACGAGCGCGAGACGGGCTTGACGGGCTGAGCGACGTGTTGGATGCGACGAGCCTTGGGCTGTAGGAGATGGGAGAGGTAGGCGGTCCGTAGGGCAANAGAGTAGGCATCGTGCTCATCGACCAGCCTACGCGCAGGTTGTAAGCTTTGCACGCGGCGGCCTGTGACAGATGAGCGAGCCGACGCTGGCGACATGGTCTTTGTTGTATTCAGACGTCCAGCAGCTGTTCAACGAGGGTGGGACGAAGGAAGCGACTTGTCTAGGCGAACATTTGTTGGCTATGAGGGACCTGCCAGTCGGTCTTGACCCTGGTGCTGGCAATCTTGGTAGTGGTGGTAGTAATCTTGAAGCGGTTCGAATCGGTGTTTCAGCTGCTTCTGCTTGTCTACGAGCACCACCCACAGGAAAAGTCACCAGGACGACGCTTCGCAGCTGAGAGACTAAGTGATGAGGTTTTGGCGGATGCGTGTTTTCTTACTCTTTCTCCCCTTTACCAGACCCTTTCTGACCACAGCTTGGGTATCCACAGCGTCTCACGCGTCATACTTAATTGGCCATTCGCTCTCCCGCTAGGTGATCACCCGTTGCAGCACTCGCCGCGTTTCAGCTTTTTTCTTGGCTCCCACCTTGTTACAGTCCAGGTGGCTAACTTTGGACCATCGAACAATCACGTCTTATGGGACGCCTTATGCTTTTCTCAAAAAGAGTTGATGCTTTGACATGTGTCCTGTAGACGTGTTGTGTGTTTGGCCATCAAACCCTTCCGTCACGACAGAGCAGTCAATGGCTTCGTAAAGTCAACACTGGCGCCACGCCTTCCTGCTGACACCACGCTGCTCTCCACTTCGAAAGCTCCTTCTCCATCTGTCGCCTGCCACATATCAGTCCTTTTGATTCTCACACTCACTTGTCATCACGCGCCTGCCCATGAACCACTGAATGAAGACTGCGTTCCGACAAGCAACCGTCACTTGCCTCTAATCTCCGTGCTGCTGTGTTTTTCTGTCGTCCTCTATATCACCTCTTGCCCGCTTCCATCTTGACCACCACTTACAACCTCGCACCATCCCATTCACCCTGTTGCCTTTACTCTCTCTCTTTGCAACTCAACCCACGATCTCATCCTTCGTCTGCAAGCCATGGCCAATAACAATGCTGGCGCCAACTTTGCCGACAAGCCTCGTTTGACAGAACAGGAAAAGAAGAACAACCACATTGCATCAGAACAAAAACGCCGTCAAGCAATTCGCGAAGGCTTCGACCGCCTTGCCGAGATTGTGCCCGGCATGTCAGGTCAGGGTCGCAGCGAGGCCGTCATGCTATCAGCCACCGTCACGTACATGAGATCTCAGCTCGCCAAGAAGGATGCCCTCAGGGAAATGGCTGCAAAACTGAACGTCAGTGACGGCGATTTCGAGCAAATGTATCGTGAAGAGCGTGCCAGGATCAATCAAACCTATGATCGCTCATGATCATTGCCAAACATTGCTTCCTTATGCTTGTGCCGTGTCACATGCCTCTGCTTCAACTTGTTGGTGTGTTTCATCTCATCACTTTCACTGGCGCCTGTCGACTGACAACGACGGAGTAGATATGCGACGCATCTTTTTCTCGCTCTTGGGCCTTGATTCACTTTTGCCAGTCTTGAGGGCTGTTGCTTCTACAGCCAAACATCACACATCTTTGGCCGCTTCTCATCGCACCTGCTTACCATGTCCATCGTCGACATCGAGAAACATGCTCACAATACATGCTTGGTCCAACCTATAGCATTTGCCATTCATCGCATTGATCTAGATTATCTCTTGCAGCATTATCGGGCCTGGTGGATCTCATTCTTTGCCTTCACTTTTTGCAATTGGAAGATAGACACTACTACTACCATCACCAATAGCCTAGCTTCAACAATGAATCCAACTTCTATCAGTCCACGTAGTAGCTTGCCGCTTCGTGGTCGACTCTATCCGCAAAACATTAAGACGCGTGTTTGTCGGTGCCCATATCCCCATCTACCCACACAATGTCACCGGTGAGGCGGATGATTGGATCTTTTGGGTGAACTTTGCACCTTGCAAGGCAAACCTTGAATGAATTCTGAACCACAATACTGGAAAGCAGAACCTTCACTGCCTAAATGGTTCGTGTGCAGAGCCTTGAGGATCTAGATTCCAATACGCCATCCAAGGCAGGGTGGCAGTAGAGTTTCGACCGTTGGGGCACTTGCAAGAGAACCAGGTTCACGCTTGATCAGCAGAGACGGGTGTAGTCGGACACGTGTATCGCATGTAACTTGTGCATACGGCAGCCAATCCCGTTGCTCGATTTAACAGCCATGCATCACTCGATTCTTGCGCGGAGGTCTCTCGATCGAAACGGTCTGCTGGTCGACAGAGCAGAGGCGCGGAAGAAATCTGGTAGGAGGAGTGACTATTAGTTCGATACTTACCGGCTGCCCTTTTAGTCCAGCAAGTCCTGTGTAAGTTAATCTACGGTCCAAACGTTTGTCGCGCTGAGTCGCACATGTTACGGACGTAAATCATCGAGTCAAACCGATGTCTTGCATGGTCGATCGTTTGGTTACAGTTTTCTAGAAGCCACACTCATCGCCGAGAGTGGAACTCTTTAGAATCCTCCTCAGCAAATCACAATCTAGGGGCAGCAGGGCCAGCAGCCGGTGTCATGCAGAATCATTAAACCTGCAGCAGGAGATGGCTCTGACACAGGTGCAAATCGTCAAACAATGATACAAATGGCCCCTTGCGAGGTGCTTTGATTGGCGCCATGGCCTGGCCGCTGCACAGTTGCACTCGGGGCAAATAAAAGGTGGTTCGGTGGTGCCAGCACAAGCCACAATAGCCGTTAGACGGACGTCTCCCGGAATTCTAGTGCATGCCACGGACGACGCGGGCGACTCATGATCTCGGCCTTGGGGCGTTAAAGCCTCGTCGTGCTGAGCCTACGACATAAACCCATGCCCGTCACCTCTTTTCAAAAGTGTCAAGCCTCTCTTGCAGTTATTGCCATCATTTCGAGACCAGCAAGTGATTCGACAAACGCTTCTCGCATACGAAACTTTTTACACTCCTGGATCAAGCTCTTTCACCATGTTCGAAAACTACACAGTGACCGCATCGCGTCATCCGTCATCGCTACCACTCAGTTGTGATGGCTTGTTTGGACCTGACTGGACTCTACCTCGTACTTCATCACCACGCGATTCTCAAATTTCCATCACACAACTCTCGCAACAATTCAGCGAAATGCGCTACACATCGCAACCCTTCTTTTATCCCCAACACAAGCCATCAAATGCCGAGTGCGAGCTGGACTCGACATTAAGCTCTGCTGATTATGTGGGTTCGCTATCTCCTTCTAGGAGGCGATCTCACAGGCAGCATGGTGTACGAATGCTCTGCGATCCGTTCCACCTTCGCAGCATTCAAGACATGGTGGACAAGATGGTCCAAACTGGAGATCAATGCGCCATATCATCACCTCGGGCTTCAACCCCATCATCTACGGAGGATGAAGGTTACAGCAGTCTCGACGAGAACCGACGCAACGGCTCGATATCTTCAGTCTCGTCTGCTGAATCTGGCGCGTCTTCATTGTCGTTCAGACGTTCCGTGGATTCCATCACTGGTGCCTGTGTCTCGAAAAACGTTCGCGTCAAGAAGGCTCGCAATGCGCGGAGTCTTCCCAAGTAGACATGAATGGGTAGCGGAGGATGAAGTTGTTGGTTACTAGGCTGGAGTTTGGGTAGTTTCTGGCCCTTGGGATATTGGCCAAAGGCGTGGTGACGAATTATGACTGGACATTGGATTGAACTGGACCAGGAGGATACAACAGGCATCGGGCAGTTGCCTTTTTGCAGGCGTTAATCGCAAACTGTCAGAGATACCCACTTAGATGATTTTAATAGCTGAGAATGATACGGGTCACTCAGAGCAGCTGAGAACTGCAAATCCATATGGTGTCAAGACAAATTTCTCGGACAATAACAAAAACACGAAATGCAAGCGGAACAAGTCGCAAGTACCCAGCTAAGCAGCGTCAAAGTAGAGTGAGTGACGGTCGAGTCTTCAAAGTTCAGACTTTGGCCTCGGGCGTTTTGCCAAGATCTCAAAGTCGTTTGTTTGGCATCTGGTCTCTTGAACTACTCGAGTACTAGGCTCGTCGCAAGCACCCAAAGTCCCGTGGCCGAAGATGGCACTCTCAGGTCTCATCAGACCAATCAAGAGTCGCGCGGTGCACTTGCGTCTGCATCCGCGTGTAGAGACACTGGCTGAGAGTCGTGAAATCCTCAAGCTGATGCAACGATATGGACGAGTCGAAATGTTTCGCAACTTCAAGTACGACGCCCTTCCCGTGGCCAATACCATGATTGCCATCTTTGAAACGGACGAGGCGGCGCAAAAACTCCTCGAGGAATCACCATTGCGCTTTGTNCGCGAAGGCTCGGGAGACGGGCGACAGAGGCACTACCAGCTCCAGGCAAACACCTCGACCTTTCACCACCGCGATCAAATTGATCAGACCGTCTACAATGGCTCCTACAAAGTCNNGACTAGATGCCTCGTCCAAGAAGATTTGGTCAAAAATGTCCCCATGCTAGGCTTGAGCGAGTTTACCCTGCAAAAGGAGGAAAAGCCATGGAGAGTGTTGCGCTGGGAAAAACAAAGAGAAGACAATACAAAGACCTTGAGGCAGCTCCTCGAGGAAGGGCCTGCTTCCAACAACAAGTCCACCACAACGACTGAAGCGCAACAAAAAGTCAATTGACTGAGACTACCATTACGACTGCCAGAAATAAAAACACAGATGCCACGCTCGCCCCCTTCTCTCACTGCGGTGTACAGCCCTCGTCTCGCAAAAGCTGGATTGCCTCCTTTAGATCCGTTGCCTTGTCCTCGCTGCCCAGCTGCTCCAATCGACCAAACACCTGCGCCTTGGCCAAGAATTTGGATCTGTAACCGTCCCGTGCTGTAATGAGACGTCCACGGTAGTGGTTCCGAGGCAGGTGTCGAAGCTCTGGAGCAACACTCGTGTCTTGCTCTTGCTCTTCCTTCTCCAACATTCTCTCGGCCATGACACCGCCACCCTTTCGAAACGCATACAATGAATCACCACATACCATCCTGATCAAGATGTGATCGGCACCATCTCTCTTTTGGTGTTCTTCTTGCAGCTGTGCTATGTTCAGCACTTGCATCGTCTTACGATCGGCAATCTGGTCCTTGAAGACGTGGCCAAACTGATATAGGACTGTATGGCCGTCCCTTTTCATCAGAGTTGCAAGTGTCGTAGCCGCTGTCACAATTGATATCAATTGGTGCTGCAACACGTTGAAGTCCTTTTTCGCATTCTGACTATCGAGGTGGTAGAGTGGATTAAGTATCTCTGCGATCTGCAGGGCCAGTTTGAGGTTGGCGATTTGTCGCGCTTTGCATTGGTTGATGTCGACTCTGTGATGGAGTTCATAATTATTGATGTACTGAGCACGTTGGTCCTCTCTATAGAATCCNNTACCACGCAATTAGTTGTTTGTTCGCAGACATGTGTTTTCTGCCAAAAGAGACACACCATCCTCGTTTTCTTGGGCCTTTTCCATCTGCTCCAGCCTTTCCATCAAGTCAGGAGGTCCACCAAAGAGGAGACTACCAAAGACATGTCGTACCAGAGCCCTGTGGATGATGCCGTAGCTGAGACCAAGACGACAGTTTCGTTCTGTGACAACCTGTTGCCATGTTCCCGCGTCGCCACCGCCTTCGGCAATGGCCCTGCAAAAGTTGATGAACTCCAAGTTGTTGTCATCACCAACCATCTTCACGAGGTCAGGCTTTTGGACGTCTCGATAGAAGAACTTGGTGCAAAGCTCGTGAATGTTGTCGCGGATCTNTTGCAATGTATCCATGACTTTTGCGTCTAGCTCATTGTCTTTTCTCTCTTGTGGTGTGAGATATTCTGGAGGGACTGGGTCTGCGGCTCCGGGATATCTGGGTGGCGCTCTCATTTGCCCTCCTGAAATCTCTTCCGAATTGGAAGATGCTGGTGCAGGGCCTCTAGAGGTACTTCTCCGAGCCTGGTTGGTAATTTCTCCAGGATCTCTGTGCGAATCAACCCTGGATACACTGCGCTTGTTTGCACTCCTCGACCGCGCTGATCGGACAGTTGAACTTCGTGCCTGACGGTCTTCTGTTTGCAATTGATTGGCGGCATCGACATCCATTTGCTCTTCGCGGTTGCCGTCGATTCCCCATTGGGTGGCTTGTGGGTCAAAGGCAACCACCTTCTTTCTTGGGCTGATCTGAATACGACTTTGTGACGAAGGTATGTTGTAGTTGTAGTTGAGATCCTCACCCTTTTCCTCTTCCTCCTCCTCCTCCTCCTCCTCCTCTTCTTCTTCCTCTTCATCTTCTAGGTAGTTGGAAAGATCAAGTAATGCGCGTGACATGATTGTGATGTGCGTAGAATCAGTGCAGTTCAACGACAAAGGTGGTGCAGTTGTTTTTCATGAGAATTACAGCTGCTATGTTGAGCTTTGCCATCGGCCGGCTGAAAGAGTTGTGTTATGATTGCTGCCCTTGATTGCATTCCATTGGTCGGAATGTAATCGAACAAGGAATGGGTGCAAGTATCGTGGTCATTTTACCAAACATATACGAGGATACTCCAATGTATAACATCAAATCGAAGCTAAAACTACACAGTCCCTGAACACTAAGTATTAGGCTTACTATCATTGCAGTTGATTCGTGGTCGACATCTGCTCGATGCTTTTGATATGTTGCATCATCTCTTAGCTGTGCTGATCGAGTTTCAGAAAGCTGTAATTGACAGATGCGTCATTCACAATTCTGCCAGAAATACTAGTATCAGAAATATCCTGAGTGATTGTTACAGGGTTTGGGAGACAAAGAATGTGTGACGACCACATCCTTCATGATGCAATAACCCTGGCCGCAGGATTAATGGTCGTGGCATCTAAAGATAGCTTGAGAAATGCTGATGAAGCGCAGGTATGCTCAGACTGTTTGCCTTGGCAACCAAGGTACGTGAATTGGGGTTAGAAGATGTTTGGAATGAACGGATGCTGAATCTCAGGTCGCCTCATATACTACGTGAGCTCCCTCACGTTCTTTGACAATAACGGCGGTCGGCGTATCTAGACCGCAGACTTACTTACCTCCTTTTCAAACGAGTGGATGAGGATATGGGTGCAGAAAGTGTAGATTGTGGATTAACAACACAAAAGACACATGGTATACAACATTGGCGCTCTATCCTCTCAAGTAAGAGTCGATACTTGGATGTTCTAGGTAGAATGTATTAAGAAGTTGATGGGTTCATGAGCTCATGAAATGGCATGTCTTATTTTCAGAGCTGTGGTAGGCGGCCTTCGACGCTCAAGATGCTTGGGCCGCGATTCAGTCAAGCATTGTCTTCAGAAAAGTACTGTGAGCAAACGAATCAGCGATGCGTCGTTGCGTAGATGGGGCCAAAGTTCTGAAGCACAGAGTCCTTATCAAGGTGCCACTTTGAGGACAAGGCTGGATTTTGTTCAAAGGGAACACCTTTCTAACAGACCACAAGTCGAGGGTTACACACGGACGAGAGTCCGTCTGATTGTGTGTATTCTTGATTGACATATGGATAGGTTTCGCTAAGATAATATAACATGACAACCATGTTCGCGATTGCCCAATGCACGTTCCATATCTAAAATGATGTATATGCTGTCGTATTGCGCAAAAAGTCAAACGTGACATCTCCGTTTGAGGAAACGAAAGAATGTGAGCTGTGAGCCTGTGAAACGAAGCCCACCAATTTGATTTTAATTGCTCGCTACAAGAGCCAAGCAAGGGAAGCGGGGCAGCCTTTCGTGGTGGAGCAAATGGTCAAGACAAAAATCCTGTCGGGCAAAATGCTGCTCTCAAGGGTATTGCCTTGGGGAAAACAAACCTCGCAGACAATCTCCCAGCGGGCCGTTCGCACGCCGGACAAATTACAGAATGTCGCATGACGGGTCAAAAGACGACAGCAGCTTCATCAGAGCTGGGACCGAAGCCACAGTTCTCGAGCCGCTAGGAGCTCGATTGTTTCAAGCGAAAAGTGAGGGGCGCGCTCTTTGATGACGGACACGGCATGCGTAAGCGCAAGGATAGGCGGCCAGGTATGCTGCCCAGTCGTGATGGTAAATGAGTCCGTCGTACAGCACACGGGACAAGGTTCCGACGGCAGCAGGGCAAGCAGAAGACAACGAGAGCACAGAAAAAGGAGTGGCAGGGAAAACAGAGCTCGTTGCACCATCTGTCAACTCTCAGGACATGAATTTGTTGGCGCGCTTGTGTGCAGTAGTCGGCTGTCAAGACCTTCGGCTCGCGGGTACCCGCTCGTAGTCTGGGAGGACCCTTGCCTTTTGATCGCCATCGGGAGGGAGCGCATGCCTGCGGGTCTTCTAACGGCTATCCATGTGTTGCAAAGCTGGTGCAAACAGTGCTAGCACTTCGTGAGACTATCCGGCGGGCTGGTTGCTTTGCCCTTTATAAGACCCAGCGCGAGCCATCGCCAGTCAAAAGATGTTCATCCATCGTGTGTACACTCTCTCAGTCGTCTTCTGACTTGTGTCTACTGCGGCAGATTGTGGTATTTTAGCCAGGTCGGTGAGTGCATAGGTGCCAACAAAAAGACACTTGACAAGGCTAACAATTCGCTCGTAGAGTTATAGTCCTCTTCAAAGCTTGGCCAGCCTTCCACGCCGCCGCCGCCATTGTCGCAGACTGCAACAACATCCTTGCCCGCACTACCCTCGTTTTTCCGCGGGACAATCCCTTACCAGCCATTCGACAACACAAACATGTGTACGAAAATCGTTCACGTCTTCAAATGCGGTCATCAGCAAGTCGACCTGGCTCCCTGCGCTGCGTCAAGAGTCGCAAAGTGCCCCAATTCACAAGACAAGAAGATCAATCACGATCAACGCTGCTCAAACTGCCAAAGATGACAAGGTGAGGGAGGTCCTTCTAATTGAGCTAGGTCCAATCATCATTGACAGAACTCAGTCTCAGTTGCACAGTACGGGACGATGGGAAGGCAGACGGTCCACTCAAAGGCAATGTTTAATGGTCTACGAATCGGTTGGTGACAAGGCCTCAGGCGGCATATTGACTTGTTTTTGGTCCTTTTCTTCCCCTGCTTCATTCGAAGTCTTATGATGAAGATATCATCTCTCGGCGTTCGGCAAGTCAAAAAGGGCAGGTTTAGCGTGGCGTATGGTTTACTTGGTGCGGTCGAAGCTTTTCAGCGAGCAGTTTGTACTAGAGAATATTGAATATTGTTATAAAGTCACACATACAGTACAATGCGTTGTTGCGGGAAGAAGACAAGGAGAGCTGTTTGCGGCAAACTTTGAACATGCATCTCAGCATGCGTGGACATTGATGGAGTGCGAATGAAATGATTGATCGTGCCGTTGTTGAATTGCTACAGCATGATCAAAAGTGAGCTGCATCTGATACGTACCTCTTCGCCCATGTCATGATTCTTGAGTTGTCACAAACAAAACAGCGACTGGCTGTCGAGAGCCGGTACGGGCCGAGTGAGCATTGCAGGATACAGCAAATGGCTGCAGGCGCTTGGGCAGCTTTCCACTGTCATGCCAGAGCCTTAGGATACGTGAAACGTGTCTGCAGGGACACAGAAGCATCTATCCTTTTGGCCCAGAGCTTGATAAATTACTCCAAACGAGGACACGGGCTGTGAGTGATTGCAACGAGCCGAGTTGCGCTGAGTAGGAGAGATAGATGGTAAAAGTGTCGGTGAGATATTTGAACGTTCGGGAAGTTCATAGTTGTAGCTGGCTGGAAAGTGGAGAAGGAGCTCGCAGCCGAGAATCCGCCTCGACTTGCCGTTCTATCGCAGCGCTTAGAGGCCCGACGTCTGGTCACTTTTCTGACGGCAAACATGTCGATAGAAATCAATTGGGATACTCTCACCACGGGCTCTGATGGCGAAGCGCTGGCAGAGAGTATTAGGGCCTTCATTCATGATCGCTTCCAGAAGATTGCCCTTCCGCGTATGATACGCTCTGTCAAATGTCACGCCTTCGAGTTTGGCAGCGTTGCTCCAACCATTGAGCTCAAAGACGTCTGTGATCCGTTACCCGACTTTTACGAGAACGACGCCGACGATAGCCAAGAGGACGACGAGACTCCTGGTCAAGCCGATGATAACCAGCATAATGTTGCTACTCCCAGGGTCGACGAAACGCGCCCTCACTATCAGCACAACCCATCCTTGAGCCGCGATGAATTTCACAATCCTCGCTTGACAAATTCTCGAGAACACGTAGGAAACCCAATTCTATCAAGGACAGCCACGCCGGGCATTCTGGGAGGCACCTCGAACTTGGGCTATTTTCACTTGCCACTATCAGCAGGCCTCTCAGGTACCACGACCCCACTGGCCGCTGTGGCCGGCGCACAATTTCACAATGCGCGACATGGTCCTTCGCAATTGGCTCAGTCACCAGAGAGTAACTACTCTGACACCGAGACGCGGCACCGCTCAACCTCGTTCGGTTCTCTGACCCCATCATCCTCAAAGTCATCCTCACGTCCAACCTCAGGACATTTAGACTGGCCCGAGGATTCTTTGCATCACGTTGAGCATGACTCGAACGCATCCCACCATGGAGCTGGTGAGGAGCAAGAACGCAGCCCAGAAGATGTTCAAATGGTGTTTCACGTAGCCTACTGTGGCGACGTCAAGCTGAGATTGACTGCCGAGATATCACTGGACTATCCAATGCCAAGTTTTGTAGGCATTCCATTGCAGCTCAACATTACCGGTCTCACGTTTGATGGTGTCGGGATCTTGGCTTATATCAAGAAAAAGGCCCACTTTTGTTTCCTTTGTCAAGAAGATGCCGAATCCTTGATCGGTGCGTCATTGACAGGAGAGCATGAGGAGCACAGCGTCGATTCACCACAGGTCTCACGGAAATTGGGAGCTCTCTTGGAAGAGATCAAGGTCGAAAGTGAGATTGGTCAACGTGAGGGAGGAAAGCAAGTTCTCAAGAATGTGGGGAAGGTGGAGAAATTCGTCCTCGAACAGGTGCGTCGCATCTTTGATGACGAGTTTGTGTATCCCAGCTTTTGGACATTCTTGGTATGAGAAATGTCCTGGCTTGCCTCAGTACCAGGGGTTTGATGCGTTTTCCATATCTCCTGATCTTCGCAACTGGAATGCTGTCGGGCTCTTCTTATTTGTTTCCCATGCAAGCGATCATCAAACCCCCAGTCTCATTGGTTCCTGACACCGCTTGTTGTATGTAACAAGGTGCAGTCTGCAGAACCCGACAAAGGCTCCCTACAGCTGTCAAATGCAAGCCTTCCTGTCCCACCAAGAGCGCATCGGTCGATTTGGAAACAATTCCTTTGTCGCACTGCATATCACGGCACGCTCACCCGTTCAGGGCCAACAAATTCGACTCGCACAACACGCATAATCGCACGCTGCGTTGTTCGTTGAACAGCAAAAGTTTTACCCATTGTTCTGAAAGCAACATTGTGGACACATCAGAATGTGTCTGTCGTCCTTATGGTCTGCCAAGCTTCTGATCACTGGATGATATCTTGATGATACTTCGTAGTAACCGTGAACTGTGATGGCTCTCAAGATATCTGCTTGATTTTGATAGGACTGCTTTTGATCAATGAAAGCGTGTACAAGATGAGTAATTGAGGCGGGTCGAATAATGTTATCGTTGTTGTCGTCAAACTTCAGAGCGCATGCTTGTGTTCCATCGTTGGGCTTCAAGATGATTGTCAATACATTAACGAAATGACACCAATGCAATCACAGGACACTGATCCATGTATGTTAAAGTGTTAATGAGTTTCTTGTATTACAAAAGTGGTATCTGTGCTGAGTATTTAAAAATCAAGTGCATAATTCTCCGTCTAGTAAGCGACCATGTTTGCCAGACCATCAAGCTCACGCTGATAGTTCTTGTGCTGAGAGATAGCGTACGAGAAGGCAGTTGTGAAGTCTTTTGCGCCCTTGACAAGGGTTACGGCTTCCTTGAAGCCATTGACCTCAGTCTGGGCGGCGGTAACGACACCATAAGAGTCGACAACATCATTGCCCTCGGAGAAAGTGACGCCGGGGAGCTGGCAAGCATCCTTGACGAATGCAACAGCTTCACCAGTGGCACCGATGCTCTTCAAATGACCAAAGGCTTCTCTCACGTAGTGCAGAGCACGGCCATTCTTGCGGAGGGTGGCGATGCTGTCGGCTCCACCAGGGACGAAGATGGCATCATACATGGTACTGCGTTGACCTTCCAAGTTGTGGTCAGGAACGAGTCCCTTTCCTGACTCCTTGCTCTCGCCAGCAGCGTAGATGGGTGTACGACGAGGAGCAATGGTGAATGGAAGAGCGCCCTGAGCAGCCAGGGCAGCCTTGACGGCATTGTAAGCAACGGCATCATAGCCATCCGCAATCAGAATGGCCACCATTCTCGTTGCAATGGTCAAGTTCTTGGGAGGGAAGTCCTCTTGAGAAAGGTTCTTGGAGCGCTTTCCAGTGTTGACACGACGAGCCTCCTCGGGGATGTCAGCACCAACCTGCTCTGCAACGCCACGAGCGAGGTCGAGGTCAATCTCGCACAGTCTTTCGACCATGCGCTTGTACACGACTGGATCATCACAGTGATCGAGCTCGAAAGAAAGTGCATTCATGATGTGCATCTTCTCGTGTTCAGACATGGAGTTGTAGAAGAGTTGGGCTTGGTTGTAGTGTTCGGAGAACTTCTTGCTGCGCAGACGAGTCTTCATGCCGGCAACCTTTTGTGGGAAGTCCACGTAACCACCTTCCTCGGCAGTGGCAGGCTTGGTAGCTTCGAAGCGGTTTGGCCAGTAGTTTACGGTTCCCTTGGTGATGCTGTGGCGCATAGCTCCATCTCGGTTTTGGTTCATGACAGGGCACATGGGCTTGTTGATGGGCAGCTCCTGCCAGTTGACACCAAGACGGGTGAGTTGGGTATCCGAGTAGGAGAAGTTGCGGCCTTGCAACAAAGGATCATCTGAGAAGCCAATTCCAGGTACGACGTGGCCGGTACAGAAGGCAANCTGAGGACAATCATGTTAGCTCAAAATAGGTGTTGAAAACATGCAGGCACGAAACTTACCTTGCTCAGTCTGAGGGAAGTACTCATCGGNGCTGGGAAGCAAGGTCAGCATGTTTCTATAAAGAACAACGCTTTTCAATCGCGTGCTGCGATAGAATATACGTACGTTGCGATTGAGTTCGAGTTCTCCAATGTATCTGACAGGGAAATCTTCTTCGGGCCAAATCTTGGTAGCATCCAGAGGGTCGAAATCGAAATCGTCCGCCTGGCTTTCAGGAATGGTTTGAATACCAAAGTCCCACTTGGGGTACTGGCCACCCTCGATTGCGGTCCAAAGATCCTTGCGGTGGAAATCGGGATCTTGACCAGCCAGTTTCAAGGCCTCGTCCCAAACGAAACTGTGCACACCAAGATGAGGTGTGAAATGGAATTTGACAAGGTGAGACTCTCCCTTGGAGTTGAGCAACTTGTAGGTGTTTACACCGAAACCTTGCATCATTCGGTATGAACGAGGAATGCCTCTATCAGACATGGCCCACATGAACATGTGGGTTGCCTCAGAATGAAGGTATTGGAAATCCCAGAAGTTGTTGTGAGCGGTTTGTGCTTGAGGGATTTCGTTGTGAGGCTCGGGCTTGCCAGAGTGGATTACATCGGGGAACTTGAGAGCATCCTGAATGAAGAAGACTGGAATGTCGTTGCCGACAATATCCCAGTTACCCTCCTCGGTATAGAACTTCACGGCGAAGCCACGAACATCTCTGACGGTATCCGCACTGCCTCTGCTTCCCAGGACGGTAGAAAAGCGGAGGAATACAGGAGTTGTACGCGAGGTGTCGGTCAGAACACCAGCAGAAGTGACGTCCGAGGCACTTTCAAACAGCCTAAAGGTACCAAAGGCGCCAGCGCCTCTGGCGTGAACAACACGCTCAGGAANTCTGGGAAGATAATCAGCCATGGCTCAGTTCTTAGCTTTGGTGATGAAAGGACGCACACGCTCGTGGTCAAAACGGTGAATCTTCTCACGGCCAGCGTGATCTTCAAGCAGTGCAGGGCCAGTCTTGTCGGCGGATGCAACTCTAAGCCAATCGTCGGTGTTGGTCTGCTTGACGCCATAATCCGTTGTGATTCTGTTGTTCGAGTCCATGTAGTTCTTCATATTGTCACTCATGGCTGCGGCTTTGGCGTTTTCGACAGGTGAGCCGGTAATGGCCTCCTTGACAGTGTCTGCAATTCCTGGTGCCATTGTGATTGATGTGAAGGAGAGAAAGTACTTGGTCAATCCTAGGCTTTGCACGGTGGGTGACTCGCCTGATATAAACTCACTGTTGATGGCCGGAGCTCGGACAATGGAAACAGCTTACCAAAAAGTGACGTATGTAGGATAACATGTGCTTCCGCCTTGTTGTGATTGGAGAAACATAGATGAGCTTTGAAGCTCACATCCCACTTGGGTCTAGGAACCTTACAAGGGCAGAGCCGCGCGTGCCCGCAACCAGTTGCATTGCTCAAAATCTACCTACACGCGAGCCTCCAATCGATCTTGAACAAGCATTCTTCATGCCTCGCGTTGTTAGACCTACGTCAGAGTAGGAAACATCGGCGATCTCTTGCTGACAATCAAGATGTGGAGAGAGCCTGCCTAATCAGCCGCCATCAATTCTTGAGCGGTTGGTATTATTGCGGTGAATTCCGTATACTCAGGCAAGCATCATCCATGTACGAATGAAACATCTCTTCAAATCACGCCGTCAACCAACCGCAAGCAGGCCTACACACCAACGGTGACCGGCTCCGATTGCGAGCAGTGAACTGCCGAACTCAACGACAGGAAATCATGGTGCGCATTGACTGAATAACTATCTCCGCAAATAAGGTACAGCCGAAAGCTGTCATGGCACACGGGCATGAGATCAGCGGTGGGGCATACCAAACGACACGAGACGTAATTCAATAAGCCCGAGGACTTGATTCCGTATGCCCTTTTGTCGAGAACAATACAAGTCTTACAGTCTGTGTTCTTTCGGCTATGCCTCGCGAATGACAACTGCATACTCGATCGTGGTGGTCGGGTCATTTTGAGAAATGCTTGGACGGCTTAACTACAAGCTAAAGCCGGGAATCGTAAGAGATGCAATCGCAAAGACCAGCTTTGCATACATCGTCGGAGTGTGCAACATACTGGACCAAGCTATCTCTTGGTGAGAGTGCGATGGGCTGCAATCTTTCCACAGCACTCGTAGCATTCTCTTGACATCTGCTTGGCACGAACAGTCGTTGTCCCAACTCTATATTCTCCACGTGTCGGCCATGCGTTTTACAGCCGCTTTTTTTATCCTTTTTTTTTCCTTTTTTGCTTTCTGCCCTGAAGATCCGGGGCCAAACCGTTAGCGAATAGAATGGAAAACAATTTCACAGACAAATCAATTCGAGTCGTTTACCTAGGCCACATTGGCAGTCGATTATAGTGTATTCAGCCCATACAGGATGAACGCCATGATGGAAGCCTGCTACGTCTAGCGAGTTGTTCGAAGTCAACTAGGAAAGCTTGCATAGTCTTTCGCGTAAGCTCTAGCTTGCATCTTTATCTTATCTAACCCTTCGGGCTACAATTGGCTCATTCATCTAAAGCGACAGCATCTCCTTGCAAGAGCGAGGTTCGGTTTGCCTTCCTTGAGGAATACTTTGGCAAAATCTTGGGAACCTTCTTTGGGCAGAGCATAGTCAGGTGCCTCCTGCTGCTAATCCCAGCGCTAGCCGCAATCAGCTAGATCCGAGAGAGGAACGAGAAATAGCTGTTTGCGGCGAGAACTCTGCAGATGCCGACAACGATTGAGAGAAGATGCGATACGATTGATGTTTAGAAGTCTTCTGAGCGTATTTGCAACACTTGTGTTGCTGTTTCGTGTTCTACTAAGGCGTTCTACATGGTGGTCTTGTTCTTGCCGTGATGCAGCTGAGAATGGTTCACTTTTGGATTTGACGACGAGATGGTTCCTAATACTAGACATATATGTGCTGTGTCTTGATTGATCTTGTATATACACTTCAGTAGATCTTTTTATGCCCCATCCTTGCTTCATCACTCTGACCCAAGAGAATGCAACATAGCTGATGATGTAGCACATGCCTGTAAACAATACAAGGCCCCAATATTCACCATTGCATGCTTCGAGGAGCGCTCCTGCGATTGGCAGGCCCGTCAGTGTGCCCAGAGAAACGATAGTGTAACAGGTGGACTGCTGAGGGTTAGCTAGAGCTCTGGATTTGATGAGTTTGATAATCCATACATAGTAGCGACCATAGGACTCGGTTTCGCAGAGCTGCCCGACACAGACAGGCGTTAAGCTAATGTTGGACCCAGAGCCAAAGCCGAAGAGAATTGCGAAGGTTATCGTCAGTCCAAGGATCGTCGAATCGTTACTACCAGAGGCAGACAGGACTGTAGCTGGGAGCCAGAGACCCATCGACGATAGAGCGCACAGCAGCAGGCAAACGATCATAAGGTTTACTCTTCCAGCCTTGTCGGCGAGATATCCAGGCGCCCACCGTCCAACCACGCTTCCAGCATTGAAGATTGCAATGAGTTGATATGCAAAGGTTGTGCTAAAAGCACCGGATCCTAGAGCGTAGGACGTCAGGTACGAGATTGGAATGAACAGTCCCCACTCGGCGAAGAAGACTCCAACCGTGGTCAGGGCGAACGGGATGTCTCTAAAGATTCGAAAATCTGGCAAGACGCTGCCGCCAGGCTTGGGTGGAAGCCGTGAGCGTATAAAGAAATTGGCCATGAGAAGAAGGCCGATATAGATAAAGCCCTGGATGCGTGTAGCCCACTCCCATCCGACCTTGGGGAAAAGATTCTGTAACATTAGCGGAAAGATGACCCCTCCCACAGCGCCACCCGTGGCTGCAACACCAGTAGCATTGCCGCGTCTTACTAGGAACCAATGGGAAATACTAGAGACGGCAGGGGTGAATATCAAACTCGTCCCAATGCCTCCTAGGACTCCGAAGCAAAGCATGAAGTGCCAGTACTCTGAGTGCCTTTTGTCAGATATGATCCCTCGTTGCGATTCTCAAGACTTACTGGTACAGATTCCCAACAGCTGAGTGCATACGATGAGCGAGACACTGCCACATGCCACGAGTAGACGAGGGCCTCTGGCGTCAAAGTATGGGCCAATTTGCACACCACAAAAGAATGAAAGAAAGGAATATACACTGAAAATCCAAGATATCTGACTCTCCGAATACTCGCTCAGTTGATGAGTTGCCAGGTAGGCTTGATAAATTCCTTTCGGGATGATCAGTCATGAGACTCAATTACAAGAGTGGAAGTAACACAACTAACCTATCGAGTTCATGAGTCCGAGAGCTGCAAGCATGCCGCAAANAGACCCAAACACGACCAACCAGCCCTTGCCACCTTCTGGGTACGAGACATCCTGGTCTGGTAGACTCCTCGACTCTATGTCTCGATACACAGAGTGTGGTTTCTCGTTGTCTATGGACCCATGGTAGTTCAATGGCATAATGGGTGGGTCCGTGTCAGATATGCCATTGGAAATAGTACGTTCGGGCGTTGTGCCGTGAAGCGACGAGGCTGTCATATGTTCGTAGGCGGTGGACCCTCCAATACTCTGCGACTATCCAATCTAGATGATAGTGCAAATTGATGTCGAAGATGAATCAAAAAAAGAGGCGGAACAGGGATTGACCTTCGGGAAAGCATGAGTAATTGGTTATTTTCTCCGCCCTCCAAGAGATGGATCGGCCCCGGCCGATGACCAAAGATTACCCCACATTATGGATCTATATCCTTCCAACAAGGCCTCTCCTCTGTCTGTAGACTCTTGGACGACATGTGAGCAGTCCAGATGTAAGCCATGCAATCGATGAGACAGAAAAAGTCAAGACGTCAAGTCGTTCAGCTAGGCATCAAGCTCACTAGCAATGATTAGTGAGGTACTTGTACCCTATTCTATATCCTCCTCGCCGGCATCAGCCTCGACCTTTTCAAGTCTTTCCATGTTTTCCTTGTCAAAGACAGTCTCTTTTGGTATCCGTTGTTGCCCAAAATCGACAACCGGACCAATGAGCTCCCTCCACTCCTTTCTTCTATCCATCAGCATCTTGACGCCTTCACTAACCAAGTTTCGGCTGATGGCCACACCACCAGTACCACCTGGCCTTCCCTTGCCTGCACCTTTCTTGGGCTTACTCATTGTGCGATTTCGCTTCAAGTAAGCTGTGTTGATTTGAGAGTCTAGATCATCAGCGATCGTAGAGTATTCTTGCATGGCCATACGCTCCTCTGTCAACTCCAGCACACGTGCCTTTCGAGCAGCATTCTCTCGTGATATACTCTGGAGCTCCGATTGCAGATAGCGCAAACGGGCAGCGACTTCGTCATCATACTGCGAGTCATAATCTGGAGTTGCTTCTGGCGTCACAAAGCCACAATAACGCAGCTCTTGTAGTGTTCGCTGTTCTAGAGGCGCAAAGTCACGACCTGCGTTGGGTGGAATCTTGTGGTGATCTGGGAAATGTGTGGCAGGCTTGAATGAGGCCACTGTGTCTGGTAAGTCCTCGGTGTTTATAGCTTGCTCGTTTTCTTGACCGCCAGCAGTGCTTTCTCCATTGGTCATTGAAATATCAGCATTGCCATTGGTTTGATCGTCTTTGTGCAGATTATGATCATGACGGAAGCCGCTCATGAGACGTGATATTAACGGTCCGGCCGAGATTTGAGCTGTTTCAGCTACATCATCATTCATGTCTTCGATGTTCCCTCTAGGTTCATTCGGAGGCAAGCGGAGATTAAAGTCGTGATGACTAACACCATCTTCTTTGGCCCAAACTTCAGTGTATGGCATGGGTCCCCGTGGTGGTATAAGGTATGGTGTGACGCGATCGCCACGTTCTTTCAAGAAGGCGACATCTTCCTCGGTCAGCGGACGAATATATGGCTCGACGTATGCTTGAAAGGTGGAAAAGTTGATCTGACTGGCGGGTTTGGCGCTACTAAAGTCCATGTCTGGTGGTGTTCCAGGTGTCAGGTCGTGCAAATCATCGTGAGGGAAACGAGCAACGCAGAAGATTGCCTTTTTCTCTTCGTCAGTCATGTCGGGGGTCCAGTCGCGAATGTGGTAAATGGTAGGGTCGTCGAATTGAGTAGGATCGTTGCCGAAAGTTTCGTAGTGGGCGATGGCGGGAGCGGGAGGAGGTTGGTGTTCGGCATCGGAGGGAGCGGGTGATGAGTCGTCGTTGTCGACAGCAGGTTTGGTAGCAGAGGGNNGGGAGTCGGGTGGAGGAGAAGGTTGGCCGTCCTGGCGCGCGAGGCCGTGAGCACCAACGGCAGGGGGNNGACGGTGGGAGTCGTTCTTCTTTGCGATGCGGGCTTTCTTGCGCTGTTCGGCCTCATCTTCGCGGCGCTCTCGGTCAAGCTCTTGGTCGGCGCGGAATTTTCTCTTCCTCGAGAGTTCGCGCATGCTGCGGTCGCAGGCATCGCTGAGGGAGCGAACGTTGGGCAGGACGTTTGAGTGGATGCTGTCGTGCAAAGCGTGCAGGCTCGAAGCGGAGGGAGGACTGGTCGAGTTGGTGGCGTGCTTTTCCATCAAGGCGTCGATGGACAAATTGGGCGACAGGACCAGCAGCGAAGTATGGAGATACGGGGTCGTCGTGGGCGCAGCATTAGCAGCAGCACCGGTGGTGACATTGGACGTCGCCGAGGCCATGGCGGTGGCAGATGGCTCGCGNNCGCGGGCTGAAGACGGCGTGTTCTTGGATGAAGGGGCCATGATGGCTGTAACAAGACATGGATGTTGTTGTCGTTGTGAGCACTAGGGTCCGGGTGACGGTTCGTCGAGGACGGCTGACGACCTGCTTGACCACCTCCACATGAGCCGCATCTCTATCGGGGACCGTGCACGATTCAAGCTTTCTGACTTCCCCTCGACGATCCGCCTTCCCGGCCGCGTCGCCCGCCTTGCAGCCACGACTATCTCTGTCTTCGCCTTCATCACCCATGTTTCTATCCTTGTACCCATCTTGATTCGCCATGTCTCAGCTCACCATCCTGTCTTGATATAATCTTATCCTCGGCTCCTGTGCTTCTGCTCTGCTGCACTCGCCTTCTTGATCATTCATAAACTATGACGAGTCTGCATATTGATACGCGTGATGCGTCTTCGCTCAATCCCTTGCCACAGGGTGTAGCCTTCGACGTCCAAGACAGCAACATTCTTACTCTGGCTTCTGGCTCTCAGTCTCCACAGAGCTCAGGCTTCCTCTATGTCCCTGGTGTCGCCGGTGTATGCGCTCAGTCTCTACCTCAGAATGTCACCAGGTATCAAGACTTACCCTCAACCAACCACATTGTTGCCATGGCTCCATGGCTATCTCCTTCTTGTACTCTTACTTACCTCCAAGCCGCCTCCAATGACATGGCTGCTGCCTTTGTCTTCTACGTACCTGACCAGACCAATCCTCCGCTGGCACCAGCAAACTCTCCTACCTGGGACCTTGGTGATGGCGGCCACTGGCGCTCTGTTGTTGGCTACCCAGTCTTTGCTATTGATTCGGCACTCGGCCAGATGACCATCCAAGAGTTGGCTCTCTATTCTGGTAATGCTTCTAGTGTACTCAGCGCTCAAGACCTTGCCGACCATGGAATCGATCCAGCCACGCATCTCCGTCTCTTGATCGACATCACTACCACCACTAGTGGCGGATCCAATCTTCCGAGCATCTGGATCTTCTTGCTGATTATACTCGCGATCCTGATTGCCCTCATTGGCGCACTATCTCTGACTATGCACATCCTGCAGAGGAAGAGACGCAACGACNNTTTGCGTGCCCGGATAGCCCGAGGCGAAGTCGACATTGAAGCTTTGGGACTCGGAAAGCTCACAGTTCCTCAGGACATCATAGATCAAATGTACACCTACACACCTTCTACCAATACTGTCGTGCCNCGAAAAGGTTCAGCACAAGCTTCGCCTCCTCTTGAGCAGTCTACCTGTGCTATCTGCTTGGATGAATTTACCGAATCGCAATGTCAAGTTCGCGAGCTGCCATGTAGGCATGTCTTTCATGTCAACTGCATTGATCTTTTCTTGCTAGACACATCATCCGTGTGTCCTCTGTGCAAGCGGTCTGTTCTGCCAAAAGGCTACATACCCGGCAAGATTACAAATGCTCACGTCAGAAGAGAGAGATACCTCAGACGGAACGCGGCTCGGCGGGCCCGTCACGATGCTGCTGGAAGTCAAACACCTAATGCAATCGGTCCACAGGCTCGGGCTGGCACTAATGCTGACGGATCATTGTCTGCACACGCCCCTCCGATAGAAATGACATCCATACCGGATCACGACGGTGCGCATGCTACTCAGAACGGCTCAGTCACCCCTCAANNGGGGAGAAGAGAGTGGGCGCGAAGACGTGCGTTGGCCATGTCAGGACTTCATCGATCTTCTTCAAATGAGAGCGAGTCAGAACCGAGAACTTCAAAGGCACGCAAACTTTTGAGGAAAGTGTTTCCGAATTTATGATTGTCTGATTGATTTTATGAATGTTATGGTGCATCTTTGTATACCCCCTTCCCTGTATCTAATTTGGCTATCAACGAACCTTGTCTGATCCTTCTGCCCTTTTGCACTCTTTCTTTGTATCTTTTTTCTCGTATTCTTCATGTATCTTCTGCTTCGGTATTCAGCTTTGGCTTTTGCTTGCATCCTGCTGAGGTTAGTACCCTCGTGAGAAACAACGAAATGGCTTGGTGTCGGCCTTTTGACATCAGTGTCAGATGTTTTATATATCAGGTTACACTGACTGAATAGAACTTGACTCTTCACATTCTACTCATTCTTTTGCTAGCTGACCATAGCAACCATATATTTGTTCTTCTATCAACCACATCCAACAAGACAGACTTGGATTGCCATGCGTCAAGGATAAGGGCGAGCGTTTTGCTTGAACTGACTATGTGTAACGTCTTGTCAGTCCTCGCTTCAAGACTTGCCATTCCAGACTCGATGACACAAAGCGAAATATATATATTTGGTTGGTCCAGGCTTCACTCGTCAAATGCTTGCCCCACATAGCACAACTCCAATAGCACTTTCAGCAGCAAAACATAGCAAGCACCAGGAGATTAATCTTCACTTATTGCCGAACGATGCAAAACACATCTTGCCATATCACATATCAAGAGATTGTGCACACTGTTTTCTTATCACATCCTCCTGTTCGTATGATTGCACCCCTTACACGTGGTTTGACAGCTCTCCCTCATTTTTGGCCTTCGATGAACGTTGGCAAAACGTCCAGTACGGCATTGTCAAACTCAGTCAACATCAACAGGTCGGTTAGCTCAGTTGGTTAGAGCGTGGTGCTAATATTCGGTGGTATATCCGCCTATGATATGGTACGCCAAGGTCGCGGGTTCGACCCCGTACTGACCATTATCTTCTTTTGCTCGCTGGCATCATTTTTCCGGTATCAAGAATCGTTGAATTGTGGTTGATGGGCAAAATTTTGTTTTTTGCAGGCTTCAGAACTCCGGCTGGGCGTTGAGGGCTTGGCGTTGCGGCGGCGTTTGATGGTCTTTTGCTCCTTGGTATCCATTTTCATATAATAAGGTGGGGAAATGGATAGTCAGAGCTCTGTCGAGGCCGACGACAAAGGTTCTCTCCGTATGCTGGCATATGTAACCCGTGGAATTGCACACCACGTTCGGGAAATAGGGTAGTGTCCACTGAGAAGCGATCTTATCTGCTCTCCCTGGTTATGCCTCTACTTTTAAACATAACCATGTCTTCTTATAGTATATCCTTTCTGACTACTACTGTTGGAGCAAGATAAATTCACAACCTTCAACAGATGGGTTGGTCTTAGATAGAGTGTCATGTGTCCTTGGAAACTGCTGTTTCCCATATCATGCCAGATATGCACATGTTTGCGGGTTATCATAAAGGTGTCAGGGTTGCCCTGTCGTCAACCATAAGAACCATCTCACGCCTTAAATTTGAAAAAACCCACCCCTGACCTCCGCTTCTTCAACACCAAAGCTGAAGACGACCAAGTAAAGATCTTGCAACCACGTCCACTCCTCATTTCTACTCAGCCACATGACCGCTTTGGCAATCTCAACAGCAGTTAGACTTCGACCAGATAAAGATGCCAAAGACCGGAGGCTTTGATCAACAGTGACCAGTCGCTTGTAATGTTCGAGTAACCGAACTTGCCACGACTGGTTGCCGAAGCTTTGTGCCGGAAGCATTTTGGCAAACGAAGCAAGGGACTGACTCGAGGTTCGAGAGAATCCGACATTGAAGGCAGCCTTGAGAATAAGACAACGTAGACGGAGGAGATGTTTGCCATCCGAATTCGCACGTGCGGTGGACGAAGTTCGTTGTGAGTCTACAGACTCGGAGTAGTCGCTCAATGTTGATGCATTACTAGACCAGCGGTCATGATGTTTGGCCCCACGCGTTGAGCCACTAGAATTTGCAGAAGCAGCAGGCCCCAGTACCAGAATATTGGGCACGTTGACTGATTCCGGAGACGATACCGTGGTAGCATCGTCGAAGATTGTGATTGGAGTTTCTGGCGGTAATAGTGCATCATGATACTCGCTACTCAAACTAGAAGGAGCTCGCTCAGATGGTCCGGTTGAATTTTGTGACACTGATGATGAAAATTCGAGTTGACCAGGTCGTGGTGTGCTTCTGTCAGGACGTAGATGACTCCAGCTCTCTCTGAAGATATCTGACAGATCCCAACAAGCTTGAATAGCCAACGCCAGCAATTCATCGAGTGTTTTCGCATTTCGATCAACATGCCTCAGATTGAAGAGGGCCTCGGCTAGAGACCAACAGGCTCTCAAGAGTGCATCAGTCTCCTGAGTTAGTGAGGTCGACTGTTTCATCATCCGATGGCATAGAGTTACATAAAAATCCAGGGTCCTCTCTTTGAACGCCTCGGGAAGGTGGCGATCATATGTATTGTAGAGATGATTGTTCATTTCGAAACTGACCCTCAAGATGGAGTCTACAGATTTGTCGCCACGGAGGCGAACGTCAAATAGAGCTTGACAAAACTCTCGACATGTTTCGAGGATTTGTAGTGTATGTTCTCGGCTGTAGTATGATTCGTAGAGCTGCTTGCAAAGGTGCCAGCAGGTTCGCCATGCTTGCTCATGGGGAGTGGCTGATTGCGATCCCGCACGGTTTCGCTGACGATGGTTAGAACTTAGATTGGAAAGGGTATTACAAAGCGTCCAACATTCGTTCAGTGCAGATCGTAGCTCAAAAATATCATCGGCTGGATTCGATCGCGACTGAGAGTCATCCTTGCCTCTACCAATACCAGTATTCATTTCCGGGATGTCNNTTTCTCTTGTCAGCACCAGCCGTGAGCAAAGAAAACGAGAAGTTGACTAACCCTCAAGACTAGATGTGCGTCTGGACCGTGTTTTCCATTCTTCTTCCACTTCTTGCCGTGTTTGAGCTCGTGGTGTAGGCCTATCAACACCTTCCTCAGGTGGGACATTTGTGTTCAAAGGCGAAGTGACGGACGATAGGCACTTATCCTCTGGACCCAAAGCTGCATTGGGTGTGCTTGGAGAAGTGCTATCGTGTCTGAAATCGTGGTTGGACGTGTATGTGCTGTCTTCCTCTTTGAACTCTGGAGACACATGTATGACGGACAGAGGTGCCTTATCTGAATCTGATCGTGATCGAATAGCGACCGTAGTGTCTAGCTTGATGAGCTACCTTGACTTGATAAGTTATTGTGGACCCGATCAAGTTATATCGACAATGCTTACGCTTCCTCGACTCTCAGGTCGGTTGGACTGAATCACAGCATCGAAAAGATTATCATCAACTTGGTCTTGAACATCCTCTTCGATATCAGTACTCTCTGTGCCGTTAGAGTCGGTAGGCGAAGGATCGACTTGTGGATATGGAGATGCAGGAGGGGCCAAACTGTCCGACGTCGTGGATGATCTGGTCACAATGGTTAGCTCAACTCTCTACATGGATGGCATTGGGTGGACCTGTTGGAGGTGGAAATGCCAGCTTTATATGGAAGCGGCGAGCTTGGAGAGTCGAAAAATGGGCTCAATACAGAGCTGGACGACATGTTTGGCGGTGCAACAGCCATCGATGTTGGTTGTCTTGACTTTTGGTGGCACGACCAAGTTGGAATTTTGTTCAGCAACGAGGAGAACTTGGACAGGTCACATCTGTCAGCAAACTCTTTACGACAAGAAGAGGAAGCAGAGCTTCACACATGCAGTGACTAGGCAACACAGTGAGACATTGCAAACGTATGCACATGTAGAAGATGGATCAAGTAGATGTAAAGATGAAGGAGTTCACCAGCTCTTAGATGCACTGTGAGAAGGTCAGCTTACAAGAACCAAGTTCAGCACAGACTTGCGGCGAAGAAGTCCAAGTTGCGCGGCTAATATGTAGGCCATATGCGTTTGGCGGCATGCCGATATTACAACCACTGAGGTGCTTCACATAAGCGCCAGGCTTTGCCCGACGAGCAAGGATCGCCATCTTCAGCTCGAGCTTTGGAGCGACTGCATAGAGACAATATTGGATCGATTATTTTGACATCGTGATTGACAACATTGCACACATAGATAAATGCCAGCGAGGCATGATAATTGAAGGGAGCGAGCGTTGGTTGTCGATCGACCTGTCTGCATGCATAACGACCGTGCATGATACCTCAGCGATAAGATATGCAGCATCGAGGAAGCAACACCACTATCATGGCGTTGGTGGCCGAATGTACTGTGGTGGTCAACCCAGACATCATGCTTCATGCGTGACCAAGTCATCATGACAAATGAAGAGACTATTCGAGTACAGCATGCAGCGCACGAGAAGTAGTATAAGAAACTGCCAGCAAATTCTGGCAAGATGGCTGCTTTAACAAGTGTCTCTTTAGCTATAGCATCTTCATCAATGCTCTCAAACGCTTGTCCCAGAACTCTCATCGAATGCAGTATTGAATTTCTCTCTCTCAACTATCCAAATGATCATGCTTGAAAACCAAAGAACCGGGTATCTCAAGAAAATGCAATCCTGTCTGGTGCAGGATCATGCTCATAAATCGCGCTTCATTTTTGTATTCAGTCTTCCGGATACCTAGACATGAGCTCTTCGATTTTGGGAATCAGCTCTGGTATGCGGAATGGTTTTGGCATGACGTCGTNCCTAGAATGATGATTAGCAAAGCAACCATTAAAGTGATTGCATTTCGGTCTTACCATGCCAGCACTCATTGCCGTTTCAATCTGTTCATTCCGAGCATTGGCTGTTACTGCGATGACTGGTACGTGACGGACAAATTTTCCTTCTCTTTCGAATTCTCGAATCTTCCTAGTACAAGTCAGCCCGTCCATGATGGGCATCTCCTGATCCATGAGGACGACGCTCAATCCGATTCGTTCTGACTCGGGAGTAGCGTTTTCGGTGTCTGCCTGGTGATTCCAGTGGGTTGATTTGCGAAGAATGTCTAGAGCTTCTCCACCATGGTTTGCAACATGCACGACACAACCAAGGTTTTTTAGCTGTTTAGAAAGAACTCTTGCGTTTACAATGTTGTCTTCAACAATCTGGGTTTGGTCAGTTGAAGTGTCCCATGGTATGTAAATCCCAAAACAGGGATGTGTGTTTATCAGACTTACGAGAACTTTGATTGGTCTTGCCACTGAACTTTCGGCCTTTGCATTGACAACAGTAGGCACCTTCTTCCCAGTCGCGTCGCCCGAAAGCAAAGCTGGGCCCCAGTGCTTCTTCGNGGGAAAGTTAGAAACCCAGAAAGGAAAGCTAAGAAAATTAATCTGCTGAAAAAAGGCCCAGACGGAAAGCCCGAGCCCGTGAGNCTTCGGAGAAGGCGGAAGAGCATTCTTTTCTTGCTCATTGAGTCCGCGGCCTGTGTCCTGAACGGCAAAGTGAATGTATACTTCTTCGCCGTCACCCCAATCTTTCTCTTTGGTTAGATCCGCGTGCCTGTTGCGCGTGGGGAAATAATTGACTACACGATTCTCTAGTTCTGAGAAACGTTTCGTCGCGGCTGCCAAAGTGACAGTAATTGTGCGTTTCTTCTCGGTCGTCGTAAACTTGATTGCATTGGTGGTGAGATTGATNNCTGGTAGTTCTTAGTCCCAAGTCCAGCACGATGCCGACGCTGTACTTACCAATACTTGCAAAACGCGGGAAGGATCAAATTTCACCCAGTCGATACCGAGCTTCTTGTATGAATCATCAACAACAAATTTTAGTTGAATGTCGGCAGTTTGGAGCTCGCCTTCATGCATTTTCAATGCACGTTGCGCTACTGTAAGAGGTTGTGCGTCTACGGGAGTGACCAGCAGCAATTGCGAATCAAGCTTGCTCAAGGTCAAGATATCATCGACACTGTAGGTTTCAAGTAAGTACGGCTGAAGGATAGAATACCTAAACGACAGAACAAGCCTCGAAAAACTTACATTCGTTTTTGATGCTAATATCAAGTAAGCATGAGTCCAAATATGTGACAAGAGGGCAAGACTTACTTGTGCGCAAAGAGCAATGGTCTGGGCCGAGTCCACTGTGCTTGAAAGAATACCGTCGACTGTCTCCTCGGNCATTCTGACCCTTTTGAGGAACTTGTCGATGGGTGCGACCAATAAAGGTTGACCGCCGAGGCCGTCTCTGAGCCGACTCATCGTGGTAGTTATTTCGTCGGCACACTGCAATATTGCCGAAAGCGGGTTGCGCATCTCATGCGAAGTTATATCGATGAAGTTTTCTTGTTGTCTCTTGAGCTCTACAGCCTCTTCCATTTTGCGTTTCTGGAACCCTTCGGCCCATTTTTGCTTGCTGATGTCTGTTAGACTACCAAAAACACTTTTTAGGTTTCCATCCTCGTATTTTTCTGGATAGGCTGAGAATAGCACCCATCGATCGCCTTCTAGTCCTTCAGAACCATGCCATTTTGACTTGAATCTGAAAGTGCCAGTTTGTGGCTTCTTGTCGACGATGAGATCATGCCATAGTTTGTTGATGAGTGGGCGGTCCTCGTCGTTGACAGCGTCCATCCAGTGATGGTCCGGAGTGTTTTCATCTCTAGAAACTCGAGAGATTTCGAACCACGTATCGTTGCAATAGGTAATGGTGCCTTTTGAGTCGGCTATAAACATGCCGACAGGTGCAAATTCTGCCATCCTTGTAAACTTTGTCTCACTCTCGATTGCCTCCTTGGTGCGAGCCGCCAACTGTTCAGAAAGCTCCATTCTATCGATCGCGGCAAGCTTGGCCGCTTNTTGGCCTCGACGAATTTCCTCTTCAAAGAGAACAACAGAAGCCAAGGAAGTTGCAAGCTGCCTGTTGAGCAGTTGTATGAATAGACTGTAGTCCTCATCATATGGTCTTCGAGGATTGACACCCAGGACAAGGAAACCAAGCACAGCTTCCCCAGTGGTTGGATGTATGGGACAAATCACAACATTGCGACAAGAGTCATTGAACCCTCGCCCACCGAGCCCTTCCAAGAGGTTAGCAGGAAGATCGTCTGTACCAACCTCGAGAAGAACAGGCTTGTCAGTCTTCATCACTTCACGAAAGACTGGACCAAGACCTTCCATGCCACTCTTTAGGTCAAAGCACGAGACTGCTGCAGGATGATCTTCAGGCACACCCAGAGTACCTTCAAGAACGCATTGCCTGTTTGTCATGGCGCTGCTAGAATGAATGGATGAAGCATCACTATCAGTTTCGTCCTGAACAGAGTACAGCATGACAAAGGGCGTGTCGTGTTCATTCAAATCCAAAGCGGCAAGGACTTGACCCCAGAATCCCTTGACATCTCTTGCTGGAGCAGTGCGTTCACCAATTTCGCGGAGCGTAATCATGCGTCTCTCTGCAAGCTTTCGCCTCGTCTTTTCGAAAGCAGGATTATACAAACCCATGACGCTGCCGTCACCGCCGACCATGGGAATTATGGACCAAGAGAAGTAAGTTTCTTCAAGGTAATCATTGCGCATGATGAATAGCCGATCGTCGTCTTTCATGGTTGCTTCACCAGTATTGAGCGCATTGGCAAACACATCCTTGACATCAGGCCAAATCTCGGACCACGCATCCGCATAACGTTGACCCATTAGAGCCGGGTGCTTTTGTCCAGCCAACATGACATAGGCTTCATTGTAAATAGCAACCAATTCTTGGCCCCAATACATGGCAGCCGGATGAGGGCTGGCCATGATGAGATTACACATTTGGCGCAAATCTGATGACCAGTTATCAATAGAGCCTAGTGGAGTCTTTTCCCATTCAATGCTCCGTGCAAACTTGATGTGCGGAGGCATTGAATCGCTTATGGGTAAGCGCGTCCAGTCGAAAGAAGGGCCTTCCTGGCAAGAGCCAGCCGACGAACTATCGAACCAGTCAACATTGCCCGCAGTTTGTGCGCAAAGTACTTGCTCATTGATAAAAGAAGGATGAGTATCAAGTAGCGTCGTGTCACGGACGTTGAGCGGCGAGATTTTGCGAGAGTCGAGTGAAAGCGATCGTGGCCAAGTCGGTTGAGACTTGTCGTCATTGACTGCTTCGGTTGAAGGTATAATGGATGGCGAAACTTGTGCAGGAGCTAAAGTGGGAGCAGGTGCTGCACTACCAAAATAGTCATCTGGCTCTTCTACAGTTGTAGGCAGGGCAGAACTAGAGATGGGTATAGACGAAGACGATTGGGAAATAGACATGGCTGATGTTGATGTCGAATTGGATGATTGGCGGCTTGCAGAGGTGGCCAGGGCACCATTAGAAGTCATGGCAGCCGAGGCACCGCTGATGATACGCAATCTCTTGCGCAGGGTCGAACACGACCAGCTGGTGCCAGCAAAAATGTGGGTTGGTAGAGGTACACTGAGAGGCTCCCCACTAGCTTGCGATCCGAGTACCCATGCCTTGAATTGTTCAAAGGTGGCTTCCTTTTCATCTCGACTAATGCCCGTCAGAGCGTTGAGAAGATGAGTAGATGAGCGCAAAGCCCTATTTATAAAAACGGGTCTTAGCGACGGCTCTGTAGTGTTGTTGCCATCTGCCAAGTCGATTATCATGGCAGGACGGTCGTCATGGTCGAGGAGTTCGAGTATGCCAATGGAGTTGAGGGACAATTCACCACGCAAATCAGGTGAAGCACTACGGGCAGTGCTCGAGCGGTCGATGGAGCGACGCAACGAGTTATGAATAGTGCCACGCGCCAGGGTCACGGTCTTGACATGGCTCTCCTCATTGTTGGCCTTGCTCAGCATCGTAGCTCCTGCCTCGAATGAGGTGAAGCGTGGTGGTAAGTGCGGACGCGGCCGCGGAGAGTTTGAGAAGAACAAGGGAGATGGAGGTTGTAGGCGATTTATAGAAGGACCAGTAAAGGTCAAGCGCTCGTGGCGTGGTAAAAGACGCGGCTTCTTTTTNNTTAGTGGAGGCGCGTCAATGGCGCTGCTGGACACGGACTGGAAGACGGAGGGACGCGATGGAGGCTGCGAGGATACAGAAGATTGCTTGTCGGTCGGCGAAGGGGTGATGTTGGGGGCCGAGGTGGGTGGAAAGAGTGGAGGCGGTGGAGGGCGGAAATGATGTGGATCAGGGTGAGAGCGCTTCTTGTCCTCTGTCGGTTTGTGGTGCTGTGTTTCCAGGTCAGAGGCAGTCGGAGTGGCGGTTGGCGGGGTTGGCATTCGTCGCGATACCTCTGGGGTCGTGGTTATGAGAGATGGAGCATGGCCGTCTTCATTGCGCTCGAGAGGATTCAATCTTGGCTCCTGGAATGGCGATGACGTTGATCTGGGGAGCGACAGGTCTGCGAAAGGTTGTGTAGATGCGGCGGCGGCGGGCAGGTGGGCGGACGTGGAAGAGTACGACGGCGATGGCGACGGCGACTGTAATGGTGAGTGCGTGGGTGCGGACGTGGGCGAAGCGATGATGTGAGTAGTAGATGCGGCAGCGGATGGCGATATCCTTTGACGTCGTGTTTGCGCGGGAAGGCGTCCGGGCTTGCGACTATCAGAAGTCATCAGAGGCCAGCAGTTCGTCCATCTACGGCTTGGTGCTACTCGTGGCCACGCTGCAGAAAAGAGTCGAGGGCGGCGTCGGTGTCAAGGCTCGCGAATTGACATTTGAGAATGCTTGCATCTGATGGGCTAATTGCAGCTCGCCATTCTGTACTATCGACGATCCTCGGCTGGCCGTCTCCCCACCTGTCTTACTCTGGCCTCTTTGTATGCTAGAGACCGTCACGTTACGCAATCCTCTACCACCATATTCATGTATCAATTAGCGAACCGCAGTGTATCTGCCTCTCGCTCTGATGCTAAACAGGAACTTATACAAAAAGTGAACGTAGGCGGTTTCCGTGTGGGTTATTGGAACGTACTTTGCGCGCCCGTCTAATCCACCACATGCAGCCCAATCCTCGCTCTCAAGATGACTGGTCCCCTTCTAGACGAAAACCCTTACAAGGACGATATGCCTGTATACCACCGTCTCGCTTTGGTAGAGCAATTTTGCGAAGAAAAGAAGCGACATTTTGATGCCGTTGGTTACGGGTGCAGCTCTGCTTCACTACCCGTGTACCACACTTTTGGTTCAATAGGCTGCCGTCCTGCACAAGGCTTACGGGTCTGAGCAAACACTTTTACAAGACGCCTGCTTGTCTCAATAATTGGCCTTCATCACGTAGCCATATCGAAGCCCACGGGCAAGAAATAATCCATATCTGCGAGTATCCCAATACCGTGTATTGACAATTTGGTTCATCATTAAAGTCGATTCCGTTTCGAAGTGCTGCGATTTCAGACACGTCATTGCATTCCAAGATGGACAATGTCGAAAAAAGTGTCCCAGAGAGGTTGTAAAAGACAAAATATGCTACAGCAGCAAAGCAGGATTTTTGCCTACAAAACTCTTGAAGCATGAATGACTCTCGAATCGATTAGCCATTCATTGTTTCTCTAGACGTCTTCGATCAAAACAGGCCAGGTATACTTGTAGAGGTGGGGTACTTATTTTGCGTTCTTCAGTATGTAAGCCTGTTTGCGGGTGCGCGTATGCGTATATGTGGCTGACAGAGCTCAGGAAAAGAGATGAATCGGTGCATATGTCATGTCGAATTCTGTTTTGAAGCTTCCAGGCTGATAGTTCGTATAGTCCGAGTCCTCTTTGTCAAGTTTTTGTCGGCATTGACGTCGTTGGGAGCATCCATTGCCTCCTTCTTCTTGGGCCAATCTCGACAGATGTCGATGTTGCTTCGAGGGAAGCACAGTTCCAAGAATACAAACAGTAGGTAGTCAATGACGACGCAAAGCACAAACAGCTTGCCAGCCCATATACCACAACCGTAATATCTCTTGAGACGATCAATCAAGGCAAAGGATTGTGAAGAAGGAGAAACGTGTTTTCCATAGTTGCGCCATTTGGCATCTTGTTGGTCAGAGTAGAAATCATTCGAAAACTGCTCCTCATTTCCAGTGATCAAGTCGTAGACACGCTCAGTGCGACGTGCGATGTCAGACCAGCTGTACATCATGCGAACCTGCTCATGAAAACGGTCCCTGCGAACAACGGTACGCTTTTGATCTTGTCCCATTAATAGACCGACAGCTTCACTGGTTGCACGGACAAGGTCGTCTTCTTCGGGTTTGGCAAATACGGTCATGTGGCCAGGGAGGACTTCAGGAATACCACCAACTCTGGTGCATACGATGAGTAGGTTGCAGCTTGCAGCCTCTACTAGGACGGTTCCAAAAGCCTCGGTCAAGCTGGGATGCAAATATATGTGACCTCGAACCATGACATCGCGAACTTCTTCGTGACGCACAGGACCCAGAAGGGTTACTCGATCGTGAAGGATATGACGGTCGAGCATTTGCTCGAGATCGATTGCCTTTGGACCAGAGCCGGCAATAATGAAACGTACGTTGGGATGAGAAGCGAGGATGCGAGGGATAGAAGCAATCAAGAGATCAGTTCCTTTGTTGTAGAAGAGACGCGAGATGACGACAATGGTAATGGTGTCATTGGGACCGAGCGGTTGAGAGGATTGAGGAGGTGGAGGTGGTAGAGCGGAGCGCATTGAAGGTTGGGTGGCATCTTGGGGATGCAGAGGACGAAAGTTGGAAGCGACAACGGCATTGGGAATGACGGATACCATGAGAGGATCAAGAGAGGCGCGGAGGACGGTGTTTTCCTTGCACGTGTGACTGACGCAAATGACATGGTCGACATCACTAAGGGTAAACTTGAGTAGCTTGTTGGTCAGGATGCTGGCAGCATCGGCGAAGCCAAACAGACTGTGGTCAGTAAAGACGGTGCGCAAACCCATGGTACGGGCATGCAGGATGGCCTCATGGCACAAGCTACTCAGACTGGCATGGCCATGAACAATGTGGATCCTCTCACGGATGACAATGTTGCGGAAGATGGGAAAGAAGGAGAAGACGGTAGGGAAAGTCGTCTCGCGGTAGACGACAAAGAAGGGCACATGGTAGACCTTGAGGCCATTGGTCAAATAGCGGACTCCAGTGCGACCCTCGTACTGATGGGTAATGATGATGACCTTGTGACCGCGGTCAATGAGCTTTTGCGACAGCTGGTAGATATGACTCTCGACTCCTCCAGGCTGTGGGAAGAAGAAGTCGCTGACCATGGCGATGTTGTAAGGCATGATGGCGGTCGCATTGTCGTTTGATGCTCCGGTGGCCACGACTGAGCAAGTAGCGATCAAGGAGGGAGATCTGATGCGCAGTCGAGGCAGCGACGACTAGCAGTCCTGAACAAGGAAGCTACCTATTGTGGAGAAAGCGCAACCGCAACGTGCTTCGGTTCCGACGTTCGGATCGGCATGCCGAAGATAGCCGGGCGGTGAGAATGGACCCTAGGGCTTCTAGTTCTAGTTTGTCGTCCATGTAGAGTATCAAAAGTCTCGCAAGAACAATCCACATGGCCCCATACTCTCGCTACGTACCACCCAAGCCTACTGCGCTGGTCGCAGCCGATACCACAAACGCCTCACATGCCTCGGTCCCTCTGCAAACAAAACAAGTCAAGGTGCCCAAGGGCCCATCACGATCNCGACGACAATGGCAGAAAAAGAGAAAGCGTGCAGAGATAGACAACCCACCCACCGTCTCCGACACGGACAATGGCGACCATGCCCCGGCCATTCCTAGCAAACACAGCGCCGTCTATTCGAAGTTCCAAAAAGCTGCCCAACGATCTGAGGCTGCTAGGGCCGCTGCGCCTGACGACGACAATGTCGACTTGGCTGATCAGCCCGAGCTGCATGGTATGCGCCCTTCATCTCATGCACTTGGCTGTGACTCGAGGATTGACCGTCGTTTCTANGATTTAATCCCGCTGCCACAACCTGAGCGTGCCCCGACTCCCGACTTTGTGCCATCCTTTTCCTCGCTGCCACAATGGCTCGCTCGTCCCATCGTCGTCTCACAGTCAACCACACGTCCTTTCAGTGACCTTTCCTTGTCNAAAAAGACTCTGGCTCACCTAAAACAAAGAGGCTACACGACTGCATTTGCCGTTCAAGCTGCCCTGCTTCCTCTTCTCCTTCCGCATCCCTATCTTACCCATCTTCCCCCAAACGATATCTGTGTCAGTGCCCCGACTGGTAGCGGCAAGACTCTGGCATATGTTCTTCCCATTGTCGAAAACTTGCGCACAAGGCTCGACACGAAACTGCGGGCCGTGATTGTGGTACCAACCAGAGAGCTTGTTGCCCAGGCATGTGCCGTAGTGTCTACTTGCGCTCAAGGTTCTACCATACAGATTGCTCTGGCCGTTGGTAACCAATCCGTCGCTGCCGAACAAGACTCGCTAGTCAANAAAGGTCGATCATACGACCCCGAACGCCATCGTGCACTCATGGAGAAGGCCAGAAAACGCCAATGTTTTGAGCTGGATTCGGATCTGACTGACATCGAGGCTACCATGCTCGACGATGTCGTCCGTCTGCCCACTGGTTATGTCCCGACTTACAACTCAGCTGCTGATCTCCTCATTTGCACTCCTGGTCGCCTGGTTGAGCACTTGACTGCCACGGCTGGCTTCACTTTAGATCATGTCGAATGGTTGGTTGTTGACGAGGCCGATCGTCTATTGGATCAAAGCTTTCAAGAGTGGGTAGCAAAGGTTACCGCCGCTTTGGATGTNTCAAAACCCCCATCTGCACCCACTCCTGAGATTGCTGCTTTGCGCCATCTTATGCCACGTCGCGATAGATATGTCAGAAAAGTCATATTGAGTGCCACCATGACCCGGGATATATCCAAGTTGAGTGCTCTCAAACTACGACGACCGACCATGATTGTAGTCAAGACAGAAGCCGAGACTATGGTTGATCACGAGGCGACCGTAGCAGTTGGTGCAGAAAACTTTGAACTACCTACTACCCTTTCAGAGTTCGCGGTTCCTGTTGGCGATGGCTCTGACAAGCCACTCTTCCTACTCGAACTCCTTCGTTCCAAGATTTTTTCAAGCTCGTTACCCGGCTCAAAGGACATCAAAGACGACAGCTCGTCGACAGATTCATCAGACACTGATTCTTCTTCTGATGATGAGTCGTCTTCTGATGATGATGACAGTGATTCTTCCGAGGATGATAGTAGCGACAGCTCCGATGATAGCAGCAGTAGTGATGAGGACAGCGACAGCGAGGCCTCATCATCTTCAATCGCATCCAAAGAAAAAACCGGGCTGGTTTCAAAAACAACCGGAAGCAATATGGTTCTAATCTTTACACCTAGCACCGAGGCAGCAGCCCGTCTGCACCATCTTATCACGCACATTGAACCAACATATAAAGCCACTACATTACTCCTCACCAAATCATCCACGAACCTCAACCTAAACACCTCATCTCCTCCTCGTATCATAATCTCGACTGATCGCGCCTCTCGTGGTCTAGACTTGCCGTCGCTTACGCACGTCATAAACTACACTATCCCGCGCAGTCTGGCATCCTATGTGCACCGCGTAGGCCGTACGGCGAGAGCAGGACGAAGTGGTGAAGCTTGGACATTGTTTGCCGAGAATGAAGGTCGTTGGTTCTGGAATGAGATTGCCAGAGCCACGGGCATAGGCAGAAGCACAAAGGTCGAAAGAATAAATCTCAAGCTTGCCGTGGAGCAGCAAGAAGGCGGAGAGATGCGTAACAGATATGTTGATGCGCTTGAAGGCATGAAGGAAATCGTGACCAGCAAGAATACCAAGTCCAGAAAGGCAAAAGGCAGAAAGGACGACGATGTGGAAATGACTGGCTAGTTTGTTGGCAAGACGTTGATTACTAGCTCTCTACTGAGCAGTGGATACCTTGGCCCATCCACGTTCTATTTTCTGGTCTGCGGAATTTGGGCAAGCCGTCGAGGTTCTGGCCAAGAAATCACACTGCAATCTCATGGACACCGCTACGATGTACGAGGAAACCAAGAAGTACAAGAGCCTGAGAAGGTGTGGCACGGCTACTGACGGCTTTCCGTTAGGATACTGCCAACCAACCACAAGACATGTGCTGGTCGGCATCTCGTCCAAAGCATGCGGCGATGACTCGGACTGGGGTCATTGAGAGCGTGCCAAGGAGGGTTGATCAAACCTAAGCTCTGAACGAAGGGAATATCATCGTTTTGGGCAGCGAATGCCATCGCAAAGTCAAGATGTTGACGATGATAAGAAAAACAAAAAAGACGAAGCGCAGCAGATGACGAGGAGAAAGAAACACCAATCGTCTACAGACCTTCAAACGTCTTTCAAGTAGACAGCACTGCTTCCACTTGCCTATTCCAATATTTAAAGTTGTTGGGTGACGTCTATTCAAAATTGATACAGTACGGTGTAGATAAGCATCCCCCACCTTTTGAGAACTTGTATTCGTGAATCTGGACAAAGGCTTATCAAGCAGCGATTGACTCGTAGAGACGGAGTATTAGAAAGCAGTCGTATTTTGCCAATGGCACAAACAGTAAACCAAATGCGAACTGCTCTATGAATCTGTGATGTGTTCCGTATATCCGGCATGCAATTAAATGACCTGGTTGCAATCTTTGGACAAAGTCATCTTAGCTTCACCTTTGTATGCTTTAACTTCATCCTTCATCCTTCGACAGGCACACACACAAAGCTTCCGATACCACTTCTTGGGAAGCGAGTCAGCGATGGGTTACTCGTCAAACCTTGCTATGTCGCAAGAAGCCTCCAACCTTCAAGCTCCCCGCGATTGCCCCTTGATAGGTCAAAGACGTCCATCCTCGTCGCCAAACATGCCACGAAACAGTTGCGACTTTGGAAGCGTCGATAAGCGAGGTGATCGACCGTGTCTATTCTGCAATGCATTCTTCTTCTTCTTTCTCAACCCTTTAGTCCGGAGGTGAGACGGCAATGTTTGCTTAGACGGAGCATGGCTCAAGGGCATCCTGATTACCCCACTCACCTCCATGTCCCTTAGTCGAAGACACGGTATGGCGGAACAGTTTCCGAAATCGAGTACTGTACGTGAGACCATGGTGATTTCATAAAGGGAGACCGTCCCGAGCCGCGCAAAATCACCATCTGCAAGACACATGCAAAGGGCAGCGTGAAACATGTACAATGTGGAATTGCGATACATCGAGGCATGATTGAACTTGCTGTGTTTTGGTCTTACTCAATCTAGCAATGTGGTTGCTTGTACTGTTGGCGTATGATCATGTCTTGTGTCCTCAGCAATATCTCGGAATAACTGCTGTCTCACAGACTGGCTGGCCAGCTGCGTACATATGCAACGATACAAACGTGTATTGCAACGCATGTATGTATGCGGTACCGCACATGCTGTAGCTGTCCTGCAGATCATGATTCACCGTACACGCGTAGATACGCAATGCCGTTCGGATCACGTGGACGCCCACACCCGAGCACTTGAGCTGTTCATCAATCGGATTCCCCTGCCTAATCTCAGTCCGATTCATATGAGGGGTGTAATGGAAAGGATACATTTGTCGCTTCTGGCAAGGTCGCATCTATGCACAGACGGAAACAATCCTGAATCGTGTTGCGCTTATATTCAGGCAACGCATTGGGGATTTGGCCCAAAAGGCATAGCAAAGCACAATCCGAACAAAGACCGATGATGCTACTGGTTTGGGAAGTCACGGAAAGCATGATAGACTTGGCACAGCTTCATCAAAGGATATGATAGGATCTTACACTCTTTGACACGGGCTAAGCGGTTTCAAGTTACCTAATGGCTCACTACGAGATCGTCGAACAGACTTGAGATATGCACTGAAGAGGTATTGTACTTAGCTGCTGCAGACACGTACATCACCTCTGCATAAGGTCGGCCTACAATACTCTAAACAGATATCCAGACTCATCCAAAAACTTCCCTTTCGTAATCGCCAGTCGAGCTCAACAATTTGAGTTTTGTCGTTAGCTGTCAGGGTCCGAAGAGTGTGTGGACAAAAAGCACGCGGTGATGCGAAGATACACGTTGCAGAATAGACCCTGACAGTTCGAATCACACACACACGCTGGAGATTCTGGAGCCAATAGCTCCTGGGGTCAAATAGTAGAATGTAAAGGTCTCAATGACTCATCCCGAGTCACAATAAACATACGAGGACTCGGCTGGTGCGCACGTCCATATCGACAGCAGTCAAATTTCCAGGACCCATAGACGGTTCAGGGTCATAATGGCGGCCCTGTTTATCCAGACTTTCGACTCCTGCTTGACAAATGGAAACAAGGGGAACAGACACTCCCCGAGTCTGCGCTCTTGTTGATCAGTAAATCGTAAGGCGCAAATCGCAGTAAGCGGTTGCACGATTGTCAACGACGTGGTTTGAAAAAAGTCTCTACCGACACTCTGGTCTTTCTCGAGCACATGGCGACCCGAGATTCGCAGACAGACCGTGTTGTGGAGAGTGCCACAGTATCGGTGAGGTCGCTTTTGAGACCAATCAGGTGGCTGGGCTCATATTGCCAAGGCAAGGCGCACCTCTTTTCTAGAAGGACGTTACTGCGGAAGAGGCGCATAGACAAGTGCTTGGTAAGGCCGGCGGGATACGATTGGCAGGCGTTTCTACGGCACATGGCAGAAAGTTGGCGGTCCAAAGAGCGACACTAAAATAATTGATCTATGGTTGGTAAAGAATGATTCATGGGCAGTGGTCAGCAATTGCAAAATCAGGCGTAGCAGCCGTTCGTACAAGATCTAATTAGCAAGCATATTGTGGAAGGCGCTCTTCGGATGGAAATGTACCGTGGATGCAAACGACGGGGGAAAGGAACATAGACGGTGGTACGAGACAAGTGACAGGTAAATGCAACCGTGCGGCCGTAAGAAGGCGTTTGTCTAGGGAATGGGCAGGGGCTTCATGGTTTCGGGAGGAAAGCGAGGAGAAGAAAGCCAAGATGGAAGCGAATGTAGAGACAAAAGAACATGGTTGTGACGAGCCATGGGGATGTAATCAAGGCCGATAGAGTGACAGGGTGGGTAGAGATCGGACGGCCCTCTCTGCAGACTGACTCGACGTCACACACACACATGTCTTTCAGCTCAGCGTTATATAAGGTTTACGGGTTTCTGAGAGTTGTCGCAACGGCGCTAAGATTGAGTTCCCACTGCTGCAGCTCGCTCGAGTTTCCTTTCCTCGAGGCGCCTTGGCCACTGTGACGCTCTCGCAGGCATGCTTGCTCGGTGGATATAACCGTCCAGCGAGCGCCCTGCTTTTGTTTTGCTGCTCTGTAATCTCGAGTCGATCCGCCTGACGAGACTCGCTACTACTGTGATATATATATACCATAAGCATTGCTTTCCACCCTGACCCTTCGTTTTTGGTCAAAATTCCCACCTGCACACATCGGAAGCTTGCATTCTCAAACAAAAAAAAGAGTGTTGGCAGTTCCACTAGTCCTTCTGTCAGTTCGAGCCGTTCCCCTTTGGTTTCGTCGTGCCGCGAGCCGCCGCCCAGGCCATTATTTGAGCACTCTCGAGCTACAAACAGGCCAGCATCCAAAAGAACATCAGAACCGAGAGACACGGCGATAGAGTTTGCCGAGGTTACATAATCCTCGCCTCGTCGTCCCTACCAGTATTGAACCCTACACCCTGCCTCTTTTTGGACTGCCTGCTGTTGTTGCGCGATCCCTCAAATTCCGACTCCCCATCTTGCCTGCTGGCTACGAGTACGCCTCAACGACAGCGTCTCGACTATCTTTCTCGATAGGACTCGACTTCTAAAGAGTACCTGAAATTATCCTCGATTTAATTCTTGGTGCGACGCGGACCTCTTCCCGACAAGTTCTGGAAATTCATAACATCAACATTCTCTTCTCACTACAAACGCTATGGCCTCGTCGGCATCGCCCATAGATATCGCCACGCCGCGTGCGTCGCCTCCCAACCAGACTTCCAACTTGACCAGCCAGCTGCAAGCTGCAAATGCACGTAGCGGCGACACCCAACCGCCAACCTTCATGGCCAACATGGAGCGTCGCGGCAGCGAGTTCAGACCCGACAGCTTGCGTCATGGCTCCATCAATATGGGCAACTCATTTCACTCACGCCCCATATCCATGCGCGACCGCGGCCGCCGCGACAGCACTAACCATGCCGGCAGCCTCATGGCTGGCATGAGCTGGGGAGGTCTCTCTGTTGGCAGCTTCATCCGCGACGAGTAAGTTTTGTGTGCAATCTCGACGACTCGCGCGCTGACATTCGACTATAGTTTAATCATGGCCGGCACATCGCCTTACAACTTCCAGTCACCGTCTTTCCATTCTTCTTCGTACCTTCCTAAGATGGAGGCAAATTTCATGAAGGACTACATTTGCTGCGGAATTACCCTCGACTCGCTCCATGAGCTGCTACAGCATTATGAAGAAGCCCACGCTCAAGTACCCACTCAGACCATGGGCCGTACTCCCAAGGAACATCTGCTTGCCAACGCTCGCAACGCAAACGCTGGTACTGCCGCCCAAATGCTGCAGCAGCAGCAACAGAGCCAGCCCCACAATCACCAACAAGCTCCTCAATTTGATCATCCTTCGGGTCTATCCCAAGGTCTGGCCCGCGATCCTTTGCAGGATCACGACATGGATGATATGGATATGGACATGGATGACACCAGCACCGCACCCGCTGTGCAAGACCCATACCAGAGCCACCAGTTTCAACCGCAACCACAATTCGGCAGACAGCAGGCCAGAGCCCCATCACTCAATATCGGCATGGCCAGTGCTTTCCAAAATACACAACAAGTCAACAATGTGTCGACACCCACAACCCCACAACCTGGCCAGAACATGCAGCTCGGCGGTTTCAATCCTACCGTGTCATCTGTAAATACACCCACGTTTGGACACACGTCGCAGACTGTTAGCCCGTCCGAGTCGACTGTGCACACGCCTGGCGAAATTGACCCTTCCAACTTCAATACCAGCATGTCTGGCTTTGGCTTCACTGACATGAATGGCCAACAGGATGAGTCACGCTGTATCGATGACCCCGCCAAGCGTCTACTCAGCAAACAAGGTGGCATGGGCGGATTCAAAAACCCAAGTCAATTTGCCAACAATAGCGAGCTGGCGAAACGTCTTCGCGAACAACAGCTCATTCAAGGTTTCGGTTTCCCTGGTGAAGAAGCAAAGCCCTTCCGTTGCCCCGTCATTGGCTGCGAGAAGGCATACAAGAACCAGAATGGTCTCAAATATCACAAACAAGTAAGTAATTGTCAGCATCACCGCGCAAGTTTCCTCATTAATCCGCTTCTANNGCACGGTCATCAAAATCAGCAGCTCAAGGAGAACCCCGATGGTACATTCTCCATTGTAGACCCCGCCACATCCATTCCCTATCCCGGTACCGTCGGTATGGANAAGGAGAAGCCTTACCGCTGTGAGGTTTGCGGCAAACGCTACAAGAACTTGAACGGTCTCAAATACCACCGTCAACACTCACCGCCATGCAATCCCGATCTCAAACTCAACCCTGTCGCGGTTGCCCAAATGCCCAATGGTATGCAAGCCATGAATGTCAACGTCGCCGGAGCTGGTTTGTCCATGGGTATGGACGATGGTCTGGGCTACTAGTCCCCTTGTTCGATATGCGTTTCTCCAAAGGCGTTCTGGCGGCGCTTCCAAGTGTCTTGCTTGAATCTACTGATTCATGACACATCCGCTTCACTTTGTGATACCCTGCACGAATTGATCCTTCTATTAGGGAGGCTCTCATCCTGCTCATTCTTTGTTTCTCGGTTTTGCTGGTGTTTTTCTCGCGAGGGGTTTTGTTTTCTGTCACTTTTCGTCGTTTGCTTTCGGATGAATGGTCTGGCGTTATGAACGTGCCAAATACATGGAGGAGGGTTGTTTCTACTCTCTCGGCAGGTTGCTATCAAGGTTACGAGAATGACAAGCAACGAACGTGTCGATTTTCGCTTATTCAATAGACATGGAGCTGGTTCAAAACAAAAAGTTGGAGCAATCAGTCATATTATTCTTTCATTTCTCAAGCTAGATTTGCCCACGGCTTGCTCATTGTGCTCTCAAGCTGTCTTTCAAGGTGTTGTCAGTATTGAGATGCTTCAAGACCCTGTCTCACAGACGTGTCACCATTTGTTGAGGGGCGTGCACGTCGTGCCACGAGTATGGAGAGAGGCTCAAAGATGCCGTTTGACGTTCTGGACCCTGACAATGCACGGAGCTCTTGTTGGTGACTTGTATCGGTCCGAAGCAAGTTCTGTGACGACGACTCGAGCTTCAGTACCATCCAGAGAGGCTTGCAGATGGCTCATCTTGGTGCAAAACCATTCAGTCTGCACTGATGCCCCGGGGGACCAAAGACCGTTGTGTCAAGTCAACTGTGGTCGCATGCACACCGCTTTGCTGTGGAGTACTCCACGATCTGCATCGTTTAGGTGTACCCAAAACGAACCCGCTTTACGTTAATCTATTGCACGCTCACCGTGTCATGGAAGAATTGTTCCTAGACCACCTGCTTCATTCATCAATGACACTAGCTGTTTTGATGCTAAAAACTACCACGTATACCAGAGCCCAGGTAGAACTTCGAGGCAAGTCGAAGCATAACCACCTGACACGTACCTGATCAGCATGTTGAACCCTGATCACCGCTTCGAGCCAGCCATGACAAGGAGATCCGCGGGTCAGACTGAGTCGCCATGTGCAAGTTCCAGCTTACGCGTGTCCACCATCTTGCATTAGGGCCTGACTTGTTCAGCGAATCTGACAAGTTGCCATGAACATCCACATCTGCACGCAAAAGACGGCGTCAGGGGTTATATTGAGTACAATTGGTCCACTAGCCGCACATGCATATACATGTCCCGCGTGGGGTCTTAACAAGACGGTTGGTTAATGCAAGTTCCATAGTTCTACTTGGTCGTGTCACGCGGATACACATTATCGCCTCCGCACGACCGTGTTCCTTTCCCGGTCTGTTGACTTGCAGCATTTTGTCTTAGACAGTCCATTTGACGTGCCCATTAAGGATGAGACCTATATGTCCAAAACTTAAAGTCTTATCCAGCAGAAACCTGGTGCCATATTCCACCAAACAATCGTCTTCAGAGCGTTGCTGTCTTTTAGTGATTACGCTCAACAATCTCCTTGGCAAATGTAGCAAAATCACGCTTCTCGTCAACCATTTCCCAAAGATTGGGCTGAGTGAAAACAGCCAGTGTGTTTCTGGCAACCTGACCACCTTTGCCAGGTGCAGCGCCCTTGACAAAGTGGGGCACTGCCCTGAACTTGCCCTTGGTAATGACCTCGAGAGCTTCACCGGTCTGAAAAGCAAGACAATCCTTTGGGATGTTGACCTTGGTCACCTTGCCAGAACGGGAATGAATGTATAGCCCAGCTGCCGGATCTGGAGGTGAGGACAGTTCGGGCAACGGCGAGACTTGTGCAGAATCAATACGAGGAGGGTTGGCTGCTTCATCAATGAACATGGCCGAGGTCAAGCCTGTCAAACAACCGTGGTCCAGATGCGTCGCACACCAATCGTCAGGTGAGCTCTCTCCTTCGCCTTGGTTGATGGTTGGTGCATAGTAGTGGAGCAAGCGGGCCTTGGTAGAGATACTCGTCTTGACAACATGTTCAAGATATCCTTCCTGGTACTGGGGCACATTCTTGAGTGCATAGCGGTCACAGGCCTGGGCAACGAGTGCGGCAGTGTCGACGATGAAGGTGCACAGTGATTGGAATGCCTGCTCGAAGCCCGGGAGAACATCATTGCTTGGCCAGATGTTTGCTGCAGTGTATTCTGGAAGATTGGGAAACTTGTCGATAGCTTTTTGGTGTAGCTCAGAGTTTTGGACAGGGTTGGCGTAGTAGGAACCCTTGAGTGTGTCGAATCTGCCGTCCTTGAGAGTTTCTTTACCACAACTCCAGCCTACTAGATAACTACTCTGAGGGTCCTCGAGCTTTTCTTGGCGAAATGAGTGTTTGAACACGATTCGAAAAGGATATAATGGCAACGTACCAAGCTCGGCCTGAGGCAGATTGGCCAGATACGAGGAATACGACAGCAGGGCCTTTCTCATAGTAACAAAGTCAGATGGCAGGTCACGAACGACAATGATGCCCAGAGAGTCAGGACCGAAAGCATCTTCAAGAGACTCGAATGGTACGGAGCCNNTATGGCGAGAATGAGATGGTTGTGTTTACACAAAGCATTTTGACTGTTTACCTGACTGCAAATCGCGAAGGCTTACGGTCACGGGTGATGCGGTCTGCACCCCAGATTCGCTCAAGTTGACAGCCATGTTGGGATGATTGAAGGGACAGACTAAAGTGGTTGTGAGGAGGAACAACAAGAAAGCAGTAATAAAGAGATTATATCAAGGTGGTGGGTGATTTTTCTTTCGGCCGGGAGCGACGCAAGTATCAGCCGAGCTTTGGCAACCATCGCTCAACTCCGAGCGACAATCTAAACATGGTCAAACCACTCAGTTTCAAGGGCGACAAGAAGGTCAAGAAGCGCAAGCGCACACAAGACGAAGGTGCAGACGGCCGTGGCCCTGCGACAAAGGACTTGAAGTCTGGCGCAGAGCAGCACCAAGACGACGACGACGAGTCGTGGGTCTCTGCAGATGCAGTGAGCGACGTCGCCGGGCCCGTCATATTTGTGTTGGCGACCAAACCTCCAACTTGTCTGGCCTGTGATGCCAATGGCAAGGTGTTTGCCAGTGCGCTCGAGAATATGGTCGACGAGTTGCCCTCGACGGCCGAGCCGCACGACGTCAGGCAAGTCTTTATAGCAAACCGTATCGCAGGCACCGACACTTTTAGCTTCAAAGGACATCATGGCAAGTAAGTTGAGCTGATCCTATCTAGCCTACTCGGAAAAAGTCTTGTCACTAACACCCTCACTACAGGNTATCTTAACAGCGACAAGTTTGGCATCCTCTCAGCCACACGCGACGCCATTTCATCCGAAGAACAATTCACATTGCTGCCCTCTGACTCTCTTCTNTTCAACATACGCACAACACGCGACAAGCTACTCTCTGCCACCCAGGACAAGACCGTCGAAATCAGAGCCGATGCCGAGGACGACACTAGCCCGACTTGTGCCATCAGGCTGCGCATGCAAGCACGCTTCAAGCCTGTCCACAAAGCTGCCAAGGAGGAAAAGGCAAACGAGAAGATAAGCAGAGCTCAACTCGAGCAAGCCGTCGGCCGCAAACTCGACGATGCCGAGGTCAAGCTTTTGAAGAAGGCCTGGAAGGATGGCACATATCACGAAGCTTTGCTTGATGTCAAGGTCAAGGGAAAGCACGACAAGTTTGCCTGAGCACCATTGAGAAGACGTGGGCCATCTGTGCCCTTGACTGTCAGACTCAGAAGTTTCATCTATAGGATGATCAAGATGATAAGACGGTCGTCCAAAAGCGAATCGACATTTGAGGATACGGTTTCTAGCGATGGTATCAAATATTCATTTTGAACATTCCAAGAGTGCATGAGTTTCACAAGAACACGTGAAGCGGCTCAATCTGGCAGCTCTTCAACCACCACTCCTTCCCCGCACTTGTCATCATCGTCCATTCATCAATTACCACAAACACAATTCGATAGCTCTCAACTACAACTCGCAGACAAGATACGCCATGAGTCTGCTACTCATCTCCATCTTGGTCATGGTCTGCGCTGTCAAATTGTCTGCTCTTTGTGGCTTCGTGCTGTTTTCGATGGATTAAGGAGCTGTTTGTCGCCTCCCTCCTCACAACGATAGCATGACCTCCATTCTGAACCACGCCGTCAGCACCGTCCACGAGGACCAAACATGGTCACAGAACTCTGCCTTGTGTCCGACATGCACCCGGTCCGCGTATGACCTCCAAGACATTCTGGACAAAGGTCCTCTTTCTACAATTCAGTGCGACATCCATCAAACTCGGCAGCTGTGTTACCTATCAACAAATGCCATTCCCGGTATTTGACCCCGAATCCCCGGTCTCTTCGGCATCTTTTCACCCCTATGTGCAGCATGCATATATGCATGCTGCACGAACGAGCTACGGAGATTCCCAAGAGCCGCGTTGCCGATCATCCCTTTGCCCGGAACAATGCCTATGTTGGACCAATGTTTGTTGCCGCACTCGAGAGAGGTTCATTGGGAACAACCAACGGATCGTACATCAATGGCTTCAAGATATCCTTATGCCGCGTACAACCGAAGGTCGGCGGAATAGTATTTATCTTGTACACGGGGAGGTCAGATGCTGGTTCGAGAAATCCTAAGCGATGCGATTTCTTACCTGGTTCCAGATCTTCTGAGCTGCATTGACTGGTGTCTGTAGCGACAATCTAGGTATTCTCGCCTGATAACCTCCGAGGAAGCAAAGGTGGCGATTCAAGGCAAAGTGAGGTTGACCTAGCAATCTTGGCTACGTATAATAGCATCGTTAATGTTGATCCATCGTGTATAACATGTGGTCTGATATTCGGCCAGACTCTCCGTTGCAAGCCACATGCCCCTGAACCATCTGAATACTAGGATTCTTTCAGTTCAGTACGGCGGTTTGAGTCTGCCGTCTGTCGAGCTGCTAGACGAATAACGCTTTCAATCCTATATAGTGTGGTCGCTCATGGCAGTCGATTGACTAGAAGACATGACAAAGACAGTCACATACATTTTAAAACTCTCGCAGTAGCAGAAATAGTCACAACAAGAGACATTGGTAGTTAACTTCTCATTAAAGCATCTCTTTCATATCGACACGGGATACAAGTTGTTTGAAGTGGACGGCCGCTAGTGATATATGGTCATTGTAGCACTGATTCTAGATTCATTCTGAAGAGGGCGAAGAGAACTTCTGATTGGGCTAGCTGCAGGATAGTGATTCCATGATCATCAAATCGTTCAATGTTCGCTGTTACACCATCTATACCGATGGCTGATATTGCTCCAAGCCTCTCTTCGCTGTTTTTTCATATCCACATGGTTAGATCTCATGCCACCCGAGTCCAGATACGAAAACTTTTGGGCAATCACAAAAGCACAAAAGCTTGAAGCAATGGTCTATATGTGTCAAGACCACGTCCCCCAGGAGTTCGTCCGCATTTCGAGTCATTCTTTGGCCACCGACACACCCTTGTTGCTGTGTCGCAACCAGCGTCGCAAAAGATGCTTGCCTTGAGTCAGCGCCCAGCGTGCCTGGAACTCACGCACGCACAGGTGCATGAGCTAGATGGGTTTTCGGCACAACGAAGTCCCCGGTTCCTGGGTCGAAATGCACCAGGCACTGTCGGCCTGCACGTTTGCTTAGTCCTCTGTCATCTCGGAATAGAAACGTTTTGCGGATATTTATTCGAGACCTTGGGCATCTACTCGAATTGGGTGCCTGATCAAGAGACTTGGACCATCGACCATATCAGGGATGGACCAAGGTACATTGTCAACGTGTGCTTGATTCATAATTCATTCGACTCTTGATTGTGTTCAGAAACTCGTGTTCCGAGAAAAATGGTTTGTGTACATTCATAATTCCGTCCAGATTATCCATTCCCTTCAAGTACCTAGTTATTCCATGCAACTAATATTACCCCGTTGGCTCCGTTCTTCGTGAGTTTGTCGTACCAGATCGCGTCACGCGATTCCAGCCACATTTTGTCTTGCGACACATTGCCTAGTTGTATTGTTGATCAAACCATATACCCACTGTCTCGAAAGAAATATGACATCCGAACGCCCGGATTATTGGGCCTTGGTGTCAAAGACTAGGTAGTCGAGGTGACTGCGTTGAAAAGATTCTTGAGACCGGACCTCTCCTCCGAGACTACCAACCGTTGGTGGGCAAAAGTCTGGCGTAGCGGTTTCGAACAACGCCAGATTCAAAGGCTTGTGCTCATGTTGTGTACAAAAGTTGGGAATGATTCATCAAGCATCATAACCGTACGCATGCTGTGAGTTGCCTTCACGGTATGCCATGGGCTGTGTGCTCGGAGGCTGCCCAGCCATAAAGTGAGCCGACCCAGCATTCGGATTGTAAGTAGGAGGGGCTAAGCTACGAGGTGCGCCATGGAAATCAGTCGTGGTCGATGACACGGGCGGTGCGCTGGGGACAAAAGGACCATGGCTTTGTTGGTCATGATAGGCAGGAGTTGAGGAAGCGGCGTATTGAGGCATGTTTTGGAAGTCAGGATGAGCGCCGATTCCACTGCTGTGGAAAGCAGGCGTCACGGCTGATTGCACAGGTGCCTGAGCAGGGATTGCTTGCTGAAACTGCGTCGCTTGCGAATGACCTGGGTAAGACATTTGATGTGCTGGCGAAGGGTAGTTGGTTGGTCGGTCACTTTGGCGAACCTGATAGGCATACGAAGGAGCCGAAGAGACATCTTGGGCCCTCCAAGACGCAGCGCTCTGACCAGCAGTGTGCTGAGCCCCTTCAGGCATGAAGGGTGTTGAAGCTGGCGCGCTACCAGGACTGTACTGGTTGTGCTGCCTCCAGGCTTCCGCTGGCTGGGGAACACTCCTGCTCGTAGCTGAAGACGAGGGTCTGGGAATATTCACAGCAGCGCTTAGGTGAGTTTGAGGCGAAGACTCGGGCGCAGAGACACTGTATTGCGGTGGTGCTTTGTCTATAGCTTTGGTATTAGCGAAGAGCACTTCGAGTGATGGACAAGCGCGCCTACCGTCATTCTCGCTGACGTTGATGGTGAATGTTTCGCCCGAGAGCCTGTTTCGAAGATAGGCGTTTTCTTCCTCGAGTTCTCGGTTACGTTGTTGTGTAGCCAGGTACAGCTTTTCTCTGGCTTCTTGAGTGCCAGTCAGTTCGCTGATTCGTCGTTCAAGATTCTCAATGTGATCTTTTGTTCTTTGTCGGATGGCTCTCTGTGCTTCCCTGTCGTTTGCACGTTTCCTCTCCAGCTGTGCGGCCGAAAGGGTAGAGACACTACGCGTCCCGGCTCTGGAAGCGCGTTTCGATGGGGGTTTGGATTGGCTACCCGAGTCTGAACTGTGCATAGTACCACTTGGGCTTTGACGGGATCCTGATGATGCATCCTGATTCATGTTGGAAGAGACTTTGAAGGCTTTCGAACAAGACCAGCCCTAAGCTGTATGATATGTTGTAGAAAAGCCGAAGCGAGTCAAGAGAGGATAAGATATATCAACTGCCGAACACCTGACAATGGCCAGGAAAGATCGCCAAGGGGAGAATCCCGGTGGTCAGTGAGCCAATGGGGAAGGGCTAGGGGCAGCAGGGACGTCGCTCGACTCGAGTCGAGTTAGGTGATGATGCACGACAAAGTAAAGATCGGGGACAGGCTGGACTTGAGCAGGTGGGCAAGCCGGTTTTGATCAAATATAACAGACAAAGGGTGTTGAGGGGCAGAAGAGCAGATATGAGGAACAGTCTAGCCCAAAGTTGCATTCATGAATCTTTGCAGACAGCGAACGATGGGCCTTTTAGAAACATTGGACACGGACTCACTGGACCATGGCTGGATAGCTCGAGATCTGGTCAGAGATGCACACACCGCAGCCGCACCGCACATGACGAAAGAACTTTTAGTCTGCTCGTTAGCGGCTTCCGAACCCTGCGTGGAAGGCAGGAAGAGTTTTTTTCTGGGTGACTGTTGAACCTGGCGGGAATAATGGACAAGTGGGCGCGCGCACGCGTGAGATGTCTGCTGCACAGACTGGTGCAAGACTAGGCAGAGAACTGCCCCCGCCAATGGTAGACTGAGGAGCGCCTTTGGTCGCTGGACATTCGCCGCGGCAGATCACCGCATGGACGCCGCGCCAGGCGCGGTTGCATGTTTCGGTTTATCACCTCCAGGCCCGGCTCTCAATTAGGCTTGGTCCGAAGTAGCTGCCACGTGTGGAACTTTACTGCCTCGCTGCCTTGTACCTGAGAAGAGCTCTGGTCCAAATTCCCATGGTACAAATTCAGCTGCGATTCGACATGCTGAGAGAGGGTGGACAAAGTGAGTTTGCAGCGTCGTTTCAGAGTCTTGGATTGCGTCGACTGCCCCCATCCGCTTGTACGTTCACGCCATGCCGTCGCGAAATGAAAACCGGAAAAGGGAAGCCCTCTAGTTCTCCATGCTCCTTCTCGCTGTTCCCTCCGAACCTCTTTGACTTCTTGCTTCGCGAACTCAGGGTAAGATACAATATTTAGGTTAGAAGCCTCGAAACGTGGCACCGACGCCGCCCACGCTGTTGAAATCTTGGTGCAAAACGTCTACCTTTTAATCCCGAGATTGTGTGATAAAGTTCTTCTACGTAGTGTAGCCTCAGAAATGGTGTCGAGCTGGAACATGAAGGATTATCTGACGCACTGATGGCTTGTTTGCTGAACTTTGTTCTGTACTTTTTGCCCCATTCAGGATGTCTCGAGATAGCTAGCAACAAGCTAGCAATGACGATGCTCAATTTGAGTGGACGAAAGAAATGAGCTCGCCCACTCGGGTGCTCCGACAAAAGAAGGATCTGCATACCACCGCTCTCCCGAGAAGAGTCGGAACTTAGCGCGTCTGCTTTTGAATATCACTACTCTAAAGCGCATATGTAGAAGATGGTGTTCTTGAATGGCTCGCGAGTAGTAGAAGTGCGTGTCTACCCAATGTGTTGGGTTTGATGAGACCATCACGTAACGGGACTTCTTTAGTGCTGCCCAGTGGTCCTCACACACAACAAGCCGTAGGTCTGGGCACCGGCGCGACCGGGGCTCTTTGGTCAAATGTGGCTTGGCAGTTAGATACCTACTCCTTGATCGAGCGTACCAGTGGCTTTTCTGAGTTTTGGAGGTCCTTGCATGCGCGACCGATGTTCAGCCAAGCAGCCTGTCGGCCATCTGGAAATAGGCGGTTTCGAGGATGCCGCCAAGTTGATCGAATTCGAAAGCAACGCTTTACGGAACCTAGAGTATAGAGCACATGGAGAAGAGTTCTGTATGAGTCGTGCCGGCATGACTCGGAAGAAGGTTTTCTGCTTTGTACCAACTCAAACCTTCCGTCGGCCCATTGTCCGAATTAGAATGTGAGAAGTTTCATGCAGCATGACATCCTATCTCTGAAGAAAAAAAGATACTATGGGCGGCAGGATGCGGCTGCTCACGCACTTGACAAGGTTTGCTTAGCTGCCAAGTCCATTCAAGCTTGTACTGGAAACAATGCAGAAGCAATAATAGGCAGTTCCGTCTATCCTTTTACATGCAGCATAAACCATGACAGATTTTACTGAACTTTCCAAAGAGCCAAGGTCATCGTGATGCCCAACACACACCATATGTCCACCTCCACCAAAACTCTGCTTCGGCGAGACGAATTCCTAATTCTTGTAGCACGCAATGAGAGTGGTTCCTTATTTAGCAGCTGTCTGTCCATGCAGAAGCCGAAATCGGCATTGGCGGACGCTAGATTATGTATCGGGCTAGGTAGACATCCATGGCCATCCAAAGTCGAGAAGCATACAAGCAAGAGCCAAGAGTCCTTCGCCAAGCCCATTGACTGAAAACTGTCTTATGCACGCCCAATCATGCAAGAGTCGGACACGTTCCGCGGGACGGAGAATGCTCGCAATTGAGTCGCAAAGAACTGTTACAGATTACAACGGGGAAAGAAGAAGGTTGGTCCGTCCTCGATCCCAAACAATCAATGCATACAGCCTCCAAATTTTGGAGTCCCAATGTGGTCGTGCAACCGTGGATATGACCACATGTAGTGACATGTTCAGGAATCATCGCTTTCTTTGCTTTTGCTGTTGAGGCACTAGATAGCAATCCACCGTGATTATCTCGTATCAGCTCTACCACTCTTGCACCTCACCAGGCTTGGGCTGCTGTACGCGAACGACCTTGTCACAGTTGAGTAGACACAGAGGGTCAAGGGCAAGCTTCATCTGTAGTCGGGCACGTCAGCTAAAAGTCGAAACAAGATGGGGGAGCGGCGACCTGGGGTTGTGGCCTGCCTGAACGCGCCATCCATTGCATATTCAAGACTTACCTTNTCTCATCAAATCGACAGTGCTGCGGCCAACTTCATGCTCGAGATAATCGCGCTTGACCATGCCAACGCCGTGCTCGCCGGTGGCTGTACCCTCCATCTCGATGGCGCGTTTGACCATGCGATGGACAAGGTCCTCTGCAAGACTATGTTCCTTATCATTGTAGAGAATTATGGCTATACGAGTCAGTCACGGGCCGAATGGTTTTGTTTGTTCGCAAAAAGACGTCTTACAATGAAAGTTGCCGTCACCAACGTGACCAACGATGGCTCCTGTCAGGCCGCTCTTGGAGATGGCGTCCTTGGTCTCTTCGACAATATCAGGCAAGCGGGAGATGGGCACTGCCACGTCTGTAGTCCAGACATGGTCACCATCGTTTTGCTTTTTGGCCATGACGCTCCAGAGGGCTTCCTTTCTGGCACTCCACAGCTCGAGTGCTTCGTCCTGGTTCTTTGCAAATTCAAAAGTCTTGCTGCCTGAAGACTTGGCAATCTTCTGAACGATTGCAATGTGCTCCTTGACACTGGTGGCGGTTCCACTAAATTTGAAAAATAGAGTAGGAGCTTCCTTCCACGTTCGTGAGGTTTGCCCAGCGTCGTTTATGCATCGCATTTGAACGTCATCCAGCAGTTCAATTGCCGCAATTGGCACACCCTCGCCTACGACCTTGAACACAGCATTGGCTGCCTCCCTGACCGAGGCAAATGAGCAAACGGCAACACTAGTGTTTTGCGGCTTGACAGTGACCTTCAATGTCGCCTCGGTGACCAGCCCGAGGGTGCCTTCGCTTCCAATGAAAATGCGAGTGAGGTCGTAGCCAGCAGAAGATTTCCTAGGACGTTGCTTTGTCTTGACAATGGTTCCATCTGCGAGGACGACGGTAAGACTCAGAACCCAGTCCTTCATGGTACCATAACGATAAGCATTCGTGCCACTGCAACCAGTGCCCACCATGCCACCAATCATGGCTCCCGGACCCGGATCCGGCGGGAAGAAGAGGTTGTGATCGGCCAGTTCCTCGTTAAGGCTCTCCCAACCGACAGCAGGTTGTACGACAATATCCAAATCATCCTTGTTCAGCTTCAAAATCTTGTCCATGCGACTAAAGTCGATACATACACCACCTCTTGTAGAAGCAAAGTGGCCTTCCAGACTGGTTCCGCCAGAGTAGGGAGTGACTGGGATACGGCGACGGTGGCAGATCTTCATGATCTCACTGACTTGTTCGGTCGAGGCAGGTCGGATAATGCAGAAGGGCTGGTCACCAGGGTGAGCGGGATAGGAACTCCACTCGGAGCCTGAATGTGAGCTGAGTTCTGAGGCCTCTGTCGAGATGTTGTCCTGGCCAACAATGTCGCGGAAATCGGTCCATGCTGCTTCGAGGTTGGTTGGAGCAATGTTGTGTTTGGGAGGATGGGCGGCTGCAAGTGGCAGCGTCGAAGATGGGGCAGGGTCGGCTGGAGCTTGTTGACCAGCGATATAGCCACCGAGAGCACCGGTCAGCAATANCTGTGAAATATAAGCTTGGTGTGTTCTGGGCTAAGAGCGACAGAAGAAGAAAATACCGAGCGGCACCATCCATACAGGCGAACCTCCAGAGCTTTTNNTCTGAGCAGCCCGGATCTCAGCAAAGCGAAGCTGATCTGCTCGCTCCCTTTGTAATCTCTGGGCTGTACTGTCATACAATTGGCCCTTGAAGGACTTGCCTTCGTCTTCAGAGGCATAACCTCGTTGTCCTACACGTCTCACAGCACGCGGGGCTTTTGTGAGCGCCCGGTTTAGTGTCTGCGTCCTCTCGATGTGGATAATGCCATTGCGAAGCATCTTGCCAAATCTTAGACTGCTTCTGACTCGAAGAGCAGAGGTCGACTGGCTTCTCAATGAGGTGACAACAGGTCGGCGATATGGAAGCTATTGCGCGACATGACGAGCGGGCGCCTTTATTACGAGCGACTCGATTTCTAGCTAATCAGAGCCCCTCCGACAGCCGAGCTCTGTCATCTGACAGGGTGGCCCAGTCGACTATATTTTTCAACTGAATAGAACCTTCAACATGTCGAGATGATCTCGGTTATGTCTATTTCCCAATCTGATGAGAAAAAAAAAAGGAAGATCATCTTGACACAATACCAGAAGACGAGCACAAGCTACCAGTCTGGCCGATATAAATCATAAATCACAAATCACAAATCACGAACACCAAAGACACACGAACAAACAAATTCCGGATTGAAATTGTGCTTTGATTTCTGCTTGATAGCTATTATACAGCATGGCATGGTTGGCGGATCCGCCAAAGTGACCCAGGCTAGCTAAGGTTACTCAAAGCTCGACATCTTGGTTGTTGTCAGATCTTTCAGACCATGACTGACATCGTGCGCAGATGCTTGAGACATCTAGTTCATGTCGTCAAGACGCTCCTGAAGGTGCTCCTTGGTGTCGTCAGAGACGTTGGGATTGTGAAGAGCAGCCTTGAGACCAGCAGCACTGAAAGCTGTTAGTACGGAGCGCATTATGTATCAACTCTTGTAAAACTTACACCCTGGTAGGATCCTTGCCATCGTCGGCGTGAGAAGTGGAAGTGGTGTCAGTGTGAGAAGTGGAAGTGGCGTGAGCGTGAGAAGGGGAGTTGATGTCGGCAAGATGGTGCGAGACATTCTCCTTGGCCTCATCAGAGACATTGGGGTTGTGGAGAGCAGCCTTGAGGCCGGCAGCGCTGGGGCACATTAGCAAGAAGCAAGGCGATCTAGGTCAGGAAGCGTACACTCTCATGGGATCCTTGCCATCGTCGTTGTGAGCAGTAGCGCTAGCACCACCAGAGTTGGTCTCAGTACCGAGCTCCTTCTCGATGACCTCAAGAGAGTGCTGCTTGGATGTCTCGCTGGTGTTGGGGTTGCTGAGGTTGGCCTTGTGGCCGCGGATGACGTTACCGATGTCCGACATCTTGGATTGAGTGGTTGAGTGGTTGGAAGTTGTGAGATATGTGTATGAAAGGTTATGGGAGAAGTGGAAGCAGTGTTTGTGGTTTGGCAGAGAAGGAGGAAAGAGGAAGGGTGAAGCTCTTAAATAACCTTGTTGGAATTCAAGTGAAGGTGCTGTAGTCGTCTCACTCGAGTGAATCGTCAGGCAGCAGTCACTTGCTGTTTGTTTGTCTCACCAAACGCGCATGAGTCTACAATATGCACAAAGACTTGCCACTGCTTTCACTTCCTTCATGGCATGGCGCCTAAAGCGCGTCCATCGCAACATGTACCAACTCTAAGCTTGAACTAGAGGTTGTACCTACCCGTAGATTTCTCTGTACTGTATTCACAAAGAGTTAACACCAGCAGAACATTGAGAGCATGGCTATGCGCCGTACTCAAACGGAAGCTTCGCTACAGTCTCAGTCCTTTTCAATGAGGTAGCTCAGCTGCATAACGCGTGTGTTCTGCATGACTGGAGCCTAGGAAATCAGCTAAAATCACACATGCTGAACGGCCAATCGAAGCTGAGAAGCAAGCAGTCAGACGAAGTTGAAGGAAGGTGGAGTTCACGGCTTTCAGAGAAAGCAACTGCGACGTGACGCGCTCGCCCAAAAGGGATGGTGGTAAGCCGATCTTCCAAGCTCCAAGACATGCATCCAGTTCCTTCGTCTCTACTCCGTACTCTACTTGCTTCACCGAGGCTTCGGACATGTGAAATAATTCGAGAAGACAAAGACGCAGCAGATGACGGAGCAATTCACATGGATGTTGGAGAGGGTAGGTGATAGGTACCGGACTGGGGCCGAGGCCTCAAAACAGCCGAGGCATTATCAGATAGCAACCTGAATCATTCAAGAAGATTGGGAACTACTATCCGTCAACAACAACCAATTCATCCCTAATTGACCAAAAACCATGTCGACACTGATCAAACCTCCACCAGCTGACCCCAGCAAGTCTGCAATCGAGAGCGTGCTTGAGCTCAAGCAATTAACCGACATTGACCCTGGTATCTTTACCAATACACGACCACTATGGCACCCTCCAGGTGCTCGTGGTATCTACGGAGGCATGTTGTCTCTATGTGCCGAATCTAGTCGACAACTTCTGACAAAGCACNNAGGTGCCGTGATCGCCCAGTGTCTTGCGGCAGCGCAACGAACAGTCCGTGATGACTTCACCGTCCACAGCATGCACTGCTACTTTGTGCTAGCTGGCAATGCGGAAATCCCAATCATGTATCACGTCGAAAAAGTCCGAGATGGTCGAAGCTTCGCTACACGCACCGTACAAGCACGACAGCGCGGACGTCCCATNTTTACAACAACCATGTCGTTTGTACGAGAAAACAGCGGAGGTTCTGAGCGGGTCGAACACGCAGTCGACATGCCGCCAGTGCCTGGACCTTCGGAGGACTTGAACATTCCAGAACAGGACAATAGCCCCTTTCAAAGCCAACGCATACATATTCTCAATCACGAATCAGGTCGACCGCAAGATAAAAAGACAAGACAGTGGATCAAAGCTAGGGGCAAGATCAGTCCAAGTGGAGGACACCAGGCACATCTATCGGCTCTGGCATACATGAGCGATAGCTACTTCATAGGCACAGTGTCACGGGTGCATCGGCTGTGGAGATTCTCGACAGCGGACAAGGACGGCAAGTCGACGATTGACAACTCTGTGCTCGAGAAGCTTCGTGATATGGATGATGATACGCTGCGGAGAATGCAAGGAATGGACGAAGATGTCATTTTGGCATTGAGAAACATGAAAGACATCAACAGCGTAGAGCAGAGACGACCAGAAGTGGGCATGATGGTAAGTCTGGATCATACCATCTACTTCCACTCGCCGCGCAACTTTCGTGCAGATGAGTGGATGTTTACGGAAATGGAGAGTCCATGGGCAGGAGATGGCAGAGGGCTGGTACTGCAGAGGTAAGAGAATGAATGAAGAGAGAAGACGCAGCAAGCAAAAGCTAACGAGGCANNCAGGATGTTCACAAAAGACGGCGAGCTGGTTGCAACGTGTGTGCAAGAGGTACATGACAAACAACAAACACAACGTTAGAGAGAAGCTAATAGGTGCATGCAGGGCGTGGTTCGACTGAAGGACAACAACAGGGCCAAGGAGGGATCGAGCAAACTGTGAGGGGAGATAGGTAATGAGTCAAAGGCGTGTTAGGGCGTGGTGGTGATTTGGGACTAGGGCGTGGTGTTGGTCGAGGCAGATCATGGCAGGGCGTGTGGTATTGGTAGATTTGGTGGGGAAGCAGCGGTTTTCGGCGGCGTCACACCCCGCAGGGCCATTTTTCACTGATCAAGAGTCACGATGTCGGCGTCGATGCTGTCACAGCACAATTGCCGTCATCTGCTTGGTCTGTAGCTCCAGCATCAATCACTTTATATATACACACACGATACGACGCCGTTCCGTAGTCTGTCATAGACTTGTTTTCCTACCGTCAACGCCCAAACACCGCCCATCATGCCCATGTACGACAAGGCTGGCTCCAATTTGCACATGGCATCTTTTGAACTGACCATATTTACAGGCTCAAAGAACCATGGAAGAAGTACCCCAAGTTCCAACCTCTTGACTTGCCCAACCGCCAATGGCCCTCCAAGACAATCGACAAGGCTCCGCGATGGCTGTCGACCGATCTCCGTGACGGCAACCAGAGCTTGGTAGACCCCATGGACGGTGAACAGAAATGGCGCTACTTCCAGATGCTCGTCAAGCTGGGCTACAAGGAGATTGAGGTCTCGTTCCCCTCGGCCTCGGACACCGACTTCGAATTCACACGCCGTCTCGTCACAACTCCTGGTGTCGTGCCCGACGATGTCGCCCTCCAGGTCCTTTCACCATGCCGCAAGGAGCTCATCCGCCGTACCGTCGACTCACTCAAGGGCGCCAAAAAAGCCATTCTCCATTTGTACCTGGCCACCAGCCCGTGCTTCCAGCAAATCGTCTTCAACATGAACAACGAACAGTCCAAAGCTCTCGCCGTAGAGTGCACAAAATACGCCCGCAGCATCACCAAGGACGACCCTGAACAAAAGGATACGGATTGGTCTTACGAATTCTCGCCCGAGACCTTCTCAGACTCGGACCCCGACTTTGTTCTCGAGGTCTGCGAGGCCGTCAAGGCTGCTTGGGAGCCCACCGAGGAAAAGCCCATCATCTTCAACTTGCCCGCTACTGTCGAAATGTCAACTCCCAACGTCTACGCCGACCAGATTGAGTACTTCTGCCGCAACATCTCAGAGCGCGAGAAGATTTGCGTCTCTCTCCACCCCCACAACGACAGAGGCTGCGCCGTCGCCGCTGCCGAGCTTGCTCAGATGGCAGGCGCCGACCGTGTCGAGGGCACTCTGTTCGGCAATGGTGAAAGAACCGGAAACGTCGACCTCGTTACTCTGGCCTTGAATCTCTACACACAGGGCGTACCGCCAAACATCGACTTTAGCGATATCAACTCGGTCATCGATATTGTCGAAAAGAGCAACAAGATCCCCGTCCACCCCAGAGCCCCCTATGGCGGCCAGCTTGTCGTTTGCGCCTTTTCGGGAAGTCACCAAGATGCCATCAAGAAGGGCTTCCATTTGCGCAAGCAGAGTGGCAACAACGACGACCAACGCTGGCAAATCCCCTACCTTCCTCTCGATCCTCAAGATATTGGCCGCACATACGAGGCCATCATTCGTGTCAACAGCCAGTCGGGCAAGGGTGGTGTTGCCTGGATCATTCAACGCACTCTCGAACTCGACATGCCTCGTGGCCTCCAAGTCGCCTTCAGCAAGATCGTACAAAAGGAGACGGATGCCCTGGGTCGCGAGTTGCAACCCACCGAGATCAAGAACCTCTTCGTCAACGCTTACCATCTCGAGAAGAACCCGCGTTTCCATCTCATCGACTACGACATCACCACCGACCGCTCCATCTCGCCCGCACCCCCTACCGATGGCAAGACTGCCTCCAACAAGAACCTCAAGCGTCGTTTCGACGGTGTCATCGAGGTTGACGGCAAGGAGCACCGCATCAGTGGTGTTGGAAACGGTGCCCTTTCATCTCTTGCCAATGCTCTCAAGAGCCTCAACATTCACCTCGATGTAGACGACTACAAGGAGCACGCTATCGGTCGTGGTAGCGACGTCAAGGCTGCCACATATATTGAGTGTTCCACTGGCTCGCATAAGGTCTGGGGTGTCGGTATCCACCAGGATGTCGTTCAGGCTTCCCTCATTGCCCTCTTGTCTGCCGCGTCATCGGTGAGTCAATAGAAGTTTACCTTGTCTTGACCCTAGAGTCTGATGCGTTTCTTCTGCAGNTTCTTGTCAAGCAGACCTGGCACACCAATTCCCTTTAGCGCACCCAAGCTCGATTCGTTGAAGCCGAACGATGCGCCTTCCAGTGGTCCAGACTCTACGAGCCACGTCGTTGCAAACTTGGAAGCAAGGGCCGAGAATGGAAATGCCCAATAAGCATCAGACGCATCATCAATCTTGAGCGCCGGATTCTTTTTATACGTGTCATGTCCTGTCTATCTTTTTCTGTTTGTTCTCCCAAAATATCCCAGGTTGTTCATTTGGTCGTCAACGAAATTCAAAAGCAAAAGCTCCATCTTTCTACAATCGTTCTTGCCTTCGATTGGTACTTGGATTCGAATTATAGTCATATAAGAATGTGTTCTCCAACTTCTTTCTCGTCTTGCTCTTTCCATTCTGCGTTCGTCACTCTCACATTTCGTGCATTGCTCCGTTCCTCCTTTGAATACAAAATTGACTTCCTGTCCTCTCAACCGACGGCTTTTGGTTTCTTGCGCCTTGTGACTTAGATACAACGTCCAAGAAGGAGCCAGAAATGCGCATCGGAAGGATCAGTGATCAAAACCAGAAGAAAACAGTGGTAAACTCAAGACTCAATAACAATGCAAGTGATATGAGCAATGTCTATATATTATGCACACTGACTCTGCGTCATGCATCCCATTCAAACCCTTCTTTCCTGCTTAAGAATGTATGCTGACTCGATGCTACTTCTCTACATAATTTTCGTCACAAAAGTTGATAATCCCTCGTGTATCCAAACCACAGCCTCGAGTTGACACGCAGGACAAACAAACAAAAGGAGATACTAGTTGTCTCAGTTCCTTTATCTCGCATTTAGATTCAAATGCCTCAATGCATCCTGTGACCAATCATCATCGCTGTCAATACTGGTGCGGTTCGCAACTCTTAATCCGCCCGACTGCTGCATCGGCATGTCTTCGGGCGAATGAGGTGCTCCACCGTAGCTTCCTCTAAAGTCTGATCGAGGTGGTGGTTGATGCTGCTCAGGTGCCACGCCTGCAAAGTCCTGCTCGTCTGAGAAGCCATAAATCATGTTGCCTTCTACGGGAGAGTAGTCGAGTGTTGTGTTCAACGTAAGGTCGCGTGGCCGCTCGTTGGTGGGCGTGTGATCATTGTTGTATAAGAATTCTGCCGATGGTCGCGGTAGTTCATCCGTGTAGAGGGGCTGCGGCATGGAAGCCATGTCGTACGCATGTGGCTCTTCGGCCAGCGGCAACTGTGAGATACTTTCCACATGACGCAAAGAGCTGCCTGCTGTACCAGGAGCGCGGTTGATGCTGCCAGGTCCTCCTCTAAAGGCGCCAGCGCCTGCAGTACCCGACTGTCCGCTGCTGCGCCTGCCAGCTGCAACTTCGTTTGGCACCGCTGTGCCTACACTTCCCTCCGCATCAGGGTCGCGGATGCTGAATTGAGCTATTGTACGCATTTTGCGAGACACCCAACTGGCCAAGATCTTGCCTCTCTGCTTCTCACCAAGTCGTGATCGTGGGAAATCGCCCTTTTGAACAAAAGCAACAATATCAAGGACAAGCTGATGTTCGTTGAGCACCGTGTTGACTATCATCGGTACTATCGACGCAAGGAAGGCACGAGTCCGAGACTCGGCGATCAAGACCAGAAGCGAACCGGCTTGGAAAATCGCACNTGTTGAGCGTTAGTACCTTTTCTGTGTAACAAACAACCAAACCACTTACCATCCACCGGGGACTAGAGCGCGATGGCACCTCTCTACGCTGGCTTCAACGTCCATGGGGAAGTGTTGCAGACCGTTCACTTCAAAAGTCTCGCCGATCCCACCAAGGACGAAAAGAACCTGCATTTCGACCATATTGCCACCAGGTCCGATAGGCCTGCTGACGCTATGTAGGAAACCAAGGTCTCCAGTTCGCATGTATCTCACACCAGGATCGCCGTCGACGGTTCGACCATTGAAGCGTTCGGCATCGAATGCATCTTTAGAGCCGTAGAAAGAGTATGCAGAGGCTTCGCTCTGTACCCAGATCTCGCCGTATTCGCCTGCTAGACATAGCCGGTTCGTCTCTGGGTTGACGATACTGATTTGCGTACTGACGGGTACCATGCCTGAATCCTGAACCAAGAGTGCGAATGGCTCTGTATCTGGGTCGACAGGAACCACTAATCCTCGACGAAGTGCATTGGTGTCGAGATAGAGCTCAATGGGTTCTATACACATGTAGCTACGGCTCGCGACCATGGGATTCAGCACATGGCTGTATATGGTGTTGATAGCAGTTCTATCGAGTGCCGACTGAGAAAATGCCACACGCACTTTCGAGTAAACGTCAGCACGTGGTCTCTGGTCCGTAGCAATCATGAGGTTCTTCAGCTCTAAGAGAGAGGTCGATTTTCCTGCATTGTGAGCCATGGCATGATCGAGCATTTGCGACGTTGCATAAGTGTCCTTGATCTTGTAGCGTGACAGTATCTGGAACAGGATACTTGGGTTTGCAGCAAAGTCGACAGGTGAAACCAAGTATGTAGGAGCAGCCAAGAAGATGCCCATCAAGCATGTGTGCAAGAAGCCAATACCCATGGTAGATCTCACACAACCCAAGACCGGGCGAGTGGACGTCATCTGACAGGTCTCCTTTTGCACCTTGCATAATGCCATAATAGTGTCATGGCCAAGCTGAACAGCAATTCTACGCTGGTCTGGCGTCCAGTAAGTCCAAATGAGAGCAGGGAATCCTTGAGCTACCCATGCTGGTCGCATGGTATATCCTAAATCGCGACAGCCATGAGATTGTTTGGGCGGCTTTGAGGTGTTGTAAATGTTGGGGAGATTAACCTTGAGGATCAACGCCGACTGCTTTAGATGCTGCGAGACAGCCTTTTGCCTCAAAAGTGAGTCAACATCGGCATTAACGATAAGAGCTTTGATGCGGAAATCGGCTATGACGTGGAGTAACGCTGGCGCATCCTCGTGGAGTCTGTTAGAGTCAATGGGGGCCATTGGTACAGCCACAACGCCCAGACAGAAACAAGCGTGTACGGCATAGACGAAATCCTCCGAGTGAGTATACATGAGTAGTAAATGGTCACCAGGCTGAACCTTGACCTTGTTTTTGAGGTAGGTGGCCACACCTGCAACCTTGAAATCGAACTTCTTCCAGTTGACACCCTTTCCTTCGCGGCCACGACCGTCGATGGTGCAATAAGCCAACTCTTCTGCCTGTCGAGAAACGCGCCACTGCATCAAGTCATGAATGTTGGAAAATTGGTTCAGAGGGGTCGATGTTCTGTCGTCAATGACCACCTCTCGGTGATCAACACCAGAGTATTGCTTGTCTTGCAACATCAAGAGGTCTTGTCTCGCTTGCGAGGCCAGAGGCGACCAGATGCCACCAGCAGGGTCATCGCCCAACGGTAAGTTTTGGACAGCTCTCTCGACACCAAATTTGACGTACACACACTGCAGGGCTCCATTATCAAAGTCCTTTCGGCATAACATGTTTCCGATGTCTCTTCTACCATTCTTGACAACACGTGGCAATGTGTTTGGGGCTGTCAACATGACACAGTAGACTCGTAGATGGTGCTCCTGGTAAAGAACTTCCATGACGCGCTCAGTAAGCGAGTCCAGAAAAGGTATGTCTAGTTGCCTTGGTGGTCCACCCGCGGTAGTTGGAGCTGTGGAGGCAGCTTGAGACTCGAGAAGCACAAATGGGAGGTATTCACCATTGACATGTGCATCGAATGCAGAACAATCAAAGATTTTCGGCACAGTCTTCATGATGCTCGTGACCAGGTGCTGGACGAAGAAGTATCGATGCTCGTGCTCCTGAACACCATTTTCGACCCACTCCACTCGTTGTCTAATGCGGTCTTCGTATAGGCCGAGCACATACACCTTGCCCTCGATAACACATCCAAGGAGACCGGTACGCAAAAACTCGGGTTCAACCAGGACTGGTGTGGGACTTCCCTCGACAAAGCGGTAAGGCCTGGCGTGGAAGATACTCTCGGTATGTCTAGGAAGGGCCCAGAAACCTCCAGAAAGGGATGGGGAGTCGACCCAGATTTCACCAATCGTGAAGGGTGAACAAAGTAACCCAGTCTCGGGGTCGACTAGAGCAAGAGTTGCATCCGGAATGGGGTATCCAAAGGCACCTGCTCTTACGGTTCCAGGTTCATTAGTCCTTTTCCTAGCATCTTCGCCCATGGCCAGGACGACAATTTCATTAGTCTTGAGTGCCTCCTTGTCAAGCAACACCTCGCTCAACTCATTACGGCTGTTTTTCTGTCCCTTCTTTGCCGTGGTACCTCCGACACTACCTAGCAGGCTAGAATAGTTATTCGAATTTCCTTGGTTCGCGGACCCGTCATCCTTGATGTCGTGCTCGGATTCGTCCATACTCAAAGGACATCCCATCCTTTCTTCACCACCGAGCCAATCTCTGACTGATACAATCATGCCTCCATGTTCAGGCAAGCAAAGCATTGGAGCGACCAATTCTCTAGCACGAGGATTACGCATGGGTCTAAACCAACGATCTGCTAGGATTTCATGGAACTCGCTGTCCACGGTAATTGTGTCAATCAGACAGATCTTGACTGTCGAGAAGTTGGGTTCGGCATTCTNTTTGAAGTTTCTCGTAGCCATTGGGTCCTGTTGATAATTGTACGCAGTCCGTTTCAAGCCTGGATAGTCGGCAACCATGATAGTAGTCCTATACTTGGTGATCAAATGCGCATACATTCCGGGGGTATCAACAGTCTTGGCCTCGAGCCAAACGGTCGTATGACCACCATAGACACCAAAAAGCACACCAAGGATCAAGCCGACACCTTCTCTGGGGTCGAGATATGACAAGATAGTCTCTGCCTTTTGTCCAGGAGGAGCTCTAAATCCAGAATCGGGGTCACTAGTAGGAATGGTAGACACAATGGCACTGACACAAGCCATCTGGTGCATAATCGTGCGATGGCTCAGGACAACACCACGCAAGTCACCTGTCGGGGCTCGAGAGAATTCTATGTAGGCCAGATCCGGAACCTGAAGGGGTGGTGTATCGTCCTTCTTCTTTGGGTGGTAGCTGCCGAATTCGTTCGTCTTCCACCATTCGACCCCCGAAGGCCACTTCAACCGCTGTTGACTAATGTCGCGATGAAAAGCTTTGAGGTTGTTATCCGTAGTCAAAGCGAGATGTGCCTGAGTTGTAGTGAGAAGAAGGCCAAGCTTTTGGTAGTCATCGACATTGTTGATTGGTACAGCGACAACGCCAGCAATAAAACAACCCATGAGGGCGACGGCGAAATCTATGACCTCGGTGTCGCGATAGACGAGAGCAACACGATCTCCACGGTATAAGTTACTCTTGTCACGAATGACTTGAGCGACCTTTTCGGCCCTGCTGGCTAGCTTTTCCCAAGTAATAGAAGCAGTCTCTTTACCCTTGGAATCGAGAACCCAATATGCGGGCTGGCGGCCATTGGATCTAGCACGATGACGCAGGACAGCGCCAATGTTGTCAAAGTTGGACATGGGGACTGACTTGTTGTGGGGATCGTAAACGGCAAAGGGCACCTCTCTTGGTTCAAGAGGAAGCTGATGTATGGGAGCGGTTGATTCCATGTCGTTCGAAGACATCAAGGGGGGAGGAATATTAGCCGTGGGCGAAAAGGCTTCACCCATGGAATAGCGTTGTGGACCACCATAGCTCTCTTCGCGGGACTGGTCCTGCATCTGCTGACCAGCAAAGTCGTCAAAGAAGCCCTGTTGCGAGTCCAGCATGGTGCTCAAGCGGCTCTGGACATCAGGTGATGGTTGCTGGTGGGATTGGCGAGCGAGTAGGTGATTGTACTGAAGCTCTGGGTTGAAGGCATAGTCGGAACCATACATGCTAGCAGGCGTGGAGTGGCCTTGAACCGCCGAAGCATTGCGTTCGACTGCAGTCGGGGCATTGCTGAAGCTGTCGTCAGCGGCATAGGGACCGGCAGAGATGTTTGCCAGCGAAGCAGTACGCGAGAGGTCGGGCGACGAGAGAGCGTCCAACTCGCCAGGGCCGTAGAATTGCGAGAGCAGAAGCGTCCGGCGCTTTTCGTNATCTGTCGCGTGTCAGTCTCTCGAGGGTCGACTGAGCTGGCGCGGACAGCGTTCGCACCCTTTCTTTGTGATGTCGCCTTCCTCTAGCTCGTGGTCCAGCTCGCGCAGTTTGGCCTGCAGCTCTTCCTCGGCCATGGCGGCGGCATGGGGTGGAGTCGATGGCTTGGTTTACTCGTGCGTGGCAGATTCCCGGAATCCTGGATGATGTGGGAGGTATAGCAATGCACTTAAAAGGCTAGCAGCTCCTTGTTGAGGATGTTGAATGTGCCGATGCTGTCTTCCATGTGGCCTTGGACATGATAAAACATGTGGGTGATGGCCATGTGCTCTGCCGCCTTTTGCTTGGCAGGAACCATGATGCTTCCATCCCGGTTTCACTCCTTCATCAACCAATTACCGACGCTAGGAGCACCTGCCTGCTTAGGTACCTCTTATGCCTGCTGCACAGGTTTCGAGAGGTCGAACATCTGCTAAGCCATTCGTTCCTGTACCTGTCATCAAGTCACCAAGCCGTTGCATTGTCACACACATCACCTGCTATTGCATCTTCCAAGACAGTCAATGAGGACTTGTTTACCAATTATAAATTTGTGCTCCGTTGCACGTCTATGTACCACTATAAGAAGCACTCCACAAATGCTCATCATGAACGCGCTAAGAAGATAAAGGTATCGAACAGGAAAATCAAAAATCTGTGCATCCGTCGCTTTAGTACGTGAAAGCCTCCTCATGAAACGTGATATTGCCAACGTCGACCTTCTTGCGCACTGCTGCACGTACGCTGTCTGCGAATGCTCCAGGCCCGCAAACCACAACTCCCATTGCTCCAACCTGTTCTGCAACCTCCTTCTCCAGCACCGTCGATGGGTTGCAGCGTCCGGGGAACATTTGCACTGTGCCTGTTCGGCTGTTGACTTCATTCTGGTTTCGAGGCTTGGTGACAAAGAGCTGCACGCGAAGAACCTCCTTACGGCCCTCCATCTTGAGAATCTGATCCATCCATGGCCGTGCCCATTCGAGCGCTTCGGTAGTGGGCACCGACCAAACGAGGAGAATGCGACGTGTCGAGCACGTCCCTTGTGAATACTGTGTCAGGAGACGGTGCACGTAACCGACACAATGTGTTATGCCAACGCCTCCAGCAAACAAAACTGCTGTGCCATAAGATGCCAGCTTCTCGTGGCCACCATATGGACCTTCCATGACACCAGGTAACGTGATCATTCCAGTAGACGACGCACATGCCCTCTCGTACAGCTTGCGTGTCATTCCCGATCTGGCGCGGATGATGAGACTCACGTGCGTGACTTCTGGACCATCGCTGTCTGCTATTTGCGTCTTGTAGTGCGAAACAACGGATTGGTGCTTGGGCATGTTCCAGGAGGGTAGCTTCTCCATCTCAATCTCGAGAGGTGCACTCCTAGGTTTTGTTTCTGCCCAAGCGACAGAGAAGGGGTGAGATGACCACAGACCAACGGTAGGAAAGTAGACATGAACATGCGAGCCAGGGATGTAGTTCCACGATCTGGCAAGCTCAAAGGTGACACGGCAAGCCTCGCCAGGGAGCGCTTCAATATGTGCTCTTGACATGCCAGACTTGAGACTAAAGTTGAAATAAGCCACACGCACAAAGCGCGAAACCCATTCGAGTCCCCAAAGGATGATGACGAATTTGATGTAAGGCGTTTGTGGAAGGTTGTGCTTGTCAAGATGCACATAGACACCAATTAGACCAATCATGACCAGGAAGCGGTGAAGATTCAGGAAAGTTTCGTAGAAGGCATGACGCAGAGGTGAGAATGCTTGAATTATGATCATGGTGAAGGCGCAAGTACCGACCATGCCCCATGCATAGCTTGGGATGGTCAGATTGTCCCTGAGTCCATCGAGACCAACAGAGTCGACTACGTTAACCAGGTAGCAGATGGTGTGGACGATTGCCTCGATGGCGCAAACTCTGGCACACCATCTATGAAGAAGATTGAATGTATCGTAGGAGACTCGAAGCAGAGGAATTAGAGGGTTGTTGCGCATGGCGAAGATCATGGTAGGTATGATGTTGAGAGCGGCGAGTTCGCCGCTGCGACCACGAAGTTCAGCGATAACGGCAGCACGACTTTCGGTGCCCCAATGCAGGACCAGACAGTAGGCAATGTTGGAGAAGAGATAGACTGTGAGCAGCAAGGTGTGGAAGCGTGATGGAAGGGTTCCAATGCTGATTGCCGAGGAAAGCTGAATCTCTTTGTTGTGACGGTTGCGACCCAGTGGAGCGTAGAGTAGGTGTTTCTTGATCTTTGGCCAGAGTGAGGTATGATTTTGAGCCCAGTAAACTTGTCTATCCGGATTGCTCATGGTGAGGAGATGCCGAATATGTGCATTTCCCATGGTGGCCCATCGGAACAACAATGTCAACACGCACAGTCCACCCAGAGAAACGCAAAGAACCGCAGCGAAAAGGTAATTCGCAGTCTGATCCACGCCCGACAGTCCATGGGCGTACGGCGAGAGTTCTGATACGGTAGCATTAGCGAGTGCGTTGAGCTCATTGGTGAGCCCTCTTGGGGCGACGATCATGTCCGCGGCGCGACCCAGGGTAGAGTGTAGATGTGAGTTTGAGTGATGAGAATGCATGGCGACCGGCGCAGAGCAGGAACAAGCCTGTATCGAAAGACAAAGAAAGAATTGACGGTGCCGTTGCGATCAAATCCGGAGAGTAAATACAAAGAACCGGCTTTGTGGTGTCAAGATGGGCGTCGTGTGGCTTTCTTGCAATTCAAATGTCCGAATCAATGTGGCAGTAGTTGACGAGATTTATGGCGCAGCCAGAGGAGAGATCCAAGTAGGTATTAGTCACTCGCAGGTGTCAAGGAGATTGGTGGTCGTCTTTGAATAATGCGAGGCCGAACAATAGGGCCAACAATGACTATTGTAACATGCCTTTGTGAAAACACAAAGGAGACAGAAAAGTGAACGTGGTCGCCTTGTTGTCGGGAGTCCAGGTGGGCAGAGCGAAATTGATGTTTTCCCGACGGATGGTCGTGCTGTATATTCACGGGGATAACAGGGGGTTCTGGAATGCAGCAGGCTTTTGAGTGTTTTGAGAAAGCGAGCGTCACGTTGGCTGGAGGGTTCCGAGCAAGAAAAGAGTGTGAGTGAGTGAGCGAGTGAATGGAAGGAAGCCACAACGAACGGGATTCTGGCGATTGAAACAATAAAAGACAGCAGTGGTTGTCGCGGAAGAAAATGATCGAGGTGCGCCTACATAAACACCAAATCCAGATTGGCCTCCCTATGGCTCCGCATATGGAGACGGTTTTGGCACTAGGCGGCTAACGGTTATTGGGCCTGATTGGCACCAAGCCGCCTGTTCCTGCAGACGTGTTTCATCTGTCCTTAAAAGCGCCTTCTGGAGCTCGCCGGCAGTATATCTCGTACATACAGACGAGAAATCCCATCTGCTCTCGCTTATATTTTCCGATGCGCTACGCCAATAAAGCTTGCTATTGTATACCTAGTTCCTGGGCAGCGTGTTATATCGTGACCCTCGCGACACGAGACATGGCCGCTGGCCGCTCGGTCGCACAAATCGATCTCGCGGCTGCCTTTCCGTCCAACATGTGCGTCACTCAAATTAGAGCCAAGAAGAAGCAGGAGGCGCTGACCGCTCTCACGCCATGTCAGTTGCTAGCTTTGTGCTGCTGTTTATTTCAACGGATACAGGACCCTGGAAAAGGAGATGATAAACACAGATTGGCACTCGTGGTTCTGCACGGTTCTCTGCCTCTTTGCAATAAAAGTGTTCCATCTCGATTCTCGAGGCACTGATGCTGCAACAACAAACCTAGAAGCTCTCCTATATGAGCAGGATGTGCAAGTGGAGAGAAGTGCAACTCGCAATTTTGACGTTGAGATAAGATCTTGGCGCTCGGCAATATGATGCTGTGATGTGCTGCGCCTTTCTTTGTATGTGGCAGTGCAACGCGAGGAGCTGATAGAGCTGATAGCCATCATCGCTACATAGATGATGTTTTGTAGCTTCCACTGCAACTCTTTGCCTCACGGGCAACCGTATCTTATCCATCGTCTTCGAAACCGCCGTCTAATCCTCCATCTGTTTCTGGCATTTCCTCGATTTGCTTCTGGCGCCGCCAACTGCCCCTCGCTTAACTACCTTTCTGTTTCAGAAGCATACCACATCTCTCGTGTATAGAGCAAGCGCTATATTGATCATGTCACATCACGGTTCAGATCCTGACCTTCATCGAGCCATCTCTCTTCGGCCCAGTCCATTCCATGCGCATCCTGAGCCCTCGACTCGGCTAAATCAACTTCCGGCAGGAGTGCTTCCTGTCCTTCCCTTGCCGCAGGACAAAGGCGGTGCTTCTACCTCGTACGAGGTCAACGAGTCTCATGACCCTGTCTCACGCCCTGCCCATGCTCGTAACCCCAGTGAGGCCGAAGATGTAGAAGGTCAGGCTCTCCCAAGCTATACCTCGGAGAATGACCCCTTGGACCTGTCGAGCCGCATCAAGAGTACAACACAGCTGGATGCCATGCAAGCCAACACGTCTAGGAGACGTCAAGGTGCTAAGGATCGCCTCTGTGCGCCCATCACTCATACCAAAGATGTCGTCCAGCTGCGCAAAGTCCGCGGCTTCTACGAAGGTCAGAACGAGGCCATCGAAAGGATGCTGAAACCAGTCGACGACCACAGAAGGGAAGCCAAGGAAGAAGCTGGTGCCGAAAATCTACAGTACAAGATTGCTGTCTACGGTTCGTTTGCTGCGAATGTGATCCTCGCCGGTCTTCAGATGTACGGCGCCGTCTCTTCTGGCTCCTTGTCTCTCTTCACCACCACTGCCGACGCCGTCTTTGACCCATTGGCCAATGCTACCTTGCTCCTCTGCAACCGGGCCGTCAACCGTGTCGATGCTCGCAAATACCCTGCCGGAAAAGCCCGTATCGAGACTGCGGGTAACATCTGNTTTTGCTTCTTGATGTGCAGTGTCTCGTTCATCCTGATAGTGCTTTCGATCATGGAGCTTGTTCGAGGATCTGATTCTGAGACGAAGACCTTCCACCTGCCTTCCGTAATTGCCGTATGTGTTGCATTCGCTACAAAGCTTGTGCTGTTCATTTACTGTTGGTCTTTGAGGAACAAGTATTCCTCTATACGTATCCTTTGGGAAGACCACAGAAATGATTTGTTCATCAACGGATTCGGTGTTTTGACTTCCGTTGGGGGCAGCAAGCTTGCATGGCAAATCGAGNNCCCTGCAGGGGCAATTGCCCTATCGTGTCTTGTCGCTTTCCTGTGGCTTCGCACCGCTTACTCTGAGTTCCAGCTTCTTATTGGCGTCGCTGCACCTACTCACATTCTGCAATGGATCACATACATCTCCATGACTCACAGTCCAGCTATCGTTAGTCTGGACACAGTCAGAGCCTGGTATTCTGGCCCTCGCATTACAGTGGAAGTGGACATCGTCCTTCATCCTGACATGACTCTCAAAGAAACCCACGACATTGCAGAGGACTTGCAGAATAAGCTCGAAGGTCTTCCCGATGTCGAAAGAGCCTACGTCCACAGCGACTACGAGACTGAGCACAGAGCGGAGCACTTCCTGAAGAAGGAACTGTGATTGTTGCAGACTACTCTAGTCTTGACAACTTTCAGCACCAGCAGCAGCTTGTCCTATGATCGCTTAATGGTGTTTCTTGACTAAAGTGTTGACGAATTTGACGATTGAGTTGCGCCCGTAGCAATGAATTTATGATTATGAGCACTAGTTATGTTAGAGTTTTCCAAGTTAACAGAGTACCGACATGTCCTTGCGTCTTCTCGCCATGTTCTAGTGACCGTTCTTCCCATCTGTCGTACTCGCACGTGCCGAACGATTTGCACACGATTTGCACGTGTCGATCGCATCCACATTGCAGACAATCAAATGCGTCCTGCTCGCGAGAATTCAATCCAAGCGCATAGTAGTTCCAACAAGCTGTTTCCAATTCTCCATTCAAGCGAGCATCCCAAACATAGAACATTATATGTCAGACTCTAGAGCGCCTGGAATAGGTAGCGGAGCTCGTACTCGAGCATGAGCCACCGCCAAGTATTCCTTAGTAGGGGGAGATTAAAGGACGAGGACGTCTGGCGTTGGTATAGTGCTTTTCAGCACGTCTGAGAATCAGATGTCCTTCAAAAAATCTGCCTCGGTCTATATCTGCAGCGATTGGCTAGGGATAGCGATGATGGCATTTCTGATTGTCAGCTCTGCGCGGCGCCACCTTCGAAGGCTGGACGCTTTCGGTGTCTCACAGAAGGAAGACATTCGCCAACATCGGAAGTCGCACTTCTGTTGACCTTTGTACTGTACCCGGCTCGCAGTCGCGTACGGAGCGATTGCAAATACTCCAGCGCTCTCTGGAATGCTGAATTGAATGACATGCTAGGTCGCGAGTCTGTGGCAACAAAGATCATCGCCACAATCAGAAATACAAGAGACTTGTATCTTTGGAGGACCTTACGCCGCTTGATTTTATGGTTGTCTTGCTGGTAAGAATAATTCTCGCCCATTTTACGTCCTTAGATCAACCCCTTACGAGAACTGCGTGCACAAAGAAGAAGAAGAAGAAGAAGTCAGTCTGCCGAACGCCCGATCCCCTTCGTGCGAGCTATCAGTGTTGCTTGGGAAATACCTGTCACTCCTAACTCTTTGCAGTCCAATAAACTATGCTACGCAATATTCACCATCAAAAACCCCAGAGAGGGAGGAAATTTCGGATTCGAGGGGGGCAACCGTTCTGAACGGTCGGCAACTGTAACGGCATGGGCAATAGCTCAACGTGAACATGACCTTCGGGACAACCACATGGATTATGAACAAATGCCTAGACTTGTGCCTGTTTTGAACGACTCTGGTCCAACTGGGTCGTCTTGGAATCAAATCAGAGACTTCCGGCGGTCCAGATTAGGTATATGGCTGTAAAGTACCGAAGGGCACCTCCCGAGTGATTTGATACACCATGAGTAGTACAACGGTCAGTCAGAATCGATTGGCAACAGCGGTTGGGTTGTGCCCGTTGGCCAGCCAGGCACTGGCAACGCAAGCCATGCAACAACCGAATCGCCCTCATGGTTGTATAAAGCATATGTCCCTCCTGGCGCTCGGTCGTTTGCAAGCAAGCAACTTCTCGTCTACGAGCAAAGAGCGCCCTCTCCTCGCCCGTGTCGAACCCATACTCACAAGATGCATTTCAATTCGCATTTTGCCCTGGCGGCATCCCTCATCAGCTCAGCTTTGGCATCGCCGGTCGATGTCAGCAGCAAGAAGGCTGTGTCAATTGCAGACATCAAGGGCAAGAAGACTTTTTCTATCCAGCAGGTCCTGGCAAAGAAGCAACAGATGCAAGCTCCTGCATTATCGATGTTGAAGACATATGCCAAATTTTCTGCCTCACCTCCTACTCAGCTCAAAGCTGCTGGTGCAGCCATCCAAGCAGGAACTGTACAAGCAACCCCAGAGAATGTAGGTAGAATTTTGTTCTTGTTCCAGTATACTTGCTGATTCTGGTATCCANNGTATGACATGTCCTACCTGTGTCCGGTATCTGTTGGCGGCCAGATGATGAACTTGAATTTCGACAGCGGCAGCGCAGATCTTTGGGTGTATTCCACATTACAGCCCAGTGCACAGCAGAATGGTCACTCAGTATATGATCCCAGCAAGAGTCCGAATTCACAGCTTCTCGTCGGCAATACCTGGTCGATCAAGTATGGTGACGGCTCAACCGCGAGTGGCAAAGTCTATGCAGACAAGGTCGTTGTTGGAAGTGTGACGGCGACATCACAAGCTGTGGAAGCAGCCACATCAGTATCGAGTTCGTTCCTTGCTGATGTCAACAACGACGGTCTCGTTGGTTTGTCATTCAGCAACATCAACACCGTCTCACCTAATCAGCAAAGAACCTTCTTCGACACAGTCAAGAGCTCGCTCGCGTTGCCTCTTTGGACTGCCAACCTCAAGAAAGGAGCTCCTGGATCCTACGATTTTGGGTACATTGACTCTTCAAAGTACTCGGGCAAGATTACCTACGTCAACGTGAACAGTGCCAGCGGGTTCTGGCAGTTCACCGCTGACGGATATCAAATTGGCTCCTCGTCGACAGTCAGCTCTTCGTTCACTGCCATTGCCGACACCGGTACCTCGCTCATGTACCTGCCCTCAAGCACTGTTACTGCATATTGGGGTCAGGTCACAGGAGCTGGATATGATAGCAACCAGGGTGGCTACACATTCCCGTGCAGTTCTGCACTACCTGACTTCAACTTGGTCGTTGGAGGCAACAAATTCACTGTGGTACGTATCTCCTTATGAGAGTCTTAGAAAGGTGACTAACGAAGATATTAGCCCGGCAGTTATATGAACTACGCTCAGATTTCGTATACGACCTGCTTCGGTGGTATGCAGCAAAACACAGGACTTAGCTTCAGCATCCTAGGAGACATTTTCCTGAAATCACAGTTCATGGTCTTCTCCGAGGTTAGGGGCCAAGCCACGCTTGGGTTCGCTGCGATGTACAACGGCACGACAGGCGAAGGCGATGGCGATGAGTGGGAGTGCGAGGACTAGAATGATGTTTGATTGACGACAAGCATTTTTTAGATAGCATGACATATCAATAGAGTAATGATCAGCCTCATATCATGGTCCATGAGACCTTTGACGAGTGTGTTCTCGTAGGTATCCAGACTTTGGCTTGTATCAGATGGAAGATGGAGTTGCCGAATCACTCGTAACATGAGAACGAGCAGAGAGTGATGGCTTCCCTTTGTTCATGCTGAGCTCTTTCAGGAATTGACACGGTGAAATGGGGTTGAGCCTCGAGACGGAAGCTTCTGCACGGACCTTCATGCAAGCACGCGTCATTCCCGAACTAGGAGTTAGAGGCCGGCGCAGAAAGCAGTCTGGTTGCGGCGGCGTGGCTTTCTGATCGTTACAAGGTTGATGTTGACATGGTTAGCTTGGCAAATGAATGTGATAATGAGAAGACGGTCTTTTGAGGTGCTGGTTCCACTTGATTTCTGCATCTTAGCGCTCCCAATACACCACTGCCACCAAGACTCTTCGAGCACAACAAAGAGCTATACCCCACCCCGTCCAGCCAAGCGTACTGCCGCCCAATCCTTGGACACACCTGACACAACTAGTACAGCATTTTCCTCTTCTGAATGGTCGCCGAGTTCGACATCGACCATGTCAGAATTCATCTCGTTTCTACCCCCTCCGGGTCTCGCCCTAGCCAACTATGATTCGGCCGCACTGCACACGACGCAGCCGCAAGACGTGCCAGAGATCTTCCGTGACGCCATGAGTGTGCGTGAAGATGTCTTTGTCAAAGAGCAAAACATTGCGCTGGAGAATGAGGTCGATATCGACGATGCTCGTAGCTTCCACTGGGTTGCTTACGCCTCGGTCGGCACATCCAGCAGCGACGGTAACGCTGCAATGGAGGGCGTAACCAAGGACTCTGCAACCTCTGCCGAGAACATTGGCCGCAGGGGCAGTACCGCCATGAGACTGCCCGTCGGAACAATCAGACTGGTCCCACCTCCCCATCCCCCTCATCCTCAGCCTGGCTCAAGCCATAAAATAGACAACCACGAGGGTTTGCCGCAGGACATGCAAAGTGGACTGAGCAAGACCGAGATGCATGATGGCAAGGAGGCATACATCAAGCTCGGTCGCTTGTCTGTTCTTCAACCCTTTAGAGGTATGGTGATTGGTTCACTGGTCAAATCTAGCCACACTGACATTACCGCTGCANNAGGACTCGGACTCGCTCGTCTCCTTATCGATGCCGCGCTTACATGGGCATCCAACAACGTGGACAAGATTCTCCCGCCCATGTCTCCTGCAGCGGCTGAGCAACGCAAGCTCGAGCTTGGAGGTGGAGTTGAGGTCGAAGACGTGTGGAGAGGTCTTGTGTTGGTACATGCACAGGCACATTTGGAAAAGTACTGGGCGTTATTCGGCTTTGTCAGAGACGAGAGCATGGGCACGTGGGAGGAAGAGAATATCATGCACGTGGGCATGTGGAAGCGTGTGGAGCTGTAGAACCATTGACGATGAGTAAGAGCAGCGTGGTGGTTTGAGAGCAAAGCAGGAAGACTGAGTGGCGCCCTGGAGTTGGCATTGTCGATTAGAGATATCCCCATTGACGAATTGCATATGACAAGATTGATTGGAATGCTGTTTTCGAGGTATATGGTGTTTGGCAGACAACTTATCAGATAAGTAATGAGAGAGCCTCAGAGCTGACGTAAGCGGGGCATGCCAATTGTGAGAAGGTGGAGTTGATCAGACTTGAATCCTACTTGATTCGCGACAATTGATACAACACATCATGTCTGGACTGCGGAACATAGCNAAAGGAGGATGGCATCCCGGCGGCGGCAAAGACAACAATAGCAGCAGCAGTAGTGGTGGAGGAAGTGGCTGGCGGTCCAAGATCAACGACAAGATCCCAAGCCGCATCAACGACAGGATTCCCGGAAGCACGAGCAAGTCTGAAAGAGAGCGCATAGAGGCGCGGGAGAACCACGTATCGCAGCCCCTGGCTTCGCTCAGAGACCGTGAGTGAACAGGCAAGAGTAGTCGTTGCCATCTTTGTGCTGACCACTGCCACAACGCAGCTGCCTCTTTCGCACCACCACCGAAACACATCCACTACCATGGCCAAGCAGCGGCGGCAGGCAGCAGCTCTCCGGGTGCTCTCACCACCACATCCAGCTACTCTAGCACTCCCGCGAACACTGCTGCTACACGTGGACTAGGTGCCCCGTTGCCCAACGACATGATCCAGCAGCAGCAATACGCACAACACCAAGCCCAGCAAGAAGAAGAAGAAGAAGAGGCTTCTCGCCCACCGCCTGGGCCTTACCGAGTAGACACAACCGGTCTATCCACTGCCCATCTGCCGAAACCTCCTGTGCGACGAGTCGACACAGCCTCACCTTCATCTATCTCTTCTCAGCCGAGACCTCCTCCACGCCAAATCGCCCCATCGCCTGCTGCTCGCGCGCTGCTCCCTCCTCCTCGTTCCACTCCTACCCCTCCTTCTGCTCCACCTAGACAACAGCCTGCTTTACCACCTCGATTACCTCCGCGACAGAACTCTCACCCTGATCTCAACTCTCCTCCACCTCCTCCTGTCTATGAAGAAGCTGTTCAAGCACCACAACACGTACCTGGCCCAGATCAAGGCGCAATGAATCGACTCGCTCGGGCAGGTGTGAGTGTTCCTGGCTTCGACATCGGTGCCAAATCTGCCTCGCCCGCACCCAGGCCACCTCCACCGTCCCAAATGAACGAGCTGCAATCGCGCTTCTCCAGAATGTCATCCTCTGACTCCTCACAAACGCAACAACCACAATCATCGAACGGCGTATCTTCACGTTTTGGAAACATGGTTTCTCAGCAGGCAAGCAACCCACAGGTCCAATCCCGTCTCGCAGGGCTTGCTTCTTCACCAACTGTTCGAAACCATGCAGCCAACATCGCCTCTTCTCCAGCGGTCCAAAAACAAGCGGTTCAACACGCCGGCACCTTCGCTTCTGCCTCTGGTGCCTCTCCACAGCAGGCGCAAGCTCTACAATCAGGCTTCTCGCGCGTTGCTGCTTCACCTACAGCTATGAATCTCGCCACTCGGCACGCTGGCACTATTGCTTCAGCCGCTTCATCTTTCGCTCCAAATGCTNNGCTGCTGGGAAGAAGCCTCCACCGCCGCCGCCAAAGAAAAAAAGAACTGCAGGCTGATGCTCCGCCAGTGCCACTTTCGAGCAAACCCAGGTTCTGATTTTAAAAAGAGTGCTCGGGGTAACACTATTATTATCGGTTGTTAGATGGTATATAGACATGTACAATTTCGATATTAATTCAAGATCATGGTATGAGCAAGAGCTATCAAAAGTGTCACAGGCTGTGGTCAGAGCGAAGTGCATCTATGGGTGCATATATTTCAGAGCTAAGATTCCCTTGTTTGCATCTAACCCTCGGCCTCAATCTCGTAACTGTTGCTCTTGTGCTTGGGCTGGAATTGGAAGTCTTTGTGTGCCGGTCCCAGGAACATTTCACNTATAGTCTTGTTAGATAACATTGTCTTCGAATGGATTGCGTCGAGTACTTGCCTGATCTTGATCCAGTCCTTGTAGTTAGGGCTGCTAAGCAGCGTCTCGAGCTCATTTCTGCCGCGGAAGGCAGGAGGTCTGTCGTTCATGTGCGGTGGCAAGTGCTCGAGCAGGCCAAGGGGCACGTATCTGCAGCTGAAGCTCAACCACTCGAGCAGGAAACGGCGCGTGACTCCAACACCAATCTCATCAGATCCCCAGTTCTCCAGACCGAAACGTGTGAATTGCTCAATGTACTGCAGTCTCTCCGACGCACTCTTGTCGAGGTATTGACCAGTCTGAATCTCTTCGAAGATCCAGGGCTTGATTAGTGCACCGCGGCCGATCATGGCCGAGTCGACATTGGCGTTGTTGACGGCGTCGAAGTAGTCGACGTGAGAGTAAACATCACCGTTTCCACAGAAGTAAGGCATGCCATTGTTGGAGGCGGTCATGTCACGCGCATCAGTCTCACGGATGGTGTCTGTTACCTCTGCTTGCTTTTGCTTGAGTCTGTTGACCAAGGCCGAGCATTCAGCGATATACTCCCAGTTGGCTTGACGAGTGTATCTTTGTTGACGACTACGACCGTGGAGAGTAATGGCAGCAACACCACATGGGCCGTCACCAGTGGCGACAGCTTCTTCGCCTCCAAGAACAAGACGTTGGACGAGTCTATCGGCTGTGGGGTGGTTGTCCTTGGTACCCATGCGAATCTTGACAGTGATGGGGACTTCTCCAGAGACGGCATTCATACCGCGCAGAATCTTTTCGAGCTTGCCGGGTGAGTCCATAAGGGCGGAACCAGCGCCTTGACGGTAGACAAGATCGATAGGGCAACCGCAGTTCAGGTCAATTGCACGAATACTAGGGCAGAGTGCTGTGAGGATCTCGGTCGTCTTGAGAACGTTCCATGGCTTATTTCCTGCGATCTGAACACCGAACTTGAGATCCTTGGAATTGTCGTAGCCAGCAACGACAGACTTGGGAGTGTACTTGGGAGGAGTGATCTCGGACTCGTGGGCCTTGGCCAAAGCCCATTCGCCCTTCTCGCCTTGGATCAGGGGTAGACCCATAGCCATCTCGGACCACGTAACTTGAGCACCGAGACCAACGCACAAACGTCTGAAAGGAAGATTTCCTTGTGTGGTCAACGGAGCTAAAACAGGAGTCTCGGGACCGTAGTAGATTCTGCGCTTTTCCGAAGCACGAACAGGGGCTTCTGTGAACTGGGCGCGACGTTCTTCCAGCGACATCTTCTCAACTTCTGCTGTTGATCCTTCCTCCAGTTTGTTTACTCCATAGTACTTGTTCATCTCGGTCTGGCGCTTGTCTAGCCAGGCCACGTAGGCCTCAGACTTGGGCATACCCGTCTTCTTCTTCCTGAGTTCGATTTTGGCGCCCATTGAGACAACGTTGACCACGCCTACACCCTCCTCTTCTTCTGCTTGAGCACCATCGCCCGTAGCCTTGTCGTTATCCAGGAGGACGAGCTCCTTGCAACCATCCGCAGTGTCTCTCTCAGTAGAGTGGGAGCCAGCGAAACGGCATTTCCAGCCAGCATTGCACTTACCCTTGACCTCGAAAATGGGGCACTTTGCGTTGAAGGTAGTCAAATCCTCGCGCTTACCTTCGGCCAGGTATTTGCGAAGGTCGTGTTCCATTCTGCACTTGTCGCCGAAGGGGCACTCTGCAGGTGAGAACTCGTTGTTGTGAACACGAGTCTTGCACAATTGGAGGGCATCGCGCGAGCTACCAAAAGTTCTAGCCTTGTTCTGGCCGCGATTTTTCTGCTTCTTGTCCTTGGACTGTTGCTGCGACTCGTGCTTGCTTCCTTCGGCGACATCGTCAGGGTTCTCTTCAGAGACTTGGTCGGGTCGTGCGGCGGAATCAGAGTTGTGGATCAGGTATTCCTTCTTGATGGGAGCAACGCCCTTGGTTCTGGGCTTGGGCTCGACGGCGCCCAAGACAGGGTCTTGTTCCAGCTTGACTCGCTTAGAGGGTTGCTCGTCGCCATGGCGCTCTACCTTCTCGGCGCGTGTAGTTGCCGAGTCGAATGGAAGAATTTCACTTTGCGGATTGGCAGGCTCGGTCGACTCGCCGGGGGCCGGGCGCTTCAAGGGCTCGGAGGGGTTGAGCGGGTTGGTAGTGGGTTGGGCAGGAGCTGTGGTACCTGCGCCATTGAGCGACTTGTCGGTGTGGTCTGCCATGGTTGCTGGAAGGAATGCTGCAACTCTCTCTTTCTGTTCACAAAGCGGCGACACTTTTCGACATCTAAAAGCCGATAAGCTTCTTATCGTGCACGGTGCTTCAACCCCATTGCCGGGCTCTTCTCGGCTCAAGAGGAGGAAGTTGCGATGGCCTCAGCTCCAAGAGTGACGGAAGGTGACGTAGCAGGTTTGTTTGGTACGTGTTGGCTTTGGCTTCGCAAGGCCCGGCCGGTTTTGCGCGGACGACGTATTACAAGAGAGACGTCCATCTCCAATTCCCCTTCCTCTCTTCCTACACACCCACAACAACCACACAAGACCAACTGCCCATCATGACGCTCTACTACAGTCTTGTCTTCGCCCTTCTCGTCTTCGAGATGGTCGTCTTCATGTCGCTCATCGTCCCCATGCCCTTCAGCTGGAAGCGCAAGCTCCTGACCTTCATCTCCGAGAGTCCTGTCATAGCGAAGCTGCAGTATTGGATCAAGGTATCACAACCCCGCTTCTTCGTCTCATCTCCAGCTTCCGTGCTGACCTTGTTCCCANNGATCACCTTTGTGTTCATCCTGATCCTGTTCGTTGACAGTGTCAACCGCGTTTACCGCGTCCAGCTTGAGCTTGCTCAGGCCAACAAGGCCAACAACGGCGCTGGGTAAGTTTTCCATCCCATTGTTCTCAGCTTGAATACAAGTCACTGACCCACGCAAACAGANGCTGCTGCCGTCGGTGGTATCGAACGCATGGAGATCCAGGCTCGCAAGTTCTACTCGCAACGCAACATGTACCTCTGTGGCTTCACCCTCTTCCTCTCTCTGATCCTCAACCGCACCTACGGTATGATCCTTGACGTCCTCCGTCTCGAGCTCGAGAACAGACAGTTGAAGGGCACCGACGGACCCAAGGACGCCAAGCTCAACGAGGCCGAGAGCATTGGCGAGGTCGGCCGTCTGAAGAAGGAGCTTGCTGCCAAGGACCGTGACATTGAGACTCTCAAGAAGCAGGCTCAGGGTCTCTCTACCGAGTACAACCGTCTTGGTGACCAGGTCTCTGGCAACTCCGACAGCACNCCCAAGAAGGACCGATAAATTCATCGCCCAAATCCCAACCATGTTAGAGCATCATTAGCTCGACCAGTTCAGCACTTCGGAGCTGGAGCACATGCCAAAAAATTATCACAGGCACCAGGCCAAGAAACTCTGTTGTATACGATAGCTATGCAGAATCATTATCTGCTGTATTATATCTTCGTCCCGAATTCTTGTATAATTCGTGTCTTTGATCGTGTCACACGACACCTGCATTTGATATTTCGATGCACTGTCTGTGAGGATTCTGCACTCCTTGGCTGTGATAACCTGAGCTTTCTGTCGTGTAGATCATAAAACCTAAATCCCACCCTGCCTGATTTCCGTGATTTTCCTATATCCTTGAGCTCCTGGGCTAAGATGCAACCTGCACAAATTGGCCTCTGAGAAGAGGGGTAAAGCATTTTCCTTCACGGACCTCTTAAGCACTCATGATCTTTACGAACTCGTCGTCTGGAAACCGTGTTAGCTTCGACTTGTTCAATGTCAAATCAATCAACTCACAATCAATGTTGCCATCACCATTGGCATCCGCTTCCTTGATCATCTCATCAATCTCGGCGTCAGACAAGTTCTCGCCAATGCTCTTCATGACATTTCTCAATTCCTCGGCGGAAATGGTACCACTGCCATCTCTGTCAAAGACTGCGAAAGCTGCTCTCAACTCGGACTCGCTGTCTGCTTGCTGGACCTTGCGACCCATCATTGAGAGAAACTCGTCGAATTCGATTGAGCCAGAGCCGTCCTTGTCGATCTCGTTGAGAATGTCCTCGAGTTCGGTTTGAGAGGGTTCCTGGCCGAGAGAGCGCATGACTTCGCCCAGCTCGTCGACTGTGATGTTGCCGTTTCCATCCTTGTCNNCTGTGTTTTCAGAAGGTTTGACGTCAGTTTCTGATCTAGGCAGCTTCGTCATTGAAAGACTTACGAAGACATTGAAGACTTCCTTGAGCTCCTTGATTTGCTCTGGTGTCAAGTTCTCCGCCTGTGAAGAGATTAAATGTTAGCTGGTTCTGCTGATTCGAATGGCCGCGCGGAACGGACTGCTGCCTGCTGCGAGCTGGCTGCGGTCGCCCTCCTATGACATACCATGCTAGGCCTTCTCTGGTGTCCCGACATGTCTACGATATGATTCTGTATCGATGTTTTCTAAGAAAAGAAGAGACTCTCAAGAGGAGCAGGAGAAAACGATGGTAAAAAGAAGCCTGTTGGTTGTTGTGGCTGCCTTGTTGTTTCAAAGAAGGGGCGGAGAGCCAGTCTGTTTCGACTTTGTTGGTCTTTTTCGTGTGCTTTCCAAGGGTCCTTCTCCTCTGCTGGCTCGCTCGTCGGGTCTGGAGCGTCACACACATCACATGCTTGTTTTTCTTGGTCGTGAGCCTTACTCCTTTGGGAAGTGGGGTTGAGGGGTCGATCATATTGCACATCATGTACATCTTATCTTCACTGCAAATCTTTAGTTGATAAATTTCCGCTGTTGTAGAATCAGTCAACAGGCGCATTCAGAATGACATTGTTAATCGCAATCTGGTAGCACTCTACGCATGGCGGAAGCGAAGCTATCAAGGATAGAACCCAGCGGACACGAATCAAGTCCAAAGAATGGTCAAGAGGTCAGATAGAGCCAGGCGAGGCTTCAAGACGTGTAGGAAGCACGTGGGTGCATGAAATGATACAGTGCAAGATATAAACACATCTCATTCGTGATATCGAGCTCGTTCAGGCATCAAGTTGGTGATGGAAAAGTGAGACAGGGTGGTAGACCCAACAACCAACCATGTCATTCCTACTCGAGTATGCTGGAGCAGTAACGTGTGAATAAACCCTTTTCTCATTTTTTTTGTGGTCTATACAATTATGATCTCATCTTCTTCCACCTTGGCTGGCCTTCATCAACTCTGTCCAAGCGCTCTCAAAACCTCTCTTCACCTCTCTGTAACTGACAACGAAACAGTTCTGCTCGTCTCTGCTGACCAACATGATCTTCTCCTCAATGCCAGCATCTAATTTGTTCAAACATGTCAGAATGTGTCCAAGGTCAAGGACAGGTCGGCCATCTGCGTCGACCTGATGGAACACATAGTCACGGAACAGTTTGAGATAGTAACGTTCTCCAGTCTCGGACCAAGCAGATGACGTGTGGTTGAGAGAGTGTGGAGCAGCGGGCTGGTTTGGATTCGCAGCATTAGATGCCAGAGTCGTTTCGGGGCGCTCGAGAACCATGTTGAGCTTGGTGAGCAAGCGTACAAGGCGTGCATTCTCGAGCTCGCGAGATAGGTTGCTCGTCAGCGAGTCGGCCTCGTGCAGGCTGGCGTCAAAGGTCAATGTTATTTGCGACGAGATCAGCGAAAGGAAGCTCTCAATGTCATGATCTGAAGATGTAGTGGCTGCTGCAGGAGCGGGTGAGCTTGTTGGTGCTTGAGTCGGTGTCATTGGCGCAGCAGGGGTGAGTAGCCAAGTGACTACCTCGCGCATCTTTTCGCTGTATGCTCGACCAACGTGCTCAAGAGACTTTTGAGTGTTATGGTGGGCCGTGGGGTTCTTGTTAGCTATACAGAGTATCAAACGACCCATCTGCAATATGTCGTCCTGTTGGAGCTCCGAAATGCTGCGCCCCTGTTCGTACTGAGTGATATCAAGGATGCCACAAGAATTCAGTCGAAGCCGGCTCTTGGAAGTAATGAGAATCTTCTGAGGGGTCATTAGGCGAGCAGCAAGGCCGATCGAGTGAATAGCCTTGAGAGCAGATGCCAACTGTACTATATAACCCCAGAGTTCATGATCAGTCACGTAGCTTCCCGGAGATCGCGAAAGAGTGCCTCCTGGGTTTCTAGTGTTTGGAGTAAATATCTTGTCGGCTAGCGTTTGCGAGAGAGGATGGTAGTCGGTAACGACTATCAGAGAACTATCCCCAAACGCTCTGGTCGTAAAAGCGTCATGGACGGTGACAACATTGCCGTTGCTGATCCNTTTCCATGTTTGTATGGCACGGATCGCGTTCTCGTCGGTCAGTCGGAAGCCNNTGCAAGTTTGATGAGTTTTAAAATCCTCCAGGTGTTGGGTGCGGGTCTTACCTTCGAGACGTCTCAGAGCATAGTTGTAACCGTCTTTGCTCGAAGTGGCCTTGTATATCCAACTTGGGTAGCCGTACGCTGATGCGGACTTTTGAGCATTTGTATCGAGAGCCACCAGAGAATGAAAGTGTTCTATTTGTTGAGGCAGTGCTGTATCTGTGATGCGTCAATTTCATCGGATCGATTCGTGTGAGCCGTACAACTTACTTGAAAAGGTCTGGAGAGATGCCTCGGATTTACGTTGCATCTCTTCGCGCAGGTGATCAGGTATAAAGAAGTCATGGGTTGTTCGCTGGTATGCCATGAGATTTTCTCGGTGAGGGCCCAAGGGTGCATATAGATGATAGCTCAGCTGGAACATAGTCAGTACATGCCTACAAGAAAAGAGATATCGACATACTGGATGAGCAAAAGCCGCAGCAGCTGAAAACAATGAAGTCGCAGCCAGGGTGGAAGCATCCTGAGCATATGGATTGATCTGCGGAGTGTGAGAAGCATCGGACATCTGACCAGGATTTCCTTGCATAGTGAACGGATCGAATGAGGAAAGATTGTTGGCAGAGGAACCACTCTCGGCCTTTATACAACTCTGTTAGCACATGGCACTTAAAGTTGAGCTTGAGACCAAGCGTCACAGATAAGTACTTACTGCTTGAGGCACAAAGTTCTGAGGGACAAACTCTTGTATACCACGTTGAGACCATTCTGTTGATGGCTGCTTGGCTGTTGCAACAGGCACTGCTGCTGATTTGCGTCAGTCATTCGAACCTTGGTTAACAACTTGATCGACCTTACCGGTTGATTTTGGGGTGAACACAGCTGCAGAAGCCGCTTTTGGTGAGATGCCGAGATTCTTCACAGGCTGCACGCTGTTTGTGACTGGGGATAGAGGTTTGAAGGATGGAGAGTCCACGTTCAGGAAGCGCTTGGCGCNTAAACAGCCGTAAGTATATGTGAAAACTGACCACTCATGCTTTACACACCTTTCTGTCTGTTGAGTAGGTTTTGGAGGCAATTCATGGTTGTAAGGGCAACNCTATGATGCATCAGGAAGACTGTTTCAGGGAAGCGTCGTGCAAGACTAACCGTTATTTTGAGCCCTGCAACTGCCATAGATGGTGATGTTTCTGCAAAGAACGTTTTTGGTGTTTTNCTGTGCTCGTGTCAGATACAGGCTATCAGCGAAGGCCTTTGAGAGTGGTAACAAAGACATACCACGGCCTTTGGGTCTCGGAGACTGATGCCTCCTGCGCATGTCGCCCGGGCTACTAGCTCCTGATGCTGCCATATTGTTTACGAAGAGTTCGCAAGTATCAGTGAATCAAATGTAAATGGTAATATCCTGGTAGCATTCACGGAACCAGTATGAGCACAGACGCGTTGGTTTCCGTTTGTTCTTTAAGGAATGTGTAACTCGAAAAGAAGATGCTTTGAGAGGCGACAAGCTGAGCGCAGGAAAGCAGTCTGATATCAGGTATGGACGATAAGGCAACAAAGCAATGTACAGCCGAAAAGGGATTGTTGATGTTGGAAGAATAGAATTGGCGTGAGCGATTCAGTAACCTCTTGGCTAACAAGAGTTCGGGGACCAAGATGCAGTGTCTGCACGAGCAAGAGTTAGATGGCGAAGCGAGTCAGAAGAGTTTGTTGATTATGGTAATGTGATAAGAGAGCCCAAGGGAGAGACAGGGGCCAGCAGATATGACGAACCCGATTGGGAAGATGGGCGGACAAGACACAGCCTTAGGTGCTTGAATTGCACATACCTAATCGAAGGAAGCCACGGAAAACATTATGAAAAACAACGATTATATGTGCTGGATACAGAGCACAAGCAGGACCCCGGTTCGATATGGCTGGGGACGCACGAGCAACAGACGGTGAGAGTGAAGCCAGTCGTTGGTTCAGGGAAGTTGCCGGGCTGTCCTCAACAATAACCCGAAAGTGCGAAGTTGCTACTCTGAGCAGTGGACCAACTCTTGGCCACACAAAGTATCTGGTCTGATGAAGCGCAGACAGGTCGAGATTGGAGCAAGTTCCAATGTCAAGACAGAGTGGCACAGATATAGACTTCCAGTTGATTGGACGATGAGGCCACGCGATAGATGCGGCCCTCCTCTGCGACCATGACGAGTCATGGATAGGGCTGAGACAGGGTTGCCAAGAATGAATGACATGGGCAACCTTGGTGTTCTTTCTCCAGAGTCCAGATAGCCGTTCACAATTGACACTGTGGCAGAAGCAGAGCCAGCAATTCTATAGGTACGACGATATGTCGGCACCTTCGACAGACATATCACAGCTCTCGGAAGAGCAGCAACTGGCACTACAACAAGTCACGTCTGTAACAGATCAAGATCTCGACACAGCTTTGGCCTTGCTACAACGCTGTCAATGGAATGCTCAGGTACACACGGCCCTGCTTCTTGGACGAAAGACGACGACTGACGCCTGTTCNCAGATCGCCATTACACGCTTCTTCGATGGCGACGCTGACGTTGTCGACGTCGACGTGCCTCCGCCGCAAGACTCACGCCGATCCGAGAACCTGGCCGCCAGCCTCGATGCCGCCGCTTTCGCCAGAACGAGACCTGCACAGCATGGCTTGCAACAAGCTCCGCGCGTTGTGCCCACGCCAGAAAGCCAGCTGACCCAGCCAGCACCCTTTGTCTTACAGCTACTCTTCCTGCCCTTCAACCTTACCTACTCCATCTTCAGTCGTGTCTTTGGCGCACTAGGTTATCTATTCCCCGTCATACCTCGTCTTCTACACCGTCTCCTGCCGCTGCAATCAGCCCGATCCAACAACTCCGATAGACGTCCACTGAACCCCCGCGACACAGCTTCACGCTTCATCCGCGTTTTCGAGGAAGAGTACAGCGTCGAACCAAATACCATACCCTTCTTTGAAAACGGCTATGCCCAAGCTTTTGACCTTGCCAAACGGGAGCTCAAATACCTACTGGTTATCCTGCTGTCCCCCGAGCATGACGATACTGCCCCATTCGTCCGTGATACATTACTCTCGCCGCACTTTAAGGAATTCATACAATCCCACGCCTCCGATATGATTGTTTGGGCCGGAAGCGTTCAAGACTCAGAAGCATACCAGGTTGCCAACGCCCTCAACGTCACCAAATTTCCCTTTACCGGCTTGATCGTCCATACCCCCTCTGTCTCGTCTACCTCCATGTCACTCATCGCTCGTGTTGCTGGTCCTGTTCCCCCATCGGAATTTCTCGCCAAGATGCAAGATGCCATGCAAAAACGTGATCAGGAGCTGGAAGGCGCAAGGAGACAGCGCTCTGAACAACAGGCTTCAAGATCTCTCAGAGAAGAGCAGAACAGCGCATATGANGCGATCTTTGGCTCAAGACAGGGAGCGGGCTCGCCAAAGAAAAGAGGCGGAAGCTGCTCGTCAAAAGCAGAGACCGAAGAAAGAGAACGAGCAGAGGTAAAAGCACGAAAGGCGCAAAACATATTGCAGTGGAGAAAATGGCGTGCACAATTGTTGCCACAAGAACCTGCTCCCACTGTCAGCGATGTAGTGCGTATCAGTGTCAGGATGCCCTCCGGCGAAAGGGTAATACGCAAATTCGGTGCCGATGCTGAGCTCGAAGAGCTATATGCATTCGTCGAATGCTATGACATTATGCAGAGCGATGAACCGGCGTCAGAGAAGGACGTCTCCGAACCAAGCGGCTACAGCCACGAGTACGACTTTCAACTAGTATCGCCCATGCCCCGAGAAGTGTACAGTCTCGAACAGGGCGGTACTCTGAAGTCTCGCGTTGGGAGAAGCGCCAATCTCATGGTGGAAAAGTTGATAGAAGAGGATGATGAGGAGGAGGAAGAAGGCGAAGGAGAAAGCTAGACATGAGTTCAAAACAAAGTTGTATATACTCACACTCAATGTGCAACAAGACTCCGACACAAATGTGAACCAGTGTAAATTGTGTAATCATCTGTGTGTTGAAGACTGTCACAATCTTGTGATTGCCTCCTTCCTCGTCCCAAGGCATACGTGTGTTGCAAGCTATCGAGATGCACAGTCAAGTTCTGTAGATGAGCCTGGCCAGAGGGATAGCCTATGAGAGATCTTCTCTGTGGAAACTATATCTTTTGTGAAGGCATTTCTGCATTTCTATACGTGCTCCAGGGCGTTTTGAATCAAAGAGGTGACAAGTCTGCCAAGCCTCGAGCCGCCTGCGAATTGTTGGTATACAGGCGACGCAAATTCCCTTTGACGCAAAACACCTTGGAGCACACTTATACTGTCACAGTATTTAGCACATGAGGAGGAGAGATTTATGTTAAACAACGGTGTGCTTTTGTTCTCAGCCTATTCAGGCTCTCATGTTCGTAAATATTAGGTAAGTTCCTCATCACTCGATCTCTCTGATTGCTGTCACCGTTGCAGCTTCATTCGATGCCTTCTTCTCCACCGTCTCTGTCACATCGACTTGACTGGAGCTCTCGCTGTCTACCTGCTTCGATCTGGCCTTCATCATGGGCCAGTGACCATGTTGCTCCTTGTAGCGCATCGAAACAAAGGCGATAATCACTGCAATCCAGTAAAAGTTGTATGAAAGTACCGAACCATAGGTTGCAGAGTTTTGCCAACCGAGAATGGCATTAAAGATACCGTAGCCGCCAGTGTTAATCTCTGGGTTGCAACAGTTGACGTGCCAAACTGACTTGGTGATATCGTAAGAACCTGGGCCACTTCCGACCTCAGAAGCGTCACCACCGATGAGCTTGCTCCAGGTATTGTTCTCGAAGAACCAGATGGCCTTGGAGAAGAGACCAGCAGCAACGAGGTAGAGGACACAGGTCGACACAATGAGGAAGATCTGCAGAGATGCCATGTTGCCGCCACGGTAAATAAGGTATCCGATCAAACAGCCAGCTGCAAGACCAGTAATGACGGCGAGGGGGAACGACGTAGCTGGAAGTCCAAGAGAGACACCTCCAATAAAGACGACGGCTTCGAGGCCCTCTCTCATGACAGTGATGAAGGGAAGCATGAACATGGCGTACTTCTCTGCAAATCGCTTGAAACGAGTACTCGCCTTGCCTTTGTTTTGGTCCTTTTCTTCCAGAGCCTTGGCCAGCTTAAGTCTCCATTTGGTTTGCAGTTTTGATACTCGAAGGAGAGCGGCACCCATGATCGAGATGATGATTGATGCGATCAAGCCAAAAACACCTTCCCAGATGTCTTCAGTTGAAGCGAAATGGTCCTTGCCTTGACAATACGTTAGTGATGAAAGCAAACTCGTGCTGCGTAAAAGCTCACCAAGTCCGTAAAATGCACCAATGAATGCACCGCCAATGATCAGACAGACCAAGAGGCCCAGTCCAATGCCCCACCATACTTGAGCTCTCAACTTCTTGTAGACGACTGGGTCATGTTCAGGACCAAGAGTTTGCTTGAGGAAAGACAGCAAGACTGAAACGATGATGCTGCATTCAAGACATTCTCTGAAGCAAATGAAGAAGANCTATACCACGATCAGTATGCTTTCCAGCACGTTCGGTTCATCACTTCACGTACTAGGCACAGCAAACACATTGACACCCATGGTTGCGGTGGTATCGAGCAGAAAACCAGAATCAGATAGATATGATCAAGATTGATTTGATCGAAAATCAGAGGAGATGGGAACACTGATCTGATAACGGTGACACTTGCGACCTCGGCCACCAACGCTTTCCTTTTTTCCCTCAAAAAGCATCCGTGTCCTAGGGTGCGTGTTGAGTGGTGCCACTGGCGCCCTATGGTTCAGCTAGCCTATTGTGGCGTTACCGGTCTCCTTCGTCCCAGGATCGTTCGAAAATCTGCCGGGAGTGAAGAAGGTGAGACGTAGCGATGACTCGTATCCCGAGAAGTTCTCACCGTCTTCCTCAACTCACGAAGGAACACCTTCGCAGCAAGCTGCTCTCATAGACGACGAGAGAGGACATCAGGAATTCTAGACCATTGACTCCATAGAACTTCAACCTGATCGGCAGCCAAGACTCCTTGGTCGACAGCTTGAGAAGGCTTGAGCCGACGCTACATACGGATCAGATAAGCGATGCGCGTGGAGTGGGGCGGCGTGTCTGGATCATCAGATTTCCATCCAGCAGCTCCTTCGCAATCGTATCCATTGATTGACACGGCGGTACTCGTATTGTTGGTCTGCCAAGTAGCATCCTCCGCGCATCTCGTGAGACAGACTCGTCCCCGACTGATGCCACGATGCCCGTCGGCCCTACAGTGTGATCCAGCCAGGCGTATAGCATTCGCATCACGACAATCGTACGACAATTTGCACTGTTCGACAGAGCAGGCCGGAGGATCACGGAAGTACCCTGCAGTATGCCTCAGGTAACTTTGGCGACCTGAGCGGTTGCGACTTGTGGCGCTCTAGCCAGCCCTTGGTCCACCGGTGCCGCAGATCGTACTCGAGTAAAAACTTCCCACGTAACCTCGAGCATCTTATCAATCATATCATCTGCCCGCTCTCTGTTCCTTTCACGTCCATCTGGCTTCTCGTACTAGATCAATTCTTATCAGATCGTTACTGGCGATTCGCTGGTGCGTTCACATCACAGAATCATGGCAGGCCGCATTGTTCAACTCCTGTTTGGCCTTACGCTACTGCTCACAACATGTCGAGCTGCGGTCATAGAGAAGTACTTCAACATGACATGGGTGATGGCCAATCCCGACGGTCTGCAGGAAAGAAAAGTGATTGGCGTCAACAACACATGGCCGCTACCTGTTCTGGAGGTCAACAAGGGCGATCGGCTCATCGTCCACGTCTATAACGGTCTTGGAGACAAATCAACAAGTATCCACTGGCACGGCTTATTCCAGAACTCCACGAACGAAATGGATGGACCATCCATGTACACCCAATGCCCAATCGTACCGGGAGCGTCTTTTACGTATGATTTCACCGTTGACCAAAGCGGTACTTACTGGTATCATTGTCATACCGACCTTTGCTATCCAGATGGCTACCGTCAGATGCTCCTTGTGCACGACAATGATGCCTGGTTTGCGGGTCAGTACAAGGAAGAGTTTGCAGTCACGGTCAGCGACTGGTATCATAACATGGTTGAAGATATCACTTTTCTCGATCTCTCCAAGTAAGTAAAATACGCCCAGTAGCGTATAAACCATATATCCTCGAAAACCATACTAATCGACATCAGCCCAACTGGCGCTGAGCCTATTCCCGATGCTTTCCTATTTAACAACTCCGTTATGGACACGAGGCTCTCAGTTGAGCCTAACACTACCTACTTGTTGAGGATTGTCAATACCGGTGCATTCGTTGCTCAGTACTTCTACATTGAGGATCACAACTTCACTATTGTTGAGGTCGATGGTGTGTTTACTGAGCCTGAGGAGGCTTCATTATTATACGTTGCAGTCGCTCAACGCTACTCTGTTCTGTTCACCACGAAAGCCTCTACTGCTCGCAATTATGGCCTTGTCACCATCGCGGATCAGGTTCTGCTGGATGCAATTCCGGATGCATTGCGCCTTAACCAGACTAATTGGTTGGAGTACAACCCATCAGCTGCCTTCGATCCAGTAAACGTAACCCTCAACATCGTGGATGAAAACCCCGCTTTCGATGATTACTCTCTTGTGCCGTACGACAAGGAGCCTCTATTCGAGAATCCTAGCAAGGTTATCAATTTGACAGTCTCGATGGGCATTCTCGACAACGGCAAGCCATACGCCTTCTTCAATGACCAAACCTACACCCGTCCCAAGGTTCCCAGTCTTTACACTGCCCTCACAGCTGGTGAACAAGCTGTCAACGAGGCTATTTATGGCGACTACACTAACACTTTCGTTCTTAATCACCTTGACGTTGTCGAAGTGGTGCTTACCAACAACGACGGAGGCAGTATGTTTTCTTCTTCTTTAGTGCTCTACTATGCTGACTATATTGTTTCTTCAGGCCATCCATTCCATTACCATGGACATACCTTCCAACTCGTCAGCCGCTCTCCATCATATGGCGAGGACTTCTACTCGCTGAAGGACAATGTCAACCCTCAAGCTTACGACCCCAACAATCACACCGCGTTCCCCGAGTATCCCATGCGCCGAGATGTTGTAGTTTTGCCGCCGATGGGAAACCTTGTCATTCGCTTTGTTGCGAACAATCCTGGAGTGTGGGCTTTCCACTGTGCGTATTTTGAAGCGGTACACAAGCTTTGAAAGAACGATGCTAACCCTCATACCAGGNNTCACATCGACTGGCACATGCAGCAAGGTTTGGCTGCTACTTTCGTCGAGGCACCTCTCGAGATGCAGAAAACGCTCAGTGTACCAGACGACCACTTTGCCGCCTGTAAAGCCGCTGGCGTGCCCTTTGCGGGAAATGCAGCCGCCAACACGAAAGATGTCTTGGACCTGAGCGGCCAGAACACACCGGCCCGTCCGGTTCCTGCAGGCTTTACGGCTAGGGGCATTGTGGCTCTGGTTTTCAGTTGCATTGCAGCATTCGTAGGTCTGGCAGCAATCACTTGGTAAGTCACTAGAGATCACGTTTCACAAGATCGCGATGTGTGTAGCAGTGGCTGACGCAAGAATGATACAGGNTACGGAATGGCACCTCTGAGTGCGAGTGAGCAAGAAAGAGTTGCAGTGTCAACCATCCGTACAGCCGACGAGTAGTGGATGTGGAGAGATGCATCGTCACACTTGTTGAGATGTACTCAGGGATGAATCGTTCATGTATCATGGAATCTTTCAAGCTCTCATATGCAGGTGATAGCACAGATGCAAGGGATGCTTGCAAGAACCCGATGACATTTGTTCATCTAAAAAAGTGTTTACTTGATGCCGTGATGGATCTAAAACTCGCATATACTGAGAATCTCATTTTCTTCCCAAAACACCCTTATCGTGCAGGCTTTTCGAGACACAAAGTAGGCTGCTCATAATAGAGTAATCCTGCCACGAGTCATCACTGAGAACCGTCAACATGCCGAAGGGCTGTCTGTTTAGTGGTGTTTGTAATCGCGCGCTCCTTCCAGAATAGACACATGAAGAAGTTACTTTTGAGCCGTTCCCAAAGGGTTTCAATCTTGGTAAGAAGTGGAAAGTGGAAAGTGAGCAAAATGAACTCTTCCGTAGTCTCTAGCAACCTGAGAGTCACTAGCATAGACTCGGGACATGGGTAGAGTGTTATCAGTATGTGCTGGTCAATCACAAGGACGGCCGTTGACAAGCTGCACCAGACAAACGCGACTATTGCTGCAGATCTGCAGCTATCCAATCCTCGAACATAGTGAGCCCGAAGCGTTGGTGCAGCGCATGCACAATGGTCCGCGGAAGGATGTGTTTAATGTTGTGTCCCAGAAACCCATCCTGATACCTCAGTGCGACATTTAAAGTAAAACCAGTTGTTGGACGCTCACACGTCGGCGGTTGAAATAACAGAAATATACAGAAAGACTGCAGATAGAGAGCTGTGGAGAGAGGGACAGGTTTAACAACAGGGTTTGGCAGGAATTGGCGAGCAAATTGATGCGCGTCTTGCAGATCGGAGGCATTCACGGTCCACAGTTGTGGGCCTGGAAGGCCGTACACGACTCTGGTTTGAGCTGCGAGCACGAGTAGGCGGCAACTTGCAAGACTCGAACAAGCGTTAAGCAGTGCAAAGTCGGGCCAAGAGGCGGTGACAAGCGTGCAAATGGGTGCAGGCGCAGCAGGAGTAGACAGAATCTATCTGTCAATAGCCTTGTCCCTGCATTGGCGTGTGACTGTGGTCAAGCAGAATCTTGTGCTTTGGTGGACGGCGGCAGGTTTCGAGACAGCATCCGAGAACCGTCGGGTTGCACCCCACTTTTGGAGGCTTTTGAGCTGCCAGCTGGAACTGGTGGGCTGGTGGCAGGTGGCAGGAGGAGTCGGAATTATAGCGAATCTGGCTCCTGCTGCACGCACGCAGCTTGTCAAAAGAAGCATAAAGACGTGTCGGTATGGGAGCAGCCCTCACTCCTTCCTCTGCCTGAGTATCAGAAATTTCCTCATCGTATCTGCCCTCCGGGTCGTGCCTTTGTTGTTGACTTCTAGGTTGTGTTTGTGTACTTTACACTGGTGGCCGTGTGCTCTCGCTTTGACTTGCTCGGCGCAAAATCTCGACTGGTCTCAGCGGTCTGGGCTGCCCTTGGGTCATCATTTAACATTTTGCTCTACCTTGCAACTTCCACTCTGGTACTCCTGTGTGCACGCATCGTTTCACCTTTGTTACCCCATAGCACTTGACAGCTGCCTGACCACCCCATCTTGGACATCCTCCGCCCTGCCTCGCTCCACTCCCATCCACCGAGCCTCTCTTCCAACTTAAGCGCTCAGAATGGCTCGTCACGCAACAATCACCCAGTCATACCAAGAGCGCGCCTCGCTGCCCAAGACATCACCTGTGGCCTCTTATCTCTTGCGATTGATCGCCGCAAAGCAGACAAACCTGTGTGTGTCGGCAGATGTAAACACGACAAGAGAGCTCTTGCAGCTCGCCGAAGAGGTCGGCGACTCAATATGCATGCTCAAGACACACGCAGACATTATCAATGACTTTGGCCCTCGCACCATCCAAGGCCTGAAAGAAATCGCCGCCAAAAACACTTCCTCGTTTTTGAGGACCGCAAGTTTGGCGACATTGGCAGTATGTTCATGCTCCGCCATCATCTTGCTTGTATCAGCCACTAACAGCTACCCGCAGGCACGGTGCAGAAGCAGTTCACCGCTGGCCCTTTGCAAATCGTCCGCTGGGCCAACATCATCAATGCTCACATCTTTCCTGGCCCTGCCATCATCACCGCTCTCTCGCAAGCTGCTCACGACGCCGTTACCTCGCTGAATACCGCCGTGACCACTTCCATCTCAGCTTCTCCCGTTCCTTCGTACATGGACGACAGTGATGAGGCTGACTCTCCTGCCTTGTCTCACCACGAAGATTCAGATGACCTTGACAGGCTTTCCAGCGATGAAGACACCAACCAGCTGTCTACATACAACGACCCTACCGGTCGCAAGCCCAGTGTCGTTTCAGTCTCTACCACCATCAGCACAAAGACAGAAAGCATTTCACCCCAGCCCACACCAAACCACCTTGGTGGTCCTTCCGACTCCATCTCGGCCATCAGTGCAGGCTCGGCTAGTGAAGAATCCTCTGCTTTGGCCCGCCTCGGCGAACCCCCTCCTTCGAAGCTTGCTCATTCTTGCAGAGATGAGCAGCGCGGGTAACCTGATGACTGGCGCATACACGGAACAATGTGTAGTTGAAGCACGCAAAAACCCAGAGTTTGTCATGGGTTTCATCGCACAACGCTCGCTGAACGAGAAGCCTGGTGACAACTTTATTACCATGACCCCTGGCGTGCAGATTGGAGCCACTGGAGACGGTCTCGGCCAGCAATACAACACCCCAGAGAAAGTCATTGGCGAGGCTGGTACCGACATTATCATCGTTGGTCGCGGTGTTTATGGTGCACAAGACAAGAGGGCAAAGGCCGAGGAATACAGAATCAGAGCATGGAAGGCATACGAAGAGAGGATCGCCTCTGCAACAAAAGCCACTAGGTGAATAATATATCAACATATACAACGACGAGGGCACTCAGCTCTTTGCTGAAAGGAAAGAGCATATTCTTTTGGTCGGGCACCAACAGGAAATTATGCAAGTACAGGGACTTGGGAGGACAGACTGGAAACTTCAGATCGGATCTCATGTTTGGAGAACTTCTACATATTGCGATGCAGGTATACAAAAGTGTAGAGCGGCTCTCTGAAGCCGTCCAATATTTCCTTCTGTTCGATCCTGGCACTTTCAATCCCAAAATTTCACCTTTGGTGCTGATTCGGTTCGCACGGCACAGGATTTGATTGATCAACGCACGCCCTAGGATGTTGGCTGAACTGTATACAGAGGCTCCACTGTTTGTCAATCAACGGCAAAACATCATTCAACTTTCGGCAGCAAGATTCAGCCATTCATGTGTAGCTTTAAGTGGTTCTTATCTGTCGGGTGATGGTTATGACAAATGGTCGTTCAGTCGCATCTATCTCAGATTAGGGGTCTTCGGATAATGTCAGCTCAACATTAGAGAGGCAGTGCTGAAACATGAAGAGTGCTATATGCAGTGATCAGAATAGTGCTGATATATATGTAAATGTATGTACCAGAGGATAATCATCACGTCCAGAGCCTCTCATTAGCCATGAAAAGATCTCTGGTATCGAGATGCTTGAATAAATGGCTCTGAGCCTGCCGGTTTTTGTAGTGCTGATGCATGCTCGCACCAGCAGAGTCTTTCTTCCATATGAGCGGTCTCTTGACTTTGGACCAGGCGTAGTCATGCCTACAATCCTGCCAACACCACCAGCATACCCCTACTTCACCCAGAGCAAGCACCAAGAAATCTAGCAGAGGCATGATGCGTGTGCGGATGCCGCAATGGTGATGGTTCTTGTCTACCTGATACTCGGGAGCTTGTTTGAAGCTGTCAACGAGATCTAGGATGTCGCCTTCATAGGGTTCAGGAGCTTCTGTGGTTGCAAAGATGGTGCCTTCCAAGGAGAGGGTGTTGATACGTTTGAAGAATTTGATCGTCTGGCCCAGCTGGAACAAGTCGCATTCGGCACTGCTGTCGTAGCCGAGCTTACATTGACGATCTCGAGACGTATACAAAGTGAGGAAATGTGTCTGTATCGACTGAACGGTTTGGAGTATGCAGTCCCGACGGAACAGCAACTCGTACTCCATACCCATGGGAAGATCCCACCACAGAGCAGCATCTTCCTCAGGTTCACGACCAACCCAGCCTCGGTGTATGAGACGAAGTGATGCTTGATATACCCAGCTTGCATTGTCCAAAAAGATACCCACAAGCAAACGTTGGCGCGTGCGCTCTTCTGTCCATGTGGTAGCAGCCTTGGTGTTGGATTTGCCGTCCAGAGCGGCAATAATCTTGTGACTCTTGCAATAGGCACGCCATGGCTCAAGACAGTCAAAGCGATCGGCTACGATGCAGAGGTTGGCGACATTTGCCAGAGGTGGGGTGAGGGTGGTCATGTCGCGAGCGTGCAAGGCGCACAGAAAGTCGGCCATGAGTGGTTTGATAGTCTTGACGGTAGGCGATATACGACCAACATCCACAATCTTGACTTCGGGAAGCTCATCAGCAGGTACGGTCGCGTCTAAGGTTGTGTATTTGGTCCTGAGTTGTGCGTGGGCAAGAGCGATGGTAGTGCCTTCCTTGTAGTCGCCTGAAAAGAGTCGACTGAAATAGGTCGAGGCTTCTTTCAGCCTGGCCGAGTCGACACGGTATCTGCATGTTTTTTGTGTGGGAGTGTCTCGTTGGACGAGCAGTACGACGTCTCCTGCTGATGAGACGACGGTGATTCCGGATGGGGTTTCGTCCAAGGTATCGGCAGTCTTGTTTTCTTGTGGATCGCGTTTGGCGGCTTTTGCTTTATTAGATGGAGTTGACATGGCTGGGAGCCGTTCAGAGACACTGTCTTTATGGGTAAGGCCAGAACATTGCTTCAAAGGTGGCGTACGAAGGATGCTTTTGCCAGTCATCTATCTCGACATTTGTCTGCGCGCGCCTGGGGCATGACGTGCCTTGCCAAGCGTAGGGTGCTATTTGTTTCTCAAGACTGACTCCCAAGATAAAACATTAACAGTATAACAACTAATCTAGGAAGCATATATGAAGATTTGTCTATTATATCAGTCTAGCTTGTATCTCAACACGCTCATCTATGCAATACTATCCGCAAACCATGCCCTCTTTTGGCACGTCTACCTTTTCGCCATTGCTCTCCTGTTGTTCAACTCTGCCCTCTGGCACCAAGCCAACCTGTTTATTCTCCTCTTNTTCACGCTCCAATCTTTCCTTTTCCTTCTTGGTAAGTTGCATCGACCCCTTCTCGATGGCTTCCTTGGGCAGTGGTCGTACATATGGCTGGCAGATGAACCACGGCCTTTTACACCATGCAACAGCCGCCAACGAGCTCTCGTCGTTTTGTGCGTCCACTTCAGGTCTGGTCTGTGGGTCGGTTGAGGCTTCTTCTGGCGGGGAGTTTTCGTACTCAAGCAGACCTTCCTTGACCGCAGCCTCGACCATGGAAAGAACATTTTCATATGCGGCAATGTCGCCAGCACGGCAGCGGGCAAGAGCATCTCGCACATTGGTGTGCTTAGAGACTAATGGCCGGAGCATGTGGAAAAGATGAGCCTGCATTGGGGTGAGGTTAGGATTCGAACACTTCTCGTTCTTCTTGCGACTTTCGCCCTTGTTCTGTTTTTGCTTCTTGGAAGGAGGTTGACCATTTGACTCTTCTGCTGCCTCGGCGCCTGCAAGCTCATCCTCAGCGGGTCGCTTCTGACTGGGAAGGCTCTCAGTAACCGAGTTGGCGACAGCTGCATCGGTCGGCGCATCGTCATGGCCAGGCATGAATAAAGGTTTCCGCGTTGGTGGCTCCTGACCGAGCACATATCTGTGAATAATGTCCATGTAGCGCCTGAGCACCGCATCCATGCGATAGCCACCTCTGCCATCTTTTCCTCTCCAGTATTCTCTCCCTTCTTGACCCACGGGCGGAGGATGAGCAAAGACAGCGGGATCGTAGAGGTTTCCCTCGGCACTCATAACACCGTCAGCACCAGTGGCCTCGAGACATGCGGGTATGTCGTCGTTGCGCAGAATGTTGCCGTTGGCAAAGATGACAGTGTCTGGAGGAAGGTTTTCCCTGAGGTAGCGTATGACAGACCAGTCGGCCAAGCCTGTGTTGTGACCTTTCTGATGGCGTTGACGGCCGTGAACGGTGATAATGCTGGCACCGGCAGACAAGATCATTTTCGCATATTCTAGAGTCTTTTCGAGTGTGTCGAGGATGCGCATCTTTGCAGTGACGGGGATATCGAGATTGAGGTGAAGGTTGTTAATCAGCCTGTAGATCAAATCGGGGTCTTCCTGTAAGAAGGAACCGTAATGGCCCTTGCGAGCGATGCCCTGAGGACAACCGAGGTTGAGGTCGACAGCATCGCAGAAGGGCTGGACATGACGAGCGGCAGCGAGCAGGTCGTCGGGGTCGTTTGCGCAAAACTGAACGAACAGAGGACGGTCGGTCTGGTGGTTGCCATCGAGATGAAGGTCGTTTTGATCGAAGTGGGTCTCATGGAAGGGAACAGGCGACTCGGGCATCGAGGCCTTTAGTGGCTGGAAGTGTGTCTCGCGATATTTTGCATTCTCATGGAACAAGCGGGCGTGGAACATGGGCGTGTAGGCAAGCAGTTGCTTGTTCTGGTCGGCTGGGAGGAACGAGCGCGTCAACAGGCGCCATGNCCTATCTGTTTCGTCAGCATCGTCCTCTGTACACAGCTATAGACACGGCAGACGTACAAACTCGCTCTGCTCGACCATGGGCGCCAGGATCAGCTTTGGGCAGCCGATGCTCTCGTAGAAAGCCCGCCCATGCAGCTTTGGTGCCTTGGTCGACTGGCTCATCTTCGACAACTGTGTCTTGGTCGTGTATACAGAAGATATGGGTGAATTGCGCAGTACTGCTAGCCGTAGCAGTCCTGTCTTGAACATGAGCGACCCGACAATTCTACGAGTACCTGCTTCTCTCTTGCCCCAGTCGCAAAATTTCCCCCGCATGCCACCCACGCGCCGTTATGCACGAGCGCCACACCCGCTCTCGCAAACCTTAAACCCTGATCTGCACAGCTCTCCAACATCGCCTTGTGCACTGAATTCTGGTTATCCAACGCGCTATATCTTCCAACTTTTTAGCTGCGCACCACGACGAATCCACTAACCTATCTGAGTTAAATTTCTCGCAACAATTCTCGTCAGCTTCTCGCAGCACTCGCACTGCCTTCTGCTTGTTTAACACAACGCGACCGACTCTCTTTTCATTTTCTGTCAAGCACTAAATATGCTTATGGAATACACATCTGGATACCATGTGCTCAAAACAGCTACAATGTAGCTATAGGGCCACACAATAATTTCGTAAAGAATATGGTGTCCACAAAGAAACACTCGTTGAAGGCTGGCCAGGCTACTATTCGAATCGCAACCGTGCATTTCGATGGCTTATAACAACCCTTATATACCGGACCGGAAGAGGGGGATCGATTACAAAATTGCGACTGCCTTTAGCACATGGAGAGAATCTGGATACCATACCTGGCAACACTGTAGCGATCTGGCTGGGAATGTCATTTGAATCAGGCATTGGATCTGGCGAATACAAACACATTCTGTAAAGTCTGAAACGATCCAATTTTTTGTACAGCCGAATCCGGAATAGTCCAAGGCTATGGTTGGGTACAGCTCGGTTCGATACAGCTCTATGACTTCCATCGGATTACCATCCTAAGACGCAATTGCACCTGCCTCCGACCTCAACACACATGGCGACGCTAGAATTGAAGCTGCCCAGTCGTCGAAGTTATACCACTTTCAACAGAAATCCGTGTTAGCTAAGGGATAGTTGACTTATATGCACGATCCCACCTATGATAAGAGGAACTATATCAGAGTCATGGTCTTCTCTTCGATGGGGTACGCATATCCAGGTAATATCCCTGTGGACGGCTTATTTCCTGTTACAGCTTGTAGAAATGCAGGATGTTTTCTGGGTTCGTTGAGTGTCCAGAGAGAGTCGTTGCCGAGTAGCCTCTCAATGGACAGCAGACTCATGCGTACTTCTATTGTGCATTTCGATAGACCCCTGAGAAGCAAGCATGCGTGACGGAGAAAACTGGACTACTCATGCTCATACCTGAATCAAGAAGCAGCCGGTCAGGGTATACGTCAAGTTAGCAGCCTCCGTGGATCGAAACGCTGAGTGCAAATCACCTCCATGGGCCCGAACTCTCAAAGACGGGGGCAAGGTATACAAGAGCGGTATCTCCTTTGTCACACCCTGGAAAGAACTCCCGACTACCGACTATATTGATTGTCATCTCTTACACACCACTCCTACTCCTTATACACCACTCCTACTCCTTATACATCACCTCCACTGCTTCCCTGTTACCATATGCCCCAATGTCCAACTCACCCCCTGCTGTCTTCTTCGACCCCCCTCCCCGACGCGCCCTCCCTCCTCCCGTCTTGTCTCACCCCCGTCCCGCCGCCCTCCTCTATACCACACTTCTTAATCACGCCCCCATCGGCGACTGTTGCTGCCTATCGCATGGACCATCGCGTTGCTGACATAAGGTCCCAGCTATATAGTTTTCTTTTCTTCCTCGACCACTTTCCTTCCTTCATCTCACTTCAGATTAGCTCAGCAAATCAGGTATTTACACACATCCATCACATCCACATTTACATTATCATCATCCCCATCATGCCTTCCCACTCCATCCCCCACTATGCANNCACCATCTCATCACAGACTGCAGCAAGGGCCGCCATTCGTGCTGTCGTCGCCTCTACTACTAAGAAGCAGGTCTCTCGCCCTGCCAAAGCCCTTCCTCGCCCATCTCCTTCCGTCTTGCCATCCGCCGTCACAAGAACCACCTTCGCCGCTCGCCAAAGGGTTGCCGCCACACCCAAGCCCACCGTCGCCGCCACTCGTCGTCCTGCCGTTCCCGTCGCTCCTTCCCCTCGCCGTCCCATCCCCTCTCGCCGCCCTGTCGTTACCGCTCCCCCCCGTCCAGTCGTTTCCACACTCACCCCTGCCGACCGCATTCGTTTAAACAAGCTCATACCGGCCATTGAAGAGGAGTTTGCACGTGTTTGCGAAGAGTATTGCGGAGAAATCCGTCGTACTTGCGAGCACAAAGTGCTTTTCGGTTCGTTCTCCTTTGACACAAGCATGCTAACAGAGTTGCAGGTTGCAGAGCCGACCCCTGAGGACTAGGAGCCCGACTGGGATGAGGATCTGCTGTGTCAGACTGATGATGAGAGTGAGTTCACAATCTTTGATAAAACTAATATGGTGGTGCGTAGTTTCGACTCCGACCCCGACTCCGACTCTCTCGATCCTTCATTTTACTCGCCGAGCGACTCTGGACTTGCCCGTATCCTCGACGAAATCAGTGACGACGTCTTCAACAACGACGTCACCGACGACAACGACGGTATCTTCTTCAACGATGATACCGTCATCCACCACCAAATCGCTTCCTCCGCGTACGATCACTTCGCCGATTCCCACCTGCAAGAAGATGAAGACGTTTCGACGGCTGCTCTCGAGGAGCTGTCGTTCGTCGAGGTTAGTCCCTTCATTTCTACTAACCTTCCTGTCATTACACAATCACATTCATTTTCACATTCACATTCATTGGCGGCTACTAACATTGAGGACGATCTCGTCGCTGCTCTCGGGCAGATGAACTTGGTTGATCCAGTTGTCGGTGAGGGTTCTGATTTCCTTTTCTCTCCTCTTCACTCATCCTTCCTTTCTCGTCATCCTTCCTTCCTCGAAGACAGTTGAGCTCTCTCTTCTGTCCCGTATCTTCATTCCCCTTCCCTTCCACAGAAAAATTAAAGTGTTGCGGTGTCGGAGTAGATCGCTGGCGGGCGGTCTCAGTGACACTGTTTCACAACCAAAAAAACTTGAAAAGGTGCTAACTGCGAAGGCAAAAAAATGGAGGTCTCGGGTTTCAGGCCCATTTGTTATTATGATTTTGTTTTGTTTGGTTTGGTTTTTGCTTTGCTTTCTTGTTTTTGAGTGGTATGTTTAAGACTTTGGTCGGCCACTATGCGTTGTCTTTTCTTCTGTTTTTGTTCTGCTTTAGTTTTGTGCTGTTATTTCGCGTTGCTTTATTTCCTTTGTTTTTCCTGTGTTTTTCATTGAGTTTCTGGTTTTCGAACTGGGGCTTGAAGAAGACTGTCTTCTCAGCTTATCGTTACATATGCATATGTCTTCCTTCATCTATAACAACCAAACCTTACAATCATTCTGTTGGAGGTACCAGACCTCATCAGACCGGCAGCAATAACCACTAAACATGTTGTTGGTCACTTCGACAACCGTCTCTCTCATGATGGTAGGTGGTTGTGAACTCTTGACCAGGCCTCGTTCGAGGACCTGGAGGTGCGAAGATCCGGAGGTTTTGCTAAACGACCTAGTCTTCATCTTCACACTCATCGTCGTCGTCTAAGTCACTGGCGATTCTAGAGACCTGACTGTCGACGTCCCAACTGGCTTCAAGTTGCTCCTAGCGGACCTGGAGATCGGGATCGAGGAGGTTAGCCGCTGCGACTGGGCTTACCTGAGACAGGAGGCGGTTCAGAAGGGCATCCGGAGCGGCAGCGGTAGACTGAGCTGCTTCCAAATCCAGTACGAGTGATTGATTTTTCTTCTAGTTGCGTCTTGTTGCTAAGACCATACGACTGTTATACTCAGCCACCATGTCGTGACTAGAGAACAGTAGAGGTAGTTCATCTAAGACGATCTTTGATCACCTCTGCTCAAGTTTTCTAGTTGGCGCGAATCCATGGTCAAGTCGGATTTTAACTCTGTTTTCTGTTAAGAGCTTCTTGATAGATACATTGAGGCGATCGGCCTCTTCTCTCAAAGCTTTATTTAGAAGCTTAGTACGACGATTGTTGTCGGAAGTCTGGTGTTGTAACGCAAGCTTCGCGAGAGATTGACTGTTGGCGGCTACAGCGACCCACTTCTTTGCCTCGTTGATTTGAGCCTTCGTACTCAGTGCTGCGTGAGCCATGGATCTGATCTGGCGATCATTAAGACGAGGTGTTCCAGCTAGACCTATGAGGCCTTGATGTTGACGATATGTCATTCGGGCATCGTCACCGTCGATCATTGGGCCATCCCGATGAGTTGGTGGTAGCCGAAAGACGATCTTGATAATAATCTCGTGGATAGCCGATTTTGCTAGGATATCGAAAGGTAGCCAGGTGTATCCATGAATGTTTGGTGGAATTGGAGCATATAGCTCGCTGAGTAGAGCAGCAGGAATTGCTTCAGTCTCGATCTTGACATTGTACTTGATTTCCTCACGGCGCATCTTCGATAATGTGACAAGACGGCCTTGTTGGAGAACTCGCTGGTCCCAGCGCGTAGAGGCAGAAACCATAGCTTTGACGTACGCTGGTTTGGTGAGGCGTCCAGTATCCACAAATGAGGTAGGATTAGATCCAACCAAACCAGCGAGAACACAGCCCATGTTAACCATCTGATCAAGCATAGCCAATATAACAGGGTCCTGCGGATGTAACATGGCTTCTGGATGATAGCAAACGATGATGACCCTTTCGATAATACCAGCGTCCAAGTAGATTGCGAGTACGTGGTGCTTACTCCTGAATATAGGCTTCTCACTAAAGATGATGCGTTTGGCTTTAGGGTGTAACCACTTGATCAGGTCTGTAACACATTGGAGTGGCTCTGTGATGTCAGATCAGCGTCGATGAAGTTGGTGGCTTTAGGAAGCAGGCGGGCGGCGGCTGCGTCGTGCTAGGCATTGCGAGTCAACTCATCGTAAAGCGAACTCGGAGGCATCTCGTATGATGATTGGCTGCTTTGTCTCATTCGATTGGCGAAATGTTGAAAGTCCCTTGTGACTTCAGGACTGGAGAAGTTCCCGATGGACTCGTCGAGCGTCGGTGTGCTTTGAAAGTGATTAGAACATTTTAGCACGCAGGCATTTATGGCTATCAGTGGTCAGGGCTTGGGACTGTATGGTATAGCAGATGTCTGAGTATTGATGCATGACTGAGAAATGAATAATGAATAGCAGCTCCTGCACTCCTACATCAAGTTAACGAGTCTTCGCTGACATTAAACTTTTGCATCATAGTTACTTAAAGACAAAGATTGAGCTGTTCTTGATCAAGGCTTCCAGTTGGGATCGTCCTCTCCAGTCAAATCAGGCCTAATTTGCTGACCTTCCAACCAGCTCTTTATCTTGCCATACAAGATATCTTTCTCAGGCCCATGAGCATTGAGATTCATCTTTGGCGGCTGGCTGATCTTGTTCTCCGCCCAAGCCAAGTACTTGTAACCGCTGGGATATTGCTTGACCTCATCCTCAGGAATACTGTAGATCTTTTCAGGGTTGACTGGTGCGAACTTGTCCTTGTCGAACAGCAGCGTGTAAAACACAACACCCCATCTGTTTCCTCTCTTTTCGAGGAAGAAGAAGAATCGGCAGTCGGCGTCGTTGTCCATTTCAATGTCGTCGAAGGTGAAGCGGCAGGTTATTGTGATCTTCATCTTGCATACTGCTCTGGTAAGGTCGGTGTTCATGTCGACCTGGGACCCGATGATGCGATGCAGGATGTACATGAACTTGGAACCCTTCTCGAAACCAGCTTTGGAGGCTTCGATGAATTCGTCGATGTTGCCTTGCTTCCAACTTGTTGCAATGTAGGCGTCATCGANAAACATTGAACGATAGTTCTCCCANNTCTGTGATTTTGTATGAGCATCAAACACAGTCATGTCTAGGAGGAGTGAGTTCTCGTACTCTGCCGCATCTCTGTAGACTCCCCAGCCCTCACAGATCTCGCGAACCTTCATTCGCTCGATGACTTCCTTGTCCAGGTCATTTCCTTTGGCGTTGTTACGAATAGCATCCTTTGGATATGTGCTGAGCGGAGGTTGCTCTGTGTGGTACGGGTCGTTAGGGTTCTTGCTCTTGTCTTCAGGCATGATGGAATGCAGAATATGGTTTATAGTATGTGTCCGAGAACCAGCTTTTGAAATGGGTGCTTGAATGGTCTTTTATGTGTCGAAACCACGCTCGGCAGTTGTTCTTCAGTGATCATCATGATGTAAATCCACCTTTTCCGAGGGACCTCTTCTTAAGCTTATCTGTAGACCAATCTGATACCTTATCCGCTCTCCTTGCAAGCCTGAAATACCTAGTCATCGAACATGCAAATATCTTTACTCAGATCGAAGATGATCTATAATCAAAACACCTTATTCGGTGGTTTGTTGACACACCTCGGTGGCTGCGTGATGACGTCTTGCAGAATTCGATCAGCCTGCGATTTCCATGTTTCATGCACGAACTGGCCATTCGTGGTTCTGCAATGGACGGAATAAATTAAAAGATGTGATACATGAGAACCTGCAGCAAGCAGGTATTGTCAGTGGCTGCGATATATCCTGCATCGGTCTGTCATCTCACTCCTTCTTTCCCAAAATGCCACTCAGAGATTAGCGACTCGGTCTCATGCTAACATAACTGATATACTTGCCTCCGAGACTCTGCATGACTTGAGTTGAAGAGAGCCTGTTAGTGGTGAGTACGTTACTTGTATCCAGTTGTGCTGTTCTCCCAGTCCAGTTCTGAGACCACACAGCCCAGCACACCACCATCAATCTTAAAGAGCGACAACAATGCTTCGCACACTCTGCTATCGCATCAGCATAACCCTCCTCAACATTTTCTTTCCTCCTCTTGCCGTGGGTCTTCTGGACAATTTCAGCACCGATTGCCTGGTCAACAGCATTCTCTTTGTCTGCGGAGTATTGCCTTCCCACATCCATGGCTTCTACATCAGCTGTGTGTTCTTCTCGCGAAGGCACAAGGTGCGGAGAGGTGTTTATCCTGGTGGAAATAAGCCGTTTATCTACACAGACACTATCTTGAACGGAGGAGCGAGTGATGCGAAGGTGAGAAGGTTGGCGGAAGGGGACGGGACGAGAAGGAGAAGAGCAACAAGCCCGAGAGGCTAATCTGAAACCAACATGAATCAAGAAACTTAGACAAGTAGAAGCGGTGGAGACTTAGCATGATCACAGGAAACAGGCACATGACCACGAAAACATGTGTGTATTCTCAGGATGATGAATGATCGTTTGCTTAGGGTACAAGAACGAAAATCGGGGATGAAGACACCAGGGGGAGAAATCGAGATAGAGCTGGAACGGCAGTATTGAGCCATTGGTTTTCCACTATTCAAGCGATAGTGAGGCGATATTGGCCCATGTTCGTGCATTCATATCCTGTCACGCCACAATGTCCCAAGAAACCATGCCAATAAGAGTATGATGACATGCGGGTGGCAGATTGCATGCCTGACGAAGACCCAAAGCTGAATGAGGTAGAGATTGAGGGAATAAGAAAGACCGAGGGTAGAAAGCAGACCCAAAAGTAGAAACGCCAGAGGAATGCTTCGCTGAAAGGAAATCGAGAGCGACAATACGAAAAGGTTGTTGGCAGGGTTACTCCATCTCTTCATCGGTAAGATCCTGGTGGCGGGCAAGGACGTTGCGCTTGAACTCTTCCATGTTGGTATCCCAGAGTTCGGCAGCTTGACCGTTGAGAGGCGAGGCGCTGTAAGAGGAGTTAGTGGTTGTCGGAATCTTGAGTCTGGAGTAAACGTACTTGTTGGGCTCTCCGAGCAAGCTCTGCAGAGACAGGAGGACAGAACCGACATTCAGGACAGCACTCCACTTGTCCTTGAGAATGTCCAAACAGATGCGGCCCTTCATGTCGACATTGGGGTGGTAGATGGGGGTGGTGAAGCGGACCTCGGGTGGCACGTAGGGGTAGCGTGCAGGGAAGTTGAAGCGCAGCTTGAGTGTGAGACCCGAGTAAGGAGTGTCGGCGGGACCGACAATGGTGCCGTCCCAGACAGTGAGGTCGCCGTTATGCGGAAAGGCACTGACACCAGGCGTGGGCGATGTCATCAATGTCATGAGCTCGCCTTGCAATCTNNGCGTGTCTTGTCAGTCAACCTATGCTCTGTCTTGCTGGGAGGACTCGGCGAGAGCGACGGACCGCTTGATGACATTGCCATTGTCCTTGGACTTGGAGGGACTGGCAGGTGCGTTTGAAGGTGCAGCGACGGCGGCCATGTTGACTGTGTTGGCGAGAGACGACTCGATGACTCTGGTGCAAAGGTAGGGCGGCGCGAGGGGAGCGGCTGGGACGCAAGAGTAGAGATGCGAGAAGAGAGGTTAAGATGGAGAAGGACGAGATGAGATCTGGGTACGGGTCAAGAAAAGTCAAGCAGATTGTATGGAAGTGTTGTCATCGACGACGTCAACTACTAATTCGACAATGCACAAAGGAATTCTATGTAAACAAGCCGTTGCTGGGGTTCTGCTCAAACTCACTCCACACTCGCGTTCACCTCGTGTCGCGCCTGCACGCGTCACATTTTATCCTTGTCACAGCAATTGTTTTAATATGATATGTTGTTTTTCATTCGTATGATGCTTAGCCAGCAACAAGAATCTGCCGAGCCATAGTCTTCGCCGATACCCATCCTTTGGTCGTGGTCTTCATAAAATACATACGTTTGTCAGTAGAAGCAACTGCAGCCATCTCCGTCTCCCGGTGCAAACAACTTCTTTCACTGAAACATCCTTGCTGCTTAGAGAACCTGTTTGATGGTTAGAAGAGCTTCTAGAATTTCCTGTGTCAGACACTTACATCTGCGATATTCTGGCGGACGATAATACTCTTCTGTCTGTCGTTGCGACTGACGCGGTAGTAGTAGTCCGTGTAGTCGGCACAGTTCATGTATCTCAGGAATTCCTCATCGTGAGTGATGACAATCAGCTGGAAGTTGGACTGTTGTCTTCTGATGCGGATGATCTCGGATAGAGATTCTGCCAGCGAGCGGATGTTGTCGCGGTCAAGGTTGGTTGTAGGTTCGTCCAGCGCGATAAGACCACAGTTTACTCCAAAACACTCTGCCAGAGCCAGACGGATGATGATGGACGCAAGCACCTTTTGACCTGCAGAGCAGCGACCACGCATGTCCATCTCAGCATCTTGCTTGCACATGACGACGCGGTAGTTGTAGCTCTTGTTGCCCTTCTGATTGTCATTGTCTGAGCGAATTAGGATTGAGTCGACATCGGTGCCACGATACGTCTTCTTCCAGAGCTCCTCGATGATGCGGTTGATCTCCTCCATCTTTAGGGCGTGGTATCTCATGATGGCCTTGTCGAGTGCACCGCCATAGCGACCGAGATCCTCGACAGCGGCTTTGGTCGTCTCAACCTTGACGTGGGCCTCCTTGTATTTGTATGCAGCATCCTTGTAGTCCTGCTCCCAGTCTTGAAGAAGCTGTTGAAGCTGGTCGTCTTTGCTCTTCAGCTGGCCCATGATCGAGGCTTGCTCGGCTGTAAGCTTATTGCGTGTCATCTCCCAACGGTTGCCCTCACGCTCATGAACAGCCTTCTCTTCTTCGGCATTGTGTGTCTCAAGCTCTCTTATCTCAGCACCTATTGCGTCTACAGCAGCACGATCACGACGGTACTCTTGGTTGTCTGCAATCTGACGCTTCGTTTCCTCGACATTTTGGAGGTTGTTTTCGACGTCCTTGACCTGTTTGGTGATGGTTTGCATGTCCTTCTCCAAACGTTCGATTTCTTGTTTCATGTCTTCGATAGCACTCTTGGCCTGCGCCAGCTGAGCAGGGCCATCTCTTTGGATGTAGCCACTAATCTCACGCTCGACCAATTGCAGCTTGTTTACACTGTCGTTTATGGCGGCTGTCTCCTCGCGAAGCTGTCTGTCTTTCTCTGCTCCACGACGAGAAATGTCATCGTACTTGGATTGAGCTTGTGACATCTCCGGATTCAGATCCGCAAGCTTCTGCTCAAAGGATCGCTGAGACTCAATGAGCTCATTGTTCTGTGCCTTGAGCTCGCTGATTTGTTTCTCGATGGATGACTTCTCCTTGAGATGGTGGACGACAGTACTGAGTTTAGACTTGACATCACGAAGCTCGAGCTCAAGTGCGTTTATGGTGCCGCGAGCGCCGTCGCGCTCACCAATAATTTTGGTCAATGAGACCTTGGTTCCGCGAGACTGTTCGTTGATTGTCTTGAGATCGTCTTGGATCGTCTCCAGTCCACGAGAAAGTCCCTGGCTCTTTTGTTTGGCAGCCAACTCTTCGATCTGCGTCTCGAAATTGACGATTTCTTGGGCATACTTGACAATGTTCTGGACGGTTTTGGAAAGGCTTTCGACTTCCTGCTTGGCTGATCTGCGCTCGCTGACAACACGGTCTTCTTCCTCCACTTCGGTGGTGAGGGAAGACACGCGAGCCTTCAGGCGTTCCTCTTCTTGCTCGAGGTTAGGAATATCCTTACTCTTTAGACGATCCCAGTTGTCGTAAGTCGAGCTGATTGCTCTGACTTCTTGCAGATAACTCTCAGTTTCTCGAAGCTCTTCAACCGCACGGCCGGCCTCGGCTTTATTGATTTCCATCCCGAGGAGATTGATCAACTTTTCAAGCCCTTGACGATCCTTTTCATAGCCACGGCGGCACATGAGACAACATTTGTTCTCGCGAGCAGCTCTTGCCGCGCTCTCGTAGTACTNTTTGAGGTGGCCAGCATACTCGCTTGAGCTCTTGCGGTCATCACGCTCGGCTTCGGTCTCCTCGAGAATCCTTTGGTATTCGGACGGATCTGTTTCGATGACATTCTGAATAGACTTGTGGCTGGCGTCCAGTTCTCGTCTTCGTGCAATGAGATCGTTCTTCGTTTGCTTGAGACGATACTCCAGCTGCTCAAGTTCACGGGCTTGGCCGTCTCGCTGACGCTCAGCTTCTGCTACAGACTTGTTGCTGCTGCTCAGAGCACTTTGAAAATCGCTGTCGAGTGATGTTGCCTGCCAACCGCCACCAACGATACTGTCAATCTTGGACCCATGGGTTTTGGTCATGGTGTCGAGACTGCGTTGACGGTCCTTGACTTCCTTGCGTAGAAAGTCTAGACGTGCCGAATCTCCTGCTTGCTTGGTAGCCTGGACAAGTTCCATATCCAGCCTCTCCTTTTGATCGTCCAGACGGCGTAGAACAGCATCAGTCTCTTCGACTTGCTTGTCCCAGTCCTTGTTGTCGTAATCAGACTTGGCCGCTTGCAGTTTGCTTTCGGTGTCTTCAACAGAGGACTCGAGCATAGTCTTGGAGCCCTCATCGACCTCTATCTTGTCCAGATCAGTCTGGAATCCACCAATGCGGCGCTGGTTTGCGGCATGAGATGCCTTGGCGCTTTCTTTCTTTTGACTTAGTGTGGATTTCTGCTCATTGATACGGTTGAGAACATCCTGAGCGCGTTGCAACTCTTGCTGTGTCTCACGTCTGGCGCGTTCGAATGTGGCGTTTTGCTCCTTTGCCATGCGACTGATGCGATCAACGAATTCTCGAGCCTTGTCGTCATCAACTTCGAGATCGTAACCACGAAGGTTGTGCCTGCGGGCAGTTTGCTTGACCAGTTGTGCTCTGTTCTCAAGTTGACGCTCGTAGTTCTGTTGGTCAGACTCCAAAGAGCCAACCTGACGCTCCTTCATGCTGAGCTTCTCGCGGTTGCCGATCAACTCTCGACNTAAGTTGTTGATAGCGGCGCTTCTCCTCGTTGGCCTGGTCGTGTAGTTGTTGAACTCGCTCTTCGTATTTCTGTAGAAGAGCCTGGAGTTCCTGGTCCGNNAATCGGTCATCTCGCGAAGATTGCGTCTGAGTTTTTGAACACTTTCTTGCTTAGCACGTTGCTCGATGCGCTTGCCGGAGAGTTGGCCGACGATTTCACCAAGGAACTTGATCTTCTCCCAGGCAGCATTGTAGTTTTGCTTGGCCTCGGCAATCTTGGTACCCATATCTTCACCTTTAAGGCGTAATGTTTCGATCTCCTCGTAGAGCTCGTGGGATCGTTTCTCGGCCTTCTCACCCTTATCCTTGTCTTCCTTGGCGTGTTGCTCAATAATCTTGTACTTTGCAAGCTCTTCCGTCTGCTTCTTCTTCATGATCTTGATGTTGTCGATGGCCTTGGTGTACTTCATGGCCTCGAAGATGGCGTCGAAGCGGTCTTTGAGCTTACTCGGCTCACTGAGCGGCCACAAGCTCTCATCCTGATGACAGAAGATGACAGAGTCCAGGACAGCCTTGCTGACACCAAGATATTGAGGCATGAGTTGATCAAGTTCGGCAACGCGTGAGGAAATGGATGTGCGCTCGCCCTCTTTGATCATGAGAAGCTGACCTTCGAGAGATTTGACCGAACGTGTTGCCTTTTTGACGGTGAGTTGCAGACTGCGAGTAGACACCATCTTCGCTCCTGTAGTGGCTAGGAACGACATCTTGACCTGGGCGAGGACCTCTTTCTCGCCACATAGNNCTATACTAGTCAGTCGAGGTAGCATGATGTTATTCGAAGGGCATACCTTGGGATCGTGGATGAAGGCACCGCCCTTGCTGTTTGGGGGTTGGTCACCAGTCGTAGCATACTTGAGACACTCGATGATGGTNNCTAATGCATGGTGGTTAGTGCGGTTGCCGTTTGTGATTCAGGTACAAGGACTTACAGTCTTTCCAGAGCCATTGTGACCCACGATCAGGGTCAGAGGTGCGAAGAATTGGATAGTCTCACTGCGTCCATTGTCGAAGGACCGAANCTCTGGGTCGGAGTGTTAGTAAAAGTTGTAACGCGAGGATATGTCGATCTATGCATACCCTAGGATGGAGAGTTTGTCAATCTTGGCTAGAGGAATGTCAGTGAGTGAATTGGATTCTCAGAAACAGGCCGATTGACATACACCTGTTGGAGGAATTAGCTTCGGGGGTATTGACCATTGCGGATTTTGAGGAACATACATGGTGGATTAAGTTCGGAGCTGACTCCGGGGAAGAAACGGGAGGATGCAATGCCAGGCGCGACCAGAAAATTATCGAAGAAAAACAACGAGTGAGCAGGAGACGAGTTTAAGTATGGAGCGCTGGAGGTGTTGTATCAAACTAAGTGTCGCGCTCAAGAGTTGGCCCTTTGACACTTTCTTTATGTGTCGGCAGGCAGACGCGTGTGAGATGGAAGGCACGCCCTCAAAGTAGAAGCCGAAGGGTCTGCCCAGACTTATGTCCCAGCCTATTCGGGACTACGCATCAGATTTTAAAAGCACAACACTTGGATATCCATGGACAAATAATTATACTAGATAGTGTCTATATCTCTAGATAGTTCCCGAATCTTGCTGAAGGATCCGCGACTGGGTTTGTCTGAAAACTAGCATTTGTGCAATCGAAGTTGGAGATCAACGATCGTTTCGCTGGACCAAATCGTTGGCCAGGGCAAGCGCGCAGACGTCAGACTCCGGTCGCAAGCAGCGACTGCGGATCGAGCAAGTCTTCCTGCATCGTGAAATTATCTGGTGGGACCCTCGGGATCAGGCACGTCTCTGTACTGTTACTTGTTGACTGGGCATAAAGCCTAAGGCAGGATACCGATGTCCTACCTGTCGTCGGTCGATGGCTCGCTCGCCCAAAACGTAAGTGCCCAGCGCAACAGAGTCCGATGCTTGCGAACGCCCACTGATCATTGGTTTGGTGCATTAGATGGCCGGGGCTGTGTCCGCATCCGACCACTTGTTGGACCCAAGCGCCAACCTCATGTCTGATTTGCAGGATCAGATCAATATGCTCCCCATGGACCTCGATCTCAACGACCCTAACCTCGATGTCTCGCTGAGCAACGTACCCTTTGCCGACCCTGGCGCCTTTGGCAACAACCTCAACTCCATGTCCTTCGCCGCGCAATCCCACCATCACCATGACGACGGCCAGTCCCAGTCCAACATGTCGGGCATCGGTGCTGGTCCACTGCCCACTGGCTTCGGCATGGGTCCTCCTTCGAATGGCGGCAACACTCTGACCGAGTTCACCAAGCGCAGAAACTGGTCCCAGCGTGTCATCGAAGAGCTCAGAGATTTCCTACACATCCTTACTCCCGATGGTCGCATCCTCTACGTCTCGCCCTCCGCCAAAACTCTCACCGGCTACGAACCACGATACCTCGTCGGCAAGTTCATCGGCGAGTTTGTGCACCCCGAGGACAGCGGCATCTTCATGCGCGAGTTCAACGAGTCCATAGCATCGGGCAACCCCTTACGCTTCTTTTACCGCTTCAAGAGGGAGGATGGCACATACATCATCTTTGAATGCGACGGTCATCCACACATCTCGTCCGACCAAGGAGCATACGGACATATGAGTGGCTCGGGTCAAGGCGCTATGAGCGCGTCGGGCCTNTGCCGAGGTTTCTTCATGATGGCTCGCCCTTATCCGACCAAGAACGCCGCATTGCTTGATTCATTCCTGGAGCACAAGATTGAGAACGAGCGTCTAAAGAAAAGAATCGAAGAGTTGAAGCGGGAGGAAGTTGAGGAGAATCAGGTCCAAGAAAGGCAATGGCAAGAACAGTCCAGACGCGATCCGTCTGAAACTGGCCGTGTTGATGGCTCGAGTGAGCATAGCAAAACACCAAATTACCAAGGCATGCCGCCGCCAGCCAAGCCTCCGATATCAAACACTGCCCTTACGCGCCAAAATCTCGACAGTGCTTTGTCGGCCCAACAGCCTGACAGTATAGCAGACAAAATGTCCCGGTATGAAGGCTCGAATCATCTCGAGACTATCGAAATGCTCACTGGTTTGCGTTACCGCGATGGCGAACGAAGTCACGGCATTTCAACAGGAGACACATCACCTGCGCTTATTAGAGGTGATGCCGGCATCGCGATTTTGCTTGACAGGGACCGTGATGGTACCAAGGAGAAGAAAAAGAAACTCAAAGTCGCCGAAGAGTATGTCTGTGCCGATTGCGGAACTCTAGACAGTCCCGAATGGCGCAAAGGACCCAAGGGACCCAAAACGTTATGCAATGCGTGCGGCTTACGATGGGCCAAGAAGGAGAAGAAGAAGGCGGTCGGTGACAGTGGCACGAATTCGAATGCTGGTATGACTCCTGGTGGTGTACCGTCTCTACTGCAAAAGGACAGCAGTGGAAGCAATTGATGACAATGAACGCGACACTTGGACATTGGGTCTTCACAGGTGGGCAATGGCGTTTGACAGGCATACTCGGAGCTTACGGTTCACCAACCTTTACTATTCTTCAGTGTAAAGATTTATTGACTTGATACCAGAAGGCATTTTGGAGTTTTGTACTATACCATGGCATGGATCTTCATGTGTTTACTTCAATCTTTTTATTCTTCTCAATCAACGTTTTCAACTATTCGAATAACCGTACCCACGTATATAAAGCCTTGGCGGCCTGTAGTCCATGAGAACTCCTGCATTGTTGAAAAGTTGCTCTCGATGTTTTGGAAGCACGCCAAAGCCCCAGTCGGCTCCAAGGCGAGAGTATACAGATACACCGACAGATAGATGGCAGCTTGACATGAGCTGAGTGAGAGCGGTCTTCGCTTAAGCGCAGATTGGAGCGTAGGGTAGCATCATGTGGTCTCATCATACGCCCTACTTTTCATGCCCAACGGATACATTTGATCACCTCTCCCCTCCAATGCTGCCAAATACTGAGACGCAGTCAGCCAATCAACGCGATTTATGGTGCGTAGGTGCGCGTAGGATACAAGGCAAAAAGCGCCCATGGAGAAACAGCAGGCTCAGCAGTCCACCCGTCATTAGAATTGAAGGGGTTGATCTGGTGTTTAGCATGTCAAAAAGACACAAGGAAGCGCGCCACTGCTCTGTGGAGATGGACAAGTTTGGGCAAGACATGCATGGCTCTCCAGTCCGGCAGCGACAGGCTCTCAGCTTACTGTACGGGCATCTGTCCCGATTTCCGTGTCGAGTTGATGTACCCCGTCAAGCCACGCAGACTATGTGGTGCGGAAAGCAGGTGCACCCGCGACAATAATATGCAAGCGATTCTGTTCAGCTGCGCTTGTGCGCCCGAGCAGCGCCCCTGCCGTCGATTAATGTCCGGACACTGACGTTTGGTTCGAGGCACTGTCCAGCTGGACTGACTTGTTGACAAAGAGAATCCAGAACCAACTGGCTGGTGATGGTCATTTCATGCCTCAGACATGGGCCATGTGCTTTATCGCAGCATGTCTGGATAATGTCAGCATCCATCTTTACGAGCGGTTTCCTGGTTGTCGTTGAGACTTTATCTACACGTTGGAGTTCAGGTCCAGCAACGGTCACCTACGCCACTCCTACGACGCGTGCCGGAGCGTAGCCGTATTCCATTTTAGGGTCTTGACGTTGACCGTCACGAGGGGGCTGCCGGAGAATTAGTACTGCAGAAGAGGTCCAGTTCTCTTGACTCGAATGTCAATCACTCGATGCACAACAGCTCTCAGAAGCAAACCGTCAACACAAACATCTCTCGACACTGGAAGCCATCAAGGTCGGTCAAAATACCATGCACAATAAATCCCCTAATACAGTGCAGCCGCAAGGGCCCCGCCCTGAGGCTATTTGTACCTCTGGATCGAGGCTAGTGATGCACGGCGTTGCGTAACAGACCTCTACCGTTTCTTAGCCCAATCCCCAAGTTGTGTATGAGCCACAGACTTGGATGCGCACATCATTCGTCTTGCACGACGCAAGCTGCAGCCAGCCGAACCACTCCCTTTGTCTGGGAACGTCTTTGACGGCTACCTGCTAAACATCCAGGACAATCTGTCTCTTCGAGTCTTGCGGGTATGAGTTGAGAAAACTAGCAGAGATAAAGGTGAGTTTAGTCACGGGCGGGTTTTGCCCAAAAACAGCAAGGTTTCTATATGTGTCGGTCAACGTGGTGTGCAAAGTATACATGGAGACGAACTGCATCTGCGGGCCGGCCGGTCAACTTTAGCCTTGCACTCTTGGGCTGGCTTGTGCTTTGTGCCCTTCGCGAGTCTGCCTCACCCCATCCTTTGTCTCGCCGTTTCATTCCGCTGTCTCCTACATCTTGTTCTTGCTTTGACTGATACACTTCTGATACATACTTTCCTGTATTATCAGTCGTGATGCAGGGCATGTTCTGGCACTAGGTGAGTTTCCTCCACTCGAGCGATTGTCCAACAAGTTGCTGGCTCGCTGTTGGTCCACGGACGTCATCTCGCCGGGGAGGCCTGACTGGTGATATTTGCCAACAATACGCTGACAAAGAGCCTATATCACAGATGAGCTGTGTGTTCGTAGCACATGTGATGCAGCAAGCCCCTCTTACCATTGTTTGTTCCTCGATATCGTTATAAAGATCTGGATATTTTCCGAAAGCCCCTCGCTGCTGTTGATCACCACCATGGCTTCGACCCAGATCTCCGGATCGACACTGTCGCTCCATGGAGCCCCGAACAAAACAGACCACGAACGTAACAATTCCAACTCAACAAGGACGGGTATCCTGGTTAGGTTGAATGATCAGGTCATACGTGACTTGCAACAATGTGCCCATGGGGGCAAGGCAGTGCAATTGCTGGGCGGAAAGACACCGGTATGCCCTTGAATATGTTCAAGAGCCTCGACGGGAACCCTTTCTGACGAGTGCAGNAAAATTCGATACGGTGCAAAGCTATTGGAGTTGAATGTGAGGCCTGAGACATTTCGTCACGAAATCTACTCGACAGACGACAAAAGCAACCAGCTTGATTTTGCCGCTTTTGTGTCGCATCATGCTGAGCCCAGAGTGCCCGTCGAGAAGAAGGCGCAAGAAGACAGTGCCGGTGCCGAGGCCGCCCTCCAGGCGTTGAAGCAGTCGCTGGCGTCCATGGCTAAGCAGAAAGAGGAACGCAAGTGAGTGTGAGCAAGACCTCGTCCTCCTAACGATTGTTGACGTGTGACAATGGGNACGACAATAAGTAGCTCCGTGACGGCTGGTGGTAAACACTCCAGATACCTTCAACCCTCTTCTCGGCCAACTTCCCTCGCTCAGCGCTCTGCTTCCTCGTCCTCTACTCCTCGTCCCGCCGCACCTACCTCTGCTCCTTCAGATCCTCAGGCTCAAGCAAGAGAGAAGGGCATGCGATTTGCTCTTATTCACTTGCTCGCCGTCAGACCCTTGTCTGAACAAGACATTCAACAAAAGACTCACATACCTAAGGCTCAACTATTATCACTCCTTCCTAGGATTGCCGACAAGCAAGGGCTCACCTGGGAACTTTCAAACAAGCCGTACAGAGAGCTCGATCCCTGGTCCTTCAAATACGCTTCGGATCAACGGACATTGGCAATAGACAACGCAATCAGAGCTTTTGACAGAGCTAGAATACCAAAAGACGACAAGGCCTGGCAGATTCTGTTGCCCAAGGAAGAACGCAACAAAGGCAAGATCCTCTCGCGTCTTCATCTGACTGTAGAAAGGTCAGACCTAACTGGAACACCTGGTCTTGCTTCTACTCCTGTTCACACAAGCGCAGCTGCCACTCCAAAGCTAGCAAGTACCGGCACACCTCGGAGCGGAAGCGGTGCTATTGCGACTGGAAGATCTGCTGCTGGTATCTCCATCGAAAAGCGATTGAAGGAGGCNGAAAAGAAGGGTGCCATGGAGAAGAAGAAGCAAGAGAAAGAGGCGAAGGAGGCCGCTGCTGCTGCGAGTGATCGCGAGAGCAAACCAAGAAATGTTACCGCCAAAAGACCTATACCTCCCAAGAAGGCCGCTTCTAGAGTCAAATCTGACGAGGTTGTTCACAGCTCAGATGATGAGGAAGAAGGTGAAGTCAAAGAGAATACTTCCCTGAAGAAAAGCACCACATCCAGAAAGGAGCCTCTCAAGCCGACTCCCAAGGCACGACCTGTGATAACAGGGAGGCGCGATTCCNNCTCGGCCAGCGAAGCACCCGGGACATCCAAGGACAGCAAGATAAAGTCAAAGCCTTTGACTTCTGACAAGTCTGTCGCCAACGCTGCCTCAAGAAAAGACAGCGCCATCCCCAAGGTCAAGGCAGAGGCTCCATCGCTCTCCAGAGCCGCTGCTCTTCCAAAGAAACTTGAGAAATCAACAGCAGCAAACACCGCCACAAAACCGAAGGACAGCCCAGCACAGAAACCTATCAAGACTACCTCAACGACGCAAAGACCCAACATAAGCCCACGAAGACTGACAGACACAAAACCGAAAGTTCCCTCACCTCTGGGCACAAGTCCTCCGAGGAATGCATCTGACCATGCTGAAAAGACAATCAAACAACCGCCCAAACCATCAGCAACTGTAACCGCTGCCAAGTCAGTCAGGCCCGCAACTACATCTAAAGTCTCTGAGCCTCTAAGTTTCTTTGGCGGTGTCAAAACTGGTTCACAGTCAAAGATTGTCACCAAGAAACGCCCTCTTGAGTCTGACACTGAGAGCGTTGAACCGGCAAGAAAGGCGGTCAAATCGACCACTTCCACCCCGGCAAAGGCTCCTACTAATATACCAGCCAAGGCCTCTGCAGTGAGTGGTACCGGCAAAGAAGCAGTGACCAGAGCCCAACCTGCACCTTCCGCTGCCTCAGACAAATCTCTGAAACGTAAGGCCAACGATCTCTCTTCTGGCTTGCACGATCATGCCGCTCCTCCCTCGTCCAAGCATCGCAAAACCGACTCAGGAAGCACGCACTCGCACACAGCGACAAGTTCGTCCGGAGCATCTCTCACAACTGCTCCGACTGTTTCACCCCACTCGTCCCCCGCAGGCTCGGATTTCTCAGATGACAATCTCGCTGGCATTCTGAACGACGAGTACGAAGGTGCTTCGCTCACGTGGGAACAGACTCGTGCTGCTGCCGAGACGTTCAGGAGCAAGCTATACCCGGAGTATCTCAAGCTGTACCGACGCATTGAGCAGACACCCAGTGACAAGGTCCCAAAGGAAGACACTGTGCGCTTGTGGCAGTTGCACAACCGTCTTGAGGCCATCAAGCATCGTATCGAGATGGCTTGTCGCAATGGTGACAATGGCGGAGATTAGGAAGCAAAACTACACTTACATTTGCATCTGCATTTATCCTGGAATTGGAGTTTGGGGGATCATGACTATTGGACTGGGCAAGCGGAGCATTTACTTGATTTTCAATAAAAGGGGGTTTCTAGTTATCTAGGTCACACGACTGCTACAGCATACGGCGTCTTGAAGACGCGCAGGAATAAAACTTCATCTGGTTTGCAATATCCTCTTGTTTTTCAACACATCATGGAATATGTTTTCGTGGTTGGTATGACAGCAAGTCAAAGCACCACATCTTTCATGGTTAGGACATTTCAGACGATCTATTGCTGCTGTCACAGGTAAACAACACGTCTATGCACCTAATATCGAGATGGTGCTCTCGGAAACTTGATATAAAAGCGAACAGGGTTATCCCGGTGACCAAGAAAGATTGACCCAGCCACATGCGCAGCACGCGAGAGCCGGGACATCCGTGCACGCCGATGGAAACGACGAGCAACAAAGTCTTGGCCCCATCTTGTCGGGTGACGACGAGCAAACGATCCTTTAATTATCAGGAAGAGGAACTTTTCTGATTCAGTTGACTATCTCCTTGCACACTATCTGGTGCGACGTGCAGCACTCGGATCGTTAGGAAATCTGAAGCATCTGCAAAGTCGATCGCAGGCCGCTGCGTCCCGAAATCCAACATGCTGGCTAGCATTATTCTGGATCAATCATTTCCGCATTACACGAATCTAGACTACATATCCGGAAAAGTATATGTACGGACACAGACTGCGACGACAGTTTCTAGCATCGTAGTAAAGCTTGAGGGAGAATCGAGGACAAGACTGCTGGTGCGTCTCTCAACACAACAACATGACAGCACATGTATTCCTCCACCACGACATGTATTTGACTGACAACTATATCAAAAGCCCCCTCCCAACCCTTCGAATGACAGACAAAAACCTCAACTGGAGTTTCATAAGGTTGGTGGATCCTTTCTTTGCTGACCCAGCCACGTATCCGAGCCTGAAATAGTCGATGTTTACTCGATTTGGTCACCGTGCATGACTATATACGCTCCTCAATAGTGACACGGCAATTATATACTGACAAGCCATCAGATTCTCTACAAGACCTTAGCAGTATTCCCTCCCCCTGAACTTGCAGGGCAAGGTGGCTCAAACTCATTGTCTGGNAAGACAGCGTATACGCTGCCAGCAGGACAGCATGAGTACCCTTTCCAATTCAAGGTACAAATCTTCCGCGACTTTGACGTTTCCTCTACTTACCGTTGAACANNGTTCCCCTTCAACAATGCATGCGACCCATCATCTAACTCTAACCCGACAATAAGCTTGTTCGGTGGACTCAATGTGGAGATGTACAAATCACCCCACAGCCATGTGAAGAAGACATTACCACCAACACTTGTAGGGTTTCCCGGAGAAGCTGAAATCCGTTATTATGTCAAGGCAACTGTGAACCGGCCCAGTCTTTTCAAGGAGAATGCCCGAGCATATGTACCATTCAACTTCTGTCCTATCGAGCCGCCACGTCCGGCACCGTCAGATGCGTTGGGCTATGCACGACGTCGGCATCAATTCAACATGAACATGCCTTCCTCACCCACAGCACTTCCTAGCAAGTCCAAGATGGCTTCCTTCTTCGGCGGTTCGAAGAAGACCAGTGATTCTACGTCGGGAAGCACGACACCAACAGCTCCGTTCATAGCCGTCGACCTACGCCTACCAGAGCCTGCAATCCTGACCTGTGCCAAACCGGTACCTGTGCGTGTCGTAGTCACGAGCTTGAACGGCAAAACTACTGCTTTGACACTAATATCCCTGCAAATCGAAGTCGTGGCCATCACCAAGATTCGAGCGCAAGATGTCGGCCGAGTCGAGCGCAGCAGCACCGTATTGTTCTCTCGCAGTGGTATGGCGATCCCACTTCAGTTCGGTGACGGCGCAGCCAGAGATGCAATCGCACCCAATGGTGGAGAGATCGAAACAGAGGCTGAGATTGACTCTCGATACTGGAGCGATATACCATTGCCGAATGTCGTCCCGCCCAGTTTCGAGACTTGCAATATCACTCGCACATACGAGATTTTTGCACGCGTTGGTATTCGCTATGATAGCACTGCATCGATGGTAAGTCTATAGAGCCTCTCTGCATGCTGGGCGTATAAAGCTGACNNTGTCGCAAAGCCTCAAACAACCACTATAGACCTTCGTTTGCCCGTGCAGATTTTCTCGGGCATCACACCGCCACCTGAGCTTNNCTTGGAAGCCATGGCAAGGGCTCAAGCTCAAGGTACAAGTGGTAATCAACCTTCTGCGCCACCAATGCCACCTCGACCCAACTACCCAGCAGACACCAAGACTGCATCTGGGGCACCGCCGCTTCCTGCCCGTAAACCAGTTGCCTCCACAGCAACAGCACAGACAACGCAGCCACCAGTCCAGGTTGTGCAACATGTGGAACATTCGGGCGAAGAGCCACCTTACGGCGACGCACCACCTAGCTACGAAGACGCGGTTGCTATGGATGTGCAACCCGTGAGTGGCATCCAAAGGGCCGAATATGCGCCGCCTATCGTGGCGGAGGATCCGTTGTTGAGCTCTGGTAGAGGCGAGAAGAGTGGTTGGCATTGAAAACAATAATGGAAGGGGGGAGGGGAACGCAGAAGCTGTAGCCGCAGCCGGTGTTTACGGCATTACAATAGAATACTAATACTTAATAATCATTACCTGTCTCGATCGTCTCAAAGGTCGTAGCTCATTAATAGGGACTGCAATTAACAGAACGTTGTTTTCTGAACCCGAAATCTGAACACAGACATGTCCGTTGAGAGATTGTAAACAATGTCTAAATGAAAGTTGCATTATTACCCGGAAGTACTGCACATCTAGACCGAAAGCTGATAACTCTGAGTTGAAAAGACTGTCTACTTGTGATTTTGCTCGCTTATCCGTGACCTCCACCACAACCGTCCCTTAGTCTTTCTTTGTGGGAAGGGGGAGGAAATTGCTCATCGTACAGTTCTCGCTGTCTCCAAGTCTGTGATTTTATAACCGATGGCAATGTGGCATCCCAGACGCCTGAGTTCACAAGCGTACGTAAAATCATGCTCACAGCGCATATTCTGCACGGTTGGTCTCGACAGATTCCCTAATCCATCATGGTATCTCGCTCAGTATCAGCAATCTGTGAGGAATCTCGGCCATTGCTAGCTCCACCTCTGAGACGACCACCGAATCTTAGACCATCCTCCTGTGCGTTGAGACTGCTTTCAGATGCGTCTTCCTGCTTGATGGGCACATTCTCAATAGCGAGTTCACGCTTGTAGACAAATCGCTCCTCTGGGTCAGGGCCACGAATCACACGATCCAGCCATTTATCGCCGGTACCAGTTCGCTGAGGACGGTAGTCTTTAGATGACAGCAGTTGTACAGTGCGGACGAGACTGAGTGCTTCTTCAAGATTCTTTCGGTCGGTCATCGACAGAGCGGAGTTGGACGATGTAAGCGTCTGGTCAATCAAGGAGTCTGCGCGGACTAAGAAGGCATCCGTGCCGGTCTCCTCAGGCATGCTATGCACAGCGACGAGGCTTTGGATCTTCTCATGCACATCGCGAGCCGCGGTTTGACCTCTAGTTCTGATAGTCGGGCCACTCGAGACGTGGTCGTTTCCTGTAGCATAGGTCTGTAGAGCGGGCGCATGCTCCAATGCCTCAGTCGCCTCGGCAATGTCGTCCATGACGGTGCTGCTTTTGCTGTGCTGTTNTTGCTGTTCCAGGTGGCGGACACGTCTAGCTTGGGACCGGGCCTTGCTCTCGGCTACTTTCTGTTGGTACGCTTCCAGTTTGGCGATTCTTGCTGGATCGGCAAGACGGCGGGCAGCCTTTTCTTTCTTTTCGGCAATCTTGATCGGGTCAGGGACTTGCAGAGCAGCCTTCCCAGGTCTTTTGCCGCGCCTGATCCGCTCTCTACTCTCCTCGAAGTTCATCTTCCTCAGAGCCTGNNCGAAGAGTAAGTATCAACTGAACAGAATGTTCTGAACATGAAGGTGGTGGATGTGGAGAATACAAGAGGAGAAGGAGTGAGAACTTACGCTGATCATCTGGCCTTCTTGGGTCTTTAGCCGATTTTTCTCCTTAGCCAGAGTCTTAGCCAGAGTCTTGGACTTAGTTTTGGACATAGTCTTGGACGCGACCCGCTGCTCGTCATGTCCACCACGCTCAGGGGCGTATGCTTGTTGGGGTTGGTTCATGGTATCTGGTTCCAGCTGTCTTTCCAAGGCACGAAGATACATGTTCTGATGCAGAGCGCAGCGCTCTCCGGTCTCTGGGCAGCTTGGACAATCTTCACGGGCTGGGACGTTGGCGAAAGTCATCTCATCTGACATGCTGGTTGTTTCCTGTTTCTGGATTGGTAGGAGGGAAGGATGCGATCGTGGCTGAGCGAAGGCGATGGGAGCGTGCTGATTATTTGCGTGCTTGCATGAATGGAAAGACGCGATAGAGCGAGTGGCAGTGAGGCGCTCTCGAGGCAACCCGCAGACGAGTCGCCAGCAGAGCACGAAGAATAAAGCGGCCGCTATGGAGAATGTAGCAAAGAATCTGGAAGGACAACAAGAGAAAGGATGAACCAAAAGGGACTTGGTGATGGTGATGTGTGACAAACGATGAAGGAGGTGTTAGCTTCACTAAAAGCTCTCACCAAGAACCATTGCGGAAGTCGCGACTATCAGTTGCAGTCACTTTCAGAACAGTGGCACGGAAATGTCCTGATCAGTTACACACGAAATTCTACAATGGCGACCTTCCACAATTCACAATCTTCACTCGTTTATCATTCTCAAGATCCAGTATCACTTCGGAGTGAGAAACGTTTGATGTCGAGAGGCAAGGTGAAAGAGAGTGACGGTTGAACATCGGCAAGCACGGACTTTAGCCGCATCGAAGGGGTTGAACTTCGTGCGGCGACATCCAACTCTGCCTGCTGACCACGCAATACGGCCATCACCGATCGATAGCCAACAGACCTCTCATCGTGCCGGACCGCATTCAAGAAGTGTCCAGAAGTTACCGCACTCGGACGCACCCCAGCAGAAGTAGTAAAAGGGCGCATCCAGAGGTGACATACATCGGCCTGCGCATTTCCTCAATCATCAGTGTCGCACGACCACAACTCCACCTCACTGCGCATCCTTCTCCCAGCATTGCAGCATCGCAGACACAAGGCTCAAGTGCAAAAACAACAAGAGGCAGTTTCGACAGTGATCGCTGTCATGTCGAACATCATCACTGTGTGTGATCCCCTCGTTCGGCGGCAACTTGCACGTCGGCGGCGGCCATGTCAAACCAACCGTACTGACATGTTCGCAGGGCGAGATCTATGAAAAGATCATTCAAGAGGTCATCAACGCTTCGCAGAATGACTTTGAAGAGAATGGTGTTCAGCAGCAGACCTTGGTAGAACTGCAACAGGTTGGTCATGTCTCGCTTCCTTACACTCGTCATATCAGTCTTCGTCCTTTTTTTTGTTATTGCCGCATCACTCGTCAACTTCCAACATGTTGTTGTCGTTGTTTCGTTGACAAGCCTGTTCACTCGTTTTGTTCGAGTGGCTGCTGCCTACGAAGCTGCGCAAACAAAAAAGAGCGGCGGAAGCGGGGCTTAAGGCTCAGAGACGTCCTTTCCCTGACCCCAGTTTTATACTACTTGGTCTGAGCGTTCAGAGTTCCGAAGCTTCGCCGGACCAACTTTTGAATCAGCTGATATGCTATCTTTTTCTACATGCTTGTACTAATACATATCCAATAGTCATGGCAGCACAAGATGTCGCAGCGCGATGTCGCGCAAATGCCTTGGGATCCCAAGCCGGCCCCACCGCCGCCCCAACAACCTGCTCAACAGCAGCAAGCACAACAACCTGCCCCAGCACCCATACCTGTGCAGAATGGAGCTCCAGTCCAGCACCAAGTCCCTCAGAATGGACATGCGCAGCCCAAAGCTGATCCAAATTCGGCTTCCCAGCCAATGCACAGCTACCCTGCTGCTCAGCAACCATATCCTCAGCAGGTCAACAATCAGATGATGGCACAGCAACGTGCTGCATCCTTGCTTCAGCAGCAGTTCGGTCAACAAGCCAACGCGTCACTCAATGCAATGCAACAGAGGGGTATCGCCCTCCCTGGAGGCGTTCAAAACGCCCACCCGCAACAACAGCCACAACAACAACAGCAGCAACAAAGACCACAGGGCTTGCAGTTGCCCGCACAGGCTGGACAAGCTACTGCACAGCCAGCACAGGCCCAACAGCAACGCCAGATGCAAGCTCAGTATGCTCAGCAAATGCGCCAACAGACGGCTCACCAGCAACCTCAAGTCAAGCCCGAAGGCAATGGCCAATATCCTCAGCAACCTGGCGTCAACTACTCGCAGACAGATGGATCAGACGAAGCCGCGCTTGATGAGTGGAACAGATACATAACCGAGAGACGCAGAATCAGCTCGGCTCAAGTGGATGAGAACGATCGTATGATGAGACGTCAAATCGAAGATCTGCAGCACAGGCTTGAAAACGGACTGTTGCTTCCTCTGGACGACCANAAAGAACACAGCCGTTACAGAAAGCGTGTAACTGCACGTAGAGCCCGCGCAAACACTGGCTCGCGCTTGGCTAGCATTCCCCAACTGGACGGTGACGTGGATGACGAGGACGAGGATGCTATCAACTCGGACCTTGATTCGTCGAGCGATGAAGCCGGCAACAACGCTGATGAGGAAGACGAGGAGATTGACCATGTCCTTTGCACGTACGACAAGGTGCAGCGTGTCAAGAACAAGTGGAAGTGCACTCTCAAGGATGGTATCATGTCGGCCAATGGCAAGGGAGTAAGTCGGACGATAGCACAGGTGTGTTTGAACAATTACTGACAAGATTCGGCNAGGTACCTCTTCCACAAGGCTCAAGGAGAGTTTGAGTGGTAAGAAGCAAGTACACTCGAGGACTTGACAGACAAGGGATATCGGATGGCTCGACAAGTGTGTCTCTACAGATCCAATCACATTCAGCATTTTCCACATCCTCCGAACGACACGAAAGAAGAGACGATATTTCATTTGATTCATGCTAGGCGCAGCTCACAAAGGGTCCGGTAGAGCTGGTTGCTGGGGTAGGGGCGGGTAATGACAAAGGCAGGGCAGAGCAGAGCAGAGAAGGTAGAATAAGGGAAGATATGAAAGCGAGCACGAAATAGTCATGCCGAACAAGTTGGCGGCCAAACAGATATGAGAGAATGGAATCAAAAATGCAGCAAGCCAAGCATAGTAGAGTGAAAGGCTGCGCTCTTGTGTTAGACTGAACACAGACAGTAGCAATGCAGGGAAGTTTTGCAGCCAAAAGACGAGCGACAGATTGATGATACAAGTAGAGTTTCAAGGTGCATTTGTCGGAGGATTTCTCGTCAACCCCACAAACGGTCTAGGGTCTCGAAGGGCGGCGGCGGCGGCGGCGGCCTGGTGACACGCGCGAACAAGCGGAGTGGAGTGAGTGGTCCTGTCTCGCATTTAATTCTCCTCCTCCAATTTCTTGTACATAGTGTTCGTCGCATCTACATTCGTTTCTGTCCGGGCCCCTGTTTTGTTCTTCTTGTCCGGCGCTCTTCCTGTTTGTATAATATCGCCTTGTAACGACATCGACAGCCCCACGCTCCTACGAGTACAGCCATCTCGCAGCCATGAATCCAATCACGACGAAACCGACATATCTCAACTACCGCGGAACACCCAACACGACGGGAGTCCCCTCTGGTATCCGCACTGGCAGCCCCGCCTCGTCGGCCTCAGCACCCATGCTCAACAGGTTGCCTTCGTCCAGCTCGAACATTCCTACCAACCCTTCTGGCAACAGCATCATCCTTTACGTACCCAATGTCGCGTCGCCCACACTATCTCAACACCTCTCGGTTCTTCTCTCTACTCACCGCATTGCCGCCGTACACTTGATTGGCCGTCGTGATGTTGTACTCAAGAACCTGCGCACCGAACTTTATACCCTGGCTGGAAGGATGAGGAGCGATGTCCAAGTCTCAATCTCGCTGACAGAAGGCGCAAAAGGTCTGGAGACGGCGGTTAGAGACATTGGTGCCAGGAGGCAGAAGGTGCTGGGCGCCCTGGTCTGCGAGTGGGATGAATTGCCGGAAGAGGAGGAGCAGGAGAAGGATGTCTTGACCATCGAGACAGACGAGATCGAGGCCATCTGGAAGGTAGATACGTTTCCGATCACTGCAGGATTGACAGCTCAGTTAACATGTGACACTAGNGCTTCCGTCCTCCCGTTACACGCTCTGCTCCGCAACCTTCTACCTCTCTTTTCCAACACCACTACAGAAACCCCATCCCACCCCTCGACCATGCCATTCATCTATCTCGACACCTCCACCCAACTCTCGACATTCGCAACCACCTCGCGCGCCGCTCTCCTCTCCTCGCTTACATCCTCTCCCGCTACCAAAAACATCACCATTGGCCCTGCCAGTGAATATCTCGTACCAGCCCCCGTCGTGTCAGACACACAGAGCATGAGAAGCTTGCAGATCGACATCAGCAACGGCGCAAGCAGAGCCAACGGATACTCAGCCGACTCTCCAGAGACCAGTCCCCTCTTCGGTGCCGAGAGCCCGACGAAACTGTGGGCCAGTTGGGCTGCCCAGTATGAGTGATAGAAGAGTGAACAGCGGAGGTGTGGCTGGATCATGCCTTCTGACAAGAGAGAGAATCGCACGAAACAGAGTGCAGGAGAAATTTTGCTTGACAGACGCACCCAAGAAGTCATTACTGTAGTGTTAAGTGTATATATTGTTTACTTGTCTGGAGCCAGGGAAAGGAAAGGAAAGAGGAAATGGATGTATTGTCTATATTTGCAAATCTGTATCATTTGTCCTGAACTGGAGCCAGTACGAAACGCTCTTCTTTCCTGCACGTTCCAAGTGTCATTTTAGTTTTATAGACTAAGCACAATGAGTACCTGAAAACGGGTAGTTTGAAGAGTTGCATTAGGGCGCCAATCTTTTGAGAAGAATCTCAGTAAGGATGGGATATCGTATGGCAATTCATGAGCTATCCAGAATTACAGTCCCTCTTTCGCCAACATATCTGTTCAATGTCAGGATATCTTATCGATTGTTCTGCATGTTGAGGGTGACTGACCAGCGATATCCAAGTAGAAGGCAATGGCGTTGAAACTNNGGAATAGATGCGTTAGTTCCACAGAAGGTTCGAAGGGAAGGATAGCATACTTTCTCTTGTTCCCAGTCAGCTCCCACAAGAACCATCTTAGCCTGTTCGTCCAATTGATCATGTCCAGATGACTAACATCCTTCAACGTGCCTTTGTAAGTTCCCCACTTGGAACTCTGCACACTCACCAAACCATCGTTGTCACCCTCCAACTTCTGGATGATCCTGTGGCTCTGACGGAACATGCTCCAGAATCTGGGGTTCACCGTGGCACCGTACGAGTAATAGGCAATACCTTCACGATCGGGTGTTTTTTGGTTGAAGTTCTCTTTCATGTATTTTTGGGTCAGTTGGCTGAAGGCGCCCGTCTCGAAGCCGAAGAACTCGAGCATCTTGTAGAGCTTGGGTATGTTGGTTGNCTGTGTACGAGTTGTATATGTTAGTGATTACATACAGATAGTGGGAAGCAAGCGAAACCTACGTCCGATCCAGGAGAACATGACATCTGCGAATGAGGAGCCTTCAGGAGATAGATCAGCGAACGATGCATCACCATCAGGTGTAGAGCACAAATTTACCTTNNGATGAGGCGTTGCGATTGTTGTCAATGAGAGAACCTTGACGTTTGGCGGTTTTAGTTGACTGATCATGTATCGAGAGTCCAAGCCGCTAAGCAGTTTGCTATGNNTCAGTCTTGATCATTTAAGGACCAGATTTGGTTGTATGTTTACCCCTAGCGATAAGTCAGCGGAGCATCACGTCGAAGTCATCTATCAGTCCTACCATGCTGTGTCTGTTGGTCGAATTAGCCAATGTTGTACATGTAGTGACGAAGAATGAACCTACGCAATAATATTCACACTCTTTCCTTTTGCTTTCTTATGTATATCCTCACTCAATTTCTGAGCACGTGCTTCGATGGATCCAGATGGAGGTACGGTTGCAGTAATGACTTCGATACCTTNTGCAGCCAGTGCTTCACGGATACCTCTCCAGTACTGTATGCCAGGAGCAACCGCTTTTGGCACAATGTTGAGTTCTTCGAATCCGAGGAGTCCATGAGCCAGAATGATTGGATTCTTGGGTGTGTCTTTCTTCTTTGTCAGAANCCGGAGAACGCGATCTCAAGGCACACGAAACATACCATACTTCTCACGAAGAATCGCATATTGATCTTCTATGACCAAATCACCGACTTCCTCTTTGAGGCGAGGATCTTCGGCCTTCTCCTGTCGTATCACCGAGGCATGACTGAACTGCGCAATTCTACCACTGGTTAAGGGAAACACAGGACGATAGTTTTGACGACGAAGCTGCCTGGCCGGTAGTCGGAGGCTCATTGCACAGTTGGTTAGTTTCGTGGATGGAAAAGGTAAACAGATGGCTATGGAAAGTGTAACCCCAGAAATGATATGACGTCAGAATCGATCACGAGCATGTTCGTCGAGCATGATTTGGAGCGCTTCTCAAGGTACCACGTAGGCAGTTCCACGCTCCAAAAAAAAAGAGACAAGCAGGAGGAAGGATCTGATGTGGTTGGCAGGGGCTCAATGTACAGTCGGGTGAAGAGGCTCGTCAGATGAAGGTCAATCTATAATTCGAAAGAGGATATCTACAGCGAGGAAAAACACAGGACGGGAGGAGGCAGGAGATGCGATTATGAGATGGAACAACAGACATCAGGCAGATCATGCGACGGGCTGCTCGACTCTGTCGGGAACCTGGGGCTTGACATCGGTGACGGCGCGTAGCAGGTTCTCGACAACGGTGCTGCCCTCCTTGTCGCCAATGCTCTTGATCTCCTTCAGCTTCTCGTCTGTGTCTTTGCTGGCGTCCTTCTCGGCCTGCTCGTTGCCGCTGGTGTGCTGNNTAGGCGACGTGTCAGATTGCGCAAGTGATGTGAAAGCGTGTCCAGGACGCACCTGTGTTGAGAACTGCTTGAATTCTTCCTCCTTCTTGTTGCGGTACTCGTCGATTTCCTTTTGAGCCTCGGAGCGAGCGTCCTTTACACGCTTGGTGCGGTCTGTTGCAGGGAGTGGTCAGATGGGTGAGTCAGTACAGGATACGGGTGGTCGAATTACACTCTCTAGCTGTGAAACGATTAGTATGGATGCAGAACATAGATTCGATGACAGAGCCCACCTTGCTGGACGATCTTCTGGGCCTCGCGCTCAGCCTGTTGGTACGGGTGAGTAGGGATGTTGACGGAGATGGGTGGGTTCAGCCTACGTCGAGCAGCGTTTGGATACCAGCCGAGTTTTGTGCAGACTGGAACAGGTGTTAGTATGTGACTTGGCGAGCTCGAGCAACAGGTATTCAGGAAGAAATACCATTTTGAATTGTAGATTATGTGACGACGGCGATCCGAGATGGGGTTGTTGCTGGCCGACGGTCGTCGATGTTGATGGTGACCGCCAAGTCGCAACTTGTGGGGCCCAAGCGCGCCTTCCCTTCGATATGCGACTGACATTCGCTCTTTCCAAAAGCCCGGACTTGCCTCTCCCTCGTCAATCTTCATCTTCACCATGTCGACAAAAGCAAAGCTGACTCTGGCTGCCACATCTCTCGGCGCTATCGGCATCATTGTTTTCGTCCACCATGGTCAGAAAGTTGAAAAAGCTGTTAGTCGTCCCATCTTCCCATCCATTGTTTATTCTCGTCTTCTGACTTCGATCAGNGCCATGCACGCAGGTGTCATTCGCGATATGGAACAGCAAAGGATAAAGAGGGAGCGCCAACTCGATTTCGATATGCAAGCCCAACTGGAAAAGGAATACCGCAAGCTTCAGACCGTGTCCGATGGCCGCAATGCAGAATAATCCCGCCCATCTCTGTCAACTCATAATCTCCACTCCAACTACACACCTGCTGCTGCATATATGCCATAGCTTCGAGGCCTGTCTTCAGTCTCGGTATTCGAATGCCGCTGCACCATCTACTTTCACGACCGACAGCCTGCCTTCAACTTCGCTCCAGAATCCAACTCAGCTGGACTGCCATAGTGGGACACTTGTGCATGCAGAAGAATATGTATGACATGACTGGCACAAGATACCAAGAGCTTGGTAGCCTCCATTGGTTGGGCATACTTGAGCTATGACATGGTTGTCTGGCAAGACAACTCGGACCTTTGCGAAACCACTCGGAATTGTCATTCTCTCTTGCGCTTAGCAAACCAACAGAGTGTTGCTCGTCACGATTGAATCACATCATTCCCACGTGACAAAGTGCATAACGCGTGTGACCACCAAAATGCACAATAGTCTCGAGAAACAGGCTGGTAGCCAGGGAGAGGTAGAATAGGTATTGGCTCTCTCTGGTTGCATTTCTGCTTTGGAAACTGTGCATTTTGACGGTCTGGATATCGCTTACACTGTTTCAGGAGGGGGGTAGAAGTTGCAGACTTCAGCGCACAGGGAAGATAGAGAATGGCTATAGCCGAAGAGAACAATTCTTATTCATTATTGATTCATGTCATCAGCATTGCCGTACGCTTACTCCTTGTCAACAGCAAATTTTTTGAGGTCGTCCAGCGTTACCTTGTCCAGTGCTTTCTCGTTTGTGGCATTGAGGAAGATNNCCTGTTTGCGATTAGCACACACCCAGTAACGAATCATGTTGGTCTCAGCATACTTGGGTACAATCTTGTCGCCCTCCTTGCCTCTGGCATCAAATGCCTCCTTCCAGCGAGACACACAGAGACACCATTTACAGCCTCCCTTGAGTCCAATCTGGCGGAGGTCGTTGCCACGATCGGCACTGAACTTGAGGAATTCGTCTGACACCTCTGCGGCAATAGAGTGGTTTCCAGCATCCGATGCAGGCACCTCACAGTATCCGTTGCGCAAGTAGCCCGTCATGGGACTGGTCGAATGGATTGCCAAAGGCTTGGACAGGANCTAGGACCCGTGAGTGCTTGTCCAGTGGAGACTCGTATAGTATGACCTACCATTCAATGATCGCGACATCTTTTNTGAATGGTGTTGATGATGATGGGAAGAGCAGAATGTGACTGTGATTAGAGTTGCAAGGCACAGGAGATAAACAAGTGTGTTATGCATATGAACAGAAAAGATGGTCGTTTTGAAGCTTCAAATACTTTGATGGATATCATGAGCTCATCGTTCGCGAACGCCAAGAAGTGTCAAGCATTTCTTGGAGTGGAGTTCCGATGTTTCGACTGGTCTGAGGCTCCATCCCACGAGTGCAAGGATGGGGAATCGCACATTTCGTCTTGCCCTCTCTCCTGCAGACCCTGAGAAAGATCTCAGAGAAGTCATGTCTACCTAGCTAATCGCCTCCTATGGAAGAATCGATTCCACTCGTTCACCGTTGGTCAATAGTAACTCGGCTTTCCGAGTTTTATGTCCGAGATCTCTGGCAGGCCACGACGGCAATGCAGAATCTTGCCGTATGAGCCGATTCATCCAGTATTGAAGACAAAACTTCTTTGATGACAGCCTCCAACATGTTTTCTTAATTCTGTCGCCTCTGTATCACTATAAGGATTCTGGCCACCTCTCACACACAATGACACGATCAACGTCGCCGTCATCGTCGTCGTCGAACTCTTTGCCAAAGGAAAAGTCGAGTGACGACATCGCGTCAACATCCCCACAACAACCACCACGAGATGAAGAAGCTGCAGAGATAGCCAAGGAAAAGGAAGAAGGTGATCCATTTCTCGTAGGATGGGATCCAGGCGAGAAGAATTATCCAATGAATTGGTCTTCTGGATACAAGGCCTTCATCACCTTTGTACTAGGCATGCTCGCGCTGGCCGCCAGTCTTGGATCATCCATCATTTCACCCGCCGAAACACAAATTGCAGAGTACACTGACATTTCTGGAGAGGCCGCAGTCTTGGTCATTTCCCTTTATATCATCGGCTTTGCTGTGGGCCCTCTGTTCTGGGCTCCTACCTCTGAAATCTGGGGACGTAGGATCAGTATGTTGCCTGCAATGGTCGGCCTTGGTCTGTTCAGCATAGGCGCGGCTGTTGGCAAGAACGCTCAGACTATCATGATCTGTCGTTTCTTCTCTGGTGTGTTTGGATCCGCTCCCGTTTCGAATGTTAGCGCCGCTCTTGGTGACATGTATTCCGCCAAACCACGAGGTATGTTTTGATTGTGCATTCATATCTTAAGGATAATGCTGACTGAATCTAAACAGGCACGGTACGTAGGTCAAAGCACAGATGTCATGAGCCAACAGTCACCAGTGGGTGTTTGTTACGGCTCCGTGTCTGTATGCTGCTCCTTATGAGATAGAAGTCATACTAACTGTGCTCTTCATTGGTAGGCTGTAACTTTCTACGCTGTCGCCGTCGTGGGTGGGCCGACGGTAGGTCCCATCATTGGCAGTGCGCTTACTGTCACTATTGGTTTCAGATGGCCATCGTATATCCTCGCCATCTGGGTTTTCGCTGTCACCGTACTCGCCTTCTTCTGCCTACCGGAGACATATTCTCCAGTTCTTCTAAAGAAGAAAGCACAACGTCTACGGAAAGAGACTGGCGACTCACGGTGGCATCATCCTCACGAGGATGTCAAGTTGGATGTCAAATCAGTGGTTACAAAACACCTTGCAAGACCCATTATCATGCTCACGACAGAACCGATGGTCACTTGCATTGCCTTCTACGCATCTTTCGTGTATGGCATTCTTTACATGACCCTCGAGGTATTTCCCATCGTGTTCGAGCAGAACAGAGGATGGCCTTTGATCACAAGCACATTGCCCTTCCTCGCACTATTCGTGGGAGTCCTTTTCGCTGTTCTAATCAATCTGGCCAACCAGCCGCGGTACGCTCGTGCTGTTGACGCCAATAACGGCAGACCTGTAAGTCTAAATTTGCCTTGTGGTCCTATCATTCCTCTACTCGAAATCATGCAAACAAGAACAACGTGCTAACTCCATCCCGCCAGNGTACCGGAAGCGAGACTTTTACCGATGGCCGTAGGTGGCGTTCTCTTCACCATTGGCTTGTTCTGGTTCGGTTGGACTGCCGATCCGTCTATCCCGTGGCCCTCTTGCGTCGTTGCAGCAGCTTTCATAGGAGCAGGCTTCAACATTATTTTCCAGCAATGCATCAACTTCCTTGTAGATACGTATTTGCTTTATGCGGCGTCAGCAGTCTCGGCCAACACATTCTTGCGTAGCATAATCGCAGGAGGCCTTCCACTCGCTGCCAGGCCGATGTTCAACAATCTCGGAGTTGGACCAGCGATGAGCATCCTGGGTGGAGTCGCTGCGTTGGCATTGCCGGTGCCTTTCATCTTCATGAAATATGGATTGAAGCTTAGAAAACTGTCAAAGTTCGCTCCAGTACACGAGGACTGAAGTGTTGTTTGATTGCTCGACTTGGATTTGGTCTGGGGTCGTGGGTGCCTCCTGTCAGTATTTAACTCAAAAGCGCTCCAGCCTTCTGACTCAACGAAATCGCAATATTTTAGGAGTCAAAAATCAATCGAAGAGTTTTCAGTTCTCTTCTCCACGAAACGAATTCAGCATATCTATCTCCTGGCATCAGCATCATCATGTACATGATACTTCCTCCTATTGACTTTCAGGCGCGATGCACTCCTGAGATCCGAAAGACAGCATCTCGACCGTCAACCATAGCTGCCTACAGTAAAAACACGGTTCCGAGCTTACTCCGTGGATCCTCATGTTCCTCACCATCTGATTGTCTTGCTCAACTCGAAGAAGTGAGAAACATGGCTCTGAGAATACAAAACAAAACACGACTCTCATGGATCACCTCGACCCATGATACGTCACCTTCACGGTCAGCATTACCAAGCCTGAGTCTTGAAGATAAGTCGGATCCTACTTTTCGACGCCTGCAGCACCTGATACACAAGTTCAACCGATCTCTCGACTCGTGGATCAGTACCAACCTAAAATTCGAATGCAGTGGCACCTTCAAGCTCAACATCGTATGCACCGTTATGGAGCATGAGCAGAAGTGTCTAGCGCATTTCCTCAACAGATGGCAAGAACTGGAACCATATTTGCAGCATGCGCTATTCATCAAAATCACTTGGTCAAAGGAAGTTCACGATTTGCTCGAGTCAGTACTTCGGAATATACAACGGCTGCAAGACCAAGTGGACGAAATACACCACAGCGATTATGAATTCCTAGAACCGCAGAAGACTTCAAAGATACAACCTTTGAAATTTGTTTCTGTAGCCACGAGCTCTAGCAACGGGTTCAGAAGACATGAGACTTGGTCTGGTTTACGAAGACGTGGCAGCGGGTTAGCGAAAAGCTCGCAAGAGATATCGAACCCTAGGGAAGGTAGCTTTTGCTGGATGAGAGAACCACCACGAGATAAAGCAACTTTGGTTCATTCTTGAATGTGGAAATACGATGTTTCGCGTTTGCAATTTCTTAAAGGGAAAGTCCTTTATCGGCAAGAAAATTTGTGAAAGGTATAATGATTCTATTTAGAAAAGCCTTCAAAATTTGCCACAAACCATGTATCAGGTTTGCCAACAGAAAAGAAAGTACGAAAAATCAATAGTCTAGAAAAAGTAAAACCCTGCTCTGATCAAGTTTCCAACCTTCACCAAGATATTCCTTCGTGTGTCTAAGCAATGGGGACGGCTGAACGCAGGTATGGAGAAGGTGCGGCACCCGCCATGTTTTGAGGACTAGGCATTGCAAGATAGAAGTTTTGGAAAATCTTGCGGAGTGCCTTTGACTTCTTCTTGAGTGCTTTTTTNNTGCTCAATGGCTGGCTTGCCTGAACGTTCTTCTGCACGCCACTGGGCTGAGATGTGCTGCGCGGTTTGCTCTTTGACCTTGATCGAGCACGTCTTCTTGCTCGCTTCTGGGATCCTGACGGGCTGCGAGAATCACGGCCAGTAGATGCTGGTGCGGATGAGCTGCGAGATGGGTGTGATGCGGACGGTGATGTTCTTCTGGCAGCAGCACTTGACGCGGAAGCGGCAGCGGCTCCTGCGGCTGGAGGTGGTGGTGGGCCATCATTACCATCGGCCTCTTCTTCCTCGCCCATCTCTTCATCCTCTTCTTCATCCCTCAGAATCGTCATCTTCTTCCTCTTCTTCCGTCTCTGNNTAGTGTCTGCGACATGTCCATCCTCGGGCTCGTCGTGCAGATCCTCATCCCTGAGATCCGTGTTATCCTCGTCTCCGGGCTGGAGGCGCGTGAGGGGGGTCGGCATGGGTATATCGCTACCGAAAATCGGATGTCTATGCATCTCTCCCAAGGCCGGCAAAGTGATGGGTCCGGCTCCGACTGGTGTTAACGCCGTCCAATGTCTTGCATGCATGTAGTTGGCAATATGGATCTGGCGTGCGCTGTCATTCTGTGGTTGGCCTCTCACATATCTTTCCCAGGTGATTGACCGGTCAGCATCGTACTGAGGACAGTACATGAAGATCTCAATGTCCAATGCGTCGGCGACTACTTGGAGCATATCAGAATCACCNNTGTATTCAGCGTCAGTGCATGTGCAATCATTTGGCGTGTATCGAAGCATACCCATTCGTCTGTTGATGATACGCTCCTCTAGTCTTGTGTTATCGGCGTCGAGGCTGCCTCGTTGCAAGGCCGTGTAAAGTCTGAGTCTTGACTGACGTGCCGGGTTTGTAGTGCCCTCTGTAGGATGCATAACTGCGTTCCAGAGATCGCGCACTCGGTCATTGACGGGATATCGATCTGCAACACGTTTTCCTGGTGCTGTTTGTCTTCCGATCCAGAGGAGTTGAACGGCGTTCCACATGCAGCGGAGTGCAGCCCCGGGAACGTTCACTTGGGTGAATCTTTGGGTTTGACCACCATCTGTGATTGTGATCTCCTTCCGGACCTTGAGCTTGTCATCTTCAGCAGCCAGATCTATTGTTTTGTTCGATCTTGTGCGTCTCTNTTGTACCCTTTGTGCCGGCTCCAGTAGTCTTGTCGCTCTTTTGCCGTCCTTCTTGTCGCCCTTCTTGTCGTCTTTCTTTCCGTCTTTCTTGTCATCTTTCTTCCCGTCTTTTTTACCGTCTTTCTTGTCGCCTTCCGATCCATCTTTGGCTGGCGAGGATCCCGCTTCTTTACCACTCTTCTTGCCACCCTTGGACGAGGCAGTGGCATCTTTACTGCCGGTCTTACCATCCTTTGGTTTACCCTTTCCCTTGCCGTGAATCTTGAGGTTGTCGTATGGTCCGGCAGCGTCGTTACTAGAGTCGCTACCATCGTCGTCTTCCTCTGTATCTCCTGGAGCCTCGATGTCGCCAAGAGCAGAGATGATGTTCCTGATGGCATCCTGCGACAATCCATACATGCGTTGTTTGCGTGAGAGCTCATACATGAGTATGGCCTTTTCCAGGCTCCAGAGATCACCAGTAGTGCTGAGGCGGTAATCTTTACATTTCTTGACGAGGTCGTCACGAGCAGGTGCTGAGGCCTTCGAACCATGCTTGTTGTAGAGATCGAGTAGCTCCCGAAGTGAAAGGCCGTGCTTTTCCCACTGTTTCTCAAGAGTTCTGGTCAACTTGGGAGGTTCTCCTTTGGCTTTTGCTGCCGCTTTTGCCTTTCTGGCGCGTTTGGATGGATGTGTTGCAAGACTCACGTCGTCGGGATGTTGGACTCTTCGTCTGGCCAGCTCCTCTCCAAGCTCTCTCTCCAGTATCTTCACAATGTTTTTCAGTTGCTTTGCTGATATGTGTTTTTTACCATCCGGGAAATTCTTGGATTTCTGCGATTGGGATATGGTCAGCGTGTTTCCTTTTGTCGAATATGTCACTGTCTGAGGCTAGGGACCAGAGCCCACAGCTGTCATGATGCAAAAATCCATCTGGAATGAGCGGATCGAACACATACCTTNTACATGTTTCTTCTCTGCGATCGGATCGATTTCCTCGTCGATTTTGATCTTCTTGTTCTTCTGTCGCTTCTCGTGGCGTGTCTCGTCGCTCTNTTGCTCCGAGATGTCAAGCTCCGGGAGGTTTTTGTACTGCTTGAGTATTTCACCACCAAGTGCACGAACAGCCTCTTCTATGTCGTCAAGGCGGTCATCGCAGCGTTGGCGCACACGATCCATCGAATTCCAGTCCTCATTGGGCCTGTCTTCATCTTCATCGTCGGGCTCATGGCCCTTAACGGGCTCGACCTTGATACCGAGGTCCTTGATACGGCCGCTAAGATACGCTTCCTGCTTTACTCTTCTAGCAGTCTTTGGTGAGAGTTTTGGCTTTTTAGGATATTTGGATCTTGGTGGCGAGCGGTCATCTTCTTCGGACTCCTCGTCTTCCTCGTCAGAACGCTTTCTTTTCTTGCCTGCTGCTGGAGTAGCTGGCTTAGCGGGACTGGGGGTTTTGGATGGCTTCTTTGCACTCTTGTCGCTGCCATTCTTGACAGGAGATTCAGCAGGCTTGGGAGAGGCTTTGGCGTCCTTGCCGGCCTTCTTGGCCTTCTTGGGAGGCATTGTTGAGGGCTGACTGATGATAAACAGAGAGGTGTGTATAAAAACAGAGTACAGGGTAATCTTCTGGAACAGGTGATTGGAGAGAGAGTGGGAGAGAGAGCTTTGGTTATTTGTGCATCTACCTCGTCAGGACAATAAGAGTTTGCAAGTTATTGTCCTTTTGTGAATTGATCGTGTCAATACCGGATCCGGCCATATGGTATTCTTTTGACGACAATAGCAAGAACACTCACTCTGTAGTTCCGCAAACGGCACTTCATTGTGCTTTTGAGAATCTCAGCAGCTTGCTGATACACGAGACCAATCTAAGACATGGTCTCGGTCTAGAGATTTCTTTGTGCAGAGCCATTGTGAGGATGTTGAGTCGGAACGAAGCAGGGTCAGAACAAAGATCAGAATGGGTCTGCGCAGTCAGTTACTCAGTGAAGACTTTTTCTTGCATAGCTGTCGATGTTTTCGCATCAAGCAACCATAACCGTGATGTTAATTTGGAGCGACCTTCTCGTGAGACCCCTCAAGACAACTACAACTAATCTCGGATACTGTCGTTCGTGATATTCACACCTCCGGCAGCTGTGTGAAAGACATCTCTGAAGCGATCCAGTTTCCCATACAGCCAATACGTAGTCATCTTGGTTGAGCAGAGTGAACGGTGCGAGGCCGCTTCAAGAGTCGAAGCAATGTTGACTCTATAAATTCAGACCCATGCTTTTCGTTTGTGTCGAGGTCTTGATGGTGTTAGCAAACATTGCTTGTTACAGATTTAGAGCCTCAACTTGGCGCAGTGGTTCATGCACCACCATCCGACACCAAAATACATGATACAAATGTACCTCCCAATTCCATGATGATCCTACGATGCATAATTGAACTGTCCTGCATCGTCTATTTTTAAAGAGATTGTTGCATATTCGGGATGACTGAGCCACAGACTGTTGTTTGCTCTACAACGCTTTGCCACTCGCTCGAGCATAGGTGAGGCCACAGTGTGCGACTCGTTGAGTACTCACTGCAAAACAACAGCTACGCGTCCAAACGGTAGGAGGCTGTCCCCGGAACTAGACCCATCATTATTATCGTGCGCTGAGCACAGCACCCGTTGTGCAAGGCGGCAAGAGTATCCACAAGCGATCGTCATACAAAGGGGGGGGAGTCCAGTTGGTGATGCAGAAGCGGAGATAACCAAGTGGCTGAGCATACGCGTTCACGGCAGACAACAAACAAAGAAAGAGCAAGAAACAAAAGAAATCATCAGAAATCGGCCGCTTCTGAACGTGCCTACTTTGTAAGCAGAATCCACTCGTAAAGTGTTGTAGGATCGGATGCTCGGGTTCTGGATCTAGGAGGATTTGAGGAGAGGGAGAACGTGCCAACCAGAGTTTGGGCGCCGGCGACGGATGCGGCGCAAGGGGACAAAACGAACGGACGCAGCAGACTTGCATGAGCCAGACTTGACACCCGTGACCCTTTAAAGGCTTTTCATGACGACGGGTCCACCTCCAATGCACGGTGAGATGCCTCGTTCTTGCGGTCAACAAGGACGAAAGGAAACTGAATCTCGTTGCGGTAAGTGTAATACTCCTCGGTGTGCTTGTCATGTTATTCACATGATAGTTATCAGGTGGCCAGAAAGATCGACTTGATCTTCACTGTGGACCTGCCCCGTGATGTCTGTGCACTGAGACTTGCCTGTTCCTGGCACGCTAAGGAGAACAAGCCTTTAATTCCCCTGGAACTGATTGGAACGACCATCTGTGATGAAGCCAGACAGGACGTCGCAAGCAAAGGAGAGATGCCGCTGTGTCGTCAGACATCGTTTATTTTTCATAATGCTGACACGCTGCACCTGCCACATGCACCGCACGGGCAGGTGCAGCGAAGACGGTGATGCTTCTGGCGCCAATCGCCTCGGCAGACGCTGCAACGCTCCTGCCTCGAAAACCGGCCAGCTTAACATAAGTTAACCCCTGTGTCTGTCTGAGCCTTGGCCAAAGAGTTTTATATTGTCCTTGCTCCTGCTGAGACTGCTTCTCCTCCGTCTTACAACTCAATCCAACCTCTTTTACATCTCTCGCTGGTTAGATACAAGCCGAGCTCTGGTCTCGTATTGCTGTGCAATTAAAGCTTCTCTACCAACATTCCTCTGCTGGACAATTACCTTCATCTCTCTGAGCATTCCGCTCTCAGTCAACATTCCATTCGATTTACCTAGCAACAACATCCGAACCCAGCGTTGCCAATCAAACAGCTTTCCATATAGGTATCCTGTGAATACTTCCAGTGGGTTTTCTGGTCATTGGTGACGATCGAATCTGGTACCGGAACATTATCTCGACATACCTAGCACATCATGTTCTTCAAACACACACTTGCCGCATTGAGTGCGGTAGCGACTACATTCGCTGCACCTCAGTAAGAAGACATGATATGAATCAATACGTACTTAAGCTGACCACATCATTGTAGCATGAAGCGTGGCAGTGGCTTCAACTGGGGCAACGAGGTCATGCGTGGAGTAAATCTCGGTGGATGGCTGGTCCTCGAGCCGTAAGTCGAGCTTAGCTAAAGCCTTGTAGCATTGTGCTGACATGTGTAGNNGTGGATCACTCCCTCAATCTTCCAGGCCTACCCCATGTCGCAAGGCATCATTGATGAATACACCCTTGGCGAGAAGCTCGGCCAAGATGCTGCGTACAACGTCTTGAAGCCTCACTGGGACTCCTGGGTGCAACTTGCCGATCTCCAGAAGATCGCGGATTCCGGGTTCAACGTGGTTCGTATTCCAATTGGTTACTGGGCATATGACAATGCCAACAGCCCATACGTTTCCGGAGCAGCTCCATACATGGATCAAGCTATTGAGTGGGCAAGACAGACTGGACTGAAGGTCATTGTTGATTTGCACGGTGCTCCTGGCTCTCAGAACGGCTTCGACAACTCTGGCCAACGTACCAACAACATCGACTTCCAGCAAGGAGACAACGTCCAGCGCACTCTGGCTGTCCTCCAGACTATCCAGAACAAGTACGCCGACTCCTCCTACGATGACGTTGTCGCTGGTATCGAGCTCCTCAACGAGCCTCTGTCCTCAGTCTTGAACTTGGACGACCTCAAGCAGTTTGAGCGCAATGGCTTTGGTCAGCAGCGCACCGTCTCCAAGTCTCGCGTAGTCGTCATCCAGGACGGATTCCAGCCTCCTAACTCTTACAACGGCTGGTTGACTCCCTCAGACAACAATGCTCAGAACGTCGCTCTCGACCACCATGAATACCAAGTCTTCACCGACGAACTTGTCGCTATGCAGCCCTGGGAGCACCGTCAATATGTCTGTAACAACGTCAAGCAATACTCAGGTGCTGACAAGTGGACTTTCGTTGGCGAGTGGTCGGCAGCCATGACTGATTGCGCTGCTGCTCTCAACGGCTACGGCATCGGTGCACGCTACGACGGTACATACCCCGGCAGCAGCTACGTCGGTTCTTGTGGCAGCATCAACTACATCGATCAGTGGTCTCAGACCTTGAAGGACGACACCCGCGGATACATCGAGGCCCAGATGGAAGCATTCGAGGCCAACACCATCGGCTGGATCTTCTGGAACTTCAAGACCGAGGCGTCGCCCGAGTGGGATGCCTTCCGTCTGATCGACGCTGGCGTCTTCCCTCAACCCCTGACCAGCAGAAAATTCAGCCAGATCTGTTCTTCTTGAAGCGACTGCGTCGTACAGAAGCACTGGATTTGTGTATGACCGCCCCAGAACAAATGACGTATACCATCCCAGAACATATGCATACAAGCGCGAAAGCGAGGCGACATGGTGTGTGGGTTGCCTATCTCGTATTGCTGTCTTTCCTCTCTTTTTTTCTTCCTTGCTCATTCAAGCATGTCTCGATACCCTTCTTGTGGTCTATTCTCTCCATACTTTGCTGGTAGAAATAATCGTATTGCATAAATTCTTGATCATACACCTGTTCCCGATGAGATTTTGAGATTGTTGTGCCTGTGTTGATGCCATCTGTGTCGGCGGTCGTGAAAGTCCGTGGTGCTCGAGTGTCCTCTTGGCGGGACGAATAAGTGTCGAAGCTGTCTCAGCATACAGCTTGAATGAGGTGAAGAGTGTTGAGTCTCGTCGAAGCAAGACTGATAGTCCGTCGTGCTGTTACCACTCGAAAGCTCCAGGGACTTTACATCCTTCCAAGTCTTTACCCTCTCTGCCCAGCTCTTCTCCATTTTCACTGTCTTGCTCAATCACACCTCTCAAATCCACACACTCCTTCCACACCTTCAACTCTTGCGCATACAAGTCCATAACACAAGGATCGCAGCTACTGCCGCAACAATCTCCCGCCGGCGGTTTGACCGGTTTGGTGAGAGACGTTGCCGCAGCAAGAAGGGCAGTCTCTCTGATCGGTGCCGGACGGGCTTTGAGCAGTTTTGTGAGAGTGGGAGAGCGGGATTTTAGTGTTGCTGTTGAGATGGTGGGGTGGAGAGGGAGAGGTTGTGGTATTGTCATGTTTTTCTTTGAGTCTGGATGTGGTGGATGTATCCTTTGACAGTTTTGGTGATGTGTTAGATTGCGACAAAGATCAATCAAGACAGAGGACAGACGGAACTTTCGACGCGAGTGTGATGGGATGGAAAAGGTAATTGTACCAATGTGTTTCTCGAAGGACGTTGCTCTCGGCTACTGATGTCGGGTGTTGACGGATCGCATGCTTCAGGAATGACCCTGGCCTTATTTTTGACCATGATCATCTTTGCACTACAAGTAACTGTGGCTCGTCGAACTGTTGTAAGACTTGATGAATGGCACCTCTGGAAGTCGAAACTTGAAGTTGGACAATCAGTGTGCCTGTTGTGTGCTTTGAATCTATTATTACTGCATTTCTATTTATTGTGCATTATGGGCATCTCACCTTGCTTGTATAAGGGACCCAACAGAAAAATGTTATGACCGAAGACACATGAGACAAGCGCACATTCGAATGTGATAAAAACTCCGTTGCAGGTCATGATGATAAGCACCAATGCTTCAAAGGCATCAGGTTGCAAAACAGCCTGAGGCGACCATGGATTGAATCATGTAAAAACTTCGTTTTGCTAAAGTTACATAAGGATGTTTGGGTTAGGCTACTTTCTGATGAAGACGAACCAAGTGTAATACTGCAGAAAGGAAACCAATTTGATCTCGTAAAAACCCAACCATGAAGAGGAAAAAACTCCTGTGTTATGCGTGTGAAAATAATTCTTCCGCTTTTCCTGCACTGCTTCTGTGTTCTTCGTCGTGGCGCGATGCTTTTGTCGTCCTCGACCGGACTCATTGAGAGCAAGTGCCACTCTTCTATCAAGTGTGATATCTTCTGTTTCGGTTGAAGGAACATGCTATCAATCTTCTCATCTGATGCTGACACCACTGCGCTTGGTGTACATGCGCGTGGCCACATTCATGGCTGCGAGCTCCTGGAACATGAGCTTGGCAGCGTATGGAATGATGATCTGTGCGATCTCGGTCTTGTTCTTGCAAGGTCTGCACTCGAATTGGTTCTTCTTGAGCGAGCTGTAAATGTGTTAGCAAACATTCTCATTCAGAGAGGGACGAGAAAAGAAAGAAACTTACGCGATAGGAGTCATCAGACCACAGATCTCGCAGACGTGAACACGGAAAGCATCAGAAACATCGAGCAATCTCTCCTTCAAGAAGGCAGAAGCACCGTGAGCGATCATACAATCGCGCTCCATCTCTCCGAAACGCAGACCACCATCACGTGCTCTACCTTCGACAGGTTGACGAGTCAAGATCTGGGTAGGACCACGAGCACGAGCGTGAATCTTGTCGTCGACCATGTGGCGCAGACGCTGGTAGTATGTAGGTCCCAGGAAGACCTGTGCAGACATCTTCTTACCAGTGTGGCCGTTGTACATGACCTCGAAACCACGCTGTTGGAAGCCGTGTTGACGAAGCAAGTCTGAGATTTGGGTGACAGTAACATCAGTGAAGGNGGTGGCATCACCTTCTTGACCACGAAGGGACCCAACCTTTGAAAGCAAACACTCAATCAAATGGGCAATGGTCATACGAGAAGGAATGGCGTGGGNGTTGATGATGATATCAGGAACAAGTCCGTCGGCGGTGAAAGGCATGTCTTCTTGACGGTAGGTGATACCGATGGTACCCTNTTGACCGTGACGAGAAGCAAACTTGTCACCAATCTGAGGAATCTTGGTTGTGCGCGTACGAACCTTGACGAACTTAAGACCTTCGACGTTGGTTGTAAGAAGCACCTGATCGATGAGACCACTCTCGGTAGAACGCAGTGGAGTCGACACATCACGCTTGACGTGGAATTTAGTGCGCTGACCAAGCTCTTCAGCATCAGGAGCCATAGGTGCAGTCTTACCGATGATGATATCCTCACCAGAGACACGAGTGCCTGGTGCAATGATACCATCATCCTCCAGTTTGTCGTATGTTCCATGCTTCATTCTCATGGTGTCTCCACGTGTAGGCTTTTCGAACTGCTCCACAACTGACATACCAACACGCTTCTCTTGATCCATGTAAGCACGGTAGAACAGAGAGCGGAAGAGACCACGATCGATCGACGACTGGTTCATGATGACGGAATCTTCTTGGTTGTAACCACTGTAACAAGCAATAGCGACGATGGCGTTTTGTCCGGCAGGCAACTCTCTGAACTTGAGGTATTCCATGGATCTCGTGGTACCAAGAGGCTTTTGAGGGTAGTAGAGAACGTTGGCCATGGTGTCCATGCGCACGTTGTAGTTGGTAAGGGTGATACCCATGGCTTGTTTACCCATAGCAGATTGGTAGGTGTTACGAGGCGACTGGTTGTGGTCCGGGAAGGGAATAATCGAGGCGCAAATACCCAGAATCATGGCAGGATGAATCTCGCAATGAGTCCAGATTCTGACATTGGGGTTGGGCTTGCTCTTGATTCTTCGGTGAGGGTCAGTCACAGGCTCATCGTAGACAAGGCCGGCTCTCATCTGGCGATGCTCATCGAGATCTTCTGGAGACATGACCATCATGGCAGCCTCTTCTTCCTCAGCATCCAGGTATTCGATGACACCTTCGTTGATCAAGTCCTTCCAACCGTAAATTGCACTGTCGCGCTCCTCTTCGCTCAAACCGATAGTCTCAGTCTCTCTTGCGTTGAGCAGGTTGTTAATGTGCTGTCTGCTGAGAACGAGTTGACCCCTGGTCGNGCTTGCAGGGTCGTTGTTAACGACGAACAATGGTCTCATGACACGTCCAGCATCAGTGAAGATCTTGAACTCTCGCTCACGGACATCTCTGATGAGCGAAATTTCGAAGGAGATGGTGCCGTTACGACGAAGGCCCTGCACAACCTTGACAAGCTGAGAAGGGTCTCTGTGGACACCGACCCAGACGCCGTTAACGAAGACTTTGGTGGCATCCGGGTTATTCTTAGGCTCATACTCCTCAAGCAACTCCATGTTTCGCTGGTTCATGAACTCAACGATGGGCTCAGCAGGGGTACCAACACTGACGTAACACATAAGAGACAAGTTCTTGACGAGACCACAAGCCTGTCCTTCAGGAGTCTCGGCAGGGCAGACAAGACCCCAGTGAGTGTTGTGTAGTTGACGAGGCTTGGCGATTTTGCCATCACGGCCGATGGGAGTGTTTGTTCGTCGCAAATGTGATAGTGTGGAGGCGTATGTGTATCTGTTCAAGACCTGTGAGACACCTGCCTTCGCCGAGGCGGCTTTCTTCTGATCACCCCAGTTACCTGTAGCTAAACAGTAGCGTAGACCTGATGTGAGGATGTTTGATTTCACAGCCAGAGTAAGATTGAAGTCTCTGCCTTGCTCAATGCAGCGAGACAGGTAGACGCGCATGTCACGCACAAGTTGAGTGAACTTGAGGCGGAAAACCTGGGCCATCAGCGGACCGGCCAGATCGAGACGCTTCTTTCCAAAGTGATCTCTGTCGTCTTCGTCGCATCTGCCGAGGGCAACTTGACACATGCGATTGATCATGTAGCCCAGGAAGAAGGCCTTTCTCGTCTCGCTTCCNNCCTCTCTTTGGGAGATGTGAGGCAAGAACTCCTNTTGTAAGATGTCGCGGGCATAACGAATACGCTTCTCCTTAGTACCAGTCTGCTGACCACGTCTACCAATGTAATCGAGAGCGAATTCGCGGTCTTGGACGACGAAAGCTTCTTCCAAACACGGCTTGATCATCTCGCGCAGCTGTGTGTCGTTTGCATCGTAGCAAATACAGTCAAGAATCTGCATATCTGACACGATACCGAGCGCACGGAAGACGATGGCGATAGGGATATCAGCCTTGATGTAGGGCAAGGTAGCCTTGATGACACCACCCATGCTTCCAGTCTTGGACTGGTCACCCTTCTGATACCACTTCAGCTGCATGGACGAAAGCAACCGAGTACCCTTCTCAATAGCACTTCTGATCTCAGCAACAATGGGAGTGGGACTGCCCTTCTTTCTGAAAACCTGAACGATGTTGGCAGCACTGCGTTCTTGAGCGATCAAGACCTTCTCGGAGCCGTTGATGATGAAGTAACCACCCTGGTCGTATGGACATTCTTGGAAGGCGTAGAGTTCCTGTTCTGAGCGGTTGCGCAGAGTACAGATCTTGGACTTGATCATGACGGGCAGCTTTCCGATAAAGACACGCTCCTCCTTCTCAATAGCATCAGGGTCCTCCTTTTCCCACACCAACTCGGTCTCCTCATCTTCGTTCGGTACATGATCCGGATCGTCGTCGTGATGTGCTGCGCCGATGCGTCTTTCGCGGGCGACCAAAACGCGGCTGGTCATGCCCAGGTAGATGGGACTTGAGTAGGTAAGGTTGCGCAGACGGGCCTCGTTGGGGTAGAGAGGGCGAGTGGAACCATCGCCTTCGGTGATGGCAGCCTGGGAAATAGTGATGTTGCCGAATTCAATCTCGTAGCGGCGCTTGACAATGGGGTCGACTTCGTTGTCGTCTTGCGGCGCATTCTGGTCGATGACAATACGGCCCTGTTCGGTGACAATGTCCTGCATGGAGGTACCGGCGAATTCGTCGAACGAGTCGAGCTGTTGTGAAACCAGACCCTTTGAGTCGAAGAAAGACTGGATGACGGTCCAGCAGTCCTCACTTGTGATGATGTCGTCCTCATCGTAGTCGTCCTGGGAGGGGCTTCCCACGCCGTTGCCCCAGACGTCGGCCATGGTTGAGTGGAAAATGTGATGAGGCGGAGATGGAAGAAAGTCGGATAGACGCGATTTGAAGGCGGCGGAAGGTGAAGGGAGAAGTCGCGCGCGCGCTCTGTGGCGATGAGTTCGCGGCGGATGCTAGTAACGACGCAGTGAAGCGGCGCTAGACGGGATGGAAGATGGCGTGGAGAGAGACTGGGTGATGATGGACGGCGAGCAGGTCGGTGCTCTCGGGCGCAAGAGTGAGTCGAGATGCGGTTGCTGCTCTACAGCGTCGACGCTTGACGCTGGTCGCTGCTGCTCCATGTCAACATGGCTGAATTGGCAATCCAAGTCTTGGCATGCGTAACGTGATTGGCTGCACGCGCCGACTGCTGCCATCTGGCCTCGAGCATCAAGGTCGATCTAACACATACTCTGCTTCTTTGTTGCTGTTTCTGTCGTAGTAGTTTGTGCAATTCAATCTGTCGCCATGTCTGTGCAACCATTGAACGACCTCTGGGAGGCTGCTGCTGGCCAGCCTTATGAGCCCACCATTGGCAAGAACTCACACTTCACCGTCGGCATCACTCTGCTGTTTACTGGTATATAATATCCATGAATCTTTTGGTAGTCTGAGAAGAGGATACTAACATGTGCAGCTCTTATTCTGTCTGGCTACTTTGGCCTGAGTACGTTGTCTCGATTTCGATCCAAGACTCGTACCTCAACTAACACCTTCCTAGACCCCTCGCTCAAGAACCTTCCCCTGATCGGCCTTCCTGCTTCGCTGGCTGCTNNGGGTACTGCTTTGTTTATATCTACACTGTACGAGCTCTCGCTAACACTCTCCAGTTTCGGAGCCGTCTACATGATCTGCGCTGTCGGCGTCTACGTCTAAGCTCTTGCCCTTCTTTCCTCCACCTCCTTCTTTGTTCGCTACTCGAGATACCCATACCAAATCAACACAGCCTCCTTCTACAACCCATGCATGCCAATTCTCAAGAGATAGTCGCGTTTGAGCTGTTGTCCGTCTCTGGACAAAGAGCTACCATAATATGGAGGCATGGCAGAAGTCGCCAAACGGACGAGAGAACGGACAGACCGACACAGAAGCATGCAGCTTTGCGACTTCCAGAATCGCGAAAGCACGAGGCGCGAAGCCATTGCAGTTGCCTATATAGGGCTGACTAAGCTTGGCATCTCCAACTTCCATCGTCAAACCATCCATCTCGCGTGACTGTCATACTCTATACATCAAAACAGCACAAAACCCAACTCGACCTTAACCTTCGTGAAGCTTCCCAAATAAACAATCAGACTCGCGCTATCGAACATTTCCTATACATCGCGTCCTTCCCATTATCTGAAACCTGCCGCCACTGCTATAAACATAGTAACATGGCATCGACCAATTCATGTCTTTTCAGTGCCGTCTCTCCAGCAGCTCGCGACTTGACTCTTCTATTAAGATGCATTGCATTTGCTTCCAAGACTCAAGTCCGCCTGTCGCCCGAAGGACTACGTTTTAGTGCTCAAGAAACCAGTGTGATGGAAGGCAAGCGCTTCCAGCAATCATTTTGCCACAATCTTCTGACTGTTGCCNNAGCCTTTGTGTTTCTCTCCAGATCGCTGTTTACAACTTGGAGCTATCAAGATCTAGAAGCTCCCGAGGACGAATCAGCTGAAGACGCACTTCAACCTCCCACTTTTCAGATATCTCTTCCTGCTTTGCTCGAAACTCTACAAATCTTCTCTCTTGGTGACAGCAACGCTTTCCGACAACAACAAGATCCGTATGACACATTTACTGCATTCAGACAGAACCGCAACGCGAACAACCCTTTCTCCGCCTCAGCACTAGGATCTTCTGGTCTCTGCCGCATATCATATGAGAATCGCGGTAGTCCTCTATCAATCCAGCTATCCGAGTCAGACGTCACGACCAACTGCGATTTGACCACCTACGAAGCAGAAACAACTGAAGATATTCCTTTTGATCGAGAAAGCCTAGCTCTCAAGACTATTATGCGTTCGGCGCATTTGGCTGATGCCATATCAGAACTTGCTTCTACGAATCCTACCAGTCTCTCGTTGACTGCATCGCCCACAGCACCCTACATGTCGCTCTCAGCTACTGGGCCACTTGGTTCAGCCACTGTCGACTTCAACAAAGACCAAGACCCTTTGCTGCTTGAGACATTCCAGTGTCCAGCTCGCTTTCGCACAACGTACAACTTTCGACACATCAAGGCTGTATACCGTGCCATGGTCTCTGCGACCAAGGTCAGCGTTCGTGCCGATGAGCAAGGTGTTTTGAGCCTGCAATTCTTGATTGAGGTGGATCCGACAGCACAGGCAGAGCCAGGCAAGGAGGGTATCGCTTTTGTGGATTTCCGCATCGTGCCTCAGGTTGAAGGAGAACTTCCAAAGGACGATTCGGAAACGGATGACGAATGAGCAATAAGATAGCATGGAGTAGCATGGCTGTAATGCCCATAGACCAAAAAAAATCAAAAAAGAATTTGATTGCAGCGAGTAGGAATCGAACCCACACTTCCTCATATCCATCCAAAGACCTCATGCCAGGCAGCGAGGGTTACTGGGCTTACAGACGAGCTCATTGCTTGTGTTTGCAAGCATGAGATTTCGCCTCTTCCAGAGCGCCCCACGCTCGTGGGAGCGCTCCAATGAAGAAAAGATCTTTGGTGACAATGCTTGTGTTTGCAAGGTCATTCAATGGTGAGGCGCCCTACCATTGGGCCACCGCTGCTTCCATGACGAACAATTCAATTCTGGCAAGTTATAAGGGTAGCGCATTCACAAAGTGAGTGTGTTCGATTCTCGGAGGGGTTATTTCTGTGGGTTGCAGCTTTTATCTCGATTTATTATCTACATTACTATATACAGACATCGTGTCTTTGTCCACTGTATACGTCTCTGTCGTTGTTTCATCTTCATCTTCATCTTCGTCTTGTTATCATGCATCGCTAAAGGAAAAGAAAGAAAAACAGAATCGTCAAAATTGCTCGCTCGCTAGTTGCGCTCTCAGAAGTAGACAAAAAAAAAAGAAGGAAAATGTGTCTACCCTCAAGCCTAGACTTATTGGTCGTATGTACTGCACTGACTGGGTGCTTGGAGGTGTGGCAGGAAAGCTGGATTGGGAGAATAGGTAGATGAGGTATGCGGAACAGTAAGGCTCGTCAAGGTGTCGAGGTTTGTGGTGACCACGCTCGTAATTGCAGCAATCGTGGGTTGGAGTGCTTGATCTCCAGTGATGCTTTCTGACATAGATTCGGTATGTTGGTCAGATTTGAACTCCTCGTCAACAAGAGAGAAACCTGGAGACTTGACATCCTCCTGTGACTCTCCTGTGCCTTTTGTCCACATTGGATGTCTTTTTCCATGGCCCACATCAGTCCGGGGTGATGCGACTGGTAAAATTGCAGGCCCGCCGACTGCTTCAACATTACTTGCTACCAGATTGATATTGCTTATATCAGATGCTTGCGCAGCAAACACGCCATGGACGGTAGACGCCAGTAATGTCAAGCCAAGNNGGAAGAAAATGGCGATGTTTCGACGATCGCGTAACACAAGATAAAGGTAATTGCGTAACAGAAGACCCAAGGGAACATCCTTGGAATGGTAAATGGGCGGAAGGTCATTCTGAAGGGCAGAGGTAGGTCTGTCAGCAGTAGCCGACTTTGACTGAGTCTCTCGATGGGGTTGCTTGTTGGTTGTCACCACTGCTGGTTCTTGGACTGGCGTTATCGGATCAACTTGGACAAGTTGCTTGGATGTCTCAGTGACGTGTCGTTCATGTATCGGCTGAGTGGCAGGAATGTAGCTTCCTCGTTCATTGGCGATGTCCTCAGCCAACTGCATCTCATCAAGACTTCGGCTAATATGTTCAGAGATGCATGGTCGTACTTCGCAATCAACCCTCTCCATCTCAGACCAACAAGCAGCCCACGCGCCAGCGCGCATGAGACCATTAGCAGCATAGACTCTGACAGACCAAGCATCGCCCACATGAACGCGCTGGCAGGTATCGCATGGCCGGACATCTGTCTCCTCTTCGTCATCTGTTTCGGCTTCTGTTATAGTGCTTGGTGTGCGAGGTCTATACTGTCCATCATGGCCAATACGTTCAGGAAGCAGACCCAAAGCCTCAAGCACACGTTCTTCCAACAACTCAAACTCTTCTCGTGGGTGCGCGATGAGGATGCCTCTTTGTGCCACTAGTCCTGAGGTTGCTGCTCGCAATACTCCAAACTGCCTTTTGAGCTCTGGACTCAGTGTTGCATCGAGGACTGTGCGATTCCAAGGCAGGCGTGGAGGTAACACAGTGACATGCAGCAAGACCAGGGGAGCAGATGTCTCTTGTTGATCATCGCGGTGAGGAACATCTTCTCTACTTCTAGGGCGAACACCTTCGCCTCTGCTTCTGGNGCGATGAGGCGAGTGTCTCGGAGGTCGCAATGAGGATGGTGAAAGGCGATCAGGTTGAGGTGAGCGGCGAAGACTTCCCACACGGTAGGCAGGTCGAGGTTTCGTAGTTGGATAGACATCAGAGTCAGAAGGCCAAGCCGAATCAGGAAACGAAGATACAGAAGTCGTTGTTATGTTTGAGATGTGGCGTTTGAAGTCGTTCTTGTCAGTGTGTTCATCGTAGTCGTCGACTTCAATAGTGGTGAAGATGGGGCTGTCGGCCCTGTCTTCGGATGAGCCTGCCATAGAAAGTTACTGGCATTCAGCTCCACCAACGGCAGAGATACTGAAACTCTCTTTCGCGCAAGGAGAACCAAAGGACCTAGTCGCGAGTCACGGAGCTGGGGGTGGAGAGAAACGTTGTTGTGTGACAGCTGCCCCAGGTGTGTTGTCAGGGCAACGAAACCATGACCTGCCAGGCACAACCGGATCTCCATGCTCAATTCTCAATTGTCATACTTCTAAGTTGGCCAACGTTCAGCTATCGTTCGTTGCACTCTACTTCAAAAATATCGTTTCTCTTACGATATAGTGGTCTGGAGGAATAAAATCTTATTTCAGATTGGAAGTATGAGAGCATATGAAGAAAAATCGATTATTGAAGCAAATTAAAAACTCAAGGTATCATCGCTGCCCGCTTTTAGACCATGTGTAAGATGAGTAAGGACAATGCAAGCAGATGACAAATGAAACGTTCGTGGTATCATGACATTCCCGTACCGTGGTCCAAGTCTGCTCGGTTTCTTTCAAATGTCAGGAAGCACCAAGTTCAGTTGTGGCGTCGAATTGTCGTCGCTTCCGCTCCAAATGCGTGTACTGTAGGCTTGTCTCGCTTGTTGCAGTTCAGCCAGAAGCTCGCTCTGTGATTCACGTCTTTCGGATTGTACGGTGTCGAATTGGACCATGACCTCGTCCGAGCCGACTGCTGATGTTTTTGTCGAGAGAACGTACATCTCGACTTGTGGTTCGCTTTTCGCGCGAGACTTGCCCTCCGAAGCAAAGCCATACTGCGCAAACTCTCCTCGTCGAGGTGACTGGGGCGGCGAGGTGACCCCACTACGAGTAGGAATACCGCGTTCTGCGCTTGACAGCTTATTCTTCTCAGAGTTGCTTGAGATATGGAAGCGAGTACGGCCAAGGACAGTCTTGAACAGAGGCTTCAGAGTTGCCATACATGCTGCTGTAATACCCATGCCGGGCTCGATTGTGCTCAGAATAGCAATGCCTGATGCGTCCGAGAAGAAGGTTGTGGCGTCCTTGTCGCCAGAGTGAAGATCGTTGATGTAGAAGAGGCGAACCACTGATGCCACGCTGCCGAGGACACCAATGACGAGGACAAACACCACTGACCACTTGTCTCTGCCATTCATGTTCGCCCTGCGAACAACCAAGATTGGTAGAGAGACGAAGATCCAATCGGTCAAAGCATTCATGACTCCGTGGACATAATTCATGGGACCAAGAACACTCCAGGAGATGCATTTTCCCTGAACCTTGTGAAGAAGGTATTTGTCCGGAGAACCACATTGGAACACGGCGACAAAGAAGAAGCTGAAGGTGTATACTGAGAAGATAACCGTGCTGATGATGATGATGCGGCGCTGCCACTGTGCCAAAACCTGTTTCCTTTAGGTTAGTAAAATCGGTCGAAGGGAGGGAACAGAAGAGCTTACAATTCGCAGAAAGAAGACAGCCAGAGACAACTTCAGTGCTAAGCTGGTAAANNAAAGATAGAAGGCAAACTCAAGAACAACATACTGGAAATGGTCAGTGCATGCCATCAAAGTTGTATAATTTACACCTACCTCCAAGGCGTCTGACAGGGGTTTCGGCAACCTCAAATCGCGATTCTGCTCCAGCCATGCAATGTGCACAAGGAAGGCAGCTTGACAGATGAAGCTGTTGAGAGCAAGTAGGATCAACCAATCGTCCCAACCCAAAGCACGAATCATGTATCCTCTGACGAAGAAACGGAGAGAAGTGAATGTGATTGTGAGCACAAGGAAAGCAACAGCGATGGCAGCCAAGGCTTCCGAGTGGTATGCTGAAGGTGGATGATAGCTTGCAGGATCCCAGGCGTCTGCAACCCGGGCCACTACATTTGGATCCATGGACGTGTCTAGTCTGCGGCCACCCGAATTCGCTGCGTTCCACGAGAAGACTCAATAACAGACAGTGGTCGGGCCAAGGGCGAGTGGACGAGAAGTGCAAAGTTGCTTCTTGAAGCGGTGTGATAGAAGCAAGTGTCTAGAAAGTGGCTGACGAGTGATAAAGGAATGTGATGATAGAGAAGCACGAGTCGCAGGAAAGCAAGAAACTTGCTGGGACAGCACATGATCCTATGTATACACCTGGCTCATGACTTCAGCGCTGGAAAGAGAAGTGCCCTGATCATAAGGTTAGATAGCGGCATGGTTAGCCGTTGCTTAGTTGAAAAGACATGTGTAATGCCACGTGTATTGGGATCTACCTGGGGTCAATGAGGGAGGAACTGCTCGGCAACCTGAAACATTGGGATTGCCAGCGGAACTCTCTCTGCACCAGGCTCAGCTTAGGCATGTCAAAGCGACACTGGAGGCCACTGAAGACAGTCTTGCTGGAAAATCTCGGTTGTTGTCTTCGCTTTCAACGGCCGTGGCTTGCTGAGTTCACGAACTTCGCTTAACGGATTCCGCCCTGAGAGCCTCCGTCATGCATATTGTGACTCTGCGAGGAGACGCCGCAACCACAGTGATGACTGACAGGTACTCAGAGAAACAGGTAAAAGGCATGATGGACGAAATTTCGTTGTAGCATAAATCAAGTCGGATAAGATGATAGATTGGGTAGTTCAAATCCCCACAGCCAGCCCTAATCGATCTGTTTGGCGGCACGTCAGGCGAAGCAGTACCGCCTTCTTCGGAACCACGAGCCTTATACAGAGGATGCTAAGGTCCAGGGTAGTCGAAGAGTTCGGCCCCCGTGAGCCGCTCGGATACGACCAATGATTGCCTGTGGAATCTCGATGTGGAGCCTTACAATCCAGCAATCTTAAATGAGCTGGCTGGTCAGCCTTCTTCCGTCAATTCACCATTGATGAGGTGAGGGATGGCGAGAAGCGATTGTTCCTACTCTACGTCACGACAAATTTTTGGTATAGACGCAGGTCTGAGTTCTGAATCGTGGTTGTTGTACTCCGAGTTGCAGACAAACGATAACATCGAAAATGACGACTTCGGTCGAGGCAATGTGCTTGTCGCGAATTCAAGATTCTTGAGTCCAGAAGGCAGTTCAAAAACTCGGTACCGACCTGTAACTGCCCCTAGTCTGCACGTTCGCCCAACGTCGAAGGAGAGAAACTTCCACAGCAAGCGAGAAGGCTGAGAACGGGAACGAGCAAGCAGGGCGTGTGCGGCAGACTCCGCGCTAGCCAAAACGTGACCCTGTCCTTCGTGTCCGAGTGCCGCTCGAAATCTCCGCAAGACGCTGTCAATGTCAAATAACACAAGCACTCTTCATCCCTTCAATGGAGTGCTAATATCAAAGGGAATGAGCAAATGAAATGCCTCCGCCATCACGTGCTCATACTACCGCAGCTGCGTCTCAACAAGCACGTCAGAATCGAAATGCTAGAGCGAGGCATTCACTGGACAATACTGGCTTCTCCATCGACAGCTCAGAACTTCCATCAGGCTTGATTGTTGATTACAGCATAGATGATATCGTAAGACCTGGGAACGTTGCAGAGCTCAGGCGTGGACAGCAGGCAGAGAGCATCCATCCAGATGATGAAGATGAAGATGATGGAGATGGAGATATAGATCCAGAGGATGTAGATCCAGGTAAGGCAGACTCCTTTTCTTCCTTTGACCATGCGTTTGTGCTTTTTTCGTGTTGTTTGCACCCCTGAAATGGACAATCAAAACCCGCTCCTTCCCTGACGTGATGCACGAATATGACCATCCGAGGTCATCACACTTCTACATCTATGGGTTCTATCTGCACCGTACACCGGCCTGGCTGTAGCAAGAATTGCGCGTCTCGATAGTCACACATCCCGAGTTCCATCGAGTCCAGTTACTATCACTTTGCACTCCATTCTTGATTCGGAAGAAGGCACCACAAGAGAGCGGGCATCAGCTGCAGCAAGCCAAACCTTCCACCATGTCATCAGAACCATCAGAGAGCTTTGATATTGACTCGTCTGTTCTGTCGTACCGTTCGTCTGCCCTTTCATGAAAAACACTACCTCATGCTCTGATTTCACCCACAAAATTCAGCTATGCCAAACGCACACTCACATCACCCTCAATCACATGGAACTCTAACAGGTGTTTTAGATGGCGCACCTTCAACGTCTGGCGACCCGCTGCCTCCACGCGGACTGAAAGAAATATCGTCCCTGGCATCCTGGACCGTCAGCACCAGCAAACCTGGCTGCGGTGTCGCTGCCCTACGCCATCCATCATCCTCCCTCTTCTGGCAAAGCGATGGTCCACAACCTCATCTCCTGACCGTACACTTCTTCAAGCAAGTCGCCGTCGCTCACATCCGCATCTACCTCGACTTTGAGAACGACGAGAGTTACACACCAACCCGCATGCAGTTCTGGGCAGGCACTGGTCTCCACGATCTTGTTGAGTTCGCCGATATGCAGTTCGAGCAACCTCGTGGCTGGATCCCTGTCGACTTTTCGCAGGTCGGACCTATCGACGAAGAAGATAATGAAGATTCGGACTCTATTGATTGGAGCAAGAGACCTCTGCTCCGCTGCTTCATTCTGCAAGTTCGCATCCTTGAAAACCATCAAAATGGCAAGGACACCCATCTTCGCGGTCTGCAAATATTCGCTCGCGACGAGAGGGCTGAGGAGAATGTCGGCCTGATGGAGGACGATGCTGATACCAAGGAGGGCGCGCGTGTCGATAGAATGGACATACCTGTTCGCTCCAAGGAGAAGCGTAAACGCTCAGAGGGCTTGCCTAAGCTCAAGAAGGCTTCGTTTATGATGGAGCCGGAATTGAGATGATGTCCTAGCATTTCATCCATGCCAAAGTTTTGGCTTTGTCTAGGATTGAAGCATTCGAAAGACGTGTAGGGAGTGTTGGCCATCCTCGTTCTGAAGAACATGCCGCCATGCGCGACAATATTAGAATTAACATTATGGAAGGTCTCGAACGTATCTGTCCTACTATATCTGCGTGTCAAACGCGATACCGGACACTGAGTCTGTCGCTCTATCTCTTCATGTTTGGGTCCAGCCCAATCAAAAGAACAAAAGAAATCTCCCTTGAGGCAATGTGACTAACAGCAGCCTTTCCGCCTCGGGCCGTCAAGTCTGAAGACTTCTTCCCACTCGCGCAAACCTGAAGCCCACTGCCCTGTACCAGCTCTCCTTCTTCGTCTTCTCGGGCCATCCATGCCACTCTTTATACTGCTTCCACCATCGTCAATTGCCCATGATAAGCTGTCGCCGTATTGAATACCGGAGAGCGGATCGTCAGGATCAATCTCTCCGAGCTCGATCTTTGCCAGAATCATACGTGCGAGACGATTGAATAGCTCATCCACACCGTCACCATTAAAAGCTGAGACCTCAACAGCGAGAGGAATGGTCTGTGAAGTTGCCCATTGTGTTGCTTGGAGTGCAGAGACTTGGCGACCATCGGGCGCAAAAGTAGCGCGTGTACCATTACCGCCTCGTGGTATAGTGCCCCTTGATGCGATGCTGTCGAACCTACGTGAATCGTAGCTCGAGGGCGTCTGGCCAAATGGCGGTGAGAGGGCACCGCCGTCATCCATTTCATCCTCGCTCTCTGCATCGCTGTCGACGGGGTCCGCAAGGTCGGATTTGTTACCAGCCAACAGAAGGGTCAACTGCGGACTCGCCAAAGCACGGGCATCGTTCAAGAAGGTCCCCAGCTGTGTGAAACTGTCTCTGCTCGTGATGTCGTAAACCAAGATTGCGCCAGCAGCACCGCGATAGTAACTTCTGCTCACGCTCCTGAAGCGTTCGGTGCCGGCGGTATCCCAGAGTTGCAGCTTTATCCTCTTTCTACGATTGCCGTCACCAACTTTTACGATTTTGGTAGCGAACTCTACGCCGATGGTTTGAGAGGAGAGAATGCGCCAGGACGAGTTGACGAAGCGGTGGAGTAGGCAGGACTTGCCGGCTGATGAAGGACCCAGGAGGATGATCTTGGCGAGATAGTCGTACATAGATCCGAGCTCGGACTCTGGTGGGAGNNGGGAGTTGTCGGGGGTGTTGGTCGATGCCGTCGAGGGGCGTCGTTGTCGCGCCATGGTTGTGTATGTTCTGTATATGGAAGGTTGATCGTGTTTGCTGTGACCTTTGTGGACTCGGAGATAAGTGGATTGTTGGCCGACGGGAGTGCTGCGCTTCACGTGGATGTTGACTGTCGAATCATTGATGTCGGACGGATGCAAGAAGGGTGTGCGGAAAATGGTGGAGAGGAGTTGATGAAAAGTCGTGAGATGCAATAACAAAGGGCGTGTTGAATGAGATGAAGATAACCAAATTGCAGTGGCCTGTTTCAGCCTGGTGCTCTGCTACTCTACGATCGTCGTCCCCAGACTTTCTGTTGAAAGAAGCGTCCGCGTTCCTGTCCGAAGCCCTCGGATATCGCCGTTTCCTTGAGAAGAGAGAGCTCCAGCTTCTTCGACTTGTTTGATATTTCCCTCTTTCTTGCTGCACACAACCAAGTCCTGTGTTTATCAGCAACATGTCTATTCTGCTTTATGCTTCTTCCACTTCATCGGTCGGCTCACGCTTTGATCTTACGACGTGCGAGGTACCGCGGCCATGAGCTGTCGCGTGCCGTCTGTTCGAACAAGCAATGCGCAAAGTTCGATGTCTGAAGAGGCAACTTGATGATGGTTGGCCGCATAGCTCGGGTCATCTGAGGCCTCGCACTAAACATGGCAGAAGCATGTTACAGGTCGTGTCGTAACATCTCGACATCATCGGCATCATCTCTCTACACGTTGGATGCCAAGCCGGCATTTTCGATGAAGTCATGTTGATCGGGTAAGTGGTCGTGTGCGCTAAGTCTTCTTCACATGCCTTTTGAGAAAAGCCCATCCTGCTTTTTCAATTCACTTCTTTGCCCTCTCCCTGTCCTATTTGCTGCGAATTTTCTTATCCACCTATTGTTCCTCTTCCCTGCTATCCTCAACTCTACTGCACTACTCCCGCCGCCATGGTGGCCTTTCTCTCACGCCTCAACCCGACACCGGCCTTTCCGGAATACCCTGGGCCTCATACCGTCGGTACTGTCGATGTCGAGATCCCAGCCGCCGACCTGCCATCCACCACCGCAACTCCCGCCGATGCTGCTCCTACCGTATCCTTCCGCATATTCTACCCATGCCAGGATCAAAAACAGAGCGCGAGGCCTGTGAGATGGATCCCCTCGCCACAACGACCAAATCTTTCTGCCTTTGCCCGTCTTCTTGGTGCCGGTTCTCGTGCTTCCGACTTCTTCTCCTACTTTCCCACTATTCTCTACTACATCACGATACCCGCCCAGCGCAATGCTCCGCTCCTCGATCCACCTACTACGAACAAGAGATGGCCCGTCATGATCTTCTCCCACGGCCTCGCAGGTAACCGCAATCTATACTCGCATGTTTGCGGATCAATGGCTTCTTACGGTGTTGTCGTCATTGCCATGGATCATAGAGACGGCAGTTCACCTGTTCAATACATCCGTGCAACCTCGGACACTCCAAGCAAGATTGTCGATGAAATCAAGATTTCGCACACGCCATCCNNCCCTGAAGTTTACGCTGCAAGAGACAAACAACTGCGAATTCGATGCTACGAGACCTCTTTGATCCATGCGGCACTGCTCAAAATCGACCAAGGCGAGAAGGTCAACAACTTGGACGATAACATTGCACAAACCAAGAAGGAGCGGGTCGACGTCTTATCGAGATTTGCAGGACAACTCGACGTGCATACACCTGGCAAGATTACCTTCGCCGGCCATAGTTTCGGTGCCTGCACGACTGTTCAATTCCTCAAATCTGTCTTCTACGCAAAAGAACGTCCTCAAAACGCCCACTCTCCTCTTATTGTCCCGACAGACTCTGCCTTGACTCGCCAGGTTACTCCCGCTTCTCCCGTACTATTGCTCGATCTCTGGACCCTACCACTTCGCAGTCCAAGCCAGTCCTGGCTCCGAGAACGCTCTCTGCCGTCATATACCGACTCTTCAATTGGTGGCAAGAACATCCTCAGCGTCATGTCACAAGCTTTCTTCAAATGGACTGGCAATTTCAACGACGTCCGACGAGCCATCGCACCACCCAGAAATTTCTCCGGACCGAATCCGCATCTCTTCTATCCAGCTACGAGCCAACACTTCTCCCAATCCGATTTCGGCGTGCTATTCCCCTTCCTCACCAGCAAGTTGCTCAAGACTGAAAACCCAGAAAGATTGTTGTTGTTGAACACACGTGCCATGCTACAAGTTCTCAGGGACATGAACATTGAGGTTGCTGATGTCGGCGAAAAGAACCTCGAGGGCGAAAAGGAGGAGACGATTTTGAAACCCAGTAGTACTGGGCAAGAAACTGTCAAGGGCTGGGTCAGAGTTGCTGTTTCGGATGCCGATAGCAACGACTCCGGCATCTCTATTGAACAGGACAAGAAGCAGAAGCCTGCCGATGACAGCGAAGGCATGGAGATGTGATACCGTAGGCTATTCTTCTTTTTTTTTTCTTGTCTTCTTTTTCTCTTCTTCATCGCAAGAGCTCGGCGTTGGCCTCATTCTTACCTGGGTTTAATTCGCGCAGCATTTTTCTTTTTATTCTTTTTCTTACTTACAGCAGGGCAAGTATCAGCATGGTGTTTCGCAAAGAATGGGAAGCAGCGATTGGCGTTAAGTTCCAGCGATTTCAGAATTTCTAGAGTGTACATACAGTTTGTGATATCTTCACAGTCTTTATCCCTACTGCAAATTCCCGTCGATTTCTGAGAATCTCGTGGCATGGTTGCCAGTCGCTCCTGGAGTTGCTATTCTTGGCTTGCGCCCAACCGCCCACTTTCCACGACCGACTTCTAAGCGCCCAGGATTCATCACACTCCGCCCGCGCAATATTTATTCTGAGTCGACATTGTTGAGACCACGGGTAGTGAGGGTTTAGAAACTTGGAAACATGGTACGTATCTATATTTTGTGAACCTGGCGTCTCGGTCGGCCAACCACAGCACATGGAGCACGGTTTTTGCTAAGAATGCGTCTACTCCATACCATGTCCAGCGGCTATGAGAGAACCAATCGTGGAGGAGGAAGATTCATAAGAGCGAGCAGGTCGCGACCTCTTCAAAAGTGTATTTTTCTTCTCTATTCGTTTCTATCATTACCATCCTCAAAAGCACTGGACTGCTTTGAACATAATTCATTATCATTGTCTTTTCCTTACTTGATCGTATCGCTGGCTCGATCGTCTAAAGATTCTCTATACCATCTCCTACATCAGTCCGAGGCATCTTTTCTTGTTCTCGACTAGCCATACGCCTTTTGCGAGTCACAATGGCCGTCCGACCAATCACTCGATCACCTCTTCTGCTCTTGACCATCAGCATCTGTTTAGCTCTGCCTATCTTGGCTGTCTCGACCCATATCCTATCCATCTATCGCTCTGAGCATGCCTCAAATCCCTGGTGGCTGCCCGTGTGGCACGCTCACTTCGACACCAAAGGTCTGATTGCTGTCATTGCGGGCTCTTGTGTCGTTTTCGCTCTCGATCTCATCTCTGTTGGCCTAGTCATTGCTGGAAACAAAACTAGTGGCAAGGTAGGATTCTTCGCTTGTCGATACCAGGGGTAAGTGCTGACGATAACGACTAGNAACAAGATTATCAAATGGACAACAGCGATGTTCATGGCGGCTGCCACGATTGCAGCGCTTGTTGCTTTGATCATACCTGCAGTTGCGAACGCGGCGGCTCCTAGCAAGTCTGATACTGTTCAGACTTGGACTTGTCGATGGAAGGGTGCTGTAGGTGCACCTGACAACTTTGGACCGCTGTGCCGAGAAAGTGTGAGTATTACTCCTGCCTTTCCACTTTCTTTCTTGCCTTCCCAAAATACCAACTGACTTGATATCGCANNGCAATTTTCCTCTTACGCTCTTATCCCACTGTTTATCATCCACCTTCTACTCTTGGTTCAAAGCATACAAGATGCTGTCGCCACACCTCAACCGCAGCCACAAACGTTGGACGAAGAATTGGTCATTATTACCAAAAGTGTCGAAGTCGCTACTACAGGTTCGAACGAGAGCCCAAGGATCAGGTAACAGCATGAAGAGCGAAGGGAAAAGAAAGAGAGGTTATGGTTCAAGAAAAGAAGGTTCTAGCCAGCATACTTGCCGCCAGCCTTGAATTATTATTATAGAACCCTCATTGGTAGCTCGCTTGATCATTTAGTCTCACAACCAAGGCAATGATAGCCAGACTTGTAGGCAATGATCGCTGAGCTTCTGTCCGACCATGGTTTGTATACACCACCAAAACTTTCATTGTGCCGAAATGAATTGAACTTGTGTCAAGAGAATGCATGTGTGATCATTAAAACTGCTTACTGTCAGCTCGAGCCTGCAATGAGTTTATCTTTCTGGTGCTTCCGACTTTCTTGGTTCTGATCCTGCTTACCGACATTCCAATTTGCATACTGAGGTCTTGTTTCGGGAGAGCGGCATGCTGAATATTGTATCCCAAGTTCACCTATGCTGTGCCCTCATGAATGAATCAATTCACGATATCAAAATTCGGGATGTTGTTGCCAGCGAAATTTTGTTCACAAGGCGACGAATCTGGTTTGATCTTCCTTGAAATCGTTCTTGCACAGCGCGTTGAGGCATCTGGCGCGAACGACTGTCCGAAAAGACGAGGAAGTCCGGGAGCTGTAGGCGAGGAAACTTGTCAGGTCTAGGGTCGTCAGAGTCGTGGTTCCAGGGGAATTTGCGCTTGAGATGCGAATTTGGTCCAACAATGCGCACTCTCGGACGCGGAACTGTCTCCTTTGCGACCGGTTCATCTTCAATACGACTGAGCACTATGACAGCATTACCACGAGGTACCCTGATGGAGCTGCCATCCCCGAAACTGGCGATGAAAGTCTCGCGAGGAGCATCTTGGAGTTTGTTGAGTACCTCGACGTACCCNNCCCTCAAATCAGCTGTGTTCCATACTTTCTTCATCATGCGGGCCTGATCTCCATTGATGGGCTTGCCACTGCGCAATAATTTGATGGTCCAAAAGTCCTCAGGAGTCAGGAAACCGGTAGGAATAGGGTAGAGAAGACGAAGACGCTTGATGAAACCTTTGAGCATGCAGTCGACAAGGTAAAATGCGAGTGATAGATTAACGCCTTTGTTGACAAGGGCTGGAGTGGCGGGCGGTTCGTATGGCATCCTGATAGTGACCAAGTCAAGTTTGTAGTCTTTCGTGATGTAAGGCATATGAATGTCGTGTGGAAGTGGTCGTGTGGGGACTGGACGAGATCGAGTCTCGAGGCGCACACGTCGAACGCCAGGTCTGACATGGTTGTTGCATTGTTTAGTGCAGAGATAGCACAAGGAATGTGTGATGAACTCGTTGGATGAATAGAAGATGAGAGATGTCTCTGCATGGACCTGTTTGTTTGTTAAGAAGAGTCTCAGATGAAGCGGATCACAGCGAAGGTCAGTCATGCGAGAAAGAGGTGAGAGGAGTGAGTGTGCATCGAGAGATCCACCATCTGGCTTCTCTGGCATCGTTGTCTTGCGGAATGGGATATCGCCGACCACCAAAAGCTCTCTCCATATCATATCACGCAACTCTCGAGGAAGCCCGCGAAAGGGCTGGTCGTAAGTGCGGCTCATGGTGAGCGTCGACAAGACACTGATCCTGTTGTTGTGAGCCGAGTTTCACCACACATACAGCGTGCCACCTTCAGTTGATGACGATGTTGCGCATGCAGGATGAGTTAGATGAAACGAAATGTCTTGGTTGTTGTTTTGGTTAAAGATCGCTGCGCGCGGTGTTATATAACAGGGTTGGCAACGACGTCTTGAATGCCACACGTTGCCAACGCTGCCCAGGGAAGCGACCGCTTTGCTCAGAACCCCTTCCGTTCCCATCAGACATTGTGCACGGTATGTCGACCATGAGCAGCTTCTTGGCTTGTCTTTCTAACTCCAACACGTAATGTCTCATCAAAGTTACAAGACAGTTGTGTTTGCTCTTTTGTCCATTGACAATGTCTTTATGTGTATCACTTGTCGGTCGAGCTGGAAGCTGCAGCATACCTATCATTTGATATAAATGGGAGCCTCCTTCCTCAGCCGGAACAAGAAAGTTAGTATTATCGATTGTTCTAACACGCAATTCACCATGCACAGTTCCCTCATCATCGTTGCACAACGTATAAGCAAAATTGGCGTGAGGTCATCTCTACAGCCAGATGAACCGGGCGTGCTTTCCAACGATCCATCAAGTAAACCTCTGCCTCCGATTCCGAGCGGCGTCTCAGAGACCAGAAATGGCGCACCAGTTATCTCGCTACCTGTGCCAGACACCTTNTTGCATCTACGTGAAAGTGGAATCCATTTGGAAGATGTTCCACCTAATCACTCTTTGACAAGGCCCAAGAGAAGGTCAACTGAAATGCCACTCTCAAGTCATCCACCGTTTCGCCCATCTCGGATCGAAGTTCAGGTTTTGCAGACTTACGGCTCCAGAGAGAAGGAAAATCTCAGAGCTGAAGTCGAACACAACAATCAAAAAGCCCCGTGTCTGAAGGATAATGTTGCACACAAGCAATCGCCTGAAGCAATGACCGGCCTTCCATATCATGGCATGAAACTACCGCCGCCACCGCCCATCCCGAACACTCGCCAGCGCAAAACAAAGTCTCACAGTAAGCCATCAGTAGCAACATTTGAGGACCCGACCCCGATCAACCTGTTCGAACAACCTATCGCTCCGCTGACGCCCCGCCGTCGAAAGGATAACACCCCTATCCTNGTGCCATCACCACATTCATCCGGGACTGGTTTAAAGACACGGTGTAGTGCTGCAGACAACAGTTCTTTTCAAAGATGCGTCGACAGCCGTCGCGCTCTTCGTGATTCACGGGTCAATAGGCGCTCGCCGCACAAGATCCCGCCTGATGACTTGCTTCAGTTCAAAGTGTTCTCTGAACTTGATGTTGAGCTTGAAGAGGCCATGAACTTATACACTGCAGGCGAAACATATTGATTCAGGTACTAAGTTCAACAAAAGATAGAGTGTGGTCGTGGGTATAGTCACGCATCTATAGATAGATTGGTATATCAGGAAAAGGTATCCTGACGCAGATACTTGTTGCACTATGCACTGACAAGAAGCGATGGAATTGTGATTATAGTTGTTATATGAACATTTGGAGTTTTATATACTGTATTTCCACACATATTTTGAACAAGGAATAGAAAAGAAATCGCTAAATAGAGTATTAAACAAAAGTCGTGAGACCAAGAGACAAACAAAAAATCCCAAAAAAGCATCAAAATCATCATACAAGTCTTGAAGATCACAGACTCAGGCTTCCTCCTTAATCGTAGATTGCGACCAGCTGCCAACGGGCGTAAGATCGCGCATGTACTTGCCAAAGATGGCAGTCTCGATATCTTGAGCCTCAGGACCAGACTTTGCTGCCTGGTGGCGGAAGTAGATACGCTTACCCCACTTCCAGGACTCGACACCGATGAAGAAGATGAGGGTAGCGATGAAGACAATGCCCCATTCCCAGGAGATACCAGTGTGACGGAAGACGTCGTGGTTGATGACAGGAATGTAGAGAACAGGGAAGATGAGAACAAATCCGACCACGACGGAGGTGAAAAGGAACTTGTTGCGCCAGACATCGAACATCCACTGAGTAAAGTAGCGGTCGGAGTCCGGCTTCATGCGGAAGAAACTGCGACGGGGGTCGATCATCTCCCAGGCAAGGAAGAGAGAGAACCATGTCAGTGTGGCAAAGCAAGTTGAACGGGCACGGAAGACAACATCGCACTCAGGAGACCATGAAGCGTTACAGCCAGTAGCGGGAATGCGACCGATATTGCCATCTTCGAATGCGTAGAGGACGAGGCAGAAAGAGCACAGGCAGAGTGCTGCGACCCAGAGACCATAAACAAGCATGTCGATGAGAACTTCAAACGTGAAGACGCCGCGCTTCAGACTTTGAGGGGGNNGACGGCGCATGACATCTGGCACAGCTTCCTCGAAACTCAGACCCATATCAGGGAAAGAACTGGTAATCATAATGATCCACATGATCTCGACGGGCGAGATGGGGAAAACTGAGAGACCGTCGAGGTCTTTGAAGACAAGACCAATAAGCAAGGTACATGCCTGGGCGATGTTCTGAGCGAGAAGATGAAGAATGAATTTTTGAATGTTGTCGAACATGCGGCGACCTTCTTCGACGGCATTGAGGATACTGGCAAAGTTGTCGTCGGTCAAGACGATATCAGAAGCGTCCTTTGCAACATCAGAACCAGATTGACCCATGGCAATACCAACATCGGCGCGCTTGAGAGAAGGCGAATCATTTACACCATCACCAGTCATGGCGGCGAAAGCCTTGCGTCTGTGTAGAGCTTCAATCATGCGGACCTTGGTGTTGGGCGCGCAACGAGCAATGACCAGTGGAAGAACAGGGAGGGCGTCGATCTCGTCGTCGCTGAGCTTGTCGAAGCCACTAGCTTCCATGACGATAGCATCCAAGACTTCCTTGGATAGATCTTTCATGTGAGTGGGAAGAATACCGACATCAGCGGCGATCGCTTGTGCAGTGCCTTTGTGGTCACCAGTCAACATGTGAACGATTATGCCGGCCTCGTGAGCCTGGCGAACTGAAGAGGCGGATTCAGGGCGGGGCGGGTCGTAGAGACCAACAAGACCTCGGAAAGTCAGACCATTCTCGATGGAGTTACGGTCAACCTCTTCGTCCTTGTTGATTTCACCTTCAAAGTCCTTGCTGGCCAACGCCAAACACCTCAAACCAAGGGAGGCGATGGCTTCCATGTTCTGCAAGATTTCTGCTTGAATGGCTTCGGTCATCTCTACAGGCTTGCCAGATTCATCTTGGTGGAGGTTGATACAGGAGCCAATGACCCGCTCAACAGCACCCTTGGTGAACACTTGCTTCTTGCCGGTAGCAGCTTCCTCAAAAATGACAGACATCTTCTTGACATCGGAATCGAAGGGGAATTCAGCGATTTCTTTCCACATGGGACTGTTGCCAGAGATGAAAGTCGATCTGTTCCAGCCGAAGCGAGCTGCGAACACCTGGATCGCAATTTCGGTAGGGTCACCACGCGCTGTCCACTTGTCATCCTCGTCCTTCTGAACAATGGCCAGGTTGTCCAAAGCAGCGACTCTGAGGAAGTGTGCCAGGTGTTCGTTGTCTTTGAGTTCATCGTTGTAAGCGACAACATCATGCTTCTCTTCTCCAGCTTGAATGTTTCTCGGCTCCTCAGGGCTAAACTGGAGTTCGCCAACGGTAGGGTTGGAAGTCTCATCAGTCTCTCCAATTGAGTAAGTACCTTTGGCAGGGATCCAAGCCTTCTTGGCCATCATCTTGCCTTGAGTCAGTGTGCCAGTCTTGTCAGAGCAGATGTCGGTGACACCACCAAGAGCCTCAAGCGAGCGAAGATTTCTGACGATGACATGGCGCTCAACCATTCTTCGGGTACCAGCAGCCATACAAATAGTAAGGATGACGACGAGGGATGCGGGGATCATACTGAGACCTGTGGCAACAGCGTAGATGATGACTTCCTGCTGGCTGCTGAAGTTGTTCGCAGCCTCGACGATGATAGCACAGATAACAGCAATGAAGAAGAGCAGTACTGCGAGCCTAGACAACTGTTTTTGAAGAGGAGTTCCAACGTTGATACCGAGGAAGCGACCAACAGCATCAGAGAAGGTCAAAGTCCACGCTTGAGCGTATCTGTGAGGCTTAGCGGAACCATCAGGCTTGCGCTTAACAGGTCTCACTTTCGAATCCTTCTTGCGAAGTGCTGCGGCGATTGATCCGATTTCGGTGTGCATGCCAGTGGCGTAGACGATACCACGAGCGCGGCCTTTGGTAACGACCGAGGAAGAGTAGGCAACGTTGAGACGGTCGCCAGGTCCAGTGTCCTCATCGAATACGGCTTCGGCATCTTTTCTGACGGGCAAGGACTCTCCAGTCAACAGGGCTTCATCGGTTTCGAAGTTGACTGCTTCGATGAGTCTGACATCTGCGGGTACCGTGTCACCTGGAGTGCGGTTAGCAGTTGACAATCTTGATGCATTCAGCAATCACTTACCAGTCTTGATTTCAACCATATCACCAGGGACGATTTCGACGGTGGGGATGTTGACAGTCTTGCCATCGCGAACAGCATTGGCGGTAGGAGAAGAGAGCGATTTGAGTGAATCCATAGTCTTTTCGGCCTTGAACTCTTGCATGAATCCAATGACGATGTTCAGCCCGATAACTGCTGCAACAACACCGCCTTCGATCCACGACTTGATTGCAAAACTGACGACCATAGCCATGATGAGCACNNCTAGGATAGCTGGTTAGCCAGATCAACTTACGATACAAATCCATGTGCTACATACCAGCGTCATCGCGTTTGCGATTTGTCGAATGAGAATCTTTCCAGGTTCAACACCACCAGCGTCACCAAGCTCGTTGGTGCCATACTTGCTGTGTCGTTCCTTAGCTTCTGCTGATGAGAGACCGTTCTCGGCATTGGCCTTGATGTCCTCTGTGACTTGAGTGAATGTGAGTGCGTGAGCCGGCTTCGAGAGGCCGTTGCCGTTGGCCTGGCCTGACACGTGCTGGTCGAGTGTCGTGTCTTGTTGCTTGCCCATATTGAAGATTTGGGCATTAAGAGTGGTAGATGATCAGTAACAACGACAGAGAGGGGGCCTTGCATGCCTTATATGTAGCCTGCTCGTGTGTCTGCTCCAGCGGAGGGCGGACTTCCACCCTTGGCACCCTTATCATTCCTCTAGANTGTTTATGCTGCCAAGTAACGACACGTACAATGGTACCCACGTTGGAGGCATCGCCATCATCCTTTTCTGGTTCTCTTCCTCAGGATGGCCTTGGAAGTTGTAACTATTGTCGANNGGGGTTTGACTCAATGTCCAATAAGGTGTCGCATGGCTGGAACCATGTTGCATGGCACCAAGAAACACAAGAAACTGTCTTGGCATCTGTCATTGACCTACCTGTTCGTCATCTGTCGCTATCCAGACAGTGGGTAATCGAGCCTGCATCACAGCTAGCATGATCTAGAGAGATGTGTGACTAGGCCTTGTTGGCAGACTACAGGTGGATCAAAGGTGGTATCGCTTGTGGTGATAGAAAGATATCGGTGGGATATTGTCCAAGAGTGTCCAAGACCCTGTGGACGCCAAGGCCAAGTCCGAGCCCGCGGAGTTTTGCTTTTGCTTTCGCCATCGACGGCAACCCGGGGTGATAATACACGTGCCAACTCCATGGGGAGATACGTGATACGTAATGGCTGTGAGCTGACTTAACGACCGCGAAGGAAGGCGATAGTAGCGATGACAAGACCAAGCCCAGACTGAAGTTGGCCGATAACCGAGTATATCACTCGGCGTGCATTGGTGTGGAGAAGTTATGCGAAGACTCTTAGCCTTGCAGTCGGTTGGTAAATACATATGTGTGAGGTTGCTTGAATTCCGATCTTGACAAGCTTCACCCACGCACGTGGAATGCTTGAGACTAGAAGAGCGAAGGGGATGAGCAGTCGATCCGGAACTGTAAACCACGGAAATCAGAAGATCGCAGAAAGGAGAAAAGGTTCAAGTTGTGGAATTCCTCCTCCTCAAATATGCAAAGTCTTGCGGGATTTTCGATATATGCCGCAGGGCAGTGCAAAGTCTTGGTGTAGTTACTGAAGGTTGGTAGATATCCAGGATGCTGTGATTCGAGGGAAGATGTCAGTATGCCTGCGGGATGACGATGCCGATAGCACCAGACAGGGTGACCATCTTATCTCAGCAAGAATTGCAGTTGACCTGAATTCAGGCTCTCCTTCCATCCAGACCAAGACTCGGCCACCAACCTGACCAAATCCTCAGCGCCATCGTGACTAGCCTCGATCGCATCATGATAACGCTCGCAAGGGCTGCCCACTCGCTTGTGGATTGCGCTTGTATCTACGCTTGCGGCTCGCCCGATCGTGTTTACTGAAGGATCAATCTAGTGGCAGCCACCGTGAGGGCATTCTGAAAGCACGATGACAGCCATCGCATTTCTTGTTTCGGTCGCCGAAGGCGATCCCATATTCGGGAGCTGATTCACCGAGATTCCCATCCAAGCTGCCGTTGTTACCTCTTGCCAAAACGGTCCGCTGGTTTGTAAGGTGAGATGCCAAAATCTTACACGTACAGAAGTAGAGAGTGGTATACGGCGTGTCCGGTGGGCGATGCAAAGTTTTACATCGATACATGCAGGATGACACCTGACTGCAAGGCACCTTCTCACATTGTTGAGGATACGAGCCAGTCAGCACGTCGCGAATGTAACTCCGTTTGGATCTCGCGCGTGCCAAGCGAGATTTTGACCTAAAGATAGAAATTTCCAGAGTTCTTCCAGGGTTTTGACCTACATCTTTCAGAGCAGCCACCTTTTTCGGCCATGCCCGTGCCTACCATGATGAGCCTCTGCAGTACTTCTGGCTTCGTATCGTGGCAAGCGTGGCGCAACATGACTCTAATTTGACACCTCCGAACTATACCACACCTCGCAAAGGATTGGTAAGGACCGTGATGCGGTGAGGTAGCATTACGGCCTAGCTGTTGATGCTATATTCGTAGAACTCAATCTCAACGCGATCTGTATTGGTAGGTCGCCCTCACAACTGACTAGTATATTAGTTGCGGTGAGGGCGCCTCGAAAAATCTCTTTTTTCTATCCACAACAATTTCATTCTGATCATCCTCTGCTTGATAACACATTCGCTTCTAGCTGGATATTCTTCGTTCTCACCATACCCAAAACTCAATCACACCAGCAACATCAAACCCTGAGCCGAACATCGATATCTAAACAAGATGCACTTCACCACCACTTTCGCTGCTGTCGCACTGCTGGGAACTGCTTCCGCACTCCCTGGCAAATTCCAGTTCGAGAAGCGCTCGGTCTCTGACTGTGACGCCGCCTACAATGCTTGCCGTACCAAGTATGAGGCCAACATGTCTACTTGCGCCTCTGAATACGCATCCTGTCTTGGATACAACCCTTTCACCGCTGCCGCCTCGCACACTGCACCTTTCCCCATTGACTCTACTTACCTCTACGGACCTACTGGCTCCGTAAACACCATGACTGGTGCGGTTGGAACTGGCCCAATTGGAACTGGCTCCGTCAACCCTCCTACCAGCTCTTCGGTTATTGTCAAGCCTACAAGCACTGCTACAGATGGAAGCACGGTCACTAAGACTTACACCATTCCTGTTGAGGTCACTTCCACCATCACTTCTTTCGTCCCTTGCTCGACTCCTGTCATGTCCAACAGCGAGACCACGTTCTTCAGCACCTGGCTCACCGTGACTTACCTGACAACAACATACCAGACCGTCACTACAAGCTGCGAGACCATCTATCCCAGCTCTACTGAGCCCACCTCGATCCAGGCTTCTGCTACTACCTACCCTGGTAACACTGTTACTGGACAGGCTTCTGGCACTTGCCCCGGTCCTGAAACTGTCTACGAGACTGTGGTCTCTTACGTGACCGTGTATGGCGGCGATGCAACCAAGAGCGGTGCCCCTGCCACCAACACTCCCATCCAGCCCGGTTCCACCCTCAGCTGGTCTCACACTGGCTCTGCCAGCGGTATGGCCAAGCCTACTGGTTGGGTCAAGCCTTCCGGCTATGCTAAGCCTTCAGGTCACTAAACTCTTTCCTCTGTCTGCTCTTTCAACTTGGCTTGATCGAGCGAGTTGTACCGACACAACTATCATACTTTTCACGACACTCCTTCATGATTCATAGATTGGGAATAAAAGCGAACAGCGATTCGGCATAGAGGCGTTTACAGATTGTTTTGTCTGCTTTGATTTGGTCTACAGTGTTGGTGCTCACGCACTACTTAATGTCTTGCGAGGTTTCTGTGTCGAAATGTTCTTTTGATGCTTATGTAGAGATCTTTGTTTTAACCGAATGCGAAATCCTTTCTATCATACAAACTATGAACCTCAAATACGACTCTGAATGCATACATAGATTTCATGCATGACTGCAATCAAGACCGTTCATTGCTGTTTCTTGAATTTCCGAAACGTGATGCTGATGCGAGGTTCCTTGGAAACAGACTTGGGAACTCCATGACGGAAGGACTTTTGTGTATGACCACCCATGGTCAGAACAGATCCATGAGGGCAAGGGACTTTGAGATCCTCTGCATGCAGCGATTGTTTTGGTCGGATCTTGAACACTCGCTCATCGCCCAGCGAAATGATCACAATGTCTGCGTCTTCCTCCATGCCCTCTTCGCAATCACTATGTTGCGCTGTATAGTCTTTTCCGTCCTTGTACCAATTGATCACCACCTGGTTGTATCCAGCATTGTCTCGGTTGACGTACTCCAGAAAAGGCAAGAAGGCGTCTGGAAGAGGGTCGTGGATGCCTGAATTGTCTTGGCCTGAGAACATGTAGCTGAAGTGCAATGCTGGGTCGTAGGTTGGGGTATTGAGGTAGCTTTTGTGCCAGCGAGGTGACACCAATTCGCCAACTGGCATCTGAATTTTGCCTCGTTGTTCAGGATGTAGATTGAAGAGGGTATCAAAGGCATCTGTGCCGTATTTCTTGAGGTCTTCTGGGATGGAATCCAAGGCAATGAAGCTTGCGCCATCGTCGCTGAGGTTGATTCGCTGCGCCATTGTAATTGAATTGGCTAGAAATGTGCAGGGAGGATGTCTCCTTCAAACAAATCGGCAAGACCATCCTTTATACCAACTCTTGTGTCCATCAGTGAGTCAAGGATGTGGCTGGTACTCTGTCAGGCCATCAGCCAAGGCTTCTGCGGTGTCCGAATCCATTGATGATCGCTTTTTTCCTTTTATTTCTTTTTCGTTCTCTTTCTTTCCATCTTCGGGTGACCGACGCCCTGTGATATATGAAACTTGGGAAATTAAACAGTCCTGTTGATCGTGAAGCAGTCAAGAAATATGGGTAGTCATAAAGCAGAAAAATTGGGCAATAACCACAGGTTTGGGTATCATAATTCATCCTCATGCAGAAGACTGGGCCATACGAGCCTTACGTTCTTCCTCCTCTTTCTTGCCGTGCACTCCACGCANAAAGTCCATTTTGCCAATGTAGCCCTGTTTACTTCGGCCGTACTCGTCCAACTCGTCTTTGAGTCCTTCTTGATCCACATGGGCAGCCCAGTCGATGGCCGACTTTTGGACGGTGTTGAGTTTGACAGCCTTGCCTGTTTTGGCCTCTTCTTCCAATCTCTTTTGTTGCGCCAGGACATCGGCTCGAGAAGGAGTGCGCAGTCTTTGGCGCTCTGGTGGTAGACCTTTGACTTCGCCGGTAGGATTAGGCTCGAATTTTGAGGCGCGTCGTAGAGGGCGGCGCAAGGCGGGCTGATCGTCTTTTGGTGTGGGTAAATCTGGTTTGGTCTGTTTCGCAGGGTCGTTGTTTGCGAGGAAGAGCTTCGCTTCAGCCGAATCCTTGTGTACACGCTTCTCTTCGGTCACTTTTTGGCCAGCGAAGTCGTAGGACCGCTTGATGGTAATCATGCCATGGGCATCTTCGCCGTCCTGTGTAGCTGTCTTGTCGGTCTTTTCGGGCGCGCCATCTTTCTCAGGGACATTTTCTTCGAGGTTCGGTTGTTCTCGCGACGGTCGTCCGATAGGTTTGGCGGTCATGGAAGCCCATAGGGCATCGACATCGACGGTGACATTATCGGTGTTGGCTTTTTGGTACTCTTGACGCTCTTGCTTCCTGCGACATACGTTAGCTGTATGCCTACAGTAAGGCGACCATCAGACGTACTCTGCTTTTCTTTGCGCTCGCGTCTTGATCAGACCTCCTTCACCACCGCTGTCCTCATCGTCTGCTTTTGCTTTTTTAGCCTTTTTGAGTTCCGTTATTGTCGCTTCATCTCCAGAGTCCAGCTCTTCGTCATCCTGTTGAGCCTTCTTTCGCTTCTTGGAGGCTTTCTTTGGTTGCGGCGCTTCATCTTCGTCCGAGGACAAGTCCTCATCTTGTGGCGCGTCTATCTCATCTGGATTGAAGTCATCGTCTTCGCTCGACTTGTACTCGTCGTCTTGATCTGTAGGTAACGTGTCTGCGTCTGGCATGTTTTAAGACCGAATTGTTTTGGCGCTGAACGAAGATGGAAACAAGGGCACACTCTGTTTGCACTGTTTGGCTCATGACGCCCTTCTCCGCCTTCTGATTTCACATGCATCACGACCTTTATCTCTCATCAAGGGATATATTTGTTCATTATGCCACTCAAGACGTGGCTAACTATTGTACAATGCCATGTTCATATCGGCATACTTCGTAAAAACCCTCTCGATTTTTACTTCTGGAAGGTGTTGTTCTCGCCGCTGCCCAGGTTTTGCTGGACAGTACCGCCGATTGATCCCTCGGTGGTGAACTGCTTTCCAATTGCACCCTGCGATGAGAATGGTCCACCGACCTTCTCGCCGATCTGTCCGATGTTGCCGCCAGCTAGTGTTTGGTTAGCCATTGATCTATGCTTTTCAGTGGTAGTAGACATACCAGTAAACTGCTTGCCAATTGCGCCGTCTGCGCTGAAGGCAGAGGTGCCGGTGCCTGTGGTCTTCTCGCCTGCAGGCTCGCCTCTAGGAACAGCGTCCTCGTGAACAGCGCTGTTTCCAAACTCGTCGTTTCTCAAGGCAGCGGAGGCACCCTTGTCCATGGTCTTTGCTGAGCTGTCACCGTCCATTGTGTGTGTTGCGTGTGAAAGTGGTGTAAGTTTCGAAAAGATTGATGAAATTGTAAGTTGATTGAAGAAGCAGTATTATTTAGACCCAGCTCTCTTATATTCATACGAACTCGCCAATGCTGTTGCGACGGATTGTCGAGTTCGTCATACTTCAGGAACCATTATGTCATGACAAGATGTACGTAGTAAAGCGTCAATAGATCATCTTTACACGAGAACGATGGAGATACAAATCGTCAAAGAGATCCTGAGCTTCAAGGCGCTCTGTCTTTGTTGATCTGTTCGATCTTCGACTGCTGTTGGTTGCGTAGCTTGTGATGATGCATGATCTCCACGATTCATAATCTCACAGCTGGGTCCCTGCAAAGAACTAGCACATCCTCGATTTTAAGGGTCTTGGACCACTCTTTGACTTTTGAAATTCAGTGTAACACATGAAGTCTTGTGATGCCACTGAATTCTGCTCTGGATGGTACGGTACTCAGTGCAACAGAGTGAAGTCGAGGAGTGGTCTTGAAACAGCAAGAGTCGTTTCGGATTTAATGCGGGTCAATGCCGGTAACTGGATTCGTCGCGATGGCCTATGCTGACAATGCTTCTACGATAGGCGCTGCTTAATTATAACTGTGGTATCGACAAGATTTGAGATCTGTTTGCAGTTGAACAAGGCAAGATGTCTTCAGATTGAGGCTCATGACTTGGATCAAATCTCGGTTACGATTACACAAATGGCAGATGGCAACGGTTTCGTCGGTCTCGGAGAGAGGCCAAGGCAGGCAATCGTTGCCGTCGGGGGCCTATCGCCGGGTCCGATCTGGCGACTAACCAAATCGGGCGGACCCGGTCCCGCCTTGTGGGAAATCCGAAGTCGTCCCCTTGCCAAAAGACCAACCAGCGTTGACCTCTGTACCTCGACGGCGGATTAGCCTTCAAAAGGATTATCTTTCAGCTCTCAGCAAGCAAGCAATCACGGTGAGGCCGTCTGATCTGATTTGTGCGTTTCAACAACAGCAAAGGCGACAGGCTTCGAGTGGCGCTTGATAGCACATGGCTAGTTTTCAACGTTTTCTCCTCCCAATCCGTGCTGGTGCCCACACAACGGCGTTTGAGCCTTGAGCTGGTGAGTCCTACTAAGTTCAGGTCCAAGTCCCTCCATCAGAAGCCCTCTTGTCTGTTCCCTGCCCAGAGAACTTGTCTACATGTTGGCTTGGTCCCTGGTCGCTGTCGGTCGGACGCTTTCGTTCTGCCACATCCATTCCTTTTCTCTCTAGTGCCCTCGACCTCGTTATTTGTCACCAAAATCTACACAGTCTTTGTCACACATTCGACCATTTAGGGTGTCGCAGTTGCACGCAGATCCGGGAAGGTGCATCTAGCACCGCACACAAGGTACCAAAATGCTTTTGGAACGGCCTCTCTCGTTTAAGCGCGCCTCTGCCCGGCAAACATTCTATCCTTACCCAGACTCGCCCGCACTAGGAGAACAAGACCGCAGATCAATGTCCACAACTGGCGGAGCATTGCCTCGGAGGGAGACGTACAGGAGCGGTGTCTACTCATTGCTTCCTCAAAAGACTGGAGAGCAGCTTGCCCGCACGCGGGATGACGACGGATCCGGCGACGAAAGGGACCCAGCAGAGATCGAAGCTGCATATCTGAACCTGGTTGGAGGAGGAGGCAATCGTTCGCGCAACATCAGCTCTGAATTGTCGTTCGGCATGTCTGGCGACAAGGATGGTCCAGACGGCGGTGCATACTCGAGCGAGGAATCAAAGAGGAGGACAAACTACTACGAAGAGCAGTTTCAATACAAAGGCAATGGATTGGGCAGTGTGCGTGAGAGAATTGAGAAGGACTCTCCGGTCGTGGCCGAGCTGCGTACCAATGTCATTGTATGTTGTCGTGTGCACGTGGCTGTCGCGAGGGTCGCCGACTAATGCAAGGGGAAACAGGTCAAGGATGAATTCACCCTCGTCACCGACATGTCGTACAATCTTAGCCAGCGCTATTCACGCCCCGAGAGCAGCATCATGGTTAATGTCGAGCACTCTGCCTGCTTGCTGCTCGCCGGCTCTTTCGAACCCGCATACATCCTCACCATCACCGCTCTCCCCTCGCAATTACAGCCTGTCACCAACAAGCGCAACTCGGCCCTCATCCAATCCTTCATGGCAGACATCCTTGCTGTCCCACCTGAAAGAGGCATCCTTCGGTTCCAGCCTGTTGCGGAAGAGAACCTCGCCATCAACGGTACCACCGTCTTTGGAGAGATTGAGCGTATCGAGAAGAGCAGCATAGACTCCGATGTGACGGCTGCAAACGCCATCAAGCGTGCCTGGACCAGAGGATCACGGAGGTCGGTTCATGCGAAGAAGCCTTCCGTCAGAAACACCGACGACGTTCCTTCGGCACTTCCACAAGTCGCAAACACACACCTCCCCACTACCAGCCACTCTCGCCAACCCAGTCAGAACCTATCACAGTCCGCTGTATCATTGACGTCCCATCCGGGGCCTGCATTCGTCGCCACTGCAACATCTCCCGTACTTGAGGAAAGGGAGAAGCCGCCACCACCAAACAGAGAACTGCCTCCTACACCGATTGGAACACCAAACGGCGAAGACAAGCGTAAGAGCAACTTGAATGGCATACTCAAAAACGTATCTGGCTCTCCTCGTCCTGCCTCAGCAAGTTCTCCCATACCCAAACCACCGCCTATACCACAGAGCGTATCTCCCATCAGTCCCAAGGTGGCCAAGAGGAAGAGTTTCATTTCCATCTTCAAACGGTGATGATCATACACATATAATTCAGAAAGAGCAAGGAGTTTGGGTGGCTAGAGGTTGGTACCTTGCATAACATGGCGTTTTTTCTTCTTCTGCTTTCTTTTGATTATACCCCTCAGCTTGGTTTCTTCGCACTACATGTCTGTTAGTCTTGTTATATACCCCCAAACCGCTTTTTCCTTACAACAACACACTTTTGTTCTGATTGGAAAGTCGACAATCTACCTTTCGACGACGAAATGCCGTCTAATCTTGTAAAAGAATGAGAGAAGGTTCAGAATCGCCCATCTCAGCGATCCTCCCCATGTACTAAATTCTTTAACTCCAACATACTCCGCCTGTAGCAAAGAGCAGAACATAGACTATAGAAAGGCATAATGGTTTTCGGGAGTAGAGGCGTGTGCACAGAGAGTCGACAAATGGTTGTTTCTCAGTGGATACTGTCTTATTTCCTGTTACTATTGTGCATTTCTACAGCCATACGCATCATACACTTTAGTATACGGGAGGATGTTATTCTGGATTCCTCTCTCTACCTTGCAGGGGTTGTCCCCATGTTTGTCTTTTTCCTCTCAACCTTCAAAGTCAGTCTTGAGGGTGTTGTTGATGCCTGTCATCAGCGCTCCCCTTGCGCAAGGGGCGCTTGTTTGTGGTTGAGATCAACGATAATGACGACGTTGAGACCGCTATTCAAGCCAATCTTATAAGTACCAAGCACAAGTTTGAATATCTTAAACACTAATTGGAGGACAGGCTGTAAGCACGCACAGTTCCGATCTCCCCATGTACCAAAGTCTGTAACTTCTCCGTACTCCGACTATAGTTCAGAGCAAGATCTAGACTATAAAAGGCACAATTGTTATCAGAAACAGAGCGTATCCACAGAGAGTCGACAAGTTGTTGCCTCTCAATGGCTACTATCTTGTTTTCTTATGTTATTCTGTAGTTCTACAGGTACACGCGTTACATACTTTAGTACACGGGGAGAGAGGACAAGCCGAATACCATCAGGAATACATCTAGTGTCAACACTGACGCCGACGACAACCCTCTGAAGACTATCCGCGAGCTTGTGGATGAGCAAGGCCCTCGTGTCGGTGACCATACCCCTATCAGTCCAACCAAACTTGCGGAGGTCCGCCGAAGACTCCACAATGCCGTGCCTCAGCGACACCAGGTAGGTGTACACATGCATTTGCTCGGCATCGTGGAAATCACACCCACAGCTCATGTATTTCATGGCAACCCTCGCAACTTCCGCTTCCACGACGAGAGCCTCCGTCCAGGACATATAAAGATGGCCCGGGAGATCATAGCCATCGAGCCCGATCGCAAGTTGAAGTTGTTCGAGACGCCCTCGGGCAGCACCGAAGACGCAGGATTGAGGGCTTGCTTGACCCTTGGCAAGTTGAGGCCGATTGAGACGAGGTGAGTGGCCACAACGATCGTGCCGTTGGGTGCGGAGAAACCGGCAATTGCGCCCTTGCGTTCATTGTCGTACATGTCGCCATGACATTCAAAGACCATGTTGTTGGCGGTGCTGAGATTGAACAAGCCAAGGAGTTGGGTGTAGATCTTTCTGGCGTGCTTCTTGGTGCGGCAGAAGATGATCATGAAACTCTCGGGCGAGGGACCAAATCGGGGAAGACAGAGTGCAGCATGTACTTGATGTCGCCGAGCCACTGAGCAACCCAAGAGGACTGGCTCATCATGGGTCCAATCGGCAGTGGAAAATCACTCCTTCTGGCTCTCCAACTCATCCGAAGCGCACAAGAGATGCTCGCCTCTGTCAAGCGCAACTTGGCAGCAGTGGCTCCTCTCGCCACGCGTGACATGGTGCGTGAAGCAGAATTCCTGCCCAAAGCCTTGTCCTGGAAATCACAGATCTGTGCGCAGTCGGTGGTTGGTCAACACCGATGCTGCCGCAAAGTTGCTGCTTTCCCAGCAGACTCACATCCTCATCGGCACACCAAGTGGCCGAAACGCTGAACAAGGCCAACATGAGCTTCGACGACACCCTCCTCTTCGCTCTGGACGAAGCAGACGAGCTGCTCTCTCCTTAATGTGATCAAGATGGGCAAATAACAGATGGAGTTGTTCCAGCTCGATCAGCGCTGGAAGGTCGTGCTCTCGAAGAGGCGCTGCATGGCGATCGCTTGGGTCATCGGCAGGGGAGGTAACTCTCATGAGCTTCATCATATCCTCGAAATAAGGCTGTACTGGCCCAAAGAACTCGATCGCTTGTTCGATGGGCACACTGGCCGAGTCGTCTTCCTGTGCATCGTCGTCGGTGGAGGGTTTGAAGTTTTCCATAAGCCTAAGCACAATCAGTAACCACAGTCTGTAGCTGCCTTGATACTTGACTTACTGTCTTTTGACTTCGTTCATGGCACCGCGGGCAGTCGCGAGAGGGTAAACCTCACGGATGAATGCGTCAAGCTCATGACGACTCTCTGGGCTCAGTGCATCGAGTTGCTCGTTGAACTGCTCCACTGAGTTGTTGTCGGCCGGCTTGATAGCATCCACAACCTCTGCGGGAATAGCAGGGGGTTGATGGTCTGCCAGGACACCGGCCGCGCGCGCGGGCCGGCATCGTCATGACTGGCGGCAGTGGGAGGGTTGGCAGGCATCTGGGCGATGCGGCGGTGTGGTGGTAATGGACGCTGTTGATTGTTCATTGATGGCTATGGGCACTGTCAGAAAACATAGAGAGAGTGTGACACAAAGAGTGAGGGTGTGATGAAGGAGCATGAGATCGTGAGAGAAAGCTGACTCCTCAAAACTCGCCTGTGCGCTACGAGAGTGTGACATACCTCTTTGACTTGGCTGGCTGTGTGTTGAAGTGGGAGCTAAGATGGAGTGCACAAAATACTTCGATGGAGGCTCTCAAGATCGCAAACACAACAAGCACTCGCCAGGATGTTTAACATTGATTGTGCGCGTCTTTGAAGATAACAGAATGGGCAATTCTGAGCCCTAACCATGTTCCTCTTCATCCCTTGAGCGTAAAATGAAAGCCCAAAATCTTGCAACGAAACTTTTCTGATCTTATGGGCTCTCTTTGGACATCTCATCACTCTGGATACGATTATGCATTGTGATAGCTGATGTTTCTACTCATGCCCCTTGGGGATGCCTGTTTCCAGAAGCTCTCTCTGGGCACATCTTTGAGTTGGATGAGTTTGTGCAGTTTGACAGTTGATGGATCATGTCTACGTCCACTGAGAGTGTTGACTCAGCAATGTTGTTCTGAATTCCTCTCTAACTTGCAGGATATATCCCTATGTCCGTCTTTTCCCTCCCAACCTTCAAAGTCTTGAGGGTGTCATTGATGCAGCCCTCGCGCGAGGGTCTGCAAAGCTTTATCGGGTACCCCTTTTCTGCCATCCATGTCTGAGATGATTCCAGAATACCAGGGGTGTCAGAGCAGGGATATCACGGTATGCGAACGCCACGATGCACCAGGGCATCGAGTCCGTACNCAGATCGTCAGTGAACTGCTCCCAACCACCGATGACATTGCCGTCAGCGCCAAAGTCTGTAGTTTCCGCATAACCGAGAAGGCCGGAACGGTGCTCAGACTCGAAGAAAAGCCCTTGCCAAGCCGATTCGAGGAATTCCTTCATTTCTCCACTCTGGCGGTCATCTAGCTCATGATTGAAGCGACAGTAACCTGGTAGAAAGCCGAGGAACGCGCCTGACTTGATAGGCACTGTTGAGAATGCTCTTGGTAGGCCATTTTCATCATCCCTGATCGTGATTGCCCAAGAGTAATTGTCGTTTCGGAATCCGCGATAGCCATATTTCAAAGTAACTTCGTTGTTGGCGAGCTCTTCAACGGGTTGTCTCTTGATACCCTGTGTATGGCTGGTGTCTGCGTGGAATTCCACCTCCTCGGTAAGGTATTTNNCTAAATGGCGGTTAGCAAAATCGGTCTCAAAGAGGTCAGCATCACCTACCCAAATCACACGGAAGTCGTGCCAGGAGTCACGTTCAGCTTGCGGGATGTTCCCGAACAAAAGCATCTCGCGGCGCCCAGAGTAATATCCCTTAGCTCGGCTGAAGGCACGAGAACTCATTTCGGCCGGCAGCGAGCCAAACAACTCGATCCAAGGTCGCAAGGTCACTTCCGGATCACTGATCTTGCCAAAGGTGGAGTCCAGGTTCTTGACATTGACCATGAACAACCAGCTGTGACCTTGCTCGCGTAACCATGCCAGGCACTTGTAGTAGCTTCTGCGGCGGCTACGCCATCTGCTGGCGGAATAACCTTTGTTGATGCCGTCCTGTTCAGGGCGTTCATAGAGCAAGCCGTGAGACTCAATGTCCTGCTGGGTAAGTCTGTAGTCTCCATATCCCTTGGGGAATTTTTCACCCAGCGCCATGTATATGAGCTCTTCGTTCCCAATCTCCACTTCCATGCTGTGCTCGGTGTTGATGCAGTACTTTTCGATGAGTGGCCAGACCCAGGACTTCATACCTTGTCTCGCGTATGCCATGTCTCTTTGGTCCGGCACAATGCCCTTGATGCTCTTCACAGTACCATTGAGATCGGCCACCTTGAAGGTAGGTTCGTGACAGTACCCTGCCAGGCTCAGCGTCTGAGGCGGNNATTCACCTGCGGCAGCCACAGCCGATTCGGCCTGGCGAAGTTCCTTGTCCCAGTATGTTATCAGCGCCTTGACTATCAACTGTCCTAAGTCCTTGACCATCGGAAGTGTGGCCTTGAACTGAGGGTTGACTGTCCTGTCGTTGTTGTCTTCAAACGCGTCCAAGATACGCTTGTGCAGCTCGATGGCAAAGGACTCCTGAGACAACCCACGCACGTAGATTTGATCTGCATTCTCAGACATATCGACATCTTCTTCATCAACGTCCGGGCGGTCATGCATAACCTCGTCATTCTCAACAGTAGCCGGATTCAGTGTGTTGATGGCTGGTTGTTCCAGTGAGTCGAGTTCGTGGCCTCCTTCCCAGATGGTAGGTGGATGATCAGGCTGGATTGCGCCGCGTCGGACTAGCTCTCGTTTCAAAGCGTCAGCCGTGCAGATTGCCAGATTTCTCTGAAGCTCAAGATCCGAATGGTCGCCTAGACCGACCAGACTTGCGAACTGCGCTGCTAAAGTGCACAGCTGATCCTGAGCAGACTCCATGAGTGCGTATCTGGCGCTATGCTTTCAGCAGAGGCAACAAAACTTGGACGCTGTGTCGAGTCAAAGCGAAGAAAGAGATTTGATGTGACGAGTGAAACTGGAGAGCGGAAAATGGGGTTACTTCGTGCTGGAAGAGCGACTCGGAACGTGTAATGTACAACAAAAACAAAGTGAAGGCTCGACCAAGGAGCCTCCACTGTACTCCGACTACAGCAGTGAGTAGATTACACACTGTAAAAATGCACAGTTCTATTCTAAAACAAAGATTGGCCAAAGAGAGCTGCTAAGAGATCGCCTCTCTGTTGACACTACCCTTTCTCTGATACTATTGTGCATTTTTATAGCCATACTCGTTGAGTGCGTTGCAAACGGGGAGGGACGAACGAAGGTCCCTATTCGCTCATCCCAGCGACTTCCCAATGGATGTACTCTATTCTACGTCCTCCATGCCCCTTCTTCTGCCCCTAGCAGTCCATGTTTTGAGCATGTTCTTCATGCAGCTGACTGCGAAACTCTTCTGACAAAGCCGGGTTTGAACTTCAGGCGGTTCCAGGATATCATATTATGGTATGCAAGATACCTTCCCCTTCAAGCTCTTCCTCTCCAGACTTTGAAGTTTGATTGGGGAGATCGACGCCCTCATCTTCTTTCCCTCCTCGTGTACTAAGGACTGTAACTTCCACCGTACTCCGATTGCAACCGACAACAAAATGTAGACTATAGAAAGGTACAATTGTTCGGAGAAGTAGAGGTGTGTCCACAGAGAGTTAACAACTTGTTACCTCTCAGTGGATACTATCTTTTCCCTATCACTATTGTGCATTTCTATAGCTATATGCATTACTTACTCTGGTACACAGGGAGGCCAAGACCTTCTCATCCTCTGATGCTTTTGCATCTTCTGCATTCTGAACCGAACCATCTGATGGGGAAGGAGCTGGACCCGGGCCTTTTTCTGCGTTGTCGTCTTCCTCGGAGTTCGAGGATTGAGCAGCGCTAACCACGGGTTTGATAGGAGCCGTCTGTTGCTGTTGCTGATGGATACTTGAGATTTGCGAGGTGCCCTGCTGCAGGCCATTGCTCCGAGCCTGACGATTCCTGTTGTTTACTGCAATAGTCTGAGCAGCCTCGTCCTGTGCGTTGACGAAGTGGTTGTGGGCGGCCACTGTTCCATTGATCAAGTGTTGAGGTACTGCATGCCCGGCGTCCTCCAGCTGTGCTACGCCTGTAGTCGATTGTATTCACCGAGTGCGTATTGATCCCCTTTGGCGAGTCTGGTCAGGGCATCTTTCACTCCCCCTCGTGATTGTCGTATTGTGGGGTGCCGGCAGGGATGGTTGGAGGGGCGCAGACTCTGAGCCTGGCGATGAAGCCGCTTGCAACTCAACACAAAGTCATCCGGGACCTGGAAGGGTCATTGCTGCTGCTGATGAGTGCTTGGAGGAGTCTGAGAAGCGTTTCGCTGTGGTAGAGTATTCTTCCATTCTGACGAGTCTAGTCAGGGCATTTCTCGAAGACCTCATGTAATTGTTGTATGCTGGGGTGCCAGGAACGACGGCTCTAGTAGGGACGATGTTGAAGCCATTGATGAAAGCATTTCCCCTGTGGCTGATGACAAAGTCATCCGGGACCCGCAAGGGCTGCTGCTGCTCTTGCTCAGGCTGCCGTTGGATTTCCTGATTCTGCTGTGCTGTAAGAGCATTAGGAGCGGTATCAGGGGTAGGCTCGATAGGAGAGGCGGAGTTGGTGGTTGCGGCAGGTTTGGTGAGAGAGGCGGGTTTGGTGGGACCGGCGGGGGTGGTTGAAGGAGCTGCTCCTACAGCAGAACCAGCGAGAGGGTAGGGTCATCTCGGGGCTGATCCCAGCGCTCAACCATTGGTATGGACTGGCGCATGAACTCTGCCATGTACCGTTGATACTCAGGACTCTCAGGATCCATGGTGGTGGGAGGCCAGATTTTGACGGGTTGAATTACTCCTGCCAGATTGTCGGTGGATGATTTGGCTGGATGGCGCCGTGTTGGATGAATTCATCTTTGATTGCGTCGGTCATCCGAACCGCCAAAGATCTCTGAAGTTCGGGGTCGGAGTGGTCACCTAGACCGGCCAGAGCTGCGAATTGGCTGGCCATGGCGCACAACTAGTCCTGCGCAGACACTAGGTCCTCCACGGACTGATGCGTGTTTGGCGCCATGGTGTCAGTACAGGTAAAGAGATCTGGGTATTATGACGGATGTGAAAGAATGATGAGGTTTGATGTAGCAAAAAGATCTGGCCGCAAAGGAAGTGATGACTGGAAGAAGTTTGAAAGGGGGCAAACAAACAAAGTGAAAGCTCGAATGCCTCCGATAACCTTGGAAGCTGCTACCATTGATGTTCTCTTACTAGAACCGTCGTGTGCTTTGCCGAAGCTCCTTCTCTGTCTGATGTCGAGGTCGTCCTGCATGCCTTTTTCGCAGCGAGGCACCTTCTTTTGCGACTATGATAATGCACAACTGATTTACGCCAGAGACGTTCCCGGAGAGACTTTGCAGTTAGCGGGCTCTCACTGGCATCAGCTCTCTTCTGGAAGCTTTCGTGCATTTTTACAGTCGTTTATGGACAAGCTTGTGCACATGAGATATAAAAAGGGGTTACCGGGATCTTGTGCCCCCAGTGCTGTCATTCGAATCTTAACCAGTTTGCATGACAATGCAATTAGACAAGTGTGCAAGAGTAGCCTGGGTAGGTGAGCAAACATAGATGATAGGTATTGAAAATTAGGACGATGCACGAAGTGATATGTTTTGAGTCGACCAAGGAGTCTGATGATTACCCTTCGCCCAGACAATCCAAACAACAACACCACATAGTCCAAAGGCGTCTGAACGCATGCTAGCAGGATTCAATGAGGGAATGCCGACGGTCTTTGAGATTGTTCTAATGTGATTTGTATTTTGGTTGTGAGTTTATATACGTTTGTTTTCTTGTCTTCATGGATAGAAAGGAGTGTACAGCTATTTCGCCAGATACAACAACCCAAGCGATATAAAAAGGTGTGAAGCCACCTAGCTAGAGATCATTAAGGTAAAAAGGTCATCATGATTTCATGTCCTCCATAGTCTTTTGGTCATGGAGGGGATCAAAAAAGGTGTAGAAAGAAAGAGAATAATAAGGGGGTTTACACAAGAAGTGAAGGAGAAAGGAAAGAGCAAGGGATTAGAGCGGGTTAACCCAGCATCTAAAAGAAGAAGATGGCAGCCATAGCGGCGACGGCGGCCATGAAGCTTGCGTTGGTCTTGCTGGCAGCACCAGTGTACTGAGCAGGGGTCGAGACGGTAGCAGAGGCGACAGAGCCGCTAGTGCTGCTAGGGGCGTTGGCGTGAACAGAGCTGCTCAAGACAGAGTGGACTGAAGAAGCAGCGGATCCAGAGCTGGCGGGGGCAGTGGGAGCAGACGAAGGGCCAGGAGCTTGGATCTGACCATCGCTGATCTGGGTGACAACGTTGCCAGTGGGCTTGACAGACGAGCTGGCAGCGGAAGTGGTTGCAGGAGTGGTAGCAGGGGCGGACTCGACGGGCTTGCTGCTTTGGACAGGAGCAGACTCAACAGGGCTCGACTCAACAGGAGCGGCAGGCGACGATGCGGGCTTGCTGCTCTGAGCAGGGACAGATTCGACGGGCATGCTGCTCTGAACGGGAGCAGACTCGACAGGCTTGGTGCTCTGGACGGGGGCAGACTCGACGGGCTTGGAGCTTTCAACGGGAGCAGACTCGACAGGCTTGCTCGACTGGGCGGGAGCGACAGGCGAGGATGCAGGCTGGGTCTCTGCGGGAGCAGAAGGAATCACGGTGCTCTCGGCAGGGTGGCTGACGATCGAGGTTGTCATGAAGACTGAAGTCGAGCCGTGTGCATCAGTAGTAGTGTAGGGGCAGGTAGTAGTGTACTGAGTAACGGGAACGACGACAGTAACCTTGCCGGAAGAGCCAGGGGCAGAGTTGGTGACAGGCGAGACAGGGGGAAGAAGCAGGGGTCGAGACGACAACAACGGGGTAAGAGCTGGTGACGACCTGGCTGCCCGAAGCACATTCCCTTGCAAGAAACGGTGAGCTCAGTGGTGCTGTACTTTGTAATCGTGGTGGGCTTGGGGGCCTCAGGAGCAGAAGTTGCGGGGATCTGAACTGAGCCAGTCTTCGAAACCTTGATGATTGAAGTTGCGGTCGAGACGGTCATGTAGGTCGTTGTCTTGGTAACGCCACCGGTGACATAAGAGCTGACAGCAGGGCAGGTAGTCAGATAGGTTGTTGTAACGTCGGTGACGTACTGGGTGGTTCCATTGCTGTACACGGGAGCAGTGGGGACGACATGGCCTTGAGTAGATGCGGTGACAGTAGCGTAGCTAGTGTAAGTGCTTGTGATAACTGAAGGGGTAGTCAAAGTGGTCTTCGATCCACCAGTCGAGATGACCTCACCAGAAGAGCAGGTAGTGATGGTGGTGATGACTTTGTCGGTGACGGTCTTGGTCTTCTCGGAAGGAACGGGGACGGGGACCCAGCCCGAAGGAGCGACACCAGAAGGACCAGCATGGCCCTGAGTGGTTGCGTTGTGGATAGGGTAGGGAGCAACAGGAGTGCTGCTCTGCGAGGGTTGTTGAGTCTTAGAGCAACCTCCCTTGCAGGAAGTGAGAGTTTGGGTCAGAGTTGTGGTATATGTCTGGGTCAAGGTCTTGCCAGCGCTGACAGTGGTCTCAGTGATTGGGCAGACCGTGGTAGTTGTGTAGACTTCCTCAGTCTTAGTCACATCAGGAACAGATGTAGGCTTCTGGCAGCCTCCCTTGCAGCTAGTCACAACGAAAGTGCTGGTGGTTGTGTAAGTGAATGTGTGACCCTGCTTGGTAGTGGTAACGGGGCACAGCGAAGTAGTTGTGTAGTAAACGGTCTCGGTGGATGTGACGTTCTCAGCAGGCTTAGTGGAAGAAGAAACCCAGGACGAAGAAGGGGCCTGAGTGGGCTTGTGGCAGCCACCCTTGCACGAGGTGACGGTCAGTGTGCTCGTAGTAGTATAGATACTTGTGTGTCCGTTGACGACAGTCGTGGCGGGACACACTGTTGTAGTAACGTATGTGACAAGGGTGGAGGTGGTGTTAGGCTCGACCGAAGAAGAAGGAACCCAAGAAGAGCTGTGCTCAGGAACCCAGCCGGTAGGCTTGATAGAGGCAGAAGAGCTCGAATCAGAAGTCCAGCCGGTAGGCTTGATGGCCGAGGGAGACGAGGAGGTCAGGGCAGAAGATAAGGAAGCAGATGAGGATTGAGTCCATGTCTGGTTCCAGTTTCCGGCAGAGGCAAGACCAACAAGGCCTGCGAGGATTGAGAAAGACTTCATTCTTTTACAGATATTTAAGTCGATGTCAATTGATTATTGCTTTTGGTGTGTAAACGAAAGTATCCAAGAGAGACCGTAGCGAGAGAGTCTCTAAAGGGTGGATTAGTAAAAGCGATTGGGATGATAAAACACTTTAGAGGGCGAGGAAGGGACAATTAATATATCTCACCTTCCCCAGCATGTTGACTGCCCAAGCTCAAGATGCCCCATCCTTCACGTCTGGTACTCTACCAATTGACGTGATTTGGAGTGCGCCACTGATGAGGATCAGCCGGTCCCCAGCACTAGTAGATCGGGTGTATGTTGACTTGCTGGCAAACGCATGGTTGGTACGAGGTGAGCGGAGCAGCCGACTACCTTGAGCTTGGCAGAGATGAGTTTTTTTCGTATCGGAGTCGATAGCTCGAAGGTTCGTTCGTCGTCCAAGGACCGACTCACGCGGCCACGCCATGACTAGAGGGAACAAGAGATCCACCTGCATGCATGCAAGCGTACCCCAGCCAACCAAGCTCCCAGATGCAAGCACCTTGTGCAGAACATTCACCATATGCAGCATGCAGAGCCTGAATCTGGTAGAGCGTTTACCTTACCATTGTGTTTCGATCGGGTTCCTGCTGGTCCATTGAGCGTCACGACATGACGTTGTGCATGTTGAAGCACTCTCAGACAAGGCGTTTTCGTATGCTCGTTGACTGAACGTTTTGGCTTCGACGAAACTCAACGGTGGGATGATAGGCGCAATGGGCTTCCATAACCCAAGACAATGAACCTGCAGTAGCGTGCCAATTGGCAGAAAGACGAACGAAAGCCTGAAGCAGAAAATAGAAATGGCATCACGTCGATCTTGTGGAGAGGACAGGGCCGTCCACAACCGAGACAGCCACAAACGAACCACACAACCTTAACTTGGCCGATACTGCTTCGCGACAAGAGGCTCCAGGTGCGCCATGTCTGTTTTGCACTGCAACGAGAAAACCTTGCTTGTGCTGATGGATTCTGGAGTCGCATCATCGGACTTCGAGCCCTCAACAAAGGCTTGGGAATATCGTATTCCCACTGAGAGCTCTTCGCGGCTATTCGAGTGCTGCATCGCTTCACAAACTCGAGAGCTGAGTGGCTTCCCGTACGAGCTACTTGATTAGAGGGCCTTGAATACCTTATCATATCACGAGGTCACACTTTTGCGGAAGAGATACTATTGTTATACAGCGCTGTATCGTGTATACGAGGAACAAGCAGATGTCACGCCCACCACCGCTCTCGTCTGGTCAGTGAGGTTGCATCGACCAAGCCATCCTTCGCTCGATGCTGGACGCATGTGATGTGTCGTGCTTTACTAAAACTCGCGACGAGGTGCATCCAAAGGATTGAAGCCACCGACGCCATGAGCTCGCCTTAAGAGCACGAGCATTGGCAACGTCCATGTTCTTCTCTGAATCGTTGTTGCCGCCATCCGCGCAAGAGGGTCTATGCTTACGACCTCAGGAATCCACTCGTAGTCGCGATGAGTAGAGTTTCTGGACTTTTGCCCTCTTTTGACAAGAGTGGAGCAGAGCACGCTCTGTTCACGTCTTTGAGAGTTTGGTTCGCATGGTAATGCAATTGAATCGACCAATCACAAAAAAGAAGAGGCTGCGGGTTTCCCTCGGACAGCGCTTTTCAGACTTTTGTTCTGTCCGCCCAGCTCTCTTCGCTTGTCCTCAGAAGCTGGTTTCTCACGCCATCCACTGGGAGGCTGCCTGGCTCGCAAAGTCATGGTAAAAATGGAAATATGTATGCAGGTACACAACAAAGTTCCGCTCGTCACAAGAACACAAAAACAAAACATGCATCTCTAATGGTAGCTCACAGCCGAGCATATACGAGCGACTGTTTATTTTTGTTGAGGGCTCGCGATGATTTTTTTCGTGGTGTTGCTGTCTTGAGAAGCTCACCCACCCATACAATTACTCATGATATGCACTCCACGAGAGCTAACGCAGCCTGCATGGCCAGATCAGCGCCCCAAACTAGCATCTTCTTCCGTCCGTCCAATCTCCCAGCCGACCCACCAAGGCATCGACTTGAAGAGGAAGGAGAGGAAAAATGCTTTCGCACATTCAAAAAAAGTTGTGACTGCAAGGTTAGGCACTACCCTGTTGATCAGCTGTCATCCTTGTCCATGTACCCTGCAGGGCAAGAGTGAAATCAAGATTCGGCAAAAGCACCAAAAGTATTTGTACCTTGCAGAACTCTTTTGTTGCATTCAGCCGAATTGAATTCTAAGAGTCATCGTCGCTGTCGTCGTCGCTATCCCATCCATCTTCATATTCCTCACAGATGCCAACAAGGCCATCGCAAAGCGCTTCGCGTTCGTCAATCCCAATTATTGAGCGAGCGATCCTTTCCACTGCACGGATTCTTTGTGCGACCGAGGTGGTCGTCGATAGCGTCGCGTGCACAGCGAGCTTCTGAACAGTATTGCCCGATGCAAATACTTGCGGGAAGCTGTCGACGACAGGGAAAAGCAATGAAGATTGATGACTGTAAATTGTTTTGTCAGCACCTCATACTCGTGTTCTGCCGTGACGTCGCAACATCACAATCTCCATATGTTTCAAAACTCACCTTTCAATCCTGGGACCATGGCCAAAGCGATCGCGGGAAGCGAGGTTCGTGTCCTCGATTTCAAGGCTTGACTTCCATTTGCCGCGCAAGCTTTGCAGTTGACTGAATACGTGAGTTCGGCGGCTTTGTTGTCCCCGTTCGCCAGTCAGGTTGGCAGTCTTTGGCTGCATGTCAATGTCGAGGTCCTTGCTCTCTGCATCGTCATGACCATGTGTTCCGTTAGTGAAACCATTCATTCTGCTGTCGTGTTGTGATGCATGGCCATCTGCTTCGCCCTCAAGCTCGGCCGGGTCTTTGATGCTCATATTGACTTGAGCGATTCTGCGGTTGCCATCGTTGCTCAACAATGTCTCAATATCAGCAAATGACGAACGTCCTTGCTGGCTCAGGCGCAGTCTAGTTGGTAAAGTCATGCTTTCCATGGCTACCAGCTGCAGTGCGGAGGTATGCCATTTGGATGAGCCATTCAAATTGACGTACGGCGGTAGTACATCTGGCAACGTGGTGAGCGGAATGTACATGCTCGCCTGGCTCGAGATCTGGTAGATTGACTGTGCGACATTGGCAACCTGTAAGATTTGCTTGTNCCTGTATCATGCACGCGTGGCATTAGTCCGTGTATCAAGATTCTCGTGCATGTGCGTACTGACCCTTGGCTTGCGTCCACCTTCCTCGAGTCCCCATACCCAAGCACTTGTCTTGCCCAGCTCGTCTCTCATTCTTTCCAGATATTTGGCTGTGAAGCCGCCCCAGGCATCATCGGCAGAGGTAATCATTTGAATTGCTTGCAGTTGATCACACTCTTCTAGGAAAGGTCGCAGGTCTCTATCCAGAAGGTCGTGTTCTTTGTCGAGACTATCGAACAAGTCTTCTCCAGTAGCCCATTTCTCAAAGGGCATAAGAGCGGAGTTTAGCTCATACTCCTGCAACTGAACAATAGATTTGGGATGATAGAACACCCTGTTGTAGTCGGACCAGTAGCGAACAGTGTCTGGCGATAAAGTGGGTGGCTCGAGACCCTGGTCCAGATGCTGCTGATATACACTTTGCTGGATCTGTTCTGTGCGAATAACGTTTGTGTTTCCAGCCCTGGACATTCGTTAAGTCATCTTCTGTATACACAGTCGAGATATACATGAGACATACCACATCTGCTGTGCAATCGCTGTAGGATCATCTGCTGCACCATAAAGTGCATTGTCCCTCCTCAATGTACCGAAAGCACCTTTGAGATCATATATCAGTGCGCGGGGCGTGAATGTTTCTGTGCCATCTTCCGAGTGTCCAGGTCGAAAGTGGATGTCATGGTCTACTGGAGATTCTTCTTCATCGCCATACGTAAAATATGCTTCCTGAATGTGAATCAGTCAATTTCTGTTCTAGTAAAGCCTGAAGCTCTAATTCGCCACAATCTTCGGTTTTGTACGACGTAGACTGCTGGATTTGACCATTTCGATTTCAAGGTTCTTCGTACACGACCGCATATTGGAGGGGCTGGGAACGTTGTGGAAACAAGAACTTACCTGCGCGTTCCAGAAGTGTGTACCAACGTGGTTGGCTTGTTGACCAAACTGCAGTGTGATCACTTCATGCATCTTGGACGAAGGTAATATTGCTGTTGAAACCAGACTGAATCGCGGCGAAAATGCGAAGCAAGATCAGGCCGTGAGGCGAGAGCTTTCACCAAACGCGGAGATGGACGATGAGGCAGAAAAAAGAAATAATGAAGAAAAAACAATTAACCACTTCGGCTGGATAAGGCAATACGATGTCTTTATGTTTCGTTATTCGTTATTGTTATAGAAGTGATACAGGCTCTACGGATTGTAATGAGAGCAGCTAAAAATGACCTTCTAACCCATGAGCTGCAAGGGTGTTGTTGGAGGCCAGCGAGTTTGTGAGAAACTCAAGCATCTCTTGATGGACTGTAAGAACTTCCGAGTGATCTCATCACTCATGATATGTGCCGCATCCTTGTCGTTCGCATGTAGCTTCTCGCGTGCAGATCTTTCGTGGATACCAACCATGGTGACACCGATGGGCCATGNCACTGTTATATCGTTAGCAATCTGAGAGACAAGAAATAATGAAGAGTCGACTTACGCTTTACCGATACTCAAACGCAGGTAAGCATCGTTGGCATCAACATAGCGTCTCTCCTGACAGGCTCGGACAATTTCAACAATCGGACCCAGAATGCCTTCTTCTACCTCTCCTTTCTCCAACTTTCGGTATAGTGGCACCATGCTGTCGCGAGCTTGAACCATGGCACTGTAGGCAGCTTTACCACTACTGCTTGTCTTAACAGCCTCATCTCGAAGAGACAGCGAGACTTGCCACTCTGACAGGACCAAAGTGAAATAGGAAGCGAGCTGGCGGTAGAGAAAGGCGCGGCCTTCAATATCCTTGGGCACAACATCAGAGACCTTCATGTCGGCTTCGGGTACAGGCTCAAGGGTAGTGGGTATGGGACCAGAATACATGATTGCCTTCGGCTTGCCTGGAGCATCGATTCCAGCGAGTTTTCTGTATCGTCGCAGTTGACCGTTATGCGTTTCTCCAAACAAGCGCACAGGCTCGTTCATGTCCCTCAACTTTTGCACGAGCTCCTCTGGCGGAATATCGTTCTCAGGCACAGGTGTGGCATCACCGCTCTCGATAGCCTTCTCTTTCGGTGGTAGATCTGGTAGTCCCAGCCTCTTTCTGCGAATCCTTTCTTCCCGTTCCTCTTCTTCCTCTCTCAATCTTCTGCTCTCTTCTGCCAGTCTCTTCCGCTTCTCCTCCCTTGCTCTGTTCTTCTCTGCCTCGTCTTCTTCGAATTTGCGCTTCTTCTCAAGCCTAGCGATTCGCGCATCTTCTATTGCTTTTTGTTCGGCGGCGTAGTCGGCTTGTCGTTGTGCTTCGACGTCGGCGCGTTTGATGTACTTGGATGGTTTCGCTTCTTCTGGCGTCTGCGACTTTGGTGTCGGTTTGGCTTTGGCGATCTGCGCCGACATGAGTGATGCGAAGTCCATCGTGTGCGATCAATGTAGTGTTCAAGTAATAGAATAGGCCGTTGCTGATAATAGTTTGGTATGCGACTCGTTCGGTCGCCTCTGTTGATTCGAAGGAAGGCACATCTTATCGCGGATCTGCCCGCTGCGGTGATGCACTAGACCTCCGAGACCTGTGTCGATTGTACATCTTCAATGAGTTTTCCTACTGGTAATTACTTCGCACATCGGTGACTACGAATAAACACGTTCTCGATTGGGTACAACAAATAAATTGAATGGTTATTGATGTCGGTCGATTCCAGTATCTTGTGTGAGCTCAGCTTACTTTGTGCATGGGCTTACGGAAGAATATCACAGATTGCAATGATCGACGACAACATGCAAGCATCGACACATGACTACTTTAGCACTGACCTGTATGCCACAGTATATCAATAAGCAGTAGACCACGGGCCTAGTTGTTGTCAAACATCTGAGGATGAGATCGATTTTTAAGAACAGGGTCGTACCCACAGCAATGACTAATGTGGCTCAGTTCTGTCTAATCGCATTAACCATTGAAACGTAAACATCAAATATCCATCATGGTAGGACCGCAGCCTAGAACTGCAGGTGCCGCAAACCCAAGTCCACCAAGGGCCCACAATGCCAGTACAATCAACATCTTCCTCGGAGGCGGCTCAGTCGACATGATGGCCGCTCTATCGCGATTTCGCCCATTCAACAATGCTGCCCCTAGATCGTGCCTATTGTCCCATACCGTCCTTTGTCCAGTCTCAAGGAATGGATTGATTGAGCATTTGATGATACCCCACAGGCTTGCCAAACTCACTACAATCCAGCTCAGAAGGAAGACCAGACTAAGGACAACATCCAAAGACATGGCTGTCAGAGCAGGGTCGTGATTCAAGAAATCCAGCAGACTGAGTTTCATGAAATGGTCGCGGACGTCAGACTGGTTGAGATACAGTCGGTGGGAACGGTTGGCAGGATTTGCGACAACGGTCCTAAAGAAGACAAGGTAGGTTGACCAGGCATGGAGCAACATAGACAAGATACCAGTCGTAGCGAAAACCTTCGTTTGCGCTTCCGAGATGCTGATAAGTCGGCGATGATGATTGTTCACCTTGGGTAATATCCATGAGATGAGTGGAAGCATCATTGGAAAGATAGAGGTGAACAACAACGATCTTTGAAACAACGGACTGTTGAGAGTGTACATCATCATCCTGGCGAAAACGTGGTGCGCCAGCGACACGACTCCGACAAGCATGTGTAGCCATTCGATGTCAAACCAGCTACTACCTCTTGATGGAGGCGTGAGAAGTATGAACCCGAATAACAAGCAATGTGCACAGCTAAGGCTCGTCATTGCTACCCAGACGAATGCAAGCATGGTGATCGTCTTCAACCGACGAACGTGAGCTTTTCAGGAATGCAAGTTAGCTAGGCTTCCACGGGAGACGAAGGTGTGATCTGGCTTACACTGGGTCAGAAGGAAGAAGGCAAAGCTGATCAAGCCACCAAAGTATTGCTGCGACCACCACAGAAAATACCCCCATTCTGGCTTGGGGGTAGCAGCTTCGCCAGCCCAAGCTCGAAGATGCATCATCTGGAACACCTGCGGCATACGATCCAAATATTCCCTGTACATGTGTCAATAGAACAAAGATGTGAAAATTGGATGCTGTGAGAGAACTAACTCGTAGAGCCAAGGATATTTTGAATGAGGCATAACTCTGGCATTACGCAGACCGGACTTATGAATATTGGTAAAGTACACATCCTGATAGATCATGACAACAGTTGCAGAGAATATGGCAGCGATCATGTATGCGGCAGCAAAGATTCTTCGGGATGTTTGAGGATCCGAGGTGAAACTGGCGAAGCGGTCTCGACTTGAATTCTGATGGCGAACCAAGTAGATATCGACCAGAATCAAGACCAGACAAGTTATGAAGCCTGCCAGACTCCAATCACCGGGGCGAACAACGTGCTGCATGTATTCTCCTGAGCGCGTCATATTTGAACTGGTAATGTTGCGATATTGACGGGAGAAGAACAGTAGGGAGGAGAGTTGATGCTCTTATTGGAGCTTCCAGGGAATGCACGTTCACATTCCATTGTGGTAGATGGAAACATTTGACCTAGCTTTGTACAATAGACAGGCGAGGTGATGATGCATTCCTTGCATTGCGAGGTGAAAGGGAGAGATGGCCGGGGATGGATGAAGCAAGAAAGGAGGATGCACATGCACCTGCCCCGCCAGGGTCTTGACAAGCTGTCGCGTCGCTGACCAGACGCTCGAGAGATGCATGTGATTGATTTCCCGACTGCCATTCCGCACCCATGAGAGCTCTTCTGGCCAAATCTTGCCCAAGTGTGCTGTAGCAAACATGTACCACTTGGTGAAGTCGCTCTATCTGCATGCGACAAGCAAAGAAGGTACGTCAGAGATGCAAACACGCCGTCGCAGTTTGACTTTGGCTGACGCGACCTTANNAGAGTATTCCATTCTCCTTCTCGGACTCGACAACGCCGGAAAGACGACCTTGCTCGAACAGATCAAAGCCCTCTTCAGTCCGCACCTTCATCCGAAGCTTAACACCGTTCCCACCGTTGGCCAGAATGTTTCCACTGTCGATTTACCCGACATTTACCTCAAAATCTGGGACGTCGGCGGTCAGCACTCACTGAGAGGACTCTGGCAATCATACTACAGCAGCTGCCATGCCATCGTTTTTGTCATTGACAGCACAGACGTTGGCGACGGCGACATTGAGCACCTCAGCAAGACCCAAGATGCTGGCGAAGAGCAGGGAAGATTAGACGAGTGCAGGCTCGTGCTGGAGAGCATTCTACAAAACGGAGAGACCGAGGGTGTTCCCCTTCTTGTCCTGGCCAACAAGCAGGATCGTGAAGACTGTGTCGAGGTCGTCCGCATCAAGGAAGGTTTGGTTCGCAAAATCATCGAAGGTGANAAGGGAGGAAGTGTCAGAGACAGCAGAGTCCTTCCTTTGAGTGCCCTGACTGGCACAGGCGTCAAGGAAGCCGTCGACTGGCTCTGCAGCAGAGTCAAGTGGAACAAAGAGGCGAGACCACCAGCTCTACGTTGACCTTACAGCGACCTTGCTCTATTCTACCCGAACATCGTCACACCAGTCAGGCAGGCCTGCTCTTGGTGCGATAGACCTCCGCCACCCGTCGATACTGTGCCTTTCATTTCGGTTCTGGTCAATCGCGACCCGAGACAATTCCTTCCAACAGGTACTCCAACTAGGAATGAATCCCAGGTTATGGATCATAGTGTCTGTGAAAGCATCGCACACTTGCGCTCGTTTGCGAAGTGTTCCCACGCCTCAGCACTGATTGGTGTTCTTTCAGCGTCAAACGCTTACCAACTAAGTACGACGGTCTTCTGACCACAAAGGGGGACTTTAAGTCAGACAGAAGTACGACTGGTTGCTGTACAGAGAGCGCTGGTTTGGTGGTTGATCTTGCAAAACGCCCCATCTGATGGGCTTTTGGGGATGATGATTATTGTAGTTTCTCTTCCCGATGGTGTTTCGTGACAGCGCTTGTCTTATTTCACATAAGACAGCATTACCCGAGTCCCATATACCTACGTAGTTACCTAGTGTCTCGATGTTTTGCCTTGCGATAGGCGGTGTTTTATCTCCGAATATAGCCGATATCTGTGTGACTCCAATCATCGACAAACCTGAAGCCAACCCGGATTGGAAGACTTGGCACGTTGACCCGTCACTCGCGACATGCAATCAACCTGACTTCCATGTCAAACCACGAAACCCTGCATCTAATTAACAGCCACTCGAGACACCACAACTTTGTCTGCAGCCCAAACGGTCGGGGGAAATCAAGCCGCATCTGTCACGAAGAAATTGGGTCGCCGGTACCTCATCCGACGCAGCCCCTTCGGCAGGGTTGGTTGACTTGTCACTTCGAATCACGACTTTGACCATCTTGCATGTCTATCAAGCTTCCCCCTTGCAAGCCACTATTTTACGCTCGATAGAGTAGATATGCCCAATACGATGGATGTAAGTACCAGTGCTGCCCTCAACTTCCCGGAGGTCGAACGATTTGGCTTGGAAGGTGCGCTTGTCTATAGATTTGGTGGTTGGAGCTTGCCTTCACAACTAGCGCTTGCGAAACGGAAGCGCTCTTGATGAAGCGCCTTTCTCAATAAAATTGTGAGTAGTGAACAACTCCTTCCCTTATCATCACCTGTCGCGTGGAAGGGCGGGAAACAAAGAAAAGACTGGCTACTTCGTGCATTGAGCTGTGCTCGGCGATTGTCTCATACTATCGCTCCTGCCGACGAACAGTTGCAATCGAAAGGCTTAGTGGGGCATCGATATTAGTTCTGGCCACCTTGGTACATCATCAAGAGATCACATAACGACCACATGCAGAGAACCTTTCACTAACAAGCGCCAACCAGAAGGCAAAGAAGGCAGCGCTCAATTCCACTGCCATTTCCAGAGACGAGGGACACATTTCAGCTGTCCAAGCACAATGCCACGGCCCGGCCTCCATGTCCTTGGCGGACCACCTGACGAGCGTCTAGGCCGAGAGAGATTAATGAGTTATATCCAGGATCAAACATCTGCCGACTTTCCAGATATGTCAGCCGAAGTGTCAAACTCGCAATTCCACACTGGCCGCCTGCCCAATGGCGCTAAGAGCCGTAACAGACCGAAGTTAATGCTTATGGGTCAGAGAAGGTACGCAAATCGATATGCTAGTACAAGAACAAGTTATGAACCAAGAGAANNCAGAAGCGGAAAATCGTCAATCTCTGGAGTCGTCTTTCAGAAAATGCCACCGTCTGAGACGCTGTATCTCGAGACAACGACGCGACCAGAAGAATCATCAGCACAGTGAGTGCCCTGCTTTCGACAAGCATTCTCTTACTGACCGATGTCAGCNTCCTTCATGGACTTCCAAATAGCAGAACTGCCAGGCCACGTCAACTACTTCACGCCAGACTTCAACCAAGCTAACATCTTCGCCGAAATTGGTGCGGTCATCTGGGTCATCGACGCCCAAGACCAGTATCTTGACGCTCTCAACCAACTTATCGACACAATCACTTACCTGGCACAAACATGGCCAGCAATCAACGTTGAGGTTTTCGTGCACAAAGTTGACGGTCTTTCCGAGGAATACAAGAATGACACTTTCCGCGACATTCGACAGCGAATTCTCGACGAATTGTCAGATCTTGGCTATGACAACGCCCCTGTCAGTTTCTACCAGACCAGTATCTACGATCATTCTGTGTTCGAATCGATCAGCAAAGTCATTCAGAAGCTTCTACCGCAGCTGCCTACCCTGGAGAGTCTGCTCAACAGCTTGTGCAGTACGTGCCGGATCCAGAAGGCATACCTGTTCGACATCATCACAAAGATCTACATCGCATCAGACACGAGTCCCCAAGACACCAACAGCTATGAGATTTGCTCCGACTTCATCGACGTAGTGGTGGACATTGGCGAGTTGTATGGATGGGCAAGACCTCAGCAGGGCGAGAAGACCGAATTCAACAACCATGCCTGTGAGAGTATGGTCACCATGGAAAAGAAGGGCCAGAACTATCTGTACCTCAGGGAAATGAACAGGTTCGTGTTGTTTTTAGCAACATTGCTCTTATTTGCGTTAACAAGATTANNTAGGTATCTTGCCCTGGTTTGCATCATGGGTGACGACAATCCGATGGANAAGAAGGTGCTCATAGACTACAACGTGGGAGTGTTCCAAGAAGCCCTTGCAAAGGTCTTTGGCTGGTAAAAAGTGACACCATTACTGTACTATACTTTCTAATACCCCCAATATAAAGACCAAGTTGTACTCAAGTCGCTTCGGCGTCACCAGCCTATTCGATTGTCGTCTAGGTCTCGAAACAACCTGCGATCACCAGGTGGGAAGCGGTCGAAAGGCTCAATTTTGACGCTCTGCTAGCCTCCAGGACGGAGAGGTCGTTCTATTAGACTGGTCGCGGTCAAAACTTCTTGCTGATGCCATACTTGTCATCCAGGTTTATGCGGAGCTTGTGGTGTTGCACACCCTCAGCAACACTTCCATTGGGCTGATAGTCCAAGATGCCAGAAACAGGTCCTTGCATGTGTTTCCGCACTTCCTTCAGAAGACCCTCGTGTGTTGGTCTCTCGCTTGGATCAAATCTCAGGCAACGCTCTACAATATTGACTAGTTCAATGCTGTATTTGGATTCCTCGTGGACTAAACGTTCACGTTCGAGCTGGCGTTTGCCCTTCGTTCCTCGAAACCGCAGTTGTTCAGCCTCGGTGGTCTGCCAATACGATGAACTAACGTCACGCCAATCTGTTTCTGCACTGGGTCAGCCGATGTTGTCGAATAGATGAAGATTGAGATACTTGTACCTGGNGAGGTATGTTTCCAGTCTCATGCAACAAGCAATGAGCATTCCAACTTGCCAGACATTCGTCTTGTTACTCAAAGATGTGTTGGGACCTTCTTTGACTTCCCAAACTACACCGTCATTGACTTTGGCCAACTCNNCTACACCGGATAGAACAGTCAGCTTTACAAGAAAACCTCATTATAGATCAAAACGAGATCTTACTGGTGGTGCAAATAGCAAACAACACGCATCTCGTCGAACCACATCGCCTCGGTTCTTGACACCCGGGTCGGCAAGACTTCGCGAACTTCCAAAATCGGCCAGTTTTGGTGTCGGATACAATAGAAATCTTTCACTGTCTGGAGTACTAAAGAATACTGGGTCTGTCAGCTAGAGTGTCATGAAGCTAGAGAGATTGGCAATTACCATTGCTCACTTGCATGTCTCTGATGACTGTCAGCAAGTATGCCGTTTCGAAGCGGGCCGTTTGACTTACCCATGGATCATGCCCCGTCCATCGCCAGTCTTGTCCACAGCCTCAACGACCTTTGCTAGGGCCTCAAACAAACACCATATGAATGGTTCCGGCAACAGAACGGCATCATCGCCGGCCTTTCTCTTTTGTCCTGTGCGTACCGAGTCATCCTTCTGTGCTTGTATGATCGTAGAAAGATCTCCATGCGCACTGTACCCGAAGTACAATCTATATCTCCATCTGGGTTCACCTTTACAGTCACCCCATCCCAAACATTCAAGTACATGTCTCTTGTCGGCATCAGGAAGAGCAGCCCACACATCGTTGGCCATAGCACACTCTCTAGGCTCTCCACCAACTACCCCATCTTTCCAATTCGACGCATCGTTGTAACGAGTGGCTCCAGGGTGGACTTGTTTGATGATGATCCTGTCCACTATCTTATCATCGCCATCGAGAAGACACCACAGATTGACCAGGCCTTCAGAGCCTTCGGCGAAGCCCTTTGTCGTAGAAGCATGAGGAGCGGGCACCCATCTAGTGCCTGGTGTTATTTTTCTACTGATAGACTGGTTGAGTGTTGCGGCAATATTGATCTTGCGAAACGAATCTGCAATGAGGGTCTGGATGTTTTCTGGAATCGCAAGCCAGTATCCTCGAGCAGGTGGTCTGGCAGCCATTTTCGCTTATTCGATAAACGGATAACACGAAAACGATACAAAGACGAGGCATGATAGAATACGACTGATCAACGCATTTCGCAAATCTCCTTCGCTCCTTTCTCGGATACTAAGTTTTCCGGATGCGGATCTGGCTTCTTCGTGACTTCCTTTGTTCGACGTGGTCACGAATCTTGAAGCTTCGCAATTACAATGTAAGCAAAAAGCGAGGATTTTAGAGAAACCCTATTGCGCTTCGCTTCTTTGTTGTGAGACAAAGGAATCTTATACCATTGCGTGCTGCGAGTTCCAATAGTCCCAATGCAGTATTGCGACCAAGCATGTTCTTTAGCTCCGCGACTTCCCTGGACGAATGCGGTGGACAAAGCCGGCCATAAACTGAATGCCTTTACCTTTCGGATCTTCCATCTTCACATCTACTATCCTTTTTACTCTCCTGCAGAGCTCAAGCCCTTTTCACCTTCAACCACAATTCCACAAACTCAACATGGCTAACCCTGCGCCGCGTCTTGCCGACATGGTAGCCAATGTCAGACTACAGGTCATCCAAGCTTTCCGAAATTTGCCATTCGTACCTCCAGCGAACCAGGGAGCTGGCCGCCAGCAACAGATTGCACCGGTGACGGTGGCCAATTGGTTGGGCATACCACCAGCGAACGATGTCATGGCTACGGGTGCCGAGGGAGTAGTACATGTCTGGTGCGATGTCCATCCCACCACCCGCATAATACGCGACCGGGTCGTTGTCAAACGTGTGGTCTCAGGCCAGGTTCGTTACGAGGATACAGTCAATTGGGTTGGCGGTAATGTAGGAGGAGAACCTCTGGAATGTCATTACGCCAACCAAGTTTGGGCAGCCATGCCTGCGGCCGATCGACAGCATATTCAATCATGTTTGGGCTGGGGAGATGTGGTTCCGACACATGCGCCTGCGGCTCAACAGACCTATCAATACAAACTTTATCACGAGTACTGTTCACAGAGCAGTTTGAACAGAGTCATGAAGACTACTCAACCAAGGAGGAAAAGAAAGGCNGCAATGAAGAAGGGCCGTAAACAACTCCCCGAGCCATTTTTGTGGTATATGTTCGAATCTTTGGCNAAGGCTTGTGACGCCATGAACAGATCATACCCTCATGTCGGCCTGGTACACCAGTACGTACTTGTTCAATCAGAGCTGTTGATGGGACGTAAGCTAATTATATGACAGNNGGACATGCATCCAGGAAACAGTAAGCAGCCAGCAAAAGATGACCATGCTCTTATAGCATCACTAACATTAACCTGCTTAGTCTTTTTCGGCGATCCCGATCCGAACAGATTCGCGAAGTATCCAGTGCTCAAGGTAAAAATTGTATAACAACTTCTTGCAGAAAGAAGCTGACACCACGTACAGGTGGCCGACTTTGGCAGTGCCCGTGAACTCACTGGTCCGGTGAGGAGCCGCGGTCCTATCGTCCAGAATGATCCTGTCTGTCTACCATTTGCAGCACCAGTAAGAGCAATTACACGAGAATCGTATCAAATTTAGGCACTGACAAATGACCCACAGGAGAACTCATGGATTCATCCACTCCCCGCCCATGGGCCATTCGCTTGGGAGGCTCCGAACATGAGGCTCACCATGAAAACAAACATATACCAAGCTGGTCTTATCATGGCCTCGGCAATGAGACTCAAACAGCCTCTCCCGGAGAACGACTGGAGGATTCCGCCACCAAATTATCAAGTCCCGCAAGCAAACCAGTTGCATCATGATAGTGGTCCGCCGATAGCTCCACCAGTAGCTCCGGCAGGAGGTCCGGCAGCAGGCCCGGCGGTAGGTGTGCGGGAACTGTCAAGAGACCAACTGAACCCAGGTCCGAANAAATACAGTGCTGCCCTTACAAATCTGGTTGCGCAATGTCTCAGTCGTCGCCACCAGCAGCGTCCTACGGCAAATCAATTACTGCAGAGAATACAGACGCAGCAACAGCAGAATGGAATCTTCCAAGGGATGGATGCGATAACATTGGCAAGTGGTCCCTTGACTACAGCGGAGAAAGCCCTTTGCATAGACATGGTTCCGGATAGATATGCGATCACCAATAGATTCTAAGGGAAAGGGTTAGAACAAGGTCGTTGCAACTGCAAGGGAGTTAGGAGTTACAGTTAAACAGATCAATTCTAGTGAAATTCTCTGCTGCATACTGTAGTCGATTATCGAACAATAAGATTTATGATCCACAGAAGGAGGGAAAGAACGTAACCATATCAACACCAGACATGCTATAGATAGAGAAGTCACAGAAAGCTAGAATGTTTGAAGCAGTTGTAACTTGTGAATGGATGATGAAATGTTATTTTCTCCTTGCCATTCTAGAATCCTGACCAGGCTATCTCTTATGAACAGATTTCGAAAACCCTCTTCTACCAAAAACAGAAGTTACGAGGACCAGTCTATGCAACCTTTCGTGGTTTGTAAGGCTTCTTTCCAACCTTGTACTTGTCTTGAAGACTCATCCTGATAGCCTGAGGNNGATGATTGTGAGGAAATCTGCCCCTTGCTGCCATCATCCCGCCATCTCTGCCAACCATCTTGGTCTGCACTTCCTGAAGCAATTGTTGCGGCGATATTCTGGCATCTGGGTCGAATGCCAAGCACTTTTTAACAAGTGCCAGTAGTTGTCTGCTGTATCTTCTCGATTTAGGGTCGTCAAGTCTCATCTTCATGGGCTGGGACGCGAATCCAGGTCTGAAACCCATGGCTTGATGCATAGGAATAGGATAATTGGCGGGGTCTGGAGGATCTCGCCATTGTGTNNTCTCGAGCAGATGCGGTTCGAGGCGGATAGCAGACAAGATGAGCATTCCGATCTGCCATATAGTTGTTGCGGACGAAAGCACAGCAGGTCTTTGGACATAACCTCCTGGTCTGCCACCTGGTACTGTTGGCGGTAGGTTGGGGTCCCAGTGGTCGAAGAACTGCACTACGTGTTGGCCTGGCCACCAAGAGTCATCGAAATCCATCTCTGGTGCAGCAAAGGTCTCTGCATATGGTCCTATGCGATGCCTGCCAAGCTGACCTTGGATCTGGTTACTTCACCTTGAACTACCAAAGTCTCCTANGCTGTACGTGCCTGTTAGTATTGCTTCTACCCATTGATCGAGGTGAGTCCGGTATACCTTAGGTACTGGCCAGATCGCAAAGTGATTGGGATCAGGTTGACCAAAGAAAACTGCCGCAAATTAGTATTTATAGTATAACAGAGTAGATCAAGCCATACTGTTCGCAGATTGCATGTNCACTGTTTCCAAATTAGCCAAGTTTTATATGCGTCTGATAGCAAGACAGACTCACCCATGAACGATTCCCAAGGTATCCATGGCCACGGCATTTTTGGCGAGTCCCTCAANAAGCTAGATCGTCGATTAGATGGAATGATGAGGTGGCCTGACACAACATCAAGTACTCACAGCCCACAAAAAACCTTCAGGAAAAGGTTCTTGTTCCAGCTCTACTCTCGTTCTCTTCAAGCGTCCAGGACGTTTGACCAATTTAGATGTTCGCCACTGGGACTTGATGCATCCAGGGAGATCGCCCAAAAGATACTCATAGTACAGCTTGTACTGTGGTAAGTCAGGTGGCTGGTATTGGCAGTCACCATAACCTAAGCATTCGGCAACAAATTTCTCATCGCCAGGATTGGCGGTAGATAACTGATAGTGGATGGCGTTCGCGATAAAGCTTTCCATTGGTTCTCCGCCAATCTGCCCATTTTCCCAATTGTCTGGATTGTTGTAGGCAGCAATGCCAGGAACATTGTGCTTGACGACAACCCGGTCGAGGATATTGTTGTTCCTGTCGACGCAGACCCAAACATGAACAATGCCACTGTTACCGGAAGCAAGTGGGATCATGGTGTGGCTCTGCGGTGCTGGCAACCATGTACCTTGCGCATATCTTCTTAGGCTTCCTAGAGAAGAGTCTGGTGGCGTAGCGAATGCCCAGGTCTGTGTGAAGTGCCGTGCCAACCAATTTCGCACGCCAGGGAGCAAACCACCGAAGGAGCGCGTATCTCTAGCGTCATTGGGCTGGATTGGGGCGATGTGATGTGGTGGCAGTGGTGCCGCCATATTCAGCCAATATCCTTAACAGGCTTTTTCAGTACAGGATGATAAGGTCGATCGTGGAGTTTCGAGTCAGGTAGTTGCCGAGAATCGCAAACTCATATGTATGTATACGCATGTGACCGTCAACCTCTTCGTTCTACTAAGTCGACAATGCGCCGGATGCAGTCATACCGTATACAACAAAGGATGAGCTTGCTTCTTTGTCCGTGATATTGAAACAGATGAATCGCAAAGTGAAGTAAGAGGATTTGGAGAAGTTACGATTAAGAAAAGACAATCAGCAAGAGCAATCAAAGCCACAAACTAACAATAAATCTGAGAGGGGAAAGTGTGACAACAAATCCTGAACGCAGGGCGTAGTGTCAATATACGATTGACCTTTACCACAGCGCGTGACCCACATCAACTTCGTCAACCCATTTCGTCGTCAAGAGCCTGGAGCAGGCCTTCTTGATCAACGAAGTTGGACCGACGGACAGAATGTTCGACTTGCTCATAGTCTGCAGCAGGATCATAGAACTTTTGAGTAAACTGTCCTGCATTTGGACCGACCAAAAAACCTTGCGCTGGCGTGTCCTGAGGAGCGCCTGCTGCTGTGGTGATAGATTGCGGGTGATTCTGTGGTTTCTTTTGAGGCGTGAATGGCATTGGCTTTTCTCTGCTCATGGATTTGGCCTCAGCAAAATCCATATCCCAGTCCTCTGGTTGTGTAACAGGGTAGTCGTCTACGAATGGGATGCTGGGGTCAAGGTCGTGTTCGCCATTATATTTTGTAGTGTCGAGGCAGTCTTTAGTCTGCATGACACTAGCATGCAAACTCACGCCGTGATCGAGTTTTGCAAGGAGGTCTATTGGCGTCGGCCTCTGATTGGGGTTGTAGTTGAGACATTCTATAACTGTATCTTTGAGCAATGAGCTGTAGCGTCGTAAGATCGGATGGGTATCTTTCTGATTGACAAAGTTATCAATCCACGTATCACGAGCAGCATAGACCTGAGAATCAAATGCCGGCGGGTCGAAACGCTGCGGAGCCATGAGATCTGCAATGATCAAAGCAGCATTCCAAACATTGGTGGCAGAAGTCACCCTTTTGGGTACATCCGCTAAAGTAATACCAGGTCTTCTGTCTCTGACCGGGATGATATTCGCGCTGGCGTTTTTGAAAAACCGCTCAACGTCAGGAGCAATATAGCCAACGGTTGTCGAAACTTCGGATACTATCAGCAACTTCATGATCCTGAGCTTCCATTGGACTGACTTACTGCTGTCAAACTTTTTCTTATGTTCTTCCGCAGTGTCCTGGGGCGAACATATCATTGCGCCACCAAAGTCACCCANACTAGTAGATGCCTTAGCTTAGCCACAATGTCTTGATTTTTGAACACTTACCTTGGCGTAAGGATATTTGGGGAAGTCATTCTCATCAGGCAAGCAAAGGAAAACNNTGGATTATGTTAGGTCTGGATTTGGAAGGTCATCGGAGATGATGCTTACTATTACTTGGCTTGAAATCACTGGTAATACGTTAGAAGTATACAGTCAGTGACGGGGCTGGACTTACATGTGAGCTATGGCTTCATCTCCTTCCAATCCATGTCCAGATAAACTCTCCATGGCATGTACAGCTCGAGCAAGATCCTGGAAGAGTTTCCAAAGGTACGGCTCGGGGAATTCAAGCCGAGGAGGAGCTCTGTCAAAATACGCGTCGAAGAGATCTCTTAAGTCGCCTCCTGGACAATAGTCCATATACACTCGAAAGCTGTTTTGCTCGCGGCAAAGTCGAGAACCCCAGATGCGGATCGTGTTCTTCGAATCTTGTGGCATAACCATGCTCATGTACTGCTCTTTCGGAATATCTCTCTTGGGACCGTAGAACTCAAACTCATCCTCCCAAGCCTTAGCGCTTACATTGAGTTCTTCCTTGACCACCATACGTTCGATGATTCTTTGTGTGGTTGGATCGCGTCTGACGAACAAGCCTGCACATCCTTGTCCACCNNCGCTGTATAACACAGTCAGTATGACTTCAAGAGGGAGAAGCAGACCATTCGGGTGTATCTCGTATAATGTCTTACTTCCAAGCTGTTTCTGTCCAACCCACTGCTCTTCGTTGGCTGCAAAACCAGGTTTACTGCGAAGCAATGCCAACCCGTGGCTCGACGATTTTACAACCATTTTGACACAACAGATTGAATTGTAGCAGTCATACAATAATATTTCATTTCTCATAGCCCAGGTGAGGAGCTGTGACTTCTTTATGCTAAACCTAGAGAGCCGCCGCATGCGGTCTCATTGTTTGTTTCTCTCTGACTGACTGAACAAAGAGGATATTGTTACAATGAAGTTGGGTTTGAATTACATTGTCGAGGATGCATTTTCTTGCAAATGGCCACGTACAACAGGATTTCATGGTGTGATTGAAAATGTTTTGCCGTTGTTTTACTGGACGATATAGATCCGTCGAGTAATCGATATGACAACAGGCACGAATCATCTCATCCATGCTGAAATGGGAACAATGCAGACCCTAAATCTAGGGAGTGGGACGTCGTTTCACACATAGACACCGATGTGTGCTGCGCTTGGAATTATGCATTGGTAGTGCAACCTGACTTCGCCAACGATCGCCGACATGTCTGCAATGTTTGATAAAATCAAACCTAGTCGCACCGGAGAAATATGCTATAAAGCATAGGCTCATAAGCGGGATCAAGACTTGTTGCAGTCATATATTGCTGCTCAGACCTGTTGAATCGACTCCGAGTTGCGAAGATGAGCGTTCAATCAGCGCGACGTCGCTTGGTTTGGCCATTGGCTGGCATGGCATCCTCATCGTCTTCGAGGACATCCGATTCGGGGCCTTGACTCTTACGACGATACTGTCCTGCTCCGATTGCAACCATCTCCTCCTCGCTGTCGCTCGCGTGAATGTCCAATAGGACGGGCATGCGAAACTCATGCTTGACTTGGCCTGGCTTGGCAGGGTCGACAGTCAAGACATCGACATGTTCATCTTCGAGATCAAGGCGCCTCTTGTGCAGTTCTTCGATGGGGTGTATATCAAACTCGTCTTCAGCTTCAATGTATTCGTTGTTTTCTTCAACTTCGAGGAAATCAGGGGCGAGTGCGGACCAGCGCTGTGGTGTATTGACAGACCACAGGTAAATGCGACCAGATTCGACACCAGTGGCTGCGACGAAGGGCCTTTGGGGGTGCCATTCGACAGCACCTAGCTCTTCCTTGGGACCTTCGAGAATTTTGACCAGACTGCCATGGCCACGCTCCCAAATGTAGATGTCGTGATTCATAAGAGTCGATGCCATGACATAATCTCCAGATGGACTGAAAGCGACGTGGTTCCAAGATAGTCGATTGACGACGTCTTGGAACTTGTGCTCAACCTCCAGGCGCATGTTGTCAGGATCAAAGGATGGATCGTCAAGGTCAGGCAGATGAATTGTGCGGATGATGCTGTCAGCCGCGTTGACCAATAGATCACGACCAGACGTAGTAAGGCGCAAGAGAAGTAGAGCCTTGTTGCTAAGGCGGGTCGAGTAGATGACGGAACAAGTGCTCGCTTTGATGATGTTGAGCCAGCCCTTAGTGGTGCCTGTGATGATGTGGTCGCCAGATGGGGTGAAGATGGTTACGGTTGTGGTATGTTTTGGATCGTGTTTGTCGTCTTGCTCGTAAGCAGAGCGCTTGGGGGCTGAAGAGAGAGGTTTTCGGATGGTCGAGGGTTGGTTAAGCGAAGCCAGGACGGGCTGGGCTTCGAAGAGAGCGGCGGTACAGAGGAGATGATCGTGAGGGTGCAGTTCGGCAATGTAGATGGGAGCGCCGAGATTGACAGTACGGATGCGTGAACCATCATTCAGGTCCCACAGAATAGCCTTCCAGTCAACCGACGAGCTGAGCAAGTAGCGACCACAAGCCGACCAACTGAGCGACTGGACCTGACGGCCAGGGGTGTGACCGCGTAGCTTACGGGCGACACCATGTGTCTCGAGATCGAAGATGGCAATGGCACCTTTGGCAGTGCCTGACGCGAGCAGGTCGCCCTGGCGGTTGAAACGAAGACAGACGGCAGCACCAGAACTGCGCAGACGAGCGATGAGCGCCTCTGGCATGTCCTGCGCCAGGACGAACGGGTCAACCAGAGCGAGATTCATGCTGGATATGTGATGATTCAGTCAGCAACACTATACCGGCATGATCAGACCAGACTTTTGGTCGTAGGCGCAACAGTTAGCAAATACGACAGACGCCGCAGCACGACATGGGCAAGAGCGACTCTGCTTCTCAAGACTGCAACCGTGAGCGGTCGTTTGGGATGGGCGCGCACGTCGTTTGCTGCCCTCGACCGGACCTTCACTAATATCAAACTATCAAAGGATCATGATCAACAAAGGTTTCTTGTTGATTCTTGGTTTGCGACTCGGCTCGGAATGCAAGGTGCTGGCACAAGCATAGCAAGCACGTGACTCAGCGGAGGCCCAGGTGCTGACTCCAGAGTCAGAAGCAGCGGCCAGCGACGCTTTCACTTAGCGGCCGGCGCCTGCCAACATCAACGCCCGTCATATCCTCGACCTCACCCTTGCTACCACCACGCCCTCACCAACTCCATCGCCGCGCATCTCCTCCACTGCGCGCAACCGCCATCTCGAGTCGCGTCGCTCCTTCACCTCCCGTCGATTTCTCTGCCTCGCCGCTGTCCGGCTGCGCGCGCGCCGACCGAAAGGCCAGTCGCTCGACACGCGCTCTCTCGCCAGAGGCAACCGCTCTCCATCCACAACCCTCGACTTCATCACGACTTCCACCTGTCCTGGAGATCTCCGACCGACCTCTTCATCGACAGCGCCCTGAAGGTGGCAGCCGCTGATACGATTCTTACACAATTTCTCTTAGCTATTGCTATCAACATCCGCCACCATGAACATCCACTCTTTTCCCTATTCCAGCGCTCCGCTGAAGACCATTCAGGAGATCCAGTTTGGTCTCTTCTCGCCTGAGGAGATCAAGAACATGAGTGTGTGTCACATCGAGTATCCAGAGACCATGGACGAGCAACGGATGCGTCCACGAGAAAAGGGCTTGAACGACCCCAAGCTGGGCTCCATTGACCGCTCTGTTGCTTGCGGCACTTGCGGTGAAGATATGCTCGAGTGTCCCGGCCATTTTGGTCACATTGAGCTTGCTGTACCCGTCTTCCACGTCGGTGTGTTTTGCTTGCCACAAGTCCATCATGTCTGACATGGCGCTGATTTGCTGCANGGTTTTGTCACCAAGATCAAGAAGATTCTCGAAACCGTCTGCCATAACTGTGGCAAAGTCTTGCTTGATGAAGTGAGTCGCCCTGCGCGGCTGAAGCTGAACTCAATGCTCGACCACCCATGCTAATCACTACTTTCATAGAGCATTCCCGCCTTTGCCCAAGCTGTCCGTATAAGAGATCCCAAGCGCCGCTTCGATGCTGTTCACAGACTGTGCAAGGCCAAGACGACCTGCGATCCCGATGAGGCTGGTGATGATGGAGAAGACCCGAAAGACGCCCTGAANAAGGGCAAGCGATCACACGGTGGCTGCGGCAACCTGCAACCCACAATTCGCAAGGACGGTCTTAAGCTTACCGGCACCTACACCTACCCCAAGGACGCCGATACAGAACAAAAGCCGGTGGAGAAGAAGGTCATCACCCCACAGATGGCCCTCAACGTCTTCCGCAACATTTCCACATACGACCTAGCCAGAATGGGTCTCAACGCAGACTATGCTCGTCCCGAATGGATGATCCTGACTGTGTTGCCTGTACCGCCACCAGCTGTTCGTCCCAGTGTTTCGGTCGATGGAACCAACCAGGGTATGCGTTCCGAGGATGATTTGACCTTCAAGCTCAGTGATATCATCCGCGCCAACGCCAACGTTCGCAAGTGTGAGCTCGAAGGCTCTCCACATCACGTTATTGCAGAGTTCGAGGCTTTGTTGCAGTTCCACGTTGCTACATACATGGACAACGACATTGCAGGACAGCCTAAGGCTTTGCAAAAATCAGGAAGACCAGTCAAGGCCATTCGTGCGCGCCTGAAGTCCAAGGAGGGCCGTCTTCGTGGTAACCTTATGGGCAAGCGTGTCGATTTCTCCGCTCGTACAGTCATCACTGGTGACCCGAACTTGTCTTTGGATGAAGTAGGTGTTCCTAGAAGTACCGCCCGCATCCTTACCTTCCCCGAGACCGTCAACGCCTTCAACATTGACAAGCTGCAACAACTCGTCCGTAATGGCCCCAACGAGCACCCCGGAGCAAAATATGTCATTCGAGATACCGGCGAGCGCATCGACTTGCGCCATCACAAGCGCGCTGGCGAGATCCAACTGCAATATGGCTACAAAGTCGANAGGCATATCGTTGACGGTGATGTTATTATCTTCAACCGTCAACCTTCGCTGCATAAGGAGTCTATGATGGGTCACAGAGTCCGTGTCATGCCCTACTCTACCTTCCGTCTTAACCTTTCCGTCACCTCGCCTTACAACGCCGATTTCGATGGTGACGAGATGAACTTGCACGTTCCTCAAAGCCACGAAACCCGCTCAGAAGTCATGAACCTTTGCATGGTTCCCCTCAACATCGTCTCTCCTCAGCGTAACGGTCCCTTGATGGGTATTGTGCAAGACACCCTTTGTGGTATCTACAAGATGTGTCGCCGTGATGTTTTCCTCGACAAGGAGCATGTCATGAACATTCTCATGTGGGTGCCTGATTGGGATGGCATCATCCCACCACCCTCTATCCTCAAGCCTCGCCCCAGATGGACTGGTAAGCAGATTGTCAGCATGATCGTCCCTACTGGCCTAAACCTTGTTCGTGGTGATGCTGAGGGTATGCACCCCCTCAACGACAACGGATTGATGGTACACGGCGGTGAGCTCATGTACGGTTTGTTCAGCAANAAGTCCGTCGGTGCCAGTGGAGGTGGTATTATCCACATCGTCTACAATGAGAAGGGCTGGGAAGCTGCAGTCAGCTTCTTCAACGGAGCTCAGCGTGTTGTCAACTACTGGCTGCTCCACAACGGTTTCAGTATCGGTATTGGTGACACAGTTCCTGACGAGGCAACCGCCGAGGCTATCACAGACGCAGTCAACGAGCAGAAGGCAGAGGTCGCTGTCATCACTGAGGCTGCTACTGCTAATGAGCTGGAAGCCCTGCCTGGTATGAACGTTCGTGAGACGTTCGAGAGCAGAGTGTCCAAGGCCTTGAACAGTGCTCGTGATAACGCTGGTGACCGTACTGAAAAGAGTTTGAAGGATTTGAACAATGCCATTCAAATGGCCCGTTCAGGATCCAAGGGTTCGGCTATCAACATTTCGCAGATGACAGCTGTCGTCGGTCAACAGTCCGTCGAGGGAAAGCGTATTCCTTTCGGCTTCAAGTACAGATCGCTTCCTCACTTCACCAAGGACGACTACTCTCCCGAATCTCGTGGTTTCGTCGAGAACTCTTATCTTCGTGGCTTGACACCCTCAGAGTTCTTCTTCCACGCCATGGCTGGTCGTGAGGGTTTGATCGACACTGCTGTCAAGACTGCTGAAACTGGTTACATTCAGCGTCGTCTCGTCAAGGCTCTTGAAGAAGTCATGGCCAAGTATGACGGCACCGTCCGTAACTCTCTTGGCGATGTCGTACAATTCGTCTACGGTGAAGACGGTCTGGATGCTGTTCACATTGAAGGACAGAAGTTGGATATTATCAACTGCTCCGACAGTCAATTCGAGAAGAAGTTCCGTATTGATGTCATGGACCCCAAGATGTCTCTTTCACCTGACATTCTTGAGCAAGCACACGAGATTGCTGGAGATGTTGAGGTCCAGCGTCACCTTGACGCTGAGTACGAAGCATTGTTGGCCGACAGAGCTCTGCTCAGAGACGGCCGTACCGATGACGAGGAGACCCATCAACTTNNCCCCCTCAACATCACTCGTATTGTCGAGAGTGCTAAGACCAGATTCCGCATCAAGGATGGCGCTCGCAGTGATCTTCACCCGTCAGATGTCATTCCCAAGGTCCAGAACTTGCTTGATCAGATTGTTGTCGTTCGTGGTGATGATCCTCTCTCCCAAGAAGCACAATACAATGCCACTATCCTCTTCAAAGCTCTGCTAAGATCACGCCTCGCATTCAAGCGTCTGGTCAAGGAATACTCTTTGAACAAGCTCGCTCTTGACAACATTCTTGGTGATATTCTGAACAGATTCTCAAGATCGCTCGTCAGCCCTGGTGAAATGGTTGGTGTCTTGGCCGCACAGTCGATTGGAGAACCCGCGACTCAGATGACGCTCAACACTTTCCATTTCGCCGGTGTCTCGTCTAAGAACGTCACTCTTGGTGTGCCTCGTCTGAAGGAAATTCTGAACGTTGCTACCAACATCAAGACACCTTCCATGACTGTCTACCAGTCTGCCGAAAACCGCCTTGATCAGGAAGCTTGCAAGAGACTTCGTAGTCAGGTTGAGTACACCAGTTTGCGCTCCATCACCGAGAAGACCGAAATCTGGTTTGACCCTGACATTCGATCGACCGTCGTCGAACAAGACAGGGATATGGTGGAGTCTTACTTCATCATTCCTGAAGAGAATGCAGAGAGTCCCGAGACCTACTCCAAGTGGCTGCTGCGTATCGTTCTTGGTCGTAGACAGCTTCTAGACAAGGGTCTTTCGGTCGCCGATGTCGCCGCTGCTATCAGAGTCAACCACAACCACGAGATGTCTATCATTTTCAGTGATGACAACGCTGACGAACTTGTTATCCGTATCAGACCCTCGAACGCCCTCATGGAATCCAAGGAAGACGAGGATACCATTCTTGAAGCCGATCTAATCATCCAGAGGCTCGAGAGTTATCTGTTGGATGAAACTAGACTTCGTGGTGTGTTGGGCGTCGAACGTGCTTTCGTCAACTTCAAGGAACGTCTACGTGTCAAGGAAGATGGCGGGCTTACTATGTCCAAGAGCGATCCTCTTTGTAAGGAATGGTTCTTGGATACCAGTGGAACTGCTCTCAAGGAAGTTCTTACCGTTGAAGGCACTGACCCTACCCGCACTTACACCAACCACTTTATCGACATCTTCAGCGTGTTCGGTATTGAGGCCACTAGATCCGCCCTGATGAGAGAACTCAAGCAAGTGCTTTCTTTCGATGGTTCTTACGTCAACCATCGCCATCTTGCCCTCCTGGTCGATATCATGACCGCTCGCGGTAACCTTATGGCTGTCACTCGTCACGGTATTAACCGTGCTGACACTGGTGCATTGATGCGTTGTTCGTTCGAAGAGACAGTCGAGATTCTGTTTGAAGCTGCCTCATCAGGTGAGCTTGACGACTGCCGTGGTGTGTCCGAGAACATTATCCTTGGCCAGCTTGCTCCTTCAGGTACTGGTGAGTTCGATGTTCTCTTGGATCAGCAGATGCTCAGCACTGTTGTCTCCCGTCACCACGGTATGGGTGCTGGTACTCAAGCTGGCGCCGCTCCTCTCGACGGTGCCATGACCCCCTACGACATGGGCTCTCCNCTTGCCGAGGGCGATTACGGTACTGCAGATTATGGTGCTTCCTTCTCTCCTATGGTCCAGGCAGGTGGCGACGAGATGGGTGGCTTCTCTGCCTACCAAGGTGGAAGCTTCAGCCCGTACAGTGGCGGCCAGAGCCCTGGTTACGCACCGACGAGTCCATTCAGCATGGGCACAAGCCCATCGTCTCCCGGCTATGCTTCGCCATCCTCTCCTGGCTATTCACCCAGATCACCTGGTGCAGCTCTTGGCAGTCCCGGCTATGGTATGGGCTCACCTGCAAGCCCGGCATACAACCCAACATCGCCCACGTACTCGCCCACATCTCCTGCGTATGGCAAGGGATCCCCCACCTCTCCTTCTTACTCTCCCACATCTCCCAGCTATTCGCCAACTTCGCCCAGCTACTCGCCTACGTCGCCTAGCTACTCCCCTACCTCGCCTTCATACAGCCCCACTTCTCCTGCTCACAGAGGATCGGGCATTTCGCCAACCTCTCCAAGATACAGTCCGACATCTCCGGCTTACTCGCCGACTTCACCCGCATACAGCCCGACCAGTCCATCTTACAACCCTGGTGGAGCCTCGCACTCGCCTACGTCGCCCAGCTACAGCCCGACATCGCCAGTGTACAGCCCTACCAGTCCGGCACAGCAGGGCTATTCTCCCACCTCGCCACAGTACACTCCCAACTCTCCTGGTCAAGCCTCACCTAAGTACTCACCTACTAGCCCCAAGTACTCGCCCAAGTAAGTCCCAAATACGTCGTAAATGTATCGACATGTGCTAACATTCCCCTTCAGCTCGCCTGGCCAATAAGCGAACGAAGTGAGCAGTTACTCAACTGGGACGTACCCTTCGTTGGGCACACGTCTTGTTGCGGGCTAGGATTGATACCAAGGTCACCAACAACTCGGGACAACTCATAGTCTCGACGTTGGTTTACGAAGACGACGCATGAGCGACAAGAGCACAAGCAAGTACATTCGAGGGAGGTTTCATAAGGCGTTCTTCTTTTTCTTCTGCTAGTCTTGTTTTTCGCGGGAGGGAAAGTTCTCCGAGTTTTGTTTTTCCAGGCTCTCAAAATTGCATACGGAGAACGAGCCACTAGTGTATCAGAGGGATTTTTGAGGCAAAGATAAACTAAAGATGAGCAATAACACAAATGCAAACAAGCAAGTCCAGATTTCCGTCCCAATGACAGTGCATAATATAGTTGAGGTGTCATTACATCTTGCGCCTATGAACAGCATGTCTATCTTGGTGTTCGCCATTTGATTGTGTCAGCTGAAAGCTGATGGTTCGAAGATAAACAAGCAACTACGACTCCAACCATTGAGGATTTGAACTAGCGACATAACAGACGAGTGATAAAGGAAGATGAACGAGGGAAACAAGAACAAGAAGAAAACGCCAGGGTGTGGTTGCGTACAATACCATCAAGGGCGAATTTTGGCGGAACAATGTTTCTTCAGAGCAACTGTGAATCTGGATAGCAAAGAATTCGGGAAGAGCAACGGCAAGTGAAATTATGTAGGGAAGTCGAGTCTATCGTTTCGCTCTTTCCTCGATGTGCATCTCTCTGATACTCGCCGTACACCAAACTTGACAACCATTCGAGTATCAGTCATCCCCATTACACGTCCAACGCCACGCTATGAGTCCACTCAACGGCCGACTGACAAAACTTCTAAGCCACCGGACAAATGATGCGTCTCAACCTTCAAAACGGCTCTACATCTTCGCGCCAGCCTTTGCAAGGCGATCGGCTTCCTGGTTCAGAGCTCTGGGCACCTTCTTCCACAAGACCTGCACACCTCTCTCTGCCAGCATCTCGACCTCNNCCTTGACAACGTTGCGGATGTACTTCGAGTTCGTGATAGCCTTGCCGCTCTTCTTGTTGGTGTAGACTTGTGTCTTGGGATTCCAGCGCCAAATCATCAAGTGCGAGGTCATGCAGTCGAAGAGGTAGGCGGAATCGGTGACGATAACGATTTGGAAGGGGAAGTTCCTGGCCCAGCACTCCGTATGGCAAGAACAGAGGATGACTGTCTTGACCAGTTCGCGACGAGCGGGAATGCACTTCTGTCGGATGATCTCGAGAGCGCGGGTTGCGGCCGTGAGCTCGGCTCGCTGGCTGGTAGGTGGCTGGACGATGTTGCGGTTGAGAAGTGCGGAGAGGTTGTAGGAGGAAGAGGGCCCAAAGTAGATGCCTATGCCTCCGACGGCGTTGATGGAGCCATTGCCAGGGCATGCAACGTCAACGTAAACAAAGAGTGTACGTTGTTCGGCACGATCCCGTCCAAGTGAGTTGTGGCAGGNGCAGTCTTCCAACACGTTGTCTTCATCTGCATACTCAGGAACTGCAACCATCCAGGTAAGTCCGCATTCTTCACAGTACGCGGAAGCTTGAGGACTGAAGTTGGATCTGGCAGTTGCACCTTCCAGGACAGGGGCAGCCGGTTCAGCCATTCGTTGGAGTTCGTCTATGTCGTCTTCGCTGCATGTAGAAGGCTCTTCGATGCTTGAGCTCTGCTCAGAATGGTCGTCCAGGAAGGTATAGTCACAACAACATTGGTGGCAGATTTGTAGACCATGATCCTCGCAGACCAATCTGCCATCAGGTAGTTCAACAGGAGTATCAGGGAAACCCATCGTTCTTGTGTCTTGAGGTACTCTGAAGAGAGATCAGAAAACTGGTTGAAAGCTTTGTGAATGCTAAGGAGAGAGAGAACATGCAAGTTCAATGTGTCGAGCAAGCTGACAGCTCGCCGTTTGTTCGAGCTGTGGGTCGAACATGGATGAAGCACGGGCTGAGCTACCAACGACTATGTGGTTAATCAAAACTTGCTCGTCCACACAAACAGACCGCGGGGCCCACGAAGCCTGTTTGGAGGGCTAGGGGCGGCTCAGGTATCCAAGACGTTGTCATTGGCTATGTGTGATGTGCTGAGAGTCATGATCTGTTCACGTCGCATGTTACGTTCGTGCGCAGAGCAATGAAAGCAGAAGATGATAAGACAAGGACCAAGGATGCCTCCAACAATATCTGGATGACGCTCGGAATACTTGACACCGACAGTGCAATGACGGTTATACAGTGTGGAATAAGCATTTTTCTGACGAGATCATCGTGTGTCTCATTTCGGCAGAGATTAAGGCTGGAAGTCGTGTGACCAACGAGCACGCGGGATCGCGCATGTCAGGGCGGCAAGATATCGTGCAGGAGTGCGTTGGTGAGCAAATGCACCCGCTAACCCGGCAAATGTGTGCGCACTCCAAACTCGCTCGTGGATCGTATGCAAGATCACTCATGTCATCCGTATACGTGGCGGCATCCGAGGTTGGACAAGTATTTCGGGAGTGTCTTACGGATGTCGATGCGCTACGTCTAAACACTTCAACAGGACTGGTAAACAGTCAGCAAGATGACAGGCAAATAAGTTGTTGCAGAGACTCACGGTCGACGATTCGCTCCTCGGCTACGCCCATTTGGTAGTCGACCAAACCTGTCTTCTCTATACCATCGCAAAGCTGCACGATCTCTTGCCCAAGGGTCTCGAGGTCATCAAAGTCAAGGATTGACTGTCCGAGCGGCAACTGCTGTCTAGTTCGAGCCATGATTTGAGTCGTCTTGTGCTGGGAATGCAACACGGTCAACCAGCAGTGATTGAAGGTATCCCACAGCTTAAGCCGGTCTTGGTATTGGGTTTTGTCGTCTCGATCGAGTCCCAGGTTTCCTGCATTGCCTATCAAGAACTTTGATATCTGGAGGAGTAGGTTTGCTGTTGGTTTTAGTTGACGATCCTTGACGAGTGTGAAAATCTGCCTGGTCTGCAATTGGTATTGGTTGAACAGATCATTTAGATTCGCTTCGTTTTCCTGTCCTGTAGTTGGTTGCTGAGCTTGTCCATATGAGATGTAACTATCATGGCTGTCGCTAGCTGCAACCTCTGGTATTTGAAATGCTTGGTGATCAAACGACACGGCTCCATACATGCCAGAGCCAGCTGTCGTTGTGTTCAGACCATGAAAAGGAGCTGTACTAGCAGGAAATGAATGCGCAGCGTGAGGCATGCTGTAGTATGAGGATACATTCATCGATGGCACGTTGTGCGGTGTGGAATGAGGCGAGCTGTGCACTCTTGGGATCTGCTGATAACCATATACAAAATCAGCATTTCCAAGAGATGGCGAAACCGACTGCTGATGGACCACACAATTGTTGTAACTCAGTGAGGTCGTTCCACCATGCTGAAACCCTTCATAAAGAGGTGGTGACACAAGATGTTCGTCCCCCAAGTAGGAAGAATGCGCAAGCGGCTGGGCTCTAGCCTTTGATGTGGTGTGTTGAGGTAATTGTGGTGTCTTGAATTGACCTGCTGGCGATGTCGAAGTCGAAGTGTTGTAGTGTGCGGATATTTGTGCCGTCCGACTTTGGTCAAGGTAATGTTCGTAGTTCCTGCCATTTTGATCTTCCATGGCCCAAAGAAGCGACACAGAAATGACCGCCAGGTTTGCGGGGACATAGAGAGTGTGCTTGAATCAGAGTTGATCTCCGGAAGTTAATCGGTCAGTGATGATGTGAGTATCCACGAATTTATGCGGTCTTCGAACGTCACTCTAGAGGATTGCAAAGTAGGTTTGTATAAACAATCAAGCTCAGCCAGCTCTGGAAAGCTGGACAAAATGTAAGTCGGGTCAACCCTCTGGGTGGAAATGTCGAAATCAGTAGCTTGATGTTCAACAACCAGAGACGGAAGGGGTTGGGGAGCTCCTTCGAGTCTAGGCAGGAACGACGCAAGGACCGTGATTCCAAGCCTGCTTGCCTGCTTGCTTGACAAGACTGACGGTGGAGACCGGTCCAGTTAAACTTTGAAGACGACACATCGTAGTCTCGTGTCAGCAGAGGGCAGATGTGTATTTTACAACACCTGTAAGATTATCTGGTTCGTGAGCCTGCAACGGCGGGTTGGGAATTTAGAGTCAGCCATGGGAAGGAAATGCTCGGCGATCGGGCCGCAGCGAACTATCACCATCCGCCGAAAGGTTGATGCAAGTGTCAAGTGTCAATTAGAGACACACTATAGCTTGACGATGGTGTTAAGAACTGGAGTCGCATTGCGGCTCTACTCTAGCCGGACTGAAACACGACATCCTTGTCAGAAACCCAAACCTACCAACAGTTCTTACTTGTCAAGGTGTGGCTTGCAGCAGTGGTGCACTAACATGAAGTAAGGCATGATTTGTAGTTCTTTTCAACGTGTAGTCAGCCGAAGCAAGAAGGAAGCCTATGCATTGACCTAGTCTATTACCTTCCGTACTACAAGGGCACAGGAAACGGTTGACAAGACGCCGTATCAGTGGTCTTAGTAGGACCCATTTGCCTGACATCGGCAACGCTGACAATCTGAAGGGGATGCTCAATATCGCTGTGGTCGTATATCCACGCGGACGCACTGCAAGGAAGTCAATGACGAGTACATTCGGCAGTCGAACGCACAGGTATGCTTCCATAAGTATGTGTAGCTTGGCGTAGGATCACGAGATTGTTCTGCAACTTCTGCTAGTCATCAGCTATACACTCAGTGGGGATTACTGAGTCGATTTGAGTAGCTGTAGGTGCAATGCATCCACTCGTAACTCGTTATCACAGCCGCACGCTTTGAACCAGGCTTCAAAGCAGGGAGTTGATGACTCAGCGATCCTCACGGCATCTTTTCCTAGCATTATCCATGTCCGGAAAAGTGTCAGGAGGCTGGATCTGACAACTGTGCATGTGCGGAGCCCTGATGTGCTAACAATGGATGTGCAAAGACTTCTCACATTTCAAACCACACGGAATGGTTCGTCCTCAGAGATATGCACCATCTCTCCAGCTGTATGCCTCGTACTGTCGTTGCGAGCTAGAGCAATACTAACCCACTTTACCTTGAGCGCTCTGAAGTTGGAGAACGTGTCACGTACCCTTTGATAGTCGTGCAGAGTACTTTATTAGCCACGGGTATCGGTTAAACTACGCGCAAGCGCGTCCAAAGTGCCGTTCGGAACTCAGCGGTCCGGCAACAATTGCATACAAGTTATGCACGTCGTCCAGCAGATTGGGAATCCTCTCGGCTGGTGACCAACCACCGCAATCAACGACCAGCAATAATCTTGACTCGTCGTACTCCGTAAAAAGGACCGGAGTGACATCCGCTTGTTACTTTCTTGGAGCTCGTGCCCGCTGCCCCGCTACTCTACAGTACAGTTACTTTCAGGGCTGTCATATCTTCCGGCCTCTAACCCAGAACCGTATCGGCTACCGACGACGCTCTGCAGAGCAGTCCAGGTGATCTTGTGTTTCCTTCTTCTTGATTAATTGAAATCAGCCGATGTCACCACAGGATGGAGCCTCTGAGTTTGTAAGCTCGTGCTGCGCCAGATGGCTTGCATTGGTAAACGAGGTTTATGCAGGCCAAGTTCATAGCACCGCAGTTATTCAGCTGAGTGGTCGCTTAGATATCTTGGGTCTGACGCAGCACCTCGAGGTCTTGAGAAGACCCATTAACCGGGAATGACTCGGAATCATGCCCTAGATGCCACGCCATTGCATGGACACAGAGCGCTGAAGGTGCCCTACCTCACCCGGAACTCGCACAAGCCCTGCGTATTCTCCTTATCTTACCCGCTCATGGGAACCCAATAGGGTTGAATTAGTCACTATAAGTAATTATTAGTAATTCGAACATTAGTAATTGGCAATTAGTTGTATGAGGACTTGAATTAGTAATTGCTTACTTATTCACGTGATTTCCTACTGCAGGAGATAACCGGATTTGCATAAATCATGCACCCGTCCTATACACGCTCGAGATGTTAAATACTTGGCAAAGGGTATTGCTAGTAAATGTACCAACCTTGGCGTTACCCTTTAAAATAGTAATTAACTACTAATTAAATAGTAATTGATTAGTAGGTAACCAATTACTAATTTTGCCCACCCCTAGAACCCAATGAGGGTTGAAACAACAACCGAGAACGAGTGACGCGAACCGCATCAAGCGCGACAGGTCACAAATCAGACAAGAAACAAGCAAAGTCCCGGTGTGAACAGTAATCACCCCCTACCTTATGTTGGCAACGAGAGGGCCACCACAGCTATTTGGGGGCACCGCATCCTAAACTCTAATTCCACCATGCATGGCAGTATTGTGATCCGCCATCTGTTGTATGATCGATCATCGCGCACGCCGAACAGCCATGGGAGGTAACTTAAATCGATTGTCCTCAGGACATCGTACTCGGAGTAGATTTATCAAACCTCAGCCCTTATGTTTACAAGATGAACTCCGTCTAGCCGTGAAGCCTATTGTAACTTCGACTCGTCTTTCGAAAGGATTGTTTGTATGCCATGTTACGAGTCTTCAGGTTGATCACTGCGATCAAAGGGGTCGGCAAGGATCCCCGACCCGAGTTGAACGAAATCGGGCAAGCAAAAAACGCCAAACGAACGATCGCTACTTACAACATTTGTCAAGGTCACTGGAGAAGAAGCCACTTCGCCTTCTCGGGCAATCAAGAGCCGAATCGTTCTTTGTTTTCACCCGAAGCAGAACAGTTGATTGGCTCGAACCTTTGTCGAGTTCATACTTTTGGTATTCGTCATGGTATTCTGGAAATGCATCAATCCTCTCTTGCTTCCCTCCCTCAACGTCTCATATCCTGCCTCGAACCCAAGGTGATAGCACCTGGCCTGGCTAACCTTCTGTTGAAGACTTCACGCCGACGAACTTTTGAGGGCGTGCCGCTGCCTACTCTGTGGTAGCGGTCTTTGTTCTCTCCGGATTTCGTTGAGAATTCTTATGTACGGAAAATGACTTTTGTGCGAATTGTTCATGCGCTGTAGGTCTGCTTGGGGAAGGGGTAACTGTGGTCGTGTTATGTCAGTCTTGAGTTCAGAGATGTGTTTGGAAGGATGGAAACGTACGCGGGGCCCAACTCCTTAATGCTCAACTTGGCCAACCAAGAGCCCATGTCGACACACTTGTCAATGCTCTCGCCCTTGGCCATACCGGCAAGGAAACCACCAGCGAAAGCGTCACCAGCACCAGTGGTGTCGGCAATCTCGTCCTTGCTGATAACGTGGACAGGGAAAGTCTTGACGTCGTCCTCGCCTTGGATGGCAATGACGGTGGGCTCGGTGCCCTGGGTGATGATAACGGTACGCTTGCGCTGGGTGTTCTTCTTAGGAAGGTTGGCCATGTGCTTGGCGATGGTAGGGATGTCCTCGGTGTTGAGATCGTGAGAGGCAGCGAAGGAGCGAGCCTCGGTCTCGTTGCCAACAACGTAGTCCCAGTAAGGGGAGGTCTGGTCGAGCTGGTCCTTGAAGAACTGGGGAATGAAAGGAGCGGACAGTGAGAGCATGAAAATCTTGTTCTCAGCAGCGGCCTCCTCTGCGAGAGCCATGATGGCGGGGACCGAGACGGTCAAGTGGTAACCACCGACGAAGTAGATCTTTGCCTGCTTGACGAGATCCCAGTTCTCCTTCAAGTGCTCGACCTTGTAGCAGTTGGCAGCGGCAAGATCGGTGCACATGCTACGGTCGTGACCGGTGATAATAACACCGCAGCGACCGGTGGGCTGCTCGTCGTCATAGCGGTAGACGGCACGGAGGCCGACCTTCTTGTTGGCCTCGACCAGCTTCTCGGCATACTTGTCCTTGCCAACGCATCCAACAAAGACGACAGAGTCGGCAGGAAGGACGTACTGGGCACCTCTGGCGGTGTTCTGGGCGGCGCCACCAGCGTTCAGGTCGACCTTGTAGTTCTGGAAGAGGTCCTCGTAGAGGCCCATGTGCTTCTCTTCAGCCAGGATGGCATCGTTGGACTTGAGTCCATACTTCTGCAATAGCTTCTCGTCGCCAACGGCCTGGATATCCAGGAGAGGGTTCTCAAGGCAAAGGATCTCGTATTGGCCAGACATTTTGATGTGCAATTGATGTGGGTTGGAAGAAGAGAGAGGTCCGCTTGCTCCAGATTTGCTGAGTCCTGACGTTTACCATTGTTGGTGGGGTCCTTGACGCCAAGGCCGCCCCTCTCAACCATACAGGTGCCTGAGGAAGACCACGTCCGTAGCGTAAGACAACCAAAAATGTTAGTATTGTCTTTTGTTGCTCACGAATGTGCATGTAGATACATTTGTATACAAGCTTCTCATCAACACCCGTTATCCTTTGCTGCCTTCTCAGGTCACCATCCAAAGATACCTTTCTCATTCTCGAAGCTGAATCATAATTACAATTGTTGTTTGTTCCATCGATTAGAAATAGTAGTCCTCTCCGCTCTTGCTGATGACAAACTCACACCCGAGCTTACCAAATCCCTCGAGGTCGAGAGCATCAGCGTGCTCATTGAGCTGCATCAATATGCGCTCACCTACATGTGGGCCATCTTCCATCGTGTCCTTAATATGGATAATAACCACTTTGACACCTTGAAGTGGTGCATCTGCTGGCACAGGTGTGTTTCTCTCTGTACCTGCGTCAGGTGTGTTGGCTTGTGATCCTTCTTCAGGAACCATCAAAGGAAGACTGCCACGTCGAGGTTGCATACTGGATGACCTTCCTATCACACTCTTGTTCCGTCTTTTATTATCGGCTATGTCATCCATCGTTATGTTCAGCCCATTCGAGCTTCGTTTGCGTTTGCGTTGGGCTCTATCCAAGGCTCTGGCGGCCTTTTCGTCCTTGACCAATTGTGCAAGCGTTTTCAACTCAGCAACCACATGCCGCGGTGCAAGGTGTCCAAATAGCACAGCATCTGGTTGACTATCGTCGTAAGAGCATTCGATAAAGATGCCTGAGAGTAACCCCTCGGCTATTTTCGGTGCTGCCTCTGCCCATATATTAGCCAAGCGTGGAACACGCGAGATGCTATCTGGCTCGACATCGCCGAAGATCAACACTTCCTTGGACGAGTCGTAGTCTCGGATGAAGAAGGCTGTGCTGTCGACGACCGAGTGTTGCGGTGTGGGGTCACTAGTGAAACTCCTCCCTTGCGGGCCAGGNNGAGAGTAATAGTTATGGCCTGGAGTTTGTTCCCCTGGCGTTCCGAAGACATGTGGCATGGACAGATTCCGATAATCTGATGCCTTCAAAGCAGAGTAATCTGGCTCCGAGATGCTGCCTAGTGACCCACGCTGAGAGCGAGAGGGTAGGGGTTCCTTCATGCAGTTGCCGTGGCTCACTTTGAAGCCTTTGACTCCAAGACCGTCACACACCTCGATATAGCCCCTACCTTCTCCCGTGCCAACCATAATATCGCCACCTTCTCTTAACCGCTGGAAGCTGACGAAGCCGACACCTCCATCTTCGTCTGTAAGGTTCGGCCATATGACATCGTTGAATATATGCCTCTTGATAGCTTCGACGGTGAACGGTAGAGCCGCCAACCTTTTTGGTCGCGATGTGGCATGGAAAGCAGCAGTATTGATGGCGAAACCCGAGAGGTGATCTAGGTGGGGGTGTGTGATCAGATAGGTCGAAACATATGTGCGCACGACATGAGCTGCGTTGGCGCGAGCCGAGGCATGAGGAAGAGACAGGCCGGCGAAAGGACTGTTGTCGAGAACGATGGGTTCTGGGAGCGTCTTCGGCTGTATAGGATTTCTGGTTGGTGGGGACGAGGTGGGAGACGAGATGCCATCCGTCTCCATTTCTTGAGGAGGCAGTTCCGGCGCAGGTGCTTGATTGGGCAGGTTCTTCTCGAAGATGCGGGTTATGGCGGCGAGATGTGAGCCGGCATCGACTGCCAGCAGCGAGCCGCGAGCCCATTCGGTAGCCGTCGAGCGCACCAAGAGACCCGTCACATTGTCTTCGCTGGGTCCTCCTCCTGAGCNCCTGTGAACACAAGATGATGGTCAGATCTGTGGGGTAGCACTGTCGCGTGGGGAAGAGGGAGGGCTTACAAGACAGATGACCTGGATAGCCGCTTTGTTCGTCTGAGAATGTCTCGGCTTCATATCGACGAAGATGGCGATGCCCGTGCCCCGTCTCGGGCGGGGACTGGCCGGCGAAAGCTACACTGGGACGTCGATGCGATCTGTATGCGCTTCCCGAAGAGTGTCGGGCTAGGACCCGAGGCTATGATGTCGACGTGCGTACCACTCGATGCTGTCTTGGATCTTAGAGGGGTTGCGAAAGGAGGGAAACAATGTCGGCCTGCGTTACCAACCTGCTTCATGGTTAATCTCATTCACTGCCAATTATCCGTTCAGCTGTCAACGGCCCACCCACCGTTAGACGTACGAGCTGGGTGCCCAGCGATGCACAAGGGAAGATGCCAAGATGGTCGCGGCATCCCCGAGGTTCAAAGTCCCTATCTTGATAACAAGCGCGAACTCGTTGAATATGGAAAAGGTAGACAGGGAGACGAAAGACAATGCAGTACACTGTTCAGAGAGAGTGAGGGAAAGTATCTCGTATCGTTGCGTTTGTTTCACACAAAACTGGTGAGGCTTGCACATCAGATTGATTCTAGGCTTCACCTTCTGAGCAGGTCAGCACAAACATCGTCGCCTGACATGCGTTGGAAAGAGAATGGCTATGAATATACAAGATTCTTGGGGTCCCTTTCAGCCTGACTGTACCTGGCCATGTTGCCTTTCGTGGCTGGATACGAGCGTACGGAAGTTCTTGTTTGCTGACAGGAAAATCTGGATTCGACAACATATTCATACGCTTACAGCTTCGCTCCCTTGCTTCTCCTCTTCTCTTTCTCCTTGTCTCTCAAAAGACGACGCAGAATCTTTCCGGATGGTGATTTTGGTACAATGTCGATGAACTCCACTCCACCTTTGAGCCACTTGTGCTTCGCCTTGTGCTGTTCCACATGACGGGCTATGTCTCGAGCGACCATCCTATCAGAATCTTCAAGCCCGACAGATGGAGATTTGACAACGAATGCCTTGGGCACTTCTCCTTCACGGTCTGATGGTACACCAATAACGACACAATCGTTGACCGAAGGATGCGTCAGAAGATGAGCTTCAAGCTCTGCAGGAGCCACTTGCAATCCCTAGGAAGATTCATCAGTACCAGTTGAGAATCTCGCTACCAACAAGACGTACCTNNTGACCTTGATCAATTCTTTTAGTCTATCCACGATGAAGATGTGCTCGTGGCCAGACTTCGGATGCTTCTTAACAACAGCCTCATCTCCAGTTCTCAGATACCCATCCACGAACGTCTCTTCAGTGGCCTTCGGGTTATTGAGATAGCCGAGGGTGATTGCTGGCCCTTTGACCCACAACTCGCCAGGCGTGTCATACTTGGTCACTTCCTCACCTTCGGGCGTGACAATTCGAGCCTCAATATCTGGCATCAAGCTTCCAGAAGATCCAAAGTATACATCAGTTGGTGTCGTTGAGCATACCACTGTTGCGCTCTCGGTCACNNTAAACGACGGTCAGCATCTCACTCTTTCGAGTGTCTATGAGCACAAAGCTGGAAACTTACTTCCATATCCTTGTCGAATAGCCCAATCTGGGAACATAGACTGCAGGTCCTCTGCTGTCTCTTCTCCCAATGGCGCTGCTCCGGTGAAGATGCTCTTGACAGACGAGAGATCATATTGCTTCACCACATCTCGCGACTTTGTCATTGTGATGATGATAGGCGGTACAAGGTACAGACAACCGATTTTGTATGTCTGTATCGTTTCGAGGAAGCTCTTGAACTCGAACTTCGGCAAAATGATGACACCATCGCCACGATAAACTCCTAAATGTGCAATGACTACCAGGGCATATATGTGGTTGAGCGGTANACTGTGCTGGTCAGTCTATGCCCCACAAAAACCAATGTCAGCGAAGCTCACCAGTCCAAGAACATTCTCAGTATAATCGGATTGGTTGCCAGGCTCGATCAGTGTCTTTCTCCATGGGTCTTCAAAAGTGCGCATTTGAAGGACATTAGCAATGACATTCTTGTGACTGATCATGACTCCTTTNNCTGGTTCTTTGGTCAGCTTGAGTCGCTCTGGACATAACAAGGAACATACTGGAAGACCCGAGGTTCCACTGGAGTAACATAGGAATGCAGTCCTCGAAGCACCCTCACCCTTGGACCAGTTCAACTCCTCCAGCTTTGCCATTTTTTGTCCTTCAGCGATCAACTGATCGAGAGTTTTGTATCCATCTCTTTTCTCACCAGCGACAGATTCGGGTACTTCGAGCAAGTAGATGCGGCTTTCAGGAATTCCCACGGTCTTCGATGCTTGCAATGCCAGATCAAGCAGCGGCAAACAAGTGAAGAGACATTTGGCGCCAGAGTCGCGAAGCTGATGCTCTAATTCCTGGACCGTGTAAGCTGCATTGGCTGGTGTTTGGATGCCACCAAGACGGTGAGTGGCCCACGCGAGAGTCAAAGTGTCAANTCTGCAAGAGGTCAGTTGCCTGACAGCCAAATCTAACCCATATATTCTGGTGCTTACGGTGTTGACGCTGAACAGACCAATGACTTTGTCCCATTCTGATCCTTGATTCGGAAGGAAGCCCAGCTCTTGACTCAACCCTCTTGCCAGAAATTCGACTCGCTCCTTAACCTCCAAGGCACTATACTCTTTACCTGTGAGCCCACAGACGAATGGCGATCGAGAGTATCCCAAAGGGTGACGTCCGAAGTTCTCATCCAGGATGAATTTGTTGATCGGGATCGAATCTGGTACATCAAATGGGAGCTTGGGCACCCAGTCCGGAGCATAGAACGGCATCTTGGTGAATTGGACTTGGGAATTGTGCGAGTCGGCGAACGATGGGGGCACTTGGTTTTATTCAGGATGATCAATCTACCTCGGTCTTCCCAGCGCCCCAGCCATTATGGCACTGGCCGCAACCATCAGCGCTTGTTTCAAGCTGCCTTGTCACCGAAAGATGACGGTTCTCCGCATTCTGGTGCGGGGTTGTGCAAAGGGAAATGAACCTTGAAGCTCGGGTGCTACTCGCACGGTGCACGGGCCCCACTGTCGGAAGCGAGCTTCCGAAAATCAAGGCCTCGAGACGCGCTGGATCGTTCTTGACTCGAGCACTTGTACCATAAAGACATCGACATCTATCTGGGCTCCTTTGCCAACAGCAGAACGTTTTGATCTATTCAAGACCACAAGAGCCCAGAAAAGATACCAGCCCCTTTTGTGTCCACCATCTTCTCTGAGCTACTCGCCCCACCCTCAGAGCCAGAAAGGCTCTTTGACTTTGCACCATCAAAGTTGCAACTTGACTCATCTTCTATTCTATTCTGTATATCTGTACATCTGTACAGCTCGGGTCAGTCTCTCTTTTGCCTGATCTCCAGCAAGGCTCAGAAGATCGATTTCAAGTCTACCTTCTCATCGAAAAGATTCCTCAACGATTCTTTCAAGCCTTCACGGAATCTGGTCCTATACTTGTCCGCCAACAACACCACAACCCATTACACATTGTCCAGCTCGCCTTACACCCTTCTTTCTTTTGGTAAGTCTCAAACACGCCATCATTGACGCGTTCAGACGCGTCCTGATCGTATGGTTCGCTGGTTCAAGATTTAGCAATGCCTGCTTTCACACATGCTTGAAACAAGTTTATTCAACTACCACGTGGACCCAACTGACATTGCACAGACAATTACGTACCACGTGTCGCTGCTGTTTGTTGTCCGTCCGGCCAGCAAGTCTACGATGTATGACTCTGTGTCTATCACACGCACTTGTACAGCGACTAACCTCTTACCTGCAGATATAAAGGTTGCCCCTTGTTTCGGACAGTTCAAGCCGGTTTTCTACTGCCGGAAAGTGTCGTCGCTCGCTCCTGGCAGTTTCAAGACTATTTCCAACTGCTGGTATTGTCTCAGCTGTGCGTAAGTAGTATGCTCCTTCATGAAACGTCATGTGCTGACAGTAGCAAGGTCAGAGATATTCCCACTGCTGCCAGTTCTGCAACACACTATATGAATTTGTCTTCACATCCATGCGTTAACAAGACATCGCGTGTTCTTGTAAGAAGCTTGCTTTGACATGCGGTATCACGTGCTGACTATAACCAAGATATACTCCAACACTCTTCCGTAGAATTTGCCAACAGGTGTTCTACGGTTGAATCCCTGCTATCTTGCGCTTTCACAAGATACAGCACGTGCTCCTCAAAACACGTCCTTTATTGCACGCGACTACACGTGCGTGTTGGCAGTGCTTTCTATTGATATAAACTGCCCACGACTCCATCTCCATCATTCTCCTCTTCCAACACTACAACATCTAACAATAGTACATCAAGCACTTAATCTTGTGTCTCTTGGAAGTACCAACCATCATCACCAGTACTATCAGCTTCCAACATGGATACAAGACATGATTCATTCCATGGCTCCGAGGACAAGAGAGATTCTGTTGGTTTCACAGATCCACCTAGCTCGCCTCTGAGTTCTGTTCCTGGTGACTTCGAATCTCAGCAAGTCCCACTGGATCTGCAAAACATGTTTATGCCTGGCAGCCCTGTCTTTCACAGAGAGTCTAGCCTTCCTTCCGTTTCCAGCAGTGCTGCTGTGGGCACTATTCGTGTCGCCTCGCCTGAGAATGCACTCTTTGAGTCAACACTGTTCGTCCGCAGGTCCGAACGAAAGCGCAAAACACCTCGATACTTAGAGCCCGACGATACTGCTGACATCTCACAACCTGAGACACCTGAGACACCCGAGCGCCCAGTCAAGCAGAGAAAGACTTCTCAACCCAGAAAAGCTCGCAATAGTCGTGGAAAGAATCTTGCAACCGCATCCACGTCTCACGTCGACGACTCGTCCGTATCGCCTGAAGAAGTCAAGGAGCCTGTGTCAAACACAGAGCAAACGGAGATGTCAAAGATCATCAAGATCAAGGTCAATCCCGAAAGGCTTGGCCAAGTTCTTGGTTCAATACCTCCTTCTCCGTCCGCTGCTTTGCCGTCGCCTGAGCCAGTTCCGCAAACGAGCCCTGATTCAGAACCTAATGTTTCGCTTCCTGCATCTCAGCCCGCTCTTGATGCCGTTGAACACGACTTGATTGCACTCTCTCTAGCTGTCACGAAGAAAGTTGCCATCGCCCAGAAACCACTTCCTCGTGGGCAACCAGAGATTTGGGCAGAAAACCGCCACACTCTTTGCGAGAGCCTGACTGGACTCTATGCATCTTGGCAAGGCTCTTATTACGGCAAGAGTGGCGTGGCTAAGGCTTTCATGCTCGACGGCAACGGCCATGTACGAGATCATCTAGACGAGAACGTCATCATCCTGCGAGCTAGCGGCAGCATGGCAAAAGATGGCGACAACGGTATGAAGCAGCGTGAAGACCAAGAACCGAACCATCAATACCACGCCATGGTCAATGCCATCACTCAGCAAAGCCCATTGGCTGTGATTTGTGGCGACAAGAACAGCCAAGTGTCCAGCAAGATGCCGCACAAGTACAATTCACTCGACTGGTACAAAGCCACTCATGTCTGGACCGAGCGAGACAGGTTCAACGTTATCAAATATCGTCTGGAGAAGCTCAATTCAGACACAGCTGCATGGTGGGTTCCCGCAGACTTTGAACCTGTTATCGAGCTTGGCGCACTTGGATCACCTCTCAAACAGCACTGCGATTCTTGCAGCAACGAGTACGACCAGATTTATCTGTGCGGTTGGCTGTGCCTGAACAGCAAATGTGAGAAATTCTGGTGTTTACCTGACGGCAATACACCCGATGCTGCACAGCTGATCTACGATCCTCGTTTCCTAAAGCAAAAGACTCCTTGGGCCAATGAGCAGGCACCTATCAACTTCCGCTTCTCCTTGTATACTACATCTGCAATCGCAGGCGAAGATTATAAAGCGGAGAACCTTCGTGGCATGACTTGTCCTGAATGCGGTAAATGCAACGCACGCATCAAATGGGAAGGTTGGGAATGCACAGGCTGCGGCTTCGAACACAAGCCGAAGATGACGCCTCTACCTGCAGCTTCAATCCAGGATCAGAACTACCCAGTCACTGATGCTTATCCTTCATCGCACGACTCTGCCCTTCCCCACGTCAAGATCTCGGTCAAGTTCTCACACAACTACCGCTGGATCACTTACAAGTTCAAGGTGTCGGCTACTGAAGAAGGCGAAGTTGTCCACGGCATCGCGAACAAGGTCGTGCGCGAGGAGGTCCAAGGCCCCAATGAGATGTGGGAGGACCTCCAAACCAACTGCCACGGATTGGTGCGCAGAGAACTGTCGAATGCTCTCATGAATTCTTTCACCATCAACTATGGTATGCCATACAAGTTTATCGCCGCGGGTGACAGTCTTCCCTTCACAGACGCGCCCTGGCCTGTTACGGAAGCAGTCTCTCGTCTCAATTGGGCAGACCGAATCACATCAGGGAATGCCGTCAAGGACAAGGAAAAGTTCAATGAACTGTACCTGGTCGCATATCTTCAAGACCAGTCAATGAACTACCACGATGATGGAGAAAAGGGCCTGGGTTCGACTGTCGCTACTCTCTCCCTCGGTGCTCGAGCCGAAATGGGATTCAGACCCAAATCATTTTTCTTTCATGGCATGAAGAGCATCGACTACAACCGCAAGAGAATGACTGTCATGACCAAGGATGAACCTCTTCCTGAGTTCCCCAACTATGAGCTGCGTAAGCAATATCTTGTGGAGATCAGAGATGCCAATCTCTCTGAGGGTGAAGAGAAGCAAAGACTTGCTGAGATGGCTACTGCACTTCGCGCAGCATATCCGCCCAAACAGAGCTGTACCAAGGTTGAGGATTGGGTCAGACTATCCCTCGGCCACGGTGACATCGTCATCATGCGCGGCGCCCATCTTCAAAAATACTACGAACACGGTGTCACCCCCAAGGGTCTCATGCGTTACGCTTTGACCTGCCGTACAGTCCTGCCTGGACATCTCAAGGAATCAGAATTGCCCGACTACGAAGTCGACCTTGTCCAGGACGATTACGATGGCAGCCGAATTGCCAAGTGAAGACACCGATGATGTTTTCCACACGTCCTTCCTCTTGTGTCGACATATTTCGATGCTCTTGCCTTTGCTTGCTACGACTTACTACGACTTATCTTTCTTGCTTGTTTTCTTTACTGATTTAGTAATGTTTGCTCCAGATGTCACAGACGAACGGGTCTTTGACGGGTACATGGTATCTTGCTGTTTTTACTATCACATACGGAGCTTGGGAATATTGGGATGGGAAAATATGTTTTTGCTTGATGATGCCCATGAGATATGAGCTTAAAAGTAGCTACTACCAACATTATGTATTGCTTTCTTACAGTGTTACAAAAATGGTTGTTACTTGATTGTTCATCCCGGATTGTATTGTTTGACTCGATGACACGCGCGTTGAAAGTGTGTCCTCTGTACACTCTCGATACAAGCCGAGGCCTTTCCATATGCATTCTGTGATTCCTGACAATGGAGATTTGGCTGAAGCATGAAAGAGGTCGGTGCCAAGGAGTGCATGTGACGGCAGGCCGAGCCGAACCTCGGCATCTCCAGACAATAATACATCATCTGCCCTTGCCCTTTCTGTCTCCTGCCTGCCATTTTCCCGTTGTCATTCTATTCAACTCTCACAAGAATCAAGATATCCATTCTATCAAACAATTCAAAGATGGCCAACCAAACAGGGAAAAACTCGGTTGGTTCGTATCGGTCTAGATCTAAGAAATATGCGAATATAAAGCTGACTTGTTGGAAACAGCTATTGAGCGTCTCACACAGGTCTCGAGTCACCTCAAGTCGTCAGAAGTCGACCTGGCCCCAAACCGCGATGCCATACTCAAGAAAAGCCCCGATGATATCGTCGTAACAGCATGTCTGCGCACTCCTCTGACAAAGNNGGGAGGCAAAGGAGGCTTCAAAGACACACCCGCCGCCGACCTGCTCCACGGAGCCTTCAGAGCGCTGATCGAGCGATCAAAAATCGACCCTTCACTGGTTGAGGATATCGCTGTTGGTAGTGTTCTGCCTCCTGGAGGTGGTGCCACCGAGTTCCGTGCTGCGGCTCTGGCTGCTGGGTTCCCTGATAGCACTAGTGTGCATTCGTTGAACCGTCAATGCAGTTCGGGTCTGCAGGCTTGTGTGGAGATTGCGAATGCCATCAAGACTGGTATGATCGATATTGGTATCGGTGCTGGTGTTGAGAGCATGAGCAGTCAGTATGGTCCTGGAGCTGTTACCGAGTTCTCAGAGCTGCTCGAGAACCACAAGGAGGCAGCAAACTGCAAAGTCCCTATGGGAGGTTTGTATCTTTGACATCTTGACAATTGTGACTCTACTGACTCTTGACTAGTTCTTTCCGAGCAGATGGCCAAGGACCGCAAAGTTACCCGCAAAGATCAAGATGAATTCGCTGCTTCCTCATATGCCAAAGCCACTGAGGCACAAAAGAAGGGACTCTTCGACGAGGAGATCGCTCCTATCAAGGTCAAGTGGACTGATCCCAAGACCGACGAGACCAAGGAGATCACCGTCAGCAAGGACGATGGTGTCAGGGAAGGCGTGACAGCCGAGAGCCTGGGCAAGATCCGTCCTGCCTTTGCAAAGGATGGCTCCATCCATGGCGGCAACGCTTCTCAAATTTCCGATGGTGCTGCCGCAGTACTGCTCATGAAGCGTTCCACAGCTGAGAAGCTAGGCCAGCAGATTCTCGGCAAGTACGTTGCAGCATCCGTCGTCGGCGTGCCACCATTGCTCATGGGTATTGGTCCTTGGAAGGCCATCCCCGTCGTTCTGGAGAAGGCTGGTATCTCAAAGGACGATGTTGATATCTGGGAGATCAACGAGGCCTTTGCTTCACAATGCTTGTGGTGTGCAAAGGAGTTGCAGCTTCCAATGGAGAAGATCAACCCCAAGGGAGGTGCCATCGCATTTGGTCACCCTCTCGGCTGCACTGGTGCCAGACAGGTCAGCACTCTTCTCTACGAGCTGAGGCGAAGGGGAGAAAAGGTCGGTGTGACCAGCATGTGTGTTGGTACTGGTATGGGCATGGCTGCCGTCTGGGTCGCCGAGTAGACTACCGCCTCTGATCCTCTGTATTATTCAACGAAACGAAATTGCATCACGATATTCCACCAAGACATTAATGAAAACGAAAAATTGAAACTGAAGTCTTTCTCTGATTATCCTCGGTCCAGTGGCGCAATGTGGAAATATGTACGCGCTATGCCGCCAGTGATGCTAGTCGCTGTAGCCCCAAAGTACAGTCCTCTACTCCCATTCGCCTGAAGACTCCGTGGAACACCCATGCTAATGCTGTTGCATGTCCATTCTGGCACACCTTTATGAAAACACAAAAGAAACAAAGAAGAAAAGCAAGTGTACAAGAATTAAGAAGAGCCGGCCTCAATGCCTTCGTCAAAGACGTCGTCTTCGTCATCGCTGTTCTCGCTGTCACTGGCAGGTTCCCATCCAGCTTTGGCGCGCAAGATGCGGTTTTCCTCCTTCAGAGCAGCGATACGACGACGATAGGGTAGAGTGCCTTCTTCATGAGCGCTGTGGGCCAGACGTAGGTTCTCAGCTAGGCGCAGCAACGAGGCCTGCCAGTTTTGGTGTGTGAGTTGGGCTTGGATGGTTTCGTTGCGCGACGTTTCGAGCAGCGAGTTGTAGTGTGCGTGTAGGGCTAGTTTGTGGGTCAGCGGCAGTGGTTGCGTGATCGAAGAAAAGGTCTTACCAATGGTTGCGGTCTGGTGACTGTGTGCATAATCTTGGATTTGTAGCTTGAACTTCTCGACTACCTCTTCGGCGTAGTCAATGACTTCGTTGGCTTCCTTGCACTCTGTTTCTAGTTCGGTGATTCGGGACATTGCGTCTGACAATTGGGCTTGGAGGGCGGTCGTGTCGATATCAGAAGGAGCATGAGGGGCATGAGAGANCTGCAAAGAGCGACAAAGCTTCAGTATTAGCTAATGAACGAGAGAATCAAGAATTAAACGAGTGGGGTATCTAAAGGCTGTGGACAAGAAAAATACAGCAGAAGCATGAATGACCGTACCATTAGCATCTCCATTGGTCAGGACACCGTTTTCAAGGGGCCTGGTNNCTAAAACGAAGCGTGTGAGCAATCCAAGCATCTTTGCCATGTCCCTGTGGTTGAAGTGTACCTGGGCACGAGCGAGACCGTCCTGCAGCTCGTCGTATTGCTCGCGGTTCTGTTGCAAGACAGAACTCAATTCTTGGACCAGAGACCAGATGTGCTGCATGTCGCTGTGGTGGCCGGCTGAAGGCATGCCACCTCCGAGGGTGTAGGGTGCAGCCGAGTTGGCCATGGCAGGGTTCTGAGCGGCCATGTCACCAGAGTAGATGTTGGAGAGGGCACGCGCAAGGTGGTGTCTGATGGAAGGGTCGTTCAGCGAGACAAACTCTTCATCATCGTCGGGATGGCCTGGTTCGAGGAGGTCCGAAGGGAAGGTAGGAGGAAGCGGCAGTGGACGCGCAGCGGACGAGTGGCTCTTTCCTAGACTGTTGGTGTTTCCAATGTCGCCAGGTCTTGGTGTAGTGTTGGGGTCTCTGACGCGGAAGGCCGTGCGCGACGAAGTGTCAGAGCCGGCTGATTTGACGCTGTCGCTGTCACTGTCGCTATCAGACTTGACGATGTAGCCGCCGTAGGATGCTTGACTCTGGCGGAGGCTTGACTCTTGGACGCCGTCGGTGCTCGGTACACTCTCGAATTCGGTCTCTTTGGCGAGTTGGGCGTCGTTGGATTCCTCAGGAACAAGCTGATCCTCGTGCTGAAGCTGCTCAAAGTTGGCGACGAATTGGTCTAGTTCTTGTTGGTGCTCTTCCTTCTCTGTAAATGTCCCAGTCAGTCATCAGACCCTAAGGTAACATGGCTCGTGCGCTTTGCCGATCGGCTCGGCCCGCAGCAGCAAACATACCTTCGCGTTCGCGTCTGCGTCCCTCTCNNTGACCATGCGCACTGCATTAACACTCACACACATGAGTCCCTCGTCCTCATCGCGTCCTGTGCGAAGCAATGCTCCACCTTCCGTGAGAAGCTTCTGGATTGCCAATACCGGATCATCAGGGCGAGGAAGAACTGCTTGCTCTGCTCTTTCTGTGTTGCGTCTGATAAACAAAGTCGGCTGCCTGGACGAGTAGTTCTGTATCTTGGGATCGTCTGCCATCTCTTCGCCCAGCAATTCTGAGTCTGCCGTCTCCTCCGGATCACTCTCTGAGTCTGAAAAACTGATACCCAGTCCAATGCCCGATTCGAGACCTTCTTGGTCCGAGGCGCGCTCCAAGGTTCTACCTCTCTCTTGGATTTCTGGAGCTCTGTACCAACTGGAAGGTCTTTCGGTCTTCTTGCGTAGTTTCATGCGGCGAAATCCTTCGCCCGCGTGCGAACTGCTTTCGCGAGGCATGGTAGCTTGTCTGGCTGATGATTTAGATGACGCGAGGTGAATATTGGGCTCGGATTGCGTCCGGATCACTATTTTCCGTCAGCCTGTTAGTGTCGCAAGAATGATCTTGTAAGGTGCTCACAGTTTGTGCTCTCGACGTGGACAGCGGTGATGCTTTCGAGATCAAGGGATCTGATGTCGGTATCGGATTCGTTGTCCAACTTCTGCAAGTGTGCGAAGTAGGCCAAGGTCTCTCGTGTGAGTCTTACTGTGGGTGGTTGTTGTTGTGAACTGTCACATCCACCGCGCAAACGTCCGCAACCTGACACCAATTCAATGAGGATCTCACAATGTGGCACTGTTATTGTGTGTGCGACTCACCTTGTCTGTTCGCTGTTGATGATGTGTCCAGACGAAACTATCGTTGCTGACCTCTGATTTGAGCAAAAACGTCGCGGAGTGGGATTTGTATCCTGTTGGACGCGGCTCTCGAAGCAACGACATCATCAACCCTAGCACCTTTGCAGACGGGAAATAAATCGCTCCAGTACTGAGCATCCGCCTCAACGTACGCTGGAGGACAGCAGTCCTCAACTGATCCAGGAAGGTAAGTCTTTAATGGCATTTCCGCATCCCTGATCTCTTTGCTTGCTTCCCTGTCCTGCGATCTGTCCTTTGCTTTAGACGAACTGCTTGCTTCTGGAGGCTTTGTTGTCTTCCCGGGTTTCCCTTTCTCCGTATTCGGTCCTGCGCGAGCATCTTCATCCTGATCGGGCTGCGACTCCTAGTTCCAGCCTCTTGCGTCAGTTCTTGATGACTCGGACTGCAGGGGGATAGCCGTGCTCAAGTCGAGATGTAGTAGGTTCGTCTCGGCCTCCAAGTAAGTCTCAATCTTGACAGTTGAGATGGATTTGGCAGGCATCCTGACGAGCTCGGTGTCATCCTCTGAGATCCACTTTCCAGTCTCCTCATCCTTATTACGAGAGCTGCACACGGCGTTCTTGAGCATGAGGGAGTCTTGTACCTGTGAACCAGCCTTTCTTGCAATTATCACGCCGCGTTGTTTCCTGCTCACGCATGCAATGTAACCCCTGGGCTTGCTAGGCTTGGAGGTCGCTCTTGCTCTCACCTGACCTCGAGAATTCCTGCTGGAGTTCCTCATGTTAGCATCGTCGCTAGTCTAAAGCGATCTGAGTCGTCACCAACATTGTTGTTTGTGTGCCTCCCACAACCTTCGAAGATCGTCTTCCACTAGCCGAAGCAATACTCCTCTTCGCACCTTGTGTAAGAGCGGAGTCCTCACGGGTTTGGTGGGAAGGTCCAGCGAGAGGCGATTCTTCGTCAACGGAAGCGAGTGAGCCTACGTCTCGGAGCCGTGGTTGCTCTGCATCGGTTGCGAGTGGAGGGTATTCAGATGCCTTGGAAACTTGCCAATTCTTTGGTGGTTCCCATGCAGGTGGTGCGGGATGTCTCCTTCTGACTAGCTCTTCAAGGTATATATTTGCTTGTCTGGAATGGAATATATGTGCTTCCATGAGCTCATCCTCGGACATTGACGCCAGAGCGGGCGTAGTATTAGTAGTATGTCCTTGGAAACTGGGTGGCAGAGGACTTCTCGGATTATTTTTCGGTTTCTTGCCCGAAGCTAAGTGAGTTGAATGAGGTAACAGACTCTTGATGGCATGACTGATCGCCTGCTTCTCAGAGGATGTTCCAGAAGGTTCGGGTTGTCGATGAGGGCTGGCAGTCTCGTGAACAACACCACTGGTAGCCTTGCTTCTCGAGGCATATCGTGATTCGAGGGGTTGTTCTCTCTGTTCTTCGGTGAGGGATTGGGCGTGTCGTCTTGCTCCATAGTGCTGGTTGTCGAGGTATGCTTGATTAAGTACTCTGTATCAATGCCTGATGAGGAATATGATATGCTGTTGTCAGGGTTGATGGCTTTAGAGATGAATTCTGTGAACGCGGAGAGACAAGTGTGAGCAGACCACATGGGATAACAATGGAAGTAGCGATGGAGATGGCAGTTTCCACAATAGTGCCTTCCCAAAGAGGCTCATGAACTCGTTATGATTACGAATAGGCAACTAGAACAGATATTGTCCTGTTATAAAACTTGACTCGCAAGCTCGGATAGACAGGCATGCTCGTATCCATTACATCTAGTACAAACAACAACACTTCTGCAATGCAGGCGCTAGGGAAAAAAGTTCATTAAACATCACTCGAAAAGTCAAGATTACAGAGACAACTGCTATAACGCAATCTGGTTGTAGCCTCTACCATTTGCAGGTATCTGTCGATATCGAAGAGAAATGCTCAGTCGACAGCTCTGCCAGGCTTGCGACCCCAAACCTCATCGGCATCAGACTTACCCTTGGTCTCAGGCACTGCCCAGAACACGAAGGCAGCCAAGAACGCAGCAAAAGCGGCAAAAATGAAATAAACCTTACCGCCACCAAGCTTCTCGTTGACGATGGGGAAGAATTGGGCAACCACAAAAGTGGCAATCCAGTTGGCTGCCAAAGCCCAACTCTGAGTTGAGCCGACAGCGTCAGGTCCAACAAGCTCTGAAGAGAGAATAAAGGGTACGGGTCCAAGACCTAAACCAAAGGATGCAACAAACGTCAAGACTGTGATGGCCGACAGGATAGGGATGTGCTTCATGATTCCAATGCCCAAGAGCAAGGATGAGACACCCATGCCGAAAATGCTTGCAAGGAGACAGACCTTTCGACCAAGCTTGTCAGTTAATGGAGCACAGGATGTGGTCACAACAATGTTCAAGACTGCAACCAGGACGTTGAGCAAGGCAGCATTCGCCGAGAGCAGATCCGAAAGCAAAGAGACACCGTACATGACTATCGAGTTGATACCGCAAAGCTGTTGTCCAATCATAATGACAACAACTGCGATCACGGCACGGCGAGAGTCAGGATTCTTGAGGACGGCAAGCGCACCAAGCGCTTCGAAAGCTTCTTTGGTCTTTTTGCTTGTCGAGGCGTCAGGNNGGGAAGGGCCACTCTGTTCAACACCGCCTGCAGGCATGCGGTCTTGATTTGACAGAAGACTATCCTCCTCATCTTCCATATCTTGCGAGCTCTCGACTCCCCAGCCCTTGACCTCGTCATCGATGTTGGCTTCGTGGCCTCTTAGCTTGCGCAGGACGCGTTTTGCTTGTCTTTCCTTGCCATGATCAGCAAGCCACTTTGGACTCTCTTGGCCACCAAGGAATAGCCCGATGGCTTGGGCGAGACCAATGGCTCCACCAACGGCAAGGATGATTCGCCACAGAGAGCCTTTGCTTAAGAAGAGACCAAGCAGCTGTGCAATGAAGATTCCCATATTGATCATGATCTGCGTAAAAGCACCAAAGAAACCCTTCTCTTTAGGCGGAGCGACCTCTGAGATAAAGATGGGTGCGATAACAACAGAAGCACCGGCGCCGAAACCGCTGATGAATCGTCCAACGGCCATGAGTGGGATGTCGGTAGCGAAGACTTCGAAGATTGGACCGACGACGAAGGGAATGGTACTGAAAAGCATGGACTTGTAGCGGCCATAGCGGGCTGAGAGAGGACCTGCACTAAGAGCACCCAGAAGACCTCCCAAGGTGAAGATGGACGATACCAAGCCAAACTGGGTCGAGTCCATAGGGATACATTGCGGCAGATTTGGCGCGACTGTAGACGAGATGGACTTCTTCTCGCATGTTATGACGGATTGAGGGGCATTGAACTCTGNCCTGTGCAGGTGGACAAGAGGTCAGAATTAGATGCTACCGAGTCATGATACGAACAGGATACATACAAGATGGAAACCGAACAGCAGGGGACCAATGGTGGACACGAGGAGGATGTAGACAAAGTAGGGCGTGAGATCTTTGAACCACGACTTGGGATCCATAGGTGGTTTAAGCTTTGGCAAACACGGCTGCTCCGAAGGTGAGAAGAAGCTGTCAAGACGCGTCGCTCTAGCCAGACGTTCGCAAAAGAAGATTGTCTTGCAGAATGAGAGGCTTCGGAGCTCGCTAGAAGGCCAAGTTACTGCTGTCAGACCGTGCCGTGTGTCAGAGTGACATGGTCAATATCGACATGGCTGGGAAGCTGGAGCCGTAACCGTTCTCGAGACCGTGACAGTCACATGCGGGCCGTGGCAGCCGTGAAGCTTGCCTTGGTGCTTGCTCTCGTTGGTTGAACAAGAATCGTATCCAACCAACAAGAAACCAGTCGCTGTGCCATCTCTAATCGGCCACATCACCTGCTCCCTCAGCCTCGTATTCCTCCATTCTTTGGCCTCACCGCGTATTTCGCTGTTTGTCCGAGCCGTAGTCTCTCTCTGTCCCTCGCTGTGCGTGTCCGGTCCGTCGCCAGCTCGGCCCAACGCTGAAACTCTGCCTCGCCGACGTGGGGTATGCATAAACCGAGCACAATTTAATCCATAGCCATGATCACTTCAACCTCTGCTGTCTCAAATGTGCCTCCTTCTGTGAACGCTTCTGCCGCGCCCACCAACAACCCTCCTAGTTCTGCTCCAAGTGTCAGAAATGCAATTTCCTCCGCTCCAGGGGGCAGTCTGACCTTCAAACGCAAACTACACTCTGCTTTCAATGGTATCTCCTCTTTGCGTCCTCTCTCTATTCTATGCACTGCTAAGCAATCATCGACTAATATCTGCACTTAGAACCAGCAGACACAAAAATGTCGTCGATGGGTTATACTAGCCAGAGGCGAATCAACGACAACTACGATGTCGTAGGTTTCATTAGCAGCGGCACCTATGGTAGGGTATACAAGGCCCGCAACAAATCTGGAAGAGGCTCGCATCCTGTTCTGAGTCGGAACTCTGGAAACCCCATCGAGGCTTTCGCTATCAANAAAGTAAGCAATCTTCCATGGCTGCTGAACGAAGACTGACTTGTGCTATAAAGGTTCAAGCCCGACAAGGAAGGAGAACTACAGTACACAGGCATATCACAATCTGCTATACGAGAAATGGCTCTCTGCACAGAGCTGTCCCATGAAAACGTCATCTCGCTTGTCGAAATCATCCTGGAATCGAAATGCATATTCATGGTCTTTGAGTATGCCGAACACGACCTNTTGCAGATCATACACTGGCATACTCAACATCCTCGTACTCCCATTCCAGCGCCAACGCTGCGCTCCATCATGTATCAGCTACTAGAGGGACTGCTTTACCTTCACCGCAATTGGGTCATGCATCGGGACTTGAAGCCCGCTAACATTATGGTCACATCTGCGGGTGTCGTCAAGATAGGTGATTTGGGCCTTGCACGATTATTCTATAAACCGCTTCAAGCCTTATTTGGCGGTGACAAAGTCGTTGTCACCATCTGGTATCGAGCGCCTGAGCTTCTGCTTGGGAGTCGGCATTACACGCCAGCGATCGATACATGGGCAGTCGGCTGCATATTTGCCGAGCTTCTCAGTTTGCGCCCAATTTTTAAGGGTGAGGAAGCAAAGCAAGACTCTAAAAAGACGGTGCCATTCCAAAGAAACCAGATGGGCAAGATTGCTGAAGTTCTTGGTATTCCGAGGAAGGAGAACTGGCCACTACTTCAAGCAATGCCTGAGTATCCTCAATTACAAACTCTGGCCGCTGGCAATCCTGCAGTCCAAAGACCAATAGGCTTGGACAAATGGTGGGACAACCTCACTCGAAACAGTCAATACTCAGCCGCAAACATGCCAGCACCACACCGAGATGGATTAGCCATGCTCAAGGCTCTGCTTGAGTACGATCCTCTAGAACGACTGAGTGCTGAACATGCGCTTCAACATCCATACTTCCTCCATGATGAAAGCAACCTACCAGCGGCACCTCCCAAGAACTGCTTCGAAGGTGTGGAGCACAAGTATCCTCCTCGGAAGGTTAGTTCCGAAGACAACGACATTCGAACAGGCAGCCTACCAGGGACAAAGAGAAGTGGAATGCCCGATGATTCGTTCCTCAGACCACCGAAACGAGTCAAGGAGATATGAAGTCATGACCATCTCAGTTGAATCTGCATTGATCCACAAAGTCGAAGGATTGTTCGGTATGTCGCACGCGGAGAGATATGCTAAGGACTCATGAGTCTGCGCCTGGACTAAAATATTGAAGGGTACATAACCCGAAACGGACAACGCTGGATCAGTTCTCTTCTCTTGATTGTACATATTATTAGCATATAAAATAATTGCGTCAGAAGTTATCGTAGTGGTGGGCTTTGAGCGCCGCAACTCATGAGGCCGTGCACAGGTGTAGCTGCTGATCGACTGTCGAACCTTGTGATCGCCCCATCACAGACCCTCTTACCTACTCTCCGAGATCTCTTGCTCGTACCTAATAAGTTCGCAACCAAAACACAAGCACCATGGCGGATGACAACTCGAAGTCAAACTCCGAATCGCAACTGAGCGATCAAGAACAGACACGTCTCCCGACCCAGGCAGAGCTCGATAAAGTTGCTCAAGTAAACATTTTGGACAAGAATGGCGACAAGAAGCAATTCGGTACACTCTGGAGTCGTCATGGAGATATTCCGCGTCGAACGATCGTTATTTTCATCCGTCACTTCAACTGCGAGGTAAGAAAGCTTGTCAAATAACAACAATAACGCTTCTGACGTCGCTGTAAATACTGATCAACTTCGAAGTCGTGCGCGGATTACGTTCGTGCGCTGTCAAAGGCGTTCTCCCCTGAGGATCTAGCATCTAGGCCCATACCAACAAGGCTTACTATTGTAGGCTGTGGCAGCCATACCTTTATCTCGACATATCTCGAGCGCACTGGCTGCAAGTTCGAGATCTTTACGGATCCTTCGCGTGTCACATACGATACACTTGGTATGACGTGCAACTTGGGACTGGGAAAGAAGCCGAAATATATTGAGAACAGTCTTATGGGAACATTGATTGGCACCGTGAACACATTGATGACCTTGACCACTTCGTCGGGAAAGAAGAGCCAGAATGGTGGAGAACTCGTCTGGATCGATGGTGAGATCAAGTGGGCAAGGAGGATGCAAAACACACGCGATCATGTCGAGATTGAGGACTTGAAGCATGTTTTGGACGAGCAGGAGAAGAGCCTCGAGAATGACACCGCATGAACTCGAATCTATACCACACAATATTCATCTCTCCTACGAAACCTAGAAAACCAATGAACACGACCTGCCAGTTCAAACATGATGCTTGTCAAGGGTAGATATATACGACCAGGGTCGCTCTAGCGACAAAACAAGTGAGGAATCTCTCCAGGAATGTCAAAATGCCTCTGAAACGTGCTTCAGTTCGAGTTCAGTCACCTCGATTTACCAGGGGGAGTGGCCGTTGACACTACTAGCCCAATTTATCTCGATCTGCAACGCCTCCTCTTGCGCGTTTCATACGATGTGGTATGCCGCGATGCGGAGGATCTGCACGAGGAGAAGGAGGGAGCCGCATGCAGCGATGCCCGGGCATGACACCAAAACAGCGGATGTCATTGCAGCTGTCCCTAATAGAGAGCCTGATTCGACAAGTGAGCTTCTAGAAATGCAAGGACAATCTGTGACCAAGCGTGATTGTGAACAAAGACCACATGAGTGGAACCAAAGAAGCGCGGCGGATGGCTCTCGTGAGCTGGAACGTGAACGACGCGTGCTAAGCGCCCGGCTGTCAAAAGGCTGGCGGCCGAACCAATTAAAAACAAAGGCCGATGATCCATCTAATTTACTTGCATCCTTTGTTGCGGGTTCGTAAACTCAAAGAATGGTGCTTTTTCGCTCAGGAGCTCACCCGCGGCAGACGTTCCACACAATGGAAAGCCATGGTGCCAGCAATCCAAGGCGCATTAGTGGACTGGACCGTTCGAAGGTGTAGCCTGTCATGTGGCAGCTGGGAGATTTGTGAGACGACTTGAATGGCTCTGACGAACAAACGAAGAATCTCCTGAAACGGCTCTTGTCCTCAAAGAGCATAGTACAGCAACGGGTCCGCTCGCAAAGGTGCGGCGTGCGCCAAGCAGGGCAGGAGTTGAGCTTTGTCACTTTCCTGCCGCTGGCCCCCTTCGACCAAAGGAAGAAGGGTTCTTTCTTCTTTCTCTTTTCTTCTCAGTGTGCCCAATTTGCAACTACTCGGCGCCTGTCCTTCTCTTTCTGCCTTCATTTGGTGACTGCAGCCTTGTTTCATTCTTACCTGTTTGTGCGTCGAAACCTTTTGCGAATTTAATAATCTCCCAAACCCGGAAGGCGCTTTCTCACCCTGGGCGCGCTCAATTGTCTAGCCTCTCGTCGCTGTGTTCTTGTTGAGCAACTTCACAGTCATCTCGAGCTTGACACCTGGCCACTCATCACTTCGGAACACTTCAGTTGCTGAATTTAACCAACACATCTACACACATCCGTCTGTCTCGAGCACTAGCGTCAACGTGTGCCTGTTGACAGCTCCGTCCCGATCGACGCGTTGGTCCTTGACATTACACCGCACAGCAACACGACAAACACTTTTCTATAGTGTAATCATACGCATACGACACGTCTGTCTGGTTGAAAGACCGGCAAACATTTATCCACTCGACTACATCTCATACTGTGGCCGTTCTCCGGATCTCTCGGATCCCACCGACCGTTTGTGTAATATCAGTCCAGCATCACTTGGTGTAGCTGCCTGCTTGTCAAGCACTTCACCTCCCTGACCCTCTCTCTACTTCTGTACAAGACCCGACCTTGACGACAAGCTTCCCGGCTTGCCCATATTCTAACTGGTCCTTCGACATACTGTCAACCAACAAGCTCCGCATTTCTGCAAGAAGCACATTTAACGACCCTCCACATCATCATCTTCATCTTCATTTAGCATCATCGACATCATTTCAGCCCAGATCTCACCTGGTCTTACGAATCAAACTGTAATAATGAGCATTGACGCTGGCGGTCTCGCTCAGATGACTTTTAACGGTTTCTCTTCCAACGGCCTTGGCGCTCCCGGCTCTGGCTTTGCTTCTAGAAACAGAGGAGGTCATAACCACAAGCGCCTCAGCGTTGGCCTTCCTCAGCATATCAACCCTACTGAGAACCACTCCGACCCAAACCCTACACCTCGCACCTCGCGATCCCACCTCCTCGCCGGTCTTCGTACCGCTCCCAAGACGCAGGCCGTACCTGCTTCCGCTCCTTACAACCAGCTGGACTACCAGTCCCAGCTGAGTGGCATGGATGTCAACACATACAATGCCTACATGCAAAGTGTTCCCCAGTCAGCCACTGCTGCTGGCTTCAATGGAAACCACTACGGTGGTCGTCAGCAACAACAGCAGCAGCAGCAGCAGCAGCAGCAGCAGCGTCACCAGCAACAGCAACAGCAAATGTACTCTATGCCCGAGCAGGTCTTGGCCCCACCTACCTTCTACGGCCAGGAGGCTGAGATGGACCCCAACGTTATGGAACAGCTGCAGCTTACCAGCCTGTTCCTCGCTCAGCGCCAACAGCAACTTCAGCAACAGCTTGCCGCTATTACTGCTGCTGCCAACACTGCCCAGTTGCAAGGCTTGAACCTCAATCAGTTCCAGCAGCCCATGCCTCAGGTTCATGCCTATGGTCAGCAGCGCGCTCAGCAACAACAGTCGCCCATCGAAGTGCCTGGTCAACCTGGCCTTTATCTTGTGTATAACCCCATGACTGGCCAGTACCAGTACGCGGTGGACAACAGTGCCCAATCGCCAATGTCGCCTGTTTCGCAGAACCAGAACGGTTTCTTCAACATTGACACTCCTCAGAAACAGCAACAGCCTGTCTTCCGTGCCGAGATCTCGCCGCCACCTACCGAGCGCCCCACACCTACTGGTTCCCGTTCCATCACTCCTCCCAAGAAGACGTCTTCACCTGCATCGAGTCTTGCTCACGTTGAGCCCCTCCCTCCTCCGTCTGCCAACGCCTTCCGTCGTGGCCACAAGAAGGCATCTTCTCTTGCCATCAACGCCTTGACCGGAGGAACATCTGATGGCCCCAAGACGAGCAGCGTTGCTACTTTCGGCTCTGCCAGAACCGTTTTCCCACCAACCCCAATGACAGGCACTTTTGGACCCGGTGCTGCCCGTGCTGGAGAACATCCTGTTCGCCAACCTCGCGGCCCACCCCCACTTGAGGAGCTTATTGCTTTGCCCACTAGCAAGCACGAAGGCAGCAAGAACTTCGCAACTCGTCAGCGCCGTCGTGCTCTGGATAACCTTGTTCGTGCTGGCTCGTTCCGTCGTGCTGTCAGTGGATCTCCTCGCAGCAGCCCCATCAGCGAGCGTGAGCTCAATTTCCAATCAGAGGAGGACGAACCCTGCTTCCGCAAGCAGAGCCCTATTGGCAGCGAGCGTAATGCCAAGAGAAGCTCCAAGGATAGCCTTGAAGGCCTCGGTGCAGGTGGCGCTGTCCAGACTCCAGTCAGCGAGAAGGGAGACGCATTCGACATGGGCTCTTTTGCCAAGCAGCTTCCCAGCCCTATCCAGCAGGGTCTTGGCCGCAGAAACATGATGCTGGGTTCTGTCCTCAGCGCAGCTGAAAAGAGAAAGAGCATGTTCTAGAGTGAATGGTGGATATCAGTATGGACGACACAGACGATGCAATTCAATTTCTGGATTCAATCCGTGGTTGGGCAAGATTTTATGATTGGGCACTGGCGTGGTCGGGTTGGTAACACGGAACGTGTCAAAGACTTTTCATTTCTATCTAACAAGCTCCGGCAAAGGCAATGGCTCAGGGGCTGTGCCCTCGAGTCTTGTGCAGTTAAATTGCCTGGAGAGGGGCGAGTTATTATTTTTTCTTCTTATGTTGCTCCCAGCAAATGCCTCCCGACTAGCTTTTAATCGATTCTTCTCGCAAAATCAGAGAAAACTCTCCATGTACCCTTTTCCTGTGCTCTTGAAACATTTGTATGTCTCGATGCTTGCCGAGATGCTTGCCATCCATGCCACCACGTCGGTCGCAGAGGATCGTTCCGGTGCCCCGCAACAGGGCTCAGATGTGCCCTATTTCTCCACCACCTTCTTCCTTCTTCTCCACACAACTCACCACAATTGACCACAATGGCCTCTATCGAAAGTGTCGCGAACACAGCAAAGAAATTGGAATGTCGATTCTGTCAGAGAATCTATTCCAAAGCAGAGCATCTGACAGTATGTTAAATCTTGTGGAGTTATGACTGATGGGTTTCTGACAAGTCCTCGACANNGAGACACGAACGTTCTCACACAGGTGTACGACCGTTTACTTGCAAAGAGTGTAACCGTGCCTTTAGTCGACAAGACTCATTAGCTCGCCATGAGAAACTCCATTTGCGAAGGGAGAGCATGAAGTGTGCTTCACCTGCTACTTCTGTCTATACACCAGCCAAATCTCACGCACTGCAGCATTTGCTGGCGGCTGACGAGGAGATTGACAATCGCAATTATGTACAACCCTCAGATCATGGTACCACGCAAACTTGGCATGAACAACCATATCAAGTTGAACCCGATATGATGGACATGAATTGTGCAACAGATCTTGACTTTCAGTTGATATGGCCTGATTCTGAGGAGCTGTTCCAATCAATCATGTCTACAGACACGACCTCGCAAATCCCAGTGGGCACTTTGCCATTCCCACAGGGGCTTGAACAATTTACACCAACCAGTCTTGACTCGCCTACTGCCTTCGATGATCGAGGATCAGCTATCAAGGCCATCCCTAACGGTGGTGGACACCAGGCTGTTCATGGTGTCAGCAAGATGATTTCGAATCTGGTGAGTAGGTATGCTGTGTCAAGCGTGCCCTAGCTGACGTTTCTANNGTCGTCGAGCATCACTGCAGAGGCTGAGGCTACATCTATTACTTCAGTGTTTCTAGATGAGTGCCTCCACATGTTCTTCGTTCGCTTTATACCTACATTTCCCGTCTTGCATCGCGCCACATTCGTGTTCCGAGAATGCACGCATCCCTTGCTCATAAACGCCATCGCCATAGGCTCGCTGTATCTTGGTCCCAAGGACTCTATTGCGAAAGGTGAAGCCTTATGGCGTCTTTCTCATACAGCAATTGCAACTTCAGTACGTCCCTTCACAGCAAGTCTGATGACATAATGTTGATTGTTCTTGCAGTGGCAGAGTCTGATCACCCATCGAGGGCCGAACGATCCGTGTAACGGACTCCAACTGGTATTGGCTGCTCTGCTCGGCCAGGTCTATGCAGCACTTTCAAAGGTCAGAAGTTATGCTGAATATTGTCTGGATGTCACTGACAAGTCGTCANNGAACCGGGTGCTTCGAACCACATCGCAAATATTCCATGCTCTTGGCTTCTCATGGGCAAGGCATTGTGGCATGTACGACAACGACACATACTCGATGGACGATTTACCTTCGCTAGACGCCTCTCCAGCGGANAAAGACCGTCAATGGAAGATTTGGGCTGCTCATGAGATTCAACGAAGAGTTCTCCTCGCTCAGTACATTCTAGATGGTCTAGTCTCATCGGCTAGTGGCAACCCTACTTCGACGCGGCACGCTGCTAACCAGCTTGGACTACCCTGCGATGAGAGCCTGTTCGAAGCAAGTACTGCAGATGAGTGGCTGATCAAGATGCGATCACAACCCAAGCAGAATGTCTCATTTCGTAGCATATTCCGATCGCTGTTTCTACCAGTTGATATTGGAAGACTGCCGGAGCACACCTTGACTTCCTTCTCATTACGTGTGATCTTGGAGGGTGTGCAGTCGCTTGTTTCAGACTCTACTGACGGCCCATCTGTCGGTGTCCCAACACGCTCTGAGATCCGCAGGGCACTGGCTCAAGTCCACGAAAGCATCACCAAGAACACGATATCCAGTCCCGAGACGCTTGAGGCCTTGTTGCGATGGCATTCGATCTGCCTCGATGCCGCCACGGACTCATCCATGCTTTGTCGCCATCTGTGTGCTCGCTACAACATTGCACAGCATGTGCTAGGAGGCAGCAGAGGCTTGAAGGCAGGACTAGATCTGGTCGCCTGGGCAAAGACTGAAGATGCCCGCAGAGCATTGCTCCATGCTGTCGCGATTCAGGATATCGTGGAGCAGCTTCCTCGCGGTCGAGCTCATGTCCTTCACATGCCCAGTTCTCTGTTTGCTGCAGCCACGGTGTACAGTGTCTTCTCGTTAGCAGGTCACACGACAGTCAATCTGCCTCGCGTCGTGGACTGGAAGGATGCGCTCTTCACCGAAGTCGACCCTTGCGTTATCCTCGGCGATCTTGCAGGTACATCAGCGGGATCGAGCACGACGAGAAGATTTGTTCGTGGCGAGAAGCTTTCAGGTAGCGGTTATGAATCGCTGACTCGCAACTTGTTATACGAGCTCAACTCGATGCAGAAGCTGTTCCGTTGTCTCAGCTCACAATGGGGGCTCGCTTATGACATGGAGTCTCTGTTGAATTCGTGGATATCACTTTGTCACTAAAGGCTTCTGTCACTTATGATTGTACGAAGAGTGTAGTCTGGGAGTGTGGAAGCAGTTTCTGGATTCAAGGCGTATGTATCATTCAAGGCTATCCACATTTTTAGTATAAATCGTCAAGCTGGCATTATTTCGCAAGGAGCGATGTGAACTTCTTATCATTGCTCTACTTCTCGTCTTCGAACACAGTAGTCAAAGTACCGATGTGTGGGTGAACCTCGACCGAGAACTCATCGCCATCTCGCAAGAACTCCTTGGGGTCTTTGCCTACACCCACACCAGCGGGGGTTCCAGTAAGGATGATGGTGCCAGCGGGCAAAGTGGTGCCTTGGGAGCAAAAGCTGACGAGCTTGGGGACGCTGAAGATGAGGTCGTCGATGCCAGAGTCTTGCATGACGTTGCCATTCTTGCTGCCCTTGATGTGAAGCTTGCTCGGGTCGGGAATCAACTTTGAGCTGGCCAATACAGGACCGATAGGGCAAGCACCATCGAAGCCCTTGCTGTAGCACCACTGGCTCTGGGAGAACTGGGCGGCGCGGCTGGAGACGTCGTTGGCGGCAGTGTAACCAAGGACATAGTCGAGAGCTTCCGATTCGGAGACATTCTTGCAGGGCTTGGAGATGACGACGACGAGTTCGGATTCGTAGTCTGCCGTGTCAGACTGTTTGGTGTGCTTGGGGATGACGGTCGGGTGAGGGTAAGGGTCTGCGAGTGAGGTGGCTGGCTTGAGGAAGATGACGGGCTCTGATGGTTCGGCCATCTTGACTTCTTCGGCGTGTCTCTTGTANNCTGTCGTCTGTGTCAGAAGCAGTCCCAACGCCAGAGTAGAATCAAGTATTACGTTCAGGCCAATGCAGCGTATCGTGCCAACCTCCTCTTGTGACAATGGCGACAACAGTCTAGCGATCTTCTCGGTCTTGTCTGACAGCGAACCAGGGTTCAGAGCGGACTTTCCGCTGAAGACCTTGACTTCGACCTCATCGCCTTTGCGAAGAGCGAGACCAACATCGACTTCGGCATCGACGGGCTCGCCGATCAGGATTGCCTTGGAGTCGCTGGCTGGGACGAAACGGACGAGGCGGTTGAAGGACATTTTGATTCTGGTATAGAGTATCTCTGATATCGAGAAAGAAGATCAAAAGGCGTAGAATGGATCAAGAGACTTGAAGTCTATGCCGATGTCGCGCAATGGGTGATATCGCGAAACGCAGCAAGTCCCGCATACGAGATCCGCACCCTTGAAGACACACCTTCCTTCCCCCACCTTGGAGGGGTACAGGTGGGGAAGGAGCACTCTGCCTCCCTCGGCCGAAGCCATGCCGAAGACCGAGACAGAACAAGTAGAAGTATTCTCGATTGATCTGAATCTGTATAGGAGCCCAAGACAGTAAACAGGACAATGAGAGAAGGCTAAGCAGGACGCAGTTCAGTCTATCACTTCTGCTTGTGGTCCTTGCCGCACGTCGAAACAGCACCACACGATTGTTTGCTGGTCAGAGCTCTACAGGAGCAGGGCTGTGTGGGGCAGTCACAAAGTGTTTTGACAATATAACCCGATGACGGCCGAGAACATGTGGTCCAAGTAATTCTCCTCGAGTGTTCTTGTCTTCTATCTCCCAGTCATACACATCCAAATTAGCACAAAATGTCGACCAGCAAGCCATTGGGACCTTTCAAGCTCGTCACAGTCAACACAGCACCTGAGCGTGCTTACAGGTTGATTGGTCGCGTCGTCGAGAACGTCAAGGACAAATACACAATCATCCACGCTGGAAACGCAGATAGTAGGTCATCAGGAAAGGAGATATGGTAGACATTAACTGACGTGCGATGANNAGACCAGGAACAAGTTCGCGAAGTGGTTACCAAATGCCAGCCCGATGTACTGGTGTGTCAAGCCGGATGCGACCACGATATAGCAATGAGATGCTGACAAGATGTANNGTTCACAGCATCCATGTGGACACCTGAGGAAGCCAAGAGCATCCACGCCGAAGCCAAAGAGATCATGGGCCCGCAATTGAAGACTTTCGCTCTGCCTCAGGGACTTCAGGTATCGAGAGGGCCGGACGCTGTGGTCGAGTTCATCGAGGAAAATCTGCCTGCTCTGCTCGAGGATTAGAAAAGAGAAGATACCATATCAACGCAAGTGTCTCGATGTTTCGCCATGAAGATGCACCAAAGAGATTGAGCCTCCCCGTGTGCAAAAGTATATAACGCGTGTGGCTGTTAAAATGTACGATAGCGACAGGAAACGAGACAACATCCGCTGAGAAGCGATTAGTTGTCGACTCTCTATGGATACGCCTTATTTATAAAGACAACTGTGCCTTTTTATAGTCTACATTCTGCTCTTAGCTATAGTCGGAGTATATTGGAAGTTATATACTTTAGCACACGGGGAGGAGTGAGAAAACAAAGTCAAGCGTAGCAAGACCAACGTCATGGTTTGTTCAAATTTGGGCCCCACATCTATGAGTAGCTACTGCGGTAGAGACTCAATGTTAGGGTTACGCGTCTCCCATGCAAGTAAGTGATAGCAGACGGCTGTAGGTATGCACGATTATTGAAGCGGGCCGAGATTAGGTGCAGTGACAGGAAGCTGGACCCGATACAGACGGTGGACTCGTCTTTGAATTCCAAAAAGACGGTGTCTTTGGGCATGTGATTGGGCGGTGGACGGGAGCGTCGGGATGACGGCATGGCGATCATCCAGATCCGGGGCGCGCTCTCTGCAGGCGGCGCGAGCTTGTTTTATGGAGTCTTTCTGGAAGCACTCAAAAGACGTTGACGATGATGGCGTTGATAATGATGATGATGAATTCCAATTGAGCTTCCTCGGTTTCTTGTTCTTGGTTTGTCGCGTCTCCCTGAACCTCTACTGCCATCCCTGCACCCCCACCTCACATCTCTCATAGCCTCTCCACCGCAACTTCCCGACCATCACAACCATGGCCGATTTGCACAAAGCTCTCGAGCAGCTCGGCCCAATCGACTGGGCCGATGTGCCACAAGACATAGGCCCATTCATGAAGAACCTCTTCGAGAACGGCGAACTCATCTGCAACTCAGTTCCACCCCTCCTGGCGGCAAGGCCTACGATGCATCCGAACCTACCCAACCCAAGCCCGACGCCGCAAAATCCTCCAAAGACGTCGTCAACTCAGATGCCCGTCCCGTCGAGCCCCACCCCGAGCAGGCCGCTCTGCAGAAGTCATGGGAAAGCCCATCAAGTTGAACGCCAAAGACAACCCTCTGGGCATCTCGGTCTACAAGATGGCAGGCAAAGACCGACATGGCGCGTGGTTCGCTCGTAGGCAGGTCCTCGAAGGCGTCTCCATCACCAAGATGCGCAGGGCCATGCAACGCGAGTTCGCAGAGTCCTTGGCCCAATCCGGTGGCCCTGGTGCTGGCAACGTCCGTGGTATTGGTGGTGACCGCAGACTGGATAGAAAAGAAGTAGACAAGGTGGGCAAGATGGAGGCTCTCCAGCTCAGCGCCCAATTCCCTGGTCCCACAACTCCCAGAGAATTCATCACTCTGCTTATGACTTCAGAGAATGCCTTGTCCGACAAGACCAGCCAGGACAAGCACCCCATCCCAAGACACTACATGGTCATCTCCAAACCCCTCACACATCCCGATACTCCCTGACCGCGAAGGTTACGTCAAGGGCTCCTATGAGTCCGTCGAAATGATTCGTGAAATCCCTTTGAACCCCGCTCCAGAGAACGAGGACGATGCAAAGGGTGACAAGCACGAGCTCAACCCCGTCGAATGGATCATGATCACACGCAGTGACCCTGGAGGTGGTATTCCTCGCTTCATGGTCGAGAGAGGTACCCCTGGCTCTATTGCAGCTGATGTTTCCAAGTTTCTGGATTGGGCATGTGCCAAAGACGAAATCCCTGATCCTGATGCCGACGAAGAGTTGCAGCAGAAGGCCCAGGCCGAGCAGACTGAAAAGAAGGGTCCTCCTCCGGCTCCTCAGCAAAACTCCAGTGCACAGCAACCTGCACAACAGGCAGGCGGCCTCATCGCTTCTCTCACAGGAGCAGTTGAAGCAGGCATCGAAGCGTACGCCCCAGCACCCATTGCTAACTACACCCACAACTACATGCATCCAGAGGATGACACCTCGGACTCATCGTCGTCTTCAGACTCATCCGATGCAGCTTCATTCGCATCTGCTCAAGACCACCACCACGATGTAGGCGACCATCCTGCACAACATCCCGCACATGATAGCGCAGCCGTAGCCGCCTCAACGACCTCGTTAGGCGGCGCTTCGACAACTTCATCAACGAATTTGCCAACGGGAAGCTCGCATCACGACAAGGAGTTACGCAAGATCGACAAGGACCGTGCAAAGATTGAAGCAAAAATCCACAAGAAGCAAGACGCCGAGGCTGTCAAGCTCGCTAGCCACAGAGAAAAAGATCCCGAAGACATTGCCAAATACCAAGAAAAGTACGACATTGCAATGGCGAAGCTGAACGAGAAGCGCGAAAAGGAGCTCGCCAAGCTCGAACAGAAACGCGAAAAGGAGATCTCGAAAGCACAGAGAAAGAGAAGCGAAAAGCTGAACAGAGACGAGGCCAGTAGAGTTGCCAGGGAGAGAGATGACTTCAGAAATCAGGTCGATATGCTGAAGCGCGAGAACGGTCTGCTTAGAGAGCAAATGACCGACTTGCAGCGTGAGAATACCATTCTTGTCGATAAGGTCCACAAGCTTGCCGGAACCGGTGCTCTCAAGGAGATCAAGGCCGAAGTCGAGCATCATTGAAGTAACGAGTGCATTCACTTACGAAGTTGAAGATTCCAGCGTTAATATCATCTTTCTTTTTGTCTCTTTTCCATCAGAGTTTCGTGTCTTCTTTCCGTTGTCATTGTCTTTTGCAGGCGATTCTTGTGTCTTTTATGCTTTCTCTTGTCTTCTTGCATTCTGCTGTGTTGTACAATAAGGCAGGAGGGCTTTATCCATCTTCGTTTCTCGTACATGTAGTATAAGGATAGGGCTTAAAAGCAGATGGCAACATGAGAACCTAGAGAAATTCTTGATACAGTTGGCAGCAATAAACGACTCGCAATGTTCAGATCAACAACAGTTTCTTCTGCAACCATCTCAGTAATTTCGTTCAGACCAGATGTAAGAGAGTCTTTCGTCCTAACACACCCTCATGTGCTATAGACAGTCATACCTTGCAACTAACCCTTTCTACATCTCGAGCGTTACTGTAAGAGTTGTCATAAGCTATCGAAATGCACAGTTACAATTCGATTACAAGTGTGGCCATTGAGATAGCCTTCAATACGGTTCTCACTGTGGAGACCGTACTCTGCACGAAAGTACTGTGCATCTATCTGGGACCAACTGGTATAAGCTCACCGGTGTATAGGGATCGACTTCGTTCTGGTTAAGTTGCGTTACCACAAATGTTGTCATTCTGGTGCTATACCTGAATTCTTGTACACGAATAGGGTTTAGAGGAGATGGCAACATGAACGATAGCCTAAAGAAACTGTTGATATAGCTGGCAGCAATGAACGATTCACGATCTTCAAATCAACAACAGCTTCTGCAATCATCTTGGGTGTTTTTATACCAATATTGGACACAGTAGTCCCGTACCAGCTCACGAAGAGCAGGACAGGGTGCGGTAGATATGCATGAATGTATTGTTTTCGCTAAACGACAGTTCTTCGTGTGCTTGGCTACTGTATACAACCCTTAATTCTACATGAAACATTCAAGTTGTACAAAGATATCTTATACAAATTCACAAACCTCCACCACTTATAGATACAACTCCAAAATTCCACGAGATCTTGCAACCTGAGCCCAATTCATATATACAATCATACTCTTGTCAATCGTTCTACTTGTTGTCCGTGTTGTTACTCCCGTTATCTTCAAAGCCATGCTCTGGCATCAACAGTCCAGGATGTGCTCCTCCAAAGTCCGGGAATAGAGAATTGACATCGAATCCGCCAACCGAATCTGCAGCGAATAAACCACCTGCATCGTCGCCGAGTCCGCCCGCGCCAACAGATGGTGGGTCGACGTTGAAGGGCATGAACCAAGCAGAGCTTTGATCGTGCCAGGCATTGTTGCTGTTCATGCCGAAATCAAAGGCGTTGAGGTCGATCGAGAATGGGTTGGTGGTGGCGGAAGAAGGGTCGAGAGATTGGTAGTGCGACATGGAGGGGTCGAGGTTGAGCATGTTGCTGTACTGTTGGTGCTGTTGTTGATCTGGTTGCTGTTGCTGTTGCATCATGGCCAGCTCGGCAGGGAAATTGTTGCTGTTCTGAGGGCTCAAGACGCCAAAGTTGGTGTTCATTGCCCCGGCTGTCATCTGTGAGACCGTGGCTGCTGGATGATGTTGATGTTGCGCTTGGTTCTGTTGCTGATTTGGAAAGCCTGATGGGTTGGGTGCGGCTGGCCCGGACGTTCCTGCCGCTGTCGCAGCTGCCGGTTTAGATTGAGAATCTGCTTTTCCACGCTTCTTCCTGGGCGCCTTCTGTTTTGTGGTCTTGTTTGGAGGACTCAACTTCGAGAAGAACTCTTCTACGCTTTGCAGATCATTCTTCTGGCCCAACACCGCGTCAGAGCCTGGCTCTTNTTTGACATCCGCAGTAACAGGCTCTTCATAATCTGTGCCGCTGACACCGTGAGGATATCGGTCGAACCAATCGCCATATTGAAAGATCGTTTCCAGTGGCTTTTGAGCGTTACCAGCTTGTGCACCTCGGAAAGCAGCGTCTGCGTGTTTGCGGTATAAGTCCTTGAGATTTTCCGTGACGAAATGAAACATTCCCCAGTGTTTCTTCATCCGCGTTAGATATTTGATGTTTGTCGCCAAGTTTTGTTTAGAAGACGCTTCAAGTGCTGGGTTCTTCGAAAAGACGCCATATATATGTACCGTGCTGGAGANAAAGGCACAGTATCCAGCGAACGGTGCAATCACTCTATGATCCATAGCTTCGTTGATCAAGACCGAAATCTGATTAGCTGCATCCAAGGCGGCCCTCCCACTTTCGGTGATGAACGCTTGAGGAGTGTCCCTCACGCTTGCCGACTTTGATCCTGGTGAGGGTAGTGCGAAGCGATTTGTGAAGCAAATAATCTGATTGCATATCAGGTGCATGAAGATGAATTGATTTGCAATCTTCTCGCTTGCATGTGTGTCGAGATTCTCTTGCGACCAGTTGAGCGAAAGTGGAAGTCCAGTTTGCCATTCGCGGACAGCTTCCTTTATGGCATGGAACTCTGATTTGGTAGACCAAATGGGTTCCTTGTCTCTTTCTCTTCCTCCCAGATTCATGTAGCGGATCACGCGACCCCAGATGGCTACCAATCGGATTATGTATGCAGCTACGCCCATGTTCTCGGTCGCCGAAAGCGCATGTGGTCCGGAGTTTTCGGTGTTGTCAGGAATCGGTCCTTCGAGTACTTCCGTTGTGCCTGGAATCTCAAATTGGAAGAAGTGTTCCTTGACTGGCAGTTGAGCTTGGATATATTGGTCGTTGACAAACAGTGGTCGTTCGGTTCCAGATGAGTTGAAACGGTCCATNNCTAAACATGTCAGTCGCTAGTTCAGTAACAAACAGTTGTAGTGATGTCTTGTTACCATGAAACAGGCCCACATCGTACGCCTCCTGATCTCNNCCCTGTCAGTGAATGTGAGCTCTGCATTGCTCCCTGTAGCGCGACTTGAAGTATCGTGATCCAAATCTTTGTGTAATTGCAGAGCGTATGCCATACGTTGCGCCATACCACCGAGCATCCAGCTTCGACCACCTTGACACGTTCCGAATTCATGCAGACCCAGTAAGAGATAAACTATGAGGATCGTAATGTTTGGCGAATCGTATCTCTTCAAAGCGATCTCCCTCGCCGCACTGGCCCAGTTCTCGCCCCGTAAGAAAGCAGGTTCCGTTTTAACGTCAGGATGTGATGAGAAGCGAGCAGAGATGGCGCAAACAGCCAGAATGAGCACTGGTGGTACTTGTCCAACTTCAAGTTTTCGCATGAAGCTTGGTTTATGCAGTAGATGATAGCTTTGGCCGTAAACATAATCGAAATATACTTCAGCCAGATGAATCTGCAACTCGTGTGAAGGCAATTGGTCGGCTCCTTCCTGAAGTAATCGACGTTCATCTTGCTCTTGGGGTCCGATCCTCAACCGAGCTTCTGCACTACCGCCAGACTTTGATTTTGACCAGTCGTTGATGTCGTCGCCAAAAGCTGTGTCGGCAGCTCTCTNTTTCTCGTTCTTTGACGGTAACCCTGGAATAGCAGGTTTGACGACAGCTCTACCAATGGTTCCTATCCGACCTTGGTCCTCCTTAGGCACTATTTTTATGACGCGCTCTTCCATTCTCTTCAGTCGCTTGTCCAACATGGCCATGTAATCAGTTCTCGGAGCAGCCTTCCTGGTAGTGACCTTGTATACGCAAGGTATGCGAGAACGCAGACAATGCTTGCAAGCCGGTTTCTCGCCTGAACAGCGGATCTTCTTGCGTCTGCAAGCGATGCAGGCTAAGGGAAGTCGCTTGCGCTCCTTGCCTGCCTTGGTCTTGAGCTCTGCCCATGCTGGTGTTGGGTCGTTCTTATCTTTCTGATCGTCTTGAAGCGGCTGACCAGTCGAAGGGTTTGTCGGGGGACCCACGGAACCTGGATCCTGGCCACTCACAGGACTGGTCGCATCAGAGTCGGCGATGCTGCCAGGGTGCAATTGAGTCGGTAGCGGACCTGAGCTTCCGATGCTCATGCGATGGTGGAAATGGGCGGAAGACGGCGATTGACCATCACCAAGTTCGGGAATGGCGAAATGGAAGGGAGCATTGTGCATCTGAGGGGATAATATATGGCCAGGATCGTAGGGGGCGTTGAAGGAGGTCAAATTGTTCTCGAGATCAGGAAAAGAATTTCCTGGTGTGTCGAAGGACGGCGACGTGTTTGGCGACATGGACATGATTGCAGAGAGCTATAACGGCCCATGTGGGGCCCTCTGTAGAGCTGTTACGAGCGAGTTGGACCGGCGACGATGCCTGTTAGCTCGCGAGTGATTGCGATTGGCACACCGTCTCTGCCTGCAGCGCCCCCGAGGTCTCAACAGCCAGAGCGCTCGCCGCGTCGAAGACCAACGACAATTGTAGGTTGGTAAGCAAAATCAATCGGTAGAGCCCCGCTTGGACGTGGAGATGGCGGCGCTTGCTTATAAATGCTCCTTCGAGCGACGATGGAGATGAACGGCGATTTTTGTCGCAATACCAGGGCCTCGCACAGAAAGCTTACCTTGGAAGCAGTCATGCACTCATCGAATAGTGGCTTCAGGGCAAGGAAAGAGACAAGCCGTTCAACTGCCTTTACATGTTGCCGTTCTCGGGGTCCTTTGGCTGGCGAAGGCTAGACATCCTTAAGGTTTCCTCCGCCCGAATGTGGAGCAAGTGGAGCATGCCGATTTCTAACTAAGCACGGTGTTAGTCTGTTTGACTGCGAGATATCTTTGCTGCGCTTCTACTGGTCGGATGCACTGGATATACTGCTATGACCAATTGCCATCTGTTCATCAAGACACCAGCCTGAGTGCGTCCTCGGACGTGCAGGACCTAACCCCTATGTCCAGAAGCAACTCTGTCTCGTGAACGTCATCTTTGTAACACCTCCCAGTGTCCCCGCGTTCGGAGTCAGCCTCCTCCACAAAGCATCCACGTGCCATGCTGCTTACTGCTCACTCTATCCAGCCCTTTGGTGCCCGTCAAGCCTATAATACTAAGCACTTATATGTATCAAGTAGCACATGATTGATTAACGACAGGTATTTTGGGTCACTCCCGTTGGCATATCGTTCTTGTATCGTCTTCCTTTCCTTTTCATTATGCTTTCTATGCTGGTTCTGACCAGTCCACCTGCTCTGTCGTGGCTGAGTTGCCTGATTGTGCATAGCTCACCTTTAGTCTCAAGCGCAACTTTGGAGGAGGAGGCTGTGATATGACATTAGCGCGTGTTTGGTCTGCGATATTCTTGTCGTAACTTACTCCTTGAACGCTGATGATACGCATTTGCTGTGTCGCTTCTTCTCCACCATCCAACTCACTCGAGCTAATACCTTGCAACTGCAGCTTTTGGCTCTTGGGCACAGCAGCTTGCAAACCAAGGTCTGTCAATCGCTCGAAGTTACCGGTGTTTCTAAAGCGAGCCATCACTTGCACTGCGGTAGCATTTCTCTGGATTTGGAACGTGACCAAGAGCCCGTTCTTGTCGAAAGCTGTGTGGACTGGCGGTCCTTGCGTCTGCGGCGGCGGAGATGTCATTCCACCGAACAAGTCAGCGCTTTGAGTCCCTTGTTGTGGCGGTGGTTGCGGCGTCGCTGTGGTCGATGGTGTGTCAAATAGATCCATGATTGAGCTCATATTACCAGCTGGAGCGGGCGATGTGGTTGGAGGAGGCTGAGAGGGTATTGACACAGACTGACCGCCATCTAATATATCGGCAAGTAGGTCTGCGTTATGTTGTGATCCGTTGATGGTCGAGCTCATGTCAACAACAGGCATGGTCGAGTCACCACCCATTAGGTCTAGAAGCATGTCTTGCTCAGTGACTTGGCTAGGCTTCTTCATCTTGGAAACCTTGGAGTGTCGTTTCTTCGTAGCCTCGCCCAGCACTCTCTGTTCTTCGCGGATTTCTGGCGGTGGCATGCGCTCCAAGACACCACGACGTACTTGATCGTAGGCGAACAAATGACCATACTCGACTGCACGCTGTTGAATTTCCACATCGAGGTTGGTGTTGTTGCTTTCCAGTAGTCTTCGCAATCTCTCGATCTGAGCGGGTTCCGTAAGGCGAGTAGTAAGCTTCATAGCAGAGGTTATTATATACTCTTTGACAATCTGGCCGGCGTAGCTGCTGTTGAGGATGCTGGTAAACAGGTCGACGATATCGCTTTGCTTGACTTCTTTGACTAGCTCTTCTTCTTCGTATTGACCACCACGCAGAAGAGCATCACCATATTCGCCAATTACCCAAGCACCTGCCAGACTGAGTCCTTCTTGGGAGATATCGTCCTTGAGAGTAGCATACAGCTTCTGGGCTGCATATGTTTGGAGCTCAGGAGTTGTTGCGATGAGTCGAACGAAGGAAGACAGGATTTGCTCCTTAACGTAATTACCGGCTAGCTTGAGAACTCTCAGCATGGTGTCTATGTGCCAACGCTTGTTAGGTGCGAATCTGTCTGCCGCAATACCAATCTGAGAGGTCATAATAGGCTTGAATTCAGCATCTGCGACCTCGAGGAAAGACAGGAGTTCGCGAATTAAGACTCTGACGTTGTCTGCGTTGATCAAAGTGAAACTGAGATCCAAAGCTCTTCTGCGAATACTGATGTCAGGGTCGCGTAGACAGTCGAGAATGGTGTTGCGGTGTCGTTGTACTGCATTTGGCTCTACAGCGACAACCTTTATCAAAGTGTTTAGCGCGACGTATCGGATGTTGTTGTCCTTGTTGGTCAAGAATTTGCCAAGAATGTTGACACCGAGAACGCGTAGACCCGAATCGGCTTCAATATCCAAGATTGTCAAGACTGCTTCGTACAGAATAGAGTTTCCCACGTTCTTAGAAGAGTCGGTGTTGGTGGCTACCTGAGCCAGGATATCATTAATCTGTTCGCTTGTGTGGGCATCGCCACGACCCAGGGCTCGCAAAAGTCGGAGGATCTTGACTTGCAAGAAAGGGTCGGTAATTCCGGTAACGTCGTGTTCGGGAGCATATCCAGAGCTAGAAAGACTCTTGAGGATCTTGACCAGTGTGGGGACGAGCGGTCTGAACATCTCGACTACACCCTGCTCTCCGCCCTCTTCCTCATCTGCCTCGCACAAGCTCACGAGAAGAGTCATTCCGCACAAAAGAACGCCATGGTTTCGGTCGGTAAGGAGTTGCTTGGCCTTTTCGTAGAAATGCTCTTGCAGATCAGGAACTTTATGGCAGATTCTCATAGCGCAAAGGGCTGCTTTTCGCCGAATGTATGGATTGGAGCTGGAGAGGATGGTTTCGATATCTGGGAACAGATCGCGCGACATCTCGACCGAGGCGATGTTGCCGAGAGTGCAGAGGGCGAGACCGACGATGTACTGATTGGAGTGCTTGAGGTCACTNNAGGCACATGTCAGCAAGCAGACAGAGAACAGGCAGCGGTAAACAATCAAATACTTTGACAAGGAGTTTGTGACGAGGGTAAGGACTTCTTGGTTCTCGTCGAGCAGCAGCATGGTTCCTAGGTAACCCAGACGCTTGTCGGCAAAGCGAGGGGAGGCCAGTAGCTTGAGACATTCAATCTGACCAAAGTGGGTACACTCTCCGAGGGTGAACAGATAGAGGAGCTTTGCGACATTGTTGCGTCTGTGAGGAAGCAGTTAGCGAGGGGTAGGCGGGCGATGGTTGATCGAGGCAGTTGGGAGCAAGTACCTGACGTTTGAATTGTGGCTCTCTTCACGGAAGCTGGCTCTGATGGCAGCACTCTCTTTCTGGACGACGGCTCTCTCGTCAGCGATCGTCTTGGCCGCTCTGACGTTGCGGATGAATTGTTTGACTGCAGTCGGGTCAGTATGGGGTTATTGATGGCAGCTGTCATTGATGCCTACGAGAACTCATGGCGACGACGCTTGAATCCCAGGGAGGAGAGCAGAATCAAGTCAGTCGTCGACAGAAGCTGGACCAGGTCGAGTCGGACAGATGATAGGTCGGAGGATCTGGGAGATGGTCTCGACTCTCGACTTTGTTGTGCATGCATGCGTGGCCGCTGTGCCTCCTTAGGCTTTCCCGGCATCGATCAGATTAGACAACCCCGTGAAGCTGCTCTCCGCCATGAGTACCTGACTCTCCGCTAATTTCTACTCAAACAATCCATCTCGACGAATTCTGCAGAAATATCTCTCAAGCCCACCATCTTCTATAAATCTACACTCCTATGATCAGAATGAAACAGTTTCCATTTCCATATGTTGAAGATGCTGCCATTCTATAATACCAATTCTCGAGGTCCGCCAGTAGCCGTCGCGACATCACAAGGCCAAATTATCCTACGTCATTGGGATCTTCTAATTCTCAAATTCCATCTGTCCACTCTCCCGGCGCTTCCTAGCCTCTTAGCTACTCTTATTATTAGGATGCACACCTGTCGCTCTTTGTTCTTATACCTGGTCGCGTCCTTGTATCCTACTGCACTCGATTCTTTGCATTTTTTCAATCCTGTTTTGTGTGCTTGTATCTCGCATTAGCGGAAAGCCATTCTGCATCCACGCGACTCTTCTGAAAACATTACACGACAGCTAGCCTGCATATCACCACTTACCAGTCATGGCTACTTCGACCGGCAGCGACTCGAATGGCATATCCATACAACAGCCAAAACCGCGCCATCCGAACTCACAACCCTTCCGTCCATACCATGAAGATGGTGCTACCGCCTCCTCACCCTCTCCGTCCAGGTACGCCAAAACTCAGATCGCTTTTCTTCCAATCCGACAAATNCACCTGACTCGTCCCAGTGCTCCAAGTACGCCAGGCCCGGGTACTCCTACCAACGCTCCACCCTCGGTCAAAGCAACCTCGTCAGCTCGTAAACAAGTTCGCGCAGAGCANAAGAGAGCCTTCCCTAGGATTCAGTATGCCGCCCGTGTCAGTCACTTCGACCCACGCTCCGAGTACTCCAACTTCAGAGGCTTCTTCGTCCTCTTTTGGATAGCCTTGACCATCATGGTTCTTACCACCATGTTGCGCAATATGAAAGAGACGGGATACCCTCTGAGCATGCGCCAATGGGGCTTGTTTACAAAGAACATCTACGAGATGGCCATAGTGGACTTGATTATGGTCGCTAGCACTGGCATAAGCTTGCCCTTGAACAAGCTGTTCAAGAATAGCAAGGGCGCGCTACTGTGGAAGCATCAAGGCATGAACATACAGATCGTCTTCCAGGCCTTCTGGTTGTTGCTATGGGTCACTTGGCCTTTTCTGCGCGACTGGACATGGACCGCCCAAGTCTTCTTCACTCTGCACCTTCTCGTCATGTTTATGAAGATGCACTCGTACGCCTTCTACAATGGTCATCTGGCCAACACACTACAACGTCTGTCTGCACTCGACAACCCTGCTTCGAATGCCTCGACTGCTGCTGCTGTCAAGTACCCCTCGTCGCAAACTCCAATTGATGATATCAACGACGAATTAAAGGAGGAAGAGAACTCACAGGCGGATTCTCTAACACAGTTGCGTGAAGACTTGGCCATGGAACTGGTTTCTCCATTCGGTCGTCTTACATACCCTCAGAACCTGACAGTTGCTAACTATTTTGATTTCTTACTCTGTCCGACACTATGCTACGAACTCGAGTACCCTCGTACGGCCTCGCGTTCTTATCTCGAGATCTTTTGGAAGACTCTAGCGGTTGGTGGCATCATATTCTTGCTTACCATCACCTCCGAGGAGTTCATCATTCCTGTTCTGGATGAGTCTGCTGAGCGATTGGAACATCAGCACAACTGGCAGGAGGGCAGTCTGGTCTTCGCAGAGACGGTCAGCAGATTGCTCTTCCCATTTATGGTTGCATTCTTGCTAGTCTTCTTGGTCATCTTCGAATATCTGCTCGGTGCCTTTGCAGAGATCACTTGTAAGTCTAGAGCTTTCTACTGCAGTGGCATGCAGCGTTTCCTAACACTTCCTAGGNNTTTTGCCGACCGTCAATTCTATTCGGACTGGTGGAACAGTCTCGACTGGCTCGAGTTCTCGCGCGAGTGGAACATTCCCGTCCACCATTTCTTCCGTCGCCACGTTTACTCGGCATCTCGCAATACCATGTCCCGTCCCGTGGCCACTTTCATAACCTTCTTGGTCTCTAGTATAGCACACGAGCTCGTCATGGGTTGCATTACCCGCAAGTTCCGTGGATATGGCTTTATTGCCATGATGCTGCAAATGCCGATAGTTTTGGTGCAGCGTAGCCGGTGGATCCGTAACAGAAAAATACTCAACAATACGCTCTTCTGGTGTTCGATGATACTTGGCTTGAGCATGGTAAGTCTCATCATCATCCTCTTCCTGATCCAAGTCTCGACGATTGCTGACTTCATGGTAGATGTGCGCGTTGTATGTTTTGTTGTAGACGTGGCCGGTATTAGATCCCAATTGGTTAGGGACTCGAATCAGACACACTCCACTCTCTTCCAGATCTTCAGAGCTCAGTTCTGGCGAGGCTTGACAATTCCATCGTGAACAATGTAGTAGACAATCGTGCTGTCGTCGTCCACTGTAGCCAACACCACTCTCTTCTTAGTCCTCCACTTGTTCGTCTGTTGCTCTTCCTCGTCCTCATCGTTATCCTCGTTTGCCGGAGGCATAACGCCAACCTTCTCAAACACCTCTGCAAAGCGTCTGAGAGTCCACTTTTCGCGCAGGTGGCTCGGCAATACCCATTCGCGCTCTGCCTTGACCTCGCCTAATCCAGTCTTGCCCTGCGCCTTCTGTGTCTGCAACAGCGCAATCTGCTCGTCTGGGTGGATGTACAACCGTTGTGGTGGCATGCCACTGACCATAGGTCGTGGGAGAGGAGTCGAATCAATAGGAGAGGTATCGTGGATGCGCAAATCGGTCCACAAATGTTGGTGCTCGAGATTATGGGCAATCTGGACAGCGAGGTTGGTCAGGTGCTGTGGGTGCGACGAGGTGGAGGATGAGGTTGTGAGGAGGGTTTGGAGAGCTGAAGGCTCGGGCTCGTTTGATGTGCTAGTTTCGGCGGTCATCTTGTCTATTCTGCGAGGTTGTTTCTGCTATGTCCTTGGGTCACGGACAGGCGTTCATGACTTGAGGTTTGCGCGCGGAAAATTGTTCTCGAACTGCTGCAGGGCAATTTTGTTGGCCAAAGCTCCACGCGGGGTCTTTGGTGATGATGACAAAAATATAGAGAAGTGCTCAGTACGGTGTTTGATCATGAAAGTGGTTCGAATGTGTATATACATCATCTTTCCTTCGTATCGCGTAGCAAATGTTGTGTCCTCTTGCAAGAACCTCGAAGAAACAGAGAAACCCCTCAATAACGCCTTGTTGCACCGCATCAGTGCTCCCAGCCTTTCCATGCTATTGCCTTTGGGTATCGATTGAAACAAGTCATGAGCTGACCGAGCGAGAGAATAATCAAATCCAAGGATGAACACCAGTTTCTTGCTCCACGCAAGTCAATGTTGCTTGACCTCTTGCTTCTACGCCTTCATTTTTCGTCTTCCTCCTGCTCTTTCTCCTGGTCTTATTCTTTGATCACTTTAACGACTGTGTCGTTGCCTCCACCTTCTTTGCAACTCTTCTGCCCTCCTCTTAGCTTCGACTCGATTCTTGTTTTGCATTTCGGCTTGACTCTGCTCGTAGTCGGGTAACTCGTCTGCTGGCGGTGGCCCGTCGCCATAGTCGAGGGCTTGCCAGGCGTATGGTTCCGCTTCGAGTCGTTCTTGCCATACGTCCGGTCCTTGACGAGTGAATGCAGGACTCCGAGGCTGCGGCTGCCTGATTGGCAGATGAGGTGTGGAATTCGACGGTATAGGGTGCCTCGCAGATGCGTTGTTGGTGTATGAAGTATGCGCTCGTGTATATGGTGGTCGTTGTTGCGACGGTGGATACTCCGCTCGTGGTTCTTGTCGTTGGTCACGCCATGACGGCATGTTTCCAAATGAGCGGTGTACAGGTGAGTCTGGGGTAAACCCAGATGTTGCTGCCACAAAGAGCGTCAAATCCAAATCGTTTGAGAAGTCATTATCGCTACATCGTCTGTCGACTGGTGCTAAAGCTTGATTGTGGCCGGCTTGGGTCATTTGTTCCTCGCGCTCCAGATTTTGAAAGTCTGGTTGACTGATACATCGGGGTTCGGCGTGTTGGATTGGTGCTGCTCTGCCTTGGTACTCCATGAACGAAGGCACTGAGTTCTGAGAGTGGATTTGAGGTCTGATGTGACGAAATTGTGGGTGATATTGGGTCATTGGTGGTGAACGATACTGTTGTTCTGAGTATTCAGGTACATCGTCTTGGTATTGCGATGAGTTCCTATAGTAGCGACCTTCTATGTTCGTCTCTGTCCAGCGATCGCGCGGCAGAGACCAGTCTGGGTTGTGATCCATTTGTGACCATGAGTCCGCGGCTAAGTCACAGTCCAGATGATTGTGTTTCGCATGGCATGTCCGGTATGGATTAGGTTGTTGAGTTTGATATTGGTGCATGAGTGTGATGCATACAATGCGATGATGGTGGGCAAACTAGTACGGTTACCGAGTCGATTGGATGTCCAGGTGTTGGTATGTGGAGGCGGAGTACAGGATCTGAAAAGCCACAGGAAGCAGTGTAAGCCAACCTTGCATCTTAGATAAGGTAACAAGGTAAGCAAGCAACAAGGAAAAGGCAAATTGACATGACCAACTAGCTCCTTGACCAAGGGATTGTGGTTTTTAAGAATACGAAACAAGCCGTGCACACCGTGAACGTACGAGGCGGCGCTAGAGCCAAAATGTCATGGAAATGCGGATTTGATTGAAGGAATCGAGACCAGTTCCTGATGTTACGAGACAAGTACGGCGCTGACGGTCAAAGAGCAGCGCCGACGATCTCTGCAGTTCTCGGGTCTGTCAGTCAGCAAAGGGCCGTTCCAAGTTCCTGACTCTGCTAGTGCATGCTGTAAGAGGACAATCAATGGGACAAGAATAGACGACTTTTGTCAAAGGTCAGCCTTGAACCTTCTGGTCAACCAAAGTCAAACGGTAAAAAAAATATCGTCGAAGGAACACCTTGTCTCTAGAGAGACAGACGCCTCGGCAGATACGGCAATTCTGTTCGGTCGTGGTATGCCTGGCGAGAACCTTCAGGCTTCGCTTCTGAAGGCGGCCAATTGAAGAAGTGTGGACGAGCTGTGATCTAAATTTATCTCTTTGCTTGGCACATCGTATCTGGAGGTCGTAGATCGGGTCCAAATCCACATCCGGAGCCGCAAGCAAACGGTCAGTCAATAGAAGAGCTATCGGTCAAAGCAATAGCTGACTCTTATTCTGCTGCTAATTAAACCTTCCTGCTCGTGTCGTGGCAGTGTTTGCCGACCCAAAGCTTTGAGACGATTTTTATATGCGACCAGGTCTCGCTCCTCTTGTATTGCACTTCTTTACTCTGGACCCGGCCTTCATTCTAGCGGCTGGAACATTCCTTGAGCAGTCGGACCATATTGAACCAATCGGTCTTTCACAGATTCTGACATCAGTCTGCTCTGGCTACATAATCACATGGCATAATTCAAGTCAATGTGTCGACAGACGAAATCCAAAGCCTTGATAACAGGGCGACCCTGGCCATGATATACTTATATTACCAGGAGTAGGATCATCGAGTCTTAGTCTCTCCCTTTCTTTTCTGCTTGACACCAAAAGCGTTCATCCGGATTTGTTACTATACAGCAACGAATGCACAATCGGTAGGTTCACTTCCTGAGACACGAAATGCAAGCCCTGTCAGCAATGGAACATGCCTTCATGTGGACGTTAGTCGATCTTTGAAGGCCGCTAGACCGACAATAAGAACCATAGTGTGACCACGGGTATGCCTTTGGCATTCTAAAGCTATCAGGCATATCTACCGCCGAGACGGTACAACAACTGCCCTCAGCGCCTTGAAGCTCGAGGAGATGACCACGAGACAGCCTGGAATTAGCAGGCAAGCCCAGGACCGAAGGTACAAAATGCAACCGGCATGCCAGTTTCCCGTGATCTACATACATGCCTGTTGTCTCTTGACCATCTTTCATGTGGCAATCGAGCCATCGAAAATCGAGGTCGAGTGTGTAGAGTGCTTGGAGTCGGGAGGTAGCTACTATGGTCAACTCCAGCTGACATTTGAAGCAAGATATATGTGAGGCCTCTCAACTCATATCTCGTAAAGCAAGTGCTGTTGGTACAATTCAAAGGGGCACCGACGTCGCATAGGTGAGTAGTGACAATCAACCAGTATGGGTTGCGATCAGTACAGCACACTTGTGTTGACGTGCCAACACGACAGTGAGATACCCATCGATCACGGATAATGTAGCACCCCTTTCAGCCCCTAGACTGGGACTGTGTGAACGATGGCCTCTGAACGAGCGTGAGGGTTACGCGACTGTCTACGAGCCTGATCCTCCAGTTCAATCCTTCTGGAAAGGTGTTGGAAACAACGAATTCAACTCCTCTTAGTGAGCATTAGTGGTTGCGCCGGAGAAGGTTCCCACAGAAGAAGCGTTGTTGAACGCCTCTCGGCCAACCCAAATGTGGAGAAGTGTGCACGGTGCACCACTCATCAGTTTCACTGGGGTCACTGATTGACGGGCCAAAGGCTCGAGCTAAAGGCGAGCAGCCGTGTCTGCGATGGAGTGCTAGGGTCGCGTGCTTCGAGGACAGCATATTCACATATGCTCGAAGGAGTAAACAAGGTGGCCAAGGTCAACAGAAGCTGTGACCGCCGGATGTGGAGCATCAAATCTGGGGACACGAGCGTGCAATTCTTTCATGTGAAGGCGGATCTAGTGTGCAAGATTGCTGCTGTACATGCTCAAGCTCCAAGATACTGAATGCAGAACTTGAATTGACATATATAAAGGATGTTAGAAAGATGCAGGTGGTAAATTCGGACGACGGAAGAATTGATGAATGTTTTGCTTGCTGCAGCTGAAGATAAGCGCAGATCGTCAGCTTCTGGAAGACATCCTTGAATGCAGTCCCAAGCAAGGGTCGAGAAACTGCTTACTTGAGTCCGGCATGCGGACCCAGGGGGTTCGAGATGAAGCCGCTCGAACAAGTGGAAAAGCAATAACCAAGTGAAGTAATGGTGTTGAGGAATCGACTCTTCCAGGTGAAGGCAAGAAGTGATGGGGAAAGGTGCGTGAATTTCCCGAGCTCCTTCCGATTCGTGCCGCTTAGTGCGCTAAAAATTCTTAGCCGGCCCCCTTCTTATTTGAAGCTGCGTCTTCCATCCAACTTCTTCCCTTTCTCCATCCTCTCCTCTCTTTTGTTTTATTTTCATTCAAAAAGACATCAAAATGGCCGCTAACCAGGCTGACAAGAGCGTCTTCGGCATGCCCGTGAGTCACACTGTCGAGCTGTCGCTCGCCGTGCGGATTTGTTGAGCTTGCGCACTTCACACCTCGCGAACGAAAATCCTCGACAGATAGCTGCATTCAGCTCCAAGCTCCTTGGGCTTACAGCTGTCAATGTATTGAGCTGCTTTCGATGGATCTACGCGAGGGCGCAATTACTAAATCCGCGCTGTGCGCAGCGACAAGCTTATCTGTCCATCTCGAGTAGCTCACTAACAATTATTCAGGGCTTCGTTGTCGACTTCTTGATNGGTGGTGTTTCCGCCGCCGTCTCGAAGACCGCTGCTGCCCCCATTGAGCGCATCAAGCTCCTCATCCAGAACCAGGATGAGATGCTTAAGGCTGGCCGTCTCTCCCACAAGTACGCCGGTATTGGTGACTGCTTCAAGCGCACCACCGCCGACGAGGGTGTTGTCTCTCTCTGGCGTGGTAACACTGCCAACGTCATCCGTTACTTCCCTACCCAGGCCTTGAACTTCGCTTTCCGCGACACCTACAAGTCCATGTTCGCCTATAAGAAGGAGCGTGACGGTTACGCCAAGTGGATGATGGGCAACCTTGCCTCCGGTGGTGTATGTTCTAAACAATATCACTTTACTACCTCAGGCGCCGACTGACATTCATCTAGNGCTGCTGGTGCCACTTCCCTTGCCTTCGTCTACTCCCTCGACTACGCCCGTACCCGTCTTGCCAACGACGCCAAGTCCTCCAAGGGCTCTGGTGAGCGCCAGTTCAACGGTCTCGTCGATGTCTACAAGAAGACCCTCGCCACTGACGGTATTGCCGGTCTCTACCGTGGTTTCATGCCCTCCGTCGCTGGTATCATCGTCTACCGTGGTCTCTACTTCGGTATGTACGACTCGCTCAAGCCTGTCCTCCTCACTGGTTCCCTCGAGGGCAACTTCCTCGCCTCTTTCCTCCTCGGTTGGTCCGTCACCACTGGTGCTGGTATCGCTTCGTACCCTCTTGACACTATCCGCCGTCGTATGATGATGACCTCCGGTGAGGCCGTCAAGTACAACGGTACCCTCGACGCTGCCCGCAAGATCGTCGCCGCTGAGGGTGTCAAGTCTCTCTTCAAGGGTGCTGGTGCCAACATCCTCCGTGGTGTTGCCGGTGCCGGTGTCCTGTCCATCTACGACCAGGTCCAGCTCATCCTCTTCGGCAAGAAGTTCAAGGGTGGTTCCGGTTAAATGCTCTCTTCGACAAACAATCAGAGCAAAGCATAGGGGATGAAGAACGAACGATGTATTACCTGTCTGCCGATGGAGGACAGCTCCAACTCAAAAGCGGCTCAATCGGCCTGGCGATGAGAAGGGGAGTTTGGGAAATGATGTTTTCTGGGGCGGTTTCGAATATACCAGCCTGTTCTCGTCTTTCTTCATGTATCACAAATAAATTTCAGGCGTTTTCTTTTGATCATGACCTTTGTTCCCTTGATCTCTTCTTGCTAGTGATTCGTGTATGGTCTCAATACCTGTCTTTGGACTCAGGCTCTTGGTGCTGTAGATGCTCCATCTATACACTCGACAGCGTACACAACGATTGACAAGCATCAAGTCAGCACTCTTCAGATCACTTTACAGCCAGGCTGTTTGCTTTTGATGCAGCAATTGCGATGTGCTCGTTGGGCTACATCAAGTGCTGCCAGCTGGCTTGTTATGGAAGCCATACAGCTGGCTGAAGTAGGACGTCACACGTCACATGATCGACCTTGGAATGCACAAAGGGACGACAATAGAAGGCGTAGTCAAAGACAGACATGAACAAGTATTTCTACAGCTTCTGACGAACCATAATACACTCACGAACTAGACAATCATGCCACCAATTCCAATTTACGCCGATGCGCCCATCTCGGCAGCAGCCAAAGCAGATGGTACAACTCCTCAGACGGCTCCCCCACCAACTCGCACGACCGATCTGCCAGCGACTACGACTTCTGCGAGCAACAGCAGCTATCCTGCCGCCCAACCTGGTGCTGCAGCCGGTCCTGCACCTACCGGCAGCGTCTCGAGACCACCTCCTCCACCACCTACTAGCACAATCTCTACCGGCTTCCAAAACGATGGCCCACCTCCTCCCCAGCCCGGAGCCGTGCCTATGCCATCTTCAACACTTGGTCGCTCCAATGGCTACGACTCCAACAGTCCAGCTGCACCAAGAGCACAACCAATGCCACAACAACTCAACATTCCACCACCCACCACAACAGGCCTAGCCACCCATAGCACAGCTGCTGCATCGCCAACATCACCCACCCGTCGCCCAGTAACTCTGCCAATGGGTCCCGTGTCTCCAACAATGCACAGTCGACCCCAAAGCATCTCGTCACACCCACCGGGCTACCAACAGAACCCCTACGCTGCGGAAATGACCTCTGCCCAGCGTGCCAGTCTCGAAGCCGCAGAGGCGGCAGAAAGAGGTCGCAAGTCTGGTCGCAACAGCATCAGCGAGTGGATTGCTGGCGAGGACGACGGTTTCGGCAGTCCGACCACCAGTACTGCAAAGGCATGGGATGCTGTCACTGGATACGCTTCCAAAGTGGGCCAATGGGCTGGCAAGGCCAACGAGTTTGCGAGCAAGAAGCTCGGATAGTTTGGCGAGCTTCTCGTTGAGACTGTCACCTCCATGCTTGAAGATGAAGATGGCGAACTGATTAACGCCGACCGCATTGGGAGTTTCTAGGAGTGTATCCAGGGGTTGGTGGAGTTGTGGTAGGGACTACACACATGCATTATGACTTTTTACGTTCGCTTATGTCAGAGTACGACGATACACAGCGCTATAGATGAACCATAGCAATACACGATCATTCAAATTACTTCCTTCATCACTTCCCATATAACAAACTAGAATGTGCAGTTGCTATTCGGACTAGACGTGCAATCATAGGATATACCCTCCAACGAGATCCTGAACGATTATTGCACTCTAGTGCAGAGTGTTGTGCGTTTCCGCAGCTTCAACGTAACAATCTTTGCTCGTCTTGAAGTAGAGAGGGTTGTAGGCATCATGGAATTGTTCATTCAAATATCAAAGCAATGTTCTATGGAAATCTCCCAAAAACTATGATGCATGCGGAAGACTGAGATATATCTTGACCCATTTAAGCCCGCGAGAAACATGAAAGATCTAGTAAACACCAGGCAAGATCTTCCATCTGACGATAGCGCAGTAGCGGTCCCAGTCCTTGCCATACTTAGCACGGCAGTGGCCGTCATCTCTACGGTCGCGGTGAATCAGGAGGACGGCGAAGTAGAGCATATAGAAATAAGTGATAGGTGTGCCCCAGCCAGCCATCTCGCCATTAGGTCCCTGGCTGATGATCTTGTCACCAGTGAGAGCGGCGGTGTGCACGACATAACCAGACAGCCAGGTAGGAAGGCAGTATGCCCACGACATGACCCAATCACCGAGGTAGTTGATGTGACGGGCGGTTCCCCACCAGCCAGATGTCAAAAGACGAGTTCCGCGAGCAGTCTCGATGTACTCAAGGTGCTTCACATCGGGGTGGTCAGGGTTAGTTCTGAACTTGTTCTTCTCGCCATTGCTGGAGCGGAAGATGTAGTAGCCTGTGAGCTGGACGGCCATGATGAAGGCAACCTTGGCCCAGCCGAGGTGAACAGCGTGGATTGAAAGGTAGCGAGCCTGGATACTGTAGATGAAGGGAACCCAAACGAGATCGCCAAAGGCAAGCATGCAGCCGAAACCATCGGTGGTGATATCCATGGTGGTCATAATAGCGGGCTCGTTCCACAGGGCGTCGAGGACGTACCAGGCCTGAGTACCGACAACAATGTACATGGAATCAGTCACAGTGCCGTAGGTGCCGTACTGACGAGCAGCAAAGGCCAAATCAAGCAGAATCCAGCCGAGAAGACCAGGTCTCAGCTCCATGAAAGCCTTGATGTCAACTTCACCGAAGATGGGGATTTGTACGCGAGGGTTGAGCTCTCTTCCAATGAACCAATCGTAAATCATGTTACCAGTAGCGCCTCCCTGGGCGAGCTCGCGGTTCTTGGGGTCATTGGGCTTGACGGAGAAAGAGCGAACGTAGCAGAAGGTAGCGAGGAAGTAGCTAATGAGGATGTTCGTGGTCAAGAGCTGAAGGTAGTTGTCGTTGATAAAGGTCCAGACGGGGAAGTCGGCGCCCTGCAGGAAGGTACCAGCAGCACAGATGGCGAGGATGAACATGGCCGAGGCGAAGGCGTTGAAGCGATAGGTCAATCGGCCACCAGAGGCCAGGACAGTACCTTGGACTTCATGAGCGGGCAGGAAGGCTTGGAGGGCAAGACTGAGGGTGTAGTATCCAAGAGTTGCGACAACAGCTTGGGTGTTGAGGAGACCAGCGACACCAGGCCAGCCGACTTCTTGCTTGAGTTTGTCGAGTGTGACAGTGGCGGGATCGGTCAATGATGGTGGGGGACATCCAGAAACATCGTTGCAAAAGAAGGCGAATATGTAGCAGACCAGGGGTAGGCCAAACGAGATGCCAATGGCGCCCAAACTGGTATACGCGTTAGCATTTTCCCTGGAAAGAGTATGACGAGCGAAAGAACTAACGGNGCCGCCGAACTCGTAGCCGTGAGCTTGAGTCGTTCTAGTCATTGGTATACGGACAGAGTGGTGGGGAAGGGGAAGGAAGAGAGAAAGCGAAGGCTCAAGAAATAAACATAGAAACGCGATAATGACAGGTCGATTGGATTTAATGACAATGACATGGTACGATTTCCTTAGGGCCCACCACAGTAGCCCTCGGTAGACTGATCCGAACCCCAGATGATGGGCCTGTCTCGATCTGACATGGGCGTCGCGGCTGGATGATGCTTGGGCGTCGAGGTACCAGTACGCATCCTCCGAGGCTCAAGCCCTGTACAACTGTCCTGCAGTCCAGCAACCATATTTCTACTCGACAATCCACGCCCGGCCATGCGCTCATCCATCTTGTACCATCTGCTGGCATTTGGTCTGCCCGTCGCACTCGGTGCCGCTGCCTCGGAAGACTCAAAGTCAAAGAAGGAGAACCACGTACCCTGCACCATCCGCTCACCAACATCTGGCGCCTTCTTCGACCTCAATCCCATACACGTCATTTTGCCCGACGACCCCAAGAAAGCGAGTAAAGATGCTCGAAATGAGTCTTGGTCTGCTCGTGGCTACGACTATGGCGCTAACTTCACTCTCAACTTCTGCGGGCCAGTAGTTGAGAATCTCACCAATGTCGTCGGCGTCGATGAGGCGAGGTGGCAGAATGTGAGCGCTTTCTACATGTTGGACGGAAAGACATACAGCATAGGGTAATTGCTTCTCCTAGCAACCTTCTTGTACAATATCACTAACAACTGGACAACAGCNCAACAGAGTTCCGAACCCATCTTCCGTGGACGCAAACTCGTCTTGAATTATACCGATGGGTCGCCATGCCCAGACAATCCTGTATCTTCTCTCAGCCCACGTGGAATTATCGGCGACGACGACGATGATGACGATGATAAGAAACACAAGGACAAGGACGACGAAGACGACAAGAAGGGCAGAAAGGGAGGCAGCAAGGAGCCCTCGACCCGCCTGAACCGTCGCAAGAACACAATCATCTCTCTGCTCTGCAACACAGACCCTCTGGCACCTCTCAACACCGTTTCCTTTGTCGCTTCCNNCCCTGACAGCTGCACCTACATCTTCGAGGCCCGCTCCTCGGCAGCCTGTGGAGGCATCGAGGTAGCCAAACAGCAACTCGGCCCCAGCGGCGTTTTCGGTGTCATCGCTTTGATTGCCGTGATAGTATACGTTGTTGGAGGTTGTGTATACCAGCGCACCGTCATGCACCAGAGGGGCTGGAGGCAATTGCCAAACTACTCGCTCTGGGCCGGCATCGCCAGTTTTGTCTCGGTAAGCTTCTGACGCATCTACATACCAAAATAAGCCATGGCTGACCATCACTCTGCANNGGACATGTTCATCATTCTATTTTCCTCATGCGCACGCTTCCTGCCCGGCCGCAAGGGCTACAGCCGGGTAGGCAGCAACTTCAACAACGGCTCCAGCGCCGGAAGACGCGGCCGTTCAAACTCGGACGATGAAAACAGATTAATCGACCAACTGGACGAGGAATGGGAAGACTAGACATGTTCTCGTCTCCTTCTCCTTGACCCTTTGTAGCATTCTTTTCTGTCGCCCTTCCACTTCCAAGTTGTCTCGAGAGACACTCTCAAAACGAACACGATAATGGAGGTTTTCATCTTTCTTATTTCTTGTTTGGGCGGGTTCTTGAATAGAGATAAATTTTTGAAATGAAACGAAACGATCCGACTTCTCATCTGACCCTCCACACCAATTGTGCATACATACACATGTCTTCGTTGAGACAATCAACAAGCAACAAGCAAAGCCGGAACTCGTATCCTCAGAGATTCGATGGATTGTGATTTATATAGCTTAGATATTAAAATGAGGGTACTCGCTGGTTTTGCAGGGGAATCTGTGCAATGAATCAAGGGAAATCCGAGTTGTGAAAAGAAAAAGAGAACAAAAGCAGAGATAACGCGCTCGTGAAACTAGAAATGAAAGATGTTCAGCGCCGTCCCAATGCAACGAAATCAGTAACAAGAGAAAGACAGATGACAAGAAACGAAGATCTCGATGGGAGTTCGCAAAGACCACAACGGACTGGTATGCGACAGCAAATCAAGCCAAATCACTTGTTTGCTAATGCCTGCCTCTCTCCCCCTCTCAATGTCGGAAACTTTTTGTATGCTGTTTGTTTAATCTGACCAATCCCATACTCTTTTGAGGAACGCAGCCATGTTGACTCGCTTGGACTTGATCTCTAACATCCACGGATGTTCCAGCATCCGCCAGGGTGTTGCTCGTCGATTGGGCTCTTTTTCCAGACTACGTGGTCCTGAGTCAGCTTGGCTTGCATGTGTAGGACATATATCATAAACTTACCTGCACTCGATGAAGTATTTGAAATTCTCGCTCCATCGAATATCCTGTCCATCAGGAGTATCGATCTCGTCCTTGAGCTTCGGAATAGGCTGAGAGACGATGTAGGTCAGGAGATCAATAAGTCCGGCTCTAGGTTGCATCTCCTCCTCCGTCCCATCAGCCGGGAAGGGGAACCTGTGCTGTGCGACCTCAAGTAGTGTGACACCCAAGCTCCACACATCGGAAGTGATGGTGTAGCTCTGACCAGTTATACGTTCTGGTGCCATGTAGTATGAAGTTCCGATGAAAGTGTTCGCATCACCTTTGGTGCCGAACTCACCAGACACACCAAAGTCACAGAGTTTCACCTCGCCAGATCGGGTGAGCAGGATGTTGGAGGGCTTGATGTCGCGGTGGATGATGCGGTGACTGTGCAGATAGGTGAGTCCATTGAGCACACCCTCAGCCACTTTGCCCAAGACCTTTTCGCCTGTGCGACCGCCTAGTTTCTTGACCTCACGATAAACCGAGTCAAGAGAACCGCCTTCGCAGTACTCCATACTGATACCAATGGTACCATGAGTTTCGTCAATGAAGGCACCGTAGTAGCGGCAGATGTGCGAAGAGGCGCAGTTCTTGTTGAATGAGAGCTCGCGTACAATCTGTTTCTTGACATCCGGATTAGGGTCTGTCGTGATGATCTGTGCAAATGGTCAGCTGTCTATCCAACATTTCGCAATCAAAATGCCGACCTTTAACGCGAAAACTGTCTTTCCACCTTTGAGTATACACCTGTTGACAGCACCTCCTGCACCTTCACCCAAGCTTCCAAGCTCGACAATCCTGTTCTCCTTAGCAGCCACTTTCCAGCCAGCATCGTCCAGATCCTCAACATCGAGCGCTCTTCCTTTCTCCAAGCTCAGCTTCTCCAGATCTGGTAATAGCGCTCCCTGCATGCTGCCATCTCTTTCCATACCGGCACCACCAAGTCCGCCAGCGGATGATGCCGAGTATAACGAGCCAGCGGCAGAAAGAGGATCTTGAGAGTTGGATTGGCCGCCAATCAGTCCGGCCAAGGAGGCCGAGTAGGATGAAGCGGTAGTAGAGGTAGAATAGTTGTTACTCGCACCGTTGCTGTTGGATCTTGAACGAGCACTATCATCACTGCTGCCACCACCGCCCTGAGCAGTTGAGAGTCCAGTGACTTGTAATGGGGGCAGTTTTCCTCTTGCAGCCCGGGAGGTTTCTTGAGGGATTCCATGACTCCCCATGGGTGTAGCCAGACTCAGCTTCGGGGGCGCCTGACGGGGCGGTATTTGTAATGGGGGTACGGCATGTGAGTTGCTGGTAGGATTCAGAGGTCTAGCATTGGGAGAAGGCGGTATGGCCAGGCCGAGCTTGGGTGTGCGTGAGGCACTCGTGTTCCTGCTGCCAGGGATCGGCGGTCTCAGGAGTGGTGCTGGCGAGGCCATGTCGACTGACTCGACGGGCGGTCGCAAGACACCCGACGAGCACGACGGAGGCGTAGACGGAGGATCTTGGTGGTCGGCCACGACGGGCAGGCAACGGCGGTTGGGGAGTGAGGATGCTTCCTAGTTGGCAGAGAGGGCGGTGGAAGTGACGCGCGGCGAGGGATTCTGGAGGAACGAAGCCCGGAGGAGGTATTGAGCGTCTTGTTGTATGGTGTGAACAGTGATCGAGGACGAGCAGATTTCAGTAAGATGTTTCGACTTGACCAGCGGATCGAGTCAGTTCAATTCAAGACTTGGCAGGTACTCATGGATGGAAGCTACGACATGGGGGTCTTCTAGCGCTAGAGCAGTAGACCCCGAAGCCAACGCATCATCCTGCCGCTGATGGACGACTTACTCAAGAATACTTCTAGCTTTGTCTTGCGATTACTCACAGCCACCGTTGGAGAGAAGGTATCAGGTCTTCTAAACATAAAATGGGCAAAGGGGTTTCAACAACTCGCTGACCGGTCGGATGTCAATATGGAGGCGCAGTGATGCAGCCAATCCCATCTTTTACCGCCGGCCATTGCGGGCAGCCCCAATGGTGTGTTTCCACTGATGCAATTCACCTATCGCGCATGCGCCTATTCTGCAACATGCTCTGCATCATGTGCACTTTCATCTCTGTCGGGCACGTTGACCTCCACTTCACGCTTCCAACTGCTGGCTTCTGACCAACATCTGTCGGTCTGGTCGTCGTCATCATGTCCTCTGTGCTAGCCGCCTATCGCATCCAGCTACGTGCTCTCTCTGGCTGGTTGTGTGCCATGGCAGCACAGGCTGCATACTACCGTGTGATTATTCACCTAGTTCCATGTTTCAGCTGCCGGCAAGTTGGGCGATCACCCACCGTATCTTTGTACATATAAAGGCAGCAGTGCAACATGTTTTCTCCGAGCCACGAGACGTGCCTCGGTCATTGTGGTCATAAGCACATGTCGTAATCAACATCTCAAGCTTTACGAGGTAACGCATGCATGTATTTGCGCTTGGTATCTATCGTGATATCATGATGGCTCCAATATTAATTGTTTACAAGGCGCTGGCAGCGGTGAGCTTGCTCTTGAGGTCGTCCTTCTTGAGAGCCTGAATGTCCGAGTTGCCGCCAATGTGCTCCTTGTTGATGAAGATATTGGGCACGCTGCGCTGGCTGGTCATCTCGGCAAGAGCGTTCTGGATGTCGGCACCGTCATCTACACACATAAATGGTCAGCGATCGGGTTTCCAAAGAATGCTGACACAACAGGCAGGCGACTTACCGATCTGGTCGAGCTCAAGAGCGTAGAACTTTGCGCCGGACTTGGACAACAGCTCCTTGGTGGCCTTGCAGTAAGGGCAGTACGACTTGGAGAAGACGGCTGTGAATAGTCAGCAATTAGGCACTCACTACAAAGGCTGTTCCAATAGAAGGAATTCCGTACCAACGCCGTTCTGGTCGATAATGTTCTGTGCCTTGGCCTTTGCTGACGACATGCTGGCGGGACTGGTCGCGCGTGTGAAGAAGCTTCGTACGAAGTTAATGGTGGGCGATTTGTATGAGACCGAAGTCGTTTTTGTAGTAGTAGAGTTGATGGATTGTATACGAGAGGGGTATGTGGCTTGCTTTATTGGAATGAGAGAGAGCTTACAAAGCGCTCGGGCAAAATGACGTTGATCGTCTTTGATTCCATATTTCCAGAAGCTGCTCAACTATTGCGACAACAATGCAAAACTACTGGTTCACTGTCAAAAGCTAGGTGAAATTGGAAAGAGTGATACCGCATATCTCATTACAGACGAACAATCAAGGTGGGCATCTCGTTTGCCCAATTCATTTGCTACAGTTCTATGTTTCGGTAGAGAGGAAGAAAGGCGGAGCTCTCGAGTTGGCTTGGCGAGAGTGAATGCCATCATGAGAATTGCCATGTTGAAACAATCTGACCCTTGAACATCACAACCATGTCTAGCAGCACAATGGCCACCTCAAGTCGGTCAGCGATGCGACTGCTCTCAGCCAGATCGAGATGCATGCTCCAAACCCCTCGTCTCAAGTCATCCTTAGCGCAGACTCGCTACTCGTCAAGATACAGCAATCCCGCAGCTCGTGCAACTGGCTCGACCCTCTCAGCTAGAGCCCCTTCTTTCCTCGATCAGCAGCAGACTGTCGACTCTGAGGATGCAGAAGCTCGTCCAATTAACCCGCTGGACGAACTCGCCGCCCGTCGCGAGTTCGAAGCCAAACGTTCAAATGCCATGCAGCGTATGCGATTCGCCGCCGTCGGTCTACTTATGAGTGTTGGTGGACTCGCCCTCACGCTTTACAACATTGATCTGGACGAACTGGAAAAGAGTGCCAACAAGAAGAAGGCTCAACTAGATGCTGGGCCAGGCTCGGAAGACTTCCAGGGCCGTCACGTACATGTCATCGGCGCTGGTGACGATAAGAGAATTGTAGCAGAGGGTGAACAAGAGCTGGACCTGGTAAGAACAGGCAGCGGCAGCGTACCCTACTTCCCCCGTAAGATCTTCTTGCCTATTCCTGGCTCAAAGACTGCCAGATCAGAAACAGCACAACCCAACTCGCGTATCAACCCTGGCAACGTGCAAAACCAAGAGGAGTACACTTTGGTCGGTCTCGGTATTCGCACCGTCTCTTTCCTGTCCATTGAAGTCTATGTCATGGGTCTCTACGTTCGTACTCAGGATGTCTCAACTCTGCAAGCTCGCCTCATTCACCTCATCAACCCCAACGCTTCTACCCTTGTACCTGGCGAGAAGGATGGCCTCAAGCAACGCATGCTCGACCCCGACACTAGCGTCGAGATCTGGGAGCAGATGCTGCGCGAAGAAGGTATTCGTTCCGCATGGCGCGTTGTTCCATCNAAAAACACCGACTTTGCCCATCTGCGCGATGGCTGGGTCAATGGAATCAAGCGCGCCACCACCGAGATCAACAGAGTCAAGCAAAACAAACCTGCAATCGTCACTTCGGACTATGAGAACGAGTCTTTCGGCGATGCTATGCGTGACTTCAAGGGCATGTTCAGTGGCGGTCGCACGCCCAAGGGCTCTATAGTGCTGATGTTGAGAGATGCCCCTGGATCGATGGAAGTGCTTTTCGAAGACCCAGCCAAAGGCACTGGCATTGAGAGAGTAGGCAAAGTCGAAGACCCCAGAATCAGCAGGCTGATCTGGATGGGTTATCTGGCAGGCAAGAACGTCAGCTCGGAACCAACAAGAAAGGCTGTAGTCGATGGCTTTGTAGGATTCGCCGGTCGTCCTGTTGGCTCTGTTGAGACTATGGTCGTTTAGATTTGTGTATATATCTACATTTAAACCACCGATGATTTCATGTTGATTATACATATTTCTCAATCTATAGTTGATGGCTGCAATCTGCGGATTCTCGAAAGACTTTTGCAGAAGGGTAGAAGCTAATGCGCCCAAGCATCCCACCACCAATTTCACCCCAACGCCTTGCTAAAATGAAAACATGAAACCTTGATCTAAAACTACAACCTGATGTTACCATTGTTACTGCTGTTACCGCCAAACAGCTTTCCAAAGAAGTTGCCGCCATCACCCGAGCTTTGAGCACCTTCATCGTTCCCTCCGCTCAACCATCTGGGTTTCTTAATACCCTCCCCGATGTCACGGAGCCATGCTGGTGTTTCCACTGTATCAAAGGTATTGCGCATGCGCTGACCGACGTCCTGGAAGAAAGCTCTTTCGCTTGTGTCTTCGTCCTCGTCGGGCATCCGTGCAGCAGCTCTTCTTGCAGCAGAAGCCCGGGTATTGTTGTTCATTCGAGATGGTCGGTTGAGATCGGCACTATGGCGTGGTGATGGTTCGGCTGATGACAGCAGACTGGAGGAAGCCAGATTCAGTTGTGAGCCGTCGGCTTGGAGCTCGCGTTCGATGAGAATACGACCCTCGCGCCAAGTGCCTGCTCCTGGTTCGTCATGTTCATCTTCGAGTACTCCAAAGCCAATTACATTCTTGACCTTGCCATACAGGTTGAAAAGGGTTGCAACAACAGGGATCAGAACAACAATTGGGAAATAAGCCGAGAAGTTGCCAATCACAGGAGTGAGGTTGATCAAGCGCCCAAGGAAGCGGTAGAAGGTAGTGCCTTCGCTGATTGTTGGATCGATCATAGTGATAAAGTTGAAACTCAGAGGGACTGTGAGCTTGGCCACCTGCAAGCTGTACCAACATGCACTCTCGGCATATGTCTGACGACGTACAAGCGCACGATTGCCCCAGACCTTGACCTCTGTTACCGAGTACAAAGCTGCGGCACACATGTACAGCAACCACGCAGCTGAGATCATCTGACCAGCAAAACCGATCTGCCCGCGAGAGCTTGAGGGATGGTGAACAATACTCATGCCAACTAATGAGAGTTTTGGCTCCATCTCGTGCACCACTTCTGACCAGAGCAAGCCGACAGATGCACAGGCTAGGAAGACCCCTGCAATGACACGCAGAGCAGGCAAGACATGAATCTGAATGTGATAACGCATGTTCGCTGCTTGCGGGCGTTGTGACGACGACAGATCGAGGAGCGACTGTAGTCTAGCAGCCTGTCTAACAAGATGGTTCCACTCGCCAGTGAAGCGTGCGCGCTTGTGCCGGGCGCGTTTTACTTTTCGAGATAGCTCTGCCAGATACCTCTCCGTTACCACGGGCGGAGGTGCAGGTACAGAGGCATAAGTAACAGCCGGGCGAGATTCAGGCAGACTAGACACATCGTAGAGTTCTTCGACCCAATCTTGCAAGTCTCTGGACATGGTACTCTTGCGCTGACGCAGTTGGAGGACCTGAGTCTCAACTTGATGTAGGTCCTCGATAGCCTCGTTCAGTTTGTCGTGTATACCCGGCGCATGGCTCTGAAGCCTCTTCAATCTGGCACTAACGCTAGCATCCCTGATCAGACGACGTGGTATGGCGACAAGTCCGTGACCCATAAGGTAGATGGCCAACACCAGACCGTAGGCGTATGCCATGGCCATGACTAGCGCCTTGAGTGTTGTAGCTCTGGTTGTAGTATCATCATGGCGGTTCTGCCNAAAGAAGTAGACGGCACCTGCGGTTCCGAGGGATAGTGTGATGAGTTGGTAACGCGCGTTGGATCGGAGGGAATAGACGAAGCGGTCCTTAGGCTCTCTGTAACCAGAGTCACAGTATTCGCCAAGTAGAGGAAGTACAAANNCCTGCGCCAGATGTGTTAGCCAAGTAAGAATCAGGGTGGATAAGAGGTCGACATACCATGTCAAGCAGAAGGTGAGCCAGTATGCGAGCCTCCAAGCGACCAGCATGACATTATCGGGTAGCCATATTCCTCTTTGACCATCGGTATCGGTGCCAGAAGATGAGGCCAAGTCTATGGGAACTAGGAAGACTATGGATGATGGAAGAGCCAGAGCCAGGAAGACAGGGATCAAAAGGTAGGCGGGAGTTGTCCTTAGGGGAAGGTAGTATCGAAGGAGGAGAACAACAATTGCAGAGATGGACAGTAAGGCAAGCACGGCGAAGACATCGGAGCCGACGGATGAGGAGGGAGCCATGTTGTTTGACAATCGGACGGAAACCAGCTTATTGTGAAGGACAGGGAATGGTCATGCTGTTGACTGAACGGGCGACGAGATGGGAGAAAAGGCTGAGCAACGGTTGCGACTGGGACAGCTGAATTATATTCAAAGTTATAGATTGCGGCTTCGTACGGACTCGGAAATCATGCAAGCCGCGGCGGTCGCGAGTCGGTGGTGACGCAGGAGGATTCATTCGTTCATCTGATTGCGATAGGGGAAAGACGTTGGCAACGGTTGCGAAACAAAGCGGCCTGTTTTAGGTTCTTGGCCAAGGAATCAATCAATCTTCTGTGCTTGCCCCGCTGGCTTTCTAAACAATCTGTTTGAACAGGCCCAATCACTACTACACAACTCCATCACATCACTTTACACCTTCACCATGTCTGAAGCCGAGAACAAGCCCCAGGACGTCGCCGCCGACGCTCCTAAGACTGAGGAGACCAAGACCGTCACCGAGCAAGCCACTGAGACCGCCGCCGCTGCCGCCTCGGCCGTCAAGGACAATGTCTTCAGCATGTTTGGTGGTGGCCCCAAGAAGGAGAAGGTCGAAGAGAAGGACGAGGGCGCCGATGAGCCCAGCGGAAGCTCCAAGGCTACCGCCGCAAAGGCTGCTGACGAGGTGAGATGCTGCGCACCACCTAAAGAACGACACGAATGCTGATGCAAATCCAACAGGAGGACGAGGTTGACGACAAGGAGCCTGACGTCCACTTCGAGCCCGTTGTCCACCTTACCGAGAAAGTCGACACCAAGACACACGAGGAGAGCGAGGAGCAGACTTTCAAGATGCGCGCCAAGCTCTTCAAGTTCGACCGCGACAGCAGAGAGTGGAAGGAGCGTGGTACCGGCGAGGTCCGTCTGCTCAAGCACAAGGAGAACGGCAGAACCAGACTTGTCATGCGTCGTGACAAGACCCTGAAGGTCTGCGCCAACCACTACGTCGTTCCCGACATGAAGCTCTCCCCCAACGTCGGCAGCGACCGCTCGTGGGTCTGGAACGCTTCGGCCGATGTTTCTGAGGGCGAGCCCGAGGCTCAGACTCTCGCTATCCGTTTCGGCAACAGCGAGAGTAAGTTCTTAGCTACAAGCACTTCAGCCCAAGACATGGATGCTAACATATCATGCNNAGACGCCAACCTGTTCAAGGAGGCTTTCATCAAGGCCCAGCAGGAGAACGAGGCCCTCTTCAGCAAGTCTGACTAGATTGTCGCCCCAGCACCAGCATACCCACGCCGCCATTTGTGCACCACCAAGCAGTAGCCAGGCCCAGAATCCCAAAACCCCCTATCCCATGCGTATGCCATACCTTCCTCATCCACTTCACCATGCATACCTGACGAAGACACCGAGACGCATTCTGCATTCAGCATTCTGGGCGTTCGGCACTGCATCCCCCTCCCATACCCCCTGTCCTCTCGGTGACGGCTTGAGATGATGATGAATGTTTCCCAAGTCTCGTTAGCGCCCTCATCTAAATAGAGCACATGATGGTTAATGTATCTACCTTCTCCAAATCACACCCTCATTCCAGTCAGCTGTGTGAAAGACAAGATGTAGTGAAACAAAGTGACGTCGTCATTCTGCCGTAAAGGCGGTCAAGGCGGTATTGAGCATCCCCGCAAACTTCCCGACACGCTCACCTGTCGCGTCGGCGTCGGCGCAAAAGCAGCAGAGGGTGTTTCTTGTTACATACAACATCCTTGTCGCTCGTGCCTTTCGTGCTTACATTCTAAGGAAATATATAATTACATCGTCGTGCCGACGCTTTTGCTGTTCTCGGACCCCACCGACGTCTCACAATGCCTGACGTACGCCCACTCCCGCCTGCTAAGCTTGTCAATATACTGACGCGCATACAGATCAAACGCCAGATCAAGCTCGTCACTGAGCAGCACGTCTTGTAAGTCACTTCATGCTGTCCTCAATGTAGCCGATGGTTCAAGTTATCTAACAAGTACTTCTCCAACAACAGGCCTGATGTCCCTTCAGAAGTCGAGGGCTTCCCCATGCGCGAATGGAGCATCGAAGTCTACGTAGTCGGCCCCAACGACGAACAACTACCTGCCACCTGTTTCGAGAAGGTCACCTACCGTCTGCACGAATCCTTCGGCAAGCGTGCCAACCAAAGTACGACATGCCACTCCGACTTGCCTTTGGATTATCCCCATTAGAAAGAGAACAATATTGATATGGGCCCATGATGCAGGNNTCTCAAGCAAGCTCCTTTCAGAATCCAAGAACAAGGATGGGGTGAATTCGACATGTCCATCGTTCTCACTCCCTTNTCTCAGCCCAAGGGCGAGCAGACCATCTTCCACGACTTGAACTTCCAGCAAGAACGCTACGAGAGTCTGCAGCAGTTTGTATGCGGACCCTATACTATTCTGCTCGTCTCGGATCTAACTGCTTCTTGCTAGACTTTCCGCAACCCTAAGCCCGAGCTTGTCGACAGATTGAGGGAATCCGGTCCCGTTGGCGATGCCAATGGTGCTGCTAAGCCTGAGAAGAGAAAGAAGGCATCCAAGACTGTGTGTTTTCCTGTCAATCCAGATGCCGAGCATAACTGACATTCGCAACAGCAAGTCGATATGGAGAAGTTGGCCGAGGGCCTTGAGAGACTTGGCGAAGACGACCTCCTGCACGTCGTCCAGTTGGTGCACGACAACAAGACTGAAGAAACATACACCAAGAACGACGTCGAGAGTGAGTATCCCATACGCCCTGTTGATGCCTGGCACTAACAAGCGATGCANGATGGCGAGTTCCACGTCGATCTCTACACTCTCCCCGATCAGCTCATCAAGATGCTGTGGGACTTCGTCAACCAGAAAGTCAACATTGCAGATTTTTGATCACCTCGTCGCATTACTGAGCTTTTGCAATTGCTTTGACTCGCCAAGGACAAGTCAGCGCCTGTCGAAGAGTGGAATTTTGCTATCAAGACCACACATACGGGTCATATCCTCATATGCGGCATGAACACGAAGGTCAGAAGAATGATAAGAGGGAGCGCAGACGCGACAGCAAGGATGGAGAGGGCGTTTGACGACAACATAATCGATACCCACCGGAAACAACGATATGGCTTTATTTTTACTTATCCTTGAGCTAGAAGGATATAAAATCTTTTACATCAACACTGTACCTGCTCTATATGTGAATCATGTTGTTCGTCCCATTCGCGTTAATCGCTGCGCTGTTACCTTGGCATATTACGACAAACAGAGCTGTAAAGAACTATGACTGGACTGATCACGAAACCCCGTCCAGAGGGAGCTGATAAAATGACAACCCTACTCTGGTTGTTGTATCGCTGACTTGCAACACGGTCACACAAGCTGAATAGTAGACAACGCGAAAAGATTTGTTCAGACTGTTGCTTGTATTTTGATGAGCTCTCTTGAAAGCAGAAGCGACAGACTATCCTTATTCCAAACACAATAGACGAATGCCCTCGCAATGTAGTGGTTTCCTTCATAATATCCACTCCGCAATGTAATAGTTCCATCCCAATATTCATCCTGCAATGTAGTTGTTCCATTCATCCATCCTGCAATTTGATCGTTTCCTCCATAGAATTCGCCGGTTGTCGGTCTGTAGTTCGTACAACCACGTTAGCGCTCGACGTCTTCAACCTTGATCTCACCTCCATCGACGTCTTCGACCTTGATCTCATCTCCATCCATCTGCTGGTCCCCTGCAGCGGCGATGAGTAGGTCGGCTTNTGCGCTGATAACAGCGTCGTCGAGAACGTTTGTGCACCTGTGGTTTTTGTCGACCCAACTTCTGCTGAGTCTTGTTTGCTCCTGGGAGAAGTGCATGGACAGATATGCCAGACCTACAGGCCTGTCGAAGCTTAGCCTCAAACCAGGTGTAGGTCGGTCGATGAAGGTCTTTGTTCTGAGTCTACCTTTGCCATTGCTCATGTAAATCCTCAGAGCGCGTCTGCCATCCACAGTTAGGTGTTCGTGGTGGTGGAGAACCACCTTCTTGGCTTCAGTGGTGTTTTTGGGGGTTACCTTGCCCAGCTTCAGCTTCAGTCCTGAATGGTGCTGATGATGAAGGAGTGTGAGGGACTGGGGGTTACCTGGTGCGTCGTTGAAGTGGATCTTCAGAGCACGTCTGCCTTTGATGTTGATGTGCTCGTGGTGGTGGACAAGCTTTTCTGAACGGGGCTGATGAGGCAGTGTGAGGGACTGTGGGTTACCTGGTGCGTCGTTGAAGTAGACCTTCAGAGCGCGTCTGCCTTTGGTGGTGATGTGCTCGTGGTGGTGGACGAGTTTCTCTGATTGTCTGGCAGTTGCAGAGCGAAGCTGCATGGTAAAGGGACAGGAGGAGACATGATTGTATCTGTGATGAGAGAAAACAGAGTACGTCTGTAGTAGAGGGTGGGCAATCTTACGCTGTTTAGTCGCGTTTGGTAGAGTTGCTGTTGATGTGGAGTTTGTCTAGACTTGATGTTGTCTGTGACTTGATGGATGGGTGGAGGAAGAAGGGAAACAATTTGTGGAAGATTGACCTTCTTAAATAGTTGGTTTCGCATGCTGCAAATCACCAATGTCAAATTTAGTCTAGCTGTGTGCAATTTTTCATGGTCATGTGTGGGAGTGGGTGCCTAAGGGCAGTTGGTTTGAGAGAGATATTGAAAGATTTTTTGCCCACGCAGCTATCCTCGTCGAATCAGCGACGACGTTCGCCCAGGAGTCTGCACCTTCATACGCCTCTTACTTGCTGTACAAGGTAGCTCGAAATGGATATGCTGGCGACAACATCGAAAATCCGAACTCAAGTATGGCCAACTGGAAATTGTTTCGACTTGATTTGGAGAAGTTATCATACGTTGAACCTGAGACGGATCATTTGTACGAATGGGGGCGTAACGAGAGTTATATTACCAGTGCTCTTTCTGCATAAGAGCGATATTGTAGAGAGCCTACCAGTGGCAAGTCAAAACATTGTCTTGGTATGGACCTAACAGAAAGTTGGGAACGCTATCTTGCTCATATCGGAGTAAAATGTACGGCATCGCCAGAACATTCTGTTTCCTGGCCGAGAGATTCGCGGCTTCGTCCGGGTGATGTTTGGTGAACGGTGTCCAGGATTTTGAGAGCCGACAGACTTCCTTCCTTTTCTCCCAGAACAGCATGGAGATTTTCCTTTATCACGATCCAGATACACAGAGTTGACCTCGGATCCATGAAATCTTGTAGAAAGACTGAGGTTCGCCTCAGGTGTATGACTATATTAGTTACGTTTACAACAAAGTCGTGATGATCGAGTACTCGTAGGTTGATAAAATTGCTTCGTTTGAGTGGTATCCCATGGTTGTGTCTTGTGGGGCTGAAAACCCGCCTTCGCTTTTTGTTCTAGACAGAAGCCGTAGTGAATTTGTTTTCCTGAGTCCTTCTCGGTTTGATAACAAGGAAGTCAAGTTGTTGGAAGAACGCTCGCTATCCTGGGGCACGACATTGGCAGAAAGCCAAAGGAGGAAGGCGGTACGACAACGTACTTACCTATGCAATCTATCTTGTGTCTCCAATCGACTTTCTTTCTCGTCGCGCCACAGCTCAGACACGCTCCTGATATACAGACTTGTGATGGCGCTATGTTAGAATGCTGCCCCTCTGTGCTTGTAGTTTGTTTATACTGGTCAAGTCACTTATCTATGTGGCTCTCGAAGCCTCAAAGTATGAATAGTTGGAATGAACAATGACTATGGCTTAATATTAACAAAACAGGTGGTTTCGAACTGCAGCTGCCATACAAGACCGTAACTGCAGCTGGTATGCAAAACAAAGTCTCGGCATGCAGGAAGCCGCTTGTTGAGACAAACGAAGTGAAAGGACCACGCGCTTGCCCGCAACGCACCTTTCACTTCCACAACCCTCTGGATCCTGCTTTCTATCCTCTCACTTACCTCACGACTACATCTACCTTGCAAGCCCGCAATCTTTTCTCGTTATCCATCACACCTCCGCAGCTCGTTCTGCCCCTCCATCTTTCATCTGATCTCGACAGTCCTCTGTTTCACCATGGTGAGTCTTTGCAAAACGAGTTCTTCCTTTCTCAGAACAAGGCGCCAAAACGATAGATTCCACGCAAGGCGTCCTTACGCCAGCGTTTGAAGGCTTCCAGCAGCCACGATAGCCTGATCTATCCAGCTTCTATGCCCTGATTCTTTTTACATCCGATACAGATCTCCTGACATTTCTCAGGGAGCCTGGGGCTATGACCTNTTCCAAAGCGATACGGATTTGGACACCGTCGAAATGCTCGACGATTCCGCCGATCTAAACAGAGTCAAGGAGAAAATCCTCGCCGACCGAGCCCGATACTCTTTCCCGAAGACTGAGAAGAAAAACGCTAGCGACAAGGATTCTGATGCAGGCGACAACACTGAAGATGACCACATCCACATGAGTCTGTACAATTCTTCTCACCCGGTAAGTTTGGACTGAACAAACGCCACAAACATAGTCACATTGCTAATACTATTTTCTTGTCAGGATTTGGTTCAGCAACACCTTGACAGTGGCGTACTTACACGCATGATCAACAACCTTCGTGGCAAGGGACAAGGAAATGCACTCTGCCTACTCATCGCCCTTGCCATGCAACTCGGCTGCAACATCCCGAATTGATGTCGCCAGGAACTCATCTTGACCTACCAGAAATGTCGTCTTCCACCTGAGGGCGAAGTCCGCTTTGGCAAGGCTCTTCGTGACTATCGCAACGGTGTCCCATACCCTTTCAACAGCAAGGGCCTTCAACTTACTGCCGAAACCGGAAACCCTTTCTATAAAGAATCCGAAATCTTCTGGATGAGACTTGAGGAGGTTCCTGCAGGCGAAGAGATCACTCAGGAGAACACCACCATTGAACGTGTCTATGGTGACTTCAACCAACCTGTTGATGTTTGCGGCAACTGTGGCACTAAGTAATGTGACGATGGTAGTCCGTTGAAGCGCTGCGCAGGCTGCAAGGAAAGGTAAGAACACACGCATCAATCCGTCCACTCTTCTCACGCTTTGCAACCATATCATTCTTTACATCTCAGACCTTGGTTCCCTTAGCCGCTTGCTGATGAAATCCTCAGACTGTACTGTGGCAAGACCTGTCAAAAGGTCCACACTCCCAAACACTCATGCCTCTGCCCAGGCTTCAGAAAGGCCCATGAAGAGCAGCCCGCTGATGCATGTGGTAACTGTGGTGCAAAGCAGACAAAGGATGGAAGCGCCTTGAAGCGTTGTGCACGCTGCAAGAACAGAAACTACTGTTCTGTCGAGTGTCAGAAGGAGCACTACCATGCTCATGTCTCAAAATGCAAGACAGAAGCTGAAGAGACTAAGGAGAAGGAGAACGGTCGTCGTGTTATGGGCCTGAATGTTCTTCAGACTTGGTGAGTCAATGAGAGCATGGAGATAGATGCTCTTCAGTAAGACAAGGGACAAGAAAGATATCGAAGAAGTCTGAGGAAGTGTCATTTGCTTGAAGCTTGTAATTGTCAGGTCGGATCGAAAGTTGCTAGCTACAGAGAACATGAAACAAAGTATCACTATCGGCTGTTGCAATGAGGTTTTAAATATCACTCGAGTCTTCCAACATCCTTCAATGCCATTCTTAATCAACGGTATACACTGGGACAAGGCTTGATCGTGCAAGTAATTGGGCAACGTCTTCTTCCCATACCACAGATGTAGATGAGAGCATAGAGTATCGAGCCGCAAGTAAAGGTTTCGTGTAAGAATGGCCTTCCAACGAAAACGTATCGAACCCTACCATCTAGCATTCACGCTCATCGATAGGGCGAGGTTTGCTCTAGACAGTATTCGACCCAGCATCTCTATGCATCGAACATCTCCCCCTTTACATATCTGACACCCATATAGTCCTTTTTGGCATTCGAACATATAGCGAATGGTCCTTTGGTCTTTCGAAATTCGCACTGAATGACTGTTTCTGAGTTTGTGCTACAGGCTTGATTGTTGCAGGGTGGTACTCGGTATCTGGTCGAGACGACTGAGATGTGGCACATTCTCTCTTCCTATTCAAGCAATGTGATCGTAGGTCTAGGACGTTTGACGGAGCATATCGATCGCTTGTTTTGCTGCGTCATTCGCATGAGTTTTTGTTCGAGTGAGTATAGATAGAGAGACTTACTGCCGTGGAGATGGCTGTCGAATTATCCTTGATAGTTCATCGCAGTCATGCTTGACACAGTCTTATATCTTTCAGAACTCTCTCACATGCTGGTGGGCTTGCTAGGTCTCAGCAGTTCACACGTTGCTTCCGTATGACATGTTGGGAGATTGTCACAGGGTCTGACAAGCCAATGATTGTATGCGATCTCAGTGTACCTTACAGCTTGCAGAGTAGTACACTCTCAAAACCAGACGATACTGTGCAACCCAAAGAGCTCGATGTGGACATTGCAGATACAAAAGAGAGGTCATGCGATGAACTGCCCCATGCGGTGAAAGAATGCGATTGTGTTACAGTTATTCTGACGATCTGGTGAGCTTTACACTACAAACCGGTCAAGCCTTTCAGGGTTGAAGTCAGTGTCGAGGTGACGCCGCTGAGGGCTCCTGTGAGATTTGCCAGGTTGTGGAGTGCGTCATTCTCGATCTCTCCTGTGGCGGCGTTGAGACCGATCAGTACTGCCTTCAAACTGTTCTCTCCCAGAATTATTCCCTCTGGAACCTGTTCTCCGCTTGCAGCATTCAGCTCAAGAGCCATGGCACCCAGACTAGCCAAAGTTGTTTCTGTCTTCGGTGGCTGCCAGCCGAGTTCATAAGGAAGTTTCTCCTGTTCGAACAAGCTGCGTACATACTCTAGTGGTGCGACTCCAGTGATTGGGTCACCCATAGTCGACAGGTACAGGGCTGTTTCACCGTAGCTGAGAATGAATTGAACAGGACTGTAGCTGAAGTCGGGATCTCTGGCGGCTTCCGTACTGACGCGGTTGAATCTGGCTTTAGAAGCGACCGGAATGGTGGCATTGTCCATGCCACTGTAGTATGCGAGTACTGTGTCCCAGATGGTTTGGTTGAAGCTGTAGTTGTTGCCAGTGGAGGCATCGGCACGGGACAACGAAGCGTCATGCTCGATCAAAAAGTCATGTCGGTCCAGCATGTCCAGGTCGAAGTATAGGCCTGATGTCAAGGNGTCGGGGTTGGATCCGATTCCTGCCGTGCCTATGGCAAGGGTAAAGTCGGCACCAACATTTAGTCCTCTCTTCAGACAGTCGGTCAAGATGGGAATGGTGTATCCTTTGCCACTTCTTGGGCAGATGTCGTGGTTTGCCAATGTGTTCAGGCCAGGACACGGAGAGCGGACTGTCAAACTATCAGAACTATACTCTTAAATGACCATATCATTCCTCATACCTTCTCCACTCTGTTGTGGGTGCCAAGCTGGGTAGGTGCTGGAAGCGCTGCTCGAGGTGCTGACAGCTTTGGCTAGGGGCTTGAGAGGAAGCAGACCGGGGTCTCTACGAACATTGCCCATTCCGGGGAATGCAGAGGCATACTGGGTCAGGACGCCCACGAGCAGGACTGAGGAAGACTTCATAGTGCACAGCGAATTCTCACAGGACAAGTGATGAAACAAAAACACAACGAGGAGAAAAGCACCCACCTTAAGAGGTCACATAGACTGCTCGTCGTCATGACTCGTCGATGCTCGATTGGATCAATAGGTTCAGCCAGAAGAGCGGTTCGTTTGGTACAAGGCTGGTCGTCACTGGACCGGATTTCAGCACCATGGATCGACATGGATCTGCAGATCCACATGTCTAAGTCGACACTCTGGCCGTTGTAAGTCATCGCACAGAACTACTCGCACCAAGGGAGATTGGTGATTGGATCGTGCTGTACTATTACAGATAGTGCGGCGCCACTGCCTCGGTCGAAATGGCGATGGTCGATAATTGCGAGCAGTGCGACGAGTTGCGGCTGAGAATAGGTAATTTTAAGCTCAAAGCCGGTAGGCTTGCGGACATGCAATTCAACATGATGGCTGTCGAGAGGCATCTCCGGCCTCGGTCCAGATTCGAGGTCCGTCATGACTTGTCATGAAACAGTCGAGAGCTGGACAAAATTTTGCTAGCAAAATAAGAAATCAGAAGAAAGCCGTTGAGACGGGAAAGTACAGCTGAATCTCAGGTGTGCACAAGAGCGGACGCAGCCGAGAACAGCAACAGGCACGTGGGACAATGAGATGGGCGACAAGAGGCGTGTAGTTGAAAGTCAGAGGGCGGCAGTGGTGAGTAAGTGCCGGCAGTCTTGTGCAAAGCATGCACTCTGTATGATGAGCAGGAGCAGCAAGGCGATAGATTGATGGCAATACTAAAGAAGAAGGCGCGATGATGGCGTCTCTGGGCTCTTTCTTGACTCTCCACAAAACGCACGGTGCAGCGATCATAGGGCCGAGAAGTCGCGGGGACATGATGCTTCCAGTGGGTGAGCAGCAAGCAACGAGCTGCGTCGCAAAGCAGAAGGTCAAGCACATGTCCATGTCGAAGAAGAGTGGCCACGCATAGACGACTGGACCGAGCCGTACAGTCTTACAATGGCAGAGGCCGATGCAACCGCAGCCGGGCCTCTGAACGAACCCGCTCCCAGTCACAGCCCATCTACCTCGACTCCCTCATCGTCCAACGCACAGCAACCTTCTCCAGCCTTTGTCGCGCCGAGCGACTACCTACGGCCTCGCGAGCGCGCCCATGGCTCTAAGTCAAGAGGCCCCATGAGCCCCCTCGACCATGAACAGCTTGATGGCCTTGTCAGTCGGACCCCACCTACCCGTCAACTCTCTTCTAACCATTGTCTGCAGCGAGCCATTCGCGAGTTCCTCAAGGCCCGCACAAGCTACGACGTCCTGCCCCTCAGCTATCGCCTAATCGTCTTCGACACCGCTTTGCTGGTCAAGAAGAGTCTTAATATCCTCATCCAGAACGGTACGCATACACACCCGTCCATCACCTCTATCCTCGTTGACACTTATCGCTGACATGCAAANGGCATTGTCTCTGCTCCGCTGTGGGATTCCAAGACTTCGACTTTCGCTGGCCTCCTGACTACCTCGGACTACATCAATGTTATTCAGTACTACTGGCAAAACCCCGATGCCCTCGCTCAAGTCGATCAGTTCCGTCTCAACAGTCTGCGCGATATCGAGAAAGCCATCGGCGTACAGCCCATCGAGACCGTCTCGGTGCATCCTCTACAATCTCTTTACACGGCATGTCGTCGCATGCTCGAGTCTCGCGCTCGTCGCATCCCTCTTGTCGATGTCGATGACGAAACACAACGCGCCATGATAGTCAGTGTCTTGACCCAGTATCGTATCCTCAAATTCGTCGCTGTCAATGTCAAAGACACCCAGAACTTGCGCAAGCCACTGCGAGACATCGACTGCGGCACATACGGTGACCTGCAGACAGCCACAATGGAGACACCCGTCATGGACGTTATTCATCTGCTTGTTAAGTACAGCATATCAAACGTTCCTATCCTGGACAGCGATGGTTTGTTTCCTTGCCTACGCCCCTCTAACCATCTTACTAACACTCGAATAGGCGGCGTCGTCAATGTTTTTGAAGCAGTTGATGTCATATCACTCATTAAGGGCGGTGTATATGATGACCTGAACTTGACCGTTGGCGAAGCTCTGCTAAAACGCTCCGAGGTAATGCGCTCGACTCTCTCAATCCGTGTAGCTATGTCTGACATGATCTTANNGGATTTCCCTGGCATTTTCACGTGCACCCTTAACGACCGCCTGGACTCCATCTTTGACACGATTCGCAAATCTCGCGTTCATCGCTTTGTTGTGATCGATGAAGACAAGAAGCTCAAAGGCCTGCTTACATTGAGCGATATCTTAGAATACGTACTTCTCGAAGGCGAAGGAGACGAGTTATGATGAATTTCGGTTTTGATACCCACATGGTAAGTTGGAAGCATCCACAAGTACCACTTTTCAGTTCCAATATGAAGATTTCTTTCGACAACATGTGAATTTCACGTGTCCTGCCATCGCGCCCTAGTGGTCGCTACGAGTATTTGTCTTATCACCGAGTGAAATTTCCTAGCAAGAGTTCACTGCGTTGTACTGATCCTTCTTACGCCAAGCTGTGCGTGACCAATTACTTGAGACGTCGATGTTGCATTTGGAACGTGAGCGGTCTTCTTGATCACCAACACGAGTATGTACATGGCGAGGTGACATTCGACCACCTTCCCCGCATCATTTTTCCGTCGACAACAACTCTTCTTGCTTGCACCTGAGATCGTGCCCACCGGACCCCACTGACAATGTTCGGTTAAAGACCAAGGATCTTCATCATACATCTCCTTCTCCGCATGATTGACCATCTTTCGGGCGATCATTGCCCGAGTCACAGGTAGGTATAATATCGCGTGGCCTCGCTTCTACGTATTGTTCCCTGTGACCTATCTCTCATCATGCAGTTCTGTCTGTCATCTGGTTTACGCCTTACTCCATATATCGCTGTACTAGTCGCAGCTCGCGTCGCCGTCTCTCAGCCTTTAGGAGGTCATGATGGTGTTTCCTTGTTAGAGATACCAAAGACAGCACTCGGTGCATCGATCGAACACGATCCCTCGTTCGCATCTTTCTCATTCGAGCCTGCATTCTGGGTGGAATTNTTTGGCAACTCCAGCTCTCCCAATGAACTCGCCTTCAACCTGCTGAATCGCATCGTTGCTCATGGTGGACAACCGACGGTCCGATTCCCTTCATATGCATCATTTTAGCTGTACTCATGTATATGACAGATTCGACCTGGTGGCATTACCATGGACTCCATGATCTTTAATGCCTCAGCCGGTGATCCAGTCCGTACTACGAATCCTAAGGGTGGTGTTTACCGTACAACTGTTGGTCCTGCCTACTACGAAAGCTGGTCGAACTTTCCTGAGGGCACCAAATTTATCTCCACGCTAAACTTTGGCAACGATTCGCTTGATATCGCTAGGGATCTGGCAGTTGCCTCTGTCAAATATGCACGTAACGACAGCATCGGCGCCTTCGAACTTGGCAACGAGCCTACAAACTACCCTAGCTCGAGATGGAAGAACAGCACAGAAGCTTACGTTCAACAATGGAAAAACTGGACAGCTCAGATCGATGCAGCCGTCAACATGACATCAGGTGCAGATGCTGCAGTCGAGTTTGGCAGTGAGCGCTGGTGGGCTTCATCCGCGACGACAGACCAGAGTGGGCTCGAAGTCCGACCCGCTGCGCTTATACCTGCTGGCATTGACTCCAGAAATCAGGTGGCCGACTATTCCATACACTCATACCCATTTTCTACCTGCGATCCAGTCCGAGCAGTGCTAGCGACTACACAAAATATCCTGAATCAAACCGAACTGGCATATTATGCCGATTCGGAAATCTATCCCTCGGCCAAAGCTGCACTGGATGCTGGCAATCGCTGGATCATTGGTGAGTTCAACTCCATCTCGTGTTCTGGCAACCCGAATGTCTCGGACACTTTTGCACAGGCTCTGTGGGTGATTCAGAGTGAATTGATCTATGCTGTACGAAATGCCTCAGCTGTATATCTCCACCAGGGAGCAGCGCTGGTGTTTCAAAGTAGCCAGCAAGTGAACTCGGCAGGTCAAGATGGATCGCCAGGTTATTCGACATATGACATGTTTTATCCTCAAGACAGCGAGAAGCGAGGTCCTGCAAGGGTTCTGCCTAGCTTCTCCAGTCAACTCTTCATGGCCGAAGCATTTGCCATCCCCGAGACCCGCGTTCGCCAGCTCGAAACACCTTCAGGCATTGACAAGGACTATTTCTCTGCATATGCTTTCTATGTCAATGATAGACTCAACAAATTGGCCATCATCAACTCGAAGCCATACTATGCCAATTCGACGAGCGACTTTACGGTAACGCTGGATATCTCAAAATATGGGAAATCGAAGAAGGGAGCCCGTGCGTGGTTAAAGAGGTTGACTGCTCCTTATGTCAACGAAGGCAACGCAAACATGACTACTTGGGCAGCCCAGTCATTCTCTGAGGGCCATGAGACAGGAGACCTCCTTGTCGAGACAGTAGGGCGCGACGGTCTGGTGCACGTGAGGGGAAGTGAGGCAGTACTCGTCTTCTTTGACAAGCGAGATGCAAATATGGATGCATGCTAGATTGCTCGAGTTACATGTAAATGTATAAACACACAAGCAATCGTTGTTGGTTTCCTCCGACCATTCTGTACTCTGGAGCATGCAATTCGTACACAAAATCCTGGAGTTGAACGGACAGACGAAAGTAACTTTAGATCAGCTTCACAATCGTCTCCGTAGAACCCAGGGTATCTACACTCGGTCTATACAGTGTACCAGCCTCAGAAGATATTCTCGCTTCGTCATCGTATTTTGGAGCTTCATCATCGTAATTCGGAGCGTCAAGTGGTTGATATAGTGCCTCGCTCTCACAAGAGTGACGAGGTTTCTCAGCTGAGACGCGAGCGATGCGAGAAATGACTCCCGTGCCGATGTGTGTACGACAATTCGGGCAAGTTCGTACGAGCGAAAACATTCTACACATCCTGAAGATGTGACGAAGGACGAAGAAAGTGTGGATGCAGCTTTTGAGAACCAGTTTGTCAACCCANNTCGTGCATAGACACAGGTTCAATTGAACTTACAAGTCCATCATTAATAACACTGTTCCATAAGTTCCAAGCATAATCACTCCGCCGCTTTCCCAGCTATTCCACCCTGCATTGAGCACCCAGAACGGTATCAATATGCTGATGTGAGAAACAGCAAGAAACACATCGATGTACAGAGTCAATTGAGCCCGTTGGAGGTACGAGGTGGGCAGACCGAGGATAGCGGAGAAGAATGCAGGTACGAGCCCAAGAGCAGGAATCACACTGCAACTGACAACGCCATAAGGGATCAGAAGGGCCAGAGCAGGGAAAAAAGCGATGAGAGTTGTGGTGCGGAGAATTCGATCCAAAGAGCTTGGAGTGTCCATGATGTGTATTCAGCTTGGTTATGGTTGAGATGCTGGTTGTGTTTGTGGACAGGATGGCGTGTTCACGAGATGGTTTGATCTTTTATACAAGAATCCATTGAGAACAAGAACAATCGGTGCCTTGTCAACATATGCAATTGCTATCTCGGCAAGGCATCAGGATCGTTCCTCTGTTTCCAAGGATACAAGGCACCGGCATTTGATTGGCATACAGCTTTCGAGGTGGATCCGGAGCCTCTATTTTGGGCACGCCCGTTAAACCGCGAGTTTAAAATAACCTGCGAATAACAGCTTCTGTACCGAAAATCAACCAATCATGAAGGGGCCTTCCTAAATTCGTAGGAGCTCGTTCAATCAGGTGTGGGATGACAATTGTGTCGGCATATAGTCTTGTCGTTCCATCTTCATAAAACCTTCTAATTACTTCTTCGTACTCGGGCAGCACAAGTCGTGAATCTTGATGAGTCAGCAAGGGCCTTCACTCTTGCAGACGGACACACCCTGTACATTCGCTCAGCAACTGTTGCACAAATAAACCAGATCTGTTATTGTATTCTGCCTTCTTGATCAGACTTCATGGCACAGGGCATATTCGCAAGATGTATTGATGCAAGATGTCGCATCAGGCGTTTGACATCGCGGCCACTGCACTTGATTAACTGACTGATTTTGTTACATTTGGCAAGTTCTTGAAACACCAAACATGTTGGTAGTTGTTACAGACTCATCTATTATATGGTCTTGCCATGTCCAAGTACCACTGAGCTCATCCGACTTTTGACTACCTGAATCACCCTTCAATATTCTTACATATGACGATGAGCCATATCAGCAAAGAGATGGACAACCTTCGAACCTCCTCACCTACAAACAACATGTTCGAAACCAGTCAAAACTCCCAAGAACACGACATCACCGCCGATGAATACGACGTAGACGATTTCGACGAAGATTGTCTGATTTACGCCCTCTTCTGTTTCAAAGACGTCCCTCTAGAGATGATCGAAGACGTCCTCCAGAGGAGCGTAGAGGAAGTGGGTGAATACTACTATTGGCTGGCCGATCATGATTACTCGACCCTACCGCAATCAGAGGACGGAGAACTGGGTACCAGGCCTCCTTTACCCCGTAGCTGGCGCTCTCCTTTCCTTGGTTCGTCTCTAGAGATGGCATTCGAGCATGTCAAGAACGCCCCGGGGAGGCTGCTCAACAGGAAGCATATCGTCGTCTTAGACAAGGAGCTTTTCGGGACGAAGAAGATGCTGAGAATCTATCGCAGAGAAGGATTCGAGCCAGACTTTGCCGACGAGCTTGGGATGAACATACAGCCAGGAGATATTACTGAAGTGGGAGGATATGCTTATACTACAATTGTAAAGCTTATTGGATACGATNNCGCGAGACAGGCACTTGGGGGTACCAAGTCAGTGATTGGAAGTCTAGAGGATTGCCTTTCAACAGGTAGTCGCTTGTAGTCCTAGGGAGGTGATGAGCATTCAAACAGAGGGCCTCACATAGTACGTAGCAGCAAGAGTCGATAGCTCCGACTGCGAGGAGATTCTTGAGTAAATATGTTTGCAATATTAAGACGTGAAAGATGGGAGTCGCATGGGAAGCTCTCCCCACACCGTTGGGAAAAGAGCTTCATGCACGGTTGCCGTTTCTGTGGGGAATCGAAGAAGCATGAACAGGTACAAAACGACGACGATTGCAACGAAGAATGTTGCAAAACTGTCATCAAACGAATAAGCTTATAAGTACACACGGCAGCTGCTGTAGTGGTCATCACAGCTCGTCTGGTTGTACATAAAAGAGTGCAGCGACAAGAGCTGTTCCTGTCACACCTGACGACGAAGCCACCCAGCCACCGTCGCGCTTGCAAGCGAATGCGTGTGTTGACAAAACACTCGGACCTGCTAGCTTGCAGAGATCGACACCGCAAGCACAACAATGGCTGGGGAGATGGCGCCTACGATCAGCCATTGCCTTTCCTCAATCTTGCCATGATGGCTGGTTTGGTGTCAGACAGCACGGTCAGAGCCCAACGCATGTCTTGCTGAGATGGCTGTCAGAGCCAACGAATGGCAAGGTCGACTTGAACGGGGAAGGTACAAACCACCAGAGTGGCTCGACGGGCAGGACAGGATCCTCGATATCGGGTTACAGTTTCCACTAATCTCTATATTCACCTGGAAACGGGCGGGTACAGCGACAACGAACAGGGTGCAGGTCAAATGAAAGGTCAATCAATCACCTTGGCCTCTTCCCGCTTTATTTAGTATCCTGCAAGACAAATCACCCCCGTCACCTTAGCATCTCCTCCTTCCNNTTACTCCGCTTTCCAAACCNNTCAATTCACCCTCGACAAGGACNNTTTTCAGTTCGTTCTTGTTGTCCTTTCGAGTTGTTCAAGGACAGTTCGTGAGGTCTTCAAGAAAGAACACTTGACATCCAGCAAGCTGGATTTTGAAGCAAGAGTAAGTGCATACCACCAGACTTGCATTGGCCAATGCAGCAATTGACAAAGCTTTTGCAGGTCCCGATCCCTTTCAGTGGTATGGTCTTTCTCGTCGTCCTCGGCCGGTACTCAGCTCACANNTTGTACAGTCTTCCCGTCCACGTATAGGAGTGATACTGTCACCAAGTCTACGGAGATCAAAGTAGAAGAGCAGGTCAACCTCCCAAGCTCGCACGGCGGACGGGAAGGTCACGAAACTCGCTACACCTCATCCCAGGCACCTCCGTCCCGCCGCTTTGAAGAGGAGATCAGAGTAACAGAAAACGACAGCTACCGTCGTCCAGGACACAGAGAAGAGGACATCCACATCTACGAAGAAGAGCGCACGTCTCGTCCCAACAGACAGACCAAGATCAGTATCGAACAGGACCGGTAAGTTGAGCGTTTCGGTGTTTCCCACCCTCTATCCAATGGCTGTCTGTCTGCACACAACCAAGATCAGCATCAGTCCACCGCTNNTTTTCTCGCTTCGGCACGCGCGGGCGGCTCGGGCGGTTCAGGCACTAAAGCAGTGACATGAACCAGCTCTCCACCCACTAGCGTGTTGCCATGTCAACTGCAGTGTCCATGCTGCTCGTCCAAGCTTCTATCACTCACCCATATCCTCCCCTTGACCTGACTCTCTCTTCCCGCACCGTTGCTTCCCCTCTTTGCTCAGACCAGTCCCACTGACAACCCCAGCTACCGTGAACCTTACCAACGTTACGTCGACGCACAGATTGACGTTCGGGACAAGGCCTACGACCACCAGTACCGTACCACCCACGGTCCTGCAACCCATCTCGGATCAGAGGTCGACGTTACTGAGCGTGACTATCGTCGCCGCACCAGCCCCGTAGCTCAGGGTTCCCACGTCCAGGATACATCTGGTTCTTTCGTTCAGGACTACCCCAACACTACCTCCGCTCGAGACTACTACTACACATCTCCTGCCCAAGAGGAAGTACGTGTCAAAGCTGAGACCCGTACTACCGTTGACCCTCCCAAGAAACGCAAGTTTGGCATGGGATATTACGACAACGAAGGCCAATATCATTCTTTCCGTGACGGACTCCACCGCGCTGCTGATCACATCCTTCACCCCATCCACGGACCTCGTCACCACCAGCATCACCATCACTCCAAGCCTGTTGAAACCATCGTTGAAGAACGTGAGACTGTAACCACCATGTCCGCCCCTCGTCCTTCCAGCCCTAGCAGTGCTGTCTCGATTCCCTGCCATCACATTCGCATCGGTGACCTGTTGTACCTGCAAGGTCGCCCTTGCCAGGTTATTCGTATCACCACCTCTTCCCAGACTGGTCAGCACCGCTACCTTGGTGTCGACCTCTTCACCAAGCAGCTGCAAGAGGAGTCTTCCTTCATCTCCAACCCTTCACCCTCGGTGGTAGTCCAGCAGATGTACGGACCCGTGTTCAAGCAGTACCGCGTCCTTGATATCAGCGATGACGGCCACGTTGTTGCCATGACCGAGACTGGCGATGTCAAGCAGGGTCTGCCTGTCATTGACCAGAGCAGCCTGTTGCAGCGTCTAACCGATGCTTTCGACCAGGGTCGTGGCAGCATCAGAGTTCTGGTGCTTAGTGACGAAGGTCGCGAGCTTGCTGTCGACTACAGAGTCGTGAACGGTAGCAGACTGTAAACCAGTACAGGTATGTTTACGTGCTTCATCCATCTTGTCAATATGTTACTTACTATTGAAAGAAATGAAACAAAACCCGACCACGACTGTCGTCCACTAGGACTCACAAGACTTTGGCCGACAGAGCTGGCACCATATAGGCTCTGAACCATGAACGACAGATGTAATGCCCTCCTTTGATAGTTTGAACGATAGCCAAGAATTGAACCAAGACTTTTGCATGATTGACAGCATCTACGACATGTACTGGGCACTGAATCTCCTACGACTTGGTCTGTTGATGCAATCACCAACCAAGATTGACTGGGATTATACCTTGTGATCAAATCCTAGTCTATCCTGTTCAATGTCCTTGCTCGGCTATGTTGGCGCAAGCCTAGAAACAAGGATTTTATATTGGAAGGAGTCTGTTGAAGGGTTGTTGAAGCGAGCGATGAGCACGCACACTTTGTGGGTTTGCAGTCGGTTTACTGAGGTCGACCCTTGTGACCATGGATCTGTGAAGATATACAGGGATGTGACAATCTGCCTGATATTCGGAAACCTGGTACAGCACTATAGAGCAGGGCAGACGCGTCACTTGGTACCTGCTTTTTGGACGATTGACACGAGTTAGACGATGCATGTATTTCAAGCCCTGTCGTGGCGACCCTGTCAGGACCAGTCAGGCATCCAAGGAAACAATGGCAGGTACAATCAGAAACACGTTGGTAGATGTCATTGGTGTTTGAGCAGCATGACACACGAGTCGAGCACACTGCCACAGAGGCGACGATCGAGTAAAAATAGCAAGGCTTCCAAGGCATCCTCGGAGCCAGTCACGTTTCTTGGCTCTACCTTTACTGTACAATGACACGCCGGAAGATCCGAGTTTTGTGGGGTTAGAGGAGCTCTGACGATGCTTTTGCAAACGGTCGTTGAGCGTCGTTGTTCGAAACAGGCTGTCATCTGCTTCGACCTGTTCTAGCTGCAGATTTTCTTGGTGCATGGACTTCGGTCAAGGCTCCGGATATATGAGTGGTCGCAACATACCTGCTGTGGCACTATCGGAGCAGTAGGATGAGGAAGGCTCGATAGAGTTAACGCAGTGTCGGAAGCAGAGTTGGAGCAGGAAACACCAAAGCTCAGCTAAGTTGGAGTTGTCCAGGAACCCCGTCGTCATTTCTGGTGACGTAAAAGCCGGTTGCGTGTTGTGGTTTGCCTGTCTTTGCACTTGTACGACCTCCAACTACTTTACGTGTCTGAATTGTCTCTCGTCTTTCTTCCTCCACCTTTGACATCTCAACTCATCCCGCACATACACATTTCAATCAATTCACATAGCATGCTTTCAGAGGGCGCAAGATTGGTCGGCGAGAGCGGCAAGAGCTATCTAGCAGTTAGCCCATTGGGCCAAAGCAACGTCTGGACCGCTGTCGAACAGAGCAACGATCCCAAGAAACCAGTCCAAGTGGTCGTTATCAAGGAACCCGGTGAAGTCGACACACAACCAGGATGGCCTAGCTTCCAGAACGAGATGGTCATGCACGAAGTCTTCAAGGACTCACCAGCCATCAGACAACAGATTGACAGAATCCCTCCTACCAGAGCCGGTGGTCCGCCAATGATTGTCTTGGAGATTACCGAAACCACCCTCTGGACCGCACGTACGAAAAGGCCCATGTCTCTCGCTGAGATCAAGACTGTCGCCAAAGATGTACTCATAGGTCTGCGCGACGTACATGCTGCTGGTCTAGTATATGCAGACCTCAAGCCCCAGAACATCATGGTCGACGGCTTCAATGCTGAATCGGAAGAGAAGGACGACCATCTAAAGGCGAAACTAGGTGACCTAGGTCTTGTCATGGAGCCCATGAACGGCAAGGTCCAGCCCATCACGTACCGCGCTCCCGAAGTCTACCTCAAAGGCGACATTACCTCTCGAGTCGACGTGTGGGGCTGGGCTCTCATCTACTGTCATTTGCTCGAAGCTCGCACCCGCTTCTCCAAGACTGGTCTCTACGACGACCTCGAAACCAAGAACGGAGGCATGGCTGAAAGGGAAGAAGCTGTCAAGAGCGCTTTGATGAACGACTACAAACTGCAGAATGATCCCGTCTATGGAAATGTCCCGCTGCCGGCAAACGACCCAAGCAAACACAAGNNGGGTGACCAGTGGGAACTTTTGCGCCAACGCGGTCTGGAAGATGGGGAAGTTGATTTCCTCAGATGGGTCCTGAAGGCCGACCCCTACCAGCGCCCGACTGTCACCCAAATCCTGGAGAGCGGATGGCTAGACAAGTCTGCAGAAGAAATAGCTGCAGGATTCACTCCTCCTGAGTTTGAGCACCTAGAGTACGATCCTAAGCGTGCCACACCAGACGAGGTCGCTGCACAAGAAAGGCAAGAGGCGACCAATAACAAGCAGGACCAAGGTCACTATTTCAGCCAGCCCCAGCGAGATACCAGACCCGTCATGACGGAGAAGCGTTTCCACAGCGCTGAAGACGAGGTACCTGTCAAGAAGATGTACGTGTCCGACGACTCATTGACGGCGCCAGTAGAGCAGCAGCAAGCAGGGTCTGCCTCTGCTGCCACTTCTACCCAGNNTCTGTTCAGACGAGCTCGTCACCCGTACGATCCTCACCCCTCAAGAACGTGGAAACGAGCTCAACATTACAGCCCACCCCATTCAAAGACGTGGGCTCCTACTTCCAGGAGACTGCCGCCCCAGTTACCTTTGGCAGCAATGGCTCTACCCAGAGCACTATGGCTGCTTCTCCGTTCAAGAGCGTGGACACGACTGAGTCCAAACCCATTCCTTCACCCTTTGCAAGCTCTACGGAGAGCAAGATGGCTTCAACCGAACCCATGGACATGAGTGCCATGAATGACGCCTCAGCACCTGTGCCATTCAAAAATGTCACAAGCAATCAACCCACCACACAAAGACCTCCTTTGAACACGAGCAACACTGGTACCTTCTTGTCGTACAGATAGACTGGCCTAGAGAGCATGGATTCTCTTTCTATCACGAATATTCATTTCAAGTAATCATAAAGCGCTGGTTAGAGTAGCTGATTGTTCAATTCATCAATGCATTACGTTTTAATACAAGAAGAGAAAACGTCAAACCAAATTATCTCCTTTGCTTGTCGTGGTGTCGTCAAATCCTAAGTCTCTTACTCTTCCGTGGTCTTGACCGAGTTCTTGACCCCTTCGACCACAGTCTCGCTGATGTTCTGCACCCTCTCGCCAACGTTGCCGCCGACATCCTGCAATCTCTCCCCAACATTGCTGCTGACGTTCTGCGCACTCTCACTGATGCTCTGCATCCTCTCGCCAACATTGCTGCCGACGTTCTGCATACTCTCGCCGACATTACCACTGCCGGATTCAACTGCGTTCTTGACGCCTTCGACAACAGTCTCGCCAACATTCTGCACGCGGTGGCCAGCTTCCTTGCCAGCCTCGACAGCACTTTCTGCCATATCCACTGCTACACCCTTGACCCTTTCGAACTCATTCTTTGCCTGTTCACTCACGGAACCAAGATCATGAGGCCACTGTTTTGTGACCTTGAGGACTGCGTAGTAAGCTGAAATGACGAGGACGTGGATGCGCTCTTTGAGGACCATGCTGAGTCCATGTCCGAGGAAGCCTTTGACGACTTCGGCATCCAGACCGCTGTAGAGGCCTTTGACACCTTCAGTATTGTAAATGTTGGTCAGCGAGCGGATGATGGCGAGTTGCTGGATCTGCTGCCAGAATACTAGTCGCAGGATTTTCTTGGATCTGGCGGTGATCTTTGAATCAGAGGATAGATCTGGTTTCTCTAAGTAGGAGGGTGATTTGCGTTGTGTATCTTCTGCCATGGGACGAGACACTTGGGCACGACTCTTGGCTAGACTGAAGGGGTATGTGACTGTTGATGCTGTGGCTTTTGACAAGGCGGCGATGAGGAACAGGGCCCTGGGTCCTGGTTTGTCGCGTTGCGAGCGAGGNNGAAGTAGAGTCCTCTTCAGGAGGTTCTGAAGTAGGAAGGTCAAGGCAGGGTTTAATGTTAGGATCAAACTCGCGCTATAACCCGCCCAGAAGCCTCCAAGACCGCGCTCGCTACGAATCTGGAGGAAAATGTCTTTGACGCTGAGCTTGGATGCCATGCCTGGCGGCACAGTGGAAGTCTTGTCCCTTGCAGCAATCAGAGCAGCAGTCTGCTTCCTGGTGACAATCTGTTGAATGGGAGTTGTGACAAATTTTGACAAAGCTCCAGCAGCTATGCCAACACCCAACTCATTCAAGACAGGCAGGGACTTTGTGCCCAATTTCTTCTGCTGTCGCTGGCGGAAAGCCGTATATGCGAGGAAAAACAGAAAGCTGTCAATGAGACTCTTTGCCGTATCTGCTGCACAGCCATTCCAAAAGGCCTGGAGTCCACCTTCATGTGTGTATATCTTCTGTGCTGCATCGGCGAGACTGGTGTATTCGGCGTCGTCTGCTTCTTTGGCGGCCGAGGGAGCCTCGCCAGGCGTCTTTAATTGTTGTTGGACCTGGAGACGAGTAATGACGAGATCGAGAGGATAAAGAATGAGATGCGACAAGGCGGTACCAGCAGAACCTGCTACAGCATGGCCTAGAGCAGGCAGACCTATGCCATCAGTGCTAGGGCCTCGTCGTTCATTGTGCTCCTGGATCTTGTGGTAGAGCTCGAAGGCATCCTCGACACCATAGTCAGCAGAGTAATTCAGACGGTCGATGGCGCTCATGAGGCGTGTTACCAGCTGACTGTTGTAGACGGACATGGTGGNTGTGATGTTTCTACTACAGGACGAGTCAGCAGGGCACCTCGCATTTCGACAAGACAGATGGGCTGAGGCACACCTTATATCACGTCTAGGCATATACCCTGCTCTGCGGGGCAACGATACTTGGGCNNTGTGGTATACTGCGGANNGATCATGCAGAAGAGACGGCACTTTCGTCTTTATTGCATCCTCTGGTCGAGTCTCGATGTGCAGGTGCAGCATCCCACCCCACCCCGATTTCCCCCAGATTTTCTGTCGTCATGCCGAGGCATGTGACAATGACACAATTTCAAGACCTCCCCATGTGCTAAAGACAGTCGTAGTGGATCTGTAGAAATGCACAATACTTTCCTGAAGAATATGGTCTCACACAGAGGAAACCCTGATGAAGGCGATCTCAATGGCCAGATCTATATTCGAACTGTAACTGTACATCTCGATGGCTTATAATAATCCTTATAGCTCGTGATGGAGAAGGGGTCAGTTGCAAGATTGTGACTGTCTTTAACATACAGTTAGGGAGGAGCAAGACATTACTTTTGATTGATATCCAGCTCTGAATCAATGCGCAACAACAAAGAATGTGTTGGTGACAAGGCAAACCACCATGACCAGCAGGCCGTAGATCGCCAGCCCAAGACTGAGCTTGCGCAGAATGCTGCCACTGTTCCATCCTGTCTGTACTTCTCCGTCCACCTCTGCCTCTTCGTCATCGTCCTCCTTGAGCAATCGTTGGTGATGCGGTGAATCTGGCGATGAAATCTTGTAGTAGAACAATCCTGGAAGAATGAAACTGATCGAAGTGCTTCCTGTGCTGCCAACGTATGCGAGCACCACTGACAGAGACGACACGGTCATGGCTACAATGTAGCTCAAAATGATGATGACTGTAGTGATGACTGCGAAACGTCTGTCGCTCATCTCACCGCGGCCTCTCTGCGAATTGTTTCCAGAGTTCAGGAGAGTCGAGCGCGATGGAGAGCCATTGACAGAGGCATACTCTGGCTGTTTGCGCGAAGCCGGACGCCATTTGAGTACTGCGTCAACTGAAGCACGGCAAGGATGAACTTGCAGAGGGTATGAGAACATGACAAGCACAACAATCGCTGCTTTGCCGATTGTCGATGCGACCGAAGGAATATCTGATATTGGTCAGAGCTGCCTTACAGCAGAAGATTATGCCAAACTTACNNATTGAGCGACAATGTTGCCAGCGACATTGTCACCAANAGTCAGGTAGCCAGTTATGGCAACGAGCAGATAGATACTGCCCGAGCTACCAATACTGGCCAAGACGACAGAGGTTGTCTTGAAAGGACTGTTGTCTTCGATCTCGTTGAGAATCGAGAACANTCTACTAGAGTAAGCTTCTGACCAGAGGACAGGAACAAGGGAGTTTCTTACGTTTTGATGGCAGGTATAGGCAAAGACGATGACAGGGAAACTGGCCAAGACAGGCACGATACCCTTGTCAGGCACGATGCTAATCTCGCCCTTGAGACCCATGTCATCGCCTTTTGCAAAGTGGTAGACTACCAAGACAACAAGGTAACCAATAGAGACCAGGGCAACAATACTGGTGTACTTGAGCGAATCAAGCCTGCGGAGGAAAGATAGAGGAATAACAACGANGCCTAGTCACATGTCAGAGAGAAACGGGTTAGAATCTTTACAGGCACATGCTCACATAAAGGCAGTAACCCAGAAATGTCTGTCCAGCAGATAGTCGGCAGCAGGAGTGTCTGTGAAGCCTCGAACTACGCCAGGCATGAGATCACCAATAATGATGAGATAACTAATGCCCACACCGAAACACTTGATAGCAATGGCGGCGTCGAAAATGACAGCAGCGTTAGGGTATGTGATTTGGCTCAGGGCGAAGAAACTCGCACTGCCACGATCCAGGTATCGCGCACATCTTGTTTGAAGGTAGAGACCGAAGCCAGAAGTAAGACCAGACCAGATGATGACGAGGATGCCGAGCAGGATGCCCATGTTGGACAGGGCCGAGGGCATGGCCAGCACGCCGGCACCGACAATGGTGTTGACCAGGTTGATGACACTACTGATCCAGCTGGCCTGGCCGTGGACTCCGTTCTCCTTGCGACGTGGACGGCGCGACATGCTGGCGGTGCTGTTGGGGCGAGACGACGAGTCGCTGGGCGGCGAACGAATGGAAGCGTAACTGGTCATTATGCGTGATATGCGACTGGAACTGAGGGTGCTGAGCCGGCGACAAAGACTTCAGCAGCGACAGACCATAGTAGAGTACAAGAGACAGAGTTTCTATCTTGGATGTCTCTCAATCGTTATCCTTCGGCCAAGCCACGCCGAACCGGCTCTCGGCTGCCGACTGTTGATCTTCCCTCTTCCCCATGACACCAAACACAAGACCAAGACGAGTTCACATCACACCATCATGTCATCCGTCGCGCACGACACGGCCTTTGACACGTTGGCCGCTCTGGAGCAGCGACTGCAACGCGTGCGTTTCTTGCTCTACGGTGCCTCTACCGCGACCGACCCGGACGCCAACGTCGAAACGCCTGCCGACACAACTGTAACTCAATCCATTGCTTCTCGACTACAAGCACTGCAGTCCGACTTCAACTCCCTNTTGTCCAACAACAAGCCCGCCCAGGAAATCGTTGCACTGCGTAACTCTCGCCCGCCGTCCGACCCGCTTCCTGCTCATCTGACCTCGAGATANGAATCACAACTTCAACATGACTCCCCTGACATGACCCAAGATGCTCTGGCTACCCTCGTTCTCTCCCATGCCCCTTCGTACCAGGCAACAGCTGCTCGCCTGACCTCTCTCCAAGATCTACCGCTTCCCGATTCTTCTGCCTCGGCCTCTTTGATTAACTTGCTTCCTCGTCTGCAACGTGCTACCAACAGACAAGAACATCAACAACAGTCCATTGCCCAACTGCGACATCAGAGCCTTGCCTTGCTCGCCAGATGGTACGATTCGGCCATCATCGGAATGGACGATTGCTGGACCGAATGGGAAGCCAGACTCATGCATCAGGAGAAGCTCGTCAGAAGAGCAGAGGCTGATAAAAGGCAAGACGACAACCCTCTGTGATATTCGCTATTCAAGAGCTGTCTACTCAGGACAATGACTTTGCCACCATCTCTTCGTATTGCTGCATGCCGCCATCCAGCTTCTGTAGCCTCGTCTTGAACAACCGATATACCACACCACATGCCGGTAGGCCGTTTTCGCTGTCATCGCTATCATCCTCCGGCTCATCTTCGTATCCTCCGGTCGAGTGTCTAAACGATTCGCCTTCGACGACGCATCGCATGAAAAAGCGGTCATGCGTAATGAGCAAGATGGCACCACGGTAACTACGAAGTCTGAGACCAAGTGCTTGTATGGTGTTCGGATCTAGGTGTGTAGTAACCTCGTCCAAGATGAGTAAATGCGGTGGGTCCCAAAGCACTTTCGCCAACGCCAGTCGCACTTNTTGTCCACCCGAGAGAAGGCTTATGGGCACCTCTGAGGTCACCTTGCCAGCCAAGCCCAGGGAAGACAGAAGACCGCGTGCTTCTTGTTCCGAGAGATTCCCATTTGTAAACTCCAACAGATGCGTCAGAGCAGTCAACCTGGGTTCAGCCGAGCCAATGTCTTGAAGCTCCTCAACCGCTTGCTGCGAATAAAGGCCGATTCTTGCTCGAGAGTGCCTTGTGATAATGCCTTTGCTTGGTGCACGGCTACTCGTACTCTCTTGTAAATCGGCGATCATCAGGGAGACTAAGGTAGACTTTCCTGAACCGTTCATGCCTACTATGCCTACTCGTTCTCCTGGATGAATGTTGATGTTGATGTCGCGCAACACGGGTGTCTGCGTTCTGCCAGTGCGGTAGTCAAAACCAACGCCCTCAAGCGAGATTAGAGCGCCCGGAAAGCGAAGATCAGACGGACAGACAGGAAACATCATGCGTGGTGGAGGATCAAACTCAGGGACTTCGATACTCTCCCGCAGACTGTCATGGAAACCCGGTCTGTCTCTACTAAGCTTGAACCTTGTGCCTTTGGCCGAAACCTCCATGCCCATGCGGTCGTTCAATTTTTTCTTTCTTGAGGACACTTGCTTGAGTTTCTTGTCGTCTCCTGAACGTTTTGCCATCTTAAGATTCTGGTCGATGGTAGCTTGGATGTGTTTCTTCTGCTTTTCCTGGGCGGCTTGCATCTTGCTGAGGTACTTGTACGACTGCATCCTCGCGCTTTCGTAGCTGGACACATTTCCCTTGAAGGTTTCCAAACTCTGGTTTCGCAAGATGAGAAGTTCATCTGCGACTCCGTCTGCAAAAGCTCGATCGTGTGTTACTGTGAGCAAGGTGACTGTCGAATCGAGTATTTGAATGTATCTTTCTAGCCAAACGATGGCTGGCAGATCGAGGAAGTTTGTCGGTTCGTCCAAGAGGAGAAGGTCAGTTGATTGGCAGAGTGCACACGCTAGACTGCAACGCGTTTTCCAGCCTCCTGATAGCTGGGATATGGGACTCTCTATCCGGCTTGCTGAGAAGCCTATTCCGAGTAGTACGGATCGTGCATTTGCTTCTGCGGATGAGGCATCCANTCTAGGTCGGGTCAGCATCTTAAGCTCGAATGGTAGCTGGAGAAGCTGTACCGCTACTAGAGATGCTTGCACATCGGCCAGCATGTCGATGGCATTCTGAGTTTCTTCCTTATTTGTGGTAGATTCTCCAGCCCCGGGTCCGCTCGAGATGTCTAGTTGACCAAGCCTAGANNTGCATAAGCTGTCAACGGGGTTCTCGTGGTAAACTAGTATCTCTTACCTCTTCGAAACAGCAGTCAACTCTTCCTCTACCTTCGTAAGCGCTTTCCTCGCTCCTAAACCTCTCACACCACTTGTTCTTGATGCCCGGTGTCTTGCTTCTGCGACGTCGCGTTCCAATCGCTCACATGTCAACTCGCGGTATACCTTCAACAAAGCATCAGGATCGTCGACGTTATCCATTGCCGTCGACAGCCTGCTTGCTTCATATTTTCGACGCTCGCGTTGTTTGTCGCTACGCAGAACATGCTCGAGAACAGTCTCGTCAGCTGAAAATGGCGTAGAAGAGCCATGTTCCTCATCCTCTTGCACTTGACCTAGAAGCAACACACGTATGGAGTCAGGTAGGACAAGTCCTTCAGCCATTGCTCTTAAAAGNNTGCTGATACACTACAATAAGCATATAAAATAGTCGAAAAATCGATGTTCATCCTCAGACAGGATCCGTTTGATATGCTTACTTGATTTGCCTACACCATTGCGACCCACCAAGGCGTAATGTCGACCAGGATGTAGCTGTAGTTGGGCATGACTCAAGATTTCGTGATTTCCGATCGTGATGCTGAGGTCTTTGACTGTAATNNCTTTGGAATATCTTAGTCCATCCTCCTATGCTGTATTTGCTGGCGATGTTACCTCGGTCGAAGCAGATTCCTGTTTCAGTGTATGGAAGCGGCTCTGTTGGGTAGTCACGTTTAGGACTGCTTTTCTAGCCACAACCATGATTTTGAGCTGGTACGAAGAATAGGTATGTTTGAGAGGCTGAGATAAAGTAATATTGCTGGTACTTGTATTCTGGAAACACTCAGAGGTGTTGTTTGGTTATGGTCATCTACGCGTGGTCACTTTATAAGTTACCGCAATAGGGTTCACTGCGGTGTCCCAAATAGTGGTCCTACTGACATACAATACCTGTCATGCTACAAAAATGACAAGCACGATGAAGGGTTTATGTGACGCTCTTCGATGTCAAGCTGTTGGAGAAGTGGCGATACTGATAAAGCAAACAATTCCGTGACAGAATACGCGATGGTCTATTTTTGTTGTTGAGATAGATACGTAGCAGACGATGGGGAAAGCTAAGGAGAATTAGTTATGCTGCATGCAGGGGCAACCGAGACTCGGAGAATTGCTGCTGACGACAACAGGCTGAGCAGCCAAGGAAGAAGTCTCGTCTTATGGCTTGCTGTATACATTGTCGAAAAGAGCATTCGGGATATATAATACAGCACCACTTTGTGCACTGGATCACTTGGCCGTCATTCGTTTGTGCTTGAGCGGACTGCGGAGAATTTCTCTTATCCACCCGTATCCGTCGTGTCTCGGCAGCGGGTCTGGAGAAGGGTCTATATTTAAAGATGACATCGTCCATAGATGGTCTTGATTGACAGTAGTTAGCCTACTTTAGGTCGTGTCAAAAGTGTTTAATCCCGGCTGATTGCCCATACTGCGTAAAAGGGAATTGTTCCACGAGGAGGCCGGCGACAGTAGTGCCTGCCACCATGCCATTTTCAAACTTGGCCGAGATGCATCGCTTGTGGGGGCGTGTCGGGCGACGTGTGTTTCATCAACAGGCTTGCGTCGACTCCTGAAACAAAACGCATCTTCGACCACTTCTGAGTCTTCATCTTCGCTTTGTCGCATCCATCACGACTTTGGTTGTCCTTTCTACGACAACCACATTCAAGTCCAAGAAGCGGTCGTCCTTCGTTTATCGTCTGCCCTTGTTGACTTTCTGACTGAACCCTTTTTTCTTGTTGTCCTACCGTTGACTCTCCTTTCCCCGCCCACCACCACCAGATACGCGCGCGAGCCGTTTCATTCTCGCCAACAAACGTCCTTCTCTTGCGCTGCCACGTCCTTTCCAAGACTTCTGATCCCTTTCACGAGCCTACTGCCCTCAGTCCCATACAAGCCTGCCACAGCCCGACACGTCGCCTGGAGCAATTGTCCACTGTCTCTTCCATCAACGCCGATCCACCTTCTTGCTTGCATCCAATTAAAGCGACATTCTTTGAACTCGCATCGCATCGCATCTTCACATGACCCACAGCTCGCTCGGCTCGCCATCTTTGCAGAAAATGGAAGCCAGTCGCCGCGACATGTACAGTAGTCGCAAACCAAGATTCAGCTGTGGTCAGATCATCGGCGACCCATTCGCCCTCGCGACTTCTTCAATAGCAATTGTACGTCGTCACTGAACTCTGGCCTCTGTTCTAGCGGACTCGTTTTACTGACATGACATANNGATCGCCTGGCTTATCGCCTTCGTAGCTTCCGTCATCTCCAAGATCCATGGCCAATATCCTAACTACTCGTGGTGGGCTCTTGTCTACATGTTCTTCTGCATCATTGGAGTTTTGGTCACAGTCGCTTCTGACTCTGTCTTTACCTACCATGTCGCTGTAAGCAAAACTCTACACCGTATGCTTGTAGCTTCTCTTGCTTACTCGATCCTANNGATTGTCGGCTTCCTGGCCGCTGGCCTCGTCTTCACAACATCCTCGGTAAACTCCTTGGTCTACTCGTCTGACGGAGCACACGAAGCAGCTGCCGCGGGCTTCATCCTTCTCTCCATGGTTGCTGTCCGTCTCAACTCACTCTCGCCTTATGAAAAGGGAAGTACTGACATGTTGGTCGCANNGATTGTCTGGATTTTCTACTACGGCTCCCAGCCCACTGCGTCTAGTCGCAACGTGATTGATTCCTTTGCCCTCCACAGAGACAGTCGCGTGCCATCGCGCATCTCTCGCCAGCCTCAACACAACAGCTACCGCCCCGAAACCTCGATCTCTCAGCAACCACAAATGTATACATCAGCCCAGCTCAGCGGCTTCGAGACATCCTCACCTGTCACTGGCTTCCCCGGAGGAGCTTTGGGAGCAATGGACAGCAACCGCGACAGTGGTGCTCGCTATGGACAGTCAAACACCTTGACCCCTCACGCCGCAACGACAGACCGACCCAACTCCACTGCCGCCGCTCCAGCAGAATATCCTTACCGTGCAAAGGCCATATACAGCTACGAGGCCAACCCCGACGATGCCAACGAAATCAGCTTCTCGAAACACGAAGTCTTGGAGATTAGCGACGTTAGCGGAAGATGGTGGCAGGCCAAGAAAGAGAACGGCGACACTGGTATCGCACCAAGCAACTACCTCATCTTGTTGTAGCGCTACAGTCACTCGTGTTTGGACATGGTTAGCCGAACAGCGTCTGCCTCTGCTCTTCTTCTGTTTTTCTGCGCATGATACCAGTGGTTTAGGCCGCAGTTTCCTTTTTGATGTTTTGATGTTGAATCTGTTTCTCTGGATTGGCAATGGCGTCTGGGAGGATGAGTGTTTTTTCTTGATTTTTCAGTTCAATGTGCCGGCACAGGCGCTCGAGTCTTGTTCATCTCTTTCTTGCGATGACGGCCCAATTGCAGATATGCTAGATTGTTTTTGGGGGGAGCTGAGAAAGGCCTCAGCATGAAAAAAATGATGGATGCGGCACCAAATTCAATACTCTTTTGTTTCAGTAAGATGTTTGTTCAACCAACATGGAAGCGAGGGACCAGGACAGCAAGCCGAAAAATGGTTCAATAAACGGCTTTCGCAGCATGGTTCAATAGAATGGATTCAGCCTCATGTCAATGACTCGGTCCGTCAGCTGGTGGCTTCTTTATCTCCTGCCCGAGTAAGAATCATATCAGAAAATCTGATCGAAGGTTTGATATTTGTGGAAGCGGCGTTGCCGACCAAGAATGTTCTGCGGCAGCTGAGTTTATGGCAGCATAAAGGTACCACCGCTGCACATGTAGGACGCGTGTTGGTAGAGTTTGACTTGCGGCGTCCGACGGATGCGTAAAAGACCGATGGACTTTGATGGAGTTGAACGTGACCAACGATCAGGCCGGCATGCCAGTGCACGCACAGAAAAGGCAGGCAGTCAAGCGCCGCGGGCAGAGCAGGAACCAAGCATGGGTCGGTGGTTCTTGATTTTGTGGATACATTTGAGAATAGAGTAGTCTCGCGTGCAGCCACGAGCGGCGGTTGGCGTGCCGTCAGTCGTCCCTCTGTCGACATGGCGGGCCGAAAGTTTGGGATCGGCGAGATTTGGTCGCAGATGGGCCTGGTGGAATCCTTTGGACTGGTGGGTTGAAGAGTGATTTCATCGTGCCCCGCGCACACAAGACTTGGTTGAGAGTCCTGTTCCTCTCTGATCGTCTCTTTTTCTCGTCCTCGCAGCTTTCACTCACATAGCCCGTTGTCCCTTGGTCCCAGCAGTGCTATGGCCGAGTGAATTATTCATATCCAGCTCTTGTGCATCTCACGTCACTTCACCGCTTCCCGCATCAATAAAGATATATCAGCCCGCTCAAGCCTAGACCCACCGTACGCTGTCCTCGATCTCGGACCTCGACTTCGACCATAACAAAGACTCGAACCTTGTCCACGCGCCCTGAACACCCCAGAATTTTGATCCTATAGGCCATGGCGACGGCAGCAATGCATCACATCATGCCCAAGCTGCACATCGGCAGCAGCAGAGACAAGGATGGTCGCAAGGAGAGCCGATCAGAGACTTCGGCCAACAACCGCGCCCGCGAAGAGGAAAAGAACAGACTTCTTGCCTGGGAAGCACAAAAGCAGCCCTTGGAGTACGATCAGATATTAGTCGAGCCCAACTCGAAGCCTGTTGGTCACAGCTCAAAGGTTCTACGGCGCGAAGATTTCGATCTTGTCAAAACACTCGGCACTGGTATGTGATAGCGAGCCCAGGTACAACCGACGAATCACGTTTGCTGACTACCAGTGGTCTCNACAGGCACATTTGCAAGAGTGTGGCTCGCGAACTTGGTCACTTCGAAGAAGGAAGATGCGGAGAAGGTCTTTGCCCTGAAGATATTGCGCAAGACTGATGGTGCGTGAAGCTGTGCTATCCATCGACGAGAGAATCTGACAAATCCTTCAGTCATTCGCTTGAAGCAAGTAGAACATGTTCGCAACGAGCGCAATGTTCTGGCTGCCGTGGCAGGACACCCATTCATTACAACAATGGTCGCCAGCTTCCAAGACCAAGATACCCTATACATGCTGGTAAGTGCTTTGCACATCCATAACGACTCTACCCAAACTGATTGTTCGCGTCTCTGGTACAGNTTGGATTATTGCCCTGGTGGTGAGNNGGTTTTTAGCTATTTGCGCCGCGCCCGCCGTTTCAACGAATCCACGTCACAGTTCTACGCCGCCGAAATCGTCCTTATTCTCGAATTCCTGCACGACCACCAAGGTGTCGCATACCGCGATCTCAAACCGGAGAACATCTTGATTGACGCAGAAGGACACCTCAAGCTTGTGGATTTCGGTTTTGCAAAGAAGGTTGGAAANCAGTGCGTAATCTCCCTTCTCCAGCGTTCAGGGTCATATGGTGAAACTGTCAAACGGTTTTTACCCTCGGCTCCTTTGGCCACGTTCTATTTAATGAACCAGTTTGGCTGACGTTGGGTGTCAACAGGAGAGACATACACGCTATGTGGCACGCCAGAGTATCTTGCGCCAGAAGTCATCCGAAACACTGGTACGTCATACTTCCCTAAAATTCAGTCTGATATACTGACTATCCGCAANGGACATGGCCTAGCTGTCGATTGGTGGGCATTGGGCATCCTAATCTACGAATTCCTGGTCGGTCAACCACCGTTCTGGGATCAAAACCCTATGAAAATCTATGAACAGTACGCAATTCTAACGAGCAACCCAAGACTCAACCTAGAAACTAACAAGCATCCAGANATCGTCGAAGGCAAACTTCGCTTCCCCTCTGCCATGTCAACGGATGCACGCGACCTGATCTCACAGCTATGCACTGTGGATGTGTCAAAACGTCTGGGCAATATCAAAGGTGGTGCTTCGGCCATCAAGGCGCACCCCTGGTTCAAGGACATTGACTGGGATGCCATGTACCACCGCAAGATGCAAGGTCCCATCGTACCACATCTACGAGGTCCCGCCGACACACGAAACTTCGACGAGTACGATCCAGAACCTCTTCACAAGGACTCATACACAAAAGAGCTGAAGGAGAAGTACGAAAGTGCGTTCAAAGACTTCTAAAGAGAAGTCTTACGCTCAGAGTGGATTGGGGTCAAAGCATGGCATTATGATCCATCATGAATCTCCTATCCGACTCCTCGCTTCTTACGACCCCCTGCTTCCCTTACACATTTTGTTCTTGGATAATTAACCTCTTGTTTCTACTTGCTTCCAAGGCGAAGAGACTGCCAAGATATGTACTCACGACCTACCTCTTATATTCTGTACAGTCGCGCGAAACGAACGATAAGAGCCGATACTGGCTAGATGCCTAGCTAACGAGTTCTCTATAATGTAACAATTCTGCCAAAAAGACGCAACCGCTGCAAACTCCCCGTGTGCTAAAGACAGTCACAATTTTGCTACTGGCTCCTCCATCCCGAGCTATGAGGGTCGTTATAAGCTATCGAAATTCACAGTTATGCTTCGAACATAAAGCATGGCCATCGAGATGCCTTCATCAAAATTCTCTCTGTGGAAGCCATATCTTTTGCGAAAACATCGTGCATTTCTGCAGCTACACTGACTGTCTTTAGTACATGGGGAGGAAATATTTTTTGGAGAGATGAATCGGAATTATGTAAACAGGGCGACGCGGAGTCAATTCCGCGTTTCCTGTTCTCCAAGTGTTGGACCCCGCATCGTTCTCATTTACCCCTCCTTGCAGCCGGTTATGTTCACTAAAGATTATATCTCGGCGCATATGAGTGGGTATGTAAACGCTCTCGATGTGATCGCGTACATTGTATCTTTTCGTTCTGTCCTTTCGATAAATCACGACGTTGACATCCGTCTCTATTGGCTCCCTTACCCGGAGGGTCCGTCTGTAGCCAATCTACGACGAACATTCAGCCATTGCATACAATTGACGGAAGCAGTCAGACATTTCAGAACACTTTGAAACAGACAGAACATCAAATCACGGACATACACAGTGCTCTTGTCCAGGCTACATATCCACTGTTACAAAAAGGGTTGATCATCTGGAACGAGCAAGAGGCAGAGATTTGGGCCTTGGAAGCGTCAAGTGATTCTCCACTATGCACCTCTTCCGACCTTTTCGACAATCGATAACGATCGCTGGGCCATTCGTCCGGTCTTCAAGGTGTACTGTGGCTATACGAGAATCCACTGCTGTTCGTGGGCTTTTGACCCAAGCAAGAGATCGTGGACCTAGTGATGTGAGTATGATCAGTATCTGATTCGAAGACACAGGTATCATGTTTGAAGAAGGCGCCATCTTGTTTGGAAGAGTATCGTCCATTCAATGTGTTAGCCACTTGCTGATTATCTGTGTCTCAGCCTCCATTGATCACACAGACTATCCCTGAATACTTCAGGGATGTCGTTAGCGAGCATGGTGACAGGCCTGCGTGAGTTTCCATATCTTCCCTTCCCTCTATATGTGAATAGCAGCTGAGTGTTGAGCGCAGAGTAATAGCTCGTAATCAGAACACAACATTGACCTACCAGGATCTGGACATCCAGAGTGATGCTCTTGCACGAGGGCTCGAGAGACAAGGAGTCCAGAAAGGCGATCGAGTTGCGGTGATGCTAGGGAATGGAGTTGAATACTGTGTCGTGAGATCATCTAAACGATTGTGTACTGCTGAGTCGACTTGTGTCTAATACTTGTCGCAGGCTACATATGCTCTATTTAAACTCGGCGCCATGCTCGTACGTTGCAAGATCCTGGGTTTTTAGCGTCAATACTGACCTTGCTAGGTGCCTCTGAATCCTGCATTCAATGCTTTACAGATCACCTCAGCTCTCACTCACCTTGCTGCATCACACCTCATCATATCCTCAGAGATCAACTTGCCCTACAAAGAACCAAAATCAGTTATGCCATTGCTCGCTCACCTGATCCCAGACATGAACAAGTCGAGAATGGAGTCGGAAGCCGTACCCAGCTTGAAACGAGTCATCGTGGTTGAAAACTCGATGGGCCGAGTGCAAAGTGGTGCATTTGGAGCGTTAAGCAGTTATGTGGATGTGTTTAGAGATGGCAAAGGTGAAAGGTTAGTGCCGAAGCAGTTGGACGCGGATGATGTGGTTAATATCCAGTTTACTTCTGGTACGACCAGTATGCCGTAAGTTTGGGGTCTCTGGCATCAGCTTTGACGGGTAAACACTGATAATGAGGGCTTAGANAAAGCGGCGTGCTTGACGCATCGATCTGTGCTCAATAACGGCAAGAGTATCGGCGACAGGATGTTGTTGACGCATAAGGACATTGTCTGTTGTCCGCCGCCGTTGTTTCAGTAAGTCTCCAGAAACCCTTCCCGCCTGTTAAGGACTGTCGAGATGCACAATAGTTACAATGAGAATGTGGTCTCACAGAGAACCCTATCAAGGGCTATCTCCATGGCCAGAGTCACATTTAGGTTGTAGCTGTGCATTTCGACAGCGTATCAAAACCCCTGTACTCGCTACGGAGGAGGGGTCAATTGCAAGACTGTGACAGTCTTTAGCATATGGAGAGGACGCAGTCCTCGGCTGACAACTGACATATGCTGACTGGAGTCTGAAGCNTGCTTCGGAGCCGTCTTAGGCTATATGGCTACCAGCACACATGGCAGCGCCATCGTGCTACCATCCGAGTCTTTTAACGCGGAGGCTACCCTCCGCGCAGTCCAAGAAAATGCATGCACAGCACTCTACGGCGTGCCGACCATGTTCATCAGCGAGCTAGAGTTGCTAGCCTCTGGTGCAGTGCCATACGAAGGCTTCTCCCAGCTGCGTACAGGCATTGCAGCAGGCAGTAGCATCCCTGCTGCTTTGATGAGCAAACTCCATAATGTTCTTGGACTAACACAGTTGACTATTTGCTATGGCATGACAGAAACCAGTCCGGTCAGTGCAATGACAACGACTGATGATCCGATGTGGGCTCGAATCGAAACCGTGGGACGACTTCTTCCACATGTGGAAGCCAAAGTTGTGGATGCAAATGGAAAGATCTTACCACCAAATGTACGCGGCGAGCTTGCTGTGGCTGGATATTTGGTTATGNNTAAGTGTGGTCAACTCTAAGAACGAGCTTCAGCAAACGGTGTACTGATAATGGCCACTCCAGGAAGGGGCTACTGGGACGATGAAGCTCGTACTAAGGAGGCCATCCGACCAGATGAGGATGGTACTCTGTGGATGTACACAGGCGACGAAGCAAGTATGGACGAAAACGGCTATGTGCGCATCACTGGACGCATCAAGGATCTGATCATTCGTGGCGGCGAGAACATTCATCCTCTGGAGATCGAGAACGCCATTCTCAAACTGCCGTCCGTGACGGATGTTTCTGTTGTCGGATTGCCAGATCAAAAATACGGCGAGGTGGTTGCAGCTTTCATCATGCCGAAGAACGCACATGCGAGCGAGAAAGAGAAAACCGAGATGGCGAGAGAAATCAAGCAGTGGGTCAAGGAGACATTGTCGAACCATCTGGTCCCAAAGTACATCTTTTGGTCCGAAGGATGGCCGAAGACGGCGAGTGGGAAGGTGAGCAATGAATCTGACGATACAACGTTCAAACAAAGCTAATCGCAGCCANNGATCCAAAAGTTCAAGCTGAGAGAGACAGGTATTGAGCTTGCTGCCAATGGATATGGTGTGTACAGTCAATGCTCAGAATTGTCGACCCTGAACAGATAAAATGAACAAAGTGATATACAACTCTTCCAAACCATCAAATGCTCAACAAACTTCCAATGTATACTGCTTTAGAGCAAGCCCCAAAGCAAAAACGCATCATAGTCGTGATGAACTGGCGATAGTCCAACGTTGTCGACATCTGAATACCTAGAACTTAGGTGTTTGACAGGGTGATGGGCGCGTTGGTCAGGTCCGATATGCTCCGAGGGCGGAGCCGAGAACTCCTCCGAGGATGGAGACCAAATTGTGGGGGACGATTGGGAATACGAGGCATGGACCCTCAGGCGTCCAGGCATGAATCCTATTCGGTGTTGACAGCGCGCTAGAACATACAACCAGGAAAAAACCTTGAGAGCAGGCAAGCAAAGATCGGACCGTCTTAAGCAGATTCAGCTTTCGCACAAAGACCCTGAGTCAGAAGTAATACAAACAGGAGAAGTTAGAAGGAAGCAAGCACCGACTTCGCAAAAGGGAAAAGCTTGCCTTTCGTCATTTGACATTTAGACGCGCGACGCCGCCGCACGTCTCCAAGTTCAAAGTTCACGCTCACTCTCATCTCTCGCTTTCGACACAAGAGCAGCCATCAATCATGGGTCTCTCAAAGTCGACGAGGATATGCATCCTCCTGGCGATTGACACCGTCTTNTTCCTTATCGAGCTCATCACTGGTAAGACTGCCTGGCGCCCGCATCGTGCGACCACCGAGATACTGACAAAGCACACAGGTTATGCCGTCCATTCGCTTGCCCTCGTGGCCGACTCCTTCCATATGGTCAGTCGCTAGCCTTTTCAGAAGCTGTAGCTCGAAGACTGACACCTGTGCCCANNGCTTAACGATGTCATCTCCCTACTCGTCGGTCTCTGGGCCGTCAAGGTCGCCAACCAGAAGACGACTTCCAAAATGTACACCTACGGCGTATGTACTCATACCTTTTGAACGAACCGATCATCCGCTCATACTCTCTCTCAGTGGCAACGTGCCGAAACACTAGGAGCCCTGGTCAACGGAGTATTCCTCGTCGCCCTATGCCTTTCCATCTTCNNCCTTGAAGCCATTCAACGTTTCGTCGAGCCGCAAGAAGTCAGCAACCCTAAGTTTGTGCTGATTGTAGGATGTCTCGGTCTTGCTTCGAATATCATCGGCCTTTTCCTCTTCCACGATCACGGCCATGGCGGCCACAGCCACGGCGGTCACTCCCATGGCCACGGCCACTCACACGGAGACACCATTAGCGACGCCGAAGAAGGCCATGCCGCCCAGAATGAAGATGCTGATGTCGCTGACGAGTCTGGAAACGTTGCCGATGTGCTGCCTCAGAGCAGAGTCGCAAACTGGCCCAAGACTAAGAAACCCACAGCAAGCGGCTCCGGAGCTAGCGAAGATGTCGAAGTCCCACAATCTGGCCACCGTCGTCAAAAGTCAAAGTCCAGCCGCTCTCGTTCCAGAGCTTACTCAGTCGAGGATGTGCCTGTCAACCCCTCGTCCTTCCGTCGTTCTATCATCGAGACTAGCAGACTCCAAGACATCGAATCTGGCGAAAACACCGAGGAATCTGCCGCAGAAGACGATAACGCCGATGAAACAACTCAGCAGCCGCTTCTCAATAAGAATGGATCCAACGGCTATGGTAGCATCCAGCAGTCAAAGCCCATCGACCACAAGCAGCACAAGCACAGACAGCCCAAGGAACAGTCCAGTGGTGGTGGCCATGGTCACTCTCATGCTGACCTCAACATGCGTGGTGTCTTCCTCCATGTCATGGGTGACGCTCTCGGAAACATTGGTGTCATTGCTTCTGCCCTTTTCATCTGGCTCACCGACTACAGCTGGCGCTTCTACACTGATCCGGGTATTTCCCTGATCATTACCTGCATTATTCTCGCTTCTGCCATCCCTCTTTGTCTTGCTGCCTCGCGTATCCTGCTCCAAGCTGTTCCCGCCGGTCTGAGCATCGATGATATCAAGGAAGACATTGAGGAGCTTCCTGGTATTGTTAGTGCCCATCACCTTCATGTATGGCAGTTGAGCGACACCAAGCTTGTCGCAAGTTTGCACGTTCAGGTCGACTTCGACTTCAAGGGCGAGGGTTCCGCCAGATACATGGAACTCGCTCGCGCCATTCGCGACTGCCTTCACGAGTATGGCATCCACTCTTCCACCATCCAACCTGAGTTCTGTCTTGACCCCGAACACGACCACTCTGCACCTCTTGCCGATGATAACCACTTTGCTGGTGTAGACGGAGCCTCTTCTCGTAAGACTTTGGACAGGCAAGCCAGCAATGCAAACAGCCTTCGCGCTGCGGCAGATGCATGCTTGCTTGACTGTGATGACGCATGCAATGGCAAGAGTTGTTGTGCTCCTGCCTCTGCCGAGCCCACAACACAAAATGCGCATGACCACGATCATGACCATGATGACCATGGTCACGGCCACAGCCATTAGAAATGGCCACAAGGTTTTTCGCTTTCTGTTCACAAGTCCTTTTCTAGACTCTTTTCTTCTCCTAAAAACCCAGCGTTGGTGCCCGAAGATGAGACCGATCGTTCTGTTGGAAACGTTTAAAGTTCTCGTTGAACATGGTCGGGATATATCACTTTAGCATGGTCGTTTTGTACATCATTACTCTATTTCACAACTTCTTGTAATTCATACACGACCTTCCCTCGAACGCCCGAGTTGGGGACGTTTCAGACCTCTCTTTGTGTCATTCTTATGTCTGACTCGGAGTCACTTCACTTCACTTCACCTTCACTTTGCCCTCATAGACTCGTTTCGCATTTTATTTGGTAAACCTTAGCAGCATCGCTCACTATCGTTGTGTCCCACCCTGCCTCTTCACCGCATCTTCCCACTACCTCGAGCACCGATGCACTCAGACACCATGCCAGTCGGCGGCAGTGCCACTCGCGTTACCAGCAATGATGATATTATAGACATCCCTGCGCAGGATCCAACCTCAGAGATTCAGTGTCCTAGTGCTGGCAGCCCACCTAACAAACACGGCCGCCTTTGTTTCGCGCCCTCTGAGCAGGCCTACAACCATGGATCGGACCGTGTGAGACCCCTTCGCACCATGCCGTTCGACTCGGAAACCTGGATCGGCAACTTTGAAGACCTCGGCAGCCGTGTATGGCCACATCCCAGCTTCAAGGAGTTGCTCGCACGCTCTCTCACTGGCGACTCGAAGTTCCCACTCCCTGATACAATAGCTAAGGAGAACCGATCTCTAAGCTTGCGTCTGCGGTGCTGTGGCACTAGCTGTTGCCCAACCACGCAGAGCCCGTTTGTAGAGTACGAGAGACCTTCTCGTCTTGAAACGCTTGCATTTGAGCGCACGCAAAACGTGAGAAAATCTGCTGTACCAAACTTAAACTTATGACATGCTGACATGGATTTCAAGGTCATCATCTATCCGTTCTACGTGCGTCTGTCCAAACGTACCGGATTGCAGAAACTTTTCGCTATTGTCAAACGTCAGAATGATGGCGAGTACAAATTTTGGAAGGCTGACGGCACTTATCACGAGTCCTACGGTCTTGCTAAGGGGAGTGTTTCTATCTTCCAGAGTCCCGAGTCTATTCAAAGCACGAACAAAGGCAGTCTGAGCTCTTCGAAGAGACGATTGACAAGCACACCCACCAAACGTGGTAGTCCAGCAGCACAAGTATTCGATGATCTCGACGATACACCATTGCGCATTATTCAAAAGAAACGCAATCTCCAGAAAATGAAAACACAGTTCGTGAATGGTCTGGACGGAGGCCCCTTCATAGACTCTCCCGATCCTCCATCCAAGAGACGGGCCACTGCAGACTCATTTCTTACACAAGCCAGAAGAAGTAGCAAGACCAAGACCTCATATAAAGCTACCTTACCTGCCTCAACCGCGTCAAAGAACCCTAGAGTTAGAGGTCGCTCAAGAACGCCTGCCGAGCATACTGACGTACAGAGACCCACCCGCTCCCTGCTGCAGATCAACGAAGTATGCATGCTTGCCTATCACCTCACTGGACAGGATCTCAAACTGATGTACCGAACCAACGTCTTCACTATTGAATCTGGCGAAGGATCCCTGATCGACCCTAGGACTGGCTGTGCATTCGAGATTGGTGAGCAGCATGCTTTGTATGTGCTGTCCAGCAGTGAGAAGTCCCTCAAGGTCATCTTGAGTAAGGACAACACCTGGAGTGTTAGCGAGTCAATCGACGAGATGACTGGAGGTATCATTCTGCTCGAGTTTGGCGGTGTCAGTGCCCGTGACGAATTCATAGCTGGTATCAAGCACTTGATTGGGATGACTGTAGGACATATCGGCTGTGCAGATGAGTAAGGCGGCCCTTTCAACTTGTTCGAATCATTACTGACGGTTTCAGTCTGGTCATTGAGCCTATGTACAGCAAGCTCCTCAAGCAGCTTGGCGAGCGTCGGATTGCCATGTTTGATGCTCAGAAGGACAACGACACTACAGTTCACGAGTCAACAGAGCGCATCCAGTCATTCCCTGCAGGAAACAGCTCTGAGATTGATGCAGGAAGAGCTGTGTCATGCCCTACAGCATTGACTGAGACCCCTTCTTGTCATGCTCCAACCGTCTCTGTAGCGTCGAAGTCTGCCACACCCTCAGTAGTCCCAATGTCCCCGAAGCCGCCTCAGCCCAGCCTCCCTCAAGTCACCATCGCCAACTCAACCGACTCGTCTTCTAGCCGGAACCAGGAGACAACAGACACCGCCCAGGTTGGACCCGAAGTCCCGACCAGCGAAACGCTAATGAAGAAAGAGCTGTTGAATTTGTTGCGCGAGGTCTATGTCAAGTATCCGAGCGCTGAAGACGACGATCTTGTCGAGGAGATGGCGCTTTCTTTGAAGGTTCCGCTCCTCGCTGGTGATAAAGAACGTGTGAAGGAGCTTAAGAGGGACTTGAAGGTGTATCTGATCGCCCACCATGGTCAGTCCTTGAAGATGTCGCAGTACTTGGAAGAGGTATGTGGAGGAATCTCAAGTCAAGCGAACTAGCGCCTCGTATTATGGTGGTTAGAGAGACCGATCGTAGGCGATGAACAGTTATAAGGTCGCTTTGGAAGAGGATGGATGAGAAAAAGCCGTGGTAGGTACCTATGCAGTAATCCTATCTGTAAGTCGACTTGTTTACCTCAAGTCTAAAGGGCAATTCGACCGACCGGAATTTTCTACACGGAATCCGTGCGTCTTTGTGGTGCAACATTCGAACTGCAACTTCCCGTTGTTTCTTTGTTTGCTCCACTCGTGTTCTTCCCACCTTCCGTACGCGAGACCACAACACAATCACAAAAAAATAAACACATTCACCCTCAAAGACCGTCAGACCAGTCTTGGTGATGGTTTCCTGATACCTCTCTTGCTTTCGACAGTTTACTGAACTGTTAAATATCAGATCGGGCACAAGTTCTCTCCCATCTCACCGCACACGCAATGCCTCGAATCGTCTGGCAATGTTTCGCGCCTGTGAGCGACCCTGGAAATCATGGCTCGGACCCCTCCAAGTGGTCTCTTCAGGTTGCTCCTTTCCAGTCTGAGAACAATTCGATCTGGATTGGTCATCACAATCAGCCATCGAGAAAGTATCTCGGCGTCTTCCCAAGCTTTGATGAGGTTATCGATCGCTGTCGACGCAACGCTATCGCAGGCGGTCCAAACACCTCATTCCCTCGCTTCACCACGAGAGTTTTCAGCACTAAGCACACCGACGTAGCCAGTCCCGAGAGCTACTCGAGACATGTCTGTTGTGCTGCTTGTCAGGACAGCGGCATGGAGAGAATGACTCTCCAATTTCTTCCTGTGAAGACGGGACTTTCAACTGGCAGGACCAAGAACAAGACAGTCTATCTAATCATGTACAAATTCTGGCTCAGGGGTGAACAGATGGTCGCGCTTCTGCAACATGTAGCTAGCGGCAAACATTGCTTTCAAAAGACAGACGGTACTCTGTCCAAAGTACTTGCTTTGGACTCGAAACACGGATGCAGAGACCACTCACAATCGCTCAGTCCTTCTGAAAGTGAGGACGATTCAGACTCATCCAGCTTAACTGAGTTCGATTGTGCCGAGGACGAAACTGCAACGGATGTGAGGNNCTATCATTCAAACTTCGTGGCTCATGATCACTGACCTGTATGACAGGCTAATATATCGCCGCATCCATCTCTACCATCGAACCAATGGCATCAGCTTCAAGAACCAATGACCAACATTGTTGCCCCATCTCCACAGACCCCACCCATGCCGCAAGAGCTGCCAGCCCAACCTCGTGTTCGTGGCCGTGTTGTCATCGACATGACAGACGATGACGAGCCATCACCTATCAAGCAAGAAACATCGGACCATTCCCAGCACATGACGGCTCCCATGCTTTACGGAACTCCGTCAGCCACACCAGCATCTACCCCGTCAATCGCGCCTAGCGAAGACCTGTCTTTCTCTGATCGTTTCGGACCAGACCCCCTTGCCGAAGAGTTCGGCCGAATCACCACTCAAATCGTCCAAGAATACTCCATGAGAGTGTTCGCGCTGCCAGAGGTCATTGGTCTGATCCAGAGGATGAAGCAAGCCGTCAAGGCAGGCGATAGACCTGCACTTTGTCGCGCTTATGGGGCTCTTCAAGCATTCTTGATCACGGTCGAGTAGATGACGTTCTCGATGAGGAAAGCACAGTTTACTCCTTCGATACCGGGTCCCATTCGTGATGCCTCTCTGGCTCTACAATCTGCCAAGTAAGGGATATCGATTCTTGGCTCACAGAAAATGCTACGAAAAGCCTATAAGTTCAGCATGGAGTCGCAACACGAAAATCAGAGTGTGAGGTTTTGTACTTAGCTAAAGTCACAATGCAAGTATGTTATTCGACAAGCAATGTTTAATACCATGTCTATGTGTACCATAGCGATGTTTCTATGTGCCTAGCATGAATGAAAAAATATCGGCTGGTAAGAGAGACGTTATCCAGAGAAGGTGCGTCCGCTGTTGTCATGAGAAAACGTTCTGTGAGGTTGCCCTTTCCTTGTTCCATCGTGCTTCCTTACTGTGTTTTCCTTGCTTATCGCTTCTCCACTTCTCTCATCCTTGTCATTTCTTTCTCATCTCTCATCATTTATCTCTCGTTATACCTCCTTTCCTCCTTGCCCGTAGAGGCGAGAATACGGCGTGTCATCGCTCAGTCATCGCCTTGATCCCGACCGTCGTCACTCGGTTATCTCGTCTGTCCCGATCTCGATTGCAAAGCCGTTCATCCCATCGAAGCCTGTTACCACACCGATCTGCCACTCCCTTTAAATAAACCATCGACTTGTCAATACCAAGCTCGTCAACCATCCCACGTCATCGATGAAACCAAATACCAACCACCATCAATGAGAAACCATGCAAGAGATGGCAAGAGAGATCCGAAGAACCAAGCAACTGCAGAGCAACCACAACGAACAAGCATTTAAGAAGGGCCCAACCTGGGCTATGGAGAGGGCTACATCTCTGCCTCTCGACAGCAGCGAAGAACGTCATACGAGGTCATATCCAAACAGTTTGTCAGTGTCTGTAATCTGAGGAGACCAGCGCCTTCCCGTACCGCGGATCCAGTGAAGAATCAGACCTCCTGTACACTTTGCCATAGACCTCGAAGTTATCTTCAAGCTCCCTCAGAGCGAGATGGCCACGCACGATGCCTCAGTCCTTTCTTTGTGTGAAGTTTAGTGGAAGCTCTGTGTTGCTTGGTCTTCGTTCTTTCGTGGGATGGTGTAAGTGTCCCATTATACCTCGTCTGATCTCATCGTCATTCATGGATGACATATGGAGTCCTCGAGCTCTGGAGATGGCACGAACTAACTGGACCAATCATGAGCAGAACTCCTGGAAGCACACTCTCAGACTTGGTTCAATCATGGTTGAGAGAACAAATCTTCTGGAACTCGAATAGGATTGACAGTGATCCTTTAGTCGCCGCTGATGATTCAAGGGACGCCCCATCGCTGCTTTTGCTTTCTACCCTTTGGTCCGCTCGATATATCGACCAGTCCTCGCTTTGTGACCAACTTATCAGTTGTGAGCGGAAGCAATACCCCACAAAGTGCACATTGAGAAGACAAAAGGACGACCATAATTCATGTCATTATGCCTATGCTCTCATGTGTAGCAATGCTCCACCACCAAGAGCGAGGAGTACGCATATAAGCGTGGTCATTGGTGCTTTCAATCCCTTCGCTGCTGCATTGGCGATCAATATAGTGCCACACGTGCCTGCCTCAGTTGTAGGCAGGTTGCCGCCATGCGCATATAGTGTGGAGCAATACTGCCCCTGCCCTTCTCCAACACCAACGCCATTATACACAGTCGTGACTTGCTGTGTGTTCTGGCCTGCTGCATATACCAAAGTCGTTGTCGGATGCGTTTCTGTAACGTAGACGGTTGAAGCTTGCGGTTGCTGCCATGTAGTAGGCTGTTGCGGGTGCCAGGTTCCTGCTCCTCCCCCAGCGACGACAGGGTTGCAAGTTTGGCCCCAGGGACAGCAGCCGATTGTGTTATCAGAGGCGCGGGCGCAGTAGGTGCTCGGTGTGCAACAGCTGTTACGCATTTTAGTTTAGCAGATGGCAGTGCTGCTAGTTCTTAGGCACGGGCTCACTANGTTAGATTCTTGGATCGCGTTGCAGTTTATAGGTGCCCAGGAGGGACATTGGGCGCTTGTTGCAGCAGTGAGGTCTTGGTTCGAAGAAATGCAGTAAGCATTTGTCCAGCCTCCGCCTTGGTTTCTTGCTTCTAGGTCTTGCGGTTCTGGTTGTTGCGACGCGGTGAGACGAAAAGCGTATGTGAGCAGCAAAGTCGCGCAGAGTCGAGCTATCGGAAACATTATGTACGATATGTGGGCGATCGAAAGTGTTTTATAGCGAGTGACTAACTATATCATGGCGGAAAGGGCAGCAGAGAGAAAAGGACGAAAACAGAAAGATGGGCGAGCTGAAAGGTGTTTGTACTTGGCCTTGGTAAGGCGGGTTGCCTGGTGATTACTAGCAGACATCATCGCGGTTCGCCATGATCCTTGTGATGCAGCCTTGCCGGCCATGCATGCATGCATGCAACAATCAAGGATGAACAGAAGTCCGGCGCGTTATGCGCATCGATAGAGATATTCCGTGGTTTACCCGTGTGCCTCGGCTCGATTTGAGTGACTGGTACCGAAGATTAGTTCGGTAGACATGCAACTACCCTTGAACATCACCTTGTCAACAAGCCTCCAAAGCATTCATCTGCAAGCAGACCTGCACAGGACGAGCAACTCGAATTTTAAGCCGGTCATGGCGAATATAGCGGAGTTGAAGAAGCGACGGCTGCGAGATTATGGGTTCCATCTCGAATACCGGACCCGATGGTAGGTCATCTAAGAGTGGCTTGTATAATGCAATAATACCTGACCGCGCGTTCATGTAGGNAGCGACAATGACATGTACGACCACATGAACAACAGCGTGTATTACTTCCTGTATGTGTTTCTTACTCGCCAAGCCGGACCTTGACGAAAGCTACTCACACCTTTTCTTGTACAGNNTTTCGACAGCATTGTCAACACATACCTCATGACGCATTGCAAGTTAGATCCGCCAACGTCACCTCTAATCGGACTGGTGGTACACTCGCATTGCGATTACCTAGCTCCGGTGGGCTTTCCTGCGCTGGTTGATCTCGGGCTCCGAGTCAAGAAGCTAGGGAAGAGCAGTGTTACCTACGAAATTGGTGTTTTCAAACGAGGTGTTGAGGAAGTGAAGGCTGTTGGCGAATTTGTGCATGTATTTGTGGATCGGGAAAGCAGGAGGCCAAGGTCTGAGGGCATGACTGCAACCATGAAAGAGCAGTTGGGGTCGTTAGTAGATAACAAGGCCAAGTTATGAACGACTCTCGAGTAAAGCAAGCAGTCAAACAACAGCCATAAAAAGTCACAATGGTGAACGAGTTAGGAGAGTGTCCATTGAGAGCCAGGCATTCTTGGGGCTCTCAGTGGACAGATGCTGCAGATGAAAGACTTTCTGCCTTTTTACAGCACGTAAGCAGCTCATGTTCGGAGTGGAGAGACGTCACCTATGTGTATCAAAATTGGGTATCATTACTTTTTGCTTTCTCCAGCTTCTTCACGCCAGCTAATTAGCACCATTCGATTGCAGAGTGTCATCCTGTCAAGTACGTACATCCATTGAGAGAGTGATTATCAAGCTTCGTCTTCGTCCTCGGCTTCCTGCTTGCGAATTTGTTCCTCGAGACGCCGTTTCTCAGCATTCTTCAGCCTTATCATAGTGAGCTCTTCCAGACTAGGGCTCGATACGGCGGAAGGAGCGACTGGTGAATTCTTGGCGCTACTGAAGGACGCAAAGGAAGGAACCTTGCGCAGGCCACCTCCTGCTTGTTTGAGCGGGGTGATTGGTGAGTTCATACCAGGTATTTCATGTATAGGTCGCGATGCTGACTTTGGTTCTGTGGCTGGTGAGGCGGACACTGGTGTTGATGGACGTTGGAGAAAATCGGGCTCCTTGTTTGATGCCCAGTAGACTGAGTCGAGCAGTTTGAAGTCTGGTTCTAACTGACGTTNTTTGAAGTCTGAGACTGCGGCATGGGCTCCCACTACGGATTCGTAGACTATAAGAGCACTTGAGATTAGGCTCTTTGACTTGCTTTCCCCCAGGCGCTTCTTTTTGGGTTTGAGTATGACCACGTCCTGCAGTTTGCCAAATGAGGTGAACATGGATGTCAAGCGGTCCTTGTTGATGTCCTCGTTTTCGTGTGACCAGACGACCTTGATGGAGCGGTCAATATCAGCGACGCCTTGAGATGGAGCAGATTGTGGAGATGTGTATCCATTCCTTTCGCGATCGAGGCGTTCCTCCTCTTCTAGCCGCTCGCGGTTCAGCTGCTCTTGCCTTTCCAAGCGTCGTCTCTTGCCATCAGCAGCCAGACGTTGAATTTCGCGCTGCAGCTTGTCGCCTTCTTCCTCTTCCTGATGTTTTCTCTTCAGACTAGCGTTCTCGCGATTTTCGAGGTCCTCTTTCATCTGACGACGCCTTCCCTCAAAGGCTTGGTGGCGTTCCTCCCTCTCTTGTTTGGCGCGACGAGCATTGTCATATATAGCTTTGTATTCGGGACTCGATAGGACGTCGTTTGCGATCTGTAGCAGGTGGAACTTTTCGACGATGTCGGGTTTGTCGGCATNTTTGTCGGGGTGGTATTTCAGAGCTGTACGACGGTAGGCACGTCGAATATCCGATTCGCTGGAATTCTCGAATGTAATTCCTAACAGATCATAGTAGTCGACCGCAGTGGACTTCGCGGCCTCAACCAAGTCGTCGTCGCCAGGCATGGTTGTTGTGTGTGGACGTAAAGGTTGAAGAGAGTTGATGCGACAGATTTACGAGTGTTCAGCCTCCCCAGGTGCCAAAGTCAGTCATATGGAAGCTGTCAAAATGCACGAGTCCTTCTGAGAACAGAGTAATATCCACTGAGAGTCGTGATTTAATGAGATCTCTTTGGACTCAGTCTTAACTTGGAAGCATTTGTGTATTTTTACAGCATAAAATATCACTGTTTGTCGCTGGGAGGGACTTGGGAGTGGTGCACAGGCCAGGTGGGAAGGAGCTCGCAGTGACGCACGTCGCGACAGCAAGCGCGGGCATCCAAAGAGAGACCGACAGGTCGTCCGTCTACCCTCACACGCGCCATCTCCTAACACGACAAGTATTCATCCACACCCTCACTTATCCTCAAACCAGAAGCCTCTTTAGATCGGATCGAGGCTCGGTCATTCCTGTACTGCACGGGAACCACACGCCTTCACCTAGGCCACCTCCAGAGCCCGGACATGCTGCGCGACACTGGTCAGAATGCAAGAATCAAAAATGCAGCTAGTCGATTGGCTAGATGACTTGTGTGTCCGCTTCATCATCAACCTTCCCCAAGAAGAGCTTGAAAGCGTCGCCCGAATCTGTTTCCAGGTCGAAGAAGCCCAGTGGTTCTATGAGGATTTCATCCGTCCCACTGACCCCTCGCTACCCTCGCTCAACCTAAGGGACTTTTGTCTTCGTATCTTCCAACACTGTCCCCTTCTGTCTACCTTCTCCGACTCGCAACACACCGCCGCCTACCAAGAGTTTCTCGCCTACAAAACCCGCGTCCCTGTCAGAGGCGCCATCCTGCTCAACCATGACATGGATCAAGTAGTCCTCGTCAAGGGCTGGAANAAGAGTGCAACATGGAGTTTTCCTCGTGGAAAGATCAACAAGGACGAACCAGATCTTGACTGTGCCATCCGTGAAGTCTGGGAAGAGACGGGCTATGACATTGCTGCCGCTGGCCTGGCCAATGACGACCAGAAATACATCGACGTGACTATGCGTGAACAGCATTTGCGAATGTTTGTCTTCCGCGGTGTCCCTCTCGAAACTCACTTTGAACCAAAGACCCGCAAGGAGATTAGCGTTCGTCTATCCAAGCCACTCTCGCAGCCCGTGATAGTATGCTAACTAGCTGTANNGAAAATTGCTTGGTATCGCTTGACCGATCTACCCTCATATACCAACAAGAGACAGAACAACCGTGTCATCTCGCACCACCAAGACTCCAACGCTGACCAGGGCACCGTGAGTGCCAACAAACTGTACATGGTCGCTCCTTTCTTGCCACCTTTGAAGAAGTGGATCAACCAGCANAAGAAGCGTGATGCTGCTCGCCAAGCACAGGTCGAATCTGTTGTCGAGGAAGCTGTGGATGTTCCATCGGATTCACCGGCTGTAGAAGCCCCTGCTGCGAATGCCGCCTTTGAGCTCAAACGTTTGTTGAGCGTCAATGTGCCAGGTCAGGATTCACCCAACACAGCGAACGGCGAGGGCAACCAGGCGAACGCACTACTTGCCATGCTTCGTGGAAATCCTTCTGCTGGTGGACTGGCTCCTCCAGTAAACAACGATCTGCCTCCAGTCACCCCTCTGGATCAAGTCACCAGTACTCCTCCAGAGCCCGGTACTCCACACTATCAGCATCACCAGCCTTCACCTGCTGTCAGACAACAACCTCCTCCCGGCTTCCCCTTCCCTTCACCTGCTCACCAGCGCAATGTGTCTCTCCATCCGCCAGGCTTCTTTGGTCAAAATGCTCACGAGAACCTGCAACGCGTCGTGCCGGAAATGTCACACATGTCGCAGCAGCCTCCGCATGCTGTTCATCATATACATCCTCAAGGTCCACATCCTTCGATGCAACAGCAGCTGTTCCCTGGTGGCCATCCTGCGCCAATTGCACACGGTCCAATCGCTCCATCAGCATCTCAGTTACCGGCTCCGAGACTTAATAACCATGCTATGAATTTGCTGAGTGCTTTCAAGGCACCTTCGCAATCGCCCATCAGTCACAACGCCATGCCGTATGGCAACGGGTCTATGTCTTTCCCTAGTCCCAGCCAGAATCACATGCAAGCCCACCAGCAGCAGCAGCAAGGCACAGGAGACGCACAGCACGCTCGTAGACGATCTGAACACCAGAATTCTTTGTTGGGTCTTTTCAAGTCTCCCAATACTCCTAGAGCTGCTCCGGTTTCTCAACCTCCTCAAATGACCCTTCCATTCCATACTGCCCAGAATCCTGCCTCGACGACGCCTACAACATCGGCGGCTACTGCAACGGCACCAACTCCTCAACAAAGAAACGCAAGTCTGGCCATGTTGACAAGAACATTACCAAAGGCTAAACCGACCCCACCTCCTGCACAGACCAAGACAGACATGTTCCCAGCGAAGCAAGTTGTACAAGAAGTCCAAGCAGCACAGGACAGAGCTGCGCCAGAGGCTTCGAGTAAAAACTTTGCTCCTGATGCTCCACGTGCTCCAATGTCGATACTACCAAGACCTGGCTCGGCAGCCAATAGAGGTTCACCTGCGCCTCCATCTTCGGAGTCGATTCAAACTCCGCACAAACTGCGACAAGGTAACAAGAATGAATCGCCGGGCAATTTCACCATTCTACAAAGGCCTTCGCCCCGAGCTGATCAAAACGGATCACCCGAGATGCCTCAGGTGAGGCAACCGCCGCCTCCTAAGCAGCCCACGCCAAAGCAAGCAGCACTGAAGCAGTCTGTACCAAGAAAAGCACAAGAGGCACCAAAACAGTTCCAACCACAGATTCTGCAAAGACCAAAGGCGGAGATGTCAGGATCAAGTCCGGGCGCGGAGCAGCCCATGCAAAATAGTGGAGAGCAACGTAATGCGCTCCTCGCCTTGTTTGCAAAGCAGAATCCTGGGCTTTCTCAGGCTGAGAGTAGATCTGGATCAGCCATGTCAAACAACTCAGGGGCGCCTCTACCATCAGATTCCTCACTTTTCAGGTCACGGCTGGCTAGCGCTTCTTCGGTGGTGAGCAACGGNGGAGAGAATGATGGACTTAAGTCGCCATCTACACCAGTGGAAGCTAAAGGATTTCTCCTTGACTATCTTAATGGCGTAGTGAAGAGCGAGAAGAACAAGGGTCCCAAGAGAGGCCCTGTTTGATTACAGACTATATGGTGGGACGGAGCAGACATCAATTGGTCTAAACCATAGGACACAATATAAAACACGACATTCATTTGAGTCAGATTCTTGACGAACTTTACCTTGTGTTGTTCCCGAGCGCTAGACATGTATATTTATAGTGTGAATGGATGCTGGGATTGCCATGAGCGAAGGTTGCTGTTGTCAAAACCCTCGGCCAAAAAAAGCCCTCGGATGATGTCAGCGAAATTCATCTTCAGCACTCCCAAAGCTCCTACTCGACATGTTATCGATCGCCTTAGTATCTAGCACAACAAGGTCGCGACTCCAAGCATGGCTACCGCAAATCCCAGACAGCCATTTGTCTGTCTCCGTTGTCTNCCCAAGACCAAACGCGCATACTCGACGGCGACGACACCACTCCCACCCACGCCTCCACCCTCTGGTGCAGCAAAACTGTCCACCCGCCGCTTGATTTCCCTCCACGGTCCCGATGCGCCCAAGTTCCTCCAAGGCATTTTGACAAACAATGTTAACCCTACTTCGCATTCACCATTCTTCGCCGCTTTCCTTACCGCCCAAGGAAAAGTGCTGCACGATGTATTCGTGTATCCGACTCTGGGTTCAAACTTCCACGCCGAGCACAACAGGACCGACGATCCTGGGTATCTGGTCGAAGTCGATGAGCAACAAACAAGCAACCTGCTAAAACATCTGAAGAGGCACAAGCTACGGTCCAAGTTCCAGCTCAGGCTGTTGGAAGAGGGTGAATTGGATATCTGGGCGGCGTGGAGGGAGGACCAAAAATGGACTCCACATACCAACAGTTCAGGCGAAGGCTCCAATGTCGACGCAGAAGGCAATATCGCCATGGTGGATGCAAGAGCAACAGGCTTAGGCCAAAGAATCTTGTTGCCTTCGACAAAGCCATTGGACCAACATGCTTCTATGCAAGGATTGAGCGATGCAGGACTCGACTCCTACACGATACGAAGATACATCCGCGGTGTCCCTGAAGGTCAAGATGAGATCCCTCGCGACGATGTGTTACCCATGAACACCAACTTCGACATTATGGGAGGCATAGATTTCAANAAGGGTTGTTATGTGGGTCAAGAACTCACGATCCGTACCCATCATACCGGAGTTGTGAGACGACGAGTTTTGCCAGTGTCACTTTTCGATGCCTCCTCTCAACCGCCAGAAAAGATTTCTTATGACCCTGACACCGCATTTGCAACGCCAGCGCGCGACACGGCAATTGCGATCGAGGGCAAGAGAGGCAAGCCGGGCAAATGGATCAACGGTGTTGGAAACGTTGGGTTGGCAATGTGCAGGTTGGAGCTGATGACTGATTTGCAAGTCACTGGTGAACCCAGCACTTTCAGCCCCGAGGACAGATTCTTCGTCAAGAGTGTTGGCGCTGAGGAACAAGTATTGGGTATTAAGGCTTTCGTACCCGATTGGATGAAGAGTAAGATTAGAGCTCCCAAATTACAGAGGAGGGTTGAGTAGAGAGAATTACAAGCTCGGCCTCTTGAACAGCAAGTTTGCGTTGTTCAGAGCCTTTTCAGCACCCATACAAGCTTCCTCGCTTCATCGACATCATCCAAGTAGATCCACTCTTGAGCTGTTTAAGGCCTTCTGAGCACTTACAACCTTCCCAAGTAAATCGACATCCACTTTCTTTCCTTTCCTTTTCAACAACAGACAGAAGAGGCGCCAGGCCCGACAGATCGAAAAGAAGATCATCGAAAACTTCGAGGACAACTTCACCGCGAACCATCCATCCAAGGGGTCAGTGTCACTCGGACAACCAGCGCATGCTCCGGATCCCCGTGTAACAAGAAAGATAGATTCATGTAGTCTTTCGGCAATCATACAGCAAGTGGTGGGAGTCGAGATGTGCCGGGCTGGTATGGGACAGTGACCTGGTGGTAATCAGAGACGATGGTAGAACAGCTTGTCATTACTGGTTCAAGGAAAGCTTCAGAGGTTGAAAGAATGCTTGACAATGCTATCTATAGGGTATAGTAATGATGGTGATGCTGTAAAAAATTTGACCAGCAAACAAGACAAAAAACCGCAATACAAAAAACCAACAAGTAACAAAAACAACAAAAGCATACAAAACAAAAGTCTTATGTATGTTTGGACTTTTCGAAGAAGAGGCTATTACAAAAATACACACACTCAACACCAGACAAACATTGTCTTTTCCCACCAGAAGAATGTTATACAGAAATGAACAAGGAAAAAAGAGCTTAGGGCTTGGAGAGCTGCTCTTTGCGGAAGAAGGTGAAGAAACCAACGCAGATTGCGAGTTGGAAGAGCAGGCAGATCCAGAAGTCGGCGCTTGCGAGACCGCTCTTCCAATCGACAGAGAAGTCAGGGAAGACGTCACCAGGACCAGTAGCATCAGGAGCTGTGGCTCTAGATAGGATAGTTGCAACGGAACCGATGACTTGAGCGGCCACAAGGGTAAATGTGATGTGGAAGCGAGTCAAGGTTTGCAGCAGGATCATACCGAAACCGATACCTTGAACAGAGTCAAGTACACCGAGCCAGAGCCAAAGACCACGGCCCAAGAGTGCAGAGGCTACGGGACTGCCAGCCCATGGCAAGTACATGCCGATGTTACTGCAACTCCACAGAATCTGGCACCATCTGGGTGCGCCCAGACCGATGGCGAAGATAGGGATGTACCAGGAGTGTGTAGTACTCAGTTGTGAGAACCACCATAGCAACAAGGCCCAGATGATGACAAAGAAGAGCACGATCAAGAGGAAGATAGCCCAGCCGGGTGCGTGCTTGGAGCTCCAAAGGTACTTCCAGTTGCGACCATAAATGGAAGCGAGGAAGTAGTTTTGCACGAAAACTGCAACGAAGAACCAGACGATGATCTTACGTCTCATCACAGCGGTGTAGAAGGAGGGTACTGCACCGGGTGCTTGACGGTAGAAGGCAGGCAAGCCGAGCCAAAGAAGGATACCAACAGCCCAGAGGAACACGGCGATCGGCACGCCAATCGCTGTCATGGTAGAGCCATAAGTTACCAAAGTGGACGCGCCTTGGCCGCTGTCGCTGAGTGCCGAGAGCTTGTCGCCCCAATACCATAGACCAACGATGTAAAGCTGTTGAGTTCCTTGAATCATGCAAGCACGGAAGCCCCAGGTCCTGACAGGTGCTGATCCGGTGCTACCAAAGTTTTGTGCAAAGAAGAAGGAGCCTGCGGCACTGGCAAACGAGTAGAATCCGGTAGCCACGTTTTGAACCCAGCCACGTCCAGAGGTAGTAGCTGCATAAGGAGCCATACCCAACAGGAAGAAGGCAAAACCATAGAAGAACCAGGGGAGCGCAATAGTGTAGATCAAAGCAAAACGACGGAACACAAACCACCACACCAATGAAGCGCCGAGGTAGATACAAGCAACGACGTAGAGCTTGCTTGCAGCCTCACCAATTTCTCCAGTGAGCAGGGTAATCTGGTAGCTGTTCGCAGCAATGATCTGACCGAGTGCAAGNNGGAAGAAAGAGTAGATAGGCCAGTCACCAATCTTGTACATCATCAAGCGGCGGACACCGGTAGGAGCTTGATAGTCCTGGGGCAGCAGGAACTGATCGGCGGTCTCCTTCTCAGGATCGAGGTTGTTGCTGTTAAACTGACCAGTGGGTGAGTTGGCACGAGTGGCTGCAGGAGTCTCCCTAGCCATCTTGACCTCGTGCATACGGTTAAACCACTGCTTCTCAGACTTCTCAAGGTATTCCTCAATACACAAAGCAGATTCCGAGTTCTTTCCACTGAGGTCTTCAAGCTTGCGCTCGAAAGTGCGGTAGTACAATCCAGTACTGTCAGTGAAGAAAGGAAGCAAATCTTGAGGTGTTTTGTCTTCCTTCTGCTCGATGACCTTGTCAACGGTCAGAGTGGATTCGGCAATCGCTGATCGACCCAGAGAAGGAGGGAAAGGCAAGAATGGTGATGATGCGGAGGGGCTAGCAACTCCAGGAGTAGCGGCAGGCGAGAAGGTATAGGGAGTGTTAGCACCAAATGGATCTTGGTTCAAGAAGGGGAAGCCGGAGCGAGCCTCTGCTTGTGCTTGTTCTTTGGCCTGCTGTGCCTCTTCACGTGAAATGGCGACTTCCTCGTCTTCGATTCTTGAAAGGCGGTTTCTATTCTGAGTTGCTTCAGCCGAGTTTCTGCGGGAGAGAGCAGGACGAGATCCGGAGAAACTGCGAGCCCTGGTTTGGACATGGCCTGGGCCTGCACGAGTGCCAAGAGACAGTGAGTTGTCACGAGAAATTGTCGGTGAGGAATCTGCAGTATCTCTTGCACGAGTAGGAGAAGAGGGTCTGCTAGGGTTAGGTGTGCCTCTACCCCACGGTGTACTAGCGCCAGGGGTGGTCCACCCACTAGGAGTCATCCAACCAGGCAAGTTAGGGGTGTTGTAGCCACTGCCCCAGGGGGTCGTGGCAACAGACATGCCGCCGTTGCGCTGTTTTTTCTCAACACGCTTGTTGTGAATCTTGATGGACTTCGACTGCAAGATTTCGAGGTCCTCCTTCCACTGTGCGACAGGGAAGCGCTGTACGCTACTTCTGGCGCGCATGATGGCTCTCGTCTCATACTTCGACTTCAGAGCGCCATCGATAGCCATTTTGAACTGGTGCATCTGATGCTTGGTAGTCTGGGACTCGATCGTGTACCACCAGCCGGGCATCTGCCCAAGACCGCCAACACGCGAACCAACACCGAGAGCACCCTTGCGCCCGAACTCGACAGCGACTAATCCAAAAGGTTCGTCTCGAGAAGGGATCAAAGCGAATTCTGCGCCTGAGAAGATGAAGGGCGGAAGAGCTGTGAACTCTGGTTTGGAGTAGACACGACCAGGATACTTCTTCATCATGATTTCCAGCTTCAGAGCGGCGAATTTGCCGTAAAGATCGATACAAGGGCCGACACAGAGCAGCTGGACGTTGGGGTTCTTCTCGAGGATGGCCGGGAAGACATCAGCGATCAGATCGATGCCCTNTTGCATACTCCAGCGACCAACGAAGACAAACAGGTCAGCATCGGGCTTGATCTCAAGGCCAGCCCACTCCTGAGCTTGGCGTCTGAGACCGCCTCTGGTAGACTCATAGACCTCGTCGATAACAGCGTCCTTGGGGTTAGCGAGCTTCTTGTCCCATGCCGCAACATCCGAAGGGTCAGGGTTAGGCAAAGCACCAATGTTGCTGAGCCCCCAGAAGATAGGATAACGTGCCCAAGAACGTTTTCCGTACTTCTTACTGACACCAACAGCACCGAAACCCTTCTGGTGGATACGAAGGAGGCTCGCGCCAGCATGCAGCAGGTTGAAAATTTCACCAAATTGCACGTATTTGGCAACGACAGACTCGGAAAGGTTGTAGACGGAACACACCTCAGCTCTCTCCTTTGCGTTTCTCATCGGCCAGAGACCCTGGAACTCCGCGTTGTGAAGTGAGAGACATACTGGAATAGTCTGAGGCAGGAGGTAAAGAGGAGCGATGGTGCCGTGGTAGTCGTTGATGTGGTAAAGATCGATAGGGAAGCGACGACACGCCTCAGCGATACACTGATTCCAGGCAGAGTAGTAGATTGCGGAGTCGAGGTCGTCCATACGAGCAGGGTAGGGCTCTTTCGCTGTTTGTTTTCTGAAAACAGGGGCGTCCAGGAGCATATAAGTGATGTTCTCAAGCTTGTGGTACTGAACTTGGACTTCATAGACCTTGCCGAGGATAGTGACATCGACCGGCTCGCCAGGGGTATCAACAGGGTAGTCGATACCACCAACACAGGGTACTACCCAGATCAGATCCTGATGCTGGAGGTTCTTTCCCATGAGTTGGGCCATGACTCCGAGACCTCCAATCTTAATTTTGATGTTCCAGTCTGAGATGTCGTATTCCATTGTGCCGATGAGGACAGTTCTGCGCTTGACCATCGCACCAGCAGTAACTATTCCGCCGTTGTCCACGACGACATCGCCAACAGTCTCGGAGCTAGACGACATGCCTGCATCCTTCTCGTTCAACACCTCTCTTTTGCTGAATTTATTTCTGATAGCAACGGGGATGAAAGACTTAGGATCTGCCAGGCCGATTTGGTTGAACTTAACTCCGTAAAAGGCTTTGCGGTAAGCCCAGATACCAATAAAGGCCGTGACAGGAGGTATAACTGCCAGCAAGATAAACAGAGCCAACTGTCTCCAGCGGTTGCCAACGGGGATCAGTGCATAACGGAAAGAGGCATCACTGAAGTGGATGCGCCATGCAAGGAAGGGCGATTCGGGTCCATGGTTGGTGATGTTGACGACAGACATCTCGAGAGACGTCGGGCCAATGCGATCAAGCACAGTGTCGTTGTCAATATCACCAAATGCGGCGGTGACGTCTGGTACGCCGTCCTCAGTCATGCCCCACACATTGAGTTGGAACTGGGAAGGCCACTCGGTCATAAAGTCGTATTCCCAAGTACTGTTGCCAACAAGTTTCATCTTGTTGTCGAGACCAGAATCATAGCCATACTGGTTGAATGAGCCATGGACGAAGAAGTGGGGGAAACGACGCATGTGCTCTGCAGATCCATAAACATCACCCTCCTGGAGATGATCGCTACTGCCCGCTGCCTTGGACCAGTACTGTACTTTGACATGGTCGCCAGTCCACTTCTGTTTCTTGGTACCTGCCCAGGTCTGCTTGTCCAGTGTGCTGTTGCCACCCTGGTAGTCCATCCAATCGGACCATTCTGCACCCCAGGTAAGAGAGTATCGCCATTTGTCGGCACCTGGAGCCTTGTGCTGAACGTAGAAAGCATCTTCCTGGGTACCGGATGTCTCAGATGCACGCTTTGTGATTGAGTTGCTGCTGAAAAGCAGTGTTGAGCTGTAGTTTGCCTTGAAAGGGAAGACCATGGGATTGTCGATTTGACCAATGCGGAACATCAGGTGGTCCTTGGAGCCAGTGAAGCTGTTCTTGCTAGCAGAAGTGGCGTTGTTGACAGTAATTGTATGAATACCGTTAGCAACGTTCGTAATGGTTGTACGGTACCTCCAGANAGAGGGCACCGCGCCATAGAACAATGGCTCGTCCAGGAGATCGGTAGTCAGACAATCGACACTACTGGTATCGATGACCGCTACAGATCCATCACCAGTAGTGGATGTGATGTTGATTGACTGACGAACAGAGTCACAATCCATCTCTCTTGAGAAACGAAGTTCCAGGGTCAATGTCTCCTTGTCTCCGTTGCTTGCTAGGATGCGCGAGTCGTGGCCGATGAAGGTGTCGTTGAGTATCATCTTGGTCAGCGAAGGGGATGGCGCCTCCCAGACGTCCTTAGGGACAAAGGCTGCGTAACCGTACTTGGTCATATTAAGCCATGGTAGACAACCATTGTACTCTGTGGATCCGTTGAAGTGAAGCTTCTCTGTAGAAGGCTCGAGTGTTCTCTCGTCGAAGGGGTAATACAAGTTCTTAACCGTGGTACCTGCATCATAGGGCGAGATGATAGCTTGTCCGCTGGTACTGCTGCAGTCAAAGGTGTAGTTTCTGGAGCCGTTGTAGTTGCTATAGACTAGCCAGACAGGTTGGTTACCATAACCGCCAGCATCTGAGAGATCCTGTGCGCCTTCCAGCTCACCACGGTAGACACTCCAGATACCTGTTTCGGTCGGAACTCCATAAGAACCATTCAAATAGTACTCGAAGGTCTGATTGGACAGTTGACGAACGTCAAAGCCATCGTTCAGCACAGGGTATCTTCTTCTCATCTCGTGTCCCGACTTGAGGTAGTTGTACATGGGATGGGTAGGGTCGCGGTGATCCAACGACACGGCATCGTCTTGACAGCCAACAAGCGAACTGTTCACAGGGAAATTGCTCAGGTTCTCATCGCCGACCTTGTAGCAGCCATGCATCTGCCAGGCTTGGGCCGAGCTCATAGCTTGTCTGCCGTAGATATAGTTGGCAGCAGTGTTGTCGAGAACATAGAAAAGTTGTTCTTCGCCCCAGGAGACCATAGTGATACCAGGAACCAGGAGAGTGTTGACAAAGGATCCCAGAACCTGCCTCTCAGTACCGTTGATGAGACCAGGCCATCTTAGAACATCCTGATTCGATACACCGTACATATGGCGAGGGTCGAACTTGCCGTTGTTTGCATTGACGAAGTCATTCGTTTGGACCATGACGTGCCACGCGTCCACAAAATTCACAGGACCATCAGCGGCGGCTAGAAGATCACCGTCAAGCCCCAGGAACCTCATGAGGCCACGGTAGATTGTGTAGTGGAAAGCACCGGCATCCAGAGCTTGGTGTTGATCATCACGAATATAAGTCGAGTTCGTAGTTGCAGCTTCGGTAATGTTTTCGACAGCCATTCCTGGTTCTTTGCCTCGTCCCAAGTAGATGGCACCGTTAGCATTTCCGTTGACAATTTCGCCAGGAATAAAGAAATTGTATTTTCCAATACTCGAGGCACACTCGCGCATGGCGTGAGAGAAGTTGCCTTGGCCGTCGACAGTAACTTGCATGGCCTTGTCGATACGNNGGAAACCATCGAAGTCGAGGGCCTTGAGCATCATACACATGAAGTGTTGGAGCTTGGTCTGGACGGAGGGCCGCCAGTCTCTCAGACGATCTTGGACGCTGTTGAACTTGGACAGTTGCTTTTGCCATTCTGGATACTGGCCAAAGGCACCAACATCGCCATATTGGTCGAACTCGCTGTCCATACACCCGACCATCTTGGTGATGTTACCATCCTCAATGCGGTTGCCACCCTGGTCCCAGAAGCGAGGGTACTCGTATGGGCACTCATCATGCCATTCGTTGTTGAACTCCCAGTCTGAGTAACGTTCACTTGATTTCCAGACGGCAGTGTGCTCTTTGAACGACCAAGGGGTACTGCTGTTGAAGTATCCTTCGAAGGCAATAACATCGCTCATGGTCGCCATGGTATTGTCAACCAGGACATACATGCCACGCGAGTGGATATCGTTGATCAGCTCTCTCCATTGAGCAATGGTACCGAAGTGCGCGTCCAAGTAGGTGTGATCNNCTACATTACGATTAGTTACGAGCTAGGTTTATGTTGGCAATGAACATACCAGGGGACTGTAACTGTCTGATGACCAGGGAAAGTTGTACAAGAGACTTCCGGCGAGGTAAATGCCTTTGATGCCCATTCCCTGAAGATAGTCGAGAGTATCACGCACGCCAGCAGTGTCACCACCATGACGAAGCTGAGTACCGTAGATGTCATGTTCCCACGCAGTACCGTTNNGCTAAGAAGTTATTAGCTCTCTCGCTAAAGCCACAAGGCAATATGGTACTATCACAATGCAGCATTTTTTAAGCCACGGATTGATGACCATTGAGAGCGTATGCAACCTTAATCTCTCTCTGGATATGACTCCGGCTAGAAAACAACTCTGCATTGTGACAGCTGTACGGATATAGACAATCGGACACAGAGATGAGATGCGTGTGGTAAAGGGGTCTTGCACTCACATATTATCGTTGCTTGGATCTCCATTAACGAATCGATCCATGAAGAAACTGTAGAAGGGGAACCTCCAATTGTCGGGAGAAGGATGGTATGTGTGGTTGTCGTAGTTGGTGGAATAATCCAATGGATTTACAGCCTCCTGGTTCATATTCAGGTTCCAGTCGACATATCTCTCTTCATAGCGAAGAGCCTGGGCCCCAGAGGCGCCCAGCGCCAATGATAGCAGCCACTGGCCACGCATTATGTGTCGTAGTATCGTCAAGAGGCAATATAGAAAACAAATATCCAGCGCCGCAAAGGCGGATTGGCGATAGGTACGTGTATGCTTCCTAGACGCCAAACATAAATGTCGAGCTATATGAGCAAAGGTTGAAGTTTAGTATCCTGGAGGGTTGTTTGGGGAACTCCGCAAAGATGAGGCAGAGGTCGAGTGTTTATGTAGCACAAGAAAGCGTAGAAGGCAAGGACCCGGGCAAGAATATGCGGAGAGTGCAGTAGGTGGGTCCAACAAGCCGTCAATCAAGGTTGGCTGTAGAACAAGAAAGTTATCGATCTGAAAAGAAGGGATGTATCCGGATGTTGAGTATCCAGAAACTTGGTCGAGTTAGTCAGGAACTCAGAATCAACAGCAAAAGGCCGGCAACGATGGGGAATCACAGCAGCTTATCTTGATTCGCCCAGGGCCATCGGTGATAGGGCGGCAAAGAGCAAGGTCTCTGCACAGTGCGGTGACTCGGCGAGCATGGTTCAACGAACTGATACACTGACCATCAATGATGCATTTGACCATGGGCTATTGCAGGGGTTTAGATGGCAGTGGCAGAATGATCGCCGGCTGGCGTAGCGGGACAGTCCGTCGCTTACTTTCAACATGTCTCTTTTTGGGCCTTGCTGCAAGTGATGATTTTCAATCAAAGCTGTGGTCACAGCCAAACGACTCAGACATTACAGCACGCATCCGATGCGCCACGCCGCAGCGTATGCCCACAGGAAGTATTTCCCCTCATAAAAACTTAACGTTTCATGTTACCTCTACACTGGGAATGGCCGAGGAAGAGGCGGTCGTGCGCTGGGGTAGCGGCGGACAAGCTGCAAGAGAGACAAAAGGTCTTTGCAACGAAAGGTGGGACGTCCTGTATCGACACCTTGGCAAAGCTTTGCAGCCCCGGGTTTTTGACATTACTTTTATTCCGGATCCCCTTCCCATGGCGACATAGTGCTATTCCAGGCTGCCAAAATACACAATACATTCTAGAAGTGGTTGCTATCCACAGAGAGGCGGTTACCCCAAGGTCTTTCTGTGGCCATACTTCTGATTTGAAAAGTATTGTGCATTCCGATAGCTACACTGTGACAGTCTTTAGCACATGAAGAGAGGAGGCAGCGCCGTTGGGTTACAAGCCTGTTAACTGTCCGTGCATCTGCACGATGCAGTAGGGCATCATGGGCTCTTCTTCTTGTCCACAGTCCATTTCTGATGACAAAAGTCTCATCTCGACCGACCAAAAAAGCTTGGGCTCTGCTTTCATCGTTCGTACGTTAATCGTAGTGACATGACTGGTCATTGACCGCTTGTTAGCGGTATCGGTTGATTGAGGTTGATGAGGCAAGACTGCAGATCCCTGTTAACCTTTCTCTCTCGTCTTGCTTGCACGTATGTCTGCATGTCCAGCTACATGGATGGAAAATTTGTCTGTCGGAAAGGCAGTCGGTCACAGCTAGCTCCTGACTGACCTGTTCCGATGCTGCAAGCTCTGCTGCTCGAGAAAGACATCGCAATCAGGAACCGTCAGGGCATCTTCTCATTTCAATCCATGCTCCTCTCTTGCAATGCGACACGTCGTAAGCAGGTACGTTTCACATTGCCGCTGCGGGTCCCACCGCAGAAGTCTATCTTGGCGCGATAGCGAAGCCTCGCATCATTGTTGTTTGGCTTTTGTTGCCAGGCTTCCGAGCCGTCGGGTGCGGTACATGAAGATTCGACGTTGAACTTTCACGTTCCTGCATTGCCAGTGCCGCCACGCCGTCCGCCACGTCCAGCCTCAACATGTGTAAACGGCAATTCTATTTCAACGACATTTCTTTTGACGAAAGAAAGCCGCGTCGCCCTTGCAGCGTCTCCATCATTCGTCATCATACCTATGCTTTCCGGAGCGAGGGAAGAGATTTGCTCAACTGTTGAAGAAGTACCTATTTGCATGACGGACGCAAATCCACTTTGTCGGGATGACAGATTACCAGAGGAGCGGTATCAGATTCCTATCCACTTCCGGTCCTGCCAAGTTCTGCGAAACAAGTGGCACAGATTTGACACTTTCGACAGAACCCCTTCTGTGAGGGCTCGAATCCTTCCCGAGCGGGTGTGACCTGAACATGTTGTCCAAGCCTGTGTTTGAGTTCACTACCTCTGTGTTTATACTGTGCTCTTGTCACGGCAGAACTCACTCACGGAAGTGCAGCTGCACAGTCGCTTGATAAGTTGACCTACGGCCGAATCACAGCAAGACCGCAGCGAAACTCAGCAACTCAGACGTGTTCGCAGATCGCCCATCTTCGATAATGCTCGATTAAGACATCCTGCTCATCATAACCTAAATAGTTATGGCATTTTGCGTTGATGTTTAGCCAGAAGACGGCGGCAGCAGCACGGACGAAGTAGCCCAAATTTCGGACGACCTAATCTGTCGTGCTGCCGATCCGCATCCACTTCATCGGCCAAGCTGTGTTGTCATCACTACTCGATACAAGGCCAAAATCATATGTCGCTGTATCAACGATTTAGGCAAGAAGCGCAGAAAATGTAGTCTCACTCGCACAACTTTGAGTTAGGCGTCTACCATCTCGAGTTGAGATGCGCTCCTTGCAGTCTCGTCGGTAGACTATGCCGATCGAATATGCACGCTCCTTCCCAGCTTTTCGCTTTTCTGAATCTGTGTCTCGGGTACCGAATCGATCACCATTCAATCTCTACAAACGACTCGAGGGTTCTCTGGCGCCAGATTATAGCCTTTCCCTCCCTTGCGTCGCCGTCTCGACACTACGAACAGTACAGCCATGTCTACCAATCTAGCGTTTGGTTGAAGTCTGACCACAGCTTGACACCTCGGAGCTCATTAATTGGTTCAGTGGTCTAGCCTTTCATGATGTCTGATTGCACGTACAGATTAGGCACAACATTGAGCCTCCGATTTCGCATATGTCGCTCTCTTGGTCGCAGAAGCCTGATCTGCCTATCTGCTTTACACAAAGCCATCTTTCGTAGTGGGACCATATCAAATTGGGGTGGCCTCGACGCAAAGTCAAAGAGCCTGGCGTAGTGCTGGTCGCGGATCAACATCTACAGGCTTTCGCAAGACTTGGGCTAACATTGTTAGATACGGTCAGTTGAAAATTCTGTGTAGTTCCAAACGTCGGACGCCGGAATAGCTGCTAACCCAAGTTGATTAAGATCATCCCTCTAGCATGTATCTAGTCATTCGAACAACACAACTACTAAAACAGGCGATACGGCCACAGATCAGACCAAACTACTACTTTTTTCGCGAAAATCTGGTCAACACTACCCTCTGCATAAGGCCAGTCTACCAGATTTTCGGTATTGAAGCATGTCAAGACGATTGTCAGAGGATAAGCCTCGGAGTGTTCTCCACCTATAACCACATGTCTTACACTGTCACCTATCTACAGTACCCATGTTGGAGATCCCCTATTGAGCACGTTATCAGCCATGTCTCACTCTCGAGACTCCAGCTCCGCTTTGTACATCTGTGCGAATATCCGGTCTCACTTTCGGTGACAATCTAATTGATAATCATCAAAAACGACTACAGAAGAACTAGAGCCTGAAGGTCGCAAACAACACGAAGCCCACCGCTCTTCCTACGAGGAGACTATTGAGGATCGGCTGAACTGTGTTGCTGTATGATGGCGGTGTACGACGTGATTCTCAGCTCTGGGCGGTCTGCAGGCAAACCGATTGATGGACTACCTCGAATAGGAATCAGTCATTACTCAGAGCATTCAGTGCACTGGCTGTACGGCACCAGGTATAACAGTCGCATATCTGGCGCTTTCGTACTCACTTGTACCACGGTCCGCCTCTTCCACTCAATGCAATGCAGTAAGCCCTGAAGACGCAGCTGTTCTCTCCATGCTAGGGATATGTTCGAATGGAGCAAACTGCATACTTCATGGGCAGCTGCTATGTGCAATCAAGGGGGTCCAAGGAAACACGAGCCATTCACCACCTCCCGTGTGCGAAGATATGTAATGTACACACTATAAAAATGCACAGTTCTATCCAGAAATAAGGATATGGCCAAAGAGAGCTGATGAGAGATCGCTTCTTAGCGGACACCATCCTATTCTATGATAGTATTGTGCATTCTTATAGCGTGTACTTCACTGCCCTTTAGTACTCGGAAAGGCAATTAGCAAAAATCCAGTGTGGGGCTGGCTCATGTTTGCTTGGAGTCACTTGACTGTTTACAGCTACTTGCTTCAAGGCCCAGTATGAGTGTGCTCATGAAGTGCTTCATTGATCTTCCAGACATGTCTGGCGAGCTCAAATGCTCTCGAGTCCACTCTGCGAACTTCGATTAGTATGGTTGACAGAACATGAATCTGAGCTATCGGTTCGATCAGGCTTCGTCAAAGTCGCCAACGTCGGTATAAGGTGCCAATGAGATCACTGATCTATCGTGTCAGCAGCTTCTGCAAACACGCTGCTGGAACCAGTATCTTTCTGTTCCCAGCGCCAAGTCGGGACTGACACGCCTGCTCCAGTCTCTCAAGCTTCTCGAACTGGGAGGCCTGAAACAAATTCTCGGGTAAGCCACGAGTCAGATCAAACGCGATGACACCTCCAGTGCGCCATCTTCAATCAATCGAGGTATATTAAACATCGAAAACTTGCCACGAGTGATGAGAGTCCCACCTTGAAAAAGGACAGGGCACCGCTTCGCTCCGGCACTCTTTTCTCTTTGCCGAATCCCTGTCTGCTTATCAAACACAGCCACAGCTAGAGATTGAATGCGTGGCAGGTCGCGATCGCCAGTTCGGTCAGATTTAGCGACAGGACATGAGCTAAATCGTCGCATATGATTGCTGGGACTCGTCTGAATGGATGAAAAGTTCCAGCTCTATTCTACAGAGCCGCCCAGAGATCTGCTGCATGTTTATCTTCAAACACAATGCCGCCACATCACGCCTAGCGAAGAGAAGGCGCTTAAGTTCTGGCCCTTGATGCGGATCTTGCTTCTGCATATTAATCAATGCGGCTCTAAGACGAGTTGCAGGACTCCATGCGAGCCTCCTTCATAAGTTGGCATACCTGCACTTCGCTACAGTGGCCTTTTGCCGAGCGGGTAACCTTGTGTTGCCAAACGTATCTGAAATGTTGCTCAACATCCTTCATCTCGGTTTGCAGTTCTGCGACTGCCAAGTACTTGACTTGTCCTTGGAAGTATGAGGTAAATCTAGCGAGCGACAAGGCGACTAGCTGATATGGATACATTAGCTAGGGCATTCAGGTTAATGGTCAATCATATCCCAAGCATAATCATCGGAAAACACTCCGTAAATGATGTCGCTCTGTTCATCACTAGCATCTGCTGTTGGGACCTAGTCGGGAGGTGAGTTGTTGGCCAGTGATCGCCATGGAGAAGATATATTGCTCCAGCATCTCACCAAACTTTGTTGCGTTGAATACCAACACATGCAGTGTGATTCATCTGGATACATAGATTCAAATCTGAGACAAGAAGCGACATGGCAGGTATGCGAGTTTCCTGACACTCTGCTGCTTAGTTCGAGTTTAGCTTCGTCTCTTATAACCATTGCAGCTCACCGATCACGCGACAAAGTTCATCATATGTATGAGCTGATACGGCGCAGGGCTCATTCGAACGGTGTGGTATACCGTAGAATCTCGTCTTCAAGGATCCCCTTGGTGCAGTGGTCCCTCGCGCTACAGGGGCAGGTCTGTCACCAGAATTTCGGCAGGAGGAGCTTTTTCAAAATCGATTGATTCCACTCGTTGGCTTGCCCCCCCCCCCCCCCCCCCCCCAAAACGAAATTCTGCGGCACCACCTAGCTGGACTATATTGACTGCAGCTCAACGACTATGCCGTAAATCTAGAGTCCTGATCCGCGAGGGCAAGACACGACACGTTCTTTGCAAGTATCAGCCAACAACGACGACACTATCATCGACAAACAGGGTAGGAATGTAGAGGTGTTGGAATTTTGCTTCTCTCTTTCACTTTTCAAATGTTAGTAATGTCACACTCTACCATTGTCTTTGGACAAGAACAATGGATCCAGATCGAGGCCGGAGTGGCTACGCGCTGGGCACAGCTGCTCAAGTAGACTCTCGATCTGGGTGCCAACTTTGCCAACCACGGCTACTTCAACGTCGACGTAGTCAACCAGATCCCTGCACTGATGAACGACGACAGTAACAGCGGCCCCAACACCGACAAGCCGAAGGAGGCGAGAAGAACCACAAGAGCAGCAAGCAAGGCTGCAGGAGACGAGGGATTCGTCGTTGAAGATAACGAAGACATTCCAATGGGTGTTTGAGATTATGATCCAGCCCAGCCTCCCAAGGACACCGACAAGGAGGGGACCAAAGACGCCGAAGCAGTTGAGGTCCTCCAGCCCAAGCCTCGCGAGGGTCAGAGTCCTATCGAATACCCAGCGACTTCGAGCCACAGATCTATGACATTGACGACCTTCACCTCAGCGTCTTCCTTGATGAGCACTCCCGCCCTCTCTTCATCCCTGGTCACCAGCATACTTGGTCGTTGGTATGGCTAGCTTCGGTCAACCACCAACTGGCCTGAATCAGGTTAGTGTACATCGCCACCAACCCTACATATCTCCACATCCACTACTCACCAAAAGTGTTTTTGTAAAAATACAGAGATATTTTCAGATACTCTCACATCTGTTGGGAGTGCTATCAAAATAAGAAAACATCAGTAACCCCTTGCCTTCTAGCTCGCGTGAAATTGACAGCTCAACGAGCACAAACTTCTGCGTGCCAGGCTTGTCGGTCGGAGGGCTGGTGTCCATAGGAAAGCAGGCCACTTGCTAGCGATGCAATTGAGTCAGCAGGCTGGCTGCTTTTCAATGATTGTCTACAACGATTCAAAGTACCTTCCTTCTGTATCTAATTTCTCAATGTCAAACCTTCCTGAAAAATGAATAGAAGTAACCGTGTTTCGAACATGATTGTGTTTGAGAAGCGATTGCGGTGTAGAGTAATCTAACAGAACAGAATGCAATTGTGCCGATAGAACGTCACATCACGCATCAGAGCCAGAGTGAAGGATACGAATGAGTAGATAGAAGCTTCAGTTCTCGTTTCTCGTGATAAAAATAGTGGTAAAGCTATAAGGTAGAGCAAAGAAAAGAAAACCAAAGACCCAGCAATGGACTTTCCAAATGCAAAGAAGAAAGCAAAGGAACTTCGTAAAAGCAAGAAGAAGCAACGGCGCTAGAAGAAGAGTCGGAGAAAAAAAGCCATCATTTCTCATCTCGAAGGTCATCTGGATACCGTCCATTCGCTACCATCTCCATTGTGGGAAACGTTCCTATCGTCTCAGACTACCCGCCGCACGCGAAAACAGTCCACGACTGGGACTCTTAGCCTCAACTGCGTCGTTTCGTGATGGACTCAAATTTCGTGATAGACCGGACTGGTTGGCTGCTTGCATAGCCAGAGACTCATCACTGTTGCTATCGCTGCTGAGGTGGTTCGAACGCTTTGAAGGCGAGACACCACGGATAAGTTTGGAGGGTTGCTCAGATGATGAAGTGTGGTGTTCGCTCATACGGCGGAAGAGCTTCTGTGTCTTTTGTGAGAGGGCTGCTCGCACACCACCGCTGCTACTAGAATGTAGCTTCATTGGAGGCCCTGGTTGAAACATCGGTACGTTGTTCGCGGCTTGCAGGGTTGTCGTCAGGTTCGGTGTGGTCTCTGATCGTTCCATGCGCTGTGGATGTAAGCTGGCGGGCTTAGAAGTAGAGCTGTTTCTTTGCAGTGATGTTGGTGGTAATTGGATGGCTGCCAGGTTCGGTGTAGTCTCCGAGCGCTCCATCTGGAATCTCGTCTTCTCGTTACTTCTAGGTAGCAGCGCCCATTTTTCAGTCGTCTTTTGACCTTGTCGTGGCATGTGATCGATCCCTTGATCATCATAAGGCATACTCCTAGCTGGTGAGGCATTGCGACGTACTTGGAACCTAGACGGCGTGCCCTTGAGGATACTACNCCCATTAGGATACGAACTGTCTGTTCCTGCGCTGCCAGTCCGAGCGCTATCAGATTCCTCATAGTACTCATCTTCCTCGTCAGTCGAAGAAAGAGATATGCTATGTCTGTTGAGCCACCCAGCGCCATTCAGAGGGTGCTTGTGTAACTTGCTCATATCGACGATGTTCGGCGTCTCAGGAGTATGTAGCAGTGCTGCATGCTTTGCGGCATTGGGAAGATTCTTGGCTAATCTGCGCTGCGCATCCAGTGGGCCGTTCATGTACGAGTCTTGCAGAACGCTCGTACTTGCACTGTCTGGTGTTGGGGGCAACAAAGCTGCATCGAACGCTGAGCCTTTGAGCGAGGGTGTCCGTTTCTGGGTGGTTTGGGTGGATGCAGTAGAATACGCCGGTCGTTTAGTACGAGCAGCATCTCGACGCGACTGTGACATGTGCTTTTCTGAGTATTGGTTATGTGATTGTGGTGTCTGCACTTGGATCCAAGACTTGATGTCACTATCAGAGTCGTGCTTGCTACCAGCGTTCCGTGAAATATTGTCTAGCTGGCTGTCGGGGAGAGCAAAACCGTCGCCCTCGTGCTTGTCAAACTTGTCGCTTCTCGGAAGATCGTATATGGAAGGGAAACTGCTCTTGCTCAAGACACTCAGACGTGGCGAATCTAACGTGTCAACATCTGAGACGGACTTATCGGCGTCATCCCTCTGCGATGTCAAAGACGTGAAGCTTTNTGCAGCATGCAATGTCGGCTTTGGTTCCAGGTAAACGCTTCGCAAAGCACGAGTGTTTGGCTTTTNGTCGTCCACAANAGATGGTATGCGCCTTGCTGAAGATGATCTCGTAGGTGATACTTTGTCAGACTTCGGTGGTGAAAGAACCTCTTTCGGGCAAGGTGAGACAGAAAAAGCGCGTGATATCTCTGGCATCCCTGGTTGATCGCAGTGATTTTGTTGAATATTCTGCATTTGCTCAAGCCTCTCTTCCAGGTCACATATGATGGAGACAGCCTCTTGCACGGCTTCGTCCCGATGCTCCAGTTCCTTGACCAGGCTATCATTCAATTCGAGAAGTGCAGTGTTCTCTTCAACCAGTCGACCTGCTTCCTCAGCGCGTGCTGCCAGTAGTTTTTCCAGTTTGACCATACGTTCTCTGCAATGGAAGAGCTCGAGCTTCAGATCAAAGTTGGATTTGGACAATTGGTCAATCCTCTTCTCGGTCTCGCGTGCGCCTAGGGATACTGTGGTATTGGTAGGATTGTGGGCGTTATTAGGTGTTGTGGCTAGGGCGTCGTTGGCGGACGACCTGGCCTCGTCGANGAACAGGTCATCATCCAGGTTTGTCAGTCGCGCAACAGAATCCGAGCGACGTGAGCGGGTGTTTAGGTTTGCGCGACGCGCCTGCAGGCGGTCGAGAAGATATGGAGATGCCGGATTAGTCATGTCGCGTAGAATGTCGTGAAGTGTTAGGTGGATGCAGTTCCAAGCATGCTCAAATAAACATGTGAGAGTTAATACGATTCAAAGTGACGAAAGTTGTTGAAGAAGCAGCGGAGACAAAGAAGGACGAGGTCAAAGACATGCGAAGGTGAGTAACCGCGAGTTGGAACGTGGGTGAGCTTGACTGGTTGGATAGATTGATTGAGCAGGTAAACTCAACCGTTGGAATGCAGTCGTCGCTGGAGCAGCAGAGACGTTTTACGCAGCATCCAGATTTTGTACAATTTAAGAAGAAGTCCGACGCAAACTCGCGCCTGCTCGATGTTGAAGAATACTGGAGATGTTTCTTGAAGGACGGCCAGGCACAGGAAGGGACCATCACTTTCACAACGCCTATCACAATGCAGCCTTCCAGAAGCCGCACGAATGGCAAGGCCGAACGAGCACATCAAGGTCGCCGCTAACGAACAAGCCCCCGCACTTGCCGTCCGCGAGAGTTTGATCATCCTTTGGGTCCCCTTCAAGTCCCCTTCAAGTCCCCTTCAGATCGCCTTCGGAACTCCTCTAGAATCTCTCCAAGTTCCTTCCAAGTTCTATCTAAGTTTTCTCTAAGTTCCTTCTAGGTCCCCTCCAATGGCTCTCAATGGACGTAACAAGAATCCTGAAACATCTATGCATTTTGACAAGGCAATGCAAAGATGACTCGAGAGAGGGAATCAAGAATGCAGGTATTTTGTTCGTGTCCTTTGTGAAGCCATAGTCAAGAGCCAGGTTGATGTATGTGTACCTCTATGTAGCGCTCTCCATAGGCCGTGATGCATCTTTCGAAACCCCCTCTGTAACTGCACGATTCCATTTGAAGCACATCGTTGTCATTGGGAGTAACAAGATCACCCTGGCATCAGGCATACCCCCTGATCTGCTCTAGGTTGAGCTCGAAGGAGTAACTCTGTTGTATCCTGGCCTCCAAGAACGGTAATTGAAGAGCTGCACAGAGCCTTTGTAAAATAGAGCAGTATTGACTGGAGTCTGTGAACAAAGTATGAGACCAAGAATGGGTATTTGCGTGCATCTCTGCTGCGAATCGGTTTCCTTTTAGAGTAATGTAACCCATGTGCTTTTGCAGAATACAACCCACTTTTCATATCAAGAACCTCTGAACTGGTCCAAGAGTTGTCCACCAATAGTCCTTCTTCTACCACCATCGCTCTCTTCAACTCTGGATCCACTAGCCGTAGCAGCCTCTCCCTCCATACGCCTCCTCAATCCTTCGAACCTTTCTCTTTCCCTCTTTCCAGCACTCAGATCCGGAATCCTCCACGTCGCCGCTCCAGGCAATATTTCCGTTCTGTAGGCATAACCAACGAGCCAGCCCACTGCTGCAACAATAGCAGAGCCAGGTAGTTGCGAGAGCGCAAGTTGAAGAGGTAGGAGGTAGGATGTGGATTTCGAGGTCAAGTTGATGGCAGAGGAGGAGGATTGCGGCGAGTCAGAAGCCGAGAGTTGGTATTTGTACATGTACGGGATGGCGGCGTGGTATTGGGCGAGAAGAGCAAAGACGATGGCGGTGGGACCGGCAGGGAGGTAATTGATGTTGTAGAAAGAGAGCGGTCGGATGATGAGAACGAGAAGAAGAGGTGGAAGCAGAACAGTATAGGGCAGTGTCGCCAGAATGAATGNACTGTATTACCCAAGTCAGTTACTGGTCGCAATGACTGACCCTCCGAGTGCTAGACATACGGCGAATTTGCGCGAGCCCCAGAGACGCTCAATGATGCGCAATTGGTACAGGGTCATGGCTGAGAACAAGACCTCTGTCGAGTTGGTGTAAACCAGCGGCCAGGCAAGGCATCGCCATAGTTGTCTGTAGTCGGAGATGTGTGGCTTGACCATGATCCAGAACAGATGCTTGGTGTCGGTGATGCTGGCCATGAGTGATGCTGCCACTACCACCATGACCAGATACTTTGATAGTGGTGCATTGCTGAACCCGGATGCCAGCATCCTGTTACCGCAAGTGTCTTGTCGTCTTGGTTTAGAGAGGTTGTGTACAAGAGTAGAATGATCATCTAGAATTCGACCAAGATGGACACCATGTCACTTCCCCACACAACGCGAGCAGCTCCACAACTTGCCCTCCGAGGCTCTCCACCGCCCTTTCACCAATATATGTGTTGCTATAAAAATACACGATCTCATGAGCAGAACACATGGATAGGATGAAGATGTGATAGGTAGCTATTTATACTGTATAATAATGTTCCGTTTTGGAGATGAAGTTAGCAAGATGCCAGTCTGGCCACCCAAAGCAATAACGCCTCCTCTGCGTAGCGAGAGAATACCTGCCAGTTTACCCAATACAAAAGAAAAAATAAGTGAAAAACATGAGCAGCGACGGTGCATCGTTCATGCACATAATGCTCGGGTATCCGTGTTCCCAAATTCCTTCCTCCCATAATGCATTTCCGGCATTTCGCTGAAACCAAATCATCTTCCTACCGCTGCCTCGTTCGTAATCCGTAATCGTCAATCTTCGTCCCCAGAACTAGCCTCCTGCTGCAGCTGCCTGCACTTCTGCTGTTGCGTCGATGTCTTCGATTTCGCGTCCGCGTGGGTCGACCACAATTCGGTGTCCTCTCTTGCTCTCAGGTACACCATCTCGAGCTGCTCCAAAGTCCAGCANCCTACAATCGGTCAGCTTCTGTTATTACATGTAATATCACTTCAAACGTACCTCGATGTAAGTAAGGTTATTCCTTTGCACCGCAGCAACACACCTTCTCTCGTCGAAGCGAACTTGCCACACTCCACTGAGGTCTGAGAGCAAGTCGCGCAAGCACTCGCCTGTGCTAATATTCCACATTTTGAGGGTACGATCTGAGCCACTGATGACCTTCTGATCATCGTGCTGGAAACACGTAATCGCTCCAGTATGTGCTGACAAGATGGATTGACAGTTTCCATTATCAGGGTCCCAGATACGCAAGGTACTGTCTGCAGCAGCACTGACTAGGCGTCCATGGCTAAGGTCCAGAAGACCTACCAGAGACGTATGGCCGTCAAGGTTGAACAAGCAATTTCCTGTTTCGAGAGACCAAACCTTGACCAAGTTGTCCATTGACCCTGAAATGCATCGTCCTCTGTCATGGTCAAGGACTACACTGTAGACCTNTTGCGTGTGTCCTGTAAGTCGGTGCACCATATCGCCAGTTGAGATCTTCCACACTCGGACGGTACAGTCGTATGAGCCACTAACGAGGGTGTCGCCATGTGCTGCGATAGCGCGAACCGAGTTGTGATGGCCGGTGAGTACACGCAGAGAGTATGGGTTATCACTGTCATTTGCTGGAGGGCCGGCCTGGTGGATTTGGGAGTCACCAGGACGAGGAAGCTTCCAAACTCTGAGAGTTGAGTCACGCGAACCAGTAATGATCAAGGGCTCTTTTGGCATCATGATGGACGAGCCGTCGGCAGCCGTGCCAATCTTTACAGGCTTCAAAATCACCAGGCAGCGAACGGTAGAGGTGTGGCCTTGGAAAGTCTGTAGACATTTGCCAGAAGGAATGTCCCAGATGCGAACAGAGCGGTCTGTTGATCCAGACACGAGTGTGTCGCCTTCGTACTGCAATGCCCAGACTCCGCCTTCGTGGCCTTCGAGCTTCCTTCGCAATACACCGGTTCGGGTATCGTAGACGTTGATATTTGTGTCGTCGCTACCGGTCAAGATCTTGTCTGAATCAAAAAGTAAGCAAGTGACGACATGGCGATGATGAGCGCGGAAGGCCAGATGGCGCGGCTTTGCCTCGGAGTCCATCCAGCTTTNTGCGATCATGTAATGCCTTTGGTAGATAGACTTGAAGAGATGCAAGTTAGTTAGACTTGGAAGGCCAACGTCTGGTTTAGGCATGGCTTTGGCAGCAGCGCTTGCGTAAGCCATGGGACCTTGTGCTGTCTGGAAGTCGCGCAACCAAAGAGGGGAATCGTCTTGGCGTCTGGAAGCCTTCCGCTTTTGCCTCTTGTGACCACCAGCGCTGCTCGTTGCTTTTCTCTTGGTTCTTGTGATGCGCAGCGATGCGGAAGAGCCCGCATCATCACTGCTCACTGAAGGAGCAGCCAGCGGACTCAATGGCTCCAGCTCGACGACTCTAGAGACCGAGCGGGTCGACCTTGACTGTCCCAGATCTTCTTCGTATCCATCCAAAGAAGGTGCCTGCCATGCCCAACCCTCACGTACTGCACGTTCAATCTCGCCCTCGGGCAANNGTTGGAAGCCATCTCTGTCCAGAAGTTCTTTCCATGCTCTTTCATCCGAATCGATCAAATGTCTCCACTTTTTCGAGACTTGAGCCGCACGACAGAGACTCTTGACGTCCAAGAATTTTGTAATCTGCAAGCCCAACTCGACCGGTAGCACATCGAAAGGATCGCACTTCAGTGCTGGGTTGACGAGCGAGGCGACGGTCCGTAGAGTTTTCTTGGTAGAGCGTCTGAGCATTTGGTACAGCACGTAAGACTGCATCTCTTCAGGTAGAGCGTCGTAAGCATCGATCATTGTGGGAACGTCCATCAGCGTCAAGGGAGGCTGGTTGGTTTGGCGAGTGTGAGACTGGGACTGGACGGTAGCCTCACTGGAGCTAGCAGGGGCATCCGGCTGATCGGTCATCATGCTGTCTTCAAGGTCCAGTCTGGATACTTGACTGGCGTTTTCATCGTCAGCGTCGCGAGTCGACAGGAGAAGCTGATGGCTGCGAGCCAAGTTTGCAGCAGCTGTAACGGGGGAGAGACTGGGGCTTGGAAGGCTGGCGTCCTGTTGTGAGCCACTCAGTAGACCCGCAGGTAGCGGTCGTGGTTGCTCAAGTCGAGGGTAAGAGTTGTCGACAGGTTCGAGATCTCCCTCTGCGACTGGGGGNNGAGTGGCAGTAGCAGCATCCCTGTCAAAAGAGTGACTTGGGCCTGCAACAGACGCCTTATGTTTTGCATGTTGCTCTTGCCATTCACGGGCTTTTTGTGTTAGAGAAGAGACTCGCTGCTGCTCGCGGTCATCTGCCGGGGCAGCATCAGTATCTGGTGTTACTGGCATAGGACGATTTGTCGAATCTAAAGCTGAAGATTGTTCATCGTCGGCAAGTGGGTATGTGATACCAGAGCGAGTTCGTGATAGAAGCGAGCGAGGATGTCTTCTACGCCGGTGCAGGCTTGCTAGCTCTGCAGCCTCAGCGAGACTGGGTGGTGAAGCGGGCCTTTTGGGTGGTGGTGGTCGAAACTCTTGAGCTCGGGTAGGTGTGTGATAATTTTGAGTTGAAGCCTTTTGGCTGCGAAGGATGCCGTTGGATTGTTGCAGCTGTGCTTGCTGTTGCTTGTACTGGACAAACTTGTTAGTGGTAGGCCGGTCAGCACATGCTAAGAGCTTAGGTACCTTGTCAAGTGACGACTGAACATTCTGTGCCTCCTGGTAGACGAGCGGAGTACCTCCAACGTTAAGAGAGAAACGCTGGAGGGAAGAAGGAGTGGGTGTAGAGGCCAAAGGATATTGCTTGGGGTCGCGGCTGAGCATGTCCCTGGGTGGACGGATGAGTAGAGGAGGGAGGGAGACAGTGGTTGTGGTAGTTGTCGTCACGACCGTCTGCTGGGTAGCGGGAGCGAAAGCCACACGGGCCATGGTGGTATAGGGCGACATGTCTTGATGATGGTCGGGCGATGCAGGAGCGGTGGTGAACGAGGCCTGGGTGCTGCGTAGCGTCGCCCTCGTGTGGTCGTGACGGGCTGGAGGATCCATACTGTCGTCGGACCTCGGGAGATGCCAAGGACGGATGGCTGCTTCAGTATTGCTACCGCCGTCGACAGGCAGGTCGGTCTCGTGCAAGCAAGCCCCAGAGCGTGACGACAGATCAACGCACGGGGATGCGAAGGTTGCAAACACGCTCGTGTTGCTGAGACGAGACGGTTGTTGGGTTGATGACTCCTTTGCTAGAGTGGCATCGTCTCTGTCGAAGCAGGCAGAAGCGTCGAGTACCGGATCGTGATGTCGTCGGTGTTGGTTGTTGCTGCGTCGGTCAGGAAACAGGCCGTTCGCTGCCTGAGTCGCTGTCGCTTCGTCCCAAGCCTTCCTTCACACTTGCCTGTCGTTTTGCGGAGAAAAAGCGCCACCGCCTGCGAGCCAAGCGGCCACCAACCACTACGAAAACTTTGCCCAAGCCTGCATAACCTAGTCTTTTTCTCCTTCGTCATGGCTCCTTCCTTGTCTCGACCATCTGATCCGCTGTTTACCGGCCACCCTCTTGCTGCCTTGGAACTTGCTGCCAACATCCACACATTTCTTGTACGTACTCTGGGGTAGGTATATATTGAGCTTTGTTCCTCTTGAAGTCCGAGCGAGTTACCGCGTAAAGTCATCACGATGATGGGTCCGTCAATGCCTGGACAGGCAACAATCTCGTTTGCCATAAGATTGTGACAACAAGGAACCTACTGCTCGATCGATGCTATCCGAACATGGTACATCAAACATCAGCACAAGAGTGCTCCAGGTGGCAGACTAGATCACATCTTTGATGAGCATGTCAGCAAATAACAATCTATCGAAAATTGCACACTCTCGATCAAGAATCATGTTACAACCGAGGATTGTTTGTAATGTATTGCGCATTTGATTGCTATCGACTCATGTAAGAAGAGTACTGGCTGTACTCAGAGTCAGCGAATTGAAGCTATCTTCATTCTATCCATCTTTGTCCGAAAGAAAACACAAGAAAAATGCCACAACAACGACCATCATCATGACCACCTTTTATCCCGCAAGAACAAGACTTTCGATAGACAGTCTGACATGACACTTTGCTGTTGCATCATCTAGACTCTTCGTCCAAAGCCAACAATGGCTTGATGGATAATTAGTAAAACAGACTTTACTCGTTGTCAACAAGCATGGACACCCAGTGAGGCTGGTTGTTGCCTTCCTCCTGCTCATAGTCGTCGCAACCGACTCTGGAAGGAGGACGAGAGGCTTCGATGTGCTGAGCAAGCTGGATTCTGGTAGCCAGGGGGCTGCTGTCAGGAGTGCGAAGCTTCTCAGGAACCTGTCCGAAGCCATAGGTACTCTTGCTCTGAGAACCAACACGACTGGGTGTGGAAGGGAGACGGACACCGTGAGGAGTGGGCGTGCCATAGAGCGAGTTGTCCAAGGGACTGGTAGTCAGCTCATACAGACTGCGCGACTGACTGACAGGCGTCTTGGGTGCAGCAGGCTGAGGAGGAGTCACTGGCTTGTAAGACCAAGTCTCGATGTTGTGCATGAATCTGTTTGTGTTCGGCATAGTACGAGGAGTGCTGAAGCTGCGGTGCTCCGAGTAAAGGGCAGATTCGTGTTGGGCAACGGAAGGCTTGCGTGNGGGAGGCATCTCGAAAGAGATGCGGTTGTTGCCACCTTCGTTGAAGATCGAGCCAGACTTGCGCTGGATGATCTGTTCGTTGCTAGCCAAGCTTGTGCCAATAGTGGCAGAGTTGCGCATGACGGGAGGCACATTGGAGCTCTGCGAAGTGTGGCCGCTGTGGGTCTGACCAAGCGAGTTGGATCTGTCAACGCGAGAACCTTGGACCCAAGACAGCGAGTGAGGTGCCTCGGCATGGGAGCTCTGAGCCTGAACCTGACCCAGCAAGTTGGATCTCTCTGCAAGAGAAGTCTCTGTGCTAGCAAGTCTCTTGTGAGGAGTGACAGGCATGGTCTTTCCATGAGCATCTGGCGCAGTAGTCATGGTTCCATCGGCGTACTTGAGGACAGGCAGGATCTGGAGTTCAGGCTCGCCGCGGTCACGGTGCTGCTCAGGCGATGTAGCGTTGGATTGAGCGGAGATGGTCTCCTTGCCCTCCTCCTTGGCAACTGAGCCTGGCATCGACGCAGGCTGAGCTCTGCTGTCCATCTTGCCATTCTCAATGGTGCCTCTACGGTTGGTTCTGTAGGTACCACGACCACGGTAACCTCCACGGCCGAAAAACTTAGGACCCATAGGAGGGACTGTGGCAATCTTGCTGTGCTCCATAGCACGACGGAAGAAGTCTCCAGTAGGTGCAGCAAGCATGTTCTCAACGTGGGGTGCCTCAACGTAAGCCTTGACGACCTCACGGCCGGTACCTTCGGTATANNGCTGAGAATTGGTCAGTACAGAGTAGCTAGAGACCAAAGGGTCAACTTACTACATTCCGTTCCACATCTGAGTGATTGATCCCTGGTCGATCTTACCCTCAACAAGTGGAATGACCTCTTCGTATGGAACCAGCTTGTTGTATATCCAGGAGATCATCATAGAGCTTGGCGGCGTCAGTCTAGATCAAAAATTCTTGGAACAGAATGGCTTACCNNCCTGAAGCTTGGTCCACTTGCCAGTTTCCTTGTCCCAGAAGTCAGTTTCGACATCGGGATCGAAAGCTTGGAGCTCTGAGAGACCACAAAAGTGCTTGCTGAGCAGTGTTAGCAATCGAGGCAAATAAAAGAACAGCATTGTCACGAACCTGCCAGGCATCGACCAGAGAAACAGAGTCTTCATGGAGGGATCCTCGCGGTTGGTGTGCAAATCCATGATGCGTGTCATGACGTTCTGGTTTGTGGCCCAGAATCCAGTCTGATGGGACATGAGGATGTCATCGAGATTAGGGCACTTGATAGCAACCACTTGCGANNCTTTGACATGGTTAGCTGGTGATGCGGGGGAGGCATGTAAATTTTTACTTACGCCATAGGGCATCGAGTAGTGGTCAGGGTTCATGCCACTGAGGATGGAACTGGCTCCTCCGAAAGTCTCGAAAGAGTGGCCGTTGTTCTGAGTACGAACCTGCTTGAACATGCGAGGTGCCTGCTTCTGAACCCAAACAGGTGGAGGACCTGAAGGGCGAATGTACTCTACTTCCTTGGTGGCACCAGAAGGAGAGGTGGTGGCCTGCGACTTCTTGGGAACAGCGGAAGCATTGGGCGAGACATAATCCTCAATCGTGGGCTTCTCGACCTGACCAGCAGCAAGAACCTTGGACGAATCAGACGAATCCTGCTTGGGTAGGCTCAATTGGGTGCCAGTCTCAAGAGCAGCAACGCCAAGAGGCTTTTGCTGGGTCTGTGTGGCAGACTCGTTGACAAATTCAGAGGCACTCTGCTGAGGAAGGCCAGAGATGCTTGAAGAACCACCATGACCGTGTGAGTGGGGTTCAGCCAGAAGTGAGCGTGTCTTTAGTGTAGAAGAAATAGGAGTCTTCTTGTCGTCAAGATCGAGAGGCTTGGGAAGAGCGCCGAGACCAGGGATCACGAAGCCAGTAGGCTGGGGAGTGAAAGGAACACGCGAGACATTAGCGCCATCGGAAACACTTCCAATAGGATCAATGGCGGGGTGGTTGCCGGTGTTGTTAGCGACGCCAGTGAAACCAGGCATCGTATTGTGGGGAAGGGTGTGATGGACAGATCCGTCAGGACCAGAAAGGCTGGGTCTTGTCAGTGAGACTTGTCAATTTGCACAGATTAGACACAGTACTCACCCAGCGATGTTGTGGAAGGCGCCGAGGCCGAAACCTGTAGCCTTGGATGTGATGGGCATGCTTGCGTTTCTGTTGTTTTGAGCCTGGTCACTGGTAACCGCAGAAGGTTCAGAGTTGAACAAGGCCTTGACAGAATCGCTGTCAAAGCTGGCACGAGCGAGATGCTGCTGAGAAAGACGTTGCACGGTTGGGTTGTGAACGATGCGTCTGCGCTTGTACACCTCGAGGAAGTGATCAGTACCTGATCCAGCAGAGAGATAGGCATGATCGGACGAGGTTTCGGCAGCTGAATTGACACTGTGCTGAGCAGTGACGATCTCACCGGTTACAGAGCCCTGAGGAACCTCCTGGGAGTTGGAGGCTGGAGTCAGACCAGGAATCAGCTTTGGAGAATTGAAGTGCGCCGAGCCGGCGGCAGTGGGTGGAGGCATGTTGAATGCTGTGCGTATGTTAGTAGGCTTTAGAGACGACAGCCGCCCAAACAAAGACGTACTTTCACGCAGTTTTGCTGGTATACGAGATGGAAGCAGAGTTGCGCATGAAGAGTTGTGCGGATTTACGCGAGACGAGTGAGAGGCACGAGCTTTGCGTATCGACAAGACGCGCTGCAAAATTGATCGCGAAGTGAACGCGCTGGTAACTCAGAATGAGCGAGAACCCCTTGAAGGGACAATGATGAAACAACACACTCTCTCTCTTTCTTCGCTTGATGGGCAGAAAGAGTAAGAAAAGAAAAAACGAGATATGCTTGAGCCAGCGACACGGCACGATACGACACTTACAGCATAGTCGAAGGTTACTGGGCACTGTGTTGCAGACCAATACAAACCTCACATAAGTATGAGTCTACAATATCCAACATCTTACAGAAATGGCATTTGGGTATCGTGACTACACGTATCGACGGCATACAGGCATGGCTAGATGACAATCGAGGTCCCGGTGCTCGAGGTGTGTATTTGATGCTCTCCTAGGGATGTCGTTCCAGAAACTCTGTCTCGAGCAGACATCGTGGTAAATGGCGTGTTTTTGTGTAGCGAGACAGGAAGTGAAAGTGAAGAGCTGCTGTCTTCGAGCAGTGAAGTCTGCTGGATACCTAGCACGGACCTGCCCTAACCCGCCTCCGAGGAATTGCCGCGGGATGAAACAGAACTCGCATGAATAACCGAAGCTCGCGGCCGCCAAACGTCCCTTGGTCACACTTGGTCACAAGGATGTTCCTTAACATAACGAGGTTCTGAGATTCATCGAAATAGAGCATCGACCTCTTCGAGCTGATATATCGAGTGCTATAACAACCTGGATTGAAAGTATGAGGTCTCGAAACCATCCTCTAGATACAGACCACCTTTATGCGGTGCTGAAACCAGGTCACGCCAGTATCTATATTCACGTCTAGCTAAGAATCCTCTCTCCATGTTGTCCGAGTAAAGATATGAGCCCGGTAGAGTTATGCGAAGTCTGAAATCGGCCGTGTCTGCTTGTGCTCGCGGGTCGAGGAGAGCGCCGGCTTCGTGGATGGCACTTGCCACGATGACCAAGGTGCCTTCTTTTTCTGCCTACATTCGCGTGGCCGAATGACCCCGCCGCTGCAAGTTCCTGCAACTTCAACCAGCATCCCAGACATCTTCCTATCGCCTCTGTAAATTCCTGGTTTAGAACCTCATTGCGAACATGGCTCAAGTCATGGCTCAGCGCCAGGCGCTAGTCACCAAGCCCAAGTCGACTCAGAAACAGAGTACTGAAACGGTTCAAGTCATGCTTTATACCTCGGTCAGTACACCCGTTTCNTCATCCTCATCGGCTCCGACTGACATAGGCCCAGGCTAGCACGCTTTGTCGCGTAAGGTGAGAATCGGCCTCTGTCGTATCTCGAACCGAACAGTCTGACCAGTCGCATGCAGAGGAATCTTCCCTCCTCTGGCATTTGACGAAGTCGAGTTCGCCGATGACGATGAGCTCTACACCTTCGAAGGCTTGATGAACGACAAACACCCTTCTCGAGCGCAGCCACCTTCGCCGTCTGGCACTTCGACTAGATCAGCGGAGATTAGATCAACGAAAGGTGCCTTGCTTAAGAGAGGTCGAAGCATCCGTGCAGACCAGTTCCTCGATTCTCTTGTAGGCTGTGTGACTCGAATTGCTGCTTTGTTTGACGCTGACGGAATCCCCCTCATCAGNAATACAGCATTTGAAGCATTGCACCGAGGGACTTTGCATGCGTTACGCATCCCGTTCATGGGCGACCCTGATGTCAACTCAGATTCTCTCGAACTATGGTCGTTCCGTGTCATCTACAAGCAATCTGCAGATGGTGAACGTGAAGTTCAGGGCCTCGAAGCCGACCTCGGTGGCGAAGAAACCTTTGAGTCAAGCCTTTGCGTTATCAACTTGCTGGACAGAGTGTTTGATCAATGCAAAAACTCCCACAACTACCTGGTGAGATTCATTCTGACCTCACATTTATCCAATGGCTCGCTAATCCAACTTNNTCAAGATGACCGCTATATTCAACCCAGTATCTTGTATACGAACGATGGTTGGGAGCCAAGAGGCTTCGTGGAAACTCAATCTCGGCCATCCGTTCAAGGCTTTGCAGGCTGGAAACCCTATGAGGAAGACGTAGGCGTCATCGGTGGACTTTATCACGAGTAAGTTCATTGTCATGAAAGAATGCTGCTCGTTTTCTTACATCTTAAGTCTCGCACTCCGCGTCGCTTCCCTCAAACATGAGCATTCCAGNNCACAAGACGAATTTCTCAAGACCTTCAGTTTCGCAGGCCTAGTGAGAATCGACGGCTTTCTGCCAGGACGTCAACACTTTCGGGGGGCAATTCTCCTATCCGAACAAAGACTGTCTCACTCACTTTGCGTAGAGGAACCTCTGCCGCTTCAGCCATACCGCAAATTCCACAGCGTCCGAGTCAACCTGACAAAGGCAGAGTGTCCTCTGGAGGCCCTCCCGCTCTTATGGAAGCCACGAGCAACCTCTTTCTTGATGCAGCTGTATCCTCGAAAACGGACACATCGCAGAGTCGGGCTACAAGACCTATCACCACAGAGCAACGACTACAATCTGATGTCTCCAGTGCATCACAATACGATGACGATATACAACAAAGAAGCGCACTGGAAAACATGGTAAGTTTATGGTCGTTCAGAGTTTGTTACCAAACTTATAAATTGTTCAGNTTATTGTCTAGCTCGAACCGCGAAGACGACTTTGCAACTCAAGTTCGGACAAATGCGAGTCAGATATTAAACGACGAGAGTACTCGTAGTCCGGAGTTGGCTGAGCACATGAAAACATATGACTTTCTCTCAAGCGAAACAGCACATCGTCTTTGGATTCTGAAATGTGAACTCCAGAGGAGCCCTGGAATTGCGCTTACGAACGAATCTGTCGTGAGCTGCCGATGCCAACTTCATGACTCCATGGAAGAAATGGTATATTTGTAGATTCTTTCGGCGAGTTGTGCTAACTTTTGCCATAGGCTNCGATGCAGTATCTGTGGTGTGCAACAGCATGCTATCTGCCAAGGCTATCTAGGTGATAACCGCCAACCACCACGACATATCTGTCACCTTTGTTTGTTTGCTCGTAAGGTCGAGAAAGCCACTCTTTTAAGGCTGTATGAGCTAGCTTTGGAGCGAAGAGTGATGGACCTGCTCCTCTCTGGAGGAGTCGACAATGCAGTGGAGTTGAGTAGGAAGCTCGGTATGCACAAAAGACCTCTCCCTTATAGAGCGCTAATAAGGATCCCTCCAACAGATGTGCAATTCGACAAGGTTGCAGAACTGGTCACTTCTCTGGTTTCACAAAAGTTCGTTGTGGAGCAGAGCGGACGTTCCACAAGAAATTCACAAGGCAAGATAACATTTCCGAAGTCGGTCGGCACATCAGAGTATATCGATTCTCTTGCGAAGCTCTTTGATCCATACCAAGTTGTGGGACATCACGTAAGCGCGAACAGCCCTGTTGGTATGATGGTGATGCTGACTGTGTAGTTTTCCGCTGCAGTGTCAGACGACTCGGCTGCAGATGTAGCACAGACACTGCGAGCAAGATATACAGTTCTCGCTCAACTCCCGAGCAGTCTGTCGCCAGAACATAAGAGAGCTATGACTGCAAACGCGAGCAAGAAAAGATCCGAAAGTGTCACAGCCACTACAAAGAAAAGATCGAGGACCAGTCAGCCAGAGGCAGTCGTGATGAGCGAGCAAGCAACTCCAATTCGCCAGACATCTAGAATGAGGACTCCCACACCGAATATGAAGGAGGCTAGATTTGGCTTCTTCATCAACGGACAGGACCTTCCATCCAGAGAGCATCCAGAGATCAAGTCGAAGCGATTCAAGGGCGACTCGTAAGCACGGCTACGACTCATGTGGTACATAGGGTCCAGCCTCAAGGCTTTGCTTGAGTGATGAGCAGGAGTGATGAACAGCAAATAGATTATAGGTCATGTCGGCAGCACTAACTACATTCAAGTGGCTCGGAGGATCGTCAAGGGATGTACAGGAACTAAGGTATGGCTATGTGGCTTCAGGTAACAGACAGAAACACAATTCATCTATATGCCAAACTTTGTGTGCATCCCCCCCCCCCCCCCCCCCAACTCTCCTCCTAAACTGTTACCAAGCGAAGTGTTAGTTGTAGAATTACACAAAAGTGTACAGACTCAAGATGTAACCAGGAGAAGTTGGTCAGGACGGTGATCTGCTCGGATTGTGGCTCTCGCCTTACTCTCTTCATCATGTGAGCAAAAGAAAAATGCACAATCTCTTTTAAACGAGAGTCGGGTCCATTGAGAGCAGTGGGAAGCGAGCAGTCTCAGCAAATGACTCTGTCTGCGTAAGTTCATTGTGCATTTGTACTCCGTACAGCTAGACAGCGAACGAGGGGGGCGTGCGAGGATCTCCATATTTCAATATTTGTTCATTTAATTTTCTGAGACAGTCAATTGCGTGAGAGAGGATCATGGGCTGTGCACCGGGGGACCCATATTGATTTGCAGCGAATCACAACATGTGTGGAGTTGAATTTTTCGAGGTTTTGTCATGGTTCACGACTGGAGGGACAAGGTTATGTTGCGCATGAGAACAGAACTAAGGGATGCAGGTCGCGAATCGCGAAAAAGGTGGACGAGGAGCAACAACAGTGGACCCCCACGTTTCAAGCGGAAAGTTTGTCGACGAGAATCGAATCCTTCGGCGGCTCGCGCTAAAGAAACGCCGCCCCAGGCGCCCCTGATGTTGAGTCGAGAGTGAGCGGTTTGGCCGGATCAAAGTGGACTCGACGGCCACTAAGCAAGCTGCCGGCATGGCGACATTGTCGAGGGAGATTGATTCCCTGATTTTCGGGCTCAGTCTGACGGTGCAGCGTGCACAGTCTTGTTCGCAGTTGCAGGCTGCAGGTTGTTTGTTGGATGCAGCACTCACCATCTTTTGGTCGTTGACAGCGAGCACGCGCAACCGTCACAGCAACAAAATCACCCCTGACCCATCCAATTTGGCGGATAGCGTACCGGTCTTGACGTCGATTCGGCAAGATCGCAGTCATTTTGCACGCACAGGAGAGGAGGCTTCAACTTGGCGTTCAACCTGTCGAGAGGCACAATCGCGTCGACGAGAGTTCGCAGCCCTCCGCCCGTTGCGTATCGCAACTCTGTACGCTGCACGTCGTCCAAGCCGTTGGCCGGTCCATCGATAAGGAGTCTACAGGGGGGAGCGTGTCGGTCTTTTCTTCGTCTACATAACCAACATGTCGTCCGCCGCGCCTGCGCGCCCTCCCAGGCCTCTGTATTCTCTTGACCACAAACATAGCCGCGATCGACTCGACCCGGACCCGGACGTCGAAAAACGCTTTCAAGAAAGCATAGGATACACACTGGCCACCGAAGGAGGAGACGAATCAACCATGGGTGCCGCGGGGACTCTCCAGATATGGCCAAAGTTGCATATGGAGCCATACCAGAACATGCCCGACCTGGATAAGGCCAGATTCAATCGCCTGCCCAGCATCCACACCGACCCTTTCCTCACACAGCCCGCCAGACCCCGACCAACCTTGCACGCTGCTGTCAGTCAGCCGGATCTGTACTCGTCGTCGCGCAAGCATGCTATCATGACCGATGCCGCCAGACCTCCACCCGTGCCGCAACAACTTCAGCGCAGCCACAGAGTCGATTTTTCGAGGCTNTTTTCAAGACACAAATCAAAGAATAAAGACAAGGAAAAGGAAAAGGAAAAGGAAAAATCAGTGAGGCCTCCAACTGCTCACGTACCCGTCCCGCCGTCCTTGCCTCTACCACCACCGCCGCCAGTACCTGTAGCTACTCGCTCCCGTCAAGGTAGCGATATCTCATCCGTTCGACCCTCATCCTCGGGAACTGCCAGCCACCGTATCCAGGCCACTGCTTTTGACCGTAACGCTACCGAAAATGCAAAGATCAATGTGCGCAGGCCGCCCAAGGGTATCAAGCATTGGTTCGAAGGTCTGGACCCATCCGACGATGACTTGCCCGAAGTCGTCACTCCTGCCGAAACCATTCATCAGTCTACTTTCAACCCAGCTCTTGGTCCAGGAAGATCCAGGGTCGCACCTACTTCTCGTGTCACGCCTACGTGTGAAGGGTCGTCGTCAGATTATTTCCACTACCAGGGCTCTACACACCAAGCACACTCGCAGAATCAAAATCTTCAAGAACGCAGTATGCTGAACCTTTCATCCGACGAAGAGGACGAGCATTCAGAGCCTGCGTCACCACCTAGATGGGCTGACCATTCGACCACTGTAAGCGGACCCACATCTGACTCGGTAAGCTGGAACAAGACGGCTGCTACGAGACAGTCAACCTTTAGTATGCAAACAACAATGACGTCCGGCTCGATTCCTATCATACACGCCGACAACCTGGAAATGGCTTACCGAACTCCTCTACCTCCTCTTCCTGCCCAATATCAACAGTACACAGATGTCAACCCTGTTCCTGCTCCTTTACGGAAACAAAAGTCTTATCACTTCTCATCTCCTGGACGCACGAGAGCAACAAGCATCACATCGACTGGCATGCAAAGTGCTACTAGCGCCTCTAGCGCTGGACAGTCTCACGTCATGACTGTTACCCAGGAGGAGATGGCTCTGCTCGAGATGATGCGTCGCAAGAGAGCCGAGATGCAGGCTCAGCCCAACCATCCTGCTCGAAGACATGAATCATCTAGCCAACCCTCTCAGTACGACCGCAAGAACTCTGCCATTCGCAGTACCGCCTCATCGACCTTTTCGAGAGGCAGTGCTATGAGCATAGGTCTCATGCTTGACGCTCCTGAAGGCGCTGCCTTTCCCGCTCCTCCAAGCAACAGGATTATTCACGAAACTCAAGACATGAACTATTTCGGACTTGATGAGAAACGCACCAACAGGTCATCGGATATGTCCACTCCTCACTCGTATATGCTGGCCGAATTGGAAGCGCCCACCGAGCAGTTGCAAGCCCTTTGCTTCCAAAAACCAACAAAGTCTGCAAGCTCGAGTCAAAACAAGCTCGTCCCGTTTGAGAACACCGCCGACCCATACCGTCTCGCACCAGACCTTGAGCTCTCTTCTCTCGATCTCTTGCCTCTTCCTGCACGCACCTACTCTCCTTCTCTCACTGGTACTTGCAGTTCAGCTATGACTCCTGAATTCAGTACTCACGGCACGACCAATTTCAACGTCGCTGGCAGTGATAGCGAGACCAGCAGCGAAGCAGACAGATACCGCAACAGCGTCAAGACCATGGACAGTGTAGACATGGATGTCCTTACTGCCTGGAATCATTTGGGTGGCCAGTAAATCTGTCACCCTCGACTCTCAGTCTGCTTGAATTTTCTCATTTGTACATATGATTCTCTTTCAGCCTTTTATGTTTTATCTTCTCATGAGATCACGATCTAAAATCTGGATATTCTTGGGTCTGTCTTTGATCAGACGGAGGTTTTTGGCGTATATACACTCTTCAGATCTTCTTACTTGTATATTATACTACTTGATGTGGATGATATCTTTGACGACGCATTTATTGCATTAAACCCAGTCTTTTATTTCTATTTTTCATCTTATTTCCGTGTGTGATCTCTACCGTCTATACAGCTTTAACAGTGACCTGAAGACATTATCCCACCTGCGCTGTCCATCAGCCGAAATTAGGAAGTTCACGTGTCGCTCTTGATCTATGCAGTCAAGACAAGCATTGCAACAGGAAGGTGCTCAGCACGCGGAAGGAGCTAGTGACCTCCATCGCTCCTGCCCTTTCCTTCACAGTTATGTTTGCCGTCGATCGACACTTCCGCGTCGCGCGTAACTTCCTGTCCAGAAAACTGGAACTACATCGACCATTCTTCTGCATTGCACTCCCTCATTCTGCGGACGCGGTTCATGACCGCAGTCAACCTCAACCCACTCTCCCATAAATCGGAAAGACTCATGGGCCAACACATTTACCTGGGCTCTCGAGATGTGTCCGATGATCACCGCTGACATAAAGCGTCCTTCTGCTTGTGTCTTGTTTCTGGATCATACGAGACATGCATGTCCTGTCTCAATTCTTCTCGCTAGTCTGAACACTGCGGCATTATCTCTTCATGAGGCACAACATGCAGCTGCATCTACGACCAAGTCAATCTCGCTGGTGGTAGCACCCTGCTCTCTTATTATCACTGCCATACCGGCGGCGACACCAACTCGAATCTCTGTTATAACCACGACTCTGGGCTCCGGGAACACTCTGCTATCTTTCCATCGTGGCTGGAATAGCCTTGGGAATGCATACTCGACTTTGACCGCTTCTTTTCGTTGTGCCACAAGGATGAGCCAATATCCATGGATTTCGCTGTCCTACTATGCTCCAAAGCATCTCTCATTGGGATGGAAGTCGCAAGGCCCTACCAGTGCCCGGGATGCGATATATCACTGAAGCCTCAGTACCATACCTTGTCCCGACGAGCTTGACTACCAACTTAACGCGTCGATAGTCACATTGCCCTTCTGTACGGCTCTCGTTGGTCTACGCTAAGTGATATCCACCATACCAACTGGAGTGCTTAACATCAACCGGTCGGTTAGCTCAGTTGGTTAGAGCGTGGTGCTAATATTCGGTGGATATCCGCCCTATAATATGGCACGCCAAGGTCGCGGGTTCGACCCCGTACTGACCATCATCTTCTTTTGCTCGTGAAGGACATTATCGTTGAAACCAGCATCAACATTTTTGGTTGTGGTGGCTGGAAAACTCTTTGAGGCTTCAAAATTGAGCGGGCTTGCGTAGGGCTTGGCGTTAAGCTTGTGGGTTTGTGTATTTTTGTGCATGCTTGTGCAATCAAACGTCTATGATGTTATGGATGATGACAGGTATCTGTGCAAGAGCATTTGCAGACCAGAGGGCGAGAGGTTCTCTACAGTTAACTTCTTCCTTTTGGTTGACATGCGGACCCACACTAGTCCGCGCGACAGCAAGTCTACAGTATACGATACACGATGGAAGATAGGAATGAAGGTCAAGTCTGGAGAAAGAAAGAGCCCTTGTTGAAGTGGCTCTGTGTCATATATACAATTCATCACGGTTCGTATCTATTATAAATTCATGTTGAAAACCAAACAACCAAGAACGAGGATTTACTCGTCGTCAATGGTTTTTCTCGAGCGACCTCTCCATTGCAGCCAAATGATGGGAATAGTGACACCAATCATTAAAGCAGTACCAACACCCGCACTGGCCTTNNGGAGTCCAATGTTCTCAAACATCTGAGGGAACCAGAAGGGACCAATGAAGCNCCACATCTGACGAACGAAGGTGATGAAGACACCAATACTGGCAGCTTCTTCTTGGTGACAGTCGACGGCGTAAGTAATGAGAACAGTGGTGACAATTTGGTTACCGACGGCAGCGATGGCGGCACCGATGAGAGGTGTGACGTTCCACTTGGCGGTGTCCTCGGTCTGAATGAGAAAGACGATGTAGCCGACGATGCCCAAAAGGAAGCCGGAATAGGAAAGCCAGAGACGGTATTCAGGCATAGGACGGTGGCCAGCAGGCATCTTGCGAGCCTTGCGCTTCATCCAGAAATCAGACAGAACACCTCCCAGTTGCTCGCCAATGACAGATCCAATGATGATGCTCGCGAATTGGTATCCGATCTGCTGAGCGTTGAAATGATACTTCTCTTGGAACAGCTGAGGAATTTCAACGGTAACGAGGACGGAAGTGAGCAGGAAAACCATGGCGTATGCGACAGCAGGAAGCAGGACTGTAGCATGGCGACCCATGGTCAAGGGTTGAATGAAGTCCCAGGCCCTGAGGGGTGTAGGGTCAATGCGCCTGAAGCTCCAGTATTCTTGTTTGAGATCGGATCCGCGGTGCTCGACACCTTGGCGCAGGTATCTTGTCTCAGGGCCGAAGAAAATGTAGAGAATGAATTGGACGCCGTTGATGATGGCGAGGATGTAGTAAATCCAACGGTAGCCGACGTTGTTGGCGACGAAGCCCATAGTGAAACCGCCTAGTGGGACACCGAGAGTGACCATCAATGTCCAGATACCCATGTACTTTCCGCGCTCTCTCTTGAAGAACGTTTCGCCAACGACACCACTTCCGATAGCACCAGCAGGACTGATGAAGAAGGCGACCAAGGCTCTGCATGCGGCCATGCTGCCATAACTATGGCTGTAGGCACAACCAAGGTTGCAAACGAGACTGCAGATTGTAGAAAGCAACCAGATTGGGCGACGACCGTATCGTACAGAAAGAGGTCTCCNAAAGAGAGGAGCACCTCCCAAGATTGCAATTTGTAAGGATGTGAGGTAAGAGGCTCTTTGAATACTACAGTTCAAGTCCTCGTGAATGTTGAAGTAAGCGGGAATGATTGCTGCAGCCGTGAATGTGCCCATCATAGCATGGAAGGCAACCAATAACAGGTTAACCGTTTTNNCTGTAACGTGTCAGATCGATCCTATGTAGAATTTTCTGAAGAATGAGTCACCAACCTTCCAAGTCTTCCAATTCAACGGATCAGCATCACCAAAACCAGGCATAGGATCCAGCTCCAACGTGCCATGTCTCTTCAGAAGGTAGTTGCGATGCTCGGGAGTCAGGTTGGCTGCATCGCCAGCGATATGCGTTGACCATGGTGCCAAACCGCCCGTCTCAACCTTTTCAAGATAGTTTTGCCCAGTGGCGGTGACACTGCCATCCGTCTCCGAAGGCTCGCGCAGCTCTGTCTTGAAGTCAGAGTTGTGTTGCATCTTGCCCATGTCGCAATTTGAATGAAAGAGGTAGGTGTAGAAGGAAAGTACAGGTGTTGGGACGGGCCCTTTTATCCCCTGTCGTGCAACTCGAAACGGTTGGCCTCAATATGAGAAATTTGTGGGGAAGCGGAGAGAATCGATTCCTGCTCCCCACAAGCGTCCTTGCGAATGGTTGTCAATGTGGTCCCAGCGACATTCATGTACCCACTTAATACACCAGCATGATAGGGCTAGCGGGTCTTTTGATTTGTATGCTTCACCGGATCATCCGGGGTATTGCTGAATGAATGTTTGACAGTTAAGAGGTTCTTTGACTGTGAAACACCGACATCTTCCGTACCTTCAGATGTTCGTTTTGCCAGAAGTCAGAATTGTTAGAAGGAGTGGCGCTCCATGTAAAGTCTGTTATGATCAAGCCTCCCAAGCAATGTTGCCACCGCGGCTCAAGTTTCGTTCGCGTAGGGGGCGCCGAATCCAGGTCTGGGCAAAAGAACATCATCTTTGCGGCTCCTTGTTTGGTCGCGCCTCTTGCTAGTTCCAGCGTCGAATCTAGGGCAACCGCTTGACGTCGTCAAACGCTAGGCTGCCTTGGATAATTTCGACGTCCGAGATTGGTTGTTTGCCGCGACCACTTAACCGGGCTGTGGTAATGAACCCCATGGTGACCCCCGTACCCCACTGGTTTGTGTAGAAAGTGCCATTGACCAAAGATACGGGACTCTGGAGAACAATGTTCACGGGGAAATTGTCGGACAGTGACTATTGAGGGAATATTTGACCGATTGCAGAGCTTGGTTACTCCGTCACCTACCTGAGTGTGGCTTTCAAGCTGTGTACTCGCCTCTGGGCTCGGGTCAATGCCATCTAGTTACACCGTCTTGAAGATCAAGATGATGTCTTTCCGATTCCATACAGCAGGTGGGTGGTTGTCCTGAGTAGTTGAGCCGTGGTAGTCTCCAGAACAGATGTCGTCCGGCTCATCTCTTCTCTGGAGCTGCGCAACCGTACAACTCCATGCGGATTGTACGGATGTCCGTATCAGATCCACTGGTAGAATTGCCGATTTACCAACAGCTGCCGTCATTCAGGTCATCCAGTACCGATATCGATGACCCAGGCCGAGAATCCGTGAAGGAAGGAAAAAGCAGCAGTGTGCGAATGGCCGGCAGATGCTCTAGAGTCGAAATGCCGATTTCTTCTGCCGAAACGACGCTCGCAATCTTGTGCTTCACGTGCGCTGATGATGATGTATGCTCCATCATCCGAAACCCGAATGCAATTATCCGTTCAGATGTGAGAAACAAGACATACCATTTTTAAAAGCCCAATTGATAATTGCATGGACGCGGAAGCAACGAGGAAGCGGCGATCTGTTCGGTGACGAAAGGAAGAAGTCTGGAAGGTACAGAACAACTTGTCAAATTCAAAGAAGCGGAAGGCTTCCGCGGGGACATGTTGCCAAACGGTGGGGAAAGTTTCATCTCAGAATCTGGGGCCCCATTGCCCAAAGCATCGATCGTCAACACGGTAGTTGCGACTTGCAGCATCTTGCGCCCTGTCAGAAACCCCCAAGCCCGAGGATAAGGAGTGAGCAAATCCGAGTAACCGAGAACTTTGCAACTGCCGTTCAAAGGCCAAGTTGAAGTCGTTTTGTGCCCATGCAACCTCCTGTGATACGACGGCAGTTGCAAGATGGCTCATTGCCGAAAGCTGCGTTTCGCTGGTCGCTCGACACAGTATTGGTGTAAACAGCTGTAGAACATATAAGCTGCCTGCTGCAACTTGAAGACCAGAAAGGTATCCCTTGTGCATCACTCTTTCCCAACCTTCCTCTTCTCATTCTCTTCAACTGAGGCTATTCACACCATACCACAGACCCATCACTACTTCCATACGCCGAGCATCTTGAAGTTTAACACATCATGATCATCGGCGAGCTACTACCGCTTCTGGTGGCATATTGGCCAATCGTGCTTGCTGCATCAGCAGCCGCATACCTNCTAAACAACAAATTCTACAAAGGCCTGAACAAATACCCTGGTGCTCCGCTAGCAGCTTACACAAACTGGTGGCGCTTCTTCGAAGTATGGGGTCAGAAGTCAGAGTACACGCATAGAGCATTGCACCAGCAGCATGGAGATATTGTCAGACTTGGCCCTAACGTTTTGTCGTTTGCCGACCCCAAGGCTATCAAGACCATCTATGGATTGAACAAGGGTATGACCAAGTCGGACTTTTACCCCGTTCAGCAAGCTGTCTCAAAGGGCAAGCGTCTGCAATCGCTGTTCTCGACCACTTGGGAGGACTACCACGCCAAGTACAGAAGATGCGTCAACGGTGCTTTTGCCATGTCCTCGCTGGTCGAGTACGAGCCTCTGGTCGACAGCACCACCGATGTCTACATTGAGCGCACCAAGGAGCTTTACTGCGGAGAGAAGGCTCAGAGATGTGACTTCACTCGCTGGTTGCAGTTCTACGCTTTCGATGTTATTGGCGAGTTGACCTGGAGCAAGCGTCTGGGTTATATCGAGAAGGATGAAGATGTCGATGGCATCATTGCCTTCTTGAACAAGTTCCTCTCATACGCCGCACCTGTAAATGACTCTGTACTTATGTCTCTGAATAATCGCCACTAACAATACTTACCANNGATCGGTCAAATGCCATTCCTTGATCTTCTCCTTGAGAAGAACCCTCTCAAGCTTCAATTCGAGAAGTGGGGTCTCAACAAGAAGGTCTTCCCTGTCACCAAGTTTGCACTCGACCGCTCAGGCGAGCGCAAGGACGAGATGCAAAAAGTCCGTGAAACTGGAATGGTAGAGAAGCGCCCTGGCCGTGGTATCGACCTCCTCACAAAGTTCAACCAAGCTCAACACGACCACCCCGAGTTCATGACCGATGCTCAAGTTTTGGCAGCATCGACGAGTATGGTGTTTGCTGGAAGCGAGACTACTGCTATCAGTTTGAGCAGTGTCTTCTACCACTTGGTTAGACACCCCAAGGTCTACGCAAAGCTGATGCAAGAGCTCGATGATGCAGCTGAAACTGGTGCAATCCAACAACGCGAGAACAACAAGGTATCCTGGGCAGAGAGTCAGAAGTTGCCTTACCTTGATGCTGTCATCCAAGAATCCTTCCGCATGCACCCTGCTGCTGGCCTGATCCTCGAACGTATCACTCCCAAGCAAGGCATTGAGATTTGTGGCGAGCACATCCCCGGTGGTGTCATCGTTGGTTGCAACTCCTGGGTCCTGCACCGCCGCCCCGAAGTCTTTGGCGCAGACGTCGACACATTCAGACCTGAGAGATGGATTGAAGCTGATGCAATGAAGCTCAAGGAGATGAAGGCCACCATGTTCCAATTCGGTGCCGGCGCCAGAACATGCATTGGCAAGAACATCAGCTTGTTGGAAATCTACAAGTTGGTGCCCACTTTCCTGAGGACTTTCGAGATCGAGATGGACTGTGAAGACTGGAAGACAAGAAACGCATGGTTCGTCCGCCAGAGCGAGTTCTACACCAACTTCAAATTGAGAAACGTACCTCGCGAAGTTCCTGTTTAGATCAGATAGAGATCTGTAATGATACCCAAGTCCTTTTACCAAATCATTGTCAGTCGATCCACACTTTGAGCGATGGTTGTCACGTCTCCGTAGGGCCTCGGCCGTCAACCGTTGGAACCTTGATGGCAACCCCGCTCTCCTGCTGCTCAAAACATATCTGTATATCAACTCCACAGTCCCTAACTCTCATCAGGCAGGACCAAGAATCTATTTCAGAAACACCATGCCAGACATTACATTGTACTTTCTGCAGGCTTCGCGTTGTATACGCACAGCCTGGCAACTCGAAGAACTAGGCCTGGACTACAAAGTCGAGTTCTCGGAGCGCGAGAACGGAAAAGCACCCCAACACTTCAAGGACAACTCTGGCGATGCATTGGGCAAATTTCCTTTGCTCAAAGATGGAGATTTGACAGTGGGAGAAAGTGGTGCTATCGCCGAGTATGTCGAGTCCTGCGAGATCCATTCATGTGCTCAAATCGTTGATGAGAACACAGANTACTTATGCGAAAAATACGATACCTCGAATAAACTGCTTCCCAAAGAAGAGGCCACACGCGTGCAATGTCTACGCTGGCTCCACGCATCGGAAGCCACGTATGCGCTGCACGCACTAGCCATCCTCTACACGCGCTGGTTTGGCGCCGACAACCCAGGCGCAGCCGAGAAGATCGAAGAAGGCATGTCAGTGAACGTGTGCAAAGACATGGACTTCCTAGAAGCACACTTGAGCAACAGCCCTGAAAAGTTTCTGGTCGGAGACAGTGTCACAGTGGCTGATTGTATGATGCTGTTCTCGGCGCAGTTCATTTTGGCAAGGCAGTTGGGGACCAAGGGGAAGAAGTGGGACAGGATTGAGAAATGGATCGCCGACTGTGAAGACACGGAGAGCTACAAGCGTGCTGTTCAGAAGACAGGCCACAAGCTGTAGGCGCCACACACATCTTCCAATGAATGTTTTATATTTAGCAAGAATTGATGCGACAAAGGAAGCCCGAAAGTCACAATGATGTCAATCTCGATTTGCCAGGGTCTCGAAGCTCCCAAGTCCCCCCACTCACGCCAAGCCTCTCTCAAATGAGACCACGAGATTGCGGCGGACCCCTCATCAGACCTTCCCTCCTGCTTCTATCTACCAAATCACAACCTATCCCAAACACCTCCTCCTATACAAAACACAATCATCAACATGGTCGCCCAAACCGCCGAGTTCAAGAAGGCCGTCGAGGACAGCCGTAAGCTCCAGGCCAAGCCTTCGGATGACGAGCTCCTCCAGGTACGAGAGCAGTGACTTCGAGTCAAGGAGAGGCACACGAGACTGACTATGGTGGTATAGCTCTACGGACTGTTCAAGCAGGGTACCCAGGACCCTCCTATCGAGTCTTCTGACAAGCCCGGCATGTTCGACCTCAAGGTAACACCTACACCCTTCACACAACAAGAGATCTGTCCGATGAGAAGAACACCTTACTGACTCGTCTCTTCCATTCTANNGGGCAAGGCCAAGAGAAACGCATGGCAGAAGCTCGTCGATGAGGGTGTCACNCCCCAGGATGCCCAGAAGAAGTACGTCGCTCTTGTCGAGTCGCTCAAGAAGAAGCACGGTTACTCTGGTTAAATAACGACTTTTTCGTCATTCGAAATACCCCCTTCTGTCATGAATAAAGAGAAGCAATACCATATCATATTCTGCATAACACTGCCTCTTACTTAGTCGCCATTCTCGCGTGTTTCGTCATCCAGCCATACAGGCGTGCTAGCCAGCCTCAATCCGCCGAGCTACAGACCCTTCGAGCTATCTTTTATGCATCGGATGTCGTTCATCAGCCATGGCGAAGTCCTAGATATCATCATCACACCCTTGGGTTGTACGTTTGCCACATGACGCCCTTCCAATCCGGTTCGTCGTGCGACCTCTCTGCACACCATGGCACCTCATTTCCAGCATAGGGTGCAAGCGGCAAATCGTATGGCATTCTTATGCCAATTAACTTGTCGAACTCTTCCGAGGTGGTATCCATGTCAGGATCGTCTTTCTTGAAGACCGGTACCATACGAGCCTTCTCTCCTTCGCCAGCAAGCCACTGTGGACACACGAGGACACCAATCTCAAAGCTCGAGATGTTGACTTCTGAATTCTTGTTTGCCATCTCGCCCCAAGCCTGTTTCGACAGGTTAGCTGATGTCACCAGGGTCCAATCGATCTTGTCGCAGTCATTATTGGAGAATCTGATGAAGGTCTTGATGTGTGGCGCAGCACGGCGGCGACCTGCTTGTTGCACTCCGTTCCGGTCTCCGTTTGTGTCACCCGCCCAAGTACACAGGAGAGGCTTCATGTATACCAACTGTTTCTTCTGTACGTCTGAGTTCAGCTTCATATGTATCGAGCTTCCAGATTGGTAGCCATCCAACGAGCGACGAATTTCATCAGCAGTAGGGAAAATGACCCGAATTGATGCTGGCTCAGGCTTTGGTTGCTGTCCGGCAACAGTCGTTCTTAGAACGTTGAAGAAGCCGTCCAACCACTTCTCATAGAGAGTGCCGATCGATGATATCTGAACATTGATTCGAGCTTTGCTTGCTGGTGTAGTAGCTGGAAGTTCTTTCAGGACCCGCTCTAGACCAGGCCATCCCCAAAGACTTTGTTTGCTGTTGGTGGTATTCGTACCGACTTGCTGCTTACCGGGCACACTTGCAACAAGAGCAGCCTTGACAGAAGAAAAATCGTACTTCTTGAGCTGGTCAATAAGAGGGCGAGTGGGATCTCTGAACTTGCTTTTGTAACCTTGCAGATAGTTGAGCAACTCTCGTTTGAATCGAACACCAGAGCCAATGGGAGCTTCCAGTGTCTCGTCATCTGCACTGGACAATGGTAGAAGTGGTGACCGCCAGACTGCTTGAGTGAGATTCGTCCAGTCTTGGGAGATCATATTGGCTGTGTGGATGACAACCTGTGCAGTATCGTCATGTCTAATCAAGATGATGATCTTGGAGTGATGTGTTCCGTAGGCAGGTAACCAAACATGCATTGTTTCAACATTCGAATACTTTTTGGCTGTAGCTTCGAGATTGATACGAGAGAGACTGTTCTTGTCGTGAAAGCCATGAATGATCTTGGTCTGCACCGTATCACGAACATCCTCATCAAGGTGGCTCATGATAAAGTCAATGTCCAAGAGAAAGTTGAACTGCCATTGCTCTTTGATCATAGGATCCCCGAGAATGTCCGAGAGTGTGACTGTGTCGACGTTTGCTGAGGCTGGCAAGTCGCGAATCTTGGTCAATTGGAATGGCGAAGGTTGTGTTTTCGTGGGCCTTTGTTGTTGCTTTTCCTTGCCATTGTTGCTGCGCGTGAGTGGAGGAGGGCTGATGGGTTTGATGGTCGATGGAGCCATATCGGCAGGCCAATCCCAACTATACTCATCTGTTGGCGGTGACTCGGTGCTCGCAGTGGAGTCACTGAGGCGAGCCTTCTTTCTTGGCCGATCACTATCTGGAAAGTCGGCCATGGGATTTGCTGGTGTGGTTGGTAAGTGTTGTGATTCGAATCTGGAATTAGGTCTGAGATTGTTGAAGTAGGTGACCCTGTCAGCTTCGTGACTGCCTCAGGCTGCCTGGCTGGACGACATCCAACTCGCGCCTTCTATTTCGCACGTGAAATTAGATCAACGACCTACTCCATACAAGCTTCGTGGCTGCCTGGCGTAACGACCTCCAAATCGCGCTTCTTTTCTCCCTGTGCTGAAGACCATCACAGCGTAACTGTACGAATGCACAATACTAACGCAAAGAATGTGAACTTCACAGAGAGAACCCTGTGAAAGGCTAACTCAATGGCCAGAGTTACATTCAAATTGCACCTGTGCATTTCGATAGCGTATAACAATCTTTGTGCTCACGATGGAGATGGGGCCATTTTTAACATTGTGACTATCACACGGAGAGGTTGAGATCACACAGCCAACCTGAAAGCACTCATGTGTCGATGCTGGCATCATACAACGAGATAAACTTAGCATAACATAAGAATATGGACTTTACACTTTCTGTGTACTCTTATGGTTGGTATTGGTACGTAGATCTGCCTCCTGTTCATTCCTGTTACTCACGACTGATTGATGCAAAGGCTCTGTGCAGTCCACAAAAGAAACAAAGAGCACGATTCCTGAGATTGGTAGAAGTATTCAGCTCAATTATCTCTGCATTATCTACCGTGACTTTTGTCGTCTATCTTCGTCCAGATGCCTGTACCATCCATGCTATGAGTTGAAAAGGAGAAAGAGAAAAGAAACAGGGGAATAAACGCCTCATAAAACCATATCGCTTGCGATAACATCAAACACATTGATGCAAATGTACACCAGGTACATTTATTGGGAAGAACCACCGGAGATAGTGATGACCTGGCCGTTGACCCAGTTGCCGTCGCCGCTGGCAAGGAAGGCCACCACACGGGCGACATCCTCGGGGACGGCGCAACGGCCAAGAGGGCAGTGGTCGGCCATGAGCTTCTCGATCTTCTCGGCGGGCCACTCGGGTGTACCACCGGGGATGTAGTGNNCTAGAAGGTAGTTAGCATTGAGCTATCAGGAGAACATCTTTGATATATCAAGAGACGAATTCTTGTATATGCGGAAGATCAAAACACTTACCCATGCGTTGGAGGTGAACATGTCGGACTTGATACCACCGGGGGCAACACCGTTGACAGTGATACCACGCTTACCGAAGTCGGTAGCGAAGGCCTTGATCATACCAATGACGGCCATCTTAGAAGCGTTGTAAAGGACGTGGTCGCGGACACCAAGAAGACCAGCAGCGATAGAGGACATAAGGATCAAACGACCGTTGTCCTCGAGGTGCTTCCAGGCAGCTTGACCAACGAAGAACTGGGCGCGAGCGTTCAGGTTGAAGACGTGGTCGTACTTCTCCTCAGTGATCTCCTCAGTCTTGTCCCAGGACTCGGTACCGCTGTTGGACATGACAATGTCGATCTTGCCAAAGTGCTTCTTGGTCTCCTGGAACAGACGCTCAATCTCAGCAACCTTGCTGACATCGGCCTGGATGGCAATGGCCTTGGCACCGCTGCCGGTGGCCTCGATCTNCTTCACGACCTCATCAGCGGAGGACTTGCTGCTCTGGTAGTTGACAACGACGCTGGCACCACGCTTTCCGAGTTCAATGGCACAACCTCGACCGATACCACGGCCAGCACCGGTGATGAGAGCGACCTTTCCGTGGAGGGAGGCAGTGGGAACAGTAACGACGCCTTGAGACATTATGTTGGATTCGAGATGTGATGTAGAGATTGGGATTTGGTGTAACGGTGTTGTAGCGAGTGTTGAGAGTAGATGTGTGATGGAATTATAGAAACCAGCAGACCGTGGACTTACCAGCCATTAAGTATCACTCACCTTTGTTGAGCTCTACCACCATGACTACTCGAAACAGTTGTTCTATCCAGGTCCCGATACAACGAGGGCCGAAATGTTGAAAGTCGAGGTGGGGAGCCGACATGTTTGAGAGACCGAGCACAGCGTTTCGAAGCCCCGAAGCGGAGCGGACGGGGACGCTCTCAGGCACAGCGGACGTGAGACATGTCTTCCTAGCAAAAGTCCGACGATTGATGATGAGCATTGATCTTTCGGTCGCGCCAAAATAGATGCCGTCGGAGAATATTTGATGCAAGGCGACGATCTTGTCCGTTCGGTTCGCAGGGGCCGCAAGGTAGAGTTGGTGAGGCAACTTTTCTTGTCAGGGCCAGCTGCGGGGCTGTCTGTGGCTCACAAGCCATGAACTTGGACGTGTAGAGTACGAAGGTCGGAGCAAACTTCCTTTCAACAAACCAACAAATCTATGCTCACATATCGTGGCGGACAAGAATTCATATTCATGGCAGACAAATTTCATTCTTGAGTATTGTCTTAAGCATCCACTATCCGCCTGCCTTCTTCATGCTTCTACCATTATGAACACCATGGTGGTGCAGCCTCGCTTCTACTAGTCCCTTCCATCAAATGCACTTTCCTGGACTCCGAGCAATGGCTGCCTTCCCAAACATCTCCCCAGTATGCATGAACAACGAAGAGAATCAGCCAAGGAAGCAAAAAGAAAAACGAAAAGAAAAAAAAAGAACCGAAAAGCAAATGGTAGAAACGCTGTGCCGATAGGCTTGCGTGTTCTACATGAGAATATTAAGTGCTCATGTCGTCGTGGCATCATGGTAAAAATTGCCTTCCAAAACAATCCCGTCAGAGATGACTGGAGCTAAGGGAAGCATGCTCGTCGCTATACCAAATCGATTCAATTTGTCAGCTTCAGAGCGAAGAAAAAAAGGCCAGTAAACAACAGTGTTGTTAAGATCAAGGTGGCCTTGAGGGTATCGTTTCGAACGCCAGTATCAACCCGGTAACGCCAAAGGATAAGAATTGTTCAGTCACAAAGACTTGGTGTGCATTCATCACCAACCTTTGTAACCGAGAGAGGTGGCACGCTGGTAGGCAGGAAGCTTGAACCCCTTCTTCATCTCAGTCTGGACGAAGAGAGATGCACGCTTGAAGCGGCGGTCCTGGTACTTGTGGAAAACAGCGTTGTGGTGAACATCAGGAGCCTCGCAACACTCAACCATTACAGCCAAGAGTTGACGAATCTGTGCGTAGGTGTAGTTGGAGTAGTAGACGTGGGCCTGAGTCCATTCGCCTTTGCGCAACATCAGGCGGGCAAGGCAGTGGGCGCCTGCAGCCAGGAAACTCGGCGTACAGCCAACGAAGCGTTCGTCCATGATAGTAATTTCCAGGAAGTACTTTGCCAAGGTTCTGGTCTCGAGGTCGTAATCGTCGGCCTTGCTGATGCGGCGCAGGAAACTCATGGGACCAGGCCAGCCAAGCTCAAAGGAGAGCATACTGAGCATGTAACGCTCAGCCTTGAGAATCTCATCCTGGGTATAGCCTCCATCAACCATATAAACCACTTCCTGGACCGAGGGGCAATTGACTTCNNCCTCGTACTTGGCGGCAAGNNGGAAGATGGCAGTGGCACCGACGAGCTGCAGCTTGCCTAGTGAGATGACCTTGCAGGAAAGGAACCGGTCGATGTAGTTGACAGCTAGGAACAGAGTCTCAGGCAAGAGGGTGAAACGTGTGTGGACCTGGATCATCCAGTCCATAAGCACGGACCGCATCGACCATTGACATTCGTTCTGGTAATCCATGTAGTGTGCGTTCGGGCGCATGCGTTCNNCTGCTCAACATTAGCAACTCAAAGCCTGACAAGTAACAGGAATCGGACATACCTCGAGAGTGCGCATGTACTCAAAGATTTCATCACCATACTCGGCTACCATTGATGTATCCCATTGATCGTCCTCAATGTCCTCGGCGGTACGTGTGCTCTCGACGACTTGCCTGGCCTCTTCGATCTCTCTCAGTGTCTTGGCAGTATGCTTCGGGCACAACACAACCGTGGCTCCACCGGTCGTGTTGTCTGTGACACCACCTCGCGTCACTGTCTGACTTCCTTCGTAGAGTTCCTCTTCATAATCTTCGTCGTATTCATCGTCGTTGACAGTGATCAACGACTGACTTAATACGACAACCTTCTCCTCGGTCTCCGGCGCGAACTGCTCCAATGCGTTGGTATCCACGATGGCTGCCTCCTGGCTAGCGAGGACTTGAGGCGGCTGGACAGCTCCAACAGCACTCTCCTCCCTAGTATCGTCGACAACAGTGACTTGTTGATCCTTGACGACGTCGAGAGTTGCCTCGGGTGCAGGTTCTATCTCGTCAGACTCGTCGGTAATGGGCGCAGCCAAGTCTCTGAGAACAGGTGCACTCTTCTTGGGTTGAACTTTGCTGATGGTAGGCAGGGCAGTGGTAGGCGCAATAGAGGTAGTGATGTTCTTGACAGCGAGAGGCTTCTGAGCAGGCTTTGAAAGCACAAGAGGGTCGAGGTAAATGGCTGCTGCCTTGCCATTGTCATGTGCCTTCACAGCATCATCTGCCAGAGGAGCTGTCCTGATGGTGTTGCTCACATCGGCGAAGACAGCACGCTTGGCACCCGCACGCACAGCACCGTTCTGCATCAGGGTAGGTAGGGTGGTGGATGACTTGTTGCGCTGGTGAGTACCCTTGGCTGTGACTGGATGCGAAGGAAGAGCGTTTTCGTCATGGACGCGCAAAGGGCGTTGGGGTCTTTGGGGCTATTCGAGGTCAGCAATGGGTAAGAAAAGTGCTTGTGAATGAGGTTCAGAGAGCATGTTTTCAAATGGTAAAAGTAGCATGTGGATACACGTGTCTTGGGGACGTGTAGGAGATATGCAAGGGCGAAGGCAGCATATTCGTTGCAGCAAAACAAACAAAGCAGTGCAAGGTTGTATTTCGAGGAAGAAGCATAGAAGGTACTGGGGTATCTGCAGAAAATCGAGTATCAATGTTACCTTTGCATCCATGATAGGCAAGTCGAGACAGGTCGGGAGCAATGTGCGGTGTAGAGACAAATCAGAAGCGCGTCGCCGGCGAATCTTCAAAGTCTGCGGGATAGCCGTATGGGCTGGCACGCGTGTGGATGAAGAGACAGCTGGAGGACAAAGAGAACAACAGTTCAGCGCAGGCTCATGGCGAAGTAAGAAGGTAGTCGATGGTCGAGGAAGATCCTAACATAAGATTGCTAGAGGGCCCGAATGTCAAAACATCCAAAACGGTTCCATCAACAAACAGAAGAGCTGCATAACAGGTTCGCCAAGCCCCTAGCGTCAACTCTAACCCTGCCCAATGTAAACAAGGCCTCCTTCACGTCGTCCTCCAAACGTACAAGATGGCATTTCCTCCCCGACTTTTCCACAAACGATCGAATCTCCGGTTTAATTATCATGTATCAAATCTTGTCATATGCTTGAGTATATCTGCTCTATTTCTAGCCCAACGCTCCGCTACATTCACTCGAAGCACGCGTTCCTCCTTTTGCGACTTTCCGAACGCGAGTCTACACCATCGCACGTGATCTCCAAGATAGGTCCTGGTTGGACCATCGCCCGGACTCGAGGACAGATGCTATGAAACAATTCTGTGTAAGTTCTCACACACCTTGACAGACGATCCTTGAGCCTTATTGCCATGCACGAGCTTCAATCAGAAGCGAACTATGGCTGGTGAAAGCGCTAGATGCAAGGCCACTCATGGACCGTGTTAATGTAAGGTTGACCTTCTGCTCTTCAAGCAAAGCTCCTTGTTGGAAAGAAGAAAGGGGAGCTCTCTCCCGTCCATACCGTCCATCCAAATGTTGCCAGAACCGTCGCGCAGATTGCGACTCATGTTGGAGACGAATTTTCTAACAGTCGCGACCTCGGCACGCTTGCGCCGGCGCATCTTGAAACCGACATTGCAAGCACGCCCAATCTCGTTACTGAACTTCACTCCTTTCCGACCTGCCTTCTATCAGAAACGAAGTCAACTTTCTTTCTCCAAAATGGTTACCAACCTCGGTTTGACTGTGACAGGGATGAGTCCTTGTAGACAAAAGCCTCCACCGCGGGCAGATCAGCCTCGTCATTCCGACGGCAATTGTCGGCATGGTAAAGCCGTGGTGAATGACTTGCGCACACGCTGCGCCCACAAACCACGCACAAGATATCAGGCGCAAAGTCGTTCTCGTCACCCGCTTGTCATTGACTTCTCCAGGCGCGTCAGGTGGTGGTTTCGTTCTCATCGTTCGTAGGCGGTCTGCCCGGAAGCCCTTATAGGCAATCTGACACAGACCCATCTTGAAGGTGAGGTGTTAGCTCCATCGTATTGCAACTCGGACCACACATTGCTTCTGCGCGCATTCCACATGGCTTGGCAGATCCGTCGCATTCGAAAGGAATCGAACAAGTCGGTGTTCGTGATTAAGTGGAATGGTTGCACGGATTAGCGCCTTAGGGGAAGCAGTGCAAAGAAGCGATGCTCAGGATGGGCGGTGCGTTATCAAGCACTTGAGAGAGCAGTGCGAGCGGATCTGCAGCACTATATGCTTGTGCTATGCGCATCTACTTGAAATGGGCCCTGAGGTCATTGTATCGGTGTACGAGTGCATTGCGCGGAAGACAGTTTGTGGGATACTGGTATGCGCTTGCGTGGCACAGGTTGGACGACAGACTCGAACACAAGCACGCAGTTTGACAAAGATGGCAGACAGACTTGACAAAGAGCAGGGCGATTCGGCCGTCCAACAAGAGTCAGACACCGCTCTTAGTTATATGGCACAAGCGGAACTAGACGTGGGCAAGCGCAAAGCCTCTAATTGGCTTCCACATGCCGCCCACAGAGCAGCGCTGTTAACGAACCTATAGACAGACAGAGCAGTGCCTAGTTGAGGCATGCTGTGCAGGAGCAGACCAGACTGCTTGGATCTGCATCACTCAACAGAACTATCATGATAGCAGTGTCCTGATATGAGAGCCAGGCGGGCTGCGGCTATGGGATGGATAGATGGCCAGGGCAGCCAAATGATGATTGTTGGACAAATTTCAAGTTGTTCTAGCATGCTGAGTTCAATGCGATCGTGACAATGTCAATTGTAAAAGAGAAACAAGAGGTGTTTCGCATGATGAATTGGGCGTGATGTGGTTTAGTGGGCCGGATTCTCCGCCTGGGCTGAGAGGGACAACCCAGTAGCTTTCGTTCTGCGCTCCAAGACGACTTCCCCACCTCTACAACCTTCTTGTTCTGTCACATACCTGGTTGTCTGTTATTGTCTCATCGTATCTTTCTCTTCTCGCATTCTGCTGCGCTCTACTTTCTCGAGTCGTCGGCCGTTGCTCGCTGCAATCCCGGCTCTTCACCATCGCCCACCACTCTTCGGGTGAGCGCACAAGCGTACAGACAAGGAACAGACATCCTGTCTACCAGACATACACAAGGGATCGCCAGCATCCCTTGATCCAAGGCTGTACAGCAGCCACAGTGGTTGCTTGCTGAAAGCGCTCGAATCGGTTCGTTGACTCTCTGAGGCGGCTCCCCAGCGCCCGCCTAGTCCCAACCGCCATCAATGTCTTGACAACAGCGCTATCTAACGCCGTGAGGCACCATCCCCTCCGTTTCACTCATCTATAATGCCAATCGAGACATCAAACGCTGACCAGATCGCTGTTCCAGCTCTTCGACGACCCTCTACTCCCGTTGCGCCGACGGCAACGTCACCACCACGACACTCGCATATCTTCCAATACGCCTCTCTCGGTACCAGCAAGAGCCTTATCTACATCTACAAAGCCCACAACAACCAAAAGAATCATCAATTATGGACGTTGGTGACCTCTTGGCGAGAGACACACCTCGGGCTACCGTCGCCAGCGAGGGCAGACCATCGAGCCGTCAGCACTCGACTCGACACTCGTTACCGTCGCAAACACCCCAATACCACGACCATATGTACGATGGTGCAGCTGATGCAGCCCCACGAACATATGCTGACCCTCCTCGCTCCTCACGCACAAAGCAGCAGAAGCATGTCACTTTTGAACTCCTCCTGCCCGAAGGCCACAACCGTGAGCACCGTGCTCGCCTTCCCATGCGCGTCATGATATCCCCTCATGATACTACCGACTCAATCATCACAACAGTGCGCAACTTCTATGGCTTGTACGAGGGCCCGGGTGTCAGCTTCCAAGACAAGGAAGGGCGCATCCTGATTGCAACCTTTGAGAACTTCGAGCATAATATGGTCGTCTACGTACGTATGACTGCTCCTGATCCAGCTGTGGCAGCTGCTACTAGCCAGATACGTTCGGCTACGACGTCTCCTCGCAAGCCCAAATTGGCTGCTCCAATTGACATGCGCCCGCCGTCGCGCAACTCTCGTCCTGCGTCGCGCGCGGCTCCTGGAAGAAGTCTCTCTCCTCAATCAAACCGCAGTCACCGCAGCATGTCCAAGCCACAATCTCGTAGCGGTTTCCGGTCCAAGGACAAGGAGGGCTTGTATGATGACATGTATGCTGGCGACACTGACTATGACAGCGACGGTGCGCACAGTCGTCGCTCCAAGATCGAGCCTCATGCGAGTGCAGAGATCAGTGTCGAGAACATTGTCGAGGGTGGCAGGAGGAAGCGGGCTAAGTTTGACAGCTCGGTATGCGCTAGCGCTCCGCTGTGGTCCCATGTCTGGTCTAACCTTGTTCTANNGGAACTTCCTCTCTTTGTGCCTCCTCAGGTGCCAGCAGCGAACTCCATTTCGTCCATCTCCCCTCAACGACGCCCTGCTAATGGTGACATCGTTGCGTCTCCGTTCTCTTGGTCCAATCAACGCAACGTCACCTATCAGCAACCCCTTCCGTCGCCTCAGAGCTACACTGGATACTATAGCAGCATTCAGACCCCATACAACAACACGACTTTCCGCAGTCGTCCTGTACCCACTTTTCAACCTCGCTCGTCTGTTGGGGGTGGCGCTATCTTGCCCACTCCTGAACCTACCAACGCAAGTGTCATCTCGGATGAAGATGTTGCTCTGCAACTCATGCGCCTCGGCGATGCCTCCAACTTTTCTCACGGTCGTACGTCCACTTCGACTATGGACGACGGTCTAAGCGGCAAGGCAGATGCTGCTTCCTCTGCTGGCGAAGAAAGTGATGGCGAAGAGGAAGTCTCTAAGCCTCAGCAACCCACGTCACACGTCGCTGGGCCGCGCAGAAAGAAGCAGCGTGTGCTTGATGATGTCCTTCCAAGCACCGACAGCATCCAGTCCAGTGACGATTACTCAGAGGTCGACAGTGATGTTCCCGAGTATGACGAAAATGGCGTTCACGTCGCCCGCGCCATGTCTAAAGCAAAGGGTCTGCCTAATGGCAAGCCTCGCGACAGTGTATCATCTGTCAATGGCTCTACCAAATCTAAGAGCCGTGGTCCTGGACCAGTGAAGTCCAAACCGAAGTCAAATTCGACATCATCTTCGGCCAAAGTTCCAATTTCGCCAGCCTCTCTTCCATCGCAGTCTCGCAAGACGTCTGCCGCTTCCACCATCAATTTCCAGCATCAGCTCGGCGCTGACGAGGAAGATCTATCCACCAAACCGCGTTGCCAGAGATGCCGCAAGAGCAAGAAGGGCTGCGACCGTCAACGCCCTTGTGGTCGTTGCAAGGATGCCGGCATTGGCATTGAAGGCTGTGTCAGCGAAGACGAGGGCAATGGCCGCAAGGGACGCTATGGCCGTCACATGGGCGTGCCAGTCAAGAAGACTGATATGGCTTATGACGCTTACGACGCTGTCCCAATTACTGCCACTGGTGGTGGTGGTACTGGTGAATTCCTCGCACCTGCCCTTCCTGTGAACAAGAAGAGGAAGCGCTGACCTTACGCTCACCACCAACGGTCACCTGACCGATTTCGTATGTTTTATTCTATCGCATTGGGCATTTGGAGTACATGTTGGGCCAGGGGGAGTTTGTTTTTGAAACCACACACACACATCCGCAAGATCTCTTGGGCAAGCAAGCGTTCCTTTTACAAGTTTCTGAGCTGGTTGTCTCTCATTTTGCTTTACCAGACTACATGCATAGCACGCGCGTACACACACATCAAATGCTACTTACTTTTTACATCCTCATCTTCGTCTTCCCAAGTGCCAAGGACAGTCATAATGGCGCTGTAGAAACGCACGATACTTTCCAGGATGGGGCAATGTCCACGGAGAGACGTTCTTCTAAGGTCTCTCAGTGGCCACTGTCTTGATTGGAATGCGATTGTGCATTTTTATAGCTCTATCAATTGGTGATCTGTCGCTGGGAGAGAGACACTGACGAAATTTGGTGGTTGGCACCACATTAAAGGCATCCTCCAATGTCATGAGATGAGTGGTGAAACAGTGAAGTCTTGGTTCAATTATCATGTTACCATACCAACGGAAAACCAGGACCAAGCACGACTGGAATCCCAGACACAAGTAGCAGCGCGTTTCAGCTATATGTTCCAATCTAGTATAGATGGTATGTGACTCAAGAGTCAGGTGTGAGAGAGGAGGATGATATCGACAGGGTCGCACCAATAACAAAGCGAGATAGAAAGGCTTGGTCTCGTGGGGCATCTCGTCATTGAGGCTTTGAGACCTCGACCCGCCGTGACCACCTGCACTCATCCTGATAAACAACAACACCCTATCGAATCGCTCACCGCCTTTCACTACGCGTTCATTTGCTCAACACTTCACCTGCAATAAACCCCATCACCGCTCCTAAGCCGAAGCACCACGACCTCGAGCATACAGCACTCGCGCAAGGCGCCCCATCGCACAACATGTCCTCGCGCAAGAAGCTATTGAAGGTCTGCCCCCAGTGGAAGTGATGAGTTTGTGTCGCGTGGTGTTCTAACAGCCAACAGGTCATTATCCTCGGCGATAGCGGTGTCGGCAAGACCAGTTTGATGAACCAATATGTACGATACCTACCCCCATCGACTGTACCGAGCAGGAAGATCAAGAGCAAGGACAACGAGACTGATGGATGTGTTGCTCTCAGNGTCAACAAGAAGTTCAGCGCTAGTTACAAGGCCACCATCGGCGCAGACTTCNNCCTCACAAAAGAGGTTCTGGTCGACGATCGACTAGTCACCATGCAGGTGCGCAAGCCATACCTCTACGAAAGTCATCTGCTTCAGTACATCTGACACAATCGCTAGCTCTGGGATACCGCTGGTCAGGAGAGATTCCAATCGCTTGGTGTTGCTTTCTATCGTGGTGCCGACTGCTGTGTGCTGGTCTACGATGTCAACAACTCCAAAAGTTTCGACACCCTCGACAGCTGGAGAGACGAATTCTTGATCCAAGCCAGCCCTATGGATCCCGAAAGCTTCCCATTCGTAAGCGATTACCTCGTGTGCAAGGCTGGATCGAAGATGATACTAACAAACACTAGNGTCGTGCTCGGCAACAAGGTGGATGTGGAAGAGAGCAAGCGCATGGTTCGTCTCGAGTGACTTGGATTTGAGATGATAACGAACTGACTGTGATATCAANNGGTCTCATCGAAACGTGCCATGGCGTTCTGTCAGTCCAAGGGTGGTATCCCATACTTCGAGACCAGTGCCAAAGAGGCCATCAACGTTGAGCAAGCCTTTGAAGGTAACCCATTCCCCTTACCTTGTCTCACGATTTGGCCAGTATTAACATGTTTANNAGTGATTGCCCGCAACGCTCTAGCCCAAGAAGAGAGCGGCGACTTCAACGCAGACTACCCCGAAACGATCCCCATCAACCTCGACAACGAGCGTGACGGCTGCGCTTGCTAGACACCTACCTTAACGTTGTTTATTTTCATTCTTTTCATGCCATTCGTTCTCCCACAGGCGTTTCAATTTCGCATACGGGATGGCCCCAAACACTCTATAACCAGGGGCTTTGTCTCATTTCCTCGTGCACCGACTGCTTTGATCGTCGGTGCCTGCGGTGTGAATATAGCATATATACCTATAATACACCCACCTAGTCCTATGTATATATAGGTTCTTGTTCGTTGGCTGGTGGTGCAAGCTCGATTCGCTACCTCGGCAACGTCCTGCTGTGACTAGTCTGCTAGACCCTAGATCCTATGACTCGTTTTCGGGTTATCTCCCGTAGGATTTGGTTGGACGTCACTTCTGCATACAACTTGACTCTGCCTCAGTTGCTTTTATGACTACCATCAATTATGGGATTTTCTTTTTTGATGCTCAGCTCTTGATGATCTCTCTGTTATGTACGCTAGGTACTCGTATCGATGTCACTCAATCTCGTCAGATTGCCCCACAATTTAAACGTCCCCTGTCGCCGACCAGTGACATCCCCGTTCCTTGCATCCCACAACCAAGCATCCTGATCTCCTGCATCCAGCTCTTGGGCATCTCTTGGCAATATAAATTGGTCCTAACCGCACGACTAATTGATCTTTTGATGTCGCGACCGTCCATCGAGTCTCTGCTTGTAACAGCTTGTGTCCAGATGCCGTCGCTATAGTCCCTCAACAAAAGAAAAAAGCGTACGCCTCGTAATTGGCACCCGAGGTCAGGATGGACAACACCACAGTCAGAGATTTCCAATCACCCAGCGGAACAGACAGAGTGACTTTTCAGGAACAAGAGCCAGTTGGACGAAATTCTATGGCCGTTCCTCGTAGTCCGGAGATTCTTCCTGGTCGTCAGCAGCGATTTGGAAGCGTCGCATCGGGGACGTCGTTTGCTTCGAACGAGACTACGCGCCAGAGACGATTATCTAGATCCAATACGGTCAAAACTTACCATGAACCTACTCGACCTAACTGGCAACCTGGTGCCGAACCTGGAATCGATACTGATGCTGAGAGAGTAAGCCCGCACCTGGAAGCTCTACGTGCGCGATGCGATATTCTTGTCGCGGATTTTGGCGCCGAGCATCTCGAAACGGTACAGGTTGAGAATGAATCGCTCGAAGAGATTTTGTCTGAGGAGCGACCGCCTCACTTGCCTTGCCGCTGGATCTCGGTCAACGGCTTGAGTTGGGATGTCATCAAGATTCTCGGACAGCATTATGGATTGCACAGACTGGCTATCGAAGATTTGATCCACACACGCACTCGCACAAAGTGTGATTGGTACTCTGACCATGCGTTTGTGGTGTTGACGTTGCAGAAGCTCGTTCGCATACACTCGCATCATGACTCCGAGGACTGTGATTGCTCTGACGATGACAAGCCAATTTCATATGACGACATTGACGGAACAAATGACCACTACCCAGAACGTGAACGTGTGCCTTTCTGGAAGAGGCCTTTCAAGAAGTCGAAGAGGGCCCAGTCTGCACATACCTTACCCAAATATCGCGATCCTGAGGGACTGGACAAGATGGGAGATATGATTCGGGCACACAGTTCAACAGCAGATGGGGCACCATTACAAAACATCAGAACACTCCACCGTTACGAGAGTATGCAGAACCCCGAGCACACTTTGTTCATGGAAAAACACTCTGCCCTCTTCGAAGAGAATCTCGTCGTCAGTGTAGAGCAAGTCGCGATATTCTTGCTTTCTGACAATACCGTCATCTCGTTCTTCGAACACTCTGGCGCTGACATCGAGGAGCCTATCCTGGAGCGACTGAACAGTCCAGCCACAATGTTGCGTCGTAGCGCAGATGCATCGCTGGTACTACAGGCCGTCATCGATGCCATTGTCGACTTGGCCATTCCTGTCAAAGAAGCCTACAACAAAGCTAGAAAAGACTTGCAGATTGATGTCCTGACTAACCCGTCAATGAGTACCTCCAAAGCTCTCCATATCTTCACCGAAGAGATCGACATGCTGCAAAATTTGTTCAAACCCATCATCAATCTTGTCAATTCGCTTCGAGACCACAAGTCTACGGAGCCTTACCCTCCNGAAGCATTGTGGGATCCAGAGCTAATAACGCCACGGAANAAGAAGAACGAGCATCGGAGACCACAGCCCAAGAGACTTTACACCCAGTCGCCTACAAGTGTGGTTGTGAGTGCTTTGGCTCATGTTTACTTGGGCGATGTGCTTGATCATTGCATCACCATCATTCAATCGCTTGAACAGATGGATGCATCAGCTAATAACTTGTCATCTCTTATGTTCAACACCATTGGTAAGTCCCTCCTTCGAACATCCACATCACAACCGATAATGAGTAACATTTCTGACCTTCCCACAGGTGCCCGCACCAACACCAATATGTCGATTATCGCCCTCGTCACCGTCTTCTTCGCACCCTTGACCTTCCTCTGCGGTTACTTTGGCATGAACTTCCAACACTTCGAAGGCATCAAACATTCAGATGCGTACTTTTGGTATATTGCTATCCCAACCACTATTGTGTTCATTATGATGATCGGAGGTGGTGTTGGGTACAGGACTGTCAAGACCTGGGCAGCGAGGTTCCGTCTTGCAAAGGCGAGGAGAGGTAGGAAACAGAGGCAAGCAACTCTTAGTGCTAGGCAAAGGCAGAGGCAGAGGGCTGCGATGATGTAGTGGGTGTGAGAGTTGAATGGCAAGGTGTAATATTGTAGATAATTAGAGTTTTGAGGCGACATGGGGGTGTTCTGGGCTTTGTGTGGTGTTGGCTGTACGAGTATATTGTTTTCCTAGAGAGATGGAAGAGCCTTTTGCATTCACTGCGCCATGACTGTTTCACCAACGCATTGACTAGCCGCCTGAACGACAGAAGTGTATGACAAGCTTAGAACAAGCTGCATGAACACAATTCGAGCTTCTCCATCCACTTCCTGGGCTGACAAGAGTGTGAGAATTGTGGGCCTAAAGCAGTCCAGGAACAGTCATAACCTACGTTGATGATATACTAGATAGATGAGGAGACGAGCAGCTTGTTTCTTTGTCAACCTGCTACATAAAATATCTACGGATATAGTACACCTAGGACCATGATTGGCATGATATTAGTGCAAAGAGATGTTTGTAATATGTTTTAGATACTCGAGTATATTTTGGACAATCTTTGCATTACCAGAGTGTAGTAGAAAGTGCGATCAGGTGACTAGAAATAGTAGCATCTAGACAAGACTTGCAAGTCTACCTGTCCTAGCTGGTTTTGAGATAGACGGAAGTAACGACAAGAAGAAAAAGGAGCTAGGCAATTCTTTGCGCTCAAAAGACAATATGAGTTACGGACATGTCCAACTACAAGGGGTGGCATGGGTACAGATAGATTCTCAGCCAGGACAACGTGAGAGACGACACTGCTCGGTACACTCGTGTGTCCTGCAGGCTTTCCCTCGCGAGACGTCTTTTCTCGGTTATAAAGGTTGTTTTCGGGCTTCTTAGGAAATTATACAAACTGTGTGAGTGGGTCTCGAGGGCATGGCCCCTTGGAACAAGATGGAGCAATTCTTCCGGTTTGCATGAATGAATTAGGGCAGATCATGACCAACTCGCGGTGATCGCTCAAGACATTTTACATGTTTGTAAGGTACTCTGACACCCCAACATAGCTCGGAAGATCCTTGTCCGAGAAGTAGAAGAGGGGTGGTCTGCATAGAAGAGATACATGGCGGATTTAAGAACTTGAATGACATCGAAGGATGTTTGTAACGAGTAACAGAGTTCAAGCGTTGTGTCTGACATGAAGAAGGATTTCGGGAACCGGGACATGTTTGTTGCTCGGCGTCAGCCACCAAGCAGCCCTGAACGCCTCCCGCGTGTTTGGCTTGACTTTACCCGCGTGACCTTGACTTTTGCAGACGTCCATTGCTCAATTGAATATAGAAGCTTTTGTGTGAGCATGGAGCTTCTATACAACAAAAAAGTAAGATTTGAGCCGCTTCAGTTGGCTTGATCTGAAGACGCTTGGCAGCAAGACGTCACGACCTGCGTTATCGTGTCAGCTCAGTAGTGCGACAAAAGCTCCATCGCAGGTGCTGTTGGATGCCTCGAGGTCGTGTTCTCGTTGTCAAATCTTCCGAAAGCTGGCATTATCCACAGAAGGGCCGAATGCAGAGCTGGAGAAAGTCGAGAGAACTGGAGACAGGAGCGTGGAGGAAGGTGGGCTGTGGGGCTCGAGAGAGACCTGTGCTATGGAGAAAAACTGGAAAAGGAGATCGACACTTGGATGCAACCTCTCGCGACAATGGTGTTGGTGCAACCATCCAATGAAAACACGAGGTGTAGATTGGAGGATCCCGAGGATCCATCTGCCCACGCATTCCACAGCATGGCAGCTACTCTGGGCGACGTGGGTTGTTGTCATGTGCGCCGGTTGCTTCACTTTCCGTGCTCGCGACCTAAAAGTGAAAGAGGTAGGATGCTCTTACCTTAAGATATATAGCGAGACTCCCTTCTCGCCTGATTGCCTTTTTTTGTTCCACGTGCTTCTCACTCAGCAACCTATTCTACGATAACTACTAACAGACACCTGAATCTCCCTCGCTATTGGGGGCATCTGACAAGATGGTGAAACAATTCGGAAATGTCAACCTGATCGCTGCCATCGCTGTCATTGGTGGTGGTCTGTTCGGTTTTGACATCTCGTCGATGAGTGCCATCATCGCTACTCAAGTACGTGTGAAGATCTTTGCACTCGAAATAGGTACTCACACGCTGCTANNGCCATACAAATGTTACTTCAACCAGCAAGGACTCAACGATGCTGGCGAATGCATTGGACCCAAGGCCGACGTCCAAGGTGGAATCACTGCTTCCATGGCTGGTGGCTCATGGCTCGCTGCTCTTTGCTCCGGCTACCTCTCTGATCGTCTCGGTCGTAAGNNTAGTACTTGTCAATCTTGATATTGCAATTGACTCTGACTGTTCTTGCTTTGTACAGGCAAGGTCGCTATTCAAGTCGGAGCCGTGATTTGGGTCATCGGTTGCATCATCGTCTGCGCTTCCCAGAACATCGCTATGCTTATCGTTGGTCGTATAATCAACGGCTTCTGTGTTGGCATCTGTTCCGCCCAAGTTCCTGTCTACATTTCTGAAATTGCTCCCCCAAGCAAAAGAGGAAAGCTCGTTGGAGCCCAGCAATGGGCCATTACCTGGGGTAAGAGCCAAAGTTTTTGCTTACCCATCTTTTCGAACAACTACTAAACCGCTACAGGAATCATGATCATGTTCTACATCAGTTATGGATGTTCTTTCATCAACGGCACTGGTGCCTTCCGTGCTCCTTGGGCTCTACAGATGATCCCCGCCATCTTGCTCTTCTTCGGCATGATCTTCCTCCCTGAGTCTCCCCGTTGGTTGGCATCCAAGGATAGATGGGAGGAGACTCGCGCAGTCCTTGCTCTCACTCACGGTCACGGCGATCCCGAAAGTCCCTTCGTTATCCGCGAATTCGACGAAATCAGAGAATGGATCAGAATCGAGTCTGAAGCTAAGAACGCCTCCTACCTTGAGCTCATCCGTCCTCGTATGCTCAACAGAACCATCATCGGCATATTCATGCAAATCTGGTCCCAGTTGACTGGCATGAATGTCATGGTAAGTTGGCTTCACCTTCCAAAAATCCCCCAAACACCCCCCCAAACATCCCCCAACACCCAAAACATGTCACAAACACTCTCTTGTACCAAGAATGACGCTGATTTCCCTGTTNNGATGTACTACATCACTTATGTATTCCAAATGGCAGGCTTGTCAGGAAACAACCTTCTCGTCTCCTCATCCATCCAATATGTCATCAACGTCGTTATGACTGTTCCCGGATTACTTTTGGTCGACCGCGTGGGCCGCCGCCCTCTACTTCTGATCGGAGCTGCTTTCATGGCCTTGTGGCTGTTCGCAAATGCCGGAATCCTTGGTGCATATGGAACTTACCCTGGTCCTAAGGGCGTTGGAGGCAACACACCTGAGGCTTCAACCGAAGTCACAGGCGCAGCTTCCAAGGCTGTCATTGCTTGTTCATACCTCTTCGTTGCATCATACGCACCTACCTGGGGTCCTGTAAGTATTCTCGACAGAGTTTTCTCCTAAGAAAATGATTGCTAACTCCTCCCTTCANNGGTCTCCTGGATCTACCCTTCAGAGATCTTCCCCAACCGCATTCGTGGAAAGGCCACAGCTCTTGCCACCTCTTCAAACTGGGCTTTCAACTTCGCCTTGGGATACTTCGTTCCTCCTGCTTTCATCAACATCAGATGGCACACTTACATTGTTTTCGGTGTCTTCTGCGTTGCCATGTGGATCCACGTATTCCTTTGCTTTCCAGAGACCAGTGGCAAAAGTCTTGAGGAGGTCACTGCTATGTTCGAAGACCCTAACGGCATCCGCTACATCGGCACTCCTGCCTGGAAGACCCGTGCATCGACCTCGGCCACATCCCGTCTTGAGAGAGGGGAAGGTCTTGAGAAGAAGCTTAGCGAGGAGGAGAAGCCTGAAACACACGAGGTTGCTCCCAAGGAGACCGTCTAAGGAGTGTACAAAAACGTCTCACGAACATGCATTGATAATGAGGATGCAGACATAACTCTCACGAGCACGAAATAGCTTCGACCATGCCGAAAGAGGCACAGTGTCCATACAGCATGACTTATACCCTCTAGTAATTACATATCATTTTCTTCCTACTTGGCTAGCGTGAACCACTGTGAACGTGATATTGTCGATATGCCTGCCGAAACTTGTGCAAAACGTCCAGAGTGCGAGATTCGGTATGAAGGAATGTCGATTGGCACTTCGAAATGGTTGTACACTTTCATCTGGTCAAAGTTTCTATCGACAGAGGCACAATAATTTCTAAAGACAACAAGAGGATGACCTTATCAGGTATGCTGTTGCTAGAACGATCGTCGTCGTCGCGGACGAACATAATATAATCAGAAGACATTGACATATCAACACAGGGCAACATTACTTCGAGGATACAAATTAGGTACAGGTGAGCTCCGTTAGAGCTTCGGATGCTCCAGTCAAACAACGTTCTTCTGCAGCCACTCCTCCCAGTCTTTCTTCGTGAAGCTGCTCGAAATGCTTGGTTCGTTGAGTCCCTATAGTTCAGATTAGTATGCACGCTAACCTCATTGGACTATTTTGTCTATGCTTACGTTAAACATAACAGTAGGTGAGACGTGAACGCCGACCAATCGACCGGCCTTGATAAGTAACTTCAAATCGTTGGTCACCTGGTTGCCAGAGTTTAGACTTCCGTCGGGACCAGGCTTGTCAGAAATCTCGAGCTGATTGTAGATCTTGCTCTCGTCCAGACCGACAGTAGCGGCAAGCTTGGCAAGGCGCTTGTAAGTCTGGTTTCTGGTCTCGTTGACAACATTGACATCGAAGTAATCGGTCTGCTTGTCGAACAAAGCAGCAGAGAAGGGCCAGAACTTGGAAGGATCGGCTCTTAGGACTGCAACAGCCGCCTCATGGACTAGAGTGGATGAAGGGTGCCATGGCTGGATCTGCTGGCGGAAGATGACTTGCAGGTTGTTCGAGTACTTCTGCTCAATGATAGGGGCGACATCTTTGTAGAAGGTGTCGAATTGCTTCTTGGAGAAGGGACACACGTAGTCAAGGACNNTGTACTTCACATGAGCATCGAAACTGATGATCAGTCTGGCTCAGGGTTACATACATAGTTCCAGGGTGTGATTGGAGCCGAGGCTGCTGGAAAGAGCCTGTCCAGCGAACTTGGGAGCAAGAGCCATGTCTGGTTCTGGTTGATGAGGAGCAAAGCTTGAGGAGTTGCTTGAAACGCTTGGACTTTGGAAAATAGTGCTGGATACTGAAGGAATGGAAGCTGATGGCGGAGTTGGAGGACGCTCAAACCCTGGTGGAGGCTGTTTCGGAGAGCCAAATAGGTTGCCTGTCAAACGAGCAACGAGTGGTCTTTCTTCGGGATGCAAAGTATAGTAGAGGTCGGCGTTGGCCTTGTGAATATCTTCTACCCGTTTTCTTTCACGATTCTCAATTGCTCGCTCTTGTTTTCGCCTTTGTTTTTGTTCGTATTTTTGTCTGATGCGAGCTCGCTCTGCCTCTGTCAAGGGAGGGAAATCTGCCGGTACCGATTCTGCTATCACGGCGGTGGTAAGATATTCCTGTAGGACGATATGGATGATGAATATGAGCTTAGAAGGGCGGTAGAGGTTTGTGTAAGTAGAATCAATGTTTATATCTACCCTCGTGGTTGACGAGCTCCAGTCCAGCAATGACGTGACTGTCGGAGTTGACGGAGTTTAGGGAAGGAGCTCTCTCCGGCATACAGATCTCTTTGCCGAATTTCACAACTTGTCGACCGCTGAAGAGAATTACGACTCGTAGGAACGAGACTGTAGGCTCTCAAAGAGAACACAACCTCGACTAAGCCATGCGTAGTTTGATAAGAATGTGTCTACAGTCACGCGATTGGAAACCATGAGAGATGTGTAGATGTGAGTGGCTTGGCATACGTCGGATAAGGAAGTTGCTATGTTCGCTAGCGCCTCGCGTTTCGGCGCGTCCTCCTTTGCCACACCATCTTCTTCTTGTCCTATGGATAGAGGAAAGATGAAATCTTTATGACAATGTCGATACACGCTCTCCCACAGACAGCTGTACGGACCATTCGATCCGGTCAGGCTTTGACCGATCCTGTTTCTGTGGTCAAAGAACTCATTGATAACGCCCTCGACGCGCGAGCATCCAACATCGCTATCGAGATTTCGGCAAACACTCTCGACGTAATTCAAGTCAAAGACAATGGTCATGGCATTGCTCCAACTGATAGACCCCTCGTGGCCAAGCCTTACTGTACCAGCAAACTCAAGGATGANAAAGATCTAGCCCTTGTAGGTTCAACCTATCTCGGCTTTCGAGGTGAAGCCTTGAGCAGTGCATTGGCAATGAGTGATGAAATGACTATCACTACAAGAGTTGAAGGCGAAACTATTGCTACTGCTATCAAGATATGTCAGACTGGCGATCCGGCTCAGGATCGTGCCACTCATCCACCCGGAACCACGGTTCGGATTGCCAACTTNTTGAAGAATCAGCCAGTGCGAAAGCAAGTCGCTTTGAAGGCTGCGCCCAAGACTTTGACAAAGATCAAGCAGTTGTTGCAGTCTTATGCTTTTGCTAGACCAGCTACGAGACTCTCGTTAAAAGTCATCAAGGCCAAGAACGACAAGGATAACTGGACTTATGCGCCAAAGATTGGTGGCGGCATCGAAGATACAGCTTTCAAGGTTGTGGGAAAGCCTTGTGCTTCTCAATGCGCTTGGGCTGAGCTTGAGTACGAAGGCTTTACTGTACAAGCATTTCTACCTCGCCCTGACGCACATGCTTCGAGAATCAGTGGTCTTGGACAGTACGTCTCGGTTAACGATCGACCTCTTACTTCGTCCCGAGGCATATCCAGACAGCTGGTCAGAATCTACAAGGAGAGCTTGAAAGAATCGTCATTGCTAGGCGATGCCAAGGATCCNTTTCTATACCTATCACTCTCTTGTCCACCTGGCAGCTACGATGCCAACATCGAGCCAGCAAAAGACGATGTTCTATTTGGTGACGTTGACAAAGTTGTGGAGGCTGTCAGAAGATTGATGTTGATCTCCTACCCCGAAAAGGATGTGTCAGAAGAACCTACAAATGCTCATGAGTCTACTAACAATGGTCGCAAGCTGTTTGCAACGCCAGCACCAGGAGCAAGATCGAATAGAGTTGAGGCNAAAGGCAACATGTATGACCTCGATGAGGACGACCTCACTCTGTTCATGGATTCGGTAGATCAGCCCAGGAATGATGCTGTCGAGGAAGACGAGCCTTCCGAGTCCATCAGAAGTGCCGCAGTGTCGAATCCTTGGATTACTGCCAAAATGAACGCCTACAGCAACAAAAGGAACAACGTCAACTTGCAACTCCTGACTCCGGCCAAACAGGCGTCAAGTTCTACACCTGAAGCAAGTTCACCCGCTCTCGAAACACATCGTCTACAGCAGGACACACCAGCATTACCGACACCTCGACAATCGTCGCCCGTGTTCGCTCAATCAGAGGAGTATGAGAATGTCGGGCCTCGCCGCATCATAGGTCCTCTCAATCTTCCTCCTCCAGTCCATCACATGTCACCTATGCGAGATAACAGTGAAGCCTTCGAAGCCTCTCCCGTACCCAATCGTATGACCCTTCCTCCTCATCAATCCTCAGAGGGTACTCCATTAGACATGATACCAGAAGCCGCGCCAAGGAGACGAAGTCCACCAAAACAGCAACGACAGTTCGTCAACAAGCCTTTCGTGTCACCAGTCGACCCTGAACGTGATGCATGGTTCCACTTTCCCGAATCGCAATCGTCGAGGCAGTTCGCATGGAAGGGACGATCGCACAAGCAAAGTGGATCGGGTCTGGTACCAAGTGGAGAGCCGTTCTCTTCAAGTGCTACGCCTCCTCCCAACAACACAGATATTCGCGACTTCCTCGGTCGAGGCCGAGAACAGCAGTCTGTTACCCCTGTGACAAACACTGCAGCAAACGCAGACATCGAAAACGTGTCGCCAGAAGAGAGTCGCCGCGAGATGCAGCCTAAGGGGTTCGTCAGGGCTAGTGAACTTGACCTCGCCAGCACTCAATTCAAGGAGCCCACACGACCAGCCCCAGCACCAAAACCCAGACGCCGCAGAACAACAGATGAGCGTGCGTTACAAGAAACATCCGGCAATGGCAGAGAAGATGTCGATGAAAGTGGTTCTGAGTACGAGGATCGTCCTTGTCGCCGTCGTACTGGAGAATCGGATCCGAAAAGAGTGCGACGTATCAAGTCTTCCGCCTTGGCACTTGAGAAAGTACCAGCAGATTCACAAACTCAGTGCTGGACTGCTATGTTGCCAGCAACGGTTGACGATCTGGCTGAAAATCTGCAAAACATTCAGTCGGAAGGCACTTTTGTGGCGTGGAACGCACCTGCCTTTGATACCGAAGCCGACATGAAAAGAAACTTTACAGAAGGTGACGTGCAGCGCTGGACTTTAGCTGTCAGTCAAGGTTTGCTCAAGCTTGAGCCAGAAGGCGAGTTGGTACGCGATCTGGGTGATGTGGTCAGGAACGCTATGAGCAGGTGGGGCTCAATCGCCGCTGTCTAAACAGAGCAGATGTTCTAATTTCACGTTTTTCGCCTTGCTGTCCTTGGGAGGTCGGTTCGCTTGTTCCGCTGAGGCGAATATGTTCTTGTCGGTGGGAGCGAGGCTTATTGCTTTTACAGTACAACAGACTCATGGTGTCAAGGAGTTGCTTTTGTTCGGATGTTTTGCTGGTATGATACCCCTGAGAGTGTAGCTAGAAGAGTTGATGTTTGATACGCTGTGATGCATGACAATGGCTGTATGTACATAACATCGATTATCTTATTCGGCAGCTAGAGACGATGATACAATGATATAACACATATGATTTATTAAACAGGAGGGAATCAGTCACTTTCGAGTTCAAGCAGCAAGTGCCATGCACGAAAAACCAGTGCTGCTTGTTTTGCGTGATCTATTGCAGGAGAACATGGAATCCAGGAGCACTCCCATCCTACCGTCAAAACCCTAAGGAGTAATTGCGTGATATTCAAAACATCAAAAGTGGTATATTTCATCTCAATATCTTACAAACATCCTCTCCATCTCTCATCTACGCATCCAAAGCCTTCTTAGCCGCATCCACAATCTTCTTGACCTCCTGCACACCNNCCTTCTCGACAACTTTTTCCATTTGCGTACCTGCCTTCTTCAAGTCATCCGGTCTCGCAGACTTTGCCAACTGCATAGCCCTCAATTTCTTCTGCTGCCCTTGTCTGGCATTCCTGACCGCGTTGTTGGCCACATCTCCTGCTTTTGCTGCTGCTGCAACGGCTTGCTTGCGCGACTCGGCGGTGGGAGGCGGGATGGGGATGTTGAGGAGCAGAGGGTTTTGGCCTGTGGGGTCGGCTTGGGGAGTCAGGTTTAGGTTTGCGGATTGGATTGATGAGGTGACGGGTTTGAGGTGNNCTGGTTGTTGCGATATTTGTCAATTTTGGTTTTGAGAGAGAAAGGCGTATAGCAAAAATGGGAACGATACCTCTTGCTCGCCAACCACGACCTGCACAACTCTTCCCTTAGGCACCACTTGTGCCAGATCTCCGAGTTTCACAGGTCCACCTTGTTTGAGTTGCACGCGCAAACTCTCGAGTACTTGAGGGTTGAATCGTCCTCCCTGTCTCAATTGCGAAAGATCGCTCTTCAGTTTCTCGACTGCATCGCTGATGTCTGACTCCAAAGCGCTAAAGTCGAAAGGGTCTTCTGAGCCTACTGCCGCGGCGGAGGACGGCGAGGACGAGCACGATTCGGAGCGTGAGGCTTCGCGTGCTGCTTTTCCGCCTTTCTTGAAAACGGCAGTTGTGTTGCTGAAGGTGCGAATGGTTGGTGTGTATTTTGCTGTGGTGGCAGTGACCAGAGCTGCAGGACTGCGAGTAGCTATCGTCAGTTTTTGTAGAGAGTGCGATGAAAGAAGGAAGCAATATACCGGAGACTACATTGCCTGACGACAGCAATGTCACGCGACAGCACACGTGAGCAAAGCAATTGTGTTGATCGTGTTGGTCGCATTTTGAGAACTATGGTTTGTTTCTGTTGTCGCAACTGGAAACCTCGAAAGCCGAATGTGGAAAGATGCTTGTGACGTCGGCACTGCCACGAGCCGAAAGGCAACCCTGTCCTCCTGTCAATCTTTAAAGACATTGACGGATCGACGAACGATCTACTGCCGCTGCAGAAACGAACATGCAAGTGTTCGGGTCGGTCTGCCAATCTAACTAGCTCGCAACTAGTGTATGGTTATGTCAGGAGGCTCAACCTCAATACATCACAATCGTCTATCAAGGTCTAGGTAGGTAATGTTAAGAAAACATTCCATCAATGCATTTGCTGAAGCTCATTATTAAAGATTGTCTGGTTGTGTACGCATGAATAGCTCGGCCGTAAAGACTTGTGAGAAGAGAAGAGAACAAGCAAACTCATACACTCTGGCAGATACAGAGTGCAGAGACAAACAAAAGGACCGGCGCCAAAGGGAAGGTGACCTGTAACCTTCAATAAAAGCAAAAACCCGTGAATTAGCAGCATCAAAAGGGGGCAAAAAACAATAACTCCATGACGAAGAATGTGATGGGTGGGGACATTTGTAAGAACACCAAATGAGAGAAGGCTCATGAGCCAAACAGCCGTAAACCAACAAGTAAACCGACTAGTTGAAGCACATCGCTTGTGAAAAAAAATCCAAGTCGCTCGTGGGGAATCTTTTATGCGTGATGCAAACGCAGAAAAACACTTTCCCACCAAACCTCCCAGCTTGCGCCGTGATTCGTACCCTACCAATATGTCTTTGTGTAGCAGGAAAAGATAACGCCAACCTAATGCCCGGAGTGTAATGAGAGGTTATGACTGTAACGCCTGAAGCGCCGCAATCCCTGAATCCAAGGATTTGGATGCTAGAAAGATGAATCGAGTGTGATGACGATGACTGAGAGGCTTAACATGATAAATCATCGTCCATTGTGTCCGTTGAGCGCGTTTTGACCATTGCCGTTGGTATAGATGTTGCCGTTAAGAGAATGATCCATGAAGCTGTTCATGCTGCCAAAAGTCGGGGGATATGTGTACTGGCCGGATGAAAGGTTGCGGTGAGACTGAGAATAGCCATTTGTGCCTTGCTGTGAATAACTCTGAGGGTTGATCCCTCTGTACTGAGGAGGGTAACCACGAGCGGCGTTGTTCTGCACGGGTGGTGGCGCGTGAGATTGCTGACCGTGAACGCCAGGAGGCATGAGACCAGGAGGAGGACCTGCTGCGGTAGTGAACCCAGGAGGAGCACCCATACCATTGCTGAATCCGGATTGGCCTGGATGAGAACCCATCGCAGCGTGGTTTCTGTTGTCGCTTCTGACACCCAGGGGGTTCTTTGAGAAGCTGACACGAATACCTCCTTTGTAGCTGTTGTGCAGTTGTACGCCATACAACTCGTGAAGAGCATGAGATGCGTAAGAAGTATCTTCGAACTCGACAAAACACATGGGGCCGTTCTGTTTCGTACGGAAGCAAAGTCGCTTGAACCCTCTGCTCTTGGAGAACAGAGACTTCAGCTCGTCCTCGCTAGTGTTTAGTGGCAGGTTTCCAACGTACAAAGTGTTGCAAGGAGGGTTCTGGTCAGCAGGATTGGCAGGAGGGTAATCGTGCTTCAGGTTTCTGTTCGAGTAAGTCCCGTTTGGACCTCCAGCAGGGCCCCTAGTAGGAGTCGGCAAAGTTGGTGAGCGCACAGTTTGCGGAGAGCTGTAAGTCGAAGCAGAAGGAGAGCCCACATAAGTAGGGTAAGAGTGTCCATTTGTGGTACTGGCGCTGGTTTCGAGAGAAAGGCTGCCAAACTGAGGGACAAAACTACTGTAGCTAGACGAGGGCTTAGGACCGTTTTGAGCATAGCCAACCGGATCTTTCAGAAGCTCGCCAGTCTCATCGTCGTCGTTGCCGTCATTGATAAGAGACTTTCCCGAGATGCGATTGTGATCACTGTAAGCGTTTGCGACTGGAGACTGGGGAGAGAAGAGTCCTTGGAGGCGGTTGCTGCTGTCGGGAGCAGGGAATTCGTAAGCATGTGCAGTGGAAATCATGGGAGATGTCAAAGGCGAAGTAATGCTCTGCGAGTTCATGCTTTGTTGGGCCTGGGAGCCGAGATTCTGGTGGAAGCTATTGGTAAAGCGAGAAGACTGACGACTCAAAGGATTTTCTGAGAGAGTCGTGCTGTTTGAGCCACCAGATGTGTTCTGTTGTCGTAGTGCCGTGCCGTCGACAGTGTTGCGTCTCGAACCATTGTATGCAGGTTGGGAATTGGGTATAAGTTCGACGATCATGGTTGTAACTCCCTTTTCCATTGACTTTCCATGAAGGTGCTTCTTTGCTTCCATAGCACCAGCCTCTGAGGAAAAGATGGCGAGAGCGCTGCTGAAGTTGGAATCCTCCAAGCTGGTGTGCTCAGATGATGATAAAAGCTTTGTGTCTTCGAGGTCAGTAGCGAAGAGGAGCATGCTTCTGAGTGCATCGTGGGTAAAGTTGCGCGGCAGACGTCGAATGCGGATCATCCATCTGGCCTGGGTTTCTAAAGGCTCGGAATTTCTGTGGTCGGTACGTCTTTCCATGGTAGGCGACAGACCTGGAAGGGAGTCGGGGCTTGTGAAAATACTCAGGGTTTTTGTGCCATTGGCTTGGCCTATAGGCGAGAGGCTGCCGAAGTTGGGCAAAGCAGACATCCTCGAGGCCGGAGGGCTATATCTCTTGGGGCGTTGATCGGCCATTGCCTATAAGTACTGCAGCGCATGCGATATATAGCGTCGGCTAGGCGATGAGTCAAAGGACGTCAGCAGGGCGAGAGCGTGCTGTGTCGAGTATTTGAGCGAGTTTAATGCGGTCAAGCCAATAAGCTTGCGATAAATGCGATCACAGGTCGGGATTGATGGGAGCCAGTCGAATAATGCTAAGTTGGGGACGCGACCGAGTTGCGACGAAGCTTCGAGGGGCAGGTCGAGGTTGAGGTCGCGATGCCGAAAGCGACCGAACTACGCTGCGCCGATTTGCGTCCGATGCGTGCTGCGACACGAGGCTGGACAAGCAGACGATCCCGATCGAACACAGCCAGGAGAAAATGACCGACCAAGGGGCAGGCGTGATGTGTCGGGAAGGCGAGCGAGCGAGCAGCACGGCGACGGCGACGGTCGGGGGAAGATGAGAGATGGAGGAAGGGCTGGGAAGTGTGGAGTCGAGAGGAGAGTGCGCGCCGATAAGGCAGTTCACATCCTTGCGAACACGGCAATGGCTGGAAGTAAGACTAGCAAGCCTTAGTGTACCGCCTGTCGCGCCATCATTGACACCTCGTCCATCTCAATTGCCATCACAAAGACCTGCATACTACCCAGATCCTGCAATAGCAAAGCTGAGGGTTTAAGCCTCAGCCTGTGGAACCCGACGATCCGCACCCATCCAACATGGTTCTTTCTCAACTACTCTCTGGGTGAGAAGCATATAACAACTGCGATTCTGCTTGTGAACTCTAATTCCCGGAGGCAGCATCCCTCGAACCTTGTTCACCCCCCTCTTGGCTCTGGTTGGCCAAACCCGCGGTCCAGGGACATGGTCAGATGGAATCGCAATCGTGGCCCCGGATCATCTCCTTTGGCAGATGAGCAATCATTTATGATGAACGTTTGTGCTTGACAGTTCGACGACTCCTGGTTGAGACCTTTTCGAGTCCAACCCGGGTCTTGTCTCAACACAATCGCGTCCTGTTTCAGGGGTCAAGGCAGAAAAAGTCGCGGCTGTCGTCAATAGGCAGCACGGCCCATGTTCTTCCAACCTGGTAGGCCGTCAGCGTGCATGAACTTTGGACTCTACTTCCGCCAGCCTGTTCAGCTCTCCGACAATTATAACACGGTTGGCTTCGGCCTTGCGGGCTGGATCACTCCATGAATATTTATCGACTATTTCAGCTGCTAGAACAACCCATGTTGTCATCGTCATGCTCGGACTTGCGACAAAGGTGCGACCCAAGACCTTGGTTCCTTACGCGAGCTTTTCTGGGGATGGCTCAGTGGCTTGCGAACACGTGCGACTGCTGTCCGAATTTGAGCTGTGGTTTGGCCAGGCAGTCGCCGACAACACATCGCATCCCAGTAACACACAAAATGTATGTTGGTCGAGAGCACCACCAACGAAACGCCCACATCCATGACTGCAGTGATTATCAGGCAGCACAGCGGCAGGATATCAGATTAGCCACAACGGTGCTCTGCTTGGTGGTACAAGATGGAGGATTCTCGGACTCCCGTATCAAGCCAAATGTTGTGCCCAGCTGGGCATCAACCACAGAAGACTCGACACAACGCACCACTCTGCTGTGAATCTCGTGAGTCGCCAACACTATCGGTATAATGAAGCGCCTTGTTATCCGAGTAAGTAATCCAACTACATGTCTAACATCTATAATCAAACAACTTAGCCAACAAGCCCTCGGCTGGTCACCGTCCTCATTGGATGCTTGGCAGTGCTGCAACAGCGGCTTGATATTGATGCGCCTCGATCAAGGCGATCAAGAGTTCGAGATCACGTTGCGGTATGGCGAGCCAATAGAGAAGAGGCGCGTTTCATGTGCATCTGGATAAACCCGCTGAGTAGTCCACTATTAGCAGGCCATGTGGCTTAGAATTATGCACTAGATGGGTACTGGAGGTCAAACAGGATGTTTCGGTGCTTGATATTGTATGAACTGCGCCGGAACTCTGTCCGCGATCGAGGGTTATAAATCCTCCAACGCAGCGATATTGTAGAAGCAAGAGAAGAGTAGACACTGGTAGGTGGATATTGATAAATGTTCGTGGTTCGTGAGTAGCTTCAACTAGTGCGATCTGGCAGACTGATAATATTTAGCTCTTATTCAAAAGATAGCAGGAGAACAAGGCTGCCATACCTACTCTTTTGACTCCTTCGGATCCTTCGAGTCTTCAGCAGATGATGGTGGTGCTTGAAGAGTAACCTCCAGAACATCTTTTCCTCCATGAAGGCTGATGAGGGAAAGGACGGCCTTGCAGTTCTCACCGGTGAGAACAGTGGTCTTAGGGAAGAGCTTGCTGTCCCTTCCTTCGGCTGCCCAGCGGACCTTGATTTCGGTCACCTTCTCGGCTTCGCTCTGCTTCTTGTATTTCGCCAGGGCTTCGGCGCAGTTGACTGACGAGGACGCAAGCTCCTGAATGCGATCGCTTAGGTTTTTGATGCCGAGTCCGGCATTGATGAGCATGACCTCGTGCCTGGACGACGAGTTTCCAATGGTGAAGACGATAGGGAATTCTTGAGCCATGATGGAGGATTGTCAAAAGAACAAAGATGATAGATTCAGAAGATGAGGAAATTTCACGATAGCAGAACAAGGAAGGGAAGCAAATTATATGCTGGATGGTTGTTGTTCACGCACCTCACATCCCTGTAACACCACTGACGTATGAAAGCATGGCTGAACCTGCTTTCTGCATGTCGAAGTCCCACCTTTGCATTCTCCACGCGGAGACTTGTGCAAGCTCTTCGACCTTGCGATGCTCAGTGACTATTCGAAGACATCACACGAAGTGGGATGAAGGAGAAAATTAGGCAAGAAATGGTGGTGGGCATACCTTGTAACGTTACAGCATTGTCAAGGTGTTGGTTTTGCCAAGGAACCTAAGACTCGAGTTGCCTTTGATATATGTATATTTGTGTCCATTGGAAATAATTCATACTAGGTAGCATACGAGTTGACTTCTTGTATCAAAAAGGCAGTTTTGGCTGAAACAATTCAAGATGAGTCGTGCATGTGAAAGTCGGCCTCAATTGAACCCTTGACAGCTGAGGCTCGGAGCTGCAACGGTTGCCAAGCAAGTCTGACGAGATGTAAACCATCGCTCTTCGACCAACTCGACCTAGCAACATCACCAAACCCCGAGCATTCGACATTTGTGCTCCGCATTTGCAAAAGGAAGCCTTATTCATCCACAATCTTTGTTGATCGACTGTCAATTCTACGAATCACCTTTACAACAGCACTCGACTTCCGACACAGGCCCCGCCAGCATGGACCGAAGCCTCGACGAGATTCTCGAGGAGCGCCAGGTTCGTCAAGGCCAAAAATGTCAATTCAACCCTGTCCTGACATACAGTAGNAGTACCCGTGGTGGACGCCGCGGAGGACGTGGTCGTTCTGATCGCGATGGTGGCCGTGGACCTCGACGAGACTACGCTGAGCGCGAGCGCGACTATCCCAGAGACGGCGTCAAAAGGTCTGTATACTAGTCGAGACAGGCTTGCACCAACACGCACTGACTCTTGGATTGCACAGGTTCTCCTTCCTTCCTCGTGCTTGCGTCAATANNGGACGACATCGATCACCATGCGTCGACAAACACCAANCCCTGCGTTCGATCCGCTGACCGTAATTTCAATCAGTCATTCCCCAGAGAGGACGCCAGAAACATTGACAAGTTAGTTGCTGCCTGGTCCACATGAACAACTCAACACCATACTGATCTATACCGCAGTGACTGGGTCCACGATAAGTACGAAGGCGATGACTGTTAGTTCCCTGCACCATGGCCTATCCGACTCCATTCTGATCCAAACGACAGCNNCCGCCGCCCTGCTAGAGGCTCGCGCAATGATCGCTACGACAGAGAGCCCGCAAGAGATGCGTGCGTACTAGCTCCTACAACTACTACGACAACCAATTCTAATCAAGCCTACAGCTCCGGCTCCACCACCATCCGTGTTGAGAACATTCATTACGACATCCAGGAGCCAGACTTGAGAGTATGTTACTGCTATGCTGTAGCCCAGTATGCGTCTTTACTGACCCAAACCTCCNNAAAGGAGCTGTTCGAGGGTATCGGACCTGTCGAATCCCTACGCCTACTTTACGACCGCCACGACCGCTCGCAAGGTGTTGCATATGTCGTCTATCCTAGCTCACAGCTTGCCGATCGTGCCTGCCGCCAATTCCACGGTCAAAATGCCATGGGCCAACCCATCTACCTGAAGATCCAAGAGTCCGCTCGTCCCGCTCGCAACCCCTTTGATAATGTCGAAAAGCCTTCCCGCAGTCTAGCCGATCGCATCGACAGCCGCCGCAGTGCTAGTCCCAACTCGCGCAACGTCGATCGCTACGTTCCCCCTGGCGGTAGAGGCCCCCGCTCGCGCAGTCCTCGTCGCGATGGCCGTGGCGCTCCTCGTGAGACTGGACGCCGTCCCGGTGCTCGTCGCGAAAACACTGATCGCCGTGGAGGTGGTCGCGAACGTGGTGACAGACGTGGTCCTGGACCCAAGAAAGAGAATGACGGAAGACCTATGGTACAGGGACGCCCGAGAAAGACGGCCGAAGAGCTTGACGCTGAAATGGATGACTACTGGGGTGGTGGCTCTGCTGCCAATGAAGGCAGTGCTGTTGCGTCTGGCGAGAACGAGCCTGGCCGCGAGCCTCAGGTTTCTACAATTGCTGGAGGGGAGAACAACAACATGGGTACTACATCCACAGCTCCGGACGACGACATTGACCTTATGGTCGAGTAGAAGGAAGGATAGTTTGACCACGGAATGGCAATGATGAACACCTCCTCTCGTTACACAATATGAGTGTGGAAAGAGATTGGAAACACAATCTGGAGTTTTCTACGGCCTGTATCCTTAAAATTATACGTTCGATCAATCACTTTTCTCGAAAGAACAAGTCGCCTGCGAGATATGCTCGAGGATCGCTTTCCCCTCAACTTCTCTATACCCGAACCCCTTTAATCTGTAAGGACGGGATCGTGCTCTAGATACCGGTGCATTTCTCCAATGGCCTCGATCTTTGATGACTGTAGCAGTGTCTGATCGTCAACCCCATGGTTTTATTGCCAGATTACACGAACCACAATCCCCAGCATGTAGTGTGTTAATGAAACCCTGGTCATATCTTGCAAAGCAGCAAAGACAGTAACAAACATTATTGGATTTTTGATTGACATTATTCGCACAAATGACAGAAGGTGAGTAACAAAGGCAACAGAAGCATGATGTGTGACGAGGGATTGGTAGCAGATTGCTTGAAGACTGTCGTTACAATGGAGAAAATAAAGGCATGAGGCTCTTTTATACCTCTCTGACCACAATCATCTACCTTCCCGAATTCTCTCTGTCGTGTTTGTGAGTAGTAATTAATACAGCTTGGCTTCTCGCTTCCGTTCTTGAATTCCTGATGGAACGATATCCTGATCTTCCCCAACGCTTTTCCTTGCTATTTCGTTGGAGCTCTCCGTCTTATCCGTACCGGAGTATCCTAGGCCCCCCTCTTGTACCTAATTCTAGTGATGCTCCATAGTAAGATCGATAAGAAGGGTCTTCAGGCAGAGCAATTCGTTGTCTGTCTAGGACGGTACCAACCAAGGCGTAGTGAACAATCACAGACATGCTGAGGGCCTCTTCCCTTAAGTCTCTTGCTGTGTGTAGTCCTGCGGCTTGAATCGTGTCTGTTCCCAGCTGTGTCTATCTCCACAACCCGTAAGACTCATTCGTGGCCTTCCACAACTTGATGGTACCGTCTTCGCTGCCAGTAGCGTAGAGCTTGCCGTCCGGTGAGAATGCGCTCGTCCAAACGGGACCGTGGTGACCCTTGCGTGTTTNCTGTCGTGTTGTTAGCAAACCTCGCGACAGTAGCTGACTTCCAAGTCACTTACCAATCTCGGCACCTGAGTCGAGATCCCATACACGCACAAAGGTGTCTCTAGGACTGCCGGTTACGAAACGGCGCTGACTTCCACACACGGCCACACTAGCAATCTCCTGGTCCAAGGTCTTGGAGTCAAGCAAAGCACCAGGACGTGCGCCGTCGAAGAAGTAGACAGTCTTTCCAGCTGCGACACTAAGAGTGCCGTTCGTAGAGCCGTCTAGGATGCTGGAGTTGAGTTCGCAAGAACCAATAGTTCCTTCAACCTCATGTGTCGCAATGGCTGAGCGTGATCGCAGGTCCCACCAGCGCAACTTCTTGTCGTCGCAAGCCGTGGTCAGCACATTAGGGTTTGCGGCCGACCACACGATGCTCTTGATTGTCTGGCCGTGCTCGCCAGCACCGACTTCGTAACACTCATCGCCAGAAGCCGCAGCACCTGCGCGCGTCAGGTCCCAGATACGCAACTTCTTCTCCATGCCACCGGTGGCTAGGTTGGTAGGTCTGTCTTGCAGAGCAGGGAAAGCAACGGCACGGACGATGTGGTTGTGCTGCAGAGTGTGCAATTGCTCGCCAGTAAAGGTATCCCAGACCTTTGCGCTGAAGTCGGCCGAGCCAGTGGCAGCAAGAGAACCGTCTGCGGATACTCGAGCAGACCAGACGGCACCCTTGTGACCGACGAAGGTACCGATCCAGTCGCCAGTCAGACCATCACGAAGCATTGGGTTGTTGTCTTTGCATGCCGAGATGAGGTAGTATTGGGGTTGCGATGAAGATGCAGAAGCGGGACTCAAGGCTGAGAAGGAAATGTGGGTGATAGGGCGAGAGTGGCCATGGCAGGTCAGTGGGACTACTTTGCTGGTTTCTAGGTGGCTCGCCGGTCAGTGGTTGGAAGGGGAGGCTGGACTGGTGCCGGACGCAGTACCTGTAGCCATTGATGCGAGATGATAGAGTACGGAGTACTGAAGAAAAGAAGAAGGTAGTAGCTACTTGATAGCAAGTCGAATTCAAGGAAGTGCAGTAGGTGACGAGTAGAGAAGCAGAGGAAGCGAAGCAGTCCTTAGACGAAGATTTGAAACAACGAGCGGTTTGAAGAGGGGTATATTGGTCTAAGCAAACAACAGCGTAATGGCGCTCGAGGCCGAAAGCAACAAGAGATATCGGACGAAGTGAAAGTGGGAAAAGGCTCAGGTCTTTGGATCTGCAAGGAGAGAGATGATGGTCAAAGGCCCATCTGCTTGGTGATGCAGGGCCACCTGGACCGCGGGGTTGGACACGAGAAGCTGCCCGCCTCCAACGTCCCCAGTCCATCGAATCAGGAACACTCGAAGCTACCAAGTACATACCAAAACAACTTTCCCCTTTAGTCAATCATGTTTTGGACTCTGGGCTCTATCTACGGCGCCACTGCCGTCGCCTTTGGTGCTTTTGGTGCACACGGCCTGAAGAAGAAGATCTCAGATCCCTCCAAGATCGCTGCTTGGAACACTGCTGCTCATTACCAAGTAAGAACTTTATACAGCATATATTCGAGTCAAAGTCTAACACACCANCAGCTTGTACACTCTGGCATGATTCTTTTGACCGCCGCTGTCGCTCCCAAGAACAAGGTCGCTGCCGGCCTCTTCGCAGCGGGTATCACATGCTTTAGCGGATCCATCTATCTACTCACTCTTGATCCCCAGAGATTCAAGGCTCTGGGTCCTGTCACGCCAATCGGAGGCCTCTTCCTTATTGGTGGTTGGGCTGCTCTCGCAATAGGTTCGCGTGGCAAGTTCTTGCCCAAGACTGCATAATTCAAAACTATGAGGTCTGCTATGCCTCATAACATTGATGGGCCTTAGCTAGGGCAGTCTGTACACATAAATTCATGTATTATCCTCTCCCCTCGTCGCTTTGGCCAAGGATGTGAGATTCATTATTTCAAGGAGGAGACTTTTGTCTAGATTTCTCTGAAGATGATGAAAAACTGCTCACGCGCGCAAAATCCCTTCTGAATTTGCCTATTGCTACATACGAATTTCAAATGCGGCGCGCATGGCGCAAGAGAAATCGCTCGAAATATACACAGACACCAACCTGCTCCTGAACCTGCTTACATGTCCTCGGAGGCGGTTGCACCAGTGATAATCTCGACCAGCTCACCGGTAATGGCAGCCTGTCTGGTACGGTTGTACAGAATCTGGAATCTGTTGATCATGTCACCAGCGTTCTTGGAGGCGTTGTCCATGGCGTTGCGGCGAGCAGACTGCTCACAGGCGTGACCCTCAGCAAGAGNCCTAATCGTCATTAGTAAACCTGTCTTCCGTACTAGGATCCAAGATAAAGGGATACATACCCAGAAGAGGGAGTTGGCAAGCGAGTATTCACGAAGGTTACCAAGGATTGAGTCGTCAACCTCGAAGGAAGAGATGTTGGCTGANNGGATTGTGTTAGTCGATTGACAGCTTGTCCTGAAGGGTGTACAAAACGCACCAGAAGCCTTGATGGCGTCCTCGGAGAAAGCCTCGACAACGGTGGGCTCGTACTGCTGGGCGTTCAAGAACTTGTTGTAAAGAATCTTGACACTCGAGTAGTTGCCGGGAAGCTGGGTGATCTGGTCGGCAATGGCGGAAGCATCGGCGAAGGTAGGGACGTCCTTTCCGACGTTGGCAAAGCTGAGGGCCATGTTCTTGGGGTTGGATCTGCCGAGCTGGGCCTTGCACTTCTCACCGAGAACGACGAGCTCGAAGCTCTCGGGGTTGGGGCCAAACTCTCTGCGGACGTAACGAGAAAGACCCGAGTGGATACCACCACAGAGACCCTTGTCGGAAGAGCAGACAACCAGAAGGGTCTTGCCCTCAGCCTCGACGGGCTTGGTCTCGGCCTCGTCGAAGACCTGCTGAGAAGCCTGGCCGTAGGCGCGGGAAGAGGTCATGGCACGTTGGGCGCGGGTGAGCTTGGTCGAGGCGACAATCTTCATAGTCTTGGTGATCTTCTCGATGTTGCGAATGGACTTGAGACGACCCTCGATTTCACGGAGAGTGGCGAAGTTGGCGGCATTGGGAGCNNCTGGGGCCTACAGAGGCACAGCAAATCAGTACATTGGCCATGAGTTGGGCTCGTCGTCGCATGGGTGGGCTCGGAGGAAAAGCTGTTTCGGCAATGGTTGAGGAGGCGTGTGGGCGTACCTGAGGGCGGCGAGACCAGCCCTGGCGGTGGGACGAGCGGCGCGAGACAGCATGGTCAGGCTATGAGAGCGGAGAGGTGATTGAGGACGAAGTGAGATGGCGACGGCCTTCGGGATTGGACTGCGAGCTCTGCTGTCGTCCAAGTCGCCGTCTCCCGGTCTCCAAAGCCTGGCTTGGCGTTTGACACTCGGACCACGCCAGATCGCTTTGCTCTTGCCTCTAGCTGGCTCACTCACGTGCATTGGCAGGAACGAGAGTTCTTTCCCTTCACTTCACTTTTGTCTAGATTCCATTCAAAACTCCCTCTCTATCCTCTATCTCCTTCTTACGCCATCGGATTCCCGTGTGGCTATTCTCCTCTTCTTCAAACACATCAATTCCAACTTTTTCAGCATTTCACTTCCGCGTTTCCGCGTCTCTCTCAGCTCTTACTTTTCCCGGAGCAACACACACACGCGTCTTTGTGTACAATCGTCGAGGCTACAGACATACAGTACATCGCGTTTTCTACAACAACTCAGTACCTCGACTCGGACCCCAACCGCGTTTGCAAGAAAGCCTTGGCCATATATCCCGATCATGTCCGACTCGGAAGACGATAAGCCTCTGATCAAGGGTGAGTGAGTCCATGCAGCTACCCGTCTAATTGTTTGCCTTGCAATTCTGTCTCTTATTGGACTCGCCTCACTTCGCCATAATCCCATTTTTGGCTATCACCTTCTTCAGCTCTTGTCCCTTTCTTACCCTCAGCACTTGCTACAATTCACTTCAGCTCTATTTCCATCTACGTCATACACTCGTGCCTTATTTCTTTTTTCTTCTGTTACTTCTCCATCCCACTTCGACTTTAACCTTCGACACTCGTCCTCCTTCATCTCAGGTCCATACCACTTACACCTTGACCAGCCAGATCCAACGAACGCGTCAAGATGGATGACACCGACACCAGCATGGGCGAGCTGAATCCTGGAGTCTCACTTCGCATGGGTCCCGTTGACGAAATGGAAGTCGACCCACCTGCTACCAATGGTAACGGCAACGGCAACAAACGCAAGTCATCTATGAACGGCAAGAGCTACAAGGATGCGACTGAGTCCGAAGATGATGACGACGTCCCATTGGTTCGTTCACTAAACATTTCACGATCTACCAAGGTCTAACCTATCGTATAGACCAAGCGCAGAAGGACATCCAAGAATAAAGCTGCTTCCGATTCTGAAGATGAGCCTCTCGCTAAAAAGACTGGTCGCAAGCCCCCAAAGATCACCGCGCAACAAATCGGTGAAGACGATGACTCTGATGTGCCACTCACAAAGAAACTCGCCAAGGAAAAAGCTGCCATCGAGAAGAAGGCTGAGACACAAGCCAAGGCCATCCGCGCAAAGAAGACTGTGAAGGCCGAAGAATCCGAAGATAGCGATGACGTGCCGCTCAAGAAGGCTAAGGCCGCCGCTCCAAAGAAAAAGACCAACGGTGTCAAAAGGAGGATTCTGATGNNACGACAAGCCACTCAAAAGGCACCTGCAAAGCGTGCAACCACCAAGTCGCAGAGTGCCACCCCTGCTGCTTCTGCAAAGAAGGGCAAGAAAGCTACAAAGGAGGAAAGCCCAGAGGACAAGGAAGACGCTGAAGATGGAGAAGAGCAGTACAAGTGGTGGGAAGACATGGCCAAGGGTGACGGCACCAAGAAGTGGACCACTTTGGAACACAATGGTGTCGTTTTCCCTCCAGAATACGAGCCACTTCCTAAGAGTGCCAGAATGCGCTACGATGGTGTGCAGGTTTCGCTCCATCCAGAGGCCGAGGAAGTCGCTACTTTCTTTGGCAGCATGCTCAACTCAACTCACAACGTCGAAAACCCGACCTTCATTAAGAACTTCTTTACCGACTTCAAGAAATACCTCGACGATACTGGCCATGGAACAAACGACAAAGGAGAGAAAGTTAAGATCTTGAAATTCGAGAAGTGCGACTTCAAGCCTATCTTCGAGCATTTTGAAGCCGAGCGCGCAAAGAAGAAGGCCATGACCGCTGCAGAGAAGAAGGAGCTTAAGGCTGCCAAGGACAAAGCCGAGGAGCCTTTCATGTACTGTCTCTGGGATGGCCGCAAGCAGAAGGTTGGCAACTTCCGTGTCGAACCTCCTGGTCTCTTCCGTGGACGTGGCGAACACCCTAAGACCGGCAAGGTCAAGACTCGTGTCAAGCCGGAACAGGTCACTATCAACATTGGTGCGGAAGCTACTGTACCTGCACCNCCGGAGGGCACCAACTGGAAGGAAGTACGTCACGACAACGAAGGAACATGGCTCGCGATGTGGCAGGAGAATGTCAATGGCAACTACAAGTACGTCATGTTGGCAGCGAACTCCGACGTCAAGGGTCAATCAGATTTCAAGAAGTTTGAGAAGGCCAGAGAGTTGAAGAAGCACATTGACAGAATTCGCAAGGACTACCAGCGCGAACTCAAGGCCGAGCTGATGGCCGATCGTCAACGCGCGACTGCCATCTACCTTATCGATCAGTTCGCACTTCGTGCTGGTAACGAGAAGGGTGACGACGAAGCTGACACTGTGGGTTGTTGTTCTCTGAAGTTCGAGAACGTTACTCTCAAACCTCCAAACAAGGTCGTTTTCGATTTCTTGGGTAAAGACTCAATTCGCTTTTACGATGAGGTCGAAGTTGATGCGCAGGTCTTCAAAAACCTCAAGATCTTCAANAAATCGCCAAAGAAAGACGGCGACGATATCTTCGATCGTCTCACTACCAGTGCATTGAACAAGCATTTGAGCAACTACATGCCAGGCCTGACTGCCAAGGTCTTCCGTACTTACAACGCCTCCTGGACGATGGCAAGGCTGCTTCAGGACATGAAAGCAACCGGAACACATGCCGAAAAGGTCAAGGCCTATAACGATGCAAACCGCAGAGTCGCCATTCTCTGTAACCACAAGCGTACTGTCGCTGCCGGACATGCCGCTCAAATGGAGAAGGTACAGGACAAAATCGACGCTGTCAAGTATCAGCAGTACCGTGTCAAGCAGATGATGCTGGCGGTCGACCCCAAGCTTAAGAAGAAAAAGGGCGCTGAGTGGTTTGCTCTTCCTGAAAATCTTGACGAAGAATGGCAGAAGAAGCACCACGAAGACCTCGTTGAGCAGGAACGCCAAAAGATCACCAAGAAATTCGAAAAGGATAACGAGAAGCTGAAGGCAGAAGGCGAGAAGGAGATGAAGCCCAAAGAGCTTGACGAGCGACTTGAAGCCGCCACTGAGTTGGAGAAGAAGCTCAAGAACGAACTCAAGACGAAGAAGGTCGAGCCCGAAGGCAAGGGACCTTCTGTTGAGAAGTATGAGGGCCAGATTGAGAAGCTCTCGGTCAGAATCAACAACATGGAGCTGCAAGCCGAGGACAGAGAGAGCAACAAGGAAGTCGCTCTGGGAACTTCCAAAATCAACTACATCGATCCTCGTCTGACTGTCGTCTTCTCCAAGAAGTTTGACGTCCCTATCGAGAAGTTCTTCTCCAAGACTCTGCGTGAGAAGTTCGCATGGGCTATTGCTTCCGTTGAGGAAGACTGGGAGTTCTGAGCGCCATCGGCTTAGCAACAACACGAACGGAATTTCTTGACATATTCATACATGTCTCATCATATTAACGAAGTACTTGCCAGCATAGGGTCATCGGAGGCGACACGGAGGACAAAAGCCTGGGATCTCACACGTCCTGCCTGTCGAAGCTCTGACCACTACACCATTGCTTCCAAAGGCAACAGTAGTTACCATTGAGCGGGAGCAGGAGCATAGAAAGGTATTTTGACGTTTTGCAACTCGACAACGATGCTGCCGTAGCAGTTGAATTTATTCTTATTCCTATATCTTGCTGCAATAAGTTTAGCCCGAAAGAATCAAGTGAGCTTCCTCCAACCCTTTTTCTCTTGCCTGTCTCACTCACTCATACAACTCTTTCCACTTTATGTGCGTGATGATGTTTCTCCGTGTGTAACAAATCACTCATACATGAGGCTTCTTCGACTCGAGAGTTGGAGAGTGTAAGAAAATCGTGCAAGGCCATCTTATCTAAAGTAGCGAGTTCAAAGCGCAATGAAGACAGGTGCTCGAATCACATCAAATGGTAAGTAGCCCGGCCCTACGAGCAAGTCTTGTTGCGCTCAGACAATTCCTCGTTTATATTAGTTGACTCGCTTGAAAAGACGATGCTTCATTTGAGCTGTTAACCGAGGCGAAGGTCATGGCGAGGAAGCATCTCAGTAATACCTGTTGCTTCCCAGAAAGTATTGCGCATCTTACAGCGATAGCAAGATGGACTCTTGCATACGGGCAGGAAGTCTGGAGCGAGTGTTGGAAGCATCGAGAAAAGTCTTTATTCTTAACGATATATTCTAGTATATAGGATATGAGATGGATATAGACATGTAGAATGCAAAAAAAGACCTCACCCCCTACAGGATGGGACAAGAATATGATGGTACAAGTTTTCCAAGAAAGCAGTTGAAATCAAAGGTATAACGCCAGGCTGGATGGAGAGATGCTTGCTTTGGCTGGTAAATTGGTCTAGTAAGTGCTGGAGTGAAAGAGTTAAGGCCACCACTTCATGCGTTTGTAGCTGTCAATCACCGCTTCGACTTCCTGCTTTGTCAATTTTTCGTGGGTGTACCTGTCGCCGGCATTAGAACTCTGCAATATCAAGGAAAAGGCCTCTGGAAGGACTTACTTGAACCCAACAGTCTGCTCGAACTTGGTGCCGTCTAGACATAGATCGGCTTCGCGCAAGAGTTCCTTTTCCATGAAAGGACTCAAAGGTCCAGTGCCGCCTTCGATGCCAGATTTTTGTTGCAACTCAGCCCATGGGTCCAGAGTCTCGTCGTTGACGTCGTCTACAACAGACTCGAGGTTGAGACGTGCAAAGGTGTTGATAAGGACGTTTTGAAAGCCTGTCTCGATGCTGAAGAGAGCCTTTGTAATCTCAGCCATGGTGCCTTGGCTCGTATCACCCTTGTCAACGATGTTGAAGACTGAGGTCGAGGACATGGNGGCCCTTCTTGGGTGTTGTGGGAGAGGTAGGTGTAGGAGGGCACTGTCGGCAGCTGCGCCGCTTTGTGCTTGGTTGGCTCGCCAGTCGGCGGCGGCCCAGCATGCGCGAACGACGTCGTCGATGTGGACGGTGTGGGTGCGCAGTTCAGGTCCCCATAGCCATTTCAACTCTTTCTCGATGCCTTGGTATACACGGGCGAGGGCCAATTGAGTGCCCATCCATTGTCCGGAGTAGGGACCGTAGACGTTGGGTAGTCTCAGGATGACGAGCGGCAGGTCTGGAATCTTGCTGAGGTCTTCTTCGGCCTGTAACTTCCACTTTGCTTGCTTGAGCGAAGGCTTGAGTTTGTCCGTTTCCTTGCGCGGCGGGTCGCGCTTGCTGTCGTAGACGGTTCCGGTGGAGAGCTCGAGGTAGGCTCTGACTTGGCGACGAGCAGCTTCTTTGGCAACGTTGAGAGATAGCTCGTAGGACCGTAACTTGTAGACCTCGTCGTCCTGCGAGTGACGTGTCTCGCCTCCGCAGTTGAAGACATAGTCAAAGGACTGGCCGTCGGGCAGGTCGAAGACACGACTCAGGGATTGCGGTCGCGAGGCGTCGGCCTGCATGAAGTTGTCGCTGCAGGCATCTTTGTGTTCGGGAGCCAGCGAGGCCAGCTGCGGCAGTTGCTTGTCAACTATCCTGAGTGTCGACGCAAGCGAGTTGGTGTGAATGTGGTTGGTCAGGAAGCGTCCAATGTAACCTGCCACGACCAAGACGTTAGCGAGCTATTCGGCCCTCTCAATCTTATCGAGCACCTCACCAAGGCCTCCAATAATGAGCACATTTGGCTTGGTGGCGGCCGTCGACCCCGCCGTGTCACCCATCGAAGTCGCTAAAGGGGGGATGAGGGGTCCGAGAAGGCTTCAGCAATACCAGGCAAGCAATTGACCAGAGCTGCTTGTGTTTCGTCTTGCAACAGAGTAATTGAGGCTCAAAAACACACGTACAAGACCGACGAGTCCCGCTACTACTGGCTTCAACGGTCCGGGAAAGCCTGTGGTACAAGTACAAGAATTGGGAAGGGAAAAAAGAGGTCAATCGTGAGGCTAAAGGGTAGGTTGCAAGCTATCTGATCGCTACACAATTCCAAGTGCTTTCTACACACGAAAGGGACCACCGCCCGACCGACCACAGGCCACCCTGTGGATACAGCCGTCGAGGCTCAATCGCTCCAAATCAGAAAGTCACAATGCCTCCCAACTCGTGTCACGACGCTGTTGCTTGAAAATGCTATCCTTGTCTTTGCTTGACGCATGCATAGGCAGGAACCCTCCATTCCTTGCATTATGCTGCCCTACCAACCGCTCTCTTCACCACCCCTTGTCTACCCTCTCCTCAAACCTGGCGTCCCTCCATAATCTTATAGTAGCCTCCGTTGCTCAAGCTGAGGCACACCGGGCTACGCTCGGGCCCAGAGCGATTCAGTTCTTGGTCCTACGGGTAATCTACTACCGAGCCAGATATTGCGATCATCTACCAAGATTGACTTTGCTTCGCTCTGCCTTGTGCACTCTCCTGACTCGACAATATCCGTCTCGGCCGCAAGCTCTTCTTATCGCTCCGGCGTCATGCCGCTTTGCTACCGCTGTCTCTCTAGTCAGCACACAAAGATCTGGTGATCAGAAGAGCGACACTTCATTCATGACGAGAAGCATCTGCTGAGGGGATTCATGGCAACTTCTCTTGGTAAAATATATATGTTGTTGCAACAACAATTTATGTACATAGCCAGTCGATCACAGCTGGGATATAATATGTAGCTAAGCTATGTTGAAACCTATGTCCACACGTATGTATAAGCAAAGCAATGGTGGAGGCACATCTCCAACTCTGTTCCTACTGTCCATCTCGTCCTGAGCCTAGTCCAGTGTAGACTACATCATTCGACAAGCTCCTTGCAGACTAAGCAATGTACTGGTTCTTCAGTCTCATCACCGGTCTTCTTGTCGGTAATTTCGACCTTGGGGGCTTCAGATTCTGATGCCACGATCCTTGCTCTGATAGTGTCGTCTTCTGCGACTGCGTCTTCAGCTCTCTTGATGGAGTCCTTGTTGACTGACTTCCGAGCTCGTTNTTTGCCATCTGCTTCCGCTTTGACTCCGTTCTGTTGGCTCTTGCGCTGGACGACATCCTGAGCCAGGCAGGAAGCATGGAGCCATTTCCCACAATCTTGGTTACTGCATTTGATGATGAGATTGTCAGGATTCTGTGGCCGTTTACATTCGCAGATCAGACGCAGTGGCTTTCAAGGTTAGCATGGCGTTGCAAGTTGTAAGAATGTGAATAGAAGACTCACCGATAGAACCTTGGTGTCGTAGTTGTAAGTTTGCCGCCAGTAATATTCTCCTTGCGCTGGCATGTCCGCGTCGTCATTGGCCTCATCCCAGTACACGACCTTCAGCGGTCCATTCACAGTCAAGGCATCAATGATATCCATCTTGTTACCCGGCACTAGTTCGAATTTACCGTGATATGGCGGTGTGCTACGCGCCTCTTCAGGTAGCTCCTCGGGGTTTTCAAGCCAAGTGCAGCGAAGGAAAACATGGTGTTCGTCTGCGGCCCTAACCTCATGTACCTGGGCCTTCCAATCGCGTTCGAAGTCGTTTCCTGGCTTCACGAGAACACAATCTCCGCAGGAATGAGTCTGGTTTCCTACTGTNNGCTAATCGACGTTAGTAGAAATCTTCAAGTACTGTCAGATTGTTTCCAAAGCATACAATTTCTTGTATTTGGTCATGTTCATCCATCTTTCCATCGGTTTGATGGTCCAGCGAGCTTCGAGATAGTCCTTGCCATTCAAGGTGAGAGTGCGTTCTGTGACGTCGGGTGGATTTTNTGCGCCTTTGCGCATAGGAGGGTTGAAAACATTGAAGATCGGTCCATCTTTCTTATCAGCTTGATCCAGCCAGCGCAATAGCTCTGCTTTTTCGGGGTCTGTCAAGCGGCCTTGCGCGGGAGATTGGGATTCTGATGGAATGTTGTCGGTCAATCTTCTGCGTTTGACTGAGGATGGCTCGTCCACCGCATCGCGTTTTCTGGTCATTTTTGTTTGGCAGGCACCTAAGGACAACTCTGCGCTCTCATAATACCGGTATGGAATCTGCCTCTGGTAAAATCGGGTATGGAACAGAACAGTGACACAATGTTGTCGCGTGTGAGATGAAGACGCGTTTCTTAAAAGCTGCCCGTGCGCGTCACTCAAGCCACCCGATCTGGAAGCCGCAACCCAGGGTATATGTACAAAACTACCTATATTTATCAGATGGACAGTGAATATTTGAGATGAACTTGACATAGAGCATTTCAAGGTCCTGGACCAGCACACTTGCCTGGGGCAATGCTGCGAGAGGTCGAATGATCTAACGAGAAACACTAAACCACCAGTCATAAGGCTAAGGCGTGGGCATCAGCGCATTGGATAGTGCGCGCATCATAGCTATGTTTATCTTATGATGGTCGCTAATAACGTGTCTGTCTGACCCAAGACTTTTCGATAGTACGTCCTCACCAAGTGTGTTTAATTGCCTACACTGGTCAACTGTCTTGCAGGGGCATAGAGCATTATTGTAAGCTATGTAGATCTGTTCTTGATTGTGTCCAGGGCCAAGAGTGTGTTTACTGAGAGCTGTATAATGATGTTCTTCGTTGCACAGTATTCTCTTCTCTGCATTCTTATTATAAGTTGTTGATTGATCTTCAGGTCCCCGTGTCCTTGCAGCTCATTGAGTGGCAAGCCCCTATCCACGAGCACTGATGTTTGAGCAACCGCTTACGGTCCAAAAGGACAATCGATTCCCCAGCGGCCGCGAGGCTTCCATAAAAGTGGCTGCGTTATTGGGCAGGCCAAGCAAGCGGGTCGCGCATGCAGCGCTATTTCCGAATTTCCAAGTCCCGTTTTTGGCTCGTCAGCTGCAGCTCAGCTGGACACGAAATGCTGGGCTGGCAAGCACACAACAAGGCCAGTCCGCGGGCGTCATTGATCATGATGAAAGTCATCCGTGTCATGCCGCTGTCTTGGATGAGGGCGGACAGCACGGGAGCCACGCATCAGCGAGTGCGGATGTTGGGGGATCTGCTTTTGGCAGTAGCCGCCGTCACTTCTCCGCGAGTTTTGGAACCGTCCAAAAGCCAGTCGTCATCGATGAACGGTTTGATGTGCCAAGTCTGTGGGAATATAGGACTAACAAGATCCAAATATCCACCTTCTGCCCACTTCTGCCCTGTCGTCGTTCTCTCCAGATTTCCGTCACGATCTGTCGTTTCCCAACTCGGCCCAAGCACTCTTTAACATCCCTGCAGACCCTGGTTTGATCTGACAATTTAGCACTCGTTTTGTTACATGCGCGAATCCGCCTGCAGCCGATAACCGTCTTTAAAAGAATCTTGCAGGCCTTCATCGCTTCCTGGTGCCACTGAACAGCTGCTGGCTGCATTCCAACCTGCCTCACACAATGCCTCGCTCCCGAGTAATGTCGTTCATGACCCAATGGGGTACTCCGTCGAGGAGTTTTACGCCAGAGTCTAAACCTCAAATGTCCGAGGACCCTTTCAGCAGCAACCCTGCTAGACCTCCCAAGATCGATACCTCGTTCGCCTCCGCTACAAACAAAACTGTCGATGCATCGACCTCTCCCTCCCCCAGTACTCAACAACGTTTCCGTTCGGATTCACGTTCAGAGCGTACCTCTCGCCCTATGTCCATGGTCTATACCTATCAGCCTCCGATCATGGATCTCGCCCAGGACACATTGCCAGAGTTGCAGCCAATTTTCAGCTTCCTCAACAGCCACTCCAACAAGCTGTATCAGGAAGGCTACTTCTTGAAGTTGCATGATCTGGACTCTCGTGAGCAGACTCAGAAGCCAAGTGCTTCAAAGACACAAGGCTGACTTATTCTCAGGNNCGGACGCCCAAGTGCAGACCGAGCATGGTCAGAGTGCTTTGCTCAGCTGGTCGGCACAGTGCTATCTTTGTGGGACGCTGCGGCGCTTGACGCAGCAGGTGAAGACGGCGAGGTCCTTCCTACGTTTATCAATATTAGCGATGCTTCGATAAAGATGGTAACCAAGATCAAAACCTCATCAGGCATGCTCAGGCCACTAACCAGTCAACGCAGNATCGAGTCGCTTCCCATGAATGGTTCCACAGGAGGTCAACTCCAGAATGTTCTGAGCATCTCCACCGCAGCAAACAACCGCTACCTTCTTCATTTCAATTCCCTCAACTCCCTTACACAGTGGACCGCCGGCTTTCGTCTTGCCATGTTCGAACACACAACGCTACAGGAAGCCTACACAGGCTCTCTCATTGCTGGAAAGGGAAAAATGCTTAACAATATCCGCACTATCATGGAGAGGAGCAAGTTTGTCATAGACGACTGGGCACGTGTGCGCTTCGGCGCAGGCACCCCTTGGAGACGCTGTTGGTGCGTGATTTCACCTCCGAACGAGAAGGAATGGGCAAAATACCAAAAGGCATTGAAGAAGCGCGACACGTACGATCGTAGGGTTGAGGTCCCCAAGGGCGATATCAAATTCTACGAGACAAAACGCGTCACAAAGAAGACACGGCCGATCGCTACTATCAAGGATGCGTACGCTGCATACGCCATCTACCCTCAATCCAAGCCACTTATCGACCAGTCGACGCTTATTAAGCTTGAAGGCCAGATTACCATTCATGGCGAGAGGGACACAACCGCAGAGGGCTTCCTCTTTGTCATGCCGGAAGTGCATCCTGCAGTCAGCGGTTTCGAGATGATGCTCCGCTGGTTGTTCCCTGTCTGGGACATCTTTGCTCTGTACGGCCGTCCCAATCGTCTGATTGCCGACTCTCTTGACCAGCGTGGTCTGATGTTTGCCATGCCTCGCGACAGGAGATACGGCTACCTTGACATCTTGGATGTTTCTGGCTTGATCCACACGAAGGGCAGTCAAGCATGGTCTGAACAAGACTGGAGAAGGGAAATGAAGAAATTGACCTCGCACCGCATGAACTCGGCGGATGATACACCTCCACAGGCAAGAGGAAGACGCAACACGCTCTCACTCAATCACGGGACGGTCCGCTTTGGGGATGGCAGCTCCACAGATACATCGCCATCTCCAGCTAGAGGCTCTCCAGGACCAGGAAACGGGTCCATCCAATTTGGTCCTCCGCGCCGGGTTGAAACGACGCCGGTAAGCATGGGCAGTCCGGGCCGCGGGCACAATCGTTCGGCCTCAGATGCGCTCGGATACAAGCGGTTTCAGACCGAAAACCGCTCTCGACTCTCTTACGAGGCGACCAGCGACCTACACGACAGCGCGCCCGAGCCGCCAGTTCACGGTNNGCTCCCCCTGTCGGAAAAGAAGACTGCCACAGTGCTCGAGCGTGTACTATCAGAGGAGACGCCGTACGAACAAGAGAGGCCCCTTGAGTCGACATTCGAGGAGCTCAAAATACGATCAGGTTCCCCTCCAACGGGTCCTGTGGCGTCGCCCCCGAAGTTGATGCACGGACCTAACGCTAGGCCCACTAACCTCAACCTGACACCTGTGCCCGAATTACGCAGGGCCAACTCTGCCATGGATGCAGCGACGCTGCAACAGCTTGTAGAGGCCAACAGAGCCGGTGCTACACCATATCACGAAAAGGAGCAATTCGACTTTACCAGTGCTCCAAACGAGGTAGCTAGTGTTACCAACCGGACTCAAAGATCGCCTGCTGACCCCTCGTTTCGCAATGAAGAGGTAAATCTTGCTCCAGGACCCTCATATCAACCACCGAGTACCCACCGCCTGCCCCCCATCCCTGCATCACCCTACAACCATCCTGCACAACCTCTTGCAGCTGCCGCCAGATCTGATCAAGACGCTCCTCCTCCTGTGCCGCCACACAGCAATCTTTCATCAGCTGCTGCTTCTGCCCGAAGTCTTGCGAGTCCTCGACCATCAGCCATGGCTGCTCCCATCAACAGAAAGCCTGTCCCAAATTTATCAGGACCTCAACATGCGAGTCCTCCTCCACAAAGTCCTCCACCACAGAGTCCTACCCTCTCTCGAGTCTCGAGCAATGACAGTCTACAAAACGAAATCATGCAGCAAGCTTTGCTCGAACAAATGCTTCAGCAGTCACCAGAGCCTCCAGCAGAAAGAGTGGCAACCCCTGTCAGTGTCTCCGACGATGACTCTGTCGACTATTCCAGTGTGAAGAGTATGTCACCACCGAAGAGAAAACCTGTGGAGAGAAGCCGGACGGGCCGTCTCAAGACGGTTGGCAATCCTGAGTACGAGACACAGACACGAAGTCGGTTTGATACGGAATCCGGAGTGCCCATCAATTTCGGCCCTACACTGATCTACAAACCAAACGCTCGGCCATCTACAAGTGGTAGCTTGTCAGCCGAAGCACAAGAGGATACAGAGAACGTGCAGCGCCCATCCTCGCGTCTTGCAACACAAATTGATAGCAAGAGAAACTCGTTGCTTGACACACGCAAACCAAGCGGAGATGCGAACCCAGAGAGGCGTCGAAGTGTCGCTTGGCAGCCAGCAGCTGTAGCTGGCGAGCCTGTAGAGCAGGGTCTCACCGCCGAGCAATGGGTGCAATATCGAGCCTCTCTTGCTGCAGCTCCGTTGACCCAGTCACGAGCCACACCTGTGTTTGGACACAACAGAGATCACTCGAATGTAAACCGCACATCTAAGACACCCCCACTCAGTCGTCCTGCATCTCGCATTAGCCGTACTTTGTCTGGAGATTGGACGCAACAGCTGAATCGCTTGTCTCTCAACCGGACACCCTCTGGTGATTGGGGTCAGCAAGCAAATCGCATGTCATTCAGCAAGACGCCTCCACCTCTTAGCAGGACTCCTTCTGGTGATTGGAGCAAACAAGCCCCATCTCGTCCACTTTCGAGAAATGCGGGTACACTCCTGAACCCTCCTAGTCCGGGCAGAACACTGCAGATTCAAGGCTCAGCTTTGTCGGCTCATGAGCAGATGCAAGTTGCTCGAATGACTGGTGGTTCTATGATCAACCTCACTGAAAGAGACAAGCGTAGAGATCTTAACGATTTGGATGCTCCAGGATTGGTCGGTGCCATGGCGGCTCGCGAACGCCAGCGAAACATGAAAAGAGAAGGACTTCGAAATAATGCAGTGCAACAAGCGATTGCGGCACGGCAACAACAACAGTTGCAGGATGAGTTCGATGCTCAAATGAGAGCACAAATTGAGGCGCAAGAGTATGCTCAGCAACAGGCTGAACTTCAGGCTCAACACCTTGCCCACCAGCAGGCACAGTACTATGCTCAGCAATACGCTCAGCAACAAGCTCAACAGGCTCAGTTGCAGCAGCAAATGGCTCTCCAGCAAGCACAGCAGTATCAGTTGCAGTTCCAGTTGCAGCAGCAACAAGCGCAGGCCAACTACCCTTACGCTGGTGGGCCAGGCACAGCTCAACAACGATCTTCGCAGTACCTGGGACATATGAGTCAAGCTGGAGGATGGAGCAACGCAGGTTCGCCACAACCTCAGCAGGGGTATGCCCAGTCATATTTTGGCCAGGGTGATGGACAACACAGACAGCAGAGAAGACATTAGCATCGAGGTTGGCGGCTTAGTATAAGTGCTTGATCGGGTGGGTCTCACGGTTTGATTGCATAGCATTTGGGTGGAGTTTTGTATACATTTAAGAATAAAAGCATTCATCGCATCATCTCACCATGTCTCTTGGTTCTCCGTCCTTTGTACCATGAAGGTAATGTGCACAGGATCTTGATATCATTGCCAAAGTCTGTGACTTCCAACGTGCTCCGCTTATAGCGACGAGCAACATTCACACTGTAAGCATGCCCAACTTTTTTCAAGAAACAGGGGCGTCTACCCCGAGAGTTGACAAGTTTTTGCTTCTAAGGGGATACTCCTTCATCTCCTGTTACGATTGCATTTCCATAGCTATACAGACATGATGAGAACAACAGGAGATGCAGCAAAACTATGAACAGGGTGCTGGCAGCGACAGGATAAGGAGATCCGTGCACTAACGTTCCCCGCGCTCTGAATTTTAAGGTTGCTTCTCTCAAGTCTTTTCACACCCTCTCACTTCCACCGTGTGTTTCACGCACGCGACATGAACAAAGATTCGAATCGTTCTCTGTTAGTAATAGAATCCTAGTTCATCTCAGTACGTGGAAGCAACATGGTCTCTCTCGTACAGGCGCCGAGCATGCCGCCATCCCTTCCGCAGAAGAGTCTGAAAAGAGACGCCTCGCATCTGTCGTCACCAGCACCAGAATCCAGCCAGAGCAAGAAACTGCGAGTGGCGTTTGACGACCGGGTCGACGTCCGAATCATGGACGACTGGACGGCCAAGCCGTTGGATCTGGTCAAGGACGAAGTGAGAAGTGCACTCGAGGGCCACCTCAGGACCGGTGCCGACAAAGACGATGGCGCATATGAACAGCTTAGGATGGTCTTCATCAGCGCCGCACCTTCGCGATCCCACGACAGCGGCCCGGTCTCGTCACACACCGAAGCGCCCAGCACCGCCACGCTCAAGAAGTATCTGGTCGCTCTGAGTGGTCGTGTGAGCGATCTCAAGGCCTGTGGCAAGCTGGTACACGCCGTTCTCGACGTCAACTGGCTCGGCAGAGATGATGCTTTTGTAGCTCTTTATGTACGCTTCCTTGGTACTCTAGGAAGTGCCGTGCCTGGATTCCTCAGGACCGTGCTCGACCGCATTGTGGGACACTTTGTCGAGGGTAAGCTTGCTTGCCTCTGGCCATCGTGCGCCCGTTTGCTGACATGCTCCCANGTTCCATCATCCCTAGGCCGCATCCCCAACGAACCTTACGTTCCTAGACAGCAGATGATCGTGCGAGTACACAACGCTCTTCGATACCTGCTACGCCTCATCCCATCTGCCAACAGCGGTCTAGCCGAATCCCTCCGCGGCCAGTTTCCAAACCACAGAACTGCCACTCGTCAAGGTTACATTGCATTCGTTAAAAACTCCCTTAAGACCATCGAGTACGCCCCTGAGCTCAAGGCTGAAATCCAGACTCTCATTACTGAGCGCCTTGTCAAGCTCGATGTTGAGGTACAAGAAGAGCTGGACGACCTGGAAGACGAGGTCGATGAGGGCCGCGTGCTTGGACTTTCTGGTCTGTCAGAAGGCAAAGAGGATGTAGACGACTCGGACGATGACAGCGATGCCGACTCGGACTCTTCAAGCGAGATCAGCATGACGCCCGAGGAGACTCATCTCCGTGCTCTGCGCGACACTGTCGCCAAGCTCGATTCAGTCCTAGATCTCTTGTTCTCTCATTACACTCCCACGTTTGCCAATGGCAAGATGTACGAGATCAACGATGCCTTTGAGCACCTGATCTCGCAGTTCTCCACCTTTGTCCTGCCTACATATCGCTCGCGCCACACGCAGTTCCTCGTCTTCCACTTCGCCCAAATGTCACAGGGCTATGCCGAGCGTTTCGCTGGCGTTCTTATTCGCCTTGCTACTGGCCGGAGCTCTGCTTCGAACGGTTCTTTGTCTGCTGCTGCCTATCTGGCCAGCTTCATCGCTCGTGGTGCCCGAGTGAGCAAGACACTTATCCGCTCAATATTCACAAGACTTGGCAATCATCTGGACACATTGCGCCGCAACCACGAATCCGCATGCGAAGGGCCTAATCTCAGCCGTTACGGAACCTTCTATGCGATTGCTCAAGCTATGCTTTACATATTCTGCTTCAGATGGAGAGACTTCATCATGACCCCTGATGACGCAGACGTCGAAAACTATGATATCTTCGAGGAGGGTGAACCAGAGTGGCTTCCTGGCATCAAGGAGTGCTTGACCCAAGCCATCTACTCCAAGCTCAATCCCCTCAAAGTCTGCGCGCCCGCCATTGTTCACCAGTTCGGAGCGATTGCCAACCATCTTCGCTTTATGTACGTCATTCCTCTATTGGAAACCAACAAGCGTCTGCGTCTGTCTTCTTTCCGTTCTATGGCTGCACCTGCCAGCAGGGATATGGGCGCTGCCAGAAGAGAGAACACACTCAGTCATCAAAGCGGTGAAGCTCACCATCAGCTGGATGCCTTCTTCCCCTTCGATCCTTACCAATTGCCCAAGAGTAAGAAGTGGCTGGAAGGCGACTACATGGTGTGGAAGGGAGTGCCTGGCATGCAAGATGACGATGACGACGAAGATAGCAGTGATGAGGACGAGGACGTAGACGGATTTGGTGATATCGGTGACGACCCTGAGTACGAGAGCGAGTAGAGCCGGCATCGGTGTGAATGGTCGATGGTACGATATGACTGATTTAGCGCGGAGTTCTGGGTTGGTATCTGCTCTTTACGCATATGCTGGTTGTGTTTTCGGCTCAGTTTAGCGTGGATGGTTGGGTTGCGAGGCGTTTTCGATTGAGCAAGGTTTTCAAAGGCAGGTCGATTGTCAATATGGCAAAAGCAGTTTGATAGCCTGTGGCTGAATGACAATTCATTCTTAAACGTTTCCAAAGTCCCGTTCGACAGCATCAACACATGCTTGTACTTCCAACCTAAACGCCTCCCTTATTACATTCTCTGCTTGGTGTTTTCGTAGTCCATCGGAGTGGTTGATTGAATCGTGTCTTCGTCAGATGAGTGGGTCTTTGTCCTCTACAAACCCAGTGGATTCTTAGCATTGCCTTTGCCAGCGTTGCGTTGCCCGCTGCCAGGTGGCAGTTTTCCTCCAGGCATCAGAGTCTTGCTCGATCCTGCACCACTCAAACCGAGCGGGTTACCACCGGTGGGCACACGGGGACCTCCAGCATGAGCAGCATCCTTGATGCTGTTGCCATAGCCTGCGACGCCCTGGCCCCAATAGCGTGTGGTGTTGGTGACACTACGAAATGTATAAGTATGGGTTTGAGATGATTTGGAAGATAGNNCCGGGAGTCTCTACCTGTTACCGATGCCACGACCGACATTGTTCACACCATTGCCCACACCGTATACGATATTACCAGCCACCTTGCCTGCGCCGGCGACATAGCCTTGAACTTGTTTGCTGAGCCAGTTGTCACCCATTGTTTCTTGATATGATTTTTGAGAGTATGTTGAATGGTAGATAGTCGAAGTAGATGTCTTGAAGCCAGGAGGAACACAAACCAGGTTTTACGATCTAGATATATATGTAGACACGGCTGGGAAGAATGCCTCTTGCATTCTAGAATCGTCAGACCAAGATTCGTGTTGCATCTGACAAGGGTATACGTCACAGATCTGATAAGTCGGCGTTATCTTAGCGGCATCAACTACCACGCTAGCGCCTCGGCTCAAGTGGCCGCTGCCGGTTGATCGTCCACTCTTTCGACAGGGCTCACTTCAACCATAGGTATTCAGCGCTCAAATATCAACCCGCGCAAAAAGACCAAGACATATCAAAGATCACTTGGAACAACAGAGGAGGCTGTCATTCTCAAGAACAACCAACGATCTGTACCCGGTTCCGCCGGAAAGGAGTAGACTGGGGAGGCGGAACATGCATCCTGGCGCATGCGCAACGAGTTGAAGTATTATCGAAATAGAACCGGACCAGCAGGAAACGATCTGTCAACACAATACCTGGACTGGAAGTATCACAGCAAACTGATAGTGGGCCAGAAGTGCATCTTCAGCACTTTCTCGACAATAGCGCACTGTCTGGCCCCATAAAGAAACCCCCGCGCATCTTAGGGCGTGCACCTAGGATTATTCCAGACATGAGCTCAAAACATCTGGATCCTTTCTCTGCGGTTGGCGCCGGTACAAAGCACAAGCAAATCCAGGATGCAAAGGACATGTACCAGGTGGTCGTTGACCGCGCCGCCAGAACAAACACTGCCGTTCCAGACTATGAATTCCTTGAACTCATCGGAAAAGGATCCTTTGGCAGAGTGTATAAGTGGTGAGTCCGGAGAGTCCTGGTGATGTATGGCCTTGACTGACGTGTTCCNAGTAAAAACAATGCTACACAGGACCTTGTGGCTGTGAAGATCATTGATGTCGACGACCTGGACTACAAGTTGGATCTTGACCAAAAGGACGAGGCCATCGAAGACTTCCGGAAAGAAGTCAAGACGTTGAAACTCCTCAGGGACAGCCAGGCAAAGAACATCAACTACATCCAGGAGGCTTTCGACCTGCACTCTCAACTGTGGATCGTCAGTGATTACTGTCCAGGCGGTAGCGTGCATACGCTCATGAAAGCCACCCCAGGTCCGGGGCTTGAAGAAGAGTACATCATACCGATTGCTCGAGAGTTGGCCGTGGCACTCAAATACGTACACGATGCCGGGGTCATCCACAGAGATGTCAAGTGCGGCAACGTTTTGATTTCCGAAGAGGGTCAGGTGCAGCTTTGTGATTTTGGTGTGGCAGCTATGATCGAGACGGAGGCGTCAAAACGTTCGACCATTATTGGCACCCCGTTCTGGATGCCCCCTGAGATGCACTCCATGGATGTGGCAGTTCAGCAAGGTTACGGTACTGAGGTCGATTGTTGGGCGTTCGGTTGCACTGTATACGAGATGGCTACGGGAATGCCACCGAACCACAAGTTTCATCCCTCGATGTTAAGAACGGTGCTGAAAGCCGCACCCCGGCTTCGAGAGGGTAACTACTCACAGGGTCTACGAGACTTCATTGCCTTTTGTCTTGAAGAAAAGCCTCAAGACCGTCCCTCTATGAAGGCTATTCTCGAGCATCCATTCATCCAAGGCACTTCAGCACAGTATCCTACTTACACTGTGAGGGAGATGATCGATCGTTATTTCCAGTGGGAGAGAAGAGGTGGTCAGAGAGCTTCACTGTTCAATCCAATGGGAGCTGCCGCACCTCAGCCGTCGGAACAACGCGACGATTATGATGACTGGAACTTCTCAACCTCTGCCGACTTCGAGAACGACTTTGTTAAGCGCTACAGTCAACTTGGAATTGCAGAGACCGACTTTGCAGCCACAGCTAACGGCGCCGAAGACACAATGCCTGCTCTCAACAACGTCACCAAGCCTCATCCCAGAAACCCTTTCCACGAGGCGCAGGAAGAGGCCAGAGCTAAGCGAGGAGAGCGCTCAATGGGACGCCTCTTCGACACAAACGCAGACCCTTACGATTACAATACACTAATGGAGGACGAAGAACAACCCATCTCAGATCTTCCACTCCGCAACCTGTCCAGCGATCGCGCGGTCAATAGGGAGACTCTGATTGACTTGGACATGGGCGCTGCGGGACTGGATGCACAGCCAACCTTCAACTTCGACTTCAGTGATGTGCCAACACTCAAAGCAGCAAGACCCAATCGCTTGTCATCAACAATGCCCGACGATGACGAAGACCAGAACGACTTCTATGATGGACCAGACCAAGACACGCGCCGAGCCACCAAAGACTGGCAGTTCCCTCTCAGTACGATGCCTGCCGACAACCCAAGCCGACGCACACAAGACTGGACTTTCGCCATGGCACAGCCCCCAGCCGCAGACCGCAAGACTCAAGACTGGTCCTTTGCAACTGCTCAGCCAGCAACCGATCGCAAAACAGCAGATTGGTCATTCGCTACAGCCCAGCCAGCCACTGATCGAAGAACACAGGACTGGTCATTCGCAGAGATGGCAGAGCCTCTAACTGCAGAGCCAGACCGTCGTACTGCAGACTGGACTTTTGCGACGGCCGAGCCAGTGTCCAACGAACCAGACGCCGAACCAGACTTCTCCTTTCCACCCATGAAAGATGAGACAGACATTGCGCCTGGCTTCAGACCTCATCTGACTCGCACAGCTACTGAGCCAATTGGCCAGTTCAATGACTTCCTACACCCTCCAGTGGGATCGACTTCTCAGGATGATTTCGACCTACCGAGTGTTCGCGAGTCCAGACCCATCATTGACCTCGACTTGGGTATGACCTTCGAACCTAAGTTCGATCTGGAAACTGCCATGGCCAACGATTCACAACAGCCCAGCATCACACCATCATCGCCTGTCATAAGTGCAGCAGGCTCGACCGAAACATCACGTAACCCTTTCTTCTTGGACGAAGTTGAGCAGCCCAGTGGTGATGAAGTCAAGCGCTCCTCGCATCGTCAATCGCGTTCCGAGCCACAGCTTCTAGCATCCAACAACCGCCACTCGGGCATTCTCCACTCCAGAGGACCAAGCAACGTGTCTCTGCTTCGACACTCGAGAGACAGAGGATACTCTTACTCCTCTACTGCATCATCGGATGTTCAGACCGGAAGCTGGCCACGAGACTATAATCGCAGGATGGAGGCACACACAAGACAGCAGCTTCTCGATGGGTTGCACACATCTGCGATTGCGTCACGTAACAGCTGGGCTCGTTTCGCTGCAGCCGACTCATTCGACGACACTGACATTGAGACGACCATCCCCCCTCCCGGTCTGCGTGTGCCAGGACTCGACGATGCCGACTTCCCACTCGCAGGACTGAAGCCTTCATCACGTATCGACGCTTTCAATGTGGATACAGACAGGGATGAGAGCACATACGGCGATCTTACCATGCCTCGCAGCCGAGCACGCGCAGACACAGGAGGCACGACAAGCACAGGTACTGGCTATGATTCATCGAGAGACGAATCATACATGTCACATGTACGCACCAGTCGTTTGTTGAACGAGTTCCCTCGCCTGGCAGCGCCCGATCCAGAAGCAATGGTTGAGGGTGCTGACCCAGAGCTCGTCTTCCAAGAGCTGGACAGAATGTTTGCAGATCTAGAGGGAGGACTTGGTCTGGCTGCAGAGATGTTTCAGAGACGCGACAGAGATCTCTCCCGCGGAAGGGATGAGGGAGATGAACACGAAAGACAGACAAGAGGATTTGGCAGCGAGGGAGAAGGAATGATGTAACCCAGAAAGAAGGATGAACGGAAGGAACGACGAATGATAGCTAGATGAACGTTCTCTACAGCGAAGATACCCTCATGGCTTGTAAGATAATTAGATGCTAGTTTTGTACAACAAGATTGCTTTTGCAGCAGATGCTCTATACAGCGTTCGAGTCAGATGGAATTAAGAGCGGAGATATGGTGGATAGCGGAAAATGTCGGTCGTTAGCGCGACCCAATCCCCAGCTTTTGGTGCGCTTGCGCCGCTTGGCGACGAGAGAGACGTAGAGTATGATGGAACAGAGGGTCTCTGTTTTCTGCCCACCTTATTTTACCACCCAGTACCTGCCTCGAGCGCTATGAACAGGCAGCCCTCGAACGCTTGACGAACCTCGTGCGAATTCTTAACCAACAACACATCCCTCTACGGACTGCCGAGCACGTTGCCCACCCGGCGCGCGCATACGCCATCATCAGATGAATCCAGCGCATAGAGACGGCTGGCCGCCCAGAGAAGAGCACGCTTCACTCCATCGCACTTTTGCGTATGTCGATATACATCGAGAAGAGACTGGCACGAGTACTGACGCCTCATCACAGCGGAAACCCCCACCTGCTCATCCTGGTGCAGCTCCTTCTCCACGCACAGGCGCTCTGCCNCCTCCATCAGGTACACCCGACTCCGAGTCACTGACTTATTACCATCTGCTTACAATTGGAACAGGTCCTTTCGCCCCTTTCCAACAGGCCCCTCACAATATCTTGAATCCACCTTCGCCTCGCCATCAGGCACAAGCAGCCTTCCCTCTCGGCCGCGACATGCCTGATCACCGGGACAATATCCATATCAAAGAAGAGCAAGACGCTGTGCGCCGCGATCAGCAACGCGAGAGACAACACATGGAGCAACTACCTCCCCATCAAGCCCAGAGAGGGCCCATACACATCCATCAGCCCGTCGCTGTACCACCAAATGCTGTACATGGCCCCAATGGTCTGTTGGCCAACGCTGCTGGCGGACATGGCCCGGTTCCAAACGCCGTCTTCAGTGGTGGTCCAGTACAACCTGCCACGCAGTCTCAGGCCATGCTTGTTCCTATGCAACCTGGCAGTGCTCAACCTGCAAACGTCGGCCAAGGCCAGCAGCCCATTCTGAATGTAGGTTCACATGCCATTCTCTCTGTGTTTCGCACTACTAACTAATTCCAGGATGCGTTGAGTTACCTTGACCAAGTCAAGGTGCAATTTGTCGATCACCCAGACGTATATAACAGATTCTTGGACATCATGAAAGACTTCAAGAGTGGAGCGTATGTGTCGGCCTCCACATCCGACTCTTCTGAGGTGCTGACTAGATACAGTATTGATACACCTGGTGTCATCGAACGTGTTTCGACTCTCTTTGCTGGCAACCCAGAGCTCATCCAAGGCTTTAATACCTTCCTGCCTCCTGGTTATAGAATCGAGTGCGGAACCGGTGACGATCCAAACGCCATCCGAGTCACGACTCCCATGGGGACCACTGTTCAAGCCATGCCGGCACCTCGACCTATTTCACCTCGCGCTGCTCCCCCGACACAAGATGGGAACAACCAGGAAGGTCCTTTGTTCGCCGCTGTAAACAGACAGGCCAACGGTAACTGGACGCCTCAAGCAGCTGGTCACTCTCACGTTGTTCACAGTCCCAGTGGCCGTCCAGTAGGCACAGCTCCTTTCGCTTCCCAGATGGGTCCTCAGCAAGCTGCTGCGATTGCCGAAGCTCAAGCTCGTGAACAGCAAGCTTTGAGCATTCAGCAGGAACAGCGTGTCTCACAGTTGCAGAACGCTGTCTCTGCCGCGGCTGGTGACAACCTCGCCAGAGCCGGAATGATGTCTCCAAGTGGAGGCGCTGCTGCTCTTGCACAAGGCGAAATGGTCATCGGTCCTGATGGACAACCTCTAGGCCACGAGAAGGTTAGACCGCAAGTTGAATTTAACCACGCTATCAGCTACGTCAACAAGATCAAGGTTTGTGCCACGCAGATCTAAACGAGTTGAGTCATCTTGCTTACATTTTCACAGAACCGCTTCCAGCAACAACCAGACATCTACAAACAGTTCTTGGAAATCCTGCAGACTTACCAACGCGAATCGAAACCCATTCAGGATGTTTATGCTCAAGTGACAAGACTTTTCAACTCAGCCCCGGACCTTCTGGAAGATTTCAAGCAGTTCCTTCCAGAATCTGCCGCCCACGCGAAAGCAGCCGCTGCTGCAAGAGCCCAGCAGCAAGAAGAGTCTGTCATGCTCAGCAACGTGCGTGGCGATCCTTTCTACCAGGCTCCACAACCCCACCAGACTCCAAGAGCCGAACATCGTCTCCCTCCGGTCGGAAACTTTGCCCCAACTCCAACTGTCAACAAGGACAACAAGAGAAAGCGTGGTGACAGGCAAGGAACTGTCACCAACGCAGGTCCTGAGACAAACGGCCTTGCNAAAGCTCCAGCTTATGGTCAGATGGCCAATGTCAACAAACGCGCTAAACAGGCTCATGCTGGTAGACAAGTCATGGCATCTGACATACCNCCGTCTTCGCCGACCCTGGTCCCTGCACTTCCCGAGCCTCTGCCACCAACTCAGAGCACTCTTGCAACGACTGACGAGATGAGCTTCTTCGACCGTGCTAAGAAGGCAATCGGCAACAAGGCCGCCATGAACGAGTTCTTGAAGCTCTGCAACCTCTTTTCTCAGGACTTGATTGATCGTGCTACTCTGGTCCACAAGGCTCGTGGATTCATCGGTAGCAACCCTGATCTCTTCCAATGGTTTCAGATGTGGGTTGGTTACACTGGTGACGATGTAACTATCGAAAACAAGCCCAGAGCTCCTCAAAGTAGAATTTCCTTGAGCAACTGCCGAGGACTTGGGCCAAGTTACCGTCTTCTTCCTAAACGCGAGCGTCTTAAGCCGTGCCGCGGACGTGACGAACTCTGCAACGAAGTACTCAACGACGACTGGGCCTCCCATCCGACATGGGCATCTGAAGATTCTGGTTTCATCGCCCACAGGAAGAACGTCCACGAAGAAGGACTCCACAAGATTGAAGAAGAACGCCACGACTACGACTTCAACATTGAAGCCTGTGCACGCACGATTCAGCTTCTTGAGCCTATTGCACAGCAGATTCTGCGCATGAACAACCGCGAGAAAGAGGCCCTCGAGATTCCTCCTGGACTTGGTGGACAGAGCGAGACAATCCACAAGCGCATTATCATGAAGCTTTATGGTCGCGAAAAAGGCCACATGGTTGTCCAATCTCTCCACGCTCAGCCTTATAAGGTCATCCCTGTGCTGCTAAACAGACTGAAGCAAAAGCTCGAGGAGTGGNNGAAACAGGCGCAGCGCGAATGGGAGAAAGTCTGGCGTGATCAGACACAGAAGATGTTCTGGAAAAGTTTGGATCACCAAGCCGTTAATGCTAAACAGGCCGACAAGCGTCAATTCCAGACCAAGACTCTTCTGGGCGAAGTTCACACCAGATACGAAGAGTCAAAGAGACAACGCTTGGCTGGACAAAATCCCCGCAATCAACCTCAAATGACCTTCAAATTTGAGGACACGAGCGTAATCATCGACGCATCGCATCTGGTTCTTCTGTACGCCGAGCAGATGCATTCCACCGAGTTCCCAAGATTGACCTCCTTCATCCGAGAGTTCATCCCTCTTTTCTTCGGTCTTGACTACGAATGGTTCGGCAACCAGATCAGAGCCAAGTTTGGTGACACACCTCACATGGATGTGGGTGACGACGCAATCTCAGCTTTCGATGACCCCATTAATGCAAAGCCTCGCAAGCCAACAACCAAGAAGGGCGATCTTCTGCGTGGCGTTCTCGAGCGCGGACGTAAGAACCGTAAGGATGATGGCAGTAACACACCACTCAGCCGGGCCTCGACCCCTGACAACGCATCCAATGTGGATGAAGAGATGAGCGACAGCGCCAACGTAGTTGACGATCTGAAGTCCGACATTGCCTTGGACACTTGGGCGTCGCATCCTCTGGCGGGTAACGTCCACAAAGACAAGGAGCTATATCTCCACCAGATGTACCCACGTAGCAAGTTCACGCTCTACGGCAACGCAACTATCTACTGCTTTATTCGCGTCTTCATATTCTTGTATGAGCGTCTGAACAACATCAAGCAGGCCGAAGCCGAGGCCCACACTACAGTCGATCGCGCAATGGCACCCAAGCCCGCCACAGAGCTTGGTATAATCGACAAGCTTCCTACGGACTTCTTCACGGATATTAGCGAGGGTTCTAACTTCTACCGCCAAATTCTCGGCATGTTCGAAGACTTGATCAAGGGAGATATGGACATGGCACACATCGAAGAGACACTACGGAGATATTATCTGCAGTGCGGCTGGCAGCTCTATTCCTTCGACAAGCTTCTCGGCGCCCTGGTGCGTTTCGCCATTGGCATGCTCGGCAGCGAAAGCGGCAAGGACAAGAGCTGGGACATCCTTCAATTGTTCCGCAAGGATAGAGCCAAGGATGAAACCTCTTTCCAGGACGAGATGAACTACAGAAAGCAGACGGAGAAGTACACCAAAGACCTTGACATCTATGGAATCGAATATGTAAGAGACACGTCAGATCTTGTTTGCGCTAAATTACTGACAGACATATAGGATCAAGCAACATCTGAAGTGCAAATCAGGTTGATCAAGAAGGACGACCCTACCATCGACACAACTTCGATGCTCCAGGAGGATCTCTGGCGCGTTTATGTCACCAACCTTCTCAAGCTCGCGCCGACGCCTGACGTCGCCGTAACCAGACGTCGTCCAGTAATGCACAGAAACTTGCGCCAACTTAATGTCGACCCAAGCACGCTTACTAGCGAAGAGCGGTCGGACGAGTACCGCAGGCTTTGTGACTCAGCCATCTCATCAGAAGGACTTGAGTTCCGAGTCGCAGTTGAGTTGTACCGCATGTACTTCATCAAGAACACTGAGGAGTATGCATACCAGCCAACAGCGATCCGCAGCGGAGGCAAGGAGGGTGTTGAGGAGGCAGACTCGACAGCCCGCTACCGAAGTGATCGTAGTCAAGACACTTTCGTCATCAACAATGCTGCCATGAAGGGACTCAGCAAAGAGGATGTCGAGGGAAAGAACTCTGGGTTCGGCGCTCTGGTCAAAGAAGGTGGTGTCACAGTGGCATCAGGGTCTGCCGATGAGGACGAAGAGATGGAGGATTAGTACCTTCTGTTTTGACTAGATTCGAAATCTTCTGGACGATGGCAAAGGGACAGGCGTTGGGCATGATGACTTTTCTATACATTCATAACTCGATTCTTGCATTGCGAGTATGCCATTGGGGCCTTAGTTGGTTTGGACGAGGATGAGTAGAATGGTAGGAATCTGGCATGGAGCAGGTGGAGCCTCATGATTCTTCTTTTCCCCTATGCAGTAATGTAAATGTATATGTTTTCCTGGATGCTAGCTCGAGACTTGGGATATCGATGACTTCGATGACTTGTTGCTACTCGTAGAGGGGGGTTGAAGTGAGGATGGCAAGTTCCGAAAGGGTGGGGAAATTATTTTCGTGGCACCTCGAACATCACGGCGTAGCAGCGTCGAGTGCCGCCTCTTGATACGTCTTGGGACACCATCTCTTGTCAACCACGCCCTCACAACATCTTGACAATGCCGCCTCGTGTCGGACCTCGGGCAGGCCAAATCGCTGGATCCCAACAATGCCTCAGAACGACTAGCAATGCACGCCAATCCGTCGCAAGCCAGCGCGACTTCTCGCAATCGTCAGGTCAACAGTTCCACGCAACATGCAAGAACGACACACGTCTTCGCCGCAACATGTTCTCCTGGCTGAACGGACCTGGTCGCGTGTTCCGTGAACCTCTGCCGGGCTCGACCAACTACCTGGGTGCATACGACCGAAGTGGAAATTTGAGACGCCTAAGAGCTGGCGCAGAGCAAGAGAATGACCAAGAGGATCAGGTGGACGTGTCAAAACTCAACGAGGAGGAGAAGGCCAAGTACGACCAAGAGAAGGAGGCAAAGGCAGCAGAAAACCGAAACGAGCTGCCGCGAGAGGGCGCATCCGATCTCCGACCATACCCTTTGAACAATGACTTCCGCAGTCAGAGTGTTCTGAGTGAGGAGCTGCGCGAAGAGATCTACAAGAAGATTGTCGATGAGAAGGTCGATTTGTCGACTGTCAGTGCTCTGTATGGTGTCGACATGCGCAGAGTGGCTGCTGTTGTGCGTCTGAAGACGATTGAGAGAAACTGGGTTGCAGAGGTAAGTCGTGCTACTATTCCTGCTTTCCTTCCCCTTGCACTTTTAATGATGAGACATACAAAAATTCGATTAGTCTTTATGACACCCACATGGATACAACGCCTATAACTCTGATCCACTCAACCTTACTCAAGCATACATCGCTTCACGATTCATGGCAGATGCTGACAAGTTGAAAGNGGCAAGAAGCTAGCTACACCATACCACGACGCTGTCCTACAGATGGTGCCGCAAACACGCTTCAACCGCAAGCTCCTCGAGGACCCTAAGAAGACCATTTCGCACGAGTCGATCAACGATCTGCCCGTTCACCCATACACACGCACACAGATCTTCTACCCGACATCCGAGTCACGCCAGTTCACCCGTGCCGATGCAGCAAAGGTCTTTTCTCCTACACTTTTGCCTGCAGATGAGCGGATACCTTTGTCCGAATTGATCGAGATTGAGAAGGACGCAATCAACAACCTACCGCGTGAGGAGCGCACAGCGCGTATTCGTGAGCGTACCGAGAAGAAGATGCGCGCAAAGGAGGAGAAGGAGCGCAAGCAGCGTGAATGGGAGGCCAGGAACGTCAAGGTCGTCAGCAACCAGCGCTGGAACTTCCGTTTCGAAAGCATCAGCGTCGAGGATGCTGGCAAGGACGGTCGCAGCAGCCGTGGTGTTGGATGGAGATATGGAAACCCTCACCACGATCGCGAAAAGGGCGAGATCAAGCTGCCCACGAGCGTCGAGTAAGCGTGGCTTGGGTTGTGAAAGCTGTACGAGTATTGTAATATATACAAATCTAGATGATGGGAGCCGAGTGGCCTCGTGGCTGGCGGTCGCATGTGCTCATTCTTGTGCATTGTACTTTTGTGGCACCATCAGGCCTCACACAAGTCGTCATATGATAATGTTCAGAATAGCATGTGCAAAAACGTGTCCACGAGCCAGTCGGAAGAAAGCAGACTGAAATCGAGTCATAAAGGTAGAATGGAGCAGGATAGCAACTTTCAAAGCAGCCTCGGTCTCAGCAGCAGGAACACGCACCTTCCCGACCTGCTTCACCCCTGACCTATAAGATCATTTCCAATCCTTCGACAACGCTTCATAATGAGCCTCTTGGGCTACTTTGGGGCGGCGATAACGTCAATCCTGGTGTCGATACCAACGCTGCACCTGCTGGCATCCGTGACGCAGGCCCCGGTGCTGTCCTTTGCTGCCCGCAGCATCGCTTCCTTCAGCGCCCTCGTCTATTGCGCCTGCTATGGTGTCGCCGCCTCTATTGTTCTCCGTCTGGTCGGCTATGGCGGTCTGAGCCAGTGGACCACTGCCCGCGCCTTCAAATGGACCATGTGGTTGCTCACTGGTGTCGAGTTCAGAATCACCGACAAGTATGCCGGCCTCAAGGTGCGCCCCGGTGTCTTTATCGGAAACCACCAGACGTATGTTCTTCTTGATCTATTTTCTGTACTTGTCTCTCTCCAAGCAACGACTAACATGCATCTCCAAACAGTNGAACTCGACGTCCTGATGCTTGGCTGCATATTCCCACCCTACTGCTCCGTCACCGCAAAGAGCAGTCTCAAATGGATGCCTTTCCTCGGCCAATTCATGNNGCTCTCCAAGACCGTCTTCATCAACCGCACATCGCGCTCCGAAGCCATGGCTGCCTTCTCCCAAGCCGCCGAAACCATGCACTCAGAGCAACAATCCGTCTACATCTTCCCTGAGGGCACTCGCTCCTACGCCAACACACCTACCCTTCTTCCCTTCAAGAAAGGCGCTTTCCACCTTGCTGTTCAAGCCCAGGTTCCCATTGTCCCTGTAGTTGTCGCAAACTACAGCAATGTCTTGGATGTCAAGAATAAGATCTTCAACTCTGGCGTAGTTCCGGTTTCTGTCTTGAAGCCTGTGGAAACCAAGGGCTTGACCAAGGATGATGTGGATGCTTTGGTTGAGAGAGTGCAGAAGGATATGGCTGAAGAGCTGGTCAGAATCACCGAAGTTGCCCAGAAGAAGGGCGTTGCTGGTAGCGATGCTTCGACTCGTGCATCCAAGAGCTCGGGGGTTGATATGGGCATCAGCGGTTGAGATTCCACGCCCTGTTATCGGATCTGAGAATCGACGACAAAGCACGGACACGAGCGAAGTTGTTGGTATTGAAGTAGGCTATATCATGCCTGCACAGTCTATGCAAGCGTGTCCCACAGAACTCTTATGGGAAAAGGGACGAAGCACGTCACAACCCAAACCCAGCATGGAAGGAGCTTCGTGGCTATTGCACTATTCTATAAGGGAAGTTCCTGAGTTACAAGATTCTCTCAGTTGTTCCTTCCTGCATCTCCCATCAAACCTCCTTAGCACAAAATTGCATAACACATAACCATATATAGTAAAGAACTTACAAATCCGCTCGATCTCTTACTCTTTCTCCTTTACAGTGCATGGTTCGGTCCCAAGCTTTGCTTCGTAGTCAAATTATCCTTCTCACCCTTCAAAAGATACGTTGTTAACATTATATGTATCTGGTCATGTTCACGTCCTTCGCTATATTCGAATCTTTCGTACTGAATTCAAAACCGCAAAAGCTGGACCAGCTGCACATCCCATGAAGGAAAGATCTGAACGCGAGTGTCGATCTCAGCCTTGCCAGAACATGAATCGGGTGTTCTCAAGCCTTCGAAAGATGAAGATACTGAACAGAGTGTTCAAGAACCTGAGATGAGTGAATGTATATGCGGCAAGCCCCCAATGGTTTGTTGACCGAGTATACTCCCCCAGCAGCCGAGTCTGACTTGTGCAAAAACTTTGTGTCGAACCCGAGAAACACGAAGAATCTAGACAGGACTCGAATGAAACAGAGGATTACCAGATCAAGGAAGAAATGAAGAGTATATCCGCGATCCAGACTACGAAGAGGAACCCGAGGAGTCAGCAGTGCACAAAGGAACTCCAAAAACCTCTTGCAATCGTCCAGCAGGACGAGAGCGAAACACGAGGACAGCCAGCCGAGTCAAGATGCGACTCCAAAGCCAGCCGATACCAGAGTCGCAGATCGCTTCGTTGCGCTCAAGATGTCCTGGGATGACCGCAGTCAGTACAGCTCCCAGACAGGCAATGCAAGCTAGGCCTCCAACACCTTTCTCAATGACGACGACCTTACGAAGTTTCTTGAGGATGTAACAAACAACCAAAACGCAAAACGAAGACAGGCCCACAACATCTGTTGGGATCGTACGGCAAATAGCGCTTTCACTCGTGGGTTTCTCTATATGTTTCGCACGCACGAGTACAATGACTCGACTCAAGAAACTCTCGATGGACTCAAAAAAGAACATGGATTCGAAGACGATGAATTGGAGAAGGTCTCTGCTGGTCATGATCCGCTGTTGTGGTTACGAATACACGAGACATCTCCGAGCCAATTGCGCAAGCATGAAATTTACATCTCTATTGTCACGAGAGATAGAGTGAGTATCGGCGTGAACTTTGGATCTGCAACTGGAGAAGACGATGTCGCCAGCAGATGGGTCGGATACGGATGATATAAGCAGGAACGATGCATTGGCGTGGTTCGTGGGAAACAGACTACTGCTCTCACTGGACATCGCTCTTTCCTGATACAAATTGTGCATTCTAGCAGCTCATATATTGTTCTATGCTGTTGTAGGAGATAGTGTCATTGGTCGTACCTTCCCAAGGGTCCCGCATATTAAGAGAAAGAGATCAAGAAGGCAAGAACGGTGATCAAAACATAAAACCTTTTCATTTATTCAATTCCCACAATACGTGTCAAGCGCCTCATTCTTGCCGTACAGCTCGGGATCAATAGTTCCTGCCCACATCTAAACCTCTGTATCCGTCTGCGGTGATGCTGGCTCATCAGCCTCGTCTGCTGCAACAGGTGCTGCATCTGCCTCTGCCTCCTCGGTCTCAACACCGTCCTCTTCTTGCTCTTCGACCTCTGCCTCAGCCTCTTCATCACCAACATCGATCAAGTCTTGGCTTTTGTTGCCTCCGTCCTTCTCAAGCTGGAGATATGAGTCCCATTCAGGGAAGAGGTCTGCATCGCCTTCGCCGTCCGCGGGCGGCATGCCCAACAATCTGGCAACCTTGGACTTGCCATTTGACTCGAGTCCTTGCTTCCATAGCTTGGCAATCTCGGGCGCCCGGCTGGGCAGGTAGGTCTGAGCGAAGAGCACGGCTTCGGCGGTACGGTCAGTGCGAACCAGGAGGTCGATACATGCGTTCAGATTGCCGACTTGCCACAAGCAGCTGAAAGCCACGTTGCGAGCGCCAACATCATCGGCCTGTTGGGCCAACTTCCTTAAGCCAGCCTCGTTGCAGCTTGAAGTGTATAGTAGGAGCAAACTGCCCATGTCCTTGGCGTGGGTGAAGCATTCCTCTGCAAGACGCATGTTCCAAGCTGTGAGTGCGGCGTCACCGACAGTCTTCCATTTGTGCTCGACGTCGGCTTCACGAGCAAGCTCAAGTGCAATCTCCAGTTGGTTCAGGCTGAGTGCGAGTTCGAAACGGTGCTCAGAATCAGTGGCAACCTCCAAGGCTTGCTCCTTGTAACCTTGACCCTCAAGGAAGCGAGCGATTTTCGACTTCTGGTCCTCGGGGATATCTGCGAGCATCTCGTTGGCGGCATCGAGATCGCCACGCAAGACGAGCGTTTGATACTCGATGACGGAAAGCGAAAGAGCGAATGAGACAATCTGAACATCCTTGTCGGCAACGTAAACACGGCCATCGCNGGGAATGTAGCCAAGAACGTAGTGAGGAGAGTCGAAGTGAGAGATGGTGTAGGTTTGATCACCAACCAGGTAGTTCAAGCGGTTTGTGCTGTTGGTGTAGACGAAGCAGTCACCAACCCATTGACCAGTGCGGACGCTNNATTTTCTGTTAGTGAACCCTAGATAGGAGACATAATTGGGAATGACATACCTCTCGTTGACATCAGTGACGACCTCGAAGGCGGCCTCAACACCATCCTCGTCAGCCTCTCCTGCCTGAAGAGCAGCCTGGTACTCCTCACGAGAGAAGCGGAGGACGTAGAACGTGTCTTCGCAAGCAAGAGTAACAAGCTCGCCGCTTTCTGACCAGTAAACNNCTGAGCGAGGCGTTAGCTTCCAAGCACCGTACAGCTGTCAAAAAAAGTAACTTACGTTCTTGGGATCGACCTCGATTCTGCGGACAAGCTGACCCGACTCCCAGTCGAAGAAGCCAATACCACCCTGACCCTTGACACCAAGCAGAACACCACCGCTAAGACCCTCTGCCTGGAAACCAATATCGAGGACCGCCTTCTCCTTGAAGTTGCGGAAAGTCTTGACAGACATGGACGACTCGCGAATAGCATAGTCCTTGTCATTCTCCTTCGAACCCCAAGCAAAGTCGAGAGCAGAGCCGAAGGCCTGGTTTCTTAAGATGAGAGCAGTGTAGATGATGTATTCGCCGTCACCGCAAACAGCGACGAAACGACCGTTGGGAGAGTGAATGAGAGTTTGAGGATAGATTTCGGTAGAGCCAAGATCCTTGGAGGGCAGAGTAAGAGGCGAACCATCTGTCAAAGATTTGTCTCCGCCCTTGATAACAGCAGTCACAATATCGTTGTGGCGAGCCCAGATGATCTTTCCAGAGTTGTCCATAGATACGGCAGGCTCCTCACGACCCATCTTCACAACAACAGCACCGTCGTCGAAACCCATAGCAATGCCTTGACGGCCACGCTGGTAGCTGACACACCATGCGCGCTCCAGACCATAATTGAGAGACTGTTCGAGACGGTATGTGTTTGCGTGCCAGATCTTGACGGTACCATCCTCGGAACCGGAGATAATGACAGGCAATTCGGGGTGGTAGCAAGCGAAAGAGACATTGCTGGTGTGGCCCTCGAGGGTTGCAATCAAAGCCTTGGTAGTGTAGTCCCAAATCTTGACGGTGCGATCGTCCGAGGTGGTGAGCAAATAAGGCTTGTCGGATTGAGGATAGTAATCGACGTGGTTTACACCCTTAGTGTCGTGTGCATCGAGAGTGTAGTTTGCGGTGCTTGATCCTAGACTCCAAATCTTGACGGTGCGGTCCAAACAAGCCGAAGCAAATGTGTTTGTGTCTTTGGGGTTGATGGCCAGACCCATAACGTAGTGGCTGTGGCCCTCGAAGATCTGCACGCACTTCCATCNCCTCTCCCAATCCCAGAGCTTGATTGTCATGTCATCCGAGGCGGTCAGCACAAAGGGCTGTGTGGGGTGGACGACTATTGCGCGGATGTAATCGGGGTGTGCCTCGAAAGAGGTGATCTTCTCGGAAGTATTGTAGTTGTAGACGCGTAGTTGGAAATCATCGGAGCCGCAGACAATCCAGTTCTTGCGCGCAATGAAGCGACCAGCTCGTACGGGTACGTCGGTAAGTTCGAATGTCTTGACGATGGCTTGTGTCTCGTATGACCAGATGTATACATGGCCNNTGCAATTTGTGTCAGATTCCTCGTGCAGATGTGACTGGCGAAGTGGCATACCGCTGTAGAGGGTTGTGAGGATCTATGGTCGGTCAGTCAACAATGTCTCTGCCTCGAGGCTCGTCTCTGGTGAACTTACCCATGGCTCGGTAGGATGGAAGTCAATGCCCTTCACTCGCTCAGAGCGGGCAAAGAGCTGTCTCTGTATATCAAGATGCGTGTGAGCCGTGTCCATGGTGGTCGCGTCGAATGTTGGCTGGATGTTCTAACCTTCACGTCCAGGCGCATTCTGGCCACTGGTCCAGCTTATGCAAGGGGTGGTGTCTGGTCTGTCCCGGGTAATTCCTCACTCTATTCTCGCTATGTCCCTGACAATTGCGAAGCGACGATTCAAATTAATGGCGACACACAATTCAATCTTGATGATGTTGGTAGCTGGAGCTGTAAACTTGTCCACTCCCTAACTCCACCATCAAGCACGGGCCACCAACCCCTGCTTTCTGAGGGTTGCGACTTCTCCTCGAAGCCTGTCTCCACTCTTCTCACAGATGAACACTTTTCGAGCACGAGTCACTTCATGAAATATTTAGGGACAACAAGAGCATGGTCACGGTTGAGGTTTCAAGAGGGCAATCCGGAGGTTTTACTGCAGTTTCATACAAGTGAGATCGCTTTTGATGAAAAGGAAAGAGCAACTAAGCCTTCCTTCCTGTCCTAATGTCTGACTTCTGATTCCTGGCTCATCGACATACGACTGGGCGTGGTAGGTCTGCTCGTCCTATTGCCGAATGCAATGTTTTCTCTCAGCGCAATGTACTCACTATCAGCATAACCCAAAGCACCATGAATCTCTGTGCTCTTGAGGCCGCGGATTCTCTTAATCTCCGCTGCCGAGTAGTTGACCAGCGCTCTGCCCACTTCGAATGGTGCAGGATCTTCCTNTTCATACTCGAACGAGCTCTTTGATTTGCGCTGCACCACCACTATCCGCACGGCTTCTTGCTGTGCGAAGTTGCCCTCGACCTCTACCACGCCTGCTGGTAAGAGGCCAGCCTTGTCAGCTAGTGCTCTGTGTGCGCCTTTGTCGATGTAGACTGTCCCATGAGGTGCTAGGCCATACAGCAGCCAGAAGTATCGGTCTCTGATCGGATGAAGATCAGGGATGAAGCGAGTATGTAGTGGAGGCAATGATGGAGTATCGAGTTTAGGTGACACGGTTCCATTCGTGCTTGATACTTCATTGACGACAGCTTTCTTCACGAGCGAAGAATCATCCAGTGTCAGATTGCTTGTCGAATTGCTCATTGACTCTGAGCCTTCTGTTGAGCTCTGTCGTGACGAGCGTTTGGCCGCAAGTTCTTCTGCCTTCTTCGACTCGGCATATGCAACAATGTTGGCGATATTGCCAGGCTTGTCTGAGCGGGTAATGATGGTGGTTACACCAGCAGAGGTTGCTAACCGAGCAGCAGTGATCTTAGTAGCCATACCACCAGTGCCTACTGAAGAACCGGCACTCGAGACGTCGGCGACCAGCTCTCCAATGTCCTCGACAACTTCAATGGCTTTGGCGTTGGGATTTGAGCGAGGATTGCTGTCGTACAGACAGTCCACATCTGTCATAAGGAACAAGTAATCGGCCTGAACCATGGCAGCAGTGATGGCGGAAAGTGTATCGTTGTCACCAAACTTGATCTCAGCGACGGACAAAGTGTCGTTCTCGTTGACAATGGGAATGACCCCCATATGGATCAGCTCGATAAAGGTGTTCTGAGCATTAAGGTATTGAGTTCGGTCGGCGATATCGTTTCTTGTGAGCAAGATCTGAGCGATTGGCTGTCTTCTGTGCATGAAGAGCTGGTCCCAGAGACTCATGAGCTTGCACTGTCCAATGGCAGCCAGGGCCTGGACTTGAGGCAGGTGTTTCGGTCTGCGTTCCATCTCCATGTGACCTAGGGCGACGCCAATGGCGCCGGACGATACAATGACCACGCGATGTCCATCTTTCTGGAGTTTGCAGGCCGTTTCGACGATGGTGGACAGAATTGACAGAAGTGGCTCGTGGCTCTTTTCGTCGACGATTGACGAAGTGCCTGTGCGCGACAGTCAGCATTGAATTGCGGTTGCAATCAAAGACAAAGATACCAANNGCTTGATGACGATAGTAAGGTGTTTCTTCATGGTGCGAGTTCTTCTGTGCAGAAGCAACCGCAAGTGTTCAGATTCACATGTCTGGTATAGACTGTCGTGACGAGTGAATCATCATTTGTAGGGCGGAAAACAAAGGCGGGGCGGCATCGGCATGGCAGCCGTGACGGCCGCTCGGCCAATCGCGATCCATGTCTATTCTGAGGCCCTCGCTCCGCGACCGTCGACAAGAAACAATCTGCCATCACAATTATACCCAAACCACATATCGAAACCATGTCGCAAAGCAACACAAACTCATTACCCGAGACCACTACGGCCAAGTCGCCGGCAGCTCCAACACCAGACCAGGATTTCTACAACTGGTCCACCTTCTTCAACATCCTGACTGGAGGCGCAACGCCGCAAGAAAGAGAAGCCTACTTTGACATCAAGGACACAATCAACGAGGAGCGCGACATTAAACGCGCAGAGAAGGATCGCAAATGGCTGCTAGAGTACTCGCCTATAGTGAGGTTCATGCGCCATAACATCAACCTGCTAGGCCATGATCTGAACGAGACGAACATGCGCGTTAAGCGCTGCACCACACAGCAGAGCGGAGGCTTTGATCCAGAGTTTGGCATCTTGTTGTGCGCCAACAAATTCAGGAACAGAGGACATATGGAAGACACCATGGCGCATGAGATGGTTCACGCTTATGATCACCTAAGGTTCAAGCTGGACCCTCTGGACCTCAGACATGCTGCTTGTATGGAGGTATGTTGATCCATGGCCTTGTCATACTCGAGACCCTTTCTCACAAACTTTTCANNGATCCGCGCATCGACTCTGTCAGGGGAATGTCGCTTCGGTCGCGAGTTCTTCACTCGCGGACAGTGGAACATCACACAACAGCTCCAAGAGTGTGTACGAAGGAGAGCTACTCTGTCAGTCGCCAACAGACCAAGCTGCAAGGACAATACCCACGCCGCTCGCGTCGTCGACGAGGTTTGGGACAGCTGCTTCAACGACACTAGACCGTTTGACGAGATCTACAAGTAATCTGCTTCTAGTCGTCTATTCTTCCCCTCTCTTTGTTGCATAGCATTGGCGTTAATACCCCAGTCTCTATCTCTATCTCAACCATGATCAAAATCACGAGAAGGAGTGCTGTCATGTTCGAATGGCTCGAAAGTTGTGAAATAGAGACGATGGTCTCCTGAATTTGGAAATCAATTCTCCTCATGTGTACAAAACCCGACAATGCATCGCCGATGTGGCTGCAATTATGCTTACTCCCAAACCCTTCCTTTCCATCAATCATGCCTCGTGGGCTTGCTCCTGAACGCCTTCACCAACCCCGAAGCCTCGGATATCCCTAAGAAATGCAACCTACCTTGAACTCCCTTGATCGTAATTATGCCATTGGTCTTTGACCTTACTCGCTGGGACGTTGCTTGTTGCTGCTGGCAGAGGTCCTGTTGTACGCTCTCTCGCCCTTGACACAGTGCTTGATGATCCAAGGATGTTGCTCCACCTCGTGCAAGGGGATTCTCTTTCTGGGTCTAGAACAAGCAACTATAATTCTGTTAGTAACGTGATAATCCAATCTAGATTCTGGAATTGAGCATACCTTCTTGATCAAATCTTTAGCCTCAGCGCTCACAAATGGAGGAATCGTCATTTCTCCACGGGCAATGCGCTTTTGTGTCATGGAAGGGGTGTCCTCGAAAGGCGCCTCTCCTACAAGGAACTCGTACGTCAAGACCCCCAAACTCCACAAGTCGACCTTCTCGTTGTACCAGTTCTCGTCTTTGCCGGGCTTCAGCATCTCTGGTGGAAGGTAATCGAGAGTTCCACACATGGTGTTTCTCCTGTTGTTGGGAGCGTGCACCGACCAGCCAAAGTCACTAATCTTGATTTCGCCATGGATGCCAACCAGAATGTTCTCGGGCTTGATGTCACGGTGGATGACGTGCTTCTTATGCAGGTATTTGAGAGCAGCGCACATTTGGGCAACATATGAGGCGGCTTTCCATTCAGGGAAGCGTTGTTCGCGACGAAGATGCTTGTAAAGCTCACCTTTGCCGGCGAACTCGAGGATCAGGAAGATGCGCTTGCTGTCGTGAAAGTGACCGAAGAGGCGAAGGATGTTGGGATGGGCAAGATTCGACTGGATCTCGATCTCTCGGCGGACTTGTTTCTCGACCTTTCCTTGCTGAAGCTCAATCTTGTGTAGAACCTTGAGCGCGCAGACGAAGCCACTAGAGCGTTCTCGCGCAAGGTATACTCTTCCGAACTTGCCCTTGCCGAGAGGTTTGCCAATTTCAAACATGCCGAGGTGGAACTGTCTGGGTGTCGTGGGCTGTTGAGGAATGGAGGATAGCATAGTCTGTGGATCTGAGCGACGGGGTTCCGAGTCGGACGATCGTTGTGCTGCTTGAGACGGGAGGGTGATTTTGCGATGGTTGCGGCTGTGTTGGCGCCATTGGCAGAATATAGCGAGTTCTTCGCAGCGTTGGCAGGCAGTTTCTGCAAAGGCAGCTTCAGTCGATTTGCTGCGGCGGCGGCACCTAAGCTAGAGAAAGAGATTGATCCCTGTATTTGGTGTCAGTTCCAACTCTTCTCCTCTGATAGAGCGCAGACGCCACGGTCGTACCTTTGATTTGTGTGAGTTTTGATCGTGGTTCTCGTCGTTGACTGAGATGCCCTCGAAGCGGGACTCTAGTGACTGAACATCCATGGCTGCAGGCGAGATGATTGTAGTTCAGTCGTTGCTGTTTGGTTAGTAAAAGTGGTGTGTATTGATCGAGGTCGAGCAGCAGTTGATGGGGTTCAGAGAAGGAATCAAGTTTATTGTTGACAAAACAAAGATGGCGCCCGGCAACCGATGCCAAGCCCTCCGTTCGAATCGCCGCTTATGGCCGCATCACTCACTTGCATCGAGATTCGACACGAAGAGCTTCTATCAGACCAGATCAGATCGTTTCGCCAACAATAGAAGTGCTCTCCGTCTTGATCCATCTGATCAAATCACTATGGCTCTCAACGGAGAGCAGTCAGACCTCCAGGGCGTCGACAGTATCGATTCGCGCAATAAGCAATGGAGAATCAGCACGCGCAAGAGACCTATTCTCAAGGCTGGTCCTATTGATGCCATGAACGAGAAGCTCGGAATCCCTGTACCTGAGATGATTTTTGGTGACAACTTGGTTGCCATCGAGCATATTCCTTCTGGCTGGGCTATCGACTTCAACGCCTTCGATGCTCTTGACCGCGTATCCAAGACTGCCGACGGCATGTTGCAGGTTGCATATTCCAAGGAGTGGCAGAGAGACCGGTATGTGCTGCCTGAATTCTGTAATCATATCAATCTTTTCTAAACTCTTCAGNNTCAACATCATCACGAAGGCATCAAAGAAGTCGTCAAGCCCTTCGATTGGTCATACAGCACAGACTTCAAGGGCCGCACTCACAGCCCGGATTCTGCTGTCGTCTGGCAACCAACTGATCAATCCAAGGATCCCATCAGGACTGATCTCCTTTCACGCCCTGACCCTATACTTTTCTACGACGATGTCATCTTCTACGAAGACGAGTTGGCTGATAATGGCATTGCCATCTTCAGCTGCAAAATCCGTGTCATGGCCGATCGTCTTCTACTTCTGTGTAGGTTCTTCCTGCGTCTAGACGGAGTCATCGTGCGTGTCAGAGACACGAGAATTTACATCGAGTTGGCTTCCAAGACCGTAATCCGACAGTACACAGCCAAGGAGGAATCCTACGACGTTGTTCAGTCTAAGCTGCAGATACACAGAGAAAATATCCCGGAGGTCCTGCGTGATGCCAATCGCATCGCTCCTCTNTTGCGGACTGTTGAGGATACGATGGACAAGGTCACCATTCCTTGATCTACACAACAACCAACATCAGTCTCCTGGTCTCAGCACCAAGCAAACGGCCTGGCCATCATTTGCCTCCTTCTCCGCGGTCGATCGTCCGAACGAGGTCAAAGGTTTCCGCTCCACCTCCCAAGACCGAAGCGCCCAATGGTACACAACGCCCCCACGGCTGAGACGCAGTCTGGGATCTGTCCTGCCCCCCACGCACATGTTCCCGGGGGATTTGACACTTTGGTCTGGGTCAAACCGACACAAGTTGCTCTGATCTTTGCGTCTACCTCAGCAACCCCGCCTGCATTCGGGAGAGACCGTAATCACCAATCGTCCGTGCCGGCACGATTCGGCACGTCGATGTCACGCTATTGAGTAGATGACTGTGGGTCTTTTCTCGCGACTGGGGCCTTCAGTTGAGGCTAGGACACGGTTGTAAGTCATCACCAAGCGCATTTAGATTAAGCGCGCGTAACACCCCACAACTTCTCAATCCTTCCAAACATCTTATGGAGTGCATCTCTAGATTCGTGTTTCCTCCATTGCAGACGTATAAAAATCAGATATCATTTGCTTTTTCGAGTTTCCGCAAACGCCCGAAGTATCGAAGTAACTCACTAGCCAAAGTCAAGATGAGCAAGCAGGCCAAGGAAGCCTTCGCGAGCTTCTGAGAGCTGGGGCTGGACGTTGAACAATCTTCTTTCTGCCAAGGAGCGGAGCCAATCCTGTTACAAAATTGCTTACCGATACCAAGAAACGTGGCGTAAGACTTCATCTGATGACCGTCTTTTGCCGGCTGGCCACATGCTCAACCTACCAGCCAACCAAAATAATCAAAGTTCTTGGAGTGGTGTCATCAATACAGACAACACAGACTATGTCACCTGGTAGCATCTCTGAAACGAGCAAAGGAGTGAATACCCGGCCAGATCTTGCTAGTTCAAAGCATCCCGAAATGTACGAAGACAGCGTCTCGCTTCACGAATCTCCTTCTAGGGCTCGGCATGCCGAAGACGCAACACCACCGAGTCGGGAAAGAGCTCAGCCGCCTGCCAAGGTACTCCTGTCCAGAGTCCCCACTTTCAAACCCATTGCGTGCCAACAAACTGGCTACCCGAACATGGACTTCCTTACGTTGCTTTGGACAGTTGTTCATGGCCTGTACTTGGCCAGTCCTCCACTCAATCTTCATGTTGATCTTCTAGTCATTGTGGGAGACTAGAGGTAGGTATGTTGTACCACGACACGACTGAAGAGGTACAACGGTGGATAAAAAATATCGAAGCACGTTTCATTCGGTTCGTGCACAGACCATCGGACTCGGTGTGTAAGAGCTCAGGACCCACAGCACCCCCGGGTTCTCCGCATTGATAGACATGCCCCAGGAAGAAGAAAATCGTGCTAGCCGGAACTACTCCGAGATGCTACATACTGCTGCATACAGATCGACACAGCCTCACGCTGTGCCAAGATCTCAACAATACAGAGCCCTAAGTTGGACGATAACCCACGTTACAGAAGACCAATACGGACTCATGGGCTTCTCGCCGAACTGCGGACGCTGCATACTCGCAGCCGGTCACCACCGAAAGCTAGAATGATCCTACCGAAACAAACAGGCACACCACCGAACGCCACGACCCTTGGCGATTCTCCACGTTCTTCTTGGCATATACAGCGGATCGGCTACACATCCCCACGCGCTGGGGGTCCGGGGATAGTTTTTCTCCAGATCAATCGATTCGAGCTGTGGGGTCCGCCTAGAACGGTCAGACCGTTCGCCATTCGATGGGGGATGGAATGACAAGGGGACACGCTGGGGGACCAGAGGCTGAATGGTATAAAGTAAGGCAGGTCCTGCTACCAATCCTCCACCATCCCACTCCTCTCACTACCTTTCTTCCTCTCCCCTCCTATCTCCTCTCAATTCGCCAACATGGGTGCTGGAGGCAAGCCAGTCAACATCTTTACGTTCAAGAAGAACGGCAACGAGCCNCCGGAGGTTTTGAACTGGAAGCTATGGTTCGCCGTGCTCTCTTTTGGTATCATGGGTGCTGCCCGTGGTATCGATGAGGGTCTGATCTCTGGTACATTCGCTACCAAACACTTCCAACATGCTCTTGGTCTCAACAAGCTCGACACTGTAGACCTTGCTCAGGTTAAGGCCAACGTTTCCGCCATGGTGCAGATTGGCTCAGTCGGAGGCGCACTTTTAGCTTTCGTCCTCGCTGACCGTATCGGTCGTCTCTGGGCCACTCGCCAGCTCTGTCTCGTGTGGATCCTCGGTATCGTAATCTTCATGACCAGTACTGTTGGCGGAGGCCGTCTTGGCCAGGTCTACGCTGGTCGTTTCATTGCTGGCCTAGGTATTGGCCAAACTACTGTCATTGCGCCTGTCTACATCTCAGAGATAGCACCCAAGAGCGTACGCGGACTCTGCACATGCGTTTTTTCCGGTTCCGTCTACATCGGTATTATGCTTGCCTACTTCGCTTCTTGGGGCAGCTCTCTACACATCAGCAAGACCTCTCCAAACTCATGGGAGGTTCCTACTTCAATCCACTTGATGTTCGCTGGTCTCATCTTCATCCTGTCGTTCTTCAACTACGAGTCACCACGTTACCTGATCAAGGCTGGTAAACGCGACAATGCAGTGGCCAACCTGGCTCGTGTCCGTGGATTGCCTATCGACCACGAGGTTGTACAGGCTGAAATCGCTGATATCGAGCACCAACTTCATGAGGAGCAGGAAGCTACTATGGGCCAAGGTGCTATGGGTTATATTAAAGAGATGTTCTTCATGCCAAACAACGCATACAGGCTTTACATCGGCCTCGGATCCCAAGTTCTCGTAAGTTTAAGAGGTCGTCGCTACCGGATGTTTGCTAACTCTTGTTCTTAGTCGCAATGGTCGGGAGCTCAAAGTATGACCGTTTATGCCCCCGATTTCTTCGCTCTCCTTGGAACCAAGGGTCAGAACGAGAAGCTGTTCGCTACTGCCATCTTTGGTGTTGTCAAGTTCATCGCTGCCATTGCCTGCGCTCTCTTCTTGGTCGACTGGATCGGTCGCAAGCGTTCTCTCAGCATCGGTATTGCCTGCCAGGCCATTTCTATGGCCTACGTCGCTGCCTTCCTTACCGCTGTTCCTGGAATTGAAGAGAAGGGTTTCGAGTTTTCTAAGAGCCAGAAGTCTGCTTCCACTGTCGCCCTTGTCATGATCTACCTCTCAGGTTTCGGATGGGCAATGGGTTGGAACTCGATGCAGTACCTCCTTAACGCAGAGATCTATCCCCTGCGCATCAGAGCCATCTCCTCCTCGCTGGTCATGTGCTTCCACTTCGTCAACCAGTACGGTAACTCGCGCGCTGTCCCTCTTATGCTCCTCGACCACAGCGAAGGCGGTCTCGGCCCTGCCGGCACCTTCTGGCTCTTCACCGCTATCACCATCATCGGTGGTGTCTGGGCCTGGTTCACCATTCCCGAGACTTCTGGTAGATCTCTCGAGGGTATCGACAAGCTGTTCGAGCTTCCCTGGTACAAGATCGGTCGCTACGGTGCCAAGGAAGCCGAAATCAGCGACCAGTTCGAGGCCGATATGCACGACGAGAAGAAGGCCAATGTCCAGGTCATCGAGCGCGTTGCTTAAAGCAGTATTACATTGTGTATTTGGTCGGGTCTGGTTTTATGGAAGTCGACAAGCTGTTTATGAAAAGCCTCTGTCATGCCACGAATTGTATATACCTTGTGTCACGAAACACTCATGAACATGTCTTTTTCTCTTGAACTTCACCTCTGACTCTACCTCTTGAACCACTAACGAGTTCGTGGTGATGCTTCGGTGTGCTGTGTCCCGATTTCTGGATCCACATAGCTACCAAGGTACCATCGGCCGACTGTGATCCGGGGTGGCCTGTACGCCTGTAACTTTAATCCTCAATCATTCTTTAGCATCTGATACCACCAACCCCGCACCTATGTAGCTGCCGATAGCTTCAATTGTGAGTGCAGTCTGCAACTCTAGACATCTATTAACTTGTCAAGGTGTCCATGATGGCCGCTAAGACATCTAATCTCTCGTGTCTTCTTTATAATCCTCATGACGCTAGATTCGAAGACCGAGAAGTGCCTACTATAACAGATCCCTACGATGTGGTTATAAGGATTGCTTATGTTGGTGTCTGTGGCAGCGATGTAAGTCGTTCCCTCATCTCATCTACAAGAGACGCAACATAAGTCAGAGGAGCACATCTAACAGAACCACCANNGGTTCACTTCTGGCACCACGGCGGAGTTAGCCTAAAGGTTTCTCCTACCAACCCTCTGACGATGGGTCACGAAGCCTCTGGTACAATCCATAGCATCGGCTCTGCGGTGACCACTCTCTCACCCAACGATAACGTCTGCATCGAACCTGGCATCCCCTGCTCTCGCTGTACATCTTGCAAGTCCGGTCGCTATAATTTATGTCCTGAAATGGCATTTGCTGCTTCGCCTGGTCCTGGTCCTGCTACACATGGATGCCTGTGTGCTTACTATAAACTTACGGAGTCTTTTGTCTATAAGCTACCAGCAAGTGTGAGCTTAAAGGAGGGTGTTCTTGTCGAGCCGTTGTCTGTTGCTGTGCATTCGATCAGGTTGGCAGACGTCAAGACTGGTCATCGAGTTGTGATTTTTGGAGCGGGTCCCGTGGGGATCCTGTGTGCTGCTGTGGCTCGTCAGTTCGGTGCTGCGCAAATCATGTCGGTTGATATGAATGCGGCGAGACTGGACTTTGTCGAGGAGTTCGCTGCTACTGGCGTGTTTGTGCCAGATGCGAAGGCCGATGGAGCGACCAATGCTGCAGCCATTGTTGAGAGGTTCCATCTCGATCGCGGAGCTGACATCGTCATCGAGGCCTCAGGTGCTGAGCCTTGCATTCAAATGGGCATTCATGTACTGGCACCCGGAGGCACCTACGTGCAAACAGGCTGTGGAAAGCCGAATGTCTTGATACCAATGACGAAACTCGGTGAGAAAGAGGCAGTTGTCAAAGGGTGTTTTAGATATGGGCCTGGTGACTTCAAGTTGGCTATCGACTTTCTGAAGGACAGCAAGATCGATGTCAAGAAGATGATCTCGAGGACGGTGTCGTTCGAGGAGGCACCTGAGGCTTGGGAAAGTGTAGGCAGGGGCGAAGGGATCAAGACACTCATTCGTGGTGTGCAGAATTGAGAGTATTGCACGTCACTTCAGTCAGAGGTTGATGCTCCAGAAAGCTGCAGATCCCCTGTATATCGCTTTGACTGTGAGAAGACACATGATATTGCAGTCCATAGCCACTCTTGATGGTGATGATGTTTACCGATGCTATCGGAAAGCTGCTGCTTGTTGCCAACGGCTGATGCCCACGCCGAATCGTTCCGAGGCGTGACGAAATGAACCAAAACCTTTCACAAAAACTTTTTTCTGTTTTGTTCATTCTTGTTCTTGCACACTTCAATGCACTTGGAATGATGCTTCGTCCAATGTTCTGATGACCTGCAAGAACAAGTTGCTATCTAGAGATGAGATGGCATTCTACCAGTGCGGTCATCCATATTTCTCTACTCAGCGCAATGCAGATCGCGAAGGACATCGCGACATGCTCGAGCATTGCTGCGTGAGAAAATCACACCGAGAGCAAGATTTTTCTTGCGTCAGAAAGCACTATCTTCAACACAAAAAGCCTTAATGGTCTAGCGGTATGATTCCTGCTTTGGGTTTATCTAAATTGCAGGAGGTCCCCGGTTCAATCCCGGGTTGAGGCCTTTCTTTTGCGTTTTGTAAGAACACCCCTTGCATGCTACACTTATGCTTCTCGCAAGTCGACATACGACTACAGATACAGCTATAGATTTTTAGAGTTGGTTTTGTCAGATGAAAGAGGCATCCATACACCGAACCACTTTCCAGGGGTGTTTCGAAGTCCACGTTGCTCATCAGAAAGTGTCTGAGGGTGTGACAATTTCAGAGGATGGATGTTGTTGACTGTGTTCGTTAGCTCTGCATAAGCTACCTACGACGTGTGTTGATTATCTCAATGCGTGTCTATCACTACACTCCGACCAACCTACCTTTTCCGTCCTCGCCTGATCTGTCTTCCTCCAGCTTTACCTGGCTTGTCTGCCTCCACTCTTTCCTTGGTTAGGAATTGTTCTTAAGTACTTCTGCCAGACTCTTTGATTATAAGGCCATGTTGGGCAACAGGGTTGTCGAACATCTTCTGCCATCCTTGCGAGTGTCCCAGTGCTTCGCCTTCCTCGTATCCTTAGCTGCTTCGGAGAAGTCGGGAGTCGGCAGGAGTGTCGAAAGAGACTACTATAGCTCCACTACTGTGTGGCTTTGCCGGTGTTTTTCGACGTGATCTCAATGTAAAAATTGGTGACGTATCGAAGAGACGAGATCGCAAAATGGTAATTATTCATAGCAAAGGTGTGATCGCGAGATTTTACCCATCCACGAGCGTCAAAAATGTCCCGCAGCAGTAACTCAACTCTGTCCAAAGCGTTTACAGCATCATCAGCTTCTTGGCTCTCCTCCAGCACCGAATCTTGTAGCTAGGTGCTTCTGGGATAGAGAGCGGATGAGTCTCTTGAAGTTATGAGCTTGCTTTTCCAAGTCGTTAAAGATCTCTTCAATACCAGTAACGTGACGAGGTGTGCCTGTAGCCAACGGTCCGAGTAGTCCAATGTCGTGGAGAAGAGTTATAGAAGAGGTGCTTGGTAGGAGTGAGTTGAATAACTGCCTGAAGCAGGAACGGCATCTGCCGCGGACCCAGCGGATCCGTGCATGCATCCAGCAACAACGTCAGAAGGTCGAGGGCGAACGCGACAACGAGCTGAAATAGACTCCAACCACAAATATCACCATGTTGTTGAGGTATCTGAGTGCGGCCGCTCTGGCTCTGCAATCTGCAAACGCTTTCAAGGACGCTTCGCCTTTCGTTCTCTACTCGACCAGCCAGTAAGATGGACCGGCAGCCACCAACTTATCATGAAGGCATGCTGATAGCTGTAGATTGGAAGGCGAGTCTGCCAACGTGAACGTCATCAGCGCGCAGTCCTTGCAAGAAGGCATCAACCACCAAATCGATGGCTGCCCTTACGGCACATACGTCTTTGTATCGCAGCCTGGTGTCTCGACCAACGACCTGACCCTTTCCAAATCCACACCGCATCTGCGCCGCCGCCTCTCGGCCAAGGACGACAACGTCAAGTCTGTCTTCACCGCCAAGAATGTCGTGGGAGAAGTCGATGCCATGGCTCTGGTAGCCACAGTCAACCGCGAATGCAACACCAAGAGTACCTTGCTGCTGGACGGCGAAAGTACGTCCTCGTCTCTCTTGATCACACACCGAAGACACACTGACCGCGAAACAGAGGGCGAAATCCCTACCCAGGCCTACGACGCTATCCACGTTCGCTTCCCCAACCTGCCTACAGATAATGACGACCGTGAATCTGCTCTGCTCCAAGCCGACTCGTACCTGAATTCGCTGCTCGCAACTCTCGACTCCTACACCGTCATCTATGCCCCTCTCGACAACATAGCCCCTGCTGAAGTTCAGCACCCTGAACAATATGAGATGGACGAGCCATACCCATCAAACATGCACACCGACCTGAAGCGTGATCTCAACGCTCACATCGTCCGCGCCAGCAACGCTTCAAACCCCCAGGCCGACTTGCCCTTGTTCGAGAAGTACCAGTTCCTCTCACCTGGTACGTCTTGCTGCCTAAGTCATCGTCTTATAGAACATCGAGCTTACTCTACTGCAGGAATTTTCATGGGAGGTGTCGTCAGCATTCTCCTCTTCTCCATCCTCTATGTTGGAATCAGCGCCATTGCAAACCTTGAGGTCTCGTACATGGCCTTCAGCAAGGAGATGGGGCCCGCCGCCCAGAAGAAGCAGCAGCAGTAGAAGAATTGTTGATCGAAGTAGAGAGATACCACCATTGTACTTTTGTCCTGCCCTTTCATACCATTCATGTAGATGCGATACTTTCAAATTCAAAGTTGAACAATAGTGTCCATGGCTTACAGATTGTTTCAATCAACACTTGTTGGGTAAGCTGCACTGTCTTAACTCTCAGCCTCTTGCTCTGCAATGAAGAAAATCCAGAGGCTATATTCATGTGAGCCCATGTTCACTTTTATGGTGTTCACTTCTCCTTTTCCATTATCATGCTGTCTTGTCTATGCCTGTCGTGATTAAACGATCCTTGACTCTTACTTTGATATGTGCAGAGTGTTGTTCTAGGACAGGGTCTTACCATCAACCATGAATTTACAGAATACAGCATCTATCATTCCTGCAATTGTTCCAAGCACTATACGTATGAGGTCTCTATGGAACCAGGTCACCTTATGTTCAGATACGAACATTGATTATTCGCTGGTCTGCATTGTGATGAGGAGAGTAGAAAAGCAGAAAATACTATCAAGCACCTCTCACACCGTGCTTTACTCAGATACCCCCAACATGAAGGTGACAAAAGCATGTGCTGTGAACTGGAACAGCAGTTGGTTCATGGATTTCACAGCACTCTTCTACATGATAGCTTCTTGCTTCGCGTGAGGTTGGTTCTTGATATCAGTATCACAGCTTTTGAGATATTTAGGACGATGAGGATTTGGTCATTCAATGTTGTCATTTTGAAACTTTATATGAAATTGTTTATCATCAAGGTAGTCATCTGTATCACATCTCGGTCAGCATTCTGTGGCAAACGTACTGAATGATATGCTGTGATGGAAAGTCGGGAAGAATGCAGTATCAGATCAAAAATAATTCTCAACAATAGTCTTCAGACAGGGATAACTGTTTGATAATATGTCTCATCATTGCAAGGGAAGAGTGATGGGAAGTGTAGGGAGGTAAGCAAAAGAATCAAACGTACGAGGAATGGCAGGGAAGAGCGCAGTGTGCACGAGACACAAGACACACGTTCACAAGTTAGAGGGACAGAGTGTTTGACGAAAGAAGCCGGTGGATTTGCTTTTGCGGCCTATGGAAGAAAGCGCCCTTTGCTGAAGAAGATGGAGCAAATCCGTCCCCGAGGAGGGTCCTTGACCCTCAACCGAAGTTCGACACCTGAAAAACTCCCATAGAAAAGCAGAACCAGCGTTAAAACCGACGGGATATCTTTTCTTTTTCTTGTTGTCGTCGTCAAAAATGACCTCAATCCATCCGGACAAATGCGTGAGTCGTCATGATCGAATTTAGTCGGTGCCGCCAACAGCGCGGGCTGGTAGAAAGTTAGTATGGTCGGGAGCGAGTGTGGAAGGTAGTCAAAACGCACTGTAGACGAGGCACTTGGAGTGGCTGACGACCTTCTTGATCTGGCCCTGCTCCTCAAGCTCGGCGAGCGAACGGCGGGCAAGAGAGCCGTTGATCTTCAGTCTATCGACAAGGGTGGCGACGGTGACGAGGCGGTAGGACTGAACCTCCTTCTGGAGACGGTCCGAAGTGGCCTTGTCGAGGATGACGGCGTGCTGGGCCTTGTCCTTGACTGTATGCGCATCATGTCAGCGAAACTGTTCCTTGTTGCGATTTCATGGCGCGATGTTCGGGGGGANTGCGGATTCGTGATTGAGGGGTTGGAAAGGGAGGCGCTCTGAAATGCGGTGGGTTCATGTTGATGAATGGATNNCGTATTTTCGATGATTCTCTGGGATATGTATGGTGTGCGCATGGATTGNGATAGAGGAGGCGTGCGTACCCTTGCCCTTGGACCACTTCTTCTTTTGCTTCTTGGCTCCGGTTGCTGCGGGTGCCTTTAGGTGGTATGTCAGTGTCTGTCGTAGTAATACATGTCGTCTGCGAGGGGCCGTACCATTTTGTCGGATGTGGGTGGTAAGAGGGTTGGAACACTGGAAGTCGCTTCTGAATATCAATCCTTGTGCGCGGCTGCTTTTCGAATGTGGGCCGTCACGTGTGTGCGCTTGGTCTGTGCTTCTATCAAAGTCGTTTAACACCAACACGTCTTGTCCCGAGGGCAGGAGCAACTTCACTTTGGGAGTGAACAGCTCTTTGCGCAAAATGCTCTTCCTTCTTCCGTCGGCATTTTTGTGCCAACATATGTAGGACAGCAACAAGCACAGTAAGTACGCACTCGGTATGTTCGTAGCAATCATCCGCCAATCAATCAATATCTTTGGCTTGGCATGCTAGCTCTTCTCCCATCCGCTGTCCTTCAAAACCATCACCTTTGTCGAATTTGGGATTATTTTGTACTCTTTTCGGAGCATCTGTGTGAAACTCTGCGTCGTCGACTATACACGACTTAGCTGCACCTCGTCGTCATCTGTCAAGTTCGTGGCTGGTGCTCATAGCCTCTGGCGGCTAACCGCTGCTTCCGCCTTAGCACTGCCATTTACCTGCCTCCGCCTCTATCTTTACTACCATCTACATTCCTCACCTTACAACGTTCCAAAACCACACTCGTTCCTTTCTAAAATATCCACGATCGCTGTTCCTGACTTTATCCGCTTCTGAACCCGTTTTTACCTTGTCGCTTGTCCTTACCGTACTTCTCTGTGCCGCAACACAACAAGACGTCGACATCTGAACGATACCCGAACGCACGTCGCATTATTTTGTATCTCGAAGTTACATAAAAGAGAGTTCGCTTGGTCATACCGAACTCTGAACAGTGCGCACCTGCGCTCCCACGAAATGCGCTATACAACTCTGAGCGCCAAAAAGTCCGAGATTGTTCGAGTAGGTCAAAGAGACGGATTTATGAGGTTACAGGCACTGACTAGGCTCAGNTGGTACTGGCGCACAACAGCTATATGTGCCTCGTGTTTGATACTGGGANNGGGTAAGATATCAGACAGACTATAGTATGCAGATGTCGGCTGACTCGAAAGCTTTCTCGTAATCCCTTCAATATTTGATTCGGAACCGCAACTGCGAATATCGAAGACCATCTTGGGCGGCTTCGGCATCGGCCTTCTGGCCCTTGGATTCTCTCTTGCAGCACTCTCCAGCTTCTGCAGTCGTAGTTGGTCCTTTAGTGCCGAGCATGTGTTTATACCCTGCATCTTTGCATGCCTCATCGGCTTCCTGAACGTGCCATACTGCTTCATCATCAGCACTCGCTTCCAATGGAACGTAGCAGCTATGACTACCACGATCGGAGCTGCCGCCACAGCATTTCTCTTCACCATTCTCTACTTCTTTGCTCGCCGCAGACTTATACGATCAAAAGCCGAACAGAACACACACTCCGACGACATTAACCTATTACGCCGACCTAGCAATGCGAGCGCCTCAGGATCATATCATACCCAGAGCTACTTCGCAAATCACTTTGCAAACATGTATCCGGCTGCACGCACGCCACCGGCTATGGCAGCTGTGACTCCACCAGATGAGCAGCCACTCAATGACAGTGAACTGCAAAGACGACGCATGTCAGATCTGCTGCACAAGCCCGAGCCACAGATATCCCCAGCTACTAGCCCCTTCAATCGTATCGACTTTAACGTGGATGAAACAGAATCGCCCCTGAATGGTTACTACGCTCCCACTAGTGGAAACCATTTAGCCACTCAATCGCTGGATGACCCATCGTGGCGTTCGCGTAACGCGAGCTGGGTCACTAACGACTCGCGACGTAATTCCTCTCGTGAGGAACGTCGTCGTGAGATTGAGATGGGTAGATAAGGACGGTCAGTTCCTCTAGAGGACAGGCCAGCATTCATTCCAGAGTCCCTGCTGGTCGAAACATAACACGATTGTAGCTTTACAACATCATGGTCTGGAATCAGGTGTCTATCAAGCGCTGCATGCTACTGTAATATATGTTTTGTGTGCTTACCGGAACAGGAAATATATTGTATTTATAATGAAACATCAATGATACATTCAATTATACTCCATGGCGTTACCCAAGCTGATCAGAGTAGAAAAAGCTTGTCAAATCGGAAACGAGTAAAGCGTGACGTCTCACAGAAGGTCATGCCTAGCCCACAGGGCAACAAAGCAATGCTTTCCAAAACTCTTTTGTTTGGGATATGTTTCTTTGACCTTACAACAAAAGCCTTGTTCTATTATTGTGCTTGACATACAAAGAACTCCAAAGCATTGTTGCCCGAAGATATATGAAATGCCTTCCGTGTGCCTTTTCAAGAGGCCAGATTGCTGAGCTGACGACACACACAGTAAGTAGAGACAGGTCTCTCAATCCGCTAAAACATACCAGAAGTTTAACTGCCATCAAATCAACAATGTGCTGGGGTACACAAGATTACATCTTTTGTTGTGTGTGTAGAGAAGAGACCCCCTTCGAGATCAACTGGCACGGCTGTCATCTTCAGGTAGGTGGAATAGACTCACCAATTTGCCCGGAACCCATTATCACCAAGTTGCACGCAACCTGTACATGTCAAACATGTATTAACGAGGCAGACGATGGAGGTGACCCTGACGATATCTACCCAGAGCCTTTTGATCATCCTGGCTTCCCTGACACCAAGCCTGTCATTGAAGTCGACAGAGTTGAATTGCCTGAGCCCACAGCCTACGAGTCATTCTGGAAATTTGAGAATCTTGCGGGTACTGACTTGCCAAGTCATGAGGATGCGATGAACGAGATGCCCAGTCCACCTTGGTTTCAAGTTAGAGTGCGAGAGGAGGCAGTCCACGAACAAGTCATCGCGGACGCAGTCTACACAACCGCAGTGGAGCGTCTTCAAGGACTTATGAAAGTTGCTCGCAATCGTAGGGAAGATATTCGCAGATATACCCTAAACCACGCTGTACCCGATAAAGCTTTGCTGGAGTTTGCCTACGAAATCATCGAATCCCTCTTATCTGAACAAGAACAAAGGAATTCTCGCATAAGTTCCTTGCAAAAGCTTCTCGAGTCCATCACTAAAGATATCAACTTGGAAGGTTTGTATTACCCCAGTCCCCCAGAGATGACTCTGCTCAAGTACAAGCGTGAAGCCATCATGAGAGAGCTGGAAGAGAAGTTCATCAATCACTTCAAGCTTCCAACACCTGAAGATTGAGATTCAAGGTTAGAGAAGTTTCTGGATCATATCACTAAAGAGTGGCGTGAAGCTCTTAANGCTGATGTTGAAGAGCTGTTGAGGGTGGAAGAGTCGAGGGCTTCCTCGAGTGCTGCCTGTACAGATGCTTCATCGGAGTAATTCTATCGGATTGGTTTTTCTCTGGTAGGCGACCAATCTGGATAATCATTGTGCATGCTTGTCTCTAGAGTGTGTGTTTCTTTAGCGCAATATTAAAAATCAAATGTTTGACATTCACAATTCAATTCCTGTTCGTGTTCCACACACTGATTCGTTAATTAGTGCTGAAGTAGTGAAAATAACCAATCACTGTGCCGTGGTATCAAAGAATCATCGACAGTTTACCATGCTAGATGCAAGGTCTTTTGCAAGATTCTCTATCGGAGTGTGTTAAGCCAGACTGCTCCGTAAGTTAGAACCACGTTCGATGTCCCTTCCATACAACTGTTTGTTTACTACGACTGACAACTTTTGGAGCAGTTGGCATATCTCTTTGTTATTCAGAGTTTCCTTCTTTCACAATCAATCTGTCTCTTTCTGCTAAAGTTTTGCCATTGTTAAGGACTAACAATGAGACAAAGCGGGCCAAGTAACTCATCTACAATGTCCGAAAGGCATAAAACCAGCAGCATACCTCACAGATATTCAGATCACCAAGCAACACCATCACATACAAATAGCTTATCACCACAAAACTCTTACAATCTCAAACACAAACGACATCAGTATGGGAAATCGTGGCTACCCAAAACCTCCACCACCCAAATGCCCTAACTGCAGACAGACTTGTTACGGGTCCTCTCTCATGAGAGCTTGGATGTGTTACAACTGCTCTTAAGGCAGGCAAAACTGGTATATTAATAGGGTAAGTGATAAACAACATAGTGGTATCTTTTCTTAGTGATCTTCCACATTATGGGAATCATGGAGTTGCTCTAAATCCTTTCCTCAAATATGAACATTTTTTTCCTTTTGAACACTTAGCCCTTTTGTATTTTCAACAACATTATGCGTGTTATTATGATGTGACGTGTCCGTTTGACCGACTTGTATCTCGTGACGGACCTACCCAGTTGTAATGCTCAGTAGCTTTATCAATACTTCGTTTCAGAATGCTGATAGCGTTCGATCATGGACTTATCTCGGAGCAGAAAGGAGCGATTGAGGAGGTCAAGAGTGCAAGCTCAGAAATCAAGGGCAAGAACCACCAAGGTCAAAAGACGGGCATTCACGGCCTCAATCAGGTGATTCTAGATTCGGGAAAGGTGCAGCTGAATGAAAGGGCCTTCCCGCTTGGCACATAATCACCAAGTCAGGCAGCAGTCCAGAAAGCAGCCACAAGAAGGCAGGAACGAGTCACGACCTACCAACCACTGGACCACATCTTCATCCGAGATATCTCCAAAGCTGACGATAACACCGAACTTATGGTCTCGATGCAGCAAGCCACGAGTTCAACGTACAGAGAAACCGTATCCCCGAGGGAGCCAAACATGCAAAAGTGACGACAGCCTGGATCTAGACCACTATATTAAGAAAGCCATCAGTCATCTCATTTTCATCAGCGAACCGAGATCCGAAGCCTTGATTTGACAGCAATCGGCGATGAGCACCAGGGTCGTCGCTAGATCGCAAGGGACCCAGGCATGACAAGGTCTGGCGGCTAGCCAGACCACTATACAGTTGACGTGAAACCGTACGGAAAATGCGAACTGCCGCGGTTTCCAGGCCCAACGGGGGCAGCTCCGTTGTGTAACAGGACAGAATAAGGGTCTCTAGGCGAGAAAATGGCTTGCATGCAGGATTGCAGGTGGTTCCAGACCGATGAGGCTCAAAGGCCCGGCTCTAGGCCTCCTCCTGCATAATGTGCCACGCTATCGTGACGAACATGTGGTACCTGCTATGCTTTTATGTATTAGCAATTTGCAGCACGTCAAAGAAAAGCCAACAGAAATACAAGTAAAAAGGCCAGATTGTTGCCAGGCGAAAACAGAAAGCGTTGTTGAAAAGGCCTGAGGAGGTTCGAGGCCTTTGTCGGCACGTCATTGGTCTTTAGCCTCGACCAGTCGGAGGATTTCTAGATTGACGTCCAATCGCAACGTTGTGTCTGGTCTCTTTGTCCTCAAAGAACGAGTCAAACAATTATACCAAGGATACCGAGAACCACTCGCATAAGGCGGACAAATGCTTAAGAGTCAACACAAATTTGGAAGATTTGATTAAATGGTTAATTTAGCCAAGAAACTACGTAGAAATAAGGCTTCATCCATACAATTAAATGGCCAGAGCCTAGAGATGGTCGTAGGTATCTAATGCTAGTTCGTGATTCTCGAAATACTCCCCCTTTTCGAGACATTGTCGTGAACCCGAGAAACGCCGAGAGATGTTCCATTTTATGCTTCCGCATCTGTCATAGTTAATTCCACCCGGAACTCCAGAACGCCTCGCTACTTGCTCCAAACAGTGACCCGACAATAATAGTGAAGTAAAGAGGATTGAATCCAAGAAAAGGAAAAGAGAACAAAGCAAAGAGAGGCCTGAAAGGAGAGGTAGGAGAATCACTCTCCGCCTTCGACTTCACTGCCACTGCGAGCGCAGTATTCTAGAATCAGACGTTGAAGGTCCATCAGCTTGAATGGCTTGGTCATGAACCCCTTCATTCCGACCTTGGCAGCCCTCTCAAGGGCACCATCGGTGACATCCGCTGTCACGGCCAGAACAGTCGGTGTGCCGCCACAGACGCCGTTCTTACCATGGCTCATAGCAAGAATCTTCTCAGTGGCTTCATAACCGTCCATGAAGGGCATCCAGAGGTCCATGAGCACAACGTCAACTGACGGGTTCTTGGACATCTGTCGAACAGCCTCGGCGCCATCGTAAGCTTCGATCACTGTCTTGTAGCCAAACTTGTTGAGCATACTAACAAGAAGCTTGCGATTGATCTTGTTATCCTCAGCAACCAAGAAGTTCAGTGGGTACTTGGCAGCCAAGTTGCGGTCGATACCGTTGATCGATGCCGATGACTTTCGACCACTTGTGCTTGGTTGCTTAGGTGGATACGATGGTACGGGAAATGAGTGACTATGTTTGAGTGCTGGAGGACTTCTGACAGCAGGTGCTGCAGATGATTCAGCGGTGACAGGTTTCTCAGTTGGGGATGGCAGGTCCTTGGTCGAGTTGTCGCTTCGAGTACGGTTATGTGAGCCAACAAGATTGGGCATAGGAGAGGGGCGTCCATCTGAATCTATTGAGTTTGACTGGCGTACTCTACTGTGTGATGGCGTTCCGAAGGGTGATGGGGGACGAGTGGTGGTATCACCAGCCTTGAGAGGGATCCTCATCTCAAACTCGGATCCCCGCTTGGGACCAGTGGTGTCTGCGCGAATGCAAAACAAATCTCCACCAAGCTTCCGTGCTAGACCCTTGGCCACCAAAAGACCAAGACCAAGACCTTCGCTTTGACGAGTGAGAGAAGGATCCTCTTGTGAGAATGGTTGGAAGAGGCGCGGGAGGAATGCTGCAGGGATACCCGGGCCTGTGTCTGTACATTTGATGACGATGTATCGAGCTTTTGGGCTGAGTTTTGCTGCGAGAGTAATATTACCTTGCTCAGTGAATTTAGTAGCGTTCAAGAAAACGCAAGAGATCAGCTTAGCAAGGTCTTTCTCGTCGGCCAGTATTGTTTCTGGTACAGCAGAATCCACGGACCACTCAATAAGTTTCGTTCTGGGCTCGCCCTTTGCTGAACGTGTGCAAACCTCGATGATCTCGCCAAGATATGTTTCTTGAGCGATGGCTGACTCTGGCCTTCCTCCAACCTTCAATCCCTCATTGACGACGTACTGCAGAACCCGGCGAAGGTTAGTGTGTCTAACACCTGGAGCAATGGCGCGGTCGCCTTGTAGAGGGGCGATCATAGGTCGAGGACTCATAGGCATTGTGGCTCGTGCGGAACCTTCGGGAAGGTCCTCAGCTTCCTGGACACCCAGTTTCATGCCATCGGTGGGCGAGGCTTTAGCTGCTCGTGCTGCAAGGGTGGCCTGAATCTTAGTCGGGCTTCCTCCTGTCTCATTCTTGGGCTCCTCGCGACGGCGCTTGTTAGGTCTCGAGATTGGCAGATCGCTTCCAGCAACAAGAATTTCGGGATGAGAAGCGTGGCTGAAGTCAGGGAAACCATCCAATGAGTCCTCATTGATGGGCGGTCCAGTAGGAATGCCGAGGTTCATGTCGTAGGCGTGTACGACATTATCGGCGGCCTCAACAGCACGACGCGAGCTATCNNTAGAGAACAATGAGCACAAATACTATAAGATCAAAGCGGAGTGAAACCTACCTTGGACTGTTTCAATGTTCTCCTTGAGTGTTTCGAATACTTTACGAACTTCTGCGTTCGTTTGACCTTCTGCAGCTTCTTGAACCGTAGCATACATGACATCAAGCATACCAACCACGCCTTGCATTGGTGTTCTCAATTCGTGAGATAAGCTCTTTGCATAGGGTTGCAGAGATTGAGCGGCGGTGATGACTTCATGGGGGATAACGCGGGGCATTTCTCTGTTGGCAGTTGCTTTGTCTTTGAACTCGGATCCTGCGAGCAGACGTTCTAGAATCAGATCTTCCAGACCGTGCAGGAACATTTCGATGAAAGCCCATGAAAGTTTCCTCTTTGTGGCGCCTTCAACAGACCAAATAACACCGAAATGAGCAAAACACTTGCCGTCAGCGAAGAGAGGAATGCCAATGTAGGCTTCGGCCGAGATGGGCAGCTTGTTTGGGTTGTTGGCAAACATTTCGCTGACCTTTTCGGGAATGATGAAGACCTTGTCATGACGCATGTAAGAACAGGGGCAGCCGTAAGCATGGTATTTGAAGCCTTTCTCGACACCCTGCACACCTTTTCCATCGTTGTAGTACCATGCACTTGCCATCAGACAGGAGCCAGGCTCTCCAATAGGGGGNNGCATCTCAATGGCAGAATCTTGTTCGTCGACCAGTATACGTTTGGCGATGAAAGAGAGTTGGGCGCCTAGGATTTCGGCCATGCGCTCGGAAACGAAGGACCAGAAGTCATCATTGTTGAGTAGTCGTAGCTTTGTTTTGAGGATGACCAGCTCTTCTAGGATGTTGCTCTCGGCACTTGAAGGATACAGACGTTCCATTCCTGGGCGGAAGGCCGGATCGCTGTCATGAATGACAACATTTGGGGGCAGCGGTTGGCCCAGACAGACGGACTTTCTGGGTATGAAGTCAGGCTCCATGGCGGGGAGTCCCCGTGGCGGTCCAGCTCAGAAGGCGGTTTTGTGATTCGAAGTGACGATGTGGTAGCGGAGCGTATGATGGTGTGCTGTGGTGTGCAGTGTGGTATAGGACGACAATAGTGCTCTCGATGTCGGCGAAGAGAGAGCGAGATGGGACGAGATGGAAGGATGGTCGAGCGGAAAGCGTGTTGAGAGAAGGCGTCAGAGTCAAAGTCAGAGTCGGATCCAGCGCAATAGCGGTTTGGTAAGCACAATGAGGGCAGCACACAGACTTGACCGGCGGAACAGTTTGAAGTCCGAGAGTTCTCAGGGAACGGCCGCCTACGCAAACCGTCCGCAAGTCGCGAGGGTGTGCCCTTCTCCACTCTAGACATTCTAGACCAGCGTCGAGCGTCTAGCGTCCAGGGCCTGTCTTGGCCATCAATGAGACGTCATTCAAGCCTCTGCCTGCAACGAGACCCATCCGTTCTGTTCTAGAGGTCGATAGATGCAACAATCCAGGTGCATCCAGATGCTGCCCATATGTCAAATCCGACAGCGACCATGCCTCTGAAGATGCATCTTTGTCTTCTCCATCTCTCTCCACCATACCCTACTTCTGGCTCCACCGCACATCAAAAGCTTATTCAGCGACACCATTGGCTCGCCGTTTTGCGCGACAAAGAGAGGAAAGAGCTACCCAAGACCCGCCGTGCCGGTCTCCCGACGTCATGCTCATTCGTGAATTCTCAGCACCAAGAAGCAGAACGCCGTTAAGCCCACGCGCTTCCTGCGCTCCCTCAGAGAACTCCTTAACGGCCTTTGGGACCATCGCCATTTTTTCTCAACTCGTATGTTCATCTTTTCTTTAATGAGCTTGGTAGATCTTACGACCATGTCGATCACAGTAGATCTTTTGCTTGCTTGCGTGTAATTCCACGCGACCGACCTTCTGGCCGCCATCTAACTTTGTTCCCTACGGCCGTCTCTTCCTTTACGCTGAACATGACCGCTGCGTGCATCCGCCTGCTTCCATGATCACAAATTTCTTTGCTGTCTCTCATACATACAAGTTCGCACGAAGACATACCGTCTTGGCGCTCGCGGCAGGTCCGAGCAATCCTGTTCGACCATGATACTGCTGATCTTAATTCGGTCTGCATCTTTCCTGCTTGCAAACAACCTTTGCGAATGCGTTCTCCAAATTCTGCTACCGCTACCTCATCTGACCCTTATCTCTACGCTTGCGAGTAGTGTGACAACACTTCAAGCCACTCCCAAGGGGCTATCAAAGTCTTCCAGCATAGCCGTACGAGATCGTCGATCTGTGTCGCGCTGAGGCCGAGACGTTGCAACTCGTAACAGAGTGGAGAGCTTTTGTATGCTGCGCCCTGCCTCGTTATTATTCACATTTCCATCGTCTCTCGTTGTTCATTATGAGTCCTTGCGAACCAATCGCTGGGCTGATTTCCACAGCCTTGGATGTACATAAGCAGCGATTATTTGCCCAGCATGGCCATCAGCAGAAACTAATATTGCGACTGTGCAATACAGTTCGGGTTAGCTCGCTTCAGCGGACTCACGCTCCGCATACACCTGCTTCTCCTTGCGGAACGCCGTTGTGATGCCAAGTCTGATACTCAACAAACAGATTTCCATCTGCACCGCTGCTATGGTTCGGCACTCATACAGTACCCCTTCTCTAGCCCAAAAATGCAGAAACAGATATCAACTTCCAGAGCTTCTGCGACATCGCTCTCTCTGGGTGGACGGTGCTTGATGTTGCCGTACTTTAGGGGCAATCAGCCATCAGTGGACTTAAATCCGCCCGACATAACCAGCGGCTTATCTGTGCTTCGCGGTCACTTCTGTTCCTATGATCTTCGACCCGATACAAATCTCGAGCGCTTCTCATAGTCTGCCTCAATTATTTTGACTGGTTTTGACTGATCAAGACATCGCTGCGTGCCTACAGATCTGGGATGCCAACTCGCGGGTTCCTGAGTGTGCTATAAATGTCAACAGCGTTTTCAGGTAGCCATGCCTTCTCAGGCGCGCCACACCCTTAAAGCCTCCAATGGGATAGAATATCAAACTCAGCAGGCCGCGGCTTCTCTCATAACCGGAGATATTATTGTAACGGGAAAGATCTTGCCTCGTCGTCCCTACCGACCAGAGCTGACTTGACACTTTAAACTCGTGGTTCGACTGCCTGCACTTGGCTGTGGACACCAGTACCCCGTTCAAGCTTGTGGGCCTTTTATGCTAGATCCAATTAGGAAGTTGGATTCGCACACATTTTGATAATGCTATAAGTTCGCGCTACCACGGCTCCTGAAATTTGCATGTCATGGAAAATCAAGTTCGTGGCCACTAATGTGGTTTTCTCGACTCAATATGCAGAATCAATATTCTCGAGACAAGATACCCGACCCGAGACGCCACAAGATCTTAGATCAAGTCGATCGTAGTAAACAACCCTTGAAATAGTACGAGAGAACGGAAATCAATTGTTGCAAGAGAGATATTGGATAGCGAATAGTTGCAAAGACAATCAAAATGAATCATCCAGAGTCACGAGTTTCTTCTCCGAGGACTGCCGTATAAGCCAGTGACCGGTAGGGATTAACGTTGTGCATCTATAGAAGATTGAGGCTCAGAAGAACAAAACCGTTTCATCTGGAAAAGTGGCGAACCATTGGACGAACAATAACGGTGCAAGAAGCTTTCACGCCTTATACCAAGATCGCGAGATTGCAGTTCTGCCCTGGCAGAAAGAGCATATCAGAGGCAGAAGTGATATCTATTAAAGGCTTCTTTCTTGATTGGGGTTCTGGGGGTTATTAGAACTCAAACTCTTTTCCAAGCGCTGAGCAAAATTGACATGACTCTGGTCTGATTACACGATACAACGGGCCATTCACGGATCAGGGGAGTTTCGTGTGGCTACTGAGGGTGGACGTGACACTGAGATGTAAACCATCAACTCACTTCCAAGTCTTCCTGAGCAGCATGAATGGCTTCTGCATGATATTCAGAGCGTTTGCTGGCTCTCTGAGTCTCGCTTTGACCTGCAATACTTGCGCGCCGATATTGAATGTTGTTGCGTGTGAACTGGTAATTTGCCCTTCGCAAAGAGCTGAGATAGTTGGATGTCTCGAGTTGCTTCGTTATGGCTCCTTTGTCGATTTGACGATCAAGCGCCAGGGCTTCTGGTGTAAATCTCTGTAGATCGGCCGCGAATGCTGTTGCTACTTCGTATGGTGCCAGTAGAGCACGGGTAGCAGAAGGTCGGTGGCCAGGATTCTGATCTGGGCATGGAAGGTCGAGACGTGGACAGTCGCATTATCTCTCGCCGAGGGACAGCGATATGAGTGTGCCATGTGATAGAAAAGCCAGACTCTCTATCTCTTGCCTCCTCTTCCTCCCCTACCACCACCTCTGCCCCGACCTCCCTTACCGCCTCTTCCTCCTCTTCCGCTGCTCTTTGGTCCAGTGATGCCCTCTACATCCCTCTTACTCAGCTTCAAGGTACCACCGCTGAACCTACCCACACTCGGGTTTCCAATGCCTCTTTCCCTCTTGTCACCACCTCCGAAGCCACCTCCCTTGCCATCTGTCCCTTCCTTCCTGACCCTTTCAAGGATAATACCGTTCTCCTTAGCCTCTCTCCTCCTCTCAAACTCCTTGTTCTCTTTCTTCTTCTGGATTCCTATACGATGATGCTTGGGCATGTCCTTTTGCGCAAAGATGGAAGTCTTGGAACCGAGTTCGAGGAGACGGAGATCAGTGGCTTTATGGCGGTTCTTGCCAGAGGGGTCGGTGGAGAGGGAATTAGCGTCTAAGAGATGGGATTCTTTGAGCAGGCGTTGGAGGGCGAGGTCGTTTTAGGTCGTCTTGTTCTGTGTCGCCTTCGGTGTCTTCGTTCTTCTTCTTTGTAGGTTGCTTAGATGTGTTGGGTGTGTCTGAGGAGGTGGGTGGCTTGGAGGACTGTTTGGCGCAAAATGACATGNGTCAGCTTCTAGGTCTCCAGAGCACTTGCAGGTATGAAAATGTACCATGAATGCTTTCAACGCAGCTTTGTCTGCTCGTTCGCGCGAAAAGTTGGACATGTTGTGCTCGACCACTTCAACCTCGTCTTCATCATCGTCTTCCTCTTCTGAGAGGCCATCCCAAGCTTCATCTTCGTCTTCGTCTTTGTCCTCCTCTTCGACTTCGACTTCTACTGGTTTGTCTTCTTCTATCGCCTTGAATTGTTTTTCGAAAGCGCGCCGGAATGCGTCATTCAGCGCTTCTCTATCTTCGGTATCCGATTCTGGTTCTGGCGCCGGAGCAGGAGGTGGCGCTGCTTTCACGAGTGTGGCTTTCTTGGACGGAAGTGTTGACTTGGAGGTGATTGCGCGCTTGCGCTTTCCTAATGCGAGCGACATCTTTGCTGTACGAAATTAGTATGAACTTGGTTGCTGGAAGATGGAAAAAAGAATAATTAAAGTCATCAGGGTCTCGGGGAAGCCAAGGCTTCTTCTCCGCTCCGAATCGCCAATTATTTCTTCTTGCGACATGGATTTAATTAATTGATTCTATTCGTTATTGAGCTTGCAGAACGATCGTTCTCCATATTAAGAGCCAACCAATGACCGACCATCTGAGCTTTCTGAAGCAGTACACACAATATCACCCTCTTATGTTCCGTGTCTTGCTATACCATCTCCCGCCATCCGCGTGTCGTGGCTTCATGTAGGGTGTAGCATTTTTGTATCGTCCACACGATTTCATTCTTCTTTAGGACGAAGGATCGGTGGGTTAGTGGGCACAATCACCAATCCTATCTCTCTGTGGAAAGTGGTGATATCGAANNGCTTCAGAGCTGTTAGTTAAATCTCCGAAGAATGGCATATCTCGACTTACACTTGGTTCAGCTTGAAGCCAACTCTCTTGGTCGTGGCCTGCTGCTCAAACCCCCAAGACTCAAGGTACGGAACCACCCATTCCTTAGTCTTTTCAACTTCGGAGTTCATGAAGTTGACGAAGATTCGCGAGACGAGACGCTGCGTACCTATTCCAAGCTGCTCTTCGACATCATAACCACCGCGCTCGAGGTAAAATTGATCCAGCAGGCCAAGAAGCTTGTCCATCAGACATTTACTGACACCTTTACGTCTGCATCTGGGGTTCGCATCTACGAACACGCCAGCCTCGACAGCGAAACGCAAGGCTGTTCGCGGGCCAGCGAACTCGTCAGCATAAGCAAATCCGAGGACAGTGTCAATAGCAGGCCGGTCCTTGAATCGCTTCCTGCCACCATAGCCTCTAGGCGAACAAGCGACAAGAAATGGCAAGTGGCCGCCTCGCGCGCTCTCCCATCGACCCTTCATGTCCATAATGCTGATGGGCTCCAGTTCAGGAGTGCACACGCTGTGCTGGACATAGTGGTTGTAGATGTCGGTAATCTGAGGAATGTCGCCAAGCTGGGCCATGCGGACAAATAGGTTGAGTACAGGCTTGATTGTATTGTCGACCATTGGTGTTTGCCCAAAGAAAAATGGTTCCTTCGGCGGTTCGTCGTGGCGTTGCTTTCCACCTTCTGGGCCAGGTTTTCTTCCGAAGCGAGCCATCATGAAAACCTTAGGGTTCTGAAGATATTGATTCGTCCATCCCTGGCTACCTCGATCGCTCTCGCGGGCTTCTTTATCTTGTGGTGTGTCTTCACGAGTGTCGCATCCCTTGTGGTCAGGCTGAATTGGGGGAAACTGAACTGCCGCATTGCTAATCAGATAGCGGTCCCAGAACGGTTTGAAATTATGCAAGTCAGATTGGTCTTGGGGTGTGGGCGCCTCGCTGATCTGTTGCCTCCAGAATGACTGAAGTGTTTGGCCAGCCTCGAAGACTTGGGGGATCCAGGATCGAGGAACCAGCTCAGCTATAAGGGTCTCGTTTTGTTTCAGCGGCAGGAAGTAAAGCTGACCACTAGCAACATTTGTTTTGCCGACGTTGAAAANGAAGTTGGTGCTTCCTTTGACTTTTGACATTGCGCCAAATGGTCTGGGGTCAGCCTCAACCTTGCTCTGCCATTGTAGTACGGTCCCTTGGAGATCACGGTTCTTGTAGACGGGACGGTCGTCCCAGATGGGAGGTGGGGTGAACTCGCCTCCCCAGGAATAGAACATGTGTGGATCGAGTTTGTCGCCATGATCGATTCTTTGTGTATCAGGAGGGGGAGGCAGAGCAGCTCCAGCTGTCATTTTCTTGAGTTCTCTGTCGCTGATCCATGGTGAATTCTTCTTGGGAGGTCTCTTTGTGTTGGGCATGACTGCGCATTTGAAAGAATGTTGAATGTGAATGGTCGAGGTTGGACGAAGTTGGACGAAGTTGGACGAAGTTGGACGAAGTTGGAAAATTGAAGTTGGTGCGTCAGTCGCGGTTGCCTGCATCAATCGAAGTGAATGAGCATTGAAGTTCAAGAAGTGACGAAGCTCTTGCACTTCTTCTTCTTTCCCATTAACGCTTGTTGACGTACGATACGTGCTTTCTCCGATCATCTCTAACCTTCGTCAGTGAACAGAAATCCTGCTAATGTCCATCATTCCTTTGAATGAATGGATTGATGATTGTCTGGCGGATAATGAAGCTCCAGCGATGAGCTGATAGCTTTCGCGGGACAACATCTTGTTGTCGCTTCCGCGCAAGCACAAGTATCAACATTGCTACCACTCCATCAAGCAGACCTCTGATCCACTGCACGGCTGTCGCGCTCTCAAGACTGGTCTGCATAGCGATGGCTCAGGTCTTGATTGCCCACCTCATTTCCAGTTGCGGCAGATGAGGCGGTGTTCACTTGTCCTGCCCACTCTTGACATCATAGTCGTATCTTCTGAAGCAGTAGCTCGTCATTCTACAATCTTTTTAGACATGAAGCTGAATATGACATGTTAATCAGAAAGAGATGGAGAGGACGTCTGAGCAGAACCAGCCTTGATCTGGGGAAGCTTCAGAGCAGATGGATGGACTATCCAAAGGTGGGGACGCCCACATGGGTACCAACAGAACCATATGCAGATACAGAAGATCGATCACAATGACCGTGGTGAAAACTGAATTGATTCAGTTGTAGGCAAACTGCGTGGTACTGCATCTGCTGTCTGACATGAACATGCAGCATTCATGTCACCTCAAGAAAAACATCAAGTCGAGCACAGTCGCTTGGCAGAAACCCGAGCAGAACATGTGGTCAAGATGTACAGAGAGATGGAATAAGGCTTGGTTCTCACATCAAATCGTAATAGTCATGGAGAACAATAATTGATATAGCATTTGCAAGCACGTGACTTGCTCTCATTCTTCTCTGTCAGTCCTTAAGAGTAGACTCTTCTCTTTCGTCTCCCCATACTCTATCAAGGTCAAATTCCACGATCAAAATGTTGTCAATACTCCGCAAAGCGCGTCTCAAGGACAAGGAAATGCGAATCCTGATGCTGTATGTGGATTTGAAAAGATGTGGTTGCAGGTGGCTGACCATCATATAGNNCGGACTCGACAACAGCGGTAAAACTTCGATAGTGAAAAACATCATGGGCGAAGACATTAACACGGTCTCNCCCACTCTTGGCTTCATTATCAAAACAATCGACTATGATGGGTGAGGTTGCCTGGGCATCTTGAAGCAAGATGTGGAGCTGACAGCTGAGGTAAACAGATACAAGCTGAACATCTGTAAGGGGGCCCGAGGGTTGGGCGCGAAGTGCCGATAGCAAAACTTACACGGGAAACANGGGGATGTCGGCGGACAGAAGACGCTTCGGACATACTGGAAGAACTATTTTGAGAAGACGGACACACTCATATGGGTCGTGGATGGCACAGACCGAGAACGAATTGACGATTGCCGACAAGAACTGGAGGGGCTTCTTCTGCAAGAGGTAATGACCTCGACACGATCAAACGATGACACAGTGGATACTGATTAGAACGGCAGNCGGTTGATGGGAGCGAGTCTGCTCGTGTTCAAGAACAAGAGCGATGTGGCAGGGTGCATGAGCTCGGAGGAGATACGCAAGGTTTGTGGTTCCCTCGCCAGCCGCAGTGGGGTCCTCATGTTTACCAAACACGATACTGACTCAGAAACACCACGTAGNGCCTTGCGACTCGACACGATTCACACGCACAGGTGGAATATTATGGAGTGCAGTGCATTGACTGGATTGAACCTTCAGGAGGGCCTCAAATGGGTAGTGCAAGATGCCAAGGACCGGCTCTTTTTGTACTGAAGCGCATGGAGGTCATGTATCGAATCTTCTATAGGAGAGATGGAAGACAGCTAGGGGCAGATCGGACATGAAGATAGACCCCTGATCGAAAGAGGGAGATCGGACAGCAATCAAAAATTATATGACCTGTACACAGACAAACTGCAGGCAAGTTGACGGAGGTGTTTCAGAAAAGCAGGTGAGCTGTGATTGGTCAAAGCCGAAGGGCCGCACGGCGCGTCACAAGTGCGGCCGGGACGTTGGTGGGTTTGGGGACGGACGGGTACACAAATAAATGTCAACAACAAGAGGGAGCCAGTGTTTAGTCGTTGGCTGACTGTTGAACCCTCTTCCTTCGTGTCAAAGTCGCCAGACGCCTTCCAATCGCTGATCCAACCATTGATCGATTATGGATTAGATACCATCATTACCTAGACCCTACACGAAACGACCCGCGATACACTATGGACGATACGCCTGATCTCGATACAAACGCCTTCTTGGAGAGCGTCCGCGAACTCAAGGAGAAGAGACAANNAGGGAAGACAATGAGCGTCAGGAGCAATTGGAGGCGCAGATCGCGAGTTCACGACTCGCTCGGAAGCTGGGTGTGTCACACGAGCCTCCTCAACCACAACTACATCGACCTCTGCTGACAGATAGACTCAGAGAGCGAGCGAGGCATGTCATCACCGTCAATGTCACCATCAACGAGTCCGCACAGAGCTTCCCCTAGCAGCGCCGTACCCTCTCGTGCCAGCACTCTTTCGCGCCCACCCCGCAGTCGGCCCATGTCTGTCGATATGGGCTCACCCACCAGGGCCTCGTCCGTCAGGCCCATGAGTATGATGTCTATCCCCGAGAAGAGCACTCCTCTGCCTTCTCGTGACTCGCAACGCTTTGCTGCGCCAGACAGTGCCGATGGTCTCAACCGTACAATGTCAAGCGCCCAGAGCCGTCTGGACCGACCCAGTTCACCGACCAAGGGTATGGGTGGTTTCGTGCAGAGTGCCATGCTCAAGCGCAATGACAGCGTCAACAAGAGATGGAGCGTCACAGCTGGTCCATCATCCTTGACTCGTAACGATTCGACTGCCAGTTTCCGCAGCGCTGCCAATGCCGATGACACTCCTACTCGCCCTTCCTCAAGCCATAGCACTATCAGCAACCTCAATATTGCTCCTGAATCAGACTCCAAGGAGGAGAAGCCCGAGAGACCAACCGCAACTAGACATTCGCGCTCGAGATCAATGGCTTCCTTCTCAGGCCAGGAACCCATACCTGAAGGCCTCATGTCTCCACCATTAAGCCCGAATAAGAGATGGAGTCGTAGTCCCACCAAAGCTAGTTGGCTTGAGAGTGCGCTTACTCGTCCAGATTCTCCCAAGCCGCTTGCATCACCACAGTTGAATCAGCCTAGTTGGATGGCGGACCTTGCAAAGGCAAAACAGCAACGTGGTACTGCTGAGGCTCCACCATCGCAGGAAAACATCGATGCCGCAAAAGCCCAGGACACACCTACATTTGGTCAGGGCTTACTGAAGAGGTCGTCTATGAGGAATACTCCAACACATTCTCCCAGCGCGTCCAGAAACGTCACGCCTCCCACCAAGGCCAAGCCTATCTCGCTCGCAGGCAAATCTGCTCTACCAGAGCCCTCCACTCCTTCGCTCGATCTGACGCCCAAATTACCCGAAAAGACAGATTTAGAGAAGCAGGAGCCCGCCAAGGAGGTTTCCAAGAAGGGTGAAATCGAGCAGAATCTCCCCAAGGAGGAAGCCGGTAGTCACCATCTCGACGACATCGAGGGAGATGCACCGAAGAAGGATGAACCTGCCAAGCCAATTCCCTCGAAGCCAAGTGCACTCTCCTCTAGGTTCACTGAGAAGGAGCCGGTCAAGCCAGTTGCTCAGAAACCGAGCGCGCTATCATCAGTACCTAATCTGCCGCCCAAGCCGCAAGCTCTAGACTCTATCAACTCCACTGCTTCGTCATCACCCAGGTTCCCTACCCTGAAATCTCCCGACTTAAGGTCAGGTGAATTCAAATTACCTGAGCTGAAACAAGACACCACACCAAAGACCGACTTCCGCTCAGGCCTGAAATCACGAAGTGGAACTATTGGTGCGCAAACGGAGCAAGAGCCTGAGTTCAAGGCTTTGTTCGGCAAGCTCAAGAAAGCTCAGACTGAGAAGTACGTGGCACCTGACGAGCTGAAGAGCAACATTCTTCGCGGCAAAGCGGGTCTATCCCTCAGCGCCGGTCCACAGAAAACAGAGCGGCGCGATGAGCTCAAGGAGAGTTTGTTGAAGAAGAAAGAAGAGATGAGTAAAGCAGCTGCAGAGAAACCTGCACCGGAACCAAAAATCTCCCCAGCTCCTTCATCGGTGCCAGAGGCCCTATCTATTCGAAAGCAGCTTGGCCGGTCAAACAGCACACTCAATATCCCTGCTCCCGCCAAATCACATCGAGACATCACACCTGAGGCTCTATCATTCCACAAGAACCTTAGAGGCAAGCCTAAGGCACCGGTCCCGGAGAAGCGAAACAGCGTTACTGAGAAGGCGGAACTTAAGCGCGCTTCTCTCGAATCCAAGCCATCTTCTGCTGTTGTCGATGAGAGACCAGTCGAGTCAGTACCCAAAGCCGAGGACAAATCAGAACCAGAAACAAAAGAGCTTCCTAAGCCAGAGACACGTGAGCCTACCAAGCCAGCAGTACAGGAGCGTCCTAAACCAGTACAGCAGGAGTCATCTAAACCCCAGGTGCAATCAAGACCTATCTCGAACAAGATCGCCGACAGATTCAACCCAGCTCTCGCGGGACTGTTAGCTCGCGGNCCCCCAAGTACATCAAATACTCCGCCATCAGGAAGTCCCTTCTCCCCTCCTGCGATCAGTCGTGTGAGCTCTGCGCAGGATGAGCCAGGAGAGGGTACTCAGCTCACCCACATGACCAAGAGTCGTGCTAAGGGCCCAAAGAGGCGCAAGCCGAAATCAAGTGCGCCGGAGACCACAGCCAAAGAAACGCCTGCAACCGAGAAGCGCGTGTCTTCTATCGTTTCCACATCTGAGAAGCGTGTCTCGTCTGTCACGTCTGAACCCGAGAAACGTGTTTCTTCTACTCCATCTGTGCCGGAAAAGCGTATCTCCTCAATCAACCTGCCATCACCGAGTTCGCCCACGACTAAGACTCCTGTGCAACCTCGACCCAAGTCTGCGGCTGTAAGAGCTGCATCAATTAACCTCTCGAAACCACAAATCGGCGAGGCAGAGAAACCCGAGACTCCTACTCCGACGAAGTCGATGACGTTCCCTCCTGTTCGAGCAGACAAGCCAACAACTCCTGTATCGGCGAGGTCCTCACTTGAAGTTGCGACAATCGCTGGCGCAGAGAAGCCCAAGCCTGTCACGCCTGCGAAACCAGCACTGGACAATCCTTCTTCCACAACTGCGGACAAGTTGGAGTCACCTGCTCCTTTCAAACTACCTCTTCGCACCTCCTCAGCTGCTTCTTCGATGAGCAAAGAATCTGTGTCCGGCCCCATTTCACCTCAATCTGCCTCTCGCCAACCCTCTGGTTTCAATCGAGCACTTCCTGGCAAGGCTCTTCCAGGCATGACTACTGCTGTCTCAGGGTCACAGGACAAGCCTTTACCACCTTTGAACACGACCGAGGCGGATAAGGAAAACCAGAGTTTCTCATCAGTCAAGAGTGCTGCTTCAATGTGGGGAAAGCCTGCACAGACTACACCACAAAAGCGCGCTCCTATAGAACTACCCACCAAGAAGGACGAAGAGGCTGCAATGTTATCTGCTGGACTCCTCTCAAACTCGCCACGCAGATATAACGCATCGCCGAAGCTAGGACTTGGCATCACAGAAGATACTATCAACCAGCCAAAGCGAATTAACGGCCACGAGCAAGTACAGTCACCCAGTGCCGGAGCTCCGCCTAAGCCCGCAAAGAGTTCAAGAGTTGTCAGCGGTCAATTGAGTACCAAAGGTGAGTCTTAGCATTAGCACATCCACCAGCATGCAAGCACAAAGAAAAGAACTTCGATTTACGTTCGTCTTGATTTATTTGTTCAAATTCTGATTGCTTTTGAGCAGTTTGAGTACTTTATACCTTGTGGTCCATATCAAAGCCCAGGGAAGTGACAAAGAGCTGACGTGTGCCTGGATATTCGATANGACCTACCTCATTTGCCCAGCGTACTTGACCTCCCAGCGGGACGCGAATTGGCCGACTTTTTCGGCGACGTGCCTCAGTCAAATAACCAGTTGCAGTTGAACACTGATACGCAAACGGTTTTGGGTTCACGTCCTGGAGAGTCTGACAAGATCAAGACTCTGAGAAACTCGATTCAAGAAATCAAGTCTGATGGTACTCTGATTCCTCTACCAGCACAACAAGAGCACATCTTGTACGAGAGCTCCATGTACATCTGCACGCATATCTTCTACACTGCCAACATGACAAGGATGGCTGAAGTGTATCTCTGGTGTGGTGACCGCATATCTGAGTCAACTATTCAAGAGACCCAAGTCCATGCCAAGCGTGTCGCTCGAGAGGCTGGTGTTGGACAGAAGTGAGAACTCTTCTTTCTTACAAGTCCACGCTCATGACGCTAACGTTCTATCTAGNNGTCAACACAGTTGTACATCATCGACCAAGCTCGTGAACCGGCGAATTTCTTCCAAGCACTTGGCGGCATCGTGATCACGCGTCGTGGTTCGCGTGCAGAGAACTCAAAAGAACCTTACATGCTTTGCGGTCGCCCTCATATGGGTCATATTGCATTTGATGAAGTCGACCGCAGAAAGAGTAGCCTTTGCTCTGAATACCCATACATTATCGCCCGCCCTATAACACTTCAGGAGACAAAAATCTGGCTGTGGAAGGGCAGCGGTTGTGGGGCTACTGCTGTTGGAAGCACCCGCCTGATTTCCATGGACCTGAATCCTGGCGGTGGCTTCACCGAGGTTGACGAAGGCAAGGAGACAGCCGAGTTCCTTGCAGAGATCCACGATGCAGGTGATTCGAGCATTTGTCAGTCACCAGCGCTTTGGAAGGGAAGGTGCGGCAACTGGGAGCACTCTTCAGTGCGCCTATTCAGGATTGAAGCGAAGGAGAAGCCCAAGCAGACAGCGACCTCACTGTTCACGAGCTACTTTTCTCGCCGTCCCTCGTGGAGTGCGCCCAAATCGCCCAATACCGATCGACCCAACAGCGATGGATCAAGCAAATCGCCCAACGCCGAGTTCGAAGCATCAATCGCAGAGATTGCACCTTTCACTCAAGATGATTTAGAACCCGAAGGTTGTTACGTCCTCGATGCCAATTCTGACATTCTGGTTTTACCGGGGCCCTTACTTTCACAGCAAGGCTTGTGGCAACACGCCTTTGTCCAAGCATGTTTGTTCGCGCATGACTACGCTATCTTGTCTGCTAGTCTGGAAGATAGGCCCGCCATTCCGAAGGCGAGGGTTGTGTTGGGCGGTCTGCCCAAGGAGGTCAAGGTCAAATTTAGACGATGGGAAGAACGTAGAGGACTTTGGGGATCTGGTGGCCTCATGGCTGGAAAGGTTACTGGCGAAGAAGGAGGTATGGTCGATGTAAGAGATGTTTTGGGTGTTTGTTGTGGGCCTTGATTTTTGCATCCAAGCTTTCGTGCGAGGCGTTGGGATCGGGTGTCCAATTTTGAGTTATGTGGCATGATGAATCTGGAATATCGAAGGGGAGTTCTTTCCTTCTGATGCATGTATTACGCGGCGGGCTTTTCGGGTTGTCTTGTTAAACAGCATTCTAAACCTCTTTTCGTATGAGTCAAATGTCGACTGATCTTTCTAGATTCAGCTTGTCGAACGTCGTTTGCGCTTTCCTTGATGGGTTCCCACTTCACAAGTTGGTGTGCTGAAATGGAAGGCATGACGACAATGATTTCTGCTCACCCTTTCCTTCTCTGCAAACAAAACAATTCATCGCTCAGTCGTTTCCAACATCATCCACTTCCTTCACACTTCAGCTCTATCACCATCTCAATTCGTATCAAGATCTATCGCCTCGGACCTTGCCTACCTATCACGAACCATCGCCATGCCTGATTCTTACTCAATACAGCGACGAGACATATCCAAGCAGAGCTTCCACACACCATTCAAGCCACAGCGCTCTCTATCAGCGACGGTCTAATCACGCGACACCCTTACTCGAGAATCCTTACGGGGACTGAGACCCAAGTACCACATCGTTCTAGGCTTTCCTCTGCTAAGGCTTCGTGCCCATATGCATGTCTGCTCCTTCCACGTGTGTGTCTGGGGCGGTTGTAGAAGCGGGTTGGCCGATCAAAATATGAAGACTTGAGTTTGAGATGTGTGGGCGAGGAGTTGTCTTGTTTGAGTGTGTCTTGGTTGTTGTGCTGAGGTAAGAGTCGGCCTGGCGGTGTTTCATGGTGGCATTCGAGTTGACGCCCCGTCGGAACATGACACAACTCCCTTCCTTCTTACAATCGAAACATGCTACCGTTGCACGCTGGTTCCTAGTCCTTCTTGTTTACGACTCTTTGGCCTCACCGACAAGCAATGACCCTTTGAGATTGCCATGGGAGAAAAATAGAAGGCTACGCCAGCCAGTGACGACAACGAATACATCATCGATCAACAAGAGCGACACGCAAAGTAGAAAAGTCGTGTTTCTCATTAATCGCTATCATGGTATAGTCATATCTCATGCCCGTGAAGGCCCATCATCATGATCGCTCTCTCTAGCGACATCCCACGTACTCGTATAATCACCACTCTCAGCTCGGAAGCTCGAGACGATGATAACGGGCACAACACTCGGCCTACTACTGGATACTGGATACTGGTATCCGTCCCATGCCTTGTCTTGTCCGTCCATGACAGTATCCATGACAGTGTCCTCAATATCGGGAATCACGAGATCCATTCGAGGAATAGGAGGTGCTGTTACAGCGGATGTCGGACGAGAAGATAGCGTTTGCTCACCCTGCTCTGCTTTCTCTAGGTCTTGTAGATGATGATGGTTTTTGTGTTCTGAGGCCGTGACGTGTGAGCCTAGTGTGGTCCACTTCGTCAACCGATGCAACAGAGACGTCAAAGAGGTCATGGAAGCAGAGAACCAAGGCTTCAATGCTGGTGCGCAGGACGCAAAGATGCCAAGTCCACACTCCAGAAGTTCGAAGAGAAGGATTCTTCCTAGACCATCTATGATTTGTCAGCTTTTTATTCTCAATGAAACATAAAAGATATAGTAGAGTTATACTTACANGCTCATATTGGTTTCGTGAGTCCAGTAGGCTATATAAGGCAAACGACAAATTGTCATTGCTGCTGCCAGAACGCCCAAGCCTAGAATGAACCAAGCCATAACCATATTCCTTGTGCTCATGACTGTTTGCCAGAGGATTATACCAGGGATGATTGCACATGCGAAGTCTGCGAAGATGGTTGTGCACGCAAAAGCATATCCGACGGTCAGTACCACGGCTCCTGGTAAGCAGTATCCAGAAGTATCAGGATGGTGCCAATGCGTCCAGATTGCTGTGTAAGGCACACAGTAGACGAAGGATCCGATAAACATGATAAGTGAAGAGCAGCTGACGATAATCATGATCCAGTGTAGTGCTCTTTTGATCTTCGGAGATGTCGATAGACGAAGGAATGTATAGCAAACACTGCACTTAATCAAGCAGGTGGCTATAGTATAAATCGGCTTGTACACAGCAAAGGTNNCTATTTAGCTCTTCATGTCAGTCTCTGCTTTTTCATTCTCGGCGGCTTCTCCTTGGAAGATGCAAGTACATACCTGGACACCTTTCATCTGATTCTCCAGGCTGATATCCTTATCGGGCATACCGAGCCCATATTCATATCCCCACATCGTGACTGCGCAAGCTCCAAGATGAAAAATTAGTGCCGCGATGATGAGCCAGTCATCGATCTTGGAAGCACGCCGTGTGATTCGGACATAGCAGCGTAAAGGAACGACGACAAGTGGCAAGATGATCATGGCAACCGTGACACCGAAGAGTGATGTCCATTTATCGTGCCATTCCATGGTTGAAAGGTATCAACCTTCAGCCAATCTCCTAGAAAAGTCCCAAGTCCAGTAGATATCGACTCGTTCGAAGACCTGGTGAGTATCCTTAATATGTATGGTAAGAAACGACAGTTCGTGCCACGCACATGGAAAAGGGACCTAGGCCCTTATATTGAACTCAGCTCAAGCGCACTAGACGTTTGAGCACGCCCGTTATTTGCCATCGTTCGGCTTTAGAGTTATTCCCTTCTTCGCTGGATCTCTGCTACTCAAGCAACTCTCCGTACTCCCCCGCGGTATGTCTCACTTACCCTCTCTTATGGGACCTACTTCTCTAATCGGTTACTGGTATCTAGTTTGCAGGCTTGTGGCTGTCAATATTCTTGCGAGTTCGGAGGAAAATGTCAAACACATGTGCCATCAACGGTTTCCTTGTACTGATGCGACAACTTCTTGTCTTCAGCTGAGTTCGGCACACGAGGATATGAATGATAGCATGATGTCTTCAGATGTCTCAGACGATCTTCGTTGTCCGTGACTGCCTTGGCTGTGGCTGACAAGTGATCTCTTGCCAAACAAGATTCTATCTTCTGCAGATCTTCGAGAATGTAGGAGTCAAAGCAACAAAAGCAAGATACTATTGAGCTTGTCGTCAGTTGAGAAGGGGATCTCTTCCCCGTTGAAGCTGAGCGAAACGTTTTTATTGCGGTACAAATGTCAGAGTTTAAGCCTTTTGCGTGTTAACAACCACCTTTGTAGAGCAACGGATTTTCCTTGTGACGGGACAAAGAGTCATAAAATAGGTGTCTGGAAGCGATCGAGGATTTCCGTGAACTCCACTTGGAAGGGTGGATGGCCGTTCGACGAAACAAAAAGCCACTTGAAGGACGGCATATCATCCGTTTAACGATGTTTTCGTTTTCGGCTCCAGGTGAGACCGAGTGTAGATCAGAGTGTATTGGAGCTCATCACACGTGGTGCATGTGGAAGGTTATGATATAGGGGATGAGGTATATAGTTTTGCGTACGTTGCAGTCGCGTATGAGCAAAAACATCGTTGATTGGCGCTATTCGATAGTCACTCGGTGCACGAACTTGCGGACTGCAACTCATACCGTCAGATTCCAACATTTCGCTGGCATGACTTCGGCCAAAGCAGCATTTCGCCATTGTCGATGTGTTCGTGAGAAGGACCAGACGCTCTCAAACGAGGGTTGCATGTCCGAGCGTCGGCGTCGGAGTTCAATGTCAGGGTCCAAGCGTCGTCGACTTCTGAAACGCCAAGCCATTATTCTACTAGCAAAATTCTCACCATAACATCCCCAATACCAACTCCCACCCCTTGCCCAAGATCAAAACAAAGAATGAAGCGTATTCTATACCTCTTGGACGTCCAAAAACGGCAAAAGCTCGACGCCTGTGTGATTCGAACACACGCTCCCGAAGGAAATGCCTTAGCAGGGCATCGCGTTAACCACTCCGCCAAAGCGCCTTAGAAAATCCCGAGATTGGTCAGATCTCGAAGCAGGATGACTCGATACTCAGCTTGAAACAATATTTAGCTTCAACAACTTTTACGACCATAAGAACGAAGAAGCTCGTTGATTGATGAGTGGAAATGGCGTCTGCACGTACCGTACAAATCGCTGGTGAGGCTCCATTATTGACTTCTCCAGAGTCCAGAGGGAAGTTATGTTCCAACCAGGGGTCAAAAGGCTTTGTCTCGGCCCATGTATTGAGGTCGGCAGAAGGACAGTGGAACGGACAAGGATGAGAATCTCAGTCGGCGACCTCGCTGCAGGTGTTCTAGCCCAACAGGGAAGGCTTTGCGCTCGCTACTCATTGCTGCGCCGATCAGATGTCGGTAGGCTCAACTTTTGAGACGATCAGATCCTGCAATATCAAGCCACAATCATTGTTTGCTCGAATCCAGGTCGATAAAGAGCCCGGATGATGTCCATCCTCAACGTGCATAAGGTCGTGCTGTGAAGCTCGAAGGGAGAGTGGTGGTAACGCAAGGGCTCGACAGCCTACGATATGCAAAAGAAGCAACATCACTATCCGCTGGCCTATCACCCAGGATGATTACTCAGAACCACAGGATGATCCACCATGCTATCCGCCTTTCCAGGCGGATTCATGGAGGCGTTCTTTCATGCATGTGCCTGAGCCATTCGACAATTACCAGCACCCTTTGCCGTCCCGCAGCAGAGACGGTCAACCTGGCTAGCATGCCCATGTGTAGCTCGTCTTCGAATGATTCGCTCAACCACGTGCCATCTGTAGACTATGCATGACGCGTCTATGGTAAGTGTTAGCACTTTATAAACCATCTCTTTGTCCTCAATCCGATATCCTCACTCTTACTACAAAGCGTGAACGTCTGGTCATCCTTGCTGCATCATGATGCTTCAAACACTCTTTCTGCTATCCTTTGCGATCCTTTGCAGCGCACTCGGGGATCTCGGTTATGGAAAGCTATTCAGTACGAGCTTCGGATACCCTGGTGTCAATGCCTCCTATGACTATGTTATCATTGGTGGTGGGACAGCGGGCTTAACACTGGCAACGAGGCTAGCTTTGAACGGCACCTATTCCGTCGCTGTCGTGGAAGCTGGCAGCTTTTACGAACTTGACAATGGCAACTATAGTCAGTATCCGTCAGGTGTTATCCGCTCTACAGATCCAGGCCCCAATCTTAGTGCCGTGAATGGCCTCATAGATTGGAGATTTTTGACGACGCCTCAAACGGGGTTGCTCAACCGTACGGTTCATTATGCACGGGGAAAATGCCTAGGAGGCTCCAGCGGCCGCAACTACCTCCTCTACCAAAGAGCAACTGTCGGCTTCTTCGATGAATGGGCTAAGGAAGTAGGGGATGCTTCATACGAATGGCAGAGTGTGTTGCCTTACTACCAGAAATCAGCTCATTACACACCAGGTAACACCACTACTCGTGCTGCAAACTCTTCGCGTGGCACTGTGGACGAGACAGCAGTGTTTGCNAAAAATGATGGGCCCCTCCAAGTCAGTCTTCCGAAATATGCTGCTTCATGGTCATCCTACTTCCCTTCTGCTTTTTCAGAACTTGGCTTGCCACAGTTAGAAGGAACCAACAGTGGAATTCTCAACGGTTGGACCTATATGACCATGTCCGAAGATCCAACATACCAAACACGAAGTTCTTCAGAAACGTCCTACCTCAAACTAGCGTTGGAGCGCACTTCTCTCACTGTCTATACTCATGCTTTGGTTAACCGAATCATGTTTGATGACACCAAGACTGCACGAGGCGTGTTGGTCGATGTTGCAGGCATGAAATTCATGCTAAACGCAACCAAGGAAGTCATCGTATCCGCCGGGGCCTTTCAGTCGCCACAGCTTCTAATGGTTTCTGGTATCGGACCAGCATCAACCCTGAAAGGTCTTGATATCCCTGTCATTTCAAACCTGTCAGGCGTTGGACAAAACATGTGGGACAATCCAAGGCTTACTCTGTCGCTGGAAGTCAACCTGGAGACCGGCACGACATTGACCAACCAGCCTGAAAGAGCCCTTGAGGAGACTGAAAAGTACATTGTCAATCGCACCGGAATGCTCACGTCAACTGGCGCCGACTTCGCTGGGTTCGTCAAGCTCACCAATGATTCTCGCTCGAACTTCTCTACAGAGACCAGATCCTCTCTGGCCGAGACGTTTCCACCAGACTGGCCGGAGGCAGAGTTCTTCGCATCCTCGAATGGCGTCGCAGGATTGGCTCACAATGGCGCAGGCATTTTCATTGGACTTCTCGCAACATTCAGTCGTGGCAGTGTGACAATCAAATCAGCAGACATGGCTGACGCACCTGTGATCGACCCCGCCTGGCTGACCGACAAACACGATCAAGAGATCGCAGTCACCGCGTTCAAATATGCACGTCGTCTTGCCAACACCACATCCTTGCGAAAAGTCATTGTCGGTGAAGAAGTTGTGCCAGGACCTGCTGTTCAATCTGACGCACAGATCCTTGAGTACCTAAAAAACACCACGGTCACCTATTATCATGCATCCTCTACTTGCAAGATGGGTATGAGAAATGACAGCATGGCTGTGGTAGACAAGGATGGAAAGGTTTTTGGTGTCAAGAATTTGAGAGTCGTGGATGTCAGTGCTTTGCCCTTATTGCCACCCGGACAGCCACAGGGTACTGTGTACATGCTGGCAGAGAAGATTGCTGATAAGATACTGGAGGAGGCTTGAGACCCGTTCGTCTTATCTGAGATCAATCCTGTGTGGCGTGTTAGAAGACTGAGGTCTGCGAAACATTGACAGTGTTGTGATGCTAATCGATAAGAACAGGGTATATACAACTAGATACACGACCGAAATGCTATACACAATGTCAAACATTCACCTCGCTACTCGCGCTCGTACTTGATGGACTTGCTTTCCGTACTCCCTCTGCCGTCTCCACTTTCTCGGCTTTCCGTTTCCTCCTCAGCTTGAAAATAGATCCTCCACACCAGATCACTGTCGGCACCACACAGACGAACGAGACACAGCCGAGTACAAGCGTCGTGGTTCCCCACCCGGCTCTTTGTTTGACCAAGCCTGCAAGCAAAGGTCCGACCAGAGTGCCACCTGCATAGGCCATATTGAACAACCCATACGCCTGAGCAANAGCACCGTTCTTGCCAAAGAAGCCTGCTGGTCTTTNTGCACCTTGAGCATCCACAGCATATGAGATTTCTGCCATGAGAGGTGTGAGCGAGAGAGTGATTCCAAGGCCGATCAAGGCGAGAAGTGCGCAGAGCAGCACCTTCTGGCGAATACTGTCGTGATCCACGAGGCGCATGAGAATGAAACATGGACCAGTGATGATGAAGCCGATGGTCGCTAGCCATCTTACGCCGTGCTTGTCTGCATATCCGCCAACTAGAGGTCCAGTGAAAGACGGAATCGTGACAGACAGGAAGATCAGTCCAGCACCAATAGAGTCCCAGCCCCAGATTTCGTGGACATACAATGGCAAAATTGAGTCGAATGAGGTAAGCAATGCTGCGCTGATGAAGCAGCCAAACAAAGCGGCGTCGAGTCTGTACGACGCTAATAGTGAGAAGACTCTAGGGAGCCTGCGTCGCTCGTGTGCCACAGCAGGTGTCTCGATTTCGGGTTCGTGACACTCCGAGTCAGCTTTGTGACCATCCGTGCTGCCTTTGTGTTCGGCATCTGCGGTTACTTCAAGTGCTTTTGGCCTCCACTTCGCAGCAACCGATCTCTCAATCATCAACACTCTGAGAATTGCGTCGATGCCTAAAAGCGCAAATGCCATTGCGAAGACGGCATAATATCCGGCNNACTGGACGAGTGTGTCAGTACAATTGTGCTGTCTTCCGACATTTGGTACAACGAACCGTTCGAAGACGATGCCACCAAGCAAGGGACCGAGCAAGTACGCCAACGACATGGCGATACCAACGTAGCCCATTGCCTGCCCAATGGAATCAGAGCCAACAGTGTCCTGTAGTAAAGCCAGGCCAACAACCCAAACAACCGCTGCCGAAAGTCCCTGGAGGATACGACCAACAACGAACAGAGCAAGACTGTTACCAACGACCAAGAATATCGTCGAACCAGCTAGTGCCAGCAATCCAACCATGAAACTCCACCGCCGCGATTCAAACCGATCGGCGACCCACCCACATGTGGGTGCTCCAACGAGTAAAGCGCCACCATAGACAGCCAAAAGTACTGATACCGTAGACTGTACATTATCCTCGGTAATACCAGCACGGCTACTCAGAGCAAAAGGCCTGTAAAGCAAGGGTTAGCAAGATATCAAACCTCGGTTGTGAGAACACCACGACTTGATTAAACGAACATTCTCAACTCTGCGAGACGTCATCCTAGATGGTGTTTCGTCAAAAACACATTCTAGATATTGCTCGTGCAGGCTGAGACAAACGCTAACATCAGTCGTGGTGTTTGTATCTTCGGTCCACGTACAGAACGGGCACAATCAGGCCATATAAATAGACGTCAGTGAACACCGCAGCAGCAACGGTACTGATAATCAACCATTTCGAACTTCGAACCTCGAGGAAGGCGGGAGGAGTGGTTTCGGTACCCGTCAACCATGCAAACATATTGTCGTCGATGATGATGCCGTATAAATTATTCTTCGTGAAGCCTCTGACTGGGATGATAAGACATGCTAATAAAGGTAGAAAGAAGAGGCGAGGAGGTGTAACTTAACAAGACATTTTTCGCAGGATGAATATCGTTCTCGTCTGCAACAGTCTCCTTAGCCTTGATTATGCGCGTGAGTCTTTGAACCGCCTCACCAGATTGCCGTATCTCGGCATCCGCGCAATGCGGAGAATTATTTGAGGGGGGTGTAAAAAAAGTAAAAGTCCCGAGGCTTCGAGGCGTCATGGCCGCATGGACTTTCTGCATGCAGTATCGAGTCCATACTTGGCATCATGTGGTTCGTATTCGCTATCATTTCTGGAAACAGACCTCAGCCTTCGAAAACGAGCACCAAGTATTGTTAGAGCTGGCGCCTAGACAACATACAAGCACACTTTTTCCTGACAAGACAAGGCTTGAGGGCTACGCAGAACCTTTTCTGTTCTGCCGTGTTGGTGACATGAGGGCTGTCAAAAGATGCGGTGAGATATCTCGGGACGCCGCAGCTCGTGCAGGTTTATTTGGTATACCGAGCTGCGAAATGCTGCATGATTAATGCAGATACGCTCGTGCAGCGCTGCAATTTCGAGAGGGGCTCGGCAGTTGTGCGCTGAAGCGGATGGCTCTACCATGGCTCGACGGGATGCAACAAGTGTCAGGTCTGAAGCGGCTGTTCTAGCTTGCGATGTTAGAGGCTGCTATTCGCCGAGACGAATGTCGGATCAGGCGTTGCCTTATATGTTTAAGGCGAAGACTGGAAGATATTAAGTGACCAGGGTAAGAAACAAGAGACGTCACAACTATAGATCACGGCTGCACTCAACAACACCACAGAATGACTTGACTAGAGACGATAGTTGACAAGAAAAAAAGAAGCGGAGGGGTATCATAAGAACAACAGCAATATATACACAGAGGCGTCACGTCTGCCTAGTAGCAAGACCGACAACATTCCTCAAAGTGCCAANAGGCAAGACATCTCCGATGCGTTTCTGACCAGTAAAGAGCATGACCAAACGATCGATGCCCATGCCCCAGCCGCCAGTAGGAGGTAGTCCCCACTCAAGAGCTTCGAGGTAGCTCTCGTCCACCTCTGCTCTACCGTCACCTTCGCCATCGACTTCACGGTAACTCAGCTGCTCCACAAATTTTTCGCGCTGAGCGAATGGTGAATTCTCCTCTTCATACATGTTGGCGTACTCGTTGCCTTGGATAAAGAGCTCGGCACGAGCGGAGATGCGTTGAGAGGTTTTAGGGCAAACATAGGATTTCGAAAGCGGTGACATAACAGCAGGGTGCTCGGTGATGAAGGTCGGTTTGGTACACAGAGGCTCGATGTATTGACCGGCTAGAGCATCCAAGAGGCGTGGGAGTGTTGGTTTGGCAGGAATGGCGATACTATTTTCGTTAAAAAGGTCCAAAACTTGTTGGGTTGCATCGTCTCTGCTGAGATCAGGTAACTTCTTGCCCATCTCTTNTTCGACGGTGGCTATGAAGGGCAGACGCGGGAACGGTCCTTGGAACAGATGAGGCTCGTTTGTGTCAAAGTTGACAGCAGTGTCTGCAAGATGCTTGAAATTCTCCTCACCCAACTTGCGCAGTTGCTCATGCAACCCAGACAACAGGTCTTCGGTCATCTGCATAAGATGATCGAGGTCGGCAAAAGACATATAAGACTCGCAAATGGTAAACTCGGGGTTGTGTGTTGCATCCACGCCCTCATTACGAAAGGCTGGACCGATCTCGTAGACCTTGCCCAAGCCACCAACTACCAACCGCTTGAGCCACAGTTCAGGGGCTATGCGAAGATTGAGAGTGGTGTCTTGCATTTCTGTAGCGATAGTCTCAAAGGGTCGAGCTACTGCGCCACCAGCGCCAGCAGTCAGCAGAGGCGTGCTAACTTTGGAATAACCTCGATTGTCGAAGAAAGTGGAAATGCCACGCTCGATAGCCGATCTGACTCTGAGCGTCTGCACGGCTTGACGGTGAACCAACATATCGACATGAGGTCTACGAGCGCGTGTTTCAGCATCATCGAGTTGAGCGGGGATTTGATGGAGCGATGGTGACATGAGCGAGGGAAGCTCAGTCGCAAGAATACTCTCCTCTCCACCTTGAGCCTTGTGTGGATGACCAACAAAGGTATACCAGTCCCCTCGGCGAACAACACGCTTGAAAGCATTGAATTGCTCACGAGGGACGCCATTCTGATCGAGGTGGGAGAAATTACAGATAGCTTGGGCGACGCGATCATCTTGTTCTATATCGATGAAGACCAACTTAGAGCCGGCAGTGCGCACCGAGCGGACTCTGCCGGAAACGACAAACTTATCGTCATGGTTGGTAGCGCCATTATCTAAAGTAGCACTGCTCTTTCTTAAATCGTTCACAGAGATTCTAGCGACATCATGACGCTGTGGCAGACGTGGCCAGCAGTCTTGCAGGGATGTGTTCGCTTGCAGCTGAGCTATACGCTTCTCATAATCGCCAGTCGGAGAGTCCTTGACGGGCTTCTTCGAGGCTAGCCTGGTGTAGGCGGAGAAGCAGCAGGCATACGAGGGGATCAATGTTGATCGGATGTCTTTCANAAGGACGGGCCGCAAGAAGCGGTAGACTTCAGCAGACCTTGGCATCTATAAGAAGACTGTTAGTCCCAAAACTTGGAATGCGAAGATGGTACAGTGGTGTGTATAGAAGGTAGATCAGGATAATCGGTATGTGTGTGAAATCAAGCCCCCGAAGGAGTCATTCGCAACGGTTCTTAACAAATTTTGCTCATCATGGAATATGAACTGGGAAGGTGCAGAGGGTATTGGAAGGACTTACCATTTGTCACAGCATGTTGTGTGGTGAAGAAAGAGAGAAGAGGAAAGAACGAGCGGCTGGAAGTTCTTGCTTGCAAGAAATCAGAGCTTCAGCCATGTGCGTTCATGTGGCCCAAGCTCAAAAGGTCCGCCGTGCAACTTTCTACTGACGATGATGCGCAACGTGCAATTCGACCTGTCAATCCACACGCTTTTTGTCTTTCCAATCGACAACCCTTTTCAGCTCATATCAAGATGTCTTTCCTCTTCGGTGGTGGTCGCCCCCAGCCCTCTTCAGCAGAGAAGATTGCCGCTGCTGAGGCCGAAATTGACATGGTCTCGGACATGTACAACCGGTATACACTACACAGCAATCTAGTCACACCATGATCGCGTGCTAACATATTTGACAGTCTCGTCGAGACCTGCACCAAGAAGTGCATTCCCAACAGCTACCGCGAGGGTGACCTTAACAAGGGCGAGTCCGTCTGCCTCGACCGTTGCGTCGGCAAGTTCTTCGAAGTCAACATCAAGGTCTCCGAGAAGATGCAGGGAGAGGCTGCCGGCAAGCAGGGCGGTGTTGGTGGCTTCGGTGGCATGTAAAGTGCTCATATCCGACAGCCATCATTACGAGAAATCACTTTCACAACCTTTCGAACACATCGAGGCGAATCACCTACCCGCCACCCTCTTCGATACAAGCACGCGCGCACACATTGGAGCAACAAGACAAGCAAAAGGAGGAAACGTTGGGACTCTTCCCTGTCATGCGCTCGTGAGCAACGTCGCTGTACCATATTCTGATACCCAAAATCACCTCTCCAAAAGAAACTTGAATGAACGACACGAATGTACAACAGTCGATTAAGACCCTCTAGAAATACTCTTTCCAGAACCGGAACTTGACATCGTGACTAGACGCGTCCTGGCACGCCTTTCTTATTCCTCTCGCTGCCATGTTTGGGCCACAGAAATACACCCCAACCTCGGCTCTCCTGGACTCTAACCCGCTGATATATGTCCCGCTCTCGATCGAGTCCCTCATTGCACTCAATAACTTCTGGAAATCTGGTCTGCCGAAATTCGTTCTAGAATTGAGTTCTGTCAAAGGATCTTTGTTAGTGCCAACGCTGTTCAACACAATGTTATTGGCTTGATCAACATCCATCTTTTGCGTCAGGTAAGTGTGGATCTTCAAGAACTCGTCTGTCTCCTCATTCGGTTTGTTCTCGTCGGACGGTGAAGACATGGATAGTGATTGCATCTCCAGAGATGACAGCAAGGCTTGGAACCACTCGAAAGATGTGGTTGTTTTGCACACCCAGATAAATTCAACTCTTTTCAGTCGCTTGGGCGGATTCGGCGATAGTCGCATGTGCCAGATGTTCTTAAGAATGGAAGCCCACGGCGTGACTCCAATACCTGTACCAACGAGAATGGCAATTTCGTGGTCAAACACATCTTCGGCAGGCGCGCCATAAGGCCCATCGATACGAAGTGTGGGCATTTCTTGTCCTTGCTGTAAAGCAACTTCATACATCCCCATGGGATCCAGTTCTTCGTATAAGGCTGCTTGCTCCGGTCCGGCGCCCAGAGCGTTTGCGAGGGATCTGGTAAAGTCTCCTACTTGGCGGACATGAACGCTGACATAAGGATCAAAGGGGCAAGATGTGATAGTGAAGGGGTGCCATTGGTGTTTTGACACTTCCGGACAATTCAAGAACAGCCACTGTCCAGCTTTGTACTGCATGCTGGGCTTGCGAAACTGTATCTCCACTGCATCNNTAATGCAAAGTCAGTATAATTACACCAACAGCTGCTGCTTCCTACTTTACTCACCATAAGGATGTCTGACGACTTTGATGATCTCTGTCGGCCTGCGAGCGCGGATCTCGCGATACACTCTTTCGAACAGGTATAGCCCACCACCAACCAACTCCCATCTCCAGCCCTCATATCCAAGACAATGGTTCCAAAAGTACCTTCCAGCAAAAGGCGATACCGGCTCGACAGTATCTCGGACGAAGCATCCAGTAGCATGGGTATACATGGCCAATAGAAAAGGCACGAATAGATGATGTGTGTACCAGAACGTTTCAAATGATTGCTGACGAATCTTCTGGTGTGCTGTCGTGTACATAAGAAGCATACAGAAGAGCATGATATGACCTGTCACGCCGCCAGCCTGAGTATAGTGAATCTGAACAGCGGCTTGTTTTCGAAGTTGCGATCGTTCAATATTGAAGAAATTAACGTAATGGCCTGTAGTATGCACAATCGTCCAGAAAAGTAGCGAGTATGCAACCTGTCTATGGAACCATCGAGATTCGTCCAAAGGGAGCCATTTGATCTTTGGTCGAAAGAAGCGTAAGATGTTTCTGCACATTGGCAACATAATCAAGGTGGTGTCGACACTGAGGACTAATCCTGCACCTCTTGATATCCATACTGAGAAAGTCAGTAGGTTGAGAGGAGCCAGTGCTTTGCTGGTCTGTTGCTTNNCCACCTGTTGTCCATCAGTTTGCGTATTAGTAACAGATCAGGTCTTCACATACCATCCTATAATGAACAGTGCAATGTGGAATCCATGAAACAAAANGTAGAAGCTAAGCTTCTTAGGAGTGATCAATGATCTCCATGACCTCTCTTCAGCATATTCAGGCATGATTGAGAGTTGCCGCTTCCTGGTTTTCTGTGTAGATGGTAGTTGGTAAGTTCCTCGGCTTGACAGCAGCGGATCAGAACAACGACACCAGCACAGCCAATATTCAATCGTACACAAATTCAAGAATTGCAAGAAGACTCTCACAATGATTGCATCGAAAGGCTAGACAAGAAAAATATGACAAGAATGCAAACCTCGGCTAGACAGCTCACATCGCCCTATCATGCAGTCCCATTGCATAGCCGCCCAGCACCCACCTTTATGACCAGGACCTGCATACTTTCTGCAGGGCTTACGCCTAATCACAAAACCTGGTGGCTGGCCCTGAAAAATGCATGTGTCGAGGTGATGACTGGTCGTAGGACGAGAGTCTCGGCGCGTGCTCAAAAAGGCAAGAGAGACGCGTTGATTGGATGCGTAACCGCTGGCACTTCTGCATGCTGCTTCGCTCTTCGTGTACATGCCTTGACGAATGTGTATCTTGATAGCGATTATTCGCTTCGGGTTCATGAATTCAGATCACCTTGATTGACGAACACTTCGAAGATAAAGTTGCTTGGGTCACGTCGATGATATGATACAGCGAACGACTTCAATGTCCTGAGAACAGCAGCGAGAAATCGTCAGGCAGGCCAACCCAATGCGACCGAGATCATGCAATGATGCACAGGTTTCGTCGATCTTTCGCCGAAAATATGTTTGCTAAAGGTGGAAGTCGTCTGATTCGAGGACTGCTTGGGCGCTTCACATCCACGAGAAGCCTCACAAGAGCCTCCAACCACCCGTCTCACGCAACCAAGAAGCTAAGCAGTGAATTTCAGCTATTCTAGATTTTTACGACCCTGTTTCGCTCCTTCGCATTCGTCTTCTCCATTTTCGAGCAGAAGCGAAAAACACATGGATCCCGCCTTTTGTCAAGCCACACCCGTCCAATATCACCTGCATCTCTTCGTTCCCTTGTCTTGTAATCACTAATATTGCCTCTCCATATTCGCATCCCACCATCAGCTCCGCTCTTTCAGCAAACAGGCCGCTTGACAACCTACGAAGAACTGGTCTTCTTTTATTTCGTCACTCCCTGATTGTACTGAATCTGAATCATGTCGGCTTCGACCCCTGTGTCACCAGTCCACCGGTAGCAGAAGTTCCTGACATCAACATACCAGAGTTTCACCCTCTGTTGCTGGCCGACAAACCACAGCATGGGAAAGCTCATCAAGAACCACTTAGCCCGTCTCATCGTCATGACAGCAGCAACATGTAAGTCTTCATTCCTTTTCTTTACCACGACTACTTACCAGCAAACGCTGACTTCTTCTGAATCCATAGATCACATCGCCGCCAGCCTCCATGGGTTCTTCTGGCCTAAATTCTTCTTCGACTTCTTGACAAAGAACTTCGACCCTGCAGTCAAACCTGTACCGATACTACAAACCATCAATCTCATATTCGCCTTCATAAATCTGGCTTGGGAATGGCCGCTTGAGTTTCTCGCTGGAACTGCAATACACCGCTCGTTGGAGCTGAGGATACTGCTATTGCCGCTGTCAAGCTTGGCAGCTGTGTTATTATACCAAGGGACAAATCCCGCATTGTACTATCTCATCGGATGCGGAGTCTACTTCTGGGCGTATACAGAAGGCGAGGTACACAGTGTTATTGTAGCGTTGTCCTGCAACTTACTGACCAATATAATANNGGTGATATGTGCGAAGCCTTGGACGTTACCGCGAAGACCAAGCCATCCGAAGCGAATAGAACAGACATGACTTAGTCTCCAATATGCAATATGATTCAAACGGGTTGATTCGTCTATGGCGAAGGAGGACAACTTACTGCGAAAGTTTACGACTGTCTGTCTCAGTCCAATTCACTGGATGTAGTCCTACGACTCAGAGCTATGGGTGTGCACCGAGAACGTGTCATAGAACTCTGAGACACATGTTGATGCTGTAACAAATGAGTGCAGTGTCTTTAGTGTCCACAGGCTACATGGTGAATCGTGAGGGAATGTAGGCCGAGGCTGGATCATCCTCGCTGCGAGCAAGTCTCGCTCATCCTGTTGGACGTTAGCTTGCTTGAGAGCATATCTATGAGGCCGTGATGTGCGAGTCTAGATGTCCCTCCCACTCCGTGTCTAGAGGCTTGCGACATATGCACAGGTGAGATCGCCGTTGATGAAACACGGAGAAGACGGCCTAGGTAGATGCAGCGACTTCAAACAACCCCTGATTTACTGCTCGCCGTCAAGAACCTTGGATGAAGGACAGTCATGGTGAACGCAGCTGTGATTATAGCGAGTTTTCCAACGCAACCTTGCTGTGAATAGAACGGGCCGGAAACTTGTTTAGACATGATTCAAAGGGAGTTTTGGTCTGCTCGCTTGCTTCCATCCCCTTCTGGGCCAGGTAAAATGAGCGTGACGAACCTTGGAGCATTGAAGATCGACCTTGGAAGCAAAGCAGTGAAAGCGTTCTTGTGACCGTGCGTCTCATTTGAACGTGACAATCATCGCCAGGAACATGGCGTATGGTCGGCATGTCTGCTAANNCCTGGAGGCTCAAAGCAGCGTACGTAGCACGAACGAGTTGGGGGTTGAAGATGAAAGACAAGGTTGCACGAGCATCACGCATACGCTCACCAAGGCTNNGGCTGACGTGTTGCTAGAGGCGTGGCGTTTTCGCTATGCTTGTGAACGTGATCTAGAAGTGATTTTGCTTGTTGCAAACTGGTGTCGCATCAAGTGGTCCCTCGGTAGTAGGTTCTATATGCAGATGCAGAAGCGCTACGGGCCTTCCGTCTCTTCCGTCGTCGGCGAGATGCACNNAGCACGGCAAAGTCAGCATGGACGACCGAGTGCAATGCCCGTTTCATCGGAAAGCGACAGTCTATCTGTGGCTTCCCAGGTGATGAGAGCACAAGTACACGTGCGTTCGGTCGAGAAATAACGGGCGCATGGCCGAAGCACCTGCCGTTTCAGCAAATTGGCNAACTGCGGGAGGCCAGCCAACAGCACCTCGTCATTGCTCTACGANGGGAAAAACGTTTACCCACTACCCTTTGCCCAACACTCGACTGCTGTAGACTGCTGTTCCTTGGACGACGCCCCTTGCCGTTAGAGTAATCAAGAGGCGAAGACCCTTGATCATACCTCAGTGGGTTGCCAATCGCTGGCGCGTTCTTGCGCGTTGAGCCCCGCNCGTCATCGTGCTACTAGAGCTACAGCATTCCGAGCAAGACCATAGCGGGCTAGTACCACAAAACGTGGTGAATGCTGTGAATCGAGCCGCCAACACGTAGCCATTCAGAAATTTAAAGTAATCAAGATCCGGATATGGTTGTCGCGGGACTTGCAACGGTGCAGAAAGAGCATTGCTATAAAATAGAAAGGGCGCGCATATTCCATCCACTCAGCAAAGGAGCAGAGCTTCAATCAATCCCAAGCTGAAACACGCGAGGGAAAGGGTTCTTACACACTCCAAGACCCCATACTGCTGCAAGGTGAGTCCCTTCCATTTCCGCCCTCCATCCACCATATTCAAAAGGGCTGGGTACCTTCCCTCTACTTCTTGCCCGTCACGCGCCTTCCTTTCTCTTCACCACGCTTCTGTCATTCTCTTTGTTTCTTGTTTCTCTCGGCCGAATCCTTGTGCACTTGATCAATACAAGTTTCTTGCTCGACAACAATACATCTTTGTCATTGTCGCTGTCAGGTGCTATTGATCCAAGACCTTCAAAGTCAGAAGACTCGAACCTTCGACATTGTTTGCGCTTCAAAAGCCTTCCATTCGCTCCGTTGTTTTGAAAAATCGCCTATCGCTTTCACACTTTTTCCACCCCAACAACAACAATCTTCCAAAACTTTTCCGGTGCAGGCACTGATCCAATAACCTAGTCTTTTACACCCTTCAAGCTCTCCTCCTTTCTCAAACCTCGAACAACCCATCATCTTTCTAATCACCACAATGCGCGCAATCAGCCCGCTCTCGCTGATCAGTGCTGTGACCACCCTGGTTACCTTGCTTCTGGTGCTCTCGCCATCACAGGCGTTGGCCTCTCCCGTATCATCGGTCAAGAGAGCCACGTCTTCATCCTACTGGCTAGCGAACATCAAGCGTCAAGGTTCCGTGGCATTTGGCAGCGACTCATCTTACGCTGTCTATCGCAATGTAATGGACTATGGCGCCAAAGGTGATGGCTCTACAGACGACACAGCAGCTATCAACGCAGCAATTTCTGCCGGCAGTCGTTGCGGTTGGGGCTGTGATAGCAGCACAGTCACGCCTGCTCTCGTCTACTTCCCTCCTGGTACATACATGGTCTCTCAACCCATTGTCATGTTGTACTACACTCAGCTCGTCGGAGACGCGCTCAACTTGCCCACTTTGAAGGCTACTGCTGGTTTCCAAGGCATGGCTGTTTTGGACTCTGATCCTTATGACAGCAGTGGTGCCAACATGTTCACAAACCAGGTTCGTGATGTCTCCCTAGTTCTGAAAAACTGCCTGACTAACATTTGCTTNCAGAACAACTTCTTCCGTCAAGTCCGCAACTTCAAGATTGACTTGACTGGCATGCCTCAGACAGCTGGTGCAGGTATCCACTGGCAGGTCGCCCAAGCAACTTCCCTCCAGAACATCGTCTTCAACATGATTCCCGGCTCTGCCTCCAAGCAAGTTGGTATCTTCATGGACAATGGTTCTGGTGGTTTCATGAGCGATCTTGTCTTCAACGGCGGTAACTACGGAGCTTTCTTGGGCAACCAGCAGTTCACCTCGCGCAACTGGACCTTCAACAACTGTAACACTGCCATCTTCATGAACTGGAACTGGGCATGGACCTTGAAGTCGGTCTCGATCAACAACTGCGGTGTCGGTCTTGATATCTCCAACGGTGGCTCCACCAACATCCTGATTGGCTCTGTTATCCTCATGGACTCCAAGTTGACCAACACCCCCATCGGTGTCAAGACTTCGTTCACATCCAACAGCGCCCCTGCCACTGCAGGTACTCTCATCATCGACAATGTTGACTTCTCTGGCTCGGTCACTGCTGTTGCCGCTGCTGATGGTAGTTCCATTCTCGCAGGTGGCAAGGTTGTCGCATCATGGGGTGAGGGACGCCAATACTCCGGTACTTCTGGTTCTCGTGTCCAAGGATCTCTCGCTGCTCCTTCCAAGCCCGCTGCCCTGCTCGACAGCTCCGGCAAGTTCTTCGAGCGCTCCAAGCCACAATATGAGAACATGCCCGTCAGCGCCTTCGTCAGCGTCAAGAGCTTCGGCGCCAAGGGTGATGGTGTTACTGATGACACTGCTGCCATTCAGAAGGCTATGGCTGGTGTCAACTCGAACCAGATCCTGTACTTTGACCATGGCGCCTACGTTGTCAGCAAGACCATCAGCGTTCCCAACAACATCAAGATGACTGGTGAGATCTGGCCACTGATCATGGCGACTGGCAGCTTCTTCAGCAACCCTGGTAACCCCCAACCTGTCTTTGACATCGGCACAGCTGGCCAGTCCGGTGCGGTCGAGATCACCGATCTTATCTTCGAGACCAAGGGCCCTGCTCCTGGTGCAATCATGCTGAAGTGGAACATGGCTTCGGCACAAGGCGCGTCGGGTATATGGGATGCCCACGTGCGTATCGGTGGCAGTGCAGGTACACAGTTGCAGAGCGACAAGTGTTCCAAGAACCCATCCTCCACTGCTGTCAACACTGGTTGTGAAGGTGCCTACATGCTCTTTTGGGCTGGCACCAAGTCCTCAGGTGTCTACCTCGAGAACACCTGGTTCTGGGTTGCTGACCACGAGCTGGACCTTGCCGACCACAACCAGATCAACATCTACAACGGTCGTGGCGTCTACATCGAGTCTCAAGGTCCTGTTTGGCTCTACGGTACTTCTTCGGAACACAGCATCTTCTACAACTATGAGGTCCGCAACGCAAAGAATGTCTTTATGGGCATGATTCAATCCGAGACACCTTACTTCCAGTCCAACCCCAAGGCACCTGCTCCCTTCGTGCCAGAGCGTCCCTCGGACCCCACCTGGTCGATCTGCTCTTCGCAAAACCCATCAGCACCTTGCTACAAATCCTGGGGTCTTCGCGTCATTGACAGCACCAATGTCTTCATCCACGGTCTTGGTCTGTACTCGTTCTTTGAGAACTACGACCAAGATTGTGTCGCCACAAACAACTGCCAGCAGAACATGATTGGCCTCCAAGGTAGCAACAACAACCTCAACATGTATGCCGTCACCACGAAGGCCTCTGTCAACATGATCACTTTGGACAACGGTATGGCCGCTGCCCTCGACGCAGACAACAGAAACGTCTTTGGCGCCACTGTTGCCTACTACCGTAAGGGCGGTTCTTCGGCACGCGACTGTGATGACGAGGATGAACAAGACGATGAGTAAGCGTTATCGCCATGCCTGAGAGATGTGCAACATTTCTGCACAAACAACCATCCGCTTCTGTTTTTACATCTCCGGTAGATATAAAACAGCAAGCCACGAATCTTCGAAAAACCATCCGGAATGATTTTTTCTACTAACGACACAGCATCTACAATACCCCTGCGAGCCTCGGAAACGGACAGAGGCAGCATCATTGGCGTTTTTGTGTTTTTTCTTTTCCACACATAAGGGAAACTGATGATGACTTTTGCATCTTTGGGAGGAGTTTTCTTTGATAGACCTTGAGGGTCAACCAGCATATGGCATTTTGGACAAGACAGGTCCAGGTGGAGGAGAATAAACAGACAGAAAACTTGAAGGGCAGGCCACCCCTTTTTGGTAGTTAGATGTAGTAGCATAGCAAAGGACAATCACAGCACACATACAGTACCAACCAACTTGCCACGCTCGAGAACAGACTTTGGACTCCTATCGTGTTCCTTCATGTCTGGGTTTATGTCCTCGTACACTCAACCCCCAAGCACTCCTGTTGAGTGAGTGTACACTTCCAGTCGATCGTTCCTTCTCGTCCCTCACACATGTTTACTTGCACATTTTTAGAGAAAATTCTGTATTTAGCCACAAGATTCCAACACTTCCAGTCCAGATGATTAGGTCAAGTAGTGTGACATGCCTTGTATCAAGTTATATATCATGTACGACCGCTTTCGCTTGCAGTTTAGACAGACTCCTTGATTGACTCCTTGATCGTGAAAGACGCGAGCTGATTCTGTCCTGTCCATTGGTCGCCACCCAAGAGCATGATATGCTCGCTATTGTTGCCCGTTATAACGTGCTGTCGATATAATGCTGACATAGTATTTGGACCAAGCATCACGCTTGAGACTAGTGTATAATCCGTCTGATTGTGCATTGGTACGAGAAGCATACTCGCCAGATACTGTGAAGATCATGTGGTATGTAGCGAGGAATCTTTCATGCGTTTCAATTGGATGGATGATCTCAAGTCTGTTGGTAAAGACCAAACTTGACTACTTCGACTTCAAGCGTCTCCATGTCCAGTAATACCATCTCGCCGGTATCCTTGAAGCGTGGCACAGAAATGATTCGGCAGCTCTGGCCATCCGGGCCTTCGACGACGGTGGACTCGAAACGAGGCTGGTTGCCTACAATGTAGACGTGAGGAGTCTTTTCGATAACGAAACGATCTTTGTCTTGGAAGGGATAGCACCCNNTGCGGTTATTAGCGTTCCGTTACATGCAGCGATGTGTTTGAAACTCACATAATGTATCTGGGGCAGTGGGCGCGCACAGCCTCCAGCGTAATGTGGCCTCCATCATCTCCAACCTATCGTCGCCTTCGACGTATTTGAAGACATCGTCGATGGGCTGACCACCAGTGGCAAGGATTCTCCAACCATCCACATCGCCCTCCCAAGGATTTGTGACAGTATCAAACCAAGCTGAGTCTTCGGAGTTGGGGGCAGCCATGTAGGCTCTGCTTCTTGGGAAGAGCGCAGAGTGCATGGGCTGTTGGGGTAGTGATGTATGAGTAGGATCTTGTTCGCCAGGAATCAGGGTGATGGGTATGGAGGGTAGGAGTGATTCCAGCAGAGAGTCCAGGCGATCAGTCGGAGCAGGATTGTAGGCGGAGGCGTCGTAGCCATATTTCTTGACAGCAGAAGGCTTCTTAGTTGGCAACTCTTCGGGATTGATAACAGGGCTCGCTGACGACAGAGAGTTTCCAGCGATCAAGAGTCGCGATATACTCGATATCTTCTCCTGTTCGGCTGGTGAGGTCGATTCACCGAGGAGGTATTCCACAAGCATATCCAGGGCCATTGTGTCGCCAGAGTCACCACTGACACCTAACGTTGAGACAATAGCAACCTTGCCAGCCTTCTCCTTCTTTTCGGCTTTCTTCTTGCTTGCGCCGTCAGCTTGAGCTAGCGACCAGCGTTCGGATTGCGGTGCCAGCTCGGGTATCTTCAGATCGATGACCTCGAAATCACCATTAGCGTTTTCTGTTCCCATGACTGCCACAATGCATCCTGTGACTAGTAGACACGAGCTCAGGAAACTGCCTGTCAAGCGTAGTCGACCAGATTCGTCTTCGAGCATGATTTGGTCGCCTTCTCCAGAGGTGAACTTTAAACGGGGCGGCGGGGCGGCGATCCAGTGNNCTACGAAATGTGAGTAGGGGTATGACGGTGTGCACTTCTCAGGACTCACATGTTTGGAGATGTCGTCGAGAATGTTGGGCTTGAGTGGCATTTCCATGTAGACGGTGCCAGCCACCCAGACCAACTCACCTTGCCGGACATCTAACACACGATCGACTTTGTGCACCTCGTCTCCGCCAANTCTGTTGGTATCGTCTTAGCACTCTTCCTATAGTCATTTGTCGACGCTGCTGACCTCGAAGCCTTCCCATGCTTCACTGGCGATGCGTTCTACGGCAGGTTTGAGAACTGCCAACCGGGCAAAGTACATGTCGGCATACTGTTGTTGATAATGCTTTTGTTCGCCTTTGGCGAGATGAAAGGATCGGAGGGGCTTGTACGATGACGGCGTGCGCTCGAGAGTCTGGTATTGCTCGTTCCTTGCCATTTGGTNCAGTTTTCGCTTCTCCATCTCATTCTAATTGGGCCACGTACGAGGGTGGCTGCAATAGCGCATCTGCCGAATTTGAAGGCGCCATACCACAATTCAATTTGTCGCAACAAAGTGGAGGACCAGAAGTTTGTCTGGGAGTTGCATGCCCGCGTCAGGAGGAGACGCGTTGCAGCTTCCGTCTTCGACGCGACTCAATTCCACTTCCCAATCTGGAGAACATCATTTGGTATCAATNNCTTGATCATCATAATCATACATATAATATACAGTAATGTACAGAGAGGAGTCATCTATTTACAATGGGTATATGGCGACAAATTCCACTTTTCATCCTTTTTACGCTGCCGCTGTGGCAGCCTCTGCCTCAGCCTCTACCTCGGCAGCCGCACCACCACCTAGCCCAATCTCATGCACCTTCCAGCCTTGCGCCTCATCGACGAAGCTCTTGCGTGCTCCGAGAACCGCCATGCTGCTGTTCGACATGCCCTTGACCAAGAATCGTTCAGCAGCATCATGCACTTGCTCCTGCGTCACGTCCAAAAGCTGCTGTCGTCGTGTCTGCTCCATATCTGGTGTTACTCCGCTCACGAATCTGGTCATACCCTCCTCACTGACACTTCTAGGAGCGTCCAGTGCTTGGAAGACAGACAGCTTGGCATCTTCGAGGTCACGATCACTCCATTTTCTGTCTACTGCCCACTTGCCGACATTGTCCAACACCTTGATCGTGTTCTCAGGATTGGGGTCGCGGTACGAGTAGAATCCGAACACGCCATCCAATGCGCGAGAATAGGCGCCACCGCCATATGCGCCACCGCGCTCACGGATCTCGCGGTGCAGGTGCTTATGTGTGAGCAGCTGTGCGAGTACCGCCAATGGCGCGCCCGAGGAATCAGTGTAAGGAACGGTGGGAAGGGCGAGACCAGAGTAGTAAACCTGGTAAGGCAGAGGGTAGAACGACTTGGCATTGCGAGTCAGTGTCAAGCCTGACTGAGACTTCGCTGACAACTCGGACGATGATGAGAAGGTGCTGCTGAGGAAGCCTTCGAGGGCAGCCTCGTTGATGCTGGTAGACTCGGCACCACAAGTGATAGCGGCTCTCATGTTAGCTAGGTTTGCTGCAATGAGCTGTTGAATGGCCTTCAATGGCTGGATGATGTCGTCACCGATCTCGGCGAGAGATGCGAGAGAGACCATGTGCTTGATCTGGCTGACACCTCCAGTCTGCTCGAGCAAGCTTCCGTGTGGGCTGATGCCAGCCTCAGCAACACGTCTGGCATAGGCGTGCCCTGACTCGGCGATTGTGTCAACACCACCGCTAGCAGCGCTTTGTACCAACTCGCGGAGAGAGGCCTTGGCCTTAGGTCCATCGAAATCGGTTTCCAGAACAATCGTTCGGATCAGATCATACATGGCAGGGACGTTTTGGTCGAGCGCAAATCCTGACAGACTCAGACCCTCTTCGCAGACCTTTGTGTCAGTAGGAGAGGTACATGCATGGTAACCGAACGAGACGCCACCAGTCTTGAGCTTGATGAGATCTTCAATCTCTTCCATCGATTTGGTCTTGGTTCCAATGCGCATGAGTGCATCGCAGAACAATGGTACAAAGGTGCGCAGCTCCGTAGGCAAATCCTTGAAGATGCTGAGGGCTCTGAAGTAAGTCAGACCGTTCGTCGGGGCTTCTCTCCATTGCACCTTAACGTTGTTGAGAGAGTCTTGACGAGTCTCAGTGATGGGCTTGCTGCGAGGAATGTCCTTGACGTGGACGGACGGCAGACAGCTCAGGTCCTGCTCCTGCATTTGTTGTTCGACGAGCTCAAGCTCTCTCTTCTTCAGCTGGTCGTAGGCCTCTTGCTTCGAGCCGTATATCTTTTCGGCCTCTGCTTTCTTCGATGCAAGTCTCTGCGCTTCTTCTGCGAGAAGATCCTCACCATAGGTTGCAGAAGGTTCCATAGTAAATGTCAAAGTGTTGTCGTTCAACAAGTACTTCTCCAACAAACCCTCGAGGTAACCACCCTTAGCGCATTCTGCCTTGAAGGTATCAACAGTCTGTTGCCATGCCAGAGCATCAAAGACATCGACACCGTTGAACCAGCCAGGCTTCAATCGCTGTATTATTGACATGCCGAAGTTTGCGGTTTTGTGCTTCAGACTGAGCTCTAGCTGATGCAGGATACCATCAATCTTTGATTGGTCGAAGCCCTTCTCTCTGACCTGACGCAAAGTTTCCATAACAGCCTCCTTGACCTTGGGAACATTTTCCTGCTTGACGCCGTTGAGACCGACGGAGAAGACGCCACGCTTGCCAGAACCATCAAATCCAGTGTTTGGCGAGAAGTCAGGGCCAAGGCCAGCTTCGATAAGGTTGCGGTAGAGGGGTGAGCCATAGCCATCCATCAACAAGGAGGAGATTATGGAGAGCGAGAAGTTCTCGAGAACGTTGGATGTGTCTCCCATCAGCCAGGTGACAGAGGTCTTGAATTGAGAATCGGCAGGGTTCAGAGGATCCAAAGGGCCCTTGACGGTGATAGAGCGAGGCCCGTTGTCGAGGCTTTCAGGAACCTTGATATCCGAGTCTATAGAAATGCGCGAAAAGTTGTCCAGCTCCTTGCCGATAGACTTCAGATGGTCAGTAAGAGGTAGGTTTCCGTAAGTCAAGACCTTTGCGTTGCTCGGATGGTAGTGGTCGGCATGGAACTTCTTGAGTTGGTCGTAGGTCAGATCAGTCATCTTTTGAGGGTCGCCACCAGAATTGTTGATAGCAGGAAACAGGTTCTCATGGAAGCGAATGTAGTAAAGATATTGCGAGTCAGACATCTGACCCTTCATTTCGTTGTACACAACGCCCTTGAAGATGATGTCGTCTGACGAAGGGTTCTCGGCTTGAGGGTTCTCTGGACCAAGACGCCATCCTTCTTGGGTAAAGTCGTGCTCTTGAAGAAGAGGGTGTAGAGTAGCGTCGAGATAGACAGCCATGAGGTTCTTGAAGTCTTGAGCATTGGTCGTGGCGAATGGGTATGTGGTATGGTCGGACGAGGTGAAGGCGTTCATGAAGTTGGAGAGGGATCGTGGCAGCATTTTAAAGAAGGGATCGCGAACAGGGAACTTCTGACTGCCGCAAAGAGTGGTGTGTTCCAGGATATGAGGGACTCCAGTGGCATCCGGAGGATTCGTCTTGAAGCCAATGGAGAAGACATTGTTCTGGTCGTCTCGAGCAATGTGCAGATAGTCAGCGCCGGTACGCTCGTGGGTGAACTGAAGAGCAGTAAGTTCGAGTTCGGGAACGTGTTTAGCACGCTTCAAGGTGAATCCGTGTAGCTGATCTCCAGGCTTGGGATAGTTGGACAGGTCCGTCACGGAAGCATAAGTTCGTCGCAAAGCTGGTAGGTCGGTGTGCGCAAGGCGGTTTGGCCTGACGGCTAGCCTGTTGACTCCGCGCAACATGTTCAAGCAGATCAGAGCTTCTGATCTTACAAGCCTCAGTTTCGTGTTCAGGAAGGAACCTGGATGTTTCGATGATTCAATTCAAAGGGCAGTCGCGAATGGTGCACAGACCAGGTGGGCGAACGGCTGGTTCTTCCGTCCGCACCTGCCTCTCTTTGCACAGCGACGAGGCCGAGTCTGATAGCCTGTCTGGCACACGACGTACAACCGTGAATAAGTGCTGAAAGAACTTGGACTATTACTTGGACCACCTGCTCCGTCTGGAATATCCCTCGATCCATTTCTATACCCGCTTGGCTTGCCCGTCTGCCATCCATAGCAGGCCCTGTCCGAGACCCCCTCTTACTCATCTGGATATACCCATCATATCACTACCCTCCGCTTTATCGCTACCTCGATTTATTAGTCGCCAGTAGACACTACCTTTCCGATCTCCTTCTTTGCGCCACAGAGACAGGCACACCCGGATTTTCGCTGTGCCCGCCTGTCTCAGTGCGCCAACCTCGACTTGCTCCTTGCGCAGAATTGCCCCCAATGCAAGGGCAATCGTCCGTTCCATTATACCAATAGACTATTTTTTCACTCTTGAGCCATGGCCCAAGTCGCCTCACAACACCAACCTCACAGCTCACGCGCTTCGCCTGCTTCTGTCCACGATCCCCGCGACGATGCTCCATTGCCAGCTGCTCCTCCGCCGCCGCCGAACAACCCCTCTGCGAACAAGAAGAGCAAGCCTAAAAAACCTGCTGCTGATACAAATGACGCACATAAACAGCTGCAGGCTAAGATTGCTCAGCTAGAACAGGATGCTACAGGCAGGGCTGAAGAAGATGCGGAAATTGGTGTGTGATCGGTCATCGTTATCTGTCATCTTCATTTATACTGACCACAACANGACCGGGAAGTCAAGAAGGCGAACAGGGACCTTCAAAATCTCCTCCAATCTATGGATGGCCCCATATCCAAAATGGAAACGGTCCAACGAAAATACTCGGAACTTCTGGCAGAGATGAAGAGGACTGAACGAGAACACATCAAAGCCAAGAAGCGAGGCGATCAGTTGCAAAAGGACAAGGATACCCAAAGATCAGAGCTCACAAAGGCCAATTCCATGAAGGAGAAGCTGGAGAAGCTCAGTCGTGAATTGACAAAGGAGAACAAGAAACTCAAGGTGCGCAACTGCTGGATGCTCTATGGTGATGCGGTGTATTGATTGCCGATGCAGGAGGATCTCCGCGAGTTGAAGGAAAGCGCGGCAGACAAGAACGAAGAACTGCATCGCCGGCTCGAACGAATGGTGGGCGACGTTGAGCAAGTGATAAGCGATCGCAAACTTCCAGAACGACCGACCGGCGAGATGGAGGAAGACAAGCTGTATGTCTCTTGTGCAGCCCGAACCTCACTCAGCTTTCACTGACAATTTGCATCAGTNTTCCGAGAAAAGTTCAAATCCTTCGTCGAACAATACGAGATGCGCGAAATCCAATTCCACTCGCTCCTCCGAAGCAAGGAGCTCGAAATCCAATACCATCTCGCACAACAAGAACGACTCCGCAAGCAACAAGATGCAGAATTGAACAAGTCGCATCAGTTGACCCGTCAGGTATCTACCTTTTCCCAAACAGAGAATGAACTGCGCAGTCAGCTGNNAATATTTATGTGGAGAAGTTTAAGCAGGTGAGACTTTTTCCAAACATGCTGCCCTCGTCCATGTCTTTCTACCTCTCTCGCAGAGAGCCCCCGCCCGTCTCTACTACCACCAGTACAGCCGTAACCGTTCAACGATCAACTTCCTCCCCGTTTCCAACTTAGGCAGTGCCATCTCACTCACTGACCGCATTAGCAGGTCGAAGACACCCTTAACAACAGCAACGACCTGTTCCTGACCTTCCGCAAAGAGATGGAAGAAATGAGCAAAAAGTCCAAGCGTTTGGAAAAGGAAAACATGCAATTGACACGCAAGCAAGAGGCTACCAACAAAAACATCTTCCAGATGGCCGAGGAACGCACCCACTCACAGCAAACCATCGATCGCCTACACAAGGAGAACGAGAAGCTGAAGAAGCTCTGTCGCGCCATGCAGACCAACGGTTACGGACGCGCAGATATGGTCAACGCCGCCCCCGGAGCGCCAAACCCAGCCCATCACCCCGACGAAGAAGACGAAGAAGACGACCTTGCCGAGACAGATTCCGAGTACGACGAATATGACGAGGATGAGGAGGGCAGCGTCGAGGCTGAGTACGATGACGATACCGAGGACGAACAACAACCTCGCACATACGGCCCAGTGCCACCACCCCCTCCACCACCGCCGACAGGCGAGCTGCCCCAGGGTGCGAATGGCAGGTTCGACAAACTCCACAGCCAGTGAATGGTGTGAAGCATTGAAGCAAAAGAGAAAAAAAGCAACGCATTCCATTATGGATCATCCCCGTCGCGACGTTTGTCTTGTTCAAACCCCTTCTTTCTTGTCATCAACGTGAGAAAACACCCTACTACTCTATATCCACGAACGTTCTGATAGACTTTTTCTGTCTACAACCTTCTCTCACTTCTTGTTGTTCCTACTTCCTACATTCCCCTCTAAGCGTGAGGCAGATACACTATCAGGCGTCAACCAACACATATTCCATTGTTGGTATCCGACGAGACAACCGCGCAAGATCAATAATCCCGTTCTTCTCTCCCCTCGTCTTTGACTCTCTTCACATTCCGTCACATCTAGCGACCTTGCGATGTTTATCGTTGCACGGGTCCTGGTGGGTTGTAGGATGGGAAGGATTAGGGTTCGAGAATGAGGGTTCGTGGAAGCTCTGGCTATTACAGACCCGCTTGTATTTGAGTAGCACGCTGGCGGACTAAGTTTCAGAGTACATTCTTGGATTATATATATTGTGTTCAATCTGGCTTGAAGCATGTCGTCAAGTCTTGCCCAAGCAGAAAATAAGACTCGAATTTCGGCGCTACCACAAAGAGTAGCCGTTCCACTCGCCTTTCTATCATCCCTGTTCATGCAGGCGTCCAACATGTGTCGAGATTTCACCAACCAAAACGAAAACTCGGGTCTCACGACACAAGCACAATTGGCTTCTGATCTGATCCTAGAGGTAGCAACCCGTGGGATTGTGACAAAAGTATGGTAATCATCAGCAAAAGAGATGTCGCAGCCAGGAATCGAACCAGGGTCTAGCGCTTGGAAGGCGCTAATGCTAACCATTACACCACTGCGACAAGCGTCGTAACTCCAGAGTCACTGATGACGTAACCATGAATCTTGATAAAATATAATCACTCGCCTATCAACACGGCCTGCTAAAGCGAAAAGGACTTTGGTTGTACGACTCTCTATCCATAGCTCAGCAAAACACAAAAAGTCTGGTGCCCACATATCCTCTTTTAAAGCATCATTGTTGTTCCAACGGTGCTCGAATAGCACACACTCAATACAAGTGTCTTCCCCACGCAACCCTTTACACTCCTTCTTCTTGCAGCCCAGGCATCTAACCTTTACTTTCATAGACAAATGTCTTTCTCCTTCCAGTTTGCGAAACTCTCTTACTGCTTCGTTGGCCATGTCTAATCTGGATAATAAGACAAAAGCATTGAAAATCTTAATGGGGTTGTAAAGTGACCAGCTCATCGATGGAATAGCAATGTCGATGATGGTGGTAATATGACAGAATTGGTATATCTCGCTTGTGATCTGGGGATGTATGTGGAAGAGACTAGGTAGGCGATAACCATGGCGGCGTTTGGTAATGTTGTGTTCTTGATCTGATATTGCGTGGTCATACACCATGATGCGCAGCTCCAAGGGTAGAGCAAGAAAGGGAAAGGTATGTTGCTTCTTTTGCTTGTTCTTCTGTTCTCTCTTGGGCGTCATCTTACGGAGCCTCGACCATGCGGAGCTGGTTTTTGCTGGTGGCTGAGATCCCTCTTGAGGTTGGTTATCCATAATGGGTGATGTGTGAGGTGAAGCAGAATCCGGGACCAACAGCATCTCAGTAGTCAGACTAGATTGACGACAAGGATGACTGTTCAGTAGCGGTGACGCAGAGCCGCTATTCCAGTTGTGAGCAAAATACTATACCACCGAAGATGACATGGACCTACCAGTTTGAGCAAGTTGTTTTTTGACAAGACTCATCCATCAACCACGAAAAACTGGACTCAAAAACCATTACTCCTAGCTCAACAAAACTCAAACAACCGATCCTCCGTGATCAAGTTCTGATTTTTGATGTCCCAGAGCTCCAAGATTTACATTGTACGAACATCTCGCATTCGCGGCAAACCTCATTTCCACCCAACCCTTTACATGCCTTCCCATGCTCCATGCATCTGACCTTTACCTTCATGGTTAGTTGTTTTCTGCAACCAACCTTGCAGAACTTCTTAACTGCTTTGTTGGCGAATTTCATTTGGTGTACGGCTTGGCCACCGTGCCACCGGAAGCTGTGCAGCGGGATTGATATGTCGATAACAGCGGTGATGGGACAGAACTGATAGATTTCGCGAGTAAGTTGTGAGTTTGTATGCAGAAGAGCAGCCGAACGTTCAAACTTACAAGGGTTGGTGATGTTGATCGTTTGATCCGAGATTGCGTGGTTGTATACCATGATCCGTAGCTCTAGAGGCAGTTTGAGGAATGGGAATGTTTTCTGTACTGGGCCTTGACGCTGACGGTATGGGCTCTTGACGTGGTTCCTCGTTGATGGCCGATATTTTCGCTCAGTTATCGTGCACATGACATTTATGATGTCAAAGATATCCATGGAGCTTGTCTGAAGGAAGTTGAGAAGCAGGGGCCTGGTTTGTGGTCAGGATAGTAGTTAGATTGAGTGACGACAATGATGACTCTTCAGTGCTCACTTGGCATGACTCTAATCTCACTCACGACATAGAGCTGTACATGAACCATGAATGACTTTGAGCAAGGTTATGCTATCAAGATACATCTGTCAACTGCAAGAATCTAGGCAAAAGTTCATACCTATTACAGACATTAGCCAAGTTCAGGAACAGTTCGCGTACTCTTCGAACCAACCACTACCATCACTGTCATAGTGACTAGCCTCCACCGCGCCGCTACACGAACACCTTCAGTAGTGCTTGACCAAGGAACCATATTTCTCCAACATCTCTTGCCAACCCTCGCGCTTTACAATCTTTCGGCATGACCTACACCCCCGACTTGCTTGCCATTCTTCCAAACCATCGCAGCATCTACATCTCGTTCGTATGTATGTCAACAATCCTTTCCTGTCTTTATGCACGGCAAATCTTTCGGCTTCGTGCAAGATCTTCTTGAGTTGGCGGGTCAATACCACCAAAGCGATTGCTTGTGGAGCCTTGAAGAGTACGTAGGGTAAAGCCCAATACCCGGGAAGCTGTGACAACCTTTTTCGTGAAATGTTTGGAAATCTGATGTCGTAGGTTGCGGCAAGGGTACAATATTCGTAGATCTCGCGAGTGATCTGGAGGTTTGTGAAAGAGCGAGGGAAGACGGCGCCGAGTTGACTTTTGTTTTCCGTTCTCGATCATGTAATTATAGATGATGATGCGTATCTCCAGAGGTAATTTCAGGAACGGGAATATTTGCGATCGAGGAAGGGCGTTCTTGCTATGGCGAGAACGGTGGACAAGAACTTTTCGCTGATCAGCCATCGTTGTGTTCTGGATGTGTGCGCGAGGCGGTAATGCGAGCAAGGGGAGTTGGAACACCGAGAAGGAGGCAGGAGCGACTCAGTGCTTGATCTGCTTGGATTCTGCGAAATTCCGCTTCCGATACGCTGGGCTGAAAGAGGTAGATAGAGGTAATTGCGAAGGAACGAGCTCAAATTGAGCATAAATCGTCAATAGAGCTATCAAGCTAAGATCTAGAATACAACATTGACACGAGCTACATCAAGCCTCCCTGTAAGCATTAGCGCACAGATAAGTGCATGAAGAAAGTCATGACAAAGGAACAGATTACTCGACGATTTCGAGATCACCATCGCGGTGCTTGGCAAAGACGTCCTTCCACTCGTCCCAGATACGCTTAAGCTCATCGACATATTGCGCGTGAATCTCATCCACGTATTTGGAGTCAGGACGTTCCTGTTTGCGCACCATGATTGGTCGACCAGCGACGATGTTGAGTGGGCGTCGGTAAGGCATCATACCAACATCGTAATTGAAGACACCACGTGCGTGGAAAAGTGGGATGGTGAAGCCCAAAGCCTTCTTGACCAGTAGCTGGAATTTGTGAATTGTAGGATGGGCTTGAGGATCGAACTGCTCGTAAAGTTCGTTCTCTCCAAACGCCAGTACGGGAACAAGGTCAGCGCCAGTGCGGATGGCGAGCTTGACGAAACCCTTGCGACGAGCGAGTACAAGACGCAGGCTGTTAGGCTGAGCGTCCAGTGATTCGCGAGCACCACCGACAACAATAGTGATGGCACGACCCATGCCCTCGCCGTTAGGACCACCCTTGGACAGAATGTTCTCGCAACTCTCACGAGAGACTGAGGCCAGACCAAGACGCAAGGCATAATCGCGGTAGAGAGGGATGCGGAAGTTTGAGTCAAGAGTGAGGAGTGTGTTGGTGATTCCCGGGAACAACTGCGCGAAGCCAAGAGCTTCTGTTGCAAAAGCGACAAAGGCACCGTGGCTGATAATACCATGCGGGTGGTAACCAAAGACGTACTTACGGGTGGCAGGTAACTCTTGAGAACGATGGAGACGAGCAGGGAAGTATGAAGCGAAGAGAGACCATACTGGAAGGCGACGCAGCCACTCGGAGCGATACTTGAGAGAGCCTGAAGTGCCAGCCTTAGAGAAGAGGACATAGAGAAGGTAAGGCAACAACAAGGGCCAGAGCACAGGAATGGCGCAAAGGACGAAGAAGGCTGCAAGGAAGAGGGCAATGCTCAAGGTATGGACAAGAACCATGCCCGTCTGGAGTCGACGCTGAAGCGGAACGTTGAGTGGCGCCCATCTTATNNGCTGAGATACGTTAGCGAGATAGTTCGGTTAAGAGATGAGAGAAAGAACATACGCCGACGACTCCCAGCCTGCTCCGGCTCTTCTCCCACTGACGAGCTCGTCTCTGGACGCCTTGGATTGCTGTTGTTTCTTCTGAGGAGCTTCCTTCTCGTCTGTTCTCAAAGCCTCCTCGTACGAATCATCGGGCTTCACACTGGTCAATTGCTTGCCATCAGGACTCTCGAACTTCTCGTATACAAGCTTCTGTTGCTGGCCGTCCGGACCCTCTGAGACAGTCTTCTTGGAGCTCACAGACTTGTTTGATTTTATGGAAGAAGTGCGTTTGTGAGGTCGATGAAGCTGGGCTGGACTCTTAGGCGACTCGTTGTGGCCCTGTCCTGTGAATTCTTCGCCATTCTCATGGGCTTCATGACCCTCGCCAGGGTGGAGATCGATGACAGGGTGTGCAGCGGTGTTGACACCCTCTTCAGCCATATCTGCCCATGACTTCTCCTGCTTTTGAGAGCGTGTGCGGCGGGGTTGGACGGGCGTTGATGGTAATGAAGGCTGTTTCTCCTCCTCGTCTAGCATTTCCTGGAGCGGACGAGGCTCAATGCTGCCTTTTCTCGACAGCTTCCTTGTCGGAGGTGTTTCCTTGATGAGTTCTTCGTCGACTGAATCCTGGCCATTTTGTTCGAGAGCTTCATGAGCTGCATCGGCGAACGACTTGGGTGGAAGGTCATGTTCCTGTCGCTCTTGCGGATCGGCGGGCTCTGCGTTCAGAGACATTTTGTATGTGAAGCTGGATGGCAGTAAAGAACTGAATGCATTGAGCTCTCCAGGGGAAGATTGAGCTCACCCAGACACTTCGCGCGTCATTGCCAGTGACGTACATCTGAATGCCCCAGCCTTATGTCGCACAGACTGCCCGCTGCTTGCTACCCGTCGATCCCGAGAACAAGTTTCATGCGACCCTGTCCTTCGTCTTGGTTGACTAAAGCTCAACGAACAATGCATTGTTGTTTCGAGGCACAGGATCAATTGGACACGGCAAACTCGCCAATTCACAGTATGGAGTATCAACAACGAACCCCACGACCTCGGTTCGACTGTCATGTTGTTTGAAGGTCATATATCACATTCAAGCACAATTTGAGCACTGTCGCAGTGGTGTAATGGTTAGCATTAGCGCCTTCCAAGCGCTAGACCCTGGTTCGATTCCTGGCTGCGACATCTCTTTTGCTCCTTGCTGTCTCAGTGCGTAGTGTATCGACAGTAGTTTTGCTTCCCATAGATTTGATGCATATCCGGTCAAGGATTGGGCACAAGCGTCGAGGCTTCAATGCAGCCTTCGAGGCTTCGATACTCGCAGTCTGCATGCTTTGTGGCCAGCGCTGTGTTTGATCTGCCAAGCTTCCGCCGTCCATCGAGACTTGATCTTATCAAGAACAGCATCACAACCACTCTTCTGTGCACTGAAATTCAGTCTTTGACTCTTCACTGGGCCTGCTAAAGTGTGTACAGTCTATTCATTGGGTGTGTCGTGTTCTTGTAGGTAAAGATCTCTTAACAGTGATAGCTGCACTCACTTTAGTTTGTCTTGCATATATCTTCGGAACTTTGTATCTCAAGATTCGAAAATATAGATTTCTTCTAGCATCAATGATCAAGGCCTAGTAAAAAGCTCTATTCCCATGAGTGAGGGTCGCAGATACTCTCGAGCAAAAGCAAATCCGGATATACAATGATGTGCTTGTGTTATTCAGGATATATAACTTTCGCAAGATGTTACCTGGGTCACCCTGGCTGCGTGGCTGCCTGAGGCCACCAGGACTTCCACCAGCATATCAACTCAATAATGAGCAAATTGTTTAGTGATGCAGAAAATCATACAAATGAGTCATCAAGTGTACGGCGTGTGATGAACAACTGTTATCCGACATTTCGCCTGTTCTGCTGCTTGCTCTTTTCGCCAACAATCGACAGCCAAGTGATATTGTAGCATGTACTTTCACCACCACTACCTGTACTGTGACCAACGAAGCCTCCGCAGACGACAGACCAGTCAAGAACATTCATACCGCCGAGTATCCAGACTCATGGAAGCCATCGATGATTATGTCGTTCAACCAACGATAACACATTCACACACCATCATCATGCTTCACGGACGCGACAGTGTCGCTTCAGAATTCGCAGCGGAGCTCTTTGAGAGCCAGGCATCAGACAACCGTACCCTTCCTCAGATCTATCCAGGCATCAAATGGGTGTTTCCAAATTCTGGGATGCTCAAATCAAAGCGATTCGACATGGAGCTGTCGCAGTGGTTCGACATGTGGACTACAGAGAAACCGCACGACGAAGAAGAGACGAGCAGAGCAGGCATAGAAAAGACAGCAGCCAGGATTGCAGGCTTGGTCAGATCCGAGACAGAGTTCGTGTCTGTTGATCGTGTTTTCTTAGGCGGGATCAGTCAAGGCTCTGCAGTCGCCATACATAGTTTGCTTCGGAACGGTCTGCAGATCGGTGGGTATATGGGCTTCTGTACTTGGCTGCCACTTTACGACGAAGTCAAAAGTGGAACATTTGTCAGCACACCGATCTTCCTGGCACATAACAAGGACGACAAAGTCATCTCGATAGACAATGGAGAGCTCATGCAGAAGAATCTGCGGCATCTCGGGTTGAAAGTGACATGGCGGACATATGACACTGGTGGCCATTGGTTGAATGAGCCGAGGGGAATCGATGACATTGTCGCGTTTCTCACAGCATGTCGAGTATGAACCAAAGGGCGATAAGGTCGTCTGAATTCGGTCACTTGACTGAGATCAAATCACCAAGATTAGTCCGGAGCGGATTCCATTCGGACCATCCGGAGAATTCAGTGAGGCTTTGTAAGTTTGTCGCTCTTGTTGTATCGGTTAAAAGGACTTCGTTCACCCTGAAAGTTGAACTCTCCTTTCATCATGGTACAAAGTCAGTTCATGATCTTGGAAGTTGTCGAGAGCCACACTCTAAGGAATTAAGCTATCGATGGTATTCCTGCTGAGCAGTGCTGGCCCAATGGAAGCCATCAACCAAAGGGCATCATCAGAGTGGCTGCTGTCACAATAACCTACCGAACCTTGGTCCATACTACAGATTAGGCATATGTCGTTACTGTGCACCTCCCTGACGTTTCAATATCGGTGAAACTGGCCATGAGACTCTGCCGTACTGGTCTGGACATGTAGTGGTTCACGCGAGCAAATCAGTCAAGGTTTGGCGGCTTAAAAAAGTCGTTCAGATGGTGGGCAAGCTGTCGCTATAGATCGATCGCGGAGCCCACCGCCGTATTGAAAGCTTCTCGCACCTTTATAAAGTGCACCCATATTACTAGCGACGAGAGCTGAGACGTGTCTTGGTGGGGGAGAAGCAGCGGAGACTGTACGAAGGTTAATATACGCATTTCTCGAAGGATACCATCGCTGATCTCCCGTTTCCAGAAAGAGAACACCTCGTATTCATGGAACTCCTCGTCGCCAGATGTGGCAACCACGACATGGCGGCAGCAAGGATAGCCAGACTGTGGTCCGTATTAGGGCTTTGGAGGATCATCGGCGGTATACGTCTATACGATACGGACGCATGCATAGGCTCGAGTGGTATTTCGAAATCAGGTATAACGTCCTTGCATGAGAAAAAAAGGCGTGGCTGTCTCTTTGGGGATGTGTAGGCGACGACTGCAAATTTGCCCGCGAGAACACCTCTTCTTGGAAGTTTAGACGAGAGGCTGCAGTTGTTTACGAGCCACGGTGAACGTAGATGCGCATGGTGCCGAAGCTTCCAATTGCGACTTCTTTTGAATGTCTTTCTTGTGTATAGCAGCTGTCCCAAAGCATCATTCCGGAGAACAAAGCGTAGTTCTGCGTAAATAGCATTCTGTCAGAGAGACTTCCGTCTCGACACATGTCAGTCGAGTCAGCAACCTACACACAATGTGGGTGATGGTCAACGACCCAAAGTACCTTGAGATGAGGCTGTTTTCTTTGCTCTCCGCGGACGAACACTGGTTTGCATAGCAGGACGATGCCCAGTCATTTAGAAAAAATTGCCAAGAAGCCAACAATTTGATATCACACTTTAACTAGCCCCATATGCAGGTACCCCCGCAGGTCCGCCGCTTAATGTCGACATACAACTTTCTAATCGAGAACTTTGGGTTAGGCTGGAAAGAAGCCCCATCAAGATCTTAACAGGTTGGAAAGCCATCGAACCATGGAAGCACGAAGCTCCGGAACCCGGGCACCTCGTATCTCATAACGAAGAGGAAATTTTGAGTTTGTAGACGTTGTATTGCGTGCCTGGAGATCGGGGCGAAAATCAGGGTGGGTAGACGAGAGTTGGAAAAGCGTAAAAGTCATGTGAGAAAGGGGAGAGAGTTAGAGTTATGCCGTTGATAATTTGGTAGGAGAGCGTGGAAATTTGGGTTGTAGGTAAAGTTCAGAATTTGGAAGGTACGCACGGTCAATACTGCACCCAAAAAAACAAGTTATACTTTTAGGGTTACAAGAAACCTTAATCATTTATCCATCTATTGTATTTCAACGTCGGCTTGTAGGACGATTTGCAATCATGTTACAGCCAAGATCGAATTGAACTACTAAGCGAATCGATTTACACTTCTAGAAGAATTCGAGAAAAATGTGAGAGAACTAAACAGGAAGGAGACAGGAACATGCTTTCTTTGACAACAAGATCTGATTGACTTTTAGGTATGTGAAAGATGTTCTAAATCTAGTATCTAATAAAGATGATAATAGCCAATATTGATTGGTCAGTGATAGGAAAAACAATAACAAGATCGCTAAGATGCCCAGCAAATAATCGAAAGACAGAGAAAAGAATTAGCGTATAAGGCCTGAACTCGTAAAAGACCGAGATAGACGGTACGCGACCCGTAGAAAGGATGATATGCAAGGCGAAGTGAAGTAATGCAAGAGCGGAAATGATGCAGCAGACATATGTCTATGCAGCGTCGAAGGTCTTGACCCTGCAGTGGCGCAGCTTGTCAAGGACGCTAAAGTCGACGCCATGCTGTCTTGTGCAGACAGCTACGGCATCGAACTCGAGGTCCAAGCGGCCGGGGTGGAACCCAGAATGTTCAAGCTTCTCCAGCCACGGCACTTGAGCTTGCTCGACAAGAGGGTCGTGGAAAACGAGACGCGAACAACCCAGACGCTGCAACTCAGTTGCGAAGGCAAGGCCAGGAGAGTAGCTGAGGACACTTTGGCCAGGCTTGAAGCCAATGCCCACGACAAGGATGCGAGGACCAGTAGGACAAGCAGCACGGGCTGCGCATCGTCGGTGAAGCTTCTTTGCCAAAGCAGCAGGACGGTTACGCATGAGTTTCGTAGCACGCTTAAGAACAGGCAGGTTGGGGTTGTTGGAGAAGAGATAGAAAGGGTTGACGGGAATGCAGTGACCGCCGACACCAAGACCGGGGCGGAAAGCTTGGTAGCCGTAGGGCTTTGTAGAAGCAGCATCGATCATCTCGTTGGGATCAATGCCGTGAGCGCGTGCTGCATCAGACATCTCGTTGACGTAAGCAATGTTGACCATGCGGTAGCAGTTCTCGAATAGCTTGGTCATCTCAGCAACCTCAGGCTTGCTGACGGGCACCACCTGGTCAAAGACGCGAGCGTACAACTTGTGGATGACTGAATTCGATGCGGGAGTAAGGGCAGAGATAATCTTGGGGATCTGCTGGGCAGTAGGGAAGGTGCGACCGGGGTCAACACGTTCAG